GTCTGTCGCTGAGGAACGGTCCCCTCGCCGGACGATACCGGAGACCGCTTCCGCTTTAGGTTGCCCTCCACCACTGGCGAGCTCGACCCGCCTGCAAATTCCGCCACAGGAGCCCACGGCTTTGCCGCCTGCGAGCCCGACGACTTGGCTGCATTCTGCAAGAACATCGTCGTCATTACATGCAAATCCAGCGGCGGGATCAGCGGGTGTATGTTCTGCATGTTCTTCTCGTAGCTGCGAACATAGTCCCATACCTTATCCGGGTTTAGATCCAGCTCGATGGCAACTCGCGTTGGCGGGCCCTTGACCGCTTCTACCGGGCTAGGCGAGTTGAGGCCTCCAGGCGGGTTCCACGAATCGCGCGCTGATTCAGACGACTCCTGTGCGTTGTTAAACGTGTCTAGGTTGTCTGGGTTTTGCGGGCTGCTCCTGTTGCTGCCAGGCACATTCGGTGCCGGTGCAACAGGAACCGTCTGCGAGCCCTCGATGTGCAGTACATCATTCGGATCCATGCTTAGCTCGCCGCGGCCCTTGTCGCCCGCAGAGTCCTCGCCACGCCCATAGAAAGAGATGGCACCTCTTCGCTGCTCCTGGCGCACCGGGAACTCGGACGGAAAGCGGATGCCAGCCGCCTCTAGATGGCTCTCTACCCTTTCGCGGATCGTGGGCCAGGTTAGAAGCAGACTGGCCAATGTAGTGTGATATGCAGGAATGGCCGGTTCTCCGGGCGGCACAGCAGGGCCAGGGACCACATCCATGTGATCGTCGTTTTGCAGCTGCTCCGATATCCTCTGTGCCTCTTCTGGGGCCAGCCCCATGTTTCTCGACCAGTGTGAAGGTTGCTTCGGCGAAGATGTATTCTTATTATCGTTATCAGAACGCGGCGAGTTCACCATAGATGTCGCATTCAACGCCGCCCCGGTCTGACTAATACGATCGGAGTTCATAATGCCTAACTTGATTGTGTTTTGCACTTCAGCCAACATTTGTTGGACGCTGCTAACAATCGCCTTGCACTCCCCGCGGACTTCTCGTATCTCGCCACGGAGTGTGTGGTCCAGGCTGTTGATGGCTTCCATAATGTCGATGGTCACCTTGTCTTGCCTAAAGTATACATGTTTTAGAAACAACGTCTATACTGCTTCCAAGCACAAAGTATTACTTACTGTTTCGGGATCGGATCTCGGTATTTGCACTCGATATTCTTTTCCCTGCAATTCTTGCAAGGCTTGGTCTCGTCGCACTTGGCCTTCAATGACCGGCAGCTATCACACGCCTGCGAAGCGCGTTGGGCCTTCTTCTTCCCCGTTCCCGAGTAGGAGACGGGGTAGGACTGGTCCGGGCCCTGTGCGGATGGCTGAGAGTGGCCAAAGATGGGGGGGTCAAACTGGCTCAGAGCTGTAGGAGTTGGCGGGTAGCTGCTTTGTGGCCGGTACATGTTTGATACCGAAGGCCCGCCCGGTGGTGGGGGCGGTGGTGGCAGCGGAGGAGGCGGAGCCTGGGACTGAGCTGACGGTACTGCAGAGTGACCATGCGAGTGCGACGGATGAAGGGGTGGCGGCTGGTGGCTGTGGCCCGGGCTCTGGACTGGCTGGTGGTTTGGCAGCTGGTGCGGCAGAGGCGGCTGCGCATGAGGGAGCTGGTGCGGGCTCGACGCTGAGGGGTGGGCGATGTTATCAAAGCCCATCTGACGCCGGCTGTCATCAATATGGTGCTGCGGGTGCGGTGGATGCTGGGGATGCTGAGGATGCTGAGGATGCTGAGGGTGCTGGGGGTGTAGCAAAGTCGGTGGTGGTGGTGGCGGTTGCTGCTGCTGCTGCTGCTGCTGGGATGCATGAATCGAGCCAGAGTCGAGCCGGCGCATCAGAGGCAGGCCGTCTTCGTTCAAGGACTGCTCGCGTCCATAGGAAGTGCCGTAGGGAGGAGACAAGCGAGCAGGCGAGGGGGCCGGGTGGCGGTACTCTTGTCTGTAGTCTAGTCGCTGGTCCTGGTGGTACTCAGGCCGATGATCCTGTCGGTACTCCGAGCGGTGGTCGGAACGGTAGTCCTGTCGATGGTCCTGCATAGATGTGTGCTGGTCTGGCTCATGATATCGGCGGTCGTCGGCGTAGTGCTGCTGGTGGGGAGGAGCAGACGGATGGGTGGCGCGCGACTGATGTGGCTGCGGCGTCGACTGCGGCGGGGGTAGGTGAGGGTAAGAGTGAGCAGCATTAGGTGTCGGAGGAGCAGGAGAGGAGACGGGAGGGGGGTCAGAGGAACGAGAGAAGGGATGGGAGGGTTGATATGGACCCGATGGCGTGGGGTGCGGTGCCTGAGGCGAGGCAGTACCGGGATTAGGGTTGGGGAAAGAAGCGTGGTGGAGGTGAGCGGCGGCAGGTGTTCCTGTGGACCATGATCCAGTCGAGAGACGGGGTTTCTTGCTCTCTGGACCTTGGTCCATGTCTGCGACAGTGCTCGGGCGAGAGCAAGGCAGGGGACATTAATAACACGGCAGAGGGGTGGATGAAGCAGAGAGGCACATCAGGCGCGAAGGGGCGCGGGGGGCGAAGGGGCCTGCGCGAAGAAGAGACGAAGCGTGTGCGGTCCTCCTGATGGTCATGGATAGCAGCAGGCTTGGGAAAGGTGAGCGACTTCCGGGGAAGCCCAGTAACGGAACGGGATGAGAAGAGAGGGCCCAATGATTTGACCAGATGGGAACAGTGGGGCCTGGTGGCATTGACTTTTCTGTTTTTTTTTTTTCTGCCAGGGAGACAAGAAGGAGAGCAGGCAGTGCTCGTTGCCGTCGAGCAGTGTAACCCAGACAGCTTCGAGTTGAAGCTGGGGGGGGGGAGGTCCAGGGGGGGAGGGGTGTGTCCAGGGAGGAATGGGGGGTATGGGAAGGGTGGCGAAGACGTTTTAGAGCCAATGCAGAGCAAGAGCACTCAGGAAAGAGCGAGCTTTGTCGAAAGGGGGTGTGCGAGTAGGCCGGTCAGAGAGAAGGCGAGGGGGAGAGAGAGAAGGGGAGAGAGAGAAGGAGAGAGTTGACGAAGCGGAAACGGAGGTGCTAGAAACGCGGTCATCCACCGTTGGGAGTTGACAAACGCGCTAACAACTGCCTGTTTCCGCCAAGATGGCTAGATCCAGATGTCCGTAGTGATGACGGGAGGTGGGTGGGAGTAGATGGGAAGCAGAGGCGGTGGGTGTTAGCAGCTGGGAGCTCGGTTCATGAAGAGAAGGAGGAGGTGGGAAGCGAGGGAGGGGGGTAAAGGTGTGAAGGATTTCGGCCCAGGGGACAAGCCCAGGCCAGCCAGACGGGTAGAACGAGACGGTAGAGCGAGAGGGAGATCGACCAGGAGAAGGCGACGACGAAAGGCTGGCGGGTTCGAGGCTCGGTTCAGCGGGTTCTTTCCACAAGAATTGGACGGAACGAGGACAGTGCGATACGAGTACGTGTTCATATGACACTGCGTAGCCGTATCGTAGTTGCTCACCGTTGAAAAGTGGGCAAAAAAGAAGGAAAGGAAAAAAATGGCAAAAAGAAGGGAAGCCGGCAATGACAGTCAACGGTCAGTGTTTTGCTCGTTATTTTTTTATTTTTTCTCGTTTTGCGAATCTGGGTCAGGGTGGAGTGGAGAGAGTGTCAAGCAAGCCGGGGTTATTGGTAGCTAAACCAGGCGGCGGGTTGGGAGGGGCCAGAATGAGGCCAATGGAGACGGGGGAGCAATCCCTGCTGTAGTGGTGCCGTCGTGGGAACCAGAGGAGATAATTGAATACAAAGTACGAGAAAGTTGCTCGTATCTTGGCTGTGGTCCTCCGTACTGTCAAAGCTAGGATGGCTTGGCGCGGTTAGGGGGGGCAGCATAGAGTAGGCGAACAGGGTGACAGGTCCAAGGTGGGGAAAGGGTAGAAGCTTTGATTTTGGGGCTTGCTCTCATGGCCAATATACCAATATACGCATTATTGCAGGTATCTTTGGCAGCCAGCTCTTTGGCCGGGCTCGGGCTCGCAGGTGGATCGTCCGTCCTGAGGCTTGTCGTGCCTGACCCTTCGGCCAGGTGTGCGACGACGGGATATACTGGTGCTATATCCCGGGAATGAAATCTCCTAAAGACAAGACGGGACGTTAGTCAAGGAACTTTGAGACCAGACAGCTCCCCCACAGAAGCAGGCTGGCAAGACAGCTGCCACCAGGTAATAGGACGGTCACAGTGTGTATGATAATGTACGGAGTACCATGTATCGCATGTACATGAATTTGTCCAGAGCCGGTCGTGATCGCCCTGTGGTGATCTGAGTCGTACGGCAAGCTAGGTCTGTGCTTCTGTATGTGCTTTTTTTTTTTAAATTGACGGAGGCTGGCAATAAGACGAAATATATACGACGTAACTTGCGGCAGACGGCTGCTCGTGCCGCGGGCGACAAACACTCCGTCGTAAGCTGCACTTCTTTTTTTTGTCGCCCTGCCGTGTTTGTGTTCCTGATTTTCTTTTTTTGGCTTGCACAAATGGAGATGTGAAGGCAGTGCAGATGCGTCGCAAGGAGACGGCGATGCTATCGTAATGGTGGCGTAAGGTAAAATGAAACGAGGTGGGGCCCGTGTGGTTGTGTGGTTGACAGTAAGATACTATGTACGGAGTAGTAGGGGAAGGAGCGCACATGTCGGTTGGGTTGCGGTTTCCTGCGCGCCGCGGTGCGGCTATTCTCGTTGGTCGACACCCAAGACAATTGCTGGCCTTGCAGCCGCACGTATCGAACCGTATCGTAGTCTGCCACAAGCGTGCACGCGTCGGACGGCGCGCTCCCCTCTCCCAGTTCCCCTTTCCCCTTTCGCTGCCAGGCTCGCCCGGCACTCGTACCTGGGTGAGCCAACGGACGACCATCGGCGGCGGCGGTCTTTCGGGTGGTGGCAGCAGCCACCCAACTGTCTCTACTCCGTAGCCAAGCGCAACGTAGCGCCAACGCTAGCAGGTGGCGCTACAAGCGACTAGAGGCGCTACTACATAGTCTGTAAGATACCTAATGTGACGAATTGGCGGTCTGTGGCATCCTACACGCAAGGTGCCCTGTACTCTGGGCGCTGCTCGAACACACACAGCGCCATAGGTATTCTGGACTCCGGCTGCTGCGTCTTGGACGGCCACGTCTTCCATATGCATCTCGTCCTGCACAACGTCACGCGAGCGCGTCTGCGTGTCGAGCCGACAGCTGCATACTTAGTGTCCGCTCACGAATGCAGAACGAAGATACTATGTACGGAGTACTTGCGTGTCTACTATGTACGAGCACGCACACGCGCGCACAGATGCAGGACAACGCCGAGCACAGACGAAGCCGCACACTTGACGGCAGGCAGCATGCTTACACAACGGCTGGTGCTACTCTCGTCCCGAATACGGAGCATTACCAATAATCAGGCAAGCCCAATCGACCAGGCCAAAATGGAAAATGGCTCTGGATATTGATAGTGGAGGATGGATAATGGCCTCTGGCGCCGCACGCGCTCCTGGAGAGCAGAGCGTTTACAGACTGCTCTCGTGCACGAATCCTCGTTGCCTTGCTGCTCTCCTCTCATCTCCCGCCGTGCTCTCGTCCTCGCCCTTCCCTAGTCGCCCATCACTTCTCACCTGCAGCGGAAACGCGTTTGCAGCTGCAGGTCTCCGTGCCGTACATACTCCGTACATACTATGTAGTAGAACACGTCGTAGCCAGACGAAAAACTTTCTCGATACGAAAAACGTATTACCATGGACGAGCAGATGGTCATGCCGTCCCTTCCCTGGCCTATATTGCGGCCCAGGTATAATGCACACCTGCGCCTCATAATGGCAGGGATCGATAGCACATCATTCCCCTGTAACCTCGCTGTGGGAAATGGGTTGTGCTAGGCCTGCATTGTCGCCCGCTGGCGACATCAGTAAAACGTCGGGCTAGCTGGCAGGGTCTACTAATTACCGAGAAACGAGGCCCGTCGATCCTGTTTGAAGAACGCGTCCCTGCGCCCGGAATATCCCAACTTGGGACATTGCTGCACCACATAGTATCTTACGAGTCCTACGACGTAGTTGCATCTGAACGTAGGCACAAGACGCACAAAAGTCAGGGCGCTTAGTTTGCATGCATGTATGCATAGTCTGAGCCGCCCTGCGTATGCACATATGCAATTCCTGCACCTCTGACGTCTTGTATCATCTCACGTGCCGCAGCTTGATCGGTGTATCTTGCGGGCACGCCACATGCGCCTGCAGCACTCAAACGAAAGTCTCACCTTTCGTAACTCACCATGCACAGGCAGAATACGCCGTAATCATACCGGCCGCTCCTAAACGGCAAAACGCCCAAAACACAGGCCCAGTGATCCACGCACGAGGCCAGCTTGCCCCTTGCTGGCGCCACCTGGAAGTGCATACGACGTAGTCTGATAGCGATTTCAGCTGAGCAGAAAGTTCTCCGCCATGCGACGACGCCACACAGCACCCTGGTGCCGTGTCCGCGGAAGCGAAGGCGGCTTGAGCTGCCGAACACGATGAGTGGCGAGATGCATCGCATCCCCTCGTGCTTGCGGCACGATACTCGCAGTCGGCACATCGATCGACCTGAGTCGGACGCCTTCCAGCCAGTGTCCGGCGAGAACGGTCCTGGCCGTCGTCACGGTTGCGGTCGGGCACGGGCACAGGTACGGGGCGACCGAGCAATGTAACCTCGTTGTGGCAAGTAGGTGCCTGGGGTCGCTCAGCATTGCGAAAGGGCGGCGTAGAAGGACGACTTGGCAGGCGCCGTGTCATGAGCCGTCGGTGAGCTTATGCCTTAGCCTCACTTAGAGCCAACGTCCAGCACGGAAATGCCCCTTGGTTTCGGCCTGACCCTGAAAATCCGCAGAATAGCTGCTGCTACGACCAACCGCCTCTCTCGTCGCCCGTCCATCCCAACCCTTTTCGGCAGAGGCAAATATTACATTTCGGCGCACCTGAACAGGATGGCAGCTCAATTAGTGACCTGTCATTTTCGCCCGGGAGAAAGGACCTGCTAGGAGCTTTTTGTCTTCTGACCTCCCCTGCTATGTGTCCAATCAGGTCAAGGGTCCCGAACCCAGGACCGTGGTGAGCGAGCCCCTTTCATGTTTCCTCCGTCTTCTTAGCGAGGTCGTCTACGACGTATCTTAGCTATTTTTATTACAACGACGCCGATTTGGCCCATTTCTGCCTCCAGCCACAGATCGCAGATGGCTCCTATGTACTCCGTAGCACGGAGTTAACTCATCAGCTGTACATGACTGTATCTTATCGCTCTAGATAAGATAGGCGGCAGTGCCAAAATATGCACAGCCGGCACTGTGTGGTGACATCTGCGATGGTTATCTACGAGTACGGTAAGGACACCACTTCACACCGCCTGGACTACATGGTACAAACAGCCCAATCTGACCCTAGGCTTGACTGGGCAACTTGCGCGAGCAAGTGCTTGACGGGCTGGCCCGCTTGGTCCGAACTTTCCTGTCTTGTTTGGTCTTCGTCGTCGTGTTGGACGATGTACAGCTATTTGCAGACGTACATACGACATACAGCCTTCTGTTTCCTTTGTTCCTGCTCTTTTGCCCTCATCCTTCTGGGTCCGTTTGTCATCGACCTGGAAATCCTAGCGATTTCTTTTTACAAGACGCCACGAAGGAAACGCGGAACGAAAAAAAAAGAAGAAAAGAAAAAAAGGAAAGAAAGCGAGAAAAAAAGAAACCAAATATGAATTAGTCTTGTGCCACTTCATCAATCAAGCCCACTGTAACCCTCCTTGTCATCCTATCAGGCCCCCAATCCTCTGCGCATTAAGTGATCCTCTCCGTCCTTTTGCACTGTTTCTTGGAAATTGCACGTATAATCATGGTCCTTGCCCGCCCACTTGGTATCTTAACATCACAGACATGTATCTTACGAGCATGCATCCGCAGCAGTGTCGGGCTAATGTAAACGAAAATATAAAAATTGTCACGCAAGCTACCAAAGCACGTCGACGGGGTACCAGTACGGAGTAGAATCAAAAGATAATCGAAAGAAAAGGAAGGTTGCCTTGGCTGGAGTCCATTGGGCGGGACGACAGGCCAAGAGCTGTGGCTTGGCCGTGAGAGCCTTGCGCGGCATGTATCTTACTATACGTATGGAGTAATTTGCTCGTATTCCCGATGTGTTGACGTCTGTGACAGGTCACCTCTCTCTAGGCTGGCCACCAACAGGTATCTCACCAGTTCAACATCAGACATGCTCAGTCAGAGCTTGGTCATCGTAGACGGACCCGTCAGGCTGGAGAGAACGAGTGTCTATACACAACCCGACCATTCCCACAAAAGCTGAGCCGACCATTGTGGGTCTATTTGTGGGTATTTTAATTAGTAATCCCTGCCAAAAAAAACAACTGCCTTAGGCTCGTCTTCCACATCTTGTACTGTACTAAAGGGTGGTACAAGTACTGCAAAAGCGGTGTGCTCGGTAGGGCGTGGTAAGGTGGAAAGATACATGCGACCTATGGCGTTTAGTTCCTAGACCCGCCTATTTGGTAGAGGCCTGTATACACGTTAGCATAGCAAAGAAGTACCTAACTATAACAACGTGAATTGTTTGTTTGTTTTCTTTTTCTACGGTACTTGCATTTTTCCGTGCCGGCGGTTTTCCCTTGCCTGGCAGAAAAATTTATTCATTTGTACTACCTCTGACAGAGTACATTGACGAGCCTAAGGCAAAAATTTCTGGGATGATTATTAAGTGAAAATAGACCCACAATGGTCGGCTCAGCTTTTGTGGGAATGGTCGGGTTGTGTGTAGACACAGAGAACGAATGAGCATGAGCAAGTTATGTGTATAGATCGCCTCATCTGCACTGATTTTCGGTCCACAAGGTATTCGACCAGTGCGTGCACCGCATTGTTCTGCCTGGGTGGCCTGCTTCCAGCATAGTTCCCCCCTCTCCTCCATACATACTATGTCAGATACGACGTACGGAGTAGTCTAGAGGGGGGAGGGGTCTGTATGAGCAGGGGAGACAGTGGGCCTAGGACGTATGGGCACGTTTACTCCGTACATGTGATACTTTGGAAACGCCACCGCAGACGAGACAGGTTGACTGGCCCCTCACCGACGCACAGCTGAACTCACCTTCACTTCCTATTTCGGTCTCACCCCAGGCCCGACGCTGGCAGTGTGGGTATGCATAACGAGCAACGCCGTCCAAAGCGGGTGGCAGTTGTCCCGTCGCAGGCAGGCTCGCGTCCTGCTCTGCATGCAGCAAGTATTGCGCCTGCGGGCTTGCAATGCTGCTGTTCAGATCTCTGGGTCTGCAGGGTGAGCGCCTGTATCTTACCTGTAGGGCTGCCTGCATCCCCCAGACAGTTCCGGCTGGCCTGATAAGCTTCGAATCCTCGTGGTCTCAGACACTGTGCCGGAACCAAGGCTGCCTTCCAGAACCCAAGACGCAGACTACGTCGTACACCACGAGGCCAGGCAACAGCGGAGTCCCGACGTCTTCGCAGACATGGGCTCGCTGGCGTCATACGTCCATCTTACACTCGCATCCAGATCGTTGTCCAGCAGCCCGTCGCCTTGTCGCCATAACGGACTCGACCCGCCGCCAGCAGGCCGGCAACAGAGCTGCTGCCCACAATGCCATCGCGAGGCAGCCTCCAGGCCAAGGTCGATCGTCTGCAGTGAGGCGTCTCGGTGCTACGGGATCCGGCATGTCCGGCAACAGGCTCTCTCTGTACTCGTAATACGAGTGTACACCGTCAACCCTTGCATCGCAGCATTCGTTATGGGCAGCAGAACGAACGATGGTGGCTCTGCAACCAACCTCGGCTATCTTGACGCAGTACCCAGTTCTTATCCTGGACACGATGTGGCTGGCTGGGTGTCTCGCTCGTTGCGGAGTCTCCCAATCTCTAATAAAGACACCAGCTCGCTCCAGACAGGTATTATCTTACGAATACATCTGTACGGAGTACTCCGTACAAGCACAGCACAGCGGTCTCCGCTCCCAAGACACCGACTGTTGGAGCCCGGCACTAGTCGGCTCGCCACGCACCTTCGCACTAATGCGACACGTAAGATGAATTCTCTTTCTGAAAACCTGCCATTCCGCCAATCGGTTGTCCTAGCAGGGGCAGCGCACTAAAACGCTGGTGCTTTCTCGCTCCTATACGACGTAAAATACCGCCAGAGTGGACAGGGCCGATCGGAAGGCAGGCGCGTTTGTATCGGCGTCGACTGCCTATATCGTAAACTGCCGGCAATCGTGTTCTTCCACGCTTCGAATGACCCAAGAACAAAATAAACGATAGCTTTAGATGACACGAGTACGCGTACGTAGTAGCAGCGAAAAGCATCGGGAGCCAATGCTTGCTTATACTGCGGGCTTCCTGGTGCTCAACTGATCCGAGTATATCCGTACGGCTCAATTTCGTCCTTGTAATATTCGATCGCCAGTGTAACATGACCAAAATCAGTCGGCCATTGGCCATCTGAGACCTTATCTGGAACAAGTTGGCATGGCATGTATCAGCGCTGGATTATAGGGCTTGTGCCTGTGAGGATTGTACCTCCGTCCTTGTCTCATTATGTTGGTCCTATTTGCTTTTGCCTCCTTCGCATCTCCACAGATGCACTTTTTCGACCTCGTATTCCTTCTGTCATTGCCGCGTGGCCATAGCGCGAACTCGTAGTGAAATACATACGGAATATTCCCTTTTTGCCCCTTCTTCCCTCTTTTTCCACTGCTGCACTATTGCCTGCCCCTCCGTTCGTTCCGTTCGTTTGATACGATGCCTACTATCTCGCTGCAATTTCCCAAAGACGCGATACCGCATCTTGCTTTGTAATCCGAAGTATTCCGCACCACGCTTGCTATTTGCGTGCCCGTGTGCCAAGCTGAATCCTGGTCGCCCGACATTTGCCGCGCGACGAGGCCATTCGAGCCATCCATGTCTCCCAGCAGGCTCTGCACCTCAGGCATTGCCTACCCGTTGTATCTTACTTGTACGGAGTACGGAGTACTTCATAAGATACAATGTAAGGGACATACCAGGTAAGGTGGTGTCACACTTTGTCCTCATTCATCATCGCTGCCAAGTGTCTGGCGTCTACCAGACAACTTTCGGCGCTTCAACCGCTGTTTCTTCTGAGCCTGTTCTCTCTCCTCCTCCTCTGAATCTGCACTTTTTGGCTCTTTTGAGTCGACCGATCTGCCTGTCGTGTGTACCGATTCCGCCTCTTCCCCCTCGCCTCCCCCTTCTGTCTCCTCGGACTCGTCATCATCTTCGTCGTCTGCTTCCGTAAAGACGAGATCGCCGCGCGCTCCTAAGATGTGTCGGCCTGCCTCTTCCAGCAAAATGCCAAAGGCAATCAAAGCCGTCTCGTCCATGCTGCGCTCGTCTAGCAGCCTGGCATTGACAATGCCGGTCTGCGTCCGGTCTAACCTTTGCTCTGCCCGTATTGCCAGTGCCTCGTAGAAACGGCTCGTATACGTATGCACCTCGTCTAGCAGCTCGCTGTTCGGTATTAAACCCTCGCCGGCATTCGGAAGGTCTTCATTCGTAAAGTATATGTCTTTTTCGTGATAGCGTGTTGGTGCGTCGGGGTGCTGAAATAGCACATCCTCTGGAGCAAGAATGAAATCATGGGTGCTTGTAACCGGTACACGCTTTTTGAACATAGAATATTTCCCTATTAGAAAATGGTCGCTATGTCAGATTAGAAACTCTACCGCAGAAATGGTAAGTATTTGTCCATGCCTACCGGCGACGGCATCGTAGACTGTGGCATGTCTCGGCTTCTTAGGCTTCCGCACAGGAACAGCTAGATCTGACAGTGCAGGCGGCTCAAGAGACTCGCTCTTGACGCGAAATTCCGCATCACCGCTGCCTCTGTCTATGTCTCGAGAAGACATCGCGTACAAAGAGCTGAAGCGCTGTGGCCGTTAACTAGGGTGATAGTCGGCCGAAAAGCGCGTAGATAGTTATATATTGGTCGTGGTCGACCCTACGACGCCCATTGTCGCGTTCACAACCCACTGTGTGACGTTTGGCGCTACAGCCTCGTATGGCGGTAAAGGCCTTCAGTTGAAGTCGATGAAGTTTGGAAGCTAGGCAGGCTAAAAACTGCGGGGCAGTTGACGGGCCGTTGCCAGCCGTCAGTGTCACTTCATTCGCACCTCCCGATCGCATCTCTTAATAGTTGCATCCCCTTCATCAAGGAAGAGGCAAAGGGCGTCGGTTTCATTACCACTGAGTTCTCAATACATACCTCATACCTCAGATGCATGAATCAACTCCTCTTTGAAAGATCCACCGGCAACCTCGGCCAAAATGCCTTTGTTCGCCTCCAGTACAGTCAACTGCTATACGCATTCCGGCCTGCTTCTCGGCTGCGCTTTAACGGCGGCGAACAAGGCACGAACATAGTGCCCGAGGGCGCCGGATCATCCTATCTTGATAGCTGGGCTCACCAATCTGGAGTGAATGCCCTAGCCTTGGAGCGATTTGATGGCCGAATGTAGGCCACCTCTTGTTACTCCTCTTTTCATAATCAAGTCACAGGTGATATACTGAAAGCCTAGATTGGTATCGGGTGGTTCAGATGCTACCATCCGTATATGGGACCTGGAGCAGCGTGACCAGGCAGCACCTGAATATGAATTTCGCCCTGTTGCGCAAATTTCTCGAGCCGGTATCAGCCAGCAAGACACATCGCTGCGACGCCAGCAGCCGGCCGTTTCAAGAGGTCCGTTATCTAGAAGCGCCTCTAGCGACGGCCATCGCTTCGGTGTGACACATCTATCGTTTTACCCTTTTGATTCGGCCGCTTTCTTGTCCTCATCCTACGACCAAACCCTCAAACTGTGGGCGACTGATCTTGCCCGTCTCTCAGGGTCTTTCGATCTCAGCTCCAAAATATACAGTCATGCCATCTCCCCTATAGCTGATCACCTGCTTGTGGCCTGCGCGACCCAGCATCCGGCTGTACGGCTTGTGGACCTCCGGTCTGGTGCAGCCGTCCAATCTCTCGTGGCTCCGGGCCAGGTCGCCGGTGCTGTGTTGTCTGTGGCCTGGTCTCCACGCCACGAACATGTTCTTGCGAGCGGTGCCGTCGATGGTAGCGTACGAATCTGGGATGTCCGTCTTGCAAGTAGCCTGGTGGCACTGCTGGACCAGGAGGATAGCCTCGGTTTGTCCTCCAGGACGGGCAACGACAACGATGGTCGCATGCCAGTGGTCTCAGCCCCGTACGAGCGAGGCATACGATTATCAGCCAAGGCTCACACCGGTCCCGTGAACGGACTGACCTGGACGGACGATGGGGCCTACATTGTTTCTGCTGGCCATGACAGACGAATACGCGTCTGGGATGCTGCCACCGGTGCCAACACGCTCGTGAGCTTTGGGCCATCTGTTCGCAACGGTGGCTTGACGAGCGTATCGATGGTAGTGTCTCCGACAGGCCTGACACCGCCGAAGAAGGAGCTGCTCTTCTGGCCTAACGAGTCCGAGATCCTCGTCTTCGGTTTACATGACGGTAGTATTGTCACTCGGCTACGCGGAATGGGTCCTACTCAGTTTGCTGTGCGCTTGGCATCGGGTGCCAGCCCAGCTTTCAACAACCCACCCCCCTCTGGAGCCAGAATGGGCAGACGGGGCTCTGTCAGTACCGGCAACCGTACCGGTAGAACTGTGGTGCCTGACCGGTCATCTGCCAGGAAGAACAGAGTCACTAGCCTTGTGTGGCAAGGAGCGGGGGGGTCAGGCAGCGAGACTGGTGGTGTCAACATGGGCGGTCACGGTGCCATGGGCGGTGTCTACAGCGGCCATTCGGATGGCCAGATACGCGCGTGGATGCCCCAGCCAGCCGTTGAAAATGGAGGAGCTGACGACGAAATTGGTGGCGATAGTGACGATGCAACGCCCTCGGCCGTCGAACAGCGTGACCGAAAACGGAGAGCTTTAGACCAAACCTTCCGCAGTCTCATGGGCACACAGATAACATTCCGGTAATATTGCGCCTTTATTTCCGTGTCTGCTCTTTTGTCCATTGAGACAGCGGTCCGAGAAACGTCTGGTTCCGGTTAAATTCAAAGAAAGTGGTCTTTCGGGTTATGTGTATTATACACCTATCATGGGTATTCTTGTCCGGAAACAACGCACTTTACACACACGCCCTCGCGTTCTCTAACCAGAGCATGAAAACGGATGTATGCCTGCTCTCGTTGTTTTTAGCATCCCGTTGTCCGTTGCTATGCTACCCTGTGACTACTATGTAGCATCCTTGGGTACGAACTGCGATATGGTGTAGTCTTGCCGCAGCTCCAAGCATGGGCTTGTAAACACTTGTCTTTCCGTAAATGGTTGCTACCATCGATGCATGTAGGTTCGTTACGAGATGTCCTGTTCGATGGTCGTGTCGGCACACGTACGTAAGAAGGACGAGTACTTGTGCTTCAGCACCGAGTTATCAACCGAATCAAGGCGTGCAATATGCTGTCACAGAAGCATAGTACGGGACCGCGTAGATTATGGTACCCTACGTCGTATCTGTGAGATCAAGCTCTCGACACCACAAACCTACTCGTACGTAGTAGACAAATGTGAAAACCTGATTTCAGTTAGGCAAGCGATCTTTACCCCTTGTCTGTCTCCTTCATGTTCGTCCGGGACCCACAATCACATTGTGGTATTCGTAGAATACTACTCCGTACTCCGTACAAAGAGGATATTGTCGTATCGTGTTATTTGGTCCTGCGGAGTGTCAATACTTCAGGTTCCCATAGTCGGCAACGTAGCATGGTTTCATTGCCAACCTACCACGGTACTGGTTAGTACGGAGTAAAATGATGATGCGGGTCGATTGTGGCTGGTTATGAAAGGCTCCGTCATCTGCAGATGCATACATCACAATCTCGCCAGAAAAGGATGTCATTTCGATTACTTCATTGTTAGATCGACATGATCTTCATTTCGTAGATCAAGCTAAATAGCAAGATGACATACTAAACTTCCAGGTCTGTTAACCTCTCAAGGAGGACAGACTTTCGTGAGGCCTTATCGCTACCGAACCGAGATCACAGGCCGGTTTTGGTAGCTACTACTCTCATTTGGGTTTAGAAGCTGATTGCCTTTTGAAGCTGGGGATCGTGTCGTGGCCTATGAGTACCTGGACCATGATATGGTTGCTGTGCGGAGTACTCTGTGAAGGCGAAATTGCCTTGGATTTTTTATTTTTTAAAATGTTAATTACAGTGAACAAAAGCTAGCAACATGACATTTGTATGTAATTTCAGTACAAAGAAGATCAACAAAAAACGAAAACAGACACAATAACGCGGCGATTGACACTACCCGGCAGAAATATCAATATGGAACATTAAACTTGCAAAAACAGAGCTTGCATGCTCGACAGATATTCAAACTTCATTGGAAGGCGAGGCTGTAGAGCGCCATGCCGCCCAATTCAAGTATCTTTGGATTTAGCCGCAGCCTTTACAGTGGAGTTGTGGGGCACAACAGTCGCAGAGTGGCGGCTACCTGATTAGTCTCGTCGCATTCTGACATGAAATTCGAGGCTTCAAAATAAAGAACCGTCAACACGGTCCATTTGCCACAACTGCACGGCTTCATACACGTCTGCGGAAAACTTTCGATCCACAGACTCAAACAGAGATTCGATCGACGCAATAAAAAACTATCACCGCGGTAGTAACCTGCGAAGGGGAAGCCTCCCGAGAGCAATGTTAGTTGCTTCGAGGCTACCAGCCCTGTCTTGTACCGTCTGAGGCTGCCCAAGGCAGTTCTGGCAGCTCGAATTGACAATCGTGGGGTGGCCGATATTTGATCGCATTCTTCGACAAGTTTTTTCGTTACAAACTCTCTCAACGGTCAACCCGACGCGATATCTCGTGGAAAACGGGCCGTCCAGCCAGTCGTCACGATGGCGACTCCAACAGCGATGAAGCACGCACCTTCACAGCAGGGTAGGACTCCCTCGCAGTCTCATGGTGCGGCTGCCACACCTCCGGTCTCGACTCCCTTCAGCACATCCCACGCGCACGCAGCCTTCTCCCCGCTCGGTCCCCGATCCTCGCCACAGCAGTTTAAGAAATCGCCAGGAAACTCGGCGACACTCATGGGGCACTCCGCAAGCAGCACGGGCATTCCTGGTGGAGCTGGAGGAGGTGGTGGTGGCAGCAGTGTGCCCGTGACCTACGACAGCCCGGCAGCAGCAGCTATGGGGGCCCTGGGCATCAATGGTGGCCTAGACCTCGGTGCACTCGATCACGTCAGTGTCAGTGGGCTCGGCGGCCTTGGGTCGATTGGGCGCAGCGATGAGGAGGAGCGGGAAAAGCGGCTACAAACGGTGTTGACAATACTAAAGCGCAGCTCTGGCCGGGTCAGTGAGGCCGGTCTCGAGCGCCTCGCAAAGTCCATGGGACTGGAGTGCTTGTGGGAAGAAGGCATGGGCGGAAACAAGGCGCGGACGCTCATCATCGCCGGCTCTGCCCTGGCGTTGGAAATTGTCGTCCTCAACAACATTGTCGAGTCGGTCTCTGTCACGTTTCCGGAGTCACAAAATATCATTTTGCGTCACGTTGAGCGAGCTAACCAGATCCTGTTCGATGACCTGAAACTCCTCCCTGGCGAGAGCCCCCTGACAAAGAAACTGGACGCATTTTCTGCCCATCTAGAGCAGCTGGCCACGCTGGACAAACTCAGTGCGGAACCGGGACTGAACTTGTACGAGGCCGTTGCCGGCGTCTATGAGACGTTGGATCGGCTCTTCAGGTGGGATCTACAGAAGCTGTGCGAAGAACCGGGTCAGAGCGGCAAGCCAAAGGATACCTTGGAACTGACAGCACAGTGCTCGAGGCATGGACGGCCCGCAATGCACGAGAGTGGGCGCCTGGGCTTGAGCCTGTTGTACTGGAAGGAAATGCGGCTGGTGCCGCCAAGGCAGCCCGACACGGCCGCGTATGCCAAGACCAAGGAGAAGACATGGGCTATCCTTGTGGGATGTTCGGCAATGGGTGCGCAGGTGTTCCAGCCAGTCCGCGTGTCGGACAAGTGGCTGTCGGATGCCATTGAGAAAGATGGGGGGATGTTTGGCGGAGACAGAACGCAGCCCATGCTGGACTGGCTGGAGCCCGAGAACACCATTCTCTCGTCGGCACAACCAGGCGGCGAGTCTGACGAGAAGGTAAACAGTGTTGCTGGGGCGCGGCTTCCCGGGGTTGTGTTCCATGCCATCTTCGATCCGCCGGTGGCTGTTCCGTACAGCGTATGGCATCATATCAGCGAGACGGTCGGGATGGTGTTGGAGCCGGAGACGCTTGTCACGTTTGACGCACTCAGCTTTCCGGTGGAGCCAGGAAGCCAGCACGACCCGAGTGAGCTCCGGACTATCAGCTGTGACAAGGACGTCTACTTTGTGCCCAAGGGCAGCCGGGACGACGACAATGCCGCTGCCGATGTCACTGCTGCAGCTGGCAGCAAGAAGCACCACCACACGCTGTTTGTGTACAAGCCGGTCTACGGACGGTCGGTGACGGAGCTGCCATTCTCGCATCCGAGTCAGCTGATCGACATGCTGCCAAAGCTGCGGCAGTACGCCTTTCTGTCGACGGTGCTCGAGAAGACATTTGGCACCAAGATGGCCAGCATTGTGCAGGAGCCACCGAAACAGAGCGGCAAGACAGTGGTGACGTCGACGATCGAAGACGAGTTTACAGCATTTACGATGGGAGGCGACGAGACGGGCAAGACGGATCGCGGTCCGGGAGAGGGACTTTTGGCAGCTACTGCATCGGGTGACGTGACGTTTGTGGACGTGGTTCTGACAGCCCACCCGGTCCCCCGGCTGCAGGTGGTGTTTCCCTTCCGGGATGGTACGGCTGACATCATGCTGGAGATTGGGTTGAATGCACAGGTACGGGTTGTTTCGCAAAACGTCGTTGCAGACGAATCGGACGGCAGCGATAGCGGAAATGGCAGCGTCGGCCGACACAAGGGCAAGGGTCGACGGCTGGACCCCCAGGACCTGGGGCGCATGCTGGAGGTCTGTGAGGACCTGGGCGTCTGGTGCGAGTGGATAAGGACCCGGTGTGTGTGATGCAGTGATGGCGAGAGGCGGCAGACGTCAGGCGGAAGAGGGTGTTTGGAGCTGCGATGCGATGTAATGACTTACAGAGATCTTGCACGAGACAAAATTGTCGGGAAGGCGTCCTTACTCAATTTCTCGCCGCTCTAGCCAGTAAAGATCCGCGCTCTCTCTGTGTGCGTGCGTGTCCCTGTTCTTTGCCTTGTCCAAGCGAGAGGCACTCTTGAGCAGGCAGCCACAGAGAACTGCTCGGATGGCGTATTTCTCATCTTGCATGCACGGAAGCCTTCTAGTCGCTCGGATATTTGTGCTACTATGTATGTATACGACAACACGCAAGGGTATACAGCCATATACCCCTGCTCGCGAAATGCAAGTGGCATTGTTATTCGTACAAATCATCTGGCACTCGTATGGCTGTGGAGAACGCAGCAGCGATGGCGTCCCGTCAGCATGAACGGTAATCTTACCGGCGCGCTGATAACGCGCTTTTCCGCACGCGATGTATCGTCTTTCTCTCCCAGACGCAGGTTCTCCCGTGTTGACCTGCATTACGTTGTACATCGAGCATGTCGGGGAACTGGCCATAGGCCCGGGGTCCGTGGGAGATCCGTTGTTTATTTTGATACTTCCTGATTGGGACGTGTTATTTTGTTTGTCGGCTGCCTGGCCGAAGAGGTGCCTTTGGAAGAAGAAACCAGGAGCGACAAGAGGAGCTGACCAAACAGTCAGGGCGGGGGCTAGAGGGCGCAGCCGATGACGCGCATTCCAATCATGTCTCGTCTTGCAGAGCTATCCTGTAACAGTGGTGTTTTGAGGCTGCTCCTGTGGCGTTTGTGAGGCGAGGTCGTTACATAGTACTCACTTTGGGGATCCCTTCAGTCATTTGGGCTTGGGCCACAATGCGGCCTAGCACGAAACACAACAGCGACCAAGCGCTTCGGGGTTGGACAGGAAGGGCGCCGGTCACAAAAAGTACTCCGTACGAGTACTCGTACCCGCCCAGGCCCGTGGGATCAGGGCTGTGGCTTGCAGGGTCAGGGGCGGCAGCTGTTCCCCCCTTTTTTTTTTTCCCTTTCAGAGCTGGAGACTTGCTATTTTGTAGATCCACACAGGCGATCGCACAGCTTTTGCCGTCTGATGTTTTCTTCTCGGCCTTAGCCTGGGAAATGATTGGATCCGACCAGCCACACGAATATACAAAGCCGACGTGTGCGAGTACGAAGTACGGAGTAAGATACAATACCAGGACAGAACAGCGAGACAGCGAGAAAGCGAGGCACACGGACGGCGAGAAAGCACGGCCACGAGGCCCCTACAGCTTAGCTGAGCAGCCGGCTGGAATGCGGGCTGAGGATTCTCCTCTTTGAAACGCCGGCTGGAGGCCAGGAGGGGCAGTAGTGCACTCTCCGCATACCTCGACATCCCTCTGCATTCCTCAGCAAGAAATCTGCAAGAGCAGCTGCACAAGCTGCGAGCACGGAATATGCACACCGCATCTTGCACGCGTCTTGTTTTGGTTTTGATGGTTGGAACTACGGACTAGCGCTAAGCGGCCGTTCCATAAAAACAGTGGTCCGCCCTGAACGGTTTAAAGCGGAGCGGAAGGTGCCATCCCCAGACGCGTCGGACACGCCTATTTTCCTAATAGAGTAGCCAGTAAACAATACGCGTGACGACACACACTCCAGTATTTTGCCTCCTGGCTCCTCTAACCCTGCACGACCCAAATTAGCCCTCCCACGCTGCTTATCCTTCTCCCCTCCCCTTTTCACCCGCCCCAAGGCCATAATCCGGCATTTTCCCACATTTCCTGTCCTATTTTGTGCGCCAAGCAAGTTGAAGCATACAACTCTGGCTGTTCTGGTGTTTCCCAGTATCGCATTGTCGTCTTCTCACAAGTGCTGGCACACTGCACTCCTGCTCTCAATTCTACAACCTTTGAAAAAGCCTCAACTCGGCAGTCCGCCATCTCGTCAATCCGCCTGTACTCGCGATCGTCACTTGTCTGTCTGCGCTGCACTAATTTTGGCGCGCGCGTTCTGGTACTATCGATACTTTCGCATTAGAGTTGAAACATCGTCTGGTTCACCACTTTTTGTCTGGCTACCGTGTCGCAAAACCAATCGCATTCGCCTGGCTTGCCTCTCTGGTCTGCCGTCTCACAAACTGTCAGACCACAGCCATCAGCAGGATGATCTAAGACGTCACTGGCACTGTTCTCTGCGCTCTGCTGATGAGGTCTTGTTCCTGTTGCGCCTTCACCCATCTGGACGACAGCCTGACACACCACTTCTCTCTCTTTCTCCCTCTCTCTGGACCTCAAAAATCAAAGCGGGCTAGGGCTTGAACCAATCCTCGTGCCCACAGGATTTGCCCCTCTTACGGCGCATTTTGGGCGCATACCCAACGGCACGGAAGAATAGGCTATGCTGTTGCCTAACCGCTAACACTGATCACCACAACATCAACACGACACCAACCAACCACGATCTGGTTTCCTGGTTGTGAGTAGTTCTGCAGAGGCACAGTCCCTGTTCCTCTAGACTGCAAACTTTACTATAGGAAGGTCTACACCTGACCTGACTTGACGCTCATCAAAAGGACTCAAAAAGGACTCAGCAGCCATGGCTTTTTTGAACAGCAGTGGAGGAACACTCACACTCCCTTCGCCGACGTCGGTTCACCAGGTCGATCCGATCTCGGTACGGTCACTTCGACGCTCTCTGTCGAGATCCCCGACGAAGTTCCATCTGGCCCGGACGAGCTCTCAGGCGTCGCATACCTCCGACAGCTCTGCCAGCTCTTTTCAGATCCCATCGCCCGACTCGCCTTGTCCACAGCCGCAGTTGTCTTACGCTGGCAACGCACTTTCGGCCGCGGCATCGTCGACATCGTCCATATCAAGCACCAGCACGAACTCGATCCTTACTGGAGAGGCAGTGCCGCAGTCGACGTCTCTGTTTTCCACACCGCTTCGCCCCGGAGTACGACTCTCGTTGCGCTCAACCCGGCCTAAGACAGCGACATCAAAGCCAATTACACGGTTACGGGCTTCACCAAAGAGTCCGCTAAAGCGCGCTTTGAGCGTGAACGCGGACATGGGGAACGCAACTACGACACCAATTTCCACTAGCGCCCCATTGATAGCCATGACGGAGCCGGTCCTTGGCAAGGAGAACAACAAGTTCAGCAACTTTCTGCTGTCATTTGGCTCTGCCGCACGCAACGTCAGTGACAAGTCCTCACGCCACAGCATGCATCTCGACCTTTCAGGCGATGCCCGGCCTGAAGCATCTATCCATGTGAGCCCCCGGAAACGAAGTGATGCGACTACGGACTTTGATCAGGCAAGCTTCGGCAGCCCGGTCGCAAAACGTCGCAGCTTGCTCGGTTTTTCTGGCGTTGGTAGCGATCTAAACGCTTTCGATTTCGCATCGCCCAATTCGATACAGACCCCGCGAACATCTTTTGAGGCCCCGACGTCGTTTGAAATTCACGATGACATCAAACAGCCCGACGCAGAGCTCATTTCTACAACACCGTCCCCCACGCCTGCTGTTGAGCCGGTCTTTTCAACAACGCCCACAACAGCATCAAAGAGAGCATCGACACTACGGAAATCAACTCTCCAGCAGCGCCATGACCCTCGCTCCTCTTGGGGCCGTCGACAGGGCGAGAAGTACCTAGTCCAGCAGCTACAGCAGCAGCAGCAATTACAAGAACAACAACTGCAGCAATTGCAGCAGCAGCAGCTGGAGCAGCCGGGTGAGGCTGAGCCGGAAACGTCGAGACGGTCGTCGGGCGAATGGCTCTTTTCGGCTTCTCATATCCGCAACAAGCCTCGTGCCTCCCTGGAACAGCTCTTGAAGCCGGAACCGCAGGAGAGCCCCTTCAAAATCAAGAGCGCATTACCCAATGCCTCGCAGCTCGTCGTGGACCGTACTTTAGGAGCGACAGGCGTTCCGGCTGGGCCAAGGCCTCACCCGTTATCCCGCACATTGACCACCTCATCATCAAACTCGAGCTTACCGGACGACTCACCAACACATTTTCCAGTCCAGCCTCCTCCCGAACGGAGCCGGCCAACGTCTATATTTACTCGGTCTCTGCCCCTGAACGCTCACAGGCCACGGCAGGAGTCTGTGTCCACCCCACAGTACAAACTGGCACGTCCGCTACAGTCTGTATTCGCCTCTGCAGGCCTGGTCTCGAAGATGAACCGCAGTGCGGAAGACGACGCGCCCCAGCCCCTGGGTGGTCGGCCAATGATCATGCCAGATACACCGTGCAAGAAGCAGGTGTATCCTTCCAATACGTACCCCCCTTCTTCTGGCAGCGGAAGCCGCAAACGGCAGAGCCAGCGCCGGTTTTTCTTTTCAGCATCGACTGGAGCAGCGACTGATACGCCGTTCAGCTTGACAAAGCCACGGGAAGCCTCGGCGGACGACACAAACGAGAATGTCGTCAACTTCTTCAAGCTCAGAACTAGTCATGCTCGAAGGGGCAGTATCCTCAGTATCGACGGCGATATTAGCGACAGCCAAGGGGCTGCCGACGCCTTCGATCTACCGCCGACGCCTACGAAGTCGGTTCTCACCAGGAACATTTTCGGCAGCGCAAGCAAGGACCGCGATCGGCCATTTGCCAGTCGCAGTCTCAACTCGTCGATTTTCACACCTGTCGCTCACGACCCGATCAGCATTGCGAACCGGCAAACCTCTACTCCCCGTGGTGAGTTCTTGCGTAGTGCGCTTGCCTGTCTTCGTACAATGATCGTGCGCTGACCCGAGTTTCGTTACTTTAGAGAGCCCATGTAGCAGCTTCAGCTCCGGGAGAATGTCGCCTAAAACGCCCCGTGAGAGCAGCATCTTCCACAATCCGGATTTTGCTAGCAACATGGCGCCTCCTGACCCGAGCCGCCTATCAATCTCGAATACGGCCAAAGACACGTTCCCCAACCCGTCTACGTCTACCCGGCTGAGCCCGGCAACGTTCCCGCCAGCAACACCTACAGCTGACCGAGAGGCTTTTGCGCACTTTGTGGACCGTCGTGTTAGCATCACTCCCGTTCACGGCCACGGTTCAGCGCCGAACGATGCAGATGCCGTACTCACCCATATGTTTGGCAAGGTGGACTTGGTTGGCAAAGGCGAATTCTCCCAAGTCTTCCGGGTCACCTCGCGTCAAGATTCTGACAATACGCCGATGGGCTTCGTCAATGCAACACCTACCAAGCGGGCAAGCACAATCACACACAGTGCCTCGCTGTCAGCCGGCAAATTCTTTGCGGTAAAGAAGATACGACTTCCGTTTTTTGGACAGAAAGAACGCCAAGCAAAGCTGCGTGAAGTAGCCGCCCTCGAGGCAGTTCGCGACCAGGAAAACGTTCTTCAGATCTTCGACCATTGGGAACAAAATGGCCACCTCTACATTCAAACAGAATTCTGTGAGGAGGGCGGCATGGACAATTTTTTGAAAAAGGTCGGCGAGAACGGCCGTCTGGACGATTTCCGTATCTGGAAGATTCTGTTGGAGATTTCTCAGGTATGTCGGCCATGATCTACTAAGCGACTCAGGAATGTAGCTAATATCAAACAGGGGCTGCGATACGTCCACGACGCTGGCTACATCCACCTTGACCTGAAACCGGCCAACATTCTCGTTACGTACGAAGGGCACCTGAAGATTGGCGACTTTGGGCTGGCGACAGAGTGGCCTGCACCGAAGGGCATCGAAGGCGAGGGAGACCGCGAGTACATTGGACCAGAGATTCTGCAAGGCAAATATGACAAGCCATCAGACATCTTCTCGCTGGGCTTGATCGTGATGGAGATTGCCTGCAACGTCTTCCTACCAGACAACGGCCCTGTCTGGGTAGCTCTGAGAGAAGGGGACATGTCCGTGGTTCCAAGTCTCACAGCGGGCGAGGCTAATGCGTTGGCCCGAGACTCGGCTGGCATGCCGATTATCGACGACGATGGCCTCTCCCAAGATGTGTTTAATTTGAGGGACAGCCTTGACCTCGCATCAGCAGACGAGTCTCCTTCGAGGCCGTTTGATTTCGGCCGGCCGAGATTCGCATCTGGCAGCATTTTCGGCCGTCAGCCGCCAAAAGTGATCGGAGCCGAGCACCCACCAGACTTTATGGTGGATCAGCACAGCTCTGGCTCGCTCGACTCGGTCGTGTCCTGGCTTATCAACCCAGACCCGGCAAGCCGCCCAACGGTGCATCAGGTTCTGGAAATCGACTCGCTCCGCTGGGTTCACGCGCGACGACGGGCACCGGCAACAATTTTCGAAGGAAACTGGGGCCCTGAGAGCGACGAGACAAGTGCAGCGCCGATCGGAGCGGATACCGAGATGATGGACGTTTGATTGAGCCAGCCACTGGCCATCGCTACGGAGGATGGTAAAGAGAAGGAGAAGTGACGCATTAGTTTCAAAGGAGTCGGTCAAGTTTCTGTTATTTGTTTTTGGGGGCATGAAAACCATCAATTTGCGGCCTTTTTCCTTTTTGTTTTGGAGCAGCATTTTCGACAGCATTTGCACCCCAGACCGGCAGGACGGATGATTTGGAGTAGGAACATTTTTCGAGGCATTTCGCTTAGGAAGCTAAAGGGGTCTGCTTTTTCTACGTTTCTTTCCTTTCTCTTTCCCACACCTTTTTTTTTTTTTTTTTTTTTCCCCCCCCCCCTCCCCCCTCGTCCCGTCTGTACTCTTGTATGTTTGCCATTGAATCTTGGGTTCTCGGAGTTTTATATTCTCGGCACATGTTCGCCCCTGTTTACACCCAAGTGGGTAAAGGGTGGAGGATATATTTGTTTATACGCCGTCTACGGGCGAGGAGATGGTTGATTTACGCAGGAAACAGCCCTGCATGATACGGCTTTGCATACCTAGGCTTGTTTTTTTCTTTGATTGACAACGGGGAAGACAGGAGGTTTCGTCCTTCTGCCTGAGGGAGAAGGGACGAGGACTGACGATGCAATGGCTATGACGCAATGCTTATATATACTAGATAGAAGGTCGAATGCTAAGCAACTTGGCTGCCAAAAGAGAAGAACTGGACAATATGTGATTTTGTATTACGGGCTACCAGCCGTAGTTCTTTCTGCATGGGGTAAGAAACGCCAAACGCCCAAGACGCGCCGTGCAGGTCGTGCCTGCCCTCCAGCCTTCGAGTGGCCTCTGCCGATTTGCTATTCTGCCCATCTGCATTTCCCATTTGCAACGCTCATACTTGATAATTCACACCCATTCATTGCTCGACGCTTCTGCTCTACCGCTTCGGCTGATGCCGCTTCCCCTGCGGCACCACATACACATCGTTGAAGTTCATGGCCACGCCGAGGAAGCGCAGGTCGGCGTCCTTTTGGTATCCTAAGTCGGCCAGCAGATAGATGACGCGCTTGCGGAACGTCTTGGACAGCGACAGCAACCGCTGCTGCAGGGCGGGCAGCTCAGACTCGACAGTGGGCGCCGGCGGCACGGGTGGCGTCGGGTCATCCCAATCATCGCCATGGCTGGTGTTCATGTTGATGTTGGCGTTGATGCGCGCGCTCGCCGGCGTCTGACGGTGACGAAGTACGTCGGCCTCCTGGCGGCGCGTAAAGTCGGAGACAGCCCAGCTGTAAAGGCCGTCGACGGCATCGCGAAAGGCCAACATGGTGCGCAGCAGCTCCTTGAGCTGCGAGGGAAAGCCGTTGGCATCCTCGGCGGACGGATCGGCGGCCGAGGGTGGGAGAGCAGACGAAGCAGATTCGCCAGCACCAGCAGCTGCGGCTGCGGCGGCGGCCATGGTGGCCTGCTGCTGCTGCTGCTGCTTCATCTCCACATAGGCGCGACGCCGCACGCCCAGCAGACCTTTGTGGGTGATGGAAGTCAGGTAGGCGGTGTGGGCGGTGATGAGATCGTCCAAAGTGCAGTCGTCGCGGCGAATGGCAGCCTGCAGGGCCTCCCAGCTGGCCTCGATGACCTCGAACAGGATGTAGTACTGCAGCTGGCCGACCAAGTGGACCATCTCGGCCAGGGTACCGCGCGTGGTCTTCCAGGTCTGGTGCACGGCCTCGTCGTCGGTCTGCAGCACGCCACGAGCACCGGTCATGCACTTGTGCCAGGTGGACGCCAGGGCGAACTCGACGCGCTTGACGTGCCACAAGAAGTTGAAGACCTTGAGGTACTGCTTGCTGGCCCACTCGGTAACGACACAGTCGACAGGGGCGCCAATCTTGTACTCGAGCGTGAAGCAGTCCCAGCCAGTGTCGCCGTGCGATTGTTGCAGCATGCGGGCGTCCAGACGGCGCAGAATCTCGATCGGCTCGAAGCGCGCGTTGGAGCCCTGGATGGCGTGGTCCAGCTGCGACGTCAGCGTGTGACGGTATTGGGCCGTGGCCGGACGGTCGAGGTTGGGCGCCAGCGATTCCATCAGAAGGGCTACGAAGTCGCCTTGGCCCAGCAGCACGTATTTTTTCAGCGCGGCCAGGTGGTCGAACAGTCGGAACTTGTCGGTCAGCAGCTGCATCAGCCGACGCATCGTCGTCTTGTATGCCTCGTCGATCCAGGCCTCCAGCGTGGCCGTATCGCCATACCGCAGCTCCTTGGATGCACCCTTGCTGTAGTCGTCGACCCACTGGGCGTCGCCGCAGCTATGACGCAGGAAATTGAGTGACTTGCCGATCAGAAACACCTTTTCAGCAAACTCAGCCGCCATAATGGACGGGATCATGGCCGCGTCAATCTCATACTTGTCGTTCCACACCGAGCTGTGACCTTTGGCGCGTGCTGCCTCCTGTCGCTTTGCGTCTTCGGCCCCGGTCCCTTGCTCGCGCACAAAGAACTCGCGATATGGATCGGCTAGCTCGCCGTCATAGATCCACCGTCGTAGGATGTTATAAAACGGTCGCGCCACCGGCCCCAGCAGCCGTTCGGCAAACGCGCCTACGGTCGGGTCGCCGTGCGACGTCGAGAACCGGTGAATCAGCGAGATCAGCTGTCCGCCTCGCTTGCTGCCCGACTCCTCGGCAATGAGCGACATCAGCCGCAGCCCCATCGTCGCCTCTCGTGTCCACACCACACAGCGCTTGAGCGTCACACCGGCCCGTCCGATCCCACTACGCGGGGCTGCTGTGTCCAGCGTGGCCAATGCCCGTCGGATCTGGCTCTCCAGCGTGGCCACGAGGCCGAGATATGCCCGCAGCTCGGTGCTGATGGCTGCGCGCAGGCTCTGTCCCAGCAGTCCTTTGGCCGGCGACCGCACAAACTCGTCCAGCCCGCGGTACAGCAGCGCCGGCTCTGCCAACGTGTGCAGCAGCGACACGATCGGCACCGGCAGAGTCGCCGGAAGCACTAGTACCGCCACCTCCTTGCTGTTCTCTTTGCGACCCTCCCGGCGGACCTCCTTGCGGAAGACCATCGTGGCCGAGTCCAGGCCCTGCAACGTAAACGGCAGGTCGCGCAGCAGCGTGGTCTCGCTCGGCTCTGTCGTCGCCGGACTGTCGGCAAGCAGCGTCGACTTGAGCGCAACATCCCGTGCGGCTGGGCCGAGCATGACAGCCGGGTCGATCTCAGCGGCAGCTGCTGCCTCTTCCGGGCCCCGACGTGCCTTGTCAGGCGGGAAGCGCTTGAGACCACCTCGCGCAAAGGCATCGTCAAACACCTCCTGCTCTAATCGAGGACCGAGCGAGGACAGCGGCCGTGCTGTTCGTGATTGTGACCGTGACTGTGACTGTGTCCGTGACTGCGTCCGTGACTGCACCTGTAGTTGCGATGGTGATTGGAATTGAAGCTGAGGCTGAGGCTGGGCGTGAGGCTGTGGCTGAGTTTGTTGCTGTTGCTGTTGCTGTTGCTGTTGCTGTTGCTGTTGCTGTTGCTGTTGCTGTTGCTGCTGCTGCTGCTGTGTTGGAGGTAGGGGGTTTCGAGCTGTCCTTCCCGACGCAGCAGCAGCACTCTCGGCAGCAGCCTGCTCTTCGTTCAGGCGCAGGAGCGGTCGCATCGGATCGCTGGTTCCGGTCGAGTCGGCCAGCTGATAGAGCATATACAGGATGGCCCACTTCTGGTTGAGCACGGGCAGCGCCAGCAGCCGCGAGTACAGCTGTGAGAACCGCCACGCATCGTTAGGCCGGTCGACCGTCAGCTTCTTGCGGATCAGGTCCATCGTGTGGTTGACATCCGTGGCCAGGTCAGAAGACATGGACCTGCCGTTGTCAGTTCGGGTGGCTGCACCAGGGAGAGACAGAGGGAGGGTTCATACGTCTCCAGAGTGGATCGCACAAGGTGGAAGCAGTACTCCTGCCGTCTCTGTGCTGTGGCCTCATCTTCGTTCGGATCCTCGGGCACGAAGTGGCGGATGAGGCCGTTGATTGCAGTGTTGATGCGCTCAGAGAGCACTGCTGGCTTGCGAGCCGTCGAAGCGGCCGAGGCCGCGGGCGGTGCTGGTTTTCTCGACTTGCGCTCCATGCTGGCGACGGTGTGGCATTGGTTTGGGCGAGTCTGGGGGCCGAGCCACGCTGTCGTGAGTGCTTCGACGGAAGATTGTCGTGCGTCCTTGGGCCTGGTTGGCTTGATTTTATCGATTTGGGCCGTACTTTGTACGGAGTATTTACGCGACAAACGGCAGGAACGCGACCGGGCCCATGGAAGGAGGGGTGAGCGAGCTAGAGCCAGCAACAGCGAAGTAAACACTACGGAGTAGGCTCCTGCCCGCTGGCGGCCGGCGTCCTCGCTGCTGAAAGCGGTATAGCACAGGCGAGTCCGGTACCCGCAAGCCCCGAAAAGGGCACCGAGGCCAGAAGGTACTGGGTACTAGGCGCACTAAAGTTTCGCCCCTGAAATCGCCTCACCATGTTATCGAAACGCTACAGCGTCAGAGGCGGGAAAAAAATCGACTCCATCTCCTCACCCAAACGACGACCAGCGCCCAGCGTCCATCGACCTCACCGCTCGCACGATGCAATCTCCATCGGTTTAGCATCGGATTCCGGCTCCCACGTGCCCGCTATCGCACTGCAGATGCTCATGATTGATCCATTTCCATTGCGCAGTGCTCCTCCGTCGCACGCGACAAGTCGTCGCCTCCGAGCCTCTTCCGGCATCCGGCCGTCTTCTTCTCCGCCGCCTCCGAAATTCCCGGCCTGCACCCTTCCCTTTCTCTGCGGCCCTCAGCCGCGCCCAGATCGACGGTCACGATGCCCGACATCAACCCGGCGGACCTCAGCCGCCCGTCCATCGGCCTCTCGACCCCCATCCTCGCCAACAAATCCATCACCGTCTCGGCCTCGTCCTTGAAGCCCAAGACCAGCCAGATCATCCCTCCGCGCATCGAGCTCGAGCCTGCCTACACAGCCCTCAAGGCCGCCGTTGGCTCGGACCACTGGAAGGCCTATAAAGATGCCACCACCCAGTTCCTCATCGGTATGCGTGCCCGGCCAATTGCTGCTGGCCTGTCTGTCCGCTCATTTTCCCTGACCCCTGCGACTAATCAGCTGCTGCTTCCCTTGCCCTCCTACAGGCCGCCTCAACCAGGCTGAATACGCCGCCATCATCGACCCCATACTCATGTCGCCCAATGGAGACAAGGAGCATCTTCATAACCAGCTGGTCGCCGCTATCTATGGCAATGTCACGCGCGAGATGCCCGACATGGGCCTGGCCCCGTGGGTCAGCGCCAACGATAAGCCTTCGGGCGGGCTTGGCGGCAAGCCGGCCAGCGGCGATGCCAAGGAGCGCCGCCTGAAGGGCGAGATCATGCTGCTGCCAAATAAGGACCGGAGGCGCATCAAGGATCTAGTGCACAACGATGTATGCTTACGCACCCCACCTCTGGTCGATCCACTCGCTCGTACCCAGCTAACATGCAGCCCCAGTTCGATCCCTACGATGCTCTATCGAGCGTGTTCACAGACCAGCACCGGTCAAGACCGCTTCGCATTGTTGCCGATGTGCCAAATAGTGCTGGTGGCGGCATCAATAGGATGAGTATGTGGTTCGTTTGTGTAGCCTGCAGACGACTGTCTGACACCTGTTCCAGACCTAGACCTCGAGATCAAGAAACGATACGCTCAACCGCTGGCCGTCGAGTCGGGCGAGTTTCCCGACACCAGCAACATAGAATCGCGCATGTTGCCTTTTTGTTACGAGGCAGGCCTGGTGTCCGGCTATGCCCCAGACGCGGCGCAGTTTATGTGCATCGCCACCGAGACATTCATCAAGGAGGCGCTTTCGGCCATCTTCAGCCGCACGCGCAGCAACGGGCCCGGCGAGCTGGGCAGCGCTGGCTTTGGCGGCAACAACTGGGTGCAGACGCGCAAGTACCGGCGACAGCTGACCCGTGAAGAAGAGAGCGCCATGCGCGGCGAGACCCAGCGAGACAAGATGGGGCTGCTGCCAGTCGAGGCCAAGGCGGCTGGCGAACGCGGACCGCTGGGCCTGGCCGAGCTGCGCATTGCCCTAGAGATGGGCGACTGTGGTCTGACGCAGTTCCCCGTCATCGGCCACTCGCTCATGTACAACTACCACGAGGGCGAGCTGGAGAACTGGGACGACTATACCTGGATCGACGGCGGCCAGGACCACGAGCCGGCCTCAATGGCCAACGGCACAGCAGGCGCACAGCAGGCCGTAAATGGCACGGGACCGCTGGTCACAAGCACAATAACAACAGCAGCCGCAGCAGCTGCTGCTGCAACAGCATTGGGGACAGCAGATGTGGCAGCAGCTGGAGTCGCTGCCGTCGGCGGGCCTGGGGCTGCTGCTGTCCCGATCAAGGGCAGCGCTGCCGGAAGCGACGTGCTGATCAAGACTGGCGGCAGCCTGACTAACGGAGCCGAGTTCGCCGACTTCATGGACGTCGACAGCACCGAGATGTGGTGGGAAGGCGCCGACACGTTTGACGGCGACCTGCTTAACGGCGTGCTCGACTCCTGTCTCGCGGTGGGCTGAAGGCGCTGACGACGATTGGTTGGACAGCCGAGATGGCTCTAGTATGTGTCGATGATCGATCGGTTGGATAGGGGAAGATGGTTTACGAAAAACGGGACGACGGGAGCTGAGGTGTGTGGCGTTATTTTCTTCTGTGCTTTTGGTTCCTTTTCTCTTTCTCTTCCAAGAGTACCTCTGAAAAGGGACGGCGCGGGATTCGGGAGCGCATGTGGTGTTTTTCTTCTTTCTGTCATGGTTTCTCTGCCGGTTCGTCTGCTTCTTCTCTGGCCCTGCTACGCGCCGTGGTCTGCTCATAATAGCAGGAGGCGGCGTTGTTCTTGGATCGCCTTGTTCTTATCTTGCCCCCCCTTCTTCTTTTGTTTCCTCTCCTGTTTTTCATCTCCCTTTTTCTCTTGGTTCCAGCATCAAGATGGCGTTCCTCGGTCATTTACCGGTGGCAAAGAGGGCCTGGTTTGGCCCGTTCTGTTTCTTGTTTTGCTGCCCAACAACACCCTTGCTTTCCACCCCTTTTCGCCTTGTTTGTAAGATACTCCTTCCTGCCATTTCTTGTCTGGCAGGCCTTCCTCCCAAACCAAGCTGCAGTCTCTTGAGTCTACAGATCCCCCGCGGATGTTGTATGTTCGGAGTCTCCACCCTGATAATGATACTGTACGTTCGAATACAATAAATGGACAAGACGTACGGAGTACACGTGATTGCACTTCCATCGATGCCTTGTAAGGCGTTCATGCATTTATGCATTTACACACTATAGCGATATCTACAATCCGAGGGGGCTGGGCGGCACAGTTACGGGGCATCAATTTGCATAAACGCGTTGTAGTAGGGGTCCCGCGTAAGCTCCACCAACGCGTTTTACGCGTTTCTACCTCTTAAAACTCCCCACAACGGTCACCACAACCATAAGCCACTTTCCACCTTTTTTATCTTTCGGGTAGTGAACTTCTCATGGGAGGAAGCTCAGTCTCTAGCATACGTTCCTTTCAGCATTATACCGAATCAGAGACATGATATTCATATAACTGCCAACCTCGTTACAGAACAGCTTCATCAACCTGCACCAGCTGCGAGCAGTCCTGCCTACTCTCCAATGGCCTATTTGTCGAGGACGCCATCGCCGGCGGCGTCTGCTTCTGACTCGGACTCGGTCGTGGCCACACCAATGACACCTCGTTCCAAGCTTCGGGCTCTTTATGCTACCATTGACGGTAGTGACAGTGATTCCGACAAAGAAGCAGGGGGCGACAAAAACAACGGTGTCGGCGGAGAAAATACCACACCCACTCGGAAGGCCAATACCAAGATCGTCAAGCCAAACAATGCAACATCCCCTGGATCAGGCACCCCGACAGTGCCTAGTAGCCTCGCAGAAGCAGATGCAGCTGTACTGGGAGCATCGTCGCCTGGCGTTCGACACGCTCTTAGCAAAGTCAGCATAGACAGCGACGATGACGACACGGACTCGCCTGTTGGGCCACGAGGCCGCTTTGCAGCCCGTATGCTGGATGAGTCGGCTGAACAGACAGAAGCACCGCTGGCGGACAACGCGCGTGAGCGAGTCAAGCGAATGCTCGAGCAAGCTGCGCAGGCCGAGAAGCAAGCGTCCGTCGAGACCGATGGCGATGATAACGGAAACGACGCCGAGGACGAGGACGAGGACGGTATCAGCGCCGTTGCCCGTCCGCGGAAGCTGCTAAACAGAGCAGCGCGCCGAAGTACATCGCGCGAGGCATCCCCCGCAATGTTCATGTCACCGACAAAGCCAGTAGACCGGGAAGATTCACCGGACATGTTTGTTACACCGACAAAAGGAGGTGCTGCTCCCTTTGATGAGGCCACCTCTTCAGCAACCAACCCAGGTCGCACTGCCCGCTTTCAGGCTCTTGTGGCGAGGAAGCGTGAAGAGACACGCAAGCGCGAGGAGGAAGAGCAACGCAAGAGGGCCGCCCGGGCCGTCCGACAAGCAGCGGCTGAGGAGAACGACAACGAAGATGACGACATGCTGATGCGTGACGACGCAGACGATGCCGTATCTGATATCACGGATGATGAAGGAGGCCGGAGGCTGACTCAAGATGCCCGGCCGACACGAAAGGCAAGTCGGAAGGCGTTGGAGGAAATGCACCGAGAGACACAACGCATGGCCCGCAACCTGCAGCTGGCCCACGAGGCAAAGACGAAGAAGAAGATCACAAAGGCCTCGCTGTTTGAGCGCTTTAACTTCAAGCCAGGAGGTGCGGCCACAGCAACACCAGCAACGCCAGCAGCGCCAGCCGCACCAATAGCACCAGCCGCTGCAGCCACGCCCATATCCTCCAGCCGGCCAACTTCTCCAACATCTCCTCAAAAGGACCAGGATGCCAACGACACCGACACTCCTCCCAGCTCACCTCCTGTAGCCTTGGACGGCGATTCTGTGTCGAAGTCAGCCACGGCGGTTGCTGAGTCTGACAAGGGCAAAGGAAAAGCAGTTGCCACGGAAGAGACGACTGAGGCCAAACCAAAACGGCAGATTCGGGTCAGACTACCTATCCATACCCACACCGCCCTGCTTGACTCCGACTCCGACGAGCTGGAGATTGTTCAGTCAACGAAGAACAGACTGGATATTCTTTTCCATACCGCGCCTCTGAAGCGAGAGAAGGAGCCTCGGTCCATGCTAGCGCTGCGTCGTCTTGCTCAGATTGGCTCTCCCGATAAGAAGCGGAAGCAGAAGGAGACAAACGACCTGACGTTGGGTGAATTGCAGCAAGTTCTACAAGGCCGAGCGCGGCATCAGGCGAAGGTCGAGCGTGATGAGCGAATGGAGAAGCTCCGCGCCAAGGGCATTCGCATCCAGACAGAGGAGGAGCGCGAAAAGGAGATGGCCGAGGTCGATGACATTGTTGCACGTGCCCGTCTGGAAGCGGAAGAGATCATGCAGCGAGAGAAGAAGGCGGCCAAACAAGCCAAGAAGGAGGGAAAAGGAGGTACCGACGACGACGAAAGCGAAGCCGATCTACTCGATTGGGACGGCAGCGAAGACGAGGATGGCGAGGACTTTGCCCCCGAGGAGGAGAAAGATTTAGAGCTTTCTGGCTCAGAGGATGAAGATAATGAAGAAGATGCCGATGCCATGGATGAGACTATGGAAGGGGTGCTGATCGACGATGATGCAGCAGAATCGGTAGATGAGGCTGCAGAGAAGACTAAGGACGACAAACCTGAGGACACCCGTCACTCTCCCGATGAGAGTCGCGATGCGCCCGAAGTGCTTCCCACCCCAAGACGTACTCGTCCCGCAAATCGACGCAATGCGGTGCTGACTTCAGACGACGAGGATGAGGATGTTGCTTCCTCGCCCGGTCTTCCTGTGTTGACGGAGGCGAATACGCCAAGGCCCAAGACCGCCTTTGCCAAATCGCCGTCGGGACCAAACATCAACAGTGATTCGCCTCACGTGCCAACGTCGGTTTTACGGTCCGCGACCAAGAGCTTCATCCCAGGCTTGCCCGTAGCTCTTGGTGGGCCTGCCGGTATGGGCCTGACGCAGATCTTCGCCGGCACGATGGCGGACGACAGCCAATTCGCGGGCTCTGCAGGTGGTTTCGGCTCCCCATCACAGCTCATGCCGACTATTGGCAACGTTTTTGCAGGGCCGAGTCTAGATGGAGCCAAAGGCAGCACCGACGACCAGGATTTTGTGCACAGCAGTCAGCCAACCCAGGATTGGGTCAGACAAGTTCAGGAAGGTGGCTATACAGGTAGCCAGGCCGTCAAGCTGGACTTTAGCCAGTCACAAGTCCATGGCCTGGGCAGTCTCCTTCATGACGTCGACTCGAGCCAATTCTCCGATCTGATGGAGAGTCAGGATCTGCCTTCTCAAGAGTACACGCCGCTGAAGGTGCGCTTTATCGAGCATCAAGCATCTACAGCTGAGACGGTTGTCATGTCACGGTCAGAGAGGATGAGTCTAGACGTGTCGCAGCCCCAACTAGAATCTATCGCGCAGTCGCCATCACCTCCGCGGAGAAAGGGCAAGCTTTTCCGCAAAACGATTGCAACAGAGGCCGACGCCAACGAGGAAGAGGCAACAAGCGACATCGAGGTGACTGCAAAAGCCAAGTCGGCATTCAGTATGCTAAAAGACGCCTCGGCAGCCAAGAGGAAGCAGGCGTTAGCAACAGCCTTTGACCGAAAGAAGAGCAAGGCCAAGGAATTAGTTGAGGAGCAGGCTGAAGAGTCTGAGGATGAATATGCTGGTCTTGGTGGTGCAGATGGCGAGGACAGCGACAACGAGTCACTAGCTTCAGTGAAAGACCTCATCGACGACAACCAAAAAGTGACAGAGGCAGAGAGTGCGAAGCTGGCTGCTTTCTATGCGTGAGTTTTGCCCTCTTTCTGTGGACTGTCTCAACCGGTGACGTATTCACTAACCTTTCTGTCTGGCAGTGATCGGGAGCGTGAGAACGACGAAAAGCAGGTGGAGAAGCTTTTCCGCGATGTCACAACGGGAATGTTGCGGCGTAAACGTGGTGCAGACTACGATTTGTCGGACTCGGATGACGATGGTGAGGCACGTCGGCGGATGAAGCGGCGGCAATTCGCACGGATGCAAAAAGCGCTGTTTTCCGATGAGCGGATATCAAAGGTAGCGGAGAACCCACGGAACCTGGCGTTCCTGAAGACGATCGAAGACCGTGGTAGTGATGATGAGATGGACTTTATATTCGACAACGCTGCATCGACAGTCACGTCGACCACGACTTCTACAACTTCTACAACTGCAGCTGCTGCCGATAGTGATGGCCCCAAGGTTGTAATCCCGGACAGTCAGCCAAGTATCGAGCCAGAGAGTCTTTCAGACAGACGAGCAAAGCGGCGACAACAATCTGGCAGCGGCAAAAACGGCAAAAAGCCATCCAATCTGGGAGAGATTCGCGAGTCGCTTTCCAACCTTCTGGAGGACGAGACGAGCATGTCGGTGGTGGCAGACAAGGAGTTTGGATCTGACGAAGAGGATGACGGTATTCATGGAGCCACCAAGGAGAGCCGGCGGGAGGACTCGGAGCAGCGGCGGAACAATGCCAATGTAGTGGATCGCATCAGCCTGCAACGGGCCAACAGTAGCACACATGCGACAGCTGGCCGCACTGCTTTTGATGCTAGCCTTGGTGGAAGTCCGATGGGCCCGACGGGCTTCAAGGCACCGGCACTGCTGCGACGGGCAACCACCAACTCGCTGTTGTCTGCTACGAGCAGTCGAAGCAGCAGCAGCGGTGGTGGTGGTGGTGATGGAAACGGTGGCGGCTTTGCCGATCAGGGCAAGATCAAGAAGAATGCCAGCAAGCAGTCTGGCATCAACTACTTTGCACGGGAGAATGAGCGGCGGACTGCCATGGCAGAGAGCGACAAGCGGCGACAAGCGAAGAAGGTGCGCAGTGCAGAGGGCCGCAGTCGGATTGTCGGCGGGCTATTCGGTGCCGGCAAGTTTGAGTAAGAAGCAAACAGAGGGATGATGACGGTGACATGTTGCATTTGGGTGAAGGAGGGGTTTTGTATTGAATGCTTCCGGGTCTTTATCGCTGGTTGTTGGTATATACAGGCGTTGGGAGGGAGATGACCTACGCATGATGAAGCGTTCTGGTATCTTATATTCCGTTGGGCTTAGGAAGTTTGAGTGTGTTTTCAAATAGAAGAGGTCTTTGCTCTCGTTTGAAGACGTGAGAACTCGTGTGGATTGATGTGAGGCGAAGATCGGAGCTAATTTGGTCTCGCGCAGCCTCTTCTATGTAGCAGGCGCCCGTTGCTCTTTCCTGTAGTCGCAAGGTGCGACTCGCAACTGCCCCGCAGCAGTCACTTTACGCGCAGCGCGTTTATTTCGCGTGTTGTCCGTTTTGCCGCACTTTCTCAAGACATCCCATCAATCTGAGGGCAATTTGCTTTTGGCCGGCTGCAAAACCAGCATCACCAAGACGCATCGCCGTTCCACGCGGGGTGCCTCTGGGAGGGGGGGGCGACCGACCATGCCTCCACCCGTGCCGCCGTCTTCTCAGCCGCCACCTGTGCGCTTTAACTCTCCTTTCTTCCTCCCTCTCTTTGCACCGCTCTCTAACAGGTAATGCAGACACCCAATGCGCCGCATTTTCTCCTGCTCAAGCGGCCCGACCGGCCGGCAGCAACACCGACACATCCAAGGCACGATACCGGGGCGCCGGGCTGGTTAACAGCCGGCGAGACACCGGGGCCAGCCACGGTACGAAGCAGCCAGCCTCGGCCGACGCCGCGGTTTGTGCCGTCGTGGACGCAGTCGCAGAGCACGCCGGTCCGGGCAGATGATGAGATCGACGAGGACAGCTCGCCTCCCCGGGCGGCACTGAAGCCAACGGCCGAGATGACCACGATGAGGGCAGCCGATGGCACAACAGGACTGCCACGGCCGACACAGCCGACACAGCCGACACCCTCTGCTTCTAGAACGCTATGGCAGCCGAGATGGCAGTCGGCACGACGCCCACAGGTGCGGGAGGACATTGAAGACGCAGAAGACAGCGATCTGGACTTGGACGACGACGGGGGCGAGCCCATAGACGGCTTGTCTCTTGCATCGAACTCCATTGAGGAACAAGCAGGACTTGAGAGCGGAAGTGAGGCGCATGGAGAAAGCGGAGAAGAGCAGCCGCACCAGCAGCTGCAATCACCTGCACGACCATTCAAACGGAGGCGCCTGTTTGTGTCGCCAGGAAGAGACGGCAAAATTACGAGGAAAGTTGGCCGACGACAGGGACAGCTGGTGGACGATATCGAAGAGGGCAATGACGATAGCAGTGATGCTGACGGCAATGACAACGAAGATAACGACGACGAGACGTTTGGAGATTACTACAGGGGTCGCCAGATGTCTTATGATGAGATGGGGGAAATTCTGGAGGATGAAGAGCTGCGACACAGTTGGGAGCCGCCAGACGAGAAGGCCGATGTCTACGATGCGGAGGAGGAGGATTTTATGATTCTCAATGCGACGCCGAGCAGGAGGAATCCGTCAGGGCGACGCACAAAGACGGAGACGGAAACCAGACTTGAGCAACAGCAGCCGCCAACCTTCCAGAGATCGCGTCTGTTCCTCTCAATGGGGAAGAGTGACACCACGGCCACAAGAGAGAATGCAGTGGATGCGAGAAATGTGGGCACATTGGACGATGACAATGGTGAAGACACCAAGGGCTACGGTGACTCTGATGAGAACAATGAAGACACCGGCAATGCAAGAGCGGACCGGCAGCAACAGCAAGAGCACCGACACCCACCGCCAGACTTCTTTTCGCCACGGAAGCGGCAGAGGAGGCGGGGCCGACAGCCATTGCAGCAGAGAGGTGGCACTCCAGCAGCCACAGCAGCATCTGTTGCAGCAGCAGCACCAGTGTCGGGAGACGGCCAGTTTGTGGCCGGTGGACTGGCGGCTGAGCTGCGCAACTGGCTGGTGCAGATCAAGGTGCAGGCCAGAAGCAACGGACAGGCTAGTGGCAGCACTGGCAGCACTAGCACCAGCAGGCCGCTGCGATACGTTGTCGAAGAGGCCAGGCTGTCGTCGGGCATGTGTCTCGTTCTGGGACGGCCGGAGGCTGAAGTGGGAGTCGAGGCGAAGTCCAACACGGCTCTACGCCTGCTTCTCGCCGGAGACGGACGCTGGGCACCGGCAGCTATGCTGGCTGGCGGCGTAATTGTGGAAATTGTACCGCCAGTCTGGGACGTTGTGATTGAAGGAGAGACCTGGACGGTGGCCAGCAGCTGGGCCGTGGAATGAAGGCCATATTCGCATACAAGCATAATATGCAACAAGCGACCAAAAATAAATTCCTATGTGCAACCTCTCAGCTTCTCGTCTACAACACACGCACACACTCAGGTGCGCCGCAATGTCCAGCCGCCTCTCGCTACACCATGCGCGCTTCTCTCTTGCGGCGACTGGTTGGATTGACAGCGGCATCCCCACGCCGCTGGCTGTGTGGCACGACGACGCCGTCGTCGCCATCAAACCGGACGGACGTGGAGCCGTTGCGCATCCTCTTCTGCGGTTCTGACGCCTTTAGCTGCGCATCTCTCGGAGCTCTGCATGCCGAGATGCAGCGACAGGATGGTCTCCCAAAGGACCACCGGGCGTCGCTGGCTGGTCGCATCGCCTCGCTCGACGTGGTCGTCCGACCGGCCAAACGGACCGGACGCGGACTCAAACAAGTGGCAGACAGCCCGGTTAGAACCATGGCCACAGAGCTGGGCCTCTGCGTCCATGAACGGGACACCTTTACCGGCTGGCAGGTATGGACTTTTTTTTTCTCGGCATCTCTCCTCTCCTCTCTCCTGACCGGCCGACATAGCCGCCGTCGGTCAACATGATCATCGCCGTCTCCTTTGGCCTCTTTGTGCCGCCGCGGATCCTCGGTGCAGCCCGCTACGGCGGCCTGAACGTGCATCCGTCGCTCCTGCCAGAGTATGTTAAAGTGCCTTCTTTCCCCGTCTTTGGCGATCTTGTCTCCCCGATTCTGACAGCGGGCAAACAGTCTACCGGGAGCTGCGCCCATCGAGCATGCCATCCTGTCCGGTCGCGAACGCACCGGCGTGACTGTGCAGACGCTAGACGACAAGGCCTTTGATGAGGGTCACATCCTCTTGCAGGGACCCAAAGCTGAAGCTGAAGAAGGGGCTTTCGGCCTCGCCATCCCGCCGAGCTGCACCGCGGACGAGCTGCACCGCCTTCTGGCTCCCTTGGGCGCTGACCTCCTCATACAGGCGCTACGTCGAGGACTGTATCTTCCTGGAGCTGTTGCTGCTTCGGCTGCAGCCAAAATCCTGCCGCCCGGCTTCGTTCCCGTCCTCGCATCCAAGCTGTCCAAGGCCGACCAGCAGGTGCCGTGGAGACTGCACCAGCACAGCCAGTCAGCAACAGCAACAGCAGAAGACATTGACAGGCGTGCCCGTGCACTCGGTCCGCTTTGGACGCACTTGGCGGTGCCGCAAGGCCGACAATCGCCGATGCCCACGCAGAAACGCGCCATTCTAGGCGACATCGAGCTGGTCACGTGCCCTGACCAGATGGCACCGCTGCTCCAAAGGCAGGCCGCTGAAAGCAGTCGTGCCGAAACCAAGGACTCGCCATGCGCATTCCAGACGGCCACTTTTGTCCAGAGAGACGGCCAACACCAGACTGCAGTCGCACTGCCGTTCACTGTATCCCCCGACGGCAGCGAAAGCATTATTCTTCCTGCTGGCATCTCATCCCGAGCCTCCGACTCTTCCTCTTGCATCCGCATCGGCACCATCAAGATCGAAGGCGACCGTGCCAAGCCTGCAGCCCGGGCCATCGCCGGGTTCTCTCACAACGAAACAACACTCGGACAAGTTGCCTGGTACGTGGTTTTCCGCCAGTAGCTGGCTGAATCACAAGATATACGGAGTACGACTTTCGCGAACCAGATTGATGACGCTATGAAGCTATGATACAGTAGTATAGTGTGGGTTCCTTCCATCATCCACACAACACATTGTTGTGATGTTTTTTGTGCGAGCCGCCGTGCAATGTATGTCACCCGCCTTTTCTTGCGCCATGATCCACTCTGGACTCCCAAGGCGTTAACAGTTCGTCATCATTAGTGTCCCATCCTGAGCCGTCCCGGACGTAAGAGCATGATACCCCTCCCTCTATGCCACCCTGGCAATGAAATATTGTTATAAAGACAGTTTGAGAGAGAAGTGAAAGGAAAGAAAGAGGGAGACGAAAGAGGGACCGGCGGCATGCGGAGCAACAAATTACGTGCTTTTGGCATACTCGGAGTCGATCGACGAGTTGGTGTCTGTTGCATGAAGCAGCTCCTCCTCATCCTCGTCGCGAGGCCCATGGATGTCTTCCTCAAAAACCGGCTCCGGTTCGTTCATATCGAACTTGGTCTTGAAGTTCTTGATGTCCGTGGCCATGTTGCTGCTGTTAGAGCGGCGACGGGCATTGGTAAAGTTGAAGCTCTCGTCAACAACCTCCTCGCCCATACTGCCCCAGTTGCCCTTGCCACAACCGTTCTTCTTGGTCTTCTTCGGGTCCGTGTCGGCAAACCCATTCTTGGCAAAGAACTTAGGGAGATGGTCCTCCGGTCCGTAAGCCTCGGCAAGGGCACCGTGCACACGGTCGTTGAACTTGTGGGATCGAGTCACTGGAAGATATTAGCCTTCAGTCTGCATAGTAAGGGGCATGGGACAAATCCTAGGAATTTTCAGTCACTTACTAATGATGGTTGATGAGGGTAAGAAGAGAAATGTTGACAGAGCTGTTGAGAGATGAGTTAGGGGCTGGCCACCTTTTATGGAATTGGAGTGGAGGAAAGGGGGGGTCAGAGAAAGACAAAAGGGGAAAGGAGCTGCCAGTCCGCTCAGATAGAGACCGGTGCAGATTAGCTTACGAGGATGGCCCTGCTACTGGTGGATGAAGATGGCGATCAGTGTTTGCGTTGCAGCAAGTATAAAAAGCGAGACTATAAGCTAGGAGGATTCTCTAGATTGGAGAGATATATGGGACAAAGAGCAGCGAAGCGTAGAGGGTGGAAGCAGGATGAGCCAAGGGAGACGATTATGAGGTGTGTGGTGGACGATTGGTTTCTGGAGACTGATTGGAAGAATGGCAGACTGGCAGACTGGCAAGCGGCACAGACACAAGGATGGATGGTAGTAGTTGGCGAAGACCCGAGAAGGTGGTGTGAAGGGGGAAGATGGAAGAGGTAAGAGCGAGAGAGAGAAGAGGACGGGGAGAAGTTTGTTTATAACAGCACGGACGAAGATGGCAGGGAGCTCACGAGTGCAAGATACGAGTACGAAGGAGATCTTACGAGGAAAGGGCAATAGGGGAAGACCTGGACTCTCCATCGCTTTCGTTTGCTCGCCCCCCCACCGAAAACGGTCAGGCGGGCGGTTTTGGCTGTGACGTCTCCCCCCATCCAAACGCCTCTGGCGCCCATCGCAGTCGCGTGACCCTGACGCAACGGAGCGAGGGGGGCCCGAGAGCGCCGATGGCTGGCCGGCGAGGGAAGGTGCCACCGCATGATGCAGACAGTGCCTCTGTCCTGTCTGAGTTGCTGGTTCGGCTTGCTGGCTTGGCTTGGCTGTTGGCTTTCTGTTTGCTCGTTACCCTCGCTTTTCGAATGGACGAGAAGGCTCGATCGATGGGGCTGGCCTGCGTCTCCACCCAGCCGGCATGCCTGTCTGTTTGGAAACCGCCACGGGAGGCAGAGCTGTGTCGACACTGTGCGGCAAGCTGCTGTTCCCATCCCGCATGTTCGCACGAAAGCTCTGTTGGCCCCTCTGTCCCCAGTCCCCCATCGTCTTCTCTACAGCTCTACAGCTCGACAGCTCTACAGCTCGACAGTACAGCTCGACAGCCCAACAGCTCGACCGCCCAATCAGTTGCCCCTTTGCTCCTTCTCTCTCCTGCTGTTCCCGTGTCACACAAGTGGCATGAGCTCCTTCCAAAACCCGGCCCACTCCACCTCTGGTGCACGCCACGCCCCGGCAAAGACGTCACCACCTCGTTCTGCCACTCGCTTCTTCAGGCGGATCGCTACCCTGGCGATACCCCGCAAAATCAGCATGCGCTAAGGGGAAGTGGTGTGGATAACGGTGTTCTGGCGATACATAGACACTGTGGTTAGGGGCACTTGGCTGCCCGAGGCACGGCTGGGACAGTGTGCTGCTCCCTCACAATATTACTGTGTGGATACCGTTGCATTGTCCTCCCTGATCAAGAGCCACTCTCCATCGAAATCGGTAGAAACCGCGTGAAGAGACGACGCCGGCTCCGAAGAGAGAGCGTGCATCGACACCAGGCTACAGCCAAGCGACAGCGGACAGCTTGGATGCTAGCTCTTTCAGGAACAGGAAATAGTGGCAGGGGAGATAAGGCACATTAGGCGGCTGAATGGTGCCATTGGCACGAACTGACGCTTGCGAATGTTGAAAATAATATAGGAGGTCCATGAGTCAATGGATCGATGGGGCTGTGGCTGGGCAGAAAGGTCATGTGGTGCCCTGGAGCCTCGGAGCAGCGCGAGGGCCCAGCTATGCTGGAGAAGCTACCGGCAATCGAGAGCCTCCTGTAGCCGCTAAAGCAATGGCGTGACTAGCCGAACTAGCGCTGATTGATAGCTAGCATTTGCGACATCGGACCGGAAACAGCTCTGCTGCAAATGGAACAACTATCGTGGAAGGGACACGTTTGCAGAACCAAGTCTGCCTTTGACTCATTGCCAAACACTGCTGCCTATTCGGCGGCCGGTCGGACGTCTAGCTTTCTTAGCTCTGGCAAGCCCATGTGTATGATGTGTTTTCTTGGATTGGATGTCTGCGGACTGCTCCTTGCAATCGCTTGAACGTGATCCGGCAATACATGTTTTTGATGCATGTATGGCTCCTCTATTTTCCCTTAAACAGACTGTATATATTACCGCCGGGTCTCTGAGCCGATGCCGGCTATTGCGGCAAGAAGAGGCAAGGCAGCAATCCAAGTTAAGAGCCAACAGAGACTAGCCGGCGTCCTATCCCATATGTCCACGCCATTTTCAAAAGCAAGATAGAAATACAAACTGGAGCAAGCACACTGCACAGTGAGACGCCTATTTGGCCTTCTGCACGCCGCCCTCGTGATCAGCTGTCCGCCTCGCTTCCGTGTTCCCGTCTGAGCCCTCGGCCTCGTCCTCGCTGTCAGCTCCTATGCTGTATCGCGAGTCCAGTGCGGGTGTGGTCACGTGCAGGTCGTCCAACTCGCCCTCGTCAAAGTCGCCGGCCTCCAGATCCCGGTTCGACCGCTTGTTGCGGAAGTTTTCCAGGGCAGTGCCGCTCTGGACGGACATGCTGTTGCGGCGCCTGTATTCCGGTATATGCGTGTCGGACGACGAGACAGGGCCGCCGGCCACTCCCCGATAGCCGGCCCGGCGGCGACGATCACGCCATACAAAGTAGCCCCAGGCGGTAGCCGCTGCGGCCACGATGACCAGCACGATCTCGCCGCTCTTGCGGTAAGCCGCCCACTTGGCCGCGTCGACCTTGGCCTTGTCGCCGTCCTGGCCGGTTGTGCTGTTGCCGTTCCCGGCTGCACCGCCCACAGTGGTCGTTGGCCCAGGCTCGCCGTCGAGGCGTGAGTCCGTCGGCTTTCCGCCAATGCTGCTGATGTCGACGCCCATAAAGCGATCCAGCATGTCTCGCGTGCGCCGTGGATAGTCGAACGGCACCATGTGCGACGAGTTGTAGAACAGGACGTACGTCAGGTTGCGGGCCTCCTGCCAGAAGCCGGCGTCTTTGCCCTCAAACGTCCATTCGCGCCGCGGCGCCCAGTTGCCTGGCGAGAGCTCAAAGCCCTTGCCGCCGTTCCAGGCCATGTTGCCGATCATCGCCTCCGTTCCCAGGTGGTTGCAAATCAGGTCTTCGGCGCCCGAGAAGAGCACAATCGGCATTTCGGCCAACAGACCCGGGAGGATGGCGATGGATGGCTTCGAGACGCGATCGCGAAACTGCGAACCGACATTGCCGTTGCACTCCTGCCATCCGGTATTCTTGTTCGGATTGATGTGCAGCGCGGCGATGACATCGTTGTTTCGCAGGTAGCCGGTCAGGTTCGGCAGGTCGGGCGGCCAGTTCATGCCGCAGCTGGGATATGTGTCGCGGAGGCGGACGTCGTACATGTTGATACAGTCCTTGTCGTCACCCGAGTTTCGGCGCGTGACTCTCAGCAGCTCCTGGAGGATGCTTTCGCACTCCCCGATATCAACCGGCTGGTTCTCCGGGCCGCCAGCCGCTGCCAGCATCTTGTCGCAGACACGCCGCTGGTTCTCCAACCTGTCGGAATCGCTGCTCCCCTTCGTCACCAGCTTCTTGTCGTAGGCGAAGTCGATGTAGGACTCGTACTGCTCGGCGGGGGAAATCCAGCCGTTGCCAATCAGCAGGCCCTTCAGCGCCCAGGCGTGCGTTTCCGACGCGTTCTTGTTCCGTTCGACAATGTGCTTGGCAATGTAGGGTATGTATTGGCCGGCAAACGACTCGCCGGCTAGGTAGAGCTGCCATTCTGTCAGTGCTTCTGCTGCAAGATCGCATACGCTACCCCGAGACGTATCTTACATCATCGTGCTCGTACTCTGGGAAGAGGGCGAACCACTTCTCGAGAAAGACGATAAACTGGTCGGCCATCTCGTCCAGCTCGTGGACGTAGCTGTCGGTGTTGACGTAGCTGAAGCCCGTGCCGACGGGGTTGTCGACAAACATGACGTTGGCAAACTCGTTCCAGGCCCCGTCGTTGTACTCCAGCGTATGGTCATCCTTGAGCCGGTAGGGCCCGATCTCCATCAGCGCACCGTCCTCTGAGCTGCAGCCGGGCCCGCCGTTGAGCCAGATGACGGTACGTTGCCGGTTGGCAATGTGCTTGTTCTGGAAATGCCAGAAGAACAGGTTTCCGTTGTGCTCGGGCGTGATCTCGATGTGACTGGCAGCGATTCACTGGTTAGTTCGGTTGTCTGGTTGTCTGTTGTCTGGTGGTTTGGTTCTAGCCCTGGTTCGCCAGCCTTCGAGTCCACAATCGAGTCCACAGCCGCTCCGCCTCACTCACCCAGCATGCATCTTCAACAGCGGCCCCTCTGGCTGGCCTGGAAGCGAGTGCACAAAGTAGTCGCCCGCGACAGGGTCAGCACGTGCAGAGCCGATCCAGACGGACGAAACGGCAGCGATGGCAGCGACGACGGTTGGCCATCGCTGCCATGGTGCCGACCGTGCCATGGCGTCGAAGAGGAGGGATTTGCCTGAAAGGCGAAGACGCAGCGAGCCTCCTTTCAAGCGACCGCGGAAAAAGTGCTTCCGAAATGCGATCTGAAATTGAATGCTTCCAAAGTAAAAGAGTCCCCCAAGTTGGCGACGTGGACGAAAGAAAAAGACGGTCTGCCGGCCCCTGATCAAGGCTCGCAATGCGCTGGAAGCGGACAAATCAATTTAACGACGGTCCATGCGGTATCGAATATGGGCAGCGAGCTCGTATGTCCAAGGAACGGGGGAGGAGAAACCGGTTGAGGCCCACGAGCGAAGGGCTTAGGTGTCCTATCAAAGGAAAGCGTAACGGGGGGAGCTGACGAAACAAGGCCGCATTGCTGGTAATAATCGACGAAGATTAAAGCGGGGCGTGTTTCTGAATTAGGCGGGTGCCTGCGGTATCGAGGCAAGTGCAACGCAGCGTGGTGGCTAGAGACGGAAGCGGTGCTGAATAGAGCCTATAACAGGAGACGAAGCTGGGATCGCGTACGGGGTGACTCCGTACGGAGTACAGTGACCCACATGATGTTACATAATCAGAAAATATTTCCTGTTAACACGCTGTAGATGGAGAAACGGTTCATGGTTTCGGAGCAAGCGATTCGGTGTGGCCTCAAGACTTTTTGTGTTTGCTCTGGCTGTCGTGCTGTATTTGGCGCTCTTCTCTTCCGGCTTCCCAGTCCCTTTTCTACTGTGGATTCCTGGACGCCTGGACTCGTCTCGTTGCAACTCCCCGACTCGCCACTCTTCCGTCTGCTCCGACCGCCACGATGTCCAAGACGTATGTCGTCGAGCACCTGGACGAGGGCATGGGGGCCTGGTCGACGCTCGAGTACGTGACGATTGCGCGCGAGACTGGCGCGCTGTGCCTGTCGTCGCTGCCGCCTTCGCTGATGCTGCCGGCCGAGCTGACGGCCGTGGCCGGATTCCGGGCCGAACAGCGAAGCGTGGAAGAGCTGTATGGCGGCGATGCGGCGCAGAAGGCGCGTGTGTGTCTGCTGGACCCGGCAGCGGCGCAGGAGCTGGTGCCGGCGGACGGTGACGTGTTTGATGTCTTTCTGTTTGGTGGGATCCTGGGCGACGATCCCCCTCGGGGTGAGTAGCGATGTCTGGATGTCTCAGTCCCTTCACAGCCCAAGCTGATCATGGCAGATCGCACGTCGGAACTACGCAAGAAGGGCTTCCAAGGCCGGCGACTTGGGCCCAAGCAGATGACAACCGACACGGCCGTGCGAGTGACTCGGATTGTGACCGAACAGAAAGGTGCGTTGTTTGTCTCTTGTCTTTCGTCTCTTCTTTCTTCTTCTTTCTTCTTTCTTTCTCCTTTCTTTTTTTCTTTTTTTCTTTTTTCTTCTTTCTTTTTTCTTCTTTCTTTTTTCTTCTTTCTTCCTTCTTCTTCCTTCCTCTTCCTTCTTTCTTTTTCTTAACTCTCCCCTCTACTCCCATCTCTCCCTCGTCTAACCCCCCCTAAACTCTAGTCCCGCTCGACCAAATTTCCTACGTCGACTTCCCCGAGCTCAGGTTTGACGAGCACGAGAGCGCACTGATGCCCTTTCGCTACGTCAAGGGCGACGACGACAAACCCATCATGCCCGAGGTACGTTGTTTTCTCTCGACAGCCAACTGCCAAAAGCTCCTGCTAACCCGTCTTCCAGGGCATGCCCGAACTGATCAAGAAGGATGCCGACAATGCAATCGACGACCTATTTTAGAGTTAGCCGACTGGTCGGACCCCTCTTTCTCTTCTAATTTCGGATTGCCCAAAAATAGTACGCCCTCTTGATCTCTCTTCTCGCGCGCGCCCTCGCTTGTCTTATCTCTCGCCGGCTATCGGCCAACCCCGTCGCCCCATTTGCCCTATTTTATAAGTCGTAAGACCCTCTTCATCCTCGGGCCCATTCAATTCGTCGCAAATCAACTTCCCATCCAATTTCCCCCAGCCATGGCCGTCTCTCCTCCTCCGCTCGAGATCAGCCCGCCGCTGCTCAACACGGCCAACCCGTCGGCCACTGACCTGGGCCAACTCACGGCGCTCTATGACTGTCCACACACGGGCGCCGTGACGACGCGGACGTCTCTCGTCGCCGGCTTCGGCCACAACCCCGACGTCCACCAGTTCGCCCTGTTCGACACCACGCCACACGACCCAGCCGCCTCAGACGCCAAGACGGCCAGCCTCAACAATCTCGGCTACAGCCCGCTGCCGCTCGATCAATATTTGACCTTTGTCAAGCAGATCGCCTCACGGTCACAGGCGCAAACGGCCGCCCGCAAGAAGGGCTTCCTTATCTCGGTCACCGGCCAGCCCGACGATGTGGCCGAGTGCTACCGCCGCATCGCCGCCGCCCAGCGCGATCTCCCTGACCCAAACGCCGTCCCGCTCGCCATGGAAGTCAATCTGAGCTGTCCCAACATCCCCAACGCACCGCCACCGGCCTATAACGGCTCTGCCTTGCTGGCCTACCTTGCCGCCCTCCAGGACGCCATTGCCGCCGCTGCTCAGGACGCCCACCTGCCGCGCATCCCGATCGGCTTCAAAACTCCGCCTTACACTCATGCCGGCCAGTTTGCCGTCCTCATCGACGCCTTGCGTGCTTCGGCAGCCGCTGCTGATTCTGCTGGCGTGTGTCCTATCAGCTTCCTGACCGCCACCAACACGCTGGGCTCGTGCTTGCTCCTGACCTCGGCCTCACAGTCCGACCAGATCACTCCAGCCCTTCCTGGAACCGGCATCGGCGGCATGGCTGGCGCCCCGCTGCACCCCCTCGCCCTCGGCAACGTCGCCACGCTGCGCCGCCTGCTAGATGCTGAGCCGGCTGTCCTGGGACACATCCGCATTGTCGGCGCTGGCGGCGTGTCCGACACCGCTGGATTCGACCGCATGAAGAGTGTCGGCGCCTATGCCGTCGGTGTCGGCACGGCCCTGGTCATTCATGGAGTTGACGTCTTCGCCCAAATTTCTGCGCCAGGATTAGAACAAAACATCTCAAAGTAGCGTGACCAGATAGCGACATAGGCAACTGCAGGCCCAGAAGTTTGCTTTAATTGGACCCAGTCCAGCGGGACGCCTTACTAATAAGAGTAGCCCGCTTTGGCTAGCACCAATCAGGCATGTCATAGGCAGACGCTCCTATTTCCCTCTATCAGTCTCCCTGCGACATGATTACCAACCTCCAACGACGTCCTGTCTCTCACTCACCGTAATACTTCTTTCATGGAATTGTCCTCCCATCAGCTATCTCTCAAGCCAGCTCTCCCCGTTTGTATTTCTGACCTGACCGCTGTCGGCCCTCTTGCTTCCCGGTACTTTTGCTTTTTTTGCTTTCGGCATTTGTTATGGTCACGGCGCCTGAGTTCGGCTCTGCCGAAGCCCGCAATGTTCGCGAAACAGACGCTCTGTTGCCGGCAGTCGGGCGCAGCAGTCTGGCCAACGGTGACCACGGCAACAACGACAACTGCGATGACAGCGGCGACTGCGACACCATATCCGACAATGCAACTGTCACACATATTGGCCCCAGTCGTGCTGCTGCCATTGCCGTCAACATGGGCGTCCTCCTCTTTCTGCAGGCCAGCAATACGAGCGGCATGACCATGGCCCAGTCCGCCATCGCCGACGACCTCGACGCATATGAGCACGCCATGTGGTTCTCCAGCGCCTACCTCATCTCCGTCGCCTCCTTTGCGCCGCTGGTCGGCCGTCTCGCCACCATCTTTCCTGCCGGCCATTTGTTGCTCGGTGCTGGTATCTGCTTTGCTGCCGGAGCCCTCATCACTGCTTACGCCAATTCCCTGTCCGTCTTTCTGCTCGGCCGCGTCATTATCGGCATCGGTGGCGCTGGCGTCATGACCCTGTCGCTCATCTTGGTCCTCCAGCTCGCCGATCGCCGTCGTCGAGGTCTCTTTGTCGGCATGGTCAACGCAGCCTTCACCGTTGGTCTGTCTGCTGGGGCCATTGTGTATGGTGCCCTTCTCCCCATCATGAGCTGGGTAAGCTCGTTCTGTCCCCGCTTGTTCTCTGCGCTGAGCTGATATTGTTTTGCAGCGTACCTTGTTTCTCGTCCAGGCGCCCATGGCTCTGATTGCCGGTGTCTTGGTCTTCTTCAGCTTGCCGCACCTCTCCCAGCATCAACCGGATGGGAAAGGCCGCTCTGTCTGGTACAGGCTGGCTCGCATCGATTATGCCGGCGCCTTCTTCCTGGTCAGCTTCTTTCCTTCTTCCTTCGTCGCCTGCTATCCGTCGTGCTGACCGCCCAGACCCTCACCATCGTCCTCCTACTGTACTCCCTGTCCGGCACCTGGCGTCCGCTGGCGATGCTTGCATCTGTTACCAGTCTTGTATGCTTTGTTGCCATCGAGTACTGGCTTGTGCCAAACGTCTCCGGTGGCGATCCCATCATCCCGCTCGAGCTGCTGCGTTCCCGCGGCGTCCTGTTTTCCTGCCTCGCGCAACTCGGTGTCATGGCTTCTCGCTGGTCTGTCTTGTACTATGCTCCCATTTTTGTCTTGACCGTCCAAGGTCAGTCGGCTGCCGTCGCCGGCGCTGCCCTCATTCCAACAAATGTCGGCTTTGGCACCGGTGGTCTGCTTGTCGGATGGCTCCATATCCGTCGCGCTGGTGACTTCTGGCTGCCGAGCGTCGTCTCCATATTCCTGTTCTGTTGCTCGCTCGCTGCCGTCGGTCTGCTTAGCCGTGCATCCGATTCTTTCAGCGCCGGTTGGTATATGCTCTCTCTCTTCACCAATGGTTTTTGCACCGGCGCATTTCTCAACTATACCTTGGCCCATCTTCTGCATCTGACCCGCCCTTCCACCCATTTCGTTGCGACAAGCTTGTTGGCCACCTTCCGTGGGTTCTCTGGAAGCTTTGGCACCTCCATTGGCGGCGGCTTCTTCATGCAACAACTGGGTGTCCAGCTGGCCACAGGTTTCACTGAGCTAGATGGTGGTAACCTGACTGACGCTCATACTGCCATGATTTCTCGCCTGATAGGAAGCCCGGCTCTGGTGCATGGCTCGGATGGAAACGGACGTCCTGTGCTAACCAATGCCGAACGCCAAGTTGCTATCGCCGGTTATGCTGCTTCGCTGGGCACTTTATACCACGCTGCTGCTATTGTTGGTCTGCTGATGCTAGTAGTCCAGGCATGCACTGGTTGGGCCGAGCCAAAATCACGCGCCTCCACAGAAGGCGGTGGCCTCCAACAGGGTGCCAAAGATGACGAAGAAGAAGATGAGGAGGAGATCCTTGAGGCCATTGCTGAGCATAATGGTGCCATGGAAGCCTGAAGTCAGTGCATTCAACGACTGCATAAAAATCACTTCAAAACAATATAGACTGTCACAGATGCCATATAGAAACGAGATACGTATCAGAAAAAAAATTGTTTCAATGTTCATGAGCAAAACGTTTTGTCTACTACTTATCGCATATGGTCGGATGCCCAGCTGGACGATGTGCTATTACTGGTGGTGTTGACAATTGCGGCATATCGCCATGGCCAAGCGGTGAATTCACTTCTCCTGATGACTCTAGCTCGGGAGTAGGTGCACCAAGTTGGGTTGCATCTTGCGGCAGCCGTGGTCCGTCTTCGTGCTCGGCTCTGTTTTTCAGACGTCGGGATGATACTGAAGGGTTTGTTGGTGCCAACTTGCATAGCTGTCCAGCATCTCTTAAGAATGTGAGGTATAGCGGATAGACGAAAGCGAATGCCAAGAGACAAACGACCACGATGAAAGACGTCCGCACGCTGCCTCCTCTGGCAATGATGCCGTACATCACAAAAGGCCAGAACAGAGGACCCGATGCGCCGACTGTAAGCCACGCAGAGGCCCGTTTGGTACGCCTTCCTTGACCACGAAGGCCAATGGCAAAAATGAGGGGGTAGATAGGTCCTTCGGCCAAGAAGAAAAGGGACACGGGGATGACCATCAGGTTTGCGTTTGCCGTCAGTCGTAGGACCACGCATAAAAGAGCAAACAGAGCCGAGAGAGATATCGAGATGGTCAACATCGTCAGAGGTGAAGGAAGCCAGCGGCGGCCAGGGTGCTTCGCTGCCAAGTACGAGAGACATCCCACGACAAAGCGTGAGACAGCAAATGCCGTGCGGCTGATCAGTAAGTAGTCGGCAACAGACAGGGCCAGGCCAGCTGGGTTGTCGATGTTGTCTGCTGGAGTTGTGCTACTCATGACCAGTCGAGACACAAGGCTCCAGGAATGGTCCGTCAAAATGAACGCGCTGCTATCATTGGCCGTTTTTATATCGGGTAGCCATGATGTTACCAGATCATCAAAATAGAGACTCATGCATTCCTGCGATGCCACATACACCCATTGGGCAATAACGGCGAGAATCAGACAGACAGTTCGTAACTGCAGGCCGCCAAATATCGTGCGCTTCGTGCCATCGACTGGAAGACGGCCGACAAGTCTTTCAAGCTCAGCATCGTAAACTTCGGGCAATGGCATGTAGTAGAAAAACATAGCCAAAGCAGCACAAAACAACGTGATGGCCAGGTATGTCCATTGCACATCCAACAAGCTCATTGAATCGGATGAACTGTCGGAGCTGACCCTGATAAAAAACACCTTCTGGGCCAAAAGACCACTCACCACGCTGCTGGCGCCCTGCAGTCCCTGGGCAAGTAATAGGCGCATCTCTGAATATTCCATCGGGCCACAGAGTGCCAAGAACGGATTGGCGGCCGTCTCCAGAATGCTTAGGCCAAACCCGACAACAAAGTTGCTGATCAGAAAACCCGGGAACGAGGTAAGAACCGCGCTCGGCCAGAACATGATAGTTCCTGTACCGTATATGCAAAGGCCAACTATAAATGTGGCCTTGAAGCCACCAATCATTTCGTCGTTCGGATTGGCGTAAATGTGCGCCAAGGCGGCAGAGGGCAGAGAAGACACAGCTCGACCAGCATGCCGCTTCGGTTGGGCCGCAGCACTTCGGCGTCTGTGGTGTTCATCATGTCGCAGAACCCATTCGCCGACAAGGAGAGGACCGAAAAGATAGCCACCGCCGAAGTATGCACTGGTGAGACCCAGAGTTTGTGTCCTGGTCATATTGGAAACGGAAGAAACAGCATTATTAAGGGCGTTCAAGAGTCCATAAGAAAAGCCCCATAAGAAGAATAAAACAGCAACAGCAGTGCAAAATTGCAGGGATTCGGATATTGACGTGTCCAGCATACTCTTAGGCTTTTTCATAGCAACAAAACCAAAGTACAATGCATTTCCCGTCCCAGTTGTTTTGGTGGCGAAGCTCGTTGCTGTTATCGTTTGGTCACCGGCTGTGCTTGGCGACAAAAATTGAGAGTCTCTGAAGTCGTTGGCCAAGTTAGGCGGATGAAAGTCTGGAATTTGTTGTGTTGACAGCATATTCAGATGCTCGGTTTCGGGTCCGCGAATAGATTCAAGAAGTGATGGGTTATGCGGCCGGTCAGCAGTCATCATGCAGTTCGCGCCAAGTGTAGCATCCGAGTTCAAGCTAAGATCCAAATCCCGAGAATATATTGGCCTCGCGACCATACTGGGGGAGGTTGCTGAAAGTGAGCCTCTCGAAGTTTCAGAGTTAGATAAATTTGCAGCTTGCGATGGCTGCCCAGACTGCGTTTGAGACCAATCTTGCCGTCGACAGCTGGCAGTGTGAGATGGGCTGTCGGATACTTCTGCCTCCCTGGTCCCAGAAAAGTATTTCAGAGCACCGTCCGGGTTCATCAGTATTATAGGAAGAATCTTGGCGACGAGCGGCTTTAGCGTAGGGATGCAGGCGCAGGTGATGCCAATGTTGACTTCGACGGCTGACCACATAAGCGATAATGCCGCATTCCAAGAGAATTCCGTGCTGTTTATGAATAGCAATCCGGGGTTAGAAGAATCGTCAATTCCAGTTGATGAGATGGCTTGCTGTAGGTAGTAGATCCGCACAACATCCACAACAGTGACAAAAACGCCAAGCGTGAATGTGAAGACAAGAATGAACTTCTGTCGTGAAGGAAGTCGCATGGCTGTGAGAACTGGCAGCGGCAATGCCAATATTGCCAGATCGGTGATGATGTTGACAGGAGCGGAGCATATAAATTCTGTGAGCAAAGGAATGCATTTCCCTGAGTTAGGCGTAAAGGCAGAGGTAATCGGGCGGCATTGGAAGATATTCAAGAAAGTGAGCACAAAGCCTGCCACATTGACAATAGCCAAGACGGCGTATGAGCATAGCCGGAGAATCTTCTCTGTGTTTTTAGACAGGCGCAAATAAAAAACCAGGATGGAAGTCTTGGTGGCCATAAGAGCCGGATTCTAAAAAGTCAGCGATACAGGCAAATGCATTGGAGTTCAAACAGTGTGCATACGTATAGGATGGAAAATACATATTCATATTTCCTCAGAGCGGATATATGCTTCGAGGAAATATCAACGTCATGGCGCCCAAGACCGTTGCGAGTGCCCAAGTTGATAGTGAGGCTCAATCCAAAGGCCAGTAGCCAGGCCAATGTGATAAAGTAGTCGTCCCAAGCGACACGACGAACAATACTGATGCGGCAAACCAGTCGTGAAAGCACAAAGAATGAACTTAAAACAAGGGTGGCAGTAGTGACAGCAAAAACCACTGGTCCTCGGTCTGGGATGGACATAGACTGGCTGGTCATGGCTTGACGGCGGAGAGTCCGGACACGGTAAAAGGTAAATAACTTCACGGCGCTTCTCTCAAACGACTCCTGAAAAAAACTCTGTTGAAGTCGAATAGCGATACAGGTCAAGCCATTGTCTGTGTGGGTCGGCGCATGCGCATCATGAGAGTATTGGAAGCCGTTTCCACGATTGAAAGCCGAAGACACCGTGCACCGACATGTGTCAACATATGTGTGGACAGAGGGGAAAAGTCGAACTTTCCCTACAGCGCCAGTCGCGTCGCTCTGGCGCAAGTTGTCACGGCGTTTTGAGAGAATTGAGGACTCGGTCTCAAAATTTGCCGTGAAATCAAATTATAACTTGGGCGATGATGCCGGGAATGAGATAACAAAAAAGCCAGTGGTCTTCGTTTTTGTGTGGAATCAGATGTACGGTCTGCGCGTAGTTGGGTGAGGAACGAGCTCCCGCGAAATTCCTTGCCAGCCCGTGATATGAAGAACAAAAAAGGTGGCAGCCAAGCAGGGGATGAACATCCATTGGCTTGGTGGCAAGGAAGAGAAAGCTAGTCCTGCTGTCGTGCAAAAACAAGATGAGCGGGTGTTCGTGAAGAGAGAATTGGCACAAAGCTCAACTGCAGGGTTTTTGTCTAGTTAAGCCAAGATGCGAAGCAAGGGATAGCCATAATGAATCGAATGCCAAAAACTCTTTGGCCACGGCCAGATCGAAGCTGCGAACCCGAAAACGAAGTAGCTTGGCACCATAAGTGTGACGGCTACGTCATAACCCCGCGTGGTAGGGTTGCGACATGCACCGAATCCATGTTAGTTTGAGCTGTTGGGTCTCGTACTGGCAGTTGGAAGGGATGCACCGAAAACGGCAAGACAGAGGGCACATCTGTCGATCTTCGCTTGTCTCTTTAGCCTGGCCAAGTTCCATGCCACAGGCCAAATGGTTGCATTCGCCTTGTCCCATCCAAACTGCCGGGACTGCAACCACGAGTCGAGAAGAGAGTGACACCATGATTGACGGGGCAATACCCGGGTATTAAATTGTTGGAAATCGGGGTAACGTAGCCCGTCTGCCTTATGATCGCCTGACGTCGCCGTACGCCTCGGCAATGTCGTGTTGGGAATTAAAGATAGCAAGCGTCCCTTAATAGTGAGAAGTAAGATACATCAGCGTTTTGTGGTGGAGAATGAATTGGGCGGCATGTCTTGGACAATCAGATCGATCTGCGGATTTTTGTCATGTGCCACATTGGTCATCATTCTTCGGCCGGATCGGAAACGATGTCTCACAATAGCGAGAAGCTGTCAACTTCGAGCTTGACACATTGTGGGGGAACTGTCAAGAAACCAAGCGGCCAAGGGGAAATATAGACGAGATGTGCGCCTTATCTGCGATCTCAAGGAGATACACAGAGAGATGAGAGAGAGAATGGTGGTGAGAATTGCCCATTTCTAAATACCCCCTTTCATATCACCCACGAGTACCTGATAGGAAGGAGCCGCCCACCAACATTACGTGGACTGCATGCCTTCTGCAACTGCTGTCAGATAAGTGTAAACATCGGCGACTTCGTAGATTTGCATTGCTAGACACATCAGCAGATACGTTTGCACTAATGGGATATATCCTTTAAAAAATGGACAACACTGCGCAATGAAGCCCTTCCGGAGAGACAAAATTGTTCGTATGACATCAAGGTGAATCGTAGCCATGCTCGCCAAAGTTTTCCAACCCTCATTCCAGTATCGGACGTAGCGCCAAACCCAATCAATTACATGTTAACACTCAAAATACGTGCGTTGAGAGTCACGACCTCCCAGAGGTCCATTGAGACCCTCCCAGCATAAAAACACTACGAGCTGGGTGCGCCTGTCAGGAAAAAGTCCAGCTCATTCCCAGCACCACGCGCATACTCATTCTCCGCCCAAACTGCTCAAGCAGGCTCAGGAACGGATCTTTTTCTTCGCTTGCCGTTGTGCCGCCGACACTGTCGCCATTGCTCTGGCCACCAGGACTCTGGAGCACGCCAACCGCCTTGATGGACCCTGTGTCATCCTCTGGTGGCCATAACGATGGGGTGGGAAAGGTATTTTCCTGAAGCGTACCAAACATGGGGTCGTAACCGCTAAGCCCGCCACCAGTCCCGCCCGCTGTTGAGGGTCCACTAGCTAAAGCCGAGAAGTTGAACTCAGGGCTAAACGTAGTTGCCGAGGATTGTTGCTGTTGTTGCTGTGAAAACCTCGCGTTTTTGGCCGTTGGGGACTGTGGTTCAGTGTGAGAGCAATCGGCAGAGCTGTCGGAGTGGGGTAGAACCGGAGCCATAGAGCCAGGAGACGCCAATAAGTCCTCAGCAGACGGTGGCAAGAATGATGAGACAGCATAAGGTTGTTGATTCTGTCCTGGAATCGATATACTGCGGGGCGCTTGCAGAGACATGCTGCCGTTTGAGTTGGAAGCTGTGATGTTCGGCGCTGCAACAGTGCCTGTGAGCTTCCTTTTCAGATTCGGACGGTCGACAACGGCGTTCATAAAGTTATTTTTGATGTCGGAAGAACTGCTTCCAGTACCATTCACCTTGCCGTTAGTAAGGTTCAGCTTCGACATATACAGGTCATGGCTGACGTGCTGGTCAGGGGCGTAGTCAACGACGATGTCAGTCAGACTGAGATTGGCAGAGTCAAAATTGGACGACAAACTCGCCGGGCCGGTGATGTTTGAATAGCGGTCGAAGAAGTCGTCTAGATGAAATACGGAAGTGTAGCGCATCGGGTTGGTCGCTAGGCTCTTGATGAGCTCCGTGTGGGTGTTGTAGATCATCTGCAGCGTTTGGCGATGGTGCTGCACGACAGCCCACGCATACCGCAGCTCATTCAACTGCTGCATCTCACGAGACAGAAACTCAGCCGAGGATGCGAACACGCTCATCTCGTTTGAGTTGGTGCCTTTGTTGTAATGGGCTCCGTGGATATGCACGGTTCCGGCAGTGCAGATGCAGTAGCCGACAAAGCCTGGCCACTCCACATCGGGCATTTGCTTTCCGAGCTCTACCAGCTCGGCAACGGCATTTGCATGCAAGAAACACATGTTTGTGGCCTCGATCTGCCATGACTGATGCTGGCCAGTCCCTGCCAGCTCGGCTAGATCGACGGGCAAGAAGGGCCGGTATATGAGACAGTGGATGAGATGGTAGACGAGTTTGCTGAGGACAAGAGACGTCGAGTCGGGCTGACTAAAGAGCGACGCAACACTAGAAAATATGTCTTGTGTGCCCGAGGCCCAGACGTCCAGGTCGTGGCGGATCTTGGAAAGGTTTGAGAGCGAATGCCAAGGAAAGTGGGAATCGCCCTTTACTCCGCCAGCAGCCATGTACTGATTTGTGATGCCCAGAATGCGCGTAATATCAATCAGCATTCCGCTGCTTCCTTGCGACTTCTTACCTCCACCGCCGCCTTGGAGGTATTGCAAGTTGGAGTCGCTCTGGAAAAAGTCTCCTTCGACCGGCATAGAGTTTGGGGACGGGGACCAGCAAGGCAAGCGGAGAAGAATATTTCGGTCGCCAATGAGTGAAGGCCGCCTTGAGCCGCAGGCCATGAAGCGGTCGAGCAGGTAGCTGGTCCAAAAGAGCCTCCTCCGCATCTCACGTTCGGCGGGCATGATTCTTATATGAACATCCATCTCGCGGTGAAGCTCCAGGGCTAAGGCCATGCCGATCGCGCTAGCTGTGACATGTGAGTTTCTTGCAACGAAGCAAAGCCATGGAACCACGTACTTAGCAGCATGTACGCTTTTTTTCCTTTTCCGGAAGCATTAAACGATAAGGTGAGGAGTAGGAGGGCTTGGAGACCGTCTACGGTAGGCTCATCCATTTCTATTTCGGCTCGCGCGCGCTGCACATAGGCCTCGCCCATGCTGACAGCTGCCTGGTAGCCATTTGGATGTGGTGTAGATCTGAGAGCATTAGCAAAAGCAGCAGCATGGGGCAATAGAGATACAGCGCATACCGAGATGCTAGGCCACAGACAGCATTCAGCAGGTAAGAGGGTATCTGGTTAAGCTGTAACCGTTGACGAAACGATGATTCATCAAGTATTTGAAAGGGCTTTGCATGGAAACGCCTGAAATACGTTTCGAGCAGCGCTTCCGTCTGCACCACTGGATTTGGGTCTCCAATAGACTGTGGCAACTGGTCACACACAGAGCCTTCGGGGTCATTAACGGGGTTTTTGCCAGCACTCGACAAGGGGTTTTTGCGCTTTTTTGAAGTTCCTCTTGTCCCAGTACCAGCTACGTCGGCGTGAATCGTATCCGGAACGTCGTCGACGGAGGATGAAGCCGTCGCATCGTTCTCGGCAGATGGCGATGGTCCATTTCCAGATCCGCTTTTGCTAGTTCCGCTACTGCCTGACTCGTCCTCATTGCTGTGATCTTCCTTTTTTTTGTCCTTCAATTGCTGCTCTAAGCCGTCAACCCTTTTCAACAAGGCCTCTAAGACGTCTGTCTTTGGCCCTCTCTTCTTTGGGACAGCATCTATGGCAACAGTCCGATATCGGCCCCCGATCAGCTTGCGCTATCATCAATATTATAAAAAAGTAGAGAACATACCATATATGCAAGGACATTGGAAAACCTGACAGGCCTCGCAGGCTGGGCGTAGCCGATTGCACTTGATCTGACCACAAAATGTGTTTAGTTGGGGGCCGCGGTGTACCACATATGAGCGAAACGTACCTTGCGCTTGCGGCAGGATTTGCAGTTCATCGACTCCCGCGGCTCGTTTGTCAAGCGGCGCGTGGGTAGCCTCTCGATACCGACCTGGGGCCGGGACATGGCGGTGGGTTGAGAATTCATTGGCAGAATATTTGCAACCACCTGGTGGTCTAGAACAGAGACAGACATGCCTGAGATCAGGGGAAGTGTCTCCGGGCTTGTCTCGACATTCGTCCGGTCGTGTGGTTGTTGAATTGAGCTGCGAGGCAATTACCAATCACGAGCCAGTCGGCGTTCACAATCGCAATACGACGCGAAATCACGCCTCGCTATAGCGTACAGTCGGTGAATCTGAAGCCCCGCCTGCTGCTGTCGGCAAGTTCAAGAAAGGCGTCGTCTAGAGAGAGCGCTGCGCGTTGCGCGGCGACTTGGCCAATGCTGCTGGGACGAAAAAAAGGAAGGGACAGAGCTTGAACAAGGCCGGGAACTGAGCCGAGTAAGCAGACGAGTTGTAAGCGCACGGTCGATTACTCTCTGTCAATGGCCATAGCTAGCTGAAGAGCAGAATTCTTATTGGAGCGCGGATAGAATGTGGATGAGGGAGGTGGGCTGAAATCGCCGAGAGCTCATGTGTGTTTACGGTTGTTGTGCTGGTGGCAGATAGCCAATATGATCGAGTCCATCGAAGGCAGAGCTTTAGAGTTGGAAGCTAACAGAGGAACGACGAGAGAAAACCCCAAAATATTATGGCAAGAAGATGAAGAGGACTCCGATTGTGCGATTTTGCCTAAGCCTAGTCACGCACCATGGGGCCAAAGAGCGTTACTTTGTGGAGGCGGAGACGCAGCAGAGCCGGGGTAAGAAGAAGCCAGGGTGGAGGTGGCCGTGAGATGGTAGGGATGAAAGCTGGACGGCCTGGAGAAGTAGACAGAAAGGGGAAGAGGGGGGTGTTTTTGAACAGGCGAGTGCGAACGTTGCGGTTCGTGAGAAAGCACAGATACGGACAGGCAAGGAAGAAGAGACGAAGGGTGGGAATATCAGAACTCGTACCAATGGAATCAGGCGTCAGCACTCTGGTTAAGAAGATGGAGTGCGAGAACGTGAGACATGAAGCGGAGTACGGAGGAGTGCTGACCACCGAGAAAAGAGGGAAAGGGAGGGTGGACAGAGGGAAAGTCAGGTGCCGTCTGCGAGGAGGAGGAGGACTGGCAAAAAAACGGAGCGCTAGTCGGTAACTGTCGCTAGTTGATTAGCGCCTCCGCACCGGTGCTGAACAACCGGCTTTTGTAGAGCTGGAGTGTTCGAGTCGATGCGGCCGTGGTTCGTCCTCGAGCTCCAGGCTACCTCATCGCTGTTTTTCTCGCCCACGGAGTTGTGTCTTGTCTACGTCGTATGCCAAGATGTGGATCGGTGTAGAGGAGAGCGCGGCTCCGGGAACCACGGCCAAAAAGATTGTCCCGAAATACTACAAACTAATAATCGTCTGCTTTTATCATTTTTGGTGTCCATTTTTCCTCATGTCCCTTTCTGCGGCAAAAGTTGCACATTCTGTTGCTTATTTGTTTATTTATAACAGCGATCATTTTACGACGTATGGCTTGATGCAACATGTGTCTTACTCACCCGGTCTGGCAGCTCGTTCTAGGGCGATTTCTTGCAGCGCAACCAAGGCGAAACCTGGCTTGTTTCGCTTTGGCAGCCTACTTACTGTACGGAGTACAATTTGCCTGTATCGATTTACGCGGCCATGAGGGGGAGATTACTACTGTAGTCTGTATAAAGGAACATTCGCCTAGTTCTCTCCTAAGGAATATTGCCTTTTCTACTCCGTACTGTGGGCAAATGCAGGACGCACCTTTTATTATGAACCGACCATGGCGAGCTAGGTGCGTGCTTATCTGTATCTGTATCATATGATGAGTGACATACTCACATCTAAACTACGCATGACAATAACGATTCCTTCTAAGCCACCATAACCATCCTGTCAGGCCCACCAAGATGGCTGTAATTAGTCCTACGCCTCGAGGTCACGCCAGTTGGCGTATTCACCGTAAGCAAGCAACAAAGATACTTCCATATCATCGCTGTGAGGATTGCTAGACTTTCCAGACAGGTATAAACGAGAGAATTCCAATTTCACATGGCTGCATGTTCTCGTGGCGTTTCTGGCTGCTCCGATGTGGTACAGGCAGCATACATAGCTGAAGAGAGAGCAGAAGGTGACTGCCTTGCAATTACAACCATAGTCATAAGTTTCTCTCTTTCACCCCGACTGGTCCGTATACGTATAAGCCTCCTGAACATGTAATTTCTCGCAGCATTAGATGCATGTCCTGTCACATTCACCCAGTACCTGCTGTGGTACATTGCGGGACTGTCGTGTAAGTGATTGGCTACCCAGACTGCAGCTGCATCAACGTGCGTTTTCAGGTCAGGCACTCTCCTATTTCATACTCTGATTCTTGAAAGTCCCACCGCATATGCTGTGAGCTTAGACATGTCAGGGACGGACCGAAAAGGGAGGAAAGTGAGTTGGGGAACTTTCATACGGCCCGCTTTTATGTAAACAACCAACGGCCATGGGCTATCCGACAGAACATAGCCTAACTTGCATACCCATGAGGGCAGGCCACTCTTGTTGCACACCCTCCCCGCTGATATCCTGCTGTCTCAGCTGGGCGCCCTCTGGCTACCGTGAACAGATATGCAGGCCTGTGGAGGCTGCGAGAATCGACCTGCCGTGCAACATGACCCTGCATCACGGTAGGGGTAGCGAGACTGTCCATCGTTGTAGGTATGATCGCGCCAGAATTGGGAACCCAACAAAATGAACAGCACAAGGGTGTGTTTGAGATGGACTCTAGATTTGTGTCTAGTACATTGCCTGTCCTACCAGGCAATCTGGACAGCTCGCATCATTCATCGACATCTGGCAATACGAAAGTGTGAATTGAGCTAGCGCAATGAGAGAGCGATGGTATCTACAAGGAGGCATAGAGTCTTTACATATGAGATCCTCTCAGCTGCCCACAAGGTACGTCCCGGGCCGTTAACCGAAAAAATTACTGCCTTTCTGTTTGGCAAAGAGATCTCTTTGCAAAAGAGGAGTATGGAATGAGAAGTGGGACAGTAGAGTTGGCATGAAATGCTACGGAGTACGGAGTACGTGAGGACACATTACCCCGACAGCGGTCTCCATCCCAATTCTTTCACCTATTTTTGCTTGTCATCAAATATACATAAACTGAACAAAGTGAGTTGCCCTGCCGGCTCTGGCTTGCTATCAGAAAGGCCCCTTAAAAAGTATAAGTGAAACAAGACAAAATGCAGGGCTTACCCTTAGCAAACCGTAACAACAAGGCTACTCTACTGCTCACAGGAACATTTCGCACAGCTAGGTCGTCTGCAAAGAATTTGATCCCGTGCGTGTCGAAATCGCAATACGCGGAAGACCGCCAGGCACTTCAGGCCGACGGCGGAACCGCCTGCTAAGATACGAGGCCGAGGTCTATTCTGATCCGTCTGCAACGTACAAAAGCATTGCTACAAAGAGCCAGCCTTTTACAAGAATAATGAAAAACACCAGAACCTCCTGCCACTATGCTGGTCGCCTGCGAGCATCCCTAAAATGATGCCAGTCGAATTCGGTTTCGCAGGCTGGCAAGATCCCCATTTAGAGGCATGTACAATGCCGACAACGTCCGTTTAGCTGTAGTTACTAGCAAAACTTAGCATGTTTACAAGATAATAAGCCTCCTCCCTATCCCTCAGCGAACTTACTATCGATTTAAGAAGCTCTTGTAGACTCCCAGGGAATCCAACGATTCCTACCCGGATCTGACATCAAGAGGAGTGAAAAATCGTGAGTCCAACTTTGTCAGAACGGCCGCCCCGTTCAGAGCACGGCGTTCCGCGTTCACAGATCTAAGCATTCTTTGTTAGTATCTAAGTAAACAATATCACGATGATAAAGAACATACTGGAATGTCACTTTGCTCTTATCAGACATAATGGCCTGTTCATCTGCGGAAAATTCAACCCTGCATTCGCTGGTGAGATTGTGTTCCAATTCTAAAACCATTTTATTAAGTGCTAATACCTTTCGCTCAAGCGCCTAGATTGACTGTTTCACGCCTTCAAACCGCAGCCCGAAATTCATCACACCCAACCAGGATTTCAGCAATCAGTTGTTCGTAGGTAATAGACTCCATCGTATCTTGCGAACCGAGGACCGGCTTTGTCTTAGCGAGAAGTTTTTCTGCTATGCTAGGAAGAGAAATGATAGAGCTTGAATTGAGGCAACTGTGCAAATGCAAATAGAAGTGCTTAAAGAAATTGTGCGTGTAGAGAGGAAAGTAGACTTTGGGAATTTTGTCAAAGAGAGCAGAAGTAATAACCATATATAAAATATTGCAATCACTCCCATTTGTACGGAGTACCTTCCTATGTTATGTCGGTGGCTATGTCAGTGCCTCCTTCCCATTGCGTATCACATCAGCGGCTCCGCCAGTAGCAGCTCCTAATTGTCACGTGGGCACGTGCCACATACCACCACAGTGCAGAGTCTGCATCGTTGGATACTCGTACTTGACAGCCATCTTACTTTGGATGCTCTTCTCCTAATGAGCCTAGTGTAAGACAGCTTGATTTCCCTTGGAAACATTCAGGCCAATCCGTCTGCCGTAACGCAATTCAAACTCAAAATTTCACGGCAGGCGAGAAGCTACTGGATTGTGCCGAACGGACTTCCGAAGTAAAGGAAATCAGGTGTAAAGGAAATCAGTCCGGCGAAAAAGAAAACATGGCGTGTGTGTGGTCGTTCATTAAGCCTGCATTGCATTCGCGAGAGGCAAACGCATGCCCGTTGTGGTCTGTTGCTCTTCTGGGAAGGCGGTGAGGACAAGCCCTGCCAAGCGGTGTAAGGCCTAGAATACGTGCCTGAATCCTAAGGCTGCCGCGTTTTCGCGTAGAGGGGAGCCCAGCAGCAAAAATCGAGACCGCAAAAACAGTCGCACGTGAGGCTCGCAAAGACGACGACCGCAAAGCCCAGCGCCAATCGAACGGATAGACAAGCCCAGTCGGCCACGCGAGAGCTCCCTCCCACAAGACAGAACAAGGCCCCCGCCATCGCCTCTTCCCGCCTGCCGCATCCTTCACAGCGCATCTGCCCAAAGCAAGCAGACGTCCTTGAGCTCTACGACGCATATCCATCCGATTGCCTCTCCAATCATGGCCGACGCCAACATCCAGTATGCCACCCACAGCTCGCATCTGCTCACGGCACTCCCAGCCCCTTGGAGCGCCCCTTCTTCCCTTGTCTCCCCATGTTGCATCCGGAATGTCGCGTCTTGCCACTTTACAGACTAGCTTGCTAACAGCTTTGTTTTCCCTGCGCAGAGAGCTTCTGCAGAAGCCGCGAAACGAGTGCACGTAAGTCTATGTCTGGCAGCAGCAGCCTGTACCCAGGCACACCTTCTTTGGCTAACGCACTGTGCCGTCCAGGGAGTACGAGATCGCACAGCTGGTACGGAACAAGTCGCCTGCCCGACTGGAGATTGGGAATTGGGCATCGGCCTACGTTCCCAATGTTGATTCTAGCATTCTGCTGACACGTCGCAGGAACAATGGGAATTTAGCAACGGCCCGCTGTCCATTCTGCAAACTGCGGTCCGCACACACACGCAGGTGCTCATCAGCATCCGCTCGAACCGGAAATTGCTCGCGCGTGTCAAGGCTTTCGACCGGCATTGCAACATGTGAGGACTCATAGGCCCCCCCTCTCTTTCACGCTTCTTTTCTGCTTGCTGACCGCTTTCGATCTGCAGGATTCTCGAGAACGTCGTAAGTTTTCGTCCTGAACGGCGATACAAAGCTCTTGTTTGATGCCTTGACTAACCACCGCTGCCCTGCACAGAAAGAGATGTGGACAGAGACACCCGTGACCAATGGCAAGAAGGGCCGGCCCGTGAACAAGGACCGTTTTATCAGCAAGATGTGAGTACCGAGCAGGCTGATGAGCAGCAGACGACAGAGGCTGACGGTGTGAACAGGTTCTTGCGGGGGGACAGCGTGATTCTCGTTCTGTTGAGTTGATAATCAGGACTGTGCTTTACGGAAACCGATGATATCGGCGGCGCTATATTTTGTTTTCCTTCCTTGCCTCGTCCGATGCTTGCTAGGATGAAAGCCGGCCCCGTCACAAAGAGGCAAGGCAAACTGCCGGTGACTGCAGACATCCAGCTGTTATTTACCATCTAGTTGGACATAAAAGGAAAATGCGAGGCAGGGGTGGTCTAAAAAGAACCATTTAAATGGCATGGGACATGTCTTTCAGCATACTACGTTTTCTTGTTTTTCCAATCACATACCGGCAAGCAAAATGAAAGAAAAGAGACGTCCTCTAGTCCAAGCTCTTCTACCGAACTTTGCCTCTTGTTTGACAGATAACCGAGAGAGATTCGTGCAATCCGGCCGTCTCTATGCCTTGACTTCTTCCAGGTCGTTCAGGTCTAGGCCCAGGCCCTTCGTCTCCCGGAGCCGGCTCAGCCGCTCCACCACCACGTCGAGCGACAGCGTGGTGAGGTCGCCCTTGGAGTCGCGCACACGGATGCTGACGCTGCGGTCCTGCATCTCCTTGGATCCGAGAACTGCTCTTGTTAGCTAGAATGGTCTTGCGGTCGACCTCCCCTCGGGTGAAATGTACGCACCAAAGATGAAGTTGTACTGCAGCACCTGTCCGTTGCGGATCTTCTTGTTCATCGTGTTGGCGCCCAGGTCGCTGTCGACGTAGAAGCCGCGGGCCTTGAGCACCTTCTGCACCTCGCGCACATAGTCCTCGGCGTCGGCCATGACGGGCACCAGCAGGATCTGCCGCGGACTGAGCCAAAACGGCCACTTGCCGGCAAAGTGCTCGCTCAGCGTGGCGATGAAACGCTCGAAGCTGCCGAGCACGGCACGGTGGATCATGACGGGCCGCGAGTAGCCGGGCGCCAGCGTCTGGGCTGCCGATGCTGTCACCGCCTTGCTGTCGTCCTTGCCGTCCTTGGTCTCGGCCTCGACTGGCTTGGTCTCAACTGTCTTGGCCTCGGCCTTGCCATCGGAGTTGCTGCTGGCCGCGGTCATGTAGCTGAGGTTGAATTGCTGCGGCAGTTGGAAATCTAGCTGCAGGGTGGCGCACTGGTGCCAGCGGCGCAGGGCGTCCATGATCTGGATGTCGATCTTGGGGCCGTAGAAAGCGCCATCGCCAGGGTTCAGGCTCCACTCGGCACCGCTCTCCTTGGTAAACTCCTCCAGGGCGTGCTGCAGCGTGGCCTCGGCCTTGTCCCACGTCTCCAGGTTGCCAAGGTACTTTTCGGGCCGTGTCGAGAGCTTGAGGCGGAACTTCATGCCCAGTTTGCCGTAAACGGTGCGCAGGAAGTCGAACAGATCACGGATCTCCGAGCCGATCTGGTCCTCTTCGCAGAAGATGTGGCTGTCGTCCTGAATGAAACGGCGCACACGCGTCAGGCCAGACAGGGCGCCCGAGGCCTCGTTTCTGTGAAGAATACCAAACTCGGCCATGCGCAGAGGTAGCTCACGGTACGAACGTTCCCTGGAGCCGAAGATGACACAGTGGCCCGGGCAGTTCATGGGCTTCAAAGCTGCAGTACCTGTTAGATTTCCGGACAAGGGAGGCGGAGGGAATCTGAAATGACCATAGCATACCCCACTGCTGCTTCTCGACCTCGAGGGTGAACATGTCCTCTTGGTAGTCTGCCGAGCGTTAGCACTGATCGCGGCCACAGTAGCTCGCGGGGACAGTCGTCAGCTTTCAATACGCACGTTCCCAGTGTCCCGAAGTGCGCCACAGGTCGGCGTTGAACATGTTGGGCGACATGACCTCGACGTAGTCACGCTTGTGGTACTCGCTGAGGATGAACTCCTTGAGCGCGTTGAAGATCCGCATGCCGTGGGGGAGGAAGAAGGGCGAGCCGGGCGACAACTTGTGGAAGAAGAAGAGCTCCTGGTCCTGGCCGATACGACGATGGTCCTTCTTGGCAGCCTCCTCGAGGAACTTCATGTAGTCGGAAAGCAGCTTCTTGTCGGGGAAGGAGATGCCGTAGACCCGCTGAAGGGAGTCGTTCTTGGCATCGCCGAGGAAGTACGAGGCACTGTGCTATATCGGGGTCAGCTTCTGTTTTCTGTTTTCTGTTTCCTGTCTGCTCTGGCCTCCAACGCACCTTCAGGACAGCAAACGCCTTGATCCGGCTAGTGTCGACCACATGGGGCCCGCGGCAGAGATCGATCAACGGCCCACAGCGGTACACAGTCGTGGAGGTGCCGTCGGGGATCTTGGAGTTGATCAGGACCTGCTTGTACTTGTTGAACTTGAACATCTCGAGCAGGTCGGCCTTGGTCATGACGAGGCGCTCAAACGGTTGGCGCTCGCGCACGATGCCGTCCATCAGCGACGACAGGCGCTTGTGGTCGTCGTCCGTGACGGTGCTGTGGTGGTTCGGCCGGCCCTGGCCATCCTCAGCCGGCATGCCAAAGTCGTAAAAGAAGCCCTCGTCAGTGGGCGGGCCGAAACAGAGGTGGCAGCCAAAGGCCTTCTCGGCTGCCTCGCCGAGGATGTGGGCGCTCGAGTGCCAGTACACCTGCTTGGCCTCGTCGTCCTCAAAGTCCAGCAGGGACACCTGAGCGTCGGCTTCGAGCGGCCGCATCAGATCCCAGAGATCGCCGTCAACGCGTGAGATCACCGTCCGGTCGGCCAGCGACTTGCTGATTCCCCGGGCGATGTCGTACGGTCGCGTCTCCCAGGCCGTACCAGGGATCGTCCGGCCGTCTGGCAGCGTCACCGTGATGTCCACACGCGGTTTGCTCGCGAGCTCCGCGTCGGCCTCCGCCTTGAGCCGGTCGTAGAGAGCGATGCGGTGCGGCAAAAAGTCCAGATTGGGCGGCGGTCCGGCGTCCGCCACCGGCACCACCACCTTTCCGGCCTTGGGAGGGGCCATTGGGCACGTTTCGTTTGCGAGAAGGAGAGAGCAGGGGAAGCGTTGGTCGGAGCGAGCGAGCGAGCGGACTGGGTCGCCGGGAGCTGTGTTCGGGATCGACTTTCCGGCAGATTTCTGGCCTTGAGAGCGTTTGCAGGCCGACTTGACTCACTCGAGAGAAGCTGCCAGATAGGGCAATATAGCACGTATTTTTCGGTGCGGGGTGCTCCTGCCCTCTCGGCCATGGCCAGGCCAGACCAGGCGGGGCAGGTGCCACTAAGCGCATGCAACACCTGATTGGGACCGTTTTCGTCCTTCCCACGGCTCACAGCCTCGAACACCAAGCACACCGCAATTTGAACGTCGCTCATGCACTGATTCGCTTGCTGATGACCACGTCGGGCCTCTACGCATCTTAGGATACAAGCTTAATATATTATCGTTGTGTGCTAAATACGCTCTCATTTGTAATAGACAAAGTCTTGTTACATGGAAGCCCAGCTTCATTACTCTTTCCTCTCATGCTCATAAAATCCACCCAGAGAAACCGGCGCGTTCCGTCTTGTTCTGTGCTGCTGGGTTGCCCCGACCTGCGAAATGGAGAGGCGGTTTTCTAATGTATAATGTGTATCGTGACAATCGTGATGGTGCTTTCGGCGTTCAAATCGTGGATTGATCCTTGCCATTCTAGTAGGTGTGCCGTGAAACCGACAAGCGAAACTCCGAACAAAAATGAAATGAACGATAAAAAGACGGCCTTCCCAGTGCATTTTATTTTTCAACTTCCCCTGTCATTCGCTGAGATCTGGATACGTGTCTGTGACACCGAGGACATACTGCTCAAAATTTGCCGAGTTCCGGAATCCATTTGTGGTCTGGCGAGTCGGCGGAGGCGTCGGCGCCCAGTTGTCGTCGGTGGTGGCATAGAACAGGTAGCGCTCGTATCGTGCATTTCCGGTCATGTAGCCGCCCAGGCCCCCGTCGGTATTGTTACCGGCAGCTGCACCTCCGCCCGGTTCGCCGGTTCCGTTGGCTTCTTCATCGCTGCTGCTGTTGCTGCTGCCAGTCGGGCTTCCGGCCGTGTGCGATAGGATCGTCTCGCACTCAAAGTCGCCCTCGAGGTGTAGCCGCTGCAGCCGTGACATGCGGCCACGCAGTCGGCGGAACAGGGACCGGAAGTTGCCGTTAAAGAGCGAGATACCGCCGCTGGGCGGCTCGTACGCTGTCCGAGCCATGCCGCGGCCACCCAGACGCAGCCGCTCCAGCGTGGCGGCGTGGCGGAGCAGGAAGACGCAGAGCTCGCGCTCGTCGCAGGCGATGCCCTCGAGCTTGAGGTCGGTCAGGCCAGCATAGGAGAAGCGGGTCCGCGGGGCGCCAGCACAGCCTCGGTGGGGTGAGGCATCCCTGCCGGGATAGCTCCCAAGACTGAAGCTACTTTCGCCGAGCAGCTCGAGGAAGGAGAGGATGAACTTGTCGCGTGGACGGACGTAGTTGTGGAATGCCAGGGACAGATGTGTCAGTTGTGGAGCCAGGCGCAGCACGTAGCCCAGACCGTTGACAGCCTTGAAGCGGGCCGAAGGGTAGGTGGCGTTACTTGTGTCGAGGGCGAGGTCGAGTCGTTTCAGGCCCGCAAACATGCCGCCACACTGGAACCACAGTCGGCGGTCGGACGATTGCCGGAACATCTCGAGCGGCAGCCGATCGACGGCAAAGGTGCTTAGTCCCGGGCTGTCACTGCCAGCGGCGGCCTTGTCGGCTTTGTGTGCGGCCGTGGCCTGCTGAAGGGCCGAGAGCAGCGTGTTGAGCGTCTTGCAAGCCGAGGCGTGGTCCATCTTGCAGCATTCTGGCACGGTGAGGGCACGGTGCAAGACCTCCAGGTCGTAGGGCGAGCGCCGGAAGGTGACGGCCAGGTGGCGCAGGTTGATTAGGGGCCGCAGGGCGGCGACCACGTCGGTGACATCATACGTGTTGAATCCCGGAACGGTCCGGCGCAGCTTCTCGAACTGCTCGTACGTCTTCCACGTGTGTGTGAGCAGAGCGGTCTGGCGCTCGGGCTCGAGCAGGTAGTTCTGGTAGTAAGCGGCGTGGCGAGCGTTGTCGAGATGAATGTCGGTGAAGTTGAAGGTGATCTCCTTGATGCTAGTATGCAGGCGATCGTGGCTGGCAATGGCCCGCAGGCGGGCCAAATCGTCGCGCCATGGGAGGGCTGTGAAGGTCGGCGGGAGCAGGTATGCATAGCCTACGTCGGCAAGTGTGGGTGTGACGAGGCGGAGAGCCCGCACTGAGGCAGGATCGCAGTACTCTAGTATCAACTGGAGGAGCTCGATGGGCAGAGAGTCCATGGCTGGCAGCGCGCAGATGGAGCCAGCAACAAGGCCAGCAACCGCCAGCAACAGCCAGCAAAACAGTCGACAGTTTAAAGGAGAGGAGGGGTGGTGGTGCAAGGACACGGAAGACGGCCGATCACGCGATGAGTTGGACAAGAGTGTGAAGATCCGAGGCCAGGTGACGGAGTGTGTGTGAGAGAAGGAGCCGTATATAGACGACGAGTGGAGAGGGCAGATGGAGAGCCAGAGGACGAGACGAAGGACGGACAGACGATACCGGTGGCGACCCTAAACAGGGCAGGCCGTAAACTGGGACGAAGGAAGGAAAAGAAAAGAAAGGAGCAGAGGAAGGAGAGAAAGGAGAGACGAATATAGGAATCGACGATGGCGAGAAATATCCAACGAGAACGGTACATGCATAGTATCGACGCACACCTACTCGCAGAAGTCGGTGAGCATGAGACAAGGCAGCAGAAGACCCCTGTCGGCTTTTTGCTAACCAACAGAAAGGGCAAGGGGAAGGGAGGCTAACAACTCCAGACAGCGCTGTATCTTACGGTGTGTCTAAGCCGGATGAGCTGCAAGGGCTGGGGGTGGAGGCTAGAGACGGGCTTTTTCTTTTAATTTAGACCTGGTTTCCATGCATGCAGGCCGCTCGCTCAGGCACCGGTAGGAAGAGCTTCCATCGTTCTAATTGTTTTCTTTCAACATTCCAGTGCCGGACAATGTAGCGGTGATGCCGGGTTGAGGGATCCGATTATCTGGTTGGTCTGGTTGGTCTGATCGTCCCGGCAATGGGGCCACTCAACGAGCCAGCGACCAGTCGATGACGGCCAGTGGCGTCGCAGCACGTCTGAGTTCAATATGTTCTCGTGTTATTTTGTTTTTGTGCGTGCGTGCGCGCAAGTGTGTGTGGCTTTTGCTTTTGCCTTTGCTTAGGCTTTGGTGTGGTCCTGTGCTTCTGTGGTTCTTTTTGCTTCTTCCAATGTCCCCTTTCGTATTACTCGCTTTTGCCGCTCTCGCGATCTGTGGACCGCTCTGTCTCTCTCTCTACTCTCTTGGAGGGGAAGGGGGGAGGGAGGGGGGGGGACGAAGAGGCGGAATCGATGCTGGTTGGTGGGCACACCGAAGAGAGAGAGGGCGGAAAAGGATTGGCAGTGGACGTCCCGAATGGGACGAGATTCGTCTGCAGGGCCGAAGATGTGACGAGAGGGACGGAGAAAGGCCAGAGCCGACCGAGAGGACAGACAGCAGGTGGCAGGCTGGGCAGGCAAATGGCGGAAATCGCACAAAACGATGCAGTCAAAAGGCGGAGGAGCAATTGCCCATGTGGTCTCCAGAGTGGATGGAAGCTGGTTGGCGGGCTCCCACGCGAGGGGTCTCTCATCACATTGTCCGTTAAGCTCACCGCCAGACGACGGTGAATGTGACACACCGGACAGGGCCAGCCTGAGGGGACCGGGGGGGTGAAGAGTGATACGGAGTAGGGAGAGAGGCAGAGGATGGAGGCGGGGGGCGAAGAAGAGCTGAAAACGCGACTGATGCAACCGAACTGCAAGGCCATATCTCCAATCTGAGCAGAGAGCAGGAAAAAGGGGGCGATGCGACGATGGCAAGGAGGGAGGGCCGAAAAGGGCATCTGCGGTCTTGAGTGGTTTCCGGAAAGAGGCCCCGTCAGCCGACATGGCCCAGGTCCTACGACGTATCTTACATAGCAGGGACCACGTATTTACAGCGCATGCATATCCCACGGAGGACAGTTTGGGGGAGTGCTCGTAGAGGCTGTCGCTGCTGCCTGGGGGGACTTGGACTTCATACGAGCGAGGTACGATTCCAGCATGGCAGCAGAGCCGGTAGGCTGCTGGAATGGCTCGCCAGCCCTGTAACGACAACCCCGCTGTGGGACGCTCTGCCGACAAACAGTCTTTGCCCGCCTGTTCTGCACAGCCAGTCGCGCCTGCCCCACGGGTGGCGAGCCGTGTGTGCTTTCGCTCGCTCCTTCTGCTCGTACTCGTAGAGTTCCGGTGCTCTGCTGCTCCCTGTAGCGTCCGGTCTTTCCCCTGATCACCACTTTTTGCAAGTCATCCGAATCCACGAATCCCCCAGGAATCACGACGCAACACGACGCATCACGACGCATCCGCCCGCACCACTGCGAATCACCGCAAAAGCACCGCGAATCCCAGCCCGGTGCCCACGTCGCTCCACCTGTCTTGTCGTGCGACGCATCGTGTGCGTCTGCGCCTGCGCCTGCGCATCGCCGACTTTCCCCTGTCAGCAAAATGAACGCCTGGACGGGTTCTTCCACCACCTAGCAATGAGCTGCCCTGCCGTCGTCGTTCCGACAGATGCCATTTTGCAGCCGCGATCGCGACCGTCATCCCCCGACATCCTCCTTGACCTCTCCGACATCTGATCCTCTGCTGTCAGCAGCATGGTGCTCGGCAGCTTTCTCCACAACAGCTCCAAGCGGCGAAGTGGCGGCAGCGATGCCTCCCGGGAGCAGCGGCCGGTCTCATCGTCCAGCATGAAGCGGCCGTCGGCCGGTCGAAACGGTAGCCGTAGCCGCAGCCGTGGCCGAAACCGCGACCGAAGCCACAGCCGCGGCCGCAGCCAGGCCAAAGACGGTGGCTCGCTCTTGCGACCCGAAGTCACAACGGACGCTGTTGGTGGCAGCTCTGCCGCTTCGTCCACCACGCGTACGGCTTCTGCCGGTGCACCCGAATATATCTCTGACGAGGCGCATCTGGCACCGCTTGGCTCCGAGGCGCCGGATCTGCGCGAGCTCAACAGCAGCCTCGCCGCTCTGGCCGTCGTCTTTCCGGATGTGCAGGTTGAGGTGTTCCGCGAGATGCTGGCTAACTTTGACGGCGAGTCTCGGTTGGCCCTGGTAGCCGATGCGCTGCTCAAGAACCGCGTGACCTGGGTCAAGGGCCGCTGGCGTGTGGCGGCTGATGTGCGGACAGCAGCAACTTCGGCCTCTTCAACCTCTTCGACCTCCTCAGCTTCCTCAGCTGTCTCATCTTCTTCCGCTCCTCCTAGCTTTTCCCCCGTGGCGCCTGCCGAACGCTTCCGCAGTCCCGAGTACAAAAAGGCAGCTATGGCGCTGGCCTATCACGAGTTTATGGGCCTCTCGCGGTCGACGATCAACGCGGTGATGGCAGAGCAGAACTACGCGTACCTGGACGGCCGCGACGCGTTGGTGCGGATTTCGGGCAAGTCGTGGCGATTCGCGCTGTCGTCGCTCTTCCTGCGGCGCAAGGCGGTGACGAGTGCTGAGGCCGAGAACCACCCGCTCATCGTGTGGAAGTCGTCGGGCCGGGGGTCGATCCTGCCGACAATCCGGACGACAGGCAGCGCCGAACTCGACTGCGAATTGTTTGAGGCGCTGATCGTACCGCTGCGAGCACAACGCCGGGCAGCTCAGGAGGATGCTGACCGGGAACTGGCGAGCACGGTCAACATGGCCGAGGCCGAGGAGGCCGGGGCGACGTACGACTGCGCGTGCTGCTTCGGGACGGCGACGTTTGAGGAGATGACGACATGCAGCGGCGACGCGGCCCATCTGGTGTGCTTCCGCTGCGTGCAGCATTCTGTGCGCGAGGCCGTCTTTGGCCAAGGCTGGGCCCGCACGATCGAGACCGACAAGGGCACGCTGCGCTGCACTGCCGTCGACAGCACTGACTGTGCCGGCGTGATCCCGGCCGACCACCTGCACCGGGCGCTACTGGACGGACCGCGGGGCGGCGACGTGCTGTGCCATCTGGAGCGACGGCTGGCCGAGCACAGCCTCTTGGGCAGCGGTCTGCCGTTGGTGCGCTGTCCGTTCTGCGCGTACGCCGAGGTGGACGACATCTACGTGCCATTTCACGAAGCATCGCCGCGGGTGCGTGTCGACAACCTGTACAGCCTCGTGTGCCTGATGCTGCTCTGTGGCGCTACGCCTGTGCTGGTGGTGCCGCTGCTGCTGGTGGCCGTGGTGGCGGCGCTGCTGCCACGCAGCGGTGCGCTGGCCGTGCTGAGCAGGAGCTACGCGGGCGAGCAGCTGACGGCAGCGATGACGCGCTACCGGCGACGGCGGCGTGGCCAGCAGTTCCGCTGCCAGAACCCGGCATGCGGCCGTGTATCCTGTCTGGGTTGCAGCAAGGAATGGGTGGACGTGCACGTGTGCCACGAGTCGTCCTTGGTGGCTCTCCGGACGCAGGTCGAGCAGGCCATGAGCATGGCCATCAAGCGTGTGTGTCCGCGCTGTCACACGTCCTTTGTCAAGACGGTCGGCTGCAACAAGCTGACTTGTCCATGTGGCTACAGGATGTGTTATGTCTGTCGGCGTGACATCAGCGGCAATGACGGCCCTGATGCCGGATACCGCCATTTTTGCGACCATTTTCGTCCGCATGGTGACGGCCGTGCCTGTAACCAGTGCCGCAAGTGCAACCTGTGGGAGACCGAGGACACCGAGGCTGTGCTGGCGGCAGCGCGCGAGGAGGCCGAGCGCAAGTGGATGGAGACGGAGCGACGCGAACTGAGCCAATCGGAGCGCGCCTTTCTGGAGACCGGCATTGCGGCCAAGACCACGCCAGCCAGTGCGGCTACCCGGCGGCTCGTCGGCAGCGTGTTAGGCGTTGAGAAGGGCGGGGCTCCTGGCGCTGGAAATGGTGCTGACAAAGCAGAATATGGCGACGGTCACGTGCTGCCGCGAAGTGGTGTCCGACTACCTTCGATGGCCGAGCTGTTGGACTGGCTGCTGGAGAGCGTGCTTGTATAGGTGGTGAGGTGTGTTTGGTGTGGTTTGGTTGTTGATTGTGTTGATCCCTTTGCCAGTCGATTTTCCGTCGTTTTCTCTGCCTTGTGCTTATCTTCAATCTCTTGTTCTGGGACGGTGTTATGGCTGGATCGGGAAAGACGCTAAATCACTCCTTCGTCTATGTTGCAGCATTGCGATTCGAGCCTGCACTCACCTCCTCTTTTCCTTTTCTTTCTCCTTTCTTCTCTCCTTCCCTCTCTTCTCACTGTCCTACGCCTATACGCAATCGCAACAAGTACTGTATGTATTCGTTGTCCAAGATATCCGGTCATTTGTCACACATAAAATACAAGGCCTCCTCCGAGGATTCCCTCCTGCTCCCGTCCACCTAGATCCTGCTCTTCTCCGACACCAGCTCGGCTGCCGCCCCCGCAATGGCCAGCTTGCCCGTCTCCTTGACGCGCACCTGGAAGATGACGCGCGACTTCCGGGGACCCTCGCGCCACATCTCGGTGACGAGCGTCTGTCCTGGAACGACGGTGCCGGCAAAGCGCACCTTGATGCTGCGGAACGGTCCAAACTGGTCGTAGACGGCGCGGCCGGCAAAGCCAAACGAGCAGAGCCCGTGCAGGATCGGCTGCTTGAAGCCACCCATGCCAGAAAAGGACGGGTCCACGTGCAGCGGGTTGTAGTCGCCGCTGAGCCGGTAGAGGGCCGCCTGCTGGGGCGACGTGGCCTCTTCGACGATGACGTCTGGCGCGCGGCTGGGCGGCTGGTTGGCGGCCGTGGCTGCGCCGCGATCCAACATCCGCTTGGCACCACCAAAGTCGCCGCTGCCGCGCAGAAAGACGGTCGTCTCGTTGTAGAACAGCTCGCGGCCCGTGTCGGCGCTGATCGTCGTGATGCCGGTGCGCACAATCGCCGCACTGCCCTTGTCTACCACGTCCAGCAGCTGGCCCGACGAGAGCAGCCGGCCCGACGTCGGCAGCGGATACTCGCGGATCTCCAGGTACTGCTCGCCGTGCAGCAGCATCATCGGGTTGAAGTTGGGCACAATGTCGTCAAAGCTGTACGGCAGGTCCGCGTCGAACTGCGGGATCACGCCGAATGTCGGGAGCACCTGGAAGTCGTCTGCTCCTTCGCTGTGACGGGTTAGCGGACAGTGAGGAAGGGAAAAGGGAGAGTAGGAAGAGGTAACTCACTAGATGTACTTCAGATCTGTCCGCTTGGCACCAACTCCCAGATTGTACAGCATCACATCGCGCTCCTTGTACGAAAACTCGGTCGGCTCCGACCTCTGCTTCTTGGCCTTCTCGATGGCCCGTAGGTACTTGGACTGGCCGGACGAGCCGCCGTCGGATTCGGACTGCAGACACAACACAAAGCGTGAGATTCATATCTATCTAGATATATAGAACACAGCACAACACACCGCTCCTCATACCTTGGCCTTGAGCTTCTTCTGCTGCTCCAGCGTGGCAAACACCCATTTCAGGCTGTCTTCTGCCTTGGTCGGGTAGTCGGCACGGCCGTTGTCAAAGTTGCCAATCTCGCCGAGCTGCCGGGCCACCGTCTCGGCTGTCAGCGCCTTGTCCTGCGCAAAGGTCACGCCCGCCGACCGCTGCCACCGCGTGCGTCCGGCCCAACCGCTGCCGACCTCGTACAGGCCGCCCGTCGGGTTCTTGGGAACCTTGTCGCTCGACAGCGCCAGCACCAGCGGCGCAATGTAGTCGGGCTTGAACGCCTGCACCAGCTCCTCGGGCATGACCGTGCGCGTCATCGCGGTGCCCGCGTTGGGCGCGATCGTGTTGACGTAGATGTTGTCCTTGGCGCCTTCGACTGCCAGCGCGAGCGAGAGCCCGAGAATGGCGCACTTGGCCGCCGAGTAGTTGGCCTGCCCAAAGTTGCCGTAGATGCCGCTGGTCGACGTCGTGTTGACCACACGTCCGTACTTCTGCTTGATAAAGTACGGCCACGCCGCCTTGGTCACCCGGAATGTCCCGCGCGCGTGCACGTTCATCACCGCGTCCCACATCTTCTCGTCCATGTTGGCAAACGCCTTGTCGCGCAGGATGCCCGCGTTGTTGATCACAATGTCGATGCGGCCAAACGCGTCGATGGCCGCCTTGACCACCACGTCGCCATCCTCAGCCGATGCCTTGACGCCCACCGCCTTGCCGCCCATCTTCCGGATCTCGCCCACCACTGTGTCCGGGTCGGCCAGATCGTTGACCACCACGGCCGCCCCGTGCTTGGCAAACGCCAGCGCGTACGCCCGCCCAATGCCCGCGCCGCCACCCGTCACCAGCGCCACGCGCCCGGCAAAGCTGACCGGCTCGCCGCTGTCGTTGGGTCCCAGCTTGACCGAGTCCTCCAGCAGCGTGACAAAATCGTTGGGGCCCGTCGGGTACTGCGCCTCCGTGAAGTCGCTGATCTGGTCCCACTTCTTCAGCACTGCACCCGGCGTGTAGCTGTCATCGCACTTGAGCAGCAGCCCGCCTGCCCGCTGCCACCGCAGCTTCGACACGTGACCGCCGCCGATCTCAAAAACCGCTCCCGTCTCGGACTCGTTGGACTTGTGTGCCAGCACCGCCACCACCGGCGCGATCCAGTCCGGCTTCAGCACTGCCGCCACCGACCGCTCCAACAGGTCCTCCGACTCGCCGCTGGCTGCTGCCGGCGAGATCGCGTTGGCCAGGATGTTGTACTTGAAGCCCTCCTTGGCCAGCGTCTCGGTAAAGCCGATCATGGCCGCCTTGGCCGCTGAGTACGCCGCCACGTTGGCCGCACCAAAGAGACCTGCCGCCGCCGTCGTGTTGATGACCCGCCCGAACTTTTGCTTGCGGAAGTGCGGCCATGCTGCCCGCGTCACCTTGTACGTTCCCCGGACGTGCACGCGAATCGTCGCGTCCCAGTCCTCGTCTGTGGTCGCGGCAAACGGCTTTGGTCGGATGATGCCGGCACTGTTGATCAGCACGTCGACGCGGCCAAAGCTCTGAATCGCCGTCTCGATGATCTTTTCGCCCTCGTCGACCGAGTCGTAGTTGGCTACGGCCTGGCCACCGGCAGCCTTGATCTCCTTGACCACGGCATCGGCAGGCTGTTGAGCAGGGTCGGCGTCAGTTTTCTGATATCGCTTTCGCTTTCGCGTTCGGGCTTGAAAACACATACCTTTTTCGATATGCTGCTACCACCGGTCTTGGGAACGCCAATGTCGTTGACGACAACCTTGGCTCCACGCGAGCCAAAGTAGAGGGCATACGTCCTGCCGAGGCCACCACCGGCACCGGTGACGACGACGACCTGGTCGTCGAAGCGCAGCTGGCTTGCCATTTGGGGGATGGAGATGGATGAGACAGGAGAGAGAGAGACAGAAGGGCGGATGGATGTGACGTTGGATGGCAGAAGATTACTGAGTGAAGATGAGAAGCAGAGACAGACAGTCGGCGGAGATTCACCATATGCAAAAATGGGATGGGAAGGTGACACGGCTCTGGGGCGTGCCTGCTATTTATGAAGGGAGACGAAGGATGACGAAGGTCAAGCTCGCCAGTCTGCCGAGGCACATTGGCTGCTGTGCTCCCCGGATTGGCCTTAGCCCCAGCAACGACGCACTGGGGAATGGGCGGCCGATGAGTGCCTGTGATTGCCGAGCGGGGGGACGCACTACTCGGTTTCTTAGCGGCCAGCGGCCCACTTGTCGCCCCATATGAGCCGACGCAACACGCACGGTGTGTACAAGTGGGGTTGGCCCCTCAGCTGGCGACACAAAATGCGTTGGGCGGGCATCTTCACATGTTACCGTACAGTGCGCCATACAGTACAGCATCTCGCCTGACTGATCATCGGGTTGGCAGTCGAGACATTGCTTAGTAAGCATACAGACGACTCGCTCAGACAGCTGAAGCCACGAGTCGAGCTCCGGGAGCTGTCCATGAAGAGCTATCTGGAGATCATGGCCGAAAGCTGATACTCCGTGCCGGCGGATCCACTACAACGGGGTTGAGCGTAGAGCAGCGCTAGCGCCAGTAGAAGCATACTCCGTATATCCTAGACATCTATCCGCCTGCTTGTGCATGTCTTTCAGAGCACCACCTGGACGTGGTTCACACCAGCCATGACGTCGACGCCAGACGTCCCGCAGCAGTTGTGCATCGTCGACGACAAGTCGCCCGTCTGCATTCCCTTTATCCTCGACCGTCTGGCCGCGTATCAGAAGCAGCAGAAGCAGGACCATGACCATGACCATGACCATGACCAGAGCCACCACCACCATCCCCGGCCCTTTCTCGTCGGCATCAACGGCGTCCAGGGCATTGGCAAGACCACCCTGGTCAGCGCCCTGGCCGAGACGCTGCAGAGCCGCCAGGGCCTCGAGACGCTCATCGTCAGCATCGACGACTTCTACCTCAGCCACGCGGACCAGCGCGCCCTGGCAGCCGCCCAGCCCGACAACGGCCTCGTCCAGGTGCGCGGCGAGCCCGGTACCCACGACACGCAGCTGCTAGCTGCTTTTTTTGACGCCATCTGTGCCGGCGCCCCGACTCGCGTGCCCCAGTACGACAAGGCCGCTTTTTTCGGCCAGGGCGACCGCATCGCTCCCTCAGCCTCCAACGCTGGCCGCCTCGTCAACGGGCTCGCTGACCGGCCGCTCCAGGTCGTCATCCTCGAGGGCTGGTGCGTCGGTTTTCGACCGGCCGATCCGGCCGTCATCGAGGCCAAGTGGAAGACCGCTGTAGCTGCTGCTGCTGCTGCTGCTGCTTCACCCACACCCGTTTCCTCCCAACTACACAAACACAAACTCGAGCACCTCCTCTTCGTCAACAGCCAGCTCGCCGCCTATGATTCCGCCGTCACTCGTCGCCTCGATGCCTTCATCCACCTCGACGCCCAGCAGACCCCCTTCGTCTACGCCTGGCGTCGCGAGCAGGAAGCCGCTCTGCGCCGCGACCGCGGCTCCGGCATGACCGACGACCAGGTCGACCGCTTCGTCGACGCCTACTACCCCGCCTACGAGCTCTTCTCCGACGGCGTCCGCCAGGGCCTCTTTCTGCCCGACCGTCCCGGCTGCCAGCTGCGGCTTGTCGTCGGAAGAGACCGCCGCGTCCAGGAGACTGTCGTCTTGTAATTGGACATCGACATGTCAGAGCAGCTTCACGTCCAGATAGAACAGTTCATAAGAAACGATAACGTGTTTTCGCCCACTGACAAAGCCCAAACCGTCGTCATTCAGTTCATAATAGCTTCCCCTCCTGCTGCCTACACTCCTGCCGCTTTCCCGCGCATCATCCCCTCTCCTTCGAGCTTCAGCGTGTCCAGAGTGCGATCTATACTCTCCATTTTGTCCCGCACCATTTCCTCCCGTTCCGCAATCTCCGTCTCAAACTCCGCCACCTTCTTTCGCTTCGCCTGCCGCTTCTCCCGGATCCTGTTCGACAGCTCCGAGAATTGTGTGAGAAACCAGTCTCCGCATTCGTCCCACTCCTTCATCGACATCTCCGTGAAGAAAATGTGCTGGCTGGTGCCGTCTTTTCTCTTGTGCTGCACAAGCCGCTCCTCCAGTGACAGCTTGGGTGGCGTAGTCGCTGCTTGCTTCACCGCCACTCGCGTCGGGTCATGGTCGAAAGGCTCGACCCTGAGATCCGAGTAGCTCATCCGGTGCAGCATGCTGTCGTCGTAGTCCAGACTGTTCCGCCGCTTTCGGCCCGTCTTCTTGTCACGCCGGCTCCCGCCTCCACCAGCTGTCCGTGGGACTGAGCTTTCCAGCAGTCCTCTTGTCAGCGGCACTCCTGACGGTGGCAGCGGTGGTGGGCGCCGGGGTGGAGAGTAGTGTTGCCGTGGAGTCTGCTGCGTCGTAGCCTCGTCATCGGGTGACAGTCCGTCACTTTCGTCCTCTGATCTCGCCGCCTTCCCCGGCGTTCGTGCCAGCGGCATTTCTGCCTCGCGGAAATAGACAGGCTCACGAAGGCCAGCCTCTGGTGCCATGCTCCCTCCTCCTACAGCCTTGGACTTGCTATCCCGCCCCTGACGGAGTCGCCGTTCCGGCGACCCACCCTTGACATCCTCGTAGTTCCCGCCGGACGGCCGATCAACAAACGACGGCCGGCCTGTTGCTACCCTACCATCGCGCAGTGGCTGTCTTGGGTGTTTCAGGTACGGCGCCTGCCTTGTAGGAGACCCATACGGCGGCCTCTCGTGGGGGTCATCCGTCCGGTCTGGCGCATCTCCTGCCGCATTTCTGAGTCCTCCTCGGTCTCCAACAAGAGGGCCGGTCGGCTCATCTGCCAAGTGCTCAAAGCGCTGCTGCATGCGTTGCTGCTGAACAATATCTTCGTACCGGCCACGGCTCACTCGTTGCTTTCGGGCAGTTGCAGGTATGCTCTCCGCAAACATGGAATTGATGCTCGACTCCTCCCAGATCTGCTGCTGGGTCTGCTCCGAGGAGGAAGGAGGCGGTGACCTTGTCCGACGGAGAGAGGATTGCCTCTGAGCCTGCTGCTGTTGCTTGGGAGCTGCACCTGTCGGGAGTGCGCTGGCCTGGTGGCCAATAGTCGCGCTGCGTACTGGGACAGGAACGGGGATCATGGCTGCCTCGGCAAGCTGCTGCCGTGTCGACAGTGGCAGTGGCGGTTGCGTCGGCTGTTGCGCAGCAAGCTGAGGAGACGTTTCGGGGCTCTCGTCGAGTCCGCCATTGTCATCGCCGTTGGGGTCTGAGCTTTGCATGTATCGCAACATTTTGAGTTGAGTTGCTGGCATCATCGCCTTTCTGATGCACGAAAAACAGCTGCTGGTAGCGGTACCACTGATAAATGGGGACTTGACCAGGGCAGGTGACAGGCTTCTACTCCGTACCGTTGAGTCTCTTGTGGAGTAGCTGGCTGCACACGGTGAGCAGGAGATTGCGCAGATGGTTATTTGAACTGGGGCCAGGTACGAGCTCGCTTTCCTTCGTACTCGTAAAGCTGTGTACGTCGTACACCGTAAAGCTTCCGCTTCGTCTTTGCCACAGTGCAGCTGCGTCTGCACGTTGTTGCCTGCGCTGCCCTGCTTCGGAGAGGGGCGGCAGAGAGGGTCAATACTCCGTACAGCGGGCTTTTTGACGTTCAGCCCAGGTGTGTTGGGCACGAATCCGCTCGACGCGGTGAGGACAAAAAGTGGTGACAAGAGGCAGAAGCATAGAGTAGTCACGTCTCGGGCTCTGATGGCGTCGGAAGGCAATCGCACGAAGTCAGGTGAACTGCAGGCAACTCCTTCCCTTATGGTCGGGAACTCTGGCCACTAGCGCGTATGGATATGGCCGACCCACATGGTTGCATATAGCAAACTTCTGTCTCCGAGAAGCTGTTTCGCATCATCGCATCGTTCTGACAGAGCCATTCTAATCAACTACCATGTACTCCGTACGGTAGCATCTTCGGTAATCTGTAGATCAAACTGGCTCTTGAAATTAGTATCAAGTATTGGCCCTGTCCCCTCCTTTAAAACTCCATAAAAACGACAATCCTTACATAAGTGGCTCGCCTTATTCTATCTCGTTAGAAGCAAAAGCTTTTTAGCTCATACCGCTCATCTTGTTGCTAATAATCTTGTTGAGGCCACACAGTCTACGGAGTACAGGCCAATGTCACTTCACCGCTCATATCAAACGGCTGACAGAAATAACTCCATCGCCCCTGTGGCACGACGCTAGTCGTTGGGCCTTCATACTCCGTACAGTACGATATATTTATACATTTATGAAATAACGTGTTAATGTGTATTTCGTATCATAGTCCATATGCTGAACTATGCCAAGGAAATGTGACTCCATATTGGAGGACTATACTCCGTACAGAGCCTCAGTTTACGGTGTCATTGAGGTATGACCTAATGTACTCAGTCGTATCCCAAAATGAATTCAGAGTTGCAGGAGTCTGTAGCTTCCAAGTGTCGGGCGAAATGCTTTTGTAGATGAAATTTTGTACACTTCGCGCTGTTTTTGCAATGAATCAAGTATTATCAGGGACCCAGTTGAGGCCGCAGAGATTCATCCTACCTCACCAACCCATATCGTATCAACGTTTCTGTACGAACATGTGTGGTGATGTGGACGAGCGCTTGGGCATGCAACTGACCTCTCTTGACGAATAAATCATGAGGTCCGATCAGCCGTGCACAGATGTTTTGGTGCAGTATTACGAGTTTGAGGACAGCCGATGTCCTGAGTTGGGAGATCAACCTGTGTATTGGCGACGTAAGTCAAAATAGACCTACAAGATCGTCCTGGGCGACGGCTAACGAGATAGTTGGCTGCAGATCCCGGATGCCCTAGTTAGCTAGCCCAATACATCTGGCAGTTTGCTGCGGAAACCTTCAGCAAGTTCGACGCAAGTCGTAATGCTCGAGATGTGGTTGTAGGCGCCACTACAACACAAACGATCGTTCGCCGAGGGAAGACCTTGTCGACGGTGTGTCTGGCCTTTAAGAAGGTCCTGGCAGAACACGCCGCCCCCAAGGCAGAATGCAACGACTTCTACTTAGCTATAAACCGGTTCTTGGTTTTGCGCGCTCCAAGTGGTATAGCCACCGAGATTGACTGGGAAGAGATGAAAAATTGCAATCTCGGTCCCTACCAGATGGCTTAGAGCCTGTCCAGGCACTTCTCGACAAGGCACTATAAAATTTGGTAATTGATTCGCCCACGGATTACTCCGTACTCGCGTAGAAATCGGGTAACTAATTGGCAGGCAGACGTTGATACCGTACAGCTGTCCGCGACATAGCTGAGTGAGGCGGCAGGGGCTGACCGCAATGTAACCCTTCACCATAAGCTTTACCATAAGCCTCGTGGAGATAAGTCTGAGCTGTCGATCTGGGACTGTTGATATTGGGTGTATAGTATTGTTGACAATATGTAGTGGCCGACAACGGCGCTCTAGCCGATAAGATTAGAAGTATACGTCAGCGGGGCAGAAAGTTTTCCATTACATGAACTATTTCCAATCAACCACGTGCAATTGTTCGCCACTTACCAAGCACACCTAGTGGTGACCTCTGCTGCTCGAGGAACAGAAATACGCCTCCGCAAACACATACGCGCAATCTACCACCATGGCACCGGCGCTGGATGTGCCAGAAGCCGTCGAGGATGTCCTTGCCAACCCGCTGAAGGCAAAGCCACAACTCGTTGCCCCCGAACCAGAGCACTGTCCCGGCCCCGAATCCGAGCAGGCTGGCCAGGCAGATTCGTGCGCTGGCTGTCCGAACCAGCAGATATGTGCCTCCGCACCGAAAGGACCCGACCCAGATATCCCCCTCATATCAGCACGGTTAGAAAACGTCAAGCACAAGATTCTTGTCCTCAGTGGCAAGGGCGGCGTAGGAAAGGTGAGGGTGACCACGGGGATTGGGTTGACCTGACACGTTCTGACGATTACCTGATCCAGAGCACATTCACAACGCTGCTGGCCCACGCTTTCTCTGCAAACCCCGACAACAATGTCGGCATCATGGACACGGACATCTGCGGGCCGAGCATCCCCAAGATGATGGGTGTCGAGGACGAAACCATACACGTGAGCAGCGCAGGTTGGTCTCCGGTGTGGGTGTCAGACAACCTGGGCGTTATGAGCATACAGTTCATGCTGCCGAACCGAGACGACGCTGTGATCTGGCGCGGGCCGAAGAAGAACGGACTTATCAAGCAGTTCCTCAAGGACGTCGAGTGGGGCGACCTCGATTTCTTGCTGGTGGACACGCCGCCAGGTACGAGCGACGAGCACCTGAGCGTCAACTCGTTCCTGCAAGAGAGCGGCATCGACGGAGCGGTGATGGTGACGACACCGCAGGAGGTGGCACTGCTGGACGTGCGGAAGGAGATTGACTTTTGCCGCAAGGCCGGCATCCGCGTGCTGGGTCTAGTAGAGAACATGAGCGGTTTTGTGTGCCCCAAATGCCGACACGAGAGCCAGATCTTCCGGGCGACGACGGGCGGCGGACGTGGGCTGGCCGAGGAGATGGGGCTGCCGTTTCTGGGCGCGGTGCCGCTGGACCCGCGCATCGGACTGGCCTGTGACTACGGCGAGAGCTTCTTCGACAGCTATCCGGACAGCCCGGCATGCGGAGCGCTAAAGACAGTGGTGAGGGCACTGGCACAGCAGCTGAAGCTGGATCCGGGAAAGGTTCTGCCCGACGACTGACGAAAGCAAAATGATATCCAAAAAAATAAAAACAGCAGCCCGTCAATATAGAATGTCATCTCAAGCCTTTTCTGTTTCCCTGACCGCTGATGTGAATATAAACGCCCCTCAGAAGAAGCATTTTGGGGATGAATCCTGGTGCCTCAAATTCAGACAGAGCCCAGCTTGTGCGGCAGCTCCTCGAGATCCTCGGCAGATTCGATGTCGATTACCTTTCCGACCTCGCTCGTGTTGCGCATAAGCTCCTTGGCGCCAGCGTACAGCATGCGCATCTCATTGTTGGACGTGATGGGGAGGTAGTATAGCAGGACGTAGGGAACGGACATCCGGCCAGAGGGCTGCGATCCGCAGAGAAGCCGGGTCAGCAGGAGGGTAGAGGGCGACGGAAACAGCACAGGAAGGGAGAGTGACGTACGAGGGTCATGGGGTAGCTGAGGAGCACGAAGCGCGGCGAGTTGTCGGGCAGGTCGTCGGCGATCTCGTCGAGGCTCTTGTAGACGGTCTTGTCAGCATCCTGGCGGATCTCTTTGGAGACCTTGTCGATGAGATCTGGCAGCAGAAGGTGAGCGTGGAGCGCGCGCGTGAAGACAGAAGCTGTGGACGTACAGATCACGGCCTGTGGATCATTGGAGCGCGACGTGCCAAGACGGAACTTGCGCAGCTTATCCTTGGTCTCTTGCGAGAAGGTGTATAGTCTGGCCTCGGAGCTCTACATGGCCCACGTTAGCGAGAGGGAGCAGGAGAGACAAGAGTGCCGGGAGGACGGCACACCATGGTGAATGACCGGGACAGAGATGGCCGACGCGGTGTGTCGAGAGGAGGAGAGTGTTGGACACGCAAGGACGCTCTGGTTGAACAGTTGGCGGGTGATCGCAAGAATAGCTCGCCACAATCGCGGGGGCGGGGAGAGGCTCCAATTGGAAGGGCCGCTAAAGCCGAGAGAGCTTGTCTACAGGAGGCGCTTCTATTTTGGGCCAAACAGTATAATTACTCCGGGTTTCCGCCGCACCACAAACACAGACCGATTGCGTCACGCGCTTTTCTTCGCGAACTATCCTGCTTCGGTCCGGCGCTTTGTTTCTCTTTCTGTCTTTTTGTCCCTTCTTTTCGCATCGGCCGCCTACAGACACAACTGCCGGCTGTCCCCCTGATGTCGCTGCGCCTGTCCCAGATTCTGCGACACCTATCCGTGCCATCTTCCCTGCGCTGCTCGCCGTCATCCACGTCGCTCTCCCGAGGTGCAGCCGCTGTGACTACTAACAGCAGCTTCTCCTTCCCCACGGCCCGATCCACCATGGCGGCTCCGTCGGCGGCTATCCGCAATGCCAGCAAGTCCATCCATACGGCGGCCTGTCTCATTATTGGAGACGAGGTGCTGGGCGGCAAGGCATGTTTGTTTCATATAGCCCAATAAAAAAGCGAGGAAAGATGAAGACAATCACACAGACAAACTGACCAATGAAACGGCCTTGAGCTTGTTTAGACGAAAGATGTGAGCTTCATCACCAATAGGGGGGCAGCACGAGAGCACAGCAGCTGACGGCTTGATCGCCTTTTGTTTCCCGTCGAGACACACGGCAGACCAATTCTACCTACGCGGCCCAGTGGTGCTTCTCGCTCGGAGTTGTAGGTCCAGACCTCCTGGCGAGCGAGCCTCAGAGTGGACTGACAGACTGCTGCATAGACGTTGAAGCGAATCGAAGTGATCGAAGACGACGAGAGCCAGATCATCGAGGCCGTCCGCCGAATGAGCGCCAACTATGATTTTGTCGTGACCAGGTGAGAGAGACAGGGGAGAGAGGAGAGGAGGAAAAGGAAAGAGGGAAATAAAAGAAGAAAAAAAGAAAAAAAGAAAAGAAAAACGAGATGGCGTACTGACGGCTCATTTGCAGCGGTGGAATAGGGCCCACGTAAGTTCAGACAAGCGAGCGTGCAGGAAGGATCTGCCCCTTTTCCCCCGGAAGCCCCTCCTTGTTCTCACGTGGCCGTCTGCAGACACGACGACATTACGTATCCGTCCGTGGCCAAGGCCTTTGGGTTGGAGCTGCAGCTGTACGAGGAGGCGTACGCCCGGATGCGCAAGCTCTCGCGGCCGCGGCCGTCACAGCCGCCGATCGACTGGGACGTCGACTCGCCGGAGTTGCGGGCGCGCCTGCGCATGGTCGAGCTGCCGACAGACCCGGCTCTGGCGCCCGATCAGCAGTTCTTCTTCACGCGCGAGGACCTGTGGGTGCCCGTGTGCGTGGTGAACGGCAACGTGCACATCCTGCCGGGCGTGCCACGGCTGTGTAAGTCTGCGCCTCCTGTCGCCCTGTTTCTTTTGCTGACGACCAGTCGAAATGCTGCTGGACGGCCTGAAGCCGGCTCTGGAGTCGCGGCTGGCCAGCGGCAAGGGCATCACGCGCGTGCTGATCTCGACACCGCTGCCCGAGAGCCTGGTGGCGCCGTATCTGACCGAGCTGGCTGCCCGGGTCGAGCCCCGGGGCGTCAAGGTCGGCAGCTATCCGCGCTGGAACCACAAGCACAACACGGTGACGCTGGTCGGAAGGTCTGTCGTTGCCATCTCCTCGCTTGTTGTCCTTCCCTGTGCTGACAAATCAGGGACGAGGCGTTTATCGAGAGCCTCGTGCCAGAGGTGACGGAAAAGGTCCAGGGCCGCCGTGTGAGCAAGGAGGGCGAAGATGACGACCTAGAGGAGTCGGTTGAGCAATAATGGACATTGGAATCGGACTCGGAAATGAGGAGGGGTGGGCAAGCTCTGGAAATCCACACACACTCGGCCTCCCGAGATTGGCAGATGCATGCGAGTATCTCGCCGTATTCTAGAAGGACGGCGAGACCGGACGAGGAAGCAGAAGAAGAAAAAAAAACAAGACCAGAAGCCCGATTGCGCCACCACGTGGTGGTATCAAGCAGGACGGCCGTCTGCCGTTGCAGCTGCAGCTGCAGAAGTTCCAAGTGGCCGTCCCCACCACCTTTTTGCCGGCGGGGTGATGTCGTCTGTCGTTCACTTGCCTATTTGGCTCTCTAGGCCGCTGTAGCGCAACGCGCCGGCGCAATCTCATGCGGAACTCGTATCTTACAGTGCTCTAACACCCGTTTCACCTGCTCTTTCAGACTGGGCCTACTCCAGATTGGGGATTCGGGCGCCGTGGCCAGCCCACTCGTCATTTCGTTTCTGCCGAACTATCGCACTACTGTACAAAGTACAGCTCGTACGAAGATACTACACACGAAGCACAAGCCGTACTTTCGCCGCCTCCTTGAGGCTGAACTGATAGCGTGTTTCGATTCTCTGTCAGACCATTCACGCTGGCTGCTGCTCACACTCTTAGGTAAGATAACGTAGATATGCGTGATAGACGGTGACTACATACTATGTATGTATACAAACAATCGTCACAATCCGGCAATGCCGTGCCAATCTGGCCGTCCCCCCTTTTCTCTTTCCTGTTTTGCTCTTGTCTGCCTTTCTAATCGTTTTGGAAAAGCCTCAATTTTAAATCCTCCCCACACTGCATCACTTGCTCGAGAGATGCCTCGTACTGCTCGTCAGCAAAGGGCCGTTCTGCTCGGCCTGGTCGAGCACGTAGCCGTGATTGCGATGGCGGCATCTCGACGACTGCGCGCCTGTCTGTGCTCCTGCCCGCTCGCTTGGCCCGTCTTAGCTGCCTTTCGCTATCTTGCAGAGTATGTGCTCCGTAGGTGCGGATACCATCTTCAGGTGCTGCATGCACTTGACGTGCTACCTTGTCCGCTCGGCTACTCGCGCGTCACTACTCCGTACTGTTCTGTACTTGGATGCCCGGGACCCTGACCGTATCTCTCTCGGCTGGCTTGCACTTGCTTGCAAGCTGCATGTCGCATCGACGTCGTACTTTGCCCAAGCGGCCAAATTTAATATAAAAAGAGGACCCCAACTTTAGTGGCTATCTCCCCACTGCCATTGCACCCACCAAGCGTCGGGTTGCAAGGTAATATAAAGCCTCGGAATGTCTCCTCAGTCTGGCAGAAGACGTCCGACGATAGCCTTCTCAGCGAGCAATTTGCCCCCCGGGCTCGTGTACGGCACCTCTGTACGGGATATACGAGCGCGTACTGTATCCGTATCTTACGTTGCGAGAGCCTCTTGGTCCTGCTGGCGGCCGGCTAACGAGTCAAAACGGGGGAAGGGACCCCTGTGATGTGCTCGGACGGCTGTGGCCACCGAGAACATGCACTGTGCGGGTAGCTCCCTCGCAACGGCTGGCTCGCCAGATCAGCTACGGAGTACTTTGTACGTCGTATGTATCTTACGTCGTAGATGCAGAACTTGTCGACATGCAGGTCGGCCGAGCATGTAAGATATCCTGCATGGCACTCTGTTCGTATGGACCAGGACAAGGTTAGGGATATTACGAGCACTCCGTACGGAACAGGCCTGCTTGCTCATGTCGTCCTCGTCAGCGTTAAGCTTTTAGGGTTTGATATCAGGGATCACTCGTGCTCCCTGGTGTACAGAGTACTCGTATGTATCTGGCATGGAACCGGTTCTATTTCAGGAAGGCCTGGCCTCGCGCCATACGGCCTTCTCCTGCTTGGCTCGTCCTGCAAACGCAATGCCGGTCCAGTCCTCACGCGCGACGGCAGACGCAGATTGGCTGGGGCGGGCTCTGGTGGTGGAGCTGGATACAATTGTCCCTAATAGTGGATGGCCCCAAACCACAGTTCTCAATCTAAGCACAGTATCCGCACAGTGCTGCATCATTTCCCGTTTTTGGACGCGCTTCTGGCCGGCAGACGTGACTTGGGCGAGACCGTACCAGTCACTCGTCTTTGCACGGGACCCAGGTCGCGCTGAAGTATTTCCTTTTTTTACACCCTTTTCTTCAGTGTGAGCGCCCGGGCCTCCAACAACGGCCCATCCATCGGCCACGAGGGCACTCTCGCAGTTGTAGGACCTGCATCGACGGTTGTCGGCAGTCGCCTACTATGTAAGCACAGATGCAGGTAAGAAAACGGCCATCCATCGCTCTCAGCTTGTCCTGCCAGCAAACGCTGCGACACGGCAGTGCTGCGGTGCATACAGCGTATTCTGTGGCGCTGTAAGCCCGGTGACACCGCGTCTGTGCCCGTCCGTTTCCGGCCTGAAAGAGGACACACGACATACTCCGTACAGAAAAGGCAAAAAGCACATGATTGTTGGCTGTTTCGATCGCTCCTGCACCTGCAGCTTGCTTCATCCAGGACAAACAGCATTAAATCCGGTATGTGGGGGTTGGGGTTTTTTAGGGAAGGCACGGGCGTGGTTGCAGTGCATCAAAGGGTGTGGCTGCAGCGCGCCTCTCGTTCTTGCCACGAATTCTCTCCGCCGTTTGGCTGCAGGCCAAGCGCTTGATAGCCTGCCACACCACTTCCAACCCACTACCCATCCTTGACACACACCACCCGTTTCGCTGGCGCCGCCCCCTGCCCTTTCCTTTTTATCTCTTTTTTTTTTTTTTTTTTTTTTGCGACTCCCTTTTCTCTCATTTCCCCCCTTTCTCTGGTCCCATCCCTCTCTTTTCTTCTTTTATTTGAATATTTCCAATTGCTACTCCGTACTGGCATTTCCTTCCCCGTGCTCTTCCTCTTTCCTCCCTGCCTTCGACTCCTCGTATCTTCGCCTTCATCTCGTATCCACAACGATCCATTTCCCGCCATCCTTGAGCACGCCTTTCTCGCTGTACAGTGCTCTTCATCTCCTCCCCAAGCTTCCCGCCCTCGCCAGCACCACTAAAAGCTGGATCGGCGCCTGTGCCAGTTCGTCGTGCCTTGAATTTCGAGGAATTGATCCTCCCGTTACATTGATCCGCCTGTCAGCGAACAATTACCAGCCAGGGAGAGACCAGACCAGAACGGCTCGCTCAATCCCCTTCCTCGCCGTCCATTGATCGATCAGCTAGTCCAAACTCCGTATAGGCAGACTGACCCACGGCCACCACCCGGACCCGGCGAATTTCCCCATAGCCTATACCCATTATTGGGGACTCCTGAGAGAGAAAGAGGAAACCTTCAAAAAGTCTCCAATCCCTTTTTTACTCCTTTTCCCTCGCGCAACCCGCAAAGGCGAAAGTCAAAGGGATCTGTTTCAACGTCATCCACGCTTTTCGCTTCCCAGACGAGTCTTTGCTTTGTATTCCTTGGCCAGCTGCGTCTCTGAAACAGCTTTATTCCCGGTTCCCGAATTGCAGCTCTCTTCCACCTCTTCCCTTCTCTTCTTGTTCTTGTTCTTGTTCTTTCTTCTCGCCGCTTCGACCAGCTCGCGAAGACTTCCTCCCCCATATACCCGGAAGACATCTGCAATAATGGCATCCAAGGTATGTTCGTGCTGCTTCGAGCCTTTCTCTCTCGCTTCTCCTTTTATTTTCCCTAGGCGTTCTAGCTGTCTTGGCGCGCTACTTCGAGAAGCTCTGAAGAATTGGCCGATTGAGAGCTACACCTACGAGCCACCAGCCTTCGCGCCATACACACATCTCGATGGTTACCATGGAAACTTGTTTGGCTAACAGTTTGCGAACGCGTTAGTTCCTGAGAGAATACAAGCTGGTCGTGGTCGGCGGTGGTGGTGTAGGCAAGTCTTGCCTCACCATCCAGCTGATTCAGAGCCACTTCGTAGACGAGTACGATCCGACGATTGAGGGTACGTTTTAGCCCACAGTGCATCCGGTTACCATCAAGCCGGCGCCCGAGCAGTCAGACTAATCATTTCCAACGATGCTTAGACTCGTACCGGAAGCAGTGCGTCATCGACGAAGAGGTTGCCCTGTTGGACGTTCTCGATACCGCCGGCCAAGAAGAATACTCAGCGATGCGGGAGCAGTACATGCGGACTGGTGAAGGCTTCCTACTGGTGTACTCGATCACTTCACGGCAGAGCTTTGAAGAAATCACCACGTTTCAACAACAGATCCTGCGAGTGAAGGACAAGGACTACTTCCCGATGGTGGTTGTGGGCAACAAGTGCGATCTCGAGGGGGAGCGGGAGGTGACCAAGCAAGGTACGAGAAGGCAATGTTCATCTTGGACTGAATGATGTATGCCTGTGTACTGACAATGGCTGGTTACAGAGGGCGAGGCGCTAGCAAAATCGTTTGGCTGCAAGTTCATCGAGACGTCAGCCAAGTCACGGATCAACGTCGACAAGGCCTTCTTCGATATTGTCCGCGAGATTCGACGATACAACCGGGAGATGCAGGGCTACTCAACCGGCAGCGGGGCGTCTAACTCGAACGGGCCAGCAAATAAGCTGGAGGTCAGCGACGCCGATGCAGACCCAGGATGCTGCGCCAAGTGTGTGATTATGTGAAGCGGACAGAGGCACGTCGTGACGTCTGATGTTGGCTGGTGAAGCAGAGGATGAGATGTGCAACTTTTGCCTTCTGCATTGGACACGACTGGTTGCAATGGTCCCTTTCGTTGGGTTTTGGCGGGCAATAGAGGAGGAGATGCTGCAAACGGCATGAACAGATATACGGCGAACCGACCGGTCCTCGGGACAGGATGCGAGTTCGAAAAATCCACGGCGGGTTTCGAGCATTGGCACGGGAGGAGGCGTTCTCGCCGACCAATGTGACAAGACGAGAGACGTGAAGTGTCAAGTCCGTGCTTGCGCCGGTACTCTGGAAACTTGGTACTGGTCTCTTTGTTCTGCTTGGAGCATCACTGGCAACGGCTAGCATGTTTAGAGTTAGTTCGCGAGGGTGTGCCCATCTTGTCCTTTGACGTCGTTCACGGGGGGCCGTGTTCCTAATCCCCTTTCCTGTTGTCGATGTGATTTTGTTTTGGCAGCGACTGAGTCCTACTGACTGGCTCTAATTTGATTTTGGTTGTTTATTATCGGTTTTTTTCCATCTTCTCCAGCAGCTACCCACTGTTCCTTTTTGTCATCTTTGTGTCCCTTCCTTCTCGTTTGTGTATCTCTTTAGTTTCCTGGGACCATACCAGATATCTTACCTATTCGTCTTTAGGGGGGAAAATGTTCAATGAACGAGTTCCAAAGAAACCCATGTGCGCGACTGGTGAACTGAACAAGTAAGGTGAACAGCCGAGGGTTTGTTCGTCAGAGAGCTGGACGGCTATAAAGCCAGTCATGCGAAGCGGTTTAGCATGCCGCTCTTTTGCATCATCTCTTCACCTTTGGTCACAGTTTCTAAACAGCATCTCATTGATGAGTCGCGATTTGCCTCGGCCTTTCTGGATCTTCAGTCAACTTCTGCTCTTCACCTTCAGCAGATATGTCTGATAACGAGTGGCTCGCTGCCGGTGTCGACATTAGCGACGAGGACATCAACGGCAGCATTTTCGACAATATGATCGGCGGCTACTTTGAGGCTGCTATTCCCGTGGCCCAGTCGCCGGCTCCCTTCGCTGAGCCCGTCGCTGTGCCCGTCGCTCCCATTGACCCGCTGCCGGCCCCAGTGGCAGCCCCAGTGGCAGAGCCGCCGGCTCCTGTGGCCGAAGCGTCCGCTCCCGTGGCCGAAGCACCTGCTCGTGTCGCTCAGCCCGTTGTTGAGGTCCCCTCGGTCCCGAATATGAATGCGGCCGCACGGAGGGCAGCACGTTACGCCGCCATTACCGCCAAGAGAGTCGCGACGATGGCCAGAAAACGAGAGGCAGCTGAGGCGGCCAGGATTCGAAGTGCCCGCAATTTCGCTGCCCGTCGCGAACGCGAAGCCGCCGGCGAGTCCTCTGGTGCTGCAGGCCCTGCAAGGGAGTATGTGCCCCGTGTCATCACTCGTCGCATGGCTGCCGCTTCCGCCGCTGCCGTTGCTGCCGCTACTGCTGTTTCTGTCACGACTGCTGCTGCTGGTGCTGCCAATGCAGCGTCCGGTGCAGATGCGCCTGAGTAAGTGATCTTATTGTCAGGTCCGGCGTTCCCTCGTCGTAGGTGAGTCCAGTCGTATTTGAGCCCAAAATGTAGAAGTGCCTCCTGTTGATCTGCACTCGTTCTCGAAGTGCCTCAGGTTAGTCAGCACTCGACAATGTTGGTAGTCGTAGGTATCAGATCCTTGAACACTGTCACGAAACATACAAAATCATAAGTCGTAAATCTCACACGCAGAACTTGTAACACATGCAGTGAATTGTTGTTATGAACAGCCGCTTATACTTGTAGGGCTGCAGTGAAATAACCAAAGGGTATCTATTCATTAAAGGAGCGAACGAGACAGCCTTCGGCTTCCATCATTAAGGAGCGTTGATCATATTGACTTTTCCTAAACCAAAGAGACGTACCAAGTAGGCGAAACAACGGCTGTTATGCCAATGCCAGCCCAGAAAGACACAAGCAGTGAAATGCAAAAGAGGATCGAAGAGAGGGGGCATTCAACATGGACAATAGAGACAGGCTACAAGCTGTGACGTTTACTAGATTAAGCGAGGAAGAAAAATACAATCAGAGGTGCCGAGGCCATGAAGGCATGGAAGCCTGGGCTTGACTTTCCAGATGCTGGAATAGCATCTGATGAGCCACCAGTTGCCGTAGAAGAGGCCGAAGTCGTTGAAGATGTCGATGTCGTTAGCGAGGAAGACCTCGTTGTTCTTCCGGTTGACGATCCGGCTGTCGATGACACAGAGCCGCTGGTGCTGCCACTTCCACTGACGGTACTTGCGCTGCCGGTGAGACCACTAGAAGTGCCACTGGCAGTTCCAGTAGCGGTGCCAGTAGTGGTGCGAATAGTGGTGCCAGCAGAGATGCTACCGGTGCCGGAGTCGGTAACAGTCCCAGTTACGGTGTTTCCGGCAGCAGTGCCGGTGCCGGTGCTAGTCCCAGCAGCAGTCACGGTTCCGGTGCCAGTTGCAGTCGCCGTGCCAGTGATGGTGCCAGCTCCAATAACAGTGCCGCTACCGATGGGGCTAGAGCTTGCTCCAACACTGGTGCCGGTGTTAGGGGAGCTTCCTCGAGTCGTAACCGTACTAAGGCTGCTGCTACCGCTGAGCGTCAACACAGTAGCTGCTGTGCCCCCTGGACTATTGGCACTGCTACCAGCAATTGCACCTGCACTGTCACTGGCACCGGTTTCGGTATCGGTACTAATAGACGAAGTAGCAGTGGAGGATGAAGCTGGAGAAGAAGCCAGAGAAGATGTTGGCGAGGTTTGGGGGGAAGCATCTGGAGACGTGGCCGAAGACAAAGCGGCTGCGGAAGATGTGACCGGGCTGCTTGACCGTGGCGCACTCGCCGTTGCCGAGGCCGTGCTGGAAGACGTAGTGGCGCCGTTAGAGCCACTAGTACCGTCTCCAGTGGTTGCGGTGGTGCTAGGGGTCGCGAGCGGTGACGGCGCGCTCGAGGTGGCCGCCACCTGTGCCGTCGTCAGGACGGTAGCAGCAGTCGCTACTTCGCTCTGGGGCCCTGTAGCCGAGGAAGCCTGTGCCGATGCTGGGCTCGAAGTGCAGAAGTCGATAAATTGCGAGAATGTGTCGGTCAACCACGCTTCGGCCTTCAGGGATGCCTGGTTCGAACCGCCGTTTATGCAAGTCTTGCAGGCATCATAGTCCTCCATGAAAGCCGAAGTAGGGGAACACATCTTTTGTGTCTTTCCTTCGCTCTGAACCTCCGTGTAGGCATTGTTGCAATCATCGTAGCAGTATGATGGAAGGGTATCAGAAGGGATAGCACGCTTGAAATGGGACCAACTGTGGGTTGTATAGGCTGCTTTCGATGTCATCCATTTTGGTGACCATGGCGGCGGCGACAGCGGTGTCCACGCTGATGAAGATGATATCCGTGATGACGAGGATGGCGTCCACGGCCATGACGACTCCACCGACGACGACGAAGACGGCACCCATGACGATGACGAGGACGTTGTTGGCCACTTCGTAAGCGTCGACTGCGTCGACCAGTCGCCCGTTGTCACTGTCACCGTGACGCCGCCAGTCACCTCAACAATGACCTCCTCTGAGAAGATGTCGTAGCTCAGGCCGAACGCCGGTGGCGGAAGGTTGAAGTATCCCTCCGTCGTCGGGTAATACGACGTTTGGTTAGCAGGCCAGTGAACGACCGGAAGCTTCGGTGCGAGGATGCACTGGTCCGTAGGGCAGATGAACGAGTCTTCTGGCGGGTCCGAAAACACTTTGCAACCGGCCGGTTTCGTCGCGTTGCATACGTAGCCCGGATTGCAGCCCCATGTGAGGTCGCTGCGAGGGTCCAACGTGCTCTGAGCCTCGCCTGGACTGGTTGGTGCCGGACAGACACTGACCGAAGAGACGACCGTCGTAGAAACAGTGACCGTCGCAGCTGGTGCTGTCACGACATTTGTGACCGTCGCGAAAACTGTCGAAGCAGGGATGACCGACGTGGTGGTCGTGCCAGCCCCTATTATGGTTGTGGTGGACTCTGGCAGAACAGACGTCACCACTACCGTCGACACGGACACGGGCCCGGTGACGGTCACTACGCTCCCGGGCAATGTGGTCACAGAGCCGGCTTGTGTGACTGTTGAAGCTGGCAGCACGATTGTGGTCGTTGGCAGCGTCACGGTCGATGCCGGAAGCGTCACGGTTGTGCCCGGGGCTGTGGTCGTCACGGGAGGCACCGTCACAATGTTGATATCTGTCACTGTGTCTATGTCCGTTACAGTAACGGGCAATGCAGGTCCGGTGACGGTGATGGGTGAGGCAGACTCGGTGTCCGTGACAGTTATGGGTGAGGCTGATACTATGTCTGTGTTTGTGATTGTCACTGGGGAAGCTGATACGTCCGTAACAGTAATTGGAGAGGCTGATACGACGGCCGTGTCTGTAACTGTCACCAGAGGAACTGATACGGTGTCTGTGTCGGTGCGAGTTACTGGTGTTGCCGAGATGATATTCGTGTCTGTCACTGTCACAGGAAAAGTCGACACATCCGTGACAGTAATAGGGGAGACTGAGACGGTGTCCGTGTCTGTGAGTGTCACTAGAGAAGCTAATACGTCCGTGATAGTAATGGGTGAGGCTGATACGATGTCTGTGTCGGTGAGAGTGACTGGTGTTGCCGATATAACATCGGTGTCTGTCACTGTCACGGGAGAAGTCGATACATCTGTAATGGTCATAGGAGAGGCAGATACGGTGTCAGTGTCCGTAATTGTCACGGGAGAGGCTGATATGACGTTCGTATCTGTAATGGTCACCGGACCGGCTGATACAACGTCCGTGTCCGTAAGTGTTACCGGGGAGGCCGATATGATATCCGTATCAGTGACAGTTATTGGAGCAGCCGGCACGATATCTGTGTCTGTGATTGTCACCGGAGAGGCTGATATGACATCTGTGTCCGTAATTGTCACTGGAGAGGCCGTTATGATATCCGTATCAGTGACAATCACTGGAGGAGCTGAGACGATGTCTATGTCAGTGACTGTCACCGACTCAAGGTCCGTAACCGACACTGTGTCTATGCTTGTGATTGTGACAGAAGAGGCAGACTCGGTATTGAAAACCGACTCGATATCTGTGACTGTAACAGGAGTAGTGAAGATTATCGTCACATCAGAAGTGACTAAGCTAACGTCGACAGAAACGACAGTAGACTATACGCAGCTCCGGTTAGCTATGCTCTCCCTCACAGGAAGGGACACTGAGGCGTACCGTTTCGTCAATTGTGGTGGGGACGTGTGATGTGACTGTCGTAGGAACATCCGAAGTGACCGTGATGAAGACATCTGATACAACAGTAGTGAAAATCTCCGATATGAGGGTTGTGGGAACGACTGAAACGACTGTGGAGAAAATGTCGGAGACAACCGTCGTCGTACTCCATTCAACATCCACGACACTCGTTATGCTGTGCTCGACTGAAGTTGTTGTGCTGACGTCTGTCGTTGTGGCCCATTCAACATCAATGGACGTCACTGTGCTGTAGTCGGTGGTCGTGATGAAGTCTGTCGCGGAGCTCCATTCAAACAACCGATGGAAGTTGTCGTGCTGACGTCTGTCGTCGTACTCCATTCAACCTCTACAGAAGTTGCTGTGCTGAAGTCTGTTGTTGTGCTCCATTCAATGTCAATGGACGTTACTGTGCTAGAGTCTGTCGTTGTACTCCATTCGACGTCAACAGAAGTCGCTGTGCTGAAGTCCGTTGTTGTGCTCCATACAACATCAACAGACGTCACTGTGCTCAAATCTGTAGTTGTACTCCATTCAACGTCGACGGAAGTTGCTGTGCTGATGTCTGTGGTCGTGCTAACGTCGGTCGTAGTGCTCCATTTGACGTCGGTGGTTGTGGCTGTGCTCCATATAACATCCGTGGTCTTGCTCCATTCTACGTCGACACTTGTGATTATGCTCAATATAAAGTCGGTGACTGTAGTCGTGTTCCATTCGACATCTGTCGTCGTGCTCCATTTAACGTCGGTGGTTGTGACCGTGCTCCATTCAACGTCCGTCGACGTGACTGACACGTAATCGGTCTCGACGTAGCTCTTTGTCACTTCAGAACTGTAATCATCTGTCAACGTCCCATCGGCCTGGTTAAAAGAGAGGCAAACTTACACATGATCAACGGTTGTGGTGACCGTGCTGTAAGCGGTAGTAGTCTGGATCGCGGTTTCCGTAATCGTGCATAGCTCGGTCGTGGTCGTGGTTTCCGTTACCGTGCAAATTTCGGTCACAGTCTTGGTACAGCTCGACCCATCATTCCCTCTGTTGCCTTCACTGCCTCTGGAATTAGAGGAATCTATTGCCAGGCTATAAGTGCCGTTGTCGGCCACTATCACCGCCGCAGATGAAGCTATCAGTCCGGCGACGAGGCGCCAAAAGCTGAGCACGCCAACCATAACTACGCCTGTCCTTTTCTGGCCGTATGAGTACTTTCTCACTCGACCGACGAAAGAACGGCTTTTTCAACACCGGCGAGAAAATTGTTCGCCTATGCGATCCCGGTATACATGAATGAAGGGAGACCAAAATAAGTGAGCGACTTGGTCCTGAAATTGAGGCCCAATGAAACTGATCGCCATAAACGAATGGGATGTTCTAGCAAAAGGACAATGGGAGCCAGGGGAAGGGGGGAGGAAAGCAGGGAGCAACGTTTGCTGAGACGAGAGAAAGACACAAAAGACGCATGCGGCGGCATGTGCTTTGGTATAAGAGAGCAGGATGTCCACAGTAGTAGATACAAGTTACAACAATACAACAGGGGCACTCGACAAAGAGGGGGGGGGGGGGTGGGGCGGCCTTGGCCCAGCTGGTGGTGGCGGGGTGATGACAGTAGAGTTGGGCCAATGGCGGTTTCAAGTTGCCGAACACACGTCTTGCTGTAGTTGGGGAATCCTAATTCCTTTTCTAGTTGCTATCCTCTCTCACTGGCTGGAACACAATGGGGGCAAGGCGAAGCTAGGAAGATGCGTACGTATGTCCTGGGCTGGGCAGCTCCATCCTGGGAGGGCTGAAAGGTTAAGCGTCTTATTTTTACATTCTGGCCCAAACGCTTTACAGAGGACGAATGGCTAGCTCTGACTACTTCTCAAGGGACTGCTGCCGGCAATGTCTGTTTAAAGCAAAGCCTGTTCATTAGAGGCTGGACCAGGGAGAGCAGAACTTGGAGAAAGGGCATAAAAAAGGGCAAAACTAGCATTGTTCGAAAGCGGTAATAACATAGGTTTCGGGGGAAGGGCATACGACAAGTGAGTCGTTGGTGAAAGCCGGAATCCCTGTCGGACACGGCAGATCTTGTGGAGAACAGCAAAATCCTGCATGCGGCCCTGCGAAGGCGCAACATTCGATATCCGTGCCATGTCCGCCTACACCCCAAACGAAGAGAAAAGACAGGACAGAGTACGGAATGTGAGTATCGTATTAATCGTAATGGAATGAGGGGAAGGCAGCATGCAGACTTGCTCGGGATGCTATCCGGGCAGGCAGAAGAGGGTGGGTTACGAGTACTTGTGCACAAGTTCTTCGTGTGGCTATTAAATCCTGATGAGGGCTGCTACAACTTATGAGGTGCAGGCTGCATGTACTGCCTCTTTCTCGCCGACAAGCGCAGCCCCCAAAAACACAAGTCCGAAAGACTCGCAAGCGGCCATTCCGGGTACATGCTTCTTAGCCAAGTGGAAAGCAGAGATGGCCCTCAAGCAGAAGAGCAGGGCGCGCCTATGCGAATGCTGCAGGTCCTAAAACATAAGCAGGGCGTGTATGCAGTGATGACCGACAGGCGATGGCGGTCTGGCCCCCATGCATGTTGCTTACGGGCTCGGGGGATTATACGAGGAGTTCATGAGGCCCGTAGTAGAGCTTGCTGATCGTGAAATAGGCCAAGACTGAAAGTCCAAGCCCGAGACATCAACCTCATACGATGGCGCACCCAGGAATGGCCGACAAGACGCATGTGCAGCTCTCGAAATCAGTCTCCTGTAACGTCGGGTAGTCTACAATGCCGAGAGCAAGTCTCGTGGCCCGAAGCAACTCGTTCAGCCCCTTCATAAGCAGAGGAAGGGAGCTCCGAACGGCTGATCGGGTGGTAGACGTCATATCTAGGCGCATTATAGGTGTGCCAGTGGCGTCTGCTTCGATACGACGCTCTGACCAAACTGAGCGAAGCGGCACGATCAGATGACAGGCCAGCAAGGCCAGAAACAGACTTATTCTTCTTCCTCTGCACGGCACCTGGGTTGCTTATGCATGACTCCAAGAAATGGAAGCAGTGCGGAGGCTGGAAGCTCCTAGAGAGGTTAGTTTGCGAGCCATTATATATGCGGGACCGCACCTCTACTATCAGAAGTGGAAGGCAAGGCCCGATGACATTTATTCACATCTTGATGCAGTGCTTGAGCCACAAGTTTGTCATCTCTGACAAAGATCGGCAGGGCAAGCACGAGGCCGACCGGCTGAGAGCATCAGCTTTTTCGGATGCACGCTTGCGAGCGGCTTGTCTTGTTCCGGTCCGACTGTGTGGTCCCTAGGAAGCTGTTGGTCCGTGGCCATACGACCGCTAATAAGAGCCACCTGAAAGAAGGTACTCTGTAAGGGACTCGAATACATTAGATGAAAGGAACAGACGACGACCATTGCTAGTGTTCCTACAGTAGCGAACATGTACGGTATCTCTCACCCACCATCATGCCCCGTGTTCATTTGGTGCGTGTCGCACTTTCGAATAAGAGTGGCTGTGTGCTTCTTGGTGGTGTCTTTACGGAGTACTGGTGAGCTGGTCTCACCGATTGTCCTTTTTAGTCTTTTGCCAGCGAAGGGGGAGTCGATGCTTGTCACACGCTTATTGGTTGAGACCATGCGGCACTAGTGTGGTCTATGGCTTAGTCTATCCGAAGCGGTGGCCAAGGGCCAGTACGGAGGGTCGTGGAGGGTGCTAAATTATTCAAATTATTCTAGCTTCGATGAGCCTATTTTCGGCGCACTGTGCACCAGCACTCGAAATGGCCCATGTAGTATAGTGTGCGCATAGCAGATACGAGTACTACGGACTGTCGGGGCTCTCCACAGAAATCCTTCGATGAAACCCAACATGGTGGAGTTGCTCGTCAGCATAGTCGGAGTAGTCACCCTCTGGCAGGATGACGCGACCAAAAACTGAGATGAGGAACAAGAACATGCTCAAGACACAGCAATTAGTCCGTGAGATGAAGTGACCATCGCAGTGGAACGGTATGGACTTTAGCGGGTGTCGTCAGCTGACAGAGTGGCTTGATGGAGTAGACCTGCTGTAAACCAGATCAGTACGAGTACGGGTACTTGTGCAAGTGCTATCGACCACGAGTTCTTTGTGAACACCTTGCAGGGGCAGTGAAATAGAAAAAAAAGTATGCTTCGTTTCCATCTCAAGCAGCACGAGGCAAGGTGAGCTCGGCAAGTTGCGAGTATGAAAGGGTGGGTGGCTAGAACCGGCGAGGAGAAGAAAAGAGCGAAAATTGCCAAGACCACAGCTGTTTTTGCCGTGTTGAGTCTATTATCGATATTGTGTTCTAGTCTTCAAACAGAAGTAAATAGCGCGCAAGGGGCTTTTTTTTAGCAGGGCATCATATTTCCCTTTTTGTTTATGCTTACATGTATTTTCCTCCCCATCTTGCTGCATGTGTCGTGCGGCCTTTTCCTAAAAGCATGAGCCTATAGACAAGGCTGAAAAACCAAGACGAATGCTACGTTGACAGCTGTTCGTATGGGCAGATCGCGGGGTCATTGGGACACTATGACACGAGTAATACTTCTGCAGGATGCAACCATCTTGCGTCTTCTTCACAGCCGTTTTCGCTATGCGGTCCTACCTTTTTGCTCAGATAAAGAGTAATTATCGGAGATTGGTATGCTGCACAGTTTATGAAGGGGGCGAAGAAGAAATGTAGTCATGGATGGCAGAGACAGGCCTGGGGGTGTTCAAGAAAACAGGCAGGCTATCCAGCGTCAGTGTCTAGGAAATCAGCAGTTGCATTGCCGTCAGCTGTCGGCCGTAGAGACAGACAGCGAGGCCTTCCCGTGTTGCCTTGTGTGGCCTGGACACCGCACTGCTGCTATTCTGGTGGTGGCAGATGTGCTATCTCGTATTGGACGAGCTGGATGTCCGAAAAGTGCTCCGCACTAACACTATGCATGGCTGCTGCTGCAGCACCCTCCTCTTCTCGGTCGCAACCTGTCGTTTGGCCGTTTGTCTACATTCGTTTCCCGACCACTTTGCGATCACTGCCGGTCTCTTTAATCAGCACACGAGTGCCGTCCTCCAGACTCTCTTCAGTTCTTTGTCTTGGCTCTCACCCCTCCTCATGTAGGATTGTTCGCCCACCTTTGCATTTCCTGTCGGCTGACACCTCATCTACAAGGTCTAGTGGCAGCCCCCAAGTCGATTGGCTTTCTCATTCCCTTATTTCTTGGCTGTGCTTTCACTGCTGTGCAACGAACCCCGGATTTTGACAGTACAAATCGGCAGGAACGTTGCGGCAATGGGCCACTGCTCGTGATTTCCCATTGCAGAAATCGAGCCTTGCGATCGACGCGCCTTCCTTCCCTTCTATCTTCTAGACACTCTTCCTTCGCTCTTGGAGCGACGGTCTCACCTTCCTCCTCTCTGTATTATCTCTGTCTCCTCCCGCCTCCATATAGCGAATGGGACTTCACTCCAACACTGCGTTCTTTCATCTCCATCTCATGTGTTTTTCGTGGATCGCCAGTTGTCTATACTAAGCAGAGACCGTAACATCATGCGGCTTTTGGCCGTGGTGTCGGGCTTCGTGGCTGGGGCCGCGGCTCAACTATCCGGATGGTCATCGGACCAGGTCAACACCACAATATGCTATTGGGGGCAGCTTCGAGGTATTAAGCTTTTTCAGAGTGTGAGCAGAAGACAAGGCACTGACAGAACAGCCACCGCCATCCAGGATACTTTGTATATGGACGGGGGCAGTTTGTATTGGAAAACCCAGACGAAGGATGGGTTAGATCCCTTGCAAAAAGATGGTAACGATGCAATCCATCTCTCCCTCATCTATGTACTGCCACTGTTCTTCACTGACAGCAAAGGCAATCCACAGGGGGTCATCTTGACGCTCAACTTTAGCATACCCTTCAACACGTCGCAGAACATCTCTGCTCTTTTCGGCCAGCTTAACAAGGGCCCAGAGGGCAGTGGTGCAGGCAACCTTGCGCCCAATTACGTTGACGGTGCTCTACTCAGCAATGACCATGAAATGTTTCTCTTTGGCGGGGCACTTGCCAACACTGACAGCTATACGCCGCCGGACGACAAACAGGTCTTTTATTATCGGCAATCTCAGTATGGCGTCAACAGGACGTTCTTCTCAGGCTTTGGATTTGTCGATCTGCCCTCAGGGTCGACGCGCTACATAACCTACGGTGGTGCAGCTAACGCGCCCTCGGAGAATAAGGCCTGGTACTTCTCGGGTATGCGCTCGCCCGACTGGGGGGCCATATACCAGACGTCGGCCAATCAGTCGGTAAAACCTTCGAATATATCCAACACGCTCTTCACACTCGACATGACCACGCAGCAGGGCGAGTTTTTTGAAAACCGAACGCTGACGGGCTCTGCACGAGGCCGAGCCAGCCCGGAGCTGGTCTGGGTGCCCGTTGGAGAGCAGGGGATTCTCGTAGCCATCGGTGGAGTTGTCTATCCAGATTTCGTCACCACAGTCCACCAGTCGAGCAACGCAACGGCCAGTGTGAGTAGATATGCCAGTATACATTTCCGGTCCTGTCCTCTCCCTCATCCTAACATTCCTTACAGAAAGCGCAAAGCCCGGAATTCATGACCACAATCGACGTCTATGACGTCTTTAACAAGACCTGGTACCAGCAGACGACTACGGGCGGTGGTCCAGGCCAATTGGCGCTGGCCTGTTCGGTGCTGGCAACGGCAGCGGACGCATCCAGCTTTAACATATACCTGTACGGTGGCTATGACGGCCTGGCCGCCTTTGACGACTATAGCGACGATGTCTGGGTCTTGTCACTGCCGTCTTTCACCTGGACGCAGGTATTTGCGGGCAATACATCGCATGGCCGTGCCGGCCACCGCTGTTTGCTTCCGTATCCGGACCAGATGTTTGTCGTCGGTGGTTCTGCCACCATGTCTGAAACGGAGCCCTGCGCGGAAGGCGGTATATTGCAGGTGTTCAATCTCTCGTCGACCGAATGGTTGACCTCGTACAACCCCGAAAAGTGGTCCAACTACACCGTACCAGATGCCGTCGTCAAGGTTATCGGGGGCAATGGACAGGGTGGCGCCACGGCCACAGAGCCGGCTGTGTCCGGTGGTTGGGATACGGCGGCCCTAGGTGCGGTGTTCTCGACAGCTTACAAGACGTCCATCCCGACGTACTATCCTTATTCGCTAGCCACCACTACGACCAGTGGCACCAACAGCACATCCACAGCTGTGCCCACACCGAAGGCTACCGGCTCACACGGCAGCAAGGTGCCCTCGTTTCTACCACCGCTTCTCGGGGTCATCTGTGGCCTTATGGCGTTGTCGCTGTGTGTCTTGGGCTTTGTCTTGTATCGCCGGCGGGCTCTGCTGCGGCGCGGCTCTCAAAGCGGTGGTCGTCGGTCCAGCCGAGGCGTTGACGGGGCTAGGAGCGATGCCACGTACGACACACGAGCTAATATGGTCATAAATTGGCTATTGGGCATTACGAGCGTCAAGCGCTCGCCGACGACAACAGGTGCATCTGCCTATAGTGAAACGCTGGATGGGACTACAGGCAGCCCAAGCTCACCAGAGATGGAGCAGCTGCACGGCGGGTCACCGCGTGCTTATCATGCGTCTGGAAGCAGAAGCGGGACATCGGATGGGAGCCGACACCTGGCAGCGGTTGAGGTCCCCGACACTGCGATCGCCGAGATGATGGGTGAGCAAAGGCTTTCTTCTTTCCTTTCTTTCCGTCCGTTTCCTGTCCAGAATGATGACTAATGTGCAAAGCCGACACCCATCATCCGGTGGCCGAGCTCAGCGGAGAATCGTCGTCAGCAGGTGCTGCTAGCAGCCGTTTCGGCCGGGGCGAGAAAGTAGTATCGTTTGTCTCGTCAGCGGCCGAGCTCGAAAGCACAACAGACAGCAGGCGCCACGGCAGAAGGGGTTCTGCAGTTGTGCCTGCAGTTATTCCTGAGGCTGCAACTGCGCGTCCAGACTCACCTCCCCTTAGCACTGCTGGCCTGGCGAGAGTGTATCTGCCACCATCAAGATCCGGTTCGGTAGGATTGGCACCAACGCCACCGATTTCGGCGTCGGCACCCACGCCGTCCTCACCCAGCACAGAGAGCGCATCGCCGGGTGTGGGAAGCGGCAGTCGTCGACGACAACGCGAGTCTAGCATATCGGAGCTCAGCGACTCTGACCGCAGGCACCTGCGGCAAGGCAGCGAGGGTGGCGACTCGGTGAACTCGGGAACGTCTTCGCTTGTGTCGCCATCGACACCACAAACGGCGGCGGCCATTCCGGTATTGGCTGGAGCAGCAACAATGGGACGGCCACATCCGATCCCGGAGGCAGCAGCAGCAGAAGAGGCAGCCGAGGCCGAAACGGCAACAGGGGCAGGTGCAGGGCCACAGACAAATATCCCGCCACCATCCTTGATAGCACAGCAGTCTGCACCGGTTCCACCATCTCCGGGTGGCAGTCTGGGAACGTTGCGACGGAGCATCTTCCGAGAGAGCGAAGAAGACATGAGTGGATAGAGGATCATGTACTCCGTATGTTTCTTGGATAATGCGGCTTGGGTACTGTTGGGAGTTGTCTCAATTCTTGTATACATATAAATTCTAATCATGCAAACGGGTACGAAGGAAGTCCAGCTATATAGCATGACACATTAATCCATCTTTTATAAAAACCCAATGCGAAGGCAGTGCTGAGCAACGTTTGAGTTGTAGCTGCACGCAGATGCTAAACGCCTGTAGTCCGGTCCTGTTGAACGCCTCATCTCTCTCTCTCTCTCTGTACTTTGTCTTCTCCTTTTTACGTGAGGGAGGCTTGCTCCTTCTGCTGCTGCTGCTTTCTCCGCTGCTCTTCAGACAGCTTGGTGTCATCGAGCTCGGTGCGGATGTATTTGTTGAAGTCGTCCGGGTTGTCCAGATAGAGGTGGTGGCCGGCGTTGCGAACGAGGATAACCTTTGCGCTGCCGGTGTCGGGCGAGCCGTCCAGACGCGATTGGGCGATGCGGGAATTGATTTTGTGCTCGGCCGCAAAGCCGCCAGCGACATCCATCCAGTCGTGATCACCGTATAGCATGACGATAGGGTAGCCGGTCTCGCGGGTGGCCATGGTGCCGGTAGCAGCAGCAACGGACGGTGGGATGAGCTGGCGACCGACGTCCTGGATGTGCTTGATGACGGGGCGACGGGCATAGGCGCCGGGGGCCAGAAGATAGGGCAGGGCATATTCACCGCTGCCGCGCTGGCGGAAGAGGCTGTAGGAATACGTGTGCAGGGCGTCGGCTTCGTCGGCAGGCAGGTGGCTGAAGCGGCGTGATGTCCAGCCGGAGACGAGACGGGGGCCCAGCGGCCCGGAAGCGCGCACAAACGTAAAGGGCGACACGTTGGCATCCCAGAGCCAGACGAGCCAACTGGGCAGCGGTCGACGGACAGGACGTTTGCTGCTGGCAGCAGCGGCCTTGTTGAGGTGGTTATGGTTGTAGCGATAGTTGTGGCTGGGAGTTGTGGCTGGGCTGGAAGTTGTGGCTGAGGAGCTGGGCGAGATCTTGACAACATGGCCGCCCGGAGGGGCCACGGTCTGCTGCTGATCCTGCGCGAACTCGGCCACCAGGGTGGACTCCTGGGGCTCGGGCAGGTCCGGGCTGACGGCGTAGGGGTCCTCGGGGATGCCGACGGGCGAGGCCAGGATCAGTTTGTTGAGGTGGCCGGGATATTTGAGGGCGTAGGCGACGGCGAGATAGCCGCCCAGCGAGTGTCCCAGCAGGGTGAAGCGCTCGATGCGACGGGCCTGGCGCCACTCCTCGAGCGCGTCGACGAACCAGGCTTCGGCCTCGGTGATCTTGGCGTCGCTGTCCTTGGCGTGCAGGCGAAACGTCGGCCGCGACGAGTTGCCCATACCGAGCATGTCGAGAGCAAACAGCCGCCAGCCGGGCGCCTGGCTGAGTGGCTCAAAGTTGCGGTAGAAGAAGCCGAGTCCGGCTCCGTAGCCATGCAGCATGACGAGCGTGTCGGTCGCCTCCTCGCCCGTCCGCTCGATCGAGTATTCGTTGAGCGCCCGGTTCTTGCCCGAGAGGGTCACCATCTGCGACCGCCAAAGCCGGGGTCCGTAGGGGTCCTTTGTAGGAGTCGGCGCAAGATCTGGCTGTGAGCCGGTCTTGGCCTCGCACAGATGCCGCACATGCGAGAGCACGCCTCGCTCTGCTGCCGAGGCTGAGACGCTGGTCCACTGGAAGAGTCAGCAACGGGAACGACAGACAGACGGCCGATCACAGCATTTCCACACGACATACCCACTGCTGGGCCGCCTCCTTGTACCCCAGCGGAAAGTATGACAGAACACGGCGCGAGCCTTCGGTCGAAACCTGGGCCTTGGCCTGTGACGACGGCGATGACGGGGGGCGTTCTTCCGATCGCGATCGTGGCTGGGCCATGGCCGATGAGGGCGACGACGGTGCCGGCTCGACGCTCATCCTGACGGCGCGCACCGCTGCTTTGGTCGGCGTCGCAGTGGCTGTCGCAGTGGCTGTCGCGGTGGCCACGGCTGCCGGAGGAGCCTTTTCGGAGCCGTGATAGGACGAGGCTGCTGCCGAGATGGACCGTCTGGTGGGAGCAACAGAGAGTTGCAGTACCAGATGTTGGGGGTTGCGGATCATCACTGTGGAGAGAGAGAGAGAGACGATACAAGCTGGAGATAAGAGGCGAGAAGAAATATATGGGGAAGGGAGCCTGTGTGAGAGGCTCCGGCACAGAGAACGTCCGTAAATCCTAATTCCGGGAGGCGAGCGGCATAACAGAGCACTCTAGCGGGAGCTGGAGCAGTCACGCAGGCTGAGCGCCCCGCCCAATGGTAGTGGTGGTGGGAGGTTGGTTGCTAGCCGGTGATGGCTTTCACTCGTTTCGCTTGCTGAAGCCGACAGTTTTGTTGCCTCGGGGCAAAATGCTCGAATTGGTCTTTCCCAGGCCGGATTTTCGTCCTCGTCCCGCTATCCCGATCCCAGCCGGCCGGCCTACAACGTAGCCTGTGGCTGTTAGGCAGCCCTGTGGCGCGGCGCTGCTCAGGCTCTGGCGCTCCGCTGGCGACGGCCAATCGATCGAGCTGGCGGAAAAGGGGCCGAATCGTAAGATGGACGGCATTCACGTCGCATGCGTCTGCCAGCCCCGTCGGGACCGTGGGTAGGGCGACTTGAGAGGCTGTGAGATTGCCTACTATTGCATAGTAAGATACTCGTACCAGCCAAGCTCGTACGATCAAGGTTCGATCCCCCACAGCCGCAGGGCTCCATTCGCGGCCAGGGCTACCACCCATGCATGGCACCACTTCTGTGTAGGACAGATTACCATGTATATATAAGAGAGGACGCAGCCGGCTGCGATCATGGAAAGCTCGAGAGGCTACAGCGACACGGACACGACTTGAAGAAAGCAAAGTTGCTTTGATAATACAAAACTCTATCTAAAATGCGCGACCCTCCAATGCTGCCTGTGGAAATGCAAAACTGACAAACAAAGTCTGCTAGGCAGACACAAAACACAAAAGGAAAATTGGTTGCAGGTATGAACACCTCGAGCGTGTGTATATGTCGTCTTCTCTCCTTGTCAAGAACAGATCGGTCCATCCTCTATTATCGATCGAATCGGCGCCATCTCGGTCTGGTGTGGCAGTCGCCGTCTTCTCTCACCACCCTCGCCTTCGCGTCTCCCTTACGTCTGCTTCTGGCGAAGAGCCGCAAGCGCACCTGTGCTGCCCATGGTCTTCAGGACGCGCATGTGTTCGCGCTTCAGGTCCTCAAAGTCATGCTGCAGCTGGTGATGCCATGGGTACAGGACGAAGACCTGGAACGCCAGCGCCGACGTGGCGACGCACATGTTCGTCAACGAGATGATGCGTGTGGTTCTCATGGTGAAGGATGAACAAAGACTGCAATGGTCAGCCTAACTCCTGGCAGCCTGTGTCTGATCGACCTCATGGCTGCAAGGTCATTGGAGGCGACAGTGCCGTGCTGGGCACGGCATGTGCTGGACAGAATGTCCGTCTTACCTTGGAAAAGGGGCTGTTGATGGCCTGGGCAAGTAAAAAAGACAGAAAGACAAAAGACGAAAAGGTTGAGTGGTGGTTCAAGTTGCTGAAGTCACGAATACGTCGACAGTATGGCACTCTCTCGTAAACTGGCACCACGATATCGATGCGTACAAGACGTGTCTACAGCAACTTACAAGTAGGAAGGACAACAGAAAGATTTGGCGAGAAAAAAAGAAGAAAAGAAGAAAAGAAGCAATTTTAAGAGAAATTTTTTAGAAACGCGAGGCCCAATACTTGACTCCGTTCCCCTTGCCGACGTCGGGAAATTATGGAACAGTGCCACCCTGACTCCGTACCAGCAGGCACCCCTTCACGACTTCCTTCTAGGGAGGGGGCGACTGGTCCCGGAACAACGTGGTTTCCACTTCTGGCCTAGACCGATGCTTTCCCGGCAATAGTGGCCTGATCGCACATGACCGCTTGCGGTTTTCGGCGATTGCTCGCTAGCTGATTCGTGACAGGTTGTTTCACGCCCTTTGTCCACTGCACCCTTCCCCACGTCGCCTCAGCCCTTCTAGCGTTGTTCCTCGGCTGTGGCGACTGTGCACGTGACTGCACTAGCGCCCAATTGGGGGGCGACGCCCGTTTTTTGCTATTTTTACTTGGACTCATTTCAATGACCGCCACCCCTGTGCTTCTTTTGTGGGCTTGGGCTCCGACGAAGCCGTTGCCGGAAATCAACGCCTCGGATTAACTAATCGCCTGGTTTGACTACAGCAGGGCCCGGCGAAATAATTCTGTGTCTACGGAGTACTGACAACCCGACCATATGAAGACTGACATCTGCTTACTCAAGCCGGGCTTTGTAGATATACGGAGTATGTTTTCTATGTACTCCGTAAAGGTCTAGCGGACTTGTAAATTATTTTAAACTACGGAGCACTTTGTACTCCGTACAAACTTACATATATATTGGAATGAAACCTTCCGCACTGCTTCCGAATTTCTTACCTACGCGATCAATCACAGCATTACTTATGGATTAGCTACTAACTTAGAAACGAGACCTTCCAGGTCTCGCTGCCGCTTCATTGCCTGCATATATCTGCTTAAGCACATGTTGCGTTTGACTATTGTGGTCGTCGTATGTCTAGCAGCCACACCACAAAGTGACACCACGCCTCTAGCCAGTTACCCATTGCTTCTGCCAGCTCTTCGTTCGACAGGCAAGCGTGCTCGAGGCTCCACTCGGCTAGCTGCCGCCAGCCAAACAAGCCCATGTCAGCCTTCCCAACTATAATCCGGTAGAAGTTGTACGAAAGGGAAGACCTGAAGAGTTAGTTTATGTTAGGAAGTCCGTCGTCAAGGAAAGTGACTTACCTAATAAGCATGCCGTTATCGCTATTTATCGTGCACGGCATGTTTTCTGCTAGCATATTGTTAACAAGACGACCGCTGATGCGCGGCGTTAGTCCTAGCAGCTCGTTCGAAGTTGGACACATTTCCACGCATATGCCCCTTTGCTTCATCTGATGTAAGATTCTTGAGTGGCGCGGCATCGCAAAGCCGCGTCCAATACGTTTTGCTCCTAGCAGTAACGCATCAACGAGGTCGTTGTCTACCTCTGTGCCTATGTCCAGCGTCTCGTCGCATTGGAACAGGAACGGTATATCGAAGCCCTCGTGTGTGCACTGATTTTGGAACGCTAGTAACTTGGGCACGAATTCGCGTAGTCGGTGTCCCTTCGTCTCCTCGGCTACTAAATCAAAGCCTGCTATGTAGTTCGGCCACCGCTTCTTAAAGTTGAGGCACTCCATCAACGCTAGGTCCAGTAACTCTGGCGAAAGCGACCGTAGAGTGCAGTAGATGCTTTTGATCCCGTTAAAGTAACGTTGCCTATGGTCCTGCGTCTGCTGCACTTTAAAGTTTTCGCACACATCTATAATAATCTCCATGATGCCTGTGCTGTTTATCGTTTCTGTGCCTTCGTCATTAAACAAATAATTTAACACCATAAAGGTCGGTCGTATCTCTGCGTACTAGATATTGTCGTCCAGTAGATCTTGCAGAAACAACTCCGTGTGCATCTTGTAAGCAGTCGCGTAATTAAGCAGGCCTTTCATCATTTGTGTACGTCCACTTAAACGTTGCCATGTCCTGCGCAGGGAAATTTTAGGTACGCTTAATGAATGGCAGTGAATCGTTGGACGTATCTTACCTTCCAGAAATTTGCGGAATGTCGTGTGTCACCTTTTCGCTGAGCTTTAACAGTAGCCAATCCCTAGCCGATATATTTGTGTATCCTGGGAAATTCCTTAAGAACTCTCTCAATGGCATCGTTTGCCACGGTTTGTACGCCGCGCTAAACATATCACCCGGGTTTTCCTCATCCTTAGAGAGAATAGAGAACTGAATCTCAGACGAAAGAAAATTTGGTGTGTCTATCGCACTGCACTCCCCGTCTGTGACGGCCTTTTTGGCCGTGTCGGTTAGTACTAATGGCAGGCTACTCATGATAAACATACGACGCATGCTACTAGCCACGTCTAGCAGCGCAGTCAGAAGCAAGTGCGAGTTAAAGTTGATGCGTAGGTGTGCACCCTTAGGCATCTTCTCAGCTACCCGCAGCAGCTGTGTGCCTGAGATGAGCTGTTCGTTGGTCAGGAAGTTATTGCCTGCGATGTGTGCATGCTCCTGATCCACCTGGTCAAAACTTTGCACCTCAGCATCATGAAGCTTTAGACGCATGATCACATGGTTGGCCAGTGTTTCGGCACTGGTAGCCCTCGTAGTCGAAGGCACAGGCGCTCTCCTCCTCAAGAACCTCGCGACGATTGGCCTGGTATCGAATGAGAACTCCTGGGAAGCGCTGGGAATCTCAGTATAAGTTTTAAAAGCGTTTGTGGGGCCAAAATCGGATAAAAATGCCTCGACATACAGGAACTTTTCTTCCGGAGACTGCCATGATTTCCGTTCTTGCTCCCCTCCCTGTCTATCGCTGCGTAACGCGCCTTCTTCACCAAAGACGTAGCAGAAGCTGTTACTTAGGTCGGTTGAGTAAATAGGTAACACACAAAAGGAGATGTTGGAGAACATTGATAGGGCCGTAGTGTACAGCGCCGTGCTACTTAGCAACGTCATAGAATTCCGAATTTTAATCGTGCGTTTGTACACGCGCGAGGCCTGCAGGTCCTGATCAAAGGCGGACTGTTGCGAAAGGCTTTCAGGCGCGGCTAAAGACATCGTGTTGGATGCTTGTGTCTGACGAATTGTCGAGGCGTCATCCTGCCCTCTTTCCATCTCGGAAATAACGAAGCCTTCATGGCGAAGTCCTCTTATGAGTCCTGCAAGGAACGTATCCGAGATCAGCGTTGATTCCACCAGCGTGTGAAGCTGTCGACTCGATACCTCGGCTTCTTGATCAGATTGACTAAGTAGACAGATGCCGTGATTAGGTAAAATAACCGGCCAGTAAAAGAAAAGGGCAATAACAACCATCGTAAAATATTCAACATTAAGGTTAGAGACAACTTGTAATCCTGTAGACGCTGCAAAGCCGCGGTAAGATTATATTCTTTGCGCAGCCATTTTAAATCGGTCAAAGAAGCCTATGTCTTTGTCTACACTAATGCCACCTATCAGACCGCTCAGGTCCGAGTATGTCGTGACACAGCCCGTCAGCGTCGCCAACACTTGCTCGAGCAGAATCAGAGCGTTTCGGTCGACAGATGCCTGGACGCGGCCATCGATGTAGGAGCTCAGAGACTGGACAACCACCGAAATAGTATTAATCTCTAGCACCAGGCTCTGCGCAAGACAGGATGCATCACGGATGCTGTTGATGATAGCATGCAGCTTGGAGACTACCAAAGCGCCGGTATTTAAATGCCGACAATGGAGGCGGAAATTGACAAAGGATCCATTATACGAGCACAGTAGAGACAGCTTATGAAAACAGAAGCAATTTAAGATGACAGAAGAAAGATGAAGTACGGAAACGAGAGTAAGCAAGGAGAAAATAAACAAACGAGTAAGTAACAGCAAGAGAAGCCTAACGTGGGGTAAGAGAACAATAGGAAGAGGGCCACGATAACGGTTACGTAGTGTTAGTTGCTAAGGCCCTAATTTACGCATGCCGGTCCAACTGTGTGATTAGTCCGGAGTGTCACATGACCAGCCTTATCGCAGCTGTTATCGTGTTCTCCTCACCGACCGGCCGTGGAGACGGGTGGACAGACGAGTCTGGTCCTGTTCGCTTCCACGCCACCTCGACGACGACGACGATCTGACGTCTCCCGACGGCTCCTCTCGCTGCACTCGAACAGCCCGCGAGCAAGCAGCAAGCAGCAAACAGCCACAAACGAGCGCACGCCCCCTCCCGACGGGCCTCACACCAGACGGAGGACCCCGCCTGCACTCCGGCTGGCCATGGCCGACGACCTCGACTCCCTCGTCAAGGGGGCGCCGCTGTCTGGGCCAGGCAGTCTCGGCTACAAGGCGGCAGCGGCACTTGGGCTTGGCGGCCCCGGCTCCGGTAGCCCTGACGGCGACCCGCTCTCGCACACGCCCGGCTCGCCGGCGATGATCTACCTCAACCTGCTCATCCTCGAGGCATCGCTGCGGGCCCAATACCTGGCGCTGCGGGCCCGCCGCCGCCACCACACCTTCTTCCTCATCCTGCTGAGCGGCTGGATTCTGGGCTTCGGCTATGCGCTGTTCCTGGCGCCGCGCGAGGACGGCAGCGGCGTGGGCGGCTCCGTCTACTGGGTCGTCGACGTAGCCGAAAAGGTCTGCTTCATGGGCGGCGCCATCACGGCCGTTCTGATCTGGGCCACCGGCATTTGGGACCGCGGCGTGCGCTGGCCGCGTCGCTGGTTCAACGTGTCCAACCGCGGCCTGCGCCACATCAACTGCAAGCTCGTGCTGATGAAGCGTTCCTGGCTGGCCGAGACCCTGTCCACGCTGGCCTGGTTCCTGACCTACGGCCTGCTTTCCAACGGCGCCGGCGTCTCGTCCTACCGCTACGTCGAGCCCGCCATCCTGCGTGAGGTCGACCGCGAGCTGCACCTCTCGGCCACCGGCCACCCGTCTGTCAGCCCCAGTCCCGGCCGCACCGCTTCCGGCACCAACACCATACCGGCCATCATCGTCCGCGACGAGGAAAAGGGCAGCAGCAGTAGCAGCCGTGCTGCCGCTGCCACCCAGCACGCCACTCACGGCCACGGCCACGGCCACGGGCACTCTCACTCCCACCCCGGCATGCAGCACCTGCACGCCCACCAGGAGGATCTAGCGCCCGGCGGCGACTATGTCAAGCTGCTGCTGCTCGCCAAGCCCTTCTCGCCCACCTTCCGCGAGAATTGGGAGCTGTACCGCCAGGAGTACTGGGAACGCGAGAACGAGCGTCGCGCCCTCATTCGCCGGAAGCTCAAGGAGCAGGACCGCGCCCTGCGTTACAACTCCGGCAGCTGGTTCTGGTGGCTGCCCGGCCGCCCTGCTGTCACTTCCAGCGAGCAGCAGCGGCCCTACACGCCGCGTGGCCGGGGTGGTGACATGGGCGGCAGCAGCGGCGGCAGCGGCGACAAAAACGCCCACCACCAGCTGCACCATCCGCGCCACGTCGCCGTCGAGCGCGAGCATCGCCGCACGCGCAGCAACAGCTCGCGCCGCGGCAGCATGTCGACGGGCTCGCGCAGCGGCACACCGGCCGTGGAGGTCGAAGACACTGCCGCTGCCGCTGCGGTAGGCCGAAAGGAGAGCACAGGGTCCTGCACATCTGACCGGCGGAGGAAGAAGTCGTCCGTGTCGACGGCCCCGGCGATGACACGCACCATTTCGGCGGCGGCTAGACGGCCCAATGCGTCGGACTCGCGCTCGGTCACGCCCGAGATCCCGTCGCCGCTGGCCAGAGAGAACAGCATGTCGGCGGCCGGATGACCGCCGACGGGGGACTACAGAAGAGCTAGAAAACAGCCGGTGGACTGCAAAACACGAGACACATCCCCTCTCCGCGCCTGTATGCATGCATGGCGTCTACGTGGGCATAGTAGCATAGTAATGAAGCTGCTCGGATGACTAAGCACGTGACCGCCACGGTTCTGGGCTCGTATATGCAGGCTCGATTAAAAATGCGGCATGCTGCTGCCGGGCGGCAGGAGCCCGCGTGCTACTATAACGGCGTGTTACGGGCTCGGCAAGCACTACTGCATCGAGCGCTGTAGTTCGCCCCTGCATTCCCGTGCTTGCGATATCGTAGTATTATGAAGCAGAGCTCTCATGGCGAGATAAACGAGTCGGACGTGGAAGGAGCGGCCCTGCACTGTCTCGTTTCCACGGTACAAAGCAAGTGGGGAAGGAGCCAGAGAGTACAGGCTGCCGTTTGTTTGTCTGGTACTCTGTACGGAGTACATTATTGAGACATGGCCTCACCAACGTCGGAATTGAAAACCCACTGCCGCCCTTTTTTTAGGGCGTCTTCTAAGCCGCCACCCAAACCCAGGATCACAATACTCTTTGGCAGCGGGCTGCATACCTATTTGCCGTCTTTTTACCACATTGTTGCTTTTTTTTTCTGTTTCCTTCATCATAATACCCGCGGTCACATTCTTTCTTGCCTGCCTCTACTAGCTCTGCTGCCTGCAGAAGCTCCCAAACGCGTCGCCTGGAGCTACCTCTTTCCTTTTGATCATGGACGTCGACCCGCCATCTCCACCTCACACAAGGATCGCGGCCGCTATCGCTGGCGGCATGATCCTGCCCCAGGGGGTCGTGGCCAACGCGCCGTACGTTGGTCACGCGCCCGCAGCGCCGAGTATCGTCGTCCCGCTGGCTGGTTCTTCGGTCTTGCGTGGATGGGGCCAGCCACAGTCGCGGGTAGAGGTGCTGACCACTGGCCCGGACGCTGCTGCCCACGCCTTCCGGGCCGTGCAGAAGCAGCGAGAACAGGCCCAGGAGGTGCGCCGGAAGCAGATGGCCGCGCGTGGCGATGATGATTCGGCCATGGGGGCCCTCACGGCCGCCTTGACCTACCGAAATGTGTCTGGGTCCATGTCGATGCGGCCATCGATGCTCAACGCAGCCATCATGGGTCTCTCAGCCGAGCAGCTGCACCAGGTCACCGGTAGCCGGCCGCAGACGGCCCAGCACAACACCCACAGCTGGACGTACGAGAAGCGCCGCGTGGCCCAACCTGTGCTCGACTTCATGTACCTGGGCCCATCGTCCGTGGCGCGCGACCGCGACTTCCTGCGCCGTGCCGGCATCACCATGTTGCTAGCCACGCGCGACAGCCGCATGGCCGAGGCCCGCCTGCTGTCGGTTGGCCGCACCGCATGTGAGCTCGGCATCGCCGTCCACTACGTCGACGTGTTTGAGGACCGCCGTGGCGAGCTGATCCGGGCGCTGCCGGGCGTTGTGCGCACCATCAACGAGCACATGATGCAGCAGTTCCAACAGGCCGGCTCTGACAACGGAGCCGGCGCCGGCCGCGTGCTCGTCTTTTGCGAGACGGGTAACGAGCGCTCGGCTGCTGTTGTGGCTGCCTACATCCTGACCGTCTACGGCGTCAGCCTGATCGAGGCTCTGCAGTTTGTCAACGCCTGCCGCTTCTGCACTAGCTTTGACGAGGACACCAAGGGCATGCTGCTGAACTACTGCGAGATCCTTCAGGCGCAGCGCGACGTTGGTTGCAGCAACGATGGCGGCGCTGCCGACGCTGATATCGACTGCAGTAGCCAGCCTCCTGCCGAGACTAGGTCCTTTCCATCCCGGGACAGATCGCTGGTGCCGATTCCATCTCGCAACGCCGTCCCGCCCAGATCGTCGGCCAGTAGGAGCAGAAGCTGGCCCAAGCGACGGATCGAAGAGACACTAGACGACGAAGATGACCGCAGAGAGGCGGAGGGAGACTACGCGTTGTCACGGGAGCCGTCGGCCGAAACGCCCCGGTTGCACCTGGATATGGCTCGATATCTGGAACGCAAAACCTTTGTCCCGTTCTCAGACGTTGCCGGCCTGCAGGTGCCGCCGAGCTAGGGCGGCTTTCTCGTGTCTGTGGCGAGGACCATGTGTCGGTATCTGGGCGGACAGCTCGTTCAGGCTGGTGTCTTTCGGAATTTTGGGTTGGCGAAGCGGCGAGACAGGCAGGGCTTTTTTGGATCCATCGTCTTTATAGAAATTAGAGGACCACACGCCGTGTTATACAACGGCGTGTGCTGTAGTTACAACGAGTATTGTGCATTGTGTTATTGTGTTATCGTAAAGAATTCGGGGCTGGGCCTCAATGCAAGTGAATAAGGGCCGGGACAGGCCTGACCTGACCTGATATCTCACCTTCCATTCACCTGTCCCTCTGATTCCCGTAACACTCTCCTTCAGCTTTCGGGCAGACAAACGCTTTGCACCGGCATTGTTCGCTTCGAGGACTAGAACGGAAGGTGCGACCCGTGCCATTACATCAGCATTGCCCTGCCTGCTTCAGGCCGTGCAGCAGTTCCAAGGGAGATCGAGAGAGCTGACGACACAGCTTCCAAGAGGGCCACGGCTCCCTCGTTGCTCCTTCACTATTGTTTGTCCTCTGCTCTGGCCTTTGAATCGCATCCCTTGAGACAGCCTCGACATGCCCAAGCTTCGTCCTGCCACCAGCCGTCGCCAGCCCGGCCGTTATAAGGAGTTCGCATGCTCTGATTCCGGCTCGTCTGTGGAAGATCAAGAGCCACCACGCTCCTCATTCGCCCCCGAGCTCAGCTGGACAACTGCATTTCCCACTCGTGCGCTGGATGACCCTCGTCGGCACCCAAACGAGGCTCTCGCAGACTTCCACCGGGCAGCAGACCGGATTCTGAGGCAGCCCATTTCTGTGTCCTCCAGCGGGCCAGACAGTGCTGCTGCTACGGGGCTGATATACCAGCAAAAGGAGGACTTCTTGACACAGGCCATTGACTCGGCAGAGGAGCAGCTCGAGGCTCAGTTTGCCCGCTGGCGAAGATCATTCTCCATGCCTGCTGGGAGCTCCAAGGCTAAGAGACGAGGGAATGAACAGGTTGGCGAGTCGCCACAGACAGTGAAGAGACAGAAGATCAAGTCAGACCGATCTAAGACCGCCGGTCTTTCCATCAGCAGCAGCAGTAGCTTCGATAATAGCAGCTTCAACGTAATGACCGGCAAGTCGGGCTGGGGCCTCCAAGGTGACCAGGCTGGCTCGACAGTAAAGAGCATGAAGAACGTGAGTATGAGGCAGGCAGCCAGTGCCTCAGTCCTTGCTAACAGGGCCTTGTCCAGAACCGAGGAGGCACCTCGTCGACCAGCTGCACCACTTGGCAAGCTGTGCCCGACAATATGAAACTCATCGTGGTTAGGGAGCTCACCTCGTGGTTTGCCTATGATGAGACAGTGACCTTGCTCAAGCTCACCAGCGTCGAAGAGGCGGGCTTCCGCGCCCTGTACGATCGCGAGCAGCGCAAGTTGGCCGCCTACACAATTGCCCTCCGCCAGTATGAGGCATCCCAGGTCCACGAGCGCGAGCTGCTCCGCTACATCACAATGTCACAGACAGCCAGGGACATCTTTCCGAGCGGGTTGGCCAGCCCCGTCGAGATGCCTTTCAACTCTCGCTACTACTTGCCGCCTATCGCGGACCCAGGCCTCATTACCGACATTGTCACCGTGCGGCAGATTACCATGGCACAGGAGTATCTGAGCAGCGTCGGCTTCGTGCGCGACACTGTCGACCTGGGCCACTGGCTCGGTCACAGCGGCGGCGGCCGCTTCGAGATCGACATGTTCAGCAATTGCAACGGATGCGAAGAAGGGGACCACGGCCACGGCCACAACCAGCCTGTCATCGCCTTGAAGGGTCATTCGCGTCTATCGCCGCGTGGCCTAGCACCCGCAGCTGCCGGCACCGGCACGGGCGACACCGTTAAGCGTCGTCGCAAGAAAGCCGCCCCGGAAGATTCCATGCGGGACGCAGCTGCCGACAGCGTCGAGGTGAGGATGCCTGTTGTTCCGGCGGCAACGAGCACCAGAGGCCGAGGTAGCGGCCGTGGAGGCCGCGGCAGGGGTGGCGGAGGTGGACGCGGAAGGGGAAGGCAGCCGAGCTTCAAAGTGCACGTTCAAGGGACTGGTAGCAGCAGCCAGCCGGCACTGATTGACGAGGCTGATCCCAGTGTCGCAGTGAAAGGGTAAAGCTGCACAGTAGAAGCGCCTGGGAGGGGGTAGTACGGTATTACACAACATTGATCGACCGGGCTGCAAGGAGAAAGGAGAACTTGCGAGGATGTCCCAGAATTGGAGCGATTAGGGAGTAGTGATTAGTCATCAATAAAACCCCTAGCGAAGCTGTTGCGGAGCACTTTAGTGGCGATCGATCCGAGCTTCAGCCTACGAGCCTACGGAGCATTGCCAACACTGCAGGAATCGGCGACGTTATCGGCATCGGCGAGTAATAGTAGGGACGAAAATCTGGCACTTGACATCGAAGATCGGTCTGAGACATTCGAAGAAGCGATACGCTGCTCCGACACGAGGGCAACGCGACGCGAGAGGCAGCCATGGCGCCACCACGGATCGAGCAGCGGGAGATTGACACGTACTGGAACATCTTCTCGGCGCGGACGAACGGCGGCAAGTTCCTGACGGGCGAGCAGGCGGCGCCGGTGCTGAAGAACAGCGGGTTGCGTGACGGGCAGCTGGAGCGGGTGTGGGATCTGGCCGACGTCGACAATGATGGCAACCTGGACTTTGAGGAGTTTTGCGTGGCGATGCGGCTGATCTTTGACATTCTGAACGGGGTGGGTAGCTGTTGAGCTTCGTGTCTTCCGTCTTTGCGCCCGCTGACAGCTCGCAGGAGTATCCCGACGTTCCGAACACGCTGCCGGACTGGCTGGTGCCCGAGTCCAAGGCACATCTGGTGCAGGCAGGCCGGGCGCTGACGGGCAAGGCAACGCAGTTTGAGCAGGTCGAGGTCGACGATCCGGACTCGCCCCCGCTCAAAGACGGCTTCGACTGGTACATGAGCCCGGCCGACAAGTCCAAGTACGAGCAGATCTACATGGAGAGCCGGGACATGCGCGGCGAGGTATCGTGTGAGTGGCCTTGCGGACGTGTTGCGTTTTGGATCTTGGTCTTTGGATCTTGCTGACAGAAGTTGCAGTCCCTGCGCTGCAGGACCTATACGAATCGCTTGAGGTGCCGGACACGGACATCCGGTCGGCATGGAACCTGGTGAACCCGTCGGCAGGCTCGTCGATCAACAAGGACGCCTGCCTGGCCTTTCTGCACATCCTTAACTACCGGCACGAGGGCTACCGGATCCCGCGTGCGGTGCCGGCGTCGCTGCGGGCCAGCTTCGAGCACAACAAGATCGACTACCAGGTCGGCAATGCCAGCACGGCGGCGGCCAACTCGCGCTGGGCCACGCGGGCCGACGACTCGACATCGACCGGCCGCAAGGCCAAGTTTGGCGACCAGTACCTCACGCGTCTGGGCCGTTCCGGCTTTGCCAGCAGCGGCACGGACTTCTCAGCCGAGCAGAAGACGGAGGACTGGGAGGAGGTCCGGCTGAAGAAGCAGCTGCAGGACCTGGAGAAGCGCATCGCCGACATCGAGGGCGGTGCGGCGCAGCGTTCGGCCGGCGGCGCTGGCGGCAAGCGCGACACCAAGCCGGCCCTCGTCAAGCGCGAGCTCGAGCAGCTGCTCGACTATAAGCGCAAGGAGCTGCGCGATCTCGAGGACGGCACCGGCAAGGCCAAGGCGGCGTCCAGCCTGCACGGCGTCGCCGACGACCTCAGCACGGTGCGCGAGCAGGTCGAGAGCCTCGAGGCCCACCTGCGGTCGCGGGAGCACATCCTGGAGCAGCTGCGGCGGGAGATTGACGACGCCAAGGTGAGGTGAAGGAGGCGGTGCTGTTGGAGATCGGGCTTTCATTCCTTTCAGACGGTGTTTCTGCTTCAGAGCGAGACGAGGCAGCTGTATTCCCTGTAGATAGAGACGAGCAAGAACTGAACTGAACAGACTGGGTACCAGGACGAGTGGGACACTTTGGCACATGCACACGGCCGGTCTATGTATGCAACGCTATCGGGAGCTAATATGTATTCGCATTGCCATCCGGGCTGTTCGGACATGTGACTACCATCTTACGCGCTCATATACGCTCCTTCCACACGTCGCTATTGCGAGTACAAATACCACCTGTTACAGGCGTGGTGTCGCCAGAATGCGGCTTCCCTGTTTGGCGACTGTCAAATGACGAGCAGAGCCAGCCCAGACACGCACTAACTCATCTTGCTACCCCACCATTCCGCCTCCCAACCAGGTCTCAACAATCCAGGTCCACCGCCAAACTCTCTCCATCCCCCGCTCTAAAGCAAGCTTTCTCAACGCATTTCCCCGACGACAACAGTCTTCGACGCCTTCTCTTCTAAGCAGAAATCAAACACCAGTCGAGAAATCTACAATTCAAGCAACATGTCTACTTCCGAGGCTTTCAAGCAGGCCGTGCTGGACTCCAAGAAGCTCACGTCCAAGCCGAGCAACGAGGAGCTCCTGGACATCTATGGTATGCCCACCAATGGGACACTCAAAAAGGAGATACAGCGCCACAAGGGACCACCAGATTACTGACACGCCGTGCTGCAGGCCTCTACAAGGTGGCCATGGGCGAGGACATCACCACGGCCCCGAGCCCTGGCATGTTTGACCTCAAGGTAAGTGCTTCCTTCCTAGCTGTGCCTAGAGACTATCTCGGGATTCTGACCCGCCATCCACAACAGGGCAAGGCAAAGAAGGCCGCCTGGCAGAAGGCCGTCGACGAGGGCCTGACCGCCGAGCAGGCTCAGGAGCGTTATGTCGAGTACATTGAGAAGCTCAAGGCCAAGCACGGATACGATGCGAGCAAGGAGCCCGAGACTGTCGGCTCCTCGTAGGAGAGCTGGTCTCTGAAGGCGACGCAGGCTTGAGGGAAAACTGTGCATTCGAGGCTGAGAGCAGCCCACACATCCCATGTTTAGCTGTGCAGGAATTTTAAAGTCTTTGACATGTTCTCTTCTTTGTCCTGCATATAACTACGTTACCCGACCTGATTTCTACACGCAGCAGGCACACGCTTCTCGCGCTCTAACCGCTCCACGCTTGTCCGGTCCAGTCGGGCTCCTCGTCAGGTAGCGTGCACACCCACGGTATCTCACCCTTGCCATATTGCTGCAGGGGCAGATCGTACGGGACCCGCAGGGCCACTACTGGTCTCCCCGCAGCCTTTCCGGTCGCCGGCTGCAGCACGCTGTCGCTTCCGCCGACTATCTGCATCACAGCCGTCTCCGCAAACAGGCCCGGCCAGACCATCACGCCAATCTCCCACGATGCAACCCGCACCTCACCTGCTGCAGTCACAGCCTCGCCCCAGGCCTGTTTCGACAGATTGGCTGACGTAAGCAATGCCCAGTCCACGCCGACTTGGCCATATCGCACATATGTCTTGATGTGTGGCGCTGCCCGTTTGCGGCCATTTACAATCGGGGTGGCACCATCTGGGAGCTCTGGCTCTTGTCAGGGGTGTTGTACGTAATCGCCCAGTAAGGGGGAGGGAGAAAGATACATACTCGCCCCATCAGGCGAATCGTTGGCCCAATGGCACAGCAACGGCCGCATATATTGCAGCTGTCTCTGCTGCTGCGATGACTGTATCTTGGTGTGAATCGAAGTACCCGACTTGTAGCCCTCCAGTGACCGCCGTATTTCGTCTGCCGTGGGGAAGACTGCACGAAACCGAGGCTGCTGTAGCTCCTCTTTGCCGATGCTGCCGCCCTTATCGACAGCACTACTAGCCGTGGCCATCGCACTGAAAAGTGTGTGTCGAATCCATGCGTCCGTGGGTCCCAGCGTCGCCATGGAGGACACCTGCAGCACGATCTCGGTGGAGGGCGCGACTGCCTGCACCGGCACCGAGCGAAGAGTGTTTTTCAGAGCTGTCCATCCCCACTGGGTGTGATACTTCTCGTCGGGCTGTCGGATTAGGGAATGTCTGCCCGGCACGCTGGCGATCAGGGCAGCCTGTACGGCCGCGAAGTCGTAGCGTGCCAGCCTCTCGACGAGCGGCCGGCAGATGGAGCGCCGCTGGTTGTAGGCCCTCAGGTAACTGAGCAGGTCCGTCTTGAAGCGACGACCGCTCCCAACGGGGCCATCGATCTCACTCTCGTCCTCTCCGTCGACATCATCGGCCAGGAGCGGAAGTAGGGGCGAGCGCCAGACGCCCTGTGTCATGTTCGCCCAGTCGTGGGGTATCATGTTGGCCGTGTAGATGACCACCTGCGCGGTGTCGTCGTGCCGGAAGAGTACTGCCATCTTGGAGTGGTGCGTGCCAAACGGCTCCGGCATAAAGGCCGTATGCAGCTGCACGTTAGCGTAGCGCGCGGCCTCGGCCTCCAGCTCGAGGCGCCGCTGGTCCTCCCGCTTCCAAAAGCCGTGCACCACGTGCACGTGCACCAGGTGGCGCACGTCCTCGTTCAGGGCGTCCATGAAGAAGCCAATGTCGTGCAGATAATTGAATTCCCAGCACTCGGCCACCAACGGGCTGCCAAATATCTCGTCCACCGTCACCGTGTCGACGTTGTCCTCGGCCGGCAGGTCACGGATGGCCGTCAGCTGAAACGGACTCCTGAACCGCACTCCGGCATCGGTGCTGGTGCTATCATGCGCCTCTTCCCCGTTCCGCCTCCTCTTCCATGGAGGACTGACCGGCACAGACAGGGACTTGATGACAATGCCTCTGGGATCTTTACCAACTCCAGCATCGGCTTCGTCAAGCGCCCGCTTTGACGGTATCACCGCTTGCTGTCCGCCCATCTCGGCTCACTCAACTTCTCAGTGGTGAGTGATGACAAAGGCGAAGACGCGTCTAGTCATGTCACGTGGCGGTCGCGACTGGATGGACTTTCCATTTTACTGTGTGTGACCGACTGCTCGGCAGCCATTTGTCAACAGCGCAAGTAAGGTCCTGGAGATCCTTCGCAGCATCGCTCCTTCTATAAAGGTCCGTCTCACAACGGATCACAAGATATCCCCATAAGTCATAGGGCCTAGGCCTACGCATTTCCAAAAATAAATGCCACTCTGTTACTGTAGCGCAGCCAACCCCTGCACAACACGCAGAATATGTATTCCTGCACTAACAGAAACATATTGCGCCTGCTGATTGGCTGTTGTTCCCTATGGACTCACGCTTTTGCCAAAGGAAACGCCAACGCCTCCTGAATTCGATTCTTCATCGACGACCTGGAAAAAACGGCTCCTCTTCCTTCGCATCCTAACGTGGCCTCCCCACCCTTTCTCCCACGTTGAAGGCGCAGACGACGACGTCGCCTTCCTTGACACAATCCCTTCCCATATCTTGTTCTTTTGGATCGTGGGTGGCTTTTCTGCGATTCGCTCTGCCCACGCTTTTACTTGACGCTATCCGATAACTAATACTGAACACGATTGCGTTTTCGTGCCGACAGCCTGACGACTCGGCTGGCCTTGGCCGCGCTTATTGCCGTCTATTGTGGTCCTGCCTTTCTTCCACACGGTGTGCCAAACTGTCGATCCCCCCCGAACGGTCTTCCTGATGCACCACCTCTTCGATTAGCCGGCTCTCGCAATTTGTCGTCAGGTCTACGACACCGTCTGAGAACGGCGTAGCCATCTCTCTGTTCTCATCCGCTTCGCGTCCACCGACCTTCTCGGTTTGCTTGCGGCCATACCGGCTGTTGCCACTCGGGACGCCTTTCTCTGACGCGAGGCATCCCGGCCGCCTCACTCACCATGAGGCTTCTTTCGCTCGTCTCGCTATTAGGCGTAGCTGTCTTGGGCGCAGCTGCAGAAGATGCTGTCCCAGCAGCTGCTCCGGCAGCCGCTCCGGCAGCCGCTCCGGCAGCACCCCCAGCAGACCTGCCACCGGGCTGGACCATGTTTGACGGCGTCAAGGTCCCACCGTTCAACGAACTGACGCCGACAAACTTTGACCAGGAGTTGGCCCAGTCCAAATTCATGATGGTGAAGCTGTACAGGTGAGCAGCCCCTCTCTCTTGTATGGTTGCGCTTCTGTCGCTAATGTTCGGCACGCAGCCCTTACTGCCATCACTGCAAGCGCTATGCGCCGACCTTTCAGAAGCTGTACGAGTACTACCGCACGGCGATAGCTCCCGGTGGCGATCCAACCGTCACCGCTGACAAATACTACAACATCCAATTCGCGTCTGTCAATTGCGTCGCCCACTACGATTTCTGCGCGAAGCATGGGGTGAAGTCGTATCCAACTACGAAGCTGTTCGTGGACGGCGTGGTGACGACCGTCTTCGAAGGCGTCAAGACCATGGAGGAGCTCGGCACCGCCATCGAATCTGCTTTGGAGGCAGCACGCCCAGGCACGCGGCCGAATCCGGTTTTGCTACCCGTGGAGGAAGCTGCCGCCCACCCTACGATTGCCGCAGAGGCTGGGGCAGTCATTGCCCTGCAGTCACCTGCAGCTGCTTCTGCCATCCCTGCTGCTGCGGACGGTACTGCCGTGAAGGTTGGGGCTGCAAATGATGCCACGACCGGAAACACTGCCAAAGACGCTGCTGCTGGTAGTGCCACGGACAGCAAGGATACCAGGCGCAATAAGGACAAGTCCAAGAAGACCTCGCCCGGTCCGGTCTACCGGGGCCCACCCAAGTCGACAGCCACGCCGAACCCCAACGGGATATCACAGAAACTCAACGCGGAGTCATTCCAGACACTCGTCACGACGACGCAGGACCCGTGGTTCATCAAGTTCTATGCCCCGTGGTGTCACCACTGCCAGGCTATGGCGCCAAATTGGAACCAGCTGGCAAAGGAGATGCGAGGCCGACTTAACATCGGCGAGGTGAACTGCGAGAAGGAGTCACGGCTGTGCAAAGATGTGCATGTCAACGGCTACCCGACAATTCTATTTTTTCGGGGCGGCGAGCGTGTCGACTACGACGGGCTGCGCGGCCTCGGCGACTTTGTGCAGTATGCCGAGAAGGCGGTTGACATCTGCGAAGGCGTCAAGGACGTTGACGCCGTGTCGTTTGAGGCTCTGGAAAAGAAAGAGGACGTGATCTTTCTGTACTTTTACGACTTTGCCACCACTGGGGAGGACTTTATGGCGCTGGAGCGGCTCCCGCTGAGTCTGATCGGCCATGCGAAGCTGGTGAAGACCAACGACACGGCCTTGTACGATCGATTCAAGATCACGACGTGGCCGCGGCTAGTCGTGTCGCGCGAGGGACGACCGACGTACTATCCGCCGCTGACGCCCAACGAGATGCGCGACACGCACCAGGTGCTGAACTGGATGAAGTCGGTGTGGTTGCCGATCGTGCCGGAGCTCACGGCATCGAATGCACGGGAGATTGTGGACGGCAAGCTGGTCGTGCTGGGTATCCTGAAGCGGGACGACCCAGAGGGCTTTGCCAGTGCGATCCGGGAGATGAAGAGCGCGGCCAGTGAGTGGATGGACAAGCAGATCCAGCTGTTCCAGCTGGAGCGGCAGGAGCTGCGCGATGCCAAGCAGCTGCGCATTGAGGAGGCCGAAGACCGCAACGACCAGCGGGCATTGCGGGCGGCGAAGAGCATCCGGATCAACATGGACCGGGCGGACAAGAAGGAGGTTTCCTTTGCCTGGGTCGACGGCGTCTTCTGGCAGCGGTGGCTGCGCACGACATATGGCATTGACGTCAAGGACGGCGAGCGAGTAGTGATTAACGACGAGGACGTGAGTTTTTCACTTTCTTATCATTCTATTTTGTGTCGGCCTCCTCCGTCTTTCTTTTCCTCTGCTAACCCCATCAGAACCGGCGCTACTGGGACCAGACCATCACGGGCAACTCGATCTTGCCATCGCGAACATCGATTCTGGAGACGCTCAATAAGGTGACAGCGTCTCCGCCGAAGATCAAGCCGAAGTTGACCATCTCGAGCATCGAAAAGGTCTTTTTCGACATACGGGTGACCTTTTCGGAGCACCCGTATCTGACAATCGGCTGCTTCCTGGGCATGTCGCTGGGCGTGGCGTCGTGGTTCCGCGGCCGGGTCCGGTGGACACGGGGACACTCCCGGCTGGAGGACAGCCTGGGCCGGAAAGACTTCAAGCTGCCCATCCTAGGGACCGGGCTGAACGCGAACGGCAAGGTAGACTAAGGCGCACCGTCCAGAGGGGCGGTGCCGGATTGCCAACGATGCATCATGGCCGGTTCTCTCTTCGTTTTGTTTTTTTGTCTAGTTAGAAGATCATGGAGTCTGGCTGTTTTTGTCTCCCTGTCTTCGTCTCATGTTCCCTGCGTTGGTCTATAAGTACGAGGATCTGTGTACTACTATTGGGTTTGCTTCCCTCACTTCCGAGGTCAGCCAGGACCTCTCTCTGTTGGTTCCGTATCCTGCCGGGCCGAAGCTCATACTTCCGTGAGCATGGAACGGGCGCATGAGTCAAAACAGCACACACAAACGCCGAGCCAATACGATGCAGTGCAGCTGTCGGCCAGGGCTGTGCATTGCTGGGGACAAGAGACGATAATATATAATGCATGCATTCATAGATCAGAAGGGCAACAATACACAATGGGAAAACGCTTGGAGCTGCATTTCTGTCAAGGGTAGTGAGCCTGCGTCTCACGTGTAGATCTCCTCGGTCAGGCCGTTGAACGTAATGCCGTTCTTGGCCAGGTCATCAACGTCTACAAGAAACTGCAGCGGCATTTCGACCAGGTTTCCACGGATCTCGCCCAGACGATTCTTCAAGGCCTCAACACCACCAGGGAAGCAGGGCGCCACGTGGCCGTAGGGAGCCTTGCCATCGGGCAGGAGCTGCGGCTCCGCGCTGTTGTCCTCCCACTCCTCTCTTCCCAGCTTGGCCTTGTCCTTCTTGTCGTCCGTGGTGCCCGGCAGGACAAAGTACTTGGAGAAGTAGTCGTCGTACTCGTCCCAGGTGCGCACGCGGTCGGTGGGCACGCAGTGGAAGACGTCGTCAAAGGCCTCCGTGTTGGTGTGGGCAGTACCGGTCCACAGGCGACGGAAGTGCGGGCTGAGCGGATCGGCCACCAGCCGGTCGGCCGTGCTGTTCCAGTCGTACTCGTTGAGGCCAGCGGTGACGGGGAGGAACTGTGATTAGTCAGCATCACATGACCTTGGTAAAGTCTCTTGTGGAAAACGTACGTTATGCGTTGGCCTGTCGTACGGCAGGTCCGGCAGCAGGCCAATGTGCTTGCGGAACAGCTGGCGGCGCAGGCTCGCGGGAAAAGCACCGACAACATACGGGCGGCCGTTCATGGACGAGCGTACCGGGTGCTTCGGGTCCTCGATGACAACGGCAATCTCCGAGTCGTGGTTGCCCAGCTGCGAGCGGTCATTGAGGTTGGCACTGCCACAGATGACCAGCCGGTCGTCGGCAATGAGGACCTTGGTGTGGATATAGAGCTCTTCGCTGACATAAGCAGCAATCTCGGCCTCCGGGTCCTCACCACTCCAGGGCACGTCGACGAGTGCTGGGCCTCCGTACGTGTAGCAGGCCGAGACGGTGTCGGCGGTAGGGTCGTTGGGAGCAGCCCGAGCAGCAGCCTGGTAGCGATGGTAGTTGTCGCCCAGGTGGCCATGGGTCTCGTGGTCACGGCTGTAGCCATCGTAGCCAGACTCGACAGCATCGTCAAACTCGCGCCGGGCATCGCCATACGACACACCGCTATCCTTTTCGATCCGACCCATCAGCGGGGCCGTGTTGATACGGTCGTAGCTGCGCAGGTTGTAGAAGCGGAGATACTGCTCCGGCTCGCCCACGCCGGCTGCCCGCAGCTCCTCGTAGATGCTGTTGCCGCCACGGCTGATGCTGTTGTATTGGAACTCCATAATGGCCCGGGTGCCCAGAGCCGAGTCGGCCTGCAGATCGCCGGCAAAGCCCGGCACCGCCGGGATGCACACGATCATGCCAAAGTCCTCGCCGTTCTGATGGGCCCGCACGATACGGTCGACAATGGCACGGCCAATCTTGTTGGTCACCGGGCGCTGCTCATCGCTCGTGGCTGTGATGAAGAACTGGTTTTCAATATAGACAAAGTGCTCGGCGCCTGTGATCGCGGCAATGTATGCGTTCGCGATAGAGTGCTCTGTCGGGTGACCGGCCGACCAGGCGCAGCAGCTGCGTGTCAGCTGAATATGCATGCTATCATCATTGTCGCCGCCGTAGTCTCCGCCTTGGTTGCCGCCGTAATTGCCGCCGTGGCTGCCGCCCCGCGTGGGTTCCGCTTCCTCGTCGCCATCACCGCCGCCCAAGAACTGGTTCATGCGGTGCTGCAGGTGCTTGTGCAGGCCGCCCACGAAGCGCTGTCCGCCCTCCAGCAGCGATCCGCCATTGCCCCACAGGCTCTCAGGCACGGTGTGCGGCTCGCTGGGCATCCCAAGCTTCTCGTAGGCGCCCTCTTTACGGGTCACGTACTTGCTGTCGAAGATGTAGTTCCTGCACGCAGAGCTTGTGAACATCATAAAAACCAGTCACAGAAAGCGCTTTTCTGACTCACCATCTGTCGATAAAGTGCGTTATCAGGCTGGGCACGATATGTCCCGACAGGCTGATGCTGATGTCGGACCAGCCCATGCGCGAGCTCTGGGTGCGGTCAACTGGAATATGGTGAGCTTCTGCAGGACGAGGCGTCTTCTTGGGCGGAAAGGGGCCTATACGCACGCTTGTTGTTCTCCCACTTGTCGACGTCAGCAAAGTCGTACACACGGGCGTTGTTGTAGTCCTGGCCGGGGAAGATGATGGCATCTAGGTCGCCGGGATGGGCATCGGCAATAGGGTGACTGTTGGTGTCCCAACGTCCAAAGCCTGTCGTATCCATGTCAGTCTTCGGCATCGAACAACAGGGGACGAGTATCGCGTACACAGATCCAGACCGCCCATAAAGGCAATGTGGTCGTCGATGAGACACAGCTTCTCGTGGTGGGCCCAGTACAGCACCATGTCATCGCTGGTGCCATACAGCGCCTTGAGGGCATCTTGTCCCATCTTGGACAGGTCAAAGGCACCCATGCTCATGTTGGAGAAAGCCGTCTCGAAATCGGCCTGGATGTCATGGCCATTGGGCAGGTGGTCTGGGTGCCGGAACACGCGGATGTTTGGGTGCAGTGCCTCGAGGGCGTGCTTAGTGTGCTGTACGGTCTTGGTCAGTATGAGGCCGGACACAGGCAAGCAGGAGATGTGTTCATACGGCAGAGTTCACTGGAAGAGGCCGGGGTTAGCAAAGGACAGCACGACTCGGTCAAACCAGCAGTAGGTAAGGGACACACGTACAGGTCAGGGCCTGCGGCACCTCCTTATAGACGATGATGCGGACCTGGACGCCTCGCTCGGCGGCGGCCTTGAGCATGTTGTCGAGGCGGTACTGCTCATTCTTGGACGGTGGCCGGCGGAGGTACAGCTCGGGCGTCAGCCACCAGTCGAGGATGTAGATGGTCCGTTGGGCCTCTAGTCTTGCGGTCAGCAGTCTGCAGACAGCGAAACAATAATAACTATAGGAAGATTGTATGCTCACTCGCGAGTGCTTCCGACACGGCCCAGAAGTAGGAGCAGCCGTCGACGTACCACTTGGCCCGGCCGGCGGTCTCGGGAGCAAACGACTGGAACCGGTTGCTGTTGTGCTCGGGCGAGTGTGCCTCCGCACACTCGGCACTGTGGGTGTGCGAGTGCTTCTCGGTGCCGCCCACCAGGTCCTCGAGGCCGCCCTCGATCTTTGCAAAAATGCTCTGCATCCTGTTCTCTCTCTGCTGTCTGTTGGGTGTAGTGATGTGATCGGGAGACGTTGCTTCTTCTGGGCAGTTGGTGAGCAGCGTTTAGGCCAGGTAGTGATATAGGTGCTCCGTAAAGGACAGCGAACGCGCGTTTCTGGGAGGGGCTGCTTGCTTGACGGCGGCCTCAAGATTCGGCAGTCGACATGTTATTCCACTTTTTTGATCCCACTCCAGCTTTGATTCTGCGGCAAGTCGGCGCAGTTGCTTGGCCGCTCAGCGAGACTCCACCCATGTCTATCCCCCGCTGATCTGTCCTCGGTCTGCCAGGACATCTTGCTGCATGGAGCTTAGCACTGCCGTTGGCCAGGGTCGAAGCTGTTTGACAATGCCTGCCAGAGCCACACGGCCTGCTATGTATCCGGCTGTCCAGGACGCTGGCACCCGAGGCCGTAAGTGAGGCCGGAAAAAGCCTCAAGACGGTGGTGGGGGGGATCCGGACGCAATACGAATCGCCTGACGTCAGACACAGTAGCGGTGTGTCGGTGCTGGACGGGATATGCATGTGCGGTGATATCGAAGCGTTTGAACCTTGTGAGGAATGAGAGATGGCTAAATCCAAGCCGTGGCGACACAAAAACGTGCCTTCCCGCACCGAAACAGACAGCTCGCACGTGAGCTCTTCCCCTCCACTAGCCAGAGAAAACTCTCCGAAGCGCCCTGTTGCGTCACTATGAATTTGCGCTGCCGTATGATTTTAGCGCCTATTGGCCCGGTTCCCGCGACAGACCAGAAGGACCAGTCTGTTTCGACTTCATTTCTGGCCCGGACTGCCACGGCCAAGCTCTCCTTGCGAACCAGACCTGCCGTCTGCGCCGGTGCACAGCCTACAGGCGGAAGACGTCCGGATAGCCGCAGCTGCCGTCGCTCGTCCGTGTGATCGGGCTCTTGGTCTCGCCAATCACCGAGATCCCGTCGATCTAGTCGATCGAGTCGACCCAACCGCACACACGTCTTCGCCATGGCAGATACGGCGTCCCTGTCGGGCGCGGCTGCAGCGGCCGTGGCTGCCGACGTGGCCGCAGCTGCCCGCTCGGCTGCCATCAAGCCAGACTCGCCGCAGTCGACCGCAGACATGGCTCTGTCCTCGTTTGGCCGTCTGTCCTCGCCTCCGCTGTCGTCGTCTTCCTCGCCGGCCATCCAGATGTTCGACTCGGCCGTCCACGGCCATCTGGTCCTCTATCTCGCCGCCCTGCACGGCTCCTGCATCACCCACGATGGCCTCTCCGGCAGCTTCAGCCCGCCGCTGCACCACGAGAAGCTGCTCGCCTGGTGGAAGGTCCGGCTGGCCTCGTCCGTTGTCCTGCTCTGGCTGCTGCCTTCGGATGCCGCCAAGCCTGCCGCCTCCGACCTCGTCGGCGCTGTCATGCTGCGCAGCCACCCCGCCGAGACCAGCCACCACGTCGCCGCCGTCGAGCTGCTGCTGGTCAACCCGCGAGAACGCCAAAAAGGCGGCGAGCGCCTGCTCTTGGCCGCCGTCGAGCAGCAGGCCGTCGCTGCTGGCAGGACGCTGCTGGTACGTGACTGCATCTTTCCACTTTTTCACTTTTTCACTTTCTCACTTTGTCTCTTTCCTCTTTCCTCTTTCCTCTTCTTCGTCCTGACTTTACAGACTGCCGAGACCGATGCAGACTCCCCGGCTGCCCTCACCTTTGCCGAGCTTGGTTTTGTCGAGGCCGGTCGCATCCCCGGCTTCGTCGTGCGCCCATCAGGCGAGAAGCGCGACCAGCTGGTTCTATACAAGAACCTCGCTCCGTCGCCATGACGCTGCCACAGGTCAGGAAGGGAACTTTGTATACATACACACATTTACGCATATTTCACGGAGATTGGGTGAGATTATCCCAGCCTCCGTTTTGTCGCAGCTGTCCATGAGTAGCTCATTTGTATATATATATAAATACACTTGCGGCCTGCTAGCTGCAAACACAATATCCGAGCCCAACACACCCATATTTTGCCCTCTTCCACGCCACGCCCCCTTCTCGGCGCTCGAAAGTTGACACTACTCGTCTTCCACCTCTTCCACCTGCGGCGCCTTGTAGCCGGCTGGTCGTTGTGTCGGCACAGCCATGGCCTGTGTGGTGGTAGCCGTCGTGGTAGCCGAAGCGGGCGGCACATGGCCCGTGGTGCCGGCAAAGTGTGACTGAGCCTCGACCGAGGTGCCGGACGACGACTTGGACTTCTTCTTCTTCTTCGGGTTCGGCTGGGGAGAAAAGCAAAGTCAGTAAGGCAAAAACGGCAGCCTAGACCAGGAAATACACTCACGTCGTGCCAGGCCCAAACAGGCCGGAAGCTGTCCATAAACGAGACGTCCTCCCACAGGTTCGGATACAGCCAGAGGCCGGGCGATACCAAAAAGTACGTCAGGCAGAACAGGACGACACGGAAGATGGCCATGAGGAAGAAAAGGCCCAGCAGCCCGAGGAAGCCCCAGCTGAGGTAGTAGACGCCCTGGCGCATGCGTAGTGGCCAGAGCGGATAGAGCACCACGGCGAAGATGGCCAGCAGCGCCAGCCCGGCATACACCTTGCGCATGGTCTGTGGGCCCTCGTAGAACCAGACGTAATACATGTCATCGCCCGCGTCCTGCTGCCGCTCAATGTTGACCGTCCACTGGCCCTTGATGCGCTTCGTCTTCTTCTTGGCCCCGCCTGCTGCGCCCGCCTGCGCCGCTGCCGGTTCCTCCGCCTTGGCCACGCGCAGCGCCAACATCGACAGCGGCAGCAGCTTGAATGCATTCTCCAGCGACGCCCGGTCTGTGATCGTCGGCAGATCTGGCGTCTTGAGCCGTGCCTTCTCGTACGCCGGCGATTGCAGCGCCCGCAGCGCCCGCTTGACCCGGAACATGTCCTTGCGCTCGCCGCCCAGAATCACCGTCCGCGTCTTCAGGTCTTGTGCCCGCAGAAACTTGGCCATCGCCACTGCCACCGGGTTCGGCGGACCCGGCGTGATTGCCTGCTGCTGCCCCGCCGGCGCGCCTCCCTGCTGCGGCGGGTGTGGGTGCGGGTGCTGGTGTCCCGGCGGCCCAGGCTGCCCTGGTGGACCTGGCTGCCCCGGCTGGCCCGCGCCTCCTGCCTGCTGGGCTGCCTGCTGTCGGATCATCTGCTCGCGCGCCTTCTGCAGCTGCTGGATAAATTCCGGCACCGTCATGCCCGCCTTTTGGGCGTCGAGCGCTATCTGCCGCTGCATCGCCGCAATCTGCTCGGGCGACGGCCGCATGGGCGGCCCGCCCGGCTGCCCAGGCTGTTGTGGTGGTGGCTGTTGCATCACGGCTCAATGCGTACTTGTGTGTGCAGTGTATCCGGTCGATGATACAGATGTGCAGTGCTTGCGCACTCGCTTGATAGCTGCCTTCGCTGAAGTGAGGTGCTCCCTCCGTGAGATGGAATGCGGCAGAGTATGACAGGCCGAAAAAGAAGAAACGTGGCCGGCTAAGTTGTCAGCGAAACGTTGGGTAACAGTTCCGTGGCCATGACCTAATCTAGACGTCCTCGAAAGGGCAAGCTGTCCAATTCTCATGTAGTTCGGAGGTTTGATGATCCAGTCCGATACGTGCTCGTATCATTAATACACTGTTCTAGCACTGTGTCAGTCTTAGCAATCTCTCTGAAATTCAAGTTACAGCTACAGATTCACCCCAGCCACTCGTTCATCCTGTCGCCGGCAACCCCAAACCGCTGTAAGATGCTGGTTCAACCCCCTGTCTTCTGGATTTGCCTCAGCCTATCTGTCGTCACTTGTTTACTGCTTCTATTAATACTGCCGCTCTTACGAGATCCCCACTCGTGTCACACCATGGCCCGTGAGCTATGTACTTTGCCTTCCTCCAACCGTTTCTATCTTATATCCGTACTCGTGTCTCGACCTTCCAAAACCGGCCAGCTTCTTCAATATTCGGCCGGTATCCGGCCTTGCACCTCTCGGGTTGGCGTACAAACCCACAGGCCTCATCAGTCCCTTCTCCTCCGACACTAACGCAGTCCCTAAACCTTTTTTCAGCTCTCCCATTCTGTGGGCTCTCGTCTGGGGACTTTCCCCCAATTTATGCCTCGACGAATCACCACAGCCATACGGCCTCCCTCCTTCGCAACGCTAATTCCTTACCACACCTCTCATCCTCCACCGCCACAGACGATTTCCGGTCAAGGACCACTCAGATGGCTGGGTGGCTGCCCAGTTGTGCCATCTAGGAAAGCACGAGATCACGGTAATTTGAATCTAGCGTCAGCCCTCTTTACTTTGTACCCGTACTTGTACGGAGTACCCTGTACTCGTATGTACGTAATTGCAAGTCAGGCCTGCGCTATTTCCACTTTTGCCTCTCGTCGGCAAACCGGTAGAAATCGCCTGCCGGCGTATGTGAGATTGGGTGTTAGTGTCAGATCCGACAACGGCTTTCGCTCTTGTCGCTTCTCACATATTCTTACGTGCTCTGCTCATATGTGCTCGTACAATTCAGGATGCCTTGCATCCCATCCACGTGCCTAGTACAATCACGGCCTGCCTTCGCCGGCCTGTTCCTTGCATGCAATCGCCATCACATTGCCGTCTTTGCCACAAGCAAGCGCATGTGCACCCTCTCGCAACCCTCCTGCGACTACTGCAGCTAACGGGACTGCTAGAATTGCTGGGACTGGCTGGAGGGCCCACCCCGTCCACGCCAACGGCCGCGAATGCCGAACATCTTGGCCATCTCTCGTCTCGTGACCATGGGCCTCTTTCATCGCCCGGTGGCGCCGTCGGCATTGTCTGTGGCCGCACAAGCAGCCCACTGCCCGCCTGCCCGCCCGCCCGTCTGTACTGTCTGTCGTTGTCTCGCCCTGCAGCAGTTCACATCAAACACGGAGAAACAGAGCACAGGCCGGCTTCCGGGCTGTGATACGGTATCTTTGCTGCGGCCTCACCCCCTCCAGTCCGTCTATTTTGGTATGTTCCCTGTCGAGGGCGCAGAACTGAGACATGCAGTCGCTGGTCGACAGCGTCCAACTCATTCGACTGGTGGATCCTGCACCTTTTTTTTCTGCTGCGCTCTTTTCGTCGTAGCTCGTGGTCGTGTTCCTTGTAGCGCCCGTTCAGCCACTCGTTTCCGCCCACTTCGACGCCCCCTGGCTTTCGAGAATGCCAATCTATAAGCGCCGACTGGCTGGCAACTAGTCCTTCGCCGGCCTATCAGCACGCAAGGCTCAGCTGCAGGCCGATCGCAACCTGCTTTCTTCAGTAGCCAACGACGCCGTCCCAGCCAGCTGCGGCCCTATGGTGTGGCTTTCGATCATCTGCCTGTCCTTCCTTCATTTGTCCAGTTTCGCCGCTCTTGCAGACCAGCGGGAGGTGTGGGTGTAAGTGCGTCTTGGCTGTGTTGTAGCTGGTACTCCATGCAACCACTCTGTCTTTGACAAAGGAAGCTACTGAGCGCATGACAAATGACAGAATTGGACGAGACGATGTAGCCCCCAGAGCAGCTTTGGGAAGGCACGTCCAGTGGCGTGGCCGCTTCGTTGGGCCGCATCCCCTTTCCGTCTCCGGTGGCCCCTTCCTGTTCCTGCTTTGTGTTGATGTCTGCCCAAGCTTACGCCATCAAGCCATAGTGTGACCCCCTCGAGGACTCTGTTTTATAAAGGCCCTTTCTTCGCCTTTCGTTCGTCCGATCCACCGGCTCGAGATCTTACCGTTTCTTCTTACAACCGCCTTTCTTGGTTCATCTTTGGTGCCCGGTCTTTGTTGCTTTGTCTCTCTGTGTTGTCGAGAAAGTGTCGCTGGCCGTCGTCTCTTCTTCCTAATTTATCCGTACTCGCTATTTCTTGCTCGCTTCTCTGCACTCTTTCGCTTTACCTTCTTAAAACATATCTCTGTTCTTCCCTTCTCGAGCATGACACTTGTTGATCGCCGCCATGTCTGCGAGCACATCTTCATTGTGGCTTCACACCTTGGCATTCTGCTGCGGCTCGTCGTCCCCGCGCTTACATGGACGAGGCCGGCCTCGTCGTGAGTGTCCCTCTGGCTCAGTTCTGCCGTCTACAATCAGCCTGCTCACATCCCAAGATCCGGAAAAGGATGTAGCTGTCTGGTCTGCCGAGCCTGTCTTTACGCCACCGCCAACTTTCGCACCACACACTGGACCAGAAACTGGCCAGAATCCCGACGGTACGACACAGTGGCCGTCTATGACACAGATGACAACCACCATCAGTGCCAATGCGTACGATGCTCCTGAGTCTGCTGTCGAGAACACTGCCAAGAATTTTGCGTCAATCTCGAGGCTGCAGTCTCGCTCTCGTTCCAGATCCGGATCGCTCGGTGGTCGCCGCAGCATGTCAGTGCGCCGACGTTTCCGGACTCACGAATCCTCCCATTCCATCTTTTCTTCATCATCACGTCGGCCACAAATATCGGCTCCGACAAACTTCCGCCACTTGCAATCCGAGTCATTTACATTCCCGCCTGTATCTCATCCATACCAACCTTCTCAGCAACAGCCTCCCTCCTCTCACCCTCTACGCAGCACCTACAGTTCAGGTAACCAAGCTGGTTCTTTGACAACCTCCCCGGATCTTGGCTCAAGTCCCGCCGTTGACGGTGACGAATTGCCAATACCATCTCGCACGCACACAAGGAGTGGCAGCACAGGAAACTCTACCCTTGCGGCGCTTGATCGCAGTTACTCGACCATCTCGTTTCATGTCCCCCGAAGGCCGTTGCCTACTGATTGGACAGCCGCCCCAGGCTCAAAGAGCGTCCGAAGTGGAATGAGCATCCGGAGTGGGAAGAGCGCCGGCAGGACCGAGACGCCCCCTCCACCGACTATTCCGCCTCGGTCCCGGCTGCGTTCATACTCGTCGCCGGCCGTCGAGTCTATGGTTGAACGGATTGCCGGTGCTATGATCGAGATGGAAAAGCTGCAGGCAGACATCGACTCGGTCGTCGAGAGGCAGAGCCTATATGCCAACAGTAGGCCATCGACGGTCTGCAGGCAGGGTGAGAACCCCGGTCTTTCTATGGGCATTAGTCAGCACATACTGAGTCGTCCGTCAGACTTCGAGCCGATGCCTTCCATCCCGGCCACGCCGTCTGCAGCGCCATCTTTCGCCGAGCGACTGAGTACGGAGCGCCCAAAGACCGCACCGCCTCGCAATAGCACGCCTATCTCGCCGATCACAGAAGAAGGGCGCAGCACACAGCCTAGTATTGTGCCAGCGCCACTTTATCTTCTCTCACGACGGACTGAGATGGTCACACCTACTAATGTGTCCCCGAAAACGCCACCGATGGCACAATCCCAGACTTCCAGATCATCCGAACTTTCTATGTTATCGGCTGCTTCGGTGGTGTCTGCAGCCACCGCAGCTACCAAAGCCAAAGCTGCCGCATCTGCATGGACGGGTTCACGAATCAATGGGCGTCCCATCGACGTTCCCTTGGCGCCGCCTTTGCCGCTGGTGTTGCGGCCACCGCTGCGGAAAAAGAAGTCGTTTTCGCGGGTATCGAACTGGCTTTTCCCTGGAGACAGCGGCCACAACAATGCTAGCCATCAGCAAATGCATAAGCGCGGTATGAGCTTCGACTCGGTCACAAACCTTCCGCGGCCTGTGACCGACAAGGACGGGTATTATCAGTGTGTCCTGCCGCCTACTCTTGATGGACGAACATACGACCGAACCAGCATGGACACCGCATTGACCGTGGACACACTCTCTACATGGACAACTGAGCGAGAGAACGAGAGAGGACAAACCTCAGAGCGCCAAACGGAGATTGTGGACAACGGCATGGAGGAGGACGATTATGAGTACGGGGACGAAGACCAGACAATCTTGACGGACACATGGTCACCAAGCAGCTCGCCGGTGACGAGTAGACAGGAAACGGCAACGACAACACCGTCAACGGTCACAACTATGACCCCTGTTGTTGCGTCCGCCCTAGCCACCGAGAAGGCGTCTAATTTCGGGAACGGTATACTGAGCAGACCGCAAAGTGTTGGCGTGGCTTTTTGAGGCGTGTTTGGGGATAGGTTCGTTCCTGAGGAAAAGTGTTTAGAAGCTCGGTCGGTCCGTAAATTTTCTTTTTGCTATAGATACCACGACTAATTCAGTCAAATGTTTTTGTATGACTCGGCGTGAGATATCCAGGACGGCGCCTCCTCGGGTATAATTTTCAGCTTCCTAGGATTTACCCCCAACATAGCCCGAATTTTCCAAAGAAACAAAAACTCCACGGTAATTATATGCACCCAAAACTTCTTCATCCATGGTGATTCTGTAAATCATCTGACTTTCGAGTGCGTGGCGCCAGTATGCAAACTCGTCTGTGTGCCAACCAAGTCTTCGTAAATCTTGATGCTCCACCTGTTTAATCGTCGATGGCGAACCATTCTTGGACAAGACAAGAGAGACAGTGCCGGAAGCTTCAAAAAACTATTGCTGGATGTTTACTCTCATGATTTTCAAATCATAACGAAATTGGCGGATGGTCTTCACCCGTTGTTGTTGTTGTTGTTGGAGTTCGACCGTGCGGCGATAGTCGTTAAGCTCGTCGTATCGTATTTTAGAGTACGCCCACATGACGTAATCCTCTCTCACGCCAGGATCGTCCAAGTTGTCAAACACATCGCAAATTCCCGGCCAAGGCTTCGTTTTGATAGTCGTCGGATATCTGATTGGGTTATAGTAATAATCCAAGCTGAAACGAAGCCCATCAAAATAATTATCCGTTGATTTTCTGAGTACTTCCCTTTCCGGAACGATACCAATACGATCCCATGTTAAGATGTCCGGTTTCTCTTTGCGCATGGTTCTGAGAAGCCATGCGAGACGAGCGCTTTGATCTGGACCATTTGAGCTATCCAGTGTATCGAAACGATGGTAACGACGCAAGATATTTTCCTCTATTTGCTGCACAACACCAAGTTTAGATAGAGGTAGACGGGATTGAATCCCCGACTGCTCGTCAATTCCGGTATTGTCGACGATGTAGCCATATAGAACCTCGTCAAGATAATCCTGAAGGTGAGCACTTTCTAGCCGCACTTCGGAACGAATTGAATCGACATCTGTAGCAGACGACCTAGAATCATATTTGCGGCAGCGCTTTTTGAGAGTAGCCAGTTTCCCGTCAAGACACTTGCGGTTCGCTTCGCGAAGCGACAGGGCTGTACTCGATAGTCTCTGGAACTCCCTCAGTTCGTGTAACAATTGCAGACGCTGTATCTCGTCTTTCCCTTGCTCTTCCATAGTAGGTAGTCCTGTTACAGCCTGTTGTTATTGCTCTGCTGGTGTCGGCTTCTTACGTTTTGTCGTGGCGGCGTCGTCCTCGTTTTTACTTGAGTTTCGGCCATCATCGTCACTCTCGCTTCCGCTTCCATCACCGCGGAGACCTTTTTTATCTTTTCATTGCTTCCGGGACGAGTGATTCTTTCTTTGGTCTGTTGGGACTGGTCGCGAGCTCGACGCATTGGCCGGTGGTTGAACAGCATGAATTTTGTGATCCGTTCTGCGCTTGACATGCGCGGGAACGCTTCGATACTCTGGCTTAGGGAGTGCAACTGAGGTTTCTTCCGAATGAACACGAACAGATGCGTGGTTTGGGGGAGAAGTATCCTTAGCTTCCTCGGTGACCACGCAGCCAGGCTCTTGACTGCCTTTTTCTGGCTCTGGGCCGTGTAGCTGGGGTTGTGACATGGTGCCCCCGGCATTTTTTACTCGTTTCTTCATTTCCTCGATTTTGACGTATTCGGATTGTTGTGCCGAATCATCGACATACTCTCTAGCATGGCCGATTCCGTTGGATTCCCTATTTTCCATCTTCGCACAAGAGATTATCAGAGGCCACAACCGAATATATGAGACGAGGGACAATAGCGGAGGTGAGAAAAAGCTAAGACACTTTTTGAGCACGAGGGTTCTAGAAATAATCTAGATGGGCATGTTATAAAGAACGACTCATACCGTAGTTTTATCACCAGGTGCCCGATTTCGTCGTCTTCGCCTTGCAGGCTGCCTTATTGCTACCCTGTGGCAGTGCACCTTATCTCGGGTGTTTCCCCACCAATGACAGCACAATTTTCAGGTGCAGGTTTGAAAATGCATATATTGGGCTATCGACCTAAGCGGTTGCCCGATGCAGACCTTCGCTGCGCCTCGCGGCGAAGCTTGTTTTAAGTGGAATGCCATACCGTCTTTGTACCAGCGTTTTGATGTCCTTTTGAAAAACAAAGTATCGTGAATCAGACATTCTTTTAAAGTACTATGTCGACAGGCATATCGGCAGCATCCAGCTTAACGCAGACTCCATCCGCTGAGCAGAGCTCTACGTCGAGCTTCCCCCCAAGTCTTGATGCTCAAGAAGAGCCTTCATTGGAAGAGATTCAGCTGAAGCCCTGGAAATTCATTGGCTACAACGGATACTCCAAGTTCATTGCCTCCGATACCGATTTCTTCATAGTGCGTCGGTTTGACACTTTAAATGCACGTGTGACGCTTGCTTTGCAGGACCAAATATCTGCTCTGGAAGAAGAGCTGGCCGAGCTAGACAAAAAATACAGTCGTCGAGACGCCGAAGACGTAAACAACGGTACATTCAGGGATGATCTTGAAGATCGAACAGCTCTGTTAGACACAATATCAGATGAGCTGTATCGTTACAGTCCGTTCTCATCCTTGTTTCAGAAAATACCAGAGCTGACAGAGCCGTAGACAAGCACATTCTGCAGCAGTCCAGTCTGAGGCAATTTTCCAAGGCACCGATGCGAGACATCAAGAACATTCGCACCTGGCAATGCAATTATGACAATGCAGCCATCAGCGAACGGGGTTACCTCACGCATGAGGAGGACCTCATATGCGTAGTAAAAAAGGACAAGATGCCCCTTCGCCGAATGATCGACAGCTCTCGGCGACTTCGAACTCTGCGAATCTGGCGACAACCCTCGAAAGACGGTTCTCCGCCTGATGACGACACAGTTCAATATTACCTGGATAAGCGCATGGATGATTTCGCCACAGGTGTAATAATTGCAGTCGGCATCTTCATGCTGATCACACCGCTTTGGGTTCTTCAATTCATGGCAAACACAACAATGAAGCTCGTCGTTATTACAGTTTTCATATTGGCTTTTTTGCTGATGCTGTCATTTGCCATGGCCTCGAAACCGTTTGAAGCGTTAGGGGCTACAGCTGCGTAAGTGCGAAGTGCGAGTTTGAATTGTCATACAGAGAGGACGGCAGCTAACTCGGATGGCAACAGCTATGCAGCTGTTTTGATGGTGTTTATCCAGGTTGGGTCGCCGTCATGAGTTTGGCGGATGTCAGTGGTCTAAACTTTGATTGGCTGGCGCAGAAAGTGGCAGCTTGTGTGGATAGCGGGTTTCAGGGCGGTTCCTTCCCAATTAGCACTTGTAGGACATTCATCTCTCTCATCGAATAAAGCTTCAAATCATCCCGAGTACGTTTATATAACAAATACAGGTCTATCATAATCAGCTTCACAATGGGCCTGGGGTCTGCCAAAGATGCTGTCCGCTCCTTTTTGGACCGCGATTTTCGATACCAGCGCCTCGCAGAAACGAGTACCAACTCACATGATCGTCGCGGTCACTTCTCACGGCTTAGGAGACAACCACGCGGGCTGCTACCACAGACGGAGAGCGGAAACGAAAGTGGCAGCGTATCTGGGGTGTGGGCACGCAGCAACCGGTCGCTGCTCAAGCTGAGCCTCATGACTGTGTCGATTATCCTGGTATCATACCTCGGGATCACCTTCTCGTGCGTAATTTTTCACGTCTCCCTACAGGCCAATTTCCTTCTTTTTATAAACTATCCACTGACAATTGTCGTACTCCAGCCGGGCTTCAAAGGTTATAAAGGGTGCTTCCTGCGATACCGTTGACCATGGCTACCAATGCTATGCGTCCGTGGCGCAGCAATGGGGCCAATACGCGCCTTTTTTCTCTGTGCCGTCGCCCACAGACTCTGCTGTTGCAGGCGATGTCTCAGGGGGAACGGACCATGTCTTGGATGCGGCAGAGCTCCCCCCCAACTGTCACTTCACGTTCGCTCAGGTGCTGTCGCGTCACGGCGGTCGCGATCCCACGGCAGGCAAGTCGATAGCGTACGGGGCGCTGATTGAGCACATCCAAGACTCGGTGGAGCGCTTTTCGGATGGCCCGGACGGGAAGTTTGCGTTCTTGGCCGACTACTCGTACCAGCTCGGGGCGGACGAGCTGACGGTCTTCGGCGAGCGGCAGATGGTGCACTCGGGCGAGCACTTCTTCAACCGGTACCGCTCGCTGGTGGTGTCTCTGTCGTCCTCGACCTCGTCTGCCTCATCGGTTGTCATGCCATTTGTGCGCTCAGCTGGACAGCATCGTGTGCTCGTATCGGCGATCGATTGGATCCATGGTTTTCACAAGGCGCGGAAGCAGGACCCGGCCTTCGCCACGGAACAGCTGTCGGCGACGGCGGAACAGCCGCTCGTCGTGATCCCAGAGGAGAGCGGCTTCAACAACACGCTCAGCTACAACGGACTCTGCAAGGCGTTTTCGGGCCGCGCAGGCCTACAGGCGCAGAGGACGTATGCCGAGACGTTTGTGCCGGACATTACGGCGCGACTGAACCGGGGTCTTCCGGGATCCAACATTTCGGACGTTGACACGATCGCCTTGATGGACCTGTGTCCGTTTGAGACGATTGCAAACGGGGACGACGACACCGACGGCGCGGATGGCAAGACGAGCGGAGGGCAGCGGTTGTCGCCATTCTGCGATCTGTTCTCGGAGACAGAATGGCAGCGCTACGACTACTTCCAGACGCTGGGCAAGTGGTACGGCTACGGTGACGGCAGCGCGCTGGGGGGGACGCAGGGCGTGGGCTACGTCAACGAGCTGGTGGCACGACTCACAAAGACGCCGGTGGTCGACCACACGACGACGAACCGCTCGCTGGACGCAGACCCGGCGACCTTCCCGCTCAACGCCACGCTGTACGCCGACTTCAGCCACGACAACGACATGGCCAACATCTTTGCCGCACTGGGCCTGTACAATGGGAGTGACGATGCTATTGCCGGCTTCTCGGCGCCGCTGCAGCCGTCCAATACGACGCGCACCGAGCCCGGGGACATGCGTGGCTACGCGGCCAGCTGGGTGGTGCCGTTTGCAGCGCGCATGTACGTGGAGAAGATGGTGTGTGACGGCGGCAACGACGGCAACGACGGCAGCGAGGAGCTCGTACGCGTGCTCGTCAACGACCGCGTGGTGCCACTGGTGCGCTGCGGCGCCGACCAGCTCGGACGCTGCACGCTCAGCCGGTTCATCGACAGCCTGGCCTTTGCCCGCAGCGGCGGCCACTGGGACGACTGCTTTGCCTAAAGAGAAAGAAAGAGACTGCCGCAAGTACTGGCTACTTCTACACTACACTCACGCCCAGACGAGGGAGGACGTGTCCTCATCTCCAGTTGCCCGTCTCCAGTTCTTCCGTCTTCAGTCGTATGTGACAATCCTACACAGTAGAGGCAACACAGGTCTGTTCTGCCGTTTTTTACACCCAGTCTCCTCAGCGGGGGCCATGATACGAGAGAGCGAGAGACGGTGTGTATGTGTATTGCATGGCAATGTGTGCGTGGCTGCCACGCTGCTCTGCTGATGTGACCAGAGACGGACAGCCGGACGGGGCAATGGTGGACTGCAAAGCAATATTCCTGCAAACGGCCAGCGAGACATGCATGGTTGGGATGCGAGCTTTGCAGGTCGGATTGGGCTGCGTTTTCGGTTTCTCTGCGAATGGACACGGCCGCACTGGACCAACCAGACACGCAGCAAGCACGCGACAGGGGAATGTGACCCTGCCTCCACCGTCAGACGAGGGTGGCTTTGGCTGCATGCGTCTGGCACTCATCGTTGTTCGGGCGAAGCTAGTAGTAATTATTAATGTGAGATATTAGATATCTGCCCTGCCGGCAACAAATCCATTTAGTAAGCACTCTGCCGTACAGTGTATATGGGCGTGCATTCATACGTTGCAAGACCACAGCAAAGTCGCGATGCTTTGGCAAGACAGTCTTCTCGAGGCTGTTGGCCAGGACAGATCGGAGCGATGCAAAGTAGACGGGCCAATGGGAGAACTGTGCCTTATTGTGTAATGCCGTATTTCTGCAAGTCATGCCTGATAGCTTTTGACCTAGTCATTTTCGGGCTTTGCTCCCTCATTCCTGGAGCGCTCTTTTTGGGCTCTGTTCCTGATCTCCCTCCCATTTGTCCGTTTCCCCTTGGCTGCTGTGAAATGTCCAAGCCGAGCGACTACTACCTTTCTGACGAGGAGAACGCGGCCATCTTTGAGCGGCTTATCCGGCCGGCCGAGTTCGGCCCCCTCTTCTCCGGCAGCGATTCGGCTGCAGCGAACGGCCCTCGCCTGGATGCCGAATTCTCTGCGTCATCGCGTCCGGTCTGCATCCTGCTTGCTGGGCAGACCGGCGCCGGCAAATCCCACACAGCTCCGGTCTTGGCGGCTGCCTTGAGAGAAAGCCCTGCTTCCGGTCTGCCACTCTGCCACCTCGTTGCCGATACCCACAAGCCCTACCACCCTGCGTATGCCGGCCTTGTCGCTGCGGCTGCCACCGGCCAGGGACCACCCGGGCTCGCCTCCGCGGCCACTGGTCACGACGCCCGGCGATGGCTGACGCGCGCCTGTGCTGTGGCTGCCGAGCGGCGCTGTGACGTGCTGGTCGAGTCGGCCAGCCGGTTCCCGCAGGACGTTGCCCAGATGGCGCGCACGTTCCGGCGCGCCGGCTATCGCGTGTGTCTGGTCATGATGGCCGTGCATGTGGCACAGTCGCGGCTGGGCCTGCTGGCGCGGTATCTGGATGCAGATCCCCAGAAAGAGCTGGAGTCGGAGCAGCAGGTCGACGGAGGGAAGCCATCGCTCGGCCGTCGCCTGACGCCCAGAAAGATCCACGACGAGAGCTATGCCGGCCTCGCCCAGCTGGCTGTCTGGCTGGATAGCGGTGAAGGTGGCAGGGACAGAGACGGTGACAGCGAAGACGACGGACCTCTGGCCGACGCCGTGATCATCCTGCGGCGCGGCAACAAGGTGGTGTACGCCAACTACTGGGGCGAGAACTGCGGCGAGGCGACACAGAAGCCGTCGTGGCGCATCAGCCCTCCACACATCGGCCAGACCCTCGCAGCAGAACGGCAGCGCTGCGACGTGCCGGCCGAGGCTGCCTTGTTTGCCTCAGACGTGGCCCGGCTGTCCGCACTGCATCCAGGGCGAGAGGCAGAGCTTTCATTGCTAGCCTCTGTGTATCTTCCAGCCGATGCCAGAAAGACAAGAGATGAAGATAATAATGAGATGGCCGATGTGAATGTAGCACTCATTGTTCGAAAATGTCGTGATTGGTAGGCGCCGAAGAGGACGACGGTCTTCTTCAATTGGATCCATCGAAAACAGACTGTTGAAGAGATGATGCCTATAGGCTTGTGATATTTGTATAGCACGAAAGAAGAGTGAATAGAGAATTGATCAAAGAGAAAAAGGACTGGTGAGATGTAAATGGAAAGGACGATAGAAAGGAAGGCGCGAACGTACCCGCACTAACACATACATCACATAATGGCCAGTTGCCACCGTCAGCAGATGCAAGAGCAGGGTGTAATAGATTCACAATCTAGGCAAGAGCGACGCGCCCCTTCTTATCCTATACAACGACTTCCCGTCCACAGTTTTGGGGACGGCAATAAGAAACGAGAAAATCCGTAACACATTTATCTCACACTAGGAGGATGAACAAACACACATACAGACAAGTAAGCGTCTTTACCCTAAGCCGTTGCCCACCAAATTCCTTCCTTCAAAGCATTCGCAGCCAGTGCATCGTACTGTGTTCCTCCAAAATAGGCCTTTAGCCGGCCTGTATGCGTCGTCGTGCGCAGCTCCCAGAGCAAGTAGGAATTCCGATGGCAGGACAGAAGGACGCCCCTTCAATGGCCATATACAATGGTATTCCCAGTTCCAACCAACGCCAGTTTATGAGCCGTTCCCGTTGGCCATGTGAGTCGTCGAAAAAGAGCAAAGAGCAGACGAAAGAAAAGCCAGAAGAAAGGGCCTCAGAAATACCATTAACAGAAAAAGAAACACATGACCGAAAATAATGGCTCAATCACACACAATCAGAAAAAAATGAAATAATAAACAAGAAATGCATACTCCGACCCATGAAGGAAAGGCAGGCGTTACAACGTCAGGGCGTCAAGGCGTCAGTGTCAGGGCGATAGGCCGTCTCTTACAACAGTTGCCGCGAGGCCCTGTGTATTCATGTCCGGTCTGCTTGCCCTTTTTGTCGTGTTTTTGTGTTTGGCATTTTCATGGGTCTCGCCAGCCACCTCTCACGACGCGTGCGATGGAACGCTGCGAGGAGTCACATCACCGCTGCGTCGTCGGATGAGATGCTGCTGCTGTGCCGCTCGTGAATGGCTCGAGATGAGACGGGCCTTCTTACGCACTGCAGCAAGCCGCTGCTTGATCATCGTGATCACTGTTGGTCAGCTTCTGGTCGACTCACACGCACACGCCACAGGGGGGCAGAACACATACTCATCTCCACCGTCTTCTGGTCCTCCATATTGATGTCGCCCGTGTCTTCCTCACGCATCGACTTCTCATCCCGGTACGAGCCAGAGCTGCCACCACCACCGCCACCAGACACCTTCCGTCGAGGGGTCACAGTCGCGTCTTCGTCTGTATCGAGCACCGCCTCCAGCATGCAGATGGCCGTCACATACGACAGCTCGCAGCCAGCCAGATCGTCGTTAGAAATCTCGCCAATGGCTGCCGACCGGCTCATGTCGACTGCGCGATCGTACATAAGCTTCTCGGCACTGACACCACTGCTGAGGAACACGCCGTCTGTGCTCACCCCCCCAGAGCTGCCCGCACTGCCAACTGGGTCCCGGTTGTGGTTGCTTGGGTGGCTGGGGTGGTCCACTGGCAGTCGCCTCTGCGCCTCCAGCAGTCGCTCGCGCGCAAACGTTGCCTTCTCCAGCACCTCGTTAAAGCGCGACCGCACCCACTGGACTGCTGCGTTGATGCGCTGGCCGAGCGGGGAGTCGCGCACCACTGCCACATAACCGCCACCGCCGCTGCTGCCACGGCCAGTATCGCCCGGCATGTCGCGCATCTTCGTCTTCCACCACATGCCGGCAATGTCCATCGACTTGGCCAGCAGTGAGAGTGCCTTGACGTACAGCACGAGTGCCTCTTCCGACAGCACCACGATCGCATCGATCGTGAGCTCGTCTTCGTCCTCCTGCGTGTTGAGCTTGTCTGCCGCCGGCAATCCGCTCAGATCGTGCTCGGCTGATGGCGCCAGCGGCATCAGCTGCTTGTACTTGACCTCGGCAAACCCGTACACCACGTCGCTGCGTGTTGCATAGTCCTCGATCAGCAGAGCCACACGTGCGTCTCCGTTGGCAGAAGCGCCTGTCGCTATTGCCGACCCGCCGCCGTAGCCGGTGCCGTCGTCAACGCCACTGCCCGGCCTGCCGTCTGTGAGGAGCGCCGCTGACGGAGGCCCTGACGGCGTGGGGTAGGATGGGAACGGGCTGTAAAGCTGTGGCGGCGAAGCACCCTTGCCAATCAGGGCGGCCGGGTTCTTGACACCCAGCAGTCGGAAGCTGGCGTCGTGGATTGCCTTGGCGATAAACGACGTGGTCGAATTCGGGCTGGCAGACATGGAGGTTTGCCGCTCGCCGTGGTATGGCCGTGAGAGAGCGCCCTGGGCTACCTGCATGGCCCGTGAAGGCGTTGGCGCAATGGCCCCGGTAGATGATGTTGGGTGCCCCTGCTGTGTGGCACGGCGTACCATCGTCTTGGGCGGTGTCGTCGAGCTGCCTCCGAGAACCTGGTACTGTGCCGTCAGTCGCGGGTTGGCAGCCATCTCGTCGGCAAACGCGTTGACTTCGACGTGCTTCTTTTCTACGACAACATAATCCCGCTCGAAGGCGATGTCCTGGGCTGCCCGCTCCTGTTCCTCGGAGAGTAAGGCTCCACGACTGCTCCGTGGTGCTTCTGCAGGGATGGCATTGTCAGCTGTCGGTTTTTTCTTTTCTTTCTTCATTTGCAGCAGCTGGTCCTTACCCTGCATATACTGCTGTTTGAGAGATGCGCTTGACAGCCGATGTTTCCGATCATCATGCAGCCCTGGCCGACTTGGCGCAGACACCGACGGCTGTGCCTGTGGTCGTCGGATTCCGAGGCCGTCGGGAATGTCATGGTGTCTCGGTGAGTAGCTCATCCGCTGGACGCCAGGGTCGCCGCGGCTAGATCGATCGCGGGGCGAAGCCGGAATTGCTGCTGCCACTTCTCGGTCACTATCGGCACCGGCTGAAGCGCTCTCGGGAATGTATCGACGGAAAGAGTGCCTTCGGCTTGGCGGTGTCGCCGAGGCTGTGACGGCTGCCGTCGCCGGTGCTGCTGGTTCAGCCGGGCTGGAGTAGGATGAAGGTGTCGGTGCCGATGTCGGAGCTTGCCGCAGGTCCCTGGTGGAGCGGCGCTCAGGGACACGTTCCAGCAGCTGGCGCTCGGGCCGGGGAATGTCGTCTTCTACCAGACCGGGGATGGGGCCTGTGACGACTTCGTGGTTGAAGAAGTTCTCGAAGCTGAGACGCTCGACAGGGTTGCGCTTCAGCAGGGCGCGAATGAGGCTCTTCATGCCTGTGGTGACAATGCAGTCCCGAGGGAACTTGATCAGGTCCTCAGCCGCCTCGATCTTGCGCAGCAACTCCACATGGTTGCTGGCCCGGAACGGCGGGCGGCCGCACACCATCTCGTACAGGACGGTGCCGACAGACCACAGGTCGGCCTTGGCATCGTACCGCTCGTAGCGGAGAATCTCGGGTGCCATGTAGAGGGGCGAGCCACATAGCGTCTCGGCGAGAGTGGTGGAGGGCAGGACGCGGGCGAAACCAAAATCGGCCAGCTTCAGCATAGGTAGAGACGCCAGGCCGGCGACAGGGATGAGAGAATCGTTGCTAGCGGTAAGGATAGGACGAGTGCTCTTGTGGACATCCCGGAACTGGGGTGACGGGAGGAGGAGGAGGTTCTGGGGTTTGACGTCGCGGTGGACAAAGTTGCCTTCGCGCAGGAACTTGAGGGCACTGGCCAGCTGCTTGAGGAAATGGCGGGTGATGACCTCATTAAGGCCCGAGTTGGGAGCACTGGGATACTTTCGAGCCATGTCGTGTGTGGCTGGGTTGGTGACGAGCTTCTCGCGCTTCTTGATGAACATGGACAGGTCGCCCAACTCGCAGTATTCCATGACGAGATTGATGTGGGTAGCCGATTCGACACAGTCGTGCAGCGCGACGATGTGTGGGTGGCGCAGGGTCTTGAGGATCTTGATCTCACCATAGAGGTTCTCCTTCAACTTCTTGTTCAGCCGAGCGAGCTCGACCGATTTGACGGCAACGACAGCGCCCGAAACCTAATCAGAGGCACGGAAAGTCAGCAGCGAGGGGGGGAGAAAGGAACCACGACGATTGGGCGCTGTGCTTGCCTTGTGCTTGCCAATGAAGACCTGGGCAAAACTGCCCTTGCCGATTTCGCCGCCAATGACAAACTGGCCGACAACGGCATCCTCGGCCAGGCGATGCCGCCTAGCCGAAGACGAAGCCATGGCTATGATGAACCGCTTTCGCACGGGTACAGGACTGAAGAGTCTGTCGAGGAGCGAGGTCGACGGGCGTGGTCAGGAAGTTGCTTGGAGGGGACGGTGTAGATGGAGAGCGGCCCAGCGGGCTTAGGAGGAGGGCGGCGTGAAAGCTGGGAGAGGCGGGACAGTCATGTACATACATACACTGTTTTTGGTGCGATAGATAAGGCGATACAGATAAGATGGCAGATGGGGCTAGCAGTTGGTGTGCGAGTAGGCAACAAGAGCAGTGGCAAGGGTGGATGTTTGACGGTGAGTGCGCAATAGTTATACGGAGCAGAAACGAGAGGAAGTTGGGAAGAAGAGGAAGAGGTCCAGACGAGGGAGAGGAGAGGGCAAAAGAAGACAGAAAGGGGAGCGAGTCTGTGGTGACGAATGAGGCGGCGAGAATCCGATAGGCTAGTACCATGTAGGTTGTGTCTGCGTGCTCTTCTAGCGCAGGAGAGGCATCGGAGGCAGGAAGCAGGGCCAGAAGCTTGCAGCAGGCCGCAGCTTGGGCGAGACAGCTGGAGCCGGGGGGTGTGTCGCTGTCGAAGTGTTTTGGACCAGCCGAGTGGTGGAGCACAGTGGAGATTCGGGGGAGGAAGTGCCGTACTTTGGCGCGGATGTTCTTGTCGCTGTGTTCGTACACTCGGAGAGAGGCCGACAGCTGGTTCGAGGCCGAGAATCTGTTGTGCACAGCAGAGACGAGGATGAAGGTGACTGAAAGCGTGTGAGGATGGAGAACGGCTGGTATCTTGGGTGGATGAGAGGGGGGAGGCCGATTCAGCAGGTGGATGAGGTCAACAAGGGCGTGCAGGGATGGGGATGCCGGATGATCTGGGAGGGCGAGAGGCTCGTGTTAGTCCGGGGTACAAATGACCCATCGGCTGGAGTCAAGAGACAAGAGCAGACAGAGAGAGAGCGTCCAGGGTTGGCGAGATGGGAAGTGGACTCTGGCACGGTATGCGCAAGGGCGTCAGGCTAGTGACGTACCGTGCGGGGTTTGACACGTGGACTGTGCTTATGAATGGTGAGGCTGGTCCAAGTGCAAGTGAATGACTCAGATAACAAGGTGATGCTGAGCAAGAAGAGGCTAAGTGACATAAGCAACCGGTGGATAAGTGGTGGGAAGCGGGACGAAGAAAAGAAGGAAGAGATAGAAATAGAGGACGAAGGGCGAGAAGAAGTTGAAGTCGTAGGGACGGTGGCGCGTGACCGGAGAGAGAGGACAGACAGAGGAAGAGAGACGGAGGGGACGGAGAAAGGACGAGCGAAAGGGACAAGCGAGAGAGGGGGAGATGACAGGCTGACGGGCAAGCAGCGAATCAGGACAGGGCAGCGATGTAGGCGAGGCAGGCGGGCCAGTTGTGTGTGGCGTGGACGGCGATAGCGTATCGCTCTTTCCCAGCTCGCAATACGGGATCTGACAAGCAGCAGGTCTTGGGCATAGCGCCAGGCTTCCCTTCCTCCACCTGGTGGAACCATGTAAGATACTCGTACAGAGGGCGCCGAGACAACGTGCGCACAGTGTGCGCAGCTGCAGCCGCGCTAGCGCCAGGCGTATGAGTTATCTCGTACCGACTTAGCGCCGGCTGTAGGGGGGGCCGTCGTGTGATGTCGCCTTAACACAAAGAAAAGAGGAAAATCCAAGGAGGGCCTTAGTGGCACTCCGCATGGGCTAAATACCCTGGAACCTCTGGAACCTGCTGTAAGGCGTGCTGCGCCGGTGCTGTGCGCACTGTGTGTACTGTGCCGGACTGTCTGGCACCCGAATTGCCCCATGCAGCACGATTGTTGGCGAATGGCTTTCGTGCGCGATTGTGTCACGACGATCGGTTCGCGGTGCTCCTTTTTCTCTCTGATTGCCGTGCCACTCTCTTCCGCTTCAACTTCTCAGTCTTGGCCCGTTCCTGGTCGCCATCGTCAGTCCTGTCGGGCGTGATCGACAAAACGTTGGATGGGTACCAGTGCTACCCTGCTATGCAGGCCGTTGTTTCCTCTTGCTGCTACGGAGCAGAGAGGCCCCACCTCTCGTAGCTGCAACATGGTAAGATACTACAGTGCATGCACGAGCAGGTCGGATGGGGCCAATCCACACGAGTGCGTCTGGCGCAGTTTGTATCTTACACATGTACGGAGTACAGGGACTGAATGCGGTCGGGCCACTTGTGTTATCTCTGCGCTTGTGAGAGGATCACAGTCGCTGTCGGGCACAAAGAACGAAATATGGAATGTTGGGTGGCTGCCTCTCTCTGTGCTACTCCTACTCCTACACGGTAAGATACATACTCGTATGCCCGGCATGTCCGACGAGGAGGCACATCAACAAGTATGTATCGTACGCGATAGAACGGGCTGCTCGGTGCCGTGCATCGGCCAGGAAAGCCTCGGTGTCCTTGCCTCGACCGGCATCCTTGCACGGAATAGGACATCCTTCTAGAAGTATTGTACGCGTGCATCGCATACAGAGTCGTGTTGCCCTTCTCTCCAATCGATCACATTCCCTATCTCGCCTCCATCAGGGATCGCGGCAAGATACAGCCTGGCCCTGCCTTGCAGCAGCCTGAGAGGCCCACCAGCCCGCTTTCGTTTGCAGAGTTGGCCGGTCAACGAGCGCCGGACGGCATCCAGGGGAACACGCACGTCCTGTCCAGATGCAGCGACCTCGCTGCTGGAAGGCACCGGTGAAAGCGCTACGGAGTAGGTCACACCGCCTTTACGTAGTAGGCGTAGGCGCCTTACCGCCTTTTTTACATGCACTCCATTCATCACCTACGGAATGCTCCGTAATCTAATTTGGGCCAGGGCTCTAGGCCCCCAAAGAGGCCTGTGGACCCCTGATTTCTGCCGTTGTTATGGTTGGCCACTCTTCATTAGCCTTGTACTCCGTACTATGTATCTTACCACCACCACCAGCCTGTGCGTGGTAGGATGCTCGTACTCTAGGCGAGCACCGAGACAGCTCAGGGAGAGTGATGGCTAATTAAAGGGAGGAAAAGGGGTGGGACGCCCACCGCGCGCATGTGTGGCACACACCCTCTTCCCTCGTTCTCTGCCAGGCAGCGGCCATTCACTGGATGCAGGGAGGTGTGTGTGTGGGGGAGAGGCAGGGCCAAGAGCAGACGTGGCTGGCTGCCTACGGAGGAGGATGCAGACAGCAGACAGGTGACACCTGATTCTGGCGACGGACAGCTATCTGGAGCTGTCGGCCACGGCCTGTAGTCAATGCGCCGTCGTTTTCGGCTGCCGAGCCGTTTGGCAGCGTGATGAAAAAGCTGCTCAGTTGTTGAGTGAACCTAGATACAATACATACGACACATGTGACAAAGCTCCGGTCCCGTGAGCGTCTGGTATTTTCCCCGATATCAAAGCTGCAGGCTGCCCTCCTCCGAAGATTCACCCGTTCAAGTTCCTACGGCGTACATGCGTTGTGCAGACTGCCGATCGGCTGGCAATCAGGCCCCCTCGCCTCAGTGCCCCTCCGACTTGGCCACGGTCGGCAGCTCCTGCAGGGCCTCGCCGATGACGGCCAGGGCTTTGCGCACCTCGTCCTCGGTGATGATCAGCGGCGGGGCAAAGCGGATGATGTTGCCGTGGGTCGGCTTGGCCAGCAGGCCCTTGTCCTTGAGCAGCAGGCAGAGGTCCCAGGCAGTGCGGCCGTCCGCGGCCTGCTCATCGATGACGACGGCGTTGAGCAGGCCCTTGCCGCGGACCATCTGCACGATGGGCGAGGCAAAGGCGGCAATGCCGTCGCGGAAGAGACGGCCGAGCCGGTCAGACTCGGCCACGAGATTGCCCTCTTCGACCAGCTCGAGCGCGCGGATGGACACGGCACAGCCGAGCGGATTGCCGCCGTACGTTGAGCCGTGGGTGCCGGGCTCGACGACCAGCATGATGTCGCGCGAGGCCAGCACGGCGCTGACCGGGTAGAGCCCGCCCGAGATGGCCTTGCCGAGCGTCACCATGTCGGGCTTGATGCCGGCCCATTCGTGGCACAGCATGCGGCCGGTGCGCGCGATGCCGGTCTGGATCTCGTCGCAGATCAGCAGCACGTTGTGCTGCCGGCAGAGTGCGTGCACCTTTTGCAGGTAGTCGTCGTCCGGCACCACCACGCCGGCCTCGCCCTGGATCGGCTCGACGATGAATGCCGCCGTCTCGGGACCGTGTGCTGCCAGCACCTCCGCCAGGTCGGCCACGTTGTTGAAGCGAATCGGTCGGCCGGTCGACGGCGACGTGGCCCCCACACCCGGCACATACGGCCCGTAGTTGTCGCGCGACTCCGGGTCCGTCGACAGCGAGATCGCCATCAGCGTACGGCCGTGGAAGTTGTCCGCTGCTCCAAATACCAGCGCCTTGCCTTGCGGCACCTTCTTGACCTTGTAGGCCCACTTGCGCGCAATCTTGATGGCCGTCTCGACCGCTTCGGCACCCGTGTTCATCGGCATCACCATGTCGTAGCCAAAGGTGTTGCGCACCTTCTCGGCCCACTTGGGGAACACGTCATTGTGAAAGGCCCGCGAGCTCAGCGTCAGCCGTCCGGCCTGTTCGGTCAGCGCCTTGACCAGCTCCGGGTGGCAGTGGCCCTGGTTGACCGCGCTGTAGGCCGACAGAAAGTCAATGTAGTGCTTGCCCTCGGGGTCCCACACGTTGACGCCCTGTGCCCGCGCAAACACCACCGGCAGCGGGTGGTAGTTGTGGGCTGCATACTTCTCCTCCGCGCTGATGGCCTGCTCGGTCGATGCAGCGTGAAAGCGAGATGAGGATGCCATGATTCTGACGAGAAGAAGGCTTTGTGCTGTCAGGCAGGAGTAGATGTTGTGGATGGATAGACAACCCTTGACCTTTATGATTGTCGACGTGTACTTCTTTCCCTAGAAGGTGGCGAATCACGGAAACGCCATTTGGAAGGAAAGCGGTGACTGTATATATAGGCAGAGGCCACTAAGGCCAGCACGACCAACGCCGGCGTCATGCCAGACGACGAAACGCATCTAAACCCCTAAGTGCAAGTACATGCGCCTGCAGCGTCGACAAGAGGCAAGCAGACTTCAGTTAACGGCATAGCTCCCTTCCAGAGCTGTTCTGATTTTTTCCTGGTTATCGCTATCTTACGTCACGGAATCACGGAAATGGCCCAACGCGGACCCAATGCCGAAGCAAAGCGGCCCTGCATGCTCTGACGAGTGGAGCCGGCCGGCCAAGTCTGCGGAGGGGAAGGGAGACAGGAGGCTGACACCGCGGCTTAGTCTGCTTACAGCATAGTCTTTCCGCTGCAGAGGAGATCGTCTCGTGAGCCTCCGGCAATCTTGTCTTGACCACCTGGAGCCCGTCGGTGCTGGAGGGTCTTCCGGCTCGACAGCCCGGGCTTCGGCTTATGCCCATTGCAAGCCGCTAATGTGGGGCTGAGCCCTTGTAAGATACTGTGGCTTGACTGCTGTCCTATCGTTCAGTCACGTTTTCGTAAGCGACTGCGCATGAGACCAGACCTTGACAACCGGCGATGCCACCGGACAGGCATCGGTCTTCTTGATCTGTTTGATTCAAGAGCTTTTGTCCTTCATTTCTCTCTTCCTCTTCGTTCTTATTCTGTCTCTTCCCCTTTCCTCCTCCGTCCCTCCGTTCCTCTCCCTCTCTTCTTTTCCTCTTTCCCCATGGCCGAACCACGACAAAGACGGACGCCCGTCGATGCGCCGTCCAAAACCCCCGCTGTCTCGTATGCCGACGCTGCTGCGGCTGCCCCCGTCCACGATGAGGTGCTTGCGGCCCAGACCGCCGACGTCCTGACGCTGCTGCTGATCTTGCGCTTCTGCAGCGCTCTTTGTGTCCGCACCTTCTTCCAGCCGGACGAATACTTTCAAGCATTGGAGCCGGCTTGGGAGTTGGCTTTTGGGCCAATTAGCGGCGCCTGGTTGACATGGGTGAGTGATTCTCGTTCCCTCTTTCCTCTTTCCTCTTTCCTCTTTCCTTCTTCCTCTCTCCTTCTTCCTCTTTCCTCTTTCCTCTTTCCTTCTTCCTCTCTCCTTCTTCCTCTCTCCTCTCTTCTCTCTCCTCTCCTCTCTTCTCTCTCCTCCCTCCTCTCCTCTCTTCTCTCCTCCCTCCTCTCCTCTCTTCTCTCCTCTCCCTCCTTCCTCCTTCCTCCCCTCGCTAACTAATCAGGAATGGCGCCAACACCTGCGAACATCACTACATCCAGTCCTGTTCGCTGTCGCCTATGCCGCTGCCGACAGTCTGCTCCGCCTGATGCACTGCGTCGGTCCCCTGCGTGCCATCATACTGACACACCTGCCGACGGTCGTCCAGGCCGTCATCGCCGCCGTGGCCGACTTCTCTGTCTGGCGGCTGGCCGGTCATCTGTACGGCCGCGATAGCAACGCGACCTGGACTGCGGTATGTCTTGTGCTTGACTCTCACCCTGCTGCCTGCTTGCCATATGTTTCCCCCCCGGCTGACAGTTCAGCTCTGGCTCTGTGTCCTCAGTCCCTGGCAGTGGTACTGCGGCACACGCACGTTTTCCAACGGCCTCGAGGCTGCCCTGACTTCAGCTGCTCTTGTCTTCTGGCCCTGGCAGCTGTTTGCCGCCGACTCCACGTCAGCAGAGTCGCTTTTCGACAGCAGCACTGCCTACAACACTGTCGGACGTGTCGGTCCCGTTGGCCGCCTTCGCCTCTCCCTCCTGCTGGCTGCCTTTGCCGTCGTGCTGCGACCGACCAATCTGCTCATCTGGGCTGCCCTCTTGACGGTGGCCGTCACTCGTCTGACGCTGGACAGCTCTTCTTCTTCTTCCTCTTCCTCCTCACCTCTCCGCCCCTCCTTTGTCGCCCGTCTCGCCGTCGAGATCGCTGCCTGTGGTAGCCTCGTGCTTGCTGTCTCCGCCGTCTCCGATCGCCTCTTCTACGGCGTCTGGACCCTGCCCGCATACACCTTCCTGGACGTTAACCTCGCCCAAGATGTCGCCGTCTTCTATGGCCGCAACCCCTGGCACTACTACCTGTCACAGGGCCTCCCGCTGCTGACAATGGCCAGCCTGCCGTGGGCCCTGACCGCCGTCTATGCCGCCTTGACCTCGTCCTCTTCGCCCTCGTCTTCCTTCTCGTCCAATGCACGTCGCGCACTCGCCTTTTCCGTCGTCACTACTGTCGCTGTCCTGTCGCTTGTCGCCCACAAGGAAGTCCGCTTTCTGTATCCGCTGCTGCCTGTCCTCAACGTGCTGGCAGCTCCACAGGTGGCGTCTTTCTTCACTGCCACCCTGCCCTCGACCTCGTCTGCCTCAAAGGCCCCTCCTTCGGCCACTTCCCTTCGCCACAAGCGGCTCTTGTCCGTCGGCCTCGTCCTCCAGGCCGTTGTGGCCGTCTACCTGTCCTTTTTTCACCAGCCGGCACCGCTGTCGGTGCTCTCCTTTCTGCGCCACGAGTACGAGCGCATCCACCACAACTGGTTAGAGTTGACCGCCGCCGAGTTGCCCTACTTCGACGTCTACCCCGACTACTCTTTCCTCCACCAGTCATCAATACCGTCCATCCTCGCCAGCGGCGGTGGCGGCGACGAGCTGTTTGCCCTCTTTCTGCTGCCGTGCCACTCGACGCCCTGGCGCTCGCACCTCGTCTATCCCGGCCTGCGTGCTCGTGCCCTGACCTGTGAACCACCACTGCATACTGCGCCTCGGTCTGCCGAGCGCGCCGCCTATCTGGACGAGGCCGACCGTTTCTATGCCGCTCTCGGCCGCCACGATCCTGCGGCCCGGAATGCCTTCTTCGTCGAGGAGCTGTGGCCGCGGTTTCCATGGTCGTCCGACGCAGAAGCAACAGAGGGCACAACGACTTGGATGCACAACGGCGAGATCCCCCGCTACATCGTCGGCTTCGAGGGCATCGAAGACGTGCTCGTCGGTTACTTCGCCTCTGACGATCCTGCCACCGGCGGCGCCGATCTGGGCATCTCCCTGCGGCGGGTGTGGACCGGCTGGAACGGCTTCTTCAACGAGGACTGGCGGCGACGGGGATCACTGATTGTCTGGGACACAGGAGTGTATTCAAATGCGAGCCATCCAGACACTCTGTGACGTGGCGGTCTGCACAATTGTGCTGTATTGTATCCAAAAAAAGTTAGAGCGTATAGGTCAAAATTTCAGTATGGTCGTGTTTAAATTAGGCGGCAAAAAATATGAAGAAGATCCCGTCGAGTTGCCACTGCCTGCCTTCTGTTCTCCTTTTAAAAAGAATCATTAATGCGGTATCGTTTTCGTTATGCTTTTGTTCCTTTTCCCACCCAAACGGTTGTCCCAAAACACTTATATTCCAATCCTGCCACCCAAGAAATCTACAGCATGTAACGGAAGTCGGGGTTGAGATCCTGTGTTTTCGTCAGCAAACATGCAACGGCAAGGGGGAACTGGTTTGGGGATCGCCTTCTCGTTACTCACACCCAGCTCTGTCTTCTCGTACTCGGTCAAACCAACATTGCGTGCCGTTTTCTCACGCCGCCGGTTCTCCATCAACAGAATGGCCGCATACAGACAAGACGCAATGGCGCTGATGCACACAAAGCCGAACGAGATGGAGTAGCCCTTGGTGTATCGCGGCGAGTCGGTCGAAACGAAGGCGTACGTGGCGATGATGCCGCCAATGTTGCCAAAGCCGATCTGCCATGCGATGCCGATGGCGCGACGGTGGTGTCCACCCAGATTCATGCTGTACCAGCACACGATGACGGGCATGGCCGAGTACGTGCCGGCGCAGATGAGAAACAGAGCGGCGTACTCGGCGTGCACGTTGTCATGGATGGCGAGCAGCATGGCAAACCCGGTCAGGGCGATGCAGATGGGCCCAATCACAAAGAGAAACCGGTGACGGGCGCGGTCGCTGGCAAAGGCCACGATCATCGACAGGCCAGCTGCACAGACCCATGGCGGCACGGCGTGCAGCTGTGTCTGGATCGTGCCGTAGTGGTAGGTGCTGATGATGGCCGGCGCGAAGAATGCATAGCCGTAGGCGGGCACGATGAGCCCAAAGTACATGAATCCACCCAGGATCACCTTGATGTCGCGCATGACCACACCCACATCACGCAGGGTGATCTTGCGCTCCGCAGCATTGTTACCCTGGTCAGCCTTGAGACGGGCCTGAATATAGGCGCGCTCGTCCTCGCGCAGCCACTTGGCCTGCTCCGGGCTAAAGGAGTTAGCAAGGACCGGAGAACAGCGACGGGGATGTACGCTTACAACGACGGGAACGTAAACAGGAAGACAAAGCAGATCGCGAAGCCGACAGCTCCCTCCAACCAGAAGATGTACCGCCAGCCGCGGTGACCGTGGAGGTGGTCCACTATTCAGCGTCAGTGAGAGCTCGTAAAGGCCGAGAACTGGGCATCCCCGCGCACTAGGACAGAAGCTTACTCTTTCCAATAGCCGAGGCTAGCAGACCGCCAAATGCGCCAGCCAGTGACGTCGACGAGAAGAAGAAGGAGTAGCGGCGCTGAGCATCCGCGCGGCGGTACCACATGCCGAGCAGGTAGAAGCAGCCGGGGAACATGCCGCACTCAAAGACGCCCATGAAGAAGCGGCAGGCTAGCAGGCCGCCGTAGCTGTGAACCAGGCCCTGGAAGACGGTGCAGGCAGAAAAGCCCATGCCACAGATGCTGAGCCAGACGCGCGGTGAGAAGCGCTTCAACAGCAAGTTGGACGGGATCTCGAAAAAAACGTAGGGCACGAAGAAGATGGTGAGGCAGGTGTTGTACTGGACGCCGGTGAGCTTCAGGTCCGATGAGAGGCCGAAGCTGCGGGCATTGGAGATATTGATGCGATCGAGGAAGGCGACCAGATACAGCAGAGACAGGAAGGGCACGACGCGGAAGTCGATGCGGCGCATCAGGGCTGCCTCGGTAGTATGAGCCGGCACCGGCACCTGTAACTCATCCGACTCGATGGATCCGACCGTCTCACCCTTCTCTGGCATGTCGTCTGAAGCCAGCACATCCTCCTTTGGCAGCGGCATCGTTTTGTCAGAGCCGTCATCATGCTCCGTCTGGCCGTTCGAGGCCGCTGTTCGCGACAGTGTCAGCAGTCGTCGCAGATACGGAGCGCCGTAAGAGCGGCGCATATCCAGTGATGCGGACAAACGTACCTTTGGGGGTGAACATTGTGAAGCCGGCGAACGTGTCTCGTTCTCCCTACAGGCTGGTCCGGAGCGATGATGCAGCTGGCAGGTTTCGCAATGCCGCAGCGGCTGTATGGATCTTAATATTCGAGGAGAGCCGGCCTCGGAGAGAGCTAGCCGTTGCGGAACAGTGAAAATAAAATAAGCTGGACGCGATGTGGGGACTGGATGTGCGTGCAGGCTGCACAGAGGAGAAAGAGGATACTATGTAGAAGCTATGCGGCCCATACACGTGGAGAGGGAGGGAGCAGAGGGGGGTAGTGTACAGCAGGAGTGGGGAGCTATCAGCGTGATGAAAGCAGAGACGGCAAATCGGCCCTGAGCGAATGTGACACCGGGGACAAAAAGAGGGGGGATAAGAAGGATGACGACGTGATGAATACGATTGCCAAGGGACGAGTGAGAGAGAAGCCGAGGGTCAGCGGAGGCCAAGGCGAGCACAGAGAGTCCGAGGTGGCCGTATTTCGTATGATGCTCGCACTCAGACACGCAGAGAGCAAGGATCGCCAGCCCGGCACGAAGATAGGAACGAGATCGACGGTAAGACAAGAGGGCGAGAGAGACAGATTGGTTTTACAAGCACTCGTACGAAGGAGTAGAAATCCATGGGAGCAGACACGGCGTGTCGTGACTCTTGCTCCTGTTCGTGGCAACTACGCAGTCTGTTCCTTCCCAGTCGTCTGAAAGTCTGCGATATGACTCGCACATACTGACTCACACAAAAACTCAGTCCCTTGTGTCCGGACTCGGACTTCTTCCACTTGAACGCTGTTGTAATACAGCACTCTCGCGATGTGGGTTGGCCCTACCTTTTTCTACTCCCCCACAAATGCGGAGACGCGGCAGGGCAGACTAGCCCTGTTGTGGCCGTAGGCTGAAATTTTAAAGAACCTGCAGGGCTATGGGAAGGGAGATTGAGACAGTCTAGCTATTACACGGCCGCTGATACGCCTACGAATCTGGCCAGGTCTCTTCTCACTGGCCATGTCCGCTGTCGGGGACCCTAGGCCACCTCCGAAGACTTGTACAGAAAAGGGAAGAAGGCTAGCTGATCAGGCGATGCAATCAGACTTTTCGTCCATCCAGAATCAATTGTCCGTATGTTTCGGCCACTCACCGCCATAGTCTGTGTGCCGGGAGCAATGGACAGACGCGTTCGCCCAAGAAGTCGTGTAATTGTCTACGACAAACTCCGTACGACGTACAAATATCCGACCCGTAGAAAGAAGGAATTATTTACGACTCCGTACTCCGGACTCCGTACGAACGTTTACACGTGTGGCCCCGCCACTCTGACGCCACTGTGGCTTTGTGGCGGTGTAGATTTGGATCTTGCATCGTGAATCTTGAGATCGCTCGTTACATATCCGGCCCCGATATCTTTTTGGAGCCACAAATATCGGGACCGAGTGTGCACGTCTTACCGTCTGAACGTCTTCTATTTGCTAACTACTACGGAGTATACTAAATGGGTAGGTTATCTACAAAACGCTGCAGGGCAGAGAAGGAGGCCAGTCCCTCGGCACAGAGCACCTCCTCAATTACGTCCTCTTTCCGGCCTTCTCTTCTCTCTCTCTCTCGTCCTCTGCGTCATCTCAATGTGCCGCCGGCAGCTCTGCCGGCTCTGCCGCCAGTTCTGCCAGTTCTGTCGGCCCGTTCCACCGGCCGTATTGTGGCGCCTCGGCGATCAGACTCTGCTGCATGTACTTTTGCTCCGGCGGCTGTGTGTATCCGTACGAATTGGCCGGCGGTGACGGAGCCGGTGGCGATGGAGTGGAATGCACGTCGTCGGTGGCTGGGACAGCCCGGATGTCTTGCGCCTGGCGCCTCCGGCGGAATAAGAGGAAGGCGACGAGGGCGATGATGATCAGGACACCGACACCGACACCGACACCGACACCGACACCAACGCCAATCTTGGCGCCAGAGCTCAGCCCACCGCCACTGCTCTTGCTGCTGTCGCTGCTGCCAGTGCTCGTAGCGGCTGCGCCCGTCGTCGTCGGCGTCGCCGTGGCCGCGGCGGTCGTGGTGGCCAAGCCGGACGTCGTGGTGGTGGACGAGACAAAGTCGGTGGACTTGTAGCGGATGCTAATGCCAAAGGCATTCACGCCCTCGGACCCGGTGCTGGAGACCAGGCTCTTGGTCTGACCGACGACGACGTTGTAGAAGACGTAGGCCTGGGTCGAGGCCATGGTCGAGACGCAGAGGTTGGTGCTGTACCAGGGCAAGTTGGTGCTGGTCTGGCATGCATAGCCGGCTTTGAGGTCAGTCTTTACACATTCTCTCTCTCTCTCTCTCTTTCTATCTTACTTGGGACAACATATCGCCCCCGTCTCTGCAGCCGTTGTGGACGAACAGGCTACCGAGTATCCAGACGGGCAGAGTCCCGGCGAGAAATACGCGCCGATGTTGTAGTTCCAACCCGTAGGCATACAATCTGACGTGCTCGTGTCCACATTGAGGTGGACGAAGCCGTAGGCGTATCGGTAGAGATCGGTGAGACAGGTTGCCGACGGGGTGAAGGTGGTGGTCAACGGACCGAGAGACTCGATCGTGGTTGACATTGTGGTGTGAAGGCCGGGGTGTAAACACGATGCAACGCTTGCTATCAAAACATTGATCTCCTTCCCGCCGTCCGTCTATTCTTGCCTGACTGTGCGCGCTGTCGTATGACTCCTCGCGACCACTCGTGCAGACCCGTTTCCAGCAAGAGAGAAGGAGAAGAGAGAAACACAATCCCCCTTATTATTGCTCCTTCTGGGCTCAACATAGCTTCGTTTCGCGTCCTCGGTCGTGTACCTGTACCGTCTCCAGGGCCACATAATCCTTCAGCCCCCATCGACTAACCCACATTCAGCCCAGGTTCTCGTCTGCTAATTCGAAAAGGCGGTAATGCATGTGGCAGACGGCTAGCATGGTAACGATAGCCTGGCTTCGTGCCCAGGAGAGCCCCAATCTTTTCAGTAATTGTCCAATCAAATTAGAGGCGTCGGGATTGATAGCTGCTTTGATTCGCGGGGCCGGCGCCTTGGGGCTGAATTTAGGTATTTGTATAGCCAGCCCCCTTGGGCACGAAGGAGCGCTCCAATTTCGCACTAACCTAGGAAGCTGATCCTTCGTCGCATTTCTGAGTCAAGAGGCCGAAATACTCGTGCCTTGCCCCAACCACATCATCTCCCTCATCTTTTATCACTATCTTATAATCTTTGCTACTCTCCAAAAAAAATCGATCCAAATGCTATATTGTGGCTGCCAATGCCAAGTAAGATACAATAGCCGAGTCTCCCACCGACGTTCAATCGTCTGTCTAGAATATATAAAACTCCCAAGGGGTAGCAGCAAGGACAAGAGGAGACAACAGAAACTAGAAGCCTTGGAAACCCCGCCCCCAAAACAAACAGATAGGGCTGATAATGTCCCGGGTATTCTTCATTGCGGACATAGTACCGCCTGAGCAAAAGAAGACAACATCGTGAAGAAACCAAAATAGGCCATCCAAAGTCCAAGTGAGGTTCTCCTTTCCCTTTCCTTTTTTTCTTTGAAAATTCTTTGAAAAATCCAAACACGCCGGAAATTGACACTCCCAAAGTGTGCTTTTTTGCCGTTATCATTTTCATACTTCCGAGCTGGGTGTCCTTGCCTTTTTTCTGTCGTTTCCGCTCAAATTTAAGATCTGAAAAGGGGATGAAAAGAAAAAAAGAGGGTGCGTAAGAATAAAAGTAGAAAAAAGAGCGCGATAATAGTAAAAACCAGATAAGGGCAGCGACAGGGTCAATTCGACTTCTTGTCCTCTTCGACGGGTCGCTTGAGATCGAGGCTCTTTCCGCGAGCCAGCCCAGACACCAAACTTGTGGTTGGCAATCGATCTTCTGAGGTGGGTGACTTGGTTCGTCGATGCTCAGCGGTCTCCTTGGCCTCGCGATATTTGTTCTTGAGCCAGCCGGACAGCTTGCCCTCCTTGTTGTCTCTGCCGTCTCTGCCGTCTCTGCCATCCCTGCTGCTGCCGGCAGTTGTGGTCGAGTCCTGCGACATGGTAGCCTCAGCGTTCGCAAACGTCGGTTCCGGCGAGCCGCTAGCACCTGTCTGCGAGAGTGCGGCGACGCTGATTGACGCTGGGCCGGCGCTGCAGACTGAGCTTGTGCTCAGTTCTGCGTTCGCGTTGGACCCAACGCTGAGGGCCGGCCGAGAGTTGGTAGACACTTCGCTCAAGTTGCTTCCTGGTGGTAGAAGCCCCATCAGCGGCGCGTCATCTCGTCGTCTTGACATGCGCCAGTTCCGCTTATTGGCCCTTTCGGAATGATCGGCATGGTCTGACGTGGATGCAGCCGTCGACTCATCGGCTTGGTCAGCTTCAGAGCCGTCGTTAAAGGAGCTGTGCAGAGACGGTGACAGCGATCTTCTTTGCGGTCGGAGCTGGGCCTCACACGCAGCCGCATCTGGCGCCGGGATTGGCATCGGCGTCGAAGTCGTCGTGACCGTAGACGGAACTTGGGACGCATGGGGCGTCAGGTCGATAGCGTGCGGAGCCGAAGAAGAGCCGGATTTTTGGTGCGAAGTGAGCTCATTGGGCGGGATGCGTCCCTTTGTTGCCGCTACTGCTGCTGTTGCCGTTACAGCAGCCGCTGGAGATGGTGATGCTGTTGCATGCGCCTCTGATGGATTGATTCCAAGCTCGTGAGTCGACGAGGCAAAAGCCGAAGCAACTGGCGGCAATGAGGCCGTTGAGCTCTGCGCGCTCGGGTTTGCACTGGTCGGCATTCTCTTCTTTCTGAGCTTGTTTGGTGGAGGGCGCGGCTCACCGTCGGCCACCTGTGAGCGCTGAAAGAGCGAAAGGATTCTATCCTTGGACGGAGTTGAAGCCCCCGTTTCTTTTACAGCAGTTCCAGTTCCTACAGCAGGGACTCCTGTGGTGTCAGGCGGCGGATCCAGGACCAACTCTGACGTGGAAGGAGGTGGTGTTGACTTCACGGCAGCCGGTGAAAATGGGCTCTGAAACGACGATTCCTCTGCCGGAGTAACAACCTCTTCGACCGGCTCAATCGTCGGCGTATGCAGAGGAGAATGATGAGTGATTGGGGTGAGGGGGGAGACGGGACTGCCGGTTGCATCCGTTCGTTTGTTGAATCTCCCGGGTGAGAGACCGGGAGATCTGGCGGGCAGCGTATTGCTCCGGGCCAAGCCACCACTTGTGGAGCTGGAGGCAGTCGGCGTCACGATCAGCCCGGGACTGCTGCTGCTAGGACTCGGGGGGCGAGTATGTGCGACGTGGCTGTGACCGTGATCGTGGTTATGGTTGTGATTATGACCGTGGCCGTGGCTGTTGCTGTTGCCGTTGGAGTGGCGGGAATTGCGCGATGAGGTTGAGCGATTGCGGCGGATCTTGCCGTCGCGGGCGACACTCTCGGCACCCGCGCTGGCATTGGACGCTGTCCTAGAGACCCCAATGGCTCCGGGACTCTCCACGGCAATGCTGGGAGTGACGGGCGGGGTGCCTCTCTGGACGTCCTTGACCGTCTGCTCGTCGGCGGCGGTACCTTGCATGCCGATCAGAAAGTGGTCCTGGTTCTCGATGAGGAAGATGAGGACGATCTGGTTCAGACGGTATTCTTCTGGGGCCATATCGTGGCTGGGGTGTGAGAGCAGGCCGGGCTGGAAGATGGCAGAGAGATTCTGTGAGTTCATGCGGTTCACGTCGGATTTGGCGGCAAAGACGGCGAGCAGATCGAGGATGTAGAGCAATAGCTGGCGGTTGAGAGGCGGCAGTTCGGTGATCAGACGCTGGTATTGGCGGATGGCAGAGGCCATGTCGAAGTTTGGGACAAAATGGGGGCCATCGCTGTCGGCGCCTGTCAGCTTGACGGCGTGGCGCAAGGGATCCCGAAAAGGTTCGTAAAAGTCGAGCGGTACAACCGGCTCGGGCAGGTCGTTGAGGTAGCGTCTCAAGACGTTGGCGGCGTCGTGCACGGTATATCCATTCCAGGACATGCCTTTGCCATAGCGCTCGGGGGAGTCGAATGCTTGTTTGAGCTCCTTGATTCGCTTTTCGGAGCCGCTTAGCCGGAAGATGCCCTCGATTCCGGTGGCTATTGGAATTAGCCCGGACCACATTCTCTGGGCGGCCGCAGCAGACGCAGCTTACCTTTCTCCTTGAGGAAGACGCCGCACTTGGCGACGACAATGGGCACATAACCATAGATGTAACTCCTTCCGTTGTCGTCGATCAGAGAGATGGCCACATTTGCGTACGTTATACTCTCCCGCAAAGGGACGCCGAAAATGCCCCTTGTCCGTTGCACTGTGATGGAGGCAGAAGCAGGTTAGCTCGACCTGCTGGGCTTCTGCTGAGACGACGGTGCAGCTTCAATTCCGTGCATCCGGTGGGGATATGGGAGCTCCATAAGGCGCGACGATAATGACCAGAGGGGAAGCAAGAGAAGCATAGAGGCAAGGCAGAGAGAGGGACGGTGAAGGACAGGGCTTACTCGGCACATCATGACTCTTGGACTGAAGGATGAAGCCCTTCCACCAAGATTTGAGATCACGCTTGTTCGGTGGAGACGTAGGGTTGGGCACGGCGGCTGGAGGGACGAAGGCCTTTGGAGGGTGGAGTACGTTCGGAGTGAGGGGTTGAAGAGGACCGGTCGAGGCCACGGGGGCCGGCTGCGGTCTTACGGCAAATGGCGGTGGTGGTGGGAGATGGAGGTGGTGATGTTGTTGCCGAAGTAGTAATTGTTGTTGTGGCTGTTGCGGCAGTTGTGGCTGCTGCTGCTGATGTGACGGAGGAGGCGGTTGCAGCTGCGGTTGTGGCTGAAGATGAGGTTGATGAGGTTGGGTCGACGCCAGCGACGGACTGGGAGCGGGAGCGGTTGTGGTCATTGCGCCGGCAAAAGGTCGTTGTTGAGACGGCGGCAGCGACGGCGGTGACGAAAAAGCCGTCCGCGACGAGACGGTAGGACAGCCGGGAGGACGAGTCGACGTTGTTGGCCAAATGGAGGGGGGGTTGCTTTAGCTTCCGGAGCGGCGATTTGAACGGGGCGAAGCGGATTAGTCGGGCGTACGGTGTGACGGGTGGCTGAAGCTACATGAGTGACAGAGGGAAAGAATGGAGAAAAGGGGACGGAGACAGAAAGATGGCGGCTGAAGATGGGACTGGAACTCGGGGAAGAAGGCGGTTGACGATGGGAGGCCTAGAAGCGTGGAATGAAGGAGTGGCAGGGACGCGACGCCTGCCTCGCTAGCCAGGTCGCAGAGGGTTGGAAGCGCGCGCGCGATCAGAGAAAGGACAGAAGGCGCCTAGGCGCGGCAGGGGTGTGTTCTTTGGTGGTGGAGGAGAGCGAGGGGAGTGCGAGGAGAGGAGGCGTGCGCGAAGACGGCAGAGAGGCGGGAGAATGGATGAAATAGAGTCGCGACCGGAGCAGTCGAGCAGGAGGAAAAAAGGAGGAGCAGGAGGCAATGACGAGCCGGTCGGATGAGGAAAGAGCTTTGCGGCGGCCGACGCTTGCAACAGGCAGGCGTAGCGCTGAAGACTGGCTACTCGGACACGTCGTAGTGGGCCGTGTGAAAGGAACGGGGGTACGGAGTACAGGAGTAAGATACAATGTGCTAGTTTACGAGACTACGTCGTATGTAGTCATGCTCGTGGCATTGGTTCCGCCTGCTGGCAGGACGCTCTGATTGGGCCGGTTGCGGGACAGGACAGAGGGAAAAACATGCGTTGCCAGAGCCCCTCGCCTCGCCCTTAGCGGCTGCCGGGGTGGCTTTGAGCAGTTTAGAGCCTGAACGCCAGTGGATACGGGGCTGTCAGATGGCCGTGCGCATTTTTATCGCTTGCTTCTCGCGGTCTGGCCGGCGTGCGTGCGTATTTTATGTCGCATCCTGACTCTGTACTTTTTGGGGTAGTTTGGGGTCCACAGCGAGCGCCCCTGTTTTTGCGAGCAAGACCTGTGTACGTCGTGTCCGGGCTTTCACTGATCCTGGTCGCCCTTTTAACCTTTTTTCGTCCTTCCTGCCTGACAGGCGCCCGAGGTCTGCCAGCTGGCATGCATGCTGCCAGCCGTGCGTCGGGTCCGTAGGCTGGGTGGTGGCCTTGCGGAGGGCAATGCGTGCTGCTGGCAAAAATACTCCGACGTCGTAGTCTGTGGTGATCAGTCGTATTCGTGTGTCTGGCAAGAAAAGAAAGCGATGGTCAAGGGGCTCTGCGCCTCCCGGAGCGGTGTAAGATACGTGGCATAAGATGAGACAATCCGCCCAAGACAGTCTGGGGAACAGATGTGCCCGAGGCGAACAGACAAAGGGATCGCCCCCTGCCCCTGCTTGTTCCGTATTCAGAGTCCAGGGACGGACCCAGGCTGATGGCCACAGTCATGCAGTGGCCTGGTCGCCTCGGCGTCGCAGTCTTGGGCAGGTCTTGGAGAGCAGGTTTGCCGGACACCGCTGGGGACCTGGAGCTATGATGAGAAGAAGAAAGCAGAGTGGCAGAGGAGAAGGCGGACAGGGCAGAGGCAGAAGCACCAGAACAAGCACAGACACAGTCAGAATGGCAGGGACTTTGCGGGTACCGGACGGACTCGGTGAGGTGTCATGCCCTTCTTTCGCTCCATCCTTTCTGGTCCGGCCTTCTTTCATTGCTGACGGCAGATCGGCCTGGCGTGGTCGTATTGAACCCAGCATGATTGAGATCACTGCTTGTATACGTAATCCTACGTCGTAGATGCTGAGCCAAGCTCTACGTAGGCGGCTGTGCTGACTAATCAAACAAGGCGAGGTGGGTCCCGGCCCATTGAGTTTTTTCCCGTAGTCTAGAGGCGAAAAAGCAGATGGACTCTTTGCTGCTTTGCCATACACGACGACCGGACAGACGCTTATCGATCTGACCTTTGCAGCCACCGAGACACGAAATGGACGGGTACGTGAAGGGCGGCGGTTTTGCAGAGGTGCCGTCGATGCGCCAGGCTAACATTGCATCGCAGCCTCACATCGGCCGAGACGCGCGAGTTGGAGCAGCGGCTGCAGAAGCGGCAGGTCAAGGAGTTTATCGGGGTGAGTTTGTGTTGTGAGAATTTATTTCCTTTCCTTCCTTTCCTCTCTCCTCTCTCCTCTCTCCTCTCTCCTCTCTTCCCCACTAACCAACTCAGCTCTTTAGCAACCTCGTGGACAACTGCTTCACGGCGTGCGTAGACGACTTCTCGTCCAAGGCGGTGTCGACACGTGAGACGGGCTGCATCACACGATGCGTGCAAAAGACGCTGGCGACGCAGCAGCGATTGTCGGAGCGGTTCCAGGAACACAACGCGGAGATGAGCCAGCAGCAGCAGCCACGATGAGGGCAGATGTACGATAGAATGAATACAGGTTCCCTCTGAACAGTACTAGTTTCTGAAGCAGTCCTCCTTGGATCTTCTTAGTCTGTCGTCTTAATCGTATATTGCTTGATCATTCCGTCTCCGTCTCCTCGTCTCCGTTTCCTCCTCTTCCGCTCTCACCCTCTTTCTCCGTCATATATCCTCTTTTGCTCTCTTCCTCCATCATATCTCCTCTCCTCTCATTCCCCCCTACTCCTCTTCCTCGTCCTCACTCAATATCGTCTTCACTCCCTCCAACAGCAAAAACACCTTCTCCTCCAGCCGGTTCTCCGCCGGCCCTCCAGCCTGCACCGGTTCCAGCGTCCGCCACTCAGACTCGCGTCCGCCCAGCGGCACCAGCCGTTCGCGCAGCAATTTAGGCCGTGCCAGCCAAAAGTCGACGCTCTCGCGCACGGGCGCCGCATCCCAGCCGACGGCCGGGATGTCGCGCGCATGGTTGACCCGCAGGGCCGCGAGCACCTGTGTCAGCAAGGCGAGCGAATGGATCTCGGACACGGCCAGAAGGGTGAGGCTGTCCCTGGCGGTGCTTTTCTGTCCCATCCTCTCCTCGCCCACCTCGAACCGCTGCACGCTCCCCTCCAGCAGGCTGGGGAACTGGTTCAGCACGTAGGCAACCTCGGGCGCGATGCTGGCACCCAGCGCCACCAACACGTTGAGCAGCAGCGGCAGGACGGCCTTGGCCCAGATGCCGTAGCAGCGCTGCGCTGCCGGAACATCGGCCATGGGCTCGACGCCGGGACGACGCATGTGGGTGGCCAGGCCGGCGGCGACAAAATGGCCGAGAAAGCCGTCACAGGCCAGCTGCTCGGCCACGACCGGCAGGGCCGACAGCTCGAGCAGAAACAAGAGGCTGAGCTCGCCGTAGACGGGATCACCTCCACCGCCCACCCGATCGGACCAGGAAAAGAGCGACTCGGCCGCGCGCAGGACGTCGTGGGCGGCCATGATGTTGAGCACCTGGGCGTGACACTGGCCGATGCCCGGCACACAGAGACAGGCCTGCAGCACGGCCGTCAGCAGGGCCATGTCGTCAGGTCGCGGCTCGGCCTCGACGTCGTGCACCTGGCCGACCAGCGTGCGGAAACCGGCCGCAACGACGCGGTCCAGGATCGTCAGCACGGTCTGTGTTGTCGAGATGTCGTTGGCGTCGCTGTTCGTCGTCTTGCCGTCATCGGCACCCTCCCTCCTCTGTCCGCGCAAGACGACATATAGAATCCGCAAGAGTGTCCGATAGTAGGTCGCCTGCTCCATCGACCATGGCGCTTCCACGCTGCTGATGCTCGTCCACACGGCCAGCAGCAGCGACGATCCGTCAGCTGGCAGCAGTCCGTGTTCGGCCAGTCGTTGTAGTAGTAGTAGTGCCAGGTTGGCCCGCCCTTGGGCTAGCCGTCCAAAGATGTCGCCTCCTCCTCCTCCACTCCCATTGGCTGTCAAACACTGCTCGGCCACCTGCAACATCACGACTGGCAGCCGCTGGTCCTTCTGCTTCGGCAACAGACACACGCTCAGTTCTAGCAGCAGCACTTCCCAGGCGTGGTACAGTGCAATCTGCGCGTCCACCAGCGAGAGGTTGCAATTGGCCATTTCCATCTCCAGCCGGAATCCTCTATTCTTGCCGTTTCGTCCCTTCTCACCCCCCCATCCCCCGTCAAAGCTGAGCATCGAGTCGGCCAGGTCGAGCGCGTAGTAGAACTGCCCGCCCAGATCGCGTGGCTGCACTAGCGACCGCTTTAGCTGGTCTAGCGAGAGCCCGCCGTAGCGCTGTGCAAAGTTGCGCTGAAAGTTGGTGTGCAGCGATGTGTTGTAGCCCTCGACGGCAACGCCTTCGCGCAGGTAGTAGTCCACGTCCTGCACCACGTCACGTGCCAGAGCCTGTTCTGTGCCCATCTGTCGCATGTGGTACAGCTGCATCGCAAAGATCTCTGCCACGTACGCCGCGATGCGTGCTTGGCCAAAGGCTGCTTCGGCGTCTGTCCTTGCCGTCACTGCTGCTGGTGCCAATTGTCGCACGTATGCCCGCATTCCGTCGAGATGGTCGCCGTCGCTGTTGCGCACGGCAAAGATCGTCCATGGCCAATAGTTTTGGGCGGCTGAGAAGAAATCGAGAACAGCCAGCAACTCTTTTGTCTCTTCGCCTTTTTTCTCCTCGCCCTTCGGGCTCGTTTGTGTCTGTCTCGCTCCCATCCGCCTCAACACCCCCTTCGCCTTGGCCAGCACCGAGTCTGCCGACAGCTGCAGTCGTGGTCCTTCGGCCTCGCCTCTCTCTCCTCCCTCGCGCAAGGCTTCGCGTGGCGTCCTGCCCGTCAGCAGACAGTTGGCCATCCACTGCTGCCGATGTCGCAGCACGGTCGAGAAGAATCGCCATATGCGTGCCCTCTCGGCTGCCCGGCCAAACGGCCCGTCCATGCGTGCCAGCACGGCCAGAAACGCCCGCGACACGTGTGGCCCCAGGTAGCCCAGCAGCGATGGTGGCTCGCTGGCTGTGGTCGCCGTCAGCGTCGCCGCGCTGACTACCAGCTCCGTCAGCAGCTCCAGGGCTGCCGGCCGCAATCTGCTCGTCCCCGAAGCTGAGCCACAGAGACGCGCCGGCAGCGATGCGATCTGGAACATCTGTGCCTGCAGGCCACCCCCCAGACTCGTCCCTTGTCCGTGGCCCACCAGACTCGTTGCCAGCTTCAGCACCGCCACCGTCCGCTCCTCCATTCCCTCTCGTCTTCGCTTGTAGAGCGTCGCCGTCGTCGACTGCTCCAGTCCTGCCAGCAGCGTCGCCAACAGTGGCTGGAAGCGCAGCGACGACGACGCCGCCGTCGACCCAAAGCTGCTCACCACAAACGCTGCTCCCGCCTCCAAACTGCCCATCAGCCGACTCTCTGGCCCGTCCACCCCTTCCGCCAGACTCGACGCGTACACCACCATTCGTCCCAGCATTCCCACCGCTGCTGCCACCACGCTCGATCGCTGCATCTCCGTCGCAAACTTCCACGTGCTGGTGTTCTCGTGCAAGTCCACCACCGTCTGCGCCACCGCCAGACACACCTGCCCCAGCGTCTTGTCCGATGCTCCCAGCCAGATGTTGCTGTCCGGCACGTGTCGTCCACTCCCTCCACTCCCTCCGGCCATCTTCCTCTGCACCGCACTCGTCGCTGCCCCGTCCACCAGCCCTGATAGGAACCGTAGTGCCGCCATCAAGAAGCTGAACCGCTCTGCCACCACGTCCGATCCACTCGTCAGGATGCACAGACGTCCTGCCCGCGACTCCGTGTTCAGCAGCTGGCATCGCGCCATGTAGGACCACACCCGCCCTGGACACAGCTCCAGGATCGCCTCCAAGAAGTCCATGCACGCCGCCAGCACTGCCAACCGTCCCGAGTCCGTTTCTGCCGGCCCGTCTTGGATCAGCGTGTCCACTGTGTCGCATACCACCGTCACAATGTCCTTGGCTGCGTCCAGGTCTCGGCTCGCCTCCTGCAGCACCGCCAGTCCGGCTGCTGACACTCGCGTGTTGTCTGTCTGTCGCGTCGTCGTCTGCCGTGCTGCCTTGCCCGTTTCCGATCGCACCAGTCCGACCAGCAGCCCGATCGCCTCTGCCGCCTCCCATGGTTCCAGCACGCCCAGCACCGGCTCGCCCACCTGGTCTGCCACGTTCGCGTCCAGCCACTTGCCCAGCAGCGCGATCGTCGAGTGCCCGTAGTCCATGTTGACGATCCCGCTGCCGTCGATCATGAACCGCCCGTACGTCCCGGCCGGGATCACCATCGTCGTTGCTGTTCCTGGCCGCCGCGACGTCCCTGTCGGGAACAGCAACATGTCCTCTGTCGTCTGCATCGTCGCCGTCGCGTGTTCGTCCTCGCCGATCATCGCGTAGCCCGTAAAGCTGTTCGGCAGGCTGAATGTCAGGCTGGGCGTCTGCAGCAGATACTCCATCACAATGTCCGTGATGTCCGGGCCATCGCCTGCCGACAGCAGCCGGCTGATCGACACAAACGGTGCAAACTCGTATGGAAACCGTCCCAGCGCGTTCTGCACGTAGAACTGCAACAGCTGCCCGTCCTGCAGCACTGCCGACGCCACCATCTCGTCCTCGTCCCTCCTCGTCTGTCGTCTCTCCGTCCGTTCCCATGCCTCCGCGCCGCCTGACAGCACCGCCACCAGCGCGCTCACCGGTTCCGACTGGTATCCCACGATCGGGAAGCTCGCCTTCAGCACTTCCAGGAATACCACCCGCATCTGCGCTCCCAGCACGCCCCGGAAAGCCGCCTCCACTCCTACACCCGCGCTGCCTGCCATCGCACTCATCACCTCGTATACCTGGCACTGCTCTGTCGCCGTCATTGCCAGTCGTGGCACCATCGCCTCGCCCGGCTCCGAGGCTGACCCCAGCACAAATTCGCTCAGAAACCCGTCGTACCGTGCCGCCTCGATCGATACGATGCTGCCCACCGAGCTCCGGCGTCCTCGCGGCTGCAGCGCTTGCGCCGCAAATGACGGCACCTGCTTGTCTAGCTCGAAGCTGTCCTGTGCCCGCTGGTTCTGCGTCAGGTCTCGCCGCTCCGCTCGCTCCTGGTACGACACGTCCATCCGGTGCAGGATCAGTGACCACGACAGAAACACCGGGCTCGCTGTCGCCAGCCCCGAGTCTGCCGCACCCACAATCGCCGCGTGCATCACCTCCAGCACCTCCGCGCTGTTCACGTACGGCTCCTCCTCGCCGTCCAGATCCACGTCGTGGTCCAGGTATCCGATCGCCCGGTTCACGTTCAGCACCACCAGCGAGTTAACACACGCCAGCGTCTTCAATGGCAGAATGAGCTCTGACATCGCCTTGTCGCCGCCTGTCAGCCCGTCCAGGAATCCGTAGTCGCCCACAAACTGGAACCAGTCGGCCGCCAGCGATGCTGGCAGGAACAGCTCTCGCGAGCTCTGCAGTCCCATAAAGATCACCGACATGTAGTGCACAGCCTCCGTCAGCGCCGTCTGCACCCACTCCAGCGCTAGTTCCTCTGTCAGGATCTCCTCCGCCTGCTTCACGGTCCCCTCGATGCCCTCTTCTGCCCGCTGCATGCAGCTGCGCAGCTCCTCGATATATGCAGGCAGCTGTGCGACCATCGCCCGCGCATCCGGCTCCGCCTCCTTGCCTGTGCCGAGCAAACCTTGTGCCAACGCGCTCCGGAGATCCTCCACCGCTGCTGTTATTGTCGTCGTCGTCGTCGCCCCGTGCATGATGAGCGATGTGATGTAGTCTGCCGACATTGCAAAGTACCGCCGCTCCGATAGATACGTCGCCAGGAGACGTCGTCGCCGGCTGTCCTGCCTGTTGAACTCCGTCCACAGGTCCTCAGCATCGAGCGTTGCTTGCAGTACCGACGTCACGCCGCCCGCCGCTGCCTTTTGTATGTTCGTGACGTCCTGTGATGACAGAGGAGCTGCCAGGAACTCCTCTGACCGCGCCTGCAGCTCCGTCACCACCATCCGCAGCGCCGTCACCTCGTTGATGCTTGCTGCCCTGCTCAACCAGAGTGCGTCCGCCTTGATCGCCTTGATGTCGTATTTTTCGTTGGGCGTTGGCGTCACGTTAATCGCCGCCGTCTTCGTCTCGAGTGCCGCTGCCGTCTGGGCCGTCGGCTTCTCAAACGCCTTTCCGGGCCACTTGAGCAGCTCCAGCACAAACGGTTCCGTCAGCAGCTCCGTCACCGCATCGGTCGTCAGCCGGTCGCTCGACGCATCAGAAAGCGCTGATGCCACCAGCTTCCATGATCTGTACACGCTCTTGTTAGCAGGCAGCACCCCCGATGCGGGGGCTTCCAAGCACCCCGGGAGAAAGAGCGGAGCAGGCAGAGGGCACGTACAGCAGCACTGTCTCTCCTTCCAAGAGCTCTTCCAGGGGCGGAAAGTAGATGTGATCCAATGGTGGTGCCATCGTCATGTGTCGTATTGCGGCGTCAATGCCGGCATCTGCAAGAGACAGAAACTTCAGATGCTGCAGAGACGGTGGAAGTGCCGCTGTTCGGGGCAGACAGCCAGGTGGGCGATGCTTGGCGATGCTTGCTTTGTTATTTTTCAGTCCTCTGGTGAAGTCGCAAAAAAAGATTGGCGAACCGCCAAAAAGACGCGGCAAGAGCTTTGGCGTTTTAGCGGTGGCCGTGTTTTTTGTGGGGTCTCCAGCTCGGCTCCGCCTATAGCAGCACAGCAACGCTTAAGTTCCAGTATACCATTACAGGCCTCTTGGCATCACACACGACCGTTTCCGTTTGCTTTATTGGGGGTAGGGGAAGACACAGATACACTGGATGTCGAATCTAGCAAACAAAACGTATAGCCATGCCAGGTCCCAAGCTCTGAAATATCAATCGCTCTTCTCAAATGACACACGCCAACCAATCTACTATTTACACGACTCCTCCAGCTAATCAAGCAGTCCTTTAGTGTCCTCCAACGGATATTAGACTCTGCGTGGTATAGGCTTCAACCTGTCCTATCACGCTGTTTGCACTAGGTACCGGAGAAGCTGCTGATCCTTGGGGCGATAAGAGGAGCATTGACACCTCTTCGAGACAGGCAGTGGCCGAGAAGCGTGTCTGCGGCTCCATGACCAACATGTGCTGCAGGATCCCGGCCAAGCCTCCAGGCTCGAGGCGGTTCACCTCTCTGACGATAGCTTTGCACCACTCCAGTCCTTCACCGGTGCCCGACTGCGGAAGGCCGTATGCGAAGCGCAACAGAACGACCCCCAGTGACCAGACGTCAACGGCCTTGGTGTAAGTTTCTGCATCTCTGCGCACTTCTGGCGGAAGGTAGGCTCGTGTACCGCAGTATGTCTTGAGCGTGCTGTCCTTGGAAAGGCCGAAATCGGATAGTTTGACATAGAGGTAGCTGGGGTCGCCGTTGTGATTGCGGTGTTTGACCAGAATGTTCTCCGGTTTGATATCGCGATGTGCCATGGGTAGTGCCCGCTGGTGGAGATACGACAAAGCAGACAGGCTTTGCTGCAGTACGACCAGACACTCGCCGTGCGAGAACGGCGTCTTTTGATGCTGGTCAGCGAGGTTTCCAAACTTCAGATATTCCAGAAATATGGCTGGGGTCGGCTCTGTTCGCGCAAAACACAGCCGCACGATGTGAGCCTAGGACTCCATCAGTATACAGTCTGGGTAGCAAATGGAAGGGTTGATATGTACTGACGTGTGAGATGGTCCGGAGATTGTTGATCTCCTTTTCCCAGGCTCTTTGATCGTATCCGCGTCCTAGAGGTCGTTTGCAGGCGTATTCCTCGCCCGTGCTGACATCCCAGTGACGGCTCACGGCCCCAAAGGCACCCTGTGCCAGCCATCCCATGTTAAGGACCATAGGACGATCAACGACGGGGTGGCTTTCGCTCTGATCGGCGAGGTGAGTGTCATTTCTACCGGGGGCCGTGCATCCTCGGCGGAAACGCTCGGCATTGGCTTGGTAATCCGCCGAGGCAATGTCGTGGCGTGTGACGACAACCTGGAAGTTGAGGTATCGATGCAGCCGCACAACAATGCACTTGGCATGGTCAGGCAGGTCGAAGCCGTTCATGGTCCAGGCAAATGCCCTACGCGGCTCCCCTCCCTGCTCGTCATATGTGACACAGGTGCCGGTCTCGGAGTCTAGGTCGCGTACGATGAGGCGGTGATGTCTGTCCTCGAACGAATTCGCAAACGTCAGAGCAAAATGGTGCTCGTCAACGCCAGGTAGACCTGGGAGCACAACTCCATCTGGGCCCGGCTCGGTTCCAAAGATGAGCCCTCCCGGGGCGCAAGGGACATCGTGGAAGCGGAGCTCTATGTATGGCAACTCGTCGAGGCTCGCCTCATCTTCTGGTGGCGGTGTGTCGTCTCTGTCATCCTGTATGTAGATTTGGCGTTCTCGCGGTACTACCTTTGACGGCTGGTATCGTGAACAAGCTTTGATTGCCTCCAGGGCAAATCCCTTGCTGTCCTCATAAGGATACAGTCGAACGAATACAGAATTCTGGTCTTCCATGTTGAGAATGGTTCGCGACTCGCTATTCGTGATGCGAAGCCAAAATGAAGGGATGCAAAGGATGCAATGGCCACTTATATACCTTAACAAGCTTAGTTCTACGATCAAAATATAGGAAGCAGCTGCGACGCTCAACAGCGCCAATTGCGAATGGATCCCCAAGGCCAATGGCTCTGTCAAGGGGCATGGCTTGCCAGGCAAAGGTGGCAGGCGCCTATAGTTGCGATGTATATGGCTGGGCGCCTAGATGGTGGCCTGGTTTGAGGCCGCCGATATGCATTCGGGGCACTGCTGCGTTTCAGTTACAGGGTCAAACCGAACCAGCCACGATGGTTTTGTCGAGTCGGCGGTTGCATAAACGCTTCTGTATGGTTCGTGCAAAAGTGGCACCTTGTCGACAGCCGCAAAACTTCTGAAGCCATCTGACAATGTGCTCTGGTGCCGGAAGGCACTATCGTTCGCCTGTGTTTGTGAATAGTACGGAGTACAAAGCAATGTTTTTCATTTGAACTCTTGTGCAATACGCAACGGCATGCGCTTGTTATAAAAAAGAATGAGCCTCTCGTACTCTGTACATAGAACAAGAACGTGAAATGAGCAAAAAAATTGGTAGCGTCTCTTTGTAAAGCGTGTCATCCTTAGTGCAGGGGCCATGCTAATCTTCTCCTGTGAATTTGTTAGTTGTGGAACTTATGGGACTCGAACGGAGAACCTTTGAGTGCGACGTACTGTATCGTTTTAAATTGACCAAATGCCCGAAGGCAAAAATACTGACTGTTAAGTAACTATATATAGGGTAGTTTCGCTAGTCTGGAAGACCCATTAGTAATTAATCTGCCACGTGCGCCGCTCGTCTGGTAGACCGTGAGAGTATTGGATATTTCTTCGCACTGTATTATAAAAAAAAGCAGTAAGCTTGTCCGCCTTCCGCTTTCGGACGATGACTCGCAACTTCTTCATCCTACTCAAAGAGGTTGCACCCCGCAGAGGACAGCAGGAGACGTGATTCGACTTTCCCCCTTCTTTAACATCAAAGAACGAAAATGCCGTCTGCTCTGGACGTCGTCGACCACTCGCCGCACCACCCCAAGGCGATAGACCCGATCCAGTCAGCGTCCAACGTGGTGCTGATCGACAACTATGACTCGTTCACGTGGAACGTGTACCAGTACCTAGAGCTGGAGGGCGCATCGGTAACGGTGATCCGCAACGACCAGATCACGCTGGAGCAGCTGATTGCAAAGAAGCCGACACAGCTGGTGGTGAGTCCGGGGCCCGGTCACCCGGCGACCGACTCGGGCATCAGCCGGGACGCAATTCGGCACTTTGCAGGCAAGATCCCGGTGCTGGGCGTCTGCATGGGTCAGCAATGTATCTTCGAGGTGTTTGGTGGTACGGTCAGCTCGGCCGGCGAGATTCTGCACGGCAAGACGTCACCGCTGGTCCATGACGGCCGCGGGGTGTATGCGGGGCTGCCACAGTTGCTGCCGGTCACGCGTTACCACTCGCTGGCGGGCACGCGCGGCACGCTGCCGCCATCGCTCGAGGTCACGTCGTGGATCTCCAAGGCTGACGGCAGCCCGGGCGTGATTATGGGCGTGCGTCACAAGGAATATACGGTGGAGGGTGTGCAGTTTCACCCGGAGAGCATTCTGTCGGTGTCGGGCCGTGGCATGTTCCACAACTTTCTGGTGATGCAAGGCGGCACCTGGGCCGAGAACGAGCAGCTGCAAGCAAAAAACACTACAACGGAAGCCATTGCGGCTGCTGCTTCGGCCAAGACCAACATCCTGCAGCAGATCTTCTCGCGTCAGCGCATCGCAGTAGAGGCGCAGAAGAAGGTGCCGTCGCTGCGGCCCGAGGACCTGCAGGCAGCATACGACTTGGGAGCAGCACCGCCAGCACTGTCGTTTGCAGACCGGCTGCGACAGTCGCCATTTCCGGTGTCGCTGATGGCCGAGATCAAGCGGGCATCGCCATCCAAGGGCGTGTTCGCCATGGACATCCGGGCGCCAGCACAGGCGCGGGCATATGCACAGGCAGGCGCCAGCGTGATCTCGGTGCTGACAGAGCCGCATTGGTTTCACGGCAATATCGAGGACGTGCGGCAGGTGAGGGCGGTGCTGCAAGCGATGCCAAACCGGCCGGCGATCCTGCGCAAGGAGTTTGTGTTCGACGAGTACCAGATCCTGGAAGCGCGCCTGGCCGGAGCCGACTCGGTGCTGCTGATTGTCAAGATGCTCGACGATGCCACACTCTCGCGGCTGTACCGCTACAGCCGTTCGCTGGGGATGGAGCCGCTGGTCGAGGTGCAGAACGCGGCCGAGATGGAGCGGGCTGTTGGCCAGCTGGGCGCCAAGGTCATCGGCGTCAACAACCGCAATCTCGAGAGCTTCGAGGTCGACCTGAAGACGACCAGTCGGCTGCGCAGCATGGTGCCGGCCGACACCATTCTCTGCGCCCTCAGCGGCATCAACACGCGTGCCGACGTCGAGGCTAACGAGCGCGACGGTGTCAATGCCGTCCTCGTCGGCGAGTCCATCATGCGTGCTGCCGATCCTGCTCTATTCATCCGTCAGCTCTGCTCAGGCTCAGGTGCGCCGGCTCCTTCTTCCTCTTCTCCTGCTGCTGCACATTCCTTACTCGTCAAGATCTGCGGGACGCGTAGTCCCGAGGCTGCCCTCGAGGCTGCCCGCAGCGGTGCCGACATGGTGGGCATAATCTTTGCCCCCGGCCGCAAGCGCACCGTCTCACACGAATCCGCCTTGGCCATCTCGCGTGCTCTGCACGGCTTTGCCGATTCCGACCCGTCCAGCTCTACGGCCACGGCTGCCAAGACCGCCACTGCCACCGTTACTGCCACCGATTTCTTTAGCCTCGCCCGGAAGACACTCGCCCGCCGGAAGCGGCCCCTCCTAGTAGGCGTGTTCCTGGACCAGCCGCTCGAGGAGGTGCTCGAGAAGCAGCGACTGTATGATCTAGACGTCGTCCAGCTGCACGGCCGCGAGCCCATCGAGTGGGCGCGCTGCATCCCGGTGCCGGTGATGCACAAGTTTCAGCCGGGAGAGCCTGGTCTGGGCGTGCGCGGCTACTACACGGCGCCTCTCCTGGACTCGGGCGCAGGGTCGGGCCAACAGCTGGACACGACGGCCGTGCAGGTCGAGCTGGACCGGGACCCCAGATTGGAGTTTATGCTGGCCGGCGGCTTGGACCCGGACAATGTCAGCGAGGCACTAGGCGCATTCGACCGCGACAGCCGGGCGCGGATTATCGGCGTCGACGTCAGCAGCGGTGTCGAGACGGATGGGACGCAGGACCTCGCCAAGATCGGCGCGTTTGTGCGGGCGGCCAAGGCTCTTTCCTCTTGAGGCCTGTTGCAGCGAGTCTCCCTTCATAGCCTTGTCATTCTGACGTTATTAAAAAGCAACATTTGATCTGGCTTTGGGCCTTCAGCCGTGTCTCTTTCCTGTTATCTGTTTGTGTCTGCTCGTCTGAGATTTCTTTTAGCACTCCATCGGTCCCAGGGTGCAGCATATCTCCAACCTTCCCATCTCTATTTCTCACTGCAGACAGCATCATCTGATCGTCGGGCAGTCCTGTCTCACTGCGGCCTCACCATGCCGGTCTCGTCGGGCGGCGCCTGCCGGCAAAAGTTGGTCATGGCTGGCATCACCGTCGCCGTGGCCGGCAGTCTGGGCTCCGGCTGGACTGACGCGGACGTGGCCCGCTGGATGGCCTACAATGGCGGGCGGTTTGCCGCGTCCGTCACTGGCGACGTGACACATCTGCTCTGCACGCCGGAGGAGTACGCCAGGCCCAAGAAGAAGCAGGACCCGGCCCTGCGGGAGGCCCTACGGCGCGGCCCCAAAAATGTGCACATTGTGCTCAAGGACTGGCTCGAAGACTCGCTGCACAGGCGCAGTCGCCGTCGCGAGAAGGCCTACCTGCTGCGACACATCCACCGCCCGTCCCAGCAGCACCACAAGGAGATGCAGGAGCGTCAGGAGCGGCTGCGTGCAAAGGGCCGGCAGCTTGGCGAGACATTTGTAGATACAAGTGGGTGATGTGAAATTAAATCAAAACAAATACTAATTAATGTTGAAAAAAAATGTTAACTTGTACAGCTCTCTACCACATCTATCAGGACGCCACCGGCTTCTCCTACAAGGTAACCATCCAGCGCGATCACGAAAACTGCGGCATCTTTGGCGAACGTTACGTCCTTCATGTAAGTGTGGTGCTTTTTAGAATTGGCAACCGTTTTCGCTGACACAATTTCCCCGCCCATCACAGCTTTTCGAGTCGGATGCCCGGCCACATCTTTACTGGTTTGCCGCCCGCCACTACAAGAGCCGTACACACACGCAGCCACGAGACTACCGGCCCAGCGACACCTGCCGGTTATTTGAGACTGAGTTTCGGCATTTCTGCACCTTCTTTGCCAGGAAGACCGGCGTGTCCTGGGACGAGAGGATGGTAGCAGAAGCCCCGACAAAGACGATGAAGGATACAAATACGAAGGAGGCCGATGTTCACGACCTGTCCGTCATTCTCGACTTCGGACCAGAGACGTCCAGCTATTTCCGATACGTGAGGCCGGTGGGTCTCTATTTTTGTGCCTTTCCGAGCAGGTCTCTGTTTTTGCTAGTTGCGCTAACCGAGAGGGGAATGCAGGCCAGAGGCATGCCCATGGGCGTTATTGACAAGGCGGAGAACATGCCCCGTCCCAATATAGAGGAAATCAATCTGGACGGAGGGTACGAGCAGGGGCAGAGACATGCATAGCTGCTGGTGCCTGAAGACACGTACGAGACCTTTTGGCCTTGTCATGTCGTTGTTGATCATTCCGAAAAGAGATCATTCTAATAATACGAAACTTTTGTCCTTTTCCCTGTGGCTAGTCTGCTCACAGACGCCTGGTAGTCATACAAGCAGCCCCGGCTGCCATCCCTCACAACCGCAGCTTTGGCAGGAAGAGGAAGAGCAGCAGCAGGACCAACATCAGTCCGTAGACCATGCCGAACAGCATCATGCGGCCCCACCAGCCCTTGCCCTCAGTCATGCGAGTCAGCAGCGCCATGCTGCGGCCGGCGGCCGAGAGGTGTTCGTTGGTCGTGTGCAGGCCCTCGCCCACGCGGTCGACCACGTCCTTGTCGTCCTCGAGCAGCCGCGACGTCGCCAGCGACCGTTCCTTGAGCGCCCGGGCCAGCCGCAAGATGTCGGACGACAGCACCTCCTGCTCGTGTCGGTGGTGGTCCAGCAGCACCTCCTCGGCCGCCACGCCGTCGCCATCGCCACCGCGGCCGGTCGTCGACAGGAGCGTGCTGCGCAGCTCTGCCGTCGTGGCCGCCTCCACGCCCTCGGCTGCCTGGGCCGACGTCGACTGGCCCCGGTCGCAGTCGGTCTTGGCTGATCGCCGGCCTCCCCGTCTTGCGCGTATCGTCGCGGTCACAGTCGCCTGTGCTATACGTCCCTTTTTCCTGCGTGTCGCTGTGTCTCGGCCAGCATGCGCACTCGTCGATTCCGGCCGTGGTCCGGCTTCTGTGGCCTTGGCCGGCTTGCCAGCCTGTCCCGACACCGGCTGCGCGTCTAGGGGCACAAGCACGTCGTCTGCTGTCGCTGTGCGGACCTCGTCGACTGCCCCTCCCGCGTCCATCGCGGCGGCCGCGCGCGCCTCCTCGTCCAGATCGTCCAGCCGCTCCTGCAGCCGCTCCACCAGCTCGCGCCGCCGGCTGAGCTCGTCCTGCACTTCCTGTCGTCGCGAGGCCGCCTTGATGGTCGAGGCGTCCTGCTCCACCCGCGCCAGGAGACTGCGCGCAGCCGTCACATCAAACCGCGCCTGCAGCCGCTGGAACTCGTCCGTCACCAGGCGTTGCCACCGGTCACCGTCGGCCCGCAGGATGTTCTGGTCCAACCGGCTCAGCAGTCGTCCAAGATCGATAAAGGGGTCGTAGGCGGTCACCGGCGCGGCCGACAACGGCGGCGCAAGCGGGGATCGCGCCATGTCCACAGGAGGTCGTGCGTGGCAGAGACTCGGTCGTCCTGTCGGGTTCTGTGCATCTGTGTGCCAGGGCTGTCCATCGGCCGTGGCGTGGATTGTTGAGGCTCTACTCCGTACGTACTCTGTACTTTGCAGCAGTGGACGTTGCTGTCCTTTAGTGCGTCACGTGCCCATATAGCGTCTACTCGTACCACGTGAACCAGGCTCTAGGGCAGATACAAGCCTGAACTGGGACGCATGACATCGCACATCTCAGGCTCCATCCTCGCTTGGCGTAGATGAGAGTTCGGCTCTCGGTCCTTTACATTTTGTGCTTGCGGTTATGCGATCTTGGCGGTCATGCCAACTTCCGAGTATTTGTCGACAAGAGCCTTGCTTCCTAACACCGATAGTCTCCTCTTTTGAACTCTCCTTTACATTGCATCTTCGTTGCCAGCGCCTATGGATGAAGTGAGGTGTAATTCAGACCAGTCAAAGCTGAACAGAGTCCTTCTAGTCACCCAAACCCCCGTCACCTCGGAATCCCACACCTTGCGTGGCGTCTCCACATAGGCGCATTGAGAGCTACTAGAGCAGTTGCCAAACTTGTTGCTGCTCGTTAAAGCACTAGAAGTACAGCACCGCCACGTTGTTTCTAGACCATGCATGTCTGACAGTGACCATTGGCGGATGCCTGTTCTGTCTGACGGTTGTGAGAGCCCAATGCAGGTCATATGCGCGAAGCGTTCGTGAATCACGAAAGGCATCCGCAAATCGTCGGCTGAGGGCCACAACATAACATGTTTCGTGTGACCCATTCATCCGTGCCGAGAGACGCCCATTGCAGAGGCATGTCCTGGATCTCCAGCGCCTCCTCCTACAGAGCAACATGTCTCCATACTTGGCTTTGGCCGGCCGCTTTTCATTACCGCTGCATCCCCCGGCACAACGCTTAATAGGACTCGCCAGCGCTGAATAGGCTTGGAAGACGACGCGGCACGGCATACGGAGCCAGAAATTGTGGCGCTGCTGATCGGGGAGCTGGAGACTGGTATCTCACAATCGGCGTTAGGGCGTGTGATCTCAGATTCTCTCCAATCACAAAGGTGCATTCCACACCCCTCAGTGCCCTTGCTAGGAGGTCGCGCCTGTAGTGACGCCGCGTCGCGCATATAAACGGCGGCAATGTCCCACGAAAAATCCGCTGTCCCTGAAGGAGCGAGGTGGAAAAAAAAAGGAAATTAAAAAATACGAGACAACAAGTTGGAGCTTAAAGCTCGCGGCAACCCCTCCACTGGCAGCTATCACACCAATCGCTGCGCCTCCCAACTGCCCAGACTTTTTATCGACTTCAAAGACGAACCGTGTTTTATGCGTATCTTACCGCTTATTCATCACCTTCACATTTGGAGATTTTCTGGATTACACCTAGAACAGCAGGTAAGTCGTAAGATATATGCAGAACCCACTGATTGCTGCCCTGAAGTTCCGAACAAAGGCGTTAGCCACCGCCGTATTTGTCCGTCTGGCCTTTCTGTCTTTCAGCCCACTAACACTGCTGAACATAGATAGCAGTGCCGTACTCCGTACACTTTAGCACCAACAGCCCCCACATCAGCCCAAAGCAGCCAAGTTCCAGCTTTTTTTTTTTTTTTTTTTTTTTACTCGCACGGCAGACCATTGTGCTCTACCGGTGCTATTTAATTGTGCCGACCCTGGAAATAATAATTCCTGAAGACCGCCGAAAGCCATGTCTGGAGAAGGGAGCTACGCCCCCAAATCACCCGATCCGTCGTCTTTCTTCTCGCCCCCAGCACCTGCTGGCGCTCACCAGCAACCACCCAATACTTCCTACCCGCAGCAATACCCGCAAGCGGTCCAAATTTCGTATGAACAGCACCAGCATCAGCACCAGCATCAGCAGCACCAACAGCAGCAGCGATTCTCTCCCAATCATCAGATTCAGGCTCCACAGCAGCCCTACTACCAGCCTCCCCCACAGTACACCCAACAGCCGTATATCCAGCCTTCCCAGCAACAGCAGCTCCAACCACCGCTGTCTGCGCAGCCGTATTACGCTCCTTCGAACCCCTCGCAACAGTCGCTGGCTGCACCACCGCCGCAGGCGTACGGCCTTGTCCAACCGCCGGCAGCGCATCAGCAGCAGCAGTTCTTCCAAGGCTACAACAACCCACCGTATCAGCAGTACGGGCCTCCCGTCCAGGGCTACCAGCAGCCAGGAAGCTTCGCGCCGAATCCGTATCCGACGTCACAATCACAGCAATCACAGCAGCCACAGCAGCCACAGCAGCTGGCAGAGCAGCACGACCAGCCGTTCCGACCGACGTCACCGGTTCCCAAACCAGAATCCTCCCCGGCGATGCCACCACGCAAGGCAGCAGCGCTAGCCGGCTCGTCCGCGGCATCGCTGGCCGACGGCGGCAGCACGGCGGCGCCGTCGCCGGTCAAGACCAAGTTCCCCACCGCACGCATCAAACGGATCATGCAGGCGGACGAGGAGGTCGGCAAGGTGTCGCAGCAGACGCCCATCGCCGTCGGCAAGGCGCTGGAGATGTTCATGGTCGCCCTGGTCACCAAGAGTGCGGACGTGGCACGCGCCAAGAACTCGAAGCGCGTGACCGCCCAGATGCTTAAGCAGGTGGTCGAGTCGGACGACCAGTGGGACTTTCTCCGGGACATTGTCAAGAAGATCGACCCGGAAGAGAAGCACACGCGCGGACCCAGCCGCAACAGCACCAGCGGCGCCGAGGGCAACAGCATCGGCAGCGCCGCCAAGACGAAGCTGGAGAGCGACAGCGAAGACGAGCAGCCCAAGAAGCGTGGCCGGCCAGGCCGGAAGAAGAAGGTGTAGGATGGCGGTGAGGCCGCGGGGAGCGGCACTTGCATCACGGCGTTCTTGTCTCTTGTTCTTCTTTTCCCTTTACAATCGTTTCTTGCCTTGCGCTTCATTCTCGACAGGACGTGTCACTGCGCCCATCTACGTCCCGAATGTTGCTCGTCTGTGCTTCTATTGTTACTCTTCTTCCGTTTCTCTCTCTCTCTCTCTCTCTCTCTCTCTCTTGCGCGTTTTCGGGTTATATAGGTTTGGACTGACGGCTGGCTTCTTTGTGATGAAGCCCAGGGCTTCCGGTTGGAAAAAGACAGCAGGCGATGGCTTTTAGATGAAGAACAGACAATACCCAAAAGACAGCTACACGCAGTTCCGAATTGGGCTGCGGAGCAACGATACCGTTGTATCTGGTGAAGCAGGTGCTGTGCGTACGGGTTCCAGATGCACGTTTTCCCTGTGAGACCTCCATCCCCATCTGGCAGCATCGTAGGAAACAGATAAGTGCCCTCTGGCAGTGGGCGGAAGGAGCGGCCGTCTCTTTGTCCTACTCTTGCTTTCTCGCGTCTCGCGTCGGCGTCACAGGTTAGCCTCGCCAGAGAAGCGAAATAAAACGGAGAAGCTCTCAAAACGGATATACAGAAAACCGTCACGGCAGAGACGACCTAGACGACTTCCGTCATAGAGGGGCCACAGTGACACCAACCAAAACGGAGAATTGGCCCCACAAGCTGCGCTCTAGCGGGCATTGTTGCGACACGGGACGGTTCGACTACGTGTATCTTTACGCTCTCCGTATTATTTCTAGAACTCTGTGCGTTCGTGTCTGCCATCTCTGCATGCTTTTCTTCAAGCTCCGTGGCCTCCGCGTCGTGCTCCCCGTGTCCCCCGTCTCTCGTGCTGCCCGACAACTGCCTCGTTCTCGTTCTCGTTCTCGTTCCCGTTTGCTGCACCTACCTCCGCCTCTCTATTCTCCAGCTGATGCACCGGTTACGGCGACTTCCCTCGGCCTCTCTTGTCTGAGCACTCCTTTCAACCCCCTACTCCTATTTTGACACACCCCCTTCTCTCCACGATCCTCAGCCCTCTCGTCTGGCCAGACCCAAGTTACATGGTATAATACGCCTCACCGACTTCGATCCACACGGACCCTCCCCCTTCGTCGTCCTCCTTTCGCAGATGTCTCGCTCATCACGACGCTCTCCTCGCCCCCGCTCATCTCCCGCCTCTGCCCTGGTGACGTCCCAGTAATCGATTAACAAACGCATTCGTGGCATCGTCTTTCTTGAACGCACCAGCTGCTGCCACTCTTGCATTCTACTTGCATTCTGCTTGCATTCTGCTAGCATTTTGGCGTTGTTCCATCCTTTTACAATTTGCCGTGCGCATCTTCTTCTACACCCCTGCTGCGTTCTTCTTTTATACCCCCCAAATGTCGTGGGACTTGCTGCAGCGATTATTTGAGAGCGACGTCTTCAACTCCAATCCCTTTCTCCCCGTTTCCTACCTCTCGTGAGTCTTGTCACATCCTCCTGCTGTCTGCTGCCTCTTCTTGCTGACCGGCCTCTAGTCGATATGCCGATCATGTGGGCATTCATTATGTGCTCTGCAATAAGCTGCGCCAGTTCCCCTACGAGGACATTGAGTTCTTCCTCCCCCAGCTCTGCCACCTCATAATCAGCGTCAACAATGAGTCAATGGCCCTGGAGGGATTTCTCCTCGATCTCTGCGAGGAGTCTGTGACTGCAGCCTTGCTTGTTAGTCTCTCCATCATTCCTGTTCTGAGCCGCCATAAGCCGATTAATCACTAACAGCTCCTCCTTCAGACCTTCTGGCTCTTCCAGACATACTTGCACGACCTTTCCTCTAACCCCCAGACCGACGCGTTCCAGACCTGCCGCCGCGTCTATAACAAGGTCCAGCACATTGTTTTCGGTCTGCCTGATGCCACCAGCCCCGACAAGATCAGCGAGAATGTCCTCCCTGTCACTGTCCTTGCCAGCTTTGTTCTCGCTAGCATCGGTGCGCCCTTCCTGCCTCGATGGGCCGGGCCACTGGCCATTGCTCAGGCCCGCAAACCATCTCCACCTGAGACAGTCAATGCTACGGCCGCTGCGGTCACTCCGCCAGGCACGGAAGCCACCGATGCTTCCCCAGGTTCAGGCACGTTCGCAAGACCGACCCGTTCCCATACGATCGCCATGGTGCCCACTAAGCCCAGACGTACCAAGGATGAGACCAGAGGCAGTTCCCGGCCGTTGGGCTCGATCCGACAACACTCAAACCCGTCCGTGGATTCAATATCGTCGCCGAGACAGGCAAAACACAAACATCGGCCGAACCAGCAGCAGCAGCCACAGTCTCTGTCACGACCGGGATCGTCTTCGAGCATGATTGCACTGCCGTCGCCTCTTGTGGACCTGCAAAATACCTTTCGGCCGTTACCACTGCCAACACCGACCCACCACTTGGATAGCATCTCATCAGAAGCCCGGATGAGCACAGCATCTCTACCGCTGCCCGACCTGCGAACGCCTCACATGGTCACGAGACCACCTACACCTGTGTCTGCCGGCCTGCGTCCAGACGAATCGGCCGCATCCGCTCTGGCTCGTCGCCACTCCCACCACGCCAAGACGCGACTGGTCAGCGTGGCTGATTTGAGCCCCGAGAGCCGCGTCCGACTCCTGCGACAGAACTACTTCCGCTGCCAGACGCAGTTCCTGCGGGCCTTGGAAGACATTTCCAACCGCCTGGTCGCCGTGCCAAAACCCGCACGGCTCAGCGCCCTCCGCGCCGAGCTCGCCCTCATCTCCCAGGACCTGCCAGCAGAGGTGGATATCCCTATCATCTGTCCGCCAACCCTGGTGAATGGCTCTCCGAGCCGGAGCCGGCATCATCGCATCGTCCGCCTCAACCCGGCCGAAGCTACAGTGCTCAACAGCGCCGAAAAGGTCCCATACCTCCTCATGGTAGAGATTTTGCGCGAGGACTTCACGTTCGACCCGGAATCGTCCGACAACCACCGGCTGCTGACCTCCCTGGTGACGGAACAAGGTTCGCGGAGACGCATATTCGATCTCTCCGACTCGGTACAGAACGGCAACTCGTCCCGTGCGTCCGATGCTGCAGCGGCGGCAGCTGCTGCTGCATCACTAGAGCCCCCCATCGACAGTGTATTTGAGCCCACTTCTGGTGACCTCGGCAGCTCTCCGCTTATAAAACCGTTTGAGGAGGACGAGGAAGGTGGCGAGTTGCCCGCGCCAGGGAGAACACCATCAGGTACTCCCCACCGAGGAATGTCTACTCCGACCAATCGCCATACGATCAGTGGTATGCCAGGCTCAATGTCTTCAGTTGCTGCCACCACGGTCACGGCTGCCACCACCTTCGCAGACAGCACACCACGGAGCTCAGCCGCGTCCACATCGCGGTCTAGCAGTCCTGCACCCCGGCTACGCAAGATGACACTGCCCCTATCTCGTGGCCAGCACACGGCGGATCAGCCCGACTTTTCGGCCTTGGCCACGCACATGCGGACAGCATCGCAAATGCTAGCTCAGCTCGAGGCAACAAGCGGCAAGCGACCGCGCCATGAGGTGGCAGCAATTCGTGCCAAAATCATCGCCAGCATGCAGAGCCTCGAGGAGCAGAGCTTCGACCTGGACGACGGGCAGGGACCGACTTTCGACCTAATTATAGCTAAGGCGACCGCGGCCAACGTTGCTGCTGCCGCAGCCGCGGTAGTCGATACGGTGGCCGAGTCTGCTGAGGGCTCGACATCGGCCACGCCGGTAGCCGGTAGCGAGGACGCCGATGACGACACGGCAGCAGCGGCAGAAGCTGCTGTTGCCGCGGGTGGAGATCGAGCGGCCGTGAATCCAAACGCAGGCATCGCGCGTATGGAGAACGACTTCAAGACAGGCGGTCTGCAGCGCAAAGGCGACCGAGACGACCCGAGCGCGGCAGTATTTGGCGAGGCTTGGGACCTGAAGCGGGAGCGGATTCGGCGATCATCGCCATATGGATGGATGAAGAACTGGGATCTGGTCAGCATGATTGTCAAGACGGGGGCGGACCTGCGGCAGGAGGCGTTTGCGTGCCAGCTGATCCTGGTGTGCGACAAGATCTGGAGGGAGGCAAGCGTGCCGGTGTGGGTGAAGCTGATGCGGATCCTGGTAACGGGCGAATCGTCAGGGCTGATCGAGACGATCACCAATGGCGTGTCGCTGCACTCGATCAAGCGCAGTCTAACGCTGTCGTCGATCGAGTCCGGTCAGAATCCGCGGCGGCGCATCGCGACGCTCAAGGACTACTTTGCCAAGGCGTTTGGCGCAGAGGACAGCGAGGCGTATCGAGCGGGTGTGGACGCCTTCAAGCGGTCACTGGCGGCGTACAGCGTCATCTCGTATGTGCTGCAGCTCAAAGACCGGCACAACGGAAACGTGCTCGTGGACAACGAGGGCCACATCATCCACATCGACTTTGGCTTCATGCTGTCGAACTCGCCGGGATCAGTAGCCTTTGAAGCGGCGCCCTTCAAGTTGACGCATGAGTATGTCGAGGTGCTCGGCGGGCTGGGGTCGCCCGAGTTTGACGACTACAAGCGTCTGTGCAAGCAGGCCTTCCAAGGTGCGTCGGACTTGCCATGTTTTCTCTTTCCTCTTTGCTAACCAGATTAGCCCTTCGGAGGTCGGCCGACAACATTATCGATCTCGTCAGCATGATGGGCCTCGGCTCCAAGATGCCGTGCTTCTCAGCAGGCGTCGTGCAGGCGACGGCAAACCTGAGGCAGCGCTTTCAGCTGCACTTGAGCGCCGAGGATGCCGAGCAGTTCGTGGAGACGGAGCTGGTCGGCAAGTCGCTTGGAAGCTACTACACCCGACTGTACGTCGCATACCTCCTGTTTCCTCCGTGTATTCCCTCTCATTCGCACGCTGACACCCCTGCAGATACGATACCTTCCAGTATAGGACCCAAGGAATCTACTGAAACGGAAAACACTAGAGGGCAAGACCTGATGAAGGCGGGAGGAAGGGCGATACATGGCATTGGGACGGCGTTTCTATTCAGCTGCACAGAGATAGGACGGGAGACATATGAAGCGGGGCGAGTTCCGTTTGTGATGCACGCAATAGAGTTTGGAAATGCTTGTCTGCTGGGAGAGGTAGAGGGACAGGGCAGGACGGAAGGGGGAGGTGTTGTGTTTCGAGGGTTTATGTCGAGGCCTTTTTTGGGCCGCCTTTTCCCTGTTTATCTCCCCCTCTATTCTTATTCTGGCTACTTTGCGATTTTCCTTGGTATCTGTCTGTTGGTCTCGGCCACAAAGCGACCCCAGTGTTGGCCATGGCCGATTTGTGCATCAAAGGAAATGTTGGCGAGAATGAGGAGGCTCTCTCGTGATGTGACTTGACGTTCTTTTTCGCTTCGCTTTCAACTCGTGGTAACACGAAAGGTAACGGTGAGAGCCGGAAAGAGCACGGCCTTTTGCTCCTTCCCGAACAGGCCAGCAGCAGCATGGCGAGCCAGCTTGCTAAGCGATATTAACAGATGGCCTTTCATGCCTTCATTTCAATACTTGGTCGAATTACGCAGACATATATCTTGGCACTCCCATTCGCACGCGCCGCGCCATGAAATGCATCCGCTCCCAGCAGTTCCAGCAGTCCCATCAAGACGCCATGCCCAGCCGTTCCAGCCGCTCTGTCACCGCATCCACCATGGCCGATTCGCGCTCCAGCAGCTTCGTCACCTGGGCCATCTTGGCCTTGCGGACGTCGGCCGGCACCTTCATGTGCGCCGTGCTGCTGCCGGCCGGCATTGAGGACGTCGAGGCGGACAACGACGACGGCGAGCCGGGTCGGCTTGTCAGCTCGCCGTTTCCGGCGCCGGCTGCCTTCTCGTCGATCGACGCCTTCAGCAGCATCGAGCCGGCCTGCTTTGCCAGCTCTTCCCAGAGGCTGTGGATCTGCTGGACGCGCAGACCGACATCGCCGGCCGCTGCGGTCGACTTGGTGGGTGACGATCCCACCGACACGCCTGCAGACGGCAATGTCGACGCCGACGACAGGTCCTGGAGACTGGCATCGAGGGTCTGCACTTCCTTGGACCACATGCGCTCCTTGTCGCTTAGCGGGCGCGCCGACGCCATGTTGAACGTGCGCCGCAGCCGCTCCAGCCGCTCGCTCAGCTCGTCGTGGCGGTCCTGTGCCGTCTTGAGGCGCTGCCGGAGCCGCACGTCATCGGTGAGCGGGCCGGCCATCTGCTCATCGTCATCCAGGTCGTTGCCGGCGATCATGTCGATGCGGTGCTTCAGCGTCGCCGCTGACTGGATCTGCTCGTGCAGATCGATGGGCAGGTCCTGCAGCTTGGTGAACACCTGCGATACCGCCTGGTTCAGCAGCCCGCTCTCCTTGCCCACGAGCTTATGGGCGTTTGTGAATATGTTCAGCGTCGCGGGCGAGAGCCGCACTTCCTGGTGCTGCAGCATCTGGTACCGGCTCGTGAATAGCATGTTCTTCGCCTGTGAGAACTGCGACGCCATCAGCAGTTCTCGGGGTATCTCAAAGGCCGGCCGGGCCTTCCAAAAATCCAATGCCAGCACGGCCTTGTCCTCTGCCTGCTCGGTCGCGGCAGGACGCGTCGGCGACTGGTCTGGTGACCGGAACGATGAACGAAACATGGACGATCCGAGCTCGTCGTTGCCTTCTGGCGAATCAAAGGATATTCCAACGGGCGAGTGGTCGGTGGCCGACAGCAAAAAGTAGCCGAGATCCGGATCGCGCATCACAATACTGGTTGCGAGCGTCTCGTCCGGCTTGTGCACATACACCCGGTGTCGTGTTGTGTTCTCGCCCGTGACCAGTTGGCGCACGCGGAAGTCTGCTCCGGTGTCTGTGCCCTCATGCAATTCCTGCTCTAGCCGGAAGACCCAATTTGACAGCGAAATGTGGGTGATACCGCCGGGATGTGTTACAAAAAACGAGTAGCGTGATGTGACATCAGGGCTGAATGTGCACCAGCCGTCTGGCCGCTTCTCAGCCTCGCGAACAAGATCCACGATCTGGAATGTGAGCAACGGCCGCGAGGTGGAGTTGTTGTCTGTATCTGGGATATGTGCAGCTCCAGCTCGGCCGCTGATGCTGCTTTTGTGGGAATGGTGGCTGCGCTGTGGCAGCCACTGGGCCTCGACGCCGACAAGATCGAGACAGATGCGCAGTCTGCCCGTCGTGGAGACGAGGCCGATGACGGACAGGGACAGGCCCTCTTGGTCGGCATCATCGATGAGGTCCTGGAACGCTGCATCATCTCCGTCATCTTCGACTCCCATGAGGAAGGCCGTGTCGACCTTTTCGCCAATGATGAAGATATCGCACAGCTCTCCAGCATTCCCAGAGTCGTCCTCGTCCTCGTCATCGTCGTCTTCAAAGTCCACCTCAAACGGGCCTTGCAATCTCGGCACGATGCCAGGATGGGCAGGGCGGGAAAACACATCGGCAGATGGTCCATATCCCGACCGAGTCGGCGACTCGACAACTGTCGGTTCCTGACTGTCGAGCTGTGACATCCAGTCAAGTTGCTGCTGGGCCAGCTGCTTTGATCGCGGCGACACATCCGCGTCATCCTCGACGGCAGCCACGTTGGCGACAATGGCAACGGAGAGCGACGGAATGAGGGTCGGTGGCGGAGCCCAGCGCTTGGGCAGCAGCGGACAGAGCGCATACACATCACCGCCAACCATGGCAATCCATAACGTCATGGACGACCAGCCACCAGAGCTGCGGGGACCAAAGCTGGCTGCGGCTACCTCCATGTCGAAAAAGTCCGGCGAGTAGCCGGCGTTGGTGTTGACAGACGCGCCAAAGTCTTGGTCCAGCCAAGTGCCATCGGCCAGCTTCTTGACGTCAATGGACAGGGCTGGCGAGTCGAAAGACCAGCGGTCGACGGGCGATATCTCCCAGAGCCGAACGACGGCATCGCGGGTGACGGTGACGATAGCAGAGCCGTTGACACCCAGCGGATGCCATAGAGCAGAGACCACAGGCGCACGCGTGGTGACATGGGTGGTGGGCCCGAGGGTGAAGTATCGGGTCTTAAGGTACACTTCAGTGTCGTCTGTTGCCGCGAGATGGGACGGGTCAGGCAGTATGCAAATGTGGACGGTGTGGGCGGTCAGAATGGCCATGTAGTTGTTGTGAGGAGAGACCACAAGCTGGCGGATGTCGTCGGCCACGGGCGGCTTGAGAATCTAGCATCGACATGAGCACAAGAGCACCAGAGTACCACCGACTGAGACAAGACTCACCCTATAAACAGGTCGTGAACGGGAGACGCCATTAGTGATGTTCATGACACTTCTCTGGCCATCGTGCGTCGCTTCCCATGCGCTCTTGGTGGAGACGAGATCGGTCCATCGGATCTCCTTCCCAATGGCAATGAAGACCTCGGTGCCGCGCCTTGCGATAGTCCTCTGGGGGCCTGCAGTAGGGACAGGCTGCTTCTTCCGAGGGCTCGCAGTCGACGAAGCGAAGGGTGATGCCTTTGCTGCAGAGACGGGCGCCGAGAAGAGAGTGTGACCGTCGGGGAATTCTGCGGACAGCCAGGCCGGTGTGTAGGCCCTGATCTTGGGCATGGCGGACACTGCAGCTTGGGCGGGACCGAAGCGCGTGAGAAGAGAGATACAGAGGTGAAGCAGAAGCGAGAAGGAAGAGGAGGCAGAGCTCCGTCTCCGGCCTCAAGCAGGGACAGGAGTCGTCAAAAGGCAGGTGGTATGTGTCGCAGGGTGCTTTCTGAGCTCGGCCACGAAAGCCGACGGGAAGGATGATGGCGGTGACCGCAGGGGCATGTGCTCGTCGTGCAGTCGAGGCAAAAGAGGCCGTCTCCTAGCTGCTCGGATTTTTTCTGGACTGCCCTTATTTTGCAGGGCGCGTCGTCCCAGCAAAGCGCGGCTCCGTTCCTGGATATGGCCCAAGCTCCCTGTCTCACCGCCCAACAACTTACTGCCGCTTCTGGTAGCCGCCAACTTTTGCGCTCCCTTTTCCTAAGCGTCGATTGCAGCGGTGGCGCAGACACGACCACGGCAACGAGCGAGATGGCCATGATGCAAGAAGCACGCAGTACGGTCGAGCGCCTGGACAGACCGAGCGCCTACTTCAACAACAAGGTTTGTCGTCGCCTCTTCTTTTCTCCTTTCCGTTAGCGGCCGTTCCCCGACTCACACAGAGCTCTCTCGATCAGAAACGCCGCAGAGACAACCATGGCCGTGGCGAGGACGAAGTCCCCGATAAACCGCAGGCGATCGACGACCCGCTAAGAAACGCGACGACTCTTTACGTCGGCAATCTGTAAGAAGATGCCCTTCTGGTTGGTAGTTTCTGGCTGACACGCGAGCAGTTCGTTCTACACGACCGAGGAGCAGGTATACGAGCTCTTTTCCAAGTGTGGCGAGATCAAGCGTCTGGTCATGGGCCTCGACCGCTTTAACAAGACGCCCTGCGGCTTCTGCTTCGTCGAGTACTACACGCACCAAGACGCGCTCGACTGCATGAAGTACATTGGCGGCACCAAGCTAGACGAGCGCATCATCCGCACCGATCTGGACCCAGGCTTCGAGGAGGGCCGGCAGTACGGCCGTGGCCGGTCGGGTGGCCAGGTGCGCGACGAATATCGCGACGACTACGACGAGGGTCGCGGCGGCCTGGGACGTGCGCTGCAGGCCGAGCAGCGGGCCGAGCGCGAGCGCGAGCAGGAACGCGAGAACGAACGCCGTGAGCGTGACCAGCGCGAACGCGAGCGGGAACGGGGCGAGCGTGGTGGTGGCCGAGACAGGGACGGAGACCGGGACAGGGATAACGGCTTTGACATCCGGTGAGAAGACCCGAAAAGCCGAGGAGAGCGGAGAGAAAGGGAAAAGGGAAGTTTGCTTGCATAGGGAGTCACGGAATGTATGGCAGTCGATCGCCAGTAACAAGGGAAGCCATATTTGCTCATTTTCGTTTTCATTCCATTCTTTACGGAGAGGCCCCGAGTACACCGAAATATCGTACAAACGCATGCCTCGTCTGCCGAGACGTGCATCTCAGTAGCCGGGAGGGTTGATTCTCTGCGACACCCGGGTCCACTTGGGCAGTTCTGGCCGGGTTAGCAATGGCCTGTCAGTCGGCGGGCGAGGGTGGCCTACTGTGGATGCTCTTCCGGTACCGCTTCGCCTTGCGGTCAAAGAGCGTGTACTTGTCGCGCGGCAGCATCTCCTTTTCGGTCGGCATCTGTGCCTTCCACAGCTCGAGTGCCTTCAGCGTCGTGCCCTGCTTCTCAAGCGCCTTGTCGACCGTCGAGATGACGCTGTCGACAGCACGCAGACGCATACGTTGCCGGGATTTCTGGAAGCGGGAGAGGCGCCACGGATTTTTCCTGCAAAACGGGTCTGTTAGCCGGCCGAGCCTTGCCTGCAGCACCGCGCGACACCGAGGCCGCCCGAGAAAGGCTATGCTTGCCATAGAAGACCGCCGCTCAAAGGCGCAGTCACGCGGAAGGGACCCAGACCAAACATTGTGACGGTGGCGTGGCGTGCGGTTGTTCGGCCGCTCACCAGAAAGCTTCGTCCAAAATTTTGAGGCTCAAGATTTCAGGTGTGGGGCAGAGTCGGCTTTCGCCTTGGCCAATCAGCTGGAGGTATGGCTCAGCGCAAGATACGATCATGCCAAGCAGACTGTCCCAGATAGCCTGCTGGTGTCTTTCCCTCGTATGTGAATCAGCATCTGCTTGAGTAAACTACTATTCAGATAGAACCGCCCGAAAAGGAGCCTGGGATTCTAACCAGTCTCCGTGCACGTGACCCGGTTTAGCGCAGCGTGCAGCCGTTCGGACAGTTGCATATCAGAAGCAAAGGCGGTGGTCTCCCACTGGCTAAACGGCAATACCTCACACCTCTTGCTAGACGACAGCAGCCGTCACACCAGTCCAAGGACGCTTCCCAGCCGGTACGAGATATCAGCCCTTCAAGTACCAAGGGAGAAAAGGAGGCGGCATCGGTTTCTCCATCCGGGAGGAGAGCCTAGCCGACGAGAAGAGTGCCTTCACATCTAGAGGACAGCACCTCTCCCTTCATCGTCCAGAATGTCCTACTACTTTGCCATTGTCGGCACGCAGGATAACCCGCTCTTCGAGTACGACTTCGGCACGTCCAAGCAGGGCGGCGATGGCCTGGCGCACTTTTCCGAGCAGGCGCGCCATCTGAACCAATTTATCGTGCACAGCAGCCTCGATGTCGTCGAGGAAGTGTTATGGGGGACCGGCCAGATGTGAGTCCTTCTTGGTCTTCCCCTTGGCGAACACACCGCTACTCTGTGCAGGACTGGACTGACGAAGGTTCCTGTGATTAGGTACCTCAAGTGCGTAGACAAGTTCTTCCAAAATTACGTCTCTTGCTTCGTCACGGGCGCCAACACAAAATTCCTCCTCCTCCACACGCCATCTTCAGCCGCAAATGCCTATACCCCCGGCATCAACGGAGGCCTTACGGGAGGCAACAGCTCTTCTGCAGCATCCGTCTCGTCGCGTGCGTCCACATCTATCGGTGCCAATCCCACGAGTGCGGCTACCGAGGAGGCCATCAAGAACTTCTTTTTCGAAGTATACGAGAGCTGGGTCAAAGCAACAATGAACCCTTTCTACAAGAACAACATGGAGATCAGCAGTCCTGTGTTCCGGGCTCGAGTAGCTGCTGCAGGAAAGAAATACCTGTAAACATAGCTATCACAAGACAAGATCAACACTTTGATGGTTTAGGATTATCAGTCGGCGCCACTGGATAGCACCGCACAGGCTTATTGGTATTGTCATGTTGTTATCATTGTATGGACAGACGCGTAGACTCTTGTCTCTTCGCATAGTCCTGCACTCAGTAAATCCGTGGAAACCGCCCAACCTAAACGCCTCAATACAAAGATCTAGAGATCTGCCTGAATACCATCCTAATTCGAAACCGTAACGCACAGCAACCTTAGTGGCGCTGTATTTAGCCACCGAAACCGTACAGAGTGCGGCCTTGGCGCTTGAGGGCGTAGACGACGTCCAGAGATGTAACAGTCTTGCGCTTGGCGTGCTCGGTGTAGGTGACAGCGTCACGGATGACACCCTCGAGGAACGACTTCAATACACCACGGGTCTCCTCGTAGATCACTATTGAGGCTGTTAGAGAGCGCATCAGGTGAGACGTGGAACAGGATAAACATACGAGCAGAGATACGCTTGACACCGCCACGACGCGCCAGACGACGGATAGCGGGCTTAGTAATGCCCTGGATGTTGTCACGAAGAATCTTGCGATGGCGCTTGGCACCGCCCTTGCCGAGACCCTTGCCGCCCTTTCCACCTGTAGAGAGAAAATGGTCAGAATACGCGAATGACAAGTGAATGAAGACAAGGCTGTGGTGTTGTGGGCAGGTGATGTCGCGACGCGGCTTATAGAAGGCTGAGGCTGAGGCCTACAGTCGACAATACACCGTGTCGCGAGATCGCCACAAGATCGTGTCGGGGAGCCATCGGAAGAGATAAGATATACTTACGTCCAGTCATCTTGATTAAAAGGTAGTGAGGTAGAGATGTTGCGTAAAGCTTGAATGTATTGAAGCGCTGCGGGATGCACAGCAATGGGTTGATTTTTGGTAGTGGGTGGGTATGCTGAGAGGAAAGAACAGAAGGAGAGAGGAGAGAGAGGAGAAGAAATACGGGCGATTTAAGGCGAAAGGATCAGAACAGAAATAAGGGGGAACAGGCAACAAAGGGCAGGCCGAAGGGGAATACCGGCGCGGTACACAGGGAAGCGCCTGCCTGCACTGTACACAGGCTGAGCTAGGGGCGGATTGACTGATCGGAAACCAACGTCGAGAGCGCTAGTCCGGATTTGGAGCCAATGTGTTGTGCGTCGGTTTATTATCGGTTTCCTGCACCTTTCGCTTGACTCGTTGCTGCTGATTTGGCATTTTATGGGGTAATTTTGGCGTCGTGGTTTCCAATAGCAGTTATGGCTTTCTTTGCGGGCAAATCGGATAGCGATCGACAGCGCAGCCGTTGCCAATTTTCTGACCAATCAAAAAAAAGGGCAGAGAGGCGCGTTGAACTGCAATGACTATTATTTGCATTGGCGCTAGCCGCTTGTGTCGGAAGAACTGGATCGCATTGCGTGCACGTGATTCGGTCGCGTTGCGTGTGGCGAGTCGCGACTCGCCAGAAACAACACACTTTTCGATCGTTTTGATGCAAAAACATACAACAGCTGAGCTGAAAGCACCGTCTTCTTCTACCAACCCGATGCTTTATAGCATTGTACTCCAGACTGTCTGTTTATACGGAGTACGGGGCCATATCTGCTCAAACTGCCCCCATCTCCATTCCCGACGCATCTTTGGCGTAGCATCCACAGCGTTTCTTCCACGAGGCCGATCGGACAGTAAGGCATCCACATAGCCAAGGACACCATTCTGCATTTCCACACGAGGCATTGGGACAGCTGCTCTTAAAATACTCATTCTCTCCACAGTTGCCTCGCAGCCGTTTTCGTCAGGACCATTCAGCTGTGCTCTCGCCCTCGTCCTGTTACTCTATCTATCGTACAAAAAAGTCATGTTCGCAAGGCTGCCAGAAGAGAGCAGCCCTTTTCTCCAATGCCCCATCGACATCCGCCATTCTGCGCATTCCCAAACTCCAAAGCCAATGCTGCGAATCGTGCGAGTCCCATAGGATCCTGTGCCAGGCACCCTGCCCAGCTTTGCCCAGACAGGAAAACGCGTGAAAAACAAATGCTCCCCCAAGACGCAACACGTTGAAATACCACCCGCCTTTCCCCGCGCCAAAGTACAATACGAAACAGGAAACAGATAAACAGCAGCCACAGCGTCGAGCTTGGGGAAAACTAGAACAGGTTCTGCTTCTCACATTGTGCCAGGTGCCGGTAGCAAAGGTTCGATTATAAAAGCCCAGCAGTTTGCCCGGCATTCCTCATGATGCCATGTACTCTTCAAGTCCGTCTTCGTCGTCTTCCAGGCTCCCTATCGCCTGCTTGATTTTCTGGCTCGCCTGCATATGTTGGTCAACGTGCGCTTCTACAACAGGAACGGGAACTCTGCCGGCTTACCTTGGGGTCGAGGCTGAGCGCAATAGTGAAATGGCGCACAGCCGCGCTCTTGTCGTTGAGAGTCTTGTAGAGCTTCCCCAGCAAAAAGTGCACTGCAGCTTCGTCTGGGGCGATGTCTTTGAGTATCATCAACTCCTGCTGTGCTGCCTGCAACTGGCCGAGAGCAAGCAGGGCTCTGGCCTTGCGAAACCGCGTCTGTGCAGCTCGTGGTGCCAGGTCGGTTGCCTTGATGAAATACTGCAGTGCCGGCACTATTTGCTTCTGCCGCTCCAGCACCTTGCCAATGCAGCAGATCAGCACCGCATTGGTCGGATGGATGACGGACGCGATATGGTAGTGCTCGTAGGCCTTGTCAAAGTTGCCCAGCTTCTCGTACACGCGTCCAATGCCGTAATAGGCATTGTAGTGTCGCCTGTCAGCGGCGACCGCCTGTCGATAGGCCGTCAAGGCCTTGTCATACTCCTCATTCAGCACGTGCTCGTGGCCCTGGAGCGTGTACGCATAAGCAAACTTGGGTTTCAACTGCGTTGCCCGTCGGAAACAGCGAAGTGCCTGCTCGTGGTCCTGTGCCAGCGACCAGGCATTTCCCAGAGCACACCAGGCCTGTGCCGATGTCCATGCTGCATCGACCAGCTCATGTGCCAGGAAGGACAGGTCGGTTTCCCGCTTGAGGAACCACAGGATGGTCGAGTACACCTCCATGTCGTCGAGGCGGGTCGGTGCCAACACTCGTACCCGTCTGAAGCATGTTTCAGCCTCGGCGTAGGCCGCCAGCTCGTACTGTGCGCGGCCCATCTGCGCCTGCACCCACGGCGTGTCGTTGTGGGCACGAGGCAACGAGCTGAAGGCCACCAGCGCCTCGGAGCACTGGAATTGCGCAAGCGCCAAGTACCCGCTGCCCAGCTTCTTCACCAGCTCCAAGACCCAGCGCAGGGCCTCCTCGATCTTGGCAGAGTCGGCTTCTGCCATCTGTCGTTGCAGCTGTGCCAGAGGTGGCATAGACATCTGCAGTGATGGCGCCGAAGGTGCTTGCTGGGGTGGTGCTGCTGCTTCCCGGATTCGTGGCGCCTCCATCGGGTCGACATCCATGCCGCCATCGTCCACCGGCTTCCGGTTGCCACTAACCACCCGCCCAACCGTCGAGCTGCCTGATTCTGGGCGGACTATTCGGGAAATAGGCGGCCGGGCCTTCTTCAGTTCGCGTGTTGCCCCTGCACCCATGGGAGCAGCTCCAGCATTTGTCTTACCCCCTGAAGCCTTGAACATATTTAGGCGGGCGCTTCGCCGCTGCGGCACTCCGGATTCGTCTGTCGAATGGGCATGTCTTGGGGCCACCGGATGGCCTGAAGCCGTCCGCTTTCTCTCCGCGGTCGATGTTGCTATTATCGATGGGTGTCCCGTCGCCATGGAAGTCGGCACAGCCGATGCTGTCGCGCCGCCATTAGTCGCACTTGCGGTTGACCGCAGCATAGACGAGGTCTGGTCCATCGTCAAAGACTCCAGACCGCCATCGGGAGGGGGCTTCCCTCGACGTGTCGATGCTCCCAGACGATACATCATCTTAGATGGTGCTCCCGGGGCCTGCTGTCGGAGTTGCTGCTGCTGCTGCTGCTGGGGGTCCACGAAGCTCGAATCCACCACAGGCGGCGGCATGCCCGCCCGCCTCCGTGGTGGTGCTTGTGGCGGCTCCTGCTGCGTGCCAGGCGGCGTTGCCATGCCATCCATAATCTGATTTCCGGCTGTGCTGCCAGCCGCGGCTCGCGATCGGGCCGCAAAGATTCTTGCCATGAAGTCGTTCTCCTCAGCCTCGGCAACGCTGGCAGGATTGCTAGGCTGATACGTCACAGAGCCGCGCTGTGCGGGATGCGGTTGTTGCTGTGGCTGTTGATGGTCGAAAGGATCGCTCATGTCATGCATGGCTGCCGCTCTGCCCGCTGGTCGCTTAGTCGGAAGCTGGTGCTCGGCAAGCGGCCCTGCCATCTCTGTGGCGTTGCCTACTGATTCTTGTTCGAAACAACGGATGAGGGAGTCGTTGACTCGAAATGTATTCGGCACCCGTATGTTGACGCCCATGTCGCAGAGCTCGATGAACGCATCCCACATTAAGGGGTTCGTTCTCAACGCGTCTTCAAAGTGGAATGCCGCCTTCTTTCGGTCGTCCATTCCGCGACAAAGCTTTCCCAAAAGACAGTTGACGACAGACGCATCGGGGTATATGGTACGTGAGGTCGCCGTATGCTTCCCAAGATTGGACTTGTGCAGCCACAGCCCCTTAGCCTTCTCGAGGGCATATACGCCATCACGAAAGCGCTCGAGGGCCAAGCAGCTTTGTGCAAAGACAAAGGCACAGCCCAAGTGTAAACCCCGGTAACCCAGCGGTTTGCTGACTTCGTATGCGGACCGGTTGTCGCCTAGTCGTAGGTGGCTGAGGGCGAGCAGAAACGTCGACTCGTTAGACCGAGGATCGTGAGCCAGAAGCCTCTCGGAAAAGAACAGAGAGTTGTCCCATGAGCCGTTGTCCAGATGGTAGTAGATGGTTTGCCTCAGCAGGTTTGCTACGGCGGCACTGTTCGGGGCCATGGTGACAGCCGGTGGGTGGTACAGGAGGAAGCTTGTCGTCGACTACCGGCATGGGCGATCCATGAAAATTTCGTCTCGGTGTCGAGGAGCGAGGACGTGACGGCAAGATGATATAGGCGAAAGCTGGTCTCGTTCTCAGATCGTTTTCAGCTTGCGGCTCACTCGCACTTTGTCTCTGCCAACAATGCCTAGGCTATTGAGGTGCCTATTCGGGTGAGCTCGTCCTAGAGGCCTCTATCTCTATCCCTTCAGCACTGGCACAGAGCAGCAATGAGTACCATGCTCAAGCTTCCAGAGACGATCAACGGTCTGAGCGCAGGCGAGAGGCGCGCAGGCTGGCCCCAGGGCAGCGTTGCTCGAGACCGAGGGGAAGGCGTGTGTCGGCGACTACTCGTATGGTGAGGCCAGCGCGGTCGGCATATCACTCCTGTCCGTGAATGCGGCCTGGTGGGACACGGCGGATGCACGCAGAGAAGATGGAGAAAGTTGTCTAGCAAAAGAAGCAAACGAGTGGCAAGAAGAGAAAGACGCGCAACACTCGCGGGCCAACGAGCGTCCCGAGCTTCTTCGGTGTAGCGAACCAATATCGGAGGCGAGCAGCAGAAGAAGGAGGGGCGAGAACGGCCAGCAGAAGGCGTGTCCTCGTGTGTCGTGGTGTTTGGCGATGAGTGGCGGCAACCTAACGAGCTTCTCTGTTTTGCGATGTTGTGAGTATCCGCCCATGCCGTTCTCTGATTGGCTGTGGGGTACCTCAATTCTTCGGCCAAGTGATCCCCAGCAACACAACCCCACTCCTATTCGCTCGTCTTGGTACCGTGTACCCGCAGTACGGAATAGGGTGCAACAGGTACAAGCGTACTTTTCGCGACACATCGACACTTCTTTTGACTTCTTTTAGTATCGTCTCGACCCAACAACGTAACGCACCCCACCCGCCCTGCCATTCTTGTTTCTGGTCATCGTCTGGGATTGTCATTCCCGGTACCAGATCTGCACCTCAGTCCAAATATTTCAGGCTCTAGCATTTTCGGACGCCGCACTTAAAACTGCCCTCTTGTCTAGTTGCTGTCAAAGACATCTGTCATCATGGCGCAGAAGGCAAAGAAAGACCGGGCCAAGGCGAATACCGCCTCCCTCAACAGTCTGCATATTGTTGCACTTGCTGTGAACGTCGCCTTCCTAGCGTTCTACCTGTTCTTCCGATCCCGCTCGCTGGCTCTCTACCTCGTGTTGTCCACTCCCAGTTTCATCTCCGAGTTAATGCTGGAGCGCACCGGACGGCCGACTTTTGACCCCACCACCGGCTCGCTTCGGTCGTCTGGCGAAGACCTGAGTGCCGCCGGTCTGACGGAGTACATGTTCGACGTCATCTGGGTCACGTGGGGCACGGTGATACTTGTGATCCTCTTTGGCAACAAGTTGTGGCTGATCTGGGCAATCGTCCCGGCCTATGGCGCCTACAAAGCCTATGGTCTTTTGGGTATGACCCGGCAGATGGCCGGCCTGCAGGGGATGGCCAACAACAACGCCCCATCGCCCGCCAGTGCGGGCAGCAACAGAAAACAGCGACGGGCGGCTTAGGCTGGCAGGGCAGATAATCGGGAGACAACGAGGAACAAAAGAACAGAAAATCATGATATACGGTCTCCAATCCTCATCCCCTCTTAAAACCGATATTGCTCTCGTGCGTGTGACATGGTGGCTCTGCCGTCCACGCCTTCAACAGCTCCGGGCTTGCATTGCGGACCAGGACGTGAACATGCTCAAGCTGGCGCACACTCTGCAGCTGGGCCCAGTTCTTGAACCACAACACACGGCTGTCACCGTCGCCGCCGTCTTCGACAGCGTCGATCTGATCGGTAAAAATTCGTTTCACAAACCCGGCCACTCGAGCTCGGCTCTCGGGCGTCATATCTCCTGTCTCCGAATCGGTCGGGATCATGGTGCGGGTCCAGACGACCATGTGGGTGACGTCTGGCGTCAGGCCATAAGGCCAGTCGTTGAGCAAGACCTGGTAGTCGCTAGGGTGCGCAAAAGGCGTGGTGGATGTCGGGACATAGGGCGGACTGCCCCAGGCCTTGGGCAGTCGGTGGGCGATGAGATAGTTAGTGATCGAGCCATATTCAGCCTTCGTGTCGGCTGTCCACTTCATGTACCGTCGCAGATCAGACGGCTTTCTCCGGAGAATAGCCAAGTCATTGGCATCTGGACAGTTAGATACCGCACAATAAAGGATTCCGCAATCAGCCGGGATTTGAGCGGAGAGACGGCAGATGAGATTTCACACACCGATGATTGTCTTGAGATTGGCCCAGTCGTGCAGGACGTATTCTCCGTCCGTCTGCGCCAGTACCCACCGATCCGTATCAGTCAGCGGGAACGGGCTATCTTTCGCAGCCGCAGGAGCCATCTTCTACCCTGAGATGTGTCGGGGATCGTAGGCACTCAGGACTCCGATACTCGGCCGTGGCTGTTTTACCGTGTAGGATGAGCCACGGCTAGCCGATAAGTGGGCCAGCAGGTGTACAGTGTAAAAACGCAGTGTATCAGAGCGGCACAGTAGCAATGGGAGCCGAACAAGGCTAGACTGCTGTAGCTCGCTGGCGAAAAAAACAAAAGTGCCGGGAGCGGCAGCCATACCGAATAGCGCGAGTTTCCTCCGAAAAAGATTAGGAAAGAATAAGAGCATTACCATGTCCTGATGAAAAGCTAGGCCGACCCCTCTTCCAAACCAGCCATTTTCGTCTCACGCACACAGGTCCCAACGGCCGCGAGCCAATTGACGCAACAGGACACTTAGCCTCTTTGCCTTTCTCGACCGGGAGAAGCTCTCGTTGCGCCTCAATATGGCCGACTTTCTCTCGCGCAGGTTCGTCGACGGGGTCTACATCCCCGCCGGCCTGCTCATCTTTGGCGTCTTCATCGTCAAGCGGGAGTTTACGCTCTACGCAGTGACACTCGCCCTGGTTCTGGGCGCCGGCAAAGTCTTCTCGATGCGTATGTGGCACCGCCCAGGAAGCCCTCAGCTTGCCCGGGCTAACACTCGTGACCAGTGCCCAAGAAGGTCCTCGACCCCGTCAACTTCCAGCAGTTCGAGCTCAAGGAGAAGACGATCATCTCGCACAACGTGGCCATGTGGGTTCTGCGCGGCTGTCTGTCCCCGGAAGACTGGTGGGGTTTGCCTGGCTGACACGTACCCCAACAAAATACAGCTACCGCTTCAAGCTGCCGAGCCCGACCCATATTCTCGGCCTGCCCATTGGCCAACACATCTCCATTGGCGCAGACCTGGCCGACGCCGACGGCAACGTCAAGTCTGTCCTGCGCTCCTACACGCCCATCAGCGGCGACCACCAGCCGGGCTACTTTGACCTGCTCATCAAGTCGTACCCGCAGGGCAACATCAGCAAGCACCTGGCCACGCTCGCCGTCGGCCAGACCATCCGCGTCAAGGGCCCCAAGGGCGCCTTTGTCTACACGCCCAACATGGTTCGCCACTTCGGCATGGTGGCCGGCGGCACCGGCATCACGCCCATGCTGCAGGTCATCCGAGCCATCGTGCGCGGCCGTTCTGCCGGCGACAAGACCGAGGTCGACCTCATCTTTGCCAACGTCACCCCCCAGGACATCTTGCTCAAGGAGGACCTCGATGCCCTCGCACAGGAGGACAAGGGCATCCGTGTGCACTACGTCCTCGACCGGCCTCCTGAGGGCTGGACTGGCGGCGTCGGCTACGTCACTGCCGACATGGTCAAGGTAAGACTCTCACTACAACGCTGCTTGCCGCTTTGCCGTGCTGCCGTCATCGTACTGACATATCTCTTCTAGCAATGGTTACCAAAGGCTGCCCCCGACGTCAAGATCCTGCTCTGTGGCCCTCCTCCCATGATCTCCGGTCTCAAGAAAACCACCGAGAGCCTCGGTTTCAACAAGGCCCGGCCTGTGAGCAAGCTGGAGGACCAGGTGTTTGCTTTCTAGATGCATAGATGGCCATGTTCCTTCTCCTCCCGCCACCTCCAAGTCAAGCGCTGTGCCATATAAGAGGCGCCGCCTGGATAGATAGCGGTAAACAGGCCTATATATGCACGTTTTCTACAGAATACAACACGTGAACAAAAGGTGCACTCTTTACGAGTTGATAGAAAAAAAAAGTTGACTTGGTTTCCTGGTATACGTCCGTCCCTTGCTATGCATGTGTGATTGTAGATTCGTGTGAAATAAGGTCCCAGCAGCTATTGCGTCTTCTTCTCGACTGCATCTGTCTCTGGCTTTGGCAGCCGGCCATGTCCCGCTTTGCGATAGACTGCCAGCAACTTCCATAACACCCAGGTGAATCCAAGAAGCACGACAGCCGCAGTGCCGACATTGACCTTGTCCATCCTACTAGAATCGAGTACAGGCACGCGAATTGCCATCTTCAAGCTGTTTGACGAGGACAATACCGCCTTATCAGACGCCGGAGGCGGGTTGGGCGTTACATGCCAAAACTCTGTCCGTGGTCCGAAGAGCCCGTCGTAGCCAAGGTTCACGCGGTCAAACGGGTTGGTCGAGAATTTGGTGCCGTCTTCGGCTGCACAGGCCCAGAACACAACCGGGTACGGAAGCTCGGCGATGCTGTAGCCGCCGGCCGCCGGCTGGAGATAGCGAAGATGCAGAGGGACCTCGGCAGTCCAAGTTTGGGTCTGTTGCTCTGCAGGCGGTTTAAGCTCCAACAGGATTGCCGAACCCCAGCTGCTGACGGCATAATCGGGGGCCTCTAGGTCGACTGGCTGTGTGGTGTGGCGCAAGGCTGTCAGATTTTTTGACGCAAGGAACAGAGGATCGCTGAGCTGGTATTTGTCGGCAAAGATATGTCGAGGTAGAGTCAAATAGGCATGCAGTTTGCATGAAGATGACGCAAACCCGTCGTCTGAGCTATCTACCCGTGGTGGTGGACCGGAGGCGATGCGAAGTTGCAGCGCCGGGTGCAGGCCAGCAGGCCGCAGAAAGCCGGACGAAAAGGAGGCCCCTTCGGCATTTCGGTGCCGCGAGGGAAAGGAGAACACAACCGGAGATGGATGGGTATCCTCGCCTAGAACTGCCACATGGCCAGCCATGCCAAGTTCAAACGGCTCCAAGTTTGCAGGCATTTCACCTGACAAGACTCCCAGCTCCGTACGAGAGCCCGGCTGGGCCGTTCCCTCGATAGTTCGTGCGGCCAACGGCCAAAATGTAGTCACCTTCAACGCGTGCGAAATGGCATCGTAAGATAGGTCCACCGAGCTGGCGCCGAGCAGCAGGTCCACGTTGAAGGGACAAGGGGTTCCATCCTCGCCAGGGCACCACTTGGTCTGGACATAGTCGGCAAGACCAGAGAGATCCTCTAGATCTGAGTAATACTGGTAACCAGCAGAATGAGAGAAGCGACCACCTCCGAGGACAGTGAAGGAATTCTAAAGACCAGCAGGGTAAGCATTGATACACAGGTACGTGCGGGCCGGGAAGCTTACGCTGAGAGATCTGCAGTCGAGGCTTGGGCCAAAGACCTTGTGCAGAAGAAGGCAGATAGCATCCCTTGGGAGAAGATTAGCATCGAAGACGTCAGGATGGAGCTGCGGCTGTCCGGCTGTGTTCCTACCGGCTCTGTTCCGTAGCCGTCTGGGGGGTGTAAAAAACGTGGAGGCCGGGCGCTAGACGGGCATACAGCGGGCTGACGGCCTCAAAGGGCTGTGGACTGGCCCAGCGAATGTGCAACTCGTGAACGCCGTCACCGAGGATGTGAGCTAACTCTGCCGGCAATTGGTCCAGCGACAACGTGGCGCGATCCTCACGCGAAGCCTCGACGGTCGGACCCGCCAGTGATGGGCCCCTCAGGTGCAGCAATGCCGGGTCCACGGGGCGCTGTGGCCGAGGAAAGAAGGTGGTGCGCATGCGCATGGTGCCGATGGGGGTTGAGGTCTCGCGAACTAGTCGCGGGGAGGGAAAACGAGAGAAGTGGTGGCCAGGACGGTAGGATACTGACCAAGGACAACTCGTAGCCAAGGCTTCACACAGCCACTTGTCGCATATGTCGCCTTGTCGCCTTAGTGGTGGTGGCCTTTGCGTCAGTCTCACGCAATGTCCCAGAGTTAGATTAGGCGTCTTGGCCCTGCTCACGCTTTTGCTTATGACCACGTTTGGACAATTTTGATTTGGCAGCTCTGCGCCAGCTTTCCAGCCCTGTGCCACGGGCACCAGAAGTCCCATAGCGGGGCTCCAACTGCTGTAGCGTAGCCCCCGTCCCCCCCCCCCCCCTGGACAGGTGCCTGATCGGTTGACCGACTGGTGTTGATCCTTGCGCTAACCCGAATCTGCCACCGACTGCCAACAAAATCCACTCGCTGGCTCCGTCCATCACGGCTGAAAGCCCTCCCATTGGAGAGGACGGCAAAGTGCTAGCATGCTCTGCCAATGCCCTCGGAGGAAGGCGCCCAAACGAGGCAGGAGCGCCAGTGGAGGGGCGACGAATGTGGCAGGAACAAACAGAACAGTGTGGTATCTCCATGTCCTCCTTCCTTCTCTTTGCGCCGACTTGTCCATGCACTCTCCCGATTCTTCTAATCTTCTCCGTCCGTCCCGTTTTTTTCTTTCTCTCCTACACCATCCAGCCTGCTGTGCCATACCGCCTGCCCTGACCACGCCGTCCTCTACCTGAACGGCGCGCTATTCTCGCCACTATCGACCTGAACGAGCCATGCACGGACAGGCCTCCTAGTACGACTGCGCCCTGTGATCTCGTCGTGCCGAATGCCCGTTTTGCCGTTATGTCATCGATACTTGCGTGGTGACCGAGGACCCTCAGACCAACCTATCTTTTAGATAATACATTCCCACTAGTCTAGTCCCTGGACCCAGATCGTCTGCGTTGAATTTATAAGAGAATGGGCGACCTCCAGCCTCCGTATCTGACCATCCGGTCATTCAACAGCGGCAATGGAAGCAGGATGAACGGCGGTGGCGACGGAAACAGTCTGAGCAGCGCAGACTCTGCGGTGCGGTACACCCTCACTGCTCTTTATGAGCGAGCAGGATTCCTCCTGAATGTCGTGCTCTAACATAAACAGTATGCCTCGGCGAGCGGGGACTACACGGTCCCCTCCACGACACATGATATCAGTCGTGCAAATTATCATGTCAAGCATCTTGATATGTTTGCCAAGTCCCTCGAGGATGTATGTAGCCGAAGCGGGAAGAGAGGCTTTACCTGTTTGCACGTCATCCTCGCGCTAACCTACGCTCCTGGATCAAGTCGGCCAGTCGTGCCTTTCCTAATCGTGGCCGGTCACAACAACGGTACACTAAAGTCAAGGCTCTGCTTCTCCACTGGAAGTCAGACGATCTGTTTGTTCTGCCAGAACTCGAAGATCTAGAGAAATGCATGCGGGAAGATTATGGCTACGAGACCGATACCTTCCCCATTCCCTCGGAGAATGCCCATCTCGAGCTGATGTTGCGGTTGGGCGCCATGATCAAGGACCACGAATCGCCCGATACGCTTTTCGTCGTTTACTACGGTGGACATGCACGCATTGACGAGTCCAGGCAGAGTACCTGGTGTGCGTATGTTGTATATTCTCCTCGCCAACTCAAGAGTCTGTCTTTCTGATGATTTTTACCAGGACGCGGAACCCAAACTCTCCCTGGCTACAGTGCGTTTAAAATTCAGTGTGAACACTCTCCGTCAGACAGCGCCTATGCTAATCGATGACAGATGGTCTGCTATTCAAACGCTCCTGGAGCGCTCCATGTCGGACACGTTGATTCTCTTGGACTGCTGTGCCGGTGCGGCCAGCGCCACTTTCCCCAATGGAAAGAGCATCACCGAAACCATATCTGCGTCCAGCTGGGATGCCATTGCCCCAGATCCAGGCCGGTATTCTTTTACCAATGCCCTCATCGAGGTGCTACAGGAGTGGCGCATACGCACCTTCTCTGCCGCCATGCTGCATGCCGAGGTTCTCGCAAGGTTAAAACACCCTCGACCCATCACCATCAACGGGAAGTTGTTTGAGGCGCGCTCTACCCCGGTACATTTCATGATGACTTCGAACCACCGAGCGCCCAGCATTGAGATCGGCCGCATGATTCCCAGACGCCAGCAGCTGCCCTCTCCGCCGATGGACGACGCAAACTTGCTACCACCACCCGGAGGACGTGGAGCCTTGGGTGCCCCAGTGAATGATCCAAACGAAGACACGCCACATGTCATGATTTCGCTGGCTCTAGAGGACGATCAAGATCTGGATCTCAACGCCTGGGAGCAGTGGCTTGGCAGCTTTCCGGCTCTCGCCAAGTATGTCAAAGTCCAGGGAATTTTCAAGAGCCACTCAACGCTTCTTCTGTTGTCTGTACCTGTGATGGTTTGGGACCTGCTTCCCGAAAACCGCGCCTGCTCTTTCGTGGCCTTTATCCGGTCCAACAATCTTCTAAAGGAAAAAGAAAGTGCTGCTCCGGCGACGGTCTCCAATGTACAGAAGGTCGGTGACGATGGTGCCGCAGCTGAGTTCAATGACGATGTGGTGAGTGAGGACGAAAGCGAAGCCGAAGACGTGGACAAGGACACCGTTTCTGTCATTTCTGGAACCACCTTTACACCAACCGAGGGCCAAGTACCAAGCATCCGCATGAGCATTGCCAGCACAACGGTGGCGGGCCTGGAAGATGCTATATCTCGCAGGCCGTCAAGGGTGACGCCGACGCCGCCGATGATCTCGACACAGAACTCCTACCGCAGATTTACGGCCACTGATCCACGGTCGACTGTGGAAGCCGAATATTCTAGCTCCCCATCACGCCAGAGCTTCTTGGGGTTCAGTCAAAACCGCACCACCAAATCATCCCTTGCCAGGCAGAGCGATACGTTCCAGCATCACGATTCTAGCAATTCGCTGTCAAAGACGATGGTAGTCAATCCGCAAAAAGCAGCACGCCGGACGACATTCGACACTTCCGAAGACTTGCCTGACAGCCCGATTCTAGCATCGCATGTGGCCGACCGGTTAGAGGAGTATTTCCAGCGCGAGCCGAATCCCAGTGTTGGCATCACCGAGTTTTTTGCCTCAAATCTTGGCGTCGAAACAAGAGACATAGATGTGAGTTGCGGTCTGCGCATACTGCCGAATTGTTGTGACGGGTGTATTGACTCGGTTGGCAGCTTTGGTTCCATCGCAGGCGACAGCAAGAGTCGACCAGACTCAATCTCCAAAATCTTAGGATGGACAGCAACCTGGCGTTGGAGAACAGCGGTGGCAGTGGGGCCAAGACGATATTCCCAGGGCACCTGAATAGACTGCTCGATATATTTCCGCCCAGCCAGTTGCTCTTCGTCGACCTACGATCTCCCACCGACTTTGACAAATCGCACATTTATGGGGCTGTCAACCTGAGGGTCCCTGCGTCGCTTGTTGAGCAGAGCTACGATCTTCTCAGCTTGGCCTTTACCGATGACCAGAGCCGCAGGACCTTTGCAAAGGGACCATCAGCCCGCTGTGTGGTATTTTATGACCGAGTAATCGAGTTTGCATGGGAGTGTCCAGTCGCCGAAGCTCTTGTTCAGCAGCTGCGCGAAAGTGAGAACTGGAAAGGCGACTTCTACGTTCTAAAGGGCCATTATCGCGAGTTCTCGTCGTCCTTCGACAAGTACATCGCAGGTGATAGAATGACCCAGGCGGCCAAGGACTACGCCGATGGTCTTCGCCAACGATCAGCCCCTTCAGCAGTAAGTTATGCCGGATGTAGGGACGGAAAAAAACTGCTGGCTGACATTGTACTCTGCAGTACGAGATAGAGATGATCGAGGAGCGGTACTCCGAGTGGAAGACGCTGGTTGATGATGAGAGCCGGATGCAGCTCACCGATGCCACAAGCAAGCTGGACGGACGGAGGCAGGCCGTCGAACAGCATCAGGCAGAGCTCGAAGCAGAGCTGGAGAGCAGGAATCCAGTACTCTACCGCAAAGCTATGGGCCTACGACAGGTGCCCCTGAAAAGCTTACCGGCAATTGTTGCACCTTCACATGCCGGGAAAGACCACCGAACAGATCTCGCCGAGCCACTGTCGCGCGGACTACGGAAGATGCAGGGACATCAATCATACAAGGGAATGCCAGCTGCCTACGACAAGCTAGGCGAGCTTGCAGATGCAACGGCAGCTTCAGGATCGGACGATTTTGACGAAATTGATCCCCGAGAAGAGCAGTTTCAGGACGACCCAGCTTTTCTGAAAGCCGGCGATTTAGGAGGCATGGGCATGGGCAGGGGCGACAGCATGGAGTCGAGGCGGGGTCGAGAGCGGTCATTTTGGAAGCGGCTGCGAACAAGTAAATGACGGAGCAGTGCGGTTGGACAAATTGGCAGGGACCCCGAGATGAAGCAGGGGAGCGATGCCGCATGCTGTGTTCTATGCCGGCGTTGCGTTTCATACCATTTGTGGAAGGCCACTGCGGATGCCTTAGTTACGAAAAGCGTCAGTGCCTGAGGGTTGCATTAGGGGCCTTTCGAGAGGACGTGTGCTGGCGCGCCGGAGACAAAAGGCCAGTGGTGTTGCAGAAGCGGCATCTTTTCCGTTTCCTTCCGGTTCCTTCCCGTTTCCTTCCCGCTTCCCTGTTTTCTCTCTTACATGACAAGGCATGGCGTTTAGTACCGATTCGGGGGGCCAGGTGCTCTACCTAGTATTGGGCATGAGATTTAGACTTTGCAGATACCAGCTTTTCAGTAGCAGCAGTTACGCATTTCTGCTTAACATGAGCCGATAATGAGATGCTTTACACTACGTACAGATGGCCACAATGCGGTGCACCGAAGAGTGGATACATGGCCAAGGGTCTTAACAAAGCAGATTTGAGGAAAGGTGGAAGAACAGGGGATGATGTGACCCAGCAGGAGCGGTGTGCGATTGGAGGAGCAAGGCGAGAAAGAAAAGACGGACGAGAAAGGGGGGACAAGCTGGATCGTTCGGTTACGCCTGCTCGAGCAAGAAAGACCGGAGCGGAGATTGGGTACCAGAGATCTGATGCTGGAGAACATGACGACGTCGTCGCCACGGCCAACCGTTTCCTGAGTCAGAACCTCTGTACTCCGTAATAGCTCGATACCAGGTGATCGCAGGCTGTCTGCCAGTCAGTTTGGCGCTGTCAAGACAGTGCGGTCACAGGCGGCCGTCTGAGCGCATAACGCACAGCCTCCTGTTGGCTGTTGCCATTTCGAAGCAGATCCTCGTCCCCGGCTTCCCGAACGCGATCGGGAAATGAGATGTGACAGGATTCTGCATGAGCGGGAGCAGCAGTGGAAAAAGAAAACAAAACGCCTATAACGGAGAAAACGCCAACACGAGAAGGAGTTAATATTAATAATAAACAACAGTACGGAGTATCTTACCAACAGCAAGCTCCCTTTTCAAAAAGGCCTCAACTTGTCGCTACGTCTAATTGCACACCCGTTACGACATGTCCGTGATGGCCATTAATTTGGCGGCCTATTGGTGCGCATCGCAGGCAAACCGGTCTGGTACGCGTCGATACTTGCGGCTTCGAATTCGCGGTCATCGTGTGTCTCATCTCATTGCTTATTCTCGCGCCGCTGTCTCTGCTAAGAAGGGATGCTCATTCTCGCTCCTCTTTCCTTTGTCTGCGCCCCCTTTCTTCTTTCTGCAGCACATGGCATGCCCATTGCCTACAACCCCATGCTTTCTTTTTCTTCTTTCTTTCTGCTTTTTCTGTCGTCCTCCCGTCCTCCTTTTTCCTCTTTTCTTTTCCCTTTTTCCCTTTAGCCTTTGAACAATGTATCACACGCCCCAGCCGCCACCCCTTTGGACGCAGGAGGAGTAATGAACAGCTGGCAAGGCGACCCCGAGGTCGACGGTGTCGTCACTACCGCTAATCGCCGTGAATCTTGCTCGCCTCTTCCTCCTCGCCCTTTGCGTATCCCTCGCGCCTCTTACTCCGACTTTTGCCATTTTTCCCTTTCTGAAAGTCCCCTGCGTTGACACTAATGGGGGACACACTCGACATCGGTGTGGTCAGCCGGCTCCAGCTTGTCATAGGAACGACAACAAACGGCCTCGGCCTTTGAAGGTGCACGTCAACAGGGGCAGCTGAGCATGGCTTTTCCCGGTTTGTGTGTCGTCCACAGGAGGTGGTCAATCGATAGAGGACCCTCTCCAAAACAAGGAAGAGGTCACCCTGTCGCCTACTCCGTGGACTAATAGCGCACTAGGACGTGTCTATCAAGCCATCTAGCCTTCCCCAGGGCCTGCCAAATTATATCCGAGGGTTTGCCGTATTCGTACCTCCGAGATACCTATGCCAAGTCGCTAGGTGTTAAATGCCGAGCAGCCTTGTACGATACATACAGTAGCAAAGGGACCGGTCGTCTAATCAGGCCGGAGCCGCGGGTTAAGGAGCCGACAAAGAAAGACTCTTTGTCCAGGCCGCCGCTGACTTGCTTGCCGAATCGTCGTTGGCATCCCGCCGGCTGTCCACCAGACAAGCTCCTGTCAGCTAGCAGCTATGAAAGACGCCCCTGCAAACTTGTTTCCAGCAACTTTATATCGCTAGTGTGACAACAAGCGCGTGGTGTTGGTGGCCCCTAAATGATCGTGGCCAAGGCTTAGAGAAAGAGGAGAGAACCGACCGCTTGGCCGGGTGGAATAGAAGCTCTGACATGGAAAACCGTGGCAAGGCGCAGTCGATCCGGTCTGGCCTCAGCCGCCTGATCCGCAGGTGACGGACAAGAGCAGCCGCTGCATGGCATCGGATCGCTGTTTTCCCGATAGGTCCAACAGACAGCTAGAAGACGTCAGCGGCCGCACCAGCACCAACGTGAGAACTGACCCGTCACACTGGAGAGTACTTCTGCTTTCACCTCGGCACAAGATTTCCTGTGCAACGAGGACTCATCTTGCTTTACTCGACACGAGAATTCTTTGCGTTAGGTGGTCACCTGCGAATCTGCCTGCTCTCTTCCAGACTCGGACAAATCGATCTGCCGATCCAACTGCTCCAGACTCAACATATTGCGATGGAGGTAGTGCGCTGTCACGGACGCGGTACTTTAAGCAGGTAGAGGGGGGTGTCTCAGCACTATGCAGGAACACGACAGGACACTAGTGTGTGTGCAACCAGGGAACTAGCATTGCATACATAGCATCGTATTTCTTCACTTCCGGTGATGCGCAGTTGTTAGCTCGTGATTTGACAGCTGTGCTGGGCAAGACTGTTGCCGTGGGCGCCGGCGCCGAAACGGCAGTTCCATTTGCACGTCTTATATTGTGACCAGATGGACTAGCGCAATGTGCTTCCATGGAACGCGAGAGTGTGTGATGAGTCGAGGTGTTTATGCATACGTGTCCGTGTGCATTTGTGTGACGGACCGCCTCTTTGGGCGGCACGCAGACAGCAGACAGCAGACAGCAGACAGCAGACAGTAGTCAGTGGTCAGAGGCCGGCGCGACGTTTTCGCATGAACGATCCGGCTGTTTCATTTCCATGGTCAGACATCAGCACCCCAGACCGGACAATCGGCGTGGCGTCAATGACGGCCTCGTGTCTAGCGGACTGTTGAGCGAGAGAGGCCGAGAGGAGCGAGCCTGTGATGCTGGCAAGGATGAGATGTGCGCACTCGTCGATCGGTTTCCAGATCGGCGGCACCAGCACTGATTGGCCACCAATGCCACTGCTAGCTGCCTTTCGGCGCAGTTGCAGCAGGCGACAGCTCGTGGCCGAGAGAACGCCGATGCAGCACGGAAGAACACCGACGCAAAAGAATCGCCTGTTCGGCGACTCTTGGCCTAAAAGAACTGTGCATTAGCGGACAGCTAGCTGCAGCGCTTGTCGGGCAGAACGGTGGCGGCCCAGTGAATCCCGGGGATGTGGTTGTGGCATTGGCATTGACGTTGGCTAGGGCTAGACTTTCTCCTCTGCCACTTGCTGGTTTGGCTTAGGGGGAGCTTGACATTGACATCTCCGAAGCTTCACCGTAATGGAATGTGTACTCCATACCCCTTGCAAAATAAGCACTGGAAGGAATGTGCTCGTGCGCGTAATCGCTTCCTAGCCCTGGGCGTCGTATTCCTAGCAACTGCAGGTGAGCTCCGAGAGATGGAGGAAGCTAGCATATGTGTGGTCTGAGGGTCTGAGAGCCTGGGCGCGCAAGACTTATCGACGGGACTTCACGAACAGACAGAAATGGCGGGGACTGGAAGACTTGCGACAGGAAAAAATCGGACCAATCGCATTTCGTAAGTGGGTCCTTTCATTGCAGTTCTTCCGGTTGATGCATCTTGGCAGTATTTTGTGCAGGGTGTTGTTGCTGAGGTCAGACACTACCGCACACGGCTCGGCGGCACTTCCCTCGATCCCCCCTTTCTTCTCTCGCGAACTGACAGTTTCACGCAGCCACCGAAAATAAAAGAATCGAGGCTGGGGCTGGACAGAGGCCATCCATCCGGAGGGCTTTGACTAGTGCCGTGCGTCTCGCTCTCTTCTCCGCCATCTCGTTCTGTAACGTTGCTGCCATAGTTAATCTGCTCAAGACACTGGCCGCTAAAGATGCGAGGCTATGCCTATTTGCTGCCTGTCTGGTGGCAATCGGCCGTTGATCAATCACGAGCATCGCCATCGTGCTAGGTGATGAGCACCAACGTGCTGGCAGACTACCAGCTAGTTGACAAGAAGGAAACAAGGTCTAGCACAGGAAAGTCCCCACCCATCGCTTTTACGAGGGGAGACCCAGCGTCGATCGGGTTAGGGACGGGCGCTAACACGCCACTCGAACCAGTCTTTTCCCGGGTTGCCTTGTGTCAATCTCAGCTGAAGAGACCGGGGAAGGATGGGTGATGGTCCCGTGAGGAAAGGGTGTGCTGCGTGTTATCTTGCCAGAGGTGCCAGGACAGCGTGTCCGCGCGCCCCCCCCCTTGTCCATCTCCATTACGTCGTATGCAGCACACACCGGAGTGGACTGACCGAGAGGGCGAGCGATCCTGGCTTCTTTGTCTCCGGCGTGCTGCATGCAGAGCTCCATAATCAGCCGAAAGTGTATCCGTATGTATGTCTAGGCAAGTGACCGCTTCGTCAACCGCCGAGAGATCGGGACATTGGCTTGAAACATGCTTGGGGGCTAAGGGGAAAGGCAAAGAGGGAGAGAAGGGCAGGGAAAAGCCAGACCGGAGAAGGAAGAAAAAGCAAGCAGTTCATGAAATGAAAAATGAGAGATGGAGCGGAAATGATCGAGGCAAGGGCAGCGAATCCGGATGTGTTGCTGGGCCCCGTTTGAGTACATTACTAGTCCAGCCATTGCACGTCCATGACTTTCCTTTCAGGGATGATCTGATGGTCCTCAAACTCGATCCGAGCGGGACCGAGTCCGGAAGCACCAGGCCTTGCTGCAGCCGAAATAGCAGGTGCATGCGTGTCGAGAGTGTTTATGTTTTTCGTCTTTTCGTCTTTTTGTCGAGTCGTCTGTCCTTTTATCGGGGGGCTCGTCCTTTTGTTTTCTTCTCTTCTGTCATGTGCTTGTCCGGTTTGTTCGCCGTTTTCTGTGTCGCTGGTCAGGCCGGTCCGCAGGCCGGATCCTACTCTGTCATGCAGAGAGGAAATGAAGGCGGAACCAAGAAGAACGAAAATAGAAATCTTGCTCCTTCCTCGCGATCTCATCTTTTGTCGTTTCAGGAGTAAGAGCCGCCGTTTGGCGTTTGGGCCTTTCTAGAGTTGGCAGGTGGGCTGAAGGGACCCCTCCTGCCCCTGCTCTCCCGTCCCGCTCAGACGCTATGTAAAATTTGGCCCTGGCTGCGCCTTCCTGTTTGCTCGCATTTGCTTTTCTAGCCTGTTTCTGCTCGTACGAGAAGGGACGCGTTCCTACTATGTATGTACTCTTTTGTTTCATAACGGGACTTCTGTTTACTGCATACTGCCCAACACAGCCCTTTCCAAAGTACGAGTACTTCTGCCAGAGAGAGTCGGAACAGAGAAGGCCAACCAGGGGGGGTGTTTTCCGGATCCCTTGTGGCTGCAAGTACGTACCCGTGCTGCAAAACGTCCCGGAGAGCCCACCACGACTGCGCCAGGGGGAGCTGCATGCACGGAAACATGTGGTGCTCGTTGCTGTGCTTAGCAGAGTGGTATACGAGTACTATGCAAGTATGTAAGATGCAGACCCATACGGCAGCTGGCCGTCCGTCCATTTGCTGTCGATTCCAGCGTGGCCTGCAGGGTTCCCCTGCCTTGCCCTGACTGGCCTGGTTGTCTTGCTGCCAGCATTGTTGTCTTCGTCAGTGAGACCAGCCCTTCTGCAGACCAGCGGGCGAGACAGTGGGATTTTCGCTGGCCTTGTGGGTTCTGTCTAGTTTGCGGCCTGCTGGTTCGCTGATTTGCTGGTCTGCTGGTCTGCTGGTCTGCTTCTGCTGGTCGGCTGGCCTGCTGGTATGGCTGGCCTGCTATGGCTGGCTTGTTGGTATGGCTTGGCTTGTTGGTTCGGCTCAGTCTTCTGCTTCCTTTTGGCGGTTTCTTCTGTCTGTTCTCTGGCTGCTCTTTGCTGACCTCCTTTTGCTGACCTCCTGATCCTGACTGCTGCTGCTGCTGCTGCTGCTGCTGTATCCTCGGCTGGCCGTCTCTGTTCTACCTGGTCGGCCTGCTTCTTCGGGCCTCTTCAATCTCCAGATCATCACCGGCCGGTCAGGCTGTTGGTGGCGGCCGCTCTGATGGGCCATGGCTGGCCGCGTCGGGCTGGCCGCCATCCCCATGGTTCGTCGACATGATGGTGGGTCTTCAGTCCGACGGCGCAAGAACTGGGGCCTCCGTCAACGTCGTATGGCTGCTGACTCTCTGTTGTTCACCGACCCATTAGTCAGCAGCTTTACGTGACTTTTCAATCTGGCTTGTCTCGTCTCGTCTGTCTCGTCTCGTCTGTCTCGTCTCCTCTGGCCTTTCCACATACTATCTTGTTCTATCGTGTTTTGTTCTCCTCACACTCCTCTTTCACTCCTCTCTGTCCCCCCATCTCCCCTCCTCTATAATCGTATGAGTCTTCCCCTTCTGGCGCCCAGATGCACTGGGGCGCATATCCCTGACGCCTGCTGGGGCTTCTTCCGGCGGCCTATGCACGAAACACGCACGTATGGATGGACACACACCACATTCCCGTACTCCCCAAGACTCGCTGGCATGGGTCCGCTGTCGTCCCCCTTCTGACCCCCCAGTCTTCTCTACCCTTCCCATCCCTTCTCTCGCCTGTTACCTCTCAACAAGCCTCCGAAGAAGGCTGGAGGCTAAAGTGAAGCGTCTCGTGTCTCTCTCTTTTGGTCTCCTCCCTGACCGGGATCTACGCAATTCCTCAGTAAAATACACCCCCCCCTTCTCCACTCTCCACTGGAAGCACGACACCACTAGGCCAACGCCATACGAAGAAAATAAGATACCTTGCTAGCGCTCAGGTAGGTACATACGGGTGCGATAGGTCAACGGGGGTAAGACGTCGGTCCCTCTCCCGCACGTCTGACTTGGATCAGGGCCTTCTATGACCTGGTTGTAGCCTAGCTTGGGCCATGACTATCAGGGCGATCCGCAGAGCAGCCACTATCCTCTTCTGGCTGCTACAGTTACTACAGAGTACTTCTACGATTTTGTCGTTCTGCCCCCCCCTCTCAAAGATCTCTTCTTTTCTTTTTCGACCTCTTGCACTTCCGTTGCCTATGGTACCTGGCTCTTCTCTTCAGGAGGGTGAGAACAGCTTGGTCCCTTCGTCCTTCAATCCGCCTTTGCCCTTCCATATACACCCCCCCTCCCAACCAATCTGTCTTTCTGCTAGTTTCACGTATATCCCGTTACCTTCCCCCAGACGAACAACAGCTGCCGGAGTCCAGATCGTCCCCCCCCTGTCCACTTTTGCCCATCTTCCAAGAGCAGTATTGATTCTCTCCCATTTCCTTTTTGGGCGCTCATTTGTACATCCCCGTCCGCCCCCGAACACACGTACTTACTAGCCCGTTATACAAAAGACTGTCATCTGCCATCCCCGTCCCACACCTGCCTCTCTTTTCTCTTCTCCGTTATATTGCTATTCTTCTCTTTTTTCGCGAGTTACGACGACGACCCAACGGTGCTGGACATTGTTCCTACTCTTCTGCACCACCACAGCACTCCTGCTCCAGACAGCTATTGTTCCTGGTTATGGAACGTAGCCTCCCGGATACTGAAAAGCGCCGATTTCAAGACCACCGCCCAAACACTGAACTTCCCAAGATGTCTCTCCTCGCCATGTCGGCACCGGCTCTCCCGCACACCTCCTTTCGCCGGGGACTGCCGTGGGACTCGGATACGCGGGCAGCCGCTTCTGATTTCACCCTCTCGCGCTCGCGGGTCGACCTGGAGCAGATCGCCCTGCCGTCCATCCGCCAGGCCATCCCTGAGCTGCAGCTGCGCGTCGCCGACAACCAGCCGTCCGTCTCCGTGGCAAGACCAACATTGGCTCCGTCAGGGCCGCCGTCCCTGCCGTCTATGCCGTCTCCCAACGCCAACACGTCCGAGTATGTCCACTCGCCCTCTAGCTCCTACAAGCGACAACGCGTCTCGGTCCACGACGACCGGTCCGAGAGGTTCAGCCAGGTGCCTCGCCTGTGCGCAGTGCCTCCCCATCTGGAACGCCCGGGTCCTCTACAGCGAGCAGCGCCAGCAGGCGCTTCGCCCACCCTGGGGCCTCTCCGCTCAGCTACCTCGGCCTCAGCTTCGCCTCCGATCTCGTCTGCTTCTTCGGCCACGACCGGCAACACGGTCGATGGGTGGCGCGGCAGTGACTCCCGCTATTTGTCGTATGGTCATCGCGAGCCGGAGAGGACGTCAGATCGTCTCCTGGAGACGGCACCTGGTGGCGGCAGCAGCAGCAGCAGCAGTAGCAGCAACGGCTCCTCCAGCATACGCGGTCTTCCTGGCCTTCCACAGCTTCGTTTCGACCGGGATCCAGCCCCGATCTCCCAGTTGCGCACGTCTTATCCCGGCGACAGCTACGCTTCGGCTCCCACGGCCAGCAATGACGGCTACCGATACCAGCAGCACGGCCAGAGCCCAACTGGTCCATCTAGCAGCGGCGGCCATGGCATCCCCTACGGTCCCCCGAGCTACCAGCACCATCCGTCGCGGATGCAGTCTCTCTCTCTCGGATCCATCCGTGGTTTCGACCGAGCAGCGTTTCCCTCGTCCAGCAGCGGCGGCAACACCGGCAACACCGTCAACAGTAGCGGCAACAGCATGCGGTATGGCGGCCATCATAATGCAACTTCGCCGACGGGCTACCATCATGAGTACGTCCCCGTGGGCGAGTGGACCAGCAGCGGAAATGGAGGCTTGACCAGTGGTGTCAGTGGTGGTGCAACCATCAACGGTGCCGGCGACACGAAGCAGCGCAAGAGACGCGGCAACCTGCCCAAGGAGACGACCGATAAGTTGCGGGCGTGGTTCGTTGCCCACCTGAACCACCCGTATCCGTCCGAGGACGAGAAGCAGGAGTTGATGCGGCAGACGGGACTCCAGATGAGTATGTTTGGTCTTTTTTTTTTTTTGGAGGGGGGGGGGCTTTTTCTCGGTTACCTTACAACTACTGACTGTCCCCTAGACCAAATATCAAATTGGTTTATCAATGCTCGGCGTCGTCAGCTTCCGGCCATGATCAACAATGCCCGTGTCGAATCGGACGCGATGCTGTCCAGCCGTGGAAGCAGTGGCAGCCGAAGCGGCGGTGTGACTGAGATTAGCCCACGGAGCTATTCCGGTGGCAGCAGTCTGCATCACGGCGGCAGCAAGGTGCTGCCCTCGACAGAACATATGCTGTTGTCACCAGAGCGCTCGCTGGCCCCACGGACATCGGCCCTCTACGGAGCTGTAGCAGCCGAGCACCAGGTCAGCAAGCATGACAGCCCCATGAGCGAAGACGACTACGACGACCTGTCACGGCACCGCAGCCACATAAAACGGGGCAGCGTCTGAGAGGAGAGCAGAGGGGGTGAGGAGAGCGAAATCAAAGGAAAAAGGAGAAAAGAAGGAAAAAAGAGGGGAAAAAGAAAAAGGAAAAAAAAAGAAATGAGCCACAGTATGACTGAATGAAACGTTGCGATCACGCACAACAAAGCTCCAAAATTGGAACGGTCACAAGCATCGGGGGATCGGGGCCAAGGAGGAAACCGGGGTTTGGGGATATGGGTTACCACTACTAGTGAGGGTTTTAGAGACATGGAAACGGGTTTGTTTGACTGGTTTTCCATCACTAATCCTGCTTTACTTTCACGGCGTTCTGTGCACACAGCTGAGGATTGTGTTGTATTTCGGACATGCACCCTGTCCTACACGAATAACGAGACTATAAGCTAAATGATTTGACGGGTAGAAATGGATGGGCGGTCAAGGGAGAAGGGAAAAGAAGAGACAATATCGAGGGGGGGTGCAGGGAAGTTCAAAGACAGCGCTTCATCCCTTATACATATTATCTATCTTACACTCTGTTTAATCTACGCGCCATCGTATGTTGATCATGTCCGCGGCCGCAAAGTATGTTCTGGTGCTTTCTTCTTCCTCGTTCGGGCCGTCTTATGTTTAATCAACGCCGTCTAGTGTTCCAGTCTTGTCAGCCAGGAACCTATGTTGTATCTCTCGAGTCATCTGGCCGTCCTCCGCATGCATGGTTGTTGGTCCCAGTCCATTCTCTGCATGGAAGCTGGCCTGTGTTCGTGACTGCAAAAAAGACAGACCGTCCTGAAAAGGAATGCCTGTTTTCTTCTGCTGTTTAGCACTGGCCTCATCTCCGTTCTTCCCTCCTGCCTTCTCGCCGTAGTTCACAGGTCCACACCTCCTCCATCTTGCCTTCTGATGTGGTCTTGCCCTCGTCTACCCTCTTCTCACCAACTGCACCCTTGTCGAGACAAGAAATAAGGGGCATATTGCACGTCCTGTGCCCCTACCGGGTTTTCATTTCAGAACAAAACAAAAGAGCAGCAGTGCCCGAGGCGTAAAAGCCGGCTGACAGAACCTTGTGCTGAATCATGCCGTCCAGTGAGCAGCCCACAATGCCTGCCTGGACACACAGAGGCCTATGGCAAGGTGACCGCTCGGGAGGACATATGCATGTCATTGTGTTCAGAAAAAAGAAGACGAATAGCGAAATAGAAGCGGTGGAAAGCAGAAGGCAGGACGAAGGTGGCACGCGTGTGAGCAGATTTCCATGTTTGTGTGGCCTTGTCACCGTGTCGGCCTCTCCCTATCGCTTCTCGAATACGCTCGAGTTCTACAGCTACGTCAAGTACGACGGCCTCGTTCCCGCGGGAGGAAGGAAAGGGCCAAGACGTCCAAGCTTCTGTAACAGATAAGCCACATACGAAAGATTCCGAAGCCGAAGGACGTGCGCAAGAATTTCTGACGGAAACGAGGCGGTGTCTCTGTGTTCTTGTCCAACATTGCACCTGGCAACAGCTCCTGACCGTTTTTCAGAGGGGTCTCCTGCCTCATTCGTCCTTGTCCGTCTTCTCTCTTCTCCAGGTTAGGGCGTGTCTCTCCTTTGTGCCACGGCCAGTCGTCCTCGGTAAATCACACAGCAGACATACAGAGGAGCTGGTCAGAGGGGGCGAGCTCAAAGGAAACGGCCCTACTCTGGTCCGTCCCGTGATGTCTGCACCCAGCTGTCAGCAGACGTCGCCAGCAAGCTCCAAAAGTAACGGTCCACGATCCGACTTGTCCACATTTGCTGTCATTGCAGCAGGCGAGGGAGCTTTGTGTGTGGAAAGTCTCAGAGTGGATCGACGCCGCGTCATATTTAGCTGTAAGCTACTGAAGGATCTGTTGAGTAGCAGACGTGGTCCCATTCTCAAACACTGCATGTCATTTTCATGTGCAGCACTTGTCTCGGCCAGAGGGAGAGGCGGTCAGGGTGAATTGCGGCTGCATCGGCCTTTCTCGATGCTAAGAACAGAATAAACGAAAACATGGGAGACTCACCAGCCCGTCGCTTTGCCTGCCAAACCCCCCACTCAGTTTGGGAAGAGCTTTGTAACATGCAGCCTGCAGCCTGCAGCCTGCAGCTTGCAGACATTCAAGCCACGGCTTTGTTTGTTTGCGCGATATGCGATAAATGGCGGTGACTGCAAAGCAAGGGAGACTGTATTTAGTCTGAGCGGCCTGCACGGTCCCCATGAGAAGGAGGGGGCGTGTGTGAGCTGCAGCTGGTGTGGAGCGGGCGTGAGATGATAGATACTATGTACTATGTAGGCCAACACATCCTGCATGATGACGGGCGGATGGGGGGAGCAGTTCATCATCTATGATGGGTCTGCAGCTCTGGAGAACAACACGGTGGCCAAGACATTTGTATGGAGACGGGTTCTCGCGGGGAGTTGATCCGAGAGGAGGAGGCCGCGGACGATCCTACGTTGTTCCATTAGTTCTGCTGCATGCCGGCACTGTCACTCGAGAATCCGATGACGTTGGGAGTGAAGATTCCGGAGACAAGTGGACAGCTCAGCGGTCGATGGACAGCTCCGCGGACCTGCTCTTATGGTCCGTGAATCATCCCATTCTCCATGCTGGCACTGGAACCCGTCGTGTATCTTTTCCATTGTGCTTCCTGAGACAGTGCTAGGCTGTCTTTCTTTTTCTCCTTCCCAGAACAAAGCCGGGGTGAGCCAGATGTGAGATGAGAGGGATGTGCCTTGTGAGTAAGCGTGCGTGCGTGCGAGAATGGAGGAGGCATATCCCTCCCACTTGCGAGACACGGAAGAAGAAAAATAGAACAGTAGCAGCTGAGGCCAAACGGAGGCGAGACACGTACCCGCAATGCAGCAGAAGACAGTATAACGGGCAAGTAGCCCTCTCCCTGTCACTTTGGCCTCTTCTCTCCTTCTGTTCCTTGGCATGTCTGGTCCTGAGACGCGTCGTGTCTGTCCGGTCCCTCTTGGAGAAGATACATGCGAATACATGCTGCCAGAAATGCTACACCGGCTCTTAGCAGCTGTGTACGCTGTATTGTTTTGCTTGATTGCTCCGTACTGTGTACTTCATAGGACGGATGCAGTGGGGGAGACAATCATGAATTTGAAGGTTAAAGTTGCACGTGCACAGCCTCGCTAAAGCAGACAAATCCTTGTCAAAGGTGCAGATACAGAGCAATACTCCGTACATCTCTGTACAAAGAGCGCAGGGGCGAGAGAAACAGCAAGGGTGGTTGACATAAGGGGAAAGGAAAGAAAAGGTACGAAGAAACGCAGCAAGGTCGAGGCGAGGACGCCACGAAACAGCATGCAGTCCGGAATGCGACAACAAGCGGCGTCTATGCACAGCTAGAGGCATTTGGTGATGTGGTCCTATGGGAAAGAGGCGTCGGCTGTGGACATCGGCTCCGTGTGCAGCAGCAGGCAGCGCATGCAGCAAGTAGTCGCTGCTCTGAAGGGCCGACCTGTTTGTCACGGCTGCAGCCGCTGGATCCAGTGATGTCTCCCGTGTCGGCTGATCCTGATACCCCTCCCTGGTCGGCCTTTTGTACAACGGCTGGTGACGAACTGGCCGATGGGCTGAGGGAGCGGTCAAGCCCAGGAAAAAGAAAAACCGACAACCCGGTTTCGCCCACTGCGGCGTCTTCGCTCCCCACCATCTCCCACCATCTCCCCGTCTCTCACCACCCACCAAGCACCCTTAATTCTCGGTACGATAGTGACAGGAGAGATGCATTGCATTGTTGGGCAGACCACTGAGCTTGCATGCATGGAGGGGCCACACTGGCGCAAGGCCGAAGCCATCAAGGATCGGTGACCATCTAAGGTCGTATTTCGACAGAGATCGGAACCGCAACCGGTCGGATGCGAATGGGGGGAGGGAAACAAAAACAAAGAATGAGACAACGCCCCCTGCACTCCAGCGAGGACCAGTAGTATCGCTGAAGAGCGAAACAAGCGGCGAGAAGTCGGCATGGATATCCGAATATCCGCACTCCGTAGGCGACGAGACGACAGCTGCTGGCCGGTGCAGCGAAGTACGACGACAGTTCGCCGTGGCCTCTCGCGTCGAACAACACACGACAGACCGCCGATCTTGCATCGGTCAGCCTCTGATCCAGAATCCTGCCTTCTCTCCCCTCGCCCACTCCCAACTCCCAACTCCCAGCCCCCGGCCCCCGGCTCCAACAGGCCTGGCAAGACATGGATAGTCGGAATGCCCGATCAAGGATGCCATTTGCCCCAGGTGCATATGCGCATGCAGGCTCATTTGTGCAATGTCCGTGTCCGCCTCCGATGAATCTCCCTCACCTCGACCAGCCAGACCGTGTTGTATTATTAGTAATGCTGCTGCCTGCGTGAGAGTCTGCAGGCCAAACTTCAGTGTGGGCCCTGTATCACCAATCCGGTTCCCGATCCAGATGGTTGTTCTCCGCAAACAGCTGGTCTTGCAAACAGCCTCATCACGTCTCGTCACATCCCCCTCAGAGTGGACACCCACACACCTGTTTGGTCGCCCACCCATTCACACAGACGCACATACACATATACACACCCTGCTCTCCCGCCTCGACAGCGCGAGATCGTGCCTGCAGGTTGTAAAGGGTGGTAGCGAACCCGAATTCACTGGTATTTGGGTGTCTGGTCATGTCGACAAAGTAGTTGCTGCTGTGTAGAATGCCCAACTCCTTTCGCTCGCTTACTGCATCAGGGTCCGTGATGCGCCAAATGTCATTCCACGCTATTGGCACCCGATGTGACGGGAACAGGACCCTTCCGGTGGCCGTGCAAAGCTGCACTCCGCGGATGCTCGTACTCGTGTATTGCGTGCCGCATCCGACATGCATCATATCGGGCCTCCTTCCTGCTGCTGGCTCCCGAATGCAGGCAGGATCTACACCTCCGAACGCTTTTGCGCGGCTTTCCCTCCTTCTCTCAGTCCATCCGTCCCCAGCTCCAGATATTCAAGCCAACCTTGACGCCTTCAAGCACACGCAGCCCGGCGTGCCATGTCTCTTCGAAGGGCCGGCCGGTGCCGTCCGACCGAAAGTTTTCCCAGAGCACGGCATTCCCGGGGACGGGCTTGAAAACGACACCGGTTGTCGTGTTGTTCTGGGGCGGCCGGTAACCATCCTGTCCGTCTTCGCCCTCGTCCTCCACCTCGACCTCTGCATCGCCCTCGCAGTTGATGAACGGACACCACCGAAAATCGGCGCTGCGCCGTGGCACTCGCGGAAAGTAGGTCCCGCCGCCCACCAACGGCTGTCTCGGCTCGTTGGGGCTGTTGAGCTCACCGTCGTCCACATACACCATGATGCTCGACACCCGGCCCCAACCACCCGTGGCCGTTCCAGGTCGGCTCCAGTCAAAGTGGAATCCGTAGTGGCCTGACGGCGCCACGTACCGCTGCACGCGCAACCGCTCGATCCAGAGGTCTTCGCGCCAGCCCTGCAAGCTGCGAGCTCGCGCCTCGATACACCGCACCACGTCAGTACGGGGCACAATAGCCACTTCCGAGTCACGCACGATAGTGTCGCGCTGGACGGACCCGCCCCCGTCGCTGGTGACGGTCGCCGGCTCGTAGAGAGCATTGCTGGCAGCTCTGTCAGCTTCCAATGTATCTTCAGGATGACGAAGAGAAGGGAAGCGGTTGACTTCTTGTCGTTCCCTTGGCGATCCAAAGACTGACCTGATCTCTATGAGATGCTGTCGTTCGGAGAGAGAGAGAAAGTTCTCAATGTACATGACCAATGGGGCCTTGTTGAAGAGGTGCACTGTGTAGGCATCGGGCGGGCAGGAAGAACTCCCGCTGCCCACGTCGCCATCCTCTAAGGCCAGCAGCGACTCCTTCACTGGTGGCCGGGGTGTCCGATACATTACCGGGGCCTTCGGGACGAGGGATGGTGCGACGGCATTCAGGATTGGGTCCAGCCAGAAGAGGCAGACCGCTAAAACAGCCACAATCGCATAGCCGAACATCATGGACGTGCGGGAAGCCGAGAAGGATAATACCTGTCGAGTAGGATGGATGGATGGCTGAGGTGAAGTAGCAAAGCAGAGGACGGATATGCGAGCCCCGTCTCGTAATTTCCACTTGGTTGTACACCGACGCGTCACCAGTGGACTCGAAAAGACAGGCACCGCCAGCGCTCAGTCTTGCAATGTCGCGCTCCTGAGTGTTGGGAAGCCTGAGATCAAGAGTTGTGAAAATGGATTTTGAAGGGATTCCGGCTTTTGCAGACCGCTCTTGCCCGTCGGACCTTCCTGAGGTACCAGCCCATCAGCCAATTTTACGGCAACGACGACCGGGCTAGATCCACAATACACGCCGGCCGTTCCTGCAATTCTTGAAAAGCACATATTATTGATATCGCCTATTTCTGTTCGCGAATACACGCCACTTTTATCAGCCTATTTCACTCCTTCCAGAAACTTGGGGGTCTCATGATGTCGATTCCAAAGGCCTACGACGTATATCGATATGTTCCAGGGCCTGTGCTTATAGAAGGGCCCACCATCATTCGAGAAGAATTGATGTTGCATCGATCGGCATGCCAACGTACCCTGAAACCGACAGTGCCTACGGAGTACACAAGGCTTTGCCAATACGATACTCGCGAAATCTTGGTTCGGGCAATAATATGCCAACACCTTGTCATTCGTGCTGCAACGGTACTGAGGCTATGCCATGAGAAATTGGCACTGTCAAGGAAGAATTCAGAAGACAGAATTGCAGATGAGGGTTTAGGCAATTCAGCGTCATCGGGACTTGTATTATTGAGGTCGTCAGGAAGACTATCAGGCGACTCAGCAGTACTGAACAGACAATGAATTGATAAAACCGAAAGCCCTCAAGCAGGGATAATACCACGCACGTTTTTATTTTTATTTTTATTTTTATTTTTATCCTGTATACGAGGACTAATCTCAACTCTGCTAAATTGCTCATCGTCGCTGAAAAGTCCAGAGTGGACAAGCAACTTTGTCAACAGGATAATGTGGGGAAAACGTCATCGCATCTAAGCTTGCCGAGCTTGCAAGACAAAGTATGTATATGTATATGCACAGCCTTGTGTACGAGAGATGCTGTCTTCTGTGTCGACGTGCAAAGGATGGCGTCCAGAGCTCTTTCAACGTGAGACAATTGTACGGAGTTCTCCGTACTTTCTTCTGTATCTGCTATATAGAACTGCTCTTCGCCTACATAGCCCCAATACACAAAAATCTATGTTGACTCACCCAACGGCGATCGGCTTCCACCTAGTAGCTCACCGAGACAATTTTGACTTGCGACTTCTAGGTATGTGTTTGTCTCACCTCTGCGTTCCAATTTTGTAATGGGACCGCTATATCGCGCTACCTTATGTTTTACATTAGCAGTTCGGTATCACCAAGAATGTGGCAAAATCAGGCACGCGTTCAACAATCTAATACATTGAGCTGACTTTGTTCTTTTTGATGCCCACCCCATCAATTTTGTACCGTGGGTACGTCGTCTGACCCGACGAATACCCCGTACCGGAACCATTACCCAGTGTTACCCTCCCCGTCTAATGAGTAAATATAAACCATACCCCCCCCCAGACCTCTAGAAGTATACCCGCCCAAACATACGACAAAAGGAAAACAGCGTAAAAGACAGATTGCCACTCGTAATGGAACTAGGCCGAACAGCCAGCTTCTCGAAAACCCCGTTGCTCCCTTTTTATTCTGATTTTATTATGTCTCGTAAAAAAAAAAAGAGAGGGTCGATTACCCCTGGATAGCTGATGCCATCCAGCCTAGCTCTTCTGTCAAGTCGAACAGTCTGCCACCGGGGACCAGCGTAGATGTGCTGTTTGTGTCAGGGAACGAAGAATCCGCGACGACGATATGGCTGTGGTGCTCCTGGGCCGCCTTGCTGCTGCCGCTGCTGCTAGCGGTTGCTAGAAGCCTGCTGCTATGCTGGCCGTAGACATGGCGAGGAGGGAGCAGAAAGGCTTCGTGGTCAATGTCAACATCCTCATCATCTTCCGTCTCCGACTGAGAGATGGAGCAGGACGCTGATGAAACACTGCCGTGTGGGCCGTGGGACCGGAACGAGAGCGCCGGCAAGGGCGGTGATGTGGCTTGCATCGCTGGTGACAGCGACAGCCAGGAGCTGCCAAGCTGCAGGCAAGCATCTCTGTCTGCCGTCGGCGGAATGGAAGGTGCAGCTCGCGTCGGGACCATGGGAAGTGTTGCAGTCTCGTTGCTGATACTGCGGTCTCCGATTAGCGAGAATGGCACCGGTGTCGAAGGCCGCGGAGGGGGAGGAGGCGACAAAATTGTGAAGGGAGCCGTCTCTGATACAGCCGACGTAGCAAAGTTGTGTTCGTCGTCGTTTGCTTCGTCGTCAGCATCAGCAGCAGTAGCAGAGGCGGCGGTCGAGTTTGTAATGCCATCTTTGGGCGGCGCATCTTCAACTAAGAAGCGGCGCAGAGATTCTGGCGAGATATCTCGTGAGCGGCTGCCCCCTTGCGACGAGCTTGTAGAACGGACCGAGTGCACAGACGGAGGGGCGGCAGAGCGGCGCAGGGAAGATAGAGATGACGATGATGCCCAGGAAATAAGGCGAGGGGCTCGCGATGTCGTTGAGAGAGCCCCGTCATGGCTGCTGTCTCCTCCCGTCACGTTCCGCGCAGGGCTGGGCCTCCGAAACAGGCGGCGTGGCGACCAAGTAGAAGCAGCTGCTGCAGACGTGCTGTTGGGTGCACTGCACGGTGGCAACAATTTGGGCGATGGCGATGACGCCCGTGGCGGTGGTGGAAGAATGGCCGTCTCGGGCTCAGCTGCCGTTAGGCGGACGACGGGCGTAACAGGTCGCTGCTGTGGCGTAGTAAAACGGTCGTCGGGGTTCAAGGTCTGGTAGTCACTGCTGTGAACTGAGCCAGCAGACGCACAGCGCTCGCGGCCAGACTGCTCGAGAGGCACCCAGAGCTTGTTGACACGTTGTCCAGGAAGGTAGGGGCAGGCGGTGGTGGACGGCATGGTCGGATCGTCAGTCTCTGTCGAACCGTCAAGCTCGTACTGAATATGAATGTGTTAAGATCTGATGGTACACAACAAGAAAATGATGGGGATGGGACAGAGCTTACATAGTAGTAGTAGGTGTTGCCCATCTTAAGGCCACCCGAGCGGGGGACACGTCGACTAGGGTCGTCACCCTCGCAGATGATATCCTTGAAGGTGTGGCAACCACGCCACTGGCCACGGTCTCTCCGGCTGTCACGCTCCATCGTATAAGACATGGTAAAATTATCCCAGGAACCGAGGAGGCGCACAGTCCTGACAGAGGGCCGAGTGTTTCTGTGAGGAGAAAGAAAGACAGTAAGTAGACGATCAAACGCGTGTTGTGGATATATAAGTCAATGATGGACGCGGCACAGCAGTCTGGAATGTTTCTTTTGTGGCAGAGCCCCATGTTGTTGTGCCTTTTGGCTCTGGCCCGGGAAATGACGAACGGCAAGGCTTGGGAACCGGCAATGAAAGAGAAACAACAGGAAAATTACGACGCTGCCAGTGGCAGCGCGGTATCTGGGCTCAGCTTTGAGCTGGTCTGCCAAGACTGGTTGTAGGCGAGACAACTAGGCCGTCTTGGGCAGCCAGAAGGAAAGACAAGCGTCCCTTCCAAAGTGCTGCATGCAGATGATCCCAAAGATGTGCAAATAACCCGAAATGACGAAAACCGGCCTATCAGAGGGGCGCAGCCAGGGGTGATAATGCGGACAGGGGTTCAGTGAGATTGTGGGTTTAAGGCTGACGGAGTGTCCGGACAGGTTGCAGGGGATTTCTGTTGCTGCACATTATAGTACAGCCTTGCCGTAGGTCAGCTCCGAGATGGGAGATGAGATGATGTTGTTTGTCTCTATCTTTCCAAACTAGCCATTGCCTGACAAGGTTGCCCCATGATAGAAATCGGGGATATGTGCGCGGCAAAATGGAAACCATACGGAGTAAGAGCAGGGGGCGGGCAGGAGAAGGGGAAAGGAGTCGGATCCAAAGATAGGACGGAAAACGTGCCAAAAATAAAACTAAAAAATACCCCATAATACTCCGTACTCACATCTATTATAGGGGGGTAAGCTCGGGACGGCGCCAGCACCGCGAAAAAAGGAGCGAAACCGAGGAATGCAGCAATTGAGCTGTTGAGATGGAAATAATAAAGGACGAGTTGATGAGAAATCAAAAAGAGAGAAAGAGAGGAATTCGAAAAGTCAAGGAATGCGATATTGTAAGAGAGGGTTGAGAAAGGCAAGAGCGAATGACTGCGGCCAGAGCAGGAAAGCGAGAGACAAGAGCCAAGGAAACGAGTAGACGAAATCGAAGCTGATGAGGGAACAAAAGAAGAAGATGGTACGAAACAAGAAGAGGAAAAACTCACAACATAAAGGTGAAAAGTGTCGTTGTCGGGTCCATGATGTATATGTGTGTTTTCTGGCGACGCGCAAAACCTGCTTGCTGGGCGACAATCTGCCGATGCGACTCTGAGCTGATACCACCTACGAGGACGTAGGCGCCAGGCGCCGGCGATGAGGAAGCATGCAATGTGGAGATATGGGGAAGCTGTGTTTATAAAAAGACGGTAAAAGAAGATGAAAGGGGATGGGAAGTCTGGCTTCCGACCCAGTGCGACCGAGTATGTCGGCAGTTTGAGGCGATGGAACACGACAGGTCAGCGGCAAAATCGCAGTCGACACACCAGAAGGGGCAGATTGAAGAAATCGAACAGCGCTTGAGCTTCTCCACGACAACCCAAGATTCCTAAAACACGGAACACGCAGTTGTTGATCGCTTGATCGCTTGTCTTGCGCACTCGCCTATCACGTCGTCACGGATGCGATCGAGGGTGTCGTTTCAAAAGGCAGCGGTTGCTGGGTTGCGCAAGTGGTAAGACGGACCAATGACAATGAACGTGCCGTGCCGGTTGTTCTGCTCGGTTTCCGGAAGCGCCGTGCGTCGAAGGCTTGAAGCTGAATGGCGGCGTTGGTTGTGGTGGGGAGGACCAGAAGACGGCGCTTATTGTTTCCTACTCAGGACCAGGGTACGCTGTGAAAGGAACACGATCACGACGTCAAAGCCGAGACACGACGAGATTGAAGCAGCGTCGCGGGAAGGCCAAATCGTCATCCCCGGAGGCTCTGGAACTAAAGGTGGTCATGGCTTCGCTGGCTGCGACGAAAGGGAGGCCATTCAGTTATTATATTGGCCGGCGGCTGGCGGACAACAGTTAAGCAAGAGGCTAGCTCAGAAGCCGACACACTAGGGCGTTGTGCCTGTTTCCAGCTGCAAATTTCAGACGAGCTCGTCCCAATTCGGGGTGTGGACGCCTCCTGTTTTGCCCATATCGCCCCGTTGCCCCGTCGATCCTTGCAGCGAGGGTTGTCCAGCCGGTCCTTTCGAACTAGCTTGTCATTACTGTATCTGACAATGCAAGCCGAGCTGCCAGAGTGTTTTGTGACTGATCTTATCTCGCGGTGGTGCCTGTCCTGCACGTCTTGCGGGGCCGAAAGGCAGCACAATTACAGTGCCTATTGTACTATGTAGCAGGAGCATTATTCCCGCACAGCCACCCGGAAGGAAGATGAGGTAAGTTGCGCCCTGAGAGCGGGCAGCGGGGCGGCGGATTTCCAGCTGAAGATGGACAGTCACCCCTGCAAGCTCGCTTTCCAGCCAATAGGGTGCAGCGTTCATGCAGCAGGCACCTGAAGCAATCTCCCGGTAGCGTCTACCAAAACATGGACAGCACGAAGACTGCGAGCGCGAGCCAGTCGTCTGCGAGAAGCGCTGGAAGGACAAGGGAAGTCAAACATGAGCATTTCGACATCGACGTTGGCGTTCCAGCCCAAGAGATTGACATCAAATGACGAATAAGCACGTGTAACAGCCCTTTGGCAGATCCAATGCAGCGAGAAATGGACGCTGAGCGACGTTCTGCGATATTGTGGGACACGGAGTGGCCGCACTCGTACTCCGTACGACGTACGTCTGCCCATCAGGCAAATCTCTCTTCGCTGCAGAGAGTCGAGCCATTGAAAATCATGCCGTACGAGGCGACGCGCAACTCGGGCAGTGAAAAACAATGGGACAGTGCTACTATCTAAAACACAAAGACGTGCGGCCTTTAACCTGGGGACCCACGCTGCCTTTCGAAACGTCTTACTTCCACCAATCCGACGTCGTGCTTCCATACTTGTGCTGTGCAGAGATCGGGCTCAACAGCTGTCCGCACTCCGTACGGAATACTCCATAGTATCGAGATATCTCCCGGTCTTGGTGGGCTCGCTGTTTCTGAGCAGACCGACTTCTTCCGTCTTACGAGAGAGTCATGGTGTACCGCAGTATGTACTCCGTACGTAACGATGAACTCTGCGTCTGATACTCCTACGACGTACTCGTACTCGTTCCTGCTAAGGAAGGACAGTCAGCATGGCTACGGCGTGCTTCTGTGCTCGCACCACGCGGATCAGCCCCTACAAATTTTTATAAAGTACATTACTACACGGTCTCATAGTGCTTGCATACGAGACAGGAACAGCGGTGACATCGTTGCAGTGAGGCTGGACAGAAAGCCGAATCCGCGCCTCCACCCCCCCGTTGATCTACTTGCTCTTCGGGCCTGAACGGAGTCCGGCTGTCTTTGGGCTGCTCCGGTTGCTTTCGCAGACCGCTCCCACGATCAGTCTTGGTGCCACATGTAGCGCACGGGACTTGCCCAAACGACTGAGAGGTTTCACATGCGGCGTGCGCTGGCGGTTCTGCTGTATATGGGTTGTGTAAAGAATTTGACTATATTATCATTATATCTGTGAGTGGTGCATCCACTCGCTATTGCACCTGTCGAGCATTGTATCCCATACCCGTTTGGCCGGCTTTCTTGCCGTTCGTTTTCGTATACGCGCATCTCCCGTATCAAAAGCACCCGTTCCAGTTTCTATTTGAGCGTGACAATTTTGCCGTCTCATCGATGTGTTTTGGTGTTTGGTAGTTTTCATATTTTTGTCCTTTGGGTGCCATGCAGCTGCAAATCAGATCGATGCATGGTCTTGTCGTAGTGCACTTCTGTGGTGCCGAAATATTCATACCCAGCCCCAAAGTCGAGGGAGCGAACCGAGAGAAGACAATGCACTTCTGCCAAAGCAAAAAAACGAATAAGCAACAAAGAGCCATATTACAAGAGACAAACAACGCCTGCTCGACGCCCAAAAAGAAGCCTTGCCTCCCATCGTAACCTGCACTATCCCTGAAAGCCAGGGGAAGGGAGGTGGGTGAAAGAACCCCCCAGCAACACAACCATGAAGTGAAAGAGAAGGTGTGACTAAATAGAGTACGGACAAAGGTAGAGAGGATGAAAACAAATGAAGGATTAGAAGCGAATGAGCAGATGCCATGGCGGCTTCTCGAGGCAGGCCAAAGGAAACACTGTTGGTGGTCGTCTCGTCCCTACTGAGCCTTTCCAGCCTTCTGGTCGGCAGCTGCCAGAGCCATTTCCTTGTACTTCTTCGCCGCGCTCTCGCGGTCGCGGGCATACTTGAGCTCAGTCTCGCCCTCCCACATGGTGCCCAGAATGCGGTCCCAGAAGGTGAAGAACGGCTGTGAGAAGTTGGTCTTGATGCCCCAGCCCTGGTGGTGGATGTCGTGGTAGGCAGCGTTGTTGCTGGTAATGTTCTGCAGGGGGTCCCAGGGCAAGGCATAGCCACAGTGGTCGTCCACAGTCTTCATCGTGCTGAAGACGAAGAAGAGCATGCCCAGGCGCGACGACAGGAAGGCACACTTGTAAGCGAGGCCGGCACCGACCGTGTCCAGCACAAAGCCCTCCATGGGGTGGTTGTAGAGCGCGCCGTACGCATACGGAACATAAAGACGGTGGTGGCGGGAGTGCCAGTTGACTGAGCAGGAGACAGTCAGTACGAGGCCGAAGGAGGGGCAGCGAGATAGGAGTCAGTCAAACATGATATACATACCATACATCCACTTGTTTACGTGCATCAGACGGTGCCAGAAGTACTGCCACCCGTCCAGGACAAAGACGGCGAACCAGAACTGGACGGTCGGGATGGCGACCCAGTAGATGGCCTTGGCCAGCGTGACCTCCCAACTGGCAAAGGCAGGAACCTCGACGATGCCTGCAGCACTGCCGATGGACTGGGCGTAGTGGCCACCGGCGAGAGCGCCGGCCAGGAGCGGGTGCGAAGCCGACATGCTCTTGGCGAGCGCGCCGGCGTTGAGGCCGAAGATGCCCAACATGGTCGGCAGGGCGCGCTGGGCGATGCGGATGCGCTGGGCCCACACGGCAACGTCGTAGTCCTCCATGCCGGTCATCTGGGTCGGCTCGGTCATAGATAGAACCATGGTTGAGGCGATCTGAATGATCTGCTCGACAATGACGTCGCGGGCCACCACGAGGCGCGTGGCTTTGTTGCGTGTGCTGATCTCCTCGGGAGTGTGCAGACGGTACTGCGGGAACAGGTCATAGGTATCGATCAGGTGGAAGATGGAGGAGAGGATCCAGTAGCCGATGTGCGGCAGGATGGCGGACAGCCAAAAGTCGGAGATGAAGGGGAGGAGGTCGGGAAGCGGTGTCGAGGTGTAGGCCGGCAACGGCGGCAGGTCGCCGGCGGCTGTGCCGTTGGCCATGCCGAATGTGATGTTGCTCATGATACGAAATCTCTGACGAGAATCGATCACGGAAAAAAAAGGGGGTGGATCGCCACGGGTCGTTGCAGAAACGGGCGGACAAGAGCCACTTCCTTTTTCCTGACTGAAAAGGAAGACAACGGGTTCGGCAAGACGAAGGAGAGTCTTGAAGATGTGGAGAGAGGAGAAGAGAGGAGAGTGTCAGGAGAAGGGGGGGCAAGGGGGCCTTTTTAAAAAAACGAAACCAGGCGAGAGATCGGAACGTCCGGGCGCGGACGATGGGGAGGGGACAGAGAGAGACGGCGGTGCGGAAGAACAGGCGGTGGACAGCACGAGGCTGAACCAGGTGGAATGGCAGTCGGTCGTTTACAGAGTTCGGGTCGTGCGACGTGGTGGTGAAGCCGAGGAGGTTGACGAGAGGCGGCAGACGAAAAAGGAGGGATTTGCCTGATAAAGGAGTGCAAGGGCGCCGGGAAAGGAAATGACGTGAGGAGAGGAGATTGGCCTGCTGCAGCGAGCGCGAAAACACCCTGGAGTGTACGAGCCAGAGCCGAAAAACAGTGGTGGGGTCGCTGATCAACTGCCGTGGCGCAACGCTGTAGGGTCTTTCTACGCTGTTTTCCAGGGCGTGTTCCGGGGGGGAAGGCAATTTCGCCTGAGGGGCGGCCGAATTCTCTCCTGTTGCTGGCGTTGCCACTCCACGTCGGACCACCAAATGCCGGGGGTCTGGGACCGGGCTTTGCAAAGGCCGCGACCTACTGAGCTTCTTACTCGTACACGTGGTCAAGGCTGCGGGAATTAGGGACTTTAAAAGTCGGTGACGCACACGGCTCAGCGCGCCGGTAGCAAGACGCGGATGGTCCTGCTGTTTCTGTCGCCTTAGATAGACGCGTCCGTTTGAGGAGGACGAGAGTGGCTCGACAACGGAAGCGCGTGTCAGCCGATCTCGTGTGCATGATCGACGGACCACAATTGCAATTACGGAGTAGAATGTGGCTTGTAGCGTGGCTAGTGTCTGTGGCTCGTATAGACCCGCAATTCGGATACTGCCTCAGGACGAAACTGTCGGCGAGCCTGTCATTGGTCTGCCACATGGCTGAGAGCTAGTCTTCAAGCATGCTAGCGCCGGCGGGCTGCTCGAGGCTTGGAGACAATACCCCGCCAAAATGTGCTTCCCACTTTTTTTGGCCATTTTTTTTTCATGTCTTTTGCCCCTCGTTAGCCTGTGTGTTTTTCACTATTTGCGAGAGGCTAGTCGGTATAAGAAGGTTTCTTCATCTTTTCCCTTCCTATTTGTCTCTCCCTTTTCGAAAGCCCACCACCCGATCACTCACCCGTTCTGTCCTGCACACCGCCAACATGATCATCTACAAGGTAGGAGACAGCAGAGGAGAGCCACTACCTTTGGCAGAAAGGCCGAGCATATCCCCGCCTCAGACTCGTTGTGAGGAAGAAGTTGGCTAAGACAGATTGGTTTGCAGGACATTCTTAGCGATGACGAGATTATCTCGGACTCGTTCGACCTCAAGGAGGTTGACGACATTGTCTTCGAGGCTGACTGCGCCATGATCACCGAGGGTGCTGTCGATGTTGGTATGTCAAGACGTTGTCTCCACCCTTGGCAGCATGATGAAAGAGCGGGCGGCTGACGATGGGATGTTTTGCAGACATTGGCGCCAATGCGTCTGCCGAGGAGGCTGACGAGGGCACCGAGGACTCGGCTGTGCGGGTCAACAACATTGTGCACTCGTTCCGGCTGCAGTCGACGTCGTTTGACAAGAAGTCGTACCTCAGCTACCTCAAGGGCTACCTGAAGTCGGTCAAGAGCAAGATGCAGGAGACGGGCAAGTCGGAGGAGGAGATCAAGGCGTTTGAGACTGGTGCGCAGAAGTTCGTCAAGAACACGCTGCTGCCCAACTTCAAGGACTTTGAGTTCTACACCGGCGAGTCGATGAACCCGGACGCAATGTACGTTTCCCCCCTCTGGCGCCTTGATTTGCTTTGTTGCTGACTCATCCAGGGTTGTTCTGCTGAACTACCGCGAGGACGGCACGACGCCCTACATCATTGCCTGGAAGCACGGTCTGACCGGCATGAAGGTGTAAGGCACCGACCGATCTTTTACGATGTACCACGTATAGCGGCTGTCAGTGTTCTTTGTGCCTGTTGCTATCAGCCACCAAATTATACAAGAAAGAACATTTTCTGCCTGTCGAGTTGATGTAAGACGGTCCTTTACACAGGACGCCCGTAGCCACATAGAGCGGGGCCATTTTCTTTTTGAATCATACCAATTGGAGGGTCTAGGTGCAAACTACTTGTATGTATTTTCCAGCATCTGCCGGTGCTGCATCATGATATGGTGTCCGTAAAACGCCGAGGATGAAACGTTCATACGGCTCCACAAACTGGTCTCACCACTTCTGCGGCCGCGTTGCCATGGGAATGGGAGGTGGCTCGTCACCGTCGCTGTCGGCCGTTGACGCAGGAGGTGGGGGGCCCCCGGTAGCGAGACCAGGCTTTTTCTTGCCCGGCGGCGGTGGTGGCGGCTTCTTTTTTGCTGCAGCCAGACCAGAGGATGCGCCGGTTCCCATCTTGGCAAAGCGGGCCTGCAGTTCGTTCATCTGGGGGGCGGCGGCGGAGGCGGCGGCGACAACGCTGTGAGCCGTAGCAGGGTGTGCTGATGTTGGTGCTGGCTGGGAAGCGGTGGACGAGGCAGCCGATGCGATGGCCGAGAAGGCGGTGGAGCGGGCAGAGTGCTGGGCGGACGTGCTGCCGCCGATGCCGAATCCGGGGACGGAGATGCCGGCACTGCCCAGCCTGCCGATGGCAGCCTGGTTGAGGTAGCCGTCGCTGGGAGGAGCAGCCACGACAGATCGTGTTGGGGGCGGTGGATGTGGGCTCGCAGCAGCCGGAGCTGGCGAGCGGGGGGGCAGTCGGGGAGGAAGGCCGGGCGGCTTGGCGGTTGATGGAGCTGATCGAGCAGAGGACGGAGATGGAGATGGAGAGCGGCTGCCGGCGCCGTCTCGACGAAGAGGAGGCGGTGGCAGATGTGCGGTCGAGAGACCGGTGGTGTCGGTGCGAAAGGGTCGAGGAGGCAGTGGCGGGTCGTCGGGATCGGTGGTGTCATCGGCAGCGGGCGAGGTCCTGCTGTAGTTGCTGCCTGGGCGAACAGGAAGCGGTGGACGGACAGCTCTGTCGGTGCTGTCGCGATCTCCACCACCCAGAGCAACGTGTCGGGGTGGCGGCCCAAAGGAAGCCGGATCCCTCAGCGACGAGATGGGCCGCGAGACATGGTTGGTGACGTGTTCAGACGAGTCGTCGTCGCGTCGGAGGAAGCCAGACTGTGTGAGCGTTGGTGTCAGCAGGCAGCCCTCCCTGTTCCGTATTCTTTTTTTTCTTGTCCTTTTTCTTTTCTTCTTTTCTTCTTCTTTTCCATTTTCCTCTTCCCCTGAACTCACCACCTGCTTCTTCAACGGCTTTTCTTTGTCCGGATGCCAGCCCTTTTTCATCACACTGGAAAAGCCCGACATGATCGGCGGCTGGTCGTTGGCGGGGAGGGAATAGCAGAGCAGTTGCGTCGATGCAATCCTCTTTGTCTAGATGGAGGCTCTGAGCCTGTGGCTACATACTCCGTAAAGTAGTATAAACTACGGAGAACGGAGTACGAGTACGGAGCATGGCGTAGAAAAAAGTGGGCGCCTTGCGATTTAGGTATCCACGAGAGCACGTTACGTCCCCACCTTTCCGCAATCGAGGACGCGTCGCGCTGGAGATTGACGGCCCATACGGAGTATTCTGTGAGATGCTCGTACGGCCACAAGCAGCATGGCTTCCTCAGACACGGAGCTGCTCACGGAGCACTTTGGCTATCCTCCCGTGGTGCGTGCCACTGCCCGATTGTGCTGTCGGTCTCGGCTAATTGCGTTGGCAGAGTCTCCTGGATGACATTATCAACAGCGTCAACATCCTGGCCGAGCGGGCTGTGAGCAGCGTCGAGCAGGCGCTCCTGCGGCAGCCACCGGCCAGCCTCGGATTCAAGGCGGCCAAGAAGGCGTCGCGGCCGGAGGATCGGGCGGCAGCCGAAGCGGCGGCGGCCGAGGCGCACCGCCACGAAGTCGAGAACGGGACGCACCAGCTGGAGACGCTGCTGTGTGCGTCCATCGACCGCAACTTTGACAAGTTTGAGCTGTACGTGATGCGCAACATTCTGTGCGTGCAGCCGGAGGACCGCGACTGGATCCGGCTGGCGCACTATGAGGGGTTAGATTTTGGGGAGGTAGGAGGAGAGGGAGAAGGAGGAGAAAGAGGAGAAGAACAAGGAAAGGATCTTCCCCCCTCGGATGTTGCCATTGCCCGTCTGCACCGCCGTCTGCAGGCCAGCCTGCAGCTCGGCAGCCTGCTGGAGGCCGAGACGGCCCGCAACGACGTGATGCTGGCCCAGCTGCGCGTTCTTGCTGGCGTCACGACCGAAGCCGAAGCTGAAGCTGGAGCCGGAGCCGATGTCGCGAAGAGCGAACCATCGCCGGAGCCGGCGTCCCACTTCGGCTTTTTGCTGGACCGTGGTCCGCTGACCGAGAGCGACGTGGCCGCACCACTGACCACGACAACGGCCTTTGCCCTGTCGCAGCTGCCGGCGCTGCGTCAGCTGTCGGGCACGTTGCGGCAGATGGCGCCCGGACTGGAGGACAGGAGCACCAGTATCAGTGCCAAGGCTGACAACGAACACGACGACCCCCACGACCCCAAGTCGTGGCGCCGCGAGCGGCTCGAGTACGTCGAGGGGGCTACGCGCAAACATCTGGAGCGGACCCGCGGACTGGGACTCGGCCGCCATGGAGAGCTCGTGCAATCCAACAGCCAGCAGACGGTCGGCGATTTGAACAGCAACAGCACCTTGGCCGTCGAGCCCGACGCGCTCTCCAACATCCTCAGCATCCTGCGGGAACACCGGCGGCCAGACGAAACTACAGACGGCGAGGCTATGGACCAGTCGTAGCTCCATACTGCTCTTTCGGTTGGGACTGGGCATGGCATAGACAAGGGCGATTCGGATTGGGTGATTGATGACTAATGTGATTATATACCAGAATCTGGGCTTTACGGCTAATACTCGGCTTATACCCAGTACACGTACTCTCGTACTCTCGTAGTCAGTCTGCTCACTGCTGCAACAGGCCGTGCTCTGCAGCCAGGTGCCAGAACCGGTGCCGGAACGGGCGAGCCCGCACTGTCTCGCCGTCCTGCGCCAGCAACATCTTCTGGGCCTGGACCTTGGCGACTAGCCGGGCAGCAGCCTCCCAGTCGGCGTTCCGCACGAGTGCGCGCAGCAGGCTTTCGAGCGTCGATGGCGTCACCGACTGCGAGTCGGCAATGTGCTCAAAGTAGCGCTGCGCGCTGACCGTGTCGTCGACCCGGGCGAATCCGCTGACGACGCATTCCCAAAAGACCCGGTCGAACTGCGGAGGCCGGAGACGGTGACGATGGATTGGGATGTTGGCTCTCTGTGCTCTCGGGGCCATCTGCGCTTCCTCACCCTCTCCCTCACCCTCTTCCCTACTCCCCTCCATTCGCTCCCCCCTCCTCATCCCCGTCTCGATCAGCGCCCGCACCGCCTCCAGGTCCGGAGGCCGCTGTGAAAAGTAGTGTTCTGCCAGGATCGTGCAGACATGCGATGACAGCGATAGCCCGCGTGCAGCCATGTGGGCCAACACCACCTCAACGGCCGTGTCCACCTGCTCCTGATGCTGGCCGTCGCTGCCGCCCTCCTGCAGCAGCAGGTGCACCATCTTGGCATACGTCTGTTGGTTGGCCACCAGGCCAGACGCCTCGACAACTGCCAGCATCCATCGGACCGTGTCTTCGAGGTCACGGTGGCTGTTTTTGGATTCGCCTCCCCGGCCTCTCTGCCCTCTCCGGCCACCACCTCCTCCTCCTCCTCCCAATGCTCCCTCCAGTAGCACCGTCACGGTCGCCTCGTCCGGCTGCATGCCCAGCCGCGCCATCATCTCCAGCAGCCCGGCCACCTCGTCGCCGCGGCCCTCGCGCACGAGTGGTCGTAGGATCGTGTTGAACGTGATCAGATCGGGTGCGATCCCATGTCGTCCAGCCCACCCGAGAATCTGCCGTGCCGCCCCCAGGTCGCCGCGTCGCAGCAGCCCAACAATGGCCGCGTTGACCGGCCCAATCGTCGGCTTCACCGCAGTCGTCTTTGTCTTTGTCTTTGTGTCTGCATTCGCCGCCTCCCACAACTCTTGCATCTCCTCCAGCGCGCGGATGCCTGCCTCGGCCTCGCCGGCTTGGATCAGCCCTGAGATCCGCGCCGTCCACACGGCCGTGTCCATCGGCATGCCTGACGCCACCAGCTTGTCCCAAATATTGCGGATCCCCGTCGGATTCGACGCCCGCTTGCAGCCCTCCATAAAGGACGTCCACGTGCGCAGCGTCGGCGTCACGCCCGCCAGCGCCATCAGGTTCCAGATCCCAATCGCCCGATCCGGCTGCCGCATCGTCGCAAACGCCATGATGAAATAGTCAAACAGCTCTGCGCTCTGCCGCAACCGGTCCGCCCCGTCTGCGTCCGGCACCGTCACCGACGACCAGAACACGTCCCAGGCCGCCTCGCACGCCCCCAGGTTGCGTGCCCGCAGTGCCTGGCTCAGCTGCCCGTGGACGGCGTCTAGCGACGATGATCGGCCCCGCGGTCGTGGCATTGGGCCCAGCTGCTGCTTGTTGCTGCTGCTGCTGCTGCTGCTGCTGTCGCTCTCACGGCTCGTTTCCGACAAGGGCCATCGCCCCAGCACGTAGGCGCCCAGGTCTGGCCGCGCCACGAACATGTCTGCCACAGCCGCCCGGTCGACCGGCACGGCCGCCAGAATGGCCTCGATGGCCTCGAGAAACTCGTGCGCCCTCGTCTTGACCTCGGCCTCGGCCACCCCGCCAACCACGTCCGGGTCCGTCAGCAGCGCGTACGTCGCCAGCACGGCCGGGACCACCGGCTTCAGGCTGCGCGGTGCGTAGCGCGGAAACAGCCCAGCCAGCCCCAGCTTCAGGTTGCGCTGGCGGGCGTATCTTGCCAGCAGCATGGCGTCGGGTGTGGGCAGCCGGAACGAGTCGGCCGCCTCCTGGCCCAGTGCCTCCTCATCGGCCACCACCATATCGGGCAGGCTGAAGATTCGCCAGGCCTGCACCAGATCATCCAGCCGGACAGCACGACTCCCGGCCAGCTCCTCGTCCTGCCTCGTCGACAAAACCTCCTCCACCAGACCCAGCACCAGCGGCACCCACAGCTCCGGCATGTTGAGCAGGTCCAGCTGGCGACGCACCTGCGTGATGCGTGCCACCGACGGCAGGTCACCCGTCCGGTAGTCACGCTGGCGGGCTGCCGAAACTTCGTGCACCAGCTTGCGGGCTGCCTGCTTGAAGATGTTGGGCAGGTCGCGCGGCGCCTCGGCCATCAGCGGGTACATCTGGCTGTCGAAGAAGGCGTACAGCTCCGCAATGGTAACGGCCGGCTCTGACTGTAGCTGTGTCAGCTTCACCAGCTGCTGGTAAAGCTCTGTACCGCCTGCGAGGGACCTTCCTGCTGGTGGCTGCTGTCCCTCCTGCTTCTCTACAACGTCTCGGAAGACGGCCAGGGCACCGTCGTCGAGCTGCCGTGGACGCCTCTTTCTTGGAGCTGCCGAGAAGCTGGCTGCTCTCCCTCTGCCAACAGCTGTGTGCCATGGTCCTCGGAGAGTCGTTGCCGCTGCTGCTGCCACCGCGGCGTGGGCAGCCTGCGACGACAGCCTCACGCGGCAGGCAAGACAGATCGCCCGGGACTCCCTCATCGATGCGGGCGTGATGCGTGATGCGTGATGCGCACTCCGTGTTGCGGTGCTGTTGGGACTTGTCTCTGCTCAAGACCTTTGCATTCGCTCGTCTCCAAGCAGCTATTTTTCCTCGCACTGCGGCGCACCTTCCCTTTCTGCCAGAGCGATCGGCCGTGTGGACCCTTTCACCGCTGGCAGCGGGGCCTGCTGGCGTATACGCTTGATGACTAATCACTATTCCGAAGTACTAGAGACACGACGGAGGCATCGCGCTGTCCTCTCTCTCATCCGCTGGTCAGCCGTGTAGCCGTCGTCTTTCTTTGGTATCGCAGGGGCTCTGGTATCCCTTCACAGCAGTCATAGGTCGTCTACACGGACCACCACACAGCGCCACCTCAGCCAATTGGGCCACAACTGCACAACGTCACGGGCCACGATGACGAGTCTCGTTCCACGCAAGCCGTACACGGACGAGGAGCTTGGCCGGCTGTACCCGGCAGGGCTACAGCTACAGCTGGTGCAGGTTCTGATGCGGCACGGAGAGCGGACGCCAGTGTCACCGCGGTTCGAGAACACGGGCCTGCAGCCGTTCTGGCCGTACTGCTCGGCCTTTCGACGCTTCCAGTCGGCCGTGCTGACGGACGACCAGGATCCGGGCGTGGTCGGCGGAGGGGCGGCAACGCAGCCGCTGGGCTCGCTGGCCTGGCGACGGCGGCTAGAGACGTTTGGTAGCGACGACGCGGCCGTGCCGGCAACGGGAGGCCGTGAAGGCCGTGGAAACCACAAAGACCGACAGCTGGACGCGCTCTGCGACATGGGCATGCTGACAGACCCGGGCCGGGCATCGACGCTGCGGCTGGGTCACCGGCTGCGTCGCCTGTACGTGGAACAGCTAGGCTTCCTACCGCCAGCCATCGGCCCCGGCGACGCCGACCGGCTCTTCTATCTTCGCTCGACCCCGATTCCACGCGCACTCGAATCGCTGCAGCAGGCCTTTTCCGGCCTCTACCCCGAAACGACGAGACCACAGGCCGGCCGGGACGTCAAACCCATCACGATCATCGCGCGCGAGCCCGCCGACGAGACGCTCTTCCCCAACGACGGCAACTGCCGGCGCTTCGCCGAGCTCTCGCGCGCGTTCGCCCAGCGAGCCGCCGATCGATGGAACGACTCGGCCGAGCTCGCCCTCGTCACCCGCAAGATCGGCCGCTGGCTACCGCCCTCGAATCCCCGCGTCGCCGTCGACGGACGACCGCGCCTCTCCGGTATCATGGACACCGTCAACGCCACGCTCGCCCACGGTCCCGACACCCGTCTGCCACCCGAGTTCTATGACGATCAGGTCCGCCACAACATCACCGCCGTCGCCCTGCAGGAGTGGTTTGACGGCTTCCACGAGTCGCTCGAGTACCGCACCCTCGGCATCGGCGGCCTCATGGGTGACCTCGTCGCTCGCATGGTTCGCCACGCTGAGATCAAAAATGTCGCTGCCTCGGCTTCTGCTCCCGACAACATGTTCCGCTTTGGCCTCAGCGGCTGCCATGACACCACCCTCGCTGCCATTCTTGCCAGCCTTGGCCATCGCATGGACGCTTGGCCGCCCTTCACCAGCCACCTGGCCCTCGAGATGTTTCATGGCCCTTCTTCCTCTTCCTCACCGCCTCCCAAGCCTTCTGCCGGCTGGTCTGCCCTCGTGCCCTCGGCCTTGTCCGGACGCCAGACGGCTGCCCCCATCGGCCGCAAGCCGTCCCCCGAGCTGTCAGATGCCCAGAAGCAGAAGCTCGACGGCTACTACGTGCGTATCCGCTACAACGACGAGCCTGTCACCATCCCTGGATGTCGCCTGCCGGGGAACCATCTTGAGGGTGACGAGTCATTTTGCACTTTGGTAGGCCATTCTTTTTTTTTTCTTTCCTTGTTGTTTTGTTTCCTTTTCTTCCTTTCTTTCTCTCTTTTTCTCTCTATTCTTTTCCTTCTTCCTTCTTCCTTCCTCCTTTGTTGTTCTTCCTCTCTTCTCCTTCCTCTCTAATACCCTCTAGAAAGCCTTCAAGGCTATTGTCGACAAGTACACACCGCGCAACTGGAAGCAGCAGTGCCACAGCAACCTGAGAACACAGGCTCTGCCCGACAAGCCCGAGCCTTCGGGCTTCTGATAGACTAGATCACCTTACCCGTGGCTGACTCATCCTCCCGTCTAAATGAGGGGGAACATCCTGCATGACATGACCACAAGAACCGTATCATATGTGTTACGACCTGTTCCATGGCCATTTGTATAACTCCCCGTCGCTGTCTCTCCTCGTTCCCATCTATGTCAGTAGCTCCAATTCATCCGCCTATCCAGCTCTGTCACGGTATGGCTTCCTCCTCCTCCTCCGCCTCCACCCTCCTTCACTACGATGACGTCGTCGTCGGTGCCGGCCAGTCGGGCTGTCCGCTGGCCATTGCCCTAGCTGCTGCCGGCCGCAAGACCGCCGTCGTCGAGCGCGCCCACGTCGGCGGCACCTGTGTCAACGTCGGCTGCACGCCCACCAAGACACTGATCGCGTCTGGCCGCATGGCCCACCTGGTGCGTCGTGCCCGTGACTACGGCGTGGACCCAGGCCGTGATGATGTCGTCGCCGTCGACATGGGCCGCGTGCGCCAGCGCCAGCGCGACATGGTCTCGTCGTTCCATGCTGGCAGTGAGGCGCGTCTGCACAAGGCCGGCGTGCACCTCATCCGCGGCGAGGCCGCTTTTGCCGGGCCCAAGACGCTGCACGTGACCCTTGCTGGAACTTCCGCAACTTCTGAAATCTCCGAAACCACCGAAACCCCCGCAAAAACAACCCTCCAGGCCGACCGCATCTTCCTCAACGTCGGCGAGCGCCCCCTCTGGCCTAACAACCTGCCCGGCCTCGACGCCGTCGCCGACCGGTCGCACCTGCTGGACTCGACGTCTATCCTCGAGCTCGATGTCGTGCCGCGTCACTTGCTTGTCGTCAGTGGCAGCTATGTCGGCCTCGAATTCGCCCAGCTCTTCCGGCGTCTTGGCGCCGCCGTCACCGTTGTCCAGCGTGCATCCCAGCTGCTGCCACGCGATGACCCCGACGTTGCCGCCTGTCTCACCGACATTCTGCGCGGAGAGGGCATGACCGTCCACCTCTCGGCCGAGGTGGTGTCACTGTCGTCGTCGTCGTCGTCGTCTGACTCGAAACACCTTCCCCTGGCTGTACACATCGCCCCGGTTGACTCCCTTGCCGACACCTCCGTCATCCACGCCAGCCACATCCTCCTCGCTGCCGGACGCACTCCCAACACCGAGCGGCTCAACCTCGCCGCCGCTGGCATCCGCACGACCACTCGTGGTCACATTGTCGTCGACGATCGTCTTGCCACCAGCTGTCCCGACGTCTATGCTCTCGGAGACGTCCATGGCGGACCGGCCTTTACCCACATGGCCTATGACGACTACCGCATCCTCAAGGCCAACCTGCTGCCGTCAGGCTCGGCCCACACAAAAGACATGACCACGGCCACCTCGCTGTCACGCCGTCTCGTGCCGTACGTCGTCTATACGGACCCGCAGCTCGGCCACGTCGGCCTGCACGAGCGCGACCTGGCCACTGCGTCCGGCCACGGCCATCACCGCCACGTCAAGACCGCCACCATGCCCATGAGCTACGTCGCCAGGGCCTTGGAGACCGATGAGACTCGCGGCATGATGAAGGCCACCGTCGACGCCGACACCGGTGACACCCTCGGCTTCTCCTGTCTCGGCATCGAGGGCGGGGAGGTCATGGCCGTCGTGCAGGCAGCCATGATGGGCGACCTCAAGTGGTGGGACCTTGAAGCCGCCATCTGGGCGCATCCTAGTCTGGCCGAGAGCCTCAACAATCTCTGGGCCTTGTTGAAGTGAGGGCGAAAGGATGAAAAGAAGGTTCAGTGTAGGCTTTTGTGGAAAATGCACAGCTATGCAGCAGTCTCCAAGTCCGCTCCGTCCAGATGCCTTGTCATGTCTGCCGCTGTTGCTTGCTGTTCCTTCTCCCGCGCAGCCTCTGCCCGCGCTCGCTTCTTGCGGGCCCGCCGCACCTCAATCTCCACTGCCGCCATCTCGGCGTTGACGCTTGCCAGCCGCGGAACAATGCTGTCTACCGCCTCGATGGCCTCCTTTTGCGCCAGCCGCAGAGCCATTGGCGTCAGCATCCCGAACCACTGAAGCGGATCCCGCAGCGGCCGCACCACCTTGGCTGCCTTCTTCCCGGTCTCGCCGGCCTCATTGCCAGCCTTGTCCGTGCTTCCGCCCGTGCTACTCTCCTCTTTCGCCACTGGCTTTGCCGGTCTGCAGATGGAAAAAGACGGTACGTCGCCAGTCGTACCGTTAACCTCGGCTTTAAAAGACATTTCGACGCGTGCCGTGGCCTGCATGCGACCGTCAAAGTGGTCTGGACCGTAGCGAAAGCCACGTTCAGCAGCAAAGTTCGCTCGGGTCAGCTGGCCATACATAGCAGTCTGACGGGCCACCAGCGATTCTCGCAGCCGTGTGTACTCATCCAAAAGGCCGAGATAGCGCACGAGCAGGTCGTCTATATTTTCTAACGTCATGGTTTTGTAATAGGCCGTGAAAGTGGCTGCCTGAATGTTTGTACGGAGTATGGAGTTATTACGGAGTTCTCCGCAACATCGCTTGGCTTCCAAAACGCAGATAGGTGTATGCATCTAACAGTTCGCGCATTCATGCAACTAGGCGAGGTACATGATTACGCGGTGCTAGAACACGAGCTCCTAACGCAGCTCCTATCCTCTTTGGGCAAGCAATTAGTTGCGGCAGAAGATACAGATTGAAGGCCCGGGACCCATGATACAAGCTTTGCCTATGACGGAAGACAGAGCGATTCCTTCATTTCGGGTGTGACGAGCCTGCGCTACGAGCATGAGCGATATGAAAGGACAGAGGAAACATCCAACGCGGTGATTGATGCCGCGAACGGCTTCAGGACTTGGCGGGCTTATAAGACGCTGCCTATGTGCCAATGACTGCTGCACGAGCCCGCTGGCCTGTGCACAAGTGCTCGCACAGATACGTCCGCATGCATTTTCTCCTGTCACTGGCGCATGCGGAAAGGTGCAGGCGGAGGGCCAGAGAACAATGGCAGGATGAAACGGCAGTGACGATCTCTCTGTCGGAGCACGAGCTGCAGTCTGTCCTTGCAGGTCGGGGCGAACCCTATCGGCTCTTTGGTCATCTGCGTCTCTGGGCTATGTAGATGCCGCTTCGTCATGGCTGGGTGGCGAGATATTGCTGCTGATCTGACGAGTAATACGCCGGGTCTGGTGCGTTGTCCCTGCTGCAGAGGACAAATTGATCTCGTCGAAATTCCTCCTGCTCCGTGCAGATACACACTCGTATGTATTAAGAGCTCCACCGCCTCCGAGCGAGGGCCGCGTTTCACCAAAGAGATTGGGCCCAACAAATGTCAGGCGGGCACGACCCAGGGAGGAGCATTGTGGCTGCCTCAGGCCGCACTGCCAGACCGGTACAGAATGTGCTGGTTGACACTCGCCGGCGAGTCGGCCAGCGACGATGCACGCCTGCGTTCCGGGCAGGTGCGAGACAGGGTGCCTTCCAGGCCGCGCGCGCTGCACAATCACCGGGCGGATGCGCTCCAGCCAGAAGCTCAGGCTCCAGACTGCATGCTGCCCAGGCTGCCCAGATTCCCGCATCCTCTCGCCTGCAGCGCGGCCATGTCTGAGAGCGTATCGCGCCGATCGTGCCTCTCTCTGGAAGGAAGAGGGCGAGAGCAGGATACCCCGTGCTCCGTGCCCTGCTCCGTATCGTATCTGACCTGCGCGCCAATCCACAAAGATGCTGCGATGGGCCAAAGCGAGAGAGCATATCTGCCCCGGCGGTCAGCTAGCTCAACCAGCAACCTACGGAGTAATATCTTAAGATACATACCACCCCCTGGGCAGCTGGCTAACCTCGCTGTCACCCATACCCACCATTTAGTGTGTCGTCCCTCCGTAATTGTGAGAAATGTGAGGCTTGTGTCGCCCAAGTCGCCCAACCAGCCAGCCAGCCAGCTCTCTCTTCAGTACGCTCTTCCCTATCGTGTCCTGTCCTCTGCCCTTTGGAAAACCCTTGCGCGCGCTGTTTGCTCCCCCCTTACGACGTAGTCGTAGAGCCCTCGGTCCCCTCTTTACATCTCCCCATCCCCCCTTTTCCGCCATAGTTCCCCTTCGCTCATCATATCTGCCCTCGTGTCCCGTTCTCTCCCTTCTTGACGAGCTTGTCCCTCGCATTTACCGTCTTCTTCGCTCTGCTAATCCGGCAAACCCCTCTTTTCCATTCTCCACTTTTATCGACCACTTTGCCTGTACAGAGTACATAGTATTAGGCCTGATTTTGTAGTGACCGCCTAAAGGCTAAGTAAGGCCTACGCCAAATCTGCGGCCTGATTGCTATCCACCCCATTTTCTGCCCTCCGCCCTCCCCATCCTACCCTACCTGCTGCCTTATCCAACAAATCTATTCCGCCTACCTGTTCCATCGTGTCTCGACCCATCGTCGCCCTCTACCAATCCGACCGAAAACAACGACCAGGACACGCAGCCAAACGAACAGAACTGATAGGACAGAGTTAGTGGCGGTGCTGCAATACTCTCTACCAGACCTCATCCACTCCACCGATCGAGAAGCGCCATCGACTCATTCGTATCTCACCCCATTGCCCTCTTCCCAGGAAGTATTACACCGTTTCAGCTATGGTTGTTGCCACAATCAAGTATGTCCATCTCAAGCGACCCGTTCTCCCACACCCTGTCGGGGTGTCTGTTCTGTTGCGTCTTGTTTTCGTATCCGGGAGCTGCAATGCGCTTCCATGCGGTCCTCGGCTCTACGCGCATTCACGTCCGAATGCAGTTCTGCCAGATACGCTACGGGGATTAAAAAAAAGGGGGAAGCCCAAATCGGACGGGCGAGGAGAGCATCGGGACAATCCAGGCCTCGTCGAGAACAGCACGCAGGCGGTCAAACGAAGGGATTGGCTTTGCTGACCACGCCTTGTCTAGGTGTGTGGTCGTTGGTGACGGTGCGGTCGGAAAGACCTGCCTGCTCATCAGTTACACAACGAACAAGTTCCCCTCCGAATACGTTCCAACTGTCTTTGACAACTATGCAGTCACCGTTATGTAAGTGCCCGCGCCGATTCCCGAAAGTGGGTATGGCATGTTAACATGGAGTTTCCCTCCGCAGGATCGGCGATGAACCCTACACGCTGGGCTTGTTCGATACGGCTGGACAGGAAGATTACGACCGGCTGCGACCTCTGTCCTATCCGCAAACCGACGTCTTCCTGGTGTGCTTCAGCGTGACGTCGCCGGCGTCGTTCGAGAACGTCCGAGAGAAGTGGTTCCCCGAGGTGCACCACCACTGTCCCGGCGTGCCCTGCCTGATCGTGGGCACGCAGGTCGACCTGAGGGATGATCCCAGCGTTCGGGAAAAGCTGGCCAAGCAGAAGATGGCTCCAGTACGGAAGGAGGATGGCGAACGGATGGCGAAAGATCTCGGCGCTGTCAAGTACGTCGAGTGCAGTGCCCTGACGCAATTCAAGCTGAAGGACGTTTTTGATGAGGTAAGTCGACGCACCGAAGTGGGTTTCGCCTTGGGGAACAGACGGGCATGGACTAACATTGATATTCAAGGCAATCGTTGCGGCATTGGAGCCCCCTGCACCAAAGAAGAAGTCGCACAAGTGCCTCGTGCTTTAGTGCAGCTACATCTAACTGTTCCAACTCCCGTACCCCGTCTTCCCCGTTCTTCTCGTTGTCTTCTTTATACATACCTCATACACCCCGCTGCTGCTGCATACTCCGCGACTGGTGCTTGTCGCTGCTTGTGGGGCACCATATCCTCGACGGAGCGAGCACTAAACAAATATTAAAGTGGGAAGAGACCATCCATTCCATTTGGCTGTCGACCTGGCGACCATCTCGGAGAGATTGTGTGGAAGCAGGTACTTAGATTTTATTGCTACTGTGGGGGGAGGGGGTGAAGAATAATAGACGATATGGCGACGAGCGATATCTCTACCGGTTTCTTCGGACGATCAGAGCGTCGACAAGAGGGCATGTCATGACGATAAAGCCCGCTCGACATGGCCTTTGCAAATCAGATCTGGGGACACCATCCGGGTGGATTGGCGACGGCAAGATAGGAAAGCAGGAGGTGCTGCCAAGAGTCTGAATGTTGTTTGGGTGCATTACACCAGGCAGGGCTGCGCGATGGGCTTCGCAGCCAGCGAGCAACGATAGCAGTGGTAGTACTCATGACTTTCCTTTCCATCCGGACGGCGCCTTATCTCTTCTCCTTATCCTTTCTACTTATTTTCACACAAGTCAGACGCTTCTTGTTTTGCAGCTTGGGAGCGGAAATATGCCTATTTTTTCGGTTTTGGTTTTGTTTCCCTTTTGTCGATTTAGGACAGAGTTTGGCGATCTGGAGTGCAACTGAGACATTTTTCAAACATCTGAACCTTTCTACTTGATCTATACAGATCTCATTCTTGACAAATAATTGTAATACAGGATTTGTTCTTTCGGATAAGTGTCACTCAGCATTGTCTGTCCCCGCTATCTGTCGGAGTTATTGCGTGCAAAAGGTTTTCCTTCTTTGGGAAAGTGCATCCGATGAACTTTCCCTAGCTACTCTGTCGAGCTATCTTTGGTGGGCTCTAGAGATAGTAGTTCCGTAGGCGTTACCTAACTTCCAATGAAGCCCTGCCTGACGACCGGAATCGGGATACGGAAATTCGCACGATTGTCTTGGCCGCATCTATATATACCCCTTACAAAGCTCGATCCTTGCCTGGTGTCGGGAAGCCGGATTCTTTGTTGTTCTACACCAACTCTTTGGCAAAACGAAGCATGAAAAGCAGCAACATCGGGTCTTGGCTTTTGGCCGGGCTGGCTTTGGCTGGTGTCGATGCTTGCGGTCACCATCACCATCAGGATGCCCCCCTGTATACGGAAGAGCAGCTGGCCGAGCTAGAGCGCAAATGGGGGCAAGACGTACGTCTGCGATGCGAGTTGCCACCATGTGCCGGTTCCTGCAGCTGACTTGGCTCTTTCTCTCTCTCTGTTTTTCCCTCTCTTTTAGTGGACATTCACCGGAATTGGCTCGTATGCCCATCTTGACTACGTCAAGTGCCTGACGACACCGTCGGAGCTGTATGACATTGCCATCATCGGGGCTCCCTTTGACACGGCGGTGTCGTATCGGCCAGGAGCCCGTTTTGGGCCCCGGGCCATCCGCCAAGCCTCCAGCCGGCAGTCGGCCATGCGGGGCTTCAACCACCGGGCGGGTGTGAACCCGTACCTCAGCTGGGCACGTATCCTGGACTGTGGCGACATTCCGGTCACACCGATCGACAACGCGGTGGCGCTGGCCCAGATGACCGAGGCGTTCACCGAGCTGGGCAGCCGGGCGCCGGCATCGCCGTCTGTACTGGCGCGGCCTCGGCTGATCACGCTCGGTGGTGATCACAGCCTGGCACTGCCAGCGTTGCGAGCGCTGCGCACAATCTACGGGAAGCCGCTGCGGGTGATTCACTTTGACGGTGAGCTGCCCCAAGCCTCTTTTCTTTCTCTTTCCTCCCGAACGGATTCTGACATCTTAGCCCACCTCGACACATGGCATCCGTCCAAGTACCCATCGGCCTGGCCGTCTGAACAGGCGCAGTTCAACCACGGGTCCATGTTCTGGCTGGCCGGACGGGAGGGTCTCCTGAGCAACGCCAGCAGCGCGCCGTCGGTGCACGCCGGTCTGCGGACGCGGCTGACGGGCGCCGACTACGCCGACTACACCGAAGATGACGACCAGAACTGGGTGCGGCTGATCGCGGACGACCTGGACGATATGGGCGTCAAGGGCGTGCTCCAGTCGATCCTCGACCACATCGGCAACACCGACGACCCCGTGTACCTGTCGGTCGACATTGACGTGCTGGACCCTGCGTTTGCGCCGGGCACCGGAACGCCCGAGCCCGGCGGCTGGACGACGCGCGAGCTCATCCGCATCCTGCGTGGCCTGGAGGGCCTCAACATTGTGGGGGCCGATATCGTGGAGGTGTCGCCGGCATACCAAGGCGCCGGCGAGGAGACAGCGCTGGCAGCAGCCCAGGTGGTCTACGAGTTCATCACGTCCATGGTCAAGCGCGGCATGGCCGAGATGGGCAAGGAGGCGGTGGAAGAGGACCTGGCGTTTGTGGACCAGCACGCTGTCAAGGAGCTGTAGGTGAGTAGACTAGACTGGTCTAGATCTGGACGAAAAGCTCGTGTTTTTCCTGTATTTCTTGTATTTCTTGTACATCCTGTATATCTGGGACCTTTGCAAATCAGCATGCCTTGTTTTTGTGAACGGACAACATTCTCAACGGCACAGCTGTCGGGTTTCCGCATCGCTGTGACTCAGGCTAGATAGGAGAGTCTCAAACACGGCTCCTGGAAATCGGTGACTCAAACGATCGGCTGAGCCCCGCCTGCATTTTGGCCCTATTTAATATTTTGTTACACCCCCACTATCAGGGTCCCTTTTTCACTCTTCCTTCTCTCCCAAGGACCCAGACAAGACGCAGGAAAGCCAATTGCTCGTGCTTATACTGCCGCGGAGACACAGACGACTTTGCCCCAGTGCATGCTGATTTTATTACTTGTCGTCGAGTCAAAGTGCAATAAAGAACGGTCGCTGTCAAAGAGCGTTAAGCCCCCTCTCCACGTTCCATATCGACATGGCAACGACGCAAGAACCGGCTGTTCGCGTGGCAAAGATGGAAGCACCGGCAGTCGACAAGGTGTATGTGGACACGGATGTCGGAATAGACGACGAGACAGCAGACGGCACGGAGGCCAAGCCGTACAAGTCGCTGGCCTACGCGTACATCCAGAACATCGACAAGACGGGCAAGGAGTATTTAATGCGGGCATCGACGACGACAACGGCAGGTGGCGACGCAGCAGACGAGGCTATGCGGCTGCAGTGGAAGGCACCGGCCAAGAGCACAGCCAAGAAGGCGCAGACGCTGCTGGACGGCCACAAGAAGAAGCTGGCGAAGCTGCAGCAGACGCAGGCCAAGGAAGAGGAGCAACGGCAGCAGCGAGCCAAGAACCTAGAGGCAGCGAAGCTGGTGAAGCTGTCGGAGGACACGACGCTGCCAGCGGCAAAGACGATCAAGCTGTGGCAGAAGGACGTGCCGCTGGGCGAGGCGGCCAAGGGCAGCAAGGGCACGCGGGTGCGAGTGTTTGGGCGGATTCACCGGCTGCGGGCACAGAAGCAGGCGACGTTCCTCACGCTCAAGGACGGATACGGCTACCTGCAGTGTGTGCTGGCGGCGGGCCCACTGACGCAGACGTACGAGGCGCTGCTGTTTGCGCAGGAGACATCGCTGTGGGTGTACGGCGAGCTGCGGACGGTACCGGAGGGAGCGACGGCACCGGACGGCCGCGAGCTGCACGTGGACTTCTTCGAGGTGTTTGGACGGGCACCGGGCGACGCCGAGGCGATTACGAACATTGTGGCGACGGGCCAGCAGGATCCGTGGGAGGCGGACATGCTGGACAAGCGACACCTGGTGCTGCGCGGCGACAAGGCGTCGGCAGTGATGAAGCTGCGATCGATCCTGTACGAGTCGTTTGTGCTGGCGTACCGGCAGCGACGGATCGCCGCCGTGTCGCCGCCGGCGTTTGTGCAGACGCAGGTCGAGGGCGGCTCGACGCTCTTCCGGGTGCCATACTACAGCGAGGACGCGTACCTGACGCAGTCATCGCAGCTGTACCTCGAGACGTGTCTGCCGAGTCTGGGCGACGTGTACTGCATCGAGAAGTCGTTCCGGGCCGAGAAGAGCCTGACGCGGCGCCATCTGGCCGAGTACACGCACATCGAGGCGGAGCTGGACGGGATCGTGTTCGAGGACCTGCTGACGCACGTGGAGGACATGATCTGCGCCGTGGTGGACGCGGTGCTGGCGGATCCGGCCGGCCGCGAGCTCGTGCAGCTGCTCAACCCGGGCTTCGTCAAGCCGGCGCGGCCGTTCCGGCGGATGCGCTATGCCGACGCGATCGACTGGCTCAATGCCCAGGACCCGCCGGTGCCCAACGAGTTTGGCCAGCCGCACGTGTTTGGCGACGACATCGCCGAGGCGGCCGAGCGCAAGATGGTCGACACCCTCAACGTGCCCGTGCTGCTGACCCACTTCCCCGTCGAGGTCAAGGCGTTCTACATGAAGAAGGACCCGGCCGACCTGCGCGTCACCGAGAGCGTCGACGTGCTGATGCCGACTGTCGGCGAGATCGTCGGCGGGTCCATGCGCATGGAGGGCTATGAGGAGCTGCTGGCTGCGTTCAAGAACAAGGGCCTCAACCCGGAGCCGTACTACTGGTATCTGGATCAGCGAAAGTGAGTTTTTGTCTTCCTTTTTTTCCATCTCTTTTCTTATTTTTTTCTCCTTCCTTTTTTCTTCCTTTTTTCTTCCTTCTTTGTTCCTTCTTTTCCCCCTTCTTTTCCTCTTCCTCTTCTTACAATACCCAGGTATGGCACGTCGCCACACGGCGGTTACGGACTCGGACTGGAACGCTTCCTCGCCTGGATCGCCAACCAGCACACCGTGCGCACGTGCTGTCTGTACCCTCGATTCATGGGCCGGGCGAAGCCGTGAGAAACGATGGAGGAGTCTTGATAGAATCGGGCTACGAGTAGATAAAGTGCTGGTTGCGGAATCCGGGCAGAAAGGCGGAATTGCCTATGGCATGCAAAATACGACGCAAGATACGAACTACTGCGAATGAGTAATGGCAGACGTGCTCTGGACAAAAGATAAGATACGAGCACACATGTACAATCTTCGTGTAGGATACTTCGTAATGCCCCGAACTCGTACCTCGTACACGACGAGTCCCATGCAGGCGACCTGTTCTCCTGTAGGTGGGCCTTTAGTGGGTTAGCCTGCCATGGGAGCTCTTACCCCTGCTTGCGCCCCAAACATCGCCGGTGGTTTAGGCCATGCAATCTGTTCTTTTTTTATCTCCTGCTGGTTTTGCTTTTTCGCCTTCGCGCCGTCTGTGGTGAGAGACGGTGTAATACATAGTATCGCATCGCCCCTGCAGCCTGCCAGGCACAGCGGCCAGCTGGTGCACCTGTGCTGCAACATCCGTCTCGTACTCGTTGCCGTGTGGGCTCCGAGGCCCTTGCGACATGACGAGTCCAGGTGCTGTCGCCGGACGTAGCCCAGACACTAAGGCTGCCTCCTCGCCCCTTTCTCGCTTCCCACTCCCCTGGTGGCCCCATGAGAGGCGTGCCGTTCTGCGAGTACGAGCAGCTGTTCAGGCGTTGTGCCTGTCTGGCGGCATACTCCGTACGTCGTAGCCAGCAAGAGCCTCCTGGTTTCAGCTGCTACAGCTCTGCTGGCGTGTCGTGCGGAACAACGTGCCTGAACTCGTACTTCCACGAGAGGAGCCATTCCCCCGGCGGTCAATGCATAGAGCCGGACTCGTACATAGTAATGTCCGCTGGGAGATCATTGACGCCAAGCTACCATGTTTCCTGTGAGAGAGGACATGCTTTCACCACGGCCGCCCTGCCTGCAAATACCGGGGCTGTTGGGCCATCGGCAGACGCGTCGTCTTTGTATCTTACGATCGAACTGGAAAGGTGTTTTCTGGTTCTCGGATATGATATCTCATGCCGTCAAGCCCCTCCCCCTCTTTTCCTCCCCGTCCCATCTTGCCTTTATTGTGTAATAGTACTCCGTAGCTTACTGTGTATGGCAGCTCCCTGCCAACAGCCCCGATTTATTCTCATCGGCTTCTTCCCTTTGTCCAGGACCACCCCCCACAGCGCACAGCGCCCAATGGACTCCTCCGCAAGCAGCAATGCACCCAGTGACACGGCCCTTTCGGAAGATCGAGAGCTGGTCTGCGAGGACACAGAGCACGCACCGAAGCATCTCGCCCTCTCTTTTCCCCTTCCTCTGCCGTCTTTCTTGCCTTTGCGCCCTCCGCTCGAGCTTAGCCGTTGGCAGTTCTTTCTGGCCGCTCCAAGTGGGGCCAGCACACCGTTACAGGTACCCGTTCTCTCGCCAATTTTTTCCATTCAACCTATACGAGTCGTCTTACCGACCACTGCACCGCTGCAGGGCCCTTTTCACCGCACTCCTCCTGCCATGACTTCCCCTGAACGGGCCTCATTAAACTTAGCGCGCCCCAGTTAAATTCTCCTGTCCGCTTTGGGCAATCGCCAGAGGCCCAGCACCCACCCCTTTTTCTCCATCCACCGCTGCCAACCCCTGCTCCTCACGCGAATCACGCTCCACGCTTCCTCTCTTTCTCTTCTAACCTCTTTCTCCCCTACCGATACTCCATACGATCCTCCTCCGCTCAGGCCGTTCGCTGAACTCCTTTTCTCGTCCCTCGCTCTTTCTTCACATTCCTTATTATTTCTTCGGCACCTCCTCTCTTCTTGCCAACTGCTCTCTTTTTGGCCTTTTTTTTCTTCTCCTCTTTCTCTCGCCTCTTGCTCTCTCCCATCCCAGCTCTCCCGCCTGGCTCTCTTCATCTCTTCACTTCTTTTTTGCTTCTCTTCTTTCTTTCGCCCGCCCGTCTGTCCACGGGGGCTCTTGCTTTCGAGTTCCGTCCGGCGTACCCGCCCTCGATCTCCCATCGCGTGCTCGCTGCCTCCAGGCTTCTCTTCTCATCTGTCATTATATTTGGACACCCACTTCACAGCTCTCTCGTTCGCCGCGTACTAATACACTCCCGCCGAACGGAGCAGCCAGCTAAACATCCTTCTGCCGACCATTCTCGATTTGCTTGCCTAGCTCACCGTCGACAAAACCTCTTCGATATACCCAGCCGAGTCTGCTCAGCCTGTTGTCTCTCGGTCCCATACGTCTTTGGATATTCGTCTATTTCTTTTCCGATCAGACCTATAATTTCGATTTTATTCTTCTTCTTTTCCCCGTGAAAAGAACAGCCCTGCAGCTCCTGACCAATAATTTCGGCTTCAGCACGCTCATCGTAGTGCCTCTTCCCAGGGCACTTTCCGATCTTCAAAACGGCGGTTCTATCTCACGTTTCGCGGGACAGCCTTGTCCCTCCTCATCTTCTGGGGATGCAGGATATCAACGGTCCCGTTGGCCAGTCCGGCCCGAGTGGTGGCCGCTTCGGCCACGCTTCGAAGCCTTCCAACAGTGAAACCGGCTTCTCCCACGGCGCCTTCACCTCCAACATCAGCGGTTTTGGCGACCGTCACCCACGCCGCACGAATGTTCCGGCCATCAACACGCAGCCGATGAACCAGGCCCCCCCGGCAACGACTACTGCCGACATGGCCACTCCCGGCACTGCCTTCGACATGCAGTTCACGCCCCTGCTTCCGTCGCAGCTACTTCTCGGCAGCCCGTTCCAGCCGGGAACGCCGGCGGCCTTTGCGTCGTCGCAGTTCCAGGGCCAGCTGAGCTACCAGCAGCTCCAACAGCTGCAGCAGCTTCAGCAACAGCAGAACCAGCAGCAGGGCCAGCAGGCCAACGGCCAGAACAATGGCGTCATCGGCCAGCAGCAGCAGAGCCCCATTCAGCAGTCGATGTCGCCCCAGGGCTACCAGACCCTGGTGTCGCCGTCGACGTATGGCGCTCCGCAGTTCTACTCGCCGCAGTCTCCGAGCGGTGCGTTTGGCAACATTGGCGGCCAGATGCAGGTGCCCATGCAGCCCACGTCTCCGGTGGGCATGGGCCCGGGCATTGTCGGTGGCACCAGCCGCACGGTGTACCTGGGCAACATTCCGGCCGATACGCCGGCCGACGAGCTCCTGGGACACGTGAGGAGCGGGCAGATCGAATCGGTGCGTATGCTGCCGGACAAGAACTGCGCGTTCATCTCGTTCCTGGATGCGAGCTCGGCGACGCACTTCCACTCTGATGCCATCTTGAAAAAGCTCTGCATCAAGGGACAGGACGTCAAGGTGGGCTGGGGCAAGCCGTCGCAGGTGCCGACATCTGTGGCTCTTGCGGTGCAGCAGTCGGGAGCGTCCCGGAACGTGTACCTGGGCAATCTGCCGGAGGAGATCACGGAGGAGGAGCTGCGCGAGGATCTGGGCAAGTTCGGGGCGATCGACACGATCAAGCTGGTGCGGGAGAAGAACATTGCGTTTGTGCACTTCCTCTCAATCTCCAACGCGATCAAGGCGGTGACGCAGCTGCCGCAAGAGCCCAACTGGCAGAGCCCGCGCCGGGTGTACTACGGCAAGGACCGGTGTGCGTACGTGTCGAAGACGCAGCAGCAGAACGCGGCGCAGTACCTCGGAATTGCACCGGGCTATGCACACATGCTGACGGGCGCGGACCGGGATGTGATCTCGAACGCGCTGGCCCAGCAGTCAGTAGCAGCGGCTGCCGTGGCGACGACGGCAGGCGGCATCAGCAACCTGGGCAACCGGACGATCTACCTGGGCAACATTCACCCGGAGACGACAATTGAGGAGATCTGCAACGTGGTCCGCGGCGGTCTGCTGCACCACATCCGGTACATTCCAGACAAGCACATCTGCTTTGTGACGTTCATCGACCCGACGGCGGCAGCGTCGTTCTACGCGCTCAGCAACCTGCAGGGCCTGATGATCCACAACCGGCGTCTCAAGATCGGCTGGGGCAAGCACTCGGGCGCGTTGCCGCCGGCGATTGCGCTGGCAGTCAGTGGCGGTGCGTCGCGCAACGTGTACATTGGCAACCTGGACGAGACCTGGACGGAGGAGCGTCTGCGGCAGGACTTTTCAGAGTACGGCGAGATCGAGCTGGTGAACACGCTGCGCGAGAAGAGCTGTGCGTTTGTCAACTTTACCAACATTGCGAACGCGATCAAGGCGATCGAGGCTGTGCGCAGCAAAGAGGAGTACCGCAAGTTCAAGGTCAACTTTGGCAAGGACCGCTGCGGCAACGCGCCGCGTCAGCTGCAGCAGCAGGGTGGCGCTGTGCAGTCGCCACGGGGTGAGACAGGCAGCATTCCATCGCCGCCGCCGAACGGATCGAGCCAGAACGGCAACTCGCCGACCAACGCGACATCGCCGGGCAACCCGCCGCCATCGGCAACGCTGTTCAACTCGACGAACAACGCGCTGACGATGTACCTGAGCCACGTGTCGCAGCAGGCGGTGCAGCAGCAGCAACAGCAGCAGGTGATGGCGCAGCAGGCGGGCCTCTACGGATCGTCGACTCCGCAGCCGGGCGAGATGGCGATGGAAGTGCCGCAGGGCCCGATGATGTCTGGACACCAGCAGTCGGCGAGCATGTCGAACGGCTTTGTAACGGACGGCCCGGCAGCGGCGAACGGGGCCAGCACGATTGGCGGGCTGCTGGCGCCAGGCAACGGGCGGGGACAACACAACCGGGCGGTCAGCCTGCCTGTGCTTGCTCCCGGATTTGAGAATGGTGGCGCAGGCACGAACGGGGTGTCTGGCAACGGACCGGAGCGTCGTGGCCACCAGTACCAGGCGAGCTTTGGCGGGATGGGGGCTGGATTTGGCCTGGCGATTCAGGGTGGACTGAACGGCTGGGTGGAAGAGGAGGTTGCGAACTAGGTAGGAGGAGCGGAGGAGAGAAAAGAGGCACGACAAATTGATTAGACGTTGTAATTGCCGACTGGCATATTTTCGGATTTTCCAATGGTTTTTGTGTACTTATTTGGTCTCCCGTGTTCTACGTGGAGATGCAGTTTTTGCTTGCTCGGGTTCTGGTATGAATTTTGATTTGAACGTTTGCTTGTTGCTTGTTGCTTGCATGTGGTGTGAACAAGTGAGGTGGATGATCAAGAGTGGACGATCAAGAGCGGACGTTTTGGAGCGTGACGAGGACATCGTCGAGGGCGTCGAGAAGGTCTCGGCCTGCAGGGCCGATGAGAGCGGGGACGAGGGTAGGACGAAGGCGGGTTGCGAGGCCGACGATGGCAGCTATGGAGAGAGTATAGCGGCGACAGACGACGGGATGTGCGTTTGCGACGAGGGAGGTGACGAGCTGGAGGACGGCAACGTGGAACTCTGCCCGGACAGAAGCGTCTCGACGGTCATTCAACGGCGGCTGGTCTTCGGGTCCAGACCAGGCGGCGACGTGTGTGACGAGGTCCATCCAGTCAGCCCTTGAGCCTGGCTCTTCGGCCTCGACAATAGGGAGAAGGATGCGGACGAGTTCGATACCGCGAGCAGCATCTGGGAGAGCAGCTGTCTGCAGGGCGGCGAGCAGGTCGGCCGAGAGGATGGCCCAGGCGTCGTGGGAGAGCAGCAGGCCGACAGGGTCCTGGTCGAGATCGTCGGCAGCAGCAGCAGCGGTGATGCCCTCGAGGGCGACGAGGACGGGTCGGCGGAAGTCGAGGGTCGATCCAGTGGTACTTCCTCGGTACAGGTCCAGCAGCATGTCGGCCAGGCCGGCAGCCTCGCGGCGCAAGTCGGCGCTGTCGTCCTCGCGCAGCCACAGAGCCAGGGCACGAAGGGCGGCCAGAACAAAGGGGTCCCGGTTGACCACGACGTCGGCTTGGGCAGCATCCCAGGCGAGAGGGGGGCCTGCTGAGTCAGCAGTCGCGGGAGTGCCGAGGCCCGAGAAGCCGGAACGGGCGTCAGGATGCAAGCCAGGCGCGCCAGCCACGGCGGCGTCCCAGCGGTCGCGCAGATGCTCGGCTGTGACCGAGAGGGTCTCAGCGATGGCGGTGCGCAGGCGGAGGAGGCTGTCGGGGGGGAGTAGGAGGGAGGTGCTGGTTTTGTCGTTGTCGTCGTCCAGAGTTCTCATCAGATAGCCGACAAAAGCCGAGAGCACGTCATAGGCCGAGGCCAGACGCGAGGCTGCAGGCCCGTAGGCCGGCGTGTTGAGCAGGGCCAGAAGACCGGGCAGGCTGGCGCGCATGTCGACGAGCAGCAAGCTGAGGAAGAGGTAGGAAAACGGCCTGTCCGCGGGCTTGTCGATGTCGGGAGCAAACAGCAGTGTCGCCGCCTCGTCGGGATAGCTACAGAGGATGGCGGCAGCAGCATGGGTATAGGCAGCACGGGCGACAGCGGTGGGTCGGTTGGTGGCCAGCTGGCGGATGAAGCAGACGACAGGATGCAGCCAGGCGGAATCAGGGGAGGGAAGGGTGGAAGTGAAGGTGGAGGTGAAAGTGGAAATGGAAGGAGTCCTCGATTCGGCCAGAGCACTAGCATTGCGCAGTAGCCGGGCGACAAAGTCCAGCAGCGTCACGCCATCGGTGTCGCGAAAGGCAGCAGTGAGTTCTGGCAGGACGGCGCTGATAGTGGTGATGGTGGAGGCGGCAGTGGTCTCGTCCCAGAGGCCGTAGACCCAGGCGTGCAGCAGGATCTCAAGGACCAGCGGCTGTAATGGGGCCATTTGCACGAGCGGGTCAAGATTGTCGACGCGGCTATTAAAGACGGCAGCACCGACACGACGGCTGACGAGAGTGGCGAGTGTTTGTAGGGCGAGGGTGGAGGTGGAGATGGTGATGGAGGTGTTCCTGCTTCCCAAACCACTCATTGCTGACACGACCATGGGAATGCGGTCGACCATCTTGGCCTCGTCAACAGCGTCGTCCGAAAGCCGGACAGCAAAGGCGTGGAGCACGGCGACGGCGAGATCGCGCATGTGAGCAGCGTCTGGCCGTGACGGAGACGCCTGCGTTGCGCGCAGCAGCCGGTCGAGAAAGCGTGCCGGCAGCGCTTCCCATAGCCGCTGCAGCTTCTCTGGCCCGATCTCTTCCGTTTCACTCGCTTCTCCTCCCTCGTCCAGCACGGCCTTGAGCAGGGCCAGGCCGACAAATCTCGTAGTGTCGTCACGCGTGCGCATCAGCTGCTCGATCCGGGCCACGGCTGCGTCGTCGCGCTCCTGTGCAGGCGCTGCAGCCACGCCACAGTCGCCGACCTCAGACGCATGTTCCATGGAGACGACGGCGATGGGAAGAAGACGGAAAAGAGTCAGGTGGAAGCTGTCTTTTCAAGGAGACGGCAAAGGTCGCTCGAAAGCTCCTTCCTTGCGGCGCCAATTGTAGTTCGGATTAGCGAATAGACCCGCGTCTGGATACGTGCATGCAATTGGGCGCTAGCTCCAGCTACTTCCACCTGTAACAACGTCTCTTTTGCGAGGACTCGAACCCGCCCACCGCCTGTCTTGAGCATGGAGACTCTATCAGGCAGAGCGAACGGGACAGCGACGCCCTACGACGGGGGTGAGAGTAGCAGCCGGGACAAGAACGACAGCGCCGGTCGCGTGCAGCTAGAGGAGGATGCAGACGACGATCGGAGCGAGGGCGACAAGCAGCAGCAGCAGCAGCAGCAGCAGCCGTCGGTCGACGCGCAGTCGGCGACAGGCAATGGAGAAGCCGTGGACTGGCATGCGGAGGGACCTGGGCGACGCGTGGGCTACGATGACCTGACGGCCATTGACTGGAGTTTTGAGTACCACAAGGAGCGACAGCGACGACGGCTTCTAGCGCGAGCGAGCACGCCTACGACCAGCGGCCTGGCGGTCCTGCTGTTGGGCCGTGCGCGTCGGCTGCTGGACGCCGGCCAGGTCTGGGTGGTGCTGGTGCTGACGGGCGTGGCGGCCGGCGGTCTGGCGGGTGCGATCGACGTCGTGGGCGACTGGCTGGCCGATCTCAAGGACGGCTACTGCGCGTCACAGAGCACGGACGGTGGTGCTTTCTACCTCAGCCGCGGCTTCTGCTGTCTCGGCTACGACGAGGGCGCCCAGTGTGACGGCTGGCGGTCGTGGGCTGCCGTCGTGGGGGTTCGGTCGCCGGGTGTCGCTTGGTTTGTCCAGTACCTCTTTTTTGTCGGCTGGTCCGTTGGGCTCGCCGCCTCGGCCGCTCTGCTCGTGCGCGAGTACGCCGTCTACGCCCGCCACAGCGGCATCCCCGAGATCAAGACCCTGCTCGGCGGCTTCGTCATGCGCCGCTTCCTCGGTCCCTGGACCCTCGTCACCAAGTCGCTCGGCCTCTGTCTCGCCGTCGCCTCCGGCATGTGGCTCGGCAAGGAAGGCCCCCTCGTCCACGTCGCCTGCTGCTGCGCCAACCTCTTCATCAAGCTCTTTCCCAACATCAACAACAATGAGGGTGGGTGTCCTGACTCGGGACTGCTTCCCCTCTTTTCTCTTTCGCTCCTCCTTCTTCGCTCTGTGCTGACCGGCCACAGCCCGCAAACGAGAAGTTCTCTCGGCTGCTGCCGCCTCTGGCATCTCTGTCGCCTTCGGCTCGCCCATCGGCGGCGTCCTCTTCAGCCTTGAGGTGTGTTTGGTCGTCTGCTTCTGTCTGCTTGTCATCTCTCATGCTCACCGTCCAGACGCTCTCGTACTACTTTCCCGACAAGACCATGTGGCAGAGCTTCGTCTGCGCCATGACGGCCGCCTTTGTCCTCCAGGTTCTCGACCCCTTCCGCTCCGGCAAGCTCGTCCTGTATCAGGTCCAGTACAGCTCCGGCTGGCACGCCTTTGAGCTGGTGCCCTTTGTGCTGCTGGGTGTTCTTGGGGTATGTCACGTGACTTAGAAAGGGTGGTACTGTGCTAACGGAACGACCATCTAGGGTCTCTATGGCGGCCTCTTCATCAAGGCCAACATGCGCGTGGCCGAGTGGAAGACGGTCCACGCCGGTCGGCTGCCGGGACCGGTCACGCAGGTGGCCGTGGTCGCGCTGCTGACGGCGCTGGTGAACTACCCCAACTTTTATATGCGGGCGCAGGCGTCGGAGCTGGTGTCGAGCCTGTTTGCCGAGTGCTCGACCCTGGTCGAGGATCCGTTTGGACTGTGTCGAACGGGCGCCGCGACGGCCGGCACCATCGTTCTGCTGCTGTTTGCGGCCGTGCTCGGCTTCTGTTTCGCCGCCGTCACCTTTGGCCTGCAGATCCCGGCCGGCATCATCCTGCCGTCCATGGCCATCGGCGCGCTCTGGGGCCGCGCCGTCGGCCTCGTCCTGGAGATCGGCCAGCGCCGCTATCCGGACTCGCTGGCCTTCCAGGCTTGTGAGCCAGACCGCACCTGCATCACGCCGGGCACATACGCCATCGTGGGGGCGGCCGCCGCGCTGGCTGGCGTCACCCGCGTCACCGTGTCCATCGTCGTCATCGTCTTTGAGCTCACCGGCGCCCTGACGTACGTCCTGCCCATCATGGTGGCCGTCATGCTGTCCAAGTGGGTCGGCGATGCGTTCTCGCGCCGTGGCATCTATGAGGCCTGGATCGCCCGCAACGGTTATCCCTATCTCGACAGCAGCGAAGAGGCAGTCGCGGCCTTGCCGCCTGATCTTACAGCAAGTCACGTGATGACACGTGCTCAAGACCTCGTCGTTCTCACGGCCGTCGGCCACACCGTCGCCAGCCTTCAGCACGTCCTCGACGCTCGCCCGGCCCATCGTGGCTTTCCCGTCGTCTCGTCTGACGTCCGCAACGCCCTCCTGCTCGGCTACATCTCCCGTGCTGAGCTCGCCTACACCCTTCATGCCGCCATCCAGCCGCCACGCTCGCTGCCACCCGCCACCACCGCCGCCTTCTTCGTTCATCAGCCCCAGGCTGACCCGCACACCTCCCTCGACCTGCGCCCTTGGATGGACCAGACACCGCTCACCCTGCCCTCGGCTGCCCGCCTTCATCTCGTCGTCAGCTACTTCCAAAAACTCGGCCTGCGCTACGTCCTCTTCAGCGACCGCGGCGTCCTGCAGGGCCTCCTGACCAAGAAGGACGTCTGCTACCTGCTCGACAGTGCCGATGGCCTTGGCCGCCCCAGGATGGACCGTGGACCTGTCGAGAGTCCAATCGATTTGGATGAGTCCATTTTGTAGTCATACCAGTTGTATCAAGACGCATTAGTAATCATTATATAAGCTCCAATTTATCCTAATACTCAAAATCATCGTCCACCGACGGTCCCTTGCTTTTCGCTATGCTCTCCTGTCGCCGGAACATCTCGGCCACCTGGCGCGATGTCGTCGCCTCGTCCGGCTTCTTGTCGTCGCGCACCCGGATGAAGCGCGGGAACCGTAGACTGACGCCGCGACCCGTGGCACCCGGCTGTGCTGAGTCAGCACTAGGGTCCACGCCCTCATGGCAGGCAGCCTGATAGCGCGGGCTGAGCGTCAAGTCGGCCGTACGAACCTCCCAGACGTACCGCGGCTCGAACCAGACGTCGGGCTGGTGCTGGCCGCCGGCGCTGTGGGCGTAGAACGGCTTGGGCCGGTCGATGACGATGGCGCTCAGCTGGCCGTGCAGCTCGTCCAGCACGGCCTCGCTGAAGCCTGTGCCAATGTTGCAGATCGTCTCAAACGCCTCGGCCGAAGGACTATAGCAAGCCAGCAGAAAGGCCCCGTACACGCTCGTCCGCTTGCCGCGCCCAAAGTACGCTCCCAGCACGACCAGGTCCAGCGAGTCGCCCACGCCGGCCAGATAGTCCTTCTTGATCTTCAGCCAGTTGCGCGACCGTTTGCTCGGTTCGTATGCGCTCTCCGGTCCGTCCAGCATCTTGACCATCAGACCCTCGCACGACGCCCGCACGCTCTCGTCCAGAAACGTCTGGATCTCGTCCAGCTCCCGTCCGTCCATCGAGCTCGCAAATGCCAGCTCACCCTCCACCGGCAACACTGCACTCGCCAGCTGCTCCCGTCGCTCTCGCAGTGGCCGCTCCACCAGCGCTGCTCCGTTGAGGTACAGCAGGTCGAATGCAAACACGCATACCCGCACCTTGACGTCCGCAATCTTGACATCTTTGCGCTTGCGCGTCATCAGCTGCTGGAACGGCAGCACCTTGCGCTCCTCCACGTCCCAGCCTACCGTCTCGCAGTCCAGCACAAAGCTCGTCGTGCCCGGTCGCACCCACGTCGCCAGCTTCGCCAGGATGTCCGGGTACTTCTTCGACAGATCCTCCGAGTTGCGCGAGAAGATCGCCGACAGTCCGTCCGTCCCCGTCGCCGCGTCCGCTGCCACGTAGTGGATCTGCGCCCGCTCGCCGTCGTACTTGTATTCGCACGTAAACGTCTGGTTCTCGAACCGGTCTAGCACCTCCGTGATCGCCTTGGTCGGCTTCGCCAACATCGGCTTCAGCGGAATTCCCGGTCGCAGCTGACAGTGCTTCCGCAACTGCATGATCCCGTGCTCCAGCATCGCCGGCACAATAATGTCGTAGCTCGGCAGTTCGCTGTACACCGTCTTCAGCATCGCCTCTGCCTGCTCCAGCTCGCTCGCGCTCGCCTGCGTCTCCTTTCCGTCTGCTCGTCCGGCTGTCTGCGCTTCGTGGTGCATCACCGCCTGTGCCAGTGACACCAACACCGTCTTTTCCGCCAGGCCCAGCCGCAGCTTGCCCTCTAGGAACCGCACCAGGTACTTGGCTTCGCTCGCCCCGCCCTTGTCCTTGTTGATGTCCACTGCCACCCGTCGTCCGGCTGCTGCTGTTGCTGTCGCGTCCGCTGCTGCCAGCAGCTTCTTGATCCCGTCCACCTTGCGCTGTTGTGCCCCGATGCCCGTCACCGTCGCGATCGCCATCAGCCCCTTGTGCACTCCCTGCACCGTCAGCGCCTTCGGCTTGAACATTGTCGGCTGCGTCGATCGCGATTTGACCGCCACCAGGCCCAGGTCTCCAATCTCCTTCTGGTCCTGCTTGATCACCGCCAGGCTGCGTCCCGTCGTCTCGCCGATCGCCTTCATGATCAGCGACTCGCCGATCCCCAGCTCGATCCCCGCGTAGTCCGGTGCCAGCTTGTTCACCATCAGCAGCACTGTCGGCAGCAGGTCTCCCGGCGTCAGTCGCAGTACCTGCCGCAGAAACAGCGAGCAGTGCTCCATGATCACCAGCCGCTTCGTCGTCATCTCGATTAGCGAAAACGTCTGGCACAGCGCCGCGTACGGCACCGGCTCCCCGGCCTTCCAGTCCGCGTATGCGTCTCCCTTGACCGTGTCCAGCAACGCCTGCACCTTCTTGCGCGTCAATGCTTTGGCCTTGGCCTTGGCTTTCGGCTTTTTTTCCTCCCCGTCCGCCCCGTCCGACTCCGAATCTGACCCCGACAGGTCCGACTCTGAGCTGGATAATCCCGCCTTCTCTTCCTCCTTCACCTCTTTCTTTACTGCCTTGGCTTCCGGCGCATCGTCATCGGTCCCTTCTTTTTTGATGACCGCCGCCGTCAAGCTGCCGCTCTCGCTGGCTTCGTCGTCTTCGTCGTCCTCTACTACCTTGCGTGCTTTCCGTGGCCGCTTGGCCACTGGCTCGTCCACTTCGCTTCCCGCCTTCCTGTCCACCGTGCCTTCACGTCCGGGTGATCGCTTCTTTTTGTCTACCATAATCGAATTGCATCATTAGCAAAGCTCGGCCAGCAGTAGAGGCAGAGAAAGCCCACCCTTCTTTTCCGGCGTCCCGTTCTCCTTTGTCGAGCTCTCGCCGTCCGCCTTCGCCCCCCGGCTGCCACCAGTACCACCACTGGCCGGTCTTGTCGCAAACGAAAGTTTCGTCTGCTGCGTGGGCGTTGGCCGGCTGCCGCTGCTGCCTGGCGTGCTGAGGAATTTCCTACACCACCTCTGTCAGCATGGAGCGGACAAACACGCAGCGCCAGATTATGAGCACAGGCACATGCCCCAGCGTCGTCTGTGACGGCTTGACATACCCCAGGGTCGCCTGCTTATTGGGCGCCATGGTGGTCGAATCGGCTTCCGTTCTCCTTCTCGAGCAATATGTCAGTGCCGCTTTGGTGCTGCGAACGTGTCGGAACAGACTGGCGCTGCGCGCTAGTCGGAGCAGCTGCTGCGAATCCAGATTTGATAAATGCACGCCAGATGATCTCACGGTGCAGACGGGGAGCTTGAGACGACGGGCAAAGCAAAAGATGCAGCTTTGTTAGCGGCCGACGCGCTTGCAGCAGAAAACGCGTTCCATTTTAATGGAAGGCAGCAGGCTTCGCCGCCAATCGCCTTGGTCACGTGGGCTGATTCATTGCATTACATCCCCGCTACAAGTAAGATACTTGCAGGCGGATATGATAGAATCAGAAGTAAAACAAATACGCACGTCAGGCAGAGTGCTGTCCGTTGGAGTCTCTTTTATTCATTATTCTCTCCACTTATCTCTTCCTTGCTTCCTTGCTTCCTTTCATGCTTTCCTTCCTCTTCCCCTAGTCATAGTAGCGGATCTCCTCGGCAGTGCGGCCGCGGATGAACTTGGGCTCGCTGCCCGGCACGTAAATGTCGTTGAAGAGCACCTGCAGGTTCGCCTCCGGGAGCTCCATGGCCTCGGCCGCGGCCGACTCCTCATTGACGTAGCTGCGGGCCTCCTTGTCGAGCGCCTTGAGCTCGTCCTCGGTCACGACGCCCCACTCGACCATCTTGTGCTTCAGGCCGGCAATCGGATCGTTGGTCGACCGCATGCGCTGCACCTCCTCGCGCGTGCGGTACGTCGTGCCGGGGTCTGACATGGAGTGGCCGCCGTAGCGGTACGTCACGTACTCGAGCACCAGCGGGCCGTGGCCGTTCTCCGTCCACTCCTTGCCGTACTTGACCGCCTGCTGCACCGCGAGCACGTCCATGCCGTTGACCTTGATGCCCGGAATGTACTGGCCACGCTTGTAGTAGTCCGTCAGGGCCGACGACCGGTTGGCTGCCGTGCCCATGCCGTACTTGTTGTCTGGGCTGTTAGACGGGGATCAACAACAAAACATAAACAAAACATAAACAAAAACAATAAACTCACTCTCGCAGCCAAACAGAGCCGGCAGCTTCCACAGCTTCGCCATGTTAAAGGCCTCAAACACCTGGCCCTGGTTGCTGGCACCGTCGCCGTACAGGATGATCGTCGCCTTCTTCCGGCCCTCGTACATGTGGGCAAAAGCCAGGCCAGCACCCACCGGCACCTGGGCACCCACGATGCCGTTGCCGCCGTAGAAGCCCTTCTCAAACATGTGCATGGACCCGCCGCGGCCGTAGGCAATGCCGCCCTGCCGACCCAGCAGCTCGCCCAGCACCTTGCGTACCGGGGCACCGCGCATGTAGGCGAAGCCGTGGCAGCGGTACGACGTGATAATGTCGTCGTCGCGCGTGATGGCGTTCTCGATGCCCACCGCCACGGCTTCCTGGCCGGTCGACAGATGACAGAAGCCGCGGATCTTCTTCTCCTTGTACAGCCTGTCGGCGGCCATCTCCATCTGCCGCACCACCACCATGTCGTAGTACGTGCGCTTCAGGTGCTTCTTGGTCACCTCCAGGGTGTACGAGGGCGGGTCGATCTCGTATGTCTCGAAGCTCTCGTCGCTCAGCGTGATCGTGAACGGCTCGTCGTCCGACTCCGGCACCGCGCTCTTGTCCACATGTGCCGACGCCGCATCCGTCGTCACCGTCCGCCGTGCTGCCATCGTCGACGCACGCACAGCCGCCGCTATCGGCGTCGTCCGCAGAGCTCCGGCTGCTGAAGCCGCACGGCCAGCCCGGAAAGCAACACGTGAGAACATGTTGAAAGATCTCCCAGAAAACAGGAACGATCGGAGGGGCCCGAGAGGCTCAGAAGATCCAGCAATAGAAATCCGCACGGTCTGATTGATGCGAACACGGCCGATTGGAAATCAGACGTCGTTCGTAGTGTAAATTGCTGCAGCGTGGATGAGAAATTAACGCCAGATCGGGAGAAAAAAAAGCGGAAGGAGACCAGACAGCTTTTCCCGCCGCATTGCTATCTGTCTCGCGCTCTGCGGACTTGCTGGAGGGACCTCCGGAGCAGTACAGAGCTCCCTGTAGTCCAATCAAAAATTTGCTGGCAGTGCCCTTCATTCTCCACCGTGCGATCGGGGGTCCACGCTAGCCCGTACAGGGGCTAGTTCGCCTATAACACCCGTCTCAACGGCTTGCCAAACACCGAAAGAGAGAACGGCGACTCTTTCCCCGCTCGCTCCGTCGTGCAAAATTACAGCGAGCTTCTTAGCTGTCGCAATTTCTCCCGACAACGCCGACACAGACGCCGTATAAATCAACTCACTGTATTATTAACGCTGATAGGGCACCAAAAACGACAGCAAAGCTAAGATATCTTATCAAGCAGTACAGATGCTCTGTTCACCATGCTCGCTGCACAAGAATCTCTAAATAAAATCCCTGGATCCGTCCAATTTGCAAACAATGACCGCCCAAAAACGCCCCTGACCATGCTTTGTTCCACGCAGGAAACAGAGAAAGAATGACATGTCCAAACCTAATCTAGCCGTGTTGACGACGGCACATATTCTGCTTTAACACCGCGCGATGCTGCTTGCGGTGCTATAAGGACCAAACTTTCGACGTGACGCAACCTGGTTTTCCATCCCGGTCGAGAATGCTGGAGAGAAAAAAGCGCTTCCGTCCCCGAAAAAAGCACACAGTCCATGCGATATGTAGATCAGGCGGCGGCATATTGTTACCGCAGCGTTCAGACGGCGTCTTGAAAGAAGGCAGCACTGCCCTGCTCGAGCGGGGCTGTTGCCGGTCCGGCATCTCTCATGTCGGTGTCCTGACCCGACGAATCTCGCTGCGGCAGGTTGCCGAGTAAGCTTTGTGGGTGGTGGAAGTCGAGCGCCATGGCGCTCATCGGGCGGGCTGGCTCAGACGTCTCGAGAGAACGTGGCGGAATCGACAAGGGGTACTCCACGAGAGCTTCTTCTGGGGGGGAGAAAGACCATACCTGCACGAGTTAGCACGACGGACTTGACAAGAGCCCAGAAGCGAAGCCCAAGACTTACCTCCATGACGGTCCGGCCATTGCGAAGGGCCATCGCCACACACTTCTCGTCCTCGAAAGCCACGCGCCACACAGCATCGCCGTGGGAGATGAGCTCGCGGACAAGCTGGCCTGTCTTCAAGTCCCACACCTTGACGCGGCCGTCACTACCACCGCTCACAACACGCGTGTCGTCAAACTGAAGGCTCGTAACACTATTATCATGCGCCGCCAGCCTGTGAATCGGACAGAATCGGGAAAGCGACCACACCCTGACAGAGCCGTCAGAACCGCCTGTCACCAGCGTGTCGCCACGCATCTGCAACTGGCCGACAAGCGACGTGTGGCCCTGCAAAACAGCCTGGCACTCTCTGTAAGCGAGAATTAGTGACCCGGTCTGCACATGTGGAGGTGTGGAATAAGCGTTGCCTACCCTGTCGCGGCGTTCCATATCCGAACGCTAGTGTCGAGGCTCCCAGTAGCCACCCGGACGCCGTCAAAGGCAATGGCGTAGATCTGGCTATAGTGGCCCTGCAGGGTGTGCAGGCATCGGCCCTCGGATATGCTCCAGACCTTTGCCGTGGTGTCGTAGCTGCCTGACACGACAATGTCGCCCTTGATCTCGAGGCACCGCACGCTGGCTTGGTGACCAACTAGAACATTGCGGCAGAGGCCGGTGCGAATGTCCCAGATTCGAAGGGTGGTGTCGCGGGAGCCAGAAATTGCCGTGTTCTCGTCTGACATCTTGAGACAGCGAACCGTCGATGTGTGCCCGCGGAGAGTGTGCAGGCATGCCCTAGGCGTGTTAGCATGTCGGTCTTCCATTACTATCCCTGGCCAGGTAGCCTACCCAGTAGCTAGATTCCACACGCGGACATCGCGATCGCAACCCCCGCTAACGAGTATATCATCCCATGGGATCATGGCCCATACGCCCATCACGTGTCCCTGGAGAGTCTTTTGGTTTTCGCCCTCGGTGTCAAACACATGGATCCTGGCATTATCCAGCGCAACAATGATGTATTTGGACGTCAGATGAAGACTGGTGACCACACCGCCATCCTGGGTGATGTTCTTCGCACTGTTGCGACCGCCGGTTCGCCAGGCGGCGTCAACGAGATATCGCTGCTTGAAATGCGACTTGTAAGACTTGAGCTTCGGTCGGGTTCTGGAGAGCGAGCTCCCGGAGGCGCCGTCGAGACTACGAGACGTAGCCAAGGGCAGGTCAGGGTCCTGCGGTCCGAGCAGCGAGGATCCACGCGCAGCAAAGTCGCTATCGAAAACGCTCATTGGGAATGATACCGAGTCCTCCGAGGCCATGACAGCAGGGGGGGTCGGGAGAATTATAGAAAGACGGCGACCGTAATCATGTTTGACACAGAGGTTCTTCCACGTCATGTCGTCGCTTAGAAGATCCCGCCAGCGACGCGATACCTGAGAGGCGCGGGCCAAAACCTTTGGATCGTCGATGAAGGAAAGGATCTAGGGAATGAGTCAGCACAAGAAACGCAGAGAAAGTTACCAATGATCACATGGGCAAAACAACATACTCTTAAGCAGAGCTCGTCGGGCAGGCTCGTGAAAGGATCCTTTTTCAGCAACGGGCTGACAAATTGGTGGACGAAACTCAATTGCTGGCTCGTGCAGAGATTGAGCAAGTCGGCCAGCAGTCGCGTACGCTGCGAACTGCTGCAGCTCTTAAAGTGGTGGCGGACCTTGGCATGAAAGAAGTCCTCGTCGGCGGCAACATCGCTCCAGTCAGGTTGGATGTGTGAAGGGCCGGGCGAGGCAGCCGGGGTTGGCGGTGGCGGCGGGGATCCTGTTAAAGTCTGATCGAAGTCGGCAGCAGGAGTGCTCATGCTCGGGGTTGGGGGACCCCTAGGGGGTCGAGTCTGCGTGGCCTTCATAGAACCAGTGTCGAGAGAGAGCTCGTCGCAGCTGAAAGTACTCCCCCTTCGGTCTGAGAAACTGGCTGGTTGCGTGTATCCGGCCATGGTGTGATTTCGCGTCAGGAGGCGGTGGCAGAGGCAGACGAGTGATCTTGGGTCATGTTAGCCGTATGACGAGGACAGGATGATCCAGCCAGAGCAGTCCACGGCAGAAAACGACACGAGAGGAAGAAAGAAAAGGGGCGTCCAAAGGCGACGCAGTCCTGGGCTGACCTTTTCTGCCGTCCGCTGTACTCCGTACCTCGTCTGAAATCAGATGAGGCTCTGGTGATCTACCTCTGCGGTAGTCGGTGCCACGAGAGGAGAAGGGCGAGAAAGTGGTCCGAAACGTTCAGAGGCACTGGTACGGCCACTGTTGCTAGAGTCCGGTTTCGAGTCTGTGCATGAACACGACGGCTGAGAGGCGGTGGAGGCGGAAGGAAGTATGGACAGCGAAGAAAGGGGTCGAGGCCGGCGATGGACGAGAGGCGCGATCAAAAAGAAGGGTCCTTGTTGGCAGCAGACACGCGGGTGTATGCTCATCGAGGCAGACGACGGCTATGGGTGCATTGGCATGGCGGTAGAGTAAAGAGCGGCGGGAGAACGGACTCGCAGAGCAAGAGCAGGCGATGATGTTGGAGAGACGCGGTGTCTCGTGTTCCGGTGTTCTCGTGTCTCGGCAGTCCCTTTGGCAGGTATCAAGAAGGGGGGCGGAGGGAGAGGGAGGAAGAGGGGCGAGGATGAGAAGAAGCCGGAGAGGAAAGAAGGAGGGATTGGGAGTTGATGGCGTCGGGTACTTTTTTGCTGGAGGAAGTAGAGAGGCGAGAAAGGGAAGACCAGAGGGAAAAGGGAAAGAAACGGCCAGGGCGAGAGAGGCGGAGTGGGCCCAGCGTCGAATCAGATGACAGGAACGACCGCTGACTACGAGTACAGCACCGAATAGCACCGGAGCACAGTGGGTGCATGCCGTTTCTGAGGCCCTGCAAGCAGCGTCCTAGCAGCACGCAACAGCGCTCTGCCCCTGGCGCTTTTCGCAAACGGAACGGCCTCGCTCGCCTGCTTGTCGATTGGGTCGCGGCTGGCATGCCGTTGTCACGAGCTGTCGGCATTCCTCCTCACCTCGACTGCCGCTTGCGTCAGGCACGCGAGAGACGGCCGTCTGCTTCCTTGCCCAGCTCGTGCCCAGGGGCCTGTGCCGTTGCATTGTCCTGCGCGCCATCAGCGCTGTTACCGCCCCCCTTACACTATGAGCAGCAATCCACTCTTGCTCCGTTTCACCTCCTCGTAAACGCGCAGCGCCCGCCCCTTCCCCCTTTGTTCCTTGCGCGGTTCGCAACTACCCTGTCGTCCTGATCCGTCCTGTTCGTATCTTATCTTAATTACCCAGAGCGCATCCAGCCCATCTCTGAGACCTGTCAGCCAATCGCCGTCCAGAACTCGCCTTCCTCGTCTAACCGCCAGCGTCGACTCGCCAGAGGGTGGCATTTCGTGTGGATTGAGACATGGTCCTTCAGTGCTTGCCCAACTTGCGGAAATATACACGACGTGCTCCATCCGGTGGGAAAGTACTCTCGTCTACGGAGTACTCCGCACATAGTAAGATACAACCTGGCCGTGGCATCTTGCTGCTCGGCCGAGCAGTGTTACATGGCCGGCGGGCAGAGCACTGTTCGGCGAGAAAATCCCCGAGCCTTGCCTCCCCTCTAGTTTAATCAACCGGAGTATGGAGTAGGATGTGCTTCATTGCGTGCTCTTACAATTTCCATGCTGCAGCTCGATAGGGTTTTACTCTGAAAGTGTGTTAAAATTGGAGTAAACAGGCTGCTGGGTTGACGCAAAAGAGTTAATGCGGTCTTCCTTTGTCGAGTCAATGTCAGACATGCTCAGACGCAAGCCTTTGTCGGTGAGTTTAGTACCTATAGCAGTTAGACGTATTTGTGAAAGCTGTCTGTCCAACGTGGGCCTTTAGGGTCTAACCTCAGATTGTGGTGCTGCCGTTGACAAAAAAAAAAGCTAATGCTGGTCAAGAAGTTGAGAGCTTGATGCGTTGTGTTGTCTCTCGCACAAATTTCACCTAGTCGGCCTCATCTACATATACATAAAATCTGCGCACATCCTATGTGACTAAACCTGACATTTCTTCTATTTTGAGTCTCCTTTTCTGATAACTTTCTCCGGTCGTGTACCTTGACCGTATCAAAATTCAAGTCGCCAATAAGACGGCACTTGGTGTGGACACGGCTTGCCGGTTCCGATGCCGCGGCTAAGCAGCTGCGGTAGGGGGAGAAGCAGAAGAATAAACGCACCCAGGAAACTGGGAAAACCCCTGCTTGTGCTGGACAGTGCTGATCTAGCAATAGTAAAGAAGGAGGCAATCCCTGACATCTAGGCGGCTTCTGGGGCCAAAGCCTAAGTCTGGTAAGATACTTGGAGAAGGTGGACATGAGTTCCCATTCACAGAAGCGTGGCCGTTGCAGAAGCAGCTGTCCAGTACTGGTCTACAGCATAGATGAAAGAGAATATTATAGTGCATGAGAGGTCGGTTTGGAGATGTCAAGAAACTTGGAAAACATACACAGTCAGTGTCGTAAAACTATCAGAAGAGTCCAGCCTCAAGGCCTGGTAAGAATACTTACCAAAGTGACAGTCGTGCTTCTACTATTCGTCTACAAATCACACTCAAGGGCGATGTACCGACATTGTCATATTCCGTAATTGGCACGCCAACAACGAGCGAGCGCGATAGCATAAAACATGCATATGAAGACCCTCACTTCTTCTTTTTTGGCAAATATGCAATTGCCCACCCATAATCAGCCGATGAAGAGTAAACTGGCCCAAGAATACTCATTAAAAACAAAACAATACCCTGACTCCGAGTACTCCAGTGCACGCTCGTCTAAGAGCACTTTTAGAGTCATACCGTTGCGTTTCCTCCGGATTCCCTCTTGCTGATGGAAAGGTGCGTAAGGTATAGTAATACACAGTTAAAGAACACGCCTTCAGGCCTTCCTGAAAAGCCACAACACAACGCCGCCATATACAACCGCAAGGACGATCCACATCGGCAGGCTGTCGATCTGGCCCCTCTCCTAGTGATGGTGCCCAAACTGGGTCAAAAGCGGCAGAAGCATGCCGACTATCGTCGCCACTGTGTCCCGCATCTGTGGCCGGTTCTGTCTCCGCTGTGCCATACTGCCATTCTCGGCGTAGCTGTTGTTCAGAGGTAGGTGATGCTCGTGGCCACCGCTGTCGTCCTGCATTGCCTGCATAGCCACATATCTAAACAGTTAGCATGACGTCCTCGTAGGACAGGGTGTGTGAGAGAGCACGAGGGCCTTACAGGAATGTCCCTGCAGAGAACAGTAGCAGCAGCCCAGTCCAATATTGGCCTCGCTCGCCCTCCATATTGCTGCCCCACACCAGGGTTATGAATATATACGTGGACAGCGCCCCAAACGGCGCCGCCAGGCTGAAGAGCACGAGATGGCCACGTGCTGCCCGTTTTGACAAGCCGTGTTTCAGCAGGACCGACGTCAGGCCAAACGCCGCCGGCGCCTTGTGCAGCATTATGGCAACGAAGATGACGAGCCCCAGCTTCATGTCCTCCGTTGTTGCCGACGCGCCCATGGCTATGCCATCTGCCGCCGCATGAATCACGAGCCCGGCCGTGGTTGCTAGCCCTCGTGACTGTCGTGGTGTTGGTGTTAGCGACCCCAAAAATCCCACCTCTTCCTCCGCTTCGCCATCGCTGTCTCCGGCCACACCCGACAGGCCCAGGTTGTCGAGGCTGATGTGGCGCGTCGTTGGCACCGTCTGCAGTCTGTCCACCGCATGCCGCGGCAACCGGTCGATCAGGAACATACACACAAAGCCAGAGACTAGGGCAAATCCTATTTGAAACGTCGGCAGAGTTGGTGCCTCGTGCTTGTGCTCGGAGTCCGCATGTATGCTCTTCGATGGTGCATGCCCGTGCTTGTCATTTTGTGTATCTTCATCGGTTGATCCCTTTGTGCTATCGGCGGCACCGCTTTCCGGGGCAGCAGCTGCGGCCGTGGTAACTATGTCGTCCGCTCGCCGGCGGTCATCTCTCTTCGCCTCTGACTTTACTGAGATGTGCTGGATAATGTCTTCCAGGGCGCGTGGTGACAGCGGGCTGGAAACGGCATCGACTCCTGACGAGACCAGTGACCGCGGAACAGCTTGGTGCATCGCAGCCTCGAAGCTAGAGGTATGTCGTGTCTGGATCGCAGCGCCTGCACCAGCACTCGAGCTGGCAGTGAGATACGTGTTCACAACAGCCTCGACACCCTCAGGAATGATAACGATGAGCGATGTGCCAACGAGAATGCCGACCCCTATGCTAGAGACGAAGCGCAATTGGGATTGTGTCAGGGTCATCGATAATGGGAGGGCGCCTGCAAGAAATGAGCTGTTGGCAGTCAGTGTCAGCAGAAGTGCAGTCGGCATTGGGGAGAGAGGTCGAGACGATAGACAGGGAGGATAACGTACGCAAGCGCCATCACAGCCTACACATAACGAGTCAATTAGCTGCAGCGACAAGCACGAGGGCATTGGGGAGAACATACACTCAGTGCTAACAGCAGCAGAAGGCCGCCCATCTTGTATGTTGTATTTTATTCTAGCTGAACTTGGGCAGTTGAACAATGAGACCAAAAAATAGGAAGCCTGTTTCGTCGCCAAGTCATTGGGCAGCTACAAAAGGGTAGCACACAAATCAGCCGAATCCAAAGGCTGGTGCTCCGTCACCCGTCCTGATATTCGCAAGGCGGGTTTCTGCTGTGTATGGACTGCAAGAATCCGATATTCCGTTGCGATGGGGTGGTCTTGTTGCATATCTATCAATTCTCAATGTTTTAGAGCCTGCCCCTGGCTTATGTGGCTCAGCAGCAAGTGGGCCGCTCCTGCCTCCAGTCTTGGCAGTTCTGTACTCCGTACCGTGCGCACCAATTAAGACGTTACGCGCTACGGAGTACCTCTCTTTATTTTCTGTCGCGATCGCGTCTCAAAGATAAGTTTGCGACCGGCGAAGACGGCAACGAGCAAATTCGGCCTGGACTGTAATAGCAAATATTCCACACGACGGAGCCTTGTGGCCAGATCCACCCGTCACCGCCACCACCAAGACACAGACTTGATACCGAGGGCGTACCCGCGATGGACGACTGTATGTGGGAGCTCCAAATGACATCTGCTTCATCTGCTGCTGCTCCGATTGCTGACTCTCGGTGCTTCCCCAGGGGTGTCAAATGCCAACGAGGCACTGGAGCTCAGCCTCGTCCGGGCTGCTCCGACGGGGTTGCAAACCGTGGCCACATTCAACCCGCAGTTCACATACCCCATTTTCGGCAACGAAGAGACCATCTTCGGCTATCAGAACCTCAAAATCCTCATCCGATACAATGCCTCCGATATGCGCCCCAATTTGTTGGTCTCCTATGGAAAGAAGTTCAAGCCCGTGGGCGAGAACGAGCCAACCGATATCGTCGAAGTTCTGAAGGAATTTCTCCCCCCAGGTCAGTCTCTGCTATGACTAACATAGCTACTCTCTATTAGGCTATCTTGCTCAGAATACTCACCAACCCCTCCTCTTTGCAGTGGCAACCCAAAAGTCAACAGAGTTCGAAGAAGCCATCAAGCAAATGCCTGCAGGTAGCTACCGTCCTCCTGGCGATCGCATCAAAGACCTCGAGACTAGCGACGGCCGTTACGAGATCTGGAAGGGCAGCCTGGAAGACCCGGCCGTAAAGCAGCTTATCAACCGGATTCAGATCTTCGCCACCCTCTTCATCGAAGGCGGCTCATTCATACAGACTGACGGTTCGGATCCCGCTGATCGCTGGACCATTTTCTTCCTCTTCCGCACGCGCCAGCTACCCGGTGCAGCAACGTCTTATGAGTACGAGTTTGCCGGCTACTCTACCATCTACCGTTTTCTGCTGCCTGTTGGGGCCGCTACACCACCTCGCACAACCGAGTTCGAGCTGCCCGGCAGCGAGCCTGAATTTGCCTTGTCCAAGCTCCCTTGCCGGTCGCGCCTCTCGCAGTTCGTCATTCTACCGCCGTTCCAGGGCAAAGGTAATGCTGGTCGCCTTTACGACGCCATCTTCGAGCAGTTTCTGCACGAGCCACAGACAGTGGAGATCACCGTGGAGGACCCGAATGAAGCCTTTGACGACGTCCGCGATCTGGCAGATCTCAAGTATCTCAGCACCATGCCGGCATTCCACGAGGTCGTGCGCATCAATACAAGCGTTCAGATCCCAAGAACAGGCCCGTCACCCAAAAATATCGTCGACCAGGCAGCTTTAGACGCACTGCGCCACGAAACAAAAATTGCCCCACGCCAGTTTCACCGCCTGGTAGAAATGCAGCTGATGCACAAGCTGGCACCAAGCGTGCGGCCAAGCCTAGACGAGCTGGACGGAGACCAAGCTGAGGCGGTCGGCGGTCCGAGTGGCAAGGGCAAGGCGCCGATAGCCACCAAGGAGCAGCAACACGAGTACAAGCTCTGGCGACTCTTTGTCAAGCAGCGGTTGTACCGACACAATAAGGAGATCCTGGGCCAACTGGAGCGGGACCAGCGCATAGATAAGCTGGAAGAAACGCTCCGCAGCGTGGAGCTGGAATACGCACGAATCCTGAGCCTGTTCGAGAGTAGAGCAAAACTGCAGGCACCGGCAACCAAGCGGAAGCTGGTGGAGGACATTGAAGACGACGGGTACGGGAGTTCGTCGAGCAAAAAAGCGCGCACGGACGAGGCATAATAATGGTCAGCGGTTGACGGAGTCAGTTGGGGTTTTCAATGGGAAGAGGCAGACATGGTTTCCGTAAGGGCGTTTGCGTATATGGAATCGGTTGTCAAAAACAAAAAACGGAATCTTATCGTACTGTCTATTTTATGAGTTTTGATTCTCTGAGATGAGCTCAGTGCCAAATATCGATAGCAACGAGCTGTAAAAAGAACGGTATGCAACCCCCAAAGCACGCTTCTGCAGTATGTCGCTCTCGGACATCTACGCCTCTGCTGTGGCCGCTGCGACGAACTCATTCCGTGCTGTCCAATACTTCTCCTCAACAACATCACATAGGTCTTGCAGGTCGTGAAGACCCTTCTCCAGCGCCTGAAGAGCGGTACCCTCTGATATACACGCATCAAATAGTCAGTATAGGATGCAGACACCACCAAAATGAATTTGGGTTGCTGGGGCCTACCGTATGTCTGGATGCGAATGTTCATCTTCGCCTCGGACGGATGCGGGATGGTGTAGGCACAGAACTCAACATCGGGGCTGCAAAAGAAAAAGAAAGGCCTAGATTAGTCCTAGCCGTCCAAATAAAATGCGCCTTCTTCCCCGACTCCACCTCTGGTATCGGTATAAGCGATGGCTTACTTCTTCATGATGATGTACCGCAAAGAGTTGCCAAGGGTGTGGCCCTCGTCAAGAAACTCAAAGGACGCGGCCGTCGGTGTTGATCCTGGCAGCTGTCGGCAGGCGTGTCAGCCCCAGAAAGTCTTTCATTCGGTAGACGTCTGTGTGGACGATTCAGACCGTCTTGGAGTAAACATACCAGCTTGACTCTCTGTGTCTCATCCTCCTCCTCATCCTCCTCGTACGCCTCCTCGCCTTTATCATCGCCCTCTTCTACTTTGTCTTGCATCAGATCTTCTTCTCCAGTCGCTTCGATGTTGTCGGTGTTCTCGACTGCAGCTGCCGGCGCATCTTCCATTTCAGCATCTTCAGGCACCTGCTCCGCCGGGGCCTGCTTTCTTCTTGACCTTAGAGTAGACATTCTGGGTTAACACTCCGCGATCGTGCGATTGGTAGTGTTGTGAGGCTTTGTGTGTACTATCAATGTTGCTGCTGCTGCTGTTGTCGTCGCTCCTCGTTTTTTTTTTTTTTTCGCTTTCTAACGTCACTATTTTTGCCGCTGGCCGTAAACCTTTTTTTTCTGCGCCGATAAAGATTAGTTCACAACGCGGGGGACGCTAAAACACTACCGTCCTGAATCACATAATCATATGCTAGCAGCTCTACTCCGTACACAGCCTGCCTTCCTTTTTTTCTTCTTCGCTCTAAGCGCATCCTATGAGTATGGATCGCACAGCTGTTGTCTTCCCGGTACGCATTCCGAGGTCAGACTATTTACGATCTTGGCGGCCCAAAGAGCGGCCTGTTGAGACCTGCTCGTTGGGTCCGGCAGTTGTCTGCTTCGGCCACGACGGAGAAAGAAGTAATTTCCAATTCTAGCGCCCTGTGCTTATTTTCGGGAGAGTAGGTAAGAACATGGACACAGAAGCGCTATCATTTTTTTGAAATCAGATGGAGAGGCAAGCTATCACAGTACTTGCTGGAACGTGATGGGACAGCCTCGCGGTTAGAGCAGCTACAACAGGATGGGCGGCACTGCGATGCGACGGGGAGTGGAAGTACTCGTACGGGGTCGAACGAAAACCTGCTTCCCGGCCGGTTGCGGCAACAAGAATCCATTCTACCTCGTACTTTATGTCTGCAGATCAAATCGTGACCGAAAGCAAGGCCGAACAGGCCATGAGCCCCAGGTCCACCCAGCGAAATGGGATATTGAGAAGGGCAGGTAGAAGGAGTCGTGCATTTCTGAAGAGGAAATCCAGAAACCAATAAATCTCCACCGGGCGGCTAGTTGCAGAAAATGTGAGGGTTGGACATGCAAATTAAATGATCCATGTTCATCCCTGTTCATCTTCCGGATTGAGCGTCTAAAAAAAGAAAAAGGAAATAAAATACAGGTGCTACCAAAGAGATCGGCGTGGTTTCGCGACGCCATAGCATCACAGAATACTCTTCACACATCAGTACTATGGCGTTCACAAATGTCTTGTACGCGTGGTTTGCACACGTGGAAGTACGATGCTATGACGATGATGACCCGCAAGTTCTTCCCAATCTTGTATCTCGGCTTAGATGGGGCTTGGGGCCGAGCAAAGGCCGTACGGGGTGCTTTGCTGTTTTTGCCGAGCTTCCGTCAAATGACGTTTAAATGACGGCGACCCGGTGGCTTTGCCCGACACGGCAAGCTAGGCGACGGATATGCAGAGTAGGATGCGTTGTAGTATCTTGCTTGCGCCAAGTCTATTGCTCTGTGCCTGAGCGCCAAGTACGAGTCTTCTTCACGTGAGGCAAGGTACCACTTGTCGGATGCAATCCGTGCAACTCTGTCGATCGGGTTCTACGGACGACCGCAATGCAGGGAGTATGTGCTTAATAGGGAGGGAAAATACGACTCCGTAGAATGAAAACTAGAAAGCAAAAATAGAGCGCTTCTTAAGATACCATGCAACTGTTTGCAAATTCGCAGCCGCCAAGATGAAACGGGCTTGTCCGGTAGTCCGGCCGTCAAGAAGCTACGACAGATTTGTGGATTTGAATTTTACGGGAGCTCCCCTCATATACTAAAAGACAGCATGATTGGATCGTGTCGGGACCGACATGGCATTTTCGTCTTGAGGAAAATGGAGCACGGCGCTGATTGGATGACAGGGGACAAACCTCAAACACGTAGGGGTGTCGACTGATCCGTGCACCACTTCCGCTCTACGAGCCGTACTCCGTTCTTCGTATATGGGCAGGTTAGATAGATATTGCTGAACGAACGGACTTAGGTACTCTGTACCTTGAGCCAAGCGGCATCCAACGGCCGATAGCCGAACAGGGGCTGACCAGACGAAGTATGCTGTAGCACGCCGGACCTCACTGGCTGAGAGACAAGAGACAGGAACAGAACAGGGAAAGACAGGAGATCCGAGAGGCAATCGGAGCACCCAGGCGCTATTGGAGCGCTGTGGCACAGAGGCTTGCAGGGCGTATAGGTAGCACAGTAGAAAGCCGAAGTGGACGGACTGCATCGCCGCCATCGCGGACCGGTGCCGGCCATCGTAAGTTGCGCACGCTTCTCGTATTATCTTGCGTAGCAGATCGTGCGTTGCAATACCAAAAGACAGTCCCAAAAGGGAACTCCAAATGCTCGTCGAGAGGCTCGAGCCGAAACCAAACAAATATAAATAAGCAAAAGAGATTGCAGGCGACGAAACAAAAGACCCGCACTTCTGCCCGAATATGCTGGGGATCACAAAACATATTTCTAACTTGTACGGGGGGCTTCCGTGCTCCTGGCTGAATGCAGGCTCGGTCGCACCCCGCTATCCATAGCAAGACACATACGACGTACTCCATATCTTACAAAGTACGGAGTAGTTGCATTGTTCACAGCGCGGGTGAACCGGCTCTGCGGGAGACGGGCCAATGTACGACGCAAACGAGGTAAGTACCTGCAATACAGCAGGCAATACCATGTACTCCGCACTCCGTACAGTCACGATGCTCGTGGTTCGGGCTCGGGTTGGTCCAGGATAGCTCAGCTTGCGACTTGGGCAAGGAGAAGTGGGAGGTGCATGTTGCGATCGGCACTGCAAAATGCCACATTTTCCCACGAGGGAACCGTGACGGAGCAAGGATCTGCTGCACAGCCAGTCCCTCAGCCTGGTATCAGCCAGGGAATGGCAATATCGGGAACAGAATAGGTGAGAAAGAAGGGGGCGAATTATGGGGAAATCGAGCGAAAAGGGCATCGGACTCTTGCATAGTACGGCCGTCATATCCACCCAACTGGGCACTGACTGAGCAGGTGGGATGACGATGTTGACGATGAGCTGGAAAGGACGATCACCAAGCCCGGTCGGAGCAGCAGGGCCGGACCACGTCTTCTCTGCTCGCGCCTCCTTTCATGTCATCGGTCGGCAGCTGCTGCAGGGCAAAGGGTGTCCCGGCAGGCGGCCACAAAGCCTCGGCCACGGCTCCAGGGGCATATGCGCGTAAAGCGAGATGCCTGTGACCTTCCATGACCATGCTTCCTGCTCCCAGGCCGAGCAAACCGCAAACCCCACACGAGCCCTCTCTGCTGCGATGTATCTCTTACGAGTACAGCCGAGACGCGGCAGGGAGGCGTCTATGTAATCCAGTCTGTGCAGTAGTTTCGTTTTGGCTGGCTTTCCGTACGGAGCCACCGCCCAACAAAGTGGGCTGGCTCGACCAGACAAGATTCGGAAACGGGCAGCAGTGACGCTGGCTGCGTTCGGTGCTTCCTTCTCCTTGCAGTAGCGGCGGCGCCTTTTTGGAGCGGCTTGACTGAAGGGGGGAAATGCGTGTCTTGGGCCTGGAAATGCCACCTTTTCAATTGGTCTTCTTCTCGACTGTTTCGCATCTGCAGCCAAGGAGGAGGGGGGCCATCGACCAAGAACGGGCGAGCAAAATGCTCGTGCGTCGCCTCTGTCAAGGACTAGCACTGCCAAGCTTCCAACTCCGTGTTCTGGGACAAATATGACAAGGGGGGGGAGATACTATGTAGGAATTATGACTCTAAGTGATACTGTACTTGTACTCGTTACATGTGCGAGCACATTATACGACGTACGTACGCAGTCACTTTATCCTCCAATCCTTGCAAAAGCAATGCTCGCCTAACACGATCATTCCTTTTGCATTATGCACATGGCTAGGAGGGAAAAGGCATGCGGGAAGCGATGCGGGAAAAAGGCCAAGCATCAGGAATGACAGTCACAACAGCGACGTAATCCGCTACCAAAAAGCTGCGGCTATTACACACAGGTAGTATCCCAGGAGAATACGAGACGAACGGACGGCTAAACTGGAGGCGGGACAAGTTTTTTCTCTTCCATTTGACAGGGGGGCAGGTGGTAGGGACGTAAGTTACGGAGAATTCGGCGACTTGCCTCAGGACGGTGTGTTTGGGCCAGCGTAAAGGTAAAACAAACTAGAGGAGAAAAGTGGAGGGAAGGGCAGGTCGAGGAGGGCGATGTTTTTTGCCGGCTTTTAAGCGTTCCCCCTCCAATCCGAGGGCGGCCAATCGTGCGGCCCCCTATGCTCTCTACTATGTACTGTAACTCACTAGTGCGGCAGGTACAGAGTTAAGTCGTAGTGGTTCTACTCAAGACACAGGTTTGGAGGTTCCGCCTTCTCGCTGGGAGAAGAGCAGCAGAGGACGTTGACGACAGGCAGTTGCGGCGGAGAACAGCAGGGAAGAAAACAGAAAGCACGATCGCCTACGACGTAGAGGGAGAGAACGGCCCGACTGACCTTCCATTTCCGCCAGCGCAAACCAACATCGCTCCTGCTCTGACGGCACGCCTTGCCCTACGAGTACTTGTACGGAGTACAAGGGAAGGAGGACTCCTCCACACCCCCCAAAGAGCCACACCCCTCCTCCCCCTTTATCCTTGACCAGTTAACCCCCCGGGCCAAGATCTCTCACACACAACTGTATCACTGTCGCTCACCAGATCGCTCCTTTCATAACCAGCGCTTCGTCCTCCCAAACTACTTCTGAACCACCCTTGTACTTTCCGTGCTTTTCTCCTCTGCCCCCCCTTCCCTCATATATTTTTTCTGTTCTCACCACATTCGTCCCTTCGTTCTTTTTTCCGTCTTCCTTGCTTCTCGCTTCCACTGCCGTGCTCTGTCTCTACTCTCGCTGCTTCGTTTCTCGACCTGATTTACAGCACGCACGCATTGACAGCCTGTCGCCCCGCGCCTAATATAGCACCCACTTGTCGTATTCTCGTCCTGACCGTCGACCACGACTACCAATACGGCCTTTCACACCGTTCTTATCGCTTGCCGGCAAAGATCAGCCCCGACTAGAGTATTTCTTGGAAAGCAAAAAGTACGAACCACACGGCTACCAGGCCCGAGCCACCCTCTCTCTCTAGCATTAAGCTCTCTCGAACACAAACGGCCGACTTTATGCTGTAATTGACGACAGGAAACGTTCAGTACAGCTCCCAACGACCAACATTGGCGGGATATCATCGTTTCGCTCGTTAGTGTCTTGTGGATATTAGGCATTCGCGCAAACGCGAAGAGCACCTCAAAACAAGGAGCCAGCTAGTCAAAATCAGCAAGGCGTCTACTGCTCTGAATCATTGGCGCTTTTATCTGTACCCGCAGACCGTCTCCCGCCCCTTGTCTTTGCCACATCACGGACATATCGTGGAGGCAGACAACGAGGACAGCCTGCTCGACTACGAACAACAAACCCAGGCATAGGCCGAAGAGATCCCTGTCGACGTGGCTGGAACCGGTCGATACTAGAAACAGTCTGCCTTGAGGTACCGACACAAGATTAGTGCCGAGAACCGCATCCGTTCAGTCTCCCTTCCCTCACCTCGCGCTCACCCGAACGCCTCTCACCAATCTCACAATGAGTACCGCCATCGCAATGGCTCCGTCTCCGGCCCCCCATGACCGGCCGTCATTTGGAAGCGGCAAAGGCAGCAGCTCCGCAGCCACCTCAAACACATCCACGACTGCGACGGCAGCAGAGCTCTCTGCCGCAGCCGCTGCCGTAGCTGCTGTTTCCACTTCCCCAATCGCTCAGAGAACCATCTCAGCAACAACACCACATGCCGCCGCACAACGGTCTGGCAGCGGTAGCCCTCGAGGCGGTGCGCAAAGATCTTCACCACCCAGCGCGTATGTATTCCAAATCTCTCCTGCCAAATTGCCTCCTGGTCCTCTTGGTTCCTCCTGGTTCCTCCTGGTTCCCCTCCCTAGGTCACTCCGCTGACATCGTTACCAGCTCTCGAAACGCAGGCCCGCCCAAGATTGTCGTGAAGAAAGAACCCGGCTCTCCCGAGCCGACTCCACGACACCGCCCGCGAAGACTGGATCTTTCCAAGGGTGCCAGTGCAAGCTCGGCAGCGCCAGGCACTGGCCGCCCGATGACTGCAAGAGACGGATTGGGCATTCAGGAAGTCGGCCTTGCCTGTCTGTCACCTGGGTTTGTCACTCACGATCCTGCCATGAAGGAGCAGCTGCAGCGCAGCATGACTGTGCGTGAGCAGCAGCGACACATCATCGAGGCACGTCTGCAGCAGCAATCTGCCAAGGGCGACGGCGAGATCCCGAACAAGGACAAGGACAGCTCCAGCCACTTCGCGGCAAAAACCCCCGGCATGTCTCGACGCAACAAGGCGCCTCCGGGCCTGTCTATCGTTGCGCCATCTCATGAGACCTTTGCCAGTGAGCGTGTCATCCAGTCAGCCCCGTTGGGACAGACATTCACCGGCATCCACAATCCCCATCCGTTGACTCGGCACATCACCAACCAGCCGTCCAAGCTGTCAAACACATCCCACATCCACCACGTTCCCGCCAACCAGACAAATAACCGCCTACCACCCATCGCCGATGTGTTTGGCCAGGGCCTGTCTGGCCATCCCGAATCGAGCGGACACTCGCTGTATGTTCAGCAGAGCGGTTCGCGCGGACCGTTGACCTCTCCAGGCCATCCTCCGCCAATGTCACACCCACCCCCGCATCCTATGCAGCAGCAGCAGCCTTCAGCGTCTGCACGTTTGAGAGAATACCGCTCTGCCGAGGAGGCACAGGCTGAGCTGGCTGGCGGACGCCCCGAACTGCTCCCTAAGCTTGTCCACTACGGCGGTCCTCAGCCGCCGACGCCGCCTTCGCCACAGCAAGGCTACGCTTCTCGGAACATGGATAGCAACAGGAGCACGAGCAGGAGACGTCCCCGTGCCGAATACGAAGAAGGCAGCCCACCGCTGGGTACTGGCCGTCCTGCACAACGGCGCGGTCCCTTTGGCGAGGGCCGTGACAGTCCGGAGACCCAGCGAGCCAAGCGTGATGAATTTCTGCGGCTCTGTGAACGGGCCTGGGACCTGTTCCACTCTTAGCCTCCCCCACTCCACTCTCCACCTTTTTGAAAGGAAAGAAATCAACAGTTACGGTCTTACCTTTCTTTGTTTCACGATACTCTCTATGTGTCGCCAAATATACTTCTATTCGGGGAGGTCAGGACCGGGCTCTGGAAAGGATTATCTTAATGTCTTGTGTAACTCGTTTTGGCGATGGAAAGAGAATGTGGTCACAGGTTTGTGCTCTCTTTGGGTAAATGACGATGAGATAACGGCTTGACTTGGACAGGATGGAAAGCTGGTGAGGGATGGTCCCTCCCTAGTCAGCATCTGATGTGGTGTGCTGGGGGAGTTGCCTTTTGTTTTTACTTTGATTTATTTGCGTCTTACATCTCTTCTCGGGGTTACGTGTTGGCCGACCCTTCAAATGTCTCTTTTTCGCATGTTCTGCTCTCTTTTCCTCACAATCTTAGCGTTGTCACAATCCCAATTCTTTCTCGTGTTTCTATTTTTGTCTTGTCATTTTCTCCAGATTACCCAAACGCCTTTCCATCCAGCGAGTCCCTTTTCGCGTTCGCTAAGCTGGAAGTGTCTATTCACCCTGTTCGATCTTGCAAGACTTGGTAGATGGGGATGAAATCATGATCTGTTCATGTAACCTGCCGGAGTTTCGGTGCTGTACTGGATAGCAGCTGTTTGAATAGTAACAGAGATATACGCAACACGAGTGCAGTGAAGCCAAGTAAAGGAGTTAGGAAGTCCAACCCAGTCCTCTCGGAATTTGTTCGTTTACTTCATTCTTCCGCATATATATCTAGCCGTGTCCCTGCTTGTGCCCTCGCCAGTCGAGACGGCTGCAATACATCGGCTACTAATATGCGCAAATACAACGTGTATACCATGGTGAGCTCGTAGCCCGCCCACCCCCCAAAACTCCCTTGGCTGTCGAGCTTCGTTGATAAACGGTTTGACACACGAGGGCTCTTCTAACCCAAGAAAAGACCAATGAAATTCATTAAAGGCAAATGCATCCATCCAAACGCCGCTGCTGGCCCCCAAGATATCAAACAGCATTTGCCGCATGCCGCGAACTGCAAGCTGCAAGCCGCAAGCCGCAAGCCGCAAGCCGCAAGCCGCAATACGCTGAAAAGCCCCGCCCTTTTTATAGAGTAACAAAAAAAAAGAAAAAAAAAATGATAGGTATAGTAAAAAGTATATAGAGAAAAAGGTAGAACCGACTGGCAAAATTAGGCACGAGGGAGAAAGCGCAGTGACGTCATTGGTACAAAAAGTGTGCCGGTTTTCGCCAAGCCCAGTTACCCTCCTCTCAATAATCCCGCTTCGTTTTGCCAAACGCCCACAAGACGTCCTTCTGAAGGCACTGGCCGAAGATCAGAGTCCCTCCTCGCCAGCCTTGCACAACTTTATCTCGCGGCCCCACTCGGACTTGAGCACTTGTGAGGCTGTGATACGCCGAGAAGGGTTGGGGTCCAGAATCGAGTAGATCACATTTCGGCAACGAGCCTGGTGGTGTTAGCATTTATCCCAAAATGACGATGTGCAGATAAGACAGTGCCAAAACTCACCCTGTGAAGGGATTCAATAGGACCGTAGCCCTCTTCGTCGCGACGACCATCGAGATACCGGCCATAAAACTCGTCTTCATCCTTTCTTGCAACACGCCACAGATGACGGCCGGTACGCATGGCCATGTAGATGACGCCACAAGCCCACACATCGACGGCTCGTGCATCGAACTCCTTGCTGACGTATTCTTCAGGAGCTATATACGGGGCAGACCCGCAGAGGCCAGTGACCATATGGGCATCGCTCTCCCACGCCATGCGGAAGCACTCGCCATTGCCAAAGTCAGTGATTTTGAGGCCTCCGTGTGTCGTGAGCAGCAGGTTTTCGGGCTTGAGATCCCTATGGGCGACACCCATCTCGTGCATGTACTCGACGCCTCGCATCATCTGTTTGAAGAAGCAATCTGCCTCCTGCACCTCCAACTTGCCAGCAGCTAGGACCAGAGTGTATAAATCACCCCCTGCGCAGAACTCCATGACCTCGCAATAATCGCCTTTCGCATCCTTGATGAGATCCAGCGTGTGGATGACGTTTGGATGGCGTAAGCTCGAAGATATGCAGAATTCGGATGTCAGGCGCTTGCTGTACTTCTTCTCATTCTCCTCGGGCCGGCGACGGAATTCCTTAACAGCATACAATTTCTCGCCGAGGCCGTCGGCCATCTTCTTGTGAGAGATGCGCACAATTCCAAAAGCACCGCGGCCTACAATTTCCTGGCATTTGCCGTACTTTTCCGAGAGCGTCGAAGGCTGTGCAGCCGCGGTCAAGATGCCCGCCTTCTTCTCAACGGCCTTCTTCTCGGCAGCCAAGCTGTCATTTTCCTGCTTAAGGTTGTCGACCCAGCTTGAAACCAAGGACAGGTCACTGTCGGGGTTCTCAATCTTTTTTCCCAGAAAGACACGGAACATGTCCATGAGCTTTTCTTGTCGGCGACTTGACTTGAGGTGGTGCTCATGGCCGCCTTGCTGATTCTGGCCAGAGACGAATCGACTGGGGGCCACGTGGTTTCCTGGCTTTGTTGCCTTTGGAGAAGGAGCTACAGTTGCCTTATCGGTCGCGGAGCTTTTTCGAGATGGAACTTGAGGTTTCGCCAAAGGTGATGCCGCACCGCTGTTTGCAGTACTTGGTGTAGAAACACCAGCGCCGTTAAGAGTCGAGGTCTGGTCAGAGCTCGTTTTGCCAGGCAGTTCGAGTTGTGCTTGGTGCTGCTGCTGCTGCTGCTGTTGTGGTTGCTGTTGCTGTTGTTGTTGCTGTTGCTGTTGCTGTTGCTGTTGTTGTTGCTGTTGCTGTTGCTGTTGCTGTTGCTGTTGCTGTTGCTGTTGCTGTTGCTGTTGCTGTTGCTGTTGCTGTTGCTGTTGCTGTTGCTGTTGCTGTTGTTGTTGCTGTTGCTGTTGTTGTTGCTGTTGTTGTTGCTGTTGCTGTTGCTGTTGCTGTTGCTGTTGCTGTTGCTGTTGCTGTTGCTGTTGCTGTTGCTGTTGCTGTTGCTGTTGCTGTTGCTGTTGCTGTTGCTGTTGCTGTTGCTGTTGCTGAGCTTGTTGTAGAGGTGGATGTTGTCCGGTCTTCTTATTCTGCGAATTCCCGTTTAAAGGACTGGAGGAAGCCTCATGTCCAGTGGTTGAGCGTTGTGAGAACATGCGAGTGATACGATCTTTGACAGATGTCTTTTCGGCTGCTTTCGACTGTGCATCTGGGGGCGTAGTGCTGCCATTTTGAGCTTTGAGATTTGGTGAAGCACTCGGGGGGAGTTCGATTGATCGGATTGAGGAGGCATGCGAGCGTTCTGATGGGGCCGTGGCCTTCATATCTGACGAGAAGCTCGCCATGGTCGAGTGCACCACCTGTGCAATGAGCCAGAGGACGTGCGTGTGCTTTTAGAGAATATTCGGCTAAGACACAGACACGAGCACGAAGGACGTGCGCTGTATCGCCCCCAATTTCACCCCGGTGCGGAGGATTCGCACCGACAACAGGCCGGAGAGACGGACGGTGTTCTGATCGGCCCTGGAGGATTGGAGATACTACTGCGGGCGAAGTGTGGGTTTGGTGTGACAACAGCCGATGGTCTTAGAGGCGACAGTCCGTCCGCGAGAGTGGTGCTATTAAGTGTCTTGAATGCGTGGGGGTACAGTGGGCCTTTTGCGGTAGGAAGACGTCGTTTCTCTTCTCGCGTCTTCAATGTGGTCAATTGGATTCTGTTCGCTTGTTGCAAATTTCGGGTGGAAAGGAGCGCCGAGGCTATATAGAGAAACGTCTCGCGCTGAGTTGGGGGATCCCCAGTTGACTGCCGAGAAGGAAAGAATTCCGACAAAGTGGCGGTGCTGATTGGATTTGATAAGCAACAAGGCGTAGAAGGGAGGCGAAGATTGCCAGAAAGGACTAATAGAGGAGGGGGTGGCAGGCTAGAAAATGAGAGGGCAGGATTAGCAAGTATTAAAGGCCGATGACCAACAAAAGTGGAGGCAGCTGTGTTGAGCTGGTGCAAGTCATGATGAGATAATGTCCGGGTTTTTGGCTGTGCGAGAAGGACACGGATTCGCCGGGAAGCAAACGTGCAACAGCGCGAGATTGTGCGTGTGGGTGGGTGGGTAGTTGAATGCGTGGGTTAAGTGGATGTGTATATGCATGTGTTTGCATGTATTTGCATGCATCCGCCTCTTATAATGTTTCTGCGGTGGGATGGGGATGCTGGAGGGGGCAGAAGTATAGAGAGGTGCAGGAACAGACGGGGGGCTCTAATGAACTCAGGGGTAGCGAGACGAAGAAAAGCCACGGCACATCCAAAGTGAGAAGCCAAAGTGAAGCCAAAGTGAAGCCAAAGTGGAGGCGAGAAAGGACATTAAGGCAACGGTGGATGCAAAGAGAAACACAAGAGGACGAATCATAACGCCTGGGGGATGGAATTGGGTTTACCTGTAAGGGGGTGTGTCTATACCGGCAGCGTGTAATGCAAGTAGCTGCGCGGTGAAGGGTTTGGATGCTTTCTTGCAGGCTGACGCCGGCCGGTGCAGTTCGGTTGCAGTTTACAGCTCCGTCGTGGTCTCTGTTCGGGGCATAGTCGAAACCACCGGCTGATCGGGGAAGCGGTCGGGGAGAAGTGACGAGGGAGGCAGAGAGAGATCATGAAGAGGAAGCGATGGCCAAAGCGGAGGCAGAAGACGGGGAACTGCACAGAAGAGTGGGAGATGTGTCAAAGTATGGAGAAGATCAGGAAAGAAAAACGCAACAGACAGGTGGCGCCGGAAAGAGGAAGAAAGGGAGGGAGGGAAAAAGCAAGTGATCGAGCAGGAAAGAGCAGATGGGGCAGCAGGACAGACGAGAAAAGCAATGGGAGACGGGAGGAGAAGGGCAGGATAAAATAAAATAAAATAATCAGGACCAGGCGAATCCGGCGACTGTCAAATCAACGTTAAACTCGAAAATTCCAACCTTTTTGAATTCTTGTGGTGAGCTAATCGAAGGGCCACACTCGGGTTAGGGTCTCCTCTTTCTTCCTCCTTTAGGTCGCCATTTAAATACGTGCAGAACGAGAGAACAGCCGAGCTTGTCGCGACACTGTGGACTGTGAACTGTGGACTCCGGCAGGTGCTGATGCTGATGCTGATGCTAACCAGCCAGTGGCGGCATGGGTGATAAATCATGGCAGGTGCAAAGCAACGCTACATACGGAGTATACGACGTAAGATACAATTATTAGAGCCGCCAGCACGATGAATTCCCGGCTTCCCCACGCAACGGTGCTGGGCAACTCGTACATCTGACCTCGGCCAGTGCGCCAGAGCTGTGCCGACTCTGGCCTAGCTGCAAGGTGTTTTCTCGCCTCCGAGACAGATTTCCAATTCTTAGTAAGGAAGCACAAAACTGGGGAGAAAACCGACGTTGGTTTACTATGGAGCAGAGAATCAAACGTTGAAATAAGAGATCCCAAAAGGCCGAAAAGGGCCAAAGCGGGTACACCGACACGGACGAGAAGACCGGTTTGTCTGGGCTGTATCCGTATGGCAGAAAGTCTGGCAAAAATGCGAGACACAACGACAGCCAAGATGCATATCGTTCTTATCAATACGACTTACTATGTATCTTAGGAAAGCATGCCCTACAGAAAGTATCCATCTCACATTACTAGCGGCATGTGTTGTACAAGTGCGCCGTACAGTGTGGGTCAGGCACACGAGATATACCTGCAGAAACATATAAATTCGATGTCAGTGCCTGGTAGAAATTTGTACAGCGAGAGGCTTGGCGCCAGTATTGCCGACAACAGGGCTGTTTTTTTTTATGGCGATTTTTCGCTTTTCGCTTTTCGCTTTTCGCTTTCCTATTTTCCCCCAGTCTTTTCCTTTCACCTTCTGGCCCATCCCCCCCAGCGTCAGGCGTATAATTTTTCCCCTTTTAGCGAGTATTTTCGAGCCCTTTCCTGCTACCGGTCCACTAAGAACCAGTTAGATCCACGTGTTTCCGTATCCAGATGCAGGGCAACGAGCGGACGAGAAAACGGTCAGAGAAAATGCAAAGGTAATACGGAGTACTACCGAAGACATCTTCATTTTAGTAATTAGCAGTTCAGTTCGTCCCCAAATAGCTGAAAATAGGGCGTCGGGCTATAATAACGAGATGGGGCAAGCTGCAAACATGGCTGTACTCCGTACTGCTGCGTGTAAGTCCTTCAGCAAGACCGATGGCGTTCTCCCTGGCGACTTTATCTGGCACGCCCGTGCTCGAACCCGCGCCTTCCTGTTCTTTTTTGCCCTCTGGCCTTTGTCAACTTGTCTATTTCCAACCCCATGAGGCATTTATTTCTGCACGTCGCAATGCCGACTTACCGACGACCTGTTTTCGTCATTTGCCCTGGTTTTTTTTTCTCTGCTCTCCCTCCCACTGTACGAGTGCCGCACCACTTTTCCGCCCCTCTCCCTCCTTCGCCTGGTCCACGCAGCTTTTCAGCTTTGCCTGCTCTTCGCTGGTCAAGGCGAGCTTAACCAGAGTGAGGGAGGGAGGGTACGGGATGAGGACGAGCTACTATGTATCTTACGGAGTACATACGCAGGAGAGAGGTGCAGCCATGCTGGTGAACTGGCAAGGTAAGACGCAATGCAATGCGCCTTCCTATTCCGACGCCGTGTGTAAGTCCTTCGTACTCGTAGACAAGGCAGGCGTGCTCCGGATGTGTCTGTCCCCTCCTTCCTCGTCGACCGCCAGTCTTACTAATTTTTCCACATCGCGCCATCCCCTTTCTATCTCTGCTCCTCTTTCTCTCCGTCTGTTTCTCCCTCTCTCGGATGTGGCAGATAGACAAACATACATGGATCACAATATCCGTCCACTCGGCAACGACTCGTACCCGACTGTCACTCCGAAGCATTTCCTCTGCCCACGCCCATATACGAACCTATTGCTAAGCTCCCACCCTTCCTTCTCACACCACCTGCGCTTCCTGTCTCCTTATTCGGCAGCCTCAAATGGCATTCGAAAGATGGTTCGATATTGTGGGGTAGTCTCTAGGATTGGCCATCTCCTCTAGATGTCATTGCTTGGCTGATACGTAAATTCCCCCCTTGCCACCAGGCATCCTTAACCATCAGGCCAGCAAAGCAAACCCAGCAGCTTACTTGCCAGCCGGCCTGCAGGGAACTGCAGTCCAAGAACCAGGGGCAGGTGTGAAAGGTTAGCAAGCTCCCTGGGGTGCTACAGCAAAGACAGCTCACGCCTCCTTCTGACGCGTCAGAACGAATGAATTGTCCGCTGCAGGTGTATGCCAGCAGGCCGAGGGGATTAACGCTTCCAGCCGAGACAAGCGGTATCTCACCCCCTGGGCTCTTTCTTTAGCCTTGTGTTGGCCCATGCGTCTTGTCGCGTCAGCTAAAACGGGCCAGCAACACGAATTGACGTCACACGGAGCTATCTCTGGTACTCTGTGGCCTCCTGCCGCTTTCGCGTTCTCGAAAGGCCCCGTGCGCAAACTGCCGCAACCTAATGGTTCATCAGTTCTCACCACATTCTTGGCTTCTTGACGGTAAACAGACCCCCCCTAATATCTCCAAAGTATCGACAGTGAGACAGGGGGGAAAACGCCAGGATCATGTTCTTCTCTGTGCTTCCGAGAAATGCATGCTGTAGGACCTCGCAGCTTCCTTTTCCTCTTCTTCTTGACCGACTTTCACAAATAGAACAGTCAGCTACATACGTTAAGGACACACAGCATCTAGCGGTGTGGCCGGCAGAAGAAAATAATTATCGCATTTGTCGTATCTTACTTTATCAGACACCAAATGGCATTAGAAGAGAACGATAGCAAGCGTATCTTACGTCGTACGTAGCCAGAAAAGGAGGGTGGTTTTGCACAGACGACCCAGAGCAGGCCTTGACATGCTACATGCTTATGCCTAATCTCTACCCCTGCTTCAAACTTCTGGTGCTTGTTATCAGGTCGCAACGCAACCGAAAACAAGTCAAACTCCCGAATGGTTTAGTTCTGCAGCAGATTCGGTAGTTTGCGAGCAGGACACATTACCTCGGGTACCAAATGCAGATTGCTGGGTGAGCTAGAAACAAAGAGACTGAGCCGCCTTGGCAGCGACGATTAGGGAAGGAAGCTTGCTTTTCAGAGCTTGCATAATCAGCCGATCTCCAATTGCCAAGCATTGGGCCGTTTGTCTCCCGAAAGCCAAGTAAAGTACAAGCGATACCAGGCCTCAGAGTGGATGGCACATCGTTTGGCGCCAAGCTGGAACGGCGATCCCTAGCTGTTAATCCTTGCGTTCATCGCTGGGAGATGCTCCCTGGCGGTAGCTCGGAAATGCGTGGAGTCACACAGAGCCAAGGCAATGGTTGCCCTGTACTGTACATAGCGTGTTAGCGATCTGGCCGAAATTACCAGAAATTCAATACCGTTTTGCTAGCTACTGGTTGAAACGCCAGCGCTTCTCAAAAAAAACCGACGATCCCACATATGTAATGCAGAACATCCACCATATGCCAAGACATCCACGTCTCCATCGTTTCCACCAGTCATACATCCTATTTGGCGACGCCCAGCATCACCTCAAGACCGAGATTCCTCCATGGCACAGGCAACCACGTCTGCCAATGCGATATTCTTTGCATCACCTGGCAAATCCGCAAATCCGCCCGGTGAGACAGAGTATACGCCAGCTCGACCGTCCAGACGGCCTGGGGCCATCGGCTCATCTTCCTTGTGCTCTGGCCCGTTTTTGGGATAGACGGAGGGTCGGGCATGCTGAGACCGGGTGCGGTTGAGCTCCGACTGGAAAGCTCGGTCTTGGATGTCAAAGTCAGCATTTGTTGGCGACTCGGACACACAATTGTCGGCGGCATGTCGCCCTTCGGTCGTGAAATCGTCCACGTCACCAGTTCCTATCCCCAACAAGGGCATGGGACCCTGCTTCAAGTCTGCCGAGTCGGTTGATTGTTCGCGGAGATGATTGCTGGAAACAGCAATGGTGGTGTCCCTGGGGATGCCGTTTCGAATCTTCTGCATCTGAAGACCAGCTTTCCGCTTGTTCTCTCTCATCTCTTGGACGAGTCGAGCTATCTCTGAATGCATCTCCGTAGCCTCAGGTGTCGGCTCGAAAATTGGTGTATTGCCAACAGGGAAACCGGTATTATTTCCAACGGACAGCAGTAGTCCAACATCAATCTCTTGACTTCGTGTGGAGAGGAGACCCTTGAACTTGCGGATAGCTTTCATCTGGTGGTCATGTCAGGTCTTGCTTTCACGGAGATATACGGGAGGCGGAGTAACTCACGACACAAAGCAGGTGGCTTATGTTTCGCGTAAAGGCATGGTTGACCTCCAACGCATTGGGAGGCTCAATGGGCTCGGCACAATTCTCCTCGGCACTCAACAACGGGTCTTTGCCGCGTTTTGTGACCCAGGGGTGCTCCTGCGACACATCGGCTGTTAGAACGCGCAACGAGAATAAGAGAGGGATATGGGTGTTTGGAGCCCACCCTCAGCTCTGACATGACAATCCTCTTGCCCGGATCTTTTTCCAAAATTCTTTGCATCAGATCAACAAAGTCTGGGTCTTCGTCTTCTGGCAGCTTCGCCTCATCATTTGTGATTGCGTTGTAGATATCAACAATGCTAGCGTGATTAAAGGGCAACCTGCCATAACGGAGACAGTAGAGCGTTATGCCCATAGACCAGATATCGCAGGCGGTGCCGGAGACCTCCCCGTGCAGGGAGCATAGCTCTGGGGGGAGGAAAGCTGGGGAACCAGCTGTTTTGCTTGTGCGCATTTCCCCCATTTTTTCGAATATTTGGGAGACGCCGAAATCGCCGATTTTGAGCACATCGTCATCAGTTATGAGCAGGTTGTCCGGCTTGATGTCCCTGTGTACAATATTCTGGGCATGTACTGTATAGTGAACGGATGAAGTTAGCGTTCGGCTCGACTTCCCCCCCAGGGGCCACGGATCAACCACGGATCATAAAGACACTCACGATATTCAATGCCTAGCATCAAGTCACGAAACCAGCAGCGACAGGCTTCTGCATCATACGGCCTTGCGGGTTTACCAAGATCGACAGACATGATGACGCCCTTTTTGCACACCTCGAGAACCATGTATAGTGAGTCCTGGTCCGGATCATCCAAAACCTCGATCAGCTGTACGAGGTTTGGGTGGTTGAGCTTTTTCATGACCGCGATCTCTTCCCGGATAAGGTAAAGGGCATCCATAGCCTCGGCCTTTGTCTCGCCGTCGAATCTTGCGGCCGAGTTGAACGGCATGCCGGGCCTCCTGCCCACAGGCCCCCTGCGCAGGATGTTGCTCCGCGCACGTCTACGCAGGAGGGCCTTTGAAAACTCTTTGATTGCCTACCGCTGCATGTAAGCAAAGGCTAGCGGCTCTTTGGGAGAGCACCGGAGTTCGGTGGCCAGCCACGTACAAATTCCTGACCATACTGGTCGGTGGCAAGATGGACAGAGCCGTAAGAGCCTCTGCCCAACAAGGATATGATGGTGTACTGGTTGATTTTGTGGTGTGCCAAGCCGTCCTCTTCGTCATCGGCAAACTCGGAAACGGCGTTGAGCGTTTCCTGTTCTCGTCAGCCACACACACTGGCACAGACGCATGTGCACGACTAGAGGCAGGATACGACTGATCGAGACAGGCATGCAGGGGGCTGCTTACCTTGACCTCGCGGTGGTGTGAAGGCGTACGCCGGTGCTGGCGTATGGGACTATGGTAAACGGGCGCATTGGGAGGGGATCTGAGAAGCAGAGCAAGAACGGAGCGAGGCAGACGCCCCAGTCAGACACATCTCAGCAAGTAGGAAAGGCGCACGCAGGGGAAGAGGATCAAAGATGCGCGAGGTAGTTGCACTGCCACACGGCCCCGCAGAAAATGGGCTGCCGGCTGGCTCTCCCGCCTTCTGTACCAGCCCAGCAGGGGGCGTTCAGGGCCCGGGGTAGTAGTGATGTCGGGGGCGTTTGGGCGCTGTGGACGGACGGAAGACTTACAGGTGAGCGATGCTGCCGTCGCGAAGCCCAGCGGTGATGGTGGGAGAAGGAGAAAGGACCGGATGGGCTTCTGGTCTGGAGGCGGGGTCGCCGGCCGTCTGGGCCATCATTGTCGAGCCCGACAGGGACAGATGGCCGTCGCCGACGACGGACAGAGCAACAGCTGACGACTGCATTCTTCGGGGTCTGATGGGTATCGAGGCGATGGAAAGATGGAATGCGAGAGCGAGAGAGTGGCAGCGATGACAAAAGGGGAAACAGAAGAAAGCAGACGAGAGGCAGCTGGGCGACAAGATGCGGAAGGAGCAGCTGGGCAGCGGCCGTCCGCCGTGTTGGCCCTATTCGCTGTCCGCGGTCCTTGGGCAATCTGACAGCTGATGGTCCGGAAAACAGGCGTGATTAGAGCACTGATGATAGGGGTGAGCAGAACGAAGGCAGAATGCAGAGTGCGGCCACACCCATTCTTTTCGTAGTATTGTGAACCGTCGGCGCATAAGCCAACTCTATGCCCCACTTGTAAGGCAAAGCGCCTGGGGCACATCCGCTTGTCCTGTGCAGCCTGGACTCTTCTTGGGAGCTGTCCAGACGCCTAGAATGGCTGCCGAATTCGAGAGCCCGCATTGGGAAAGCCGCCGGTGGCCAAGCAGAAGACTACAAAGGCTTTCGGGCCATGCTACTTGTGACGCTTCTGCATTGACCGCAGTCATGAACAGTGCAGATCTTCCCCTATCGATCCCCCTGGCCAGTATGTGATTTATGCAGTTTTGCAGTCTGAGATCCAAACGCTGGAGAGATGGACGACGACAGCTTGTCTTACGAGACAGCCTCGATACAGCGCATATCGGATATATGCATACAACGGTCTCGCGCATACTGTGATTTCGGGAAGCTAATAACAGGATGAGGGAAACACCTGGCGAAGTCATTCTTACGCAACATCCTCGCCGGCCACACCACGACGCGGCAAAAGCAGCCGACTGACGCGGGCTGGCAGCTAGCCGGACAGGAAAGGCAAACACGACAGCGCAGACGGGACGCGTGCGAGACGCTGCGCTGCCGAGCTCGAGACAGCCGAAAAGGACGGTCTTCTCCGTCGTCCTCGTCCATCGGGCGGACAGCGGGCGGACATCATGGCGGTGTACTCGTTTTTCATCTTTGACCGCCACAGTGTGTAACTCTATGGGGACCGTTCCGGGACGTGGGCGATTGTTCAAGGCCAAAGCTGACCGCATGTCGTCGTGATCAGCGGAGTGCATCTACACGAAGCACTGGAAGGAAGGCGGAGCGTCGACGACGGTCGGCACGACGAGCAAGGACGATGCCAAGCTCATCTTCGGCACCATCTTCTCGCTGCGCAACATGGTGCGCAAGCTGGGCGGCGACGACGACGCGTTCATCAGCTTCCGCACGGCGCAGTACAAGCTGCACTACTACGAGACGCCGACGAATCTGCGGTTTGTCATGCTGACCGACACGTCGGTCATGAGCATGCGCAACGTGCTACATCAGATCTACATCAACCTGTGGGTGGAATACGGTCAGTTTCTGTCCGTGTGTTTTTGTCCTTTGTCATCTGCCCCTCGCTGACGACGAAAGTGGTCAAAAACCCGTTGGCTCCCGTCGAGCATCCCGGCGGCGAAGGTGTCAAGAACGAGCTGTTTGAGCTGGGCATCGACCAGTTCGTCCGGGGTTTGTTGTGACATGGACTATGGGGGAGAAACAAACACAGTACACTTTCTATAGAAATAGAACGTCTTGTACGAGATCGGGACGATGGATGTCTTATGCCTTCCGCTTCTTCCGTTGCTTCTCGCCTAAATGCCCATGTCTCGCTTCGCTTGCAGACCCTGTACAGAACGCCGTTTCTCTGTCCTGCCACTGGCTTCGTCCTCGCCCTCGCCCCGACTCATGGCTGGTCCACGGCCCGTTCCCAGGCGCTCTCCAGCCTGCTCAACGCCGGCGTCACCACGACGAGCGACGACTCTTCCACGAGCAGGTCCGGCACCGTCGCCGCAGCCGTTGTAGAGGCATCGTCCTCGGCGGCCACAGCAGCCGCAGCAGCCGCAGCAGCCGCGGCCAGCCCGTCGTCCCGGATCTCACTCTCCCAGTTGCTCGAGTAGACTACGGCGGCAAAGGCCTCGAGGTCGCGCACGGCCTCCATCTCCTGCAGGTACTCGTTCGGCATGCCGCTGCCGATGGTGTGAGCCTGGCGCGTCAGCACCGACAGCACCTTGGGCAGCTGGACGGTCTTGTTGTGGCGCAGGCGCACCAGCTCCATGCTGCCTTCGCCGCCGTCGGGCGGCAGGTCAAAGGCGGCCGGGGCGATCTTGCGCTCCGTCAGCGTGGCGAAGCCGGCATCGAGGATCTGCGTCAGCACGTGTGAGAATGTCGGCGAGTCCACCAGGTCGGCCGTCTCGTCGAGCAGTCGGCGCAAGGCCGCCGCCTCAGCAGCAGCCGCAGCCGCCGCAGCAACAGTGGTGCCGTCACCGCGGCTGTCGACCGTCCCGGAAGCGGTCCCGACATCGCCGACACCCGGCGGCCCAAAAGTGGCGGCTGTGGCGCTGTCGGCCAGGATGCCCGACTCGTGCAGCACGTAGTCCTCCAGGCCGGGTGGCGGCAGGACCAGCGGCAGCCAGCGCGACGACGTGGCGGCAAAGGAAGCAGACGACGGAGCAGATGTCGCAGCCGGATCAGCGGGCGGTGGCGGTGGCAGCGGCCCCTGCTCGACGGCCTGGCGAACCTGGCGTGTCAGATCGGCAAAGATCTCGAGCGAGACAAAGTCACGTGGGCTCAGATGACCAAAAGTAGCCCGGACGGCCGTCTCGACGCGGTACTGGATGTCGGCCCAGCTGCGGTTGAGCAGCCACCAGCTAAAGGCGAGGTACTTGCGGTTGACCTCAAAATAGCTGCCGCCGAGACTGCTCTGCGGGCTGTCGTCGTCGTTGTTCTCGAGGCTGATGGTGGCCTGGGCGCTGCCGGTCGCGAGCGAGACCACGCTCGACAGATAGCTGCGACGGCCGAGAAGGTTGAGCTGGATGCGCGTGATCATGACCAGCAGCCCGACGGTGTAGAGGAGCGTGTAGGCCCGCGTAATCGCTGTCCTCGTTAGCAGGTGTCGGGACGGAAGGCCAAGACGGGAGGCAGAGCCGGAAACGAACAGCTGATGGTCAGCTCATCCCAGAGCTGCCGCTTGGTCTTGCGCTTGGGCGCCGTCACGGCGCCGCTGCTGCTGCTGTCGTCGGCCATGGCTACCTGGCTCGCGTGCACGCCGCTCTCGCTCTGCACACTCGTGCCCATGCCCACGCTGCGGCCGTCGTCTTCGGTCTGGACCGTGTCCGCGATGCTGGGGCTGATCGAAGCCGCACTCTCGCTGTACACGCTTCGTGCCACCCCGACCGCCGCTGCTGACTTCGTGTGCTGGATCTGGTACGTGATGCCCTCCGTGTTCATCGCGTCGAGCACGTTGGTCGTCACCGTCGGCAGGAGTGCCAAAACGGTAAATGTGCAGTCCTCTTGGTTCTGCTCGAATCGACGGCGGAGACTACACCTGTCAGCAGACGTACGCATCACAAAACACACAACCACACACACACACACGCAGCCACAACATACTTCTCTTTGGCTATCCGGTCGCTGCTCATCCGCTCGCGCGCGTCGTTGATCTTGGCCAACAGATACTGCGTGGCCACATAGCCGGCTCCCACAACGCCCACGCCAACTGCCAGCGGCGTGCGGTTGTGGCGAAACCACCGCCGTGTCGCTGAAAGCATAATGAGTCCTGCTGTCTGGGGCTCGGACTTGGAATCGAACTCGGTCTCGCTGTGCTGCTGTGTTGCGTCGACCTCTGTCACGATCACTCAACCTTTTTCTCTCTATAGCTCCGGCGGACGCGTGCTACCATTTGCCACTAAAACTCCGCCTTGCTCGCAAAATAAATTGGTAAAATAAGCATCCCCCCCCCAGCCTCCCCCTATATTGCCTCGGCTCACGCGCTAATGCCTTTGTGATCGCAGCACTGGCTGCAAGCCTCTGGGCATGTGTAAGGCTCTCCCAGCGCTAGCCGGAAATAGTTGGCCTCTTTCTGCAGTTCAGCAGTCTTCCCGCCTGTAGTCTCCCCCCCGAATTGGCTATTTGCCCCTCCTGGATTTCGCCTTCATCGCTATTCCCCCCCCCCGTCATCTGGGGAAGCGGAAGGTCCAAGTGCCGCCAGTCCTGTTTGTTCGGATTTAACCCCTCATTACCTGCAGCGCCGTCTGCCTCTCCCTTCGCTTCTTCTTCCTGCTTCTCGCCTGCGACCCCCCCTCGGATCCCGTCCTTTTTGGCGTCCAGAGCCATTGAACGTCCCAATTGTTCTTCTTCCATCCATCCGTCTCGACATTTTCACCCGGCCTGTCCGTCCTGCCAGCCATGGACCAGCAGCTGCCCACGTTCGAGTTTATACTAGAGGCTTTTGTCGATCCGTCCTCTGTTCGCGACGTTGTTCGCGGTAAGATTCTAAGAAGAAATTTGCTCTGATTCTCCGATCCTTGCCGTCTTTTCTAACCGCCTGACAACAGGCATTCTGCACACCATCTTCTTCCACCGCTTCTTTCCGTCCGTCTTGCCGCGCACGCGCGACGTTCTCGACCTCACCCTGCCCTACATTGAAAATGCCGAACTCGAGACGCTCATCGATCAGCGCACCGCCATGCTGGTCCGCCAGCTGGAGGCCGAGCGAGGCGCTGGACAGGGTGCCGCTTGGGGAGCCGGTGGTGGCGGTCTAGGATACGGCGGGTCTGGCGGCGGCGGCAGCAATCATCGCGGCGGCCGTGGCCAGATATCCGTACAGTTCTTCGAGAAGCGCCGCCGGAAGGCTTGGTATGTCATGCGCGGCGGCGAGGAGGAGGTCTGCTGGGAGAGCTGGACCGTCAAGGTCACCGTGGCCGAGCCGCGAACAGAAAGCGGTCAGTGCTTGCTATATCGCTCCTCTCTTCCCTCTCCCTCCATTCTGCCACTGACTCGAAATCTAGAGCGAGCAAAAGTTCGCCAGGCCATGGAGTCCACCCTGCTAGCAGCCGTCATGAAGATCGTCACGTCTGTTAACGCCCATAAGGACCACATACCACCCATCACCACCGCCGATTCGAACCCTTTTCCCTACCAGATCAACGTCAACCAGAAGGAGGCCGGATGGGCCACACGCATGGGCATCTACTAGAGTGGAACAATAGACTAGCGTCTCATGCTTCGGGTTTGCTGTATTATCGTCACATATATACACGGAGATACCTCGGGGGATCTGTCGGTCATGGCGTTCACTTTCCGGCGTTGCAATTGGGGCTTCACGGGCACCCCTGATTTCTTCTTTTTACTTTGCTTTTCGGCTGGTTTACAGATTCATTGCCTGAAGGCTCTAAAAGCGGGAAAAGTTGGCGCTGGGAGGGACCTGCCTTAATAGATAGAGAGCGTGGGCAATAAACGCTTTACAATTCGTCTACGAGCCTTCATGGCTTGCTTGCAAATGATGGGGTACGCACGTGTATTTCGTTATTGTAGCCTGTTCCCAAGATGCTTCTCCATACCCTGTATGTTTTCCAACAAACTCCGGAATTTCCCCGAGTGTGGCCCGTTGAATTGCTTCTTCATACCCGTCCTTCATTGTGAATACAACTCGTTCCACCAGGACTTGGACATAATAACAAAAAGCCCCCCCTCCAAAAGCTGAAAAAGACATGAACAACAAATCTGTTGTTTCAACCAATACAGGCTCCTGGCCCAAGCTGGAACCTTCCAGTGGACCCCAAAACAGAGAAATGAACCCTCGTTACTTCAAGTAGACATAGCACCCAAAAACCTACTCATTGCAACCAGCCAAAGACAAGAACAAGACCATGCGCGTCAAACAAATGGTAGATAGAAACCGCCAAGAACGCAAGAGCAAAATGTGTGACCGCAAAAGGAAAAGAAAAAAAGGAAAAAAAACACACAACAAAAGGCCATTAAGGGGACAGTTAAACGAGTAGGGGCATGAAAGCAGGCAACAAATGTTTGGTACAAAACCCTGACTACCTGACCACGACGTGCTTTGTTCCTAGGATGTTGCTTTCTTCGGAGACTTCATTAATCATGGCAAAAAAACGAAAAAGCGCATAAAAGTGAACAGCCAAAATAACAGCCAAGATCGTTGACTGCCACCAAGTTCGACGACTGTTTCAAAAAGACGTCGTGTAGCTGCGGCCAAGCGAAGGCTTTTGTGTCCCCTTGAGTGACCGGGACTGGTGAAGAAACTGTTGGTGGCGCTGATGCTGTGGTTGATGTTGCGAATACGGCATCAGAGGCTGCGTTGGGGGCGCGTTGAACAGGTGCGAATGTGACCCAATCTTCTCGAATCCCTGAAGAATGTCCAAGCCGCCAAAATCATCCACGTCCTGAATGAACTCAGGCGTGCAAAACTCATCCAAAGCAAAGCACGAGTTCTCGTCGCCCAAACCTGAGTCAAGAGGAGCCCCTGCCGTGGACCTAGAGGGCATCTTGGAGGGCGATTGGAGACTGAAAAACTTGCTTGGTGACGAGGGCAAGTTGTCAAAGAATTTGCTCGGCGTGTCCAGGTTTGGCCCAGGGGACTGTGTAGGCACCTTGAGGAATGGAGCCGACGTGATGCTCCGCCGCGGTGCAGAATTCGTCACTTCCGACAGAATGCTGGCTGATTGGGATCGATCCATGCGCAATCTCCTGCCTGATGGCGGCTTGACTGGAGATCCATTGCTCATGGACGGAAACAGATTTGGAAGAGAGTCGTCCTGGAATATCTCAAACGCACTTCCCAAACCGCCCGACTCTAATGAGAAGCCAGCTTCGTCCGTGAAATTGTACAGTGACTCGTCATATGCCGTGGGGCTGCCCCAACCAGGACCGTCGTCTGCGGCCGAGGCCATCCGTCTCAGCGGAGACGCGAGCATGTGACGAACCTTATCGCGGTGCATGCGCAAGTTTGTGCTCGGCGATACTGACGGTGGAGGCTTGAGGGGTGCCTTGAGCTTGACCGCAGGGGTCAGTGGTGGTGGCAGCATATGACCGCAGCTATCGTTGTGACCGTTGTGACGGAGGGGCGACGAAGAGGCTGGATGGTATCCGTTGCGAGACCGGTTCTTAGTCGGGCTCTCGTAGGAGGATGCACGTAGTCGGGCAATCTCTTCCTCAGCGCGGCCCCGCTTGATTCTCGAACGGTCGACGTCAGATGGAAGATGACGGGTGTTCTGGTTGCACCTGAGCGCAGACGATTCCAGGGACGAGATGTAGCCGCTGTCATCCACCGAAGCTGATTTCCGCTTCCGAGCTCTGTTTGCGGAAGAGCCCAGGGGAGCTCGGGGTACAGGTGGGGGAGTACCGCTACTTGCTTCATGATGTCTCGAAATCGGGGGAGAAGAATGCAGGGCGGCGGCAGGGATTGGTGAGTAGAGAGAAGAGTCAAGAACTGCAGGATCGGTGTGCTCTGGCATTGCAGACGTGGACTTCTCGCTGGCCGAAGTCGACTGCTGCTCCTCAGGCGCGCCCGAGTCAGACGCAATAATGGTGGCATCAGACGAGAGCTCCGGCTGCTTGGCAACGTGCGTGGCAGCCGACGAAGACGCAGCTTGGGGTTCCATCAAGCCTTGCGGCATCGGCGGCAAGTGTGGCGGCAGTACCGGCTCGTGGAAGCTTGAAGGCATCGGCGGCAGAGACGGCTCCAGCACTGCCGACATGACCTGAAGGTTGTCGCTCGAGCCGGAAGGCTTGCGGGCACCCTTATCCTTCATGAACAAGTGTTCCATGCCCGGTTCAATGGCCCAGTAGTTGCCCTTGCCCGGGTCATCCTTTGGCCGTTCCTGCTTGACAAAGGCCTTGTTCAAGCTGAGGTTGTGGCGAATGCTGTTTTGCCAGCCGGCATCTTGGGGGCTGTAGAAGGAAAATGTGTCTGAAATCCATTTATATATTTGAGAGAGGGTCAGCTTGCGGGCTGGGGACCGCAGAATTGCCATGCCAATGAGCATGGCGTAGCTGTGACCTGGTTTAAGGCCGTCGTCCATGATGGGAGGGAACGAGTCATGTGGTGGGAGCGGACCGTCGTCGACGCGAGGTTTCTTCATAGGTCGGCTATCCTTGATTGTAGCAGCTTCGAGCAGGCGTTTGCCGGGTGCCTTTTGGTAGTAGCTCTCGATGGACAGGTTAATACCTGTTGGTGTCGGGAAGGTCACGGGGTGGCTGTTCTCCTTGCCCGTGTATGCGACAGCAGAGCCGTCGACTGGAAGCTTCTGGGCCACGGTCTTGAACCGGGACATGAGAGGCTGCTTCTTCTGCATCGAGTCGGTCGGTCTGCTCGTGTCCAATGGAGGATGGAAGGAGACCATGTTTAATTTGCTTGTGCCCTGCGCCGGCTGAAGAGGGGTCAGAGGTGAGGAGGTTGTGAAGGGTGCGGCCGTTTTCAAGGGCGAGTGTCTTGTTGCTGGCTGAAGTGGCGGGTTGATGACGACGTTGCCACTGTTGGAATTGTTGCGGGCGGCGCTGCTGCTCTGTGGAGTTTGAGCAAGACGACGTTGAGGTGGCTTTCCTGCCGAGGGCATAGGAGCATGGCTGATCATTGGAGCGGGTTGGTCGAAATACGCGTCTGGGTAGATTTGAACGGATTCTGACATGCTAGCACGCGGAGGCAGAGCCATCGCGGCCGTTCGGCGGAATTGTGCGTGGTACGACGCGCAGAAACGCGGGCGTATGATAATTCCCTGGGATCCTGATGCGATCAGGTCAGTAACGACCCAAGCGAAGACGAGACGGCTACAGCTGCGGTGAAGACGAGCAGAAAGGTAGGGGTCCCTTTGAAACCCAGCATAAAGGCGGTGTGCGCGGACTTTGGGTATCTATGACGAGGAGACGGTCTCACCTGTTTTTGACGGGAATCCGGACGCGTGTCGGCGGACAGGAAGAAATTGCCGACTCGACGCAGCGAATAGGCCAGGCCGGAGTTTAATGAGGTAGGGCGCGGTGACAGACGTGGCGGATGTGGTCGGTTCGAGGTAGCGGCTGATAAGGCGCGATTTTCGATTTTCGATTTTCGATTTTCGATTTAAGATCGAGGCGGTGTCGTGTTCCGGCTGTGTGAGCCCAAAGGGAAGAAGGAATCGGGTGAGAGATGGCGATGTCGAGCCGACGAGGACAATATTAAGAGTAAGACGGATTGTCGGCGGGAAGGTCTGAAGACGAAGGCGAGAAGAGGAAGGGAGGATGAGAAAAAGAGGGGGGGGCTCGAAGAGAAGGAGCAGTTTGGGGGAGAGAGAAAAGGGAAGGGGTGTGATAGAATGGCGGTTCGCAGACGCGGAATGGATGGGTGTGGAGAGGTAAAAAGGGCAGGAGTACTCTGTATGTAGGCAAACGGCAGGGCGAAAGATAGGATCCCCTTGGGGTACTTTTCGGATTGGCGCAGCCAGGCAGCCCGCCACATGTACTCCGCGCACTCCTTTAAGCCAGACGAGGCCAAGTGGGTTTTTACATGTACACTTCTCTTCCTTGGTAACCGCGATCGAGCCGGGGGGGTGTGAAAAGAGAGCAGTGGGTCTGATGGTGGATTGGGCAGCAGGCTGACACGTCGACAAGGGATGGAGGAGAGTTCTTCGGTCTCGGTCCTCTGTTGAGTGTTCTTTTGATCTTCTATTGGCAGGGGTATGGTTAACAGGGCACGGGGCCGGGGAGGTACGATGCTGCCATCGTAAGATTTTTTGACGGCGTACATACGACGTACTAATATGGTAGCGAGGGTGCGAGAGAGTGGTGAAGTGCACAGACGAGATAGAGAAGTGGAAGGTGAGCGAAAGATCAGAACGTGAATAGTATGTAGTAAAAGAGGTGGGTCCGTTTCGTCCAAGGCTACAGCGCTATCCACACCATCCATGTACGGAGTCGAGGACTGCAAAGAGATGCGCACGTATCTTACGGAGTAGCTTATAGCCCTGTGATCAGCACGCAGCAATATAGGTGGCCTTCGATCGGTCTGCACAAGCCGAAAGTGCTGCTGCGATGGGTGAGGCCCTGATTCGCCGATCTGGGTCCCGTCCTTTCGCGTTTTCCTTTCCCTTTATCGACGTAAGATACTCCGTACGATACTCGTACTCCTGTCTCTTGTCTTCTTCTCCTCGCACTGCTAGCATGCGTCGACGACCCGAAGACGAGACGAGACACGGTGAGACCGTCGATGCGTACGAGACCCGATCAATTTTGACTTGTTCCTGACTTGTCCCCGTGAAGGCAGAAGCTAGGGCGTTTTCTCCCCCCTTGCTGCTTGCTTCTTGCTGGATTCGCTATTCCGAGCGTTTCCCACTTTTTTCCCTAGCTCCCTCTCTTCTACGATGGGGATCGGATACCCCGACAGGTCTGGATGGCCTTTTGGCGAATATCCGTAGAGAGGAAGACAGACACGGAGGCTATAGTGGCTTAGGCCGTTTTGCGACCTCAAATGCAGGGAGAGAGAAGCCAAATTAGGACAAGGTTTGAGGTTGATGAGGGCGGGGCAGCTGATTGGTAGACGCAAAGTACTATGTGCGATATGGAGATACTTGTTCTTGTCGAGATTGGGGGGGGGAGTATGCTGTAAATCGAAATGTGTGTGGATATCCAGTTTTGGACGAGAAGATATGTACTACGACGTGTTTGCTGAGCAGCGCTGCCGGATGGCGAGAACGCACACGCAGAAATGGAATGCGGGATAGCCTGCCTCGCCTGACGTTGTGTGTCATCGACGTCGTGTGATGTGCAGCAGTGCTATGTACGACTACTCCGTACGATTGCACGAGGGGCGAAGAGGGTGGCATTGGAGTGGGAGGGCGGTGAGGGCCAAGACGACCGGATGGGCGAATGACGGGGGGGCGAGGAGGCCGAGATTCAGCGGAGAGGAACGGGCGCCGAGGGATTGGCTGGTCATGAGGGAATGCATGACCGCAGGCCACTGAACGCGCGCGACCCGCGTCGGACGCGCCAGGTTTGTTTTGATTAAACCATCGTATAGACCAATCAGACCCCTGCACGACCCGCATTCTGAGACACAAACCCGATCGTGCTAACTTGCAAGTCCCCTAGCGCCTGCCTGTAGGGAGCGAGACTCGCCAGTAATACGAGCTGGTCCGGAATACAAACAAGGCCAACGGCAAGCTGAAAAAAAGAGGGCAGAATGCGAAAAAAAAAAATTAGCGCATCCGCCCGTTTTCCATTTCGTCATGCGCTCGCTGCCAGGATCAGGGCAATCAGCTACTTACATGCCCGTGTAAGTCTTTTCCCGCGAGATATGTGATTTGCGCTGCGCGATGCCCGTCGTGCCCAATCCGCGCATTGATGCTCGCGAACTGAGAATGTTGTACCGAGGCCGTCCGTCATCTGTCATATGACGAAACTGCCTTGGCCTGGCCGCATAATACCTGTTCTGGAAGGCGCTAGGGACACGATATGAGCTGCGTCATTCCTGCTGATACTACATAGTATGTAGAGTACGCCGGGCTGCGGCCTCTTGTCGCATTCGCATGCCGTCGCGTCGAGCGTGAGAATCACTTGATCCTCTGCGTCTTGTCTGGCCTTCTCAGCGGCCCGGCACTGCCGGCTGGCGGCCGACAAGAATGCGTACCTCTCGTGTATGACGGTGCTTTGGCATGCTATAATTTCGGGTGAGGTGAAATAGCCCTTCCAAGATTTGGGAAAAAAGAAAACGGCAGAGCAGACCCCAGGATCTTTTGGAGCCGCATGTTCCGGAAGATGCTGCATTCGTGTCTCTCATCCGGTCCGTTCTGACGACGTTCACGCGCTCCGTACCTTTTTGCGCCAAAGGGAGCGGCCGGTCGCCCCAGAAGTCGCGTCTCTCATTAAAACGTGCATAAGTGCCCTGACATAAATAGGTCTGGCTAAGAGGCGTAGCGCATGCAACCCGTACGGAGTACGGAGCATGTATCTTACATACGGAGTAGCTTGAATCTCGACTCCGCTCTGCCGGTCCCTCTTTTTTTTCTGCCTTCGTTTCGTTCCCGCCCTCGTTCAGACCGGGTCCCCCCCAAAGAGCTCTCTTCTCGCCCCGTCAGAGACATCACACTACTGTGCGTCTTGTGCAGACGCGCTCGTGATACGGCAATGGCAGCCGCGGCCTTTGCTTAGCTCTCCCTGCAGACCGGCCGTTTCAAAACTGCAGTGATGACCACAAAAGAGACGGTCGGGTGGGACCAACATATACGTCGTGTATTACGGCGTAGTATGTATCCCACTTACACTCGGACATGCCAGCCAAGGTGGACATGGCCTGAGAGCGGGCAAAGCTTTCAGCCCTGCTGCGGAAGGTGGCTGTGCAAGAAAGTGCCGAGTACTCGTAGCCGGCCATTCATCCGTATTCCCGACCATCGCGACTTGCTTCATGACACATGACAGAAGCAAACGTAAAAACAGTAAACCATTTTCTCCATTGGTCAACGAAACTAGACAACACCTGTCTTTTGGATTACACTGCTCAGTGGCGGCTGCTTGTTGAGCCAATACCGGGATCAGCTCTCTGAACAACCAAGCAAGCTAATAAACAAGAAAAGAAAATATCAACATAATATCAAAACTAAAATGAAAAGAAAACTGCTGGGATGAGTGAATGCGGAGCCGCGTAGACAGGCTATTCGGATGAAACCCGGCTTTTTTGTCTTCTTCAGCCCGTCCTCTATGATTCGGTCTGCTAGCAATCTCGCCTCGCATCCACAATCCCACGTCTGCCCCGTTCTGCCCTGCTTCCACTTAGGCATTCCCGTTCCACTCACAGCTGCTAATCCAGCACCCGGCCCGCCGTAGCAGCCACGCTCTTGTCGTTGGTCACCGTCTTCCTCAGCTTCATTCCCTGTCTGACCTCGCCCAAGACGGCAGACGAGATACTGCTGTTGATTGATGCTGAAGGAGCAGGACCGCCTGCAGGCGGTGGTGGCGGCGGCGGTGGCGGCGGTGGCGGTGGTGGTGGTGCGCCTCCGGGGGCATCCATCATACCCGGAGGTGGAGGAGGCGGGGGAGGCGGTGCACCGAACGGAGCCTCTGGAGCACCAAAGCCAGGAAGGGTTGGTGCCGGGCCAGGTGGAGGTGGAGGAGGGGCTGTCATCGGGGCCGACTCGGCCGACTCAACGGAAGGCATCGGTGGTGGCGGAGGTGCTGCTGGAACGGCTGTCGGTGCGACAAAGGGCGGTACCGGAGATGGAGTGGTCTCTCTCTTGTCACCAGCCGCAGACAACGGCCGTGGAGGCGCCATGCTGCCAAAGAGCCGAGATGCCAGCTCGGCCGCGCTTCTGCCACCCGGCCGGTCGTCGTCCGAGTCCTCTTCTTCCTCTTCGTTGGCATCGGAGCCCCAGCCGTCGTCGTCTGTGTCGGCACGCTTGCGCGTAATCCGGGCAGCCGGAATCGCAGCCGGAGTCGCTGCAGCAACCGGATTGATTGTCATGCGGTGGAACGGGTTCGTCGAAGTGGCAGCGCTGGCCGCCGGAGAAGCAGTGCTGGTGACTGCCGGCGTGACCTCTACCGATGCCGGTGCCGTCGTGTTGTCGCTGCTCGACTGCGACAACATCTTGAAGAACGGGTTGCGGCTCTCCGGCTTCACGTCCTCGGAATCTGCGCTGAGTGGCGACGTGGCTGCAGCGGCCGCAACTGTCACTGCCGGCGGCTCCTGGTTGCTGATCTGGCTGCCGCCCAACGTCGGTGTTGATGCCTGCGGTGTCGCCTGCTGCGGGCCCTCGTCGTCTGACGAGTTGTCCGAGTTGTCCGAGTTGTCCGAGTTGTCGTCCATGGCCTCCAGTTGGCGCTGTAGCTCCTCCTCGCGCTTCCGTGCTGCCTCGATCTCGGCTCGCCGTGCTGCTAGCTTGGCCTCCTTCTCCTTCGCCTCCGCATGGGCCGCCTTCTTCTTTCGCTTCTCCTCTTCCTTCTTCAGCTTGCTCAGCCGCACCTTTTCTTCTAGCGCCTTGAGTCGAGACTCTGCTGACGTAAGCTCGTCGTCTTCTGCAGGTCTGTTGCATTCCCAATTGTTAGCACGTGACTCCAACACATCGTCGGAAACTCGGACAGAACGTACGCTATTTCCCGTGGTTGAGGCGCTTTGGCCGGGCTCTCTGGCATCGCGCGAGCTGGCGGTGGCGGAGGCGACTTCTTGCTCTCGACTGCGGGCGCCGGTGCTGCTGGCGGTGGCACGCCCTGCTCCTCTGCCAGCCGTGCCTTACGCTCGGCATCACGGCGGGCTGTTTCTTCCTCGGCCAGACGTGCTTTCTCTGCCCGCTCTGCTTTCTCCCGTTCTGCCCTCTGCGCAGAGTTCTCGCCTCGCCGGTTAATGCCGATGGCCGCCAGCCGCTCCTGCATCCGTTGGGCCGCCTGCTCCTTAATGTAAGCCGCTCTCTCTTCCGGCGTCTTGTACGCTGCGTAAGAACCGCCACCGGAATTGCCACCTGCTGCTGGGGCCGCAGCACGCGAAGCCGAAGCTGGACTGTCGTGGCGAGAGCTTGGAGCAGAGTCCGACGCACCCGGCTCGACCGAGGCCGTGCGGCCATCTTGACGTCGCTCCTGTGCACGCACCCGGTTGGCCCGGCTGGACCGCTGCAGATCAAAGATGAAGTCGCGCACCTCGTCCTCCACTCCCAGAGCGTCTTCCCATCGACGCTTTTCGTGCTCGTACGACGAGCTGTCCCCCGTCTCCTTGATGCTGCTCTCGATGCCCTTGGCAAAGTCGCGCACGCTGTCCTCAACGTCCTGCACCATCCGCTCGTTGGCCTCCTTCTCGTTGCGCACTTTGATGCTCTCCTCGTCCAGGCGTCTTGCCGAATCCCCGGCGTCTTCCGTCTCGATCTTCTCGCCTCGGAGTGCCGCAGTCCGCTGCCGCATCATCGCCTTCGCCCGCGCCTTGACCCGGTCTGACTCCGTCACCGAACCGCCAGGACCCGTGCCAACAACAGGCTCTGAGCTTCCAGGATGTGCCTTGGCGTCCTTGAGCCGGAACAGCTCCAGTCTCGCTTCGGAAATCTCCTTCTCCGTCTTTCGCACCTGCGATGCCAGGCTCGGAACCCGGTCTGTCAGGCCCTGCAGCTGGCGCTGAAGAGTCCGCCTCTCCGCGTCCGAGTCACCGCTGTTGCTGACCAGAGACGCGTTGGGGTGGCTGTCAATGTCTTCCTGCAGCCTTCGAATGCGCCGGTACAGCTCATCGGCCTCGTGACGGTCTTTTCGGTCGAGAATATCGTCTTCCTCCGCGTTCTTCTCGTCGCTGAAATCCAGCGCGTCCAGCAGCACCTGCTTCTCCCGCACTCTCTTGCGCAGCTGCTCCAGCGTGATCTCGTCATTGGATGTCGTCGACGCAGGCGAGCCAGGACGGGGTGACGTGGCACCTCCGACTCTGCGCCGAGCACTCGACCGGTAGCCCACATCCTCGTCGTTGTTCTTGAACACGGTACCGTCCTTCCGGTTGGCCGCAAAGGCACCCCCGGAGGCGCGGAACGAATGGCTTTTAAGATAGCTGACGCCTGTCTTCTGCGGAAGCAGCGCGGCGCCAGAGTTCTTCCGATAGTCCGACTCTTGGTTGACCAGAGTCTTCAGCGTATCGAGCGACTCAGAAAAGTTTCTGGTCGATGGCGGCACCAGCTCAGGAGGCAGTCGCGATGGCACAGGGTACCCGTTGAGCTTACGATAGATCAGGTGCATGGCCACCGCGAACTCGTCCAGGTTTAGTCGGCCCTTGTTCCCGCTGTCGGCCAGTGTCCAGATTCGTTCCAGGTCCGGCTTATCCAGACCGCTCTGGCCAAAGATTTCAATGCCCTGCCCGCCAGCAATGTAGCCCTTGCCCATGCCATCCCAAGCACGGAAGATGTTGTCGTACTTGGTTTTCTCGCCCTTCGTGATCGCCCAAGGGATCTGCGCGTTCCCTTGCAACCCGGCCGTGGTATAGTTGTTCGGGGCACTGCCGCCCATCTGCGGCATCATCCGGGCCTGGAGAGCGTCGATGTTTGGCAGGCCTGATGTCGGCGTGTTGACCAAGCCCCACTGGCCCGGCATTCCCGTCGGCTGCGCATTCAGAGGAGCAAGCATGCCACCAGCGCCGCCGTACCCTGTTGGCATGGGCGGCATAGGAGGCAGAGGACCGGCATAACCAGTTGGCTGAGGATTTTGTTGCAGCCCTGGGTATCCAGTCTGTTGTGGCTGCAGGCCGGTGGGCTGGCCTAGAAAAGCAGACTGCTGCTGCTGCTGCTGGCCAGGGTAACCAGTCATGGAGGCCTGCAGAAGCTGAGAGCTCGACGGCTGCGGCTGCGGATGTTGTATTGCCGGAATATTGTTGGCAGCGCCGCCGGCACTGTCTTCTGTTATGCTAAAGTTGATAATGTCGACCATGCTCGATACCTCATTCTTAATGGTGACCGGAAGGGCGGCCGGCAAAGTCTTGCCCGTCAGCTTCAAGTTACAGAGGTACATAGCCAGCGCAAATTCCGGGAAGTGAAGCTGTCCCGAGCGCGTCGTATCTGCTAATGTCCTGTACACAGTCAATCAGTCGTCAGTCATTGCAGCCCTATTGCATGCCAGTGTCCTCCCGTCTTCATCGGCTTGTATACGCACCAGACTTGTGAGAGCGAGTCTCCGTCCAGGCGCGACCGCAGCAAAAGGTCTCGGGCCTTTTCGCCGCTCATTGTGGTCTGTCCCGTGCCCACGGCCGATCTGAAGAGCGTCTCGAACTTGGCCTGATCTTGTGCCGTGATAAAGGAGAGGCGAATGTTGGGGATCTTCGGAGTTGGCCGGTTCGCGGTCGCCGGCCGGGAAGCAGCCCCCCCACCGGTATGGAACGAGGCCGCCATCTCCTGGAAGCCTGTCGGCTGCGGCTTCATCGGCGCGGCAGGGGCGGCAAATCCGGTCTGGGCTGGGAGCTGCTGGGGTGCAGGAGCGTAGCTGATCGATGGCTGCTGCGGGAGAGTCGGCTGCAGGCTGGACTGCTGCTGCTGGTACTGCTGCGGAATGACAGGCACGGGCGGCGCGGCAGGCTGGAATCCTGGCTGCGACATCTGACCGGGAAAGCCGGTATACTGTGCCTGAAGCTGGCCTGGCATTTGGGGAGGAACGCCCGTCGCTTGGGGCTGCAGACCTGGATAGCCGGTGTATTGCGATTGGAGGGGAGCCTGGCCGTAGCCGGTCGGCTGGGGCACAAACGGACCCGGCTGCTGTTGCTGTTGCTGCTGCTGCGGTTGCTGCTGATTGAAAGGAGCGCCATACTGCGGCTGTCCCGGCTGAAGGCCATTGCCTCCGCCGAGAAAGGAGTTGGAGCCCTGGTACATGGCGCACGACGGGCCTTGCGAGATGGATTTTCGACGGGCGCGTGTGATGTGCGAAGGGAGAAAGAGAGCGAGCTTGGTGGGGAAGAACGTGGAAAGGAAATCGAGGAGACAACAGAAAAGGAAGCGAGATTAAAATAAAAAGGAGACAAAGCTGAGACACCCGGGGAACCAGGAAGCTTCTCCAAGCTCGTCAGCTCAAACCAAAAATGAATGAGCGAAGACAGAAAGACAGACGCAGACAGCAATGAGTGGGATGATCGCAAACAGTTCGGAGAAGCAGGGATGTTCAGATGTGATGCAGAGTTGGAAAACGGATAAGGGATGTGGAAGGATGACGAAGCTGTGAGACCTTCCCAACTTTGTGGCGCGATAGGCTGGGCGGCTGCTGCCTTTCGGGGGTGCTGCCACAGGCAGAATACGGAACAGAAGGGCTTTAGTGTGGCTGGGGTACCCACCAGGCCTATTCGACTACTCCATAACACGTACGCCATAAGCACTGCTCGTAACACTAGCTTGGAAAAAAAAAAACCGCTGAAGAGGCGGTTTAATATATTGCGTCTACAAGCGTTGCTGGATTGATAAAAATGCAGTGAACTTTTTTCGGACAGCAAAGGCCCCGTTCGGGAAAACGCCAGCTTGCTCGCGAGAGCGGTGAGCCTACATGGCCTACGCTGCAACATGCGCTTTTCCAACATTACCACATAGCCTTCCGCCCATGCAACGTTGACCAGCTCCACCAGTACCGCGGCGCTCCGCCGCTCCGCTTCGTACGATCCATGCCAGACTGGCAGCGAAACATCTTACTCGCTAGAGACAGACGGGAAGTTGGTGGCCTCGTTCTTTGCCCAAGCGGCAAAGTTGACCTTGGCCGAGCGCAGGGCTCCGCCGAGGCCGAACTGCGTCTTGACACCGTTAATGCGATGGGTCGAGTTAATGTTCTTCACCATCACAATCTGGAAGCAGGTAGCCGTGCCCTGGCGCGAGGCGATGGTCGAGTAAGCCAAGAAAAACTCCCAGATCTGGATCGTGGTTAGCAACGGGGAAAGGCGCAGAAGGAGGAGGAAAGAGGACGTACCCGGAACCACCGCTTGCCGTACTTGGCCTCGACCTTGTCGCGGTTGCCCATCCAATTGCGGTACCACCGCCAGAGGGTGGCAGAGTAGTGGACGCCGATGGTGTCAATGTCCTTGATCTCGAAGCCGGCACCCTCCAGGCGGTCGACGGCCCAGCCGAGCGGGGTGGAGGCGTCGGCGCCGGGGAAGATGTACTTGTTCATGAAGAGGCCCCAGATGAAATCCTCAAACTGCCAGGGCTTGCGCAGGCCGGCGTACTGCAGGTAGAACACGCCGTCGTCGTCCAGCATGTCGTAGACCTGGCGCAGGAAGCTGGAGAAGTGGCGGACGCCGACGTGCTCGGCCATCTCGAGACAGGTGATCTTGTTGTACTTGCCCTCGGGGACGGGGATCTCGCGGTAGTCCAGACACAGGATCTTGCTCTGCTCCTCGGGGACGCCGACCTCGCGGAGTGCACTGTTGCCCCAGGCCGTCTGGTTGCGGCCGAGGGTGATGCCGGTGGCCTTGGCGCCATAGTTGACGCTGGCGAAGCGGGCCAGAGTGCCCCAGCCGCAGCCAATGTCGAGCAGACGCTCGCCCTTCTGGAGGCCGATCTTCTCACAGACGATGGCCAGCTTGTTGTCCTGCAGCTGCTCGAGGGACTCCTCGACGTTGGGGTCGGAGATGACGCCCGACGTGTAGATCATGCGCGGGCCCAAGAACCAGCCGTAAAAGTCATCACCGCGGTCGTAGTGGCCACGAACCTGCTCCTCGTCTGGGTGTGTCAGTGACGAGGCGGCAGGGTAGGAACGGATGGCTGTGCGGAAGCTTACCCTGAGACTTGGAGTGGACAATAACCTCGGGAATCATGGTGAGCAGAAAGTACTTGAGCACGTTGATGGTGAGCTTAAAGGTGGCCCAGTCGTGGCGGTACTCCATGACCTCGAGGCAGTCGCCGTTGAAGTCGACGTCGCCGTCAAAGTACATCTCGTGGAAGGTCTCCATGGCAATCTTGGACTTGCCATGGTACTTGGCCTTGTCGGCAGCCTTCTTGAAGGTGAGGTAGTGCTCGATGGGCCGGCCGGGCAGGCGGGCCTTCTCGTTGACGCGCGGACTCAGCGAGGAGATGGTCATCCAGTAGCCGACCAGCAACGGCAAGGTGGTGAAGAGGGCCAGGAAGATGCTGGTCTTCATGCCGCCACCGAGCTTCCAGGCCATATAGGTGGGAATGCCGATGAAGAGGGAGAGGGCCAGCGGGTACGAGAAGCTCTCGTTGCCGGCGCCATCGGCGGGCAGGGGGGCATTTTTGATGGCCGGATACTAGAAGCTGGTCAGCAGGCAGATGTGTGTCTGCAGTGGATTGAAGCTTCGTACCGAAGTGGTGGGCACACCGCAGTCCTCGACCTTCTCAAAGGCTGGCGACGGTGCCTTTGGAGTCTCGATGAACTCGAATTCCGACTCGCTGCCGTGCTTGGACATGCTGGGCGAAGAATCCACCAGTTGCTGCTTGAACAATGCAGTCAATGGGGAGAGAGGAAGGGGGGATAGGAGGAAGGAAGGGGGGAAAAAGATATCCTGACCGCTCAAGCAGAGGAAGGAGGGGGACGAGCAGCAAGCAGCTCTGATAGGGCTTGTTCCCCTAATGAGACGGGAAAACTCGAGTTGGCATAGGTGGCTGGAACAGGGGTGGAAGAGCTAAGCTAGTGATTATCTCTCAACTGGTGGAGGGGAAACCCCACCAAGACAGCCCCACAAAGCGCTTCTACAGAGGCCATAGGCGTCCAAAAAGACTCGCCAAGCCTTCCAGGAATTCCATGGACAGAGCAGAGATGGATGTCACGTATCTGGTTCTTTCACCGCTCTGCTTTCAGTCTAGCTGCGCTGCCGTGTGTCTACTCTGTAACTCTGTAACTGTAACTCTGTATCTCTGTACATATGTATCTTTGTATCGTATCTTATCTTGTGGTCGCATGCAGGCAGCCATTGTACGTGGTAGTGTCTCCTGTTTTGTGCCGTGCGGCCACGACGTGCTGCCTGACCGGATAGACTCGGACGATCAGCCGAGATACAGCCGGCCCTCCCAGGGGACGGAGGGTGCGCGGACGGCCTAGAGGTTGCGCGGCCTGCTGCGCCTCGTCCACCTCGACAGCGTCGGCATAGTTGCCCATCAGGAATTGGAGGGAGCCGCCCACAGCGGGCAGGTCGACCGTCTGATCGGTGGCAGAGAAGTTGAGGAGGTTAGCAGCAGCAGCAGTGGTGGTGGTGGCCGTCTTGGCAAAGACAAAGGTATCGTTGGTGTCGGGGTCGAAGAGACGGAAGTCGCCATAGATGAAGAGGTCGGCATGTTGTTTGCGCAGCCGCAGGACGGCCTTCCCGAAGGCGAGGACAGAGTCGGGCTCCTGCTGCTGGCGGGCGACGTTGATCTCAGGGTAGAGGTCGTGCACGCGCATCCAGCCGCCAGCAGGACGGTCAGTGAAGCCGGCGGCCGGGCTGGACGCGTCCCACTCCATGGGCGTGCGGGCATTGTCGCGGCCGAGGATCTGGATGCTGCGACGGACGTAGTCGATTTCGGCCTGGAGAGCGGCCGGATCACCGGACAGCGTGGCCTCGGCAGCAGCAGAAGCGGTGCGGAAGAAGTTGACCGTCTCGATGTCGCGATATTCGTCGATGGGCCAGTTAGCCGGCACGTTGATCATGCCGATCTCCTGGCCCTGGTAGATGAAGAGCGTGCCGGACATGGCGGCCAGCATGAGAGCCAGCAGCTTGGCCGAGTGTGCACGGTCGGCCGGTGCGTCCGAGGCGAAACGCGAGACTGATCGGCCCTGGTCGTGGTTCTCGCAAAAGGCTGTGGTCCAGCCGTCGGTGCCCTCAACAAACTGCTGCCAGCGTGCGACTGTTTGCTTGAGCTGTGGCAGCCGCCATGACTGGAACCGGTACTTGTCGCTGGCACCCTGTCCAATGTCGACAATATCGAATTGGAAGACCATGCTGAGCTGGCGGTCGCCCAGGCCGACGTACTGCAGCACGTGCTTCGGGTCCGGTGTGTGTGGCAGCTCGCCGACTGTCATCGCGTCGTAGCGGCCCAGCACCTGCTCGTTCATCTCGCGCAGAAACTCGTGCATCCGAGGCCCGTTGGCGTACTCTGACCAGCCTGGCTGCTCGTATACGTCCGCGTTGACCACCGGCGCGTCCTTGAACTCTGCTCGCTTGCTGTACATGTTCACGCAGTCGACTCGGAACCCATCCACGCCTCGGTCCAGCCAGAACCGCATCGAGCTGTCGTAGATCGCCTTGCGTGTCTCTTCGTTTTCCCAGTTGAGGTCTGGCATCCTGGCTTTGTCAGCTTCATACTCCTTTTGTCTTTCTTCTCCTTTCTCTTTTCTCTTTTCTCCTCTCTCCTCTCTCTTTTCTCCTTTCTTTTTTCTCCTTTCTCTTTTCTCTCTCTCTCCCTTCCTCTTCCTTCTCCTCTCGTTCACACTCACTCTTTCGCAAACAAGTGCAGATAATACTCCTGTGTGTGCGCGTCCCATTCCCACGTCCCGCCGCTGAAGTAGCTCCTCCAGTTCGTTGGCGGCAGCCGTGTGCCGTCCGCTGCGTAGCGAGCTGGCTTCCATATGTACCAGTCGCGCTTCGGGTTGTCCTTTGACGACCGCGACTCCTTGAACCACGCATGCTCCGCTGATGTGTGGTTGATCACCAGGTCGAGGATCAGCTTCATCCCCCGCTCGTGGCACGCGTCGATGAGCGCCTGCATGTCCTCCAGCGTGCCGTATGGCGCGTAGACCGCCTCGTAGTTGGAGATGTCGTAGCCCATGTCTACCTGCGGGCTCTCAAACATCGGCGACACCCACACAATGTCTACCCCGAGCTCCTTGAGGTAGTCCACCTTGCTGGGGATCCCCGGAATGTCGCCTAAACCATCGCCATTGGAGTCTTTGAAGCTGGCCGGGTATATCTGGTACGCAGTGCCCTCCTTCCACCACAGCCGCTGCGCTGATTCTGGCGGCGACATCGTGCAAGAGGCGTGCGGATTGGAAGGTGAATGCGAACTAACAAGTCGTTGATTGTGGGTCTGAGCGCTGCTAAGAACAGCGGTCATCAACCCTTCACCCAACTGCCGTCTGCCGTTCCAGAGATAGAGCCGAACAGATTGGCCAATCCTCAGAAAATAAAAGTTCACCGTCCCTTTATTGTCGCTCTGCCACCAATTTATATACCCCGTATATAAGGCGCAAATGACACGCCCAACCGGGACACGCTTTTCCGCTCGGTAAGGACCCTGCAGCCTTGCATGCACACCGTACGCATATACTTGTCCACCTGACGACCGTGGTCCGACCCAGTAATATTGTTTTGCCCAACCGGGATTCGTGCCCCCAATTTTTGGGGGGTCGGGCAAACATCACGAGGAGCTTTATTGCTTCGACAACACACGATATCCAGCTTTCGGTAGCCGTTGGCCCGAGCTCGTAGCCGGCAACCAGACTGAAAAGTCGACCCAACAAGCAAGAGTCGCTAAATTCTTCGCTCCGACTTGTGCATCTAACGCTAGGATATTGGGGCAACCGGGAACTGGACAGAGGACTTGAGGGGTATAAACAAGTATCGGGGCTGTCTTGGCGTCGTGGCCAGACGGAACTCGTATTTACCCCAAGTTGTCTATCATCTGCTAATACACGCTGTCCTTGCATCGAGTGACTATGATGTAACCGTAGATGCATCATCGAGATGCGGGTCAAAGTGCAGATGTTCTTGGGCATTATCAGACACAACAGATACACCCAGAGTACCAGACAGCTGGCTGGTCGCTGTTGACAGCACCCGTCTGCCCTCTGTTCAATCTCTGCGCCGGTGTCGGTCGTGGCTGCGATGGCTGCTGCTCCCGTGCTCGTGCCTTCGGTCGTCCCGGTCCCGATTCCGGTCCCGATCTCGCTCTCGCTCCCGCTCTCGCTCTCGCTCTCGCTCCGACTTGTAGCTGTCCTGGTACCGGTCTTCACGCCGCTCCCGTCGCTGCTCTTGCTCGCGTCGGTACTCGTGCAGCTTGGGCGGCCGTTTCTTCTGTATGTTGATGCCCTTGGCATTCCATGCTCCCAGCTCTTCGTCGCCCTTGAGCTCTTTGGCCCCCAGCCCCAGCTGGTTTGGCCGCCTCTTGACCTGCTTCACCTTGGGACCCCGGTCCTTGCCGTCCCAGCCCATCCCACGCAGAAGTGCCGCTCCGAATTCTTCCACCGGCATGGCCTCGTACTCGTCCAGCGTCGATATGTCGGGCGCATCGTGAAAGTCGCGCTGGAACACATCGTCCTCGGACAACTCGTTTGCCGCACCCTCAATGACGAGCCGCGTCTTGGTCCGGTCTGCTATCGTCTGACCAAGCAGTGCGTCCACAGCTGCCTTGTCGATACTGTCGTCGCCTCCCTTCTCTGCGCCTTTATGCACTTCTTCCTCTGTCGCAGTCGATTTGATCTCCTTCTCTTCATCACCGTCTTCTCCAACCGACGCCTTCTCGGTCACGGATAGGCCCCATTTTATCTTCTTATCTGCATCTGCCGGTTCCGTATCCTTCTGTGCCGCTGCACCGGCCGCCTGTGACGGCTTCTGTTGCTGGTACGGGCGTCGACGTGCCCTTGCCTCCGTTTTCCAGTCTCTGTTGGCCTGCTTCTCGATGACCAGCGGCCCGCGTTTGGCCCGCCAGCCGTCGTTCCGTCCATTTTTCTCTAGCTCCGCCCCGTGTTCGCCAAAGGCAGTAATGCGCTCGTGACGGCCTGTCGCGTGGTTGTCGACTTCCGATCCGGACTCGGACGAGTCATCTCCCAAGCCATGTCCGGTTCGTGATCGCTTTCCCAAAGCAGAGGATGGTGCTGGCCTAATTACCTTCTTCGCAGGCCCTGAGGATGATTTTCCAAACTTGATGGCAATCCTGGACGGTCCTGGCTTCCCTGGTTCCGACATCTTCAAGTTGTCCGCGATCAAGCACAATTTACTGGTCTTTGCGTGTCAAGCCTGGGCATTACCCCATATGAGCGGAAATCTTGTCAGCCACACAGTGGCTTGCAATCTTATCCGGCTGAATAAGACTGGAGCGAACTAAGCATTACTCATCCATCATCATTTTTACACAGTTACCAGATTTAACCCCGCACTGTCAGGTATACTGAACACCCAACGGCGAGTTCGATGTTGCCACTGGGCGCATGGCTGAGGAAACCAGTCGGGATTAAATCTTTCCTTTGCTAGCAATGCAAGTCTCCTCGTTCTAATTACCCCAGACGTACTTACGAAGTAAGTTTGGCTTTTCGTAAGAACGCCCTGGTAATCATAAACTTGCTAGAGCGCCGCTAGCCCACTAAAGCTCTAGCGGGGTAACTTCGTAAAGGAGACGTCAAGCCCGCCGATAACACAGCCTGAAAACAGAAATACCCATTGACTAACCCCTTTTCTAGGCCTTACATGGCTTTTTTTCGCTTTATTCTTTGTCGCCTCGGCCAATCGTATCGCGCAACCTTTCCGTCCCCACTATCCCTCAGGCTGTCGAATTAGGGAGAATACGTAAAGAAGGGGATTTGCACAAAAGACACTTGCGTCTTTCCGCTCTTTTCCACCGACAAACCCACTATCTCTGATAAACCATCCCCCCCAAGAAAAAAAACAGCACTGTACGACCAGATTTGGGACGTCGTGAAAAATCGGTCGGGGTCAAAAAAGTGTCATCGTGAAATTGAGTATCGCCCAAAAAACACCACAACACGCCTCTTTTCATCGTTCAAAATACAAGCGACCGTCTATTTTCGACCTGTTGATATATTTTCGACATCCGTTTTGATCAGAAACGGATGTCGCGACTACCCATGACATGACTGAGGCTCGGCCCGCCGACCGCCGCGAGCTTCTGCGAGTAAAGCGGGAAGAATACAGGTGAGGCTCCTTTCATTCGATAGAGCGATTTTTTCTGTTCGGTTTGATGTACAATTCATGATGCTGATGATTTCCAGCTCAATTGTACGGTCGCGCAAACGGAAGCTTCGCGAGCTATACGCACTTGCGACCGACAGCAACGCCGCTCTAAATACGACCGTCTTCGACCTCGACGCGCCGGCATCCACACAAGCCGAAACAAATTTTCTGATCGAAACGGACATCCTAAAGTACGTGCACATCACACACTGACAATCTTATACTCGCGTCTTATAAGCTGCCTGCACACATTGCCGTTTGCTAATTGACTTCGCAGTGGCCGACCTCTTAACGATGCGCTTATACCACCATGGCAAACGCCAAATCTTGACGTCTTGAAACGACAACTGCGGCCTGCCACACCTCCCTTGGTCCAGACGGAAGCTGCACACGCTGTGAAGGCGACTGCCGACCACAAGACGCACCCGACGACACATGTCGAGCGCAGCGAACCGCCGCGCAAACAGACAGACGAGGCCCCGGCACCACCACCTCTTCCGCCGTTGCATCATGGACCAACTTCGCCAAACCAGTTGTCGAATGCGCCATCGACCGATCCGGCAACCCTGACTTCGCGGCGCACCGGTTCCTTGACACCACAGGCGCCTCCTCAACCGATAGCCGACCCGACTCCGGCGCAGAAAGATGGCTCTCTTTCGCTCATGGAGGTTCAGCCGACGCCGAGTGGGCACAATATTACTGCGCCATTGCTAGACACCCAAGCTGTATCGCCTCGGCAGTCACCCGGTTCGAACCGCTACGGCCATCCAGTCGCTGCTCAAGACGCAGAGAAGCGCATGGACATGCACGAAGACGCTGCCACTCCCACCAACAAACGACCATCCCCCGACCCATCCAGAGCTGCCGACATACCATCATCACCTGATTCGATTGCACAAACCGCGACGACCCCAGCGGTCCACGAAGTTTCGACCAACACTAGTCCTGAGAATGAGGCCGATTCATATGCCGACAAAGAAGAGCATACGGCTCACGATCACGGCCCCGATAAGACACAGGACAGCCAACACTCTGTGTCTACTGGTGATACGCGTGACGACACTGTCGAAGCGCAGCTTCTCCATGAGTCGGCTGCGGCAGGCGAGACGCAGGACGACCAGAAAGTGCACGGCAGCGAAGCACTTTCCTCATCCGGCACAGTTGCAATTGAAAATGGACCGGTGCCCGGAAAGAGCAACGGCGCTGAAGCAGCTGCACCTTCCAGTGAGGCGCCAGAGGCAGCAGCACCTCTGACCACAGAACAACAGGTGACTGGCGATGAGACTGCTTCATCACCGATGGACATTGATGAACCAGAACAACCAGGTCTTGACTCAACAAAACGACGGCACTGCAGCAAACAGCGAACCGATGGCTGGCTCTTTGACTGCCATCAGCGTCGCTGCAGTCGAGGATACGAAAAAGCAACCACCCCCATCTCTTATGCTTAGGACGTCCGAGCAGAACACCTCTTTCTTGACAACCGGAGACTCCCGTGCTCTTGCCACTGGCCTGCCCACGCCCAAGCCTTCGACAGATGGAAAAGCTAGTCAGCAGATCAATGATCTTGTCGTTGCAACAAAGAGTGGCAAGAGGAGGGTTTTAACTGTTCTTTTCGGAAAGCAGAAGAAACCCAGGGCGAACGAGCGTGTTGTTTCCTCGAACCTCGCAAAATCAGACAATCTTTTGGTCAGACGATTACTTCACTCCTTTGTTCATTCAGACGTTTGCTCAGCAGTCCAAGTGGCTGAAGAACCTCGACCAGCTTGTCCACCATGCACGGAAGACGATATCGACGGCTGACCTGCAGGCCTCCATATTTGACAGCCAGTCGTGTAAAATCCTGAAGCGCGTCTATCACTTGCAGCAGCAAAGAACAAAATGGTCGCTGCGCCAGCCGAAGAGGTGCCCAGAGCCGATACGCACCAAGTCACACTGGGATGTTCTATTGCAGGAAATGAAGTGGATGCGAACAGACTTTCGAGAGGAGCGCAAGTGGAAGAGGTCCACTGCTCGAAACCTAGCTATTGCTTGTGCTGTTTGGGTTGCCTCCTCACCCGAGCAAAAGAAGGCACTACGGGTCAATGCTTATATTCCTCCTAAACCTGAAGAAAAGAAAACGCCTGCCAAGGTTGTCGAGGCCGAAGATGTGGGCGTGATTGGCAACGCTATGATCGATGCAGCCGTCAGAAGCGAAGAGAGCGACACTACGCCTGCCGATATGGAGCTTACTCTCGTCGATGAACGCGACATTCTCGTGGACTTTGTTGACACTATTTCACCGTCAGCCATCTTCACCATGCAGGAGGATGCTGTGGTGTTCAGTCTGAATCCATCGTCAGCTTCAGATACGCTGTTGGCTGAGCTGCCCATGTATGGCACACCTCTCGAAGTGCCTCAACCAGACTTGATCAAGCCAGACCACGATCCAGACGCCTCATGGCGTCGTCCTGTTGTACCCGTCAGCAAATACATCGAGTCTCCCATTGTTATATCTTCGAGGGGTCCACCGAAAAAGATTGGACGCTATGAAGTCATAGACGAGGAAAGCGACAGCGATGATGAGTTTGTCTACAGCACCGCGAGCGGCCTGATGGCTGCAATGACTACGACGAACATGGCGGCAGAGTATGATGTCGGTCTGTTTGACCCGTCGCTCAAGCCAGTTCGTGAGCGTCTCCACGCAGGCCACCAGTTCCGACCGCCATCCGAGTATCCGATGCCGATGCAATGCTTCTACGAATACAGGGCGCCATCTCAATGGACCGTCGCCGACGATGATCAGCTTAAAAGGCTGGTACGTGAGCTCTCGTATAACTGGTCGCTCATTGCCAGCATTTTGGCTACAAAGTCTCTCTTTGCGTCTGGGGCAGAACGCCGAACTCCATGGGAGTGTTTCGAGAGATGGGTCAGTCTCGAAGGCTACCCTAGTGATGCTTCTCGCTCGCCCTACTTCAAGGTCTATCAGTCCCGTATTGATTTAGCTCAGCGCGCTATCAAAGAGGCGAATGAGAAGGCCATGGTGACGGCGGCGGCAGCAGCCGCAGCAGCAGCCGCAGCACAGACAAAGGGAGCTGCAAACTTACCTCCGCACGCGCCTGTGCAAAGACGCCGGCCCACGCTGGCTGTCCGGGTGGAAAGGCACCGCAATCAGAAGTATCTCGCGATGATTGAGTCGATGAGGAAATTGGCTAAGAAACGGGAGGTCACTCTGCACAAACAACAGCAGCAAGCCCATGCTGCGGCATCCCGCAAGGCAAATGAGCCAGTGCAGCAGAAGCCACCTACCAAGAGCCCGAAGGAATATAGCCGACTGCGCTGGGAACGGGACCAGAAGATGGCCGAGAGAATGGCAGAACTTGCACAAAGGCAAAGTGATGCTAACAGGAGGGTATGTGTTGTCGTGCCCAGTATTGGTTTTCTGTTCTTGATGCTAACGTAGACAGAACTTCCTGGCTCGGTCCCAGGGCCAATCGATGGCAGCACCTGGCGGTGTAGGTGCGGTTCCGCCGCAAGTTGCCGCCCAGATGGCAGCTAATTCCATGAACATGGCAGCCCGTGTGAATGTGGCCGGTCAGCACGGTGCTGTGCCAGGGCAGCCACGGCCGCGGATGCCGATGCAAGTGCCGGTCAACCCAATGGTTGGTCTGCAGGCGCATATGGCGGCTGGCACTGCGCCGACGCCTATGTCGATGAACAGCGTGCAACAAGCACAGCTGCAGCAGGTATTGCAGGCCCAACGGATGATTGCCCAGGGGCAGCAGCCAGACATCAATCTCGTTCTTCAGGCTCGTCGGATCCACGATCAACAACGGGCCGTGCAGCTTCAGCAGCAACAGGTCCAGCAGCAGGTTCAGCAACACCAACACCAGCAACTGCAGCAACAACTACAGCAGCATCAGCATCAGCAGCAGCTGCAGCTGCAGCAGCAACACGCTCAACATGCGCAGCACTCCCAGCAGTCTCAGCACGCCCAACATCTGACGCCACAGCAACAGCAACAGCAACAGCTGCACCAACAACAGTTGCAGCAGCAGTTGCAACAGCAGTTGCAGCAACAGGCCCAACAGCATGCTCAACAGCAGGCCCAACAGCATGCTCAGCAACAGGCTCAGCAACAGGCTCAGCACGCCCAGCACGCCCAACAGGCCCAGCAACACGTCCAACACGCTCAGCAAGTGCAGCACGTTCAGCAAGTTCAGAGTCAGCAGATGGCCAAGGTTCCTTCTGTTTCTCAAAGCTCGCCGGGCAGCGTGCGCTCCGTTATGAGCGGAATAAATCAGCAGAACTTTTTTGCCAACTCACAAGCTGGTGTGGCCCAGTTCAACTCTCCGAACGTCCCGGGGCATGGGCTCTCCGGTGGCTATGACTATGGCATCTTTGCCGGCGGGATCTCCCCGGCCCTGTCACTGCGCCTCAGCAGTTGCCTCCAAACGTGATGGGCACAGATCCGAGAGCTGGAAAACTCATTCCGCGCTAAGAACCCTGCTCTCACTCCTGAACAGGCACGAACGATGGCTTTCCAAAAACTACTCGCAGATCATGCTGCTGCAGAGGGCTACTGCCATGCATGCAGCATCTGGGACTGGCCCACAACAGCCTCTAGCAGGGACGAGCCCACGCCAGTATGCGCAGCTCCTGCGGGCCCAACAGGCCCAACAAGTTCAGCAGGCGCAGCAGGCAGGACCGCACCACACAGCGACAGGAGCGCAGGGCGTGCAAGGTGCACAGCACCCGGTACAGCGCCAGGGCTCGCCGCTGACGGCGGCACAACTTCAGGCAGCTCAGAACGCGCGGCAGGCTAATGGAACAGCCGTTGCTGGTGGGGCTTTGTCGTCTCCCTCCAAGTAAGAGCTTTATCGTTATAATATTATTTCTTGGCGACGCTAGGTATTGTCGGGTTGATGGTGTCCATGGAAATGTCCCGTCTCAAACCGGGTATAGAAACAGGCGTTGCTTGCTTGCCTGATGTAAGGCAGACTAAACGAGTCTGCAGGCGTATGCGAAAAGGGATGATGAGTCGCGGTCTACTTTAGGTCTAGCCAGTATTTAGACTCCATCAATGATAAGATAAGATATGCAAGATAAGCCAAGAAAATGCGATAAGCAAAACTTTCTGCTCAATGCCTGGAAGCTAGAAAAAAAAGTAGGAAGACGCCAGCGTTTGTCACAACACCACTGCACCTCACCACTTCTGCACGAAGATCGCGATTATGAAGCGGAAGCGGGAGTCAAAAGAGCCGGCAAAGTCTGCGAAACCGACACAGAAGCCGGAGGTGAAGGTCACTGCATCGAGCAGAGTAGAAAAGGATGCGGCAAATCGGGCTGTGAAGAGAGTCAAGAGCACGAAGAATGGCGGCAGAGGAGAATCTACGAGTGTGCCAGCAGTGTCAGCAGGAGACAGCACTGTCGTTGTTCTTGGTGATGCGCCGGTGACGATACAGATTGTGGCCGGGTCATACGACCGCACGCTGCACGGGGTCACAGTGACGATTCCGCGCGGCGACAGCAAAGCAGTACAGTTTGCGGACACATTCCTATTCAACGCACACACGTCTGCGATCCGGTGTCTGGCGTTGTCGCCGCCATCAGTGGCAGTGCCGGGACAGGGACAGAAGGTGATGCTGGCGACGGGCAGCACGGACGAGCGGATCAACGTGTACAACCTATCAGCACATCCGGCGGCGGCGTCAGCGAGCGCAGCCGGAGAGGAGGAGCGGCGGCTGATGGCAACGGTGGTGCCGGGGCCGGTGATGGCAATTGCGGAGAGCAGCAAGAACCGGGAGCTGGGCACGCTGCTACACCACGCGTCCACGGTGACGCACCTGTCGTTCCCGACGCGGTCGAAGCTGCTGTCGGCCTCGGAGGACTCGACGATTGCGGTGACGCGAACACGGGACTGGTCGCTGCTGTCGACGATCAAGGCGCCGGTAGCCAAGCCGGGCACGGGTGGCAGCATCCGGCGGCCCGCGGGCGACACGGCCGCGCCGGGTGCGACGCCGTCGGGCGTCAACTTCTTTGCCGTGCACCCGAGCATGAAGGTCATGCTCAGTGTCAGCCGCGGCGAGCGCTGCATGCGTCTCTGGAATCTGGTCACGGGCAAGAAGGCCGGCGTGCTAAACTTTGGCCGCGACCTGCTGCGCGACCTGGGCGAGGGCAAGCATGCGCCGGGCGAAGGCCGTCAGGTGCTGTGGGGACGGACGTTTCCGAGCGACAGTGACAGTGACAGCGACGACAGCGCGCCCACAGACGAGTTCGCCATCGGCTTTGACCGCAACGTCGTCGTCTTCGGCATGGACAGCCTGCCGCGGTGCAAGGTCCTGGCCGACGCGCGGACCAAGACGCACGACTTTCATTACGTCGAGGTGGACAGCGACGACAACAACAGCAACAACAAAAACAAGCCGCTCTCGGTCCTGGCTGTCGCTACGGAAGATGGCCGGATCCTGCTGTGCTCGACACGGCCAGACGACCTGGTGCCGGCAGCGGTGGCGGACGAGACGACCGAGCAGCAGACAGAACGCAGGACGGCGTCGTCTGCTGCGCCGCTGCCGTGTGCCCGCCTCGTCGGCCATTTTGGGGGCAAGGCGCTGGGCATCCAGGAGCGGATCAAGGCCTTCAAGGTGCTGACCGTGATGGAGACCGCGCCCGGGGCAAAGAAGAAGACACAGCTGCAGCAGGTGTTCTACATTGTCACGGCGGCCAGCACGGGCGCGCTGCGCATCTGGCGGCTCCGGGGGGGGGAGCTACGGCAGGCAGTCGAGAGCAGCCGAGACGCCGCGGAAGCAAACAAGGAAGCCGGTCGCCAGGTTGGCCAGCTGCTGGGAACGTACCAGACGCCTGATCGCATCACGTGCATGGAGGCGTTTGTGATGATCCCGCGTCCAGACGGTGTGGACGAGAGTGAGGACGAGGAGCCGAGTGTGGACGAGGATGAGGATGAGGATGAAGACGACGAATGAGCGAATGGGCGAGGCTACAAAATTAAGGCGACAAGAGGCAGATAGAACGAGACAGGACCCATGATGCATATGGAGGCAGTCCAGGACAGTCATTGCGAATACTATGTAGAAATGGGCGCCAAAGACGTGCTTTGAACTGTGCCATTCCAGCTGCAGGTTGTGGGTAGTTGTACGCAATACTTGGCACGACGTATTATTAATCAGCCACCAAAGTCAAATGCAAATAATGGCGTTGCACTAGACATGCAAAAGGGGCGCTCTACTGCACGTGTGGCCGCCACAAAGCGGGGTAACGACGAATCAATAGCACAACTTTCTGCAGGTAATATACGCACTGTTTTTGCATACCGGCCAACGGAAAATACAACTGTGAGTTCTGATATTGTTAGACCTCACCCAGCAAGGCCTCAGGTGGGGGATAAAAAAGCTGTGCAGGGATTGAAAAGAAGGCACTGGCCAGTAAAACTAGCCACATGGGACACTCAAAGGCAGCACGTACTCTCATCCACCACTCCTGGGCCCTAGCAGCTCAGCTACTTTTGGAATCTTGGACGTCGAAACGGTAGTGATGACCTTGCCACACAGAACACATTCTTGGCCAGTTGGCATGCATACGCTGCCGTTCCTCCCACTAACAAGACGAAATAAGCAGTTAGCGCCAAGAACCTGGGACACGAAAGCCGCGTCATGATGCACTATCGGCTTACCTCGACTGGCCTCGGGAAGCCGCACGTACACCTCATCTTCGGCTTTTAAACCACGCACTGTATCGCCCGTACTTACAACCACACCCGAAGCGTCGTATTTAGTTTTGTACAGGAATCTTGTGGACAGACATCAGCCTGGATCCCGAGCTACACCACAATGGGCCGAAAATTACAGAACTTGGCTCACTGCTTAGTCAACACCAGTTTGAACCCTCCGCCTGCCTTCTTCACGTCCACCGGATGGTAAGGATTCATACAGATCATATCTTGGTCTACAGAGCTTATGTGTAGGTAGATTTCTTGCTTAATCAGCTGACGTCTACTTGGGCGAGGTCCACTACGTCGTAGATTTTGGCTCTTGGCTGTCGGCATATTGAATCTGCCAGCAATCTGGGGGTGGAGCCTAAGCGCTCCGTTGGCCAAAGATGGCCCCGGCGTACTCCGTATTTTTCAACGGGTGCTACATAGTATACGAGTAAACGGGATTGGTATTCCATCTGCTTACGTCGCATGTCATGTAGAATTAAGAGACGCCATGTACCCCCATACATACGTACTGTATAATGTTCCGGCTGGATTGAAAGAAAGCTAGATGGCTATCGTTCGACTTAGCTCGCACCGGCCTACTCGTTACTTACGTTCAGTCTCGCATTTGACGTGCATTTAAAGAATAAGTCGAATTCAGAGTGATGCACGAGTCTGATGGACATAGAAAGCAGTCCATCCTGTGTATCAAATGATGGAATTGATCATGCATTTGCTTCCATGGCGCTACTTAGGCTTGGCACCAATCCGCAAATACAAAGGCCAAGGCCTGTCGGCGCCTGAGTTCTGTTGCACCGGCGGACAGCTTTAGGGTCCTTTCGAGTCGGTCAGTATTCTACCCGTAATTCATCGCCTTCCAGTCCGTTCTAGTCCATCGCCGCTCCGTCGGCTGTACTTTGAACATCACCACACTCTCATGAAGCAGTATAAAAACAACGGCATGACACGAATAATTTTTCAAGTCTTCTCTTTCACATATTCCAAATCGCACATCTTCAATCCTGATTGAAACAGGATCTCCATCTCAAGCCACATTCTCCATCGATTACAACTTATTCCACCAGTCTTGCACGCAGTCAAAATGGCGTCAGTCGGCTATCTCCGGCCGTCGATGATTCAGCAGAACTTCCCGGGCGCACCAAAGTTCACTGAGAAAGACATCCCCGACCTCTCTGACCGGGTAATTCAAACTTGATTCAATTGCATATGCAATGGACAGAAGCTGACCTTGTGTGCGCAGGTCTATATTGTCACCGGCGCAAACACAGGTGTTGGCAAGGAGCTTACCCAGATTCTCTATGCTGCCAACGGCACTGTCTATCTAGCCTGCCGATCAAAAGGCAAGGCTCAGAAAGCTATCGAAGAAATCAAGGCTGCGGCTCCGGGCTCCAGGGGCAGGCTTGCGTTCTTGCCTCTTGACTTGAGTGACCTGAGCACAGTCAAGCCGGCTGTTGAGGCGTTCAAGGAGACAGAGGACAAGCTAGACGTGCTCTTCAACAACGCCGGAGTCATGATCCCACCAGAGGACAAGAAGACCGCCCAGGGCTACGACATGCAGCTCGGGACAAACTGCCTTGGACCCTTTCTGTTCACGAATCTCTTGACACCCACACTGAGACAGACGGCAGCACTTCGGCCGAGAGGCTCGGTACGTGTCGTCTGGGTTGCATCCATGGCGGCAGAGCTGTACTCCGTGAAATACGGCATTGATATGAGCAATCTGAAGGGGAAAGACTACATTAGAAAGCAAGATCCCATGACACTGTACGGGAACAGCAAGGCCGGCAACTATCTGCACAGCTTCGAGTACGCGCGCCAACACAAGAACGATGACATTATCAGCGTGGTAAGCATATGGGCATCTGTGCTGTCGTTTCGGGACACATCAAGCTAATAGCTTCATTAGGCAGCGAACCCTGGAAATCTTGACACCGATCTATACCAGTTAACAAACGAACAGGGATTCTTCTTGCGGATGAGCATGCAAATGTTCACAAAGATCATGCTCCATCCTCGGATCTATGGGGCCTACACGGAGCTGTTTGCAGGCCTGTCGCCAAACGTGACTGTGGAGAGGACTGGACAGTGGAGTATGTCAACTGCCTCTGCTCGAAATAGTTATTTGGACGGGCGAGTGCTAACACTAGACAGTTGGACCTTGGGGCCGCTTTTTCAATATCCGCAAGGACATCGCGGTCGGTGCGAAGCCGACTTCCGAGGGTGGTTTGGGTGTCGCGAAACAGTTCTGGGACTGGACCATTGCACAGGTTACGCCGTTTATCTGAGCCTGTCGGTATACTAAGTGGAAGCCGGCGTTTTGATGAGACGGGTTTGAATAGTAACGATGCTTAATAGAATGCTAATATTGCTTGCGGATTAGATGGTAGCGATTTGTCTTTTAACATGATCCCTGAAGTTTTTAAATATATTCTAGTACTTAATCAGTAAATCACTAATTACCAAGTCTTCTTTACGCATAGCTCAGAGCCAAAAGATCCTTCTACAGGTCGAACAATAACTACAGGTTGATCATGGACAAATGCGTCGCCTACCACCTTGAACGTAGCTTTCTCGTCGTTGTACGTGACGCAGCGCACAATAGCAGGTGCAGAGGCTCTACGTACAATACAGAGTTGATTACCTTCCGTCGTTACGTTCAGCACAGCCCCAGGAAGATCACTCTCTGTCACGGCCAGCCGACGCTCCTGCATTGTCTTCTGCACATACGTACAAGTAGACACATCCGACACAGGCGTCGCCCCCGTAGTGTACGAATACTCATCCACATGACGTAAAGGCGGCTCATCAGACTCGTGCTTGTGAACCAACTCGTCATCATTTGTCAGAACAATACCGTAGAGGTTTGTAACTGAATTGCAAGCGGTCTCGCCTTGCGGTGTGGCACTATCAGTCTGCTGGTAGCATGCTGCTCCTGGACAAACACCAGCGAGGATTTACTTCAACCTCTTCCCTGAGAACCCAAAACTTATTTCTGGTGACGGTGGACGTCTTTGCTGGGCCAGATTTTACCTTTGTTTGGGGTGAAAAGGTCTATGGTTTAGAAATGGGGGGCAAAAGCAGTGCCTCTCCTTCTTCTACGACAGCGAGTTTTTTTTTGGATAATTAGCCGGCCATCAGCCTCCTCGGCACGATTATCTGCACGTTCCATCCCACCCACCCGAAAATCGGGTGAATTACCGCTGCTCCCAGCCGTTGGCGTTTTACCAGTACGTTTCTACCGATGCAAGGGAAGTCTGAATCCCAAGACGGACAGTATCCTCGTTTCTTGTCGAGATAAGTCATAGTGGCCATCGAGACAAGAGGTCTTTACAGAAGCCCTGTGACAGAAATAAGACGGAACATAGCCACTAAATCTCTTCGACTGCTTGGTTGTAGTTAGGTTGTGGCGCTTGTTCGGCATTGAAAGGCAGGGCTTTGCAGAGCCCTACATATAGCTGAGAGCAGCTCAGCCCTCCGAGGTCTTGTCCTTTAGTACCTGACACTCTGTGGGTCGATCTCATGGTCGGCTTCAAAGAATCTGAAGCAGTCGGATATGTCCGATCGAAAGTGTAGTATATTCACTGGTCGTATGCCCCAAGGCGAGATGTAAAGAAGTGCGTTTCTACTATATTTTGAAATTATTACTATATTTCATATGTCGTGCCGAAGTTTTGATCGAAGATACAAGGAGAGAGAAAGAAGATATAGACAATGGTAGGTTTCCCCTTTTACCTATCTTCTCCCCTTTTACGGAGTATACCCTCCTTTTAACTCTTTCATTCTAGGGATCTCTCCTTTTTTAATTTGGCGGCTGGAGCTGCAACTCCTTAATGGTACTCCGTACATGCTTAGATACTAGTATTTGCAAGATACTCCGTACTCTGTAAGTTCCTTGCATTCATTTGGCGTATGCGCTTGTCGAGGGTGCTATAAGGGGCTAGAGTGCAAACTTCGTTCTCGAAAAAAGGAAGTATCACAGTGCGCCCCGCTGGAGGCGCTAAGCATGTTCGATTCTGTCGGAAAGCGTGGAACAGGTTTGCATGGGGTGCTTCTAATAATAAGCATGTGAAAATCCCTCCACTTGCCGTTTTCTCTTACCTTCCCCATTGCTTTCCAGTCAAGTTTCAGAATTAGGATAGCAACAGTTGGTACGGAGTATAGCCGTTCGACTTGCCGACATGGCATTTTAGGCGGGTTAGCCATGCACAGCAACGGGATGACGGGCGACAAGGTGTCCGAAAATACTAATATAGGTATCTGACAGAACGTAAATTGCAAAGATTGTAAACGATGACCCTTAAAAACTGTCAAATCGTCCACTCTAATTCTGGGCTGGAACCAAAATTAGTGCCCACAAAAAAGCTAAATATACTGCCAGAATCGGCCTGTCAGCTTCCCCGACGTCTTTTTTCATTCCAGCGCGTTTTGGCAGTGCTTTTTTCTTCCTGACCTCTCTTGTCTCATTCATGATTATACCTACTTCACGCTCTACTGTGTGCCTGTTTGAGACATCTGCTTTCAGGCCGCCTGTTCTGTCTTACTATCTCGTATCTGGCTAAGCTGGATTCATCTTTCCACTTTTAGACAACCAGAACGACAGAACATACCATTTGCTCGCCCACCCTCACAACATCTTTCTACGGTGGTAAGATACTCTCCGACAGTGTCGCAACCTTTTCGTCCTCTCATATGCTGCTGCCTGCTGCCTAATTGAGATATTTGGACACCATTTTTTGCTATCTTTCTGTATTTCGGCCAGACTGGTCGACGGAAATGGAAACTGGATTTCTGCCTCCTTACGACAGACCCCAGAACAACAAGTGATTCGCCCGTCAGCAACAGATACACACCCTTTTGACGACACAATTTCCCCCTATCGATACTACCCATCTCTTTTTTCCCGCCATGTCTCAAGACGCGCAGCCTTTTGTCGTCCACCAGCCCATTCCTCGACGGCCTTTCGCTAAACCGGCCATACCACTAGAACACGAAAAGGATGAACGGGATGCGACAGAGGATGCGGTCCAGACGATGGGCCAGAAGCGTCTTGCACAGCTGGACTGCCTGCAGATTCTTGCGCCGGGTGACGCTGCGCGTCGCATCCGTGATACCCACAAGCAGAACTTGTATGACCTCAGCATCCCATTGACACCCACTGGAAGTTCTGCCTTTCTGTCCAGCATGACCTCATCTACCCTATTTGGCATATTCGGCTCGACCTCCGACATCACTCCTTTTGAGACAAGCACGCCGACTCGGACGCAATTTGGCAGCGACGAAAACGAAAATGAGAACGAGAATGAGGATGGCGAGGAGGACAGACGCAGCGGCGTGACCGACGCTGATGTGGCCGCGATCCGGCAGGCGTCTATGGACCTGCTGATGCTACAGCGACAGGGGAAGCATCCTGGGCAACGGGACGGCCCAGATGGAGGATACTCACGTCCGCAGCAGTGGACAGCCAGCACTTCTGCGCATGCGCAGTTGCAGTCATCCTGTGGCCGCATCTTCGTATTCGGCCGGGCTGTTCTCTTGTTTGTTCTGGGTATGGGCTATGGCGTGCTGGTGTCGAGGCTTCACTCCGAGACCCAGGACAGGTTTGTCGACGGCACAGCAGCGTCAGCCGTCGAACAAGACACGGCATCGGCTGCTCGACGAGGCACTGCATACGATGCCACGAACGACTGGTGCTACCTGGTCTCGTGGGGAATTTCCGGCGTTGTGCTCGGCTTACTGCTGCCGTGGTTCGACAGCCTGTGGAATCGCACGTTTGGCATCGACGGCCAGCACGCCCGCGACAAGAGCCACATGGCTCCGGAAACTGACTGGGCTCTGGTTGTGCGCGGCATTGGCGCTTTTGCCGGCATTGCCTTGGCTATGGTGAGCTATTTATTGTCTTTTTTCTCGTCTGCATCATTCCATTCGTCTCTGACTTCCACCAGCGCAAACTGCAATGGGCCTCGACGTTGCAGGCGTCGCTGACACTCGCCCTGACGAACCCGTTTCTCTGGTACTTGCTGGATAGGTCCAAGTCCGGGCTGCTGCTGGCTACGGCGGTCGGTCTGGTCGGCTCCGTCGTGCTGACGGCCCTCGAGCTCGACCTGATGCCCAACCCGGGCAGCCGTCGTGATGACCTCTATGCCACACACTGTGGAGGAAACGGGGTTTACGCGTCCCAGTTTAACGGCTCGACGACATTGTCATCCGCCAGTCGTGCCGAGAGCAGCTCCAGTGCGACAGCTATATCATCGTCTGCGTCGACAGCGGCGACAGCTGCGGCAGCTGCGGCAGCGGCTGCGAGAAACTTGGTCTCTGGAGCCACGGTCGAGATGGCCATCTGGATGGTCAGCGTGCTTTTCTGTAGCTGCGTGTGCTTTGGGAACATTGGCCGACGGCTAGCATTGCGGCCGGCGACCGTCTTGACAAGCGCTGTCGTGGGCGTGGCCAGCTCTTAGCCATTAGAATCTGTGTGTGATTCTTATCTCTTGTATGTTCGGCTTCACTTTCTGCCAGCGGGTTTGGGTTACGGTTTTGAATTTTGGTGCATCTCAACGACGACCACCACGATTCCCCTTTCCTTTTTTCTACTCTTTTGGATTATTTCTTTGGATCATAGGTTGGGTTACGGACGCAGCGGTGCCATACAGGCCTTGCTTCTTTTCGTTTTCTGGGTTTGGAAACAAAACACGATGCTGGAATTTTGGCGGCCTTTTGGATGGGCCGAGTCGATTTCTTCATGTATTACTGGGAGCATTCAACAAAATCAGCGTACACAGCGAACTCTCTCAACGACGAGCGCTGCACAGAATAAAATAAGCCTGTCTGTTTGGGAAGTTCTTCCCGTCTCTGAAACTATTCTTGCATGGATTCTAATTGTGATGACATATTGTACAGGATAGCAAGGGAGGGAATCCGCAAGGAATGAAAAGAATATGAGTAAAGACCCACCATAAGTTTAGAGTATCCAAACGCCTCCATCTTGACCCTCGCTTACTTGGCCCCCTCTTTGCTTCCGTTCTCCTCAGAAGCTGGTGCTGGAGGTTGATCTGCATCCACCATTGTTGCGTCTTCATCTTTTCCCTCGGTAGACTCGCCGTTCACCGTCTCTGCAACCTCAGCTGCGGCTGTGGCTGCTGCATCGTCACTAGACGCCTTTCCGTCGTTATCCTGCAACTCCTCTTCCAGCCCATAGATGTACGATTCTAGCACCTTCACCGTGCTCTCTGGGCCATCATCGGTCAACACCTTGTCGAACAGCCCACTGGCATCACTGCCACCACTCAACTTCTCCAATATGGTCTTTGCACCCTCATCAGACTCGCTCTGGCCGCTTTCCTTGAGCTGCTCTTCCAGAGATTCCACACTGGATGGCTGCAAAAACACGTACCGCGCTACGAACTCATTACCCTTGGCCGATTGAACGGGCTGATGCAAACTGGTAAGTCTTCCAGGTACAAAAAAAAACAACTTCTTGTTGAAGAAAAGAGAAACAAAGACTTACCTTCGTAGTGCATCAAAACCAGTGGGCACCTTGCCGGTATCTTTGACCGCGTCCACCAATGCCTTCTGTGTCCCGTACATGATAAAACCGACCCAACCCCGAAACAAACGAACCTGTCAACGTCAAGCATCGTATTGAAGGTTTTGGAGTCAACGTGGTGGTACCGCTTCTTTCCCGCTTGGGGCGACGGCTGCTGTGGTGACGGATTGGTTGTGAAAAAACCTACGACACCAAACACGCCAGGGTTTCGCTCCAGCAGCAATTTGCTCAGGCTTTCTGCGGACGCGTCTGCCAGGCTCACAAGGACTAATGGCCGTGTGTCTTCCGGCAGGCTGTCTTTGTTGACAGGCTCACCCTCAGCGCTGGCAGCTTCGCCACCAGCTATCCCGTCGCCCGCATCTTCCTCAGTATCGTCAGCGTACACGACCGAAATGTTCTTGTCGTCGTCGATCTTGTCGAATACCGCAAGCTTGCATTGCCGCGCAATCCTCAGAGCTCGCCAGGTCTTGCTGGCTTTCCGCTCCTCTGCCAACATCTTGGACTGATCGCTATCTGGCATTTCAATTTCCAGGTCTTTCGTTGGCAATTTCCTTCTCAAAGAAAGACATTTCCGGCAAGGCAAAACGTTTCGGCTGTTTGAGCTTTTCGAGCGCATCGGCTTCATCCTCGTCATCGTTCAAGAAGTCCAGCGAGAATGAGCCCATGGACATGTTGTTACGACGCCGATGTCTGGCAAATGCCTTCTGTGCACCGTCTTTGGCACTCACAAACTCCTCTGCCGAAACGCCCGGACGCTCTATCGACTGGCATGATTCTACCTTCCACCGCACCCAGTTCTTATCCCTGGCTAGAATCGTATCAACCATGCGGAAGAAGTATGCACCATCGTCGTCGCTGTTCCTGATGTGCTCTGTTATGTGATGCTTCATTTTCGTCACCCAAACTGTGTCTTCCTCGCTCAGAACATGGTCCGAGTAGGTGACAGACTTGTTGGGCGTACTGGCCGTGGCGAGCTTTTTCTTGGCGCTGGGCGACAACGAGAGGAGAAATTCAACAATGATTAGTGCTTGGAGCAGAAAGTGCCGGCGGAACGTCAGGTCGCTTGTCTGTGAGATGTTAGCAAGATGCTGCGCCTCGGTGGGCACGGCTGACCTACCTCGAGTTGAAAGAGGTCCCGACTGGTGAGATACTTGGGGTTGTATGTGTCGGCGAGTTCGTCCTCCTTGTCTCTCTTGCGCTTCGTCCCACGTCTGACGTCGTCGGTATGCCGTGTGCTGTGTGGGCGGCGTTCGTTATTGATCTTCTGGAAGGCAGCTAGCGATGCTTCGAGACCGGATTTGAACTGCGCAAATTGCGCTGGCTCAAACAGCGTCTTAGGCTGGCTGAAACTTGTTTGTAGAGACCAGAAAACAGGATACAGCACCTCAAAATCGATATTTTTGGGGTCGGTGGCTGGTTTCGAGCCATCCATGGCGCCATCTACATCCATCTTGTCACCGCCCTCGGTCTCCTTCGCAGCGTCCACATCGTACGTAGTCACATTCTCGATATGGTACTCTCCACGAAGGTTCACCGAGCTCTTATCGCCAAGGGGGAACACCTGAAAGAGGAAGATAAAGACGCGACCACAAAATGGTGTATCCTCGGCACGGGAGAGCCGTCTCAAGAGGTCGTTGCAGCTTCGCAAGATGACAAGCTTCTTGCTGTTGAAACTATTCGTCGTTATTCGCTCACGCCTCGACTCAAGGTAATCGAACACCTTGCGACATCCTGCGATTGTTTGACTGTCGAGGAGCTCCTCAATTAGCCAGAAGAGCAGAGCCGGGTCGCAGTGGCCGTCATCGGCGAGAATGGAGAGTATGTCGAACAAATTCCAGACGCGGACGAAACCCGGGGAGTCAATAGACCTGGCGGCCTAAGTTTTGTTGGAGAGGAGAGTAAGCTACCGAACTAGAACAGGGTAGAGGAAGTTTAGGTGCTGGCAGCATGAGAACGCACAATAAGACCACCGAACACATCGCGGGTTGCTGTCTCGACGATTGCGTTTTTTCGCGTCTTGGGGTCGTTCTGTGGGAAGTCGAGAATGATCTCTATCTGTTCATATACACCATCTAGATCGGACTTGCTGATCGCAGGTTCGATCTCTGTAGTCGGCTTCACAGCTTCCGCATGGTCGAGAAGCTGTTGGAGGTAGATGTAGAATGTTTCGACGGCGGGGATGCCGTGGCTGTTGACGTTGAGAGCGGGCATAGCTATGTTGAAGCTGGTATTAACGTTTATGGGCTGGTACCATAGTCGACTAAGTCGGATCCTGGTGATCTGGCAAAAGGCCAGAGATATTGATTGAGAGTGTGACCGCAGTCGAGATGTTCGCGTTGATTAATCTTTTTTAAGTCTAGAAATGCGCGAGGTAAGAAATTAATGGAGAACTGTGGCTTAAAGCAAGGCTGGCCAATCAAACATCAGAGCTTGCTACAAGCTCCAGCCACCGACGCCACCTCGAAGCCTGGTAATTAAGGGTCAAAAAAGTAAAAAGTAAGTCGCGTGTAAGACACAGAAAACAGCACGCATCTGCGACGGCGACGGCAGGGCGCAAAAGAACAATCGATCGGCATCACGTGTATCCGTGGGACCGGTATGAACGATGCCTCCTGCAAAGAAAGCTCAAGGAGCGGCAACGCCTCGAAGGGCAAAGCGAGCGCGACCCACCCCTGTCACGACCGGTGTGGATGGCGATTCAGAGTTTGCGCAGCTTGCCAGGCAGCATTGGCTGAAGAGCACGAAACGGAAGACCAAGAAAAAGGTCAAGAACGAGGTTCTGAAGCGGGACATCTGGGATGTGCTAGAGAAGGATGGCTTCGCACTCAAGTCCCTGTTGACGCTTGAGAGTCTTCAAATCCTCGAGAGGTATGAGATACAAAAATTTCCGTTCCCTGCAGCCGGCTAATCGAGTTGGCATGTAGCTATCTCTGGCCGGGATACACAGAGGACTGTTCCGATCACCACATCCTCCTAATCGTTCTGGTCGTGAACGTCAAAAAGCGAGAACACTTCGACCCGTGGGGCATATTTACCAGCCGACCAGACGAGTTTTCTTCCCTGTTCCGGCGCATTCTCACCTTGAGCTTGGATAGTCAGCTGTCTCTAAGTGTCCGAAGACAAATCCTATCGTTCTTCATCTCCGCCTTCCAGAGCCTAGACAATGCCATCATACGGAAAGAGTGCGCGCCTCTGGTATCAATCGCCATATGGCACAACATATTCGACGACGCCAAGCGCGAGGCACTGTTTGACCAAACACCCCACTTGAGAAAGGCATGGAGGGCGTCTACGAAAAGATTTGACGCTGCTGATGACCAAACAAAGGCACATCTCCGCTTTGATCGGTCATGGCTGTACTCGTTGGTGCTGGACTTCTTCGGCGTGCTCTATGACGAGGCGGGCAAGCAAGGTATGAATTTTCTGACAGTCTGTGGGAAGGCTCATGCTGCTTTCAAGATGTCGCTAACTCTGCATGAAAACTACAGAGGGAGTGCTTTACTGCGAGCGGTTTGTCGAGTTCCTGTCCGACCTTCAAAGTCAACTGCCGACCCGACGCTACGTCAACGCCCTGCTCCTGGACCTACACGTTCTCCCGGCCATGTCCAACTCGCCAGTATTCAACGATGAGGACAACGGACTTCTTCGCGACCTCTGCGCGCTGTTTTCTCACTACACCTACTTCCATGTCGATGACCAGACAGGATTGCATCTCAGCGAAACAGAGGCCTACGATCGGCATTGCGCAAAGCTTGCTGAGCTGCAGCGCACATCCCTAAAGCACTTCAAGGAGAAGCTGACGGTGCTGGCTCTCTCCAACTATGGGGCCATCAGCAACAGAGACGAGCTGGAGAGCTTACTAGCGCCCCTCACCGACGACGAGGTCATTGAGCTCGCAAGCCAGCTCCATCTTCGGGTCTCGTACCCCGAGACGTGCAAATTCCAGGCTGATCGCAGGTTTCTCATCGAAGCGTTGCTCGCCAACTCTGAAAAGCGCAAGAGCCTACAGGAGGCAGCTCGTGATCTGGCAGTCATGCCAACCGAAGAAACTCTGTTCGACAAGAGCCTTGCCCGTACAATAGGCTATGACGGATCACGTCCGCTGGCACTCCCGAAGCTAAACCTACAGTTTCTCTCAGTCGGGGACTTTTTGTGGCGCTCTTTGATTCTGTACAGGTGCGAGGCATTCTATGCCATCCAACAAGACATCGAGGTCGCACTACAGAGGCTCAAGCCCGACCTGGGCAAATCGGGCGAGACGATCTTCACGGGGGCGTCCAAGATGGCGCTGCCTATTCAGAAGCCGTCGTAAGTCATGGGTTCAAGCGTCCGGTGCATGCCGTCCAGGTTGCTAACAACGCGAAACAGGATACTGCAAGTTGTACCGCCTCTGGTCGGAGATGAAAAACCATCGCTTGTAAAGGCCGAGATTGCTATTGATTTCCGAAATATTCGAGAGAATGTTCGCAGAGAGTGGGAGGCCTTGCGGCCAGACGACACAGTCTTCCTGGTCGCCGTGAACCTCGCGAAACAGACGCCAGCAGCCAGTGGTGCGCAGAGGCTTGGCATCGTGACTATCCGAACAGCGGAAGTCCTTTCTAGGCTGGAGGGCAACAACCGCTGGGAGCGTGGGACAGGTCGCGATCAGCGTGGCGGTGGCCGTGGCGGTGGTCGTGGCGGTGGTCGTGGCGGCGGTCGTGGCGGTGGAGGCAACGGTGGCGCCAACTTCCAAAGGGGCTTCGTAAGAAAGCTACAGGTGAAGCTCGATCCCGTATCGTTTGTGGAGGACACGGACGAGGAATCCAACGGCACGCCGGATGTGTACGAGGGGATCAACCTCATCGTGCGGCGAAGCGCGCGCGAGAACAACTTCAAGTCGGTGCTGGAGTCCATCCAAGACCTTGCTCTTTCGGATGTTCCCATCGCGCCCTGGCTACATGAGGTGTTCCTTGGATATGGCGATCCTGCGGGTGCAACCTACAAGCACCTGCAAAACCGCGCCAAGAAGATTGATTTCCGCGACACCTTCCTCGACTGGCAACATCTGATCCAAAGTCTCCCCGGTAAAACTGTGGAGCCGGGCGACGACATGACGAGCAGCTTTGGACCTCCATACGTTCTGGGGCTTGTGGACAAGCCGGCAGAGGAGATGGCACCTGTGAAGCCTCCGTCGAAAAAGCGCCGGAGAGATGCGGAACCTGTTCCGGTTGCAGGCGTTGAAACTTTCCGGGTATCGACGTACAAACCGCCCCACAACGGTCCCTCCCCTGTCGATGCGCCGAAGCTCAATACGGTGCGATTCACGCCGGGGCAGACCGAGGCGATCATATCCGGAACACAGCCTGGCCTGACGGTCATTGTCGGACCGCCGGGAACAGGAAAGACGGACGTGGCCACTCAGATCATCAACAACATCTACCACAACTTCCCGGAGCAGCGCACACTCCTGATCGCGCACAGCAACCAGGCACTGAATCAGCTGTTTGCAAAGATCGTTGCTCTGGACATCGACGAGCGTCATCTTCTCCGCCTGGGACACGGTGAGGAAGAGCTGGATGTCGATGGCAGCTTCAGCAAGTACGGTCGAGTGGAGATGTTCCTGGAGAATCGCAACCAGTTCCTGGCAGAAGTGACGCGTCTTGCAGCCAGCATCGGCGCTCCAGGAGCGCATGGAAACTCGGCAGAGACGGCGGGATACTTCAACTCAGTATATGTCGAGCCGGCATGGGCGAAGTTTGACGAGATAGTGTCGTCGGAGGACGCAACGACAGCAGATATTGTGCAGGCATTTCCATTCCACCAGTACTTTGCAGATGCGCCGCAGCCGCTGTTCCCACCCGAGGCCAACCGAGACGCAGTGCTGGACGTTGCCAACGGCTGCCGCCGCCATATCTTACGGATATTCTCCGAGCTGGCAGACGCGGTTCCGTTTGAGATTCTGCGACGCGATCGGGACAAGGCCAACTACCTGCTGACCAAGGAGGCGCGCATTGTGGCGATGACGTCGACACACGCGGCGATGCGGAGGGGTGAGATTGCAAAGCTGGGGTTTCACTACGACAGCGTGGTGGTGGAGGAGGCAGCACAGATTACGGAGATTGAGAGTTTCATCCCTCTGGCGATGCAGCAGTCCAAGGACGGACAGGTGGCGCTGAAGCGGGTTGTGCTCTGTGGCCACCACCTGCAGAACTCGCCGATCGTCCAGAACTTGGCCTTCCGGCACTACGCGAACCTGGAGCAGTCACTCTTTGCGCGTCTGGTGCGGCTTGGCGTGCCGACCATCAATCTGGACCAGCAGGGCCGAGCGAGGCCCTCCATCGCAAGCCTGTATCGGTGGCGATACCCTGGTTTGGTGGATCTGCCTCGGGTGCAGAACAGCCCGGAGTTCCTGACGGCGAACGCAGGTTTCCGGTACGACTACCAGTTTATCAACGTGCCCGACTACAAGGGACACGGCGAGGCAGAGCCGACGCCCCATTTCATACAGAATCTGGGCGAGGCCGAGTACGCCGTGGCCATCTACCAGTACATGCGGCTGTTGGGTTATCCGGCCGAGAAAATCAGCATCCTGACAATGTATGCCGGGCAACGGGCACTTGTGCGAGATGTGCTGGAGTTCCGGTGCCGCAAGAGCCCCATCTTTGGGTTGCCGAAGATTGTCACCACCGTGGACAAGTACCAGGGCGAGCAGAACGACTGTAGGTTTCCGGTCCACTCGAGCAACATCGTGTGACATCACGTGATACTAACCATGCAACAGACATCATCTTGTCGCTGACAAGAACGTCTCAAGTGGGCTATTTGCGCGACATCCGGCGCCTGACCGTAGCGCTATCCCGTGCGCGACTGGGACTATACGTGCTGGGGCGGCGTGAGGTGTTTGAGTCGTGCTACGAGCTGCGGGAGGTGTTCCAGATACTGCTGCAGCGACCCGACAAGCTGGCGTTGGTAACGGGCGAATTGTGGCCGCCGACGCGGCCGGTAGCCGATGAGGTGGGCAGCAGGCGGGGGCATCGCTGGGGGAAGCGAAGCTGTCATGGAGGGTGTGGAGCACCTGGGCCAGTACGTATTCGAGATGACGCAGACACGGATCCAACAACTGCAGGCAACCGAGGGCGTTACTGCTTTGGAGCCTCTTCTCCCGGCTGTTGGTGAAGAGGACGGCGAGGACAATGGTGGCACTCCCTGATGACGAGAACGACGAGAAAGACGACGAGAAGGCTGTGGATGCAGATGAAGACGACGAGGCAGAGGCTGAGGGAGAGGCTGGGGCCGAGGCAGACGGAGATGGGAGCGGTGAGGCTGTGGAAGACAACCACGAGGACAGCAATGAGGCTATCGAGGCCACTGATGACTAAGCTATGAGGACATTGATATACATTTTTTCGATATCAAACAAGACAAAAGAAAGGGCCGCTGCATTCTCGCATCAACTCCGTCTCGCTGACAGTTCTACGCTCTGAAAGGGCCTTGTGTAGTATCGCACTGGGTTGCGTCATGTTCTGTCCTACGAGCACACACAGCCGACATGTTTCACGGTGCTTGATTGGATGCATCAGGGCGTTGGCGGTCCTAGGATGAGCAAGTCTTATCCCTGCAATGGATTAAGCCCGAGAAAGAAATACGGAGTAAAGAGGATTAAATCGCTTTATTTTTCTTAATTAATTTCTATAAATGAGTTGCTAAACTCTGTAAATACGGGTTTTTTGCTACTTACTCTATAGACTACTTTCTGATTACGGAGTAGAAACATAACAATGTAAGATACTTTCGTATAACGGATAAATCTTTCGTCTTTACAGTACCGCCGCCAAAACTCTGTATGGAATACAATTATTGTTTCCGGTATACGGCGCGTAGCGCCCCTTTTCGAAGGTTTCTTACAATAACTACTCCCCTTTCCGGAGAGAAGCAGACCCGCCGAATTTGGCATATGGATCGTGAGGCTCCATTGTTGTAGTTCGGCGGAAGTGGCAGCGGTTAGGGGAGGGGCATCTGAAGGTGGGATACGGGCGGTGTAGTATGCCTCAGGCACTACATGTGGCACAAACAATCATGTGATTCGGAGAAATCTGATTAGGCTTGACATACGGCTTTTGATTGGTCAGAGCAGGTACAATTGGGCCTAACCCCAGCAAAATTATAGCCCCCCCAACGGAAGGTTGTAAGGTCATTGCAAAGCGACCTTGGTAGTGGCAGAAGCAGTAGTAGCAGCAGCAGCAGCAGCAGCAGCAGCAGCATGCAACCGTGGCGGCTCAATGACGCCGGTCTGGGAGGTGATGCGGTCGTAGTGTTCGACGCGGCGGTGGCGGGCAAAGTCAAAGGTGCGCAGGCGGGCCGGGCGGGCAGGCGTCGAGATCGATGTCGGCTACGACGACCTCGTCGCCGTCGGTGGTGGCCTCGGCGAGGATGTTGCCTTCGGGGCCGACGATGCAGCTGCCGGCGATGAGGTCGTAGCGGCCGTCGTCGAGGCCGGCGCGGGCAGCGCAGACGCTGAAGCAGGCGTTGGTGTAGCTGTGGGCCTGCATGACGAGGCGATGCTGGAAGAGGGCCTGCTCGGTGGCGCGGGCACGTTCCTCGGTGGTGGCCTCGGCCGCGGAGCCGCCGTAGAGGTGTGGTGCGAAGCCGGGCGTGTTGTAGCCGACCAGAACGACGTCGACGCCCTGCAGGCCCAGCACGCGCCACGACTCGGCCCAGCGGCGGTCGTTGCAGATCATCATGCCGAAGATGGGATCGCTGTGGTCGCTGTCGTTGTTTTCGAGCAGATGCGGCACGCGAAAGGCCTGGAAGCCCAGGTTGCCCGGCCGGAAAATACCGCTTCTCCAGCTGGTTGAGCGCGGTCGGGTCGGCCCACGGCTCGACGTCGCCCGGCAGGTGGATCTTGCGGTACTTGCTCAGCGTGGCGCCCGAACGGCCGTCGTAAAAGATGCAGGCGTTGTATCGCTCGCCCGCGTCGGTTTTCTCGGCAAAGCCTACGGCCAGGTGCACGCCGTGGGAGCGGGCACGCTCAAATAGCGGGCGCGTACTGCACCTGTGTCACCACATCGCCGTGCTCGAAGAACGAGTCCAGCTCGGCCTCGTCCGTGATCAGGTGGCGCGGGAAGAATGTGCCAAAGGCCGTCTCGGGAAACAGAACCACCTGCGCGCCCTTGGCCACGGCATCGTCCAACAGGGCCAGCATCCGGCCGAGCGTCTTCTCGCGCGCATCCGCATAGTGGGTGGAGCCCATCTGGGCGGCGGCGATGCGGAACTGGCGGGCCATGTTGTCGGTGTCGGAGCGATGAGAGGAGGGAATAGGATGACAGCAATAGAGGCCAGATGTTGGACTTTTACGACGATAAATAGGCTTCACCTCAGAAAAGTACGCTGGGAAGGAGCTGTAGACGGAAGGAGCGGCTGTCTGTCGGCCAGCTCCGCAGCCGGGAATTACAGTCGTTATCAGGACCTGACCACACTACCGAGTGTGGCAGCCCTATAGCCTATATCCACACGCAGTGGGGATTACAGACGCATTGCTTGCTTGGTTCGTCTGTCTATGGATTGCATCAACGACCGGTCATGGGGCGAGGTATAGTCATACTAGGAGCACGTGATTACAACGTGAAAAAAAGGCTGCTTTTATTTTTGTGAAAAAAATCAAGGTATTATCTAACGCATGCAAAGCAGAGGAGTATATCCAACGTCCATTGCCGGGTCGTGTAGTGTGCATCATATCGTGGTAGTTGTGTGTGTGGCTTGTCGTGCGAATCTACGCGCACGAAGCCGCGCTGCTCGAGCTCGTCTCTTCGTCGTCGTCATCATCGGTGGCAGCCGTGTGTTCTGCCTTGGCTCCGTCCATCCAGACGGCCACATTCTCGCAGCCCTTGGGCACCAGACAGCTGGGGCGGGCCGAACAGGTCTTCCAGAGCACCTCGCGAATCTCGCAGAAGACCTGGTCGACCGCGTCCATGGCCCAGAGCACGTCGAGGTGCTCGTATTCCGGCAGCAGCTTGGCGTGGACCACGCGCACATGGGGCTCGCGCACGCTGCGTCCACTGCCACTGCTAGTCACCAGGCTGCTGCCGTTGCCACTGCTGCTGCCGTATAGCGCCGCAAAGGCCGGTCCGGGCAACAAACGGCGCAGCAGGCGGCGGCCGTCGACGAGGTTGTCCTTGCCGCAGACCCAAAGCGCAAACGGCGGGACTTGCTCGTCGAACCAGGCGCGGGCACCGGGCGCATAGCGGTGGTTTCCGTGGCGCTGCTGCTGCTGCTGCTGCTGCTGCTGCTGCTGCTGTTGCTCGGCCTCGGACAGTTCGACCTGCTCCATCTCGCGCTCCTCGGCACGGCCCTCCTCCTTGGTGGCCAGGATGCACTTGTGGTGGGCAAAGCCCTCGCTGCCGAGCCACCAGTACATGCTTTCGGCGCTGACGTACACGGGTGCGAACTGGAACATGCGATCGCGCAGGCCGCGGTCCCAGCGGGCATCGGTCCAGTGGAAGAGGAAGGAGAAGACGCGGTAGCCGAGCCAGCTGTAGAGGCGCGGTGGCAAGACTGGGTGCATGTGCATCATCAGCGGGATGAAGGCGTGGATGCCAAAGACGAGCCGGAAGACGATGGGGGCAATGGCCCGCATGAACCGGAAGTGCAGCTTGCCGATCAACGGACCAGCATAGGCTGCTGGGGCCAGGGCACAGAACACGGTCAAACAGCGGCCCAGCTCCGGCCGTTGTTCCCGAGCCAGCGCCACGAGCGTCTCGGTTGTTCCCTGCGAGTGGCACACGAGGCCCAGCTGCGCAAACCGGGTCTCACGCAGCACACGCGACGTCAGGGCCGGCAGATCCAGCACGCCCATTTGCCGGATATTCCAGCACCACATGCGCGGGTCGTTCGGCTTCAGACAGACGTGGCGCGGGTGGAAGCCGCATCGGTTGTTGCCCAGCCAGACGTCGTAGCCGCTCTTGCAGAGGTAGAACGCCAGCGAGTCGTCGTCGTTAACCGCGTACGCCCCGGCGCTCTGCAGCAGCCCGTGAACCAGCAGGACTGGAAACTTGGCCTTTCGCTGGCCTGCCTCCAGCCGTTCGGCAAACATTTGCTGCTGCCGAGCCTCGCGCTCTGCCTCATCCGTTTCGTCAAAAAAGCAGCCGCGGCCCCAATGGCCCCCGAGCTGACGCCGGCCGTGCCGTCTGTTCGGCCGGGTCGTACACATGCCAGAGGTCGATCAGGAAGCCGTCCTCGGTCTGGACCACAAACGACTCCACGTCCAGGCCGACTCGTCGCGCATAGTAGCCCACGTCGCACACCAACCGGTCTGGTCCCACCCTCTGTCGGGGTGTATGTGCTGTCGCCCACCCCGGCACCAAAAGGGGTTCTCCTTGTCGGCCTTTTCGCCCGCTTGTTGCCGGCCGTTTCGCCGTGCGCGCCGCTCTGACAGCTGCTGCCGCTTCCAGCTGCTGGCCAGGTCGCGTCGCATCTGCCGTCGGTGTTTCTCCTCCGCATAGAACGGCCGACCGGCATTGGGGGTTGCGCAGGGTCATGTAGGCCACCACGAGGTGTAGCGTCTCCCTAGCCGTCGTCACCATGGCGCCGGTCACGACCAGGCCGAGGAAGGTGAGGCTGAGAAAGAAGGCCGAGAACCGGATGGCCAGGCTCTGCAGCTTGCGGACCAACGACGGCCGTCCGTACTGCGGAAGCTCCGGAAAGAGCGGATGTGTGTGCAATGGGCCCTGGCTGCGTCTGAGAGGGCTGACCATCTTTGCTATGGGGCCCTGTGCCTTGCTGGGACCTGGGGGCCTGGTCTTGCCCGGCAGGGCGACATTCCCCCTGTCGTTCATGGTACGTGCATCTACAGCCGTCGGCCGATAGGTGCCGTTGCACTTGCTGTTGCTGTTTCTGTTGCTGCTGCTGATGCTGCTGTACTTGTACTGGGACCGGCTAATGTCGGCTTCTTCAGCATCGCCGCCCAGCATTGCTGCATTTATTTGAAAGGGAAAAGAGGGCAGACAAGGGCAAGGCAAGGATGGAAGCAGGGCAATGCAAATTGATAGTGGCGAAAAAGAGATAAAAGATAAACAGGCTGGAGACAAAAAGGAGCGGCAATTCCGAATAGATGAGCGGAGAAAAGGTGTCTGGAAGCGGACGAGAGAGAGCAATAAACGATTGTCGAAAAGGCGGTAACAAAAGAGGCCCAAGTGCATCTTCAGATCGACCAATGCAGCAGGGGCGGAAATTGCAGCTCCTCGACTTGGACCGTGAGAGCCGACCAAGAGAGCGCCATTTTTGGCCCAAACGGGGAGTCGACAGGCCACCGATGGCCCAAGTATGGCGGTGTGCTTAGCCAACCTGCTCCTGCGAGCAGACAAGCTTTTTCGCACCACGCCATTGAGACCGCACGATCTGGCTTTCGATTGGGAAGGAAGCATGCAGCGCGGGATACTGGCTGCCAGCTGTCTACGCGTAATACATATCTGCAGAAGCAGGAGCCTTCGGCAGTCTCTTGCCGCAAAGCATGTGATTCCATCGGTGGAGCGGTGGAGCAATAGAGCTGTGGGGCATGTCTGGACGCGCTAGCTGCCCGACGCGCCTTGCGCACGTGACGAGTCAGGGGAACAGGCACGAGAGCCGCAGCGTAGGCGCGCCATTCGTGCCGAGGCCAAACGCACTTGCCGTCCAGAGCTAAGCCAACACCTGCCGCGTTGGCGAGCTTTGGAGAAGCTGACCGAAAAGGACACGACGAAAAGAAGGGGAAAAAGACAAAGGTCGAGACCACCAGCACGAGAGCGACAGAACGCAATCGAAGATCGAGTCTATCCCATTGGCCGCGTGCCGAGCAACGCTTCGCTACTGACGAGCAACATGAGCGCGTGGCACAACACGGCCGAATAGTCTCCAGAGCGCCTTCGACCCAACAACATCCCATCACTCCATTCATCATGGCTGCATCGGCTGCAGCGCCACCGGATGTGGTGAAGAGCCGTGGTCGTGGTCGTGGCCGCCGCCGCCGTCGCCAGGACAAGCCGGCCATCGCAGCGCGTCTGGTGCTGGATGACCACGTCCGAGGCGATGTCGGCATTCTATCCGAGGACCTCTTTGCCGATCTTTTTCCGTCACCTGCATCGACTCGAGCAGCAGCAGCAGGAGCCACAGCAGCAGTCGAAACAGCAGCAGCCAAAAAAAAAAGCAGGCAAACCGGGGTGGTGGCGGGTACTCGTCGCTCTCGCGGGCGCTGACGTCAACCGCCACCGCTGCCGCAGCAGCAGCCAATAGTTCGAGCTCGTCTCCGACGTCTCCCCAGGTATATCACGTGGCCATTGCGCCTTGGGCACCTCAAGCATCGGCCGAGACGACGGACTGGACCGTGGTGCCAGTGGCCAAGTCGTCGGCGCTGGCCCACTCGACCGTGCAGTTCTCACCGGCGTCGCTGGCGCTGCAGAGCTTTGCGGCCAGCCTGCAGCAGGTGGCTCCGTCCAAGCTGACGGCTCACAGCCGGCGAGGCATCGAGATCCTGGTGCTCGACGTGGCAGCCGTGCCGCTCGACACGGTCTTTGTCAACCTCGAGGGTGACCTGGCGAAGCGGCTGGAGGACGGCGAGGGCACCTTCTTTCGCGAGCACCCGGCCGCACCTGGCATCCACGCTGCCAGGGCCAAGAATGGCAGCGGAGCCGCGCCGTCGGCAGAGGACCGTCTGACCGCGGCCGTGCGCGTCGCTCTCAGCAGCCTGCAGGTCGTGCATGGTGGCGACCTCTTCCCACTGCCGCTGCCGCCACACCCCATCACGCACGTGCCGCCAAACCCGGGCAAGGTGACGTTCTGCGAGCCCGTGGCCCAGGGCGTGCTGTCGCCGCGCACCAAGCTTGTCCCCTCCCGTCGCCGGCTGCCGTCCAAGAACGGCCGCAATCGGGGTGACCTGGGCCCGACCACGAGCCGGAAGTTGAACGGCGTCATCACCGAGGACGACGGCGATGAGACGGCCAACGACCAGTTCTTCTCGGCCGCTGAGGAGCGGACGCGCACAGAGACAGAAACCGACGCGCCGGCCGACGACACCGAGGCGGACTCGCTCAGTGAGTCGGAACTGGACATGTCACCGGGCGAGCACGATGAGGACGAGCTCTCGGACGACTTAATGGAGGACATGATCTCGCTGCAGGCACCGACGCTGCCACCGACCATGGCCAGTGGCGTGTCCACGCTGCAGCCGGGATCGCCCACGACAATTGGCCGTAGCCGGCGGACGAATGGGATCTCCACACCGGGATCAGTATTCTCAAGCTTCACGGCGACGACGGCACGCCCGGACCGGCCCCGGGGTCGGCTCTTTAAGGCACAGGGGCTGATGGCGGCCATCCCCACCGAGCCGTTGCACCCAACGCCTGCGAGCGAGGATGACGAGGAGGCACGCGTATATGTGGACGTCAACAACCTGACGCGCATCGGCTGCTTCTCGGGCGATTTGGGGGGCGACTGGAGGAGGCGGGGGAGCCGCCGCTCAAGGGGTTCGGACGATTCGCGCTGGGCAGCTTTGGAGGGCCGCGGGCGGGCAATGACGGCGGCAACTACGACGATGAGGACGAGGACGAGCCAGACTGGCGGCCGGTGCGGGTGTTTGGGCTGCCAGAGGGCTATGCGCCGCGACCAGTGTCGCGGATCCCCAGCTCGAAGCACGAAGGTGGACGGCGGCTGTCGTTCTTCGAATCGCAGATCCAGCGGTCATCGAGCCCGATCGCATATGCGTCGCCGATTCTGCTGGCCAACATGCACAGCACGCCGTACGTGCGGCTGTCACCACTCAAGGGGGCACAGCCGCTGCGGCACGGCCGGGCGACGACAACGGCCAAGCAGGCCGCAGCAGCTCAGCCGCCTTTTTCGCAAAAAGTGGTGATTCAGCAGGTGCGGACGCCGGTGCCGATCCAAAAGTCGGTGCAGGCAGCAGTGGTGGCCGGGCTCAAGGGGCACTTTGAGAAGAAGCTACGGGTGGTCAAGACGGGAGACTACATTGCCATCCCGATCGACGCACAGCTGGGCCGCACGATGAATGACATGCTCGCGTCGACGGAGGCGGCCGCGGTCGGTGACATTCTCTCCCTGACGGGTGCAGGAGCCGGCGGCAAGTCGCGTCTCAAGGCCGACGAGGTGGCGTGGTTCAAAGTTAGTCACGTGCAGCCACAGTCGGGACAGACGACGACGACGACAGCGGACGAGGGAAACATCTGGGGCTCGACGGTGGCGTGCGTAGATATTGCGACAGCTCACCTGGAACAGTCGGGTACGACGGCAAGCCGGGTGCCAGGAACAAGAGACAACAACTGGCCGTACTACCTGGGGCTACGGGCATCTATGGGCGGAGCGAATGGGGCAGCAGCGGTAGTGGAGCCGATACGCGGACGTGTGTCGCCGTTGCGACGGCAACTGGGGGAGTTGATGGCGGCGGCGACGAGCCGACGGGCACAGCGACTTCAGATGCCGGCGGTGGCTATCCTGCTGGTGTCGACGCAGCGGCAGATCGGCAAGGCGACGGCGGTGCGGGAGGCATGTGCAGACATGGGCTTGCACGCATACACGGTGGACGGTTACGACATGCTGCACGAGGCGGGAGCAGGGGCCGGCGGCAGCGACGCGAAGACGGAAGGCGTGCTGAAGGCGCGGGCAGGCCTGGCGATGAGCTGCGGACCGGACTGCTGCGCACTGGTGATCCGACACATGGAAGCGCTGACGGCGGATCGGATGGTGTCGTCCATGCGGGAGGTTCTGGAGTCGGCACGAGTAGTGGTGGCGACGACGACAGAACCGGACAAGATCCCAGATGGAGTCCGCAGCCTGTTTACGCACGAAATGGAGATGCGGGCACCGGACGAGACGGAGCGCGAGGCGATCCTGCGGGGCATCGTGCAGGAGCGGGCGATCATGCTGGACCCAGAAGTGGACCTCAGCAGCGTGGCGCTGAAGACGGCAGCGTTGGTGGCCGGCGACCTGGTGGATGTGGTGGAGCGAGCGCTGGTCTGTCGTCGAGCACGTCTGGAGGGGGTCGTGGGGACGGCCGAGGGGATGGCCGAAGGGGAGACGACGTCTGCTACAGCCCTCTCTTTCGGGACGTCCTCGTGGCAGGCGGTGCGGCTGTGCGAGGCCTCACAAAGGCGGATTGGGAGGCAGCAGTGGAGGCAGCACGCAAAGAACTTTGCGGATGCGATCGGAGCGCCCAAGACTCCCCAACGTGGCGTGGGACGACGTCGGTGGGCTGGACAATGTCAAGGACGTGGTGACGGAGACGATCCAGCTGCCGCTGGAGCGGCCAGAGCTGTTTGCACGCGGGATGAAGAAGCGGTCGGGCATCCTGTTCTACGGACCACCGGGCACAGGCAAGACGCTGCTGGCCAAGGCGATCGCGACCGAGTACAGCCTCAACTTTTTCAGCGTTCAAGGGTCCGGAGCTTGCTGAACATGTACATTGGCGAGTCGGAGGCGAATGTGCGGCGGGTGTTTCAGCGGGCACGCGACGCGCGGCCGTGTGTGGTCTTCTTTGACGAGCTCGACTCGGTGGCACCCAAGCGCGGCAACCAGGGCGACAGTGGTGGCGTGATGGACCGGATCGTGTCGCAGCTGCTGGCGGAGCTGGACGGGATGGTCGGGGAGGAGGGAGCGGTGGTGGTGACGGCGACAACGGCGACAAGGATGGCAACGACGACGACGAGGCGCCCGGAAGCGGTGTCTTTGTGATTGGCGCCACGAACCGCCCGGATCTGTTGGACCAGGCTTTGTTGCGGCCGGGACGCTTCGACACGATGCTGTATCTGGGGGTGTCGGACACGCACGAGAAGCAGCTGCGGATTCTGGAGGCGCTGACGAGAAAGTGAGTGGGATTGTGTGGAGCGGAAGGGGGGAGTGGTTGTGTGTTGTGTGTTGTGTGTTGTGTGATGGTTGTATGATGTGGTGGTGTGAAAGTGTTGTTTTGTGTTTTTGTGTGGTGATTATTATGTGATCAGTCTGGAGTCTTCAACTGCTAACCATCAAACAGATTCACCCTCGACCCAACGGTCTCGCTTCGTGCCGTGGCCCAGACGCTGCCCTTTACCTACACGGGCGCCGACTTTTATGCGCTCTGCAGCGATGCGATGCTCAAGGCGGTCACGCGCTCGGCCACGCAGGTCGACGCCAAGATTGCGGCGCTGAGCCAAAAGCGCGCGATGCCCATGTCGACGGCATACTACTTTGACCACTACGCCACGGCCGAGGACGTGGCCGTGGTGGTGACGGAACAGGACTTTGCCGAGGCCAACCAGGAGCTGGTGCCGAGCATCAGCGCCGGCGAGCTGGCTCATTACGAGCGTGTCCGAGCCACCTTTGAGGGAACACGGAAGAAGGAGCCTGGCGACGCGGCAGTGCCTCTGCAGCCAGCACCACAGACATCGCAGACACCACAGGGGCGCAGGCCACGATCCGCCCGGGGCAAGGGCAAGGGCAAGGCGGTAGCGATGGAGGGAGACGAGGAGGACGAGGCGGATGATGGCACAGAGGGAATGACTGATGGAGCCGGCAGTGGAATCGACAATGGCTGGACGAATGGCCGGACAGCCAAGGGCAAGGGCAAAGCCGTGGCCTCGTTCCAGGAACAGCACGCGAGCGACGACGAGGAGTTGTATGGATGAGGGAAGAGAGGGGGAAGAGGAAAGAGGAGAGGGATGAGGGATGAGGGAAGAGAAAGGAGGAAAGGAGAAGACAGAGAAGAAAGAGGCAGAACAAACGTCAACTGGCAAAACCTAGTCAATTAGGTATCGAACTCTGGCTATGACAACGCTGAATTCAAAACTACACATCTCACATTACTCTCTCACATTACTCGCACATTATTACTTCTTGGTCGGCTTTGCCTTGGCCGCCGCCTTGGCCTTGGCTGCCGCCACCTTGGCCTTGGCCTTCTCCCGTTCCCGTTCCTTTTCCTTGAGCTTCTCCTTGGCCTCCTTGGCTCTAGCTGCAGAAGCAGCTGTGGCCGGAGTGGCTGTTCCGGAGCGGGCCTTCGGCTTCTTCTTCACCGTTTCCTTCTCCTTGTCCTTCTCCTTGACCTTGTCCCTGGTACTCTCTCTTGTACTCTCCTTGGAAGGCAGCTTTTTCTTCTCCACCACCTTCATGTCCTCCTTTTTGCTCTCCTTCCTCTCCGCCTTCTCCTTCTCCTGCACCTGCGAAATTTTTGCCTTTTTTTTTTCCACCTCGTTTTCCGCGCCCTCCTTCTCGCTCTCTTCCACACCCTCCTCCTCTGCGCCCTTCTTGGCCGTTGTCGCCGTCGGCTTCTCTTCTGTCGGGCCTGCCTTGTCTGCTGCCGTCGTCGCCTCTTCCTCGTCGCCCTCCTCTTCGCCCTCGTCTTCCTCGCTTTCCTCCTCAGATTCAGCGTCCTTGGGCTTTTGTGTCTTCACGGCCGTCTCTGTGGCAGGCGCAGACTTCTTGTCGTCATCATCCTCGCTTTCTCCACTCTCCTCTTCCTCTTCTTCCTCTTCCTCGTTCGCTTTCGCCGCAGCTTCTTTTCCAGTCTTCTTGTCCGCCTCGCTCTCCTCTTCACTCTCCTCCTCGCTTTCCTCTTTCTTGTCTTCCTCCTCTGCTGCTACCTTTGTCTCTTCCACCTTGGTCGTGGCCTCGTCGGTGATGCTGCGGATGGGAAAGCTGGTTGTCGTCGTGGACGCGGATGCCTCTGCTTCTGCTGAGGCCTCGGCTGTTGCTGCCGTCTTTGCCACTGCCGCCCTCGCGGCAGCTGTCCGGGCTGCAGCTGTCTTCGCGGCCGTTGCCTTTGCAGCCGCGGCAGCCGCTGCCGCCACCTTTGCCTTTGCTGCTGCCGTGGCGGCGTCGGTCGTGACGGCTTCGTCTGTAGCCGCGCCTGCGACGCCAGGTGGCGCTGCTGGGGCTGATGAGGGTGCTGCGGCCGGCTTAACGACCGGCTTCCTGCCCGGCTTCGCGGCCGGCGTCGCCGGTTTTTGGCTGATGGGCGGCTGCGTGAACTCATCCCAGAACAGCGTCACGTGCTCCTTGAGCTCGCCATACTCGTTCCAGTCCTCAACCTCGGTAATGTCCTGTGGCCATCAGGTATCGGTCAGCAACAGACAGATGCAGAGAACGCTGTAAGAATCCCAAAACCCAACGCCCAAAGTCCAGAACCCACCCCTACAACAAGGCCCGATTGCACGAGGCCTGGCAGCTTTCGCGCGCGACCACCCGCATCCTTGCCGGCACGACGGCCCCATAGCATGCGGGCCTTCTGGTCGGTAGCAAGGTCGATGGCCTTGAAGGGCACCCGGTTAGCCCGTAGGATCGTCTCGAGTCGCGACGTGGCCGTGACAATGTGTGAGGACCCGGCCGTGAGAGACGTGTAGATGTACAGGGCCGGGTCGAGCGAATAAGTCGTGGGCGCCGCCATGGTCGTATCTATCGATGGCCAGCTGTATCTGGTTCTGGCGTTTCGGTGTGGTGGTGTTGTGTTGCTTTGGCGGTGGCAGCATTGGGTTCCGCCTCTCTGGCCTCTTTGTTTGTTGTTATCCGTTGTCGGGTGGAATGGAGGGGAAGCAGTCGAAGCCCAAGGAACTGTCCAAAAAAGAGGGTCTCATTAGGGGGCTTACGGACCTATCAGGACCCACTAGCGTTTATTAGACTCCGTGCATCGTTTCAGGTCCAACGCGCTGACCTGTCGATCAGCGTCTAAACTGGTTAAGAACAGTATATAGCTCTCTTATGGCATGGCCACGTGATGCTATATGCAGGCAAAGCTCCGAGAGTGGCTCCAGGACGAGCTATGTCAGCTCATCTACCTTCCGTATTACTGCATTCGGCCTAGTTGTCTATCGTGATCAATCCAGAAGCCTGCGCAGTCTCGAGAGCGCGGCCGCGCAGCTACTGACGTGCTGCTGCAGATCGTTCCAGATATACAATTGGTAGGAATCGTCTGGATCTATCAGATCTTGGAGCATAAAGGAATCGTGCGCCAACGCGACCAGGTCGTAGCTGCAGCCCGGACAGGCAGCACCACGCTCGAGCGTCTTCGCGACCGGATCGTAGAACGGCAGGGCCGTCGACGTGTCAGGCTGGCAGAGGTAGGCTGAGGGGTATTCGCGAAAGTCAAAAGGCGACATGGCCGGCGTCTCGGCGATGTCGGCAATGGTCTGCGGACTGGTCGCGTAGATCTGGCAGCCAAAGCCCTTGATGGCATGCGACCAGCCGATGCGCATCTCGCTGTCTTCGTGCGGCGGTGGCATGCAGCGGCCGAGACAGGCGCCGGTCTCGGGCGCGAACAGAATCTCGCACATCAGCCTGTATCCGCCCCGGTGGCGGATGCAGCCGTAGCAGCAGCGCTGGACCGTCAGCACGAGCAGAAAGCCGCCGAACTGGCCGCAAAAGACGCAGTCGCGCGTCCGCATCGCTGACCACATGTCTATCGGCCGGATGCGTCCTCTGAGTCCGACGCGCAGGACCAGCGACAGGGTCTCCGACGCGTGCTGACCAACCAGCTGGAACTCGGGAATGGCTGCTAGCAGCTGACGCGTGCGGCGGCTGACCTGGCTGACCGCTATGGCTGACTGCACGTCCAGCAGCCGGCACAGGCCAAGAAACAGCTCCGGCGGCAGCAGCTCGAGCCCGGCCCAGATCAGCGTCGACTGGGCGACACAAGGGGCCAGCGGCCTGTTCAGCTCTTGAAACACTGCCGCGGACCGGCTTCCGTGCATCAGGTCTTCTTCCAGAAACCTCCGGTCTGCTTCGACTGTACGGCGTAGTGCCTCTTCCATCTTTCGTATACTGGTAGTAGAGGCGATGTGATATCAAACATGTGTCTTCCAGGTAAAAAGGTTGTATAAAAGGGGCAAAAAGGCAAGAAAGAGAACATTTGGCATTCAGACGACCGAACGAAATTCAAAATGATCGTTGAAATCTTTTTGTGGCTGTTAACACCTCGCCACTTGGCTATTAGTGATGGTTTCAGGTCTCATCGGCACATCAGAGGCTGATTAATGATATCCAACAGTGCGATTTCCATCGTGGGAATGCCCACCGTCCCTCGGAAGGTTGATGGGAGAAAAAGTAGTCTTTGCTTTGAGACAACATTCATATATAGGATAAGTCGGAAGTATTCTAAGCTGAGGATGAAAGAATGGATAGTCGTGCTTGAAAGTCCTGAATCTAGTCTTTTCAACGGAAATGCAAGCGATAGAAGAACCGGAAAGAGGGTATAACTTCAGCCAGCCTTCTGGCCTCGCTTCCTTCACGTTGCATATTTTGGAAAGGAGCATCACTCTTACTATCGTACTGTCCCTCTCCACGCCTCACCCTCAGCAGCACCCTTTCCTAAACGTGCAGGTATTATGACAGAAGCTGCAGCCAACATCCATGCGGCCGCCGCGCAGGTAGACGTCATTATTTTCGATCTTGGCTGTAGGTCGCGGCTCGGCCGTCTGGTCGACCGTTAGTACATCTAGAACCTCACACGAAGACTATTCTCGAACGGCTACCCGTACCGGCTGCTTGGAGATAGGCACTTGCAGTGCGACCACTTCGGCCTTCTGGACCTCCATCGAGCGTGCACGGGTTGGTTCTGTATCGATTGGCGTCATGGTGGACTTTTCAATTGACCGTGATTTGCGCGAACGGAGATGAGAGAGCGGTGGAGTTGAGTTTCAATCTAAAAAAAGGGGGGCACGTTTATATATTTACGAGTTGGAGGACTCCTACATTAGGTTGTACTAATGGCTTGGCATTTTTCAGCTTGCGGAGCGAATAGGTGGCCCGATGGCCGTAGTTCATCTGCCAAGGCCGGCCATTGCAGACAAAGTAAAGTGAGGACGTCGGAAGGCTTTGCCTCTTTACACTTTTTCTCCGCGATGGAGCCGGCCAATATCCCAAGAAAGCATTCGTGGCAATCGAGTTGATTAATTCGCCAAACAAGCCCTCTAATTAGTGCAGTACTATAATCATTTCTAAGACTGGGCTAGCGAACTTGTTCCTCCTGCTAAGAGCATCGTATATCTCGCTTCCTAGTCTCCTGTTGTTAACCTAGAATCAAGCGTCCTGTTGGCATATCATTGACCGGTCGACGGCTGCAGTCTTCTTCGAGCGAGGCTGAGAAAATTAGGTGTCCGAAAACCCCGGTCCTGTCTCACAGCGGCTTCTTAGTGGACTAATCGCTGCTACTATTTGTACGTCTGCGTACAATACCTTTGAGAGGCGTCTTTGGTAATAAACACAAGAAAACAGAAAACATAGTTCTTGTGGTTGGACCAAAGCATGAAGATTGGACCAAATCATACAAGACCCTGCATTTCTTCCGTCTGCGATCCGACATAAGTATTTTGATGTGTAAAATATACCTATAGACGAAAAGGCGCAAGACAGCACGACGCAATGCAAGTACTATTGATATGCGATTGCCACCCTGAGCTCGGCATTTCCGTGTTATATTGCGTGTGCGTATGTGGTCAAATCGTGGCCCATGCTAGAGACCAGTAGCTTCACGTCAGGACGATCGCTTCATTTGCCCCCTCTGTGTCAAGAACCACTACAAGGGAGGTGTAAGTATGCATTATCATCATTTGTATAGACAGGCTATGTGCCAAGCCCCAACAACGTTTCAATAATGAAGCTGCTGAATACTCACACAATCTAGTGACCGCAATTGTGGCAGTGGATTTCTTTGTCGTGTTCTCCACACAATACCGGCGAAGATTCCCCCGAGCAGCTCAGCTCGCACGTCCATTTTAGTAACGTAGTCGAGCTCTGGCTCTAGAGCTGTGGTATGTCGCTTCTCATGGTGATAACAGCGCGGATTGGCTCCTCCGAGAACCCATTGAACAAGTCAAGTGTACCAACCGCTAGGCGACCAGTACTGGGTTCCTAAGTTTGTTGTCAGCAAACCCGGTGGTTGAGGCAGATAGTGGCGATAGATCGGCTGTTGTGAGATTATCTGGATTGATGGCAGCGGCGGACAAAAGATGGCTGCGATGGAGTTTAAATCCTCTTTTTTATAGGCAGACACTTAATACTGTCAGTGCACAGAAGTTTGCATGTGTAACCAACAACAAAAGAACACGCACAAAATGCTACTTCCCCTCATTTTATTAATTTAGACTTCTAGTCGTTTGATTTTTTAGTTTTCCTATGTAACCATCCCTTTTACACATTTCTCACGCAATTTCATGCCTTTGTATTGCCCTTTAGCTGGCTCGTATCTTACTGCATATTCTTTTTCTCTATGTTCGCCATTTGGATGGGGAAACAAGTGGCAGCAATCACTATTGTACGACGTATATCTGCGCAACGATGAATGAAGTAACTGGACAGGCTGCTGCTCACGGCATGGTACAAGTAATCGCAAAGCCATTCTCAGACAATCTGTGCTGGTGGCGAAGCATTTCCTCTCTCGATGAGTTTTGTACACAGGCGACACTCCCAATATCTTTCATTAGGCATGTTTATTTTTTGTGGAACGAAGAAGTCGACGTCAGCCAAAATCTCCTCGACTTGGCCAAAACACTCACCAAAAGCTGGGTACCGAGCATTCATAGTGAGATGGGTGGACTAAGCCAAGACCAACAAATTCATATCTTGGTTGAGCTCTTGCGATTGCACTATTCAGACCAGCCAGCTTCGCTTCCTAGCATGCAACAAAAGCAGAGCCTTCATGCAGCACTAAAAATGTTGATCCCCAACCGACCAGACGTTATACCGGGATCGTTTGTATTCGCACGAGCTCAGAGTGCTTTTGCCATCCAAGAAAGAAAGGCCGAACATTCGGTAGGCCTTGCCCAGCGCTAGCTTTTTTGCGGATATTTTAGAACGGTACAACACCTACCAAAAGGCCCCGATGAAGTATAATGCCCCCTATACTGCCATTGTCGGCCCATCGGGGATCGGGAAAAGTTTTTCCATCAAACAGATCGCCAAAACGCACGGGGCGTACACATTGTACGTAAACGTACGGACGGACAATGGGCATGGATATCCAGCAAAGTCTACCATCGAGGTCCCGCTGCAAGGTCGGCGGGAGGACTTGGAGCAAGAGTGGGATCATTTCTTGCGTTTTTATCTGGAAATGGTCCAGCTCGCTCGTGAGAATGGAATCACTGCCGGCGGCCTCTTCACTCTGACAATGGAACAAAAGTACTCTGGGTTCGGCAGCGAGACGACCGCTCTTTTGGAGGGCAGAGTGGGTGGAGGTGTTAATGCTAGCAACAGCTTGAGGGCTATACTGATGCGCTACCATCAGCTGCTGGAAAAGAACGGAGACAATGACCACCCGGTCGGTTCTCCAAGCATTGACATGCCCGTCATACTGTGCTTTGACGAAGCCCGAACTCTTCTCCAGTCCACTAAAGATGTGGAAGCCAGCTCTTTCATGGCTCTCCGCTCAGCGGCAAAAAGGCTTTCATTTCAGCCACCGGCAAGTTTGGCCAAGTTCTTCATTGTGATGATAGACACGACTTCTAGGATTACAAATTTCGTCTCGCCGAGAATAAGGGATCACAGCCAAAAGATGCTCAATGTCATCCTGCTTGAGCCGATCTGGAGGATCGATACCTGGTCCGTCTTTGCACAGGCACGGATGCCAGAGCCCGACGGCAGTGAGACCGCCGTGTCGGAGCTCTTCCGCATAGGACGGCCGTTATGGGGCGCGTTTCTCGAGGCCGGGTATACGCTCGGGGACATCATCTGGATCGCAATGGAGAAGCTTGGTTTCGACAAGACGACAGGAAAGCTGAGTGTTTCGGAGGACTCCGATGCCCGAGACTTGGCCCTACTCTCGACAAGGGTGAACTTCTACGTTGGACAGGCTTCGCTTGCTGAGCGTCTTGTATCTGGATTCTTGCGGTATGTAGTGACTATTGCAGAGGACCGAGACGGCCTAGTCAGCACGCAGCCTAGAGAGCCGCTGCCGGCGTACGCGGCGTCCAGGATCCTGCAGAACCTGCGAGCTCTACACATGGCGATACGCACATGGTATGCAAGCATTGCCGGCGGCAGCGTGAACCCCGGGGACGTGGGGGAGCAAGTTTCGATTCTGATGCTTCTCTTCGCCATGGACGACAGCTTGCGACCGGCTGAGAACCTTCCAGGTCCCATTCCGCTGTCGCTCTTCTGGAAGACGCTTTTCGGCAACGACAGCTGGGGCGGACTCGACAAGGCACTCCGGCGAGGTGCTCTGAAGGGTGGCAGGGTATTTTTCAATAATTTTGTCCGGCTTTCGGCCAGACCCAGTGAGACATTCATCAGAGAGGCCTATTGTCGCGGGCAAGCCCTCATTCTGCCAGAGAATTGCCCGGGAATTGACCTGCTCATACCCATTCAGGTGGGTGGCGGTGACGATGGCGGAGAGAAGAAGATGGGGCGCTACTGGTTCAGGTGAAGAATAGGGCCAGCGACAAGCTGACGGGATCGACGCGGGAATACTTCAAGAACTGCTTCAAGGATGGGCTGGCTGCACTCCCTCTGGAGGCACCGCTTCCCGGAGGATACATCGGGCTGGCAATGTGTCTCCGCTGCGAGCAAGGCAGAGGAGATTATCACCTGTCGGACCCAGCAGCCTTCAAGAGGCGTGCTGTCGGCTTTCCTGTCGCGATAGCTCTCGGCATCGACGTCTATGCCCTCCACGGACAAGGCTCTCTGGAGGAGAATGGGATTAGAGAAACTTTTTGCCGACTACTGCAGAGGTGGCCGGACCTGTACCCAGAGTCCGAGCTGAAGGTCCCCTATGTCGATCGGCTGATATATCCGTTCAACCACTTCGAATAGTCCTACAGTGGGCTTCTTGTATTCGGCGACATCACTGTCACCGAGGGCCTCACCAACAACAAGGTAGGGGCAAGGGCAAGGTGAAGGGGACGATGGGAGACATCAGATTCATATGATGAACGAAGCGGGCGAGATTTCCTGGCACAATGGGTCCTTGCTACACAGCGTCCTGACCAGAAATACTGAGGCTGATCGGATCATCCACATGGCAGTGCCCAAAAAGGAGCATGTATCCACACCAGCCTGTCTGACTTGGCGGCGCAATGAAGGGGTAAAGGCTCTTTGGAGGGGGGTAAGCATATTGAAGGTGACATAGCTACCTGTACTTGACTTTTGTGCTACGCCTCCAAAGACAATCAGAAATGAGTCTGACGAATTCCCGTGCGGGATCGTATAATAAAACCCATCTCGGTTTCATTACGCTGCGTATTTTACTACTTATCTCCTGTTCCGTTATATAATCTACAGCAAGACCGTATCGACGACCTTCTTCTTGAATACCTTGAACTGAAACTTGATACCAGAAGGATTATAATTTAGAGAGCAGGGCCTACAGGCCCTACTTCGACTTTGGCACATCCTAACACTAACGTGCCGAAGGTGCTGGTCAAGGAAGGCAATGTCCCTGGATGCAGGCCAAACAATTCAAGCTATGAAGTTTGACTATGGGCTTAACCGCAGCTGTCAAGACGTTCCTTAGTACGACGTAGTAAAGTAGGCCATACCATCGAGACTGGTGCCAGGGTGATCCTTGTAATGGTACCCGTGTAAAGTGGGACAAATCTGCCGGATAAGAGAAGCAGCTTTTACATACGGAGTAGCTTGTGTACTACTGTATTAGGCTTGGCTAGGTTGGGCAAATGTAGTTCGTAGTAAGTACGATCTCTGCTGACTAATCAACGAGGCATTCACGCGAAGAAGACAAGAATCAGGACGATTGCTACTCCGAAGATATGCCAAGAATACTGTTTATGAACTTTTCCTGAATACGACAGAGACACAATAAAAAGTCCGACACAGGCACGTGCAAAGCAAACGTGGCCCTTCCTCATTATCCACCCCGGGCATCCTCAGGTGCTGACGTAAGCGCAATGATACTAAACGCGACATCACCTTCAGCAGCGGCGAGAAAGCGGCCGACGCCGAGTGCGAGGGCCTCCTTGGTGAGCATGTCGTTTCTGGTGCCGTCACCGTTTCCTGTGGCGTCTTCCGGCAGCGGGCCCCGGTCGATGGGCCCGTCGGACGAGCCTTCGAGCTCCCAGAGGTGATCGTCGCGGCCGCGCACAAACGCGACAAAGTGCAGCTCGCAGGGATCGGTAGCGAGGGGCGCAGCCGAGTCGCCGCGCACGGCGGCACGCATGTGCGTTTCCTCGAGCTCGGCGCTGTCGTAGAGAAGAGCGGCGCGGGCGGCCGGAGCCAGGGGTGCGGCCTGGCGCAGCAGCCGGTCGAGGAGCGAGCCGGACTGCAGCCGGTCGCAAGCTGTGGGGCTGTTGGCAGCGGCGTGAATGAGCGCCATGAGGCCGCAGGCATGGCCAATGGTCTGGCGGAACCAGAGGACGGGCTCGTCGCTGCTGCTGCTGCCCGTCTTGCCGTATGTCAGCGCGGCCTCGGAGACGGATGGCGGGCGTCCATCAGCCGCGCGAACGACGTGGAACGGTCCCGGCGGACTGATCAGCACGAGTGCTAGCACTGGCCGCGGCACCAACGCCAGCAGAGCGGCATCGTCAACGCTGTAGACGTCGTGGAAGCGCAGGCTCTTCGTTGTAGGGCCACCGAGATCGTGCAGCAGCGCCGTGAACACGTCCGGGTTGTTCTCCAGCGGGACAACCGTCTTCTGGCCCGATGAGTCAACGCAGACCCCGGTGACAGGCATGGCACGCGTCATGTGGGCTGCTCGTTGCAGTGGCACTGGGCAGATGGCATGACGTGCAGAGCGGAGATGTCTGGCATATGTTTTGATCACGTGACGTTGGATGTGCGCTGTTGGTGGCGTGTCACCTGCCGCACTACGTAACGCGATGGAGTAAACGAAAAAAGAAGGAAAGAAGAGGAAAATCAATTTGAGGGGTGGCGCAAGAGAGCGTGGAGCTACTGCAGGACATTCGTAAAACCTTTACATACAGAACTGACAGGATGTTGATTGCAACACACGCAATCATGGCGCTAGAGGAAAGACTGAAATTGTACGGAGTGCTCCGTAACTAGTCACAAAATCCGTTTGACTACGACGGATATCATGTGGAATCAACTCTGCCGCTGGGCAGTGGGACTGGCAATCGACGGAACTCGTCCCAACCTTATGCATCGGATTACTATTACGCCCTCCTTGATTGCAAAGAAAAAGTTCAATGAATAAACAACATGGTATATAAGTGTGCAGAACAAAAATGTACTTCCTCTACTTCTCTTACACCCACCTGTAACTAGGCAACGAGGAAAATGCTTTAGAAAATCAAGGTGTAATTTCGCTACTCCCGATCCACTCTTGAGCCAAATTGGTATAACGGACGAATTGGTTACAAAGACCAGAGCACAGATTAGATCACCGCAGACACGATGCGCTTTGCCCAGCCCTTTACGCCGCTGGGCTTGTTCTCGGCGGCGGCCTCCAGTCTCCGTTGCCTCCGTTCCTCTTCTGGCGCGTTGATGATCGCAAGCTGGTCCTCACGCATCCCCTCGTAGACGTCAATGTCCCGGATCTTGACGTACAGCGGGCGCTGCTCCGGGATCTTGAACCATGAATACGTCTTCCAGATGACGTACAGGAACAGAAGGAAGGGGCCTGCAAGGTAGTCCTGGAAGAAGGTCGTCGCGTTGAGGTTGGGCCCGCCCACAGGGTAGAGGGCGACGTAGAACTGGGCCGCCAGACAGATAAAGTTCATAACAGCGCAGACGTACGAGCCCCAAACACCGGCCGCAGCCCTGAAGGGGAGGTCCTCGATGCTGTGGCCCTGCAGCTTCCATGCGCGGCGGAAGCGGATGTGGGCAACGGCGATGCTGCCAAAGATGAAGAAGGACGAGAGACCGGACAGCGACAGCAGCCATGTGAAGATGTTGCCACCGCCCGACGTGTCCAGGTTGATAAAGGCCAGGCAGCCGAAGAGGAGCTGCAGCACGGTGACGACAAGGGGACGGCCCTTCTTGTCAACGTAGGCAAAGGTCTTGGGGCCCATGCCATGCTGAGCCAGGGCCTGGAAGGTGCGGGTAGAGCCAAAGGTGCAGGAGTTGGCAACGCTGAGCACGGAAATCAGGATGACAGCGTTGAAGATGGACGGAAGGGCCTTGATGCCGGCCAGCTGGATGGCAACGACAAAGGGCGAGTGACGGCTCTCGGCACCGGCAGCGCTCAGCAGCGGGGAGTCGGCAGGAACGATGAGGCCGATGAGGAAGAGGTTGACAATGTAGAAGATGCAGATACGCCAGACGACCTGCTTGGTGGCCTTGGGAATTTCCTTCTTCGGGTCCTCGGCCTCGGCAGCCGCAAGACCGGTCAGCTCGGTGCCGCTGAAGGAGAACGAAGCGGTGACGAAGACGCTGCAGAACCCCTGGAAACCGTGGATGAAAGCGCCAGGATGATGCCTAAATACGATTGTAAATTAGCACGTGATGGAGGCGAAAAAGATTCCCAAATTCTGTAGGAAACGTACCAGTACTTGGCACCGAGGTAGCCTCTGTTGTCGGTCGGCACACCACCGCAGTCGATGATGATTCCGAGGAGGATGAAGCCAGTGCAGGCGGCCACCTTCATGGCACTGAGAACGAACTCGACCTCGCCGTAGCCTTTGACTCCGAAAAACTGGATGACGGTAAGGGCGACGAGCAATGGAATGATCCAGGCGCAGTCATTCACGTTCTCCACATCTTTCCAGTAGTGGATAATCTACTTTAGCATTAGCTGGGGCCTAGCCAGTATTAGGGCCATTGCCATTCTTACATTGCAAGCGGCCGAGATCTCAAAGGGGAGAACGGTGAGCCAGCTGATGCCGTATTGCCACCCACAGGCAAATCCCCAAGAGGGGTCGATAAAGCGGCAAATGTACATTGTGAACGCGCCGTTGACGGGGTACAGCACCGACAGCTCAGCCAGGGCTTGCATCATCAGCCATCTACACAATTGTCTGTTAGAAGATCGTATCCATCGGCTGCGGGAGGGTGAATTCATACATCATGCCACCTGCAAACCCGTCTGGTTAGCATTTGTCTGCCACAGTAGAATTGGGGCTGTGTGGCCGCACTCACCAATGATAATAAAACCGACGAGCACCGAGCCGGGTCCTCCGGTTGCAAAGGCACTGGCTGTTGAGACGAAGAGACCTGCGCCGATCGCACCGCCACTAGGATGGAGTCAGCGTGAGCCGTTTTATGCATTCCGTGTGTTCCGTGCATTCCCATTGTACATACATGGCGATCATCTGCATGTGTCGTCCCTTGAGGTTGCGGTGCAGCTTGCCCGGCTCCTCCGTGTGGACATCGACAGTGCCGGCTTCGAGCGGGGGAGAAGCGCCGTAGGAGGCATTCTTCTCGCCCTTCTCCGTGAAGCTTCCTTCTCCGCTCATCGTGGCAGGTGGTGCAGGCAGCGTCGTCGCGATGGCGCCGCGTTGCGTGTGAAAGGGTCGGAAGAGAGGTGCGGACAGGGCAAACTCTCGACGTTGAGATCGAAGAAGCTGAAAAGGCGGATGAGAGAGGCACAGGAACAATGAACGCGTCCACGGTAGGGGGACCATGTGCATTATAACAGTACAGCAGCACCCGCGCATCCCTCGCCTTTGACAACCACTGGATACGGCTTATTGCCTCGATCCCCGCCGCCATGCTGCATTGGGTATAAAGATGGACAGATGTGGAAGCTTGAACGAAGATAAGAAAAGTAGTGCTATGCAGCGAAGGCCGCTAGACTGCGCTACTGGCAGTGGGCGAAAACAGGATGGTGTCGAGGTGGCAACAGTGGACGAAGATTGGACAGAGATAAGCTACCCCGGCAACGCCGAGAGGACGTAAGCCAGGGGATGTTGCACTCGGTGAGAAAAAACAGCCAATCCTGCCACGCCCCACTCCATTTGGGCCTGTGCTCCGTACGACGTAAAGCGCGCATCCACTAAAAGATGGTGTACGTACGCTGCCTTTTCCTACCTGGTGGTCTCGGTCCGGCACGCGACTTGGCTACGCTGCCCATCGCTTGGCCATCGGCTTGACTTCAGCCAGACGACCAGCCTGGCCAGACTGGCTGCGCTGCACGACAGCACCGTAGCTGCTGTTGGCTGCTCTAGCCCAGCTCCAGGCTGGTGAGGCTGATCGGGCTGATCGGCCAGGCCGAGGATCGTGTATCGTGCATGATGCTGTACTTTTCGCTGCAGCTGTCAATCGTCGCAGACGAGAGAGGCGCTGGCTGTTGGCTGCTGGCAACCACTACATCGCCGATCGTTTGACTGCTGATCGTCCTGTCAATCGTCTTGTCGCGCTCTTGTCAGACAGGGTGCTAATGAGTCGTCCCGACAGCATGGCAAGACGTATAACAGCAGACGGCCTGGCCAGGCCTCTGGGCTTTGCATGCCCACTGACATTAGCCTGCTGCCAGACAGCCCTGCATTGGCTTATGCCCTTGAGCCGCTCTTTGTCACCACACAATGGCACGCAGACCGTCGCTGGAATCTTGCGGTCTTTTTTTGCCGAAATGTTCCCGCAGCAAGCCGTGTCGGCCTATTGAGGAGTACTTCCAACGACCTCATGAGCCAATATCTGTCCCCGGGACTGCCTTGGCAGCGTTCCTCGTAGCTGACTGCTTCGCCGAGATCATGGTCATCCGCATCTCAATGACTCGTTCTGTCGCCCAGCCCGAGCACGCTTATCGCCGGCTGGACATTCCTTGCTGGCTATGGCTTCTTCACTGGCTGAGCCGCGCTGCGACCGCTAACGAGACGTGCATGACCGCGCTGTTGGGCCTCCACGTCCGAGCCAAGATTCGTCTGTCTGATCTTGCCACAGGCCCAGTACGAAAGAGGTTAATGGTGACGTGATTATCACAGAATCAGCCGACTCTCCTATTCTAGAAGCAATGATCTCGCATAAAGCTGTCTCGTACATCTTCCGTTATGTCGTCTGGGGTCTTTCGTCTGGGGTGGTCTGGCTTCTCTAGCGGCATCTAAAGCTGGAGATTGATTGTGCGAGAGCCGGACTTACGAAATAGGATTACGCAGATTTAGTGCGTGGGGGCCCTTGCTAAGCAGTCCGACAGGGTCCCACCGAGCCCACGATTGTCATAGCAGGCCTAGGCCTGTGATCGACTTGCTGTGATACAGTAGTCAAGTTTCGCCTCACAGGCGCAATCGACGTGGCGCAATCTTGCCTCCGCGGTAAAACTGTGGAATTCCGGACGACGGACCCCACTGTTACCTAAGACGTTGTTTAATGCGGCACCTGTACGATAAGGCTCGAATTGGCTGGCTAGTTCATTGTAATTTATGTTGGGTAATAGCGAATAAAATGCAAGTATTATTGTACGATTTACAACTACTTGACCCTGAGGCAATTCTACGGGTAGTTCCTTCTGTAGTCTAGTCTACCCGGCCGATGGTTGTTTAGACACAAGTTTGCTAAAGCCGCAGGTGAAATTCATCGTACAAGTGGATCTCCAGAAGCTCAGGCGGAGAGTACAAAGATCGTCACACATACTACTTGGGCTTTGACACTACCCATACTGGCGATTTTCCTCCTACCGGAAGCGGAGGAGAAGTGGCGCGACATGCTATGTAGATAGTGCGACAGAGCCATGCGTATACGGCATCAGCGTTTTTATTTTGTAGAGACGGTCGGAAGTTGCCTCGAACTCTTCCCAAGTGCCGTCCGCTCTACTCGTTTTACAAATTTATCACCGCCTTGCCGTGGCACAGGAACAACCATTCATAACAATATATGCCTCTCTCTCCTTTCGTAAGGAGACATGCCTTGGTCTTAGCTACTAGTCGGTTACCGTACAGGGGCTTTTGTTATAAATATTGGTCCCCTCAATTGAGTGAAACCGCAACAGTACCTCTTTATTTAGTGAAATGGCAGTCTGAACATTTAGTATGGCAGCAAGAAGGGCATGTGGCCGATGCCGGGCCAATCATATCCTGACATATGTGCTTTTCAGAGACAAGTGTTAGATATGAAATCTAGACACTGATAATGAAATGGGATGTAACGTGTCTGGGAAAACAAACTTACACATACACAAACCTGTCCACCGTATGACCCTAACCACCTGTACATGGGAAACATAGTGGAGCTCTAACAAAATGACATTAGCACTTGAATTTCTTGCACATCCTAGGTGAAATCTGATCACCTACCAATGGGGGGTCCTCTGTGGACACCATATTACTCGGACCGGGATCGGCGGGGGGCTGTTGCTGAGATGAAGTAAAGAATTGAGCTCTGCAAATTTGAACAATCTCTGCTTCCAGCTCGTTTCCTTTGTCGAATTGGCCTAGGCTTTTATATGCATCCGCTAGGTTGCTCATGCTGGCAAGCGTCTCCGGGTTGTCAAGTCCGAGTGTTGTCTTTTGATCCTTCACCTGCAGTAACAACGCCTTGACTTTGTCTTTCAACCGCGCCTCCTCTTCCTTCTTCCCTTCCAGCATCGATTGAAAAATAGGATCATTATCAATACTGGGGAAGAATTTCGAAGATGCAAAATCGTTAAGGTCCCAGCTAGCCACTTTTGAATCTTCAAAAGTTGGACTAAGCTCTTGGTGAGCATCTCCCATAAAATTGAAGTCATCCAGATTCTTCCGGGATGTCCAGTCCTCCTGATAGTCAGGTGATCCGAATCGAGATTTATCCTCGTCCTCGATCAAGTCTGTGATTATACTCCTCCTTTGTGGCTGTGGGACGTTACTACTACCGGTTGAGCTTCCATCGCCTGGCACCTCGCCTTGGTAGCTTGGAAGGGACATGAGAGCCAGAGACCTTAAGTGTCCAACTATGTGGGCCTCTAGATCATTCTCGGCCTTATCGCCACATAATGGGCAGGACGAAAACAATTTCGTCGGACAACGTGAGTTCAGATTCGCCAAAACCTGGAGCTGGGTGTCGCCAAGTTTAGTTTTGTGGACTTCGTGCATGTGACAGACATACTCTGCACGAGTCGAAAATGAATTGCGATGAGCAGAGCATCGCCAACTTCGACAGTGTTGACGCATATGGTCAAGCCATTCGATGCTATGGCGATATAGCTCATCTGAATGGTCACAGTTTTCGAACAGGCAAACGTATGGGTATAAGTCAATTTTGACGTGATTTCTTGAAAGATTAGTTAGAGTATATTGTACTTAGTTAAATGTACATTTGTATGCAGGTAAATCACTCACTGCCACTTTTTCTCGTCGAACACTTCTTCCATTGGTAGAGAGCAAAGACAATAAGGGCAAGCTACCCCTCCACTACTCTGTGGCCCTGCCTCTGAAGTCTTGTCCAGCTTTGCATCGTCGTACTTTCGCTTCGCACGAAAGTCAGGGTGTGATGGGAACTTCAGAGTCTCATGTTTGCCTAGGGCGATCGTCTGTCTTGATATGACAGATGCGTTTGATTTGGCCGTGTTAAACTTTTCAGGGTTTACAGTCGTTGCGCTGTATATATTAGAGGGTGCACTCGTTGTTGGCAGTTTACGGGTATCTTGCTGTACATTTCTTGTAGCTGCTGTCTGGGGAAATGAAAACTCGCTGCCTGTATTGGGCCTTGCTCTTTGTGACAGGGTAGCCATAGTCTCTTGTCGATGCCACCTGTATAGAACTCGTTTCCGCCGTATGATCATTGCCTCGGCGAGTCTTTGTCCAATGATGTCACTTATGTTGGGAAACCGATCGCGAATGTGGCGCAGGAAATAAAAGAGCACAAGTGAATCTACATCGTTCCCGTCATCATCCTTGATATGAAATGCTCTTGCTTTCATATCCTGACTTTCCTTCCCAGCTCTGCGAATTGTGTTCGATATCTTATTGAGATAGCCGATTTCCGTCCCAATATTCTTGAAAGCGTTTTCCAAAGATTCATCCAGGACACTTGATGCATAAATTTCCGAGGACTTGCTAAGAGTGGTTAGAAGTTTTGCGCCTGCACGACGTTAATTTTATATGTCCAAAGTTTACTCCGTACAGTTAGCATTGCTTATTGTGACCCACAAGTTTGAACACGATAATTTAGTGACTCCAGAAGACTGGTAACGGCACTCTGGACATCTGGGGCATACCGGAGCCGATGATCCATGGACGCTCGCCCAGGAGCAAAAACTCCGATGCTCGCGGTCCAGGTGGAGAACCTGGCATCTTGATCCTCTACCATGGATAGCTCCCGGGGGTATCTAAAGGCCGCTTGAAGAAGGCATCCCCGGAACGATTTCAAACACTCATTTCCAGATGCAGCGATGGTCGGCCGTTCCATCTTTAAAGCCGCACCTGTCTCCATCATGGCGGTTGTTGATCTGCGGCAAAGAGATGAGTATAGAACGGTCGGCCTTTCAAAGCTATATAGAGAGTCAGGTTCCCAGGTTCTTACCGCCGTGGTGGGAATACCGATGAAATCTACGTAGGAGATTGCACTTTGTTCGTGGACTGCAGTCAGACATGGCGATTTCGGGCACCACACGTGTCTTCAGACCCCTCCTTAGCACCCCGCACTCCGGCAATATATGCACAGTACGGAGTACATATCAGCAGTATACGGAGTATCTGGTACGAGTACAACACTTACGGTGTTATCAGCACTGTACCCTTTACCTGGTTTTCTCTGCTGATAAGAATTGATGTCCGGCAGCAGCCCAACACAACCTCAGCCATATAGTCCTGAGCTTAGAGAACAATCAAACGAGCAACCTGTACCAGTGGAGATTAAAAAAACAATTCTATGGATTCGTCTGCGCTTTGGGCATCTTTCAGATGGGTCTACAAAGCGACAGTGAGGTCTGGCGAGACGGCTATCAAAACAAGCGGACGGGAAGGCCGACTTACTCTTCAAAACGGCCGAAAACAATCTGGAATATGGTCGAAATAGTTCGAAATAACGAGATGGATGAGGGAAAAAAAAATATTCTACAGCCATGTCGGGGTTTATTGCCTCGGCATCCGAAACCGCGCAAGTCCCGCAAGCCAGACTTCATCTCCACTCGATGAAGAAGAAATAAAGATGGGCTCTCCGCGTTCTCGGCTCTCTTCTAATGGAGACTGGAATACCAAATGAGCAGGCTTTGGACGTCACTCTTGAATCTCGCCTGAGGGTGCTCAATCGCGACTGGAACGAAACAAGGAATCCACACAACGACACGTTTCAGCTCAAATTGATCAGTCAAAGGATGAAGCGAGAGGTGTCTGAGGATCAACAGACTGAAATCGGAAAAGCAATTGGGCGTGTATTTGACGCTTTAGGAATGGAAATCGCCCGAAAAAGATATCAAGGAACCTGTGTCAAATCGCAATTCACATGATGAAGGAGAACCACCACACGACGTTTGGAAGGCGGCTAAGCTTGCTTTTGATGCACTAGTAAAGTGCAAGGGATGCTCTTGTCATTGCAATCAAGAGTTTGGGGCCAAGATAGAACTTGGAACTTACAGAACGTCTAAGGTATCTCAGCTTCAGCCCCAAGCCAAAAGACTTCGTGGCCATGACACCCCAGCAGAGGGGCATACTTTCGAAATTTTTCTGTCCATGGAGCAAAGCTGGCACCACTTTCGAGTACAAACTTCCATAAAAAGATTTGTCCGGTTTGACAACACCGACGACGTGCCAAGCAATCGGCCTGACGGTACTTGCAAATCTAAAAAAGTAGACAAACTCTGTTTACCACTCTCTAGATCGAGAGATACGAGATGTCTCCTTTGGAAGCTCACTAATGGCCATCTATTCCACCACGATATCACAAGAAGTCACTTTCGGCTCAAAAAGACAGCCAAACTTATCTCCTTGGCTGATTACCTTGAAACCCGACCTGAGGTTTTCACAGAGAAGGTGAAACGTATCCTTTCACTCATCCTAAGCTACGCAGTGTTCCATCTTAATGACACTCGGTGGCTCCAACCAGGATGGGGCTCGGCGGATGTCCAATTCTATGGAAAAGGCTTTGGTAAAGGTTCTTGCGAGACCTCTTTGCGGCCATTTATTCGGACCCAACTACCAGAGCCAAGCCTTGCTGGAGCAACACCCGAGTTGCAAGCCGAAGATGATGGATATGATGCGGAAGATGCAAAACATTGCTGTCCAGCTCTAGTTGCTTTGGCAATAGTCTTGATGGAGGTGCAATTTGCTAGGCCGTTTAAAAGCATCTCCAAAATGCACAGAGTACCGCTTATCGAGACTTACGACGGACGAATAACATTTCTAGATGCTTGCCAGGTGTTCAATGGTACCGGAGAGGAAATGGCCGGCAATGGGCTGCGCTCCGAGATCCCTGATAACTCTCCTCTAATCTGTGCTATCGACAACTGCCTGAATAGCTCGCTTTGGGAAGACAGCGAAGGCGCCGCCCTCGACAATGTAACCCTCAGAGGAAGTGTGTATCAATACGTTGTTCAACCCTTGGAGGAACATCTGACTATGGGATTCAGTCATATACCTTTGGATGATGTCGATAAGTCTGCAGAAAGTCTGGACCTGGATAATTGGTGTCAGGATATGGCCAGCTACGAGTCGACAGGTCATGCTACTATGTTGTCTGTTGAACCATATCACAATCCTCCACCGCCACCAAATATGCATTCTGCAGGTGCATATCAGATGCAGGATCTATATCATATTCCGAGTACTGTGCACGGTTACAAAGAATCTCAATTCTTCGACGACGAGAATTCTAGCGGAGGTGTATCTGATACTCAGTGAGCTTTTTTCTAATTTAGCACTCCAGTCCCCGGGATAATGCCATTGCTTACTTCAGATTTCACAGTACTGAGAAATACCGGAAATGGAAAACAGAATACCGAGAGGTCTATAAACAGTTCATCACAAAATACCTCTCAGATCTTACAATCGCCTCCTTTCATACAACCTGTAAAACCTGTAAAGGTGGCCATCTTGGATACGGGTATCGATCGAGGTCACTACTATATCGAAGCTCATGAAGAAAACCTCAAAGGAAGGTTCAACTGCTACAACGAGGCACAGAAGAGAAATGTTCAAGATCGAAACGGACATGGCACCTTCACTACGAGTCTAGTGCTCGCCTATGCTCAGGACGCCGAGATTTACATTGTAAAAGTCGCGGACAGGGAGAATACAAGACCCGATGCCAAGATCGTTGCAAATGTAAGTGGCTGTTGTTCCTGATATCTCCAAGTCGCTTTCACGAGCTGAAACACAAAGGCTATCAGCCATGCAGTTGATGAATGGGGAGTGGACATCATATCCATGTCATTCGGGTGGCCCTCTTCAAATTTTGAAGGGCACAGTGTCCTCGAAGCTGCCATTGATAAGGCATACGGCAAAAAGGTCCTCATGTTTGCCGCCGCCTCTAATAGTGGTGGCCGGCTTGGTCGAGCGTATCCTGCCAGCAGTACGCATGTCATTTGCGTCCATTCGACCAACACGAATGGGACTAGGTCTGATTTTAGTCCTACTGCTGCGCCCAATGCCATTAGCATTGCGACAATCGGCGAATCGGTTGAGTCGGCGTGGCCGGTGTTACTTTGCGGCAAGGATGAATCAAACCCAAAAGTTTGTTCAGTCCCGGTCTGGGACATCATATGCGACACCCATTCTTGCGGGCATCGCGGCGTTTCTATTGCATTACGCACGATTGCATCTGGACAAAGAATCAGCAGACAGACTGAAACGAAAGGACGGAATGGAAGCTCTACTGAAGAGGTGTGCAGAGAGGGACCCAATTACTCGCCGAGGGACGGGTATCTATTCGTCGAGCTAAGCTTGAACAGCCACAACCTGTTTGGAAACAGCTTGGAGGAAGTGAACTATGAAATTAAGAAAGCGTTGAAGACGTAGATATTGTGTTACAAAGACTATATCTAATGAAAGAGGAAATCATATATGAGTGTCATTGAAGCCAATCCACATGTTGTCATCTCATATTTCACTACGTGCTAGTCATCATCAGTTCTACGCAATATCGCACAAAGTACCGTGTCTTCATCCTCTTTCAAATCCTCCGCGTCAAATCTTTCAGTTTCTGCATCTGGGTCCTCGACCTTTAAGATACGCAACTCAGGACCGCTGACCTCGGCCTCTTCCTCGATACCGAGCATAGCGCCCTTATGATACTCGTCCTCGCTTGCCACCTGCTCTGTAGCCTTGTGGACGAACACCTTGCTCACGCGAAACGCAAACACAAAGTCACTGCCTCCCGTCCATTTCATGCTGGTCTTATTTTCCATCCTGCCCTCGATTCCTGGGCCACCACCTATCGATATAGTGCTGCCGCTGGCTACCGTGCTGTCCACTTCGGCAGCGAGAATGGCCCCGACGGTGCGAGACTTGAGAGTATTGGCTTGGGCACCAGTGACGACTTTACGTCCGGTGATTATGTAGAGAGGCTTGCGGTATCTGGACATCTGTAGGAAGCGGCGAGCATTTTCGTTTTCGACGCATTTTTGGAGATATGCCGGTGTTGGGATAAATTGTGTGGTTTCGATGGTCTTGAAGGAGAATGTTGCCATGGTACTATAATTCTTAGCGAGGCATTCATGCCGTCTTCAACCCAAACAAATTCCAAAATGCGATATTGCGTGCAGTGCCTGAGAGACAAAGGGCTTGCCTACCTCGCGTCAACTTCGGCGCTGGCATTGACACCAAAGCCCAAGATACTTAAGAACTTGGTCAAGACAGAGAATTTTCCGCCCTTCAGCTTTTCTTCGGTATATACAACGTCTTTTTTTTGTGTCGAGAATACGTCGGAATCATCTGGTGGGGGAGCACGGTACATAGCGCGTTCAGGTCGCTTTACTGACGTGATAACGTTGCCCAGCTTGATGGGACCGTCCGGAGGGAAGTCCCATGTCGGTGCATAGAAGTAAAAGTATTGACGATTAGCCATGGCCGCTGCTGTGACACTATGCCATGCATGTTGGAGCAAAGAGGCGAAACTCTGCCTTGCCAGAGCGGTCACATCAACTTGGGCATAACTCACGTGCATCTATGCCGCCTTGCTTACTCGTTTGATTATATCACAGGCAATATTACAGGCAACGACAGAAAGTGGTTAACGAATTAGAATACATAACTGGTTGTAGGTGGGTATAAGTGTGGCTAGGTTAGCCTTATCATTGTGGGGTCTACGGAGTACTCTGTTCTTACACGTATAAAGGCGAATCAGCATGTGAATAATCTAACTTATTAAAGCGCTGAGCTTCTGTCAAATCCATTTGTTCTGCGTGTCTCCGTCGAGTCTCGTGCTGTAGTCATAGTTTCTTTGACACCGTGATTTTGCCTTCCTGCCCTTTGTTTCGATAAAATGATCTGCTAGCTATTTGAAGGGATTTCCCTAGCTCTTTTAATGTTTCCTAGTGCGCTTGGCTCTGGGATGAGAACCACTGCACGCAAATTGGGGCTTATTCTTATCAACGGGAGAGTGGGCCTCCTTTGTCAGAAATCCACATTATGACAGACCAGCGCGAACTAAACGTATTTAGAAGAATTACCCAAAGAAGCAATTCTGGCTTACAGCTTCGGCGGAAGATCGGCAAGCGTCTCGGCGTCCGTTATCGAAACAGCCACAAGCGTTAGTCGATCATTGAGCAGACACGACAAAATATGTGCAGAATAGTTGTATGGTGGCGATTTGTACACTTTATATGGATTATTCTATTCTAGATGCTCTATTTTGATACCTTGCTGTCTCTCTCCTTGCACAGATCTGTGTAGAAGTCCAGGCCAGCCTCTTTCCTAATCGTGCCGTACATGGAGCTGCTGTCCAGTGCCCGATCCGGGAGTAGTGCCCGGGCCTGCTCCATATGCTTGAGGGCGACCTCGCTGACCTCGAGCCTGGTGCCGGCCGTCTTGGCGCAATTGAGGGCGTGGCGCGCATCCTTCATGGACAGCTCGACGTCGAAGCCGGCCTTTCCGCCTGGCTCCGGCGCATAGATGCCGGTCGTGAGCCGCTTGGAGTAGCTCTCGAGCACGGGGCCAAACATGTCGGCGACCATGGTCTCGAAGATGGCGCTGCCGAGGCCGACCTTCTCGGCAAAGACGTGGGCTTCGGACAGGACCTCCATGAAGGACACCACGCAGATGTTGCCCGCGATCTTGAGCATGCTGGACTTGGAGACATCCTCGCCCATGTCGATGACGGAGCGGCCCATAATGTCCTTGATGTACGGACTGGTCTTCTTGGTTGCCTCGGCTGGGCCGGCAACGACAAAGATGAGCTTTCCGGCTGCAGCCATAGGAGCGGCTCCAAAGACAGGTGCTGTGTCTTTGTCAGGGAGTTGAACTACTGAAAACGATACTCAGATGGCTTTTGCCAATGACTTACAGGCAACAAACAGGCCACCGGCTTCGGTGATCTTCTTCGAGACAGCGACTGAAGTGTCCGGGTGGACCGTCGAGCAATCGATGTAGATCTTTCCCTTGACTCCAACTGCAATGATCGCGTCGGCGACCTCGTTAAGCACCTGGTCGTTGCTTACCTAGACAGGGATGAGAACATGGTTCGGTATTATGGCTGAAAGACATGAAACACGTACACAAGAGAAGATAATGCTCGACTTAGTGGTCACCTCAGCGACCGTCTCGACGGGAATGGCACCGAGAGCCTGCAGATCCTTCCCCCGAGACAGTGTCCGGTTGGTGTAGATCAAGCTTGGTGCACCCGTAGAGGAGAGATGCTTCTGCAGGTTCATGGACATGCCAATGCCCATGGACCCTAGGCCAATCCAGCCGAGTTGCTCAGATGACGACATGGTGATTTTGGTAACGGGTCAGAAGCTCGCGAGATCGTGAGATTATTAAAAAACAAGGGCAAACGGCGGCTGAAAATTGAGATCGCTTGTCGCATCGATCTTTATATTGTCATTTCTTGGGAAAGCTGTCTTGTATGCCGATACCGGTAGCTCCCAGCGCATTTGCTGCTAGCACGCGGCGCTTTGCTACAAATAGAGTAATCCTACCCGGAGCATAAGGTTATCTATGGGGACTGGCCACGCTAACAGTAGTGTTACGTACTCGTCTTCAGCGAGATCAAAAAAGCAGGGAAAGTGCACAATGTTTTTGTTCTACTTCTTAAATGATTCTGGCATTGACAATTCCTCCGTTATGAATGGCCAAAAGGGGTATTGCCGTTCAATAGTCCGTATACTATTCTTGATACTAAGAGTATGCATGCACGTGAGTCCCACAGGCACCGATGCGGGTTTCACCAAAGGCCTGATTTCACCCAGTTGGTCCGTCGACAACTAAATGGTGATACTCGGCTACCAGTAGCACGTGTCACATATAGTTCGAGCTCTGACTGCATCTTGCCAATACACTGAATTGCAAAAAAAAAAAGCCCTTGTCATATCCAAAGTATTCAGTCCTTGTCTTTTTGACCTATGTGCCCTTAATTTTGCTTACATAATCATGTTGCTCGTCCGCGTTCACGTCAGTAAATGTAAATCCGCCAGCTCGCTGGAAAATTATCCTTATAGCCCGTGCGCATATAAAGCGTTACAGTGTTACCATTGACCAGCCAGTCGCCGACGTTCCATGTGAGGTGCAGACCATACGGTAGCCATACAGCAGGTTTGTCCCGACACCGACATTAGGGAACTGTAGTTGTTCAGGGTGATGTTGCAAGTCGAGTACTATACGGGTGCTGACGCCGGACCGAGCGAGAGCACAATCCTACCGGGTGTGCCCAAAATGGCCAATTTGGCAATGCTGACGGCAGGCAACTGGCAGTATAACAGATGCTTAATAAAAAATAACGAGTTTTTTTTGCTTTAGCTAACAGGTGCAGGGAGTATTTACGTCAGATATATGACAGTTTCCAAATAGTGATTGTATAGAACTGAAAATTGGAAGATAGAGATACGAAGTAGAGTTAGAGTAGAGAAGAAACGATACTGACAAATAGTTTTCATGCTATCCTACACAATCGGGCTTTTCGTATCATTTATTACTGAATGAAGCTCTTGATGCCTAAAAAAGGAGCTCTAGGACCTGAAGAGACTCGGAAGAAGTGCCAACCACGCTTGTCCCCTACATCGGCCAAAACGATTACCCCCGGAAGAGACGCTCGCGCTGGCGTTGTCAGTAATCTTGCAGCCCTACAAATAGCACGTCGACAAGACTCACCTTCATCGCACACGAACACACTACTGTCACGGCGCCGGCGGTCACGACCAATATATACGTCCGGCTCATAGCATCAATAATAACCTGCAGCACCTTTGCCGACTGGACGGCATCCAAGGCGTCCAGCAACGAGCTGCTTGTGCCGGCAATCAGATCACGAATCGCACTCGACGGCTGGTCGGGGAAGAGGGACGTCAGATTGGCCAAGGCCACGTTCTGGAAGATGGTGCCGGAAACGGCCAGCGAGAGGGCGATGCCGAGGTACTGGGCAAATGATATAAAGCCGGCTGCGTCGGCCACGCGATTAGCGGCCACCATGGCCTGGGCCACGGCATAGGACGCCTGGATGTAGAGGCCAGCACCGGAACCCGTGATGGCCATGTAGCCGTAGACGCGCGAGGACGAGGTCGAGCGGTTGACTGTGTACAAAAGCGCGCCACCAGTCAAAATAAGGCAGCCGCCAAGCAGGAACCAGAGCATGTAGTAGCCAGACTTGGTCATGAAGGCGCCGCTGAGCAGGCCGCAGAAGACCATGACGCAGATGAAGGGCAGCAGTCGGACGCCGGCATCCAGAGCTCCATCACCGCGGACAAACTGGAAGAAGAGCGGGATGAAGTAGGTCGGGACAAAGACGCAGGTGGCGGCGGAGGCCATGCAGATGAAGAGCAGGTACATGTCGTACATGTGCAGGAAGTCGCAAGGGGAAGAGGCGATCTTCCTTGGTCGTGAAGAGGGCCAGCTTCTGCTGCGCGCAGAAGGCGAGGAAGACGACGCCGGAAATGACCCAGAGGGCAATTTCCTGGCCGCTGCTCCAGGCGTAGACGGTGCCGCCAAAGTTGATGACCATGATGAAAGGCGTGAGGAAGCCGACGTTGAGGACGGTGCCGACGTAATCGACGTGGCGAATTCGAGAAGCCAGCGGAACACCCCGCTGGAGGTCACTGTTGGGGAGGAGGAGGAGGAAGGCCGGTGCAAAGAGGCCGCCGATGCAGACTGTTTGATGTCAAGTAAGCTAGGGCTATAGTGGACAGCAGACAAGCAGACAAGCAGACTGAAGCATTCACGGTTGATGTAGAACGACCAGCGCCACGTCGTGTGCACATTCTCGGCAAAGGCGCCGCCGACAATTGGGCCCCGCACCGTGCCGGCGCCCCAGGTGAAGCCGGTCGAGGCCATATAGATGGGGCGCTCCCGCAGCGACGTCGTCAGCGATAGCAACGACAGGCAGCCAACATACATGCCAGCACCGCCAACGCCGGCGAGCACACGGCCTCCGATCATGGCGTTCATTGTCGGCGCGGCACCGCACACGGCACTGCCAACCTCGAAGATGAGCGTGGCCAGGACGTAGGACCACTTGACGCTGAAGATGCCCATGATCTTGCCCCAGACGATGATGGTGGCGAGCGAGCCCAGCACAAAGGCCACGCCCAGCCAGCCGAGCTTCTCGAAGCTGCCGAGGCTCTCGACGATCGCCAGCTAGATCTCAGCCACGATGCTGTTGTCGAGCGAGAAGAGAAAGGTGGACGCCATCATGGTGGTGACGATGATGATCCACTAGCCTGTCAGAGTTGCAACAAAGTGGCAGACGAATACGGGAAAGACAGAGACGCACAATGGGCTTGGATACGTATGCCTGCACATCCACGACTGGCCGGTCGTTTAGGCCCTCCTCTTGGACCACCGCGGGCACATCGGCCTGATACATCTCGGAGTCGGTCGCGCCGTCAACGATCGAAGTGACCGCGTCGGGCGGAGTCCGAGCCGGCGCCGGATTTTTTTTCGAAGAACATCTTGGAGGGGCAGTACGGGGGACGATGCAGAGAAATGGTGATAACCAAGAAAAGAACGAACGGATAAGGAGGAGGAAGAGAACGGCGAGGAGAGAATAAAAAGAGTCAAGAACCAAACGACGAGCAAGTTTCGAAGCGACCAAAGACTAGCAATATGCCAAGCTTGGACCCGGTCAGAAAGTACATCGTCAAGTTCCTTGAACTATACCGCATGCTATGCACAGACAGCTTCCCCAAACAACTCGACAGGCAGCAAAAACAACTTCGCACGACATACGCGTCTTCTCCTTCTTCGTCGCTAGGCAGCTATGAAATTGGCCATGGCCAAGATGTCACGGAAAAGATTCAGAGGACTGCACCGGACCTGGAAAGGTGACAGCCGCTGCTGACAGCTCTCCAGCGACAGAGCTTGGGGCCAAAAGGGATCATACGGCCGAGACGACGGAGTGGAGACGGAATGGCATGAGACCCGGCTGCGCTAAAGCAGGTGCTGCCATCATGGGTCAGCAAGGTGTGGGGCCTATGGGGAAGGCAGATAACACTAAACCAGAACGGGAGGAACGCCGTCTGAGCTTAATCCATCGCCAAAGTGGAACGTAGCTCTGGACTACGCTGCGCCTGCACGAGGAAATGCACCCTTTCATGTCGGTTTTTGTACAATGGCCGGGCGTGAGGCCGTTTTCTGAAATTAGCAATGACTGCTGCTTATCGATGGGAGGAGGAAGATGCAAATCGAGAGGCCGTCAGGATGTAGACGTAGACTGCAGGAGAAGTATGGATTTCTTCAGCCCCTCCATTCTGTGTAGTTATTTGAGCGATAGAAGCAGCCCCTGACCAGATACTTTTATTCATTGTGGCGTCCATCAGCCGACTCTTTTGGCTCTGCCTGTCTGCCGCTCCTGTCGTATCTTTTTCTTTCTTGCTGGCCTTGCCGCCGTAGGCATCAGAGGCAAGACTTCCAGCTGGAGCCAATCTCTGCCAATGGATTGAGGAGCTGCAGCTCATCATTGAGCGCGTGCTTTACGCTCGCTCTTATTCAACTTTCCGCTGCTCGAAAAGTTCCTCTAACTCTTCACCTGGCGCAGGTACGCCTATGCATAGGAATTACTGTGGGATCTAATGGCCTGCATGGGTAAATTCTGGGAATAAATAGATACATCAGACTGAGTCTATTCTTGACTAACGTACGCATCAGCACACCTGTCACCACCTGTCATGCTTCCAATCTCGTTATACCGGCTACGCACAACGTTCAGCCATCCCCTGTCATGACACTCCAAATTCTGATCACGCTGACAGCTCCTGCAGGCATTTCGTAAAATTTATTATATTGAGGCTTTGTGCAGATGCAGATGTAAGCATACGGGCTCTCCGCACTCCAAATATATACGGCTGCTCAAAAGTGGGTCAAAATAACTTCGAACTCGTACGGAGTACTCCGTAATCTGTTCGGCAAATATAAGAAAGGATGTAAAGACATACAGACACATATACACTCAAGTCCCATAGATCTTCTTCCACATCTTCCCCCCCACCACAGGCCCTTGCCCCTCATGCAATCAAAATCCGCGAACTCAACGACAGCCCATAGGCAATCGTCGCAAACAGCCCAATCAGGTTAAGGTGGATGCTCATCGCATGGTTGGTCGAGAACGCCCGCTTCGCCCGGTACATGTCTGTCGTCAGCTTGTCTCGCGGCAGATCTACGCTCGACGCCAGCTTGAGGTTGTCGTGCGTCTCCTGGTGGTTGCGCTGGACGAGTGCGGAAATGGTGCGGGGTCCGAAGACAAGCAGATTCAGGAGACTCATGCCGAGGGAGACGCTGAGGAAGAAGAGGTCGCGGCGGTTAGGCGAGCCAGTAGCCATGAGGCCGACCACAGATCCGGCCGGGTAGGTCAGGGCCGTGGTGAGGGACAGGGCCAACGCGACGCCAAAAGGGACGGGAAAGGCCTTTTTCTGGAGGGACATGAACTGGGGGCGGGGCAGGTAGACGTAGGCCAGTTTTGTCATCACAAAGGTCTGTGCGTGAGCAAGAGGCAAGCAAGCCATGCACGCAGAAATCGCCTTACCTGGTACAGCTGTGTGCCGATCAGGGTCCCCCAAGAGAGAAGGTGGTAGCTGCCGAGGCCGGACAATGTACAAAGTATAGAAGACATTGCGTAAGTTTGATATCAATGGAAGTGGATGTGTAGTCACAGAGAAATCAATAACGGTGATGTGTGGTTGTGCTGGCATCTTTCTTGTGGCGGATATTTCCCACTGGAATCGCATTATTTGTACCGAAGCAAATCGCTGCAGCCTAGAACGACCCACATCAGAACCGTTCGATGGCCGGCTCCTAGAGCATGAGACCTCTATCTTTGCGTAGATTTCTCAGCCTGAGGGAAGTCTGTAGTCTTTTGCTATCGTGCCCTTTTGCTTGTGTTTTTGTTGCCTGACTTCAGCGGAGACCCCAGAAAGGACCCTTGCAACATCTCCTGCTAGTTCCGGACGCTAAAGCATGGCGTGTCAGCAAATGATCCACCAGCCCGTTTCCGTACAAGTGTCAAGCATTGGAATCCGCCACACTGTGGCCCTTCCTGCCCCACTTGGCCTTACTGGCCTGTAATTGGTCAGAAGGCAAAAAGCGGGGCATTACACTAGTATTAATACGGACCCCAGAAGGGTCGCGATGTATCTATTTCTTCCTTAGTACACAACACTCTTTCGCCCACACTAGACCCTATTCAGCCTCCTGCTCCTCACAGTGCATCACGTTATATGACCGCTACGTATAGCCTCCTTTAACCTTCACAACAAGCATGGATCCTCTTGTGTCCCGCCAACCCAACGTCTACAATCTTGTCCTGTTATTTTCCGGAAACTTGCTCATCGCGAGCAACGAAATCCATTCTGCGGGTTTCATGGGTGATTCGACGTCGTGCGTGCTTGATGGCCTTTTCCATTCCGACGATTGCTTTTCTTTTTTTGGTCGCGCTACTAGCTGTCGACGCATCCGTCTTCATCTTTTCTAACATTCAATCTCACCTTTCATTATGCGCGGTTACCAGAGACTGGCAACCCAAAGATGACGGCGCCTGTGTCTCGCTCGAGTCACTCGACGACGATATCCCTCTTCAGGATTGCTTTTCTACCGAAAGCACTCCCACCTCGCCGCCGCCGCCCTTTTACTCGAGCCAAGATGGCCGGAAAGCTTCTGTATGTTCTTTCAAGCAGCCCATCCTTTTTCCTCCGATCCCCGCTGACAAACAGGTCTACCTGCTACTGCCATTCTTTTTTCTCTCCAGCCTCTCATGGGGCATAACCATGGTGCCACGTGTCAACGTGCTGGTCTCGTTGATCTGCCAGCAAATGGTGGACAACGGCACTTTGGGGAGCACACCTATGCCACAACACGAAATGGACATGGGCACCGGATCAGGAAATCAGCCCGGCTCCGACTATTCTTCCGGCTCTCACAACAGCTCATCCCCCGACTCCAATATCTGCTCCGCTCCCCAAGTCCTTGCCGGTGTCGCCTTCCTCTCCACTTACCGCGACCTCATCACCGGCATCCTTGGGGCTGTCATGAGCTTTTATCTTGGTAAGCTCAGCGACCGCATTGGCCGTGTGAAGGTCATGGCTCTCAACGGCCACGGACTTCTCGCCGGCGAGCTCGTCTTCTTTCTGGTTGTTGCTTTTCCGCGCACTATCGACTACCACTGGCTCTTCCTGTCTTTTGCCGTCGACGGCTTGTCAGGCTCCTTTCCGCTTCTCATGGCCAGCACGGCTTCGTACGTGGCCGATACAACGACAGATAACGACCGCATCGTCGCCATGGGCTGGCTGCAGAGCGGCATGTTTCTCGGCATGGCCTTGGGCCCAGCCATCGGCACGGCTCTGAGCCAACTAACGCCCGACCGACCGGCTGCTGTCTTTCTGTGGGCCATCATTTGCCACATTGTCGGGCTGTTGTGTCTGCTGTTGTTGCCTGAGTCGCGGAAGGATGTGCATGACGTTCAGATGGCGCCGATCAATCCCGAGTTTGACGAGCTAGACCACAGCACACACAAACATCACGACCATCATCACCACATGTATCTGAACCACGCCCGAGGTCACAACCATGGTCACCTTGCCCCCTCTCCCGGACAATCGCTCGGTTCTTTTCTCCGGTCTACGCTTTCGCTGGCCGCTGTCGATTCCCTCTTCGATTCCAGCTCTGACCACGCTACCGTCCGCCGACACCGCCGCAACCTCTTTCTCCTACTTGCTGTCACGTCCATCATGTTTGGCTGCTCCGTCGGCAGTATGGACGTGCTGATGATCTACCCACAGGCGCAGTTTCAGTGGAGCATGATGACGACAGGCAACTTTATCTCGATTGTCAATATTTTCCGGACTGTGTCATCGACGCTATTTCTACAGTTATTGATGAAATTCCTTACCAGCAGATTCCGGAGCGCTTTCGCCAAAAAGGCCAGCCTCAACTCTCAGGTTAGTCCACCAGACTCTCAACTAGCAGAGGCTGCCCAGGCTACCCAGCTCCCCCTTCTTCGGCTGGCCCTGTTCTCTGATCTGCTGGGCTTCATTGGCTTTGGTTTGGCGCCCTCAGGTTTTTTGTTCACGGCCGCTGGCGTGTTATCATCGCTCAGTGCATTGAGCGTGTCAGCCACCCAGGCAGCCATGACCATATTGGTGTTGCCGGAGCATGTCGGAAAGCTGATGGGGCACGGTTGGGTCAGTGCAGGCGCTGACTCGGCTGGTAGCACCGCCGGCTGTGAACCTGGTGTACGGATGGACCGTGTCGATGTTGCCGCAGGCTGTATTCTTCGGCTTGGCGGCAGCCACTGGAGCTGGAGTGGTGATGACCTAATTTCTTGAGGATGTAGGGACCTCCCCTTAAAACGGAACAGTTTGAATTGAATAAGGCGGAAAGCTAGCCTGTTTTTTATGCAAATATGGCTTCGTCGAATTTTTGGAGGGTTGGGAGACATTTTTACACCAAAAAATAGCAAAGTGGTCCACCATTAATACATATCCCGTTCTATCTCATTTGGCAACGGCTGCTACCTTCCAATAGATGATTATAGCAACTGTGCGGGTCGTCTTGAAGAAACCCCTGTAAGCGCCAAGATAAAGCGGCCCCCGGGGTTGTTAGCGTCTGACACAACAGCAACACAAGCTGTGGTGGAATCTATTTTCCAGGATGGCCTGCTGCATACAACAGCGCATACTATATACTCCGTACATGTGGTATCTTTTCCTTCTTCGGTCGCGACCTGGCATGCACTGTCAGCACGTATGCATGGCCTGTCGGCTCCGTCAGCGGGTATTTCTTGGCTGCTTTAGTGCATTCTTAGTGGTTGGCTAAGGAAGTGGCCCGTGGTGGAGAACGCGCCAGGCAGCGATCAGTGTGGCCAATCGAGTCACAAACCTCTTGTCGATCCTTGCGGCTCCAGCAAACATATCACGCAGAGACGACCGCGATAGCTTTGTGAGCATGTTTAATGAATAATCCTCGCGGATGCAGACGGGCTGCTTACTAAGCACCGATTGTTTGTCTTTTTTTGAAATCAAACGGCAGAGTAGAAAATAAACAAGTGAAATAGATCCCGGTAATGCAATAGCGTCAAAAAGATGCTTGCCAACTCCTGTTCTTCGCCGTTGCAGGCCCTTTTGTAAAGATGGCAAAGATATTTGTTGCAGGTATATGGCGAGAAAAAATCACAATTATGAAACGCTGTTTTTCTCGTAACCCCTCTTTCTGATTTGCCCCTCTTCTTCAGCCATACCTCGGCGCCATCATGGGATAGGCCATTTCGTGTGCAAGACCTAGTCCACGACTGGGGTGCAGATACACGCCTGGCACAGGTACCAGAGCATATTGCTGGAAAGCGCTATTAGAGTTCATCATGGACGACACCCCACCGGTTTGCATCGCTGCTTATGGAATCTGTCAGTATAGGATTCCCACTGTCACGAAGTAGCTCAAGTCGGCCTTACCTCCCGGCATTGAAAATCCCAGGTGTGGATATGGGGCAGCGGCGTATCCATGATGTGACGTGTGGTGAGGAAACGAAGGTGATTCAAACATGGGAACGCTCGGCACGGTCGGCTGGCTGGTTGTGCAATGGGCTGGAGGTGGAGGCGTGTCAATTGGGGGAGGCGGTGGTGGTAGTGGCTTCTCGCAGGGATGAGCAGTGACCGCCGCCGCCGTCTCCATGACTCCCGTGGCCGTGTCCACCATGACCGCAGTGGCTATGACTGTGGCCATGGTCATGTCCGCCGTGCCCAAACATGGCTGGCCCGTGCCAGTCCCGCATGCCGCCAAACATGCCCATACTCGCTGGCCATGGCTGGCCATGGGCCTGTGCCTGGCTGAGCATGGCTGATGCAAACTTGCCACAGTCACAGCAGCAGCCGTCTGGAGCGAACATGTCCGGCATGCTCATAGTTTGTGACACCTGGGTGTGTGAGGGTTGTTGCTGCGGAGGCGGCGCATAGTTACCGCCCCCCAGAGTCGGTGAAGTAGCCGTGGATGTGATCCTGTCCATGGGGGTCGTGGTGCTGGTCGCTGCAGCCGCACAGAAATAGTCAACGGGCGTGCTGAACATGTCGAGGTTGCCGGTTGCCCCCGTTGTGGCCGCGCTGGACAGGAGAAAAGAGTCGAATGCGGTTGCGTGTGTGGCTGTCGATGACATGACGTCAGCCTGGGCGGCTACAGCAGTCGCTGCCGTCGCGGTGGCAGAAAAGGAAGAATTTGCTTCGGTGTCATGGAAGATGGTATCGACGACCTGTTGCTCAAGGGAGGAGACGTACGCCCTGACGCGATTTCCTGCGGACGGCTGGTGAGAAGAGGTGCACACTGGACGAAGACAGCAGACACGGAAAGCGGTTAAAAACTCACTGTGATTGCGCTGTGCTCGCCGGTTTTGCTGTCGCCGGCGCTCGGTGCGATCGGCCGCATCGGTGTCGTCGTCATCCATGAACTGCCATGTTCCAGACCGTCTTGGAGGAGCAGCGGTGCCGCTGGAAGCCGCCGCGATGGCGGCATCCAAAGGAGTCCATGTGGCAGACACAGTCGTTCCGGTGGCTATTGCAGCGGCCGAGCTGTCTACAACGGTCTGCCCGGGACTCATGGTGATCAACGTGATGACAGTCAACACAAGCAGGGGACGCTCGAGTCTGCGCTGTTGACGCCTTGTCTGTCAATGCAAGATCGAGTACGAAGCTCAACAATATTCCGCTTGGCGAGAAGTACAGAAACCAGCATAAGTAGAAGAGTGAGGACAAGGGGGAGTCTGGCACGATCAGCCCTTCTACTCGTAAAGGTCTGTAGAGGTTTGAAGCTGTCTGGGTTTAGGATCCAGACTGTGCGCACTGCAACAGTGTTTTACGGCATCTTAGTCATTTTCTAGGTGATGCCATTGGCTAGTTGGAGAAAAATCGGTCCGGGATGCTAGGCAGGCAGCTATATTATCGATTTTCTCTCCTGTGAACGACCACCTGTAAATGCGATCGTTGTGGCTAGACCTGTACGCGCTAGGTAATAGCGGATATAGGAGTCTGGGGTTTTTCCGCGGGGGGTGATTAGTTCATTAGAGGGGCAAGCGCTAATAACCACCTACCCACGTATCTGCTAAAAGGAGGTGTCGTAACTTCTCATCGTAGGGAGGGCAGGTAATAATTACAGTAGCCAATCCGGATGGAGAGAAGGGCCATGGGGACTCACTTTAGAATCATAGGAAGGCAAAGTAAGCCCGCCCGTGGGCTTATCTGCTTGTTCTTTTTGGAAGCTGCACGCAAGTGCACTGCGTAAAGAGGTAGATAAATGCTTAAATACTAAGGGCGATGCCCTTCACTTGAGAAGTGCGCTATGTCATCATGTGTCTGTAGGGATGACAGAAGGCAGGAATTGTTGCTTTGATTAATTAAAAAAGTGGAGTTTGCTTGTTACGTGATGCGATTTCCTCGTTTCGTCTCGGTCTCATTATTTTAGTGAGCTCGCCTAGATCATGCGTCTTTTTAAAGTAGAGGAACGCGCCCTTGGCTTTTAGTAAATACCGCCATTAACTATTAAGCGAAAGATTGAAGGCAGGAAAGAGGCTGCTACCCAGGCGAGCTACATCTAGTAAGATACTTTGGCAACGAGAAGAGGGTTGACAATGTCTTTGTTTTTTTACCTTGAAAGGAGTACCCCCGACGAACTTCGACGGATTGTATAGGCTACCGTAACTTCTATATGTGCAAAGCTGTCATTACAACGTCCACGACTTAATTTAGTGTCAAAAAAAAAACTCACTACGTATTGTTTTTATTTTTACCAAGATTATGAAGCCCCCCTTGGCTTTGTAGGTCTCTACTTTTTATTGCACTATTAAATTCATTAACCGCTTCTCACTATTTCCTCGGCCCAGTATGACTCTCGGGGGCTTCTATCACATCAACAAGGGTATGATAGGCTTAGACACTGCACGATAATGGTGGGAGGAAGTACATGGAAGAACGGCGGTGCAGGACCAAATAGCTACTTGAACGAAAAAAAGATAACAGAAAAAGGTTCGTAATGTGCTGCAAAAATGCTGGCATACGACTCAGACAGCCTATTTTCTCTTTGTTGGCTTCCTTTCTCCTCCGGCGATGTCGGTCTAAAGGGAAGGTAGACCAGCGGGCTTTTTTTGATTTTCAGAATTTGCATTTCCAATTACAGCGAACTCTTCATGTAAACCTGAACTCTAGCTGTAATAGAAAACCATGCGAATACCAACCTCTCCAAGTTTCAAAGCCTTATGATCGTACGAGAGATAGTCGATGCCTTTGTCCCTGCCGAAACACAATTGGTCAATTTTGAGAAATCGTCATAGTATCGATAGTTTGAAGTACCTTTAATCAGAAGTTTTCTTTAAACTTTGGCCTCAAGGGAAATCAGCTCATTTGGTACTGCATGTTCCGGGCAAAGCCAAGAAGTATGCCATTTCCCACAACCTGGGGATGGCTGTGCCCACCAGAACCTCCCTCTTCGAATTTGCGACCGAGAGACGTGGTGAACGAAATTCGATCAACAAGTGCTCCAGTATACAGAGTCATCGATGTGATCGTCTCGTTGTCGATGAATGTAAAACTCGGCCTTAATTCCCGTTTTATTCCCCTTGGCCGCTTGTTTTGCCGTTTGACCAATTGCACTCAATGGCTTTGATCACGTCTATGTTACTCCAGGGATTGCTTCCTTTGCCAATCCACACACTGAGAGACTGGAGGGCATTTTCCCCAATGGAGAGTGTGAACTCCTTACCACCCGAGCCTCCGGCTTGGACATTGTCAATGACAGCGTTTGACGTGGTGAGAATCGGACTCATCTTGAGAAGTTGAGATTGAGGGTTTGGGGGAAAGGTCAAGGGTAGCAACTTAAGCTGCAGATATGCCTACGTATGAATCACCTACTATGTATCGTCGATGCAATTAGTTTTGATAGAACTGGTTGCATGTCTGTTTAGGAATCAAATCTCTGGCAATTTTGTAGGATGCCCAAGAAAGATCAAAATATCTATGCAGCCTGTGTCTTGTTGAACGCTGTAATGTGATACGGCTCTACGGGGTACTCGTGCTAGTTTCACTTATATAATATGCACAGCGACAATAACTCTGGTTGTGGATTTTTGTATTACAAATCTAGAGAACTAGCGTTGAAAGCTATACTATAATGTATATCATCTACTGGTACTCCTCCGTACTGCATCACTGTTCGATATTTCCCCGCTCATTATAGCCGCCGTGGCTGCGCGTTCCAGATGCAGGAATGTATCAGTCGCTACGCGAAGCTGAAAGCAAAACATCGGTCACCAGTTCCCAGCTAAAATTATTACTACATGCACCTAAGTTTCCCGTTTTGTTTAGACTACAGTTGGCAGTCGGGGATGACGTGGCGAACGGAGTAGTGTTTTGAGAAACATTTGCTCAAAGTGCGGAAATGATTTGCTGTCTTTCAGCTTGGTCTAGTCTGTGTATACTCCCCGATCGGGGTGGGCCGAAAATCCCGCGATTTTTGGAAGAAAAAGAGGGTATATGGCTAGTGAGTGTATACGTGCTTGAAACCCTACCTTTCAGGCCACAGAACATCCTGCCAACAAAGTAGTCAGTTAAAATGAGGTACAGAGCAGAGATTAGTAGAAGCAAAGTAGCCAAAACTGCATTTTAAAATAAAGAAGAAGAATATATAAAAATAAACATGTTATAGTAAGATAGGATCTACCAATTGTGTATGTTATATAAATAGCCTTGCGTGGAAAATGGGCAAGCATACTATTTGCTTCTTCAGCGGCGAGTTGCTGTCATTTTCTGGTTAGGGCCTTCCTTGGCGACTGCTGTCACCAGCTGAATGTTCAATTCGGCATCTATCTCGGTGTGGACTTGGTTGAAGCCTCTTTATATGAGAGGTCGATAGTTATCTTTAACACCTCAACTCTACCAGCACTTTCTCCAGCCGATCCATTTCTAATCACCTCGTCCATATCACTCTTCAGTTTCGTCACAATGGCAGCAATCTTTATTGCTGGTGTGATACAGTCAGCCGCTTCAGTCGCGCCATCTGTTGCCAGAGTAATACTACCGTTCAACAAATGTGTAACATTAAATTCTATATCATCATATAAGCTTACCGTTGGGGTCAATAGTGATGATGCTACTCTCCAGAACAAGGAATACTGGATGCATTGTACTCCCAAGAACGAAAAATAGCTCAAGACAACTTACAGTGTTGACCACTTTGAGTCCGGCATGTACTATCAAGCACCGGAACCAAACGTCAAGAATTTTTCACCTGAAGCTTTCTCCGTTTGCAGAAAAGTCAGCTTGGCAGGTATGTCACGTGGAAACTCTTGGACCTTCCACCTAGATGAGCACACTGCCTCTGAACTCTCCCTGGTATGACGATTCGTATTCCCCAGCTTGCTTATAACCCCTCCTCCCTCTATCGACAGCGCTTTACCGATCCCGTTATAGGCGCTCGAATTTTGCAAGTGAAGATACAAAGCTGCCGTAGAGAAAGGCCACACAGCAACTTCTCCCGAATACAAAGGGGTGGACGTGCACAAAAACCCCGATCCATTTCTAATAGATGTGATCTTTATTGCTGGACACTGGTTCACATTCACTTTCTAGCAGAGAATTGTAGTATATGTTAAGCTTTGGGGGGCGAAGGAGAGGGGCGCAAATGAGAATTGCCGTATAGGCATGCCTTTTGTATATTGACAGGTTATTAGACATCAGTTCTCCATGCTCGGCCTCAATTTTATATTGAGCACCCAATTTAGCCCAATTGTGAGCAAAATTTCGTCGGATCGTCGTGTTTGTTCTAAAAATGCCGTGCCGTATCGAACTTTCGATGCTAATCTCTGTTGCCTATCGTGTTTGGTCTTCGTGAGATCTTTGGTGGCCTGTATCTTCTAAATTAAGGCCTGCACTAAAGTAAGATGCCACAGACCCAGAATCTGTACTCTGCAGGCTATTTTTGTGCACCATGCACAAAGACATCAATGGGTCTATATTTGGCATAAGAGGGTATGTCTACGGAGTACTTCGTACCAGCCATGGCTTTATAAAGTGGGTCTGTCCACGTTACAGAACCATAAGACCGGGAATCCTGCATGTCGTTTCAAGACAATCTGTATATGCCTCTATTTTCCGTAATTCATACATGTTAGCAGCGGACTATCTTCACGCATCGGGTGTTTCGAGTAAAGGGTTTGAAAATAGTAAGTGGGACATAAAACAAATATGTTGGCTATTTTCGTAAGCAGGGCTGGCTTTTAGATGAGTAAAGGGCTCAAGCTCCAAGAGGCACAAAGCCGAAAACTTGCCGTAAAGCTGAGGTTTTGCGAGGACCGCGTGAAAGGAAAGGGGGGGAATTTGACAAAGCCTGTATTTCGTGTATGTGGTGACGAGTGTGATGTGCGAAAGATTAGGGGAATGAAGACCCCCAGTCTAGGAGGAATTTTTCAAATTCACCTTGTCCGCTTATTTGTGTCCCCAAAGATTAGCGCGAAGTTTTGCTCCAATTCTCGGACCAAGTTAGCACAGGCTCTTGGACGCGTATTTCGACTTCTTAAAACCAACCTTCCTCTCCCCATTGTCTCTTATCGCTTGGTAATATTAATGATTAAGTGATAGAGGCCAAGTATTGTTTCTGTGTACATCAAGAATAATGCACAGAGTACCTGCTGGTAAGGCTAAACGGGTATAACAGACCGCCAGTATGCACAATGATGTGACAATCATTCCCTGCTATTCGGGCTAGAGGAGGGGCATAAACCGTCCCATGGGAGAGGGATAGGAGCCCATTACGACGTAACAACATCCCTTGTTAGGCATGATCCGTGGGTTCGTATTATTACACCTTACAACACCCGTCTTAGTGATCTATAATTTAAAGGGGACGTTGGCTATCTTCTGGCGTCCCCTTTATGCCGTTTGAACTTGCCCTTTCTTTCACCAATGGGAAAAATGAGTTCTAGCACGACGTCCATCTTTGGAGAAGTCCCTGCTGGTGTCGACCTTTCCGATGACTCGGCTTCCAAAGACAAGGAAGCAATTATCACGCTTATTGTTATAGCGGCTGTAGCGGTTGCTCTTCGAATCTATGCACGGTCAATTCAGCGCCAGAGGCCTCACTATGACGACTTGGTCATTACATTATGCCTGGTATGAGCCGGTCGTATTTGTCTCTCCTTTCCTGTTGGCTGGTTTCCAGTTTCCTTGCTGACTGAGACGAACAAAAGATGTTTCTTTGTGGTGCTGGCACTACAGCCATCATTGGCGGCAGGGCCGGTATTGGCCGGCATGGCTGGGCTTTGACGATACAACAGTTGGAAAATTCGTTTAAGTCCGTCTTCGTCTACCTGATGATGTATGGCGGTGCTGTCTCGACGAGCAAAATATCCATCTTGCTCTTCTACCAGCGTGTCTTCACCACCAACGACAGGGGTTTTCCGCATCTCGGTTGCTTTCGGCTACTTTATCTGCATCTCGTACTTTATATCAATGTGCATTGCCACCTCGACAGCATGCAGGCCCTTGTCCCATTTTTGGACACAGTTTGCCGGAACTGCGGGTTCGTGTGTTGATACCAACCTCTTTTTCGATCTCATGGGGATCCTTAACATGGTTAACGACATTTACGTCTTGATTATCCCCATCCCGCAGATTGTGGCGTTGAGGATGTCTTTGAAAAAGAAAATGGCTATTTTGGAAATCATGCTGCTCGGTGTCTTGTGAGTGGCTTTTTCGTATGTTTTGACGTTTATTTGATCCGAGTTTGTTAACGATCCTGCAGTGTATGTGCTGCCAGCTGTGTGCGCATCTACTACTTGGCGAAGCTTGTCAAGACTGTCGACACCACCGGGGCATTAGGACCGCTGTTCATATGGTTCGTCGTGGAACCAGCCATGGCTATCGTCTCCGCATCTCTCCCACATTTATTACCTCTCCGCCAGGTTGTCAGCATGAAACTGGGAGGTCATTCCAGCTCTGGAAAAAGCAGTGCCGACTGGTGTGAACACAAGAGACTGGCAGGGGGCTGTCGGCGCGAGCAGTGCCTTGTACACATATGGCGGATCGCGGTTCAATGCTGGCAGGGACAAAGTGGTCAAGGCCGAAGACGAGATCGAGTTGACCACGCGTGTGGAAGCGGACGCCGGAAAGGTGTCGACGCACTGTTCGAATTCAGGCGACGACATTAGCACAAGGAATGTCACCAGCAGCCGATGCCAGATTGCTGTCAAATCCTCGATTGTGCAAGAGTCGGTCGAGCTCAAATGAAGACACACAAGTGGGCGTATGCAGCACCTGAACCGTCAGACCCCTTATCATACAGTGATACGTTGGGCGGCTGGCGTGCGACTTGAACGTCACCAACAACCAATGTACTTAGACTATCACAGTATCGCTGTTGCCGATCAATACAAGTTGCCCTCGGCTCCGAGTCATTCCGCTCTAAATCCGGCGTCCTTGTACTCCATAGGTGCGGCACAGAGGTGGATGCTTTCCTTGTAACAGGGGCAATGTTACGAACCCGGCAGTCCGAAGTATCAGTCCACGACTCTTAAGGCACGGGAGTTTATACTTTGTATGCTCAAACCACAGTTGTATTACGGAGTGCGGTCTGGATTGGCTCTACGGCGCATAGCCTTTTTAGAAAATGCTTTAGAGAAGGACCTCAGCGGTTCATTCTTGAGGTGCAAATTCGCAGAGGCACGGGAAAATAAAGAAGGATAACTAGGCAGTTACTCGACTGCATCACTAGCCAGCCCGGCATATGATTTGGGCCTAGATATGAGTGATCTACCGGGTCGGGGAACATACCCGGATGCCGAGATACAGGAACCCACAGTACCGAAACTCGTTCAAACTAAGAAACTATCGACATGCCAAGATTCGTATCGCAGAGGTGGACGAGGTAAGGATCTTTCCCGTCTGAATGAAACGTTGCTATTGGACTTTTCGCTTTCTGGTAAAGATTTCCTGTCTTCGCATGCATGTATTTGGAACCCAGATAATCTCTACCACGCTGACATACACCAGTGTACGTATCGCAATCAAAGCCAGTGGTGGCAGTTGAGGTGCAGGCAGGATGGAGCTTACATAGCCGCCAATATTTCACCTACCTCGACTCGGTTTACAATCCACTTCGTATCGAGAGGAAGCTATCGTTACACTGTTTCTGGTGTGTGTTTTCAGACTGCCAGAATGCCACCAACGAAGACAGCTTCACACCGACGATACGTTTTGGACATACGCGTACTCGTATTAGTATTTAATGATGATGTCGTTCCTTGGGACACAAACGATATATTGCTCCTGTATCTCTATCCTCGTGGCATTTCAGTGCCTTTGCAACTATTATTCACCTGTCCCTACCCCCAATCATTGCCTACCATTTCAAGATTTTCCTGTCTCCAAAATGGGCTCTCTCGAAAAGACTGCTATGGACCTGACGGGCATTGAGCGTGCCGGGCCCAAAACTTACATCCGTCAAATTTTCCCCTTGAAGCTGGACGAGAATTATGATATTGAAAAGGTGACTCGCGTGCTTCAGGGGGGACATGAGGCTGCATGCAGACGGATTTTTTTCCATGGGTTGCGAGGCGGTACCAGACCCAGAAGGAAAACAGTCCGGGCTGCTTAAGATGCAGAGGCTTCCCAGAGGATCGGATTGGACTAGTGACCGTTAAGGATCTGAGGGCTCCGCATGCGTTCCCCTTTACGTTTGACCAGATCAGAGCGCGAAAGTTTAGTCTCTCCTGCTTCGACGATGCTGTGTTGTTGAACAAGAGCATCTGGCCTTCGGTCACAAACGAGATGCCGGCCACGTCGCTGCAAATCAACTACATCCGGGGTGGTGTCCTTCTAGGCTGGTGCACATTGCACATGATTGGAGATGCGTTTACCTACTTCGTGTGGGCCAAGGTCTGGGCAGAGGAGTGTCGCCGGATGCAAGGCATTGAGATTTCGGACCCGTTTGTGCTGGACGATGCCATGGTCACCGACCGGGAGATAATCATGAAAGCCACTGGCCGCCACAACGGCAAAGCGATTGAGCCCTACCTAGGCATTTTCGTCGTTCCTGTCGCACCAACAAGCGTTCCGGCCGGCATGTTGAGCCCGACTCACCGTGCCCAGATCTTCTACTTCTCGCCCGAGTCTCTGGCCGCCCTCAAGGCCGATGCCAATGATGCATTTGCCGCCCTTAACTGGCGAGCCACAATGTCGGTCCAGGCACCCGTGGAGAGTCTCAAAGACGGCGAAGAGGAGGACTCCATTTACGCCATTGCGGTGAATCTCCGCGCGCGCTCACAGCCTCTTGCCCACCCCCATGCGCTCGGCTGCTGGCTCGGATACCTGGCCGTGCGAGCCCCTATTCGCAAACTCTTGACTGTCTACAACCTTGCCGACATTGCTGGACTGGTGCGCAATCGGATGGAGGACCTGGACAATAATTACGCAGACAAGATGCTGTCGATTATCGACAACCTCGACGACGTCAACAGGTTTGTTCCCACTGTTTTCTTCAATATGATGAGCACAAGCATTCTGGCGACCTCATGGGCCGACAGTGATCTGTACAACGTCGTTTGGGGGCCCATGTTTGGTGGTAAGATAGAGGCCGTGCGCATGAGCAACAGCGGCATCAGCCCCGGCACAGTTCTCGTTCTTCCAAGATTGCCTAAATGGAGGGCTGGAACTTATGGTGGGGACAGAAGCCGTATTGCTGCCCAAACTCTGCGCCGATCCTGTCTTTATGAAGTATGCTGAAGCGAGGTGAAAGCGAACGCGGCAAGTTCAAGGGGGAAGAGAGTAGTGCCGCTTTATTCCAGTGCGAGTGATTTACATGCACATGTTCCGATCAAAAAATCGAATAATTCTGTGCTTTGCTTCTTTTTTGCCGTGTCAAGGTTTTTTACTTGCAATCCGGTCTCTCTCAACCTTGGTAAGGTGTAAATGCAACCCACTCAGATCACTCCGTAGACTATTGTAATCCACTTGGTGTAAGTAACTATGGAATTCAAAGCTACTTGAGACGCCTATTCGGGCTGTCCCGTTATTGGAATACCGTGTACGGAGTACTTATTCCACAATACTCGTACATTAAAGAGTACAGAGTATATGCGGGAAACCCTTTCCGGATCCGAGCGCCTTGCAGTGCCCTACGGATATCTGCACTCGTACGATATTATTTGGCCTACTGCCTATTACGGGATAGTAACGGGATAGATAGCTATAGTTAGTGAGTCATGTATTAGGATGACGGTATCGGATGAACAACTATGTAAGTAGGATGTGCACCTTAACGGATCTAACCGCTTGCAAAACCCCTTGGGGCCATTTGTCGTTGTAGTCAAAAGTTGGAAAAGCTGCCTAATATAGACTAGTAACGGATGAGACAATGGTGGTTAAGCACCTGCGACAGAACGCGGCATTGATCGTGAATTTTCTTCAAGGGTTCTTGCTTCGGGTTTTCCCGCGAGTACGGAGTAAGGAGAATTGATTCCGTCCAATTGGCCTTACATTTTTTGCACCAATAGGAAGTTTACTAAATCAAGCGGTTTCCGGCAGGAAGAAGACACATCACATGACTAGCAGTCAGATAATGCAGACTCAATGCTATCCCAGGGCTATGCAAACACTCGCTATGGAGATATGTACGAAGTATTATATCAGCTTGACTCTACAACGTACGTCCTTGATTAAATATCTGATAACTACTGCTCTGGGTGATGACGGATCTCGTGATTAGTAAGCAAGCGTCTACAAAGACATTAACTCGGCAAAACCAAAGTAGAGGGAGGTCTCGTCAAGATGAAACCCCGATTACATGCTCTCAATTTGCCTGTCTCCAAAAACATAATGGATCAATAAGTCTATCTTTCCGCAGGAACTAGCAGGAAGTGTCGGGATTCCCAAACAAGACCTACACAAAGGACTATCACGTGCACATTAATAGCATTATTCAACAAAACTCGATGGCAAAATTCCATTGTATTATAAACCTCTATAGATCATTTCTGATTAATTACGCGGCGCATATTGTAGGCGATAGAAATGTAAAGCAGGGGCACAGAAAGCCCCAGTCTTCCTCTGCTGCACAGGGTCTCTATTTAACCGAGCAGCGCAGTGACGGGCAGCATTCCCGGGTAGAAGGACGTGGGGATGGGCGGGAATGTCGATGGACTTGGTGAGGCCCAAGCCAGCAGTCAGCTTCGCCGGGCATAGTGGTGACGGCATAGCCGGTGGCGGTGGTGACAGTGGCGGTGCTGGCGTAGGCGGCGTGGGCGCCGTCCTTCTTGATGCAGCCACCGGAGCCGTAGACGTTCTCGCAGAGGTACTTCTCGGACGAACCGGCCTCGGTCCAGACGTTGAAGTTGGTCACGTCGATCTCGGTGCACGGCACAGCAGACTGGCAGACGAGACGCATGGGCGGGCGGTTGGCGCCGTTGGAGCAGGTGCCGTGCCAGTCGGCAAAGGTCAGGTTGTTGTACTCGACACCGTCGCCGGCAGCCTTGGACATGCTGCTCCAGGCGGTGTCGAGGTCGAGGGTGTAGGCGTTACTGTGGCCCATGAAGTTGTTGAACTGGGCGTTGTACAGCTCGCCGCTGCCGCCGTTGCTCTTGATCATCATCATCTGGTTGCAGTTCTGCGAGTAGACGTGGTTGTACACGATGTCGTGGATGTCGGTGCTGGCACCAAGCGAGCCGATGGCACAGCCGCCCGACCAGTTGCAGAAGACGCGCTCGACCAGGATGTTGCTGGCCGGGCTCTTGACCGTCACGCACTCGTCCTTGTTCGTGACCTCGACGTCGTGGACCCAGATGTTGGTGCCCCAGATATCGATGCCGTCGAGGCCGCCCTTGTTGCCGCCGCGGACGACGACGTTGTAGACCTCGCCGTTGGTGCACGTGTCTATGGTCATGTGAAAGGCCGGCGAGTCGACCAGGACGATGTCGTGGATGCTGAAGTCGGTGACCTTGTTGAGCCGGATCAGCCGGGGGCCGTACTCGCCCTGCTCGTGGAACTGGTAGCCGTAGCCCTGGATAGCGCCCTTGGAGTTGGCGCTGTAGAACTCAAAGTCGGTCGTGTGCTCGATGAAGAACAGGTTGCCGCCACCCGTGCCGGCCGTCATGCGGTAGATCTGGCCCTCCAGGTTGATCGACACGCCCGAGCCACCGTTGAGCGTCAGCCACGAGCTCAGGCCGTAGCTGCCCGCCGGGATGTACACCTCGCCACCCGTCTTGCAGGCCGCCCACGCGCTCGCAATGGCCGCGCTGTTGTCCGTCGTCGCCGACGCCACGCCGCCGTAGCTCATGATGTTGCACACCTTGGTGGCTGCCTTGGCTGCCCGCGACGTCGTCGGCCCAACGGTGCCGCTCAGCTGTGCCGCCACAAATGGCTGCACTGCTGCGAGCAACCAGCCCCGAGGCTCCTGGATGATGGAAGGCATGGTCAGGGAAGTATAATAACGAGTGTAAAATGTATGTGTTGGGGAAAACGAGTGTGAGAGCAGACGTCTGAGGCTGGATCGGCGTCGAGACTTGTCCTTGGCCTTCTTCTTCTTCATCTGATCGCTGCGGGAGCGGTCGTGCTTTTATGCATCGACAAGCCCAGACTTCGTCCCATCTGTGCCGATGGGCTTGCCATACGGAGTGCGTGCGAACTCACGCGAGATGGCCAGCTCCCTCGGTTACGAGCATATGGAGCCATCGGTGTTTCATCATCGGGAGATCAGGGGGATATTTCCCTGGTGGAGATTTATTTTCCTTCGTCAAACAGTCTATTCCGTATGCGTCGGCATTCAAACGCGATGACATGCCTCGTGTCCGCCTTCTGACCTCATTTCGGTACCCGTTCTCCGCACCTCATCTCGCCTCGTCTAGCGGCTAGTCGACAATCCACCACCATTCTGACCGCAAATCCGGCTCATTCCACAAATGCACAGGGCGCCCGATGCCTGCATGTGCCCACAGCGGGGTGGGCGGCCTCATCGGCGGTGCTGCACAGACGGCCTCTTGTCTTGATCCTCGCCGGCATTGCCTTTTTTTCGCCGATGCAGGCTGTCTCTTGGGGTAGGAAATGAAAGGGCAGACCTTAGCTAGAACGGGTTTCTAGAATGAGATCTGATACAGCTGTAAAGGCGCAAACCCCCCACGATATGGATAAAGTACGAGTAAGTTGTCCTACTTAGGGAGGTAGTGGTTGTGCCACCCACGTGAGTACAACAGTGTGCATGTCGACTGCATCGCAAAAACCCAGGCGCAGTGGTACCTTGTGCTATAGCCAGATACAGTGCGTAGTGTGTAAATAACTGTGTACAGTACACTGTGAAGCTATATGTACGCGTATTCCACTCCGTACGGATTATCGTCAGCCACTAATGACCCTGGTTTCTCAACGGTTTTATGTATCTTACGTCGTACAACCCGCTCGGAGGAAAACCCGTTATTTCAGACCCCCCTTCGCTTACTGAGTACTCTACAACCTTGTCTCCATCAGATCCACCACGGTTGCGAAAAGCAAGAGGCAGATACTGACCGCCACACGCAAATGGGCAAAAGGAGAGAAAGGCAGATGCAAACGTGTCGTAAGATAAGATACGTGTCGGGATTCGGTGTTTTAGCACTCCTCAAACTCCTTGGTGTTGTGAGCGACCATATGACATAGACTCCAAGAGCGCAGAAGACGAACTTGCATCGGTGCTGACAAAGCAAAGACGTACACGCTGTAGCAGGTAAGAGAATTGATGCTGTTACCTTTCCCGGAGATAGTGGACGCAGACGATGGCTATGTTCGCCAAAATACCGCGGGTGATGAAGCAGATGGCAGGTGGCAGCCGACCAAACTGCACAAAGAAAGTAAGCTTATGACCTTCCAGGACCTGACCATTCATCTCTGAAAGGAAGAAACAAGGATTGCTCCGTAAGCCAACTCGTCTTTCTGCCGAAGCAGCTCAGCCCGATTTGGGAACTTCTGCAGAACCATGCGGAGAATTGGGCAACATTTGCACGTTTGGGGAAAGACCCCGCAGACCTAAGCCCCGACCGGCAGAGTCAAGTGTGTGCTGTGCGCCACATGACCCGCTTATTATGACTAATCTTGGGCGGGGTGCAGGGGTTTCGGCAGATCTTGGCGATGCACTTCGGAAAAGCGTGCCGGCAAATCTACAGCGTGGAGAGCTCTGTTGTCTTTTTCTACTCTGGCCCTTCATACTCCGTAATCGTCTTTCCCATCGTGCCAATGGTCCTGTCAGACTGGCATTCTGTCTGCACATGCAGTTTGCTACCTAATCGGCCCTTTCTCTCTCGCCAAGCCCCCGGACCTTTGTGCCTTCGTTTTCCGTGTCTTGGGGACAGTCGTGCCATTTCTCTCGTATATATAAAGAGCGATTCCGGTCTCCTCTAGCAAGGTGACTCTCTGTTTCTTCGTATAACACGAATACGGAGAATTTCCGTACGATACACCTTTCTGTACATCACTCAAGTGGAGCCGCGGGATTTTAAGACGTCCCGTTTTCCGAGTGCTGCCTGACACCTGACCCCAACACCTCTGTTCATCTTGCCACGATGTCATCTCCGGTTGCTGCTACTCCCCTCGCCCAGCTGCCCTCAGGGGACTCTCCAGGCGTGCTCCAGACGGTTGTTGGCATAGAGTCACCCGTAGCGGCCGATCTGTAAGTTTTCCGGGGTATACCCTACGGCCCCTTATCTTCACGATGTGACCAATCGCTGATTCGGACCCGTTTGCCAAGGGGACATATTTTGATGCCACAAATCACGGGTATGTGTACTGCCTCCTCGCTTCTCGTCCGGTTCTTTCCCTAACTCGCCAGGCCGAAATGTCCGCAGCCGTCGGCCGGCAACACGTCGCGCGTCTTCCAGACCTACCTGCCCTATCCCGAATTGGCCGAGGCCAAGTTCGACTGCCTGCGTCTGACCATCGTCCGACCCAGCCCAGCGGCTCTTGCTCGCCATGGTATTGCCCCGGCCGAAGCTTCCCGGTTACCGGTCCTCGTCTGGATCCACGGCGGTGGCCTATCCATGGGCGCCTCGTCTGATCCCATGTGGGATACTTCTCGGCTCGTGTTGCGCGCTCTGAAAATTGGCAGCCCCATCATGGTCGTCTCAATCAACTACCGGCTTAACTTATTCGGCTTTGCGGCCTCCCGTGACCTCCTCGTGGCCCAGCAGCAGCAACAGCCTCCTGTCACCACCGCTGGCCTCAACTTTGGTCTCCGTGACCAGAAACTCGGTCTCGCCTGGATCAGCCGCAACATCGCTGCTTTTGGCGGCGATCCCGACCGCATCTCTATCAGTGGCCAGTCCGCAGGCTCCGTCTCCGTTCATTCCCACCTCCTCGAGGCCACCGCCGCCGCCGCTGCTGGCCGGAAGACACTCTTCCGCCGCGCCATCATGCTATCCGGTGCTCTCAGCACTCTCGGCCCCATCCCCTTGGAGCTTGCCGAAGCCCCCTGGAAGCGCATCTGCGACTTGACCCTCGCACCGTCCTCCTCGCCGGCCGATCGCGTGCGGCACCTCCGCCAGCTGCCCGCATCCACCCTGCTCGAGATTACCGCTACCAACCATATCCAGGGTATTCCCATCGTAGAGGACGACATCACCGTCTTCCTCGGCCCCTCGGGATCGTCCGATCAGCCTGACATGGACCTTGGCCCTGTCGATCTGCGGCATGCTCCTCGACAGGCCGCGCAAAAGGGAGTCGATGTGCTTATCGGCTTCACAGACGTCGAGGTGAGCCGTCCCCCTTGCCACATTCTCCCGTTCACACAACTTATTGACAATATTTCCTAGGCTCTCATCTTTATGGGAGGATTGCCGCCTTTTGCCCAGATCCTGTCCAAGTTCGAGGCCGTCTACAGCGACCGCAACCATTGTGCCGAGGTTATGAAGGCCTATGGCCTGGTGGCTTCTGCAACGAGCGCTGAGCTGCAACAAGGCCTTCTCACCCTCTTAAGCGATGCCATGTTTGAAGTTCCAGTACACCTTGCCCGCAAAAACCTCCAGAAAAAGAGCGGTGGTCCGGCTGTCGGCCAGGTCCAGTCCTTCTTGACTGCTGTTGGCAACCCATTTCCTGGGCCGATTGAGGGTTTCGCCCGCCACTGCGTCGAGCTCATCTACCTGTTTGAGACCTGTCACACGACCCTAGTCGAGGCTGACCGTGGCATCCGGCGGCCATATACCAAGCCTGGACAAGAGAACGCCGCATTGCCGCAGCAAGACCCCACCATGAGCAACGGCGAACCGTACAAGCGCTCCAATATAGAGCTGTGCCATGAGTTCCAGGACCACATCATTTGCTACGTCACCGCCGACGACTGGAAACCGGCCTGCAGCCCGGACTTCATCATGGTCTATGGCAAGGACCGCAGCACAGAGGTCCAGAGCTTCACGGACGATCCAGCCTGGAAGCAGCGAGTCCAGCGATGGGAGCTCTTGGCGGAACGTGTCGGCTCCATGATGCAGCTGGCCGAGGAGGTCCGCGGTCTGTCTGTTTCTGTTGAGAGATAGAGACGCAATAGGTCGTAGACAGATAAATGCACAACTGTGGTCAGGCACCTGAAACCGCTAAACTTGTCAGATATCGTTATTGTTTAGAAGTATTCGCTAGCTATCCAAATTATGGCATATATGGTTCTGACAGAAAAGACGACTTTTACTCTTTCCTTCAGTAAGGTTTGATTCAATTGTTCAAATGCCAGATAGAACTTTCACCCAATCTCCAATGATCTAGGTAAAGCTCGTGGGAACCCCCATGCAACAGAAACGCCATCACATAAAAGGTGCAGCCTGTTCTGATGCAGGACTATTCGAGTTGGTTAAACGGGTAAATCGGCCGATCGACATAGGGGATCCGACACGTAATATGTCTCGCTGCCTCTCCAGATAGAACCGCAAGACATGGTCCCACTCTTGCTCCAAGCTGTGGATTTGTTGGTCTTGGCCTAGTCCATCTATCTTACATTTTTGCTTGGTATTGAAATAGGCGCATGCAGAGTCCGGTTTTAAATGTTGTACTGGCTTACTCTACTCTCCTTTTTTTACTTGTGTCTCCCGAAGGAGAAGTTTTTTTACTCCATATACTGCCCCTCCCAGTATATTCCCTTAAACTGTTTCTATTAGTACCCAACTTTGGCTAATATTTGGGTCAAGTTGTTCGGCCTCCGAAAGGAAGGTGCAAGGAAGATGGTTAGTCATGACGGAAGAAGGGGTATTGTGACCCCTCCTTCGTCCTCTCTCTCTGACCTACCGAATATAAGCTTATTTACTTGATCTTCGAGATCTTTGTCTTTTCAGCTTCATCATCCGGGCGGTGTGAGTGGAGTCTAGCAACGTCTAGGAGATTTTGGCTGAGATTAAAAATCTTGGCTTAGTGAAGAAATCTGGCAGTTCCGCTTGTGTACAAAAACTCAGACGAGAAAAGGATACGCTTCGCCACCAAAATTGGTCGTTAAGATTAGCTTTGCTGTGACAAAATATATGTTGATAGTAGCAGCTTAGTCAGATGCTGCAGCCGTCTTTGCGCAGATATACAGTCTGGGTGGTTGGTACAGCGGTAACCTAGAATTGGCAATACAATACTCCGTAAAGCTGAAAGATTGCGGAAAGCACTGTGATAGATTGGAATTATAGAAGACTTTGCAATGTTTCTGTTTACAGAAGTACTGCGATCCGACGAATTAGAATCTGAGAGGATGAAATATTGTCGTACAAGCCAGACTACTAGGCTGGATGTAATAATAATTGTTTTGTCCTGTTTTTGCCTTGAAAACGCCACTACATTTGGAGTCCTACAGTACATACGACGAAGGAAAGGGCTACAAACATCACAGGCAGATTTAGACAGTATTATATCGTTTCTTACCCAGTGCCTTCAGTTTCGCCAACTCCTCTTCTTCTCTTCCTCGTCTAAGTCGCATACCGTCTCGCAACGATTATATACCTCTTATATTTTCGGCTTCTCGGTGCACGGCGTCGAGAACGACAGCGAATCGGGAAAGGCAACAGTGTAGGCACTGGAACGCTGCCTATTCGTAGGAACTTGTGCTGCCGCCGCCATGTGCAAGGAGGAAGGGCTTGCGATTCTGGCCAGGAACGTCGTTGCGTCTAATAGAGTGAGATTCGTTACGAACGCGGCCAACAGGGGGGTGTGGGCGATATGACCTGGACCAGACGACCCGGAGGACATGAAGTTCCTTACCGGAAAGAGAACTGCCTTTGGCGCAGGAGCATGGGGACGCTTGTTTCCCGATGTGCCAGTACAGCTGGAGTTTGTTATTGGTCAGCATCACTGGAATATATTGGTAAGTTGATCGCTAACCCTGTCCACGGGAATAGACTACTGTAACTCAGATATAGAAAGGAGATTCTGCCAAGAAGGTACTATGTAGCCGAGTACATTGCGAAAGCCCTCTGTTAGCACTATGAGTTTCTAGCAGCTTATGTCTACTATTTCTACTTTTAAAAACCTAGGAACACTAGTTCTCTCGCCAGGCAATCCTGTTACACTTTACAGTCTGTAGAGGGTATTTACTTGTTTTGTTTTATCCCTTATCTAGTTTCAATATTTATTTTCATAAATTTATCTAAACCTACCGCTCTCAGCTCTAAAGGCCCAGAACAAAATCATAAATAAAATCCTCCAAAGGAAATCATGAGAAACACAGTTAGTAAGGAAAAGTAGTTACATGTTTACTTATGTAATAAAGCATATACCAACACATACCAGTAATCAATAACGTTCAGCTTATTCAAACGGGCAGCTCAAAAGTATAAAAATCCGCTTTTATTTAATATACCCCTTTTATTTAACAAGTTATTAGAAGTTACAGTAAGCCACAAGTTTAGATACTAGTTATGAAGAACAAAGGAGAGGGGATGTCCTAAGGTCGATGCTTTGCCTGAAATGAAGTAACTCCCAATTATCATATCAATGGAAAATAGCGGTCCAAAACCCCAAAATCAACTCCATTTATCATGCACTCTTGAGTCAACTGTCGGCGCTGGTGTACTTGTTATTGTTATTGCCAGTCGTCGGCTCATCTGCCGGTACGTCATCCAGCGTGCGGACTGTTTCGTTGGCATCTCCAGCAGAGGGTGGGATGTTTTCTTCCAGGGATTTCGGCTGTTTGACATGTCCTAAAGGTTGCTCTTTCTCGACGGCGCCTTTTCTCTCCTCAGAACCTCGTGGAGGACCCTTGCTCTTAACACTATGCCACTCCATAGCCAGACCGCCCGGAATAGCAATACAGGCCATTATCAGAGCGACTTGGTAGATAATACGCAACGAATCATTGTACTCTTGAAGTGCTAGTTGGCGGTATTGGCTTGGAATAGTGTCGAGGATATCAGTGACTCCAGTGCTTGTATCTTGATCTGGGGTTAAACCCAAGAATATTAGACAACCGTTTTCTCAGCTGGTTGGAGAGCACATTTTGCCCAACCGAAACGAATACGGCACCGAAGAGCGTCTGTCTAAAAGCTCGGAACGATGGTACAATTAGCCATCACACAGTGGCTAGGAAGGTGGAGGGGAAAAGATAGCTTTACTCACCCAAAGAACATCAGTGACGCACCAATCGCGATGTTTTTTTTTTTTCAACCACCGTCGTGGGCAGCCATGGTTGGGAGCCTGAGAGGCACAGCCGAGACCAAAGCCGTACATAATCTGGTATCCGACCCACCTGCCCTCGGAGCTTCCAACTCTTAGTGTAGTGATCAGACCTGCACCGATAGCACTGATGCTGAGACCCAGTATAAAACGACGGCGTGTAATATCCGATGCGAGATATAATCTGGCCATTTATGATTGACGTTCCGGCGATGACCAGTACCATAGGCAGGAGGTCCACGCCGCTTTGGACAGCAGATTTGCCCTTAATCGCTTGGAACCAGATGGGGAGATAGTACACTTGAGGCGTCAGGTATCAGCTGATGGCACGCAGTTTTGTTAAAATGACGTAACCCGGATACTCACAAAAAAAGGGTCTGATGTGCGCCAACACACATACTGGCCCAAAAAGCCAGACGCGATACTGCGTTGGATGAAGATATTGGGCGGCAAAGATGGCTTGATCTGGAAGCCAGACTTGGACCAAGGCAAAGGCTATCAAGAGCACAAACGCAACAACAAATAGGGCAATCACGCGGCCATTGCTCCACTAAGCCAGTCTGTCAGCCTTAAGGAACATTTAACAGTGCGAGTCTGAGATTCTCAGATACTTACTGCGTAGGTAGTGCCGCCGTACTGGAGAGCAAGACACAGGCATACAATCCCTGGAACGAGACAAATGAAACCCAGTAAATTCCCCTGTCGCACCTTTTCTCTGAGAGACCACTTTTGACTAGATTGGCTGGGATCCGTGAGGAAGAAGAATATTAGGATCATGACCATGCCTCCGATAGGAACTGTAATAAAGGTATGTGTCAGTTGCAGTTTGCTTCTGCTTTACTTGGGGGTGCAACTTACGGTTGATGTAGAAGCACCATCTCCAGCTGACATGTGTGGTGAAAGCACCGCCCACGGTAGGACCAAGAACGGACGCAATTCCAAATACGGCCCCAAAAAAGCCCTGGTATTTCGGCCTCTTCTGCAAGGGAACAACATGGACGATGATCGATATCTGTTTGGGGTGACCGCAGTTAGTCGTCGGGCCGAGTTATAAATGACCGTTGATCAGTGAGAACCATGAACCTACAACACCAGGAAGGACTCCTCCAGCACCAAGACCGGCGATGACTCGTCCGAAAATAAACGCGATCGAGTTTGGAGCTGCTCCGCAGATGGCAGAGCCGACCTCAAACAGCAGCAGGGACGAAAGGAAGGTATTTTTGATCGAGAGGAACTTGTACAGTTTCCCAAACACGAGCTGTAAGGCACAGTTGGTGAGCAAGTAGGCTGTTCCATACCAGCCAATATCGTTTTTGGACTGGAAGGTGTCGGTGATCTGAGGAATGGCAGTTGAGATGATGAGCTTATCCTGTCGACCGCCGTGGTTAGTCCAGAGCTCTTGTATCTAAAGATTGCAGAAGGCTTTCCATTTACAAGAGACACCAAGAACATACCCGCGAATGCTGAGACTATGAGCACCCAAAACTTGAGGCGTTGGGGCTGAGCAGTCTCGGCATCTTCACGCTTGGCGGCTCCGTCTGAGCTTGGCATTTTATCCGCTTTGTTAGGTCGGCGAGCGATGGGCCGACAATGTTAAAAGATAAGTCTGATGGGAGCAGACAAAATGAGCAGCTGACTGCTTGGCTTATATGTATTAGGCTGTTGCAGATAGCAGATTCTGGGTGCCCTTCAAAGAAGCAAACGCCCCGATAGGGTCGGGATGAAATCGAAGGCTAAGAGTAATTGCTAGCTAATAACGACCCGAACCCATTAGACAGCCTAGTTGACCGTTAATAGTAGATCTCTAACAGATGTTTATGTTTCTAATGTCGCGTTGGTTTGTGTTAAGATAAAAGTGGTCCACTTTAGTTACGTACTATGTACGGAGTACGAAGTACGGGGGAATTAATAGAGTGGCGGGCCCCGAATTATAGAATGGCAGGCCCGAATTATAAAAATGACGGGCCCGAATTATTTTTATTGAGGGTTAGACCGTGGCGGTGTCGTCGTCCTTGGTGCACTCGATGTCTCTATAAAAAACCTTTGTCGCAGGCACCAGGTCTGCAAAAAGCGAGAGCTCTAGGCCGAATGCTAAATTAGAGCAAGACAGTTTATACTCAACGTTGTTGAAGTTGTCGGGGTCTAGTTCCTATAACATGCCATAATTCTCCCGTAACTTTGATAGTAGTGCTTCGTTAGTATAGGCCTAACAGAGTGACCACGTCCTTTGCAAAATTGTAATAAGAGTCTTCTAGGCCAAAGCAAGGAACTGTGCAGAGGAAACAGCCGAGTCTCTGGATCCTGCTGGCAGTAAGAATGCCTTCTATGCCCGAGAGCTGCAGCTCTCTATCTACGTCTTTGTCTAGCGATAGTCTGGGTTTCCTTTGTGTGTGTGTTAGGGTATTGGGGGAGAGAAAAATAGGAAAGGAAAGAGGAAGACGTACTCTTGGTCAACCTCTGGTAGAAAAAGGTTCTCCTATAATCGACGCTCCTGCAGTGCGTATACACTAATGCAGACGGTCACGAGGAGACCCTTTCAGTCAAATACTAAGAGTGATTTTAAGACATCTGCTGCCGAGGATAGTTAAGGAAAAGGCATAGTGGAGGCGTGTCACTCCTGGACTGAAAGAAGCGGAGGGAAGGAGCGGAATATCTACTATGAGGTACGGAGTAAGACACAGAACAGTGCTGAAGTATAGAGTGGGCCAACCAAAATACATACTACTTGTACATTGTATTTTGACCCGACGCCGTCAAACACGAGCGAGGCTTCAGATTTTGAGTTAACCAGCGAGCCCCAGTAGGTAATATTAAATATTTCGAAGCCGTGGGTGGCGAGATCGATACTATTGGGTTGCTAGCATTACGGGATGTGATGGTCTTTTTGTAGCCGAGATCCTTTGGCAGCCCCCTCTTATGCTTCCTCTCAAACTTCTCGCCAATCGACACGTCGCCGGACACGAGATAATTGAGTTCCTTTCCCTTGCCTGTTAGGACGAGTGCTTTGTAAAAATGGTCTACCTGCGTCTGGCTCTGCCCTATCTGCCGGGTGTCGACTACCCCTACTACCTGACCCCTGCAGTGCTTTGAAATTATCGACATACGCGGCATCAGCGGCGCAGAAACCTCTCCCATAATCATCCTCGAGACGCCCGATTAGGCCGATGCATCACGCTATACTAACGGGGATTCGGCCAACACCACCAGCTCCAGCTATGCCAGTGTGGATGTGAATGATACCTCGCCCCTTTGCGTGTTCCTAACGGTTGTTTTATTTTACCAACTTGCGGAGACTTGACCGTAGTTTACCAGAGTAACACTGTTACACAGGCGAGCAACTAGATACCAATTACTGAATACGTCGAATAACGCATCATGTGGTCCCAGCCTACCATGAGTCATCGCGACCCAGCAAGACACAGCGGACATCTCCAAGACATTAAAGGACACAAAGTTATGGCAAAGAATGCGACCAACAACCAGAGTGCCAGATGGACCGTACAACAAGTGTAGTCCCTGAAGAGACAACACTTCTCGAGACGTACTCCGTATATCGTCCTTTTGGCTACTTCGTACTCCGTAGTTTCATTTGGGCCAGTACACTCAATACAGGGCTGTGATCCCTGAGTCCAAAGGTTCTCTCACCTCAGAACCAGCCCCACGGTTGCACTCCGGGAGGGATGATTCGTAATCGATGCCGGTGCCCTGATGATCATGATCGACAGGGAGATTACAGAGTATGTGGGCCAAAATTTTGATGTACGGAATGAGAGCAATTTTCAACATGGAGTGCGTTTCTGTGTCGAAAGTAAAGGTGGATCAAGCTCAGACCGCAGCACTCGCGCGATTCTCCATATTTACCCCCAGCCACGTCACGCAGCCTGAAAGTGGCTAAGCGAATGATACATGCGGAGTACGTGCCTGTTTATCGTACGGAGTGCGGAGTTGTATTATCTTTCAATGACAAATGCTTACGGAGTACGGAGTACGGGGTACTCGTTTATCAAAGCTGAAGCTGCAAGTCAATATTATGGGGTCGATTATGCTCTGGCAGTGGCTCCCACCTCGACGAAAGGCTCGCTTGCTTTAGGACTCAGACTGGCTTATGCTCATGGCTTATTTCAGACCTTCTCTAAGCTACCTGGTCTGTTTTTGGAACTCTAATTTCAGAGCTGGCTCTGCACATATCTATGTCAAGTGCCCGCTGATCAGTGGGAGCTCTATGATCTTGAGACAAGTCCAGCCGGGATGCTTTCACTAGAGCCGACGAGGCTCCATATCTTTCGTACGTCAAGCAACTGTCGTACAAGCTTCAGTATACACACAATACATCACATGTGAATACACTCTACAATCAGGCCAATCCGAAGACAACGCACCATGTAGGCTGCAGTGGCACAAGATCGAATGGGACTTGACCGACATCTGTCAAAATCGATGCGTTCAAAGCGCACAAACTTTTTGCAAACGCCTTATGGCTTACCACTAGAAGCCCGAATTGGATGTACAATAACCTGTTTGGGCAGGCTAATCCAAAAGGCAGATAAGGCCGAGTGCGACAGGCAGCTACATACGACGTAACAATAGAAGTGTGGGCGGCACCAGTAAGATGTGAGATACGACGTGTTCGCAATTACTCCGTGGAGCCGGAGAAAAAAGCAATGTGTACTCCGTACGTCGCATCCGGTCTCGACAAATTAGTTGGAATGTGAAGGGACAGTGTGGTACGGATGCACGGCAGCTGCATCAAAGCGGAGGTCACACTGGCGCGATTGGGGTTGAAATGTTGTTTGGTAAGATAGATGGAAGAAGAAGGAAAAAAGCGCCAAAAAAGACGGGCAAGCGGATTTCGTTCTCTGCACATACTCCGTACGACTGGTCAAGTCTAGCAAGAATCCCACGTGGGATGGCAAAGGATGGATGGGTGGAGAGGGGTAAAAGGTGCTAGTTGGTGCTAAAAGCACAGAGAAAAAGAAAAGAAAGAAAGCCCGACGGGCGATGACGGGACTGGGAGTGTAGATATTGAAATGGGGTGGATACCTTTGCCAACGAAAGCCAAAAGAGCGGCATGTTAGCCGGCCATGGCACCCTTTGAGTGTCCGGTTGTTGCAGTGACAGTTTGTTGCAGGATCGTGCCATTTCGACTCTGGAGAGGTCTGGTTCTCAGGAAACGTTACAGGCGTCCCGCGGTGTGTTGTTTAAAGGCCACAGACAGACGGTCATAGTGGTGTCTAGAGCCTGAAAGTGCCGGTCTTGTCCGACGAGGATGTCATTTTTCGTTCATCCCCACTATTGAAATGCTTCTGCACAGCCAAGAAGGGGCCTGTTCTCGCTGCGAGAAGCCTACGGCGTACGGAGTAATCTGGACGGCCTCTGCATTAGTAATAAATGCCTGCACAATGCTTTGTACGGAGTAGCTGAGGAGTTCTCAGTGCTGCCCCGCTATTAGCGGCCAACAACGGCTAGAAACCGGCCAAAGAGCCGGCCAGGGGCAAAATACGACGCTAGGATAACAGTCTTCCGGCAAAAGAGACAGAAACTTGTCGGCGACTGCGCCTTTGCTTCTACGGAGTAGCTGGCAGTGGCTTAAAAGCGCATTCTCCGCCGTGGAGGACAAAAGCCGGTGAACAGATAAAGTAGAGGACTGCTGCGCTCGGTTGGGCAATGCTGCTGTATCGAATATGTTCTGCGATCGGCGTGAAGATAAGAACGGAGGAGCGACGGAAGAGCGACGGAAGCAGCGATGGAGATAAACGCTTCGAACAGCAAATTGTCGGCATATCCGCCAGCGGCAGTGCGCGCAGCTTATTGTGATTGGCCCATAGCGCCATAGGTGTCGGAGTAATGCCGGCAGCGTGCCAAAGCATGCCACAACCGGCAAGAGTAGAGCCGATAAGAGGGAAGTCGCAGTCCGCCGACAAGGCGCTTTCGCCCGACGAGACAAGTATTCTTATCAGCGGATCGATAAAGGCTTGGACCGCTTTGGAAGGCGGACTTGGGCGATTGGACCAGTCCAGGTGGCGTCCCCTTTGTGGTTTCGCCGTGACAGCTTCTGTCGATCTGGTCGGCCAACAACATACCGAAGCTGGTCGGCCGCATGGCTATCAGAAACGGCGGCCTTCTCCGCACTAACAATCAGCATGGTCCGTGGGCCGTGTGCTGTGAATCCTGTTGGGTCGCAGAATGACTGAGCGGTTGAGCGGTTAAGCCCTGGGGGTCTTTGGGGTCTGGGACGGCGGTCTTGGCTATACGGAGTACGACACCCGGTATCATTAGCGCATGCACGTCGCCATGGGTTGCCGCTTCTGCCAGAACGGGTTTCCCTTCGGCATATCCAATTGACTTTCCAGGCTGAGGATAGTCGCCTGGTGCACTCGCCTTCCTTGCCTCTGCGATCTGGGAGAGATTGTCGACCAGATGTCTTATCTTTCAGTTGCAAGGGGACCGAGACCACAGCTTGCTGCTTACAGAAGTTGCCGGAGATAAACAGATGATCTCTCGACTGACATCGGGAGCCCTCCACCTTTTGTCCTCCACCCTTCACCCTTCAGTCCAATCGCTTCTCCGGACGGCGTACACCCCCTAGGAATACACCCTCACTCCATACCCTTGCCCTCGCTGTCCCCCACCTCCACCCCCAAGTCGGCCTGTGGACCGGCCGGCACTACCAATGCGGGAGTAGGACTGTGCGCACGGCCAGAATGCGGGTAGTTCGTGATTCCAATTTTACAGCAGCAGCTTCCTTGCAGTCAGTCTGTGTCACTCTTCTTTTCCCACTCTCTTTCACGTCCGTCCCCGACAAGAGGCAGTGGCAAGAGAAGCAATTCGCGGCGAGACAATGACGGAAGTGCGTGTTCAGCCGTCCTCGTTCGGTCCGCCTGGGCAGACGACCATGATCGAGCCGGCAGCACTGCTGCGGCTGATGCGCCGACGGGTACCGCCAGAGAAGCGGCAGCGCACCGAGATGAGCTGTGACTGGTGCAAGAAGAAGCGGTGCAAGTGTCTCAGGGGCAGCACGGCCGACACGTGTCGAGCCTGCAACGAGATTGGCCGGCCCTGCACCACGACGGAGCCACGCAAGCGGCGGGTGTACAGCAGCATCTCAGCGTCGTCTGGTGCTGGTGGCAGTGTTGACGGTGCCATTGTCGACGGGCCAGCCCTGGCTGTCGCGCTGTGTGTGGCCCAGCAGCAACAACAGCAACAGCAGACGCTGCAGCTACAGCAGCCAACCCCGGGACCCAGTCCGCCGGGAGTCCCTCCACCTCCACGGCTACCAGGCGGCTACGACGAGGACGACGGCCATGTCCGGGTCCATCACAGTCGGAGGTGACGACGCGCCCGTCAAGCAGGAGATCACCGTGGCTACAGGACCAGAGCGACGACAACGGCAGCAGCAGCTCGTAAATCAGACCAGGCGAAGGAGGCGAACAGGCAGAGACACCAAAGCCTCGACAACAACGACCATGAATACATCCACCGAGATGGCCAACCGTCCACGGGGACACTTGTTTGAGGACGGGCTGGGAACAGCCCGCCACGTCGGCCCAGCCGGCTCACACGCGATGCTGTTGAAGCTGCAGGAAGCCATGGCGCCAATACAGACGCAGACGATGTCGACAGCGGGCCTAACAGTAGCAAGGACTGGCAACGACCTGTCACTTCCGCCGCGTGACGTGGCCGACTCGCTGGTCAGCCTCTTCTTCGATCACGTGCACGACGACTGTCCCGTGTTCGAACGGTCGCTCTTCCAGACACGCTACGACGCCATGTGGACAATGCCGGCCACCGAGGCGGCCGAGCCAGCCTGGTTGATGTGTCTGTGCATGGTCTTTGTGCTGGGGAGCAGAAGCGGCCGCTACAGCAAGAGCATCCGCAACAGCATCAACATCAGCATCAGCATCGTCTACATCAACATTACGTTCATCCTCCGCATCCTCGTCGCCCATCTCACCCACATCATTACCGACAACAGTACCGTCAAGATCGGCCTCGCCATATAGCACCCCCCACCATCCTCCTTCTCGTTCCTTCAGGTCAGCAACCTCGCCAAGACACGCGAGCTGCTTCCCGACGTGCTCCTTGGCGGACCGACTCTGACACACGTCCAAGCACTGTTGCTCTACTGCCCCCACCTACACATGACGTGCAGCCGCGACGGTTGCTGGAACTTGACGGGCGTGACCATTCGTATGGCTATGGCCATAGGCCTACACCGCGACAGCAAGGCCACCTGGTGTAGCAGCCCTGTCGAGTACGAGCTGCGCCGACGCGTTTGGTGGACGCTACACGCCTTTGAACGGCTCGAGTGTGCATCGCTGGGCCGCACCTCGGCCATTGACGACGCCGATTGCAACGTCGAGACCAGTGTCCAGGCCGACCTTATGGTCGTCCTAGGGTCTATCTGCAAGCACCAGTATGGCGATGACGAGACTGCTGTCAGTGGGCTGGTGCCAACTCCGCCGGCCAGCACGTCCTCCCGCTCCCGGAAGTCCCATGTGTCTCACCTCGACTTCGCCGTCGCCACCACCGAAACCCTCGATCTCTGGCTCGCCAGTCTGCCAGCCCATCTGCGCCTGCACTCGGATCTGTCGCCTTCTTACGCTCGTACCATCCTCATGCTGCATATTCAGTACCACTTCACAGTCGTGCTTCTCTACCGGCCATTTCTGCTGGCCCTGACGACCACCACAATGCCCGCTGGCACCACGCTGCCGCCCAACCGCCTCCCATCCACCTGGTCCCCCGTCCAGATGTATGCGCGCAAATGTGTCAACTCGGCCAAGGCAGCTGCCGCTCTGCTGGGCCGCCTCTATGATGCTGGCCTTTTCAACGCCAAGACCTGGTGGGACGTCCACTTTGTCGAGGCCGCCTGCATGGTCCTGGTCATGGGTCGCCTCGCCAACGACAGGGACCTGCTCGCGGACTTCCAGATCGTCGCCGCCCTGCGCTCGTGCACTGACATTTTGCGTGCCTGCAGCGACTTCTCGCCCACGACTCAGTGCATCGCCATAGCCACGCAGGACATGGCCCAGGCGCTGCTGCTCTGCGCCAGAGAAGGCGAAGGCGAGGTGAAGAACGAAGCTGCAGAAGACGACGAGGAAGGCGACGACGAGGATGTGGACGAGGAGAACAACTACGACGACAATGACGACGAAGACGATGACAGAGAGCGAGATCCAGACTACAAGCAGGACGACAAACAGATGCTGCAGCGCATGCTTCAACAGCAGCTGCAGCAACAGCCACACATTCGACAACACCCATCGCCACCCTACGCGCCACCGCTACCTGTTCCACAGACGCTGCCATCACAGTCACGACAGTCAGCCCAGCAGTCCCAACCGGTGTCCCTGCCCCAACAGCCGTTTGCACAGCCGACGGTGCTTGCGACCCAGCTCGCGCTCTCGGACTGCCAGCCACAGCAAGCCTACTACTACTCTGAACAGCAGCACCACCACTACCAGCAGCAGTTGTACCAAAGCCAGGAGCTCGACGACATGGCCGATATGGCCGACATGACCACCACCGTGTCGTCGGCCGGTAGCCAGTCTAGCAGCAGCCCGGACCACTCCTACATGACGGCCGTGCCCGGCAACCACATGTACGCCCACGACCTGTCTGGCGACATGTTTCACGACCCGTCGATGCCGTGGAACCTGGCGGACATCTCGCAGGCACTGGGCGAGTGGCCGGAGCCGGACCACTGGTGGCAGTGAGTTGTGGGGTAGCTGCAAAAAGCGAGAGGAGATTGGCGGGAATCATGGAAACGGTGGACTTGTGGAAAAGGTGACAGGAAGACTTGAGCAGGGAAACTAGAAACGAAGACACGCGAACAGGAAATACAACGGGGCCGTGACGATGACGGTATTGGGAAAATAGTTAGGCCCAGGAGCCCAGGATATAAAGCAATGGAACGGCCAATTGGATCCGATAAAGGCGAACGGAAATAACAGAGTAAACGGAAAATACGGGCGAGCTTGTCTGGCAGATAGAGAGACGGCAGGTGTCTGCAGGTGCGAGCACAAACAGTTGCCGTTCCCAAAGCCGGCTGAGGGGAACTGAGTGGCGGCCAGCTATAGGTGGGGTGGCTGGAGCAAAGTGAGGGGTGCTCCGCAGATCTATACGCCTATAGGGCAGTAGCGGGAAAGCATCGCGACTTCCTCGCCAGCCGAGCTGACGGCCACGTCTTCCGAGCTTGTGCTTTGTCAGATTATTTTAGCTCTTCTCCGCCTCGATTCTGGTTTCCGTTCTTCCATTCCATCTGCTATGCAATCGGTCCTCTCTCAGTCACGTCCACGACTCGCACGACAGCTCCTCTCTGCCCTTTCTCTGTCATCCTCCGTCTCCGGCAGCCGCACAATGTCGGCATCTGACGCAGCCGCAGCAGCCGCCGCGCTGGCTTCCCGCAACGCGACCGAGGCGGCGATCAAGCGAAACCCGCACGGCGACTTTGGGGCAGTCGAGGCCGGACGGCCAGACTGGGACGCGGCCGCGGCGCCGCACTTCAGCAAGGCGCCGGCGCCCGGCTGGCAATGGGGCCAGGGCGGCAACGACGGCGGCGCCTCGCTGGCCAAGGCACACGGGCAGAGGCGATCCGCACGCACCCGGACGACCGGCCGTGTTCAACTATAAACTGCTCATCTCGGCGGTGATCCCCACGGCCGATCGGACTGCTCAGCACGGCAGCGGCTGACGGCAGTGCCGCCAACCTGGCACCCTTCTCGTACACCAACGTGGTCAACCACGACCCGCCCATCTTCACGATCGGCATCGTTGGCGGACTCGCCAACGCAAAGGACTCGCTGGCCAACCTGGCGGCAACAGGGGAATGTGAGTAGCGGCAGTGCCGGAAGAAAGCAATGCGGGCTTTGCTGACGTGCCCAGGCGTCCTTAATATCGTCTCCGAGCACTTTATTGAGGCTGCCAACGCCACGTCGGTCAACGCGCCTTATGGCGTGTCCGAATGGGCCCTGACCGGCCTCCACAAGGCGCCGACGACCCATGTCAAGCCGGCGCGGATCCAGGAGGCCATTGTGGCCATCGAGTGCAAGGTAGTCGAGCTCAAGGAGTTTGAGAGCAGGGCCAACCCCGGCAAGAAGTCCGGCACGCTCATCATTCTCGAAGGCGTCAACTTTTGGGTGCGCGAGGATGCCATCAACGAGGAACAGAACTTGATCGATCCAGATGTATGTGTACCTTGCTCTCTCTCTGTCCCTTTATTTCTCGCGTGTCTAACTGGCTAGGTTCTGCGGCCTGTCGGTCGTCTGGGCGGTATTACATACTCGCGCAACAATGAAGTGTACGAGATGCTCCGGCCAACATTCGACTCGGTCAAAAAAGGCGGAGAACGGACAAGAGCTGCTGAAGGAGGCGTCTGCCAAGAACTAGACACGGCATGCTTCTTCCCGTACAAATTTACATAAATCTACATCTCTTTACTTTTCTTTGCGACTCATCTTCACAGGCATTCTCTCTTCTACGGGCTCTGCTTATAAAGCCGTGAAATATAGAAATATAGACGGACTATAGGATGTACAAGACAAGATGTTTTATGTACAAGAAATTAAAAGGAAACCAGCCATGTTGATTGGTCGTCAAGCCACAGGGCAATCAAGCCTCGCTTGCAGCGAACCAGCCATCCAATCAAGCGCTCTACGAGCAGGAGACACCGCTGGGGACGTTGGTGCAAGAGGCGTACTTCTTGCCACCGGTGACGTTAACGTCAGTCCAGGTCCAGCCAGTGCACGAAGTAGAGCTGCCGCAGGTGACGATGACGTCGTAAGCAGAGCTGGAGACGGCACCAGTACCGATGATGTGCTCGATGGTCAGGTCAGTGATGGGGACACCGCTGGTGGCCGTGCCGACAAGGTCGCCGCCCTTGTAGTTCTGCTCAATCAGGATACCGTGTCTGCGAACGTTAGTAACGTGTACGAGGCAAAGGAGGAAGGGCTGAACTCGACTTACCCAGTGATTCCGGACAGGGTGATCTTGTTGTAGGTGACGCCAGCAATCTTGCCAGTGGTGCCCTCGGTACCCTTGACACGGATACCGTTGACGGAGTTCTTGACCTGGCTGTTGTAGAAGGTGACGGTCTGGACGGTGTTGTCAGAGCGGCCGCCAACAGAGCCGATGGAAAGACCGTGGCCACCAGAGCAGAGACCGTTCTCAAAGGTGATCTCAGTGCCGGAGTTGATGGCGACACAGTCGTCCTGGTTGTAGACCTTGGCGCCGTTGATGACGACGTTGGTGCTGTCGCTGATGTCGAAGCCGTCCGTGTTGTGGCCGCCCTGCGAGTCACCATCGGAGCTGTCGATGGTCATGTCGGTGATGGTGAGGCCGTTGGCACCGTTGATGCTGACAGCCTGCACAGGGGTGTTGAGGATGTGCAGGTTGTTGATGTTGGCGTTGGTCAGGCCGTGAGCAGCAAAGAACTTGGGCTTGGTCTTGCCGCTGTTGCTGCCCTTGCCATCCCCACCAGCGAGCACCGTTGGCGTTGAGGGTAGCGCTAGTGGCACCCTCCACGGTGATGCCGGTGCCCTCGATCTGCAGGAGCGGACCGGCCCACTCGGAGTAGCCCCAAGTGGTCTCGCCCTCGAAGATGACGTGCGTGTTGTCCTTGAGGTTCGACAGGTCCAGCGAATTGCCAGCCGGGACGGCCACGTTGGAGAGAACGATGGTCGGGCAGGCCTGCTGGGAGGCACTGGCGGCGGCGGCACCGTTGGCGCCGGAAAAGGTGCAGCTGGTGGCACGCTCGACCACCTGGGGCGCCGGCGCCGGAGTGGGGGCTGGTGCTGCCATGGGGGCGGCCCGGGCAAGGGGCCGGCGCCAGGAAGGCGGCCAGAAGAGTGTTGCGAGAGCCAATCATGATGACGAGTGGCAAGGCTTTCAAGTGTAAGGCGTTGTAGGAAAAAAAAGAAAGGACTATAAAAGTGAGAGTGGGAAGATTAACGAAAGTAAGTCAGGTCTGTTCGTGGAACGACTGCTGGCCCCTTTCTTGCCGTCAGAGAGGCGGGCCGTGACGGCTTCTTATAGTCGGCAATACGACGTCCATTCGTATATGTGGCGTGTAATTACACGCCGCCGGCAGTCATGTCCTGCTCGCGGTCCAGGTCCAGATCCACCTCGCTTAAAATCCGTCTGCCAGATAGAGACTGGCTTTGATGGGCCACCGGCTGGCGCCTCCAAGCGGCCCCCAAAATACGGGGGAGAAATGGGCCTAGAAGAGGGCTATCCGTGGTTCCTCCAATCAGAACGGGTCTGCGGGAGGGTAGCGGGCATGGAAAAGTAACGGATGGTGCTCTGTGCCTAGCGGAAAATCATCTGGTGGAATGCCAATTACACCATGGGACGAGAGCGTGAAACAGTAGTCCCGGTTGGGGTCCGAGAAAGGGGCCTCGGCAGACGATGGTGTGGTTATTGGTGGAAGATTCCATGGTCTACGCAGGTTCGATGCCCCTGTCTCTTCGTCGTTTTTATGCCTTTTTTATTATACGAGAGCAGTGTCGGATCGAGCGGGCCAGACAGCAAGCAGGTCAGCATACTCCGTACGGAGCAGCAGCCCTCGTAATCCGCCATACGGTCGGAGCAATGGCAGGAAGAGACTAGCAAGGAAGATCGACAAGCGGGGGCCCATTAACTCCGTATTAGTACATGGTATGTAATATTAGGTAAGACACATGCGACGGTATGGAGTACGACGCAAGCTTTTGCCAAGACGTTTCCTCCGGGCGCCGTCGCTTCAGACATCCCGGTCCGCGTGCCGTGCGTACTGTGTCTGTTGCAAAAGCCCCTCCAAATCAAGTGATGCTGCCCCTTGCTCGTACTACTCGTCGTCGTATGTATGTACTCGTGTTGCCTGGCGGCTTCATCCGTCCGTCCATTCAAGTGGCTCGGACTTCAATCTAGCAGCCAAGGGGAGGAAACAATGCTACATAGCAATCTCGCTTTCCCCTGCGGGCCGAAAGGGGAAGGAGAACAGCCCTGTGTACTCCGTTCGAGTACTCCGTACTCCATGCTGCATGCGGCCCAGTCAGGGCTGCGATCAGCGTGCTTAAAACGTCACGTTGGCCTGCTGCCCGTCGAGGACGAGAGAACCTTCCTTCTGCAGCAAGCTTGTGCTTCCAGTCTTTCGTTTCTTCCCAGCCCCCTACGCTAGTCCGTCTGCTTTGACGTGTCCGTTCACTTTGAGTCGCTCTAATTCGTCCTTTCATTGCTCCCCTTTCCCGTATTCGCCTGAGCGTCTTCGCTACCACCCTACATCATGCGTCTCGCTCTCCTTTCCGCGCTGGTGGCCTCGGCCGCTGCCACCACGTCGCGTTCGACGCCGCCGAGCGGCAGCATCACCGTCTGCAAGTCAGGCTGCAACTACTCCAAGGTCAGTTTGCCCTCTCTGTCCTCACCGCCTCCCGTCGGTCCACTAACAGGCCGCTCAGATCCAAAGTGCGGTGAGCTCCATCTCGACCAGCTCGACAGCGGCTCACCAGATCTTCGTCTACGCCGGCACGTACACGGAGCAGGTCACCATTCCCGCCCTGGCTGGCAAGCTTACCATCTATGGCCAGACCACCGACACGTCGTCGTACACGAAGAATGTTGCCAGCCTGGAGTGGGACTCCAGCCTGCTCAGCGGCGCTGCCGATGACGAGCACACGGCCGCCCTGATTAACCTGTCCAAGAACGTGGCTGTCTACAACCTGGACATCAAGAACACGTACGGCAAAAGGATCGCAGGCCATTGCCCTGTCGGCCTACAACACCGAACAGGGCTACTATGGCGTCGGCCTGTTCGGCTACCAGGACACCCTCCTGGCCCAGACTGGAAACCAGGTGTATGCGTCTTGCTACATCGAGGGCGCTGTCGACTTCATCTTTGGCCAGTATGCCCGCATCTGGGTGACGCAGTCGCGTCTTGCCGTCACGGCTAGCGGTGGCTCCATCACGGCCAGCGGCCGTGCGGCTTCCTCTGGTGACAGCCTCTTTGTCATTGACCAGAGCACCATCAACGCGGCTGACTCGAGCACTGCTGCTGCCGGCACCGTCTACCTCGGCCGTCCTTGGGGCGCGTACGCCCGCGTGGTGTACCAGCTGAACAGCCTGTCGTCCATCATCAACAGCGCCGGCTGGAGCGTCTGGAGCAAGACCGACACCCGCACGTCCAACGTGGTCTTCCAGGAGTACCAGAACTCGGGCACGGGTGCCAGCGGCACGCGCTTTTTCGAGACCAAGACCAGCGCGCCCGTCACCATTGATACGGTGCTCGGCAGCACCTACGGCAACTGGGTTGACACCACGTACCTGTAAAGGGTGGCGGTGGGTGTGTGTGTGTGCGTTGTCTGCTCGTCCTCTGTCTTCTTCACTTCTGTCCGGGTAGAGCCCTGTTGGAGTCTGAGCCAATACCATTTTTCTCTCGTAATGCAAGTGTCGCATCTCGTAGAATGTCACGTGATATGGTCACATGAACGGTGACACAAGTATCGCCTACACGACTTGCAAGCAGTCGCGGCCGTGGTAAACGGACCGAATCAAGTAAAGAACTCTGCACGCGTCGTGCGTTTGCCAAGCCGGTCTCGAAAGATGAGCCCAGTGATACGGGCAACACGACCATCCACAGCCACATCCACCTTGAGCGGGCCTGCAACGGACGACCGACAATCCCGCCTCTGCCCCATCTCCCGCTGCTCAACAAGCTGTACTGCCGGCCAGCCGACCGTCATGCGTCCTTTCAGCGGTTCCCCCGGCTTCCGATGGAGCTGCAGGACATGGTCTGGCAGCACTGTCTGCACGAGATCCGCGTGATCGAACTGTTTGTGCTGCACGTGAGCGACATGTCGCGCGATGGTCCCATCCTGCACGACACCAGCGAGAGTGAGCACCACCACGTCGTCACGGTCAAGGGCCGCTCGCTGCACAGCAAGATGCTGCGGGTGTGCCGAAACGCGCGGACGATTGCGCTCCGGTTCTACCGCGTGCACGTGCCCTGCTTCTTCCACGGCAACACGCCGGTCCGCAGCCTCGGACAGGGCACGCTCTACTTCAACCCCGAACACGACATCATCCACTTCTTCTCGACCTGCAACGAGCAGGCCATCACAGTGCTCCGTGACCTGCGTGCGAGGGATCCGCAACACGTCGGCTTCCGCACGCTGATCCTCGACCCGCCCTACGTGCAGGCTGCTCTGGTCGGTGGCCGCGGCCTCGGTGCCCTCCTGCTGCTACTCTACAGCGCCACCATCTTCTGGGACATCAGTGCCACGCTGGTCGGGCCCACCAGACGCATCACCGAGCCGGGCACCTACGCCCGCATGGGACTGCCAGCTCCGCCCGTCACCGCGTACACAAATCTGATCGAGCCGGTGTTGGGTCCCATGGTCGGCCGCTTTCGCATCCTCTCGGAAGACCCGCGTCCGATCGGACCGCTGCTTCGCCATGCCGACATGATGCACGGCGTGCTCTGGACCGTGAGAGCTGAGTGGGCTGTGCTGCCGTCGAGCGCTACCGACCCCGCGCTCGCTCGCCGCATCTTCCGCGCCGAGTGCGGCGAGCAGGTCATGTTCGCCCTGCGCGCATCGACCAGACGCGCCCGCCCCCTCGACACCACGGCCCTGCAGGAGGAGCCGTACGTGCCGGCCGACTTTGAGGCCCCCTGGACTGCACCGCCCCCCATCGGATTCTGGCTGTTTGCCATTGGCGCCGTCAACATGTTTGGGCCCGACAGCGAGATGCTCAAGCGGTGGCAGCCTTGGCCGCAGCTGGCTGTCATGCGGCTGCCCTGAACAGCAACAATGAGTGCACCCGCAACCATGCGAGCTCTGGCTCGGATGGCCATAAAAAAACAGGAGACTGGGGTTTTCACGCTTGGCGAGATGAGGAGGGGAAAGACACAGTGTTAACTCTTATATTTGTCTATTGTATCTTACGAGCCGCTCTGTTTCAGCGATCCCAGTCTACAACCTGTTTGCTGCAAGCCAGAGAATGAAACAGGCTAATTTTCCGACGGCGTGCATTTGTGCGGCTCAACAGCTCGAACTTATGCGTGTGGCCCCCAAACGCACTAATCGCCACCGCTTTTGCATGACTCGGGGCGGGGCTCGATAGGGCTTGACAGGGCCTGACAGGGGCTTCCCCCCCCAAAAAAATAAACCACTCATCCTCCAATCTGCCCCCCCATCGAACTGACACACGAACGTCTCCCGGCGCCGATGCTGCCGGAACCGCCTGCAGCTGCGACGCTGACTGAACCGAGAGTGGAAAGCCGCCCAGAGGATCGCTCGCTTACACGGCGCCGCATGTCCCCCAGAATAGCCATTCGGTGCACTCCACTCCACCTGCAATCCACCTTCGGCCATCTCTCGAAAAGGGAGGCAAAAAAAGATTCATAAGACGATGCTGCTGCGCGCGCTACCCTTCCAGAATGCTTCTCTCTTTCTCCTCACCGTTCTCCGGCACCTCTCAATCTCGTTCTTTCCCGTTTGACCCGGGATTTTGTCCATTCTTTTGCACCTTTTTTCCTGACTTTTCTTTCCATCCGGCAGCTGCCGATCGGACTCGTTTTCCCCACTCAGGGCCAGACGTCCAATCTTTCTACTTCGCTTCCCACCATCCAGCAATACCCAATCATGTCTGTCCGAGCACTTCTGGCCTCGGCCCTGCTTGCTGCCGGCAGCATGGCCCAGCTCACGGGCTCCGTCGGCCCGCTGACGACGTCTGCCCAAAAGGCCGCCGTCAAGGTGTGCAACATTCTTGACTACGGCGGTGTTGCCAGCGTCGACACCGACAACGGCGCTGCCATCACGGCCGCCTGGTCTGCCTGTGCCTCGGGTGGCCAGGTCTACATTCCAGCCGGTGACTACGGTCTCGCCACCTGGGTCTCGCTCAAGCACGGCACCGGTGTCTCGATCAACATCGAGGGCACCATCCACCGCACAGGGTACGTCGAAGAGTCCCAAGCCCTGTCTTCCCATATCCTCCTGATTCGAACGCGTCCTGCAGCACGGGCGGCGGCAACATGATCTTCATCCAGCTCAGCACAGATCTGGAGATCTACAGCGCTACGTCGACGGGTGCCATCCAGGCCCTCGGCTACGAGTTCCACAAAAGTATGTCGCATCAAGCATCCCATAGCCAGCTTGCTTGCCTTTTTGTCTATTTGCTAACAGTGGCCTGCAGACGGCGAGTACGGTGCGCGCATTCTGCGTCTGTACAAGACGTCCAACTTTAGCATCCACGATATCGCCCTTGTCGACTGTAAGTTTGGCCTTGATCCGCACAAGCAACAAAAGGCATGAATCACCCTAACAGTCTGCAGCTCCCCAGTTCCATCTGACCCTCGATACCTGCACGAGCGGTGAGGTCTACAACACTGTCATCCACGGCGGCTACGAGGGCGGTCTGGACGGCATCGACGTGTCCGGAAGTAACATCTGGATCCACGACGTTGAGGTGTCCAACAAGGACGAGTGTGTCACGGTCAAGGTTAGTTGTCCCGGCTCAGCAGCATAAGAGTCCATTGGCTAAACATGCAGAACCCTTCCTCGAACCTCCTGATCGAGTCTGTCCACTGCAACTGGTCTGGTGGCTGCGGCATGGGCTCTCTGCCGACGGGCACTAGTAAGCCTTTCGTCTTCTTTTTTTTCGCCTGCAATTACAAAAATAATACTGACTAATCATTTTTTTCTCTAGACATCCACGACATTGAGTATCGCAACATCTACACGCACCACTCCAACAACATGTACATGATCAAGTCGAACGGTGGCGATGGCACGGTCTACAACTTGGCGCTCAACAACTTTATCGGCCACACGAACGCGTACATGCTGCTGATGGACACGGCCTGGTCCAAGCAGGCCGTCGGCAGCGGCAACGGCGTCGTCTACCACGACATCTCCGTCAACGAGTGGCACGGAACCGCCCAGAACGGCGTGCAGCGCGCTCCGGTGCGCCTGCTCTGCCCGGCCCTGGCGCCCTGCTACGACGTCAACATCACCAACTTCTCCGTCTCGAGCGAGGCCGCCTCCAAGGAGCTGTATATCTGCCAGAACGCCTATGGTGAAGGTGCCTGTCTGAAAGAGCTCGAGGCCGGCGCCACCTCGGCTACCGCCTCGTATGCTGCCACCACCCACCCCCGGACCGTCGCCAGCCCGGCCTTCGCCACTATGGCCAACGAGCTGGCCAGCGGCTTCGACATCTCCTCGCCCATCCCCATCCCGACCATCCCGGCCTCCTTCTTCCCCGGAATCGCACCCAAGTCCGCCATCCTGAGCGCTGCCGCCGTCCACGCTGCCGTCGTCAAGACTACCAGCACCTCGGCCATTCCCACGGCCACTCCGGCTGCCAGCTCGTCTACCACCTCCGCTGTTGACACTCTGGTCGCCACCGTGGTCGCCACCGTGGCCGCCACGGCGTCGGCTGCTTCCACCACTACCGCCACCCCCGTGGCGCCGGTTTTCCCGTTCGCTCCCATGGGCAGCCTCAGACCGTCTGCGTTCGGCAGCTGGTCCGGCCGCTGGAACACGGGCTTTAAGGGCAAGAAGGCTGAGTAGTTTACTTCACTTCGTATTGTTTGATACACCATTTTAATACCAATCTGCCGTTTCTACAAAGGCAGAGCTACATTCAATTTTCCATCACCGCGTGACCTATATCAAGACTACGTAGTACATTCATGTCCAAGCTAGGCAGTTTTGCGTCGCAACGGAGAGCCTCTCAAGCGCCTCGATTGCTGACTTTCCATATGCCCGTCGCCTTCCATTTGGGGCCTCGCGCGAAGCGTAAGAATTCTGCTTTTTGCAGCGGTGGTAGGCATCGCATGAATTGTTCGTATTCGGTCCTAAGGAGATATGTCACTCGCCAGCGTCGGCATTGTAGATAAGCAATGGCATGCCTTTGGCGTACCCATGAAGAATGCTACTATACGAGTACGGAGTATAGCTCTGGCAGTTACAGAAGGGTCAATTAAAGCCGGCTTATGTGCCATATACGGCAAAAGGGTCGGTAGTAGCCAATGGGTGTTTTCATTTGATTGTGACGATTTGTAACTCTGTTGGGAAGGGCGTAAAAGAAAGCTATACGGAGTCAGTGTGCTGAAAATCAAAGCCATTATTATATTCCGCAAGGGCAGTCACCCTTAATTTGTGACGGTCAGTTAGATAAGGCGTATTGTCGTAAATTTATGTGTGCATTAAAGCATGTGAACTTCTGCTCAATGTGTGCGATTGTTGTTACTTGTGGAATATTTAATGAGATAAAACATTTATGCATTATCCAAAAGTTATCTAACTTGTCCCAACATTTTGGAAACTAAACCAGAACAAAAACTTGAGTGAGTAAATGTTAGGATACCCCAACAGATGGCTAAAGATTATGTCCAGATTTCCTGTTAAGTTGACCTCACGTACAATCCCTCTTTATAGTGGTGCTTACCTTTACGTGATACAAGGTATATGCACATATAGAGTGAAGCCAAATTCTCAGCCCTGATATGTGATGTTACTGTAAGCAAAGGCATGATGTCTGCATTGGAGAACATATACCAAGAAAGCAAAACCCCTACTTAAAGTACCGGTCGGTGGCTAGACAGGATTAAGCTATAATAAATTGTCTGCTGCCATATCGGAAAGCAAGTCGGACGCTTATACGGAGAAGCTTTCAATCAGGGCAAAGATGCAACCCTCTGGTCACAGTCTCCCTACCAAGGCATATCAACAACATAACCAGCATAGTAATATCGAGAAATGTAATAATTCGTTGTATGCCACATTAAACTAACGTGTCTACCTTATCGTCCCGTCCCTGTCCAGACTGCAATATCAGGTAGCCTCACCCAGAAGCTTTATCAGCTAGAAAACTGCAAGCAGCCCAAGAGCGAGGCCTTGCACGACTTCTGCTTCAGACCGGGCTACCTATGGCTGCACGAATCCGGGATCCAGCCTTCCAATAAGCCGCCTATCAGAAAACGGACCTCGATGGTGTATGTGTGTGGATGACCTCGTCAGTGGCAGACGTCTCATGGGTTCGGACCGAGGCACGACTACTCCATAAAGGCCGGAGCGGTCGTCGTCCATCAACGCGGGCTCCGTGCTGACGGGCCGATTGTGTGCCACTGGCTGTCCGCAGGGGTTGAGATCGGCACAGTCTTGATCGGCAGATCGGTGGGCCTTGCGGATCTTATTTCTGGACAAGAGCCACGTTGTGCAGCTGGCTGACCTTTCTAGCTGATGTTTCTGGTCCAGTAGCTCTCGATCCGAATGCTCAGATCCTTGAATGTTACGCTCTGCTCGGTCTGCCGAGTGGGCGGTCCACTGCACACTGCGAGTATGATGCTATCACCGAAGCACTGGACATTCTATCTCTTCTACACGACCTTCCCCGCGCAAGAGTAGACCGATGTGCGGCCGGCCCGTAGTATGCTATCCCCAGGCCAACTTGCATCGTCGCTTACGGCGGCCGATCTGCCTGTAGTGCATGGTTTGACAGGAGTAACGTATATACAACCACTCCGTACTTACCTTTAATAATGAAGCGAGACAACCGGTTGCATAAAAAACAGATACAAACAAGCCGCAGAAACAACTGTCGTCTCGATTGACTGTTTAACCTTGACCTTATTCTTCCTAACAAGTGACCTCTAGGGTCGTAAAGGCTTTTGGCAAACAGGGGTTTCTAAAAGCCATGACTCCTCATATTCCGTTTCTCGTTTCGCTGGTTGCACTGGTTTGTGGCTAAGACAGTATGTATTTACTGTTTGAAAGCCTCCGAGTATTCGTTGTAGTCAGAGCCTTGGTGACGAGCTGATAAATTAATTTCCTCCCATTATTTTCCACCTCCCCAAATGCCATACGGAGTACACGAACAATCAAAGACGGAACCCCGCTTTTCGGGCAGGGAAAGTTAATCGCTGAATGGAGGCCATCACAAATTGAAAGTATACTGTCAAGCATTGGAATCCGCCACACTGTGGCCCTTCCGCCCCACTTGGCCGTACTGGCCTGTAATTGGTCAGAAGGCACAAAAGCGGGGCCTGACACTAGTATTAATACGGATCCCCAGAAGGGTCGCGATGTATCTATTTCTTCCTAAGTACACAACACTCTTTCGCCCACACTAGACCCTATTCAGCCTCCTGCTCCTCACAGTGCATCACGTTATATGACCGCTACGTATAGCCTCCCTTAACCTTCACATATACAGCTCGTTCGTTGAATGCAATTAAGCTTGAAGTTACCCAGTATCCGTCGAACTGTTACAAAATCCGGGTAAATACCTGTATTCTCCAAATGTGATCAGTGTCGGGCACGTGCCGGGTTTTCGTGGGCAAAATTGCAAATCGTTCGATCATTTTTCCACTATATACTCCGTACGCCGTAGTAAGATATCTTACTCCGTACTCGTACAGTCTTTCTCCATATGGAGTACGGAATACGGAATACGGGTTACTCCTTTCTTCATCGGTCTGCAGGAGAGACCCTGGAGTACGGAGTACTTCGTACGTACTACGTATTCCGTGTCGTGCAAGCTCGGCTATCCTAGCACAACCCCGGTCGACCTTTAATTGCATGCGGTTGAGCAAAGTGGCGGACCCTATCCAGTGTTTCATGCCCTGAACCCCGCGCATGTTTGTTATTAGGGAGTGCTCAATGGGCGTTTTAGGTTGGGGGCAACGAAAGAAACAGCGCAGGGGCGGAGATGGGGCTTTAAGCGGTGAAGGTGCGGTCGCACAGCGCAGATAGCACTCATCTGAACACAATTCTTTTGCTGCCGGAAGGCGCACTGCCGCAAAGGGTGCACTGCACTGCTCGTGCTCCCCATTCGTGTCAGATTGCTGACGAATAAGTTATTCCGTACGCTGTAATTTTAACAACGACCAGCCACGTAATCATAAATGCCTGTTTTGGACACAGCAGACCGACAGAAGGACAACAGACACCGCATCGACTTCGCGACGGCCCAAATTAGATTCGCATACTGGATCCCGGCCTCCGTCCTTCGTCCTCTTCCCCGCCCCCTAAAACCAGCAATTCTCCAAACCGCATCCACACGACTACGACGTAAGCGACGTCCAGCCCGGCAGAGCGGCTGCTCCTGCAATATTCCTTGGCAGAGCTCACAGACAGCACGGCAATCTAGACCTCTGGCTGACGTTGTTCTGTTGCAATGCAGCCGATCAATCGAGTCCCATCTTCTCACCATCTGCTCTTTGCTTGCGCAAGCCCAGGATTCCCGAGATCCACACCGCTTCAAGATGAGATGAGAGCAAAGAGCACCGATGGTGGGCCTCTCTACGGCTGTGACCAGGTGGCACCACTGTTTTAGGGACATCCGCTCCCGCTTGGCGTTTTCTCCTATTCCAGTTGACGTGTCTCCGCTGAATTAACTATCTGTAGGAGGGAGAGGCGCTCTGGTGCAGAGATGATCAGCACTCGTCTTTGTTTTTCCAGTCATTTTGTGCTCCGCCAGCCAGGTCAGGTACTTTCTTCTTCCAATCAAGCCATCTGATTTTGTCTGATTTTTCACTTCTTGCATCTTCCTTTCCCTTTTTCTTTCTCTGCCTTCTCTAGTGCGGCCGTTTGACTTGGCATCCGTATAGGTCCAAGGCACGCTCTCTCCAACTGCCTCTTAGTTGACTTGGCTGGCCATCGGCCGTGTCCATTCCTACTGCCACGCCAACGCTTTCCGGGGCCACAGCCAATGGCCGTTGAGGTCCTCCCGGCGCAACCACGAAGCCGCACTCTCTTTCCTCGGCAAACCCCTGTCGTTTTCCTGCATTTTTCCTCTCGCGCAGCAGCAGGGGTTCGCCGGGCCAATAGACAGCCATGGTACAGCGGACCCCTTGTCTAACCATCCCTCCTTCAATTCCTTCTGCCAGACGAAGCTCATTTGGCGATCGCTATATCCCTGTCGCCTGTATCGCGTCTTATTGGCCCCTACCCCTGACGGGATAACTACTAAACTGGGCCCTCAGCCTAGGCAGGTACCTAGTTGGGCCGATTTTGTCTACTAGCTGCTCTAGCCTGGGTTTTCTCTCGCGTGGCGCTACAACCGGTACCTGAATCTGCCTCCTCAGGTACAACAGCGCGACCCGTCATCCATATTTCTTTCATCACAGGCACGGACCCACACAACTCCTGCTACCGGGCAAACAACAAAGGGGGAAAGTACTCTTCCCTGAGAGAGCGAATTTCCTCGCTACCCTTGCTTGGAAACTGGCGCACTGCCCATCGTCTGGGCGCAATGCATCGTGCCCGTAGAAAAGGGAGGGCCACCCCGTCATTCCTCCCAGTTTTCTGTCCTCTTTTTCCTACCGCGTTTTCGTTCATCGTCGTTTATCGTCGCTCTCTATTGTCCAGTTGTTCTGTGACTGCCGCTCTTTTTGCAAACCCTCCGCCTGCTTCGATCATTTGACGACTTGCTTCTCTTTTGCACTCCTCCCATCCCAATCAAAAATCTACTAAACAAATTCCGGAAAACCTCCCAACTATCAACATGTTCGCCTCCTCCTTTTTCCTGGCCTTCCTGGCCTCCTCCATGGTCGCTGCCCAGTCCCCCATCAGCGGCACTCTCACCTCGACTGTGTCCATGACTCAGACCATCACCATCACCAAGTGCAACCCCACCGTGACCAACTGCCCGGCCAACAAGGTCTCTAGCACCAGCACCAGCATCAGCACCACCAGCTCCAGCTCCAGCACAAGCACAAGCACCAGCTCCAGCTCGGTCTTCAGCACGACGGCCGCTCTCAACACCACCACCTACGCTCCCCCTACCTCTACTTACGTGCCAACCACAGTCGCCCTCAACACGACCTCGTCTGCTTGGTACCCGTGCTCCAACACGTCGACCATCGCCTACGCCACCTCGTATGCCAACAAGACCTCTCTGTACGGCACTGCCCCGATCACCAAGGCTTCCACCAAGGTTTCCACTCTGGCTACCACTCTGGCTTCTATTCCGGCTTCCACTCTGGACACGACCCCTGCTGCTGCTGTCGAAACGACTGCGACCAACGCTGTCCCTGTTGTTGTCGCTGCCAGCTCTGCTACTGCCGCAGCAGCATCCGCTACCACATCTTCGATCACCTCTGGCGCACAGGGTCTGTTCGTCCAGAGCGGCCTGCTCATGGGTGGTCTGGCTGCTGCCATTGCTCTGCTGGCATAAACGACAAACTTTCCCGTTTGATTTCCAGCTTTATACCACTTCTTTTATTTGTTGTCCCTCAGCTTCGCAGGGGGACAATGTGCTCAGTTTTTGGAGCAGCGTTCTTTTCTTGGGGTTGGGCGAATTTGGTGGGGCTTTCTTCTTTTCTTTTCTTCGATTAACAACATTTCCTTTGTTATCCTTCATGTCCTCTTTTCTCTATGCGTTCTCGGCTGCTGGACACTGCCTCCCCGACCTCGCGGTCCTGGTTTTTACCTTCTGATGTGCACAATGGCATTGGTAGCACATGGACCAGGCGTCATTTTGTCTTATAATTTTGATGATTTGGCACGGGGAAGGGGTGAAGCAGTCGGCATCCTTGCATGCGAGGAACAGTGCCATGCCGGAAAGGATTGTGTGTTTTCCCCTATTTTTCGACCCATTTTTTTGGTATATTAGACAAGCGATCCAGAAAATGTGATGCGCGATTTTATATGGGAATAACGACGAAATGATTACAAACGGTATTCATTACCACTTGCACAATAAGCTTCCATCGTGATAATTGATGGAATCAATGTCGAAGTTACGAGTACATCCTGCTCGTTCCCCAATGGAACAGTGGTTGACGGTAACGGTAGCGGGGCAATTTGCCTGGAGGCCGGTTAACCTTAATTCTCCCGTGATCGCTTAGGCGCTTGTGCAAACGCTCGCGCTGAGTTGATCACGCCACAGTCGTCCGGAGCGACAAGTCTTGCACTTCTGTTCTTTGACTTCAAAAGGCTTGACAACGCTTCTCGATTTTCAAGAAGATCTTGTTGCTTCGAGGTAAGATTCTTGCCAGTAAAACAGTCATTTGCTTTCACGAGGGTCGCAAACCGTCCAAATGATGAGAAGTGTATATTATGTATGTATGGCGTAACTAACATCCACATAAGATACGAAAATGACTCCAATCCACTCTTTTCCGATCTCCTCGGTCAATGTTCATTTTCCAGTTGTCCCGATGGCCGTCGCATCTTCCAAAGACGCCGCCGTCCACCTCATTACTTTGTAACCTCTCGTTTAAGCGCTGTCATCACCAGAGAAGTCGATGCTTTGGCTGGTCTGGCCGGCTGCTGCCTTGTCCAGAGAAATGTTGTTGTTCAGGTTATTCGTATCCTGGGAGATATCGGCGGACTTGGCAGTGCCCGTCTGAGCCTGCTGGATCTGCAGGCCAGTGACCTCAAGCTGAAGCTTCAGGACCTTGTTCTTGATCTTGCCGACCTGCAGGGCCTTGCCGGCCGCGGTGCTCTTGCCAGCAGCGGAAATGGCATCGTTGAAGCCACCGGTGTCGGCCTCGGCAGACTCGGCCAACACGCGGGCAGCCTGGATGATGGCCAGATCGCCGGCATCGACATTTGCCAGGTCGTTGTAGTCAATCTGAGAAATGATGGTCAGCTTAATGACCGTTGAAGAATGCTAGCTAATTTGGTATATGATAGTACGTACCGGGAACTTGGCCTTGACCTCAGCCAGAGCGTCACCGGCAACACCGCTTGAGACCTGGAAGTCGGAGTACTTGCTGACAGACAGGACGCCAGCCCGCTTTTGGGGCTTGTCACCCATGGGCAGTGCCAGAGCCGAAGCGGCAAAGGCAAGGATGAGGGCCTTGGAGAAGTACATGGTGTTTGTTGGGAGAAAAGGGGGTTTTAAAGTTAAAAAGAGAATGAAGAAATGACCGGAGTAATAGTTGAGAACGAAAGAGTAGAGAATCGAAGTAAAGACAGCACAGCTGAACAAGAAAAGAATGAGAGATGAAGTCTTCACAGAAGAACTGATTGTAGATGAGCGTTGAGGATGGGAAAGAAGGGAACCGAATACAACAAAGGCATGGCGAAAGGACGTGTTTTATACATGGACGGCGACAGCTCGTATTGCGATGGTCGAGGATAGGCTTAAAACGTTCATGCTTAGATTTGACGGCGAATACCACGTAGTCCGACCGCCAAGGCCGTTAGCGAGTGAGCGGCCCCGTGTGGCCTGTGTCAGGATGTCCGGTCGCCCGTATTATCCCTTTTTTGCTCTTTTAATATCGCTTCGGTAGAGTCTGTTCGCGCCCAAAGTAACCGCCTTCGTGGTGACCTTGCCTTTGAGACTGGGGTCTCTTCCCATTTCCAGCGAGCGGAACGGTTGATGCACATGGAGTATGCGACTAATAGACTTTATTTGATCACATTATGACCATTGGGCCGAGTGATAGGTCTCCTAGACATGGATCGACTTGCTCATCCCTTCTCGCTCATATCCCATAGTGGACATTTCACGGGGCGCCAAGATTTTGCAAGTGTCCAGCACGGCCAAGAAATGGGGCCGGCCCCGGGTAGAACGCGTCTAGAAAGCGGTGCCTTGTTCTGCTTTGAGAATGCCAGCTCATCTTCATGCTGTACGTCTTCTCTGTTCTCGGGCTCGGCTCTGTGATATGTGAATTCAGGCCGTCAGCCGTGGACTCTCGTGCGCTTCTTTGTTTTTCTCTCTGGGAGCAGCTGTCACCGCCTCTGAAAATTGTGTTTGGCACGAGGATTTGTGATCGTCTCAACAATTGTCGATCCCGGAGATCCCAAACACAACGACCCTGAGCCAAGTTTTTGGCGTTGTTCTTGTGTTCCTGACGGGGGATGTGCTTAGCAGGCAGGTCTCCGGAAGGGTCCGGGCACTAGAACAGGCGCCGCCTTGACCAAAGAGGAGCTGTGGAGGAAATAAGAAAGGGGGCCATGAGACAAGGAAAATAGGCAAAAATTAAGCAAAAATACGAAAGTGGAGCTATTCACGGAGGTGAGCCGCAGTGGATCGTCTCACAAGCTGTCGCGGATCACTGAATAGACTGCATCAGGACTTGGTTGCTACTCTGATGGCTTCCTTTTTTCTCTTTCGTCAACGAGCCTGCTTTGTTTTGCCAAATGCGTTCTGCTGGGTCGGACGACTTGTTGCTTCGAAAAGCAAGGGGCTGTTTACTGGCTTTGGGTGGTCTGGCGCAAGCCGACGGGAGTTGACTGGTGTTGGCAAGGATGTTGTTGTTTCTATTTCTCATGTCTACTCCTGGCAACAAACGAAGACAACAGAAATGAAGAGCTGCAGCAGTTACGCGCTAGAAACTAGTGACCGCAGGCAGTAATTACCGTTTCGTTAGGTGTCCCAGCACGGTGCACAGGCAGAAAGAGCAAGTCGAGCAGGCGACTGCCACAAACGGAAGTCTGCGGGCAAAACCAAGGCAATTAATTGGCCGTTTTGAGTATTCGAAACAGCACGAGAACAAAGAATTACCAAACACGATGCGCGCACGAATCACAGGTATACAGCAGCGTACAATTCTTACATTGCGCCATGATTTGCCGTGTAAGCCTGTCTGTCAGGCACAATTCCTGACCGGATTTCGGATTCGCTGCCAATTATTACTGGTCCGGGCAAGCTTGTATGGAACTCGATGCAGGCCAACAACTCAGCAGCAGCCTAGCAGCAACCATTCCGGAAGAGGCTGCTCGCAATTCACCTCCCCGCACCAACAGGAGCGGTCCGAGTCAGAGGGAGGGGGAGCTGATTGGTGCAGACATCTACCGTACCCAGAGGCCGAGTTGACTGGAAGACAACACAGAGCGGTGACAGTTGTGGCTTAATTGGTGCTGGTGGCTTGTTTGCTTGCTTTAAAATTGTCTCGATTGGAGCTGCCTGAACGGTGTGGTTAAAACTGCTTTTGCGATCTTCCAATTTCCATCCTTGTTTGGTTCTCTACTGTTTCGGTGTTCCGCTTTGAGAACCCGACTCTCGACATTGGCCATGCCGCACACTTCGCCGTACCCACCGGTACCCATTCCGGAGGTCGACATCTGGACGTTGGTCTTTGAGCGCAAGGCCAAGGCCTTTACTGACAGCAAAGGTATCCTCTCTGCTGCCATCATTTCTCTTGTATCCCTCCCGTCTTCCCTCCTGACTGTGTGACAGAGATCATCACGGATGGCGACTCGGACCGCAGCTACTCGTTTGGCGAGCTGCGCAGCGCGGCGCTTGCCTTTGGTCGGGGCCTACAGGAGCTCTGGGGCTGGAAGCATGGCGACGTGCTGGCCTTTTACACGCCCAACTGCATCGACACGCCGCCGGCAACATTGGGGCTGTTGTGGGCCGGCGGCATCGCCACGCCGGCGAATCCATTGTACACGGAAAAGGAGCTGACATTCCAGCTGCGCGACGCCGGTGCCAGTGCCATTGTCACGCAGCTATCCTTTCTCGAGACGGCGCGCCGCGCCGCCAAGGCCGTCGGCATCCCGGACGAGCGCATTATCTTAGTCGGCGACAAACAGGACCCCTCGGGCACATTCCGGCACTTTAATGACTTTGTCAGCGTCGGCAGCCCAGGACGCGGCCGTAGCACATCGACCGTTGCCATCGACCCGCGTCGTGACCTCGCCTTTCTCGTCTACAGCTCCGGCACCACCGGACTGCCCAAGGGCGTCTGTCTCACGCACCACAACATCGTGGCCAATGTGCTGCAGTTCTGTGCCATGGACGGCCCTTACTTCCATCCGCATGGAGGCCACGACGGAAAGGGTGATAAGGGACTGGGCGTGTCGCCTTTTTTCCACATCTACGTGCGTTGTCGATCCTCCAGCCCTGTCTCGTTCTCGTATTCTTCTGACCTTTCAGGGCCTCGTCTGCAACATGCTCGTGTTTGTCTATATGGGCTGGCAGCTGGTGGTGATGTCGCGCTTCGACATGGAGCGGGCGTGCCAGCTCATCGAGAAGCACAAGGTCACGTTCGCATACTTCCCGCCGCCCATCATCCTGGCCTTCTCCAAGCATCCGGTGGTGGACCAATACGACGTAACGTCCATTCGGCTCTTCCACTCGGGCGGGGCGCCGCTGACCACGGAGCTCGCCACAGCGCTCTGGGACCGACTGAAGATTCCGGTCAAGCAGGGCTACGGCCTTTCCGAGACGTCGTCGCTCTCACACATGCAGACGCCAGACGAGTGGGGCAAGTTTATGGGCTCGGTGGGCAAGCTGGCGCCCAACATGGAGGCCAAGATTGTGGACCCCGACAGCGAGCTCGAGGTGGCCGACGGAGAGACGGGCGAGCTCTGGCTCAAGGGGCCCAACGTCTTCACACAGTACCTGAATCTGCCCGAGAACACGCGCGCCACCATGTCCTCGTGCGGCTACTTCAAGACGGGAGACATCTTCCGCCGGGACAAGCATGGAAACTACTACTGTGTGGACCGGCTGAAGGAGTTGATCAAGTACAGTTCGTCTCACGCCCGTTTTGTTCTTGTCTCACAGACATACGCTAACAAACTGTACAGAGGCTTTCCAGGTAGCACCGGCAGAGCTCGAGGGCGTGCTGCTCGGCCACGACGACATTCTAGACGTCGGCGTCATCGGCATCGAAGACCGCGCCCAGGCCACAGAGGTGCCGCGTGCGTACGTGGTGCTTAAGCCGGGTCATGCGCGCAGTGCAGACAAGGCGGCCGAGATTGTCGCGTGGCCAGCTGGCCATACGGCTCCGCACAAGAAGCTGCGTGGAGGGGTGCACTTTGTCGACAGCATTCCCAAGTCTGCAAGCGGCAAGATTCTGCGACGTGTTTTACGGGGCCGCGCTCTTGAAAAGGCCGGGTCGGTTGCGAAGCTGTAGGTGTGAAAAGGGGACGAGGTACCGAGTAAACAAAATGGAAATAGACCTATAGTGGAATAGAACAATCGAACGATAAGGAGATGACCAAAAAAAACGTACAGCAGCGGGTATTCGCTGGTCGTCACCGACCCAACTACTAATCCGCCGATTACTGGTTTAACTAGGGGAGAGCGGACGGGATCCCGTGCTTTCCAGTATCTATGGCCGTACGTGCAAGTTTTAGCGTGTGCAAGACTTATATAGCAGCAATGATAGATCTGGTAGTGTCACTCCACATAATATGCCGTTCATTATTACAGCACAACTGCGCTGGTTTGCTTGTACTTTTGTACTTTGTCCTTTTGAGTTTTGTCTAGCGTTTCTTTATGTTGGTACAGTTCTCAGCCCATCATGCATCAGCCCAGCTTCTCGACTTCCTCCATCAGCCGCTCGATGCTAAACTGCGGGTCGCCAGCGGCAAACCATTGCAGCAGCATGCGCCGGTTGCGGATGCCCTCGCGGTCGAGGGTGGCTGCAGCAGTCTCTGTCGTCTGCGTCGTGCCCGGGATGGCCCAGGCGCCGTAGAAGCGCTGCAGACACATGACCAGCCAGCGGGCACTGTCGACGGAGGCGCCGCGATCGGTCATAACCTGGCCCTGCATCAGGACGACGCCGCAGTCGGTTGCGAGATCGGTGTGGTGTGTGACCGTTGTGTGCGGCTGCGCGAACTCACCACGCAGCTTGTACTCGGCCAGCTGCGTAAACAGCACCGTGCTGCTGCGCGTCTGCTCGTCAAATGTCCACTGCAAGAAGTGTACCTCGGCGCCCTGTTCTGGATGTGGCACCGGCAGCACAAACTGTGGCCGTGCCCGTGCTGCCGCCTCCATGGCCGCGTACGTCGCCGCCGGGATCACCGCGCACAGCGAGCTCGGGTCGGCCGCCAACCGCAGCCGCCAGACCGCCGTCAGCTCGTCCGCACCTAGCGAACGCGACTTTTCCAGGTCGAGAAAGGGCGAGAGCGGGCGGGCACCACGGCTGGAGGAGGAAGAGGTTGTCGAGGAGGAGGAGGGCGTGGTTGAAGGGCTTGTCGAGGTCGAGGAGGTCGAGGAGGTCGAGGAGGTCGGCTCCTTTTGCTGTGCTGTTGGCACATCCAACACCACGGCGTCCTTTCGCCGCAGCTCTGTAATCTTGTTTGCATACGCCGTCCGCAGAGCTTCAATGTCCGCCACGCCCTCGCTCTGCGCCTTGGCCGCCAGACGGTTCCGGTACCGCTCCAGCACTGCTGCCGATGGCGAAATCGGGTCTGCTCTTACTGAGGCTGAGGCTGGGGTTTTCCCGGTCTCTGGCTGTGATGGTCAAGTCGTATCGGGAGGTGCCGGCGAATAGGAGATCCGGCGCCACGTCCGCCACAAGCGGGCCACTGACAAGGCTGAAGCTGCCACTCGTGGCCGTACTAGCCATGGTATGACAGCAGGCCGCACTCCATCTGCCGCCATACATCCGCTGGTTCGGCGCGCGCAGCAGTAGACCGACGGGGAGAAGGCGACTTGAGGGCGTCATTGCTGACGTCCTACCCATTGCCAGGGCGGCAGCTGCTGCTGGTGCCATGACCTCTCTTTGAGCTGGAGAGCGATCGGCGCAGAACAGTTGGCTGTCTGCTGAGAAGGATTCGGCAGAGCGTCAAGCTTGCAAGCAAAGCCTCGATTGGCGACGGGATTCTGCCAACAGAGCTACAAAAAATTCCGCGAATTGATTTAGTCACGTGATGTTTGAGCAATACAGAGTAGGCCTCGAGAGCCTTCGAGAAGCATAGCTTCAACGGTCGTCGTTCTGGATATGGATTTTTTTAATTCTGGTGAATTCTGTGTGTTAACCGGCTCGCCTCCTTGGGTTTGGTTTTTTTTTTTCGTTAAATTACCGATACAAGGGTAAATTGCAGCTACCTTGATTTGCTTGACTAAATGTGATAAGTACGGAGTACATAATACAGAGTCTCCAACATGCATCTAACCAGGAACTCAGACACAATCTGCAACTTTGCCACATACTCGGCTTAAAGGATCTTGGCCAACACGTGAAATTCACATGGTTCCTGGTTTTTTCGGCATTTTCCTATGGTGTTGGCCAAATATCCGTACCGCAGACTAGCGAAATACGGTCCTTCCAAAAGGCTCCTATCTTAAACCCCAATTTTTCACTTAGTAAATGGATCTATTATTAATTTGAGGGGCCCCGGGATCTCGGGAATTGAGCAAGCAATAGCGTATCCATCAAATCTTGACAAATTATGTGCTTTTGAATGGGCAGAAGCAGCAAGGGCCCGCTTCAGTGGATCTTTGGTGGACGTCATCGCAATCGTGAAGAAGTCCAGCTATAGTCTTGCATTTGGTCTTCGCTGTATGACTTTCTAAAATCGCCGCTGTATGCTATCTAGCCATGCCACCGTGTCTCTGCCTATAGTAGCAGCGCGTATATCGTAGCCGTGAGTATTGAAAGACTGCTTCGCTCGTCTTTCCCGCATCTGGAAAACGTCAAGGTCCCCATCCAGTCGCTGGGGTGGTATCGCAAAGGCAAGGCAGTTCTTTCACCACCGTGTTCCTTCTTTGTGTTTGTGTGTTTTGTGATTTGTGTGCTTCTTTACTCTTCAAGGTTCTTGAAGACAATATGCTTCCCCTCAGTGCCCGCGGCGTACGGCACACCAAGCTCAAACAGCTTCGAGACGGCTGCAGAAAAGTCCGAGAAGAAAGCGGCATTGTCGGCGGCGTACTTCTCAACCGTAGGGCGGAACTTCTTGTCCGTGACCAGAGCCATGTCTGTCGGCAGCATCATCAGAGTGTGCGTTGCCGAGTCGACATACTGCTTGTTGCCATTCCACCGCTTCCACTCCCACTTGGCCTCCAGCAGCAGCTTGTAGAAGTCGTTGGTCAGGACGGTAGGAGAGAAAGTCCAGGGGCCGTCGAAGCCGCTGTTCTTGATGTGGCAGCGGCCGACGGCATGTGCACCAAGCAGTGCCACGATCTCCTGGTCGTTGAACCCCATACGGTAGAAAATGTTGCGGACGTGGTCTGAGCCCTGGGAGGCGTCCGGCAGCCGGCCATCCGGTGTGCAGCCGGTGAAGTCCTTGTCGGTGCGGCCAGGACGGAAGGGCACCTTGGGGCCCGACATCTCCTGGATGGCAGCGATACCGCCAATGATCCAAAGATCGGCGTAGCTAATCCACGGGAACTTTGCTGCAACGTTATTAGAAATTGTGTCGAAACGCGAAAGGTCGCAGTTTGGATCACGACTTACCGTGCACCGGCTCAAGGAAATCGCGGGCGTTGATCAGGCCGTTGTTTGCATCGTGCTGGCTCTCGGGGGCGAAACGCATGGTGGCACCGTTGCTGCCACCAGTGCCTGTGGCCTTATCATAGGTACCGCTCGCGTGCCAGGCCAGACGGAGCAGCACCGGGCCATAGCTGCCGTCGTCATACTCGTCCTTCTCCTGGAGAAGCTTGGCAATCTCATTGTAGACAGCCTGGTATTCCTTCGGCCCTGGCGTGGTGACCTTGGTTGAGACTGAGCCCTGGCTGTACAGATAAGCAGCAGCACCGGCACCAACGGCACCAGCACCAAGCCAAACCCAGAGCGAGCTTGACGAGGACTGTTTAGGGGCCTCAGATGAGTAGTGGCGACGGCCGGCACCTGCACCTTGACGGAAAGCAGAACGGGAGGAGGCTCCAACGGAGGCAGACGCGAAAAAGGCACCTCGAGATGGTGCGGCACGGGTGGCGGCACGGAGGGCCTGGCGAGAAGCGAAAGACGCCATTGTGATGGTGGTGATTTGAGAAGAAGCTTTGGTTGGGAAACGAAGCGGAACCGAAGAGGGTGTTTTGTCGTGAGCAATACAGAGCAAAGTTTCTCTACTTGAAACGACAGTAGGTAGATATAAAAAACCGAGAACAAAGAAACCACTAAGGAGATTATGGTCGACCGTGAGAACAAAGGCGGGAAGCTTCACCTTTATGAGAGGGACTGAAGCGAGCAAGACTACAATCACCTTTCCGGATTGTGGCCAAAGTCCGGAAGTGGGGAGAGGGAAAAAAGAGAAGGAGCGAGGAGATCACACTACACAGTGCCTGACCAGACACAGCTGAAGTATGCAGAAGTAAAACAAGGGACACAAGGCCGTTCTGGCCTGTTGTGCGGGAAGTCAAATCCCGAAAGTGGAAACGGACCAATGGGAGACCGGTTGATCAGAATGTGTAATTTCTACGGAGTACCTATGTAGTCGTTGCCCTGCAGACAGTGACAGGAATCGACTGTGGCAAGGGCGGGAGAGAGTGGGCCAGCTGTCAAGCGGGAGTGTTTTTGCAGTTGGCACAAGAGGCCGCGGGGTTTGGAGCTGCTGGCTGCCATACGGACGCCTCTTTGTAGCCTGCAGAAAGTAGTACAGCGTACATACGACGTAGCAACTGCACTAAAGCTGTCTACAAATGATTAGTAAGATACTGCCTGAATGTGAATTGCTTCTTGACATTCATTCTCCTTCATTTGCCGTCTGTTGCCAAGTCTCGGCGTCTGCTTCCCATCCCATTTATAAGCGTCACCTCCTACGGACGTCTGCTACAACGCAGACAGGGGTCTTACCCCTCAGTTTCTTGCATTGTTTGTTTGGTATGTAAACTGGCCGTCGACAGGGGCGATGTGCCGCGAGCATCTCTGTGGGCCAAGCTAGTCGACAGCTTTCTGGAGTACGGAGTAAGCCGTGTGCATACGGAAAATAGCCCACCATCTTGCCCGAGAATGGGACAGTAGATCCACAATGTCGAGCTTTTCCAATACGAAGATACTCACTCGTCGGCATTTGGTCCTTTAGCCAAAATGCAAATAAGCGGTCTCAAAAAATTTGTAACACTAAACACGGCTAGAGCCCATCAAATTAAGATGAAAAAATTATTTCTCCCCCGGGTGGGTTTGAACCACCAACCTTTAGATTACTACAGGTATAACAGTCTAACGCGCTATCCAATTGCGCCACGGGGGATTGACCAGACATGATTGGATTTTTCGTCGTGATCTGTGACCATATAGGCCGCTGAGCTAGAAGCGTTGACATGTACATATGTTTGCTACGTTTTAGCGACGGACATGTAAAGAATGTTCTTTTGGAGCATATTTAATGTACACTCTTACCTGGGATAAAGCGCACCTCCTGTAGGCAAAACCACATTACTGAACATCCGGCCACATTTCCCTACAACGCCGATTTATCACAGATGCGTGGGCCCATCAGAGGCTCCCACGAGTTTCAACAAGACAATCACGTTCCTCATTTTATATGGCCAACGTAGCGCATCCCTCTGCCTCAACCTTCTCATCGCTCCTCCCATCCAGTCCCACCATTCATTCTTGTATGTAGCAGGCGACCCAGAATCTCAACGACCATACATAGCAATGCGACGTATATAGTACATAAGAATAGAAACAAACAACATAATAGTCTTACCATCACGACAAAATATTGGACAGAAGGCGACAACAGTCTACGATTACCCGCCACATCATAAACAAAGAAACAAAATAGCAAATGAAAACCTGCCGTTTTACTTATCAGAGATGGTATCAGTTGAAAGATGCAGGCCCTTGAGCCGCAGAGTTGGGCTCGCCAAACAGCTCGTAGTAGTTGAGGTATCTGGCCTCGGCTTTCTGGAGCGTCGCCTCGTCTAGGTCGACGACTGGCACATCGCCCTCCTTTGCCGCATCCTTGTGTTTAGTAAAGAACGAGATAGAGGCAGGACTATTGAAAGGGGCCGAGTTAGCATTTTTGTTCGGAAGAGACAATACTGGCAGGACAAGCTCTTTGTAAACTAACCCAAACATTTCTCTATCAATGGATAGGAACAGCTTCATGGCGTCTTTGCCGCCCCTCTGCTGCAGATACGTCAGGTAGACCTGACATAGCTCTCTCTTCGTCGTTTGAGACAGACGACTATGTGACCGCATCTCTTTGAAGACGGCCGCGACCCGCTCAGCATGCTGTGCTTGCGCATCATTGCTGCCCGGCTGTGCAAGCTCAAAATCGATCCACTTCCACCAGAACTGCCGACTGTCGGCATACCACTGCACGTTCTTTTCAAACACCGTGCGTGCATCGTCCGCTGAGCCCTTCACCTTCCATAAGAGGTATGCCCACTCCGTAACAAGCGCTGCCTTGGTGTACAGGTCCACTTCAGGGAGATCAATATGCTGCTTAAGAACGTCGATTGCTGCGTCCAGGCCGCCTTGGCGCCGCTCCAGGTTGGCCCATGACAGGATCACCTCGACACTGCTCGGCAGTCTCGCAAGTATGGCGGCATGCACGTCTCGTGCTACATCGATGCGGCCACAGCTCTCTTCAAAGTAAGCGAACTGCAGCCGGATGCCTGGCCGACTGACCGGCACAAAAAACGTTGACGCCCGCAGATAGACCATTTGCGTGTCCTCGTCTTTTCCGGGCTGGGCTTCCATCCACCGTGTGTAGCGAAACCAGAACTCCTCGTAGAAAGCACAAGTCACCAGGCAGCGCTCGTACAGAAACACGGTACGCGCATAGTCGCCCTCTGCTTCCTCAAAATCCAAGTACTTGCGCCAGTTGGCCAGCTGCGGGTGCTCCTGCTTGGCGTCACGGAAGCCGGGCCGCTTGATCTCGGCTTCGAACGTCCACCGCTTGTTCGTCTCTGCCTGCGTCGTGGTAAAGTCCTCGTAGTAGATGGCATCGATCTTGGCGCGGATTTCAGACTCAAGCTCAGCTTCAGACTTGGCAGCCCCATACTGTGCCGCCTCGGCGTCGAGTTCAGCTCGAATGCGGGATAGTGCCTCGGCAGAAACGAGCTCCGTGACAGGGCGCGATTGGGCCAGCTGCCGGAAGCGTTCGAAATACCGAGCGTACTGGTGCATGGGAATTTTGATGATCCGTTTGAGAATAGTAAAGATATTGTCGGTGGCCTCGAGACGATCCTCGTACTCGATGTACCTGTCCCAAAAGGGATGGGCCAGGAAGTCAAGTCCGACATGGTTTGCAGCTCGTTCGAACAACCTAAGAGGATATAGTCAGTACACGGCTGCACTCCAAACCGCTCCCCAGCGAAAGAGCAGGGACACGTAGGGTAGAGAGAAGGGTCATATGGGGGAGGAAGGAGAGGAGAGAACGGGACGGGAGTGCAAATACAAAGTTCGGCTGTATCTTTGGAAGTGAAGAACGAATCCGTGTGCTGAGGCAATCGACGTAGTAGAACAAGAGAAGGAAATGTATCATCAGAGTGTCTACTTTGGCGACAAGGGCGCGAGAGAAGCTTGAGAGTGACTGGTTCACGTGGCCAAAGAAGACATCATGCTGCGTCTGGTATAAAGAGGGTTTGAGTGAGAGAGAGCACATCCAGCGTTCCTTTTAGAATATCCATTTCTCTGGTAACTCTCACCGTAAAGGCCATAGCGATACGTGCGTTTCTCATCCTCACTACCCTTGTCCACTTCACTGCTCTCTGGACAATGAAAGCACGAGCTGCTACTGGACTATGCCCTCTCAATCTCATGGGAAGCTAACGGTTATGGGGGCGGGAAAAAGAGGAGGAGGGAGGACGGGAGAGGGTTTGGGACTTACTCTCTCACGGCCTGAGGAACATGTGTGGTTTCCATCTTGAAGGAACAAAACTCTGTCCACAAGTCCACCGAGTTCGTGATGCTGGCACAGCCGCGCTCGTAGACCATCTCAGCTTCCTCCGGTCCAGATATATTGAACTCGAAGTCGGCATACTTCTTCCAATAACCAAATAGGAGTGGAAATTTCAGAAGAAACCGGTCGTATGAGTCGCGCATGGTTGCCAAGGCTTGCGGGCTCGAGTTTCGATTCAGGCCCCCATCCAGTGCCTCGCAGGCACGAATCAGCTTTTCCCAGTTTTCGAAACTGTCCGTGTCGGCCTCCTGCGCACGCATAACGCGTCAGTATATCATAGAAAACAGCTTTGCTCCGTCTCCCTGAAGAGTATGAATAGAAAATGACCTACCGCTTCTGCGTTAAGCCGTCCGATATCCGCGTTTTCCTCCTTCGTTCCTCCATAGTTGTAGTCGGCCATGTTTGCAAGGTTGCGTGAAGAAGAGCTGTCGCGCCACAGTTCGGTGATCGCTTCGGCAATGTATTATTTCGTAGTAGATACGGGCTGGACTGGGGACGTGCTGGTAAGATCGTAATCAAAGCTGTGCCCGGCGCGTTGCAATAGGGAATAAAGCGATGGTAGAAAAGGAAAGGCTGGAAAAGGACGTGAATCTTTTCTGCAAAGCCAAAAAATCAAGGCTGCGATAGATTATGTCATCCCGGCGCGTCGGATGAATCACGTGTGGAGGAGAACTGCGTCATACACCTTGTACTCTTTACTTGTTCGCAACACAAAAATCGCACTCCCTTGTTAGACTGTCAGCTTCACGTCAACCTCCAGCCTCCAGCCAGCAAACAGTATCATTATCTATCCCTAAGCTCCCCGCATACTGTGAATATCTTGCACTATTTAGTTGCATACGGCCGGCTGGTGTCGGCCCCGAGTGCAATTGCGGTAAGTGGACACGAGTGCCTTTTGTGGTCCAGATCAACTAACGGCTAACTTGAAATGAAGCATCGTGCCTGCATCTCGATTAGCGGTGACAACAGAGCTTCCTCTTCGGTTCAGACCTCAAAAACAACACCCACGGCACTGCACAGTCCCCCGCTTGGTAACAGAACCGAGATTGTGTACTGGCACGCTATGCACAGCTTCTCGGATCCGTTGCTATCGCTCTTTCGCATACACCTCGAGTTGACGTCTCGACACAATGGACTATCTACCAACCACAACGTCCTGGAACAGCCAGGCTCCAGACCTGGATAAGTCGAGCCGTGTTATGATTCGTGACTATCCCCACCGTGCTATAGCCATTGTCTCCCACTCGCATGCCCTCATATTTCGACACAGCACGTCCGGCGCCGAACAGAATGGGACTGTCGGGGCTGCGAAATGCATGGTCGAGTTCTCCCCGGTTTCAAAGGGCATGTTGAGCGACTACCGCCCCCTCACTTCTCGCCCGATATACGGGACGCTGGGACTTATATCCATCAACCGAGATGTATTCCTCTGTGTTATCACGCAAGCAACCCTTGTGGCCACGCTTCGTCCAGGCGAGACGATCGAAATGATCGCCGAGGTCCAGTTTTTCTGCCTCAATACGAACGAATACGATGACGTTCTGTCTGCAGATCCGTGGGATCCTGACGGAGATTCAGCCTCGGTCTATTCCCAGGGCCTGAGCCGCCGAGATGTGCCGGTGGAGCACCCTTGCCAGGAGCTGATAAAGCTTCTGGGCAACCGAAGCTTTTATTACAGTACTGACTTCGACCTCACAAACCGGCTGCAAGACAGGTGAGAGTTCTTAGAAGGAACAGGACACGGTGGGGATTGCCGGAACCATCTAGTACTAATGGTGGCTGCGTCAGGTCTGCCGATGCTTCGATATTCGATATCGACAACTTTGACGAGTCGTTTTTGTGGAACTCGTTCATGATTCAGCCCTTGGTACAATTCCGGTCTCGGCTCCAACCACACGAACGAGATGTGTTGGATGCCTCGCGAATTCTCACTTCTGCCATTCGAGGATTTTGTCTCACCGTGACGATTCCTCAGTCGGTGGCGCCGCTTCGCACCAAACGCTCTGGCATGCCCTCTTACCTCACTGTAATATCGCGATTATCATGCAGACGGGCAGGCACTCGGTTCAACGCCCGCGGCATCGACGACGACGGCAACGTCGCAAATTTCGTCGAGACGGAAACTATATACTGGAGTCCCGCCGGCGTCGTGTTCTCCTACGTCCAGATTCGCGGCTCTGTTCCCATATTTTGGGAGCAGTCGCCTGGCCTGATTCCAGGCCACCAGAAGATTGTCATCACACGGTCCCCCGATGGCGCGCAGCCAGCGTTCGATAAGCATTTCGAAGAGCTCGAACAGTCGTATGGTGCTGTTCATGTGATCAACCTGCTCAGTGAGGTAAAGCCCGGCGAGGCGGAGCTCTCCTCTGGCTTCCGCTATGGCCTGAAGCATTCACCCTTGAGCAGCAAGGACGGGAACGGGTCGCTAGACCATGCGCTCCTCTGTGCGACAGAGTATGATTTCCATGCCGAAACAAAGGGCCCGACGGGGTACGAGGCGGCGCAGGAGATCCGCCGGTACATCGCAAACTCGGCAGATGGGTTTGCTTACTACATGTCCGTCGAGATGGACGACTCGGCAAAAGGTCGTTCGGCTGCTTCAGAGGGGCACCGGCGGTTTGTTGTAGTGCTGCAGCAGGAGGGCGTGTTTCGAACGAACTGCTTGGATTGTCTGGACCGCACAAACCTCATCCAGACGATCATTTCACAGATGGCGGTGGAGGCGTTCCTGCAGCACAAAGGGGAATATGCGGGATCGGATTTCTGGGTGCGGCATTCAAACCTCTGGGCGGACAATGGAGATGCTCTATCGAAGATTTATGCTGGAACTGGAGCTTTTAAGTCTTCATTTACACGCTCTGGAAAGATGTCGCTGGCGGGTGCCATTGCTGACGCCCGAAAGTCTGCCACACGATTGTATATCAACAACTTTGCCGACAAAGGCAGACAGAACACCATTGACCTGCTCCTAGGACGGCTTTACGGCCAAGCACGTGTTGAGCTGTTCGATCCGATTGGCGGTTATGTCACGGCGGAACTGAACAAACGGGCCAGTATTTTTTCGTCAACAGATGTCATACGGATGTAAGATCAGCCCATCCTCTGTGCATGTAAGAATACCGGCTAACATACCTTGACAGATGGGTCGGAACATTCAACCTGAACGGCCGTCTCGATGGTCTCGGGGAGGACTTGTCGCCTTGGCTCTGTCCTTCGAAAGTGAGCGCAGATGCTCTCCCAGAGATCGTTGCGGTCGGCTTCCAGGAGATTGTCGAGTTGAGCCCGCAGCAGATCATGAACAGCGACCCGACAAGGAAGCAGGAGTGGGAAGCAGTAGTGCTGGACACTCTGAACAGACGAGCAACGGCAGTGGGAGGGGAGAACTACGTCTTGCTCCGAAGCGGACAGCTGGTGGGAGCTGCCCTGTGCATTTTTGTCAAGGCGTCGTCGCTAGCCAAAATCAAGAACGTCGAGGGTGGCGTCAAGAAAACGGGATTGTCAGGCATGGCAGGCAACAAAGGAGCAGTGGCCATACGGCTGGACTATTCCAGCACACCCATCTGCTTCGTCACGGCGCATCTGGCGGCAGGCTTTGCCAACTACGAGGAGCGAAACCGAGACTACCTGACGATCCACCACGGGCTGCGCTTTCAGCGCAACCGAGGCATCGACGACCACGACGCAGTGATCTGGTTTGGCGATTTCAACTACCGCATCGGACTTGGCAGAGAGCGGGCGATGGATTTGGTGCGGGCCAACGATCTAGAGTCATTGTACGAGAACGATCAGCTCAACCTGCAGATGGTTGCGGGACTGTCGTTTCCATACTACTCGGAGGCACGCATCTACTTTCCGCCAACATACAAGTTTGATGTAGGGCGGGACGAGTACGACACGTCCGAGAAGCAGCGCATACCAGCATGGACGGACCGAATTCTGCGCAAGGGATCCAACCTGCGGCAGGTCTCGTACAACTGTGCGCCGCTCCGGTTCTCCGACCACCGGCCGGTATATGCAGAGTTTAGCTGTACTGTCACAACCGTGGACGAGACGCAGCGAGACAAGATCAGCCAGGAGATCTACGAGAGACGAAAGATGGACGTTGGCGACGTCACGGCAAACACGCTGATAGAGGACACAGACGACGAGGATCTCATCGGCTATGACGCGATCGAGCCCGGACTTCCGGCCGCGAGCTCAGACCGGCACAAGTGGTGGCTGGACAACGGGAAGATGGCCCAGGCAACGGTACAGCCACCAGTCCCAGCCAACGTGGCGATCCAGGCAACGGTGCTCAATCCAAACCGGGCGTCCAATCCGTTTGTTCCGACAGACGAGCCCGACTGGGTGGCGGTGCCACGTTCGCGAATGTCGTCCTTTTCTAGTCTATCTACGTCGCCATACGAGCAGATCAGCCACTCGGCCGTGCTTCCCGGCTCAGCTGCAAGTCACGGCGGAACGTCGGTGGCGGGCTCGAGAAAGCCACCCGCTCTGCAGTACGAGTCAAACGGACCGCCTCCTCCGCCTAGACGACAGACTAGCAACCCGGTTGCTCTGGTAGGCGGCAAGAAGACCATGTCGTCGTCGTCGCTGGCATCAATGCAGACTGCTGCTACTGCATCGACAACGACGAACATGCGGAGGGGGACGGCGGTCAGCGCGGTGACCAGGGCGTTTGAGGACCTCCAGTCACTGTCTACGCCTCCGCTGGCAGCTGCTCACAGCGAAAAAGGAGCGGGAGGCTACCACGCCGAGCTGTCTGCGAAGCTGCCGCCAGCACCACCACCTCGACCAGCTTCAGCGACATCCAACACGTCCTCGTCGACACAAAGGGGGGGCACTAAAGCAGCGCCACCAGTGGCCAGGAAGCCGGCGCGTCTGGCAGCATCCGTGTCTCCATCTAGCCAGCACATTGGTGGCGAGGTTGCAGCAGCAGCGCCAGCGGTCATACCAGTACGACGGAGATCAGAGCAGCTGCCGATGACGGAGTATAGAGACGAGGTAGCACCGCCTAAACTCCCTGCACGCACACGAACGGTACAAGGTGGAGGAGGAGGAGTAGGGAGGGGGCAAGCAGCAGCGGGCAATGTTGACTTGCTGTCGGACAACGTCAGCAGTGATCTTTCCAGGTGGCAGCCGCTGCAGCCATCGTAGAGACGAGAGACGGCTTGGTGGCGTGGCGACGAAACAATCACGAGCGAAATACGAGCGACGATGTTTAGAATACAAGGATGACGGGAAAAGCAGCAGGATTGCAGAGAGACAGACACATAGAAAAAGAGCCTGGGATCTGGGATTTGAGAAGCCCCTGGATGCGAACACGAATTGAAACATGACGAAAACGGAGAAAAGAGGCTTTGAGCACTCTATTGGCCAGCGGATATTGTACGACGACTTTGTGACGATGCTGTGCTCTGAAAGGCAATGCTAGCAGTCCTTGGATGCACAGGTAAGTCAGGCATGTTGATAAGAATGCGTCACTGCTTTCGCCGGCTTGCTCGACCCATGTCTGCCATTGCACAGACATCGGAAGGGCCCTTGGTACGGAGTACAGGTGAACCTAACATGGATGTGGAGCCTTCATCAAGGGTAGTCTCTTACATTTTGTTTTGTCTATACCTCAAACATTTTCAGCTGCTGGGTGGTGAACCCCAAAGCCGGCACTAGCCTTTCGAAAGTGGGAGCGTTTCAAGGCAAGACCTGCTACGGAGTCCCCGGTACCTGATCATCGGAGGCCTACATAGTAGAGCTGCAGGAACAGCAAGGGATGCAGGGAGCTTCCTCTGCCGTCCCTCCATCAAGAAGCAGTCCCGGCAAGGCTTGAGGGAGGTGAACCTCGCGCTAGAGCTTTCAGGTCTGGTTTCCCGCAAGCTTGGGACGCACACGTTGCCGTTCCATTGGCCAGGAGGATAAACGCGGGGCAATGCCCACTTGGCGCCTGTGATCTTGTTGCTTAATATCCGAAGCATTTACGGAGTATGTAGCATGCGCGTGCATACTATGTACTCCGTAGGCTACATAGTATGTAGTATGCTGTATATGCAATGACCCTAGCAAGAGTATGCAGATCACGGCCGGGAAAACGCCCGAGAGACGTGTTTCTGGCGAGGATGCCGGAGGCAAGGGGGATCGGGCTGAAAACTTGGCTGGGATTACCTATGCTCGTTGCGTCGAGATGATTATGACGCTAGCATGAACAAAGAGCCCGGACATTGGACGCCTTTTCTTCGGATCGTAGCTAGTTGAGTCATGACAAAGGTCTGGGGCCATCTAGGGAGACTCAGTGTCCGAGCAGGAGAGAAAGTCTCTCAATCTCGTTAGTCTGCCGAGAAGAGTGGCTCGACTCCTGTCTTCCTATGTTACTTTGTGCGGCTTCTGTACTCTGGTCCTCAATGTCTTCCACACGTGCCCATGGCCAATAGAACGTGCAGCATTGCTCCTCGTACGATGGACAAGCACAATGGATCTAGACCTAATCTAGGAGAGTCAATGCTCTTTCCTACATTACATCCAAGCACGCTGCATTCACAGACACCAATCTTAACGGTTGTCTCTTGCATCAAGCTGTACATGCTAGCTTGGCTACTGCAGTTCTCTGTTCCTCATACCTAAGCCAAGAGAGCGGATAACTGAATTTCAGTACTTTTCGCGTTCTCAACCCTTTGCCATCCCTTGCATCAAGTATATCAGCTGCTGCTACGGGAACGCCCGCACTATGCTCCACTGCAAAGTCAGCCGACGTATTCAGAAGACGAGTACTCCGTACGCTGTTACTATGTATGTGCGAGGGGTATGGACGTCGCTTACCCGTCCTTGCACTTGCAGGGTGCCAATCTTCAGAGGTCTAGACACAGGCGACAACGACAGGATCTTACGAACTTTGCGCTGCATTCTTCTACTCTTCCCTTCACGATCCGAAGTTGATTAATTCGTTTTATTAGACTCCACATGGTCTCGGGGGCAACAGCGGTTAAATGCATACGAAGTACGGAGTACGCTATGGAGTACAAAAAGGGAAAAACCCCATTTCGTCACCGGGCCGCACACGAGCATCTAGCGACCCAAGAGCGTCTTGCATCAGTAAAGGCAGTGGAAACCGCGTAATCATTTCACCAGGCCTTTTTCGTTATGCTTTGCTCGCGGCCTTGGTGCCATTCTTCCAATTCTTGGCGATGCTCAAGATTTCCGGATTACGCGGATGGGTACCTCAAAGTGCTGGCGAGAACGCAGCAACGGGAAGTACCTCCCAACTCGGGTTAGCCTGTGGATACTATGCAATCCTGTTATCAATTGACAGTCTCATAAGTCCCCCGGTTGCATATGCCACATGATCGAGAGTCACCCGTTTCCGGCCCTGTCTCGTCCTCCCCACGAGGCCTTTTTAGTAGTCGCGCGCCCGAGCCCGCCCCACCCAGCAAGCTTTGGGGGCTCGTTTTTGGTTGCTTTCTTTTCTCCTCATTCCTATAGCCGTATTCTGGCCCGGTTGCGTAGCATTGCGCCCAGTCGTGCCCACCTTGGCTCTCTTTCCGTCCTCGGCAAAGCATAGGAAGGCCATTGACCCCCCTGATTGTCATTCCCTCTTAAGTGGCCGTCTCGCTCTCTCGTGGTGATGCTGTCTTCACCTCTCTCGTCAGGAAAAATCCGATAGGTCGCAGCTCCGATATCGATACATTGTCTGCTGCATGTGTATACGCAATCCGCCTCAGCCGCTGATGTCATCATCCTGTTGTTTGCGCCGGGATCCGCAATCTGCTTAATCGCTCCTTCCAATTGTCCCACTCTTCAGCTCTCCACGGCTCTGCTCCCCGCCCTTATCGCCCTCTCTTTGTCGGTGCCTTCTTCCTCTGGGCGGACAGCGTACGAATCGGTAGTTTCAGAAGCTCTTTCGTGACGTGGCCGGGCAGGAACAACCGGACGGCCCAATCGCACCTGCAGCTTGCAGAAAGTGTGCAGGAAAAAGAACAGCAGATAGGCAAACCACCCTAGAGAAGCCAGAAATCACCAAATCCTTCAACATCTTCACTCTCATCGTCTTATCATGTCGGGAGATAGTGCCAAGACGGTCCGCAGCCTGACGCCATCACCAATCGTGCAGCCGGCTGGCCGACCACTTGCTTCTCAGCATCACAAGTCCGCGGCTGCCGCAGCAGCATTGACACCAATAGATGCAGCCACAACAGAGGCAGGCTGGCGATTGGAAACACCTGTTGCTGCCTGTCCTAGATCTCCGGCCTCTGCCTCTGCCACCACGGACGCCTCCGAACCCTGGACACCGACACGCACACGATCGAACTCCTCGTCCAATTACTTACCGCTTTCCACCTTTCCCTCGTCCACATCGCCCGTGCCTTCACGAGACTACCAGCCTCCCGGCCTTTCCGCGGGCGAGAAGACCAAAGATCCCCTCTTGGCTTTGCCACCACCACTGTCCCGTGCTCACGACCAGGATCAAGAACGGAGCTGGGGCCGCATGGGCCCCCAAGCTTCTGGCAGTCAAATTGGTGCAGGCAGCCAGACGAGAGAGCACGTCTCTGGAGAGTACCTGTCTGATAAGGTAGAGGGAGCTGCTTCGACAGTCATCGTGGTTGCGGCCGACAACCACGACAACAGTCCCAGCTGTGACCACGATCACGATGGCCCTGCTAAAACCGTCGACTCGCACGATCTTGCCTGGGACCAGACCCGCCTACGCATCGCCTACCTTGTCAGCACCATGGTGTCACCACCTGGCGACGTTGCCACAAACGACTCTTACGAAGAGCTGTCTGACAGAAATGCATCTCCGGATCGGATAGCATCGGCTGCCACAGATGCGGCTGTCACCGCTGCCACGCCCCTGCCCGACCGGGCCACCGTGCGGCGCGACCCCAGCCCAAAGATCGACATCGACCCCTGTCCAGGAGGCTGGCCAGGTCTCGAGCTGTTAAAGAAGCGTCGGCGCATCACCCAGATCCAGAGGTGGTGCGGCGAGATTGCCGCCCTGGGCAACAGCCGGACGTACTGTGCCTGCTCGGTTGGCTGTGCTGTGCCTCAAGGCGACGGGCCGTTTGAAGAATGCGCCACACCGGAATACACTTTGCAAGACGACCCAGATGCGGACGTCGCTGTCGAGAGCATTCATGTGCCGCCGGCATCACCATCTGCAGCGTCGCATCTTTCTCTATCAATCTCTTATTCCGTCCCGCCCTCCCCAACCCCGTCATTACCAACACCAGCACCGGTAGCAGCCTCTGCTCACTCTTCGTCCCGCTGCGACGGCTGTGGACACCGCTTGACTCCGAGCCGACCGTTTGACTTTGTTGGAGATGCCGGCCTGCTCAAGGGAAGCCGACATACCCCGGACAGCAGCGCTGCCCAGGGCTTGCGCAAGGCATTACGGGGCATCCGCGGCCTTGTCTCGCGAAAGAAGGAGCCGGCCGAGAGCCGGGATGAGAAGAAAGAGCTGTCGATGCAGCAGCAACGACAGCAGCGGGAGTGGGACCGCAACCTGTCCCGGATGCGGCCCTGGGACCAGTGGCACGAGCTAAACTGCCGGCACACCTCTGGCGAGTTCTTTACCCGGACCACTATGTATGGCGGATCTGCTTCCGGTTCATCGCCGACCGAATCCCATCGCCCGGCATTGGCTAGGCGCAACACGACTGCTCCGGGCCACAACCCCAGCTACGACCAGCGCCATGGTGCTACGAGCGCCAGGATAGACGAGCTGAACAGCGACAACATCAGTAGCAGCAGCGTCAGCGACAGCGGCAACGCCGACTCGCAGGAGCTGGAGAGGCGCCGCCAGCGCGAGATGGATGCAAGGCTACAACGAGCACAGCGGCTGCTGGCCTCCGAGTCCGACGGCAGAAAGGCGGTCGCCTCAGGGCAAGCACCACAATTGCCACCACTCCTGATCACGGGAGAAGCATTCTGCCTATAGACGGACAGACAAAGCCGTCTTACTATCACTCACTTATAACACTATTTTTTCTTATATTTTCCTTCCTTTTCTCTCCATATTTTCCTTTATGTCTATCCCCACGAGCTTTTTCATGAGTTCCCTCATTTCCTATTATATTGTCTATTGTATTTGACACCTTCCAACTGCATATTACCCACCGCACGTGGTCTGAAAATTTCTATTTTTCGTTTGGAGAGGGACAGGACTTTTTATATCGGGCCCACTGCACTACACAGGAAGGGATCCGATCGGTTCTTACAGGTCATTTGGAGGATACTGTTTACGATTTATCACTCATTGGATCAACCCATATATGAGAAACAAACAATTACAAACAATTACATACCACATGTACCGTTCTTTAAATCTCTCTCCGTGGCTGTACCTGATATCGGATGTGCAGACGGACAACCGAAGGGGTATATTGCGATAGGACACATGACAAGTACAGCACACACGTATACCCACCCGCACTGCACACACACACACACACACACACACACACAGGCAAAGAAGCATAAAAAGGGGGAAGAGGGTTATGTTTTGTAAATTGCCTTGGACCCAGCAGCAGAAGCATAGCCTTCTAGAATCTTGGTCCAGAAAAAAGGAGGGTGTGTGGTATGACAAAGAAATGTAAAGACATGAACAAAAGTGGACCAAAGCGTGGACTTGCAGACATGGGATACCAAGCTCGAGCCACAGGCAGAGACAGGGGCATAGATAAAAGACGGCAGCAGACTGGAAAGGTGGAAGACATGGCCGCTCTCTTTTCGATCCCACCATTCGGACGCCACGAGCGGCAGAACGAGACAGAAGGGAAAAGAGCAAGCGACACAAGACGCCAACTTCTCCCGGATGCAGCCGTGGCCAGTCTCTCCCTCTGGGCTCCAGCGTTGGCGGCTGTCAGAGATAAGTCCAGGCCCGCCATACAAGCAAGCTCTCTTCTCAAAAAGCAAGGTGGAGGTTGGGGCATAAAAAAACACATTGGAAACAGAAGACGGACGAAGACGGACAAACGGGTGGAAACAAAATGGAAGCCTCGGGGATCCCATGAAAGAACCCGGGGGGTGTGTGCGCCTGCAACGAGCTGCCGGCTGCCGGCTGCCGACTGCTGCTTGCACACCGCCCGTTATATTTTCTTTTTGCTGTTTGCTCCTTTCTAAAACGCACAGACATGGTGGATTTACGACGCAGGTGCGGCGGGCTCCTCGGCCTTGGTCTCTGCCTTGGCCTCTGACTCGGCCGCAGCCTCGGCAGCAGCCTCGGCCGGCTTCTCCTCCTCCTTGGGCGGGTCGTTGGAGGGGGCGGCTTCCGGCTCGGCGCCGTCGGACGACGTCCACAGAGTCAGATTGTCGCGGAGCAACTGCATGATAAGGGTGCTGTCCCTGTACGACTCTTCGGATAGCGAGTCGAGCTCGGCGATGGCGTCGTCAAAGGCTTGCTTGGCCAGGTGGCAGGCACGGTCGGGCGAGTTCAAGATCTCGTAGTAGAACACGGAGAAGTTCAGAGCCAGGCCCAGGCGGATGGGGTGAGTCGGCGTGAGCTCTGTCTGGGCGACGTCGGTGGCGCTCTGTGAGGGCAAAGGTTATCCAGACTGTTCGACCGACAGACGACGTGTGAGAATACTGGCAGGACAAACCTTGTAGGCCTCATGTGCGGCGGTGGCAGCGACCTTGCGCTTCTCGCCCGAGGCGAACTCAGCGAGGTAGCGGTGGTAGTCACCCTTCCTGCAGGCTGTTAAACACTAAACAGAAGGAGAAAAGGGGATGAAGAGGGTGACAGCACGTACATCTTGTGGTAAAACACCTTGGACTCGCCGGTTGCGGCGTTGGGAATGAGGCTCTCATCCAAAACGTCCAGGACGTCTTGGCAGACCTTCTCGAGCTCGGTCTCGATCTTGTGGCGGTACTCGCGGATGGTCTCGACGTGCTTGTCGGAGCCCTTGGACTCTTCCTTCTGCTCGATGGACGAGATGATACGCCAGCTGGCACGGCGAGTGCCAACCACGTTCTTGTAGGCAACACTGAGGAGGTTACGCTCGTCGACGGTAAGCTCGCCACCCAGCTTGGCAACCTCCTTCATGTACGTGACCATCTCATCGTACCGCTCGGCCTGCTCGCACAGACGGGCGAGGAAAGTCTTGCTGCACGAAGGGGGTATTACTGTCAGCTTCATCGGACCCCTATTTTACGTTGTACGTCTCCCGCGCTTGTCCGACGAGCCATGGGCCGACCTGTCCTCGTCTTCCAGCTTCATGATACAGGTCTGAGGCCACACAAGCGCAGCGTCCATGACGGATAGCTAGCTATTCTGTCTATTGAAGACGAGGACGTCGGAGGCAGAACACAGCTCGTTGGCCCAAGTTTGGAAGAGCATCTGAAACCAGGCGAGTAGGAGGGCATGGAGATGCATACTTATCGCGCTATAACACACAATACAGGTCAGCATACGCAAGAGTAAAAACAGACAGAAGCGGAAGATGCACGAGACGGGTGATCCTTGAGCGTGATGCCCGACTGATACCGGACTACATCCGTATTCCGCGCAACGGGAGCTTTAGGAAAAGGGGGAGACAGCAGGACACAGAAAGAGAGCGACAGAGCTGCTCGACCAGCCAAACAAGCTGTGCAGAGAGGGGGATGAGGCAACTCACTTCGCTGGCCATTGTTGCTGCTGTTATCTTGGGAGACGAGGTAATCGTGGCTCGACGGAAGAGGAGGGGGAGAGGTGGTGTGGTCGACGAAAGAATCAAGGGGGCTGACAGGCCGGCAGGAAACGGCAAAGAAGGCGGGGGGGGCGGGGTGGGAAGACGAGGAGGACGAGGAGGACGAAGTAACGGGAAGCAGGGTTCGGGGGGTGAAAGAGGTAATGGAGAAAAGGAAAGTTAATGGGGATTTGGAGGGGTTAGTTTTTATTGTATTTTTTTTTCGCCGTCTGGGCGGAAGAGGAGGAGGGACTAATTAGGGACAAGGCGTTTGGACGCAGCAAAAGAGAAGGTTCGAGGCGCGCGTGCCTCCTGACCCTGTCGGTAGCCAGAGAGAGAGAGAGCGAGAAGAGAGGGGGGGGGGGTTGCTGCCTAGCGGCTAGAGGGAAGGTGCCCTGGAAGCGATTGATTGGGGGAGGGGCAGTCGGGGCAAACCCCCCCCCTAGCAGGCGAGGCGGCAGCGGCCCCAGCCTTCTCGCAGGCAATTTCACTGAATTAGGAGTCGTCGGTACAGGCGCCTGCTGTGCGGATCAGCAGTGGGAAAAAAGGACCCAGCGGGACCCACCGGCCGTCCCACGGGTCCCATGGCCCAATGGCCCCTCTCGCCAACGTGGGTGGCCTGCCTGAGGCAGACGGACAACGGTGCCGCTAAAGGGGGGTGGTTCTCTTGGGGGAATTTCCCAGGCGTGTCCCGGCAGATTACGATTTGCTCGTAAGCCCATTTTTGGCAACATCAGATCCGTTGTGCTGCCCGCCTCATTTCTGCGTAGCTTCCGGGGGGTGTCGTGTGATGGGAGCACCATGGCCGGCTTGTACTCCGTACTACTCGTGGTATCGGTTCCCCCCCTCCTGCGTGCACTGGCACCGACTTTCCCTCTCTGTCGACGGCACGAGCCACGGCATCGGACAGCCTCAAGAAACACTCGTATCGTACATAGTGTAAGCTACATAGTAGAGATCGCGTGCGCGTTTTGGTGACGGCCAAAAAAGCCTCTCCTGGCAGGTGCGACGGACGGATGTGCCCCACCATTCTGGCCATTCTGGCCGGATGGCCCATGCAGCATGACCCCATTGTCCTTCTCTTCCACTTTTCGTGTCGACCTCGCGCTGCTCTCCAATCAGCGGCTCCCCACTTCGTCGCAACGGCCTCGTTCCAAACTGCCGACTGCGCCACATCACACATTCATCGACTCGAGTCACCAGACCAATCAGCGACGACGCGCCTCGCGTCTCATTCTGGCCGCTGACTTGGCAGCCAGCTGGCAAGTCTGCCTTGCTCTTTCGTCCGTACGGAGTAATACAATGACATCTATTCCGTGGCTGACTAACCAGCCTCACTTCGTTTGTATCTTATCGTATTACAACAACCCTACAAGAAACGGATCAATCGCGACCCTAACCACGCCGGTCTGCCGGCCGGTCCGAACCCACGCCACCGCCCAGGTCCAACACCGAGGTCATCGCCTCGTCGTACGTGGGCGGCGGGTCGTCGTACGCGCCCTCGTCGTCGTCCAGGCCCGCCTGCAGCTGAGGCGGGTACAGCGGATCGAACGCGTTGACCGGCAGCAGTGCCTGTGGCTGCGGCTGAGGATCCGTCTGCTGCTGGCACAGGTGGTACTGCTGCTGCGGTGACCTTTGGTCGCACGGAGTGCTGCCGTTCTTCTGCATCGAGTTCCTGTTCTGCGCGCTCGCTTTGGCTTGTTCTTGCGCCTGCTGCTGCTGTGGGACTGGTCTTCGACGAATGGTCATCTGTCTTGTAGCAACCGTGTTTTTTCGTGGAGGCAAAGCGGGCATCCCGACGGCCTCGAGCTGTTGGGCAGACGGCTCGTGAAACGCTGGACTCGTTGGCAACGGCATCTCATGAACTCCGGCCTGTTGCTGTCCCTTGCCCATCTCACGCAGGTACAGCTTGTCGTCGTCGTCGTCGTCGTTGTCGCTGCTGTCACTACCATCGCTGTCGCTATCCTCGTTCTCGTCTCGCACCTGCTGATGCTGTCGCAGCTGGCGCTGTTCCTGCAGTCCCTGCAGCTCCCGATGTCTGCTGACGGCTGCCACCAGCGCTGCCGTCGGCCGGATGCCCGAGTAGACCTCGACGGCGGCAAAGTTGAGCGGAAACCGCACCGTTTGTGGCAGCATCTGTGCTGGCTGGGCCTGCAGCGCCTTGAGAGCCTCCTTGCGCGTCTTCTTTTCCTGCTTCGTAGCTGTCGTGCTGAGCGGCCGGTACGCCCGCAGGGCCGCTGTGGCTGGTGACGGCAGTCCCCATGAGAGCGTAATCCGTACCTCCAGCTCGTACTCGCGGCTGGCATTGCAGATCCGGAAGTTGGGCACTACCGAGCTGGGCAGTGTCTTGGACCGCCAAAGCTCGTTGGACAGCTCGATTTCATTGTCCACCGGCCCGTCCGCCGTGCAGACGGCAATGGCCAGGTCTGTCTGTGCGAGCAGCACCCACGAGGTCTTGCTGACCACCTGCAGGTCCTGGGCCACTAGCCGCATCGTTCCCACCAGCCGCACTTCCAAGCCCGTCAGGTACACCAGCTCGGGGCTGGGCTGCAGCTTGCGTGCTCTCAGTCCTAGCGGCCCTGCCTGTCCCCATGTTAGGATCGCCGGAAACGGTAGCAGTGCCGACATCTGAATTGCTGGTGCCAGGCCGTCCTGCAGCCGTCCAGTTTCAGCTCCCGAGCCACCTGCTGCAAACTCCCTTGGTTTCGGCGCCATCACCATCAACTGATCGCCCGGTTCAAACAGCGTTAAGCCCACGCTCGATGTGCTGCCGCCTCGCCCGAAGAAGCTGCTGCTCTTCTTCCGCACCGGCGCAATCGCCAGCGGCACTGCTGCCCGTGCCCGGAACGCAAACGGCCGTCGTGCAAACACCTCGCGCGTCGTCGGCGGTGGCCGTGGTGGCTCAATCGGCATGAACCGGAAGCCCAACTGGTGTCGCCAGTTCTCCTTGAACAGGCCCGGCCGCTGCACCGTCACCTTGACAAAGTACCGGATCTCCACCTGTCCACTGCTCTCGCCATAGCTTGGAGGTAGCGTCTGTCGTATGTGGCGCAGCAGCAGCTGCTTCGTCCCGTTCATCACTCGAATCCCACTCGTGTCTCCCAGTCCGACGCCCGATCTCGACAGTGCCGACGGATTCGCACACGTGTTGTTGAACGGCAGCTCAAACTGGAAGGGAAACGTGTGACGGCCTGCCTGCAGTATCGTCGCCGCCGGTGCCTTTTTCTCGCTGTCACCCATCTTCGGCGGGTATGCCTGCACCACCTGGTACAGGATCTTGTGTGTTTCCTTCAGCTCCGCTCCCGCCGACGGTCGCGGATGGCTCGGGTCCTTGGTCGCCACATCCGCGTCGTCGAGCGGTTTGTTGCGGTATGTCCAGCCGGCCGAGGTCTCCGCTGTCGGCACGATCAGCGCCGTGCTCGCCTCGCCCTCGAGCTTCACCACAACAGCACCCACACTCTCCGGTCGCGAAAGCGTGAAGCCGACCTGCCCGCTGACAGTGTCGAGATTGGTGTAGTAATCGGGTGGGTCGATCAGATGGATGTGGATAGACATCGTGCCGTCTGGCCTGTCCGGTATAATTGAGACGAAGACAAGTTAGGAGAATTGTAATACAGTATCCAAGTCCAACACATCGGCCCATCCTCCACAGCAATGCCAGGGCATCGAAGAGCAGTGGAGCTGCCGCGCGACAGTGACAGCCGACCGTTGACGTCCAAAAAGGCACACAGCCCCCCACAGTCGAAATGAGCCGCTTCCAAACCGGCCTGGCTCGTATTACTCCGTCCCTTGGCGGAGCTTCGCCTCAGTGCCACATTAGTTTGGTGCTTTTCGCCGTGCCGTTATGTGGACGAGCAAGTAAGCAAGCTCCGACTGCCTCGCCAAGGACGCTGTGCTTTCCGTCCAGCTAATCCTCTTTCTTCTGGAGAGCAAGGGCAGCAGAGGGTCAGGTTCCTCAAGACTTGTTTGGTCGCCCTGGGCTAAGTCCTCCGCTTTTTGGCTTCTTGGCATTGCCCGATGGAGCCCACCGGACAAGACAGTCAGCAACGGCTTCCGATAAGATAAGACACTATTATGTCATCGTAAATTTGGAAAAAATTGTGCCCCTCATCACCGCCCAAAATTCGCCAGAAGGAACCGCATGGCGATCGCAGTACTGCCAGACGACAACATCTTCGGCTCCATCCACCCTCTCTGCGACTAGACAAAGAGGCTACCGTACAGTATGGGAAAGGCAAAGGCACCCCGGAGGACCGGCGCAGCCTCAGCTTCGTCTCCCTACGCTCGCCCCACTACTGGCAAGGCCGGGACCAAGAAGAACAATGTCTTCAAGTTCAACACCAACGTTGGCCAGGTACGTTGACCAAGTCTGCCGACTGATCGAACGGCACGAAGCTAATAAACGGACTGCAGCATATTTTGAAAAATCCAGGCGTTGCAGATGGTAAGTCACTCTTGTCCCTCCTCTTCCATTTGTTCCGGACAATCGGCTGACCTTTGTATCAGCTATGTTAGTTGCATATCTTTGAGCTCCCACATCTCTCGTTGCACGAGCTGACATCAAGTTTCTGCGCCAGTGTGGCAAAAGCCGAAGTGAGTGCAACTTGTCAACTGCGTGGAGACGGTGTACTAACGACCTTCAAGTTAAAACCGACCGACGTTGTATTGGAAATTGGTCCAGGTAGGCCGCAGTACTGAAGTATTCGCCTGTACGCAGCCTGTTCTGACAATCGTCTTCAACAGGAACGGGCAACATCACGACCAGAATCTTGGAGAAAGCCCGGAAATGCATAGCCAGTAAGGACAAGCCGCTCTGTCTGTCAATTTGATAGCGGATTTAACACTATTTCCAGTCGAACTCGATCCTCGCATGGCGGCCGAAGTGTGAGTTGGCCTCCCAAAGGACGTCTGCTCAAGGAATCGACACAGAGGTTCTGACACTGCAGTACAGAACAAAACGAGTCCAAGGCGGTCCGCTGCAGAAGAAGCTTGAGGTAAGTCTGCCATATAGTGTTCTGTCTCGCAACTCTAACTAACGTCAAAGGTCCTTCTGGGAGACGCCATAAAGACGGAGTTTCCTCCTTTTGATGTAAAGCCTGCGAGCCCCTCCCTCATGCACGCCGTCATCTTGTAACTCTAACCTTGTAACAGGTTTGCATCTCGAATACCCCCTACCAGATCAGCTCGCCCCTCGTGTATGTATTGATGCCTGTTGTCCTCTCCCAACTAACACATCACTAACAGTCGGACAGGTTCAAACTTCTCTCGCTCCCGAACCCGCCGCGGACAGCCGTTCTCATGTTTCAAAAGTAAGCAGCATCCAACCTCCGTTCTTAGTCGTACGTAATTGTTGCAAATCAATTAATTACCCACCCCAACAGAGAGTTCGCCCAGCGTCTTGTTGCTCGGCCCGGCGACACTCTGTACTGCCGGTTGAGTGTCAATGCCCAGTTCTTTGCCCGCATTGCCCACGTGCTGAAAGTCGGCAAGGTATGTCCCGTCTGCCCTTGAACTTGTAGACGCTGCGCCGTTCTAACGCAGCCATCGTCTTAGGCCAATTTCAATCCGCCACCCCAGGTTGAGTCTGCCGTCGTGCGAATTACTCCCAAGACCGGCTCCGAGAGGCCCAAGTTCAACTTCAGCGAGATGGACGGCATGCTGCGGGTGAGTTCTCTCTTTTAAAAGAGAGAGAAACACACGCCTTAACAGCAAACTGACCCTCACGCGACAGGTTGCCTTCAACCGCAAGAATCGCACGATGCGCGCCTCTTTTGCCAGCAAAGAGGTTCTAGCCATGCTAGCGCGCAACTACCGGGTCTATGCATCGATCAACGGCATCGCCTTGGACGACAGCCTGGTGGAAGAGGGAAACGTCGCCGACGACGACGACAACGGTGGCATGGACGTGGACATGGACGCCAGCGGCGACGAGGCAGACGGCGACGAGTGGAACGGCATTGCGGGTGGTGGCGATGGCGATGCCGACGGCGGCGGCGACGACATGCCGGCCTTTTTCAAAGAGACGGCCGCCCATCAGCCGCCAGCCAAGACGCCCAGCCGGCGCAAGCGCACAAAGGTCGACGAGCTGGTGCGCGCCAAGGTGCTGCGCGTGCTGGAGCGTCTGGAAATGGCCGATCGCCGGTCGCGGCAGTGCGACGAGGGCGACTTTCTGCGGCTGCTCGATGCGGTTCGTCTTCTCATTCCAGTTCCTCTTTTGGCCTCATTTTCCCGTTTTGGCATTTCCACTTTGCTGACTAATCAACAGATGAACTCCGAGGGAATTCGCTTCTCGTGAGTGTTGGACTCGTTTGGAACTACATTGAACGACAGGAGAGGGGGCAGATAAAATGGGAGACACTGGCGTTGTTGGAAAGCATCGTTCTTCTTCTTTCCCTGCTAGACTACTCGAGCGTGAGCATTGGTCGCTGCTATCTGACTGTGACAAGCATAATTGACAACAACGAATGCCCACCTCCAATCTCAAGAAGCAATGTAGGGATGACAGTAGTATTATTATAATATGTTGTAGGATCTGGATACGTGACGTATATGTAAAGAAAACAAAAATCCATGTTCGCTGTTTGGTTGCCCACAAGTTTGCCCGTAATATTTCTCATCTCTCTTCCAACAATCAATGCTTTCCTTTCCGTCTTGCCTTTTTGTGTTATTTGGCGCAGACCTTGGCGGACGGAGGGCGGAACACTCGCATGGTTGTATATTAGGAAACAAGGCTGCCTGCCACCAGGTAATAAATGCCACAAGCACGAGAAAGCACGAATAAACACGAATAAACACCGAAAAAGCAACAAAAACAACAACTGCCCCTTGGACCGGAGCTAAGGGGCTTAGACAAGCAACAACAAGAGACCAAGAGGCGCCTTGCTTTCTGTTTCCGGCCAGGACACTGTACGATCTGTCCTGTTTAACTCCTCAGGATTCCGATCCTGAAATGCCACGCGAGGGAAATACATGCTGGAAGAAACCCGCTTTTCTGTCTGGTCTGTATCCCGGCCCTCCCAAACTGACAGCTAAAACCCGTGTTGCGACATGAGAGGGATCTTTCAAACAAAAACAGTGCGCCCATGCTGCAACTATATGCCACGATGGAAATAAAAACAAAAAGGAGTTAGTCGATTTCTAGAAATAAAAAGGTTTCTGATACAAAGGAGAGTCGTGATAATGAGTGACTGGGTATAATTCGTGTATATTTTTTAGTTGTCCTGGTGTATATGTGTTGTGTTGTGTGCTGTGTGTTGACGCTGTGCAGTTGTGTCGTTATGCTGTCGTCTTGTTGTGTTGACGTTGTGTTGTAATGTCGTGTTGTGTCGTTGTGTCGTCTTGTCGTTCTTTCTCGTTGCCTTGCTAGCTTCCTTCTCTTCCTCACGATATCGTCGCTGTTTCGTTGGGATGCAGCGCCGGGCCATCGGCTGCGTTTGGCTTCACCGTCGTGCGGCCCTCAATCAGGGCGCTGCGCACCCGCTGGCTCAACGGCAGCGAGTAGCGCAGCACGCCCTTGACGATGAGGTCGAACTCGTCTTCCAGGATGCGTTCCCACCGCTCGGAGCCGCCGTCGGTGCCGTTCCCAGGCCGCCGAATTCGGATGCCGGCTCGCGAGGTCGATAGGCCGTGGTGGAAAAAGGACCCCTCAAAGGAGAGCGCGTTGTCGAACTCGGTGAACTTGCCGAGCAAAAAGTTCGGCGACGAGTCCGGCTGGTCGCGCGGCTCTTTTTCCACGTCGTCGGTGTGAACGTCGTTCCCGACAGCCCTCTCCGACGGCGCCGGCTTACCGGCTGTTCCGTGTGGCCGACGCCACCACTCCGAGTCTGCCCCGGCATGCGGCGACTTGGCAAAGACCTCCATGTCGGCGGCGTCCACGGTGACGACGACGACGTTAGGGTTATGCGCTCGTACCAGCAGATCAAACATCAGCTCCTGCTCGCTGGCAATGATGTTGTTGATCTTGACCAGCTCAATATCCTCCAGCGGCTGCGACGTGGCAAACATGAAGCCGATAGCTCCCGAGATCACCAGCATCAGCATTACCGTCAGCACGAGGCAGCTGGCAAATCGATTCAAAAAAGACGGCGCCGGCCGGTACGACTGCTGTTCCAGCGAACGCATCGACACGTGGTGACGCCGCGATCCTCGGCCGCTCCGTCCAGTCCGCATCGACGGCGAGATCAGGGGTGTCCTCTCGTCCTGGACCCGTCCGGACGTCTCGTCCAGGTCGTATCCGTGCGGAAGCCCGTTGCCACCAAGGCCGCGCTTCGAGTAGGGGCCGTTGCCCCGAACGCTGCCGGTGGCTCGGGGACTGGCCGGGCCGGTCATCTGTCTCACGCCCAGGCTGTTGCTGCCGCTAGCACCCGGCGGCAGCTTGACACGCATCGTGCCGCCGCTGACCGGAAATGGCGACTCGCTGTCAAAGAGCGACTGGTGTCCATTCTTGGGACCGCTGAGACCCCATCGGCCAATGTGGCTTCCGCCGACGTGGTGGTGAAGACGCACGGTTCCGCGGCCGGAACCAGCCACGATGCCACGGCCTGCCGTGCCCTTGGCCTCGTCGTCACCGAGCGCGCTGTCGTTGCCGCTGCTGTTGCCAAAGGTGTTTACAAACTTCATACTCTTCTTGACTGTCGCCGTCGCAGGCGTATCCATGACGCTGTGGATGGACCGCATGCCGCTCCGGTCGTTGGCCACCGACACAGACGTCACGCTTGGCGTGCGCGAGTGGTGGAAGCGAAGGGGGCGGTCTCGGCCGTCGGCCGGGTTTGAGTCGTACACAAATGTCTCTTCCGAGTCCGATGTGTTGGCCTCGTCGACGGCGCTGGCAACCTTGGCCTCGAAGATGTCTGCCTTGGACGTCGCTGCAGCTGTTAGCGGTGAAAATGCATGTTGAGCATGCAGCCGAGCATGAATTTGGGCACGCATTTGGGGGCGTAACTGCATATGTTCGGGCATGTTGTGTGTGTGTTCAGAAAAACGTACCTGTTCCCTGTGTCACAGCCGACTGCTTCCGACTTGTCTTCTTTCTCTCCTTCTTTGGCCGAATCGTCTCTGTGCTTGGCCGCGCGCGCAGGCTGCCGTTGACGCCTTGGGCGGCTGCAGGCCCGAGAGCCACGTTGGGTATTGACGTCACCGTTTCCGTTTCCACCGTCATCGTCGCCTGTGCACCCTCGCCCGTCTTTCCCTTGGCAGCGCTAGTTCTGATCGTGCTGGACGACTGACGTGGCGTCAGCGGTGGTAACGCAGACGTGGAAGTCGTGGCAGCACGGCGGTTGGCCCTGCTGACGCTGCTCTCGTTCCCGCTCTCTGCTTGGCCATGGCCTGACAGCTGCTTGGCGCGGATCGTCTTATTGGAGGACACTTCCGACACCTCCGACACCTCCGACACCTCCGACGTCGTCAAGATGCTGGCGTTGGACGTGATGCTCGCCGTTTCCAGCTTCTCCAACGCCGCATCGAGGGCCCGTGGTGATCCCAGGGGGCTTGCCTCCTGCACCGTCTCCAGCATCGGCACACCGCCAGTCCCAGTTCGGCTGGGTGTCCGCATTCCCGATAAAATGGTCAGGTAGGATTCCTCGGCCTCGCTGTCGGACGGCGTCGGTGTAGAGTCCGCAGTGGAGGCAGCAGAGGCAACGGTGGCGGCAGGTTCAGCTGTCGGGATGGAGGAAACGGTGGCTGTGCCGAGCTCCGGCTGACGCAGGACGGGAGGCGGAGAGCGCAGACGGGGTGAGATGGGCCAGCGGGGCGAGCCTTGTGGCTGTTCGGATTTCTGTGGGCCTGGAGTATGGACGGAGGAGGCATCGGAGGTTGCGGGCGGTAGTGAGGGTATGGCCGTGTTGGACAGTGTCGTCGACTTCAGCGCCGTTGGCGTTCGGATTTTGGACCGGGAGAGACGTGGTGGACTGGGGTCTTGTTGGCTGCTCCGTCGTATGCGGAAGCCCGGAGTTTGGGGGTTTGTGGATGACGATGCTGCCTGCGATGAGGGCAATGCTGCTGCTGCTGCCTGCGATGCTGACAATGTCGGACCTGGTGATGGAGCCGCGGCCAAGGCTGCTTTTACGGATTTGTTGGGGCGGACCGAAGGACGAATCGGGGATGGCTCTCGAGACGCAAATGGGGACGAGGGCAAGGACGGGGACAGCGAAGCGACCTGTGATATTTGCGGTGCTGGTCTTGTGGACCGTGACAGATCCGCTCTGCGGACGGAGGCCGATACTGATTCGCGGACGGGCGTGGGGTTCAGGCCGTGTGTCTGGTTGGCAGACGCGCCATTTGCGAGATTGGACGACTTGTCCATCGTTGTGGGATGATGGGTCACCAAGGGACCTGTATCCTGGTGGCGGTGGGTGCCGATGTCGTCGTGTTTTGCAGGTGTCTGGTCGCGTTTGTGCTGGGGGACAGCAGCTGTACACCTCGCGTAGTCCACCAACACCTCGGCACTCTACTCTCTCAGCTATAATATCGACTATGGCTTCGTGGTGCAGTCTGAGTCATGATATCATGGTGCTTCCCCGGCCGAGAGAGGAGTGGGTGGACCGTATTGGGCGGACTGAGACGAGGGGAAGAGATGCCGAAAAGGCCACAGCTTTCTTCTGCTGATGATAATGCAACTTTCCTTTTCCAATTTCGCCGAGGGTGTCGACACGGAGGTTCGGCTTTGGAAAACCCGCTTCGGTCGATGGGACGAGAGAGGGGAAGGGGAAGGGGGGGGGTGCAGACGTAAGGCGTGGTCAAGAGAGCTGTTCTGTTTACCGGCTGACAGGGATTCGCAAGGGATGACTTCGGAGGACCGACTAGAGAGAGCGGACGGGATGAGACGAGCAGGTCGCTGATGCGAGTCGCTTGGTTAGGCAGGGAAAAAAAGGCCAGACAAGGGCGGATGACCGAGGAAAGAGCAAATTCGTCCGTCTGTCGAGAGGGGGGGCGGGACGTCGAATGCGTGGGTACGGAGCACGTAAGATACGTGGAGATGGGTGCAGGTCAAGCGTGGGTGTGTGTGGTGAACTGTCGATGTGACACCTTTTCTTCGCCGGCCGTCTTGGGTCTTGTTGAGGAAAAGGATGTTTGCGTTGTCCTGCAGGCTGCGCGAGGAAGGAACAGAGTGTAATACACTGTGGGCCTAGGTCGGACGGGACCTTAATTTTTTTCCTGTACGAAGCAAGGGCGCTAGAGCCTGTGACGGAGAACGTTCTAGGAGCAACTAAGCGCACAGTGCGCCGAGTCTCGCTGGCAGCGCGACCCAATTTTTGATTGAAAATACAGAAAATAATCAAACTAAAAACTTGGCTGCCCGACCGTCAGCATGTGGACGTTTTCTGGCAGGATTCGAACACTGGTCTGGCCAAGGAGGAATGGAAGCGAAGTGAGATGGGAGCGCAGCTAAGAGACGGGATCTGCCCGATGGTGGTCCTTTGTTGTCCTTTTTTCGCACCCTCGCGTGCAAAAGGGTCACGTCACTACCGAAAAGATAAACGGACGCACTGCTCCGTTAAGCGATAGGCCTTCGCTCAGTTCCGCGGCAGTGCGCGTGGGAGCACGCATTGACAGCACAGCACAGTTCAATGTAAACCGGATGGACACGTGTTCAGCCGCTTGCCGCACTCGTCGTAGTGGCCAGGCTATTGCTCGAGCAAGCAGATTGCGAGTCGGCGTCTGTTTTTCGCTCTTTTACGAGACTGAAGATACGGAGCACGAATTCGTAAGACGCCTTCCTGCCAGCCGTCCGTCCCGTAACGGTCAGGCTTTGTTCCGGGTCAGTCACCGTAAGTGCCTGACTGATCCCCCAGAATCCGCTAAGCTTTAGTACAGGGCTGGTGCCTGTCCGCAATTCTGGCAAAAAAATGTGTTACCTTCTCTGCCGTGAGGTATCTTATGTATCTTACGTACCGCATTTCTTGACCGCATCTTTTTATTGAAATATTTTCCCTGCTTTTATCTCACGTACGGGTCGTTCCTGGTCCAGTGAACTTCGCCTTTCCTTTTCTTATCCGAAGCATTCCCCTTTCGTCTGCATTCCCTTATCGGCCTTGCCTAATTTTCTTTCTATTCTTCTTTACTATTTTTCTAGTTATACAACTCTCTACTCCGTAGGTTTCTCTCCATTTGGGGCTTCGCATTTTTCTTCTCCACGCTCCGCTCCATTCCCCACTGTTGTCTCTTTTAGGTTTCTGGCTTCTTCTGCCTGCGCCCTCATTTCCTGTGCCTTCACCGTCTATTTTCTTCTCACCGTACTTTGTGCGCCCTTGTCTAATATCGAGACCTACGTGAACGCGTCGGCGTCGCAGCCACTTGTTCGCCTGATCGCTCGCTTGTGCCCCTGCATTCGATGGCTTTTTCTCACGCTGTCCACATGCTAGTAGCAAGATAGGATGCATAGTACTCCGTACGCGTACGTGTATTCGCAGGTTGTTAACCGTCAGGAAGACGGATTACGACGAAATGCAACGCGATTCCCCGGAACCAAACGGTTACGTCGGAAAAAGTGGCCCCCATCACGAGACTGCGACCGAAAGAATGAATGCGTGGAGAGCCATGGGACTTGGACGGATGGTCCGGAAACGGCTTGGTCTTCGGCCTCTCACAAGCGGCAACGTGGCACCGGTTGTCTGTCCCTCTGCAAGAGTCCCTCTGCAAGAGGGAAAGCCCCCCAACCAAAAATGTTGTCAGCAAAAAACTGGGTTGCGCGCGCATTCTTGAAGGTGGTGGGCCACCCACTGCAGGCAGGTCTTTTATTTTTTTTATGGTTTCCTGTCTCTTTTTCTGTACTCTATCCAACTGTCAGGGCAAAACTCCATTTTCTGCGGGTGGCGCACCAGACTTGAATTTCAAGAACACTGCAACATCTACTCCGTAGCAAGCACTCGCGTCGATGCGCGATGGTTGTTCGTCAGCCGAGGCAGGCTTCGTATCATACGGAGTACGGCATGCGCCACATGTAAAATGACGACCGAAGAACAAACTACTGGAGCAGATCTTGATGGCCACGGAAAATACCCGTAGAACAGGCACCAGACCAGTACCTGCAGCTGAGGGGCTGGATGGATGGCGGCGATCTCAGCTATTTTTACGTAGGATTTACATAGCACGATCCACCACTATGTAGAATACCGTACAGAGTATGAAATTGCTCAACAAAGACCAGATCCAGTATCTCGACACACGATGCTGCCCAGCTCGCCCGTGCCCATTTGCCCAACGTCATGGATGACAGCCATTCCGGCTACAACAACAGGACTAAGCAGCACCTCTTTCTTTTCATCCCTCAGTGAGCATACAGCTGTGGCAGAATATATCCGTCGTCCACCGTGCCAGAATATAGCCTCTATCGGGCTGTCGGGCGGTGACGCCGTTTCGTCGGTGCAGCAGCAAAAGCAGAGCTGTCAAAGGGACCTCGGCCGAAGCTGCCGCATTCTCGGCGTCCCGCCAGCTGACAGAGCCGAAGCCGGCGATGGTCCTTGTGGGCTGACTGCGGCATCAGGCTGCGATGAACCACAGAACCTGGCGTCCGTCGAGCAATCGGCCAGCTGCAGATCTGTCCCGGCTGCACCGCCGACGTGGAAGTGGAAGTTCTTCTGCTTAGTCAGCATTTGTGCAGATGGCGAACATGGCTTATACGCACCATAGCCGCCGATCCCAGTCGAGCCGCCGTTGGAGCTGACACTGAAGCCGGCGCAGACGTTGTTAATGCTGATCTGCGACAGCGGCCAGGCAGCCGGTAAAGGTGAACCGGTGGCGAAGCCGATAATGCCGCCGTAAGAGACCGCGTCCGTATTAAAGTCCTGTATTCTGCCGCCACAAGCCTCACTCCTCCTTCCTGATATCGCCTCGCCCGGTAGCCAACCAGCCACTGCTGGTATTTTTCAGCATAGCTCCATCCCTCTGCCACGCCCATCAGCTCCGGAAAATTCGGCATCGGCCATTCTGCCGTCCATTGTGTCCATTCCGGATACAGCAGCAGTCCATCGGGGACGACACGCAGCGCCAACAAGTTCCCCGGCATATCCTCGAGCCTCTCCAGCTGCCTGATCGTCACGCTCAGGAACACAGCAGGTAATACTCGCTGCTTTGCCATGTGGGTAGGAATCCGAGCCAGGCGGCGAGTTGCTTCTCCCAGAATGCAGTCCCGGGAGCCTTTCACCAGCTGTAAGTGCCAAGAAACAGTGATTTGTGTGTTTTGGTGTGTGATTGTTGCTTGAAGGATAAGAGAGGAATTCGAATACCTCGGAAGCGAAGCTGAAAATGCTATAACAAACAAACAACTGCGTTGTGGCAAAAGTATTGGGCAGCCGCTATCTGTAGCACTCGGTACGGCAGATATCACACAAGAAACCCTTTTCACCTCATGTATTGATGCCACCGCCGCTTGCTCTCGTACATGGTACGCTAGCACAATCCGCTATTTAGTCTATATAGCAGCCTTTCCACGAGTCTTGAGGCTAGGCCGAAAGTGACGATAGTTTTGGTGAAGACCCCTCCGCACACTGCAACTAAATCGAGGCCTGGTCTTATTTCGTATCAGCTTAACTGGTGCTTTCCACCTCAGGTTCATCGGCTTGTACTGGATATTCCGGCCACGTCTTTGGAGGTGCCAACGTCACATCTTTTAGCCTTCGTGTGGATCAATGCCATATAAGTCTAGACTAAGAATGAATCAGTATAAGGTCTCTTGCTGCTAGCTATACCCGGAGTGCCTGTTTGTATACACTTTCCGAAGCCGAAAATTGCTTCAATGCAGTGGCTACATAGCGGTAACTGTTCGCTTTTCCCCCTCCCACTCCTTAACCTTGAAAAGCATCACCACAGACGTGTACAAATGGTTGATCCCAGCCCCATTTCCATACGTAAGATGTACAAATCCCTTCTGCTGGGCGCTAGGGTGTGACTGGTTGATCCAGAAAATATTATGGCAGACACCGAAGACTTTTAGGACATCTTCCTCGGTATGAGATTCGTTGCCGCCAGCACGGGTTATTTTAACGTCCGAGATTTTCGATACGTATGACTCTGTTACCAGGGCCTTCATCGGATCGGCAACGGTACCCTGGTTGGCCGAAGCTTTGTTCTTGAAGTATTCGTAACGCTTCAAATATTTTTTTTCAGGTGACAGAGCCTGCCGCACCGATACTTTCATGCCAAGCACTGTTAGTACTTTGTAGAAAGACAGGTCCACACCCTTCAAGACTGACGGGAAGAGCGGTGCGTTCTTCTGGCTCTTGACCGAGTGTGGATATGCATGGCGGCAATAGTATCCGACGATACTGCCTAAGTTGAGGGTTAGTGGGAGACTAAGAATAGGAGGAAGGGGGAAAAGAAAAGAGGTAAGAGTCCATACCCGTGGTAAGGAACAGGGGGTTACCGATGGCGTCGCGTAGGGCGCCGTACAGCGGCAGACGGACGACGTCCATGCTTTCGGTCTTGCCCTTAACATCGACACGCTGTGGCACCGAGTATAGGTTATACGTCAGAGTGACGCGATGGCCAGCTGTGACCTCCAACACCTCGTGCTCGCAGTCTGAATAGAAGGCCGCCCACTGCAGAGCCGGGGGACCGGCGTCTCCCCCGTTCAGGCCCGTGCCAATATCCCAGTCGTGCCTGATAGTCTGTCCGCTATGGCGTACAACCAGCGCACCCCCAACGTGTACAGTTGGCAGGCACAAGACTAGTGAGCCGAATTGCTGCTCGGATCGTGGCGTGTCAACATGCGCTTTGAAGTGACCGGACGGACCGGAGTAGACCTGCCAACAAAAGCCATGTTAGCGATGCAAACAGAATTCTGATGACAATATGACAGCAGAAGCAAAGGAAAAGCAAACGTTCAGCTTGTACAGCTCGGCCTTGACGCCGCGTGACCCGCCCGCCATGTAATCACTCGGCATGAGCATCTCGGCGACGGTGTCGACGATACCCAACCCATATGGACAGAGGCTGCTGGAGAAGGCTGAGACATCCAGCTTGGACGCCTTGCGGTAGTCCTCGTCGAACACATCCTCGCCGGCGCGGCCAAAGGTTGCTGGCTGGCAGTCCCGCAGCAGAGCAGCCAGCTGTTCAGCACCGAGGCCGGCGGTAACAGCCAGTGGGAACACCACCCTTCGTCTGGACTGAAAGGGTTGTCGAGCTGGAGTAAGTAGACAAGGATTGCAGGGGTTATGGGCCTAAGTCGTCAGAAATCCACATGGCAGCCTAACGGGATCGCGTATATCGCCCCACGGATCTGCCTAATTTCCCCATACTAGTGGAAAAGTGGGACTGTGTACAAGAGGTACAAGCCAGTTCAAAAGATATATTGGAAATACAAATTGAATCGCAGCAAGGTTGTTGATATTGTCTGCGTACTTTTATAGAAAGGCAAGCTTATTGCTTTTTAGTATATAATATCTTTAGCTGCGTTATAATTATAGGAATGCTTTGCTATTAAAATAGCTAAGCCATCGCTTCTTTGTTAAATACTGTCAAGCTCTGGAATGGAGCGCACTGTGACCGTTCTGAGTAATAACGAGTTATGGTAATTGTCTGCTGCAACTCTGGCTCTAAAGATGCCTGGCCTGAAGCTGGCGTTGAAGTAGCACCAGTTCGGCCTCGGGCCTCCTCCCCCCATCTCTCCAAGATGATGTTTTGGGACTGGCGGTCGAGTTTTGCTGGATTCGCAATCTTCACTTGGTCGTTAGAGGCTCCGAACCACCATCGCAGTGTTTCGTAGCTCATTTAAGGACTCGGCATCTCCAGCTTCGATAAGTAATGTCGACTACCTATTGGGATCATGCATTTGAGGCAGAGGACCGCCTGTATAATCACCTTCGCCGCCATCACCCCCTGGATGGCCTTAAATTCGAAATGTTACGCCCTCGAAGCCTCCAACTTCCTCGAAGACCGATATTGGAAATTTGAAACAAGACATCAGTTCCCAGACCCAAGTGCAGTTGCTCGTGAACATCAGTGGGAATCGAGATAATGAGAAGTGCGGACTAAGAATCGTATCGTCGCAACTGCTAATGGCAGCGGCGAGCTTGTCTCCATCTCTCAATTGCTGCAAAATTCGTAGGGGAGACATCTAAAGAGTGGAAATAAGACCGGTTAGATTTTATAATCAACGACAAACAACGCAGAACATTAAGCTTACTTGTTACAATCAGTATGTCCCCAACAGTTTCCTCGATTTGGTGGAAAAGGCTCTTTACCGGTGTGAACCTAGTCGACGGTCTTCCTCTGTTTGAACATCTATGGGGACAGACGAGTTGTACGAAGCCGAGGCGCTAGGCTGTATGACGGTGGGCATAATAGACGATAGTAGAGCCAGATTTTTAGTTAGGTCAATACGGCGATTGTTTGTACGGATGACCCGAACAGCGAATATACAAAACACGGGCTTAAAAAATCGTCTTATACAAGCATCGAAAAGTCATCCCGTTTTAGTGCGCCCCCTTTAGTCTTCACCTAATCTGTGCGCTGTACAGAGTAGAACACAAATACTCAAAAGCCGCCAGCTGGCAAGATACCACTGTAGAAGAACTGCTTTTGTACGGAGTACATAACCTAGTGGCTACTTATCGCAAGCAAGGCCGGCGGAAAGAGGCAGAGGCGCTAGAAGCAAAATATGTGGTACGAAGGAGAAACTAGAAATAGGCTCTTATATGGACTAGGATAATATGTAAGAAACCGAACAGCTTGATAAAACGAATAGTGAAATGCTTCATAAGGGTGCTGTGAACTTTTTGATGTATCCACATCGTAATGGCCATTTTTGAATAAAGGGAATATACGAAGGCTGTTTAAATTGTGAAGAATCAAGGGAAATTCGGAACACGGCTGCAAGCCTTAGTAGGCTCTATCTGGTTCGTAAATATGAATCAGTATACAGAGTGTCCGGAGAACACGATCGCCAGCCACCACCATAATGATACAGGTCTCGGTAGATAGTGATGTGAGGAAGAATCAAGGGCGAGAGTCGTCTTATGTATGTGTACTTAAACACCATACCTATGAGCTAAAACGCCAAGGAAGCCGCGCTGGCTAAAGACCGGGATTGGAAAGTAATTTTTCATTATAATATCTACAATCTCATACCCCCAGTACGTAAAGCTATTGTATCATTTTTGATTCGTTTGAAACTGAAACTAAAAGAAGAAAAAAGTATCACCCTCTGCACTATCCACATATATAGCCACGCATGTAACCTGGACATTCCAAGATGGAAAGAGTATAGGAGGCGGGAAAGGGAAGGAGGAGGAGAGGAGGTAGGAGAACATGGCAACCGTTAAAGCTTAAAGGTCTGCATCTCGCGAAGCCGCTTTCCATACTTGTAGATCAACATCGGGACGGGAATCATGGCGATTGAGAGAAATCCCAGCAAAGAGTTGCCCCAGCCCAGCCCGAGACTCGAGTACATCCGAGGGCCAGCAAGAGGGAGCAAGGCACCGACAAGACTGCGCAATACCGTGTTGGCAGCGATGGCAGATGCCGCGTACATGGGGTACGCATCGACGAGGTAGGTAGTGATGGGCAGAAAGAGCCCGATGATGCCGAAGCCAAAGGGAATCAAACTCAGGATAGTCGCTATCCAGTGGACTTTCTTCTCTGCGCACCACCCATACCAGAAGAAAGTGATAGGCAGAAAGAAGCCGAAGAAGATGGTTGTCGCCAGTCGCATCTCGGGCACGAATACGCCGTTGTTTGCCTTGGCCAGGCGAATGACGGTCTTGTCCGAGTACATGGTGATGCCCAACCAGCCTACGAGATTGCCAACTCCTAGCGACAGGTACACGAGGCCCGTGAGCCCGACGTTGAAGCCGTAGGTCTCCTGAAACACAGTAGGGATGGTGGTGAACAACAGGTACAATACGCCATAGACGAAGGCGATGTAGAGGGACAGGGAAAACACCATGGGAGATAAGAAGAGCATCTTGATGGGCCGCACAAGGCCGCTCTTTAGAACCTGGCCAGCCGTTGATTTCTCTCCAGTTTCGTAGCAGCTGCGCAGGTCGTCTCTGCCAAGCTCTGTCTTAAGACGTCGTACTTTGCGCTGGATGAGGATGGGGTGGCTGGTTTCCTTGTTGAGGATTTCGATCGTGATTGTAAGTATAGCCCCTGCAATGAGGACAACCCAGAAGTCCCATCTCCATCCTATCGTCTCTGCCATAAACCCGCCTACTAACGGACCAATAGTTGGGCCTAGATGTGTATGTTAATAATAAAAGGTCCCTCCTTATACGTTTTCATCTTCTGGTAATAGCCTACCAAACAGGGGGCCAAGAGCCCAAATACCCATAGCCACGCCGCGGTCTTCAACGCGGAAAATGTCGCTAATCAGGCCGCCACCGAGAGTCTGCCAAAGGGCGCTAATCAGTATGCCATAAGGACACAAAGAGGAAAAGGAAAGGGACGAGGCAAGACATACAATACAACCCGCGCCCCCAACACCAGCCAGCAGGCGAAAGACAATCAAAGAGGCGATATTAGGCGCACGCGCACAGCCAATTTGCCAGCAGCAGAAGAAGACATTGGCGCTGGTCAGGACAATCTTCCTTCCGTAGATCTCGGACAGTGGGGCCAGCAGCAGCGGTCCCAGACAGTAGCCGAGCAGGTAGATGCTAACCATCAAGGAGGCGATCAATACGTTGCTGTTGTGGAACTCCAAGTCCACGTGGCTAATGCCGGGTGAGAGAATGGAGGAGGCAAAGGGCGTGATAAAGGTGATGGCCGAGAGAAGGCCGGCTAGCAGCCATTTCTTGGCGGGAGGGAAGTTCAGTGGCATCTCAGGGTCGTCCTGGCTTTCCCAGCCGACGATGCCGCGGTCAAGGTCCATAAGGGGAAGCAGCTCAGCGCGGATGCCGTGCTTCTTGCTGGTCTTGCTGGTCGAGGTAAAGAGGCGGGAAAGCTTACTCTTGGCGCTGCCTCTGGTCTCAATTCTCCTAATGCTCTCGATATCCGGGGCCTGCGAAGGGTCAGTCTTGGCCGTGGCCACACAGCAAAATAACTTTCTCTGTATTGACTCACCATGGCAAGCTCCATGTCGAGGTCGTGTCCGAGAGCAATCGCTTCACCCGCGTCATGGTCGATATCCGGAGTTCCATGGTCTTGACTCTTGACCCGAGCGAGGCGGCGACTGTAGTCGCGATCGTGTGCTTCGATATCATCGTCATCCTCGTTGTCAGACTCGGTCTGACCCTCATGCTTGGCAGACGAGCCGCTGAGTCTTGGCTCAGGCTCTGTCTTGGGCTGTTCCTCCTTCTCTTGCGTCTTGGCCTGAGTCCCTCCAAGCTCTGTGGCCGAAGAAGATGAGGTCCGTGGCCGAGATGCCGGGCCGTTGGATTGGTAAGCACCTTTTTCATCCATTTCAAATCTAGTCACTGGGGTTGTACACAAGTGAGAAGATAAAATGGAAGCTATTGTCTGAGGCAAGGCGTTGCACTACAGAAGGACAGTGTGAAGTCACGAGTGCAAAAATTATTACAGGGCATGACTTATGGTTTGTTTTTTTTTTCTTTACTTTTATGGGGAAGAGCCCGGACTTACCAGTTTTGCCCGAGGGATGGATTTGTAATACCTGTCCTATTCGTACAAAAGCATCGCTCGAGCGGGGGTCGGCACCTAAAGATGCCGAGAAGTAAAGCGAGATAAGCCTTAAAAGACGGGATTATGACGGCTACAAGCCAAAAAAACTACGTCGTGGTGTTTGGGTATTGGCCGAGGTCCGATCCGGATATCTTTGCAGGACAGTGGCCTTTGACAGTGCGCGGCATATGTTCGAACCTTGTGGTTTATTAGGACGTCTATTAGTAGCTTTGAAGCCTTGGCTTGGCTTCTATACAGCGAAGGTATACAGGATAGAATAATGGTGACTATATAGACAAGAAGACGAAAACGAATAGATGACTAGAGAAAAGTCGTATCTTACGTGCTTTTCCGCGTCGGTGTAGGGCGAAGATTAGGACAGCCATCCAAGGCTAAAGCGGAAGCCTGGGCTGAAAAATCTGTCAGATTATGTGGCCCGTGCATCACCCCGCAACAGTCGTTCATTCCTGTTTTCCCCGTCGCGCATGCTGTAAAAATACGGAGTGCTCCGTACAAAATTGCGTACTAAACTCTAACGCGGACGCCCTACGACATATGTAGAAAGGGGTGATATAAAGCGCGCTAGGGCAATATAATATAAATTATGGAGACTTTTGCAAAGGTAAGATACAAGTACTCCGTACTCGTACTCGTACTCGCATAAAGAACTACATGTACTGTGTGGCACAGGATTCCACTAACCTCAAGCAACAATACTGCGCGGGCCCACGTGACATATGCTGACCGTCTTCTGGTAGAACACAAAGATTGGTAAGTTGGTGGTAGCGTGGATACCTTTACTCTGGTTGGAACTTCTATACAGGGACCTTTCTCAACGGTAGCCGGGCTGTAGTGAAGCAGTATATTGCTCGTAGTCGTCATCCTCACGCAGACTGTCAGGTGGGATCCTGTAGCCCTGCTGGTGCTTGCCAAAGGATTGGATCCAATGCATAATGCTGCCTAGCTCGCCCGTCCACATCAGGCCAAGAAAAATGACAACGGCTGTCACGGGCACAGCAGTGGCCCAGTACGCCCATTGGTCTAGCTCCATGTTGCGGACGTCGTTTGTGTTCATTCCAAAGATACCGGCGACGGCACTTAAAGGCAAGAATATGATGGTGACGATGGTAAAGGCATATATTGCGTTGTCATGGCGGTCCTTGGTCGTGTCTATTTTATTGCGGTTCTGGGAGGTGTCAGAATAGGAACGGCAGAAATCCAGTGTAAGATGAAACAAACCTTGCTTTCGAGCGCTTTTGCCCTTTCACGTAAGCTGGTAAAGTCATAGTTTCGTCCTTCGACGAACTGGAGACAGTCGTTCAAAAGCAAACTCCGGTAGCCACTAGGGTCTGTCGATAGCAGCCGTAAGTCGACAGGCTGGCCTAGGGCAACGTACTCTGGAACATCATTAGTGTAGTAATCAGAAACACGGTTGAAGTTTCGCCGATCTGAGCGCCACCGGCTAGTATAGCACGTAGCTGGCGGTGGAGATGGCAAGCGTCTGTCGTCGTACGACAATTCAGGGACCGGCCGCCTTGGCGTGTAATGTGCCCGACGTGGTGGTTTGTTGAGGGTATCCGAGTTGCATTGGAAGTCTTTCAGGGACTGGAACACACCAACTTGCATATCCACGACGTGCTCCACCGCTACGAGCTCCTCCATCAGCAGGCCAATACGGTATTCGCGGAAGCGATCGGACGCCTCAGAGGTGATTTCCGAGTTCTAAAGACAGTCAGCTTAGCTATGCTGACAATGATAAGATATGAATTACGTTTTTAGGGAGAGTTACCATTTTTTCAAGCTTCTCATAGTAGCATGTGTCAACTCTAGGCATGCCTAAAGTCATGTCTTGCACCAGCTTTCTAACGATGAGTGACAGCAGCTCTAGCGGTAATACCACTGACGCCTCTAACAGCTCTGCTTTCGACAAGGAGCGCACCACGGTGGCCATACTACCGTGGAAGAGAAGCCTGGCGTCTCCAATAAGCTGGTCGCTGCGTTCAATATCTCTGGGCTGGTGAATTAGTCCCATCAGCAGGTGTATCCAGCTACCGAGCACTTCTTTAGGCACGGTTATGTTGGCCCGCTCCTGCTGACTAGAGCGCGCAAAGATTTCGCTAAAGGCCTGGATCGCTGTGCAAAGTCTTTGCAGCTCTGAGCGTATGTCCAGAGAAGAGTGGATGTTGAGAGGCGCAGGACCTTGCGAGGTGGAGACAACGGGCAGGCCAGCCTAGACAATGTTGTTAGTTTCCAGAATATACCGTACGAAACGACAAGCATGGAAACTAGAGTTGGGGTTAGGGGCAAGAGAAAGAGGGAGACGAAAGAACAAACACACGTTAACAATAATCTGGACGGCGCCCCAGAACTTCTGGACTGTTGGCACATTAACCCCGGGTGGAAAGAAATAGGCAAACACCATGCTGGCAGCATTGAAAACGTCTAGCTGTATCTCGTAAAAACGCTGCTGGGAAAGCTGGCTGCGGACAGACTTTTGGTCGGTGATTTTGGCAAGCTCTGCACCCACTTGTTGGAGATGGGCAGAGATCTCATCGCGGGTAGAATTGGGACAGGCATTGTAGGCGTGACGATCGCTGAAAGAGGTGGCAGACAAGATAAACTCCTCCGCTTCCCGCAAGTGGTCGTCTAAAGCATCTTCATCGATGGTGTTGTGGTCGGGACGGGTCACACCTGTAAGGCATGAGAATATAGGCATTGCAGTCGATACTGATGCTGCTGACGAGGAAGGCTTGATTGGACCTTGCGTAGTTGCGCTCGATCGGGCCCCTGATACCACTTTAGCTGCCGGGAGACTTGGTCCAGGAGCTGCCGTTTCTGCTGGAAGAGGCGTCACAGAAATTTCAGCGACGGTGTCTTCCTGTTGAGGGGCTAAAACGCCAGCAGGCGGTGGCAAAGCAGGAGGCCTTATGACGGTTAGGAACAATGAGGAAACCGGTAAGAGGGGAATATAAGGGAGGACGTACTTGAGCCGCATCTCCAGTGTAATATGATTCTGGACATGTTGAGCCAGGTTCCAGATGCGAGGCCAATCATCTGCCTCGACAGGGCGTGTTCGACGGAAAAAGGACAGTCGCTGCGGCCAGAAATCACGGAAGTGAGAAAGAAACTCCTGCGCTATTGTTAGTACTCTGATCTAGGCATACCCCTTTCCGCCATTCACTACCAATAAACGTACCAACCAGGTCTTGCAATCCTCAACCGGGATGGACCATAGGACAGCCCTCTTGTACGCTACGGTAATGACGGACTGGTGTCCTGTGTTGGGCATCTGCTGGATGGGTATTTCCGCAATTTCAATGGCGTCACCGACAAGCATCTCCTCACTCATGTGGCTGTAGGTAAAGAGGAATGCTGCCAGCAGTCAGCTGTAAGGTTTGTGAAAGAGTAGTCACTGAATAGGCAGGCACTTACAGTTATCAATAACAAGACACCAAATCTGCGCAACGTGGTAGCATAACCCGGCAGGCATACCCTTGCCTTGATTCTGGCAGATGGCTTGTTGCATGTCTCGTTCGCGTGTAGCCCGCGAGAACTTGGACTGCAACAGGGTCTCTATCGGGAAGGCAGGCATGTTTCGAGGGACTTCTTGGAGGCCGGAGTACTTCTCAAGGGAAAAGAACGGCATGCAGACCCAAGTGAGGGTGCGTTGCGAAAAAGTGGATGCCTTCGCCGAGTCATCGGGTGGCAGCACGTGCTGAATGCAGGACGGTTCCATGTGATGAACAGTCTGGCCATTAGCCGTCTGGACTGACCTGACGAACTTTCGCTGCACGGTGGCCAGCAGGTCGCGGATGCCCTTGAGCTCTGTAGGGGACAGGTTTGGAGAGCGCCGAACCGTTCTCTTGTCACTTAGCAGCCATTTGGTATCAGAGGTGGTGAGGCAATTTGATTGAGGTACGAATCATGCTTACCGAAAAGTCCGAAAAGTCCATGACTTTGCGTGTGCAGTGCCTGTTTGCATCTCAGTATTTATGTCTTCCGATCTCTCACGCACTCCAGACTTACAGCCATTTAAACAGAGGCTTTAACTTCGAGCTGCTGCTCACCACTGTGGTGATCTTGGCGCTGTGCCAGCCGCCCGGGACAAACTCGCCGACATACTGCGACTGAAAAACGTGTGATAGTTTGTCGATATTGGAAGCGAGGTCTGGGTCCATTTTGGCCCCGTCAGGACCGCCATCACCATTACCGACGTTACCGGTGGCAGTGTCCTCCTCCTTGTCGGGTGAATCGTCGTCGCCATGCGAGCTTCCCTGCGACGAGGTAACCCGCGACATATGCCGTGGTGTGAAAGAGTAGACGGTTGGAGGTGTCCCGTCGTCGAACTCGTCAACGCCTTCTTCCACTCCATCATCATATACACCGTTCTGTACATACACTTTTCTCGACGAGCGATGCCAAGAGTCACTCTCGTCTTCATAGCGGCTGACGTCCTCAATGCGAACCGTTTTTCTCGGTCCTGTTCTGGCCTTGGGTGATGCCGGCCGAGACATGGAGTCGGATGAATATGGGGACGACTGCTGTGATATGGACGCTGAGGGCGAACGTGTCCGAGCACGTGGCAAGGTATCAGAAGGTTCACTGGCTGGGGAGCGGTGTCTTGAACGGAAACCGGAGCGAGACCTTGATCGGGTATGCCGGCTAGATCGGACCCGTCGTAATGGCGACCGACTGCGTTGCCGCACATGATATTTCTTACGGGGGCTGTCGTAGAGAACCGGCTGTGGGTCCATCCGAGGTGATTGGAAGCCCGCGTTGCTGTCCCTAGCTATTCTCGATGGGGGAGGTACCATGTTTGCAAACTGCATAGGGTGTGGCTGGTAGTAGAGCGGCACATTCGGCATGTAGCTGGGGTAGTATGGGTCCCGGTAGTAGGGCGACACCATACTGCCACCGCTATCACAGCCCTGATAGATGTCCGATGACCGTGGCAGCGGATATGCGGGTTGTCCTGGTCCACGCCAGTCGCCCGAGTGGATTGTTGACAGAGGCGGTCTAGATGCCGGCAACGGGCGTCGCTCGAGCGAGGAGTTCGCCTGCGACGGCATGGGCTGGCTCAATAGGCGTGCCGGAGTGGTCCTCCTTCGCCAAAAACGGGCTTGATTCCGCCGTTGTCGTCTCCATAGTAGCTCGCCATTTCTGCTGACTTTTAAGAGGAAGTCGCAGATTTCTGCTGATTGATCGGGAGCAGAAAGCTAAGAAAAGCACACAGTCGAAAACAAGAAGTAGGTCAAAATTGTTGAGGTAACAATACCAGATTAGACTAGGTTACGCCGTAAGCATGGCACCCGGAAGCCCCCGAATCTTCTGGCAGTTGATTCGAATATCATCCTTGCAGCCCGTAGCTGGCCGACTTCTATGCATGCTGACCACCCTTATGCAGCAGCCGATTTGATACGAGGACTAATCTGCGCGAAGCAGCTTTCCAGAAATCAGAACGCAAGCATGCTAAAATGTGAACGCAGTTTCTGTAAACCGCGTTTCGTTACGGAAAGACTTCTAATGTTGCCTACCGTTTTGAGGATTTTTCAACAAGACCACCGATGCCTCTTTCTTATTGGTGGGGTTTCTTAATGCCCTGTATGGTGTATCTAACGGCCAGAAGTTAATATAGTGTGCCTGTAGGGCGTTTTTAGCCGCCGTTGGGTCATCTTAATCGGAGTTTTACGGCTTTCGCCTATTGCTAAGAGCATCACGTGAACCACCGTTAACATAAGCGTATGAACCCATTTCTCAATTCGAAATCTTGTAAAGTCAAGGCTCTAACATTTAGAAACCCTTATTTTATAACATCCGTCCGCTCTTGTAATAAAGGCCTGTCACTCTAGCAATGCCTATAATTGTCTTTAGCAAGATACAAACTCACGAATACTCTTTTACGGACTTCTCTTCTGTCTGGCTTACCTGGTCTGTCAAAGTATAGCTTTAGCAAATTTTTATGTTTTCAAATCGCGTGTTTCTTTCTAACACCTCGCCTTTCATAAATCCATGCAAATAAGAGCCTCCTACAATTCGAAACATGTTAACACCAACCTCCCTGAGAACCCACGGTACCGGCGACCCGCAAATGAGCCAGATAGAGTCTGTTTGCGCAACTGACTCCGATCCTGCCCCAAGATAGCTTCTCCAAGTCAAGAACAGTCGTAGATGCGCAGCGTGAAATAGGGTGGTCTCATAAATGTTAGCTTCTTGCTCGTATAACATTCTCGCAAAATGGTGGAACTAGTGGCGGCGAGCAGTATCTCGTTCATAAGCTGAGATATTTGAGCATTTTTCTTCCCTTCGTGGACCTTGTCGTACTGCGGTGTGATCCGGTGAGCAAATCCTAGCCCAAGAACTGCTGGCGCAGGATGTAAAGGCGGTACTCCCCCTGTATCCGTGATAAGGGTCCTCCAAAAAACCTCGCTTCTACTTTGCCCAGTGTAGAAGATCTGCGGCATCTCCTGGACAATCGGTAGCCAGTCCATACCACCCGTTTCGCTCGATATCTCACTCTTGCTAGCTCCCGTAAGGCGAATGTCATCCAATTTGAAGCCTTTGACTGCTAGCGTTAAGGCTGCTTCGTCAATGGTTATGCTTCTAGGAAGACAGCGAAATATCTCTTGTAGCCTGTGATACCAAGTCCGAGACTTCGGCTGAAACAAACTCCAATCTAGCACCCCTGAAAGCAATGGAGAAACTTTCTGGAAGTTGTCCCCTTCAGCGTAGGCCAGTAGAAGAAAGTCATCGGAATCCACTAGTATTTGTATTGCCGCTTTCGTATACGAGTCCGCCACAGACCGACCTCCGTAAACCGGCGAAAGGCGAGGCTTGCCTGTTACGGTGTCTCCAGTAACACCCAAGAGCGCGTAAATTTTGTCTCGCGGATCAGTTGACTTGAATCTCCTCCCCTGAATAAGTGAGTAAAGCATGATGTTCTTGTCCCCCATATCCCTAGCCCGTTTGTTGGCATTGAGGATAGTAGGGGCCATATAGTTGAAGAGGTGTGTTTCCATGGCTTTTACTCCCAACTGTGCACCGATCCACCTTGTCCAAGATGTAGTAGTAAAGGACCTCGAGACGTTAATCACACATTCCCAGTCCACGGAATAATTTCCACAAACGGCCAAAGCTTTCTAAGCCAGCGATAATTCCTGAATAATCCAAACGCGAGTAAAGTACCTGCGCTCCCAGAACTTAACAAGGGAGGTCTAGTGCGAGATGTCAGCTTTCTTGCCTAACATGTTAATCACTTCGTCATCCTTTTGAACCAATTTCCGTGGTGTTATTTGCGCTAAGCAGTCCATGCAGTATTTTCCTAGGGCACGTATCAGGCCAAAGCTCCTCCCAGTGTATACGTCCTCTTCGCCTAGCCACACAAGCACGATAGAAGCTGAGTGGTAGATGTTGGCCATCACGGTAACTTGATTCGTGCGCTCAAGCGGGTTTTCTTGGTTAATACAAATAGTTATAACCCACAAGTCTCCGGATTCCGGCAAGCCGTAGTCTCTAGCTCCCAGGAAAATATTGCGCTAAAAACGTATTGCCAATAGCATTAATACTTTTTGCTATGTGATGCGAATTTCGTCTCTTTGAGTCTTGGGAAAAGGTGCCCTTATTAATGACTATTAATGGCTACTAATGAGTAACTTGTTATAATAGCTTTGTGACTGTTTGAATAAAACAATCAAGCAGTAACGTTTATTGTTTAATAGCACAATGTTTTTTTATACAAGCTAGAATCAGACTTTTTGCGAGGCAACAACAGAGACCTGGGTCTGGACTGTGATGCCGCCGTCTTCCACCTCCTCGTCGGAACTCCCGGTGCTCCCTAGCCGGGTCGCATGGTCTCCACGGCCAGCCGTGCAGGTGAGCTCGACCTCGTCATCGTTGAGGCGCGTACGGCCTCCGTTGGCGCGGATTGTACTGGAAAGGACGTAGCGGCCGCTTTGCGAGTTGACCGGATTGGACTGATCGTTGCCTTCGCTGCCGCTATTCTTACCGGACGAGTCCTTGTTACGGCCCAGACGGAACAGCGGAGCCAGTGTTGGCAAGCAGGCCGAGATGATGGCCACCAGCGGCTCGATGCAGGACCAGGCCATTCCGGGTCCCATCCACCAGGTGGCATCGATGTGGTGAGCCAGGCCGTTGAGATAGTAGATGCGGAAGATGCTTGCAAGACAAACGCTGCATTCGTCGAAGCGACCGGTCAGCCAGACACACGCAACGTCGGAAGGAAAGAAGGGCATGGACTCGTGCAGACATACAGGCTACCCAGCATCATGATGCCAATAACGGACGCCTTTGTCTTGCTGTTCATCTGCAGCACCCAGATACTGGGGATGGGGACGATCAGGATGATGACGTCGTTGATCATGTTCACGATGCCGAGAACAAGAAAAAACAGCTCCACATTGATGCAGCTGCCTTGGCCGCCGGTATACTGGGTCCAGTAGTAGCTGACGGGACGACAGGCGCAGGCCATGGTGATCCACAGGATGGGGAGGTAGACACCGGTCAGAACGGAGGCAAACAAGAACATGTACTTGAACTGATTCGTCGTGCCGGCCTTGGACGTGAAGAGGCGGCGGTAGAGCAGAAGGACGCTGACCTTGGCCGACGTGACGGACAGGGCTGCACAAAAAAGGTTTCGAATAGAAGAGACGGGGGGGTTCCATTAGCGCACCCGGGAAAGAAGACTGGATGTCCGCCCTATACCTTGAGGAGAATGATAAACTTTTCGATTGTCGTTGTCCAGACATGTTCACCGGCGCCATACTTTCCCGCTGGTTTGGCCGTGTCAGTTTAGGCAAGACAGGCAGCCACACACGCTGCGTGCTTACCGAGAACGTTTGTCACAATGGTCGACGAGGTCAAACACTGCGGAGAAGCTGGTCAGCCGGCCGTGCATGGCAGTCGGGGCCTTTTCAGGTGGTGTGTGAACTTACTACGCTCACAATGATGGCATAGTCATCATACCACATGCTGGACCTCGACACGCGGATGTTAGTACGCGCAGTGCGACAATGAGAACGGCCAGGGCGAAGATGATTAAGGTGACAATGTTGTAGCGGCGAATGAGCGAGGCCGAGAGGTCGAGGCCCTCAGGGACCGGCCCAAAAAATGGCGAGAATGGCGGGCTGGACAAGTCATGGCGGGCTCGGCAACGGACAGATCGGGTCGGTTGAAACAGCTGGAGAGACAGAGAGCAACGGCAGACCTTAAAGACGGCGACGGAAGAGCAGGAGATCCGGCTGCTTAAGTGATAAAGATCCAGGGCGCTCGTAAGATGTGACCGGGGCAGACCTTTGGTTCCGAAAGGGGGACGAGTGCCGGGGTATGTTACTCTGGCATGCTGCTCTCACCTGGCTATTCGACTCTGCATGGACATTGCAGTACGTAGTATGCAGACCTAGAGGTTCCGAAATTCAGATTCGCGCCCTGCACCCCATGGCCTTCTCTGCCGACCCACGACGGAAGGAGGGCGAATGAAAAGCCGGAAAAACAGAATAATAGCCCGAGACAGGTCGCCCACCTGCCTGCCAGAAAATGCTACATTGTACTCTGTACAGATCGAGGAGGTCTGAACCTTCTTACGGAGCATGCACAAGCAACTGATTCGTTACCTTCGGAACTACCTCGGAAGCAATGCTTGCAACTCCTTCTCTACCGTTGCAATCTCCCAAGTGAGCCTAAATCGTGCCCCTTAGTACGGTTCAGCGGCCCTCCTAGATACCGAAGCATGCAGGGTTGAAGGATTGGGACTTTGTACACATAAATAGGACTGGCCAGCACCACTTTTCCCGGCAGCAGTACTACTCTGTTTACTGAAACTGGCCACCCCGAAGAGCAGAGAAGTTGAACGGGAATAAGACAAGAAGAGACGCCCTCCTTTATTACACGGAAATTTCAAGGCCTCTCGGCCTTCCTTGTCTGTTTTTCGTTCTGTCCGTCTTCCAGGCCCAAACGCCAGCGGCTACTCCCTCTGTCCTGCCACGAGCTCCCCTTCTGCCATCTTGCCGTGGAACTGGTTTCACCATGGCCATCACGAACACAAACGAGCGGCCGGTCGACCGGCCCCCCCCTGTGCTGCCGACCGAGCAGGTCGGGCCCCAAGGGCTGGGTCCGGGACATGCTCATCTTCCAGCTGGCCGACGACTACGATCTGGACGCGCTCTCAAGCCTGCTCAAGACAGCCTACCGCGCGTTCAAGAACCGGACGCCAGGGGCCGGCTGCGAGGCCCTCCCGCTCGGGGGGGACCAAGCCGGGCTCGTGCAGCTGCGCCACTACGGCGACGAGATTGAGGACTTTGTTGATCAAGGACCTGCGCGAACTCCTTTGCCTCGTACGCCGAGCTGGAGGCTCGCGACTTTCCGGCCTCAGCCCTGACGGCCGAGACGTGTCTGCGTGGTGCTGGAGGCGAGTGGCCGCGGGCTGGTGACCGCATCAACGTGCTGATGATGCAGGCCAACTTTATTCGCGGCGGCCTGATCCTCAACCAGCTCGTCTTCCACGCCTATGCCGACGGCACGACCGCCTACAAGTTCACCGACATCCTGGGCGAGGAGGTGCGTCGCGCCCAAGGCATCCCCATCACCCACCCGGTCGAGATCCCGTGGGAAGACCGGTCCAAGTTGATGCAGGCCAGTCTGAACGTCTCGGGCCCTGGTTTTGGCCGCACTGCCAGCCACCCGGAGTTCACCGAGCTGCCCTTCACTCCCGAGGGTGTGCCGCCCAGTTTGACAGAGGGTGGTCATGTCGGCCACGTCTTTTACTTCTCGCCCCAGAAGATCAAGATCCTCAAGGCTCTGGCTGCACCTGCCAACGCCCACGTCTTCAAGGGCGCTGCCGCCGGCATCACCCACGTTTCCACCAACGACGTGCTCACGGCCCTCATGTGGCGCAGCGTCTTGCGCGCTCAGCATCCGTCTGGATCGCGCGACGACAAGACGACCGACGCGGAGCCCTGCATCCTTGGCGTCGCTGTCGATGGCCGCCGGCGAGCCGGTGTCTCGGTTCACAAGCATACCATCGGCAACATCATCGGCTTTGCCCCCGTCATACTCGACCTCAAGACTGTCCGCAAGGCCACCATCGCCGACCTCGCCATCAGCATCCGGAGCGCTGTGGCCAAGTCTCAGGCTCCCTACATGGACTCTCTCACCCACATGATCGGCCAGCTGGGCGACGTCAGCCGCCTGACACCCACCATGTTTCTCGACATGCCCGGCCGCAATATGCTCATGTCGTCCTGGGCCGAGTTTTCCCCTTTTACGACATCGAATGGGGCCCGGCTCTGGGCAACCATATAAAGTCCGTGCGGTTCCCTTCTGCGGGCGTATGCCATTCGTTCCATATCCGGCTTCCCGACAATCCGCACAAGGGTGGAGTCGAGATGTTTGTGGGAGCCATGGGCCCGTCCATGGAGAGACTGCTGGAGGACCCACTGTGGAACGAGTTCGCAGAGTCGCCTGCCGTGTAAAAGGGGGTGTCGTCATGTCTGGGGCGACGGTGAGGTTCGACGCGAGCCTGAGCCTGCCATGCTTTCTGTTTGCTAAGCGTTTTGTGGATTCTCCTTCCTGGCACATGTTTTCCTAGACAATTTTTTTCCCCCTGTCTGTTCGCTTTCGTCTTTGAAACAAATACGAGTAGGAGCCGTTGTCATCACGTTATTCGCGAGCCGATGGGCCCATTCATCTCCGCTTTCCTGCAGATTAATGCAGCCTGTTGTATGTTACGGCTATATAGGAATTTCTTGCTGCTTACAGAGTACGTTGCAGCCCGGCCCCTGAAACTAGCGTTCTGACTCATCCGTGTGTTTGTATCGTACGGAGTACAGTAACATTTGCGAACCTGCATACCAGCTGTATAGTACGATACGCGTACAAGCCCCACGCGGCTCGCAGGTACGGAGTGGCTTCCAGTGCGGGGCCCGTTGCAGAACCTTTCTCTTACGGAGCACATAGTATGTAAATGCCTCGCCCTCGTTCCGCATGAGTAGGGAAGGCGGGTGCAACCTTGCAACGGCTCGTCGATACCGCTCGGTCCTAATGACCGGAATCGGGTTCGACTGCCGGCATCGTAAGATACTATGTACGCTCGTAGCTCGCAGAGTGCCTGCAAGGATTGGCCTGCACAGCGGTCGTTTAGCGAGGCATGGGTATACGGGGCTTATCCGTGTCTCCAGCAGGGATCCTCTTGGGCACGGAACTTCCAATGACGGCACAATCGCAAGCTCCCATGTACAAACATGTACTCCGTACTCCCGTACGGATTACGGATTACTGACTCGTTCGGGCAGTCTGTGCAGATCCTTTTCCCCATTGAGAACGGAAACACATCCGGTGAGGGCCGTTGTAACTCTGATTGCCAGACGCTAAACAATCGAGCACTACGAGTACGACGTACTATTCAGATCCGGAATTTTGTGAACCTACGGATTACGTCGTACATGGTATCGGAGAACTTTGTGTGCGGATACCAAGCACTCTTACGGAGCAAGGCGACCTCCTGTCGTACGATTGAGGTATGTATTTGCGCCAATGGTCTAATCTGCAAATAGTAGGCATTTCGGAAATCTCCCCAAAGGGTTAAAAGTCCGAAGTAGTACGAAGTACGGACTAATGGATGTCGAGAACATCCACCCAAATTTTGCATTCCATTATACACAACTCGAATATACAAGTAAAAGTGCATGTACGGAGTGAGGGCCTCCAACGTATCTTACATAGTAGATCACATCTTCAGGCAAGGCTGGTGAAATCTTCCGTACAACCGGTCAGTCATTATGCTCCGTACGAGGAATCGTAACGAACTCTACTCGTAAGTCAAGTTCGACCGACGACCAGGATTGATCATACATGTTGGCATCGCCCAACGCATAACGAGTGCCGGCCCCCGTCACCGTCGCCCTGTCAGCAATATGTCAGCCGGCAAGATTAGCCCATGAGGTCGAAGCCGTTTTATGATCGCTCACTTACGTCTCGTCCGGCTTAGGAGTTTGGCACGTACATCATAATAGACGAGTACTCGTACCTGCCAGGTACGAGTACTTTGTAATTGCAGGTGCTCGTTCCTTCTCCACCTACATAGTAGACAGAACCAACCAGTGCCGCGCAAGTATCTCGTCGTAGCCACTACCCACAACTGACACCACGCTGCGGGATACACCTTTACCTGGCCTGTGGTCCCCGATAGAACAAGGACAGTTGCAAAGCATTACATACGGAGTAGTGATACCCGTGCTACGCCCCGTTATATGATTTGCGTAAAACGCGCAACATCTAGATGGTGCTAGACACCTTTGAAGCCTGTCACCTTCTGAGCCAGCCTCTTTTTTACCAAAAACGCCGATTTTAAAAGCCAATAATTATTTTAAAAGAAAAAGTGCAGTAACCAAGCGGACTTTTTTTCTGTATACAATACATAGTATAGCTTTACAAAACCCGCATATAAAACTGTCGTTATATTAGTATAGCATTTATAGCGTTTTTTCACTAAAATGAAAAAGTTCAATAGTATATTTCAAGACTACATGATTATAGCTAGATTAGCTCTACGTATATATTTGTCTTCGCTAGTTAAGCTTTAATCCGGATTCTTATATCTATTTTTTGAATTAGTTATTTGTCTAAAAACCGGTGTTTTTGGTGTGAAAGAGGGTTGGCTCAAAAGGTGTCTAGCACCACCTATGGTGGTGCGCGTTTTCGCGACCAATTTAGGTGGGGCGTGGCACGGGTAGTAGGAGTGCTCCGTGGGAGATAGATCGGCAATTTGTCAATCGTCTCACGGAGTACGTTTGCAACTGGCCTCGGGGGCAATGTCCTATTTTGTAGCACCGTCGATCAACAGCTATTCTTGGCTAGTCTTGGTGCGAAAAAGGGACGGCAAGACCCGCTAGCCCCCTTATTATGTACTATAACTCATATGTAAGTTACGAGTACTCCGAAATCATTCGCTCAACTCCCTAAAACGGGTATTTGCCGAAATTCCGAGACGCTTGCATACTTTCTCGGGCAGCCCAGGCAGCCGGGACCTTGTCCTGTCTAGAGTAGCATTTTGCCCCCCCCCCCATAGTAATTCTGTGTGAAGAGTTTTCATCGCCAAGCTTGTGCAACGGTGCTGAATTAGAAAGACACAATAGGCAAGGATACCTATCTCTTCTTACATAGCAGGGGTTAAAGCCGCAGATGTCTGGATGGTCCTAAATTACCAAAGCGACCCCCCACCGAAATTCGAGTCTAGCTCTCTACGGAGCTTGAAACGCCCACTCATGTGCTGCCGTAGCAGCGGCCCGTTGCATCTCTCTGTGGTACTGGTATCTTATCTCATATTAGATATGACAACCAAACTTGCAGCCGGCCGAACGAGCAACATTGCCCTCGTACTCCGTAGATGGTGTGCTTTTCCGTGGCCAGACTGGAAGCTATATACGACGTACGCTCGTTTTACGAACTCTGACAGCTATACTCAACGGCGACAAGGCGGCTTTATCGACGCAGATCCTCAATTTAGCACTTAAGTAGGTCGGCCATCATCAGATTGCAATGTACTTGTTACGGCTTAGTACAATGTGTCAGAGTCTGGTGACAGTATGCTCGCTTGGAGCCTTGTAATATGCGTTGCTGCACGAGAAAGAGATACCAACAGAGGAGCGTGCCATGGCCGACTTCTCCCGGGCCAGTTTTACTCCGAATACATGACCGGTGTATACATAAGGCTTTTGAATTGGCCTTTGTTAGATTTCACAGACATTCCCTAAGATTGGTGTCTTTCTTTATACTATTCGATTGCTTGTAATGGTGTCCATACATACACCACCGAGATAATATGCGATATTGTAGACTTTGCATATGCCTTCAATATTTTGAGCCATCTCCATCGATGCTTCACCTATGAAGTACAAGTAATTGCTTGCAGAGACATCTTGCCAACTCTCACTGCGAAGCACTATCCGTCGGATAAACCAGGTGCCTGTCATATATCGAAATACAGCCAACACTAGCGTATATAATATGCAATGGCAGCATCAAAGTCGGCCTCGCTAACACCGCTGTCCCACCCGTGGCCCGACAATCTCGGCAAGAAGCTGCCGGGCATCACTTCTCAGATACTCATGCTGGCCACTGTTCTGGCCCAGATCCCCTTGCACCTGCGCCAGCTTGAATCTGACCCGTGCAATTTCTGCCTTTGGAAACGACGGCATCGCGCAGTATGCGTCCAGGCAAAATTGCAGTATATTCTTCGTAGGTTGTTAGAGCAGGCGATGGGGAATAAGGGACGGGGAGACAGGCTCACTCTGATTTTCTAAAATCGCCCAGCCTGTGCCAGATCCAAGCTAATCTGTATGAGCACGATAACGTCTTCATGTGCTTCTGGCCCAACGTCTCCTTGTGCAGGGCCAGGCTGTCCAGCAGTAGTTCTTTGGCCACCAGCAGCTCGCCCTTGTCGATCAGACCCAAGGCCAGTGCCGCCTTGGCCCACGATGTCCTTCCACATACAATTAGCACATGTGCTGTGTTGATCTATAGCCTTACTGGGAGGGCTCACAACGGAAACCGCTTCTGCGTCGCAGTCTCACGCTCAAGCATCAAAGCAATGCAACTTTGGAAGCACACCGCTGCTCTGTCCAGCTCCTTCACCACCCACCAGCACCGCCCAATGTTGAGGTAGTTAAGTGCCCAGCCGTGATGTTGGTCCGCCCTGTACTTGTCTGTGCCCTGCCGAATCTCAAGCGCAATCTGGTGCATCTTGATCGCCTCCCATGGGTTATCTCCCGCAAGGACCACGCCCAAGTTCATGAATCCGTTAGCCAGGTTTGGGTGGTTCACGTCTAGCAGGCCAGCCTTCACGGCGTCTTCGCGGATCTTTAGGTCTTGTGCTGCCAAGCCGGCCAGGCTCAGACCTGCCGTTCTGGCCACCCCGACTTCCTCGGCCTCGGTTTCGTTGTGGAAGTACAGCTGGACCGTGTACAGATCGGCGAGAAAGAGTCCCGGCTTTCCGTCAAAGACGATTCCCCTGCTATTCGGGCTGGAGGCTGCCACCTGTAGGCCACTGTAAGCCTCGTGGGCTGTCGCGATCAGTGTTTTTGCTAATCGAGAAGCGACCCCGCTCGCAGAGATACCAGGCGCAGCTGTAGACGAGCTACACAAAGTCCATCAGCGATGACAATGACGACACTGACGACGACGATGTCCACGACAGCCGGCCCCATGCCGCGCAGCTTCAGATAGTGCTTGTGGAGAGATAGCACATGCGGCTGAAACGTCTCGCAGGTGTCCCACCTCTCCACCATGTGGTCCCGTGCCGGTCCGTGCAGCGGAAACGCCTGCCGCACGAGGCTCGTGGCGTCCTCAAAATCGGACTGGATATGAGGTTTCTGTTCCAGGGCGACGTCGCAAACAAGGCGGTGCATCCAAGCATACTGACTATGGGACTGATGCTGGTCCGCCTGCTCTTCCTCTTCCTCCTCGTGCTGCAAATACACAAAGGATCGTCTCGACAGGGACAGCATAATGTTCTTGCTGCGGATGAGTGTCCTGAGCGCCGGCACCCGGCCGTCCAACGACACCAACAGCTGCTCTGGAATCTGGTCAGGGTCGAACAGTGCCACGGTCGTCAGCACCTGACGGCTCGTGTCGTTTAGCTTGGATATAGATGCCGCCAGTGCCTCAGTCAAGCTCTGGCTATACCATGGGCTGTTGCTAGGCGCCACCTGCGCGAGATCCTGCAGGTCTGAGCTCGGGTTTTCGCTGCTGCCGTTACTGGCGCAGAATAGTGCGTCCAGCGACGTATGCGACTCCTCTATAAACGACACCACCCCCTCCAAGTATAGCGGAAAGCGATCTACCTTCTCGGCCCATGCCCCGATCTGCTGCTCGTTCAATATGCGGCGGCCCTCAAGCCGCTTTCGGAACAGGGATACTCCCTCGGCCGACGTCATCGGAATCATCTGTGTGCTCTGGCTGTGGCCGCTGATTGCCTGTAGTGCTGGCATCTTGTCGCGACTCGTAATGAGGACGGCACCGTACTGGAAATCAGATCACGATGACTGCAGATTGCTAAAGTCGTCAACGTTGTCAAGGACCAGCAGCCATGATGACGAGCATCCGCCGTGGTCAGGTAGCCATGTTCCAGCTTCTCGGGGCTGTCGGTTGCGATCCAAAAGATGTACTGAAAGTCGTTTCGGTGCTGGTAGCAGAACTCAATGGCCGTGTGCGTCTTACCGACACCTGGAATTCCCCTGTGAACAAAGAATCCGGCTTTCGTCTGGCTTGTCGCCGTTTGACAGTGGGTCCGGCTTGCCTCCCTTTGGAGGGAAGGAGACAGTTGGAAATCTGAGATAAGACATCCCTGCGTCCTGTGAACCAGCGGTTTCGCGAGTATGGGACCTTGAATAGCGTCTTTGGCGGGGGAAAAAGACGGTGGCTGTCTTGTCGCCCCTGACACGGACCTGGCTCCATGGTTGGAATTGAATTTCTGGCTCAGGCTCTTGACCTGCCGAGCAGCCCTATTTAAGGAAATGTCCAATTTGCGGATAATTTTGGGACGCGGCCTGAACTCCTCTATGAACAGAAGCAATAGTCTGCACAGACGACTGCTGCATCGTGGAGATCTCGTTTAGCTGACTGCCGGTTGACTGTGCGAAATCACCCAGCCTTTCGAATGTGGATACTGTAGTACGACTGCACAAAGATAAAAATACCTGTTAAAAAGAGGACGAAATAGAAGGAAAAAGAAAAGGAAAGTTGTCCTTACAATTGTAGCGTGCTGAGAAAGAGTGACAGACAGCTCTGCGACTTGACGAACCTGGCCCAGCAATTCTCCACGTCGTTTTCTCCCTGAAAAAATGCATTGCCCATATTGACCTTGAGAGCACCAAAAAAGCTAGCCAGCTTTGCATTGCGTTTTTGGAGACACTTTCTGAGCTCGATGGTGCTAAGTAGATGCAGTTCCATCTGCTCAACTGGGACCCGAATCTGCTGTAGTTGATTCTCGTTTAACGTATCGAGTTTCTCATTTAAGAGGCATATATTCTGCACGATGCTGATAGATGCCTTCAGAGACAGGCACATGTATTGAGCGTCCTTTTCGAACTGCTGTAGTGTAGTTGCCGCGTCAAACGCACTCACCGTTGCCTTCAATACAGACCCGAAAAATGCAATAAGCTGCAATACCGATGCAGCTGCGGAAAGCGTCTCCATTCATGCAGACCGAAATGCCGTTCACTAGGAACGGCTAGCCAACAAGGTCACCGTAGTTGTTTTCGATGTCTACTTGCCAAATTTTATCATAAATTCAATCCGACGAAATGCAGTCTATCTGACAGAAAAAGCACCGGAGAGAGTTGGAAGGGTGGGAAGCATTGCCAAGCCTCAACCGCTCGTGGCCGCCTTGTGATCAAAAAAGTGCAGAAGTGCAGTATCGGCCAATAGAATTGATACGGCTCTCATATCATGACATGATTACGGAAACCCCCGGAAGAAATGAGATGTATATCCAAGTATCACACGGCACGACACAAACTTTCCCAGCCACGTAAAGCGGTTGCTTTTATCATGATAGATTTAAACTCCACTACTTTCCACTCAGGTCCCTTCCACTCCAAACACACAAGCACAACGAAAGGCTTAAGAAATAATTCGACAATTCCCCTCAATTTACAAGAATGGCATACTCTGCTCCTTCCGTTCAGGGGGACTATTCCATGGCCACCTCTGATGACCTTGCCTGGGACCTCAACGGAATTCCCGAGAGGGGTCCCTCCTTTCAGCCGTGGCGCGCTTACTGGCCGCCCTCGCCGACCCAGGTGTTCTCGGACGAAGAGAAACAGGCCAAACCGTGGCTGACATGGAAAAGAGATGCCACCGTGCTCAATGACAAGCCCTGGTATCAGTGGGTCAACCTTTTTGAGGGTGAAGTTGACGAGCCTTGTCTGGGCAGAGGGAAAGGCGACCCCAACTGCCCTCACTGTCAAGGAAGCGGCTGCGTACGTGCCTATATTTGCATTACACTCCTTTCACTTTGGATTCTAATCCGCTACTTCTTTTAGAATGTCTGTTCTACTGTAGCTGAAGGCGGGTAGGGGATTCGTTGATTTAGGATATATGCAAGGAGAAGACCAGTTCTGGAAATTCCAATAAGAGCGTATACCAGTGCTTCTCATGTGTATCCGTTTTGGGGGGTAATGGAAGGCATTAAGAAGTGAAATAGCCGATTGGACACCTCTCCTTGGAAATACAGAAGGATGATAGTACAGGATTATTTGTTTTTTTTTTTACATAGTAAGCAGTAGAGACGTCTGCGCGATAAAGTTTGCCATTTTTCTTCGCCTAACGCTAATGTGAGTATTTACTTAGAGAGTTGCTATTTGCACCGTAAAATTTGGCTATCTGCACCGTAATCCACTAATAAGAAATATGGTATATAGGGTGGGTTTAGCAAAAACTTAGTCGATTGGTTACTTTGTTCTGCGCTATACGGAGTACGGAGTAGTATTTTCTTTATAAGTATAAAGTATAGAGTACAGAGTATAGAGTACAGAGTACAGAGTACTTAACTAGACAACGGTGCGAGAATATTATTGGCTAAAAAGTAGATTTATTTTATGGGTCCTTGGCGGTGAAAGCAAGGACCCACTGTACCATATCTCTTATTAGTGAATTACGGTGCAGATAGCCAAATTTTACAGTGCAAATAGCAACTCTCTTTATTTATTACAAGCCACCTTGTATCTACTCCGCTTCTGCTTCTTGCTTGTCACCGTAAAAGACAAAGGTCCGGACCTCAATACTCTCCCGCGGAATTTTCGGCCTGGCCGACAGGTAGGGAAATGCGACATGTGGCGCGACTAGAGAGATTAGTTTTCAATTTGTCAGGTGAAAATCTCTTTAGATCAAAACCCATTTGTAAGCCTGCGGAGGATGAGACTTCTTCTCCCCTGCTGTGACTTTCGGTTCTTACATTGTGCGATATTGGGATTTGTGGCTGTGGCGGAATCAAAGCACTTGACCAACCAGGCCTCATTGCTCTGTTGGCCATCGATGTAATAGAAACGGTGCTGTGGATTTGGCCAAAAGTTGTACGTTTCGCCGAGGTAGTCGGGGAAAATGATGTCGCATGGTACGCGGTCATCATCTTGTACGGTGCGATAGTCACACACTGCCAGCGGAAAGTCGGAGACGGGGCCACGGAGCGGCTTCCATACACTAGCAGATCCAGTAGGTTAGCAATGCATGGGGATTAGTTTCTTGATTTAGCTTGTGAACGTGCTTTACGATTTGAAATCGGCCCGTGCCGTACCGATCAGCGTATTCTGGATGGAAGTGGAAAAGACGGCGCTTGGCCGCGTTGGCCGTTTGATCTAGTATGCAAAATTCAGATTAGACGCAGTACCGTTCTTTAGCGGTTCTCTTTGGTACTTTCTCCTTTCCTTTCTGCCACTCACCACCATGTACTGTCGAGAATGGCTGTGCCTTTCCAGGAGCACCCCTCGAGTTAACGGCAAGTGATGGATCGTTGCGGCGGACCTGGTGATTGGATCGTTAGTTGTGCATGCAGTGCTAATTGGGAACAAAAAGGGTACACCTGAAAATCAAATGGCAACACGTCCACCGCTCCAGTAACGCTTTTCAACATAGCCTTGACTTCATTGTAGTAGCTTAACACAATGGCCTCGGATGATGCAAAGTCGTCATAACGGAGGCTGCTCTCTAGGTGTACAAGCTGAAATCCATGTTGGTCGTGCGAGAACAACTTCTCGTGGCCGCGGATGTCAGCCACAGCAATCCACTTTCTCAAGTAAATCGGGTTTGACCGATTGACTCCAGGCGCCCTCGAAGGTTCCCTAAGGAAATTCATAAAGTACGACTTTTTTACCCTTTACAGGTGATCTGGTCGCATGTAGAAAATGCTAGCCATACGCATCGCAGGGTTGTACTTGTCAAGCTCCCATTTCTGACTCAGATCTGAAAAGAGAGTTCGCGTATTGTCCGTGTTCTCGGCGAACCAGTCCAGGAGGTTGACATGGTTACTGTCGATTGTGCTCATATTCACGTCTTGGCCCGGGGACTGATTCTGCTGTAAAATGCCAAAAGTGATTATTGTCTAGTTCCGCAGAATATGCTTGTGCTTGAGGACTGCGTCGCTTTCGATACCCAGACTCTATTTAATGCTCCATGCCTGTGAAGCCACTCCCGAATTCATGTCAGCACATTGTACCTCTATGTACTCTCGCCAAGGCCCGGTGTCGTAAACTAACCAATCAACGAGCGCACACCACCCGATACCCCACTTCTTTCCAGATACCCCGCTTCCACAAGGCCATATTGCTGACACGGCAGTTGCTCGCCCTCGCCCAACGACAAATCCAAACAGACTGAAATTCCTCTGACTCGATCCGAGAATTGTTTTCACCGGAATACATTTCACTTCACTATCGAGAAGTCATAAAAGACTATCGGCCGTGCAATACTGCGAAAACCCCAAAGCACTAAAAACCAAGAGAGTATGCGTCTACAACCACTTTTGACCCTCTTGTTTGCTTACTCTAGGCCCACAAGGGCCGAAAATCGCGTTTCAACAGTCGTTCGACTAGGAAAGGTCGCATATTACCTACAGGCATACAATTCAGTAGGTAGCCCGTCTTTTTTCTTTTCCGTGCTCTGCCGTTCTCCTTTGCATCCGTCTTGTTTGCTCTGCTATTATCCATGTTGACCTTGACAGCGAGTGTGGACAGATTCCGATGTCTTTCTGGGACAGACTGCAGAGCCCTGCACCCTGTTGTCACTCGGAAGTCAATCTCTCGATGCCACCGGATTCCGGAACATCTTTGCTACGTTCTCCAGAGTCGATGATGTCTGGTCGCCCGAATTTCTCTCCTCTTTGGTGATCCAGACCACCGATACAGCTTACCAGCTTAGTCCCTCTGTAGAGACTTCTTTACGTGACCAAGGCGTGCAACGTGTGCACGTGCAGCATGTCGAAAAAAGCGTCGACGTGCTAGATACCCCCCCCCCAGGTCCGTATTTCTTGCACGGAGGTGGACTCCATAAAGCGTACCGGCTATACCCTGATACTGCTGGTGCGTTTGTTGTGGCTACTGTCCCAGAGGATGACAAGAACACGTAAGTTGGTTTGTATCTTACTAATAGACCTTGCCGGCATCCAAAAGATATCGCTCTCTCGACGCCGCTGCTTACGGAGAGGAGTACCCATCTGCACTCACTATCGCCGTCCCCTCGCGTCTCTACTTCCGCAGAACGTCAGAGCATCCATATGCAGGCCTCCGGTTGGCGGTCAAGGATACCATCGACCTCAAGGGGCTAAAGACGAGCGGGTCTTCACGTGCATACACGTCCTTACTACCTCCCCAGTCTAATTCTTCCGAGACGATACAGTGACTGCTTGATCTCGGATTCGTTGTTGTCGGCAATTGTCGGCAATTCCAAAACAACACAGTTTGCCGACTTTGAGTGGCCGCCGTGTGACTGGGTCGATTATCACGCTCCCTTCAACCCCCGTGTAGACGGCTACCTGACCACTAGCGGCAGCAGCGCGGGCAGTGCTGCAGCTATCGCTGCCTGCTAGGGACCGACAGTGGGTTTTTCCCTTTCTCTCCACCTTCTCCCTGACGGCATACTCCTTACTGACATCTGAACGCTAGCACTCGGAAGTATCCGTGCTCCAGCGGCAGCCTAGGGCATTTTGGGAATTGCGCTCTTCTCTTGGAGCTTCCAGCTTCTAAGGCATCATTCCATACAGCCCGTAGGCCATTGCATGTTGCGTTCACCTTGTTGCTAGAATATGCCCCTCTTACCAGCGTTAGGAAATTCGACACCATCGGTGGCTTTGCGCGAACCGCAGCAGAGTTCAAGATTTTGGCCCATGCCCTATACCATCAGCCTCCTTCTGATGGTAAAGTAAAATTCAAGGCAAGAACCGTCCAGCATCTCTTTAATAACAGCTACTGTGCTCCCCCCTGACCACGTCGTCCTGCAGAAACCAACAAAGCTGCTGTATCCAGTAGACTATTGGCCAGTCAAAGATGCCACCAGCCAAATGGTGTTTGACAAGTACATTTCCCGACTGGAGACCTTTCTTGGAATCGTGCGAAGCACTATTGATCTTGGCACACTCTGGCTAGAGACCAATCCAGAAGGAGTGGACACACCATTGGACGAGTATTTTGCACACGTCTTTGATTGGGCGGCGAATCCAGACCAGTGGTCCGGGTTCCTCAAAGATTTTGTGGAAAGCTACGAGGCCAAGGAAGGAAAGCTACCCGTGTTAAACCCACAGCTCAGATTCAAAAGGCAGGCTTTCTTGTGCAAGTGTCGGTGTCCTATCTTGCACGGCACAACTGCTGACACATTTCTCAACTCACACAGGGACTACATTCCTACCATTACGGTAGACCAGCAGGCAGAAAGCGTCCGGCTTCTCAAGATTTACCAGCAATGGTTTTACAGTCACGTCATACCCGTCGACGAAGCCGTACGTTCGGACACTATCCTGGTTCTACCGTGGACCAACGGCGAGCCGGAATATCGCGACACGTACCGAGACGGACCCCAAAAAATTCACAGGCACGGGCTTTTTTTTCTACAACATCGCCCCTTATGCAGAGGCCCCGGAGTTTATCGTTCCTGGTACGTCACTTTTATCTTTTCGGACCAAGACTATACAAAAACCCTAACAGAGACCAATAGCGGGGACAACTCCATACAAATCCAAATATACCAACAAGACTGAGCAACTGCCGGCCGCGCTGGGCATTGTTGGCTCTAAGGGGAGCGATATTATGCTTGCTGAGCTGATTTCGGCATTGGATACAGAAGGAGCTATGATTTCAAATGCAGAGGTAGACCTAAGATGAAGGCGTTGTGCTAGCTACAGTTTCTTAAACTACAATCGATGATAGGTAGCGATGGAGCAAGAAAGGTGTACTACCATCACGAAAAAGTAAAGCCTGAGAATTAACAGCAGATGAATCAATGTCATTTAGCATAAACTCACTTCCTCTCATATTACCCTTGTTAGGGCATAACCTACTTGTCTAATCAGTGGACAATATTGCATCGTTTTCTCAGAGCGATATCTGTCATACATAAACAAAGTCCTTTACTAAGTGTAAGGCAGGCCGGCTTCGAATCTTAAGTTGAAACTTTAAAATGAATATTCTACGGGAGAAACCTCAACGGCCTGATCTTGTTCTTGTATTTTAAAAGACTGTCTGTTGCGTCTGGCATACCGCCAAGAACAAACCAAGAACCCAATGTTGTGACCATCATTATCAATGCACTCTAGCTATCTGTGATTCTTTTCGGAGGAAGAGCCTAATTTGCAGTTCATATAATGTGCATCTGTTTCTCGACCAGTCCATTGAGATGATACTCAAACTTTCGAAAAGCGATGCCAAAGTGTTAAAGCTATTACGAAAGCCTATTACAGTTTACAAATAAAAACCGTTTCCCAGTGTCAACACAGCACACTTCCCTTGCAATTCTCAGCTACAACCGAACGCTTGTAGTGAACAACAGCTAAAAAGCAGTGTCTTTACGGCAAACAGCCCTTCACGTCATATGGAGTGGGTGCGAGTTTATCGAGCGCTGAAAGGAAGTCGTTAAATTATGAGAAGCACTTGCCGCCTTGCGAGCGTCTTTCGTTTGAAGATATACAGACGTTCAGTCTACCACAACAAATTATAAAGCGATTGTGGTTCCGGCATAGGTACCAGCAGCCAAGAAGATTAGCCGCCCGCTCTAGGTCTCAATTGGCTGGTTGCCGATTATTTGTAACGGTAATCGATGCCGTGAGCTAAGACATTTGCAGCTACACAACATGCCTTTGGAAAGGATATCTCGCTTTCAACTGAAAAAATGAGTTCCCTTTTTTCAACAACAGTGATCCTAGAAAAACAAGCATTTTGTTTGATACAAGTTGTTTTCGCTCTGATTATGAGCCCTTCAATCAAAATTAAAACAAGTTTCACAATGATATCGTCGTCAATGATGACAGATGATGATGATATTTCAACACCTCCGGGCAGGTGCTATATAGGTGATATAGTGGTACTATATCGCAGGTTCTATGATGTTGTTTAGATGCCAAGTGGGACTTTAATGGGTGAGGTCTGGACGGACTGAGACCCGTCAGGAGACCCAAAACGGCCTCCATGTACACCCTTTCCCATCAAGCGTGAGCCTGCCGCCTCTTGTTGCGCTGATGGTCGCTTCTGTTAGGCAGACCCGGTCTTATGCGGTGGTCGTGGAGCATGCCCCTTGTGTGCTGTTTGGTAGTACTCATAGTTCTCGTGGCAGGGTAATAGTTTTGCATTCTTCTCCTTGTTGCCCTTTTTCCCCGTTATCTACTCAACGAAGACTGTCTGGTTACAAAATATCTAAAGGGGGAAAGGCAGGACTGCATAATATGAGTCTGGCCAACGAAAAAATCACGCGCCACAAAGGTTTGCAGAAGCGGTCACCTTTTGGAATACGTGAATGGTGTATCACGTCAGAAGAGAGTAGGTCTGAACACCCCACCAATCAGGCAAAACCGCTGCATAAATAGCTGCGCTGGGCCATTTTTGTGCTCGTATCCATATGGAGCTTGAACTTGCTTTATTGCTAAGCTGCATGCGACAGAACTAGGTCAGAAATCAGGTCACGAGTTGAAGGTTGTGACAGGTCGTAAAGTTGTGGTTGATTTGAACGCGACTCTTTACGGGGAAAGCAACAGAAAGATGGATTCCGCCACACTATAGACTACTCCGTAGGCCTTAAAAAAATCCCACTCTTGCAGAAAATGTACCCATAGGCTTTCAATAATAACTGATATATGTGCACCCCTGTCTACTGCCTGGTCTTGTGCTTATCATTGCATCGTTGTATTATCTCCCGTGTTTGCTTTTTAAAGTGCCTTGTGTTTCAAATATCAGAAGGCCACTGTTTGCTATGCGGACTGTCCGGATGCTACTTCGCCCAGACTAGTCCGCATTCAGCTATTCTCCCCTTTCCGACCGGTATAGACAAAGTGCACACTGCGTTACCTTTACATCCACTGTTAACTTTAAATACAAAGGCATCTTTGATTCTTACAAACATATGACACCCAGCTTTGCACTGCATTTACAGATACTTTCTGGGGGTCCGGACTTATCCTATCTGTAAAGCAGTTGCGGCTTTAACACGCAAGACCGTGATATAAGTCTGTGCACTGAATATAGCCCAATGGGGCAGTTTGGGCTCAATACTAAGGAAGACGGACGTCGTTTGCATTTGTAAGAATATCGGACGAACCTATTTGTCTCCTGTCACGAACAATAGAAGTCTTGGCATACACGTTGTTCGCAAATTAAGGAAACGGTGTGGAACTTATACGAAAGGACCAAAGGCTTGGCTGGTCTTGGCTGGACTTGGCAGAGGGTCGGCGCGAAATCCGGACATCTCCAAGCGCGGATTTTGCACATTCTGGTCTGCCTTTTTCGACTTGTGGACCGACAATGGGACAGTGGACGGGCGCACAGTTGACATTTGCCAAGTCAAAGAACTTACATCTGCCGGTCCACCACCTCGCTACCGTACGCGAAACAAGAACGTAAGCCAGGATGTATCTAACCTAGATAGTGTGTTCATTCTCGTACCGACATGCACCCTGTGACGATGTTTTTTGTATAAAACGGCGAGACGTCCGCTTCTCAGACTGACAGGATTTTCTTCAGGCCAGCTCCTGCACGTTCTACATTCGCTTTTGTTCCCAGTAACACCACCTTCGTCCATTTTTCTGCTCATTTCATCCGCTTAATCGCCATTACCGCTCTTTGACTCCTGTCACCCATTCCTTTATTTCGAAAATGAAGTACTCTATTGCTCTCTCCGGCCTCATCGCCACGGCTCTGGCCATTCCGTCCACTGGCGTGACTCCCAACACGGTTTGGTGTCCCTGGACAAGCGTGCCAACTTCCCGATCCCCGCTTCCAAGGGCTCTGTGACCTATACCAAGCCCCAGACCATCTCGGGCACGTTTGACGGCGGCCTCAAGACGTACGGCCGGGGCGTCAGCTGCACGGGACAGGCCGAGGGCGGAAACTCGGATGCAGTCTTCATTCTCGAGGACGGCGCAACGCTGAAGAACGCCATCATCGGAGCGGACCAGATCGAGGGTGTCCACTGTCTCGGCTCGTGCACGATCAACAACGTCTGGTGGAAGGCCGTCTGTGAGGACGCGCTCACGCTCAAGGGCGACGGCAATGCCAACGTCATCGGCGGCGGAGCGACGGGCGCTGAGGACAAGGTGATCCAGCACAACGGCCTCGGCACCGTCACCATCGACGGCTTCACTGTCGTCGACTTTGGCAAGCTCTACCGCGCGTGCGGCAACTGCAAGACCATGGGCGAGCGCAACGTCATCGTCAAGAACGTCAAGGCTTACAGCGGAAAGAAGCTCGTCGGCATCAACTCAAACAAGGGAGATGTCGCCACTATCACCAACACCTGCGCCACGTCGGTCAAGGAGATCTGCGCCGAGTATGAGGGCACCACTCCCGGCAACGAGCCCAAGGAGATCAGTACTGGCATCAGCTCCCACTGCAAGTACACCTCGGTCCCGGCTTGCTAAGCGGGCGGTCTTGTGCACTTGTCTTCTGTGCCACATTCATGTATATAAATGGCTACTGCTCTTTGCAAGAGTGCCAGGCCCTCCTTCTATTCTGTCAATATCTTAGTAGCTTTTACTTGTAGTACTGGCTTAACCTTATAGTTTGAAGTGGACCACCACATTTCACTCTCAACTTGTCTTTGCCCGTACTTTTCCCTGGTCGTGTGCAATGTGAAGAAAAGTTACAAGTACTGCGTGCCCAGGAGCCTATTTCTGCACTGCACAAGTACTCCGTAGCCCGACCTGACCACCCCACTTTCATCGAGTACGGAGTACTCCGTAGAAAGCTCACAACACCTCACAAAGCATGCACAATTAAAGCTCAAATCGAAGATATGCCGGGAAGGCAGGGGTCGTGTTGTATTAACAACTGTCTAATCTATTCTATATGTCCGCAAATAAATGCAACTACCTGCTTTGGTCTAAATTAGCCGTTTTACAGGACGGCTTCCACGAGCTGCTTGGCGCTTAGGCAACGCGATCAACCTGGAATGCCATGATAGGTCCGTCCACAGCGGTGCTGTATTTGGAGCTGTTGTGGAAAGTCTCGCCCACGTGCCAGTTGGGGTTGCTGTAGACGGTCGGAGTCGTGGTCAAAGTCAGATTGACGGCGCCCGAGGCGATGAAGGACATGGTCTCGGTGGTGTCGGGGCAGGTCCAAGACTGGTTGATGCTGAGGAGGCCGCTGGCAGAGTCAAAGGTAAAGGCCGTCTTGGTCTTGGAGTCGGAGTCCGGGTCGACGCAGTGGTAAACGTCGCTGTCGTAGAAGTAGTTGGGGAACTTGTAGGACTGGGCAATGCAGCCAGAGGTAGACTGGAGAGACAACAGGGCAGGGTTGGAGATGTTGAAAGAAACCTCGCCCTTGACGACCTGATGGGCGGGCGTGCTCGAGGTCTCGATGGTGTTGTACTCGAAGTCTGTCATGGACCAGGTAAAGCCTTCAGCAGAATCGGCGCAGGTGTAAGGTGTGGCTAGGGGCCGGGGCGGAGGGCCTGGCCAGGACGCCGGTCGAGAGGGCGAGAAGAGAGACGATCGTAGACTGCATGATGGCGGTTCGTTAAAGGGCTGAGGATTTGGATGGAGAAGAGAAGAGGATGAAGGTGAGAGGATAGCAAGATGGCCGATTGGAAAGACAGGCAGAGCAGTCTTATACCTCTCTTTCCGGCCGGGCAGATCGTCCTCTTCTTCTCTTCTAGCTTGGTGGTGCGGATCGGCAATTCTTCCAAGGATGGGACCATGAGTTTAGATTAGGGGTTCTTGGAGGTCACTGCCGAAATAGGGCACTTGGCGTCTTCTGGCGGACAGTAAGGCAGCCTACAGGGCTCCATTCGGCGGGGAAGGCAAAACAGGTTGAGGCGTAATTAGTGGGTCTAAATGGGCGCTGGAAGCCTGTTGAGCGGTTGCCCCTTTTGTTTGTCTTCACCGCGGTCGCCTGGGCTCGTATTCAGGCCAAAAATATACCATCAACCACAACTCGAGCTGCCACCGCAATTTGGTAGTGGATTGATTGCAGGCAACAGAATCTTGTTCTTCTGTGGAATAACTTCACCGCAAGTGTCATTTCCCCATAGATTTCACCCATCCCCCGTATTTAGACCTTGTCATGTGTCATGCGTGAAATCAAGTTGTAGATGAGGCCCCGGATAGTGGCGGATGGCGTGGACAAACCACCAGACAGCAGTCAAGAAGACGACACCAGCAAGAATAACACAGTTGTAGTTCATGGTCGACGTGTCGACAGGCAGGGCAGCAGCTACAACAGACAGGTAAGCAGGGCGAAGCGGAATTAGCCATGTAGACAGGAGTGACTTACGGAAGCAGAAAAAGACATCGAAGAGGATGATGAAGAGGACAGACATAGTGTTGACGAAGAAGCCATACCTGCCGAGGTGGAACGAGCCTCGGATAAAGTTCTTGCGGCCAGTCAGGACGTTGGCGGCAAAAGGGATGGCATAAGAGACGGAGTTGAGGATGATGAAGGAGCCGGTGAGGTTGGAGAAGCCGACGGAGCTGCCGATAGGGATAGCACCGAGGCCAGAAACGATGAGGCCAACAAACAGGGTCGACTCGATGGGGCAACTGAGGGTCTCGTTGACACGGCCAAAGACAGAAGACATCGGCACGGCATTGTCGCGGGCGAGGGCCCAGTAAGTACGGGTGCTGGTCAGGACGGTACCGATGACGCCGCAGAAGAGCGAGAGGAAGATGATGAAGAGCAGGCCAAAGGTGGCGCCGGCACTGCCGGTGGCCTGGTGGTAGATGGCAGCGAGCGGGAAGGTGTTGACGCCGCCCTGCAGCACAGAGATGTCATCGATGGCGTAGCAGAGCACAATGGCGAACAGAAAGGCAGACAGGCCGCCAAGGCTGATCTGGATCAGGATAGCCTTGGGTAGGTTGCGGCGCGGCTCCTTGACCTCCTCGGCCATGTGGCTGATAGAATCGGGCGTGCCGATGGTAAAGGCGCCGTTGAGGACGCCGGTCAGAAAGGCTACACCGCCGCCCCAGCCGGTCTCGTTGTTCTCGCGAAAGGAGCCCCAGACAAAAAGACCGGATGCGTGGCGTTTGGGCATGGCAGCCAGCGTGATGATCGTGGCGAGGGCCGCCGGCAATGACGACAAACATGCCAAAGTTTTGCGTGTGTGGCACCCGTCGGTTGGCCAGGACGACGCAGCCGATGCTGAGCCAGAGCACGCCGAGGTAGGCGACGTAGACCTGCCAGGACTGCGCGACGTAGGCGCCGTGGTACGTGGCGTACAGCTGCACGAGCGTGTTGGCCGTCGACTGCGACAGCGAGGCGAGGCCGAACATCCAGCCGAAGAAGTTGATCCAGCCGGTGAAGAAGCCGAGGACACGGCCGTGTTTCCGTCCGGCCACCATGTTGGCCCAGTGGTAGACACCGCCGGAGGACGGCAGGGCCGAGGCCAGCTCAGCCAGGCTGAGCCCGATGAAGCTGTAGTAAAACGTGGCGACGATCAAACCATAAATAATCCCAGGAGGTCCACCATTGACTGGGAAGGCGGGAGGTCAGATGGGGAACTGCTGGCCAGAGAGAGATACAAGAGGGGACTGACGAATGGAGACCGAGATGGACGAGCCCAGCACAACCCAGGCATTGTCGATGGTGATGGCGGCACCGGCCACGCGCAAAAGGCCGTATTGGCGTTCCAGCTGGTCGCGATGGCCGGATGCGTTGATCTCGAAGCCGCTCTCGGGTTTCCCTACGGCCGCCTCGTCTGGCTCAGCTGGCGGAGAGCCGGAGGATTTGTCGAACTTCTCGCTCAGGCTCATGGCGGGTGGATATGGGGGAGAATTGGCAGAGCCCCTGAAAAAGAAAACAGTGGATCGCCGAGTCAGAGGCGGCATACAAAGTATTTGTAGTTCCTTTGGCAGAGACATATGTACTCCGTACACAAAGATGATAAGAGCGACAGATTTCGTGGAAAGTGAGCTGCGCTTATCATCTGGGCTGCGGCAAACTGCCGGCCGATACGCCCTAGGAAGCGTGTAAGAGCGTGTACAAACGCCGTCGAGAAAAAGAGCATCGGGAGAATTCTTATCGGCCCTGAGAGTGGAGACTAGAGCTGGGATGCAGCTGATTGCCATGTGGCTTCTACTTACGGAGTACATAGTGCACCTCTAGCCTGTAACGCAAAGGTAATGCCTTTGCGTAATACCAGAGACCCGTACGGTAATCTCTGTGAGATCTACTCCGTAGTAAGACCTAGTGATGATATCTCGTTAGGGTTCTAGGAGGAGGTCAGGTGACCTCGAGACCACAGCCACGCGAGGTGGCTCTTGGCGCCAAGCTGCCGGTTTGTCTCGTCTACAGACTATTCCGCTTCGGTAGGGAGAGTAGTGGGCCGGCCGGCAAGTCGGGAGGTCCGGTAAAAGAAAAGGAAGATGAGAGAAAAAGTGGGAAAATGAAAAGTAAGAGAGTGTATGATAGAAAGTAGCAATGAGGCAAAGAAAGATGGGAAAAAAATAAAATAGAAAGAGAAGAGAGAAAATCATGTTACAATTGTCCAGCATAGCTAGGCCTCGACGCCATTGACACATCTCACAAATCTCCGTGTTTACTTTTGTTTTTCTTATACTCGGCAATACATCTTCGTTCAGTTAATGGCCCACACAGATAGATGCTAAACCGTATATCCGCACTATGCGAACGCCGCGTCATCAGTTTCAAACGGTAGGATCGTCCGGGTCTGTCCGGATGTGCCATTGCTTTGGTGCGTCTTGTTAGTACGATGTAGAGCATCACGGAAGAGAGATGACGGGGGCCCCTTTTCTACGGCCTGTCCAAAGAGGCCGCGTGGGCTCTCGATGCCAAGCACGACTGTTGCAGAAAGTGTGGGGGACGTGTTTGTGGGACCATGACTCCATGACTCCGTAGGGTTACGGAGATGAGCAAAAACGGCCATGGCGACAGTGCTCCACATTCTTGTCAGTTGGCACTAACAGCGGACAATTTCCGACTTACACCTGTCACCTCGTCTAGGCTTGAAGTTGCATTCACACAAGAACCATTCGTCTTCATTCGCTACCGAGTCTATACAATCTATACAATTATGGATCCATCCACCCTCTACAGCAGGTAGGGTGCAGCAGTCGTCGGGACGATGCCGTTGCAGTGAGTCATGTTCAGGAGGTTGACCAGGTAGGGGTTGGCGAACTGGCACTTGGGGTCAAACGTCTTTGCGTAGCGCATCCAGGTGTTGACCTGGGGGTAGACCTCCTCGGCATAGGAGAGGTCGAAGCCGGCGAACTTGTTCCAGTGCGGCCGGACGTTGAACTTCTGGCCAAACGCGGGGATGAAGGCCGCGAGGTTGTCGGTGTACTTCTGCAGAGTGGCAAAGTCATTGTAGGCGGGCACGTAGGACATCTCAAAGGTGACAAAGACACCGCTGGCGTTAGCCGGCAGGTTTTCCGTGTTGGCAGGCGACATGAAGGCGTTGTCACCACGGATGAAGCGGATGTTGAAGACGAGCTGCTTGTTGGGCAGGTTGGCCAGGCCGGCAGTCTGGGAGCGCTGCAGCTCGGTGTAGGCGATGCCGGCCTCCTCGAGGTGCTCAATCGGGAAGTGGTGCTCGAACTGGTGGATGAAGCCGCGATCGCAGACGCCAGCCGGCGCAACAGCGACGGCATACGGCTCGAGATCGTAGCAGACAGTGCCGCCACAGTTGCCGCAGCCGTTGGCACAGAAGTCGGAACAGTTGCGCACGCCCGTCACGTTTGTCTCCTCCCAGATGAGCAAGCCCATGGTCGGGTCGAGGTCCCAGTCGAGGCTCGTCGCGTTCCAGCTGTACGTTGGGCCCTCGAACTTGATCCGGTCCATCTTCGAGTACTGCTTGATGAGGGCGTACTGCTCCGTCAGGTTGCTCGTCGTCGCCACCGTGCGCACCGATCGCTTAAGGTAGCGCACCGGCTGCACCTCGACCGTCACCTCCGTGATCGCACCCAGTGCGCCCAGCGAGATCTGCAGCGCCCGCACACCGTCGGGGTCCGTTGTGTTGTTGATCACGTGAACACAGCCTGTCGCATCCACCAGCCGGAAGCCCACCGTCGACGCCGCCATGTTGGGCAGCGACGTGCCGCTGCCGTGTGTGCCCGAGCTGATCGCGCCCACATAGTTCTCTGCCCGCTGGCTGCCCAGCTGCTTCAGCTGCAGCCCGTGCTCCAGCAGCTCCGGCACCAGGTCGACCAGGTCCCAGCCGGCCCCAAAGGTCACCGTCTTGCTGTCGTTGGCGTACTTGATGCTGCGCAGGTTCGTCAGGCTGACCACGTACGACTGCAGCGACGTCGTACCCGCGTCCACGGGCGTCGTCAGGTTCGACAGCCCGTAGCCGGTGCCGACCACCTTGACGAACGAGCCCTTGGGGTGCTCGGCCGCCAGAAAGGCCGACAACTCCGCCTCGCTGGACGGCAGCACGAGTGCCGTCGTGTTGGACGTGATATCGTAGTTCCAGTTGAACCACCGGTAGGCGGCTGCGCCCTGCTGGAGCGCTGCCAGCGGCAGAAGAGCCGCCCGCATGACGGAAGAGGACCGCATTGTGAAGATGAAAGAGGGAGTGAGAGACGAGAAAGAATGGAGGGTGGGCAGTGGTGCTCGTGGGTGCAGAAAAGGGAGCCAAGACCAGACAGGCTGCTCAACATCTGCAGCTTCCCTTCTTATACGATTTGCCGTCTCGTCGTCGTCCGTCTCGGCCGCCGTTACTGATACGCAAACCGCCGGTCTTGGCAAGTACTCTGCATTCCAGCAGTCGTAGCACGGGTGGAGATTTTGCTGAACGAAAGCATTGCCAAGCTGCACGAAGCGGTGAAGTGCATACACTGTATTGCAAACATTTCATGGAGCAGAGGTCCCGTAATTTCAAGGGGCCATCCTTGCCGTTGCATCGTGCAGACCGTTGCAAGAACTGCCTAATCTAGTCTCGAATCAAGGACCTGGTGGAGACGTGGCCTGTTGCAATCGCGAAATGCAATGCCGCCTGTCATCCACGCACTAATGCAGGCACACTGTCTGATGCAACACAAGAGAAAATCATGCACAGAAGGGCGGAGCAGAAGCATCGGATGGAATCGGACGCCGGTCTGGACCCTCGGACTGTGACTGCTGGCCGCCGCTTTGCCAGATGCATCCTTGGTCTTAATCGAAACAAGGTGGGATCATACAACTCGAAAACAACGCGCCAAGATATATTTCGGTCTATTGCCTGTCTGGTTTCTTGGTAAGCCTGTGATAAGCAGCGCGCAAGTCGTGTGTCGCATGAACCATCCCCGGACTTTACTCCGTATATTCTCCTTCTCCACTCATTATGCCTTCATTCTAGAAAACAGCCGGGGTGTCCGACCATGGGACTACCTCCGCCTATTTCCGTCTAGTCTTTGCATTCCTGCCTGCTAAGTTTGTTCATCTTCGCCTACAGCTGCCAACCCTTTGTAGCAATGAGATGCTTGACCTGCCAATTAGCGACATAGTGCCTGAGTTTGTATACGTAGTTTAATAACCACGTTGTGTATTTGTAATCCGCATTCCTAGCACCTTCCTCTTCGGCATCCTAGCCGCTGTTTACAAGGCGGCCACAGCTATACAAATACAACATCACTTTCGCCACCGCTAGTTCTCTGCCACAATACATAGTACGGTAGCTCCTCGTATATCGAAGACCTCGTATTTGTACCGACATCAACCTTCCTTTTTTTTACTTTCATGGTATCATGCAGACTGTCCGCGAGACTCCGCTGCCAAATCCGTACTAGTGTCTTTGACAGATGAAACAGAGGGACGGAGGATAAGAAACGGGAATAGCGAGACGTAGCCAATGCATCGAAAGGCCAGTTCCTGGCTCGGCTAGTCAATTTTACATGCAAACTTCTCGCTGTTCCTGGTGTCTCCAGTCTTGAGCGTCCGCATTGGGTCTAATAACAGAGGTCAGCTATAAATGAGTGTGCATCAATTGCTAACGAAGATTCCCGCCTTGTATGAAAGAAATGATCAGCACCAACGCCATTTATAGCATGTCTGTGGTTCGTATCTAAAGTATAACCTTAACCGAAACGGTGGGGAAATGAGCGGCGAGCTTATTCGAAATATGACCTGTCTTCGAGTACCGTCGAACCAGTGTCGAGAGATCAGTTCGTTGTCAATTTGCGTTCCATCGGCCGAAGCCGCAAATTGGCGGATTGGTAATACGGAGTCGACCCCTTGGTGTGCTTAATAAGCATATTTCTACCTCTTGCCTCACACTCGATGCGCTTACATCTTTCAGTACAGAAATTGCTAGCATTTGCTTTGGCTATGCTCAACATGTAAACTGGACTCCGTTCAGGAATGGTGTTAGCACTCGTAGAACGACTCCCAATTGTCCGTATACACAATACGTGTCGACTCCGAATACAATACGCGTTAAGTGCCTGCGCAACCTCGCAAGTGGACTTCTACCGAGCTAGAGGCTCCCACATCTCAGTCAAATCTGGGTTAATAAGCCAGCCACTTTGGCAGAGAGAGCGTTGACAGGGTGATGATTCATCTCAATAAAAACCCGAGCTACGCACGCATGGACCTGGTCATACCAGACAGTCTGCAAATCGCCTTGAGCTGTGCCGACGTCGAGATGTCGAAGAAGGCGGATATGGCAATTTTAACGTGGGGCGTCTGCGTGGCCGAGCCAGGGGTGCAGACCTTGGTCTCGTCAAAGAGCGGGTCGGTGTAGTGGTCCTGGATTTGGTACCGAAAGGTTCCATTCCGAGCAGCAGCTGCTCTGGGTGACAAAGGTGCCATTAACACATAGCCATTGCTTCGGCACCGAAACTGTTGTTGGAGATCCGATGCTTTGTGTAGATGCAGACGGTGCCATCGTAAAAGTGTACCTCCTACATCCACTTGTGGTGCTCTCTTATATCGCCGAACAATCAGAGACGTGCTTCGAGTAATTTGTTCTGATAGCTTCGGATGAGCCAAACTACCACGATCATTGCTAAATCGGGACCTCGGTCGCGGTCGCAACTGGCTTTAGCCCATTATCAGTTGTAGGTTGTTAACCAAGAACGTGATACCCGGTGAAATTACACTTCTAAGTACCGGACGTTATATAGAGTACGTTTAAGCGATACATGTGATCTGTAAATGCAAGCAAGTCTAACTATGCATACAACAAAAGAAGAAAAATATTCACCCCACCAAGGCTGGCTCTTACGTATGTATGCTGAGCGCCAGGATCTCTTAACATATGCTAAAATCGAAGCTACGATCAGTATAATTGCTGCTTACAGTTCTACAACCTCGCTTTCAATGGGCTATTATACGGATCTGCTCTGCTTGAATTCCACATACAACGAAATCAAACAATACACAACCATTCGACACAGACACAACACCGAGCGTGCTAGGCCTGACACCAACTCCCTTGTTACTGAGCCATGTCACGAAAACGTCACAAGGTGTTAGCTCTGTTACCAACTATCTAAAGTTGCAGCGTAAAGCATACAATGGTAGCAGACGAAACTGGCCATTTAGCCGATATTGAGCCTTTGAGTAGTTGAATTTTTATAGATAGGGGAAATTGGTAAAAAAATAGAGACAGATACTATTCGATAAATATTCATTGTGTACCACGCTCTGACAGAATCGTGCTTCAAGTTTGCAAATCTGGCTCTTCGGCTCTAGCATGGTAAGCTGTATTTCCTTGCCGAGTATGAAGTGTGAAAGGGCCAAGTATGCCGGCCTTCCTCCAAAGATCGGTTTATCCAGCATAAATGGCCCTTTCATATCCCATACTCGACTAATATTGGTATACTGGTTGTGTTCGTTGCGAGAAATAGTTGAAGCCTTCAGCACATCAGCTGTCCGTTTGTTAGCGTGCAAACCGGTTCAGGGTGCAAGGGGAAACATCCCAATCTCGCGTGATATATTATCCCTTGACATGGATATCGAGAACAACGATCACTGACGATATCAGAGTGGCCAACCAAGTGCGAGCCGAGCGTGTAATTACGTGATTTTCATTGGCGATACGCACAATGCTGTGAGTGCGGCACAGGAGACGGGTGAGTCCTTCACGCGTGGAGGACAGACGAGACGCGACGAAGCCTTCTTGAAGTTCTCCACAAACTCGTCCCCCTACGATCCTAGAGAAGATGCTCTCAAGGCCTCTCGTCGGTCATAAATCAGGTTCCGCTCGATGATGAGGAAAGCAGAAACGGACCTGGCCATGATTTAAGCGAACTCGTTGGTCTCGATACAGTTCACGATAGTGTCCTTTAATCGCTTCTTGTCAATATACTGGTGACCTATGAAACTGATGGCGTCAGTGACGGGAGCCAGGTTGTCTTAGCTATCTCAGATGGTGGTGCTGATTCAGCCTATCGGCCGCGGAAACACAAAGCTCTTGAAAGGGCCGTGGGTGAGTCCTGACGACTGTCCCTTCGCAGGCTCGTAGAAAAGATGAGGATGACTCAGTGGAGAGGTGTGCTCGATGCACACTGTGCTTAACGCTTTGATATCGAGAGTTAACAGAAAGATTGATTACTTCATCGGGAGCTTCAAAAAGCATCTGAGAATGCCAGGGTGATGATACGCCATTTTTATTCGGCTGAAGCGGGTATTGTGGCGGAAAAGTGTTCGCCAACCTGACCTGAATTACTGATCCGGATCGGCATTCGGCACACTGTCGTCTAATCATGATCTCTTTTTTTTTTAAACATATGCAAACCACCAATGAGGTCAGTGACGAAAACCGCCCATCAAGAACCATGGGACTTATTTACACGGGCCATCATAGCCCTGACATGTATCGAGAGATATACGGCCAAGGTCGACTCAACAAACCTTCCGGGCTGTCGCAGATGTTCTCTTCCAGCTGTTAATTTAATAATGCCTGTTCTTACCAAGGCGGGGAAGCCATTTGTACCTGGATGAAGGCGTTTTTTGTCAAGTCTCTGAAATCAAGATGGGCCTCAGATGTCTATTGGCATGACGTCACAGTTCAAATCATAATTCAACAGACGGTTAGGATATTTCGTATGTTACAGGTACGCCCAGGCAGACTGGCCGAGCGATACCACGCAATCAGAATCATGATAATAATGGGAAATAAGCTTCCGTGCAAAAGTGTGTATGACCCATGAACACACATTTCAGACACTAACGACAACAGGTATATGCAAAAGCCAGAGAACAGCAAAAGTAATCAGTCATGCGGTGGCTGGAAGCTCAGCCAGTCAACATCGGGGCGCTGGGCCTCAAAAGTGAAGTCGGGGACTCCTCTGTCGGGAGTGGCCGCGACCTTCTCGACGGAGAGGTAGGGCAGCGGAGAGGGGGCGACGGAGAGGGGGACGGCGACCTTGGGATAGTTGAAGAAATCAAAGACGTCGACGTAGTCGAGCTCGCGAGAGGTAGTAGGCCGAGTGGTAGTGGGCTCGAGCGAGGAGTGGCGCTGGCGGTTGGCGAGATCGACGACATCGCAGGCACATCTGAGTCGTCAGCGACGCACGTGATTGATTACTAAGCAAGAGAGGGGGTAGGGGTGGAGGGGTTCTTCTCACCTTCGCATCTCGGCAAAGGATGGGTCGCCGCGCCGGCCCTCGGCGACAATGTCACTGAGGATGCGGGCATAGGTGGCAGCGACCTCCCAGTAAGTGCCCATCTGGCGGAGGGTATCGATGAGGAAGTCCATGACACCATCAACGACAGAGGGATCGTAGACGGCGGCATGGACGATGAGGACGCGAGCGCTAACCCAAAGGGCAAAGGCAAAGGGAGGACCGAGGAGGTTGAGGCCGTTGGTATCGAGCACGTCGGCGGCGATGTCACGAAGGCTGCGGACGGCGCCTAGACAACGCTGGGCGGCGTTTTGGCTGGGGGCGAAAAGAGAGAAGGGGGGGAGGGGGGGCTAGGGCGAGCAGCCGGAGTAGGATAGGCGGGGGTGGTGTGAAGACGGAGGACGGCAGTGACGAAGGCGGCGTGTAGCATGATCCAATTGGCGACGCGCGAGGCGGGGATCGCTGTGACAGAGCTGAGAGATGGAGCCATACTCGCCAGGAAGGGCGTGAAGCCAGGAATTGAGCTCGCCGTCAAGAGCGCGAAAGGTGTGGCGCCAAGCCTGGACAGCACGGGGGGAGGTGACATCGATGGGGGGCCTTGAGGAAGTTGTGGGACGCGGGGAGAGAATGCGAAGGACCTCGCAGTGGTAGGGAAAAGCTTTGCCCAGGTTCTGCGGGTTGTTGGACGGGGGGAGCAGGGGGGAAGACGGAGGGCGTGGAGGCGGAGGGGGAGAGGTAGAAGGAAGAGGAGGAAGCAGTGTTGATGTTGGTGGCAGAAGCAGAGGCAGAGGTGGTAGCAGGGCCATAGTAGTTGCTGCTAGAGTTGCTGGGCGGCACTGCTGGCGCTGCTGCTGGCGGGCGAACCGCCCTGAGCGGTCGGGCCCAGCTGGAGGGGAGCGAGTCTGGACCGGCACATTGTTGGAGAAGAGGTCGTAACGACAGGGCAGAGCGAGATGGAGGCAGCGGTCGTCGAGCATGAAGTCGAAGGAGGTGGCGACGGTGGCGTAGCGATCGAGCACGTAGACCATCCAGCAGAGCCACTGACGACTCTCGTCCTCGATCCAGCTGGTCGGCTCCAGCAGGACGACACGGCGGATGGAACCAGTGCGCGGAGTTGAGGTAGCAGCCAGGAAGACGCTGCTCTCTGTGCACAGGTCGAGCTGGATGACAGAGCGGACGATCATGGCCAGCAAGTTCCAGCCCAGCGGCCCGTTGGACGTGCCCAGCACGTCCAGCGACAGGATGACAAGCGCCTCCAGGGCCTCGAGGTTGACGTGTTCCAGGGCGTAGTGCTCAACCCGCTGTTTGGACAGGCGATGGAACTGCGCCTTGCGAGCCGGCGGCATGCGCGGGTCGCGGCAGAAGCGCAGCGTCGTCGCGATGACGGCGTGCAGCAGCGTGCGCTTGGCCTCGGTCAGCATGGTGGAGCCGAAGAAGGCGGCAAAGGTGGCCTTGCGGTCGAGGATCGGACACCATGTGTTGACGTGTTTGAAGTACAGGTCCACGAGCGTGTACACGATCTCAGGTTCGGGCAGGTCAGGATCCGACACGAGGGCCGCGTCACCGACCGGTGGAGACGACGCTGAGGCAGGTGGTGGTGGCGGGCCACAGCTAGGACGAGGCGGGGGTGGTCGTGGAGGAGGAGGTGGTGGAGGTGGTGGTGGTGGCGGTTGTGGCGGTGGTGGTCGTGACCCGTGTGCCGACAGCCGGGGCACCGGTGTGAGCGACTGGGACTGGGACAGCGGCGAGGGCCGGGCCCTTGTTGGATCTGGCTGCTCGATGGCGACGGACTCGGCTGCTGCATGCGCTGCTGTTGTGCCGGGCCTCGGGCATACGACGATATGCCGAGATCGACGGAGAAGAGGTCCAGCATTGAGGACTGGCTGCTCGAGGACATGCTGGCTGGCGTGGACATGTCGCTGCCGACTGGGCCGGCCTGGCCGTGGGCCGTGTTGTGGTCTTCGACTCGACGACCCAGAAGCCGCAGCATGGCGTCCAGACGGTTCACCTTGGCCTCGAGATCGGAGCCGTATGTCCGGCTGCCCGGACGCGCCCGCTCGCGATACACGCATTTGCGCTTGTTCTTGGCACACCACCTTTTCTCCGGCTCTGCCCGGTCCACACTTGACCTTGCGCTGCTTGCACAGCTCGCACGACGTCTTGTGCAGCGAGTGCCGCTTCCGCTTGCCGTCACGGCCGGTCGTCGTCGAGCTCACGCTCACCGCTGCCCCGTCATCGTCGCTCGATGCCCCTCCGCTGTCGCTCACCGTTTTCACCGACGGCGCAAGCGTGTCCACGCCCGACATGGCTGTGGTGGTGGTACGGTGGTGTTGGTGGTGGTGACGGTGGTGGTGCTGCTGCTTCTGCTACTGTTCCGGCTCCTGCTGGCCTGCTGGCCTGTTCATTCGCAATGGCCCAGGACCCATGCATGCTCTCTCCACACAGACTGCCAGCGTCACTTCTGGGGTGCAGAAGACAGAAATGAAGCGCTCCAGATAGCCACTGCTCGCTCCCGTCATCCCGAGGTGCGTTCCGGAGAAGGGGGGGGGGCAAAGACGATATTGTACTCGCAGGGGCGAAAGAGCGGCCAAAAAGCCTGCTTCAACACGCGGGGCACAGCTCTGGCACCTAATCAGATCCGGGGTTCTCCGGACGTCAGGCGGTTTGGCCCCTGGGGCAGAAAATGGAGAACCGCCTCTCCGCCTGCAACTGCCCAAACGTACAGAATGCATGGCCCTGGACGCTAGCGCTTCTTAGCACCACCCCTGTCTCCGCCTTGCGGGTAAAAAATGTTCAGACTTATCTGCACCGGGGACAGATGGTGGAGAACGTACGAGTGGCGGAATGGACACGAAAACACATCTCGGCTCTATAATCCTCCTAGCTCGGTCACAAGGAGCTTCCTCACGGGGTTGCGAGGAGCGTACTTTGTCCGGTGCCGAGGCGACTTTGCGTCATGCTGGCATGTTGGCTGATGGCTGTTATGAGCACACATCTGTGCAGACGCGCAAACCAACACGGCAAGCGTTCAGTTGAACTGCAAAATGCAGGTTCTCGTAGAGATCGGCAAGGGTATCCGCATCGGACTAGCAACTGCAAGGACGGGGCATAAGGTACGATGAGCTGACTAAGCGCTAATGCAGATATGGTTACGGTTACAGAAACAAGCCAGGTGGTGATTCCTATATTTGTAGAATAAAGCCTGCGCCGACGAAGATATTACAACGTCGTCTTCAGCTGGTTAAATCAATGCTTCCGTCGCCATGCTAGTGTATTACAATGCCATCCAAGCGTCGTAGTTGCTCTCCCTGTTGGCGTTGGCCCAATTTTCTCTTTTTCTTTTCGGCCCTTTCCCCGTTGGTTTCAGACCTTATCGACGGCCGTGTTGGACCATACGGCCCGAGTCGGCTTGAGAAAACGCTTCAGGCCCATCCACGGCGTGTTGATTGGGCTATCGCCCGTGTACAGGAACACATCGTAGAGGAAGCCGCCCAGAGTTGTGCCGATGAAGGGAGCAACCATAGGAATCTGGACAGTCAGCTTTGTTAATTTTTCTTGGTTTATCTTCTGTTGACTCACCCAAAAGTAGTAGCCGCCGGCAGACCAGACCTCGTGGCCGTAACCTATCATGTACGAGACCAGACGGGGGCCAAAATCACGGGCCAGGTTGATGGCATAGCCAGTCTCCCAGCCGAAGCAGGCACCGATACCGAAGATGATGAAGAAGAGACACAACGGCGCGAGGTTGCCGGCACCGATGTTGTTGTTGTCGCCAATGGCAAAGATGAGGAACATGAGCAGGCTGCTGGCAATGACCTCGGAGAAGAACATGCCCGTCTTAGTCATGAAGTCGGCCGGATACGTGCAGAAGATGCCGGCCGTCGACGTGCTCAGCCCGACCGTCCGGATGCCCTTGCCGCCCTCGAACACATCAATGGCCGACCGGTAGTTGCCGTATACGATGGCCGATGCCGTCATTGCGCCCAGCAGCTGTGCCAGCGCATACACGGGAAACTTGCGCCAGGGGAACTTGCGGAACACGCAGTTGGCAAACGTCACCGCCGGGTTGAGATGCGCCCCGGAAATGCCGCCTGTGTAGACACCTAGCATGACGCCGAGGCTGCGAGGTCAGCGGGGAAGGATAACAGAGAGATAAAAAAGAAAAAAGAAACTTACCCCCATCCCCAAGTAATGCTCTGATATGAGCCCTTCGCGCCGTCACTGAGAACGACCTGTGCCACAGAGCCGTCGCCGAACATCAGGATGATAAAGGTGCCAAAGAACTCGGCAAACGGCTCCCGCAACGCGTAGCGAATGCGGCTCCATGCCAGGTCCTCTTTTGAGTCCTCCTGCTCGTCCATGGTGGCATGCATGGTGATCTGCCCTTCCACACGGATGTCCCGAGCATGATCCAAGTCCTTGTGAACACCGGTACCGTCAGACGAAGACATTGTGCTTGTGTTCAAGATCGTAGCCGCGAGAAGGTAGAGAAGAGAACAAAAAGGGGAAGGGGCGAAGAAAGAAAAAAAAAAAAGGGGGGGGGGAAGGGGGGGGGGGGGGGGGGGGGAGGAACTGAGTTGGGGTCGAACAAAAGTTGACAGATATTGATTACAGAGCTTCGGGGCAGTCAGACGATCTTATGTAGTTTTGGTTCAAACGCGAGTTCCCCAGACTGTACGAGTATGGGACTGTGCATGGAAGACGGAGAGGATCTTCACGAGAAGAGAGTCGGGGCAGTGTGTGACAGGTCTGGGGGAAACGGAAAAAACTGGAGAGAGAGAGCGAGACTGCTTTCGCCCTCGCAGTGGGAACACCGAGCATAGTCGTGGGGGGGGGTGTGAGTGAGAGAGAGGGGCCATTACGGTCTCATGACAGGCGACCGACTTCCCAATCGGGGGAACCGGTTTCAAGGAACCGCGGATAGACACATCTAGTAGTCATAAGCTACGCCAGTGTGGAATTGGCCTCGCCACGAAGGAGCGGGAAGGCAATTAATGACATGAGGCCATGAGACGGAAGGAGGACAGCGGGGTCGGATTCCGGTGCGTGGAGACCGAAGTGTGTGGCCGGGAAAAGAGGGAAGGGGGTGCATCAATGCGGCGGGCCAATTGACCCTGGATTGGAAAAGTGCAGGAATGCGGGATCGCGCAATGGTGCGAAGGATCGTAGGCCGTACGGAGTATATCCTGTTAGCAGCCACGAGACCAGCCGGATCCATGGTACTTGCACAATGCACTGTTCGCACCGAGCGCACCGAGCGCGCCGGCGCGAAAGGAACGAGATCTGGCCCTGTTTTTTTTTTGTGTTTTTTTGTTTCTTTAATTTTTTTCCTTTTTCCCGCTTCCCATTTTTCGAGAACAAAGGCAGCGGCCAACTAAGCCGGCTAGGCCGCTTAGGGCAGATTCCAGGCGGTCCAGCGCTAGCAAGAGCGGCTTAGTGCGATCTTATGGGGACGGTGCGGGGATGAGAAAGGGAAATAATGGGGGGGGGTGCAGCTCAGTCGCGCAATGTTACGGCGTACGGAGTAGCAGTCCGCAGCGCCGGCTGAAGCTCCTGGCGGCGAAGGGTCCCCTGTCTATGCTGCATGTTCGGTGGCGAAAGAGCGAGGCGCCGACGAAATCAGACGGGCAGATGACCTCCAGAAGCGGCAGGGAGACCCGAGTAAGTCGCTCGGGGGCGTAACCGAGGCTGTTGGCGGTGCAGCAGCAGCGATTCCTGCCGAGCACATGAGCACACGAGCAGCCGGACGATTGGACCAAGGGAATCCCCGCCAGAACCGTCCCCACGACCGACCCCAGGTGGAGATGGCAGGTCAGCGCGGGGAGCAACGTGACGAGCGGTTGGCGGTTCATATAATGAGAGCTTCGCGAGCTAGTGAAGACGGTCGCTGTCTTGTCTTTTTCCATCCGCTCTGTCTCTTTCATTCTACGATTCTGTTTTACGCTACTTTTGTCTTTCTATACCCATATACTTGATCTAATTCATCCACTCTCACCGTTCACCATTTACACCATCCATCATCCTCACATCTACACATCTACATCACAATGGGCAGTCTCGCAGTAAGCCCGGTGTTTGTCGGTGCCATCGACCAGGGCACGACCAGCTCGCGCTTCCTCATCTTCAACGAGCAGGGCGAGCCGGTGGCGTCGCACCAGCTTGAGTTCACACAGCACTATCCGCACCCAGGGAAAGTTTCCGTTGGACCGGTGGGATGAGGGCGCACGAGCACGGCTGACAGTACAGATGGCACGAGCACGACCCGCTGGAGATTGTCGAGTCGGTGCTGACCTGCATTGACGGGGCCGTGGAGTCGTTTGAGAAGCAGGGTCACCACCGGTCGGCGATCACGACGATCGGGATCACGAACCAGCGCGAGACGACGGTGGTGTGGGACCGGGTGACGGGCGAGCCGCTGCACAACGCGATCGTGTGGACGGACACGCGCAGCCAGGCGCTGGTGCGCGAGATCAAGGTGGGGCTGGGGGCGAGCGAGGTGCAGCCGATCTGGGGGATTCCGCTGTCGACGTACCCATCGGTGAGCAAGCTGCTGTGGCTGCTGGAGCACGTGCCGGCCGTCAAGGCAGCATACGACTCGGGCACGCTCTGCTTCGGCACGGTCGACACCTGGTTGGTGTACCGGCTGAACGGCGGGCCCAAGGCAGACGTGCGGGTGACGGATCCGAGCAACGCGTCGCGCACAATGTTTATGAACCTGGAGACGCTCGAATACGACCCACGGCTGTTTGACTTTTTCCGCGTCGACCCGTCCAAGCTGCATCTGCCGCGCATTGTGCACTCGGCCGACCCGACCGCGTTTGGCCGGCTGGCCGACTCGGTGCTGACAGGCACGACGATTACGGGCTGTCTGGGCGACCAGTCGGCAGCGCTGGTCGGCCAGAAGGGCTTCTATCCCGGCATGGCCAAGAACACGTACGGCACCGGCTGCTTTCTGCTGTACAACATCGGGCCCAAGCCGGTGGTGTCGACACACGGGCTCATGACCACGGTGGCCTTTGACTTTAGCGGCGCCGACTCGGGCATGCAGCCCATGTACGCGCTCGAGGGCAGCATCGCCGTGGCCGGCAGCAGCATTAAGTTCCTGGCCGACAACTTTGGCTTCATCCAGTCGAGCAAGGAGATCAGCGCGCTCGCCGAGACCGTCGAGGACAATGGCGGCTGCACCTTTGTCACCGCCTTTAGCGGCCTCTTTGCGCCCTACTGGATCGACGATGCCCAGGGCACCATCTTTGGCATCACGGCCTACACGCAACGTGGTCACGTGGCACGCGCCACGCTCGAGGCCACCTGTTTCCAGACCAAGGCCATCCTGGACGCGATGGAAAAGGACGGTGGTCACGTGCTGCGTGAGCTCGCCGTCGACGGCGGCATGTGCAACTCGGACCTCACCATGCAGACCCCGGCCGACATCTCGGGCATCCCGGTCCACCGCCCGGCCATGCGCGAGACCACCGCGCTCGGCGCTGCCATCGCTGCCGGCTTTGCTACCGGCGTGTGGAAGAGCTTTGACAGTCTCGCCCGCGTCAACACCCAGGGCAGCACCAAGTTCCACGCCCACACGGACGCGCCCACGCGCGACCAGCGCTTTGCGCGCTGGCAAAAGGCCGTTGAGATGAGCCGGGGCTGGACCTCGTGAGGACCTCGTGAGAGAGCGAATCGGAATGGGATCGTGGGATCGTGGGATCGTGGAAAGGATCGTGATCGATTCAAATGGAATCGAATCAAGTGTCCCAATGGTGATGATCGCTGAGTCGAGTCTCCCAGTTTATAGCCTTGCTCTACTGTTTTTATCTAGCTTTTATGTCCTGTACGAATATGAGTAAAATATCGCCAGAACACAGTCCTACTGCAGGCAAGGGGTGACAATCGCTGCGCATCTGCATACAAACACATGCTTCCAGACGCAAACCTGCTGTCCTGGCGAATGCCTCCTTCCTCTCCTGTGGCGCCAATGGCCGGCAGCCCTGCGCTCACATGTTCCTTCCTCGCCGTCTCAGATCAGGAAGACCCGCCCAGGCCGACTAGTGGATTGCAAAGTGGGCTCGTCGTACGAAAGCCCGCCTTAGCGCTCTTTCCGTGGCCTGTCCGATGGAGTCCTTCCCATTTTACACAGCCCATTTTTCCTCGCTCTCTCGCGTCCAGTCCTATTTTCTCACCCTTTTTGCCATTTCGCTTTTCCGGTTTGCCTCCTTTTCGCCACCCAGCCCCTACCGCTCGGCCGGCCAGCCCCGAGACTCCAGGACTTCGGTGTCTCTACCCCGAGACGGCGATCTGTCGTCATGCTCGGTCGTGTCGGCCGACCTGCAGCTTAATCGGTGGGGAATGTCTCCAGTCTGGCGTCTTCGTCCCCACGCGTCCCCAGCTTCACGAACCTGCGCGCACACGGGGTCTGCTGGGGCACGACCGGTGATCCGGCCTTGTTGCTGCTGCTGCTGCGGTCATGGCTCGCCACTGCGTGCAGGTTTTGCTCGGCACGGGAATGCCAAAGGCGATCCGCTTCGAAGCCGCCCGCAACCAGCAGCCAGCAGACTCTTGCGCGTGAGCAGACTGTGAATGGAAGTCTGAGGCGGCGTGCAACAGCAGATCCCGGGCAATGGAGAAAGGCGCATTACTCATTCCCCGGCATTTCGCTTCTTAACTTAACTTGACCCTTCCTCGCTGACCCTCTTCGATCTTTTTTTTTCCTCTCTCTCTCTCGAGTCTGTCAAGAGCAGCCTCTCACTTCTGTCGACAACCGCCATGTCGTCGTCCCTCCGGCAGTCTTCGCGGCGCATCGCCCGGATCGCTGCCGTCTCTGCCGCGGCCGGCACTCTGGCCGTGGGGACCTATGTTCTCACGCGCTCATCGGCGCCCAAATGGCCTCGCGCAGAGCTTCCGCGCAATGCTGACGGCGAGATCATTGCGCCCAAGGCCTTCCCCACCATCCCATCACGAGCCAAGCAGCTCGAGGCTCTAAAAGCCAACCAAGGCAGCGCCGATAAGCCGGTCTACGACCTCGTCGTCATCGGCGGTGGAGCCACTGGCACCGGCATTGCTCTCGATGCCGCCACTCGCGGTCTCAAGGTAGCCCTGGTCGAACGCGGCGACTTTGCTTCCGGCACCAGCAGCAAGAGCACCAAGCTCGTCCACGGCGGCGTGCGCTACCTCGAAAAGGCGTTCTGGAACCTCGACTACGCCCAGTTCGAGCTCGTCTGCGAGGCGCTGCACGAGCGCAAGAACTTCCTCAACTCTGCCCCCCATCTCTCCGGCTCCGTCCCCATTCTGATCCCGCTCTATTCCTGGTGGCGGGCACCCTACTTCTGGGCCGGTTGCAAGGCCTACGATGTGCTTGCTGGTAGCGAGGGTCTCGAGAGCTCCTACATCCTCAGCCGCAAGAAGGCCTGCGAGGCTTTCCCGCTGCTGCGCAAAGACGGCCTCTTTGGCGGGCTTGTCTTTTACGACGGCCAGCAGAACGACTCGCGCATGAACGTGTCCATCGCCCTGACTGCTGCTCTCTACGGCGCCACCGTCGCCAACTACGTCGAGGTCACCCGGCTCGCGAAGGAGGCCGGCAAGGTTACCGGCGTGCGCGTGCGCGATGCTCTTGCCGGCAGCAATGCCGAAGAGCAGACCATCTACGCCAAGGGTGTTATCAATGCCACTGGCGCCTTTGCCGACGCGGTCGAGAAGATGGACGATCTCACCAAGGCCGACATCGTCTGTCCCAGCTCCGGCGTCCATCTCTCGCTGCCCGGTTCGTTGAGCCCCAACAACATGGGCCTGCTCGATGCCAACACCTCTGACGGTCGGGTCATCTACTTCCTCCCGTGGCAGGGCAAGATGATTGCCGGCACTACCGACACGCCCTGCCGCGCCGAGAAGGACCCTGTGGCCGACGAGAAGGACATTGACTTTATCATCACCGAGGTGCGCAAGTACCTGGTGTCCGATGCTCCAGTCACCCGTGAGGCCGTGTCTGCAGCGTGGTCTGGTAAGTGATGGTTGGAGCTCTTCTGTTCCTTTACTTTCTCCTACTAACATCCCCAGGCATCCCGACCCCTCGTCCGTGATCCCAAATCCAACAACGCCCAAATCCCGCGTCCGCCGCGACCGTGGTTAGAATGTCCGACTCCGGCCGACTGCCCCGTGCCGGTTGCAAGTGAACCACATACCGCCAAATGGCCGAGGATGCTGTCGAAGCTGCCGTCAAGGCCTACAACCTGAAGCCCAGCCGGGCCGGCCGCGGTCGACATCAGCGGCCTGGGTCTGCCCTCGGACGTTGCCGATGCCAACGGCTCCTGCGCGACGAACTACCTGCGCATGGTCGGCGCTCACGGCTACAGCACCGATCTGCCAGCCCAGCTGGCCAGCTACTACCAGATCGACGGCGAGACCGCCACCGCTCTGGCTTCCAACTACGGCGACCGTGCCTGGCAAGTTATGGGCCCCGAGAAGACGGTCCGCCACGCGAAGCTGTCCGACGCCTTTGCCGTGCTCGAGCGCGAGGTCCAGTACGCTGTGCAGAACGAGTACGCCCAGACGGCTGCCGACTTCCTCGGTCGCCGCACCCGCATGTCCTTCCTCGACGCCGAGGCCGCCTTGCGCGCTCTTCCGCGCGTCATCGACCTGATGGCCGACGAGCTCCAGTGGGACCGCGCCCGCAAGGCCCAGGAGTGGCGCGACACCGTCCACTACCTCGTCTCCATGGGTCTGCCCCAGGATGTCGCCGCCGTCAGTCGCCAGGACGTCGTCGACGGCAAGTACAAGGCTGCCCTCCAGCTGGCCGCCCGGAGAGCCGCCGCTGCCGGCGAGGACGCCTCTGCCCGCAAGCCGGGCTTTGCCGGCGTCGAGACTACGCCCGTTTCAGCATGATACCACTTGTTACGATAGCAAAAGAAATTTTTAAAACTGTTTCATTACATACAATTTGACTTTGATTTTTTGAATCTAAAACTCGTGAAATGCAACCCCTCAAACAAAGAAAAAGCTGCCGGCAGCAGCTAGTTGTACCTATTTTCTTTCTCTAGCCTTACGCAGTTTCATGACAATGGATGCGCGGTCGTATTTGATAGCTGCTTGTAGTGCCGTGCCAAATTTACCAGCAGGAGCATCAACGTCAGCCCCAGCTGCAAGCAGCTTGTCGATAACGTCATCGTGGCCGCAACAAGCAGCTGCTTGTAGTGCTGTGCCTTTCCAATCGATTTTGTCTTCAGATCTGCTAGAACCCTCTATAGATTCGCCAAAAGCATTAACATTTGCCCCAGCGGCAAGCAGCTCGTTGATAATGCCTGTGTGGTTTTTGAAAGCAGCTGCTTGTAGTGCTGTGCCATTCGGGCCCGCGGAAGCATTAACGTCTGCCCCAGCTGCAAGCAGCAAGTAGACAATGCCTTCCCGGCTGAAAAAAGCAGCTTCCTCTTGTGCTGTAGTGCGATATTTGTCAGAAGCATTAATGTTTGCCCCAGCCTTAAGCAGCTTGTCGATAAGTTCTGCGTAGTTTCTTCTAGCAGCTACTTGTAGTGCTGTGCCCTTCGGACCCGCAGAAGCATTAACGTCTGCCCCAGCTGCAAGCAGCAAGTAGACAATTTCTTTGTAGCCGTACGCAATAGCTGTCTGTAGTGCTGTGCCATGTTCCTCCGTAAAAGCATTCACGTCTGCCCCAGCTGCAAGCAGTATTTCAGTACTGCTAGAATGGCCGCCAGCAACAGCTATATGTAGTGCTGTGCCATCCGGGCCCGCAGAGGCATTAACGTCTGCCCCAGCGGCAAGCAGCTTGTTGATGACGTCTGTGTGGCCGTACCCAACAGCTGTCTGTAGTGCTGTTCCATTATCTTCTGTGAAAGCATTGACGTGTGCCCCAACTGCAAGCAGCTTGTCGATCATGTGTGCTTGGTCACGACGAGCAGCTGCTTGCAGTGCCGTGCCCCCTTGTTCGTGAGAAGCATTGACGTCTCTCCCAGCCGCAAGCAACTTGTCGATGCTGTCTGCGCGACCGTAAAAAGCAGCATGCATCATCGCTGCTTCAAGAGCCTTCACGTCTGCCCCAGCCTCAAGTAGCGTTTTGGTAGCGTTTGCGTGGCCATTTATAGCAGCAAGTACCAATGCCGTTTCGCCCTCGTCGTAGGTATCCAGATCTGCCCCGGCTGCAAGCAGCTTTTTAATGACGTCTGCGTGGCCTTATTTGGCGGCAATTTGGAGGCTGGTGTAGCCATCAGCATCGACAATCATGTTGGCATTCGCTCCAGCCTCGAGCAAATTGCCCACAATATCTGCGTAGCCTAATTCGAGGAAAATGGGTAGGATGCTGATGGGGATTGATGATGAGCAAATAATTCTCTGGCCGCAAGTAGCTTGTCGGTGATTTCTTTGCTTTCAGACTCGACAGCTGCTGTCAAGACTGGTATGGTCCAGAAATCATGGAATGTTCGGCTGTCTAGGATCATCTCGAGAGCAGTTCTGTCACCCAGTGGAACCAATAGCAGCTGTTCCAGTGTTTCTTTCTTGATGGGCGGAAATGAACGGGCTTTCATAATCCGACGGAGCAGAGCCAAGTGGCATTGCGATGCCACCCATTTCAAAACGGCTATATCGTTGGCTGCAAAAGGCATATCCCCCCACGGATTGTCTGCAAGTGGATGTCCTTCAATTATCATTCTTTCCCACAGACGCCAAGTCTTGGATCTCTCTTCCTGGAAACGACTAGTATGAAAAGCCCAATGCTCTTTCGCATAAACAAGAAATGGGTGGCTGGAATAGAGCCGATCACGGTCCACCTTTGTTCCACTTCTTGCAAAGCCGGGCATGTTCTCTGTAACGTCTATCGCCGTGGACTTTGATCTGGCTGTCATTCTGAAAACCTTGGCTGCTGGGCGTCCAAAGACTATCCCGGGTATGTTTCCAGGCGTGATGGGTGGTAGTAGCTGTGGACGCCGCGCCAAAGTTGTTGTAAAATCATTGAAATCCAGATACGTGATGCATATTTCGCCTATGTAGTGGGTGACTTCTTCCAAGTCGAAATGAAATTCTTGCAAGTTTTCCACGGCTGATTTCTGCAGCAAGAATTCCCGAATAGAGTGGTGTCCGAACTGTACCAACTCGAGCTCTTCATCAACTTCCACGAGATTTTCGCACCACGAAGCAATGCGATGAATATCGTTACATATCCGACCCGGAATCGAGTACTCTTGACGGATCTCAACAAGTATAATCTCACGAAGCTCGTTGAGATATGGTGGCCGTTGCATGCCTCCTATCCATCGGAAGGCCTTCTGAGCAATTTTCGCGTTCTTGTGGGAGACAATCCGATTGAGAACCCGGTTGAACACGTCTGTCAAATCCTTTGGGAGACTACTGATAGTTGAGCGAATATCATCATCACAGTGTTGCGTGCAAATTTTGTCGAATTGAAACATGATCCAAAGGAACCTGTAGATCGTAAGTAAAGGTATCGATGTGTCGGGGGGTGTGTAAAATTTACATTCCGTCGCCACCTTTCATGAGCGCATTCTTTATATCTGCAATGAGATCTTGGCTTCCCACTACTAGTTCACCATTGCTGAGTTTCTCTTCGAGCAGGCTGTCGATGTATAGTTCCATGCCTGACGATACAGAAGAGTTTCTCATTGAGATGTGTTGGAGCGAGCGAAACTTCGTTTTTACTTCTTGGGTCATACTCTCTCGTCCAGAAATAAAAAGTCTCGTATTCGATGTCTGGGAAACAAGGCTGAAAAGAATGTTGAAGAGTTCGTTGCGTTCCTGCTTCTCAAACTCATCAATGCCATCGATGATGATGTAGCAGCCTTTGAAGTTTTGGATCCTAGCACAGAGGCGATTCGCAACGTTAGTTATAGATCCGGACAGCGCACTTCTCAGTTTCCCCTCCTCATCTTCTGAGAAGTTTCCTGATCTCAGCGTCTGTCGCAAAATCGATCTGACGGCAGTCTCTGCCAGAAGCGATTTCTGGTCGTCAAATCGCAAGAAGTAGAAAGCGACAAGAACTTTGGCGTTGTTCTTGTCTTTGAAACAACGATTGATAATGCTCGCACTGTAAACCCGGAATGAGAATCGGAACAGGACTTGTTGCATTAAACCGTATGCGCATTGTGGAGTGCTAACCTGATAATCGTCTTTCCGGACCCGACTTATGACGGTCAGCTAAAGCAGAGCAATACAACACGGGCAAGAATAAGACTCACTCTTCCCAGAGCACCATAGCAGCGGAGGGCCTGTGCCGTCAAACCATGACACGTATTCTGCTGTTTGAAACGCCCATTCGGTAGATCCAGGGCAAGTTTTACGGCGGCTTTGCTTTAACGGAGTTAAGTGATCGTGTGTAGACAGCTCGTCGAGGAGTTTTTGCCGCCGCTCGCCTGAGATGATATGGCAAATAAGAATCAGCTACCAGACAAAACATTTCTATTGAAAGACTTACGCGCTCGCCGTTTGTCTATCTGCAACTGCTGCTTCTTGATCTCTTTCAAGCCGATATGTGTTTTTAGCGCGAGCTGAGAAAGGTGACTTCTGCTAATTTCGTTCTGTCTTTGGTCTTCAAAATCGGCTTGTGCTTTTGCAAACGTTATTTCGTTCTTGACATTTTCGCTGTGGGCGCGAATATCGTCTTTGTCAGACTTAAACTCTTGCTCGAAAGAACTCAGGAGGGAATGCAAAGCTTGTTGTGCCCCTATTTCTGTCAGTTCCGTCGCCGTAGCATGAAAGGACCTACATACATGGACGTCTCGAAGCCACCACGAGATGTTTGCAAAACCGGATAACGGAGGCATGAAAACTACACAGCGCTGCTCTAAGTTTCGTCGAGGTTGGAAAAAGTATATGGTAGTCCTTGAAGGTTGGAAACAGCCTTCCAAGTTCTATGAAGAGCTTTGAGGCTGTTTCAAAATATGAGAGAAAGTTTGTAAGCACCTTCAAAGAGTGTTAGTCCAAGGACATGTGCTTTCAAGCTGTGAAAACTAGTCATACAAGTGTCGTCAGCTGGATGCTGCCCCAGACGAGGGCTGCGATCTCGGGATGGGCCGAAACGAATGTGCCAACAATGTTAGAGAAATCGCGAACGGATTGCAAGACGGTGAACAGGTTGCTGGCAATACTGCGGCCCTTTCTGTTCGAGTTGCGCGCATCGAGTTCGGCAGTAAAGATGAGGACGGCGTCGGCATCAGGAATGCTCGTTTTTGTGTAAAGCTCTTGGCGTTGACTGACAGAGAGGACGCTTTCAAAGTCTTTTAGGGCATCTTCGATAGGCTTGGTCGGATTCGCCAAGGATATGCGGGAATGACTGGGACTCAGTGCCATCTCACGTCTTGAGGCGCTTACACCACCGGTAGGAAGGAGAAGGTCGCAGGCAGAGAATGGTTAGCTTCTCCAGATGGTATTCAGATCGGCGTGTGACAATACTTCAAGAATCAGTCTTCCAGGACGACTGTTGACACCAAGGTAGGTCGATAAGACAGAATAAACACATGGGGGAGGGATTTGTGCCCAATATATGTCCCTTGCCCAACCAGGCATTACTCTGGGCATAGCCGCAAGGCTGAGTCTCGAAAAGCGGGAAAACTTCGCCCCGTGGGTCGCAGCTCTCAGTGAACAAGGCAAGTGCCAATCATTGGTAAGGTATCTTGGATTACTTAGGTTTAGGTATTTCGCGGATCTGCCCAGAGGTACTCTGTAACTATTGTTAATAAGCTATTGTTGTCGGGGTGCGACCACAAACTCGAGTCTCTCGACGTCTCACCCCCGACAGTTTATTTTTTATTTCTACGTCTTTGTTCCTTTTATTCGAGCCTCCTCGTTCACCATCAAGGAGAGCAACACTTTTACCAAACACTCTTCCTACTTAGACAGCCAACATAACGGTAGAGGCGCTTGTTCCCGTTAGTAGCGCCGTTCAGCAGCGTCAAGATGTAGACAGAACAGTGGGACTCGCTACAACCAGTCGAATCACGTGACCAGGGCATCTTCACAGGCTGCGCGGGGTAGTCGGCTGCTCTTTGTTTTGACCCGTAGAAAGCCTTACGCGCCTTGGGCTGCAAAGCCCCTCTTCCATCCACCAGCTTATTTCTGCAGCCAATCGTCGCCACTCGCGCCTCCTTTCCGACTACTCCTAATTACAGTTTTTTAAATCTATCAGCCCATAAAACTTCACACCTCAAAAGTTCGCATTCAGAATAGACACCATCGAAGTACAGCCGCATATAAGTCAATATGCCGAAAAACAAGGGAAAAGTAAGAGATGCTTCCGTGCACCCTATTTACCCCTCTTTTCCTGTGTTTTTCTGTCTACACTGTGATACGGTCTAACGTTTCCTTTTTCTGGCTTTTTAGGGTGGCAAGAACCGGCGGAGAGGAAAGAACGAGAGCGACAAGGACAAGCGCGAACTCATCTTCAAGGAGGACGGTCAGGAATATGCCCAGGTGGTGAAGATGTTGGGCAACGGCCGCCTGGAGGCTCGCGCGTTTGACGACAGTGGCACAGTCCGTCTGGCGTCGATTCGCGGCAAGCTTCGGAAGAAGGTTTGGTATGTTTAAGATCCGTCGTCGGTGCTGCCGCCAGGAGACGTCCAAGTACAGACGGACCGTCTGAGGACCTACCCTCTATCGAACTTTGCTAACCACCAATGCAGGATCAATACCGGCGATGTGATTCTTCTGTCGCTTCGCGACTTCCAGGACGGCAAAGGCGACGTTATCCTCAAGTACGCCGCCATCATATGCTTCTTCACGTTTCTAGTGCTAACATCATGCGCAGGTACTCCGCTGAAGAAGCCCGCAACCTCAAGGCATATGGTAGGTCTCCGCTTCTGGTCATACTTTTGGTATGCATCCTTTCCCAAAACGCACAACTAAAATTTATAGGCGAACTTCCCGAGCACGCCAAGATCAATGAGACCGACACCTACGGCGACGGCGGCGAGGGCGATGTCGGCTTCGAGTTCGACGAGGAACGCGACGACAGCAGCTCAGAAGGCGGCGGCAAGGAGGACATTGCCATCGACGACATCTAAACCTGTCAGACGATCGATTGCGGGTCATTAACGAGGTGGAACAAAATGAAGACATGTCTCCGGCCCCCCTTCCCTCTCGGCCAATGGGGCGATGGGGGTGCAACCCTACGAACAACTCTGCGGTCAGACAGCGCTTGTCAGCTGGAAGGAGGGTTGGGGTGGAGGCACAGACATAAAAGCGGCAAGATAGAAACGCACAACAGGGCAAGGGTGGGCGGACAGCAGACGCGGCAGCAGACCAGCAGACAATAATGACAGCAATGACTACAGCCGTGTCTCATTGAGGATTTTCTAATTCACGCACAACTGCAGGGCAAAGACGTCCGCAGCTCCAGAAAGCAGTCTTGCTGTCTCACAAGGTCTGCCGACAAGTCTGTCACCAACGGCTCTTGCTTGTGACGGGACATGGCGTATTTGCGTTTCTATAGTTGGTTGGCGCTCATTTGTTACATTTCACATCCCGATCTAGTGTGGGTTTGCGTGACTAAATTGCAAGAAGCTACGTACTCATGCCCAAAGAAAACTTATACCAGCATCTATTCACAGAAGCAATGCTCAATGACCATGTAATACGTATTTTTTTCTCTCACATAGAACTATGCTTAGTCATACCTGAATAATCTAATCGTTCATCATATCGAGTTTCCTGGGCAAGAGCGTAGAAATAGAAAGAGGCGGAAAACGAAATTATAAAAAAGAGGTTTTCGGAAAAAGAGGCCAGTCCGCTTTGAAATCGGTAGGGGGTATCCAACCATGAGACTCTGTCCAACAGGGGGGGAAAGGCGAAGAAGCAAAGAGGAAACAGAAGAAGCAAGAGACAGACGAAAGGAGAGAGACAAAGGAGAGACAGGGAGCGGAGAGGCCCGATTGAGAACAGACAGGCAGACGGATGAGCGCACGTCTCAGCCGGCTTACTCCTGGATGGGCTCGGAACTGGCGAGGGCGACGCTGGTGTGCATGGGGCTGTGGCTGCCGTCGTCCTTCTTGCCGCCAAAGGCCCAGCCGATCCAGCTGGCGCGTTTGTTGACGCCGAGATCGACCTTTACGAGGTCAGTGTTCTCCTGGACGAGACGCAGCGGCCGCGGCTTGGAGCCGGTAAAGGACGTCTTCTCCATCTGCCGCGGCGGGCTCAGGCTCTTGGGCGAGCTGATCGAGTCCCAGTCGCCCGACACGCTGGACGTCTCGCTGCGCATGCCAGGGAAGTTGCCGCTGGTCGAGAGAGCCGGGAGGGCGGGCGAGCGCGGGCCATGGATCGAGGACCTCGAGCTGTTGGGGCCGCCGGAACCACCGGTGCCGCCGTTGGCCCCGTTGACGCCGCCAAAGAGGTAGCCCGAGTTGCGGAACGACGGCGACAGCGGTCCGTCGGGACCCTTGTACATGGCGTTGATGACAGACGCAGCCGAGGGCCCGCTCATGCCGCCGTGGCGCACGTACTGCTCGCTCATGGGCCGCTGGCGACGCACGCTCGTGGACCGCGACAGCGAGATGGGGATCGACGGCGCCGTATCCGGGTGGCTATGCGCCGACTCGTGCACAGCCGAGGCCGGTCGGGGTCGCACGCGCGACGCATTGCTGCCACCCACGGCCATCGACTTTGTGCGCGACAGGTAGTTGTGGATGCTGCCAGCCTGTTGCTGACTAAGCTGGGAAGCGGGTGGCGGCGGCAGGTCCTTGTTGGTGTTGGCGCCGGAGACGCTGGAACTGGCGCTGGAACTGGCACTGGTCCTGGCGCTGGCCATAGCGCTGGCACTCGCGTTGACGCCGGCGCTGGTGGCTGGCAGCGACGTGGGAGCCGGCGGCGGCTTGCCATCGGACGAACGGTCGAGGATGTACTGAAACTCCTGGTGCTCGAGCAGACGCTCGATGATCTTGTTGATGTACAGCGTCAGAGCCTTGTTCTGGTCCTGCAGCGACTTGAGCTCAGCCTCGAGCCGGCGCTGCGACTCGGACGCCACCTCGACCACGGCCACGGCACCGCTCTCGCTATCGCTATCGTTGCCAGCAGCTCCCGACAGCTCGTCGGCCAGACTCGATCCACGGCCCTCGAGCGCGGCGAGCGCGTCCTGGTTCGCCGACCGGGTCTCGTTGGGCGTCGTGGCTCCTCCCTCGCCGCTAGCTGCTGCACTGCTACCGGCTGTATTGTTGGCGGCCGTGCTTCCGAGCCCGCCGTTGCCGCTGCCGCTGAGATAGCCAAAGTCGGCCGTGCCAAAGTCGCCCTTCAGCGTCTTCTCCTGCAGCAGCAGCTGGTAGCTCTCGTTGTCCTCCATCAGGCGGGCGTTGGCCATGCGGGCCTCCATCAGCTGGCGCTCGACCTCACGCAGCCGCCCGCCGCCCTGGTTCTCCGACTCGACCAGCTTGATCTGCGCCTCGGCTAGCTCCAGCCGCAGCGACTCGATCAGCTTGTCCTTCTGCAGCAGCAGCTTCGAGTTGTTGCGCGAATCGCTGCGGTGCAGCGACGATGGAGGTGCAAAGCTGCCACCGCTGCTGTCAAGCCCGGGCGAGTTGTTTCCAGCTGGGAGTGTTAGGATGAAAAAAAAAGGACTGAGGAAGGAAAGGGGAAAAAAGGAAACAAGAGAAAAAGAAAGAAAGAGACAAAAAGACGAAAAGAAAAGAAAAAACTCACACTGCCTCGAGGGCCGGCCCTCGTCGTCACCGCTCGCGTTGTTGTTCCGCTGGGCCAGACTGTCCTTGAGCCGCTGGATGACGGCCTGCATCTCCTCCTCGCGGTTGGCCATGTCCTCCTTCTCGCGTGTCATCGCGCTGTGCTCGGCCTCGTAGATGGTCTCCATCTGCTGCATCTGCCGGCCCATCTCGCGCTTCTCGCTCTGCAGCGCCTCGACCTGCTCGTCGTACTCGTGTGTCCGCTCTTCCAGCCGGGCCTGCTCACGCAGCGCCTCGTCCAGCTTGGCCTGCTGCACGTCGGCCAGCCGCCGGAACTGCTCGGCCTGGCTCTCCGCCTGCGTCAGCCGCTCCTTGAGGTCGTCCAGCAGCGCCACCGTCTCTGCCCGCGCCGCCTCCTGCGCCTCTGTCGCTGCTGCCACGTCTGCGCCTGTCGCTGTGCTCAGCCGCGACGAGTCGCGTCGGTGTGCACCCGCCGCTGCGCCTGCCCGTCCCGACACCAGCGTGCTCGACCGGATCGACCGCGTACGCACCGCGTTGTTGCCTGCCGTCGTTCCCCCGGACCCGATGCTCGTCCCCGTCTTTTCGCCGCCCGGCGTCGTCGACCGTGACGTCCGCGCAGGCGAGCTCGACTTGCTCGGTGAAGTTCGCCCGGCTTCAAAGGGCCGCTTCGTCATCGGTGTCGACATGCTTTCCCGCCTTTTGTTGCTTGTTTTTGATATGTCGGTGTGCGTTCGGTGTGTGTACCGCTCTCTCCGCTCTCTCGTCGATTCCTCTCTTTCTCTCTTTCTTTCTCTCTCTATCTCTCCAATACCGCTGCTCGGTCTAATTGCCGTAGCACAACAGAACTCTTCTGTTCGCTGCTGACCGTCAGAAAGGCTGACCTTGTCGTCGGTCTGGTCTCGCGGCAACAAAAGTTCGTTTGGCCGGCTGCAGTTCTTCAACGGATCTTCAATAAAATAAAAAAGGCACGCTTCGTGCACTTGGTGCTTGTGTTCAACGACAACGGCAATGCCAAATGTTGTTGACAGAAACAGGAAGGTCAAGGGAAAAGAAAAACAGGAATAATGGAGCTCTGAGCATGCAAGGCAGTAAGGCTTGCTTGGGACAACGTCGAAACACGGGTGCCCCCTATTCGCGACCTTCGCCTGTTTCTCTCCGCGATGGTGCACGGACAAAGGGGAAACACGGCGTCGGCTTTACTTTAACAATTCCCCTGGCGTCCACTAAACTGAGACTATCCTCTCCCTTTTTCGAGCCTTCGTGGTTGATTCGCACGGGAAATGGTGCTGCCAAAACACCAACCGCTAGCGCCAGGCTCGCCCCTCCCTACGATTACAGCGGCCCCGCTCCTGCCCACTGCCACTCTCCAGAGCATTACAGGGCACTCGTACGAGCAGCCGGCCTCTTGACCTGAACCTCTGCGCTGGGCGGTGTGGAATCCCGCAGTCTGCAGACTTCTGTTGGTGCCCGATTGCCTGCAGGCCTCTCCATACTGCTCCGTATTATGTAGTGCCTAATGACCGCCACGGGTCTCCCGGAGGACTGCAGGAATGCATGAACCTGCGCACATTGCTTTGCATCTTGGGATAACCTACTCCGTACGCTGCACGCCGTCTTGCCTCCAGCTCTGCGAGAAATGCCCCGACGCCTGTCGGTGATCGGTTGCATTCCGTGCATACGGTGCGCATTGGGACTGGGGCTCCCAGGTCTCCTGACTCCAGACGGCAGCAGTACTCAGCGCGGTGAAACAAGCGGTGACTGCCCGCTTTCCTATAAGCCAGCAACGCCTGTCCTTTGTTGCCCTGTCGATGCCCTCACGGACCATACTCACCAGCTTCCTAAACCGGGGCCTCTGACCTCGGGACTCTGCCACTATCCGTCCAGGACCTGCGGGCCCCCTGCAACAGAAATGACAGCAATTAGGTTGTTTACACCCGAATTATGCACCAGATCTCTTCTTTCAACCTTCCATTATATGCACCCCTGCTAATACTACGAGCGGCCGTCGAGCCGTCCGTCTTCTGCTCCTGCTTGATCCGTTTCGTCCTATGTACTCTGTAATCAAAAATCCTTGCGCCGGCGGATTGCGCCTGCGAAAGATAAATGCGTTCGTCAACACCGCATATTCACACGCCGCCACGCATTGTTACTAAATCAAAAACGTAACGACCATAATCTGTCAGGGTGGACCGCCTGTTGGGGGCGCCTCGTTTACAGCACTCCCCACATACTCCGTAGAGCCAATCGCAATCCGCACGCACGTGACACGCTCCTTGGACGATTTCTTTTCACACTGAGGCCGGTGTTATTCTTGACTTGACTGTTTGCATATACTGCCACTTTGACATATTCGAAAAACTGCTGCCTGAACGCCGGGTACATTCCTGTCCAGTCCGTAGACACTTAGGCATCATAGGCCCTCCTCTAAACGCTCATTTCTCTTTTTCCTTTTTGCTTTCTCCCCAGACCTAAGCCTGCTGGTCCGACAGGATGTCCGAGTCACCGGGGTCCAGGACAGCCATGGTCGAGCAGCGGAACATCTTACCGCATGCGGTGCCCAGCTCGATCTAAATCATTTACAGGTTAGCACATTGGCGAACCCTCCAAAGTCGGCAAGAACTGGCGACTTCTTCGCAGGGCAAGCCCAGAGACGGCGCTGGCGACCGCCATTGCCGTCTCTGGGCTGGATACTGGGAGAAGGCGATAGGAGCGCGGCGCAAAGAGCGCGGGGTTTGCATGTTCATATACGTACGTTGTTGCCAGAGAAGTGGTGACTGAAGAAACGACAGGTTAGTTTGCTGTTCGCTAAATGCCACACAGAAAGGAGATGGTGAGACATACACGTTGGTCTTGCTCAGCATGCTGTAGTACTCAAGCTCCGACTTCCGCAGGGGGCCGGTGTTGGAGGAGATGAGGACGAGCTTGGCCTTGCCCTGTATAGAGACAATCGTTAGCCATTGTCCGGCAACATTATCTTGCATGTTCTGGCATGCTTACGCTGCGGAGAGCCTTGAGGGTGCTCTTGTAGCCGAGAGTGACCTTGCCACTCTTCATCACAAGCGCCAGGCGCGAGTTGCTGGTACAGTGTCAGTACAATCTGTTCCGGAGTGTCGATCCAACCATTCGGGTCGGAGAGGGAAAATATTTACATGGAGTTGGCTTCCCTAAAGACAAATGTACGTTAGCAAACAGCTTCCATGAGAAAATATGGCCGAGGACCGCTACAAGACAAATCGCGGCTGGCGTCAAGTCCTGAGCTTCTGAAATATGTCTGACACTCACTTCTTGCTCTTCTTAATGGGGGCCATTGCAACGGTTGTCGAAAGACTGGTGTGTTATGAGGGTAATCGAAAGTTCGTTGTGGTGGTCGACAAGTGGATGGATTTCGCTCTCACAGCTAAGGCAAAATTCACATAGGAAAGAAAAAAATTGATTTGCTAATTGCGGGGGTCACGTTTTTCCGGTCCAGTGTGGACTTTCAGGGCACGGAAAACCTAAGTACCCACATTTCTTGCCCTCGGACGGGAGAATGCAGAAGTGGCGGCGGTGGCTATTGTAATCGATTTGCTTTGAAATCAGGCCCGGAGGCAATATTATCGTCTAGTGATTTATTGTGCCCGCCAATTTTTCCTCCTGCTCTTTCTCAACCCCATCATCAAACCACCCACAACACCCACCTACGTCGACTCCGAGAAATCAGATAAAATGGCTCGTCGTCCGGCTCGCTGCTACCGGTACTGCAAGAACAAGGTGCGTTTTTGACAGGAGAAGGGGAAAGGGGAAGTTGGGGGCAGAAACCAGAGAAGAAGCGGACGAAGACGAGGCAATTGGAAAATTCAGGGCGAAGGAAAGTAGCGAAAACGCCCTCGTCACCTATCGTCTTTTCGCCGAAATCTTTGCCCGGAGTACTCGGAAGAGTCCAAGGGTCTCTGCTTCGTCTGCTTCTCTCGGCCCCAGAACCGAAGAGTGGGAGGATTACAATGAACGGGTCACAGATGCTAACTTCAGCCCTCAGCCGTACCCGAAGTCCCGCTTCAACCGTGGTGTGCCCGACCCGAAGGTCCGCATCTTCGATCTGGGCCGCAAGCGTGCCACCGTCGACGACTTCCCGCTGTGCATCCACCTCGTCTCCAACGAGTATGAGCAGCTGAGCTCCGAGGCCCTCGAGGCCGCCCGTATTTGCGCCAACAAGTACCTCGTCAAGTTCGCCGGCAAGGAGGGTTTCCACATGCGCATCCGCGCCCACCCGTACCACGTCGTCCGCATCAACAAGATGTTGTCGTGCGCTGGTGCCGATCGTCTGCAGACGGGTATGCGCGGCGCCTGGGGCAAGCCCAACGGCACCGTCGCTCGTGTCAACATTGGCCAGATCATCCTGAGCGTGCGCACGCGCGATTCTAGTGCGTATCTACTTCCGAGTATCAACACTGCATCTGGCAGCGTTTGCTAACAGCCGACAGACCGCGCCATCGCTCTTGAGGCTCTCCGCCGCTCGCAGTACAAGTTCCCCGGCCGGCAGAAGATCATCGTCTCCAAGAACTGGGGCTTCACCCCCCTGCGTCGCGAGGAGTACCAGGAGAAGAAGGCCGCCGGCCGCGTCCGTGTCGACGGTGCCTACGTGCAGTTCCTGAGCAACCACGGCAAGCTGGCCCAGAACGTCAAGCAGTTCCCCGACGCTTTCTCCTCATAAACAAGAGCAAAAAAGGCATCGTTTGAGGACGGAGGTGTGAGCGGCGCAACGTGGACTGTTTTGGCTTGACTTCTTATTTTGTTTCTGTGTTTGTATTGGGGGAGTGGACAGGGCTGGTGCTTTGGCACACAAGAGGCGATAGCATCTTCACAGACGGGAGCACAGAAGCGCGCATCTGGATGTTTTCAGACCGCGTGACTCACGGCTACGTCATGTACCCGGAAAGAATAAAACACAAATAAAATAAGCTCATTAGGGTGAACTACAAGGGCAGCAGGCTGCCCGCCGTGAACGTGGGACGACAAGTCGATGTGATTAGGCGCTAACTTTCGGTGTGTTTGCCGTGTTGCAGCTCTCTTATATGCGAACCGACCACCTGATGCTGGGGATGGCACCAGAAAGAGCCAGGCTCATCGTGTGATGATGGTATACGTCAGCGCAAAACAGTCGCCAGATTTGTGTCTTGTGGCCGTGGCCGACCTGGCAAGCGCATTTTCTCACCGCCACTCACAGGTCTCTACGTGTGCAGACGGTCCATCCGTTGACTCTCCCGATGGGAAGCCAGTCTGGAGAAGAGGCATGAACAGGAGGGTCTGCCGTTTAGCTTACTGTGCTCCGTACATGTAAGATACGAGTACGCGAAAAGGCCGTGTGGGCGCCGATCGATAAATACGCGGTTTACAAATACAACCCGAAACGCCCTTGGGTTCTGCCAGCCGAAACAGTAAGGGCAAATTACGAGACCAAGAAGACGGTGGTGTGGGTCAGCGATACCAGATGCCGACAATGATCCGGCTGCTTAGGCGGCGGTCAAGTGGGTGGTGCGTGAGCTGAGGCCATCTTTGCCCTCTTTCACGGAGATGATGTCGCCATCAGGACGCCATCAGTGGCCACGGCATCAAGCCGGAATGCGTGAGATAAGATGTATCTTGCCTTGGGTGGAGAAAGCCGCGCGCAGATCGGCCGAAGGTAGCCCGTGGCAAGCTATGCCGCAATCACGCTGGCGATTCGTATACATGATTCGTACACGTATCTTGGTGGATGGGTAATGTATCCCATTGGGAAAGTGCGTCACTTGCAGGAACCACTGCCACAGGAGGAGGAAGGCGCATTGGACAGTGTGGGTGGGGTCAGGCCATTTCAGCACCTGTATCTTGTCTTTTGAGGCGTCTGCGCTCTGGTCTAAACCTCACAACGTGCCCAACCCCCCCCTCAAATGCTGCTGCAACCCGCCTCCTTTCTTATAACCTTGATTTGTCCTCATCCTCTCAACCGGCGTCCTCCTGGGCTCCTGGCATCCATCTCTCCCAATAATCTTGCGTCATTCGCCATCCTGCTCCGTACGTGCACATTGCCTGACGGGTCTGCAACCGGGGCCCTTTTCTTTGTCCCATTCACGTCAGCTTGGCACGAAAGATTAGCGCTACCAACAAACAGTACTGCTATTCCTCCGGCCTCGTGCCGTTCCCCTCCAGCGCAGCGCAGTGTTTCCCACCTTCCCGGCTACCAGACAGGGGCCTCTCGGATGCGACTGGACCTTGGTGTTCGTTCTGCCCTTTTCCATCGCGTCCTTCCCAACGTTTTGTCGCCACAGCAGCAGCAGACAACGAAAAGGGGCATTACTCAACTTGACTAGCGCTGCTCAACCTCGCCTTGACATATCGCCTAGTATTAGGCGGCAAAACTAAGGCAGCCGCTGCTTTCGGTGGCTTCCTGAACCACCCGATCGCTATCTGATAAAGCCCAGCAGCCTCGTGGCTCTCTTTTCTCGACTTTTCCCGTCCATTTTGCACTTCCTTTCCGTCTCCATCCATTCATCATCCATCTTCTGTCGTTGCCATGGCCTTCCAGCAGCCTGCCCGGCTGGCCGTCCAGCGGCCTCCTCTCCAGGAGGCTGAAGAACGGGACGACCACCGAGCCCACACCACTATTGTGGGCCCTCACGAGTCACAAACATGGGTACTTTTTTCTCCGCCCACCGACACAACCGGCAGCTCATCAATATTGAGCTCGGTATCAGCATCACAGTCGACGCCAGGTCGATCACGGTTGAGCGAGCCTGGGGAGCCTTCGTAGCTTTCCACGCTCTGGCTACGCTCCATCCTTCGGACAGCCAATGCTTGCCCTACACGCACTACCTCTGCCCTCTCTCCTTACCTCATCTGCATCCAACCTCGATACCGACCAGGATGCCGAAGAAAAAAGATGCCGAGCTTGACAGTCTCGACAGCCACCTGGCCGACTTTCGGTCGGCGCCCAACGTACAGCTTCGAACACCCGACCAGAGGAATACACAGCCTTCTATGCAGACAACAACGACGATCACCACTGTCAACCTGCCAACGCACGATGGCCTGGGAACCTTTCAATTAGGTGATACTGTGGGCATGAGTGCAGCTTTGCAAGAGCGTCTTTACGCGTTTGAACAGTTCAACCCCAGACGTGTGACCAAGCGGCGTCGGGAAAGCCCAGAACCAGTCCCACCACAGGTTGAGCAAGAGATATCAGAGGAGATGCAGCGGATACAACGGATCGAGGAATGGCGATTGGACCATAGCAGGGTGCTCCTGGAAGAGATTCGGAAGCAGACACGGCGGCGGAGAGGATCAGAACTGTCCTCGCGGCGGGGCCGAGTAGAAGAGGCAGCAACAGCGCCAGCATCCGCCGCTAGCATTGCCAGTGCTAGCGATGCGGTGCTTGGCGAAGCAGATGGCGAGTGGCATGACCAGGAGGATGATGACCTTATCCTGGGAATGTCGGAAGATGGTGATGAACACGGCGAAGGGCTGTGGTCCCGGATAACACGAAAGTTCATGGTCGAAGTGATGGGCATCGATGACGAAGTCCTCTCTATTCTGCTCGGAGAAACCCTTCCGAAGACGGTCCAGCAAGAAGAGAGCATTGACCCATCACCAACACCGAGGGCGTCGGATGCGGTGCTCGCTGCATTCGACGCTGTGAGCAAGGAGGAAGCAGAAGGCGATGACACATCCTCATCGTGGCGGTTGCGGATGCTTGACCGAATCGCAAAGGAACTGGGCCATTTTGTTCATCGGCATATGACCACACATCCAGGTGCTTTCACGACCTATCAGCGCGTGCAACAAATGCCGCTTCCATACGCCGGGCTGCCTGTGATTCCGGAGGCAATGACACCGCCCGACCGCGAGAGGCCTCATGATTATGGGCGTAAGGTTGGTAAAGAAAGCCAACGAGGCGATCCTGACGAAGTAGATCAAGGTACTACGCCTCATGCTACTGCAGCTACCGCGGCAACAACACCATCGTTACCACACTTCCAACCGACTATCCTGCAGGCACGGCCAACTGTCCCCGAAGGTCAACACTCTTCTGGGAGCGTGGCCACATCCGGGCCCAGTGCGGCGGCCACACCGTCGCAGGCAGCTTCTTCGCAGACGTTCTCCCAAGAGGAATGGGAGCAGGATCTGGACATCAAACTTGTCTTCCGGTACCTCCGGTCCCGCTTCACGTCAGATGCGCCTCCGCCTACCAACAGCCTCCAACATCATCTGCACCACCATCCGCTCGCGCTCAACAACAACATCAGCATGCAAGACGCGGCAGCCAAGGTAGCCCGCGTGCGGCTACACCACCCGCTTGTTGGGCGGAACACAAACCGCCAGGCAGGCGACCGGCGGCCGATGCCGGCATACCGCAACATGAACATGGGGGTGGTCGTGCCGACTAGTCCTATCACGGGCCTGAGGCACCAACCCTCCTGCGCTAGCCAAAGCACGAGGCGGTCGGCACGCAGAAGCAGCAGCTTGTCATCATCACGTCACTATTGGGATATCGGAGGCTCGATTGGAACTGGATCCATGATCGCGCCTGCGGCACCTATGGGCAGTTGGGGCGAGGCGTGAGGAGGTCTAGGTGTAGGCGGAGGTGCAATTAAGCAAGCATTGCATGGCGATATGATTGATCTTTTTCATAATTTGTTTTTCTCTTTTGTCTATGGGCTCTACTCGGTATTTTTTCATAGCATGCGCACATCTCCTCACGTTTATAGACAACTATAGCTTTAAACCTACACAGATATGTCTGGCTTATAATTGGACAAGGTTAGCGCTACAATTCTGCTGTGTGATGCGATGCCTGGGTGTCCTACGATGTAGACCCTATGGTGTCTGGGTAAGACCAAAAACAAGACGGTGTTACGCGTTGCAAACTCAGCCTTGCTTGCGAGGTTGGCTGACAGAAATGTATAGGCATGGCAATTGTTCTTGCAAATATAAAGATAAAGCTACCGCGGTGTTTTTAGCCGTACCTGTAATGCTTCAACGTCCAAGCCGACCATCTTCCATTTGTCAGGATATTCTATGCTCATCCGCCAAACTGCCCCTACACTTGTTAATATATTGCAATATATATTCTTCTTCGACATCCACCACCTTACAGCAGAAAGTTACGTATCCCGATCCCGACCCAAACAAGCACGGCGACAAAGGTCGCAATAAAACCGGCAATAACCGCCGCTATAGGGCTCATTAATCCAATCATGGCCACACTCGTCAGAGTTGCAAACACTCCACCAGCAGGCGTAAATGCACCGTACACGACCGACTGGTACCAGGCCGCTGCAGATCCTAGAGGCTTATTAGCATACGTGACGGCCAAGCTGGTGGCACAGCGGAAACTCACCTGCAGCGACACCGACAACATTGAACCCGACTGCAGAGAGGACCAAATAGACTATGAAAAATGTGACTATCCAGGCAAGAAGGACCGAAAACACATCTTCCGCCTTGGTTAGTAGCACTTCCCGTAGCAGGAGGGAAACGACATACAGGGACGCGTGAGCCATTCGGAGACCAAAGGCCACTTCTCTTCCAGCCAGGCAGCGGCTTGTTCTATGCTCTGCTGGATCCACGCCAGGGCCTCGTTGGCGTTAGGATAGCTAGAGCCGGCGATCGTGCCTTTCGCCACGGTAAGGGGACTTGCTGTGTGTTGATATACATGGCTTGCTATATCTGCCTTGGGCTAGCTGACAGAAGACTTGGGATTGAGAAGATGCTTGAATTCAGGCGACAAAAAATGATTGATGTTGAGAGAAAACAAAACTCCAATTCTCAACCGTTGGGCATGGAGGGACTCGAATATTTATAGGTTGCCTACACTTGACTGTAAGTACTGTGCGTAATTCAACCAATAACAATACGTGTTTGTCCCGATTTACGCGCCCGGCCTTCTGCAGGATGGATTCAAACAAAATGACAGAATCAATACGTACGGAATTGGCAACAGCCCATCGTACAAGTAAATAACTTACCCCGCACAAGCAACAAACTGAAACCCGTTATATTCATTTACCTTTATTCAACAATCTTTGCTGCATCAGCTTCTACACAGTAATCTACATCTCGTTCGCCCGTCTATGCTCCCATCACGATGTATTCGTCTCCCGGCTTTTCTGACGAAGATGAGCGCCGTGCAACCCCCCCCGACACCGATGATGACAGCGATCAGTTTGGTGCGGAGACGTTTGACGAGAGACCGTCTTCATATCCCAAGACTTCATATGGAAAAAGGAGGTCAGGTCCTTCCTGGTCCGAGGAAACTGCTCGCAGCGCAACTAAAGCAGGTAAGGGCTTGGCAGTTGGAATTGGAGCGATAACTGCCGGAGCGGTATACACAGCCATGTTCCCTGTCAAAGTGGTATCGTCGGGCTTCATAAGGGTGTCGGAGAACGTCCTTGCGTGGGCAACTTCGATCAATTTCGAAGACGAACCAACGACAAACCAAGAGGCCGCGAAGCAGACAGCCCAAATTATGCAGGATAGAGAAAGGGAAGGGTTTGATGAAGGATATATACATGTGGCCGTCTGTGGACCGGCGGGCAGTGGCAAGTCGTCCATCATCAACGCCCTCAGAGGTTTGAAAAACAAGGACGCCACAGCAGCTGCAACTGGAACCGTCGAAACGACCCAGCGCCAACAGAAATACGAAGCTCATCACGGCATTGGCTGTATCATGCTTTATGACTGTCCTGGGGCCGGGACGCTTCGCAATCCAGCTGAAGACTATGGCAGTAGCCAAAAGTTGCATATATTCAACGTTGTGCTCATCGTTCTTGGCGAACGGTTCGGTGAGGTATGTATCAAATTTGGTCGCCCTATACTTCGTGGTCACTATTAACCGTATCTACGGCCGAACAGATCGAGTTGGATATCATACGGTCTTGTGTTGCTCGTCAACAGCCTTTCTTCGTTATACAATCCCGAGCAGACGAAAGGACGAGACGCATTGAAAGGGATGAGGAAATTGAGTTGTGCGAGGCTAAGAGGATCAATATCAAGAAAGCTCAAAAAGCTTTCAAGAGCGAGTTACGACGTGGTAGGTTTCCCGAAGAGCAAATCAGGAAGACGACGAGATACTACATGCTGGTAAACAACACCGATTTACGAAAATTTATCGAATGTCAGGGCCAATGGCCAGAACAGGAGGGCCCGTTGGAGATTCACGAGAAGCAGCTCATCGAAGTACTCAGGAGGCTAGCAGAAGGGAGGACGCTGTGAAGGATTCTGCGTAGTCGGCATTTTTTTTACCTTGTCATATCGTCGTATTTTCTCACCTATCCGGTTTTGTATCAGATCAAACACAGTAGATCGACAAAATCGATGTTGGTTTACGTAAGATGCGAGACAAGTATGAAGCAAAGCTAACAAGTATGAAACAAAGCAATGGACAGTTGCACAATGATGTCCTAGAAGACCCACAAATGGAGCAGATTACAATGACGGAGATCTCGGGGCACTGGATCGCATTCTCAAGAGAGTACTTTAGCAACTAATTCGTTTCACTTCAAACTCGTCGACTCTCCGCATTTTATAGCGCTTTCATACACCTCGTCTGGCAAGATAAACCCAGCCTTGAGTCCCATCCTAGCAGTCGATTCTTCGTCTAAAATCCGAAATAAACATGTTTCTCTCCTTCTGATATGTCCTTTTGTATCACCCCAGATGTCATAAACGTATGCCATCGTGTTTAATCGTCAAAGCTCATCTGCTCTGCTTTAGCTAGCGTAGGATGGTATGTATGTAACAGGTGGACGTTTTCGACAGTCACATCGTAGCTCTGCAGTTATATAGACAGTTAAAGCATAAACGGAAAACAGGAAAATAACCTTCGATCTGTAAAGTATTAGACCATGCCCAATGTTAACGAAATTTAGAGGTATGATTGGGTGCTGCCTTTTCTAATCGCATCACGTTTCAGACCTGTACTTGCGTCAAGACAACGAGGTATTAGGAGTTGTCGTATTGAAGAGACCACGCTGGTAAGGATCTGTGGCCTCTGAGCTCTATTGCCTGAATCTCGTACCGCTTCAGTCCCGGAAATGCTCTGTGTCGCTGTGAGTAGTACAACTACACTTTTCGCATCCGTCCTCTTTTCGTCGTCAGTTATATTATTGCAAGTGAGAAGGTTAAGCGCAGAGTAGGATTGAGGTAAAAGCTCGGGTTTACGAAAGCCAGCGCCTTTACGAAGAAAAATAAAATGGTAACAAGACAAAAACAGCGATGCGGGATCCTGCCTAGTAAATACACCTTGTTTTTTCTAAGCGATCGAAGATACAATCATTGAATGCTTTGCAATATATACGTTGATAGAAGCACTGCAGACTATTATCTGTCTTCGCAATCACCGTGAATCTGTGTTACGTATCGTGGCACCATATTTCTTTAGCTACGGGCTATCTTTTACAATTGAAATGGTTACGTCCACGATACGAAACCTTCGAAATTCGGCATTTTAATCCGGATAAATGGAAGAGAAAAGCCGTGCTGGAAGTAGAAGCGGATAGAGTATGAAAGAAAAATGATGATATAGGGAGCTGCTGGAGTGTTCTCGGTGACCAAAGTTCGATCCTAGTGAGGGGTAAGCGACGAGCGACCAGCGACGATTGTTATACTGTTTAAGTCTAAAGTGTCTGACGACGGCGGGAGTTTCGGCTTGGTAGACGCCCTCTATGGCAAGAAGTTGTCCAAAGGCGTCGAATGGCTTTGTATTTGAATAATTGAGCAAGCAGGTAGAAGTGCTTGTCCTTTTGGTTAGAATTAAGTTCCGGCGTATGTAGTGCCCTTTGATATTTTCTTCTGTAGCGAAAGTAAAAGTGTTATCTATGCAGTACGAAGACTCGTAGGGTGTCTCTGGCGTCCAATGCGTAATAGTTAACAAGTTGGTTGCCTTCTTATTATGGGTGGAAGTAAGAGAAATGCCTAACTGCTTCGCATGATACCATGTGATCAACCTAACTCAGACTGCACAAATATGTTTAGCAGTAATTGGGCTGGACTAAACTAAACTTATATTGGTTTAAGGAGTACTTTGTAACTTGGTTAATTTGACCGAAGCCGCGTAAATTTGACAGAACTTAGCCTAACTCACCTGCATTCGTCTGCATTTGACTGCATCTAACAATTTGGCTTGACTAGATTCGACTAGTATATCGCCTGAGCGAAACATGTGTAAACTGTTGATTGGGGAGAAGTCTCTCGACGTGGCTAGCCTTATACGGTAAGATTAAGTCTTTGAGATATTGCTATAAATATGCTTTGGCTTGGAGGGGCACGGAGTATACAAGTGTGTGCAGTACAACTATAATAATGTCTCATCGTATCTTACATATGGATGCAAGATCGCACTTAAGTCCTCGCTGGCTAAGAGTATATGGGAAAGCACTTTTTGCGCTATCGGAACAAATGCATTAAGAAAAGGTTGGGAGTGAAACAAGAATGGAAGAACAACAAAGGGAGAGACTAACGTGAAATGAACGAACCAAGTAAGATAGACTTGCATTTTGTTTACGCAGCGTTCTTCCTAATGCGGTATTTTTGCCAATGTTGTGACTTTGTAGTGACAACTCGACTTCTCATTGCACGAAAACGCGTGAACGCGTGTTTGTGCTAGTGGGTGGGGCAGACAACGCTGCTGTTAATGGCTTTGTCTGTTGCGGCCCAATGGCAGCGGCCCGTTGAAATGGTGTCCGTCTAGAAGTTACGCGTTGGCGGGGGGGTGCGATACATAGATACAACATTCGCTCAGCAGACGGCTTTCTGCTCGATGCCTGGAGATGTGTAGGAGGGGCTGCCTGTATCGGTTTATCGGACACCCCTCCAGAAGCGCAATGCAGGCATGCATGCAAGCCGATCTGCCTATGTTGTGTGCCTCGTTCCTGCCGTGTCCGCTGTATCTGATGTCTCTGGCCTGAGCGGCTAGCTGTGCTTCCCTTCATCCCTCCTTCTCAAGTAGACTGCTGCTGAACCCACCCACCCACGTTCTTGCTCTGTTCGACAAGATCGGTTTGCCGCCTTGTGCCTGCTCTTTCCCCAGCCGCTGACGAGAGTTGCGCCTGCCGACTTTGCGCACTTGCAGTCCGAAGACGGGGCCAGGATCCACTCGTCGAGAGAACCACTTTTTGTGCTCTCTGGCCCCCCTCCCCCCAAAGCTTCCTCCACCCAATTATCTCGCCTCACCTTCTTTCTTCTATCTCTATTTTTTGGCCTTCTCTGCACCTCGCTAACTTTTGGCATCCCGCTCCCTTCCTACGCCGCCAATTCCTATCTACAGAGTGTTGCATGCTTTCCGAATCATGACCTGTTCATAAACGCCCTGACCCCTATACGAAGATAACGGACCATATGTATATATAGGCATGCGACCGTCCGCTTTCTCGACATCTCCGACTTCTCTCCTGCTTCTTTCCCAATGACAATACTAGTCTGGTCAGTGTCCTGTCTTCTGTTGCCGTCTCTTTTACGGTTTTCCGACGGGGTTCCCGCGCACCATCTTCATCATCCCCTTGCCTTTTTACGTGTGTTTTGGCCATTTGCTGTGCCATCAGCCGATTCACGCCTGCGACCGCCTTACTGTGCCAATCCCTCGACACGCTCCTTGCTGCTTCTTTTTCCCGGAAACTAATGCGCGATTTGTCTACTCACAGTGTCATGCGCATACTTTTCATCCTGCCTTGAACGTTCTCTCCGCCATCTTCTTATCACCGAGGCGCGCTGCATACTTGTCCCTGTCTTTCCGACGGTTTAATAGTACGATCATAATATTTAGATACTCGGCCGCTTCGCGGTCGCAATTCGCGTTCTCTCCGATCTCGCCATTTATCGTATTCTGGCCTTCTTCCGGACTGCGCATCTCTCCGGTCTCGTCCGGTATCTCTGCATCCCAGGCAGTGCTGTTTTTCTCGACGCTTCTGCCCTGGATATGACCTCCACCAGAGCTGCCAATGGCTGCAACCCCCTTTGACGCTGCCAATGCTGCCGTCGCATTGACTTCCAACAGCAATCCCTCCTTTGCATTCGATGTCTACGACGATGCTCGTTCCGCTGGTAACGGGCGCACCTCTTATGGCTTATCACCAGCCCTGCCGACCGGATCTTGCAATTTCGTCGACCTGACGCATGGATCTAGTGGCCCTCAGTGTGGATGCCGTCGCTTCTGGAGCAGAAGTAATGCTGCAGCCACGTCTATGGCCAACAGCTTCGGAACCAGTGTCGGTCCTATCAACAATGGTGCCCTCGACCTCAGCCAGGCTGGTTGGTGCATGTGCTCACATCATGCCTGCTTCCACGACCAGGCGCCACAGCAGGTGTTGCCAAATGGGAACATTCCGACAGACCAGTCAGTTGTCGCCCGTGGCGCAGCTATCAGTGGTGCCACAACAGGTTTCCCTGGCTTGTCCGCGTCTTTATCCGCCCCGCTCCACGGCCAGAAAAATGAACGACCACGAGCCAAACGAGAGCCTCTCAGCCCCCTCCAGGAGTCGGTAGCCCTCCAGATGCTTGCAGAGCAAGATGTTGGCCGAGCAGGCAAGATTGCCAACAACAATGGCTTGCTGTCATTCGGACTGCAGCCCGCCAAACTCTCCTCATACACGGAACGGCTATTCGCTGGCATATTCGAGGACGTCGCCCCTCTCGATGAGCAAGCCATGGTGTCCTGCTCTGCTGCAGACAAGGTCGTACCGGCGCCTTCGTCCATAGACACGTCTATAGCCACCTCTGTTGCGGGCTACACGCCGTATAGCAACTCCATCCCCGATACACTACGCTGTGGCCACTACGACCCTCCACCGCGATCTATGTTCCCTTCGCAGCAGGGCGTTGATGGTTGCCTGATGCCGTCATCCCAAGCTCCACCCTCGACAGCCTCCTCAATCAGCCAGCGCCGTTATCTACGCCCGTTTGCTGGCAAGGGCCTAAAAACTCTCACGCACACACAGTCACTTCCTCCACTCAAGCCCCAACCACCATCCGAACCTGAGCCGAGAGAATTCACGGACGCCACACACGATTCCGAGCAGGACACATCGAGCACACAGCCGGGTCTACAAAGTCTGGTGGGTGCTGTGCAGGCACACGAGCAACGCCTGGATAAGCTCGAGAATGTGTCTTTCTCCGTCCCTTCGGGCCAGGAAGATTGGAGTGATCGTCACGACCACATGGACATGCGTGTCACGGAGCTCGAATCGCGTGTTGATGAGGTCGAGAAGCGGCTTACTAGCAACGACGAAACTGCTAGTGGTGTCGATGGGAGCATCGGTTTTAGCCGTCGCCGCCTGCTCGGCCGTGACGATGACGCTACGACAGTTAGCGCCGTCTCCATGGCCGCCACCGATGTCACCACGAGTATGACCAGCTCATCCTCTGGCATCATCGGGGAAAGCGATGTGCGGAGCCAGATCCAGGCGCTACAAGCGCAGGTGAGCTTTCTACAAACATCTGCTCTGCCAACATACAACAGCCTGTGGGAGCTCGAAGTGGTTTTTCTGCCATTTCCCCTCAAAGGCGTCTGGGTGGAGGCTAGCCAATTTCCTACCACAGCAGCTGTTGCGGCAGCAGCGGCAGCTCAACGGCGGCAATCAGGCGGCTACCGATATCAGCCCGGGCAGTCAGAGGATGACGAGTGGACGCAGATGCCTAACACGCTGAGCCGCCAAACGCCGGATGCGCAATCGCCCAGCTTGGAAGGCAACGCTCTCTGGACTTCCGACTGGCCGGACTATTCTGCGACATCGGACGCCCCGCGCCTGCTGCCTCGCGCATGTGCTCCTGGTCGCGTCATCGATAACCGTCTCCGAAGCTGTGGCTTGGTCCAGACGCTCTCCGTGCGCGGTACAGATGCACGCAGCCTGAAGTTGGCCATGGCCACGGCGTTTGGGTCAGTCTTTCGGGCGATGGCCCAAGGAGCGTCGTCGGAACGGCGAGCAGAACGGAGCAAAGTGGGCAAAGGCGACACGTCCGGTAGTGTTTCGTCTGTGCCGTCACCAGAGGAGCTACAAGCGCGATTTTTAGGCCTGCAGCAGCCTTGGGTGCCTCTGCGTAAGATTCACAAGGACTCACGGCTGCGCTTCCTCACGTGCGCCGAGATGCTCACACCGACACTCTGGGATGCTCCTTTTCTCACTTCGAGTGTTGTGATGAAGGCCACGGGCCGCCATCGCCTTTATGTGACACATCCAGATGCCTACATGCAAGACCGCCACGCCTACCGCTGTGGTTGGTCGTGGCAGCGACTGCGGCAGATCAGCGTCACAGCCGCCACCATGGCTCCAGGAAGCAGCAGCAGCAGTAAGGCGCCTGCTGTTGGAGCCGCTGATTCCTGCTGGTCCTGGGATAGTCGGCTTGACGAGCCGCCTTCCGCACCGCAATCGTCGCTGTCGTCGGTTCACCATCGGCCATCGCCGTCTCCCTTCAGCCGAGAGGGCACACCAACGGACGGGACCTTTGCCCGTCCTCGCAGCCGTACTCCTTCGCGTCTCGTTGCCGCTGCTAGCGCTAACTCGAATGCCGACAACGGTTTTTCTCGGTCTCACCGGTCGACAGGGACCTCGGGCTCCACACAATTCTTCGCGGCCGCGCAGTCTCCTCTCCCGACGGGCCCTTGGGCTGGATCGACAGCGCGTCGGTCGCCATCGCCCTTCCTCTTCTCGCTCGTTCCCCAGGTCGCCCAGACGGCCGCGTCATCGCAGCTGATGTCGTCGTCAACAAGAACCCGCCGGCCCGCACCAACCCGCACAGTCTCGATGACTGCACCACCATCACATAGTGGACATCCTGTGATCCCGGCAGGGAATCTCTCCTCACCAGCCACAGTCAGCAGGAAGCGGGGCCACTCCATTAGCGAACGCCACATATCGGCACCCCCATCACCACAACAGCCCCAGCAGCGCCATCGGCAGCACACGACCGTGTCTACCATGGCATACGACCGCCACCCTTCACCGCTTGCGTCAGCGAGCCGACCTAGCCCACGCTTGGCTCCGCTGCCGTCTCCTGTCACAAACACAAACACGGCAAACAGCGCGACCAACACTGTTGCTGCACCCAGCGTCTCAAAGCGTCGCCGTAGCACGCGCTCGCCCAGCGGCTTCTGGCCCCGGCATACACCGCAGCGTAGTATGAGCCGCAGTCCAAGCGTGATACCAGCCCAGGTGCCGATGTGGGTAGCTGATCACACGCGGGACGGAGCTCCATCAGCAGCCGAGCATGAGCGACTGAATCAGCAGCACGTGCCGTCTTATCAGCATGTTCGGGGGGCGACGCCGCTCTGCTATGCTACCCCACACAGTAACGCGCCGACCATGGACGTGCCGCTCCCCGCATCTCTTCGGCGCAGACAGGGGTCTACGTTTCAGGCTGAGGCCGAGCAGGTCGACAACGACGGCACCATCTGCGATGGTTATGACCACGATATGCTATGCGATGACAACGATGACTTCCCAATGACGCAAGACGACGAGGGCGATGGTGAGGATTACGATGGCAATGTATTCGAGGACGAGGCCGACGAGCTGGACGACATTGGCGACGTAGGCACAATCACGGACGGCTATTATAACCAATCGGGACAGCTGCCTCCGGAAGACCAGCCGTGGCCAGGCTTTGAGGACGACGAGGACGCGCACATGTCAGACAGCGAGAACATGAATCCATTTTCAGGCGAGGAGGGCAGCCAGGAGCAACAGCAACAACGATTAGGACCTGACGGGGACTCGCAGGCTACGTCACAGCAGAGCGACAGCAGCAGCCGGCCAAGCGAATACCCTAGCACGCACCCGGCGTGGCCGGTGGCAGCGGTGCCACCAACAACAGCAATAGCAGCAGCAGCAGCAGCAGCAAGCATAGAGACGAGCACTGATGCAGGGGCGAGGGGTGGGCAGCTGCAGGGTCGAGAGCAGCAGACTCGTAGACATTCGGGCCAGGGGATGTGGCACGATGGCGGACATCTGCAGCAGCGGCGGAACACGGACGCCGATTCAGGGATTGGGTTTGTGATTCACGAGGATACGGTTAATGGGCGGTAGGGGATTGATTATACGGATTTTGTTTTGTTTTGGATGGGGTGTTCGGGGCAATGATTTGCATTAGCAAGGGCGTTTTGGGTATCTTCAATAGTAGAGGGCTGAGTGGGTGTACATCGGGGCTTCTGCTCTTTGGAAAGATTTCCATTTGATCTACAATGGCGCTTTGTGGTGCTTAGGAAGAGGCTAGCAGACAGCAGGTAGCGACTGATACATTTCTGTTCACTCTTCCCTGTCAACCGGGGTGGATGATACGAGGTGATGTACGGAGTAAGGAGTAAGCAAATGGGTAAAGACGATGCCAGAAGGCGATGCTGAAGGTGTTTCCGGAAGACGATAATGGCGATTAGCGGCGGTAGCAGCGCACTGACCATTCTGCAGGGCCTAAAATACGAGTTCAACGGGGCGATCCACCTGGCCAATCCGAATTTGGGATCGGGTGGTGAAGATTTGCCCAAGTTCCCCGGTCGTTGTTGGCGGGACTCTTGGCGAATGGCATGCTGCGCCCGCAGGACTGGACCAGCCGAAGGCTTGGCAGACGCGCAGAGGACGGGCGCATACGACATGCGACGCTGGCAGCTGGCAGGATGGCCGTCTCGGCGAAATGCAGCGGCCTCTGGACGTTCTGTCCTCTGTCAGCTCTGGCCGACTGGCGTCTGATCGGACTGTTCTCTCAGTCCGATCGTATTGCAGACAGCACCAAGACCGGCGAGCACATATTGCCAGGGGCAGCCCATGGCAGCGGGCTGGCGACTGGTGGCAGAGCCATGACGGACGAGCTGGCAACCAATGCGATCTTTCCCCAGCCTATTTGCGGCGTACGACATGGCCACACACAAGACGGGCGATGATGCTGAGCTGTCGGACAGCGTGGAGATGGCAGCAGCAGCAGCAGCAGATGGACAGCAGCAGCGGACCTGGCGACAGCGGGTGTTGGCGGTGGTATGGGACTCTCTGGACAAACCGGCAGTGGAGCGGCGATTGGTAGCGAAGCTGGACTGGATTCTGCTGAGCTATGTTTGTTTGGCATACTTTGTCAAGTACCTGGACCAGACGAACGTGGCGAACGCGTACGTGTCGGGGATGAAGGAGGAGCTGGGGCTGGGCGGCAACGACCTGAACCTGCTGACGACAGTGTGGACGGCAGGCTACGTGGTCGGACAGGTGCCGTCGCAGCTGGTGATGACACGGGTTCCAGCACGGCTCTGGTTGCCGGCGCTGGAGCTGGGCTGGAGCGCGGGGACGGCGGCGGTGGCGGGAGCACGTGACCGGCACGTGATCTTAGGTTTGCGGTTTGTGATCGGGTTGCTGGAGGCGTCGGCGTACCCGGGCGTGATGACGCTGCTGGGAAGCTGGTACCGACCGGAGGAGCTTGCCAAGCGGGCCTGTCTGTTCCAGGCGTCGAGCAGCGTGGCCCAGATGGTGGGTGGCTACGTGCAGGCCGGCCTGTATGCGCATTTGGACGGCGCGAGAGGGCTGGCGGCCTGGCGCTGGCTCTTTGTGCTGGACGGGTTGCTGGGCCTTCCGGTGGCGCTGTACGGCTTTGTGGCCGTGCCGGACAGCCCGTCGACGACGCGGGCATACTGGCTGCGGCCGGCCGAGCGGGCGTGTGCCGTTGAGCGGATGGCTTTTCAGGGCAAGCGGCCAACCAGGGGGACTGGCACGAGCAGCCACGCTGCAGTCGCTCGCCAACCTCTTCCGCGAGTGGCCCGTCTACCTTTTCACGGCCTCGTTTGTGTGCTACATCCAGGCGACGCGCGTGTATGCGTACTTTGGGGTCTGGCTCAAGGCGACGCACCGCTTCAGCGTGGAGCAGGTCAACGAGATTCCGACGGCCGGCTTCGGTTTTCTGGTGGTCTGCACGCTGCTGGCGGCCTGGACCAGCGACGGACTGCAGGCACGATGGCCGGTTGTGGTGGCGCTCGCGTCGGTCTCGTTCGTCGGTGCGGTCGTGCTCGCGGTGTCGGTGCATCGGCCGGCCGACAGCCAGAATTGGGGGGCGGTCGTGGCCGGGTTTCTGCTGACGTACGTGACGACGGCATCGGCCGGCATCTACATGGCGTACATGAGCGAGGTGTTTGCCTACAACGGGCTGCACCGGGCCGTGGCCATTGCGCTCGCCGACACGGTGGCATACGTGTTTGTGGCCTGGCTGCCGCTTGTCGTCTTCGACGCGGCCGAGGCGCCGTACTTTGCCGTTGGCTACACGGTCACGGCCGTGTTCCTCGTGCTGCAGATCGGCACGATCCTGCTGGTGCCGGTGGCGCGACGGCGCTGGCCCGTGGGCCAATACGAGGAGGGCTGTGCAGACTCGGAGGCGGTGGTGGTGCATTCCAAGACGACTGTATAGTTGTGTTGGACCGTTCTGTGGATTGAGACTGTTAGACCGGTTCTGTATGTTAATACGGAGTAGACTTGCTTATTCCAATAACTTTTTCCATTCCTTTTTCCTTTCCTTTTTTCCTTTCTATCCTTCTTTCTTTCTTTCCTTCTTTCTTTCCTTCTTTCTTTCCTTCTTTCTCTCCTTCTTTCTCTCCTTCCTTCTTAGTTCCTTTCGGCTCCTTTTCAGCGGGTCCCCGCTGGTGCGACCACCTGGCGCCATTGCCAAAATGACAGGCGCATTGCTACAGGCCGTGCCTGCTGTATCCGGCAGCGGCGATTGCACTATTGCCATTGATGCGATCCTGTCGTCTTTCCCAAATCCTGGCTTCTTCCACTGTAAGACGTGTGGATCGAGACGGCAGAAGCCAAAGCACGCACGTGAACAGGACGCTGTCCGCTGCAGATCGAGAGGCAGCAGGATGGTGGGCGGTGGTCACACCTGTTCTGTCTGTTCTCTGCGCCTCTCTTTCTCGCCTCTCTCGCCTCTTTCTCCTCTCTCTCCTCCATCTCTCTTCATCTCCTCTCTTTCTTCTCCCCCTCTTTCCACCCCCCTCACCCCACAATGAACAAGGCCAACGCGGGCTCATTGGCATCGCTTCCGCGTGGAAAAAGCCACAGCCGATTCGCCGGTCGCTCTCGGCAGCCATATCCGGAGATGGCCACGACGACAAGGTCGGCCAGCCAGACGAACAGAGCACCCTCAACGGCACCAGCACGCGGCTGACTACGGCCATGTATGCCTGTCTGCGCTGCCGGCACTCGAAGAAGCGGTGCGACCGACAGCTGCCCATCTGCACAGCCTGTCATCGACTGGGCGCCAACTGCCACTTCCCGTCTCCGGCAGCCGGCAACGCCTCGCAGACGGCAGCGCTGCGGGCCCGCGTGCAGTGGCTGTCTGCCTTTGTCGACTCGCTGCTGCCGCCTGGCTCGGCTCCAGTGTCTTGCTACGACACCGGCATCGACCTGCATGCCGCCATCGGCATCGTCTCACGGCCGTCGCCACTGACGCCATCCGAAAGCAGCAGCACCACCTCGACCACTACGGCCATGGCTGCCGGCAGCAGCGGAAGCACAGCCACAACACCTGCCACACCACTAGCCTCAGCCTCAGCCTCTGCCACTTCATCTCTGATGGGCATCACCACAACTATCCCTCCGGCCAGCCGGCTGCCACCTCCACAGCTGCAGCTTCCGCTACCCCCGGCTCTGCAGCTCGCACTGTCGCCTCCACCGCCACCATCAGCACCAGCATCCGGCCCATCATCACGTTACTTGTTGGGCGAGACGTCGCCGCTGCTGCGTGCACCACCTCGGCCTCGGCTGCCGGCTGTGCGGACGTTTGCGCAGAACATTGGCGTGGACGGCATGGCGGCGGTGCGGTCATACTTCCGGCACATGCACCGGTCGTACCCGTTCCTGTACGAGGCGCAGATCGTCGAGGACGCGGGCTCGAGTGCCGGCCGAGCTCTGTACGCCGACGGTGGCGAGCTGACGCCAACGTTGGCTCGACTCTATCTAGTGATGGCAGTGGGCGTGGAGGCCGTGTGGCGATTCAACCGGCCGGCAGTGGACGCGCCGATCCCGGTGATCCCGGTGCCGTATCAAGACGTGGTGCAGTTGTGTCTGGGAGGCACGCGCAGCGTGGTGACGGTGGAGGTGCTGCTGCTGCTGGCGCTGTGTTCGCTATTCGAACCGGAACGTTGGTCGTCGCCGTGGACGTTGATGGGGATTCTGGCGCGCGAGGCCGTGATGCTGACGCTGAACCGGCGAGCCGAGCCAAACTCGCGATCGGGACCGGCTCCAGGCTCGAGCTCGGGGTTGACGCTGCAGGCGATGGGGTTTCGTCACCGACTGTTCTGGTGCATCTTCTCGCTGGACCGACTGGTGGCTGGCGTGTTTGGGCTGCCGCTGGCCGTGCAGGACTATGACGGCAATCTGCCGCTGCCAGGCGTCACGACCGAGGAGTTTGCCGCATCTGACCAGGCCCAACACATTGCCACGCTGCAGATTGCGCGCCAGGCCATTGCTCTGCGTCTCATCGAGGGCCGCTGTCTGGAGCTGGTGCACCTCAACAGCACCGGGGCGCAGACGAAGTTGCCGAGCATGCGGGAGCGCCGGGCTCTCGTCGACGAGCTCCGGGCCGCTGCCGACAACTGGTACACGCAGGGCTGTCTGCTGGCCCGACGTGAAGCCCGGGCTGCCCACTTCCATAATACCATCACCTGGCTCAACACCAACTACCACGGCATTCTGCTGATGCTCTACTGTCCGTCACTCTTCAACGACGGCGCTGCTGCTGTCCGGCCCGACGACCTGCTCGATCTGCACCGCACCCTGCGCATGTACACCCAGAGCGTGCACGCCCAGTATGCCGACCGCCAGCTGGCCCTCAACTGGACCACGCTCAGCCGCATGCTCGTCGTCTGTCGCATGCTGCTGCACTGCCACTTTGCCTGTTGTGGGGGCACCCCAGGTCCTGGGAGTCCTCGTCACGTCATCATCCTCGGTGAGCAGCTCGACATGGCCCTGCAGTGCCAGGAGTGCCTCTCGGCCTTTCACGTCTCGTGGGTCTATGCCCGCCAGAGCCGCCACGTCTACCATCGGCTGATTGCCGTCCTGCGTCGCCGTCTGCAGATCGAGGAGACTCGCGCCAGCCATGGACCACTGGGAGCACTGGGAGCACTGGACGGGCTGCCGGTCTCGTCCACGGAACCCAGTCCCGACGTTGACGATATCCACAACATCTGCGACGAGGCTGAGCGGCTGATCCGCGACGCTCTCGGCCGGTCCAGCTGCTACACCTACATGGAGGGCGAGCCGCGGCAGCGGGCGATGTGGAATGACGAATGATGCTACGAACTCGCTATGACAGACGAATGTAATTACTAGATATCAGCTTGCTGATCTAATCAAACGGTATTGGGTATGTCAAGTCGTGTGCTGTCACGTTTTTGCCAGCTTCTGGGCCTGTCGGCTCTTTTTCGGAGTTGTCATCTGCCAGACATTCTAATATCTGCCAACTGTTTGCAGCTGTTGCCAGCTGTTTGTGGCTCTTTCAGCCGCTGCCTTTTCGTCACTGTGTCTCTGCAGTGCCAGCTGTCTGCCAGCTGCCATCTTCGCCCTCACCATCACCGACCCACCTCCTCTACCTCACCACCACGTCTACCCCCTCATCTCCCCCTCACTCCTCTTCCCCTCCGTCCATGCGGACCCGTTGTAGCCCCGAAATTGTGCAGCCGCTCGCCGATCAAATACGCTTCGTCTCGGATTCGCACCCGCCACGACCCAAACACATCGACCATACCCCATAGCGACCAGACAGCCGCCGCGACCAAAGGCGACGATCGGGAAGCTCAAACGGTAGACCAGACTCGCGCCGACTGGCGTGGCGGCTGCCAGCACGGCGCCCAGCTCAGACGCAGCCACGACACGGGCCAGCAGCAACGGCACGCTAATGGCCGCCGTGCCCAACTGCAGCGCCCGCTTCACAAACGCCCGCGTCAACAGCTGCACGTCTGGGTCCAGCTGTCCACGACGAAGAACTGCTCGCACTGCCGCCGCCAGCCGCGTGCCATCGTGCCACGACGTCACTGTTCGCGCCGCCAGCTTAAGGTACAGCACTCCGAGCGTCCACGATTGCACCAGCCGCACCGTGTGGGCATGCGATTGCACGCTCGTGCTGCTGTTGTCGTCTCCTCCGTCTGATCCCATGTACGTGTGCAGCGGGATCAGCACGTAGAGCTCGACCAGCGCCGTCGCCAGTAGCGGAAACACGATCACCAGCACCGCATATGCGTATGTCAGCCGGAACGTCCACGTGACCGCAGCAGCCGTCTTGCGCACGGCTCGACTCGCTGTCAGGGCCGTCAGTCCACGTCGTGCTGCCGCCGTCGTCTTGGCCAGAAGAGCCCGCGCGTGCCATAGGCCGTAAGAGGCCGCTCCTAGCACGTAGATGCCGATGCTGAAGGCGTAGATGTCGTTGCTGCGGATGTGTGCCGGCAGCAACAGCTGGAAGACCCGTCGGCCAAACAGCAGCGGCACCACCGTGAAGGCCACGCCCGTGGCCGCGGCAAAGAGCCAGATGAAGGCGATGAACAGCAGCACACGCACGCGGAAGTGTGGCGGCACGTAGACGAAGCGGTAGTGCGGCGGCAAATACGCGTCTGCCACGGCTGTGGCTGTCGAGCCTGTCTTTCCTCGTTCGCTGACCACACCCTCGTCTTCGCTGACCTCGAGGAACACGGCCCGGCCTTTCGGGATCTTGACCTGGTCCGATGCCGGAGCCCGCACAAACCGGCCGTTGATGACCAGCTGTCCGGAGGCCACCAGGCGCTTCTTGCGATCGGCCAGCTCGCGCATTTCGATCTTGGTGATCTCAGATCGTGGCCGTGCGGTGCCACCGGCCAGCGTGTCTGTCCAGGTCTTGGGCACAACCTCGTCGCCCGCCTCAGCGTACTCCAGAAACAGGCGGCGCCACCAGGGAGCGCGGCGGTGTGGTGAGCCAGCCGCCAGCACCAAATCGCCCTCCTCGTCCAGTTTGCGCTCGCCGAAGAGAAACCAGGTGATGCGCAGGATGCGGGCCGACTTGCGGAACCACCAGGTGTACATGGCGTGCAGACCATCGCTTGGGCGGAAGAATCGAATGGCCAACGGCATCAGCGAGTTGTAAAACATCAGATCGATAGGAAACTCCAGCACCGGTTTGTCGGACGCGTAGTGGATGGGCAGCACGCCGGGAGCGGCTACGGCCAGTCCCCAGACCACGCCGCCAAGGCAGACGACGACGAGCGCTCCATACACAAACGCGGAAAACAGGATCTTGCGCAGCTGCGTCACCACGTTGCGCTCCAGCACGTCGCGGACGGGGTGGAACTCGGGGTCGTCGGGATCACGGATGAAAACTGATTAGTCAGCTTAGTCATCAAATTAAACCAGAAGGAACAGAACTCGACTCACACAATACCCCCCGGCGCATAATCTTCCGGCACATTGACACAAAGAGGGCAAAGTGGAACATGTAGCCGGTCCCGACGAACCAGTGGACAAAGACAGACGTCAGTGGATAGTTGAGCGCAAACTGTAGCCGCGACGACAATGTGGCCGCCTCACAGAGCGGGAACAGGGCCACACCCAGCAACGGCCCACGGTATAATGGAAAGGCCAGCATCCCGATGCCGATGATCCGGATTACCCTGCGCCCCCCACTGGCCCGGTTGAGGCCGTCGATCACGGACGCCTCCCACGCCTGACCTGTCGCCCCGCTCGAGAAGGGCGTGCCGCGGTAGAGATACAGCCCAGCCGCCAGGCAGAGCGTCGAGTAGCCCAGTCCAGTTGCCAGAAATCGATCGGCGCTGTTCCAAAAGGCCAGCGTGGCGTCCACTGCCGACCCGCCGCCTCGGTCGCCGTCCAGCGTGATCACCCACCATCCCGGCCGCACCATCCATCCCGGCACTGCCTGCACCACGCTCCACGTCATCATGACGGCCTGTTGCATCGTCTCGGCTGTCATCGCCAGCTTGTGGCCATAGTCACCCCCTCCCACAAATATGGCTGCTTGGCCGAGTGCTGCAGCTGCCGAGACTGCTTGGCCCTTGAGCGACAGCAGCGCCTCGTGGCTCACGGCCGAGAAGTTGCGCATCTCACCCGCCGACAGAATCGGAGGCTCTAGCGAGAAGCTGTTCACCACCCGCAGCGCACCTCCTGCACACATGTTCCATGCCGCAAACAGCGTTGATGCCAGGTGTCCCATCACTGTCGTCGGCCCCCGTTCCCCGGCCACCCACGCCCAGCCCGACACGACCACGTGCAGCGTGTAGAACACCGCAAATAGACAGCCGCCCAGAACAGCCGCTGCCACGTCCTGCAGCAGCCGTGACAGTCCGAACAGCATCATCACCGGCCGCATCGGGTTTGCCAGTAGCCACGCTGCCAGTCGTCCAATGTTGTATGGCACGAACACTCCCACAACCAGTGTCAGCGTCACCAGGAATGCGCAGAAGATGGCGTTTTGAAAGAGCGCCGTCACCGGCCCCCGCATCCCCAGAATCTCCATCAGTCCCTCCAGGTCCTCGGCGTCCTCGATCGCTTCCGCGTCCAGTCCGCCTGCTGCTGCCGCATCCAGCACCTCGCCGTCGCCTTCCAACGGCCCCATCATGTCGCCCGCCTCCAGCGCTTCGAACTGGCCCTCGTCCATCTCGAATCCCGCCTCTGGTCCGGCTGCTATCAGCTCCAGCGGGTCGATGTTTTCCAGGTCCCGCCACATGAAGTCTGCTGCTCGGTTGAGCCAGTTTGCCGGTCGAACTGCTGGAGGTGGTGCTTGTGGTGGTGTGGGTGCTGCAACTACTGGTACTGCCGCTGGTGCTGCCGCTTGTTCTGGGACTGGTGCTGCCACCATGGCCACCACTGCCTCTGCTTCTCTGTTCTCTTCTTGCGTCTGTCCGCCTTCATCAGCTGCCGCTCTCATCTCCTCCCCCGCCACCTCGGTCGAGCTCGGCGTCGGGTTGTTCTCCTCCTCGTCTGACGCGTCTTCCCAAGCCGCGTCGTCATCTTGGCCGTCGTTGCTCTCCCACACTTCCGACGGTGATAGTGCCGCTGCTCCTGCTTCTGCTGCCGACTCCGTCTCCGGGAACGACCAGGTGTTGTACGCGAGCGGGTTGAGGCCTCCTGTCCGCTGTGGGCCGTCTGTGTGAGCGCGCGGACGCAGTCCGCCGCTGCCGCCAAAAACGCTCGTGTCCGCCGCCGGCGCCTCGTCAACGGCCCTCTCCTTGCCCTTGTCGTAGGGCGTCTGGCCGTTGATGTCATCTCGACTGCTGATGCCGTCGTCCGTCCGATTTGAGGCCGACGGGCCCGCCACGCCACCAGACTCCTCGCCCCACGGCAACTTCTCTGACCAGGCCGCGTCCGCTGCATCTGTGCCGCTCTCTGGCACCGTCAAACTCATCTCCGCACCCGACCCCTCCCCTTCTGAGACGCCCTGCTCCGACTGTCTCTTCTTGTCCGCCACATGCTGTGTGAGCCGAAGCCAGAATTCCAGTCGGTCTTCCATGTGTTCTGCTCTCGCAATCCTTAGTATCTCGTCAGGATCACCTCCTGCCTCCCGGTATACCCGCAAGTATTCCTGCACTGTGGGAACTCCCTCCATCATGCTAGACATGCTAGGCATGTCCTGCAAATCTGCCACCGTAACTCTCGGCCGGTTGGTCTGTATCGATGTTGACGTTGCGTGATTCAAATCTTCTCCGGCGAGAGTGTGTATCGGTCCTGCCTGTGGCCTGGCCGGCAAGCTGTCTTCAGCTGCCGCTCGTTGTAGAGCTGCCCGGTTAGCCGTTGCAGGTATGGCCTGCGGCTCTGGCTCGACATGCGCCTCGTCCCCAAAGTTCGAGTTGGTGCCCATCTCCCAGTCCGTGGCATCGTCGTTGTCGTCTTCGTGCCTGTCCTCGTCGTCATGGTCGTCATGGTCGTCATGGTCATCATGGTCATCATCCCCGATCTGTCGGGCCAGAAGCGGTTCTGGCTCGTCGCCGGCTGCCGCTGCAAAGGCAGCGCGCATGTTGATCTCTGGCTGCTGCTGTACCACGTAGTCGCGCACGAGGATTACGAGCACGCAGCACACGATCACGAGAATCGTGATGATCTGGCCCTCCAGCGCGTATATAATCCCCCAGTTCACCGAGCTGTACCGTGTCAGCGACCGCAGAAAGCCCACTTCGCTCAGCAGCGACGGTGGCAGCGTGCCTGCAGCAGCGACGCCGCCTGTCCGGCTCAGGTTGGACGCCGCTGCCGAGGCAAACTCCCCGGGATTGACAAGGTCGAGCAGGAACCCAAAGACCGCCGAGAATTTGGACACGCCGGCCGCCATGTTCTCCCCGTACTGCGCCCGCAGCCACAGTGTCAGCAGCGACAGCCGTGCTGACGGCTGCTGCGGCTGCTGTGGTGGACGTGAACAACGGGCTCGACGGGCAGACGGCCGTGGACGCGCTAGCTGCGGCCGTGGCCAGGGCCGAGGCGTTGCGAAGGAATTCGTCGTCGCCAGCGAACATGGCGTGTGGCGAGATCAGGCCCTCCTCGCTGATCCAGAAGAAAAAGGACCACTCCCAGCGAGTCAGGTACGGCAGCCATCCCAGCCACACGCTAGCCACCAGGCCGATGCGCAGCCAGACCAGCACATTGCGCAGAAAGTATTTCGCCAGATGGCCGATGAAGACGAAGAGCGGAAGCTGTTTCGGCATCGTCGGTGAGTACAGCTTTGTGAAACGAAACGACGTCTTGCACAGCTCGCAGTGCTTCTTCTGCGAGTGCGAAAGCCACTCCATCAGACAGTCCTGATGCACGTACTTGATGCTGCCGCTACATTTGCACGGGTAGAAGAGCGGCTCGTCGGGCGTGGCTTCGCCCCTGCATATCCGGCAGGTGTCGGGCTCTGCGAATGCCGTGCCGTCGATGGCACGCGGCCTCGTTGACGATGCGGCCGAAGCACCGCTCAGCCGTCGCTGATGCCGCGACACGGCCGTGACGTCGTCTTCTGCATCCATCTCTGGAAGCGGGAGGTCGGACTGAGTGTGAGTGAGTGGGGTAGAGGTCAAAACGGGCTGTGTGTTCGAGTTCGGTATCGCCGGAGCGTATAAGATAGAGTCAAGGGCTCATGACAGAATCAAAGTCGTGTTGATGCGAGTGCTGAGGCACAAGATGGTCGTGTCTGGATTGATAGAGGTCAAGTCGGCGTCGTCGATGGTCTCGTCATCAAAAGAGCAAAGATTGATGGCCACCCGTAGCCCAAGGTCAGCTTTGGGAAGCACTGTTGTCGTTTCCGTTTATCTTTCTTGTAGGCAGACGTATCCACAGAGATGGCAGGCCGAAATGCAAGCTGCAGACTGAAAGACCCAGCTCTCCTTGGTGGGATTGCTTTTGTCTTGGGTCTGCAAGGTGGCGTTTCTCTGCTCAAGCCGTGCCTTCCCACGACCCTCTCATGCAAAATAGTGGATTGCCCCTTTGGGCCAGGAAGAGCGGCAGAATATTTTTCCGGATACCGGTCCCATTTATCACCTACAGCTCTTGGTGCTTGATATTTCCGGCTTGAGTCCGACGCCGGACTTCTGGCCAGCTGGCAGCTACTTACACGTGAAAATGAAGCTGGATACCGAATGGAAGTACCGCATCAACGTCGACGTGATTACAATCTACGGCGTTGGATCATTTTCCACGTCCTGTGAATAGCGCTAGGTACTTGTATGTGAGGCACTTACAAGTCAGCCACCCTTCTAGAGTGCGCATTAGTGCCAGCCTCGTCGTGCTGTGAGATAAGGATCGCGAGAAATGGCCTATCAGCTCGTCGACTCGCCAAAACAAGCGATACCGTTCCCCGACAGGACCAGCGCTGCTGAAACAGGCAGTCTCATCCCTGCATCAACGTGGCATCTAGCGGTGCCGAGCTGCGACAGCATCAAGGAACAGGGAAGCAAGATATCTGTATGCACTGTAGTTATTGGCTGTCACCACTCCCGTGCCAATGACGACTTCCTGCAGAAGTCCGCAGCTGAGAGCAGGACCTATGACGCTGGCGCGTTGCTCAGCCTTCGCTCCTAGTGCAAGAGCTATTTCTTCCATCTGATCATTGCCAGCTGATGGCCTCGGCGAAGCCTCCAAAATAGTAGACAGGCCTCCACATGTCCGTGACCTGTTTCGAAAAAGCGCTAAAAGACAAGCTTGTGAGACAAGGAGGTCGCGCGACCCCTCCAAACCTACCTGTACATACTCCGTAGTACCTGTAGACTAGTAGTGCTCATAGTATTATAGCTGCCTAGTTGCCAGCTAGTTGAGTGGCCAAGTTGTTTATATCGGCAGCCCCGGTTTATTTTTGCTTGAAGAGTACATAATAATCGGTGGTGTTCCGTAAGAAATCTCACGACGCAATCGTTACCCGTGGAGCATCCGCTCGCCTTCATCCCCAAGGCCCTCGTTGCCAGTTTCTCTCTACGACTTCTCTCCTTCCCCTTTTCGGCGTCAAACACTTCAATTTTGTCTAGATCTCGGCGAACACGCATTCGTCTCGCTCTCCCCTCGACCGCTCCTCGAGCTTGCTCGTCACGCTGCCATGGCGGCTAAAGACGATTTGAACGGGTCGTCCAAATTCGCAGAAAGTGCCGTTAACTTGATTTCGCGGAAAAGCAACGGCCAGACTCTGCCGTCGCGGCGCCAATCCATTCCCAAGAACCAGCCAAGTCTCATCGGCCGTCTCTTCAGCACAGCTGCAAGGTATGGCTGCTCTTTTTTGCTGTCAGTCCTTCTGCCATATCATTAACGACTTCTTCTCTGCAGACTCTTGACATGGTACTCCATTATCACCATTCTCTTCCGCTGTCCTGCGTCTCTCGACGCCTGCGACGAAGCATCGCCACGGATATGCAAGCCCTACTTTGAGGCCAAGCTGGCCGTTGAGCCCTTTGTTCGGCCGTACTACGATGTCTATGCGGCCCCGTACGTTGAAGTCGTCCGGCCCTATTACGACACGGTCGACCGCATGGTCATCGGGCCCGCCCGCCAGTATGCGGTCAAGTATGGCGCACCGCGGGCAGAGCAGCTGAAGCTGCTTACTCGGTCCCAATGGGATAAGAACGTCCAGCCGCAGCTGGCAAAGGCCCAGGGCGTTGCCGCAGAGAAGTACGCAGTGCTCCTTGGTCCTCACGTCGATGGAGCGGTTGCGGTTGTGCGTCCCTACGTCGCCATTGCTCGTCAAAGCGCTCTGCAGACGCACGAGGATGTTATCTTGCCCTCCTTCCGCTTTGTCGCCCCGTACGCGCTGCAGGGCTACGCAGCCGGCTCGTCATTTGTGACCGGAACTGCCGTGCCGACGGCTATCTGGACTTGGCGCAGGGTCGCCGCTTTTCTGGATGGTGCCGTTTGGCCACGGCTGCAGCTCCTCTACATCGACACCGTTGAGCCGCAGCTGGCCAAGATCGGACAGCGGCTCGGCCGCTACAGCGACAAAGGCCAGGGGACGAAGCAGAAGACATCGTGAGCATGAACAGCTGTTGTGGTGAGCGTTTGTTTTCATTGCAGTTAACCGTCTCCTTTGGCAGCATCCAGAGCATAGCCCCGTCCTCCTTCACGAAGCCGACGTCGCCCGGCAGTTCCTCCAAGACAACGGCATCGTCTGTGGTGGCCGAGGAGACCACAACCACGACCACGACAACAGATGCCGGGGTTTCATCCACTGGTCCAACTGCCACGCTGCCCCCTCCAGCTGTCACCGCGGCTGCCAAACTGCAATCCCATGCGCCCATCCAGCCGCCAGATGAGCCGGAGCAGGGTGAGAACGACGAGCGCCGGATCGCCCGCGAGACGGTGGCCGAGGACCTGCGGGCGTGGCAGGAGAAGTATGCCAAGGCAGCCGATGAGGGCGCAGCCGAGATCGAGCTGCGGGTCGAAGAGATCGCCACGCGCATGATCCGCCGGCAAGCGCGGATCACGGGCAAGTCGCTGGTGGTGCAGCTGGAGAAGGCAGTCGAGACGCAGCTGGCGCAGCTGCAGCAGGAAATTGTCGATGTGGTCGGCGCCGTAGCCGAGGTCAAGGCGGCGAAAGCTGAGGCCGATGAGCAGATCCTGGCAGCGGTGCGGCGGACGGGCGTGGAGATCAAGCAAAAGGCGCAGGCGGTGCGGTCGTGGCGCGACGAGTTCAGCAAGGAGCTCGAGCAGACGGTCAACCGGGCGGCCGAGAACCACTTCACCATCCTGGGGTCGATCCGTGACCTGGCGCTGCAGAAAATTGGCATGAAATGGGCCTGGATGGAGGGTGTGACATATCGCGACTGGGCCAAGTACCACCAACTGAAGGGCCGGTTCGACGAGTGGGAGAACGACCTGGAGCAGCTGATCGTCACGCACCCGGCGCTTGAGGAGGCCCAGAACGCCGCCCAGGCGGTCGAGGACGAGGCCATGCTCACGGCACAGTCAGCGGCCAAGGAGCCCGCCCGGCTCAAGCAAGTCGCCCCCGGGAAGGTCGCCGCGCTGGATGCCAGCGACAGCTTTGACAGCGACGCGACCAAGGCTGCTGCCGAGGCTGCCGAAGCCGCCGCGGTTGCTGGGGTTGCTGAGCCGGAGGCGGTTGCTGAAGCTGAGGCTGGGGCCGAGACAGTTGAGGCCGAGATTGTCGAGACAGATGATACAGAGACGTCGACTGCCACTACAGCCACTGAGACAGAGACACAGAGTGCCGAGGAAACTGTAGGCGTCTCGGAACCAATTGACGATGCAGACATCATCGACATCCCAGCCTCCTCGTCGGTAGCCCCGGCCTCCACGGTGTCTGCTGCAGAGGAGACGCCAACAGAGGTAGTGGAATTTGAGAAAACCCCTGCAGAGGAGGATGTCGTCGAGGCACCAGCGCCCACAGCTGAGGCGGGCAATCGGGAGGCCCCGGAAAGCGAGCTTCCTGTCGACAACACCCTCACGGCTGTTCTTGGGGACGTGACAATCCTGCCGGTGGCTGAGAGCTCCGATGCCGAGGCTGTGGCAGTGGAAACCGCTACTCCCGAGATCGAGGAGCCTGTCACATCTGCCGTTGAGGACGATGAGACAACAAACACCACGTCAAGCACTATGGCCGAGAACAGCACTGCTTCTACAGCCGCGCCGTCAGACATCCCCAGTGAACTGTGACGGACCCATGAATTACGCCCTCTCTTTTTGTTTTTTCTTGTTTTTACGAAGGCCGATTGTCGGCACGATACGTTGGATGTAAGAACGCCAAAATAAAAACTCTTGTTCGGGCCGTGTCGGATGCTGTCGGGAGATAAGACGAGCCATCGTGTTTTGGGAGGGTTGGTTACCTTTCCGTGGACCTCTTCTGTTCCTGTTTTACTTTTCCTGTATTATTCTACAGTTCATCTATACCCATGACGCCTCGGATACCAAGGAAGGACTGGTCAGCTTGCAGGAGGAATGTTGATTCGGTTCTCTCCTTTCTGACCTCGTCAGCACTCCCGCCCCATCCTATATGTATATAAAACAGCCTAATGTATACGGCCAACGGAACATGCTCGAAGCAAGGCGCGCGCATTGTCGAGAGCGGGGAGATGTGTGTGAATGGATGTCCGGGGATCACGGTACAGCGTCCCATCTGTGTCCTACGGCACCCGCGTCTTCAGCTGCACGCCGTGCCAGTCCTTCATCAGGTCGCCCAGCACCGCATTAACCATGCGCTGCTGCTTCAGCATGTTGGCGCCGCGGAACCTTTCCGAGCTGATCTCGATGCCGTACATAGATCCGCAGCCGCCAGAGATGTCACGCACGCTCAGCTCGACCGGCGTAAACGCCTCACACAGCAGATCCCACACCTTGGACTCGGCCTCGTCGAGGAAGTCCGGCTTTGGCGGCACGGCGGACGAGGAGGCCGTTGCGCTTTCGGCAGCAGACGAGGCAGCAGCAGAAAAGCGACGGTGGCCGGAAGTGAGCGATTGCAGGGCCGTCCATGAAGCAGGTCGGCTGGCTGTCTGCGTCTGTGTCTGTATCTGGAGCACCGCTGCACCACGTCCGCTGTAGGCTCGGGATGAAGGAAGCGCTGAAGCCAGCGGCGACAGCAGCCCGGATCGACGGCCGGAAAAATGGCGACCGGCCTGGCGACAGGCGTTGCAAATCATGGTAATGGCTCGTCAGATGTGTAAGGATGTCTGCTCGTTGGTTGTGCGTGTGCAATCGCCTGCACAGTGTCGTGACGTGGGAGCAATGAGCAAACCGTTACAGGCGATTTTTTTATTGTTTAGTCCCGATTTTGGGGTAACAAGCGGATGCGATCGCTTTACTGGGGTAAATCTCCCCTCGTTATCGGCCGGCCACTGAGTAATCAGCATTCGTCTTTCCGGCTATTCGCTATGCCTGCCATATATAGTATTACAAAACTCGCGGCAATTGGATCGCTATCAGCGAGGGTACAAGATTATATCCTGCCTAGACGTATTAATCAGCTTGTATCTTGTAATAATTTCACTTCCAAAAAGGGGTACGGAGAAAAGGGAGAAAACAGGAGGGCAAAAACTGACTGCCGAGTTCAACGAATGAAGATCAAGTTCAGCAACGAAGAATCACAACAGCTCAATCTCGGCAGGCCCGGAGGCAAAAAATGAAACCTCTCTCGCCGGGAATTGAACCCCGGGTCCCGGGCGTGACAAGCCCGTATACTGACCACTATACTACAAGAGATTGGAAAGAAGCTCCGACACGGGGAATCGAACCCCGAGCTGGTCGGTGAGAGCGACCGATGTTAGCCATTACACCATGTCGGATATGAAGCTGAAATTCAGCTAGTCGTTGGGAGTGAAAAAATGGGGCTCCATCGGCGGCCAGCCGGGGGACTTTTTTGACGACATTCAACGGAGTATCCGTACGGAGTACTGACAGCGCACTCGTACCCGCTTCTTCGTACTCGGATAAATGCGTTGGTTCCGACACTGACAACAAACGTCCGCATCGGGTAAGGCGATCTACCGGAGACCTATCTCGTTTTCGCTGGCAGTTGCCAATATTCAACAAAAAAAGCAAGATACCCCAACAATTAGCGCCGAAGCTTCCTTTTTACTTTCAGGGGTAGTTTTCCATCGTACGGCACGGATGTTGGCCGTGCCGGGCAGGCGCAGCTGTCAGCTCACCGCCCTGGGTCTCACGGCAGTAAAGTGCCGGCTTAGCTAAACTTGGAACTGCAAAATCCAGCGATGGTACAAAAGCGCGCCAGTTTGGGCGTTTCCTGCCTCTCTGCTTTGTCTTCCGTCCACGTCTCCGCGAACCCAACTTCCGTCGCGTGCCGTCTCCGAGCCCCCAATTGCCACCTGTCCACCCGGTCCACGCAGCCATGAAAGTTCTCGTCGTGCTCGGCGCCATCCTGGCAGCCCTGGCGTACGTTGTCGAGAAGAACCTGGACTCGTTCTACGTCTTCCAGCCGGAGCAACTGCACGAGCTGGCCAAGCAGGGCGTGGACAAGTTTGGCAACGACACGGCGGCGATCATCAGCTACGTGCACGGCGAGCTGCTCGGACAGGCATCCGTGTCCAAGTACGTTGCCCAGGAGCAACACTGGTTCTTCAACAATGCTGGCGGTGCCATGGGTGGCATGACCATCCTGCACGCCAGTGTGACCGAATACCTCATCTTCTTCGGCACCACGGTGGGCACTGAGGGCCACACCGGTCGCCACACGGCCGACGACTACTTCCACATCCTCCACGGCGAGCAGTGGGCCTACGTGCCCGGCGAGTTCGAGCCCGAGGTCTACGTCCCCGGCAGCGTGCACCATCTGCGCCGCGGAACCGTTAAGCAGTACCGCATGCCCGACAACTGCTTCGCGCTTGAGTACGCCCGTGGCTGGATTCCGCCCATGCTCTTTTTCGGCTTTGCCGACGGCCTGAGCAGCACCCTTGACTTTCCGACGCTTTGGACGACGACATGGCTGACCGGCAAGGAAATTGCTGGCAACCTGCTGCTGGGCAAATTTTAAGCGGCACTTGAAGGGTGGTGGAACGGAATGGGAAAAGTACATGTACAAGCCAAATGGGGTAATGCCGGGGATTCTATCGGCTTTCCATATCTGCTCGTGCGCTGGCCTTTGGCTGTACTCTCCTTCCGTACTGTCGGATATGCTCATATACGGGTAACACCAAGAATATAAACTTAAATGTCGTCTGTGGACTTGATATGGAGTATCACGAAGAATCAGTTGAGCAATGACTTGATACGGTTAAATCCGGGGCGATCAATTCAGGCCGTGCCAAGTGTACAGTGCAATCTGCGAATCAGTGAGACATGTGGGCCGCAACTGTTCAGCCTTGCTTTCCTCGCTCTGCTTAGTCATATTACCAAATCTCACCCGCAACTCACAAGTTCATCGAGGAACTCAGTAACCCGATAAAGCTTCAAGGGACCACACAATAAAAGAACATCCCGACGAGCACATGTCAGCGGACCAAGCTGGATCCGGCGACGAGGGTCTTCCAGCCGGCAGCAGCAGACAGCACAAAAGGTCGCGGGTGCTGCTAAGTTGTGCGCCCTGTCGAGTGTCGAAGCTGAAATGTGACCGATACACGCCGTGCGGGAACTGTCTCAAGAAGGGCCCGCACAGATCTCTGCACCTATGTACCGCGGCCGAAGAAGCCAGAGAGGCAGGCCACCAGCATGGCAGCACGACTGCGTCGTCTGGAAGGGATGCTGCGGGAAATGATTCCCGACGATGGCTCAGCAGCCATGTCCAGCTTTGGTGAGGCGCGCAATGTAGACCAGGCGGCCCGTGTCACGCTGGAGCAGAAGCTGGCTGCCGAGGGGATCACACTGGCAACAGCAGAAGAGGCATCGGCAGGAACAGGACCGGAAGTCGGTGCAAGACCGTCACAGACAGACAGCAAGCCGAGCAGGCTCGATGCAGGACGTGTGGTGATGGGTGAGCGGTCGACGACATACGTTGGGGCGACGCATTTCATGGCGATGCTCGACGATATCGAGGACCTGAAGAGCTACTTTGAAGATACGCAGAACGCCGAGGCCGAGACAGAGCCAGACGAGCCGCTGACGGACGAACTCGCCGGCATCGGTAATGCTGGGGACGAAACGAGTGAGGTCCAAGCACGATCTGCTGGCAGTGATGCCGGATCGAAGCGTGGTGGACCGGCTGATTGTGTGCTATTTTGGGTCCAACACGCCCTCGCTGTGTGAGTGTGCGATGTGGATTGCTGAGGGCTGATGGGCGTGAGTGAAAACGAAACAGCTGACGACAGACAGACACGGTGCACCGACCGACCTTTGCCAAGGAGTACAGCGCGTTCTGGCAGGATCCGTCAGCAGCCTCGGTCGACTGGCTGGGAGTGCTGTACGGGATCCTGGCGCTGGGGGTGCACTTTGCCTCACTGCAGGGGCCCGGGAGCACGGCACTGGAGGTCACGGCGATCTCGCTAAGCGAGCAGTTCCGGCTGTACCGATCGGCGACATCGTGGGCGCTGACGACGTCGCGGCTGGTGAGCCCGAGCCAGCAGACGATACAGGCGCTGCTCATGTACGAAGAGGCGGAATTCCTGGTTAACCGGGCCAGCCAGACTCATTGCTGGCTGTTGTCGGCCACGTGCATCCGGCTGATGCTCAACATGGGAATGCATCGCGACCCGAGCAAGCTGCCGACGATCTCGGCCTTTGACGGCGAGATGCGACGCCGGATGTGGAATCTGGCCATCCAGCTGGACCTGATCGTGTCGTTTCACATGGGTCTTCCGAGCATGATCCACGGCATCCCCAGCGACACCGGGCTGCCACACAATTTGCTGGACGAGGACTTTGGCGAGGACTGTGCCGTTTTGCCGCCATCGCGACCCGGCCACGAGTACACGCCGATGAGCTATCCGATCTTCAAGAGCATGGTCTGTCGCGTGTTCGGTCAGGTTGCCCGGCTGTCCCACACGCTCATCCCGCCATCGTATGCCGAGGTCATGCGCACCGACAGTTTGCTGCTCGACCGTTGGCGCCAGATCCCCTCCTTCATGAAGGTCTGCCCGCTCGCCGACGCTGTCTTCGACCCACCCTCGCTCATCATCCAGCGCTATGGCCTCGCCTCGCTCTTCCAGAAGAGCCGCTGCGTCCTGCACCGACCCTATCTCGCCGTCGCCGTCCCCCGTCCTGAACACGCCTACTCACGTCGCACTTGTCTGCAGGCTGCTCTCGAGCTGCTCGGCTACCACGAGGCCGTCGCCGAGGCCACTGCTCCCGGTGGCATCCTCAGCCACGTCGGTTGGTTCGTCACCGGCCTCGGCATGCACGACTTTCTGCTGGCCGCTATGATCGTCTACCTGGTCGTCCAGAACGACGCCCTATTCAAAGACGAGCTGATCATCTCCGACAGCGCCAGCGACTCGGCTTCTGAGCCTCAGTCGGCCTCCTCGTCCTCGCCGCCAGCCCTGCCGGCTGTCAGGAGCACGCTCGTCAACCTTCTCCTGCGCTCATACCGTCTCTGGGCCTCCCTGGCAACGAACCACTACGAGGTCCAAAAGGCGGCCGAGCTGCTCAGGATCATGGTCAACAAGATTGACGCCCACGTCGACTCGACCGGACATCCAACATCCACTGCTTTTGATACTGGCAGCTCCTGGCAGATGGGCATTGACGAATCCTCTATATCGAACGTCTCACTGGGCGATGGTAGGACTTCTCTCGCCAACGTATCTAAGCAGCTGCTAAAAAACAAGACAAGAACCCATAAGCATGCCGCCATCGGTCTCCTATGATCTCCCTTTCGACCTTTCCACGCCCGTCTTGAACCAAGACAGTATGCAGGCCAACTTCTCGCGCCAAGACTTGGTGCCCAACGTAGCGGCTGTCAACAATGACGGAGATCCGCCAGTGATGCCGGACATGTACGAGTCGTGGATCACCATGCCTCTCGAAACGCTCGACTGGGTACGTGTGCTGTCATCCTATTTATTGAAATTGGCCCATCTGACCCTCATGGCAGGACACCGTCGACAACGGGCTCCGGGCCAGCAGCAGCCACAGAAACGATTGGATCGACCAGTCGACATTAGACGACATCAACAGCATCTCTACTGGCCTGTGGGACCATCCGGATGGCGTGCTCCAAGGCCCCTAGTATTCATCGTCAATACACCTACGGAGTAGACAGACGACTGCCCGACGACATTGCTGCACGCAGCTCCGGGCAGCTCGGCCGGGCCAGAGGCAACACGCTGCCCTGGCTGCCTCGGAAATCACCTGATGCTTGCAGGCTCTGTCCAGCGACAGAACGCTATGGAAGCACGCCATACAGGACACCCACTCGATAGGTAAAAGAAAATCAGGAAAACGAAACGCGAAGAGCTACGCTATGCAAGAACATTCCCCAGGAAAATTCAGGGCAAAAAGAAAAAAGAAAAAGCTATAGCGCGAAGCTGGTCCCCAGACGGTCCCATCTCGATTTTCTTGTGGAGATTCTCTGCAGAGCAGGGGACGGCTCTGCAGCTAGCCAATAAAATAATGCTTAGCCGCTTATAAAACAAACATCTTCAGCCAAGAGCAAGAAATATGCAGCCCCTCTGATTTCTCCCCGCCTCAGAAGCTCGCCGAGGAAGGGTTGAGAATGGGCTGGCTGGCCGGCTGGACTCACACGACCGCGGAGATGCCTCTGCCAACTGCGAGCAGGATCAAGAACCAGTTCTTTCTAGTACGTAATCAGGGACGTAGGCCCGCTTTCACGGGTTTTTTTTTTTGCAATATTTACACGCTACTCTGGATGCTTTGGGCATCCTGTTTGTTGTTTCTCTTAGACAACGTGCGAGGCCTGGCCTATCACGAGTCCACGGCCGAGGGGAGACACGGGTGAATTCCTGGATCTTGCAACATCTCGGCGGCCAAGCAGAGCAATCCATAACGAAATCGAATCCACCGTGCGGGCCAGTCATAATGACACGTCCACCCCTCTGCCTTGGTGTTATGTACTTTGTATATTGTTACGGAGTATTGTCGCGGTTATTTCGACCGGTGAGGCTACCGATCGTCCCTGTATCATTTCGTCCCGTCTCGACAGGCGAACCAGCGGAACAAAAGCATCCCATCGATGCAAGTAGGCCGGAGTAAAATGTAGTTTGAAAGATCAATCTTCTTCTCCGTGACCTGTCAAATCAGAAGCAAGCCAGCTCGTTAGGGCAGGGGTGTGGCCCTAGCAAGCGCCTGTCTCCGTAGAGATAAGAACATCGAGCAGGTCTCTTGCCAGCAGTGTCTTTGGTGGCCGACGATATGACTGTCAGGTATTCCGTAAACATTTGGTCGTCCTGTCCCTCTGGGATTCGTTATCTCCTGGCGATATCGAAACGGGAATCTCGCAAATGGCTTTAAAACAGGCAACTACCCCCCTCCGCACCTTCTCTCTCGTCTGGCCTGTCTCATCGGCATCATCTCGGAGAGCCGAGTGATTTCCGCCGCCAACAAAGACAGTGTTATATCCTCAGCACGGCCCAGCTACCAGCACAACGTGTATGGATGGCCACCGAGTCAACGAGATGGGCAACCACCAGCTGACCAGGCTGGCAGTCATTTACCTAATCCAACCCCCCTCCTCCTCCCCTGTCCGATCCTATGTAGGTAGGGCTTCTGGAACACTTGCCTTCAACGGCAGCTGACTGTCCGTAATAAGCAAGTTGCTCGGCTACGGACGAAAACGGCAAGGGGACATAGGCTCCTGCACAGTGCTGACAAATTTCAAGCCGTTATGCGATGTCTTTTTGCAAGTGCAGTTGTCCCCGTAGTGGATCAAGTGATCTGACGCTTCCCTGTCTGAACTCTTAGGGCAAGCCTCTTCTCTCTCCATTCCAATTCCGTCCTGGGGGTGGTTTTTTAAATTTTGCCGCTGAAGAATTCCAACCAGCGTTGGTGAAAACGATTTTATTTTTCTTTGTCAATTCGGGTTCGTCATTTCTATGAGAAGACGCTGGATCTAGCCAATCACAATGCGCGCGCATGCACACGCCGGCCTTATCAGATTTGCCCTGAAAAAATCACATTCTTTCTCGATATCGAGACGGCTAAGGCCGTACTACGGAACAATGACCCAGACAGGCCATGTCGGTATCCTTATTATCTTACCTATCTCACTTTTCTCTCTGGGGCCGTTACCCCCTCCCCAGCTGCCAAGGTCTGGCGCTGGCCGGACCCTTCCACCGGTGTGCCTTTCGGTCCTGTGATCGTGCCCAGAGTAGGATCCAACACGCTATCCAGCTTTCCAGACCGAAGGCACCAAGACAACAAAGACGAGCTGGACAAGGGAGCTGGACAAGGAAAAGATAACGCCATTTGCCATCCGTGTGGCACATACACACTGCAGGAGGGCATTTTGCAAATAGGTGCCAAGTGCGCTGTCTTACCGACAATCGGGAGCGATACCAGTCACAAATATGCACGGGACATCCTGCCTATCTTTCGGCGTTTTTAGAGTTTTTTTCATTTTTCATTTTCATTTTCATTTAATCTTTTATCTTTGTCTGCTTCTTCTTTTTTTCCGGCTCTTCTCTCCTTCCCTATCCTCTTTCCCCCTATCCTGGCCCACCGGCTCTCGATCCCATTTTAGATCTATTGCCAAACGACTTGCTCCGTTTCCGGACTTCGTTGACCTCATTTCCACAAATCCTGTCGCCATCTGATACAGAACACGACTGCCCGCCTTTCCAGCAGCTCCGCCGGCAGCACCACTACCACCTACCCCAGAAAGGCAATAAGGGGGAAAGTCTTTCCAGAAAGAGAACAGAAACAGGCCACGCGGACAGGCGCATTTCGCTTAGCCGTACACTATCCTCCCCAACGTGCCTGGCCCGGCCAGCACAAAAGTCCAGTCCCACTCAAAGACCGCATCCACAAACTCGCACGATACTTGCTCGCCTTCGTCATTTTGTATGCCGGCGTCCCGGCCTCTTATCATTTTCTTCACCTCTTTATCGGCTTCTTGTCTCCGGCATCTGTCTTCCATCCTCCCTTTGGTGCAGTATATGCACTGGTCCACACTTTATATCACGACTGCCGCTCTCTTTCCACTATTGGCCACAGCCCATCAAGTCGATTAAGTCCAGCCTCGACCACCGCTTACTTGCAACTCAGGCAAGTCCACTCTGCCCTCTTCTCCACCACCCTCTCCCCTCACTCGTCCCAATCTTAGCACTTCGCCGGCAGCGTGTGGACCTGCCTTAACTGGCACACTCTTGATCCTGCCCATGCTGCTCATACAACTCATAACACTATTATGCTGTATACCGAGTACGACTGGACGCCTGCGCCTGCGGGAGCACTGTCTGCCTCACCTCACCATATTGCCATCAAGCCCTCATCCTGCTTCGTATCGTCATATGTGTGATCTTTAGCAAGCTCGTTCCGTTAGGGCCATCACTGTCACTATACTCCGTAGCTGTCCTGTTTTTCCTATCTGCACACCCTCTTTACATCCTCCGTCCGTCCCCTTCCGGCTACACTATGGTACCGTTACATGGCAGCTGCGAAGCTGCTCAGTAGCCTATCCATGCCACTATCCCTACCGCTCATCCTCTCGCCCCGCAGAGTCTACGAGTACGGAGTACTTTGTGTCTTTCCTACTCCCTTTCCCCCCCCCCCCAATCCCGTGTTCATTATGGACTAAAAAAATCTGAACAGACTCCACTAACATTATCCAGCACGTTTTCCTTAGGAGTGAAAGAGCATAGCACACCTTACTATCCCTCAGGGTTCGCGGTTTTACTGCTCCGCTGCTGGCAGGGTCGTGTAATTGCGACGAGAAATTTCCTATTTGCGCCATCCATTCTGTGTTGACGATATTCTTCCTTCCCTGACAACAAAGGCCCACAGACCTCCATCTGGGTCATTGGACGCACTTGTCTCCGCTACAACGGCATTTGCATTTGTCAATCTTTGCTCTTTTTCCTCTCGCCATTGGATTGCCCAAATCTCCTCTTCGCTCCTCGACACGCTGCACGCGTAGACCACACCACACCACCTCGACCCCTCGTATCGGTACAATTTTGCCCTGACAACCCTGCCTTCCTCCTCCCTCACACCGTTGAGGAGTATCATCTCAAACACAAAGGCGGTCACTTATAAAAGCCCCGAATGACCGGCGATTTTCGTGCGGAACTCGCCATTCGGCCAGCTCCGCTGAACATCAACAGAAAACCTGCCAACGGCATAAGCAGCCACAGCACAAACGGGATGTCGAACGGTACCTCGACAAACGGAATTTCGACAAACGGTACCCCGACAAACGGGGCCACCGGCGCGATCCCTATTGCCAACGGTGCCGCCAACCGCTTCCCAGGACACAAGCACGCTCGATCCTCCTACTCAGACTCGCCGTTCATCACCCGGAATAACTCCTTCACCTTCCGTCCTGCCAAGCGCTCCATGGCTACGCCAGCGAAGACTATTGCTGTTGTCAATGCAAGTGGCCGTCAGGCAGCCTCTCTGATCCGCTATGCAACCGCTGTTGGCTACCATGTCCGCGCGCAGATGCGGAATCGGCTCGGCGTCGTTGCTACCGAGGTAGCAACGAATGAGAATGTGACCGTTTTTGAGGGCGAGCTTTACACCCGCCTTCCCCGAACCGACTCGCAAAAAGCAAAAGGCAGTCTCTCGGACCATGTCGATGTTACCCGCGCTGACTCATCGCTTCCCGGCATTGGTGTAAATTACGACCTCATCCACGACATCTTTCGAGGTGCACAGCTCGCCTTCATCAACACTACCTTTTACGGAGACGAGGTGAAGATCGGCGAGGCTCTTGCTGATGCCGCCAAGAAGGCCGGCATTCAGCACTACGTCTATTCGTCCATGCCCGACCACCAAGCATACAATCCAGAGTGGCCATCTTTGCCACTGTGGGCAACAAAGCACCAGGTGGAGGAGTACATTCAAGAGATCGGGCTGCCTGCTACCTTCGTGTATACGGGCATCTACAACAACAATTTTACCTCCCTCAGCTACCCCCTGTTTTGCATGCACTTGCGGTCAGACGGCTCTTTCCTGTGGGAAGCGCCTTTCCACCCGGACGCAAAGCTGCCTTGGCTAGACGCTGAGCACGATGTTGGTCCTGCCATCCTTCAGGTTTTCAAGGACGGCGTGACCAAGTGGGGTGGTGGCAAGCGCATAGCTCTAGCTTACGAGATGCTGTCCCCCCGTGAGGCCTGCCAGCTCTTCGCCCGCGGTGTCGGGCGCCCTGTTCGCTACAAGCGCCGGCCGATCGAGCTGAAGGTTCCCATCCCCGATGGCTACAGGACCCAACTTAAGGCCCTTGAGCAGCTGTTCTTCTTTGGCGGCGAGGACCCAAAGAAGCAGCCACCTTACTTTGGTAGCCGGGAGCTCGAGGACGACGTGCCAAAGTTAGCTATGGAGCTGTGGGAGGGTCCTAGGGGCATCGAAGAGTATGCCCGCGAGGTGTTTCCTCTTGAGGAACAGGCCAACGGGCTTACCTGGATGTTTGACGAGGAAGATGATACTGAAGACAACGACCATAATGCCATAGGTCCTGGCGGCATTCCGCCTAGCAGTTTGGACACTAGCCAGAGCGTAGGATATGATGGCGACATCAACGACAACGACACCAACGACAACGAGGACGATGAAGACGAGGACGGATTAGTGATGCGTGTCACCGCTCGGGATGACGAAGAGTGGTTGCCATAGTGTGGCTAACCATGACGACCACTGCCCATCTTGACTGTCGACAAGATACTCTGAATTGTTACTGCGGCACGCGTTTGCACCATCGATGCTTTTCCCTCGGTTGCTCAGATTGCGATTTGCAGAGAGTTTGGTCGTTACATTTCCTGTGCTCTTTGAGATTTCAAAACATACATTGCATTATGATACCGGAGCGTGTACAGCGAGTCAAAAAAAAGGAGGAAAGATTCGAAAGGAGGGATGGATGGTGGAGGATCGGGTTTTGCAAAAATGGGTTAATAGGACCTCATTGTTCCGCATATCTTCAGGTATAGGCATGATACTGGTACGGCGGCTTTCGGTTCATTTTTTTACTTTTATCTTACTTGGTGGCTGTTCATTGTAAACTGTTCATTGGTGCGGCGTTTGGGGAAAGATGGCGGATCTTTTTGCTTGGGCAACACCGAATTCACACAAAATGGGGTTAAGGACCAGAACGGAGACAGGCCCAAGCGAACAAAAGACAAGACAATCTCAGCCAGAAAACTTGTGCAATTATCTTTAACTATGTCGTGAGCTTCTCATCGCGCAGATTCAGCATCTTCTTCTAACGAATGCTATCATGAAAAGGGGTGCCATCCCAGGCGACCCCACATGCGCCTCCATTCCCAGCTCTGAATCTGGACCTATTCCTTACTCCACCTCTATTAGACCGGATGATCCCCACCCACACATGCCTTCTTTTGACCTCAAGTGGCAGAACGGCTTTTGCTGTCTCGACAGTTAACAGGAGGCTTGGGCAATGTCTCCGATGCCACCCCCCAAACCACGAGGATGTTCTCTACAGCTTGCATGAGTTATTGCAGGAAGCTGCGGGAGTGTGCCCCGTCCTTTGAATTTCCAAAAGCAGTATAGTCTCTCAAGCAGAAAGCGAGACTGCTCGGCAATATAGTGTGCCGTCGTCTGCAGGGCGATACAAAGGAATGAAAAGAGCATACAATCTTTGTTGCGCTCTCTGACGCTCTCTGATCATGCTCTACGACACTGGTGCGTCGGGGAGGCCTTCGATGACGTATTTGCCGCGAGCCACGCTCATAATTTCTAACAAGCAAGGTCAGTTAAGGCGTTTAAAACGCAATCGAGGCGGGGAGAGAAAAACGTACGGTACACCAGGAACCTTGCGAATACGCCGCTTTAGGTCGCGATCGTTGGTAGCCACAATGTACTGCTCTATTTTAGGATATAACGGGTTTGGTCGGAGAAATTTAAAAGTTGGAAAAAAAATACAACGCTGAGATAAATTAGCATTGGCACGAAGAAAAAAAAAAGGACGGGAAGGCCTATTAGACGTACCGATGCCGAACAATTCTGTCAAATATGCAATCATCCGCATAGACACTGGCGTACGAGTTAGTGCAAGTTGACCTTTAACGACACGAGCCAACTGCAAGACAGTAGTAGAGCAAAGAAAGCAAGAAATGAATCATACCCCTTGTGTGTGCAGGTGGCACGTTCCCAGCGCTCGTCACGGGCAATCTTGAGAGCGATGCGGTACTTGGGACCTAGCTTTTCGAGCTCAGCCATGAAACAGTCGGTCAGAATAGGTCGGCAGGTGGCGTAGAGGCAGTCCATCTGGAGTGGCATGTGTCAGTTATACGGATGGCCTCGGAAGCACCATTGGGGAGCAGGAGGCGCACCCTTGTTTCCAATAGAGGCAGCTTGCGCTGGACGGTGTGGGAGAGGAAATTCTGGAGCCAGAGGTCAGCAAGTGTCGGCACTTTGAGAGATCTGAGCAAAGGATACGTAGGAGACAAACCGTGTCGACGAGAACTTGGTATGGCGGAACCATGGCCGTGTTGGCCATGTGGAAGAGCGAGACGGACTGTTGTGGGCTGTGACGACAGTTAGCACCGGTTGGCCAAGAGTCAAACATCTGCGTATCGGCTGTCTGTTGCGTACATTTCTCGGACCAGTTCTGGGGTCTCCTCAGACTCCTTCTTCTTGTTGCCGAGCTCGGCCTTGTCCTTGTTCTTCTTCAGGCGAGCATCTCTCTGGCCGATGACGCGCTTCACCTGTCGTGAGGAAGGAATGTCAGAAAATGGATCTTCTCTCTCTGCGAGCCACGGGAGACAGCAACTGACCTGGCCAAACTTTCTTGTCGTCTTTGCGACACCCATTTTGAACGATTCTAGCGGGATTCTGCAGGAGGACTTGGTCAAAGTGACGAGACGAGTGATGGATTGAGGAATCTTAATTTTTTTGAACGCGATAAGGTCTTATCGCACAATCTTATCGCACAGGATTAGTGGGCGCTTTTGGTTATGTGCACAAGTCCGTATTCTCAGATCACTATGCCAACTCTGTGCACGGTGCCCACAGTCTCGCACCGTTTCGAGGCGTCCGTTTTTGTGCAGGATACTTTTAATTTTCCAATACGAATTTGTTTTCCGGGAGCCACTACGTCGTATAGCTAGCACCGTGCGGGCAAGCCTTAGACGTGCAACCTAACGCACGTTTCCAGCTATAAACTGGGGCAGATGCAATGCAAGAAATGATAGGCAGGGCAAAGGGAAGGAAGTCGCGTTCTACGGAGTAAGATACCTATACGAGGTCCGGCCTCGTGCTCTGTAGCAGTAACAAATATAGCAATACGAAAATCTTACTGCAGTCAGTTCGCTCTAAATGGCCACAGCTCGCAAGGTAACCAGGGTAATCCAGAGCTAAGACGGACACGAGGTTTAACCTTACAGCAAGTCGCCTTTTCCGTGCCTTCTTGTGCTCAGCCAATGCACAACTGGCAGGGTTGCCCCGGCATTTTCCCACCACAACATCGAACTTGTCCCCTCGACTCCTCCGTACGTCACATGAATTCCATCCTCCCGTGATATTCTTTTTCTCAAGCGCATTGTCTCGTTCCTTGTCGTCATCCGCTCCTCTAGTCAAACGGCCCTTCAGTTTCGTCTCTGGAGAGCCGTCGCGATATACATTTCAGCATTTCAATCAGCATTTTTTGGAGTAATCTCGTTTTACTCGAATTGCCGTTGTTTTATTTCCCTCGTCGACGGCCTGCAAGATCGTCCTCTTCGACTTACGATAACCCAGCCCAGCATTGTTTTACGACATCACCATCCTACGACTGCTTGCATTCTATCGACGAAGATGGCGCGGCTACGCCACTCGTTCAAGCGAACGCTTCTCCTCTCAGCCTTGGCGGCCGTCTCCCTGGTCTCTGCCGTCGATGCGACTACGTCAGCGACCACATCGGCAACCACGTCGGCGGTCCAGTCCAGCCAGGCGAAAAGCACAGCCACAGGCGCAACGACAGCGGCGATCACGACGGCAACCGGCTCCGACACAGAGAATGTCGAGACAGACGCGGACACAGCCACGACAGCTACGACAGCCATGACAGCCACGACCAAAACAAGCACGACGTCGGCGTCGATGCCAACGCTCACATCCTCTTCGGCCAGCGGCACGGCCGTGTCGTCATATCCAGCCGCTAGTGTGCCACCGACAGCAAACGCGCCCTTTATGAGACAGTCGTCGCTGCCGGACGGCACCGTGTTTATCGCCGTGGGCTCGATCCTGGGCGGCCTAGGCCTGGCCGTGCTCATCTGGCGGGCGATCGTGGGCTACATGCTGCACCGCTCGATCGCCCGGGCCGCCATGGATCAGCACTCCTCCAGCGACAAGTCGTCCTTTCTGCCTCCGCCGGCAGCCTTTTACAAGTACTCGGATCGCGACTCGACGCTGAATCTCGCAAGCGGACGAGTCCGGGGCGGCGGCAGTGGCCGCGGCCACCAAGGCAGCAGCAGCGTGTCAGGCATCGCAGGACGCGGTGTGCGCCGTTCCCAGCGCGGCCCAACGCCATCAGCCACGCCGTCGCAGACGAATCTCTTCTTCTCACCCACGGCGCCCAGCGGCACCGGGCACAACAATGCCGCCGCCACTGCCGCCAGCAACCGCGACTCCCGTCTGCTGCCGTCCGGCTTCTATGCTGCTGGCAACGGCGGCTCGCCCAACGCGAACGGCAACGACTACGGCCACGGCGGGTCCACGTCCATCAGCATGTCCAACCTCCGCTCGGACTCGCACGGCCACGGCCGCGCAGTCGGGCCCAGTCCGCCTGACTCGCCTGCCTTTGGCGCGCAGTCCATGATGGGCAACCAGAACGTGAGCGGTAGCTCCCTCAACCTGTCTGGCTTGAATGGACCTGTCGGCGGCCGCGCTCCCAGTGCCTTCCTCGACGAACTTCTGGACGAGAATCCAGACCTGTTCCCACCGACCAGCCAGCAACCACATCACCGCTCATACAGCCACTCCAGCCAGGGACGGATCTAGTGCGCATTCTGAGCCAAACGTGCATGTGTGCTTGTGTATGGGACTTGTTGGCGGCTCTCCTCGACCCTCTTCCGACTTTGTCCTCTTTTTCTCGCAGTCTTATTTCTTCCTGTCTGGTTTAAAACGGTTTGGCATAATTTAGCAGCATACACGGTGTCACTATGAGCACGACAGACTCGGACGCTTGATTTACACTTGCACCAGGGGGCAAGCATCGTTTTTTGTATTCTTTACTGTTTCCGCTCATCATAGCAGAGCGCCACATGAATTGTAATTTCACCTAGCCATTGGATACGTGCCCCATACAAACTGCGCAGCTCTCGGTCGGCTCATCGGGGCCTTCATCTCTCCTGCTGTGTCTTCAGCTGAGAGCTGGTTCTGTTATTGGCTGGCGCCCTTTTCTGCTGTGAGAAGCAGGGGTTTGGTTTTACGTGTTGCACGGCAGCAGCGCCCGTCGTGCCTTCCTCCCCTGTCTCGAGTCCAGCCCATGTCTCTCCTTGCTCTCCCCGCGAGAGTCATTTCTAGACAATTCGGCTGTCCTTTTCCACAATCAGCTTATCAAAACCATCTTCAAGATTCACAACCATCGTGGAAGCGCGCACCCATCAACATGTGAGAAATTGTTTGCGTGTCTAGATTATGGCATCGTTGCTTTGTGACCGACTGACTGATTAGACGATCGAATATGCCAACATATGTCCTGGATATCTCCTCGGCACAAGATCATGGGCTTCAGATCGACAGATCCTTCTGCTTGCCCTCTTGGCTAGCCACATAGCTGTCCAGCTTGCCCTGGGCCTGTCGGATGTCTTCTTCTCGAATCCGCTCCGCTCGCACATGCTCCGAAAGATGCCGCCCTCCTTCTGCCACAACACCAATGGGCTGTCCAATTCAGCAATGCGACCCTGGTCCATCACACAGATGCGATCATACCCCACGATTGTCCGCAGGCGGTGGGCAATGTACCGTAGCCTGTTGCCCCGGAAGCCAGACGCAATCGTCTGCTGGATCTTGTCGTCTGTCTCCATGTCGACCGACGATGTCGCCTCGTCACACACAATAATCTGACTTCCGCGCACCAGCGCACGGCCCAAAGCCATCAGTTGCCGCTGGCCGAGCGAGAAGTTCAGGCCGTCCTCCTCGACCACGCTGTCTAGCTGGATGCGCCCCGCGTCTCGCGTCTCGCCACCACTTCCAGGCTCGTTGATATCTGCTGTTGCCTGCTCCGCCGCTTCGTCTGAGACAAGATCGGCCTGACGAAGTGCCTCCCAGAGCTCCAGATCGGTGTGCTCGTTGAACGGGTCAAGATTGCTCCGAACTGTGCCCCGGAACAGCGTTGGGTCCTGTGGGATGATGGCCAAGCGCGATCGCAGGTCACTCAGCCCGATGGTCGATATGTCGATGCCATCAATCGTGATGTGGCCACCCGATATCTCCACCAGCCGGAAGAGCGTCGACATGATGCTCGACTTGCCTCCTCCCCCCCTGCCGACGATGCCGATTCGCTCGCCACCCTGCACATGCATGCTCAGGCCCTGAAGCACAAGCGGCAGACCTGCACGGTAGCGCATCTTGACGTCGTCGAACACGATCTCGCCCTTCTCTGGCCAGCTCTTCCGCACCTCGACGGTGTGTGCCGGCGCCTCCTCTTCGAGCTCGCGGCCATAATACTGCAGCCGCTCAACTGCGTTCATGCCGTTTTCCACCTCGGCCAGCTGGCGCACCGTAAATTGAATCATCTGCACAATGGCCAAAATGTACGACAACACCAGACCGGCAATGGACGGTGATACGTTGAAGCGCGAGGTGACGACAAGGATGCCCACAATGAACACAAGAATGTTGCCAATGGCATCGAGCCGCAAAGACAGCCACCGCTGGTTGCTAAAGGTCAGGTAGTAGGCTCTGTTCATGTCGTCGATAGCTTCGTGGAGGCCGGCTACAAACCGGTCGCGCAGACCATACGCCCGGATGCTGGAAACACCGCTCAGTCCCTCGCCAAACTTGGCAAATACGTGTGAGCGCAGCACGGACTCATAACGCTTAATGTCGCGCGCCGATTGCCGGTAGTAGGACGTGGCCAGGAGGAAGATGATGAACAGCGGACCCAGGGCAATGGCAAAGTAATGGAAGTATGCAATGATGAGCGCAAAGACGGCAATGATGTTGCCGACGCTGAAAAAATAGATGCGGATGGCATCGGTCAGCGAGTTGTCCATCACGTCGACGTCTCGGCTGAAGCGGTTCGTGATGCGGCCGAGCGGCGTCGTGTCGAAGAAGGACATGGGCGCACGCAGCACCCGCGTGATGGCTCGCCGCAGCATGGCCTTGGAGGCTGCCGTACCACAGATGGACATGGACACCGTGAAAAGGAAAAAACCAAGCTCCCCTGAGCGGCGCCGAGAGCGGCATAGATTCCGATGTACGCCCCCGTCGAGAGATCGAACTTGCGCGACGTCCAGTACGAGAGCCAAAGCGACGTCGTAATGTTGGATCCCTGTGCGAGAATAAGCAGAATGAATACGAGGAGACCGTTGAAAATCGAGCCGGACTCGCGAAGATAGTCGGTATAGGCCGACCAGGGCACACTGGCCACGGCTCGCTCTTCTTGCTGCATGAGGCCCTTGGACTTTGACTTCTTCTTGGTATCCGCATGGGCCTCTTTGGTCGCAGGCGCCGGGGCAGACTCGTCTTCATCTTCGACAGCCGTCGACTCCATCATCTGCTGGAAGCCTGCGTGGTCGCGCATCAGATTGGGGAACGTGTCGACGGCCTGGATCTTTCCGCCCTCCATCCAGATGATGCGGTCGCAGCGGTTGAGAACCCACAGCTGGTGCGTGGCCAGGATCCGACACTTGTCCTTGACCATGCCGAGAATGGCGTTGTCGAAAATGTGTCGTCCCACGTGTGCGTCCACGGCGCTGAGCGGATCGTCCATGAGAACGATGTCGGCGTTGAAGTAGATGGCCCGCGCAATGTTCAGCCGCTGCTTCTGTCCGCCTGAGATGGTAATGCCGCGCTCACCAATCTCGGTGGCATCTCCAGACGGTAGCATGTCGAGATCCGGTTGAAGCGCACATCTGCGAGGGTCAAATCAGCACTACTTCACGGACAGGGAGACGAGAGTTTGCACTTACGCCTTGATAACCTCGCGGTAGCGGTTCTCGTCCATGTCTTTGCCGAAAATGATGTTATTGCGCAAAGTGGTGTTCTGGATCCAGGCATACTGCGGACAAAAAGCACGGGTGCCTCCGAGAACAACGCTGCCCTTGGTCTTGCGCATGTCGCCGGCCAGCGCGGCCAACAGCGATGTCTTTCCGCTACCGACCGACCCGATGACGGCAACGAGCTCGCTGCGGCCAATGGTGAAGTCGAGGTCGTGGAGCTTGAACGGCTCCCGCTCTTCGACCAGAGTGCTGGCCGTGTCGCCGGCATTGCCGTCCGAGAGAGGCAGTACCGTCTCTGTGGCAGGCTGCTTGGTGGCCTCCTTCTTGGGGGACTTCTTGCCACCTGCATCGTCTGTCTCTTGCGTCGGCGTTCGTTCCCATGTGAAGCTGGCATCGTGCACTTCGACGGTGTTGGGGCCGTCGGTGTTCCACTCGGCCTCGTCTTCCCGCTCCTCGGCCAGCAGATATTCCTGAATTCGCTTCAGCGAGTTCCAAGCGTCAGTCACTTGGCCAAGGACGAGCGGCAGCAGATTGAGCGGCATGCGCAGACCGTTGAACAAGGCCAGCGACGAGAAGACGCTGGCAGGGTCCAGGCCGTGTTGGGTCAGTGAGTAGGTGATGAAGGCGAGCATAGAAGCAAAGATGGGAAGGGCGAGACTGATGGCCATGATGGCATTGCGGATGGAGAGCAGCACCTGAATCATCCTGATCTCAGTGGCACGGTATTCTTCCAGGCGAGCGAGAAAGGAGCTCTCCCAGCCGAAATTCTTGACGAAGCGAACAGACGAGAGGATCTCCTGGGTGAGAGAGACGCGCTGGTCGGTGACGCGGTTGATCTGCTTGCGGCGCACGAAGAGACTTCTCATGGCCCGAGTGAGCAGCGGGATGCCGACGATGAGAAGGCCAAAGCCAGCCAGCGCAGAGTAGGTCAGGTTGACCAGGAGGAGGGCAAGTGTGATGAGGCAAGAGAGGGGGGCGGCCCAGATGATGTGGAACAGACCGCAGGCCTGGTCTACGCGATAGGTGTCGACGCCCATCAGATTGACGACGCGTCCGTTGCCCCATCCGACACCGTCGACAGACACGGCCAGAGCGCTCTCTTTGTCCTTGGTCCTTGGCTTGTCGCCTTTCTCGCCGTTGGTCCTGTCTTCAGCCTTGACGGGTTCGGTCTTTTCACCCGGAGCGACACCGCCAGCCTTGGCACGGGCGGAAATCACCATGCTCTTCTCATAGATCAGGTTGATCAGGGTAGCGCGAACCTGGCCACCGATCATCATGCCGCGGAAGATGAAGTGGTTCGTGCCCAGGCTCTGGCAGATCTGCATGATGGTGATGCCGAAGACGAGGCCGATGCCGTGGCCGATGTGCGGAGCCGGACCTCCGTCATGGTTTGCCCTGTAAGCCTTGGTGGCGAACTTGATGAGGTAGCGCAGGATGAAGGGAGAGAGGACCTGGAAGATGGTGGAGGACAACTGGAAGAGGCCGCCCAGCCAAAACTCGACGAAAAAGGCCTCGTTCAGGGCCCAGAGGAGGGGATGCTTGTCGCCGTTGGCCACACGACGCTTGAACGACTCGCGGACACGTTCAGACATGGGCTTGACCGCACGGTTGTGATTCACCAGCCAGATGTCGTTCTTCTCGAGGGGACGTTTGTATCCAACCTAGGCACATCAGGTCAGCACGAGACCTGCACGATCAGGATCGGAGGTCGGTCCAGCCAACTCACCCGCATCATGCTGGCCTGCCAGTGGAAGCTTAGGCGGCTGAAGAAGGTGGCCGTGGCCTCGGGACATTCGACCCGTTCGGCGGGAACAGGTGGCACGGAGCCCCAGCGCAGGGGATTGATCTTTCTGATCCAGGACGGCGGCATCGTCTCGGGGGCCGATGTAGCGGCACTGGCTGCACTGGCATCGGTGGCAGCGCTCCGGGTTCGATCCAGCTCCTGACGCTGCATTGTCTGCTCGCGGCTGACCTCCTCGTCGTCCAGGTCGGAATTCTGCTCCATGGCGCCGACGACGACCTCTTTTTCGCCCATGACGTCTTCTCCCGTGCTGGGCAGGACAGCCTTGGCAATGGGGTCGGGGCTCTCGTTCATCTCGACCTCGTGCTCCCTTTCGTCTTCATAATCGCGGTCGTCTGCCATGGCCACTGTCTGCAGAGAGAGCTGGCACAAGCAAGCACAAGCAAGGTCAGTCAATGCTACGCTCTGTCCGTACAGACGGTGTCGGTCGACACTGCTGGAACCAACAAAAAGCCAGCAAAAGCCAGCAAGACAAGAAGATACGACGGGCAGATACGACGGGCCGTTAATTGGGGCTGCCGCTACGGGTGTCGCAACTTATATGTAGCTTAATTTTTTTGGTGTGATATCTAGGGATGGCACTTAAACCCGATGTAGCCATTTGTCACCGGACACGGCGATTTGGTTGCCGAAAGGCGCAGGCGGAGCCGACAGGCAGACACGCGAATGGGTATTGCCGATTTGCCCCCCTCCCGCAGCTAACGTGGTCCCTGGAATAAGTCTTTTTCGGTGAGCAAAAAGTGTGGACAGGTTGACAGGCTCAGAAAAAGAACGTGTGTCAATCTGCCAGCCAAGAGGCCAAGCTTTCGGCATGGGGAATGCAAAGTTAGAAAAGGTACGGAGTACGGAGGACTAGGGGCAGACAGCTGGACTTGGACAGAGACTTGGCAGCACGTGGTTCAAAGGACTTTAGGGTAATCTCCGACTTCCGCGCCCTGTTTCTGTGCCGGGATCATAGAGCCGTCGTGCTGACTCTGCAGGTTGCAATAGTGATGGCACACCGCTGAAAGAGTAAAGTGGAGGATAAAGCTAGCTTACTGATATGTATGTACGGTGTCGAGGTGGAGGTCGTTGCTGCCTTCCCGAACGGCAGATGTGGGTCTCTCCTTTCCGGGCTGCACCATTATAGGAAGGCGACAGCCAGCAGTCTGCCACCAGCTTACAAATACATCATACACAGGCCCAATGGTCCAGGCCTACGACCAAAGCAGGACATATGCCAATCAGGACCGAGCCTTATCTGCCCATTTCCTCTATGTACCTAGCCGTGTGTGTGATTCCTTACAAAGCAGCATGACAAGTGTCTGAAAACCCAAGCTGCACCAACCGAACAGATAATAAGACATCTGGAAGCCGGCCATGCCCAGAGACAAGGGCATGGCAGCAGCACTATCAAGAAACAAAAAGACAGGACAGTAGAAGCAAGTAGTAAAATAGAAAAGGAAAGAAGAAAGAAGAAAGAAGAAAGAGAAACAGGTTCCCGAAAGATTCCCGAAGGAGAATTTGGCAAAACAAACAGACTTTCAATCCGAGTCGCTCTCTCTGTCGCCCATTCCCAGCAGCGTCTTATCCACGTCGTTGAGCTCCTCGTCGGTGTTGCTGTTGGTTGTCGCCGCCGCTGCTGCTGTAGATGAGGATGCTGTCGCTGTTGCTGTTGCAGCTGCTGTTACTGCTGCCACGTCCTCGGCAATCTCGCCACCACCAACACCACCGTCCTCGTCATTGGTTACAGACACCGGTGCTGCTGCTGCAGGCCGCCGACGTCGACCGTTGGCTGTAGCTGTGCCGCCCCCTGCTGCCTTGCCGGCGGCCCTGCTGCTGCTGCCCTTTGCACGGCCGCTCGGCGTGCCACCAATGCCGCCAGCTCCCGGTTCTGCTCCTGTTGTCCGGCGCCGTTTCGTCGACGATGGCATTGCGGTCGGCAACGGCAGCTGCGGCACCTCGAGCAGCGACATGTCCAGATGGTCGCCATCCAGATCCATCTCCTCTTCGGTCTCGTTGGGATCGGGATAGTCGTCGTCGGGCGTCACGTGCACGCGTTGTCGCTTCATCGGCGCCACGACCGCGGTGCTCTTGGTCTCCTCCCACCGGTTCATCCGGCGCGCTGCCCGGCGGATGGCGGCCGAGTAGGCCGACACCTCTTCGCCAAAGTCGTCCTGCTCGTCGTTGAGCAGCACAATGCCGCCAAAGCCGCGCTCCCGAAACGCGTCGCCCGTCACCTTGGTTTGCGGCGCACCCGGCTGGAAGGAGAAGATGCCGCGGTTCCAGGCCACGTTGTCCTCGTTCTCGCTGTCCTCGAACGGGTCCTCGACCTGTTGCAGCCGCCGGTATGCCCGCACAATCGCCCCGTCCTGTGCGCCGGCCCTTTCGCGACCGGTGGTGCTTGCGCTGCATGCCGCGCGAAAGCAGGTATTCTATCCGCTGCTTGCGATTGTTCTCCACGGCGATCTGGTGTGCCGTCGGCGGTTCGCGGCTTGCGGCCGCCCGTGGGAGCCGGCGTGTTCGCGCCCTCGTCTGCATCCTCGTCGTCCACGTCCGGCATCCGTCCGACAGCCTTCTGCGATGGCCTGCTGCCGCGCTTGCGCAGTAGCTGCTGTTGTTGTTGCTGGTGCATCTGTTGCAACAGTGGTGGCTGACGGGCCGGTGACGACCCTTCGATGATTTGGTACTTTAGCGGACCGGCTCGCCGAGACGTCGTGCTGCCGCCAGGTCCACCAGGGCCGAACGAGCGGTTCAACGACCGGGGCGGTGGCGTCGAGCGTGTGCTCTCGACGTCGCTGTCGTGTTTTGAGGGCCGGATGCGCGGGAGGATCGCCGGCGGACCGGAACGCTCGCCGTCTGGCGCCGCAGACAGCTCTTTTGCCATGGTGGCAACGGCAGACGGCCGTGCAGATGTGCGTGAGCTTCGCTTGACGGGCGGCGAGTCTGTGAACAGCTGCTCGTCCCGCAGGATGGCCGACCGCTGGTTTTTCTTGGCGATACCAAACTCGCGCTCTTCGGCCGTGTCCTGGTTCTCGCGTCCCTCTTCTTCGGGCGTGAGCTCTTCCAGCATCGGCACGCCCTGGTTGGCCACATCCACGTCATAGTCGACGCCGGCGCCAAACGGGTTCTCTTCGCAGCCCTCTTCGGTAAAGTCCGACTCGAGGTAGAACCACATGATCCACAGGAAGGCGGCGGCGCGCGACTTGCTCGACAGATTCGTGCGCATGATCAGGTCGTGGAACTCGCGACCGGGCGGGAAGTGCAGCTCGGCCACCTTGGCAGCACTGTGGCAGATGAGAAAGATGAGGTTGACGGGGTTTGTTCGCGGCACATCCTGATCCTTGAGCGTGTCCAGCGTGCGCGGCTCGGCGCGGTCTTCCGAGCCCCCCTTGAGTATCGACTTGAGGCGTGGGGCGTCCTGCAGCTGCTTGTAGGCGTGTGCATCCTGCTGGACCTGGAGCGAAGGGATGGCGTGGTAGGTGCGAAGCTGGGCGCGCATCTCGGGGAAGACTGCATTTGTTGTCAGCGGACCTGAGAGGAAGAGCAGCTAGAGCAAAAACCCACAATTCAGGGTCGTGTTCATGCGGCCAATGTTGACCAGCAGACAGACCATGGCCATACTCTTGGCAGCGTTGCGGTCGCTCAGCAGCTTGTCGTGCAGGATCTTGCTAGTCTTGCTGCTGCGTGCCATCGTGTCGATGTAAAGGTCGGCAAAACACTGTTTGCTAGGCATCGAAGGCTCGTAGCTGTTGGTAAAGACCTCGCGTTCGTCGTCAAAGACGGCGCGCAGAAAATCGTACTGGATGTCGTAGCGCCAGAGTGGCTCGCCGTCCTCTTTCTTGAGGTGGCGGATCTTGCCGATGGCACTGGGGTCCTTGAAGAGACCGCCGTTGACGCTGCCACCATTGACGCTGCCGACGGCCGAATCTCTGGCTCCCCGTCCGCGTCCACCGCCACCACCTCCGCCTCCACGGCCGCCGTGCCGCTCCGAGGGGTCTGGCGTCTCTGTATAGCGTCGGACCTGGGCCGTCAAGGTGTCCTCGTCTTCGGTCATGCTGGCGTTCGCGTTGGTCAAGAAGGACTTGTCGAGATGGTGAGGCGAGGGGGTCGGCTGCTCGCCTTCGGAGAAGCCGGCAGCGGAGCTGGGTGAGGCCATTGGCGACGAGAGGAAGCAGTCGCGTTGAAGCGAGCACGAGACCGCAGGAGATAGGTATGTCAGAAAATGGTGATGGAAATGAGATGGAGGAGAAAGCAGGGGTTGGCAGAGACAAAGGAGGATGGAGATGGAGATGGAGATGGAAATGGAAATGGCAATAGAAAGCTCAAAAGCTCAAAAGCTCAAAAGCTCAACGCGTTGAAAGAGCTGGACGAGTCGGGCATGATGCAAAGGACAGTCACCATGACAGATCGCTTCGGCGAGGCGAAAAGCATGCGTTGGTTAGCCAGAAAATAGAGTGAAGCCAAGAAAAAAAATACGAGATGATTGGACAAAGTGGTGATTTTGGGGCTGGATCTCCAGGGCAGGTGCGCCTAGGCGGCGCGTCTCAATGCACGGCATACTGCGATGATGATTGTCCCAGGGCAGGCGCACGTTGCGTGTAATATCACGTGTTCTGTGCATGCCTAGTCGTGACTCCTGATTATTGCATGTGCGTGTGTGTATGCAACTATGCGATCAGTCGCACCGGCCGTCTGCAAGTCGCCAGTGTGCTCTGGGGTCCGAGGAGCGGCGAGTCGGTCGAGAATACGACGAGAGAGTCGGATGATCCATGTAATACGGAGTACAGCTCTGTCTGCGTCGCAGGTGGACGTGGCTGTGCGGCCTGAGGCCGGAGACCGTACGCAACCCCAATTGGTTTATCTCGCCGGTCGGAGGCGGCCGAAAGATCTCAAGAAATTTACAGCAACACAGCAAGTAGCAAATTAGCAAATCAGCAAACAGCAAACCACATCTGCTTCACGCCGTGCACGCAGACATGGCCGCCCCTGCACGCATTCCCGTCATCGATCTCGCCGGCGCCGCGGGCTCCGCGACCGATCGCGAGGCTGTGGCCCGGCAACTCGTCGACGCTGCAGTCGAGCATGGCTTTGTCTACATTCGCAACACGGGACGCGACATCCCCGTGCCTTCTGTGGACGAGGCCTTTGCCATTGTGAGACGCGCCTCACCCTTCTGTCAGTGGCCGGTGTGCTGACCCCCTCCAGTCCCGGAAGCTCTTTGCACTGCCGGCAGCCGAGAAGGAACCCTCGAGACTCGGGACAAATAATCGGGGCTGGGTTGCAGAGCGGGTGGAGACGCTGGATCCGAAGAACCAAAAGGTAAGATGCGTCAGAGAGGAGGTACACAAGCAGGAAAGCAAGAATGCTGACGTGCGTCTGTCAGGTCGGCGATGCCAAAGAGTAGGTGCTCCTCCGTCTTTCCTGCACCATAAATCATACGTCGTATGCGTCTGACACGACCTAAGAGCCTTCAACTTTGGCGAGTTTCTCAATGGCCGGGCCCAGCAGCCCGTCCCGGCCGCCCTGTCCGATGACGAGCCCCGGCTGGCTGCCTTCTTCGACCGCTGCTTCAACATGTGTTTGACGCTCAACGACCTGCTTGGCATCGGTCTCGAGGTGCGTGACTTGCCCCTTTTGACGATGTTGATGACTAATCACTATCCATCCCCCTCCTCCAGGTCGACCCTCCTGATTTCTTTACGGCTGCCCCCCGCAGACCGGCCGGAGCCACCGACAACACGCTTCGGCTGCTGTACCACCCCCCACGGCAGGCGAACGACCCGGAGGCCGTGCGTGCCGGCGCCCACTCGGACTACGGCTCGATGACGCTGCTGTTCCGGCTGGCCGGCCAGGCCGGACTGGAGATCTCCCGGCAGCCAGACGTCTGGGAGCCGGTGCCCGTGACGCCGGCCGGTACCGAGACTGACGCAGCGCCGCCCATTCTCGTCAACATCGGCGACCTGCTGGCCTACTGGACCGGCGGCCTTCTTCGCAGTACCGTCCATCGCGTGGCTTTGCCCGTCGCCTCCGAGTCCGAGTCCGAGTCCGAGTCCGAGTCCGAGTCCGCATCTGCTAGCCCCCGCTACTCTATCGCCTTCTTCTGCCATCCCGCTCGCGCCAGCTCGCTGGTCCCCGTGCCCAGCGAACGCGTCGCTCGCGCCGTCGCGGCCGCTCAGTCCCAGAACACTGTCTCCGACAACTGCATCGCCGACGACGTCCTCACAGCCGACGACCATCTGCGCATGCGTTTGCGCGCCACGTATCGAGGCCTCTATTGACAATGTGCTCGCTTGCCCTCTTGTTCTTGACATGATAGACCTATCCCGACCGGGTGCCTTCAGATAAATAAATCAAACAGCGCCACCGCCGTCCCAAACTGAAAACTAGACCCCAGAACAATACAAGCAGTCAGAAAATCAAGCCGGGAAGTAAACGGTCAGATCGTCGGCCGCTCAACGCCCAAATACCCAATACCCAATTCTAACCTCTGTCCACCCGGTCGGCCTTGTAATATACACGAAAGATCACACTATCATGTCCCCATCCCCCTAGTATTGACGGCCATGGTGCCTCCGGGCTCGTCCACTCCCAAGGTCGATCCGGCTCATCTCTTCCATCAGAGCCACCTCGCCCGATGGCCCTGCGGAGTAGGGTTCCCAAGGCAAGGCACGTGACTCGGGAATCGGCATTGGCAGAGCACCACTCATTGCCGGGCTCCGGTCCCGCTCGCTGCTGCCGATGCCCCTATGCCCGCCGCCACCATAGCCCGCGATGCTGCCGCTTCCCATTGGTACTTTGGCGGGGACCGGTGGAGCCGGTGCCCCAAAGCCGCTTCTCCCAGGGCTGCCGCCATACAAGGCCATCGCCGGTGCGTGGTTTTCACTGGCCCCATCATACGTGTTTGCTCGCGGCAGCCCGCGTGGTGGCGTGAAGTTGTCCTGTTGGCGAGGGTGGGACAGCGGCGCCAGAGGGCTTGCGTTCTGTGACTGGGACGAGATTGTCATCGCCATGCTCATGTTTCCGCCGCCGCTGCTGCTGCTGCTGACCGTCGGCACTGTCGGCGGGCTCTGCCGGCTGGTCTTTTTCTGCAGACGGTTCCGTGACGCCGGCGCAACCGGAGCATTATTTCCTGAGCTAAAAGTAATGCCTGTGTTGTTGGCAGCCGCTTGCGGTCGGCCAGCAATCCGCAGCTGACGCCTTCCTGACGGCACCGCCCCCTCTGAGGACAACGTCCCGGCCGCACCTGTCGGCTTCGTCGGCTTTGCCTCGGGCTCGGGTGCCCACGTATTCATGGGCAGGTGGTCGGACGGGTCGATCTCGCGGCCGTCGTACGAGACGATCTTGCCTGTGGCCTCGTTAAAATCTGAACGCGTTGGGTCGATCGTCGCCGCCACCGTCGGGTTGAGCTCATCATAGGAGTCGGGACCAAACGGAATGCCGGAAAGTCGGCGGCTCTCCGTCCCACTCGCTGGCGCAGGTGGTGGTGCAGGACTGACGGACTTGCGCTTGATCGTGTGCCGCGGGTTCGGCGAGTGTGCCGCAGGCACCGGTGGCGCCGGCGACGCCGCTCCCGATGAATACGGCCCTGGACTTCGCTCGTACCTCGACCGCGCCTGTGGTGGCGCATCGTACGTCCGACCACCGTATCCTCCCTCATTGTAGCTCCCTTGTGGTGCGGTGTACATCCGAGCAGCATCCTCCTGGCCAAAGCTAGATGCTCGAGCAGTCATCTGCCTCCCACGAGCAGGTATATCCATCGGTTGTTGCTGGATGGTGTAACGACGCTGCTCGCTGCGCCGGTCCTCCTGGTGGATACGAGATCGAAGCTCCAGTGCAAGCCCGGGATCGACACCTGGGACCAGAGAGGCCGGTACCGGCATGACTTCAAAGGAGTCGACGCCCATGTCATCTTCGTGCGGGGCGCCATCCAGATCGCTGTGGTAACCCTGGTACCGCTCCTCGGCCGCGGGAGCATCATAGGCGCTGTACCCAGACCCAGGTGGCGGGGCCGGACTCGTCCTATTGTCTCGCTGCTGCATTGGGGAAGGCGACACAGATCCTGCAAAACTCATCGACTCGCCATTTCGATAGTGTGTAGGCGTGGAGGGCGCATAGCCTGAAGCAGCAGCAGCAGCTGGGCTGGCGCCTCGGTGACTAGCCAGGCTGAGAGGTGATGGACTGGGCGCCTTGTTGTGGTTGTAGTCGGGCTCGGAGTATTCGTAGCCCGACTGTTGTTGTGGCTGCTGTGGCGGCTGGCGAGATGTGTTCTGCTGAAACGACGCCGGCACGAGGGGACCCACCCCGTTGTTCGCCTCTTCGGTCGAGTACGGCTGTGCATCATAGGCGGAGTCGTAGGCTCGATGGCGAGGTGGCGATGGCTGGTAGAAGGGATCCGTGACGGCTGAGCCGTACGTCGATCTGTCGACCGGGGAGACTGCTGCGGAAACGGTGGGAGATGTGCCCGATTCAACTGGCCGGTAAATCGGACGGCCTGGATAGGCCGACGATATGGAGTGTCGATGGGCCTCGCTGCGCAGCACGTCATGGCGAATTGTCTGGGGTGGCGTTCCTTTCACAGTAGACGAGTTGAAGCTGTTGCGATATCCGGACTCCACGGCGCCGCTGCTGTTGTTCCTGCTTCTGTGGACGGGAGGAGGCGGTGGACGATCGCCGACAGGTGCTACCATGTTGGTCTCCTCGTATGAAGCAGATACAGGTGGTGCTGAGACCGGTATAGGTGCGTTGTCAAAACGGCTGTCGTATGGCTGCTGGTCTCGCATGTCGCCACCAAAGTCGCGGCTGCCGTAGTGAGATGGCGCCTGGTAGCGATCCAGCGATTGTGCATGGTGGTGCTGGTAGCGCTGGTAGGATTGGTGCTGGTGACCATCAGACGGGGTGCTCTCATACCCGCTGTCTGCTACCGGGCCATTGGTGATAGCAGAGCCGTACGAACCCTGATCACGATACTCTTGGTATCGTGTGGGAGACATTTGTAATGTCGATACTGCAGGCTGTGATTGTGGTAGTAGCAGCGGTGGCTGCTGCTGTTGATGTTGGTGTTGATGGGGTGAAGGCTGGGGAGGAGTGTTGTATTGGCCGAGAGGCTGAGATAGCTGGTTGGTATTATATGCTGCCGAAGGGTTCAGCTGACGCGACGGTGTTTGTGTGGCGTCGGAGAGTTGTGCCACGGCTACGGCCGATTGCGGCACCGGCACAGGCTGTTGTGCAGGCTGTGGTGCTGGTTCAGGGGGGGGGTGTGAAGCATGGCCCACGACGGGGTCTGATGGGAGTGGTCGCCGCTTCGGAACTCCTCGTGATGGTCCAGTCATCTCCGGTAGTGGCCGTGCTCTTGGACCACTCAATGAGCTGCTGGATGTGGGCACAGTCGCTGCAGCGGAGACAGCAGTTATCATTGCTGGTGCCGCCAGCTGCGACGATGCCGTCGATGCCGGTCCGGCCGGCGTCCCGGCCGGCCTCCCGGGGCTGTCATAGAACGTAATCTCCATGCGGAGCTCACCGGCCTGCTTGCCACGGGGGTTGCGGGTTTCCCATTGGTCACTCTGGCCACCGCCCGGAACAATGATATCGCGCAGATCAACCCAGTTCTCGCCAATCAGCTCCGTCTTCTTGTCGTCGCTAAAAGATGGAGATCTTGAGCTGGTAGTAGTCAGGGGAATCGTGCACGATGAAGCGTAGCTCTTGGTCCCTGTGAACATGCTGTCAGCCGAGTCTGTTTCATGCCCTCTCTTCCAGCTTCTCAGCCTACCATTTCGGAGTCTGTCCGCCAGGAATGTCCGTGGCCGTCTTCCGGGCCTCCTTGCCCAGACGAGCAGCACAATAGGGGTCCTGCTTGCCAATGGTCTTCCGGTTGGGCAGATTCTTCGCCCGGTCGACCACGAGCACGAGAGTGCCAATCTGCGGCCCGTCGATACTCGGGTCGGAGAAGATGCCAGCCGTATGCTGCCCATTGAGGGGATTGATCTTGGACTTGGCAGACATGATGCAGACCCGACTGTGTTAAGGGATCAAAGTCATGGAGCCGTCTGGGAGACAGCGGTAAAGTCGACAAGTATGGGGCCGTCAGGCAGTTGTGCAGGCGGTGTGTCAGTTCGGCAGGTGTGAGGAAGCCGTCAGAGAGCAGCTAGTGCCAGTTGACAAAGCGTAGAGTTGTCCAGACAGCAAGACAGAACGAAAGGTGGCAGTAATGCGGGCAAATGAGCGACAGACGAGAGAGTGTGTGTGTGCGTGTGTGGCAGCGATGCAGTTGAAGCGAAAAAGAGGTGAGACGAAAAGACAGCAAAAAAAGCAGAAAGAAAAGCGGAAATGTAAGAGAGACGACAAAGAGAAGGACTGGTGACCGAAGAAGGCTTTGTTGACATCCCCAAGCAACAGGGCCTTTGGTCCAGCTAAGTGCGGCAAGCTGCGGTGGTTTGGGGCTGGAATTGAGTATTTCATTGGCCGCTGACAACAGCTTGGGGGGGGCTGGTGGGGTTGACCGCTGACATAACCCGCGTTGCATACGAATTGACGGTGGCTGGCAGGGGCCCAGAGGAGGGGGCTGGCTGCCAAGACAGTCAGACAAGCAGGATTTGACAACGCCAGGGCCTGTGGGTTGCGCTGAAACAGCAGAATGGCCATTATAGCAAGCGGCCGGTGGCACGCAAATGCGTCGTAACAGGGACAACAGGGGGTCAGTTCGTACGGAGTTCGGAGCACGAGTACGAAGTATGCAAAGGACTTTGTGAGCCGGCAATCCTGGCATTTGCTGAGAATACGGAATACACGGCCGTCCAAAGTCACGCCTACTCCATACCACGTAACAAGTTCGGCAGCAGTCCATGTCTGTTTTCGGTAACCTGTTTGTTTTCTTTCCCACTTGTGCAGCGTTGCTGGGCAGAACTAGTAGCGATTTATGCACTAAAGCTCGGCATCAGAAATTCACTAGAACCCTTTTTCGGGCACGAGCAACACATTCCAAAGACTCGTCATGTTGTAGATCCGGCCAGCCAGCCAGCAGAATAACAAAGGCCGTCCGTTCTGATATACAGAGATCAATCCACCCGCCACACTGGTGCCCGTCGCAGATCTCACGGCTTTCTGGACGGCTCCAGAATTGATCGACCCGTGGCGTCACCATTTGGTAGACGATTGTTGTATTCCGGGGACGGGAACCGCTGCACTGCAACTCTGCCAGCAGGTCCCACAGTGCTGTTGATAAGATCAGAGTGTCGACTCATACATACATATGTGTGTACCTCACGGCCGCTGCCAGCCAACACCATCTGTCGTTCTTCTGTTTTCCCAGCAGGAACAGGCGAGAGTGAGAGCGGGCGGAGGAGGTCGGAGTATATTGAGCAGTTAATGTATCGGGCTGGCTAGCACTAAGCCCGAGAGCAGTCCATTGCTGTTCCGTCGGCTGCCTCTTGCGGCTGGCCTCAGGAGCCTCTACATCGCCGGTGCCGGCGCCGCTACTCACAGGGTAGGGGCGGGCCCTGATAAATGAAAAAAGGAAAAAAAAAAAATTAGGTTGCCGATCCGAAGCCCACTCTCGAGCCGGCAGTTGAGCAGCTGCAGGGGGGAAGGGGGTGTATGAAGGGGTGATTGTGAGAAACAAATTTCGCGATGGTTGCAGCTAGCGTGCGTTGTTTTGGAGGGAACCAATCAAGGCCCTTCGAGGAGGCTATGCGAGGCCATAGCAGAAAAATGCGGCTGTCAATAAGCGGTCCTAGCGGTCGAGGATGGGCGCGGAGAACTCCGTCCACGTACGATTGGCACGGCCTCGGAGGAATACTAGGCGCACGATGCCGTGTTGCTACAGGTACGAATCTTTTGATCGGGAGACGTGAATCGCAGGCTGCGCGCTCATATGATATACGGAGTACGAGTACGGAGTAGCTTGCCCCATACTATGTACATACTATGTACGGAGTAGTAGCACTCGCAACACCTGCACTTGTCAGACTGTCTGTGCAGCCGCAAACAGCCCCGCCGAAACAAGCCACTCCAGGTACCACTCTACGGGTACTATGTACTCGTACTCATAGGCGCCACCCCCCTAGCTGTTGGCGCTAGCTAGGCGGATTACCCGCGAGCCGCAGCAGCCAACCAGCCGTTGCTGCTCCCTTTTGGGGCTTCTGCTCTTTTTGTTCCTGATTCTCCGTCCAGATTTTTCCCCAACTCTCACACCAAACCACGCAGCCTCGTCAGCCGTTGCACCACCCATCTTCCAACCACAACCAATCATGGAGTCGGAGCCCTCTCTCACATCTCTCGCCGCTCTCACCTCCCCCTCGCCGCCGCCCTCGTCTTCCTCCTTGCCTCCTCCCTCTGCTTTGCCGGCTCAGCCGCCTGTCATCAATTATGTGATCGGCTTTCTGCTCGTTGGCCTCGCCTGGGGCTTCACCACGCCTTTTCTGCGCCGCGCTGCTCGAGACCACCACCCGGCACCCCACCCGCTACTGCAGCGCGAGTCCATCCGCAGCAGCGCTGTGCGTCGTCGCCTGTACGGCGCCTTCTTTTCCGTCATCGACTTGCTACGAAACCCGCGCTATGCCGTACCTCTGCTCATCAACCTGACCGGCAGCGTGTGGTTCTTCCTGCTCATTGGCCAGGCCGGTATGTCTTTCGTGTAACCCTCACTTGTCCCCTTCCTTCGAGACCAGTCTCAATCTCTGGCGACGCATAAAGCGGTGGGGAAGAAAAAAAAAAGGGGGGGGGGGGGGGGTGTGCACGAAATCACCAACAGCTTCTCTCCCTCCCCACGATCCACTTGTCTCCCCACCCAATACTACAACCCTCTATCTAAGCACATACCTCTCCCCTAAGCATCCCAATTCGTTCAAGGCTGACGCTTGGCATGCACGCACGCATCCCTGTAGAGCTGAGCTTGACCGTGCCCATCGTGAACACCTTGGCCTTTCTCTTCACGGTGATCGGTGAGTGGTGGGTTGAGAGCAAAGTGATCAGTCGAGGTAAGTAACGTCGTCTCCTCTATCCGTATTACCTCTCCATTTCTTTACACGGTAGCCTTATCTGGCGCCACCCCAGCTGACGACCGGTCCCCCTGACTAGACACTGGCATCGGCATGGCCCTCTCACTGGCTGGGATAGGCCTATGCGTGTACAGCAAAACGTCATGAGGGCAGGGCGTGGGAATTTACATGGGCTTGCCTTAGTGGCAGCTTGCCTAGTCCGCTGTCTGAGTTCGCGCTGCTCCTTACAGGGCCACAACCGTTGCCGTTAGGCCGTTGGCGAAGGACATTGCTGGCAGACCGTTATGCTTCCAAACGGTGTGGCCACGAATAGCTGGACTCGCCGAATAGAGTGATTTCCCTGTCATTTGTTTGTAGGCGTTTGTTCACAATGAAGCGTATAGCAAAATGGAGGAGAATGGTTTCAATGTTCATTAATTTATTGCCGTATCTGTTTCTCATCTCTATTGTCGACCTGCACCAGGCAGGACGACATGCGATCGCTTTATCCTGGGCTCCCTTCACCAGATGGCATAGCATAGTAAGGAGAAGGACATAAAAAATAGAAGAAAGAAGGGAAGAAAGAAGAAAAGCAAGAGGGAAAATCAGACAACAAAAGTCCCAACGCTCCTTCTCGAGCAATCCTGGTATCTTATATAGGGTCCCTGTAATTGCCCATCCAAAACACAGCCATAGCAGTCAATGCTTGGCAAATTTGCATCACGTTCCATCCCGACATGCCGCTAGAAAAGGCTAACCCCTATCCCAAGGATTAGATGTCGTAAATAAACTCGTGTTTGTCTGCCTTTTTTCGGCATCCCCCTTTCGATCGCCTACCCTTCATCGCTCACCGCCGAGTGCGAATCCAGCGCTGAACTGCCCGCAGTGGCGGATCTTCGTCGGTCCACCGGCCCATTTGCCAGTCAGTTGCCTGCAGCTCTGTATACACAGCTTCGTCCGTGATTTGGGCGAGCTCCTAGTGAGATAGTAAGCATGCGTTGTCGATGCAAGCGGTTTGTAGGTAACTCACGGCCCAGAGGTTCTCGTCGCAGGCTCGCAACTGTGAAGCGTGCTTCGGGGCAGGCCGCTCTCCTTGGAGAATTCTCTCGCGCCACTCGAGCCACTGCTGGGCTGCCGTTTGACGCTGGTAGATCTTATGTCCCTGATGCCGGCGGGCTAGGGCGTCCAAATGGACTCTGTGAATAGCGTGTCAGTTGAAGCTGTTCCCGCTCCACTAGACAAGTTAGACGTACTGCTGCAGCTCGGCTTTTGTTTTGCTCCTCGTGTCCACCCTTGGTGACAGGTACCCGGGTATCGGCGCCTGTGTTAAGGATGTGCTGTCCATCGACGGTGCACTGGCGCAGCGTGCGCCACCCTTCGGTGTTGGCATCTTCCGGGGTTTGTTGGCTCAACTGGTGCCGCAGAGATGTGGTACTGGAGGGCGGTGAAGTCGGCGAGGATCTCGGCAACACGGGGCCCCGACGATGTTCATTTACTACAAGCAGGGAATGTCAGGAAGCCGAAAAAGAGATAGAGGGAGTGCCGTGGTCAAGCCGTTGAAGACAAGAGCACGATGAAGACTTGGTTATTGGCTGGATAAATGATGCAGGTCGAAGGCACTTACGTCCGTCCATTATGTGATGATGGAACTCCCAAAGGGCAAATGTCGGTGATGAGGGTTTGATTCTGAATTGTGCAAATCAAAATGGGCAATCTCGTCCCCGAAGATGAGATGAATGCTTAAACAGATGTGAGATAATGGAGGGACAAAAAACCGATGACAGTCTGTAGATTTATCTCAAATATATGATGACAATGGCCACCACAGCGAAAGGAATAAGATTGGTGATGAGGCGGTCGCACTTCAGCTCGTTTGCAGCGGAATAAAGTATGTTGGCGTCGGGCAGCGAATGCAGCCGGAGTGGGTGAAGACAGATAGGGGGCTACTTATGGTGAGTAATAAGTAATAAGCCGCAGACAGCGTCTGATTCCTGTTATATTTTTGCCGATTGTGTGCGTATCTTGAAGACTGCAGGCGGGAAGTTGCCGCGTGTGGGGGAGGGTGGTTAAGAGCTTATGGTAAAGATTCAGGAAGGCAAAGAGCTTGTCGAGCGGCCAAACATACACCGGCAGTCCGAAGAACGGGCAGGGAGACAGCCAGGTATATAGACAGCAAAATAGAAGAAGAGAAGAAGAGAAGCAAATGAATGAATACGAGAAGACAAGTAGATAAATGGAATTGAGGGATAGAGAAGGCAGAGACAAAGGGGACGGACACGATAAGTCGGTTCACAAAGCCCGTTGTCTTAGAAGCGTGATTGGAAGATCCGGGGGGAGGGAGGTGTGCAAGGTCAACGGTCGCAGCGGCTTTGACCAGATCTGGTTAGCTGTCCCTGTGGGCGGTGATGAGGCGGCAACAGTCTTATCCTTTCGTGGCAAAGACTTCTGGCTGACTGCTTGGTTCTAGCGTGTTGATGACGGGACGGGTAGAATATGATGATATGCGGCTAAGGTCTGGTGGTCGTCTGCGGGCCGGGACCTTTATGTATTGAGACTAGAAGACGAGGCGGAACAGAATGTAATGGATACTCGGAGGCCCTTTTCCACGATCGTGCAAAAGCAGAGACACGGATATCACAAGGCATACACGGGGAGGGGGCCCCTTTTCCATGGCTAACGCAGCTAACGCAGCCGACAGGAGCCAACGGTTCTAGATCAAAACGGGCGACATATAAGTGGACAGGGACGATGAGCTGTGATAACCAAGGAAGGCAGGAGGAGAGACAACAATAGGGGCAGACCGATGAGAGAAAGATGGGGGGAGGGTGGGAGAGAGAAACGAGAGGGGGTGAAAGGAGAAGGTAGTGCACTCTCGAGGATCGCGATGGTCAAGGAACGAAGAAAGGGAGGGTGTTTTGAGGCAATAGTGGCAGTGCGTGTGTCTACAGTCAGAAGTAGAAGCAGATGTAGAGTAGCAAGCAAGGCCGGCCTCGAGTACGGGTGGACGAGGCTGTTCTTTTCTTAGCTACCAGGTGGGCCATAGATCCAGTCAGAAAACACAAGCGGATGAGGAAGATTGATGCTAACGCGCTTTGTAGTCGCCATGTGGGATATGTCGAGAGGAACTACTCTATACGTCGTAAGCTGCCCTTGTCATGTCTGGTTATCCGTGAGTCCCATGTCAGAACGGTAGTAAGAGTGGAATGAGGAGGAAGGGCAGGACAGGGGAGGTTAGATGGCAGGGGGGGGGGCGTGTAGGAAAAAAAGCCTACATAGCATGGTTCGTAGAGCTAGCCAACGAGGCCAAGTTGTGCACTGATGTTTGCCGTCGAATCGGAAAATACAACGGCCCTGTCGACGGATATTGAAGGTGTGGCTTTCGTCAGTAGCCCGTTCGGACCTTCGTCTCGTTCGTCACTTCCCTCTCCACCCCCACTCAACCCCCCTCGTGGCTTCCGAGCATGGCTGCGACTGCCATTTCGAACGTCACCATGTCCTTTCCGTCTGTGCGGTGCGGCTCTCGAGCTCAACTTGCCCTGTCTGCTGACTTCTTTGACCTGCCAACTCTCCACCGGACAGCCACCATCCTCCCCTCTCTCTGCGCGACGCTTTTCCCGACTGGGCCAATGCGGTTGCATGAGCCGAGAATTAACAAGGGCGTGTTGCCCACTAAGGCTATGGCCCTGACCCTGGTGGCAAGAGCTGCAAATCCACACAGGGGAAAGAGGCCAATGGTGGAGAGACTCTGGACGAGGCGCACGACGAGAACGGGCTGCTGCGGCTAGACAGGAGGGGCAAAGGGGGGAAAGAGGCCTCGGCTGTGGAGAGGGAAGGGTGTTGTCTAATTGCATGGCTGCACCTCTCTCGAGGCCTCTCGGCTGTGATTGGAACGGCGGCAGGCAACGAGGCTAGACACGGATGGGAGAGAGATGATGCACAGCAGCAGGAAGGCAATTGGGGCCTGTGAATGGGCGCCCATCACGGGGTAGGACCCAGGGGAGGAGGGATGGTGGAGCTTTGCAGGAGGTGCATCTGCAGGAGGTGGTCCCCCTTGCTTAAGCGAGAGTCATGGCGGAAGAGCAGATAGGAAAGCGTCCGTAGAGGCTCGCGAGAGAAAGAGAGGTACGGAGTACACAGCAGTGGAAGCGAAATGAGACCGGTGATTGATGGACAGGGCGGAGGAAGCGGAAGGGAGAGAGGCAGGGGGGCGTGTGTGGAGGGAGGGGAGGACTACGGAGTACGGAATATGGGACATGTTGGTATTGGCAATGAGGCTGGCCAGAAGGGACTGAAGGGCTGCTGAGTATCTTCCCTGTCGCCTTTTCTCTTTCTCGTATACACACTCAATCACACCTCGATTCTCTTCTCTCTCCTCCGACTGTGCTCCGACAACGGCTCGGTCAGACAGGGACAGCGTTTTTGAGGCTGCGCGGGCTGGCTTGAGAGTGTGTGCGGCTTGCCGGCCCTTGAGCTGTGGTCCATTTGGGACTTGCCCGATGCGGCCTCGCAGTCCAGCCAGTAGAGGCAAAGCGGCTGACCAATAGCGAATTGTCGACTTTTAGACACGGAGCTGAGCGATGAGAGCCACTTTTTTTTTCTCTGCGTTTTGGCTCCCCGCCCGCTCCGTAATTTTTATAGTCTCTGTTGTTTTTTTGGCCTATCTTGTCTGTCCAGGTTTTTTCGCCTTGCCTCTTCTCATTCTGTTACTCGTCCATTGTCCGGGCTGCCATGACGCCAACTGCCGCGCCCTGAAGATGATCGACGCTATGGGTTCCAGCCGGGACGCACACCAGAGGGGCGCTGAACTCGCCCAAAAGGGAAGACTGGGGCTGCCAAGTCCTGCACTTGTCGGCCTATCAGCGTCCGTCCCAAGCCTCTGGAAGGCAATACCCCCTCTTTGTCACCCCCTCCCCCCGCACACCCCTGTGACAGAGGTCCGAACGGGCGTCCGTCGGCTGCTAGAGCTGCGCTAAGGGCACATGCTCCGTTTGGAGCACCGTGACCGAAACGGCCCTGTCTGCCTGGGCATCGTTTTCATTTCTTCAGCAAGAGCCGCCCACTTGCGCGTCCTGGCTTCCATTAGCTCTCGCACACCGCGCCCACCGCTCGGCCATCCTACGTTTGCCTCGCCTTTTTCTCAACGGCCGCCCTACGGGGCCGCTTGACCACGTCTAGTCGAAAGAAAATTGCTGCCAGGTTGCCCAACTGGCCTTGTCAACCGTTAGTCGTTTTTCGCGACGGCCATCGCGGCTTTTGCCACGAACTGCTCATAACCCATACAAACTATCTATCTTAGTCTTTCCATGACGGGGTCTGCAGAAACGGTTGTTGGACTAGCAGACTCTGAGACTTGTCCGCACCAGCAGAGATGCAGCCGCAGAAAGACGTACGATGTAAGATGCTGATATCATGTGCCACCTTTTGGGCCGACTGTTTCGGTTGCCCTCCGTTGCATGTTGGTCTAGTAAGATATCTTACGTATCATTGGCCATCGTTTCGATTTCGTCTGATATTGCGCCCATGGCACACGTGCTTTTGTCCTTTTGGGGGTCGTTGCCAGTCTGCCTCGTTTGGCTGCTGCCCAAGACATGCGGCGGAACAAGGGAAGAACGATGGGGCGGAAGCACGCTAGCATTCGGACGTCCAAAAATCATAAAAACAAAACATTCATTACCCAGATGCCCAACTCTGGCCAAAGAAAAAAGCACACGATGTCGTCTCCCAAGCCACGATGCCTTGCAAGACAGACTTTCAGCCCGCTTCGTCGGCCGGTCTGAGCTGAACCCCAAGTGTTCCTGCATCCAGGAGACCCCGACAATTACCAGTCGAGTCACCTTATCCAATCATTCTGAGACAGTCTTTCTGTCTTTCATCGCTCACCTGCATACATCAGACAGCCTCTCGTTTTCTGCCAGTCTTCACTCCTGATTGGACGGTCTAGATGACTTTATTTCCCATACACTATCAAAATGCTAATACATATCGCAGCACCAAAAAAATAATATGAAAAATAAAGAGAGAAAGAGACCGAGGCTTATGCCAAGACTACAGGATAGCTGTAAACCGAGGACGACCCTAGGCGCAATGCTTCTTGACCCCCCGTCACATCAATTTCTCCACCCTGCTTTGTCCCCTTACTCGTCTGTCCAGCTTACCCGGGCCCGTTGTCATCTAGCCTTTTTCAGAACACCATCAACAGCCGCCTACGGCGCAGACTCCTGGCCTTTCTATTGCTCCAAAGGGTGGCTTACTAAGCCACCCGGGCACAACGTAACATCGGTTTACGCAGATCTCCACTTGCACAATTGCAGCAGCTCGCTTGATTAGCGTCTTTATTGAATTTTGGCATTGTTCTCTCGCTGTCCTGCTGCTGTCTTGTCGTCTCGCCGTCTTGCCGAAGCGATCCACGTCAACTGGCTGGCTCATGCCCCGTCCACCTTAGTCCTTCTCGGCAATGGCTTGCAACCGCTCGTCAATCTCATCTTCGGTCAGTGTCCGGAACCCGGGGTCCGTGCCCTCCTTGCCGTCAGCCCGTGGCCCGCCAACAATGCCAATCTCAATCTCTGTATTTTTGAAGTCCATGCTTAGCACCGTGCTAAGCGTCGTGATAGCCAGCTCCACCACGTCCTCCCAAGAGCCATCCGCATGGTCCTTGTTCTTCAACTTCTTTTCCAAATGGTTGAGTACCTCCTGTTGTTTTGGGCCCGCCGCCGTGCCCTTGTACCCAATATAGTAGCCGGCCGGGTCACATTTGAACAACTGTGGACCTATCTCCTCGTCAAGCGAAATCAAAGTCGTCGCCACACCGTATGGGCGCATATATGCCTGCTTCCGTTAGTCTGGATACGTCTGGGTCTGTGAAAAAACCGTCGGCAACTCGAAGCGAGCCGCTGGAACAGAGCATGTGTAAGAATTGAAGTGGGGGCCTCACCCTTTGCGTGTAGACCTGGCTGATATTGGCGAGCCGCTTAGCCAGAACGTCGGACGGCATCTCGTAGCCGTATTTGTATCTGAACTCTGCTGCCTCGCCTTGGGCGCGCTGTGCAAAAGCCCGCGCGTCGGCTATGGACCCAGTCATGACAGCGCCCACCGACGGCGAAATCTGGAAGATGTGCGATACGGACGACGGGTCGATCAGCTTGTCCTTTTGAAGGTCAGCATGTGGCAGAAGTAGGGACACACAGGCGTCTGCATGTCGGGAGGTGGTGCCAAAGGTCTTGCGAAAACGTACAGGCACTTTCTTCTGAGACAGGACTACCGCACAGTCCTTGCCCCGCACGCCTATGGACATGATGCCAGCAGCGGTGATAGCCTTGAATGCATATTCTACAAATCCAATCAGTATTGTCGTTCCGCACTTTCAGATGACGCAAATGAGGTAGTTTAGGCTAGCCCATACCGACTTGGTACAATCGACCCTGCTCCGAAAAGATGGTGATGTGTCTGTCAAATCCTGCGCTACCTATTCAGGTTCGAGCAATTCCACTGTTAGCAAAATACAGTCTTATACATAGGCAACCGCATCCAAGAACAAGGCTGCTTGAGGGTCGCTCGTACCAGACATGGTGATGGGAGTGGAGGCTTAGGCAGCTCTGACCAAGACCCAGGTTCGTTCGGTTGCGGCTTTTGACGCTGCCGGTATGCCGATAGAAGGGCACGAGGGAAGCTGAAGTGAAGGTTGAATCGCCAGAACGTATGGCACCGTATTGTGAGAAGACTACGGTCGAGCTGATGTGTCTGAAGCAGCCTGCTTGCTTAGCTGGAAGGTGAGCTTTTGGCTCAGCGACGCGTTGCAAGGAGCTTGCCTAGCGGAGAGGGAAACCGATATCCGGGTCATCAGAAAGTCCGATCCGGTCATTGCACGTGACAAGAAATTTCCGTTTTCGATATGATCGACAATCTTATCGATAAGACATTCCACTGGGGGGGGGTTTTTTTTTTTTGTATAGTTTCTTATCGCAATTATTTAATATCTTTCGGCGACAAACTCTTTATATTGCTTCGGAGTTGGCTCGTCCAATACTAGCAGACAATCAGAACTGACGCGCTGCCACAACTAAAGAGTCAATCATTATATGCAGTTGGGTGAGGCAGTATCGTGCACCTAGATATACGGTCCTTTGAGACAACAGAAAGTGTGGCAGTGTTGCGGACGAATCCTTCGCACGCCCCTTTACCTCTGCTATCCTTCTTAATCGTTTTCCTGTTGAACGTCCACTTTTACCGAACTACCGCGAACTGCCATGTCTTCATTCAACCGCTATGCTGCGCCAGCGCAGCGCGTGCCGGCTTGGAAGCGATTGGGCCTCAAGCTTAAAGGACCAAGCGACGACAGCCTTGTTTCTTCACCTTCGCCCGCTGCTCCTACTTCCACACCCGACACTGCCTCATCCAACAAGAGGAAAGAGCCACCTTCGTCTTCTCAGGCAGCGCCTGCTTCTTCGTTAAAAAGGCGGAAGTCCGTGTCCTTTGCCGGCGATCTTTCTACGCCTGACACGAAGCAGAAAACCAATGCTGCGACAGGAGCAACAAAAGACACTTCAAGCATACCAAAAACACCAAAGAGGCCAAAGCGGGAAAAGAGGAAGAAGACCGTCAAGGAAGGAGCCGGTTCCACCAAAGTAGCCGCCGAGAAAACAGACTTGCAGCGGGAGGTTGAATACCTGCAGCAGTGGAAGACGGCTCGTGAGACTTGGAAATTCAACAAGAACCATCAAAACCTTTTGATCAAGTACGTCTTTTCGGGCACCGACTACATCCCGTCTTCGGACATCGACATCTTTTACGACTACATTCGCGACCTGCAGGGTGGTGTACGCACCCGTCTGCGCGCTGAGGCAGCCGAGATCTGCAAGATGGACAGCACACCGCCTACATCGGACGAGAAAAAGCAGGCCGAGAAGCCAAGCAAGGGGAAAGGAAAAGAGGCCGAGAATGCGGCGACGATGGCAGCAACGGCGGCAGCGGCAGCAACAAAGGCCGCATCCGAGGCCGAGTACGAAGCTAACGTGGATGATGTTGTTCCCGTGTCGAGTGGTGGCAGCAAGCGCGTTCAACGCAAAAGCGAAGTCGACTATGTGCTACGGCTGTCGGACCCCGCGTTGCAGAAACGACTGCTCCGGCGAATCCGCGCTGAGAACATAGTGAACGAGCTGGCAGACGCTGAGGGCAGTGGCAGTGGCAGTGTGCCTGTGTCTGTGCCTGTGGCTGCTGCGGGAAGCCAGAAGCGCGAGAAGTCGCAAGACAGCGCAGCCGGCGCAACAGGGAAGCGAGTCAAGCTGAACGACGGGACTTCAACCGAGAAGAAGAAGTCGGTGCGCAGCCGCAAGAAGCGCACGATGGTGGACAGCGACTCGGCAAGTTCCGACAGTGATTCCGATAGCAGCAGCAGCAGCAGCGACGATTCGGACGACGAGGCGGATGAAAAGTCCGAATCTGAATCCAAGACTGTCAGCTCGTCTAGTAGCTCAACCTCATCGGGTGCTGCGTTGGGAGGCAACAGATCTAGGGCAGCGCGGGATGTTGCAATGGCATCGCCATCAAGCAGCAGCAGCAGTAGCAGCAGCTCGTCTTCGTCGGACAGCGAGTCCGGCTCAGAGAGCGAATCAGACGGGTAGAGGAAGCAGGCAAAAAGAAGTTGGATAAAGTTGGCCATATAGCGTCCTGTATTTTGGATGGCGTAGATCTCGTTGTCGTCTACGAATATGAACGCCTAGATTTTGGAAAGAAAGCATCAGGTTGTTTTGATATTTTATTTCAATTGTAAATGATGAACCACGGCCGTGCTTTCCTTATTTGCGTTGTCAATCGGTCTCGGTGTTAACAAGACATCAGTGGCAGAGAATAGCATGTGGGATATTTCATTACGGAAGGAGCGTCACAGTTCATGCTCCTCATTAACCCCATAGCAAGACATGGAGTGTTGGATTTCTATCGTACAAACACTATCCCCGTGTTTCCTTTTATGCCTTCCTCTCAACAATTTTACAATGCTTCGCCCGTCCGCCGCACCAGCACAAGGTTCCCATGCACATCTACATGTGCCAATTCCACGGGAAATACCTGCCCGGGGAGGATGCTGTCGATGTGGACCAGGTCTAGTTTTGAGCCCTCGTTGCTGTTGACATCTGAATTTAGCCCAATCGCATCTATCACAGCCGGTCGCTCAAACCAGTTAAGCTGACCCATCACTAGACCACGCTGCGCGTTGACACTGCTGACAGTGAAACGGAGGTTGGAAAGCAGGGCAGAAGCATCGGCATTGTCTTTTGTCCGATTTGCCCCTTTTTTGCCAGCCTTTCCAACGCTCTCGCCACCCTTCTTGTCTCCCTCGCCCAACCAGGCACGCACCAGTGCCTGCAACATCCATTGGTCGCGGCCGGTGCGGTTGTCCAGTGCCCGCATTGTACGCTCACGCACACGCAGCAGCGGCAGCACATCGTGCTCGAGCTGGTCGCGGGTAAAGGGGGGGCCATTGGCTCCTCTTGGCTTTGATGTCTCATTGGCTTCGATCTCACGCAACAGCTCTCCCTCGATCTGCCAATGCGTCACCAGGTCCGCATACCGTCGCAGCGGGCTCGTCGCCTTGACGTAGCGAGCGACCCCCATGGTGACGTGCGGCACGGCCTCGGCAGTCACTTCGTCGGCACCTAGCAGCCGACGCAACGGGCGCAACGCGGCCTCAGACGGACGGCTACCGGCGACCAGCTTTGGGTAGACGTGGTCGCGGGTGAGGGCACGCAGTTGCGGCAGGTGACGAGCAGCATCAGGCTGGCCGCGAAACGGCACAGCAATGCCGCGCGTGTGGCACCAGTCGGCAGCCACCTCGCCAGCCAGGCGCATGATGCTTTCGACAAGGCGGCTGCCAGCATTGCTAGCTAAAGCATTTGCCTGATCATCCACGCCGTCATACCATATGCGGATGTAAGGGTCGCCAGTGCACTGTAAAAACGAAGAAGAGGCATCGCTGGTGCCTCCCTCTACTCCTTTATCGAGCACAACAACATCTGTGTTCGACAGCGACACTTCAACAGATGGACGCGGCCAGTACAGTGGCATAGCGCCATTGGCTAGACGAACCGCCCGCAGAGAGGTGGCAAGTGTTGCCAGAATCTCAAGGTCGGCACGTTCATCTGGCCCGAGATCGGCAGCCGTGGTCATGCGGTGGCCGTGGGCTGCAGTCGGTTCTGTAACAGAAGCTGGAGGCTTGCCGACAGAAAATGTGGTCGTGATTCCCGGCAGATTTAGATGTGCTGGCGGTTGCAAAAAATTGCTGGCGACCGTACGGTTCTCTCTGATAGCTGCAGCCTCAGCATCAGCCACCACCGCAGTCACATCGTCTGGTGTGATGAAGACGGCGCGGCGCATCCACCCTGGGGTGATTTCAGAGGCCAGAACGGTGCCATTGCGGCGGTCGACCTTGGCACTAAAGGTCAGGCAGGGTCTATTTGGGGCCAGCGAAAAGCGCTCTCGCACAACGTCGTTAGGAAGCATGCGGACATGATGGCCTGGAAGATAGGCGGTCTGAGGCAGGCGAGCGGCCAGCTCAGCGAGAGGACTCCCGGGCAAGATAGACGATGCCGGGTCAGCGACATGGACACGAATCCAGAACTCATCCGGGTTAGCAGTGCGCTCAAGAGAGATGCCATCATCGATATCGGAGGCACCAATGGCATCAATGCAGTACACCGGCAGGTCGGCCCAATCACGACGGTGCTGGGCAAAGATGTCATCCGCCAGGAGGGGAACAGACGGGGAAGACGGCTGCCGAACAGACAACTCACGGAGCAGGCCACCCGTCCGCAGTGGCGGTACATCCGGCAGTGCCATGCTATAGCGGGCGGGAAGATCCCAGGGCGCGACCCAGCCGACCTCCTGCAGAAGGGTCCAGCCGGTGGCCATCGTCAGGTACTCGGCCTCGCCGTACCGTTCAAGGGCGCGCAGCACCGACGCGCCGACCCAGTGCAGTCGTGACGAGGTGGAGAAGCGTTGGAAGCTAGCCCACAGATGCATGAAGTGGAGGATGCGCAGGTCGAGGTCGGTCCACATGATTGGCAGGTCTCGTGGCGGGGGCTGCTTCTTTTGGCGTTTTTCGGGCCCCAGCATGCCATAGGGCGACCAGCTGCGCGTCAATCGGCTGCGATCTATGGCAGTTCGCGCACGGAGGGCAAACTGCCCCAGTCTGGTTTTCTTGAGCGCCGCATCGGACGGATGTTCGCCAAAATGGATGCGGTCCGGATCCTCATAGAAGCTGCGCACAATCTGTTCCACATCGCGCACGATCTCCATGTCCTCCTTCGATGCGATGGTATACATGCACGACCGGCTGTGAATTTCGTTGTCGTGTTTGCTGTGGCCACCCGTGTTTGCTGTCAGGGGGTGGAAGGCGAGCTCGTCTGTCATGATGGCCTTGTGTACGGCATACATGGCTTCTGGCGTGAAGTCATCCTTCTGTGCCGAAGCCGCCCCGCCGCTCTTCAGGTTGCGAACAGGGAGACTGTGACCATGGCTGTGACCCGCTTGGTTGTTATGCAGACGCTGCCCGTGGAGCGTGTGGCCTCCCTTACGCAGCAGCACGGCCGCGATGTCGTCCAGGGTCATGTACGTGCGCCTCTCATCTGTCGACGACAGCGCAGACGACTGCCGCAGCACCATGAACGCATTGTCCAGCACGGAGGCGTGGGCTGTATGGATAGACGCCGACTTCTGAGCAAAGGCGTTCATCTTGAGGATGAGTCCGGCACCAGCCTCGCGCGTGGGGCCCATCTTCTTCTCCTGCATCTCGTTGAGCAGCTTCTCCAGAGCAGCGCCGTCGGCGGCCATGTCACCAGGCACGTCAGAAACAGCAGCAGCCGGCAGAGCAGCAATGACGGGCGCAAGCTCGGCCGGGCTGGCAAACCCGGTAACGCCAAACAGACTGCGCACGCCAGAGCTGACGAACCATTTGCCCGTATTGGTGTAGAAGTGGTCGACGCCGCGGAAATTGCCGAGGCAGACAGCCAGCAGCTGCACGCGCCACGAGTCGGTGCTGACTTCGAGCAGATCACCCGGCTGCGGTGCTACTGCTCCATATGGCCGCTCCAGCGACAAAACCACGTTGCTGCCATCGCCGCCAGCATCACCATCGCCGGAAAAGGCACCGTCGCCCAGCAGCTGGTCGTCTGCTCCATCGCCTTCGCCGTCGATCTGCACAAGCGTGCGGCTCTCGACACGCGTCATGGAGTTCTGGGTGGCCCCCAGGCTGGAATAGTCTCGGGGCATCAACCGTGCAACCTGGCCCGATAGCTCTGTCTTGGCAAAGTCACGTAGTCTTTCGCGAATGGGTCGAAGAGGCGTCGCCACGACTTCCTCTTCCACATCACCCACATCATGGTTGGCCGTACCTTGTTCTTGAATAGAAGCAAAACTCTTGGAGTGTTAGCATCGGCTGTCAGGCCTCTTCTCCACCCCGACAGAAACCTCAACTTACCCTCGCTCTTTCTGAGAGCCTCGTCCAGGGCGAGCATGGCTGCCGCACTAAAATGCGCTGCCGGGAAAAGCAGGAGCAGCATGTGTGTGGGCGGAGCAGGCTGCTTCCCGTAGACCGGAGCATTCTTTACGGGGGGCAGAAAAGACGATGCGCTTCAATGCAACTGCAGTGATACTAGAGACTGCACTGCCGTCGCTGTCTATTTTTGCGTGGGCAAGTTTTTACATGGCAAACCTGCAGTAAGGCTGAGCTGAACTGTGGCGCATAGCTCCCGAAGGCTGTGGCGCATGCAGCCAATCAGCGCGCTTGGCCCGGCAGCTTCTGGCTGAGACGCGCTGTGTGTGTGTACGGAGTACGCAGTCTCGCGCAGCTATCCCGTGTGAACAACCAAGACATCTCACGTACCGTTTACGCCACCTCTAACTACTCGCCATGGGTACGAAGCATCTTACAGAGGCGGACCGCTTGCAGGCCCGGACGCTCTTCTTTGACGCAGGGCTGCCAAAATCACGTATCTGCGAGATCATGGGCTTCAGCCTCAATCAGGTGAAACTGGCCATCCGGGAGAAGACGCCGAAGCCTCGCACAGGCCGGCCACGCCGGAAGCCAAGGCCAGAAGAAGTTTCCGGTGCCCATGTCGGCATCGGGGCCGGTATCAGTGTCGAGCCCAAAACCAGTGCCAGCACCAGTGCTAGTGCTAGTGCCAGTATCAATCTCAATGGCAACGTTCCTGGCAACGACGCCGGCACCGCGATGTTGGCTTCTAGGCCTCTTACTCGGACAACAGCTTCGCCCACTTTGAGCGGCCGCATCCATAAGCCGGAGCAGTATGAATTTCCGCTCCCGACGTCATCATTCCACCGCGAGTGGCCTCTGATGGGCACCCCAGCACGGTTGTTGTCCATGTCGTCGTCGGCATCGAGGGCGGCGGCAGCAGCCTCTGCCTCTGTTGCTGGTTCGGCTGTTGGGCGGATCGGGGGGCCCCCATTCTTTGGCAGTGCCAACCACGGCAGCGTTGCTTCTTCGGCACCGTCCCTCCTTCCGTCAGCGTCAGCCTTATATACCGCCTCATCTCCCGTGTCCTTAGTTTCACCGCCCACCCCTTCTGCAGCTTCTTTGGGAACTTCTACGGGAGCTCCTACGACCACTTCTACCACCGGCGCTGTTTCTGTCCCGTCTCTGGTCATTCCACCGTTGCAATACTAAGATGTGGGTCAACCCCTGGGCGACGCTTTGCAACACGCTTTCATCTTGCCATATTACTCCGTAGGTCATTTTCATTTGCTTTCTCGTTTCGTCGGATTATCGTGGGTTAATAAGTGGGTTTGAGGGAATGACATGCCGCAGATACTATGTAAACTGTTGGGTGCTCACGGCTGGGTATGGGGGTACGAATGACTGGAATTGATGACAGGCACAGTCTCTATCAGGAGAAGGGTCTGAATTGTTTTGTTACTGCACGTACGATAAGTTGGAATCAACTGTCTACTCCGTATTGGAATTAGTCTACACCAAGCTTTCTCTCTCCTCTCGTAACTCTCGTATGTCCAGCCTGATCGTCCAAGACGCAATTTGAATGTGGTTGGGACGAATGCTCCGACGGAGTACGGAGTAGTACATATCAGGGCCCCAGATTCATGCCATTAGCAGCCGGTTTGTTTGTTTCGGCCAAGTGTATATTACGGGGTAGCCCGTACTTACCTCGTGGTCATTTTGTTTGGCACAAAAGTTAATATATACTGTAGGCCAACACAGAGCCCTGTCGTAGATTTTCCTTCATAGCATTCGTATGATTTTCTATTACTCGTATACGATACCCAGGGTCATGGTTAGAAGAATAATGGAGGCTCGCACGGAGTCCGGAAATGTACATACTCCGTAAGATACATGCCACGGGGAAGGACGAAAACAAGCCGATGGGTACTGTCGGTGAAGTATGCCTGCTGGAGAACAGCGGTGAGGACAATATGTAAGAATGAATAATGAACAAATCGGATGACAGAATAGTAAGAAAATTAAGGTTAACTGGGAACAATAGACAACAGTAAGAATTACGGAATAAGAGAACCCAAGAGATTAGAAATAAGGAAGTGACGAGAAACGTAAGAGAAACCGAAAATGTCACTGGAGGAAGTGAAAGAGTACTGTTGGCAACATTACAAAAAAATGGAGACCATTGGTAAGATATCTTACCATTTCTGCATCTTGCGATGTGCGGTGCGTCCGCGAAAGGGGTCGGCACCGGCTACGTCTGTGGCCGATTCGACTGACCGGACCGGATGTGCGTTTTCGACCGGCCAATCAGTTACAACCGGAGCTCTTGCTCTGCGATCGCCAGCGGCCTGTTGCGTCAATGCAGGTAACGCAGTCCACTTTTGGCCAGAAGGTCTACGGAGTAGGGATTACGGAGTACGATTGTCTATAGAACAAGTGATTCCGCATTCAATGAAACTCCGTAGTCCGTAATAGTCAAGCAATGCCTGCTGGCATAATACAGCAGGCCTGAAATACGATCATGGTAATAAGATATCTTACATTAGCCATCCCGTCGACCCAAAGCTCGGTGGCATGCAGAGCGGCAAATAAGCAATTACGGGCGAAATAAGAACAACTCTGTCTGTGCCACGCAGAAGAGGCGGATCGGCAAAATGGCCAAGCTCTGTGTGTACTCGTACGAGTGAGGGCTCGGCATACCTGCTCAGCCTGTCCCCCTTAATACAGAACGGACGGAGCATAGCCGGAATACGAGAAAAGAACGGTCCAAAAATAAGACGTGCCCCAGATGCAAAAGACAATAAAGCGGAGTTCGGCAGGATACCCCTGAGCGGGATCCCTGTCTGCAATGCCGTATCTGTTTCGTTTTCGGCCTTTGCTTCTGCTGGTCTCGGATGGATCTGGCTGCTACGAGTAAGATACAACAGCAGTCCGCACACAGCTCCCCACAAAGCCAAAAACGCCTCGCAGCTGTGGCAATAAGGGCAATAAGTGCCAACCAAATATACCTGAAACGCTGGCCGGCAGAGCCAAAATCAGCTGTCAACCAAAGTACCTGTACGGAGGTACGCTGTCGTCCAGCCCGAAGTCCTGGTGTAGAGTTGTGCAGAGCACATCCTCCGTAGTACGCACAAATCAATGACGTCCTATCTTCTTTTCTTCTCTTCCCCGTGCTGCACATTACAGAGAGGAGATCCTCAGCTCCACTCTCTGCTTCTTTTGTTTTCTTTTGTCTTCTTTCTTTGCTTTTCTGACTTCCATCAGCCTGTATCTTCCCGGCTTCCTGCTTCTTCTTACCGCTAATGATTGTAGGCATGCAGGAGATTATATTCGGCAGCAAAACAAAGCAAAGCAAAGCAAACCTTCCAGCCAGTATTTTACGGAGTACGTCGCACTGCTTCGTCTGTGTTGGCTCCTACTTCGCTACCAAGAGGAAGGCACCCAATTTGCCAGACTTCATCCTTGCACAAGTAGTGACCATGGACAATGCCTGCATGTGTGCGCATAAGCTGCCAACCTGGCAGGAGACCCAGTTTTCCAGGGGTAAAATGCGCTAGGTCGTCCATCCAAATTTAAGACGGACCTCTTACCAATAGCAGCGATGGTAGTGGATAATAATTTCACTTAGGTAATGTAAGCCACTCGTAAGAGCGCCACCCAATGCCGTTGGCACTTTCCCGATTGCAGCACCGGCGTGAGCAGACGGCCTCGTCGTTCCTTCTTCCTCTTGTTCTGTTTTATGGGGCTCTCCAGCAGTAATACCGGACCGGCCAATGAGAGTCGAGATGTCCCAACCGTCTTTTTCACTCGCGTTGTAGAAAGAACATCATCCAGGAACGCGCCCCCATTGTTGTCGCTCTAGCCGGCGGCTCGCCCGGGTATCATCATTCCAGCCAAGCACCCTTCTTCCTCGGCAGGCCTCCTGCTCTGTCGAGCATACACAATCAAAAAAGAATACGAACAAAAACACTGCAATTTCCTCACGGCAACGCAGCCTGTCGACAGGTCCACCGCCTTTCTGGCTCACCGTGACATCTTGGCAGAGTGTCGTGGGCCTACGGAGCAGATCTGGACTCGCGATACGGCCTCCTATGCCAGCTAAGATTAATCGGACAGTGAAGGCCGTATGGAGTATGTACGAGTACTCCGTACACTAACCGAACTCTGGCGGTCAGGCTGCCAGAATTGGCGCAGCTTCTTCCTCTCACAGATAGCGCGACTCTGAAATGAGCACCGTGGAGAAGATGAAAAACAACAGCATGACCTCGACGAGTGCTCCGTACTACTGGACCCCTGCACACGTTAACCGGGTCATTTGTGCATATTTGATGGAGCAGGGTTCACGTTGGTCGCCATGGACAGCCCCCCCGGCCTTGCCTTTCGAGGAATAGCAGCGTCCCATCCGCCTTTCGCATTCCGACCCTCATTCCATATTCCCCCTTTCCGTGAGCCCTGCACGAAATCTGCGCTCATGCTAATAAGCACCGAGACCGCCCTACTTGATCGAGAATGATCTTTTCTTCTTTCCTTCCCTTCCTCATCCCAAACCACACATCATCGTCGCAGATGTTGTCGACAAGTTCCTGAAAGTACTTCGCTTTCGTCACTCGTTTATAGTTCTTCCAAACCGCTTCACTCTTTCAGCGGTACTCGTTTTCATCCGCGCCAAAAATCACCATAATACCAGCATCTGCATTTCGATCCCGCCAACATGAAGGGATCCATCGTTGCAGCTGCGGCTGCCCTCATCGGCAATGCTGCTGCCATTCGCATGCGTCACGGCCACGCGCACGCGCACGAGCTGTTCGAGAAGCGTGACGAAGTCTGCACGACCTACCTCACGACCATCACCGGTTCCATGAGTAAGTTGAGGCTTATTTCCACTCGTCAGACCAGCCTCGACCAATGCTAATCTTTCACAGCCTGGTACCCGACTCCTGGTGCCAGCACCACAAACGTGGCTCCCACTCCTGCTGTTCCCACGATCGTTGTGCCCAACAACTACACCAGCAAGGCTGTGCCGTCGCCGTCGTCGTCTGCCCCCGTGCAGCTGCCGTCGACCACCACCTCGGCAGCACCTGTCACGACCACGGTTGCCACCGTCCCGACCCCTGGTGTGGAGACGTGCGCGACTCCCGGCACCTACACGTTCCCGGCGACTACCGTTGTTGTGACCGAGACGACGACTGTCTGCGGTGCCACGACCGCGCCTGTGACTTCGGGCACCAACACCATCGGTGGTGTGACCACTGTCGTTGAGACTGCGACCACTGTCGTCTGCCCGTACGCCACCACGTCGACGCAGCCCGGCGGTGTTGTCACTAGCATCCTTACCTCGACGACCTATGTCTGCCCTTCGGCTGGCACGTACACCATTGCGCCGATCACGACTGTGGTCACGACCGACACCGTTGTTGTCTGCCCCGCCGTTCAGACCTTCACCCCTGGCACCTACACCAAGCCTGCTGTGACGACAACTGTGGTTGAGACCGACGTTGTTGTCTACTGCCCGTTCGCTACGCCGAGCGCCAGCAGCTCCGTTGTTTCGACGACGCCTGTTGCTGTCCAGGCTACCACAACCGCTGTTGCCGTCCCGACGACGCCGGCCGCTGCTGTCCCGACTCTGGGCATTGAGACTTGCGCGACTCCCGGCACCTACACCTTCCCGGCGACTACCGTTGTTGTGACCGAGACGACGACTGTCTGCGGTGCCACGACCGCGCCTGTGACTTCGGGCACCAACACCATCGGTGGTGTGACCACTGTCGTTGAGACTGCGACCACTGTCGTCTGCCCGTACGCCACCACGTCGACGCAGCCCGGCGGTGTTGTCACTAGCATCCTTACCTCAACGACCTATGTCTGCCCTTCGGCTGGTACCTACACCATTGCTCCGATCACGACGGTTGTCACGACTGATACTGTTGTTGTCTGCCCTGCTGTCCAGACCTTCACCCCCGGCACCTACACCAAGCCTGCTGTGACGACGACTGTGGTTGAGACCGACGTTGTTGTCTACTGCCCGTTCGCTACGCCGAGCGCCAGCAGCTCCGTTGTTTCGACGACGCCTGTTGCTGTCCAGGCTACCACAACCGCTGTTGCCGTCCCGACGACGCCGGCCGCTGCTGTCCCGACTCTGGACATTGAGACTTGCGCTACCCCTGGCACCTACACGTTCCCGGCGACCACCGTTGTCGTGACTGAGACGACCACCGTGTGTGGTGCCCAGATTACCTCTGTGACTTCGGGCACGAACACTATTGGTGGTGTCACTACCGTTGTTGAGACCGCCACGACCTTTGTGTGCCCCATCGCCACGACGTCGACTCAGCCGGGCGGTGTTGTCACTAGCATCCTTACCTCGACGACCTATGTTTGCCCTTCGGCTGGCACCTACACCATTGCGCCGATCACGACTGTGGTCACGACCGACACCGTTGTTGTCTGCCCCGCCGTTCAGACCTTCACCCCTGGCACCTACACCCGTCCGGCCGTGACGACGACCGTTGTCGAGACTGACGTCGTTGTCTACTGCCCCTTTGCCACGTCGAGCACCAGCACTGCTGTTGCCGTTCCCCAGGTTTCCACCACCGTCGTTGCTGTTCCCCAGGTTTCTACGACCGCTGTTGCTGTCCCTGTGATTTCCGCCTCGGTCGCCATCCAGTTTTCGTCGGCTAAGGCTTCGACCTCGTCGGCTGCCGCGACTGCTTCGTCCACCTCTGCGGCCACGCTTGGCGGCGGTTCGCAGTGGGCCATCACCTACACGCCGTACACGACGACGGGTCAGTGCAAGAGCGCGTCGGATGTTATGACGGACATTTCTGCTGTCAAGGACAAGGGTTTCACGACGGTGCGTGTGTACTCGACTGACTGCGACACTCTGCCGAGCGTCGGTGCTGCCTGCAAGGCCTACGGCCTGAAGATGATCATTGGTGTGTTTATCGGTGAGGTTGGCTGCGACAACGGCAACCCGGACGTCGCGTCGCAGATCTCGGCCATCAAGAGCTGGGGTATGTGGGATCTGGTTGAGCTTGTTGTGGTCGGTAACGAGGCCGGCAACGACGGCTTCTGCACGCCCGCCCAGCTGAAGTCGCTTATTGTGGAGGTCAAGACGATTGTGTCTGATGCTGGCGCCAGCTGCCCGGTGACGACGACCGACACGGTCAACATCTGGCAGGATACTGAGTTCTCGTCGGTCATCTGCCCCGTTGTGGACGTCGTTGCTTGCAACGCCCACGCTTACTTCAACGCGGGGACGAAGCCGTCTGAGGCCGGTACTTTCGTGCAGGGCCAGCTGGACATTGTCAAGAAGATCTGTGGTCTTGAGGGCTACGTTCTGGAGACGGGCTGGCCGTCGTCGTGCGTGGCCAACGGTTTGGCCACGTGCTCGTCTAACGACCAGGCCACGGCTATTTCGTCGCTCAAGGAGGTTGTTGGCGGTTCCGTCGTCTTCTTCTCCTTCTCGGACGATGAGTGGAAGGAGGGTGGCTCTTGCGGCTGTGAGCAGCACTGGGGCTGCGGTCAGCTGTTCTAAATGACCTGAACAGTTGACGTTGTCTTTTCCGTGTTCTCTCTTTTGTCTTGTTGTCTTCCTCTTTTCAAGAACCGTCCCTGCTGTCAAGGCCTCTGCTCTGTTGCCGGCTATGTATCCATCCATTCATGTCGGGCCTTTATCCAATCTTGCCCCCAACCCGATCTTCCGCACGGCTTTTTATGAACAGCTTGTGTATTAAATACTCTAGCATATTTTTGTGTCTGTCTGTGTCTTGTGGCATGCCAATGGGATATTTTTCACCTACAAGAATCGAACATTCAACACTAGTTATGCGGTCCTGTGAAGAAGTACCCAGTTATATTATGTCAGCTATTTGTGTAAGCGCAGCTTTGCACGTGATGGCCCCACTGTAGCTCCTCCTGTCCCATGACCTCAACAGCTCTACAAATGCTGGTCGTTACCAGCCTCTTTGTGTTTACCCTGCTGCCCGACAGCTACAGTGCTGCCTCACCATGCTCTCTCTACGAGCACAGCACGCGACATACACGGCAGATCTGCTGACTCAGTTGTTCATCCTCTCCGACTGGGCCATGGCCTTTCTGACACGGCCTCTTGTACATCCAATCTCTCGTCTCGACAGCAACGATCATGAAGCTGCTACGCAGTGCCATCATCCTGTTCGGGGCTGGGCTAGCGACGTCGGCAGCGGTGCCTGAGCGGCAGCATCAGGCCGTGCTGTCAGTTGGCGATGCGCAAGACGGCCCTTTGATCTCATCCTCATCCACCACTCTCTTTGGTTCGCTCGAGCGGCTGGCCCGCCTGGTCGACATTGCCTACTGTGTCGGCACTGCTGGAACGGGCGTGGCGCCGCCGTTCTCGTGCGTGTCACGCTGTCACGAGTTTCCCGAGCTGCGCCTGGTGGCTTCGTGGAACACGGGCGTGCTGCTGGGCGACAGCTGCGGCTTCGTGGCCGCCGACGACGGCCGCCGCGAGGTCTTTGTCGTCTTTCGCGGCACCTACAGCCTGACCAACACGGTCGAGGACCTGCGCACAGTGCCGCAAGACTACAAGCCGTATCCCGGGACTGCTCTCGCCTGCCGCAACTGCACCGTCCACGCCGGCTTCTTCGACTCCTGGCAGAGCGCCCGGCCACTAGTCCTGCCGGCTGTTGCTGCCGCGCGCGATCCCTCGTCATCGCCAGACACCCAGGCGACACAGCCGCTATCCCCCTACACCGTCCGGCTCGTTGGCCACAGCCTCGGTGGCGCTGTCGCTGCGCTGGCTGGCCTCGAAATGCGCACTAGCCTTGGCTGGGATGACGTGCACGTGACCACGTTTGGTCAGCCGCGCATCGGCAACAAAGGACTCGCTGCCTTTGTCGAGACTGTCTTTGGCCTCGACAACAACAACAACAACAACAACAACATGACCATGACCACGACCACGACCAACAGCTTCCGCCGCGTCACCCACAGAAACGACCCCGTCCCCCTCCTCCCCCTCGCCGAATGGGGCTTCCGCTCGCATGCTGGCGAGATCTTCATCGATAAACATGACCTGCCACCGTCTCCCGATGATCTGCTTCTTTGTCGCGGCCGTGACGACCCGGCCTGTATCGCTGGTCCCTCGTCCGACAGCCTCTATGGCTCGCTTCCACGCCTCCGCTTGTGGGAGCTCTTCTTCGCCCACCGCGACTACTTTTGGCGCCTCGGCCTCTGTTTTCCTGGCGGCGATCCTGCCGACCGTTGGCGCAATGTCCACTATGGCGACCCGTCTGCCGATGAGCTGTAACCCTCTTGCTTCTTGTTGCTTGTCTAGTTCTTATTACTTGATCAAATCACATTGTCGTGTTCTATGCTGTGATAGTCCAATCATTACTCCGTATACTCGTCCTTCAAATTTCCACTGGGTATATACATATGCACGTGACTACAGTCAATCCAGTTCGATCACCCCGATCGCCTGAGAAGCCCGTCGTGACGTGCTCAACCTGCTCGCCGAACCTATCCGGGCTATCTTGCGTGCCGGCTCGCCCGTCTCGTCGCCCGTCTCGTCGTCCTCGTCGCCCTCATCCCCCAGGATCGGTCGCCACGTCCCATCTGGCGCCACCCAGCTCGACCGAGCCCGGCTCAGCGTTCCGTTCTTCTCAAGCTGATTGCGCACATCCAAGAGAAACCCGTCTACCCGCAGGCTCTTCGGTCGCGCGTCTTGCGAGCAGATGGGGCACCGCCACTTGTCCGGCTGCGACAGCTGCACCACCTTGCAGCACCTACACGGCGCCTGGTGTTGGCAGGGCGTTATCGAGTAGAGTGGCCGCGTCGTAAGCCAGATCGACAGGTCAAAGCATTCCATGTGCAAGCAGTTGACGCCTCGTACCGGTGTCTCAAACACCTTCGCCGTGAATGGATCTGCCAGGTCCACCGACAGGTCTGCCTGCACCACTGCAAAGCCGTCGTCGTCATCGTCGTCATCGTCATTGTCGTCGTCGCCACGACCTCCGGGAGCTGTCGCCAGTCGCCTTCTGATTTCCTCGACAGTCTTGCTGGGCTGCCGGAATCCCTGGCTCAGAATTCGCCCCACCACATCGCTATGCTTCTCCGTCTTGACCACTTCAACCCCCAATACGTGAAGCAGCGCGTCCGCCGGAACGCCTGTCTCTGGGATTGCCACCTGCAGCTTGTTCGTCCCAACATTGATCATCGACGTCATTTCGGCCGCAAGATCTTTGCCACTGTGTGCCTTTCGCCGCACTGACACGACCGATCCGTTGAGGTTGATAAAGATGTTCATCGGCCAGGTTGTGTCCAGGATCAACCACTCTGCCTCCGTCATCACCTTCCCTGTCGATGGTGCCTTGCAGCAGCGGATTCTGTACCGCAGGCTTCCGCTGCTTTGCTTCACCACCGGAAGAAGCTCCCCCGGCGGGACCTCTCGGGATGCCAGATGGTCGTACTCATCCTGCGTCACCTGAAACTCGAACCTGTACAGATGGCTGCGTGCCGGGGTCGACACTGGCCCGATCGCCATGTGGTGCACCGATTGGTAGAACCGTTCTTGGCCGGGTCTATCGGCTAAGCTCTCGCCCGTGTTTAGATCGAATAGCACCCGCACCGGGCTTCTAATCGGTGCCTCGTGCAGGCCTCCTTGCAACGACTGCGAATCTGTCGGACTGTGAGGATATTCGCTTCGAGGTATCCGTCGAGTCTTCGGGATCAATCGTTTTTCGAGTCCGCTATACATGTCGATTGCGCTAGATGTGGCAGGCGAGCACATCTGCTTCCGAGTAGCAGCAGGCTGTTGCACATTGGCAGATGCGCTTAGAACTTGTGGCTGCACAGAGACTGCTGGTGACTGCACGGAAATACTGCTGGCCGACGCGCTGGGAGATGGTAGGATGAATACATCCGCCGATGTCGGCATTACTTCTTGCGTCTGGGGTTGCACAGCAGCTGCTTCTGCGTGATGCGAGAGCCGCTGAAACGGCTGTATTTGCTGCGGCATTTGTATCATTTGTGACATCTGCTGCACCTGTGGCACCTGTTGCATTTGTTGCATTTGTTGCGGCTGTTGCATCTGTTGCATCTGAGGCATCTGCTGCGCCAGCCGCATCTGCTGCAGCTGTTGTACTTGTTGCGGGTGCTGTAAGGGCTCCATCGGCCGCATCCCCTGGGTCTGAGGTGCCTGCTGCAGTGGCAGTTGTTGCATCAGTGGACTCTGTTGAGACTGCCGTCGTGGCAGCAATTGCAGCTGGGACAGCCGTGGGCTTTGCTGCATCTGTTGAGGCACATGATACGCTGGCTGCGATATCTGCTGAAGTTGCTGTGTCTGTCGTACAGGGTTTCCCTGTAATTTGCTCGCTTGCTCGGAAGCCAGGTCGGGACGCACTTGCGGCATCTGGAGCTGCGGTACTTGGGCCACATATGACTCTGGCATTGACACTGACACCAGCTGCATGGCTGCAGAGTTGTGCATCCCCGGGCTTTGAGTCACCTCCAATTCCTTTGCCTGCGCCCTGGCCGTCTGCATGAGCCCAAGGTAGGCTTTGATGAGATCGGCGTTAATTTGTTCCAGTTCCGAGAGCCCGTTAAACATCCGGGATACGAACTTCCCAGGAGCTACATAATGGCGCATCTGGTCGTCGTGGAACAAGACCAAATATTCATTGGACAGGGATGCGTTGGGGGCACCAAGGCGGCTTCGAGTGCACGTGAATATGCACTCCTGCAGCGTCGGGGATATGCAGCCCAGTATGCCGACCGTTTCATCCATCAGTACCGGATAGGCACGTCTAGAGAGCTCGAGCAGGAGATCGTCCCATCGCTGCCGCAGACAGTTCAGAAAGCAAACAATTTGAGGAAACACCTTGGCATAAAAGGGCCCTGACATCATCGCCTTTATGTCGCAGGGAAAGACTGTGAAGTATTGGCGGAGACTTAACCGTATGATGTCGTTCTTCCTCAGAATATCCTCCAGCTTGGTGAAACTTGTGTCCACTTGCTGTGGGCTGAGATCCCTGAAGATGCCGTAAACATCCTCATGGCGCAAGGACCAGATGTTGAATAGCTGGTGCAGTGCAAGATAAAAGCCATCATTTGACCGACAGGCCTTCCTTAACAGTATGAAGCGAGGGAATTCACAATCTTGGGAAAGCCTGGCCGGGCCACCCGCACTGTTAATGGTACTGTCGATCGAGCCGATGCAGCTGTTGTAGTGTATCGCTGTCGGGGTAACAATCTGACCGGAGTAGTTCCTCTTATAAGGAACGCCATTACTGGGGAGAATCGGAATTATGGGAGTGATTGGGGAGGCCGCAAAGGAAGGGGTCCGCGGACTGTTGGAAAAGCCGGCTGTCGCCGCGGGCATAGCGGGAGCCGTTGCCATGGCGGCCAGCCCGCTGACCTCTTCGGTGTTTCTGTCAGTCAGCCGAGAAGCCTGCTGTTGGGAGGACAGCCATTGATCTTGCCTGGCCATGTATTGGGCCGGTGATGATGGGGCTGACGGCGGAGGTCGTGTCGGCTGCTGTGCTGTGGGTTGTGAGATCGTCGGTCTCGACGCAGCGGTCCACAGAGAGCCCGAGCCTGGATGAGCGACCGTGGAGCCGGAAGCAGTGGCAGTGGCAGAAGTGATGGCAGCAGCCATAGCAGCGACCAGGGCGTTGTCTAGGCCGGATGCCGAAGCACTTGGCGGGACAGAAGCGTACTGGAGCGGGCTATTCAGCGCAACAGTAGCCGGGCTCGGCTCGTCACTGGGTGACGGAGAGGGTAGCACACGCAGGGATGCAGCTTGCGAGGCCCTGTGACACAGAGACTAGTCAGCATCAGCACATCCCACCAAAACCATCCGAGACAGTGCATACAATGACAGGGCTGGCTCGGTCATGTGCAGGGGGACTCCAACAGGTTTGGAGGGTGCAGTAGCGTTGGCAATGGCAGCACCGGCAGCCACGACAAAAAGGCGGATCAGAAAGAGCGGTCGACTGTGCCGGGGTCTCTGCAGTTAGCCAGGAGGGACGGCCGGCGCCGAGAAAGGCGTTTGCAGTGCGATTTGCCGAGGCGAACTGGGTTACCGACACAGAACTCGGTTGTACTGGCAGTTGCTGCTCTCGGGCCATGTTGGGCTCAGGCAACCATGCTGCTCGACGTCAGCGAGAGCAAAGGCAGAAGCGGCTAGTGTGGCTGTCGTCTTTGTATTCGGGTCATCCAGAGCGGGTGATACGTCCTCTCTGGCCGTGCTCCACCGACATGCACACTCACCAGATCAGAAAGCAGACCGCGCGCAAAGACGCAGGACCCATGCGAAGGCGCTGGTCCGGGGTCAAAGGACGAAGTCGAAGCACCGGTGAGTCAGGGCAGAAGAGACAAAGAGGTCTCTGAGAGCGAAATGAAGGGCGGGAATAGAGCGGTAAAAAGGCGAGGATGGATCAGTAAGATTGCAGGCTTCAGCCGCGCTCCAAATCGGCAATACAGGGGAAACAACGCTGTCGAGAGGAGGGACGGACGAAGCAACCGACTGTTGACACTTTTGGTAGGGATGGAGATTTTGAGGTAAAGAGGGCGGGGGCAGGAAGACAAAGGACAATAGAGAGAGCGAGGCAGGGCGAAGATAAGTCTGTGATCCCAACACATCCCCACCTATAAGGTGCGAGGCTGTCGTGCCTTCCGTTTGCTGGCCTGGCCGTTTGGCCGGAAGCAGCTTTGCCTCAGGATGCCCAATAAGGAAGACAGACGACACGCTAGAGTTACGGGGGCCCACTTTGCCAAGCCAAAGGCAGAGGTTGTCTGAGCTGGCAGGCTGCAGGTCGTGAGATGGCGCGTTTGGTCCGCGTCGCTCTATCTTTTCCCCCTGTCGGCTCTCTCGCGTTTGCACCGGAGAAGGAGACGGCAGCACCGGCCTGGACAGGGAAGATGGACGTGTAAACGACGACAGAACCAGCGGCCGTTGGGCGGAAATCCGTTGCGCTAGCAGCGCTTAGGTTTTGGGTACGGATCAACAAATATCCGAGATCCAATAGAACCTGCAGTTGGACCCGCCTAAAAAGTAAAAAAAAAATTGACTGAAAAAGAGGCAAGAGAATTTCCGAAGCAGAAAGCGGGCAGCCGGTTACAGCGATCAGACACAGACGCTCGCGGCGAAGCAGAGCGCATACGAGACAATGGCAACAGCGGTTGTGCCTCTGGCACAGCTGAAGCTGGCAACGGGGCCGGAGCCCACGACGGCCGAGCAGCGATACTGGAAGTCGTTTCGGAACGCCAAGTCGCACACGACGACGGCAGCATGGTCGGTGACGCATATCAGCTACCCGGTGGCGGCGGGCTCGATTGCGTTGTTGTCAGCGACGGCGTCCAAGGCCAACGACATGTTTGCAGTGACGGCAGGACCGCGGGTGGATCTCTACAGTATCCGCAAGCGTGAGGCGCTCAAGTCGATTGGGCGATTCGAGGCGGTGGCGCGAAGCGGCGAGATCCGGGCAGACGGGCGAGTGCTGGTGGCGGGCGACGATTCGGGCAAGATGCAGGTCTTTGACGTCTCGGGCGGGTCGCGGCCGGTGATCCTCAAGACGTGGCATGTGCACCGACAGCCGACGTGGGTGACGAAATGGTCGCCGACGAACCTGACGACGTTGATGAGCGCCAGCGACGACAAGACGGTGCGGCTGTGGGATCTACCGAGCAGCGACGCAGTGCGCACGTTTGTGGGCCACCAAGACTACGTGCGGTCGGGCGCTTTTATGCCGACCGGAGGAGGCGGAGCGGGCAGCGGGTCGGGAGCCCGAGGAGGTCACGGCGGCAGCAGCAGCAGCGGCGGTAGTGGTGGTGGTCACATGTTGGTGACGGGGTCGTACGATGCGACAGTGCGGCTGTGGGATGCACGGACGCCAGGCGGAGCAGTGCTGACGTTCAAGCACGCAGCGCCAGTAGAGGCGGTGCTGCCGATGCCGTCGGGGACGGTGATTCTGGCGGCGGCAGAGAACTCGGTGTCAGTGCTGGATGTGGTGGCAGCACGGCCGTTGCAGCTGCTGACGAGCCACCAGAAGACGGTGACGTCGCTGTGTCTGGCGTCGGGCGGCGAGCGCGTGCTCTCGGGCGGGCTGGACGGCCACGTCAAGGTGTATGAGACGGGGACGTGGCAGGTGGTGGCTGGGGCCCGATACTCGTCTCCGGTGCTGTCGGTGGCCGCGGTGGCGGCTGGGGCTGCCGGTGAGGCCCGCCATCTGGCCGTGGGCATGTCGTGGGGCGTGCTGAGCATCAAGACCCGGCTGACGGGCGCGGCGGCCGAGCGAGATCGTGAGCGACAGCGTGAAGCCGCAGCTCGCAGTGCTGGCACGCTGGACCGTCTGGATGCGAGCAAGAACCGGACCAAGCAGTTGGTGGCTGCGCGCAAGCGGCTCGAGCAGGTCGGATCGACTCCGGGATCGGGATCGGGGGACTTTGTCATCAACCCCACTGACGACGCCCGCGGCAAGAAAGAGACCGCTTGGCAGAAAGACTTGCGCCACCAGCGATTTGCCGCTGCTCTGGATACCGCGCTCGACCCAAGCTCGTCCGGCCACAGCTCCATCAACACGCTCACGCTGCTCGTGGCCCTGCAGCATCGCAGCGCTCTGCGTGATGCGCTCGAGAACCGCGACGAGGTCTCGGTCCAGCCCATCCTCAAGTGGGCTTGTCGCCACATTGTCGATCCGCGCTACACGGCCGTCTGCACTGACGTCGGCCTGCATCTGCTCGATCTCTACGCCGAGTACGCTGCCGCCTCAACCGAGCTCCACGACGGCTTCCAGACCCTCTGGCGCACTGTTAGGCGTGAGGTCGAACAGGCCCAGCTGGCCTGCCAGACCCGCGGCATGGTCGAGAACCTGATGATGAACGTGGCTTGATTTGCATGTCTTCGTTTTCTGTCTTCCTTCTCTCTCTTTCTCTCTCTTTCCATGGCATGGGCGTTCAGGTGGTCAAAATAAGCCGCAGCCTCGCAGCAACAGGCCGGCTGCACGCGCGATAGATACTGTTCAATATTCAGATACAAGCACCAACTGCCCAGGTGCAGGTCCTCTTTTCACGAATGAAATGTGTACGGAGTACCGGAGTACTCCGTGCGGAGTACATTCTCCGTAAGATAAGAGAAGGCGTATCAACGTCACGCGCACGGTGTGTGCACAGTACTCCGTATGGTCCAAAACAAACGTTCGCTCTTGCCAGCCCGCAGATCGCCATCGTATCTGACGAACACACAGTACGAGCATGCAGGTGCACCATTTTTAGCACCAATGGCGCAAGCAGGCGTTCCTGCCTGTATCTTTGAAACTTGGGTCCTCTGTCCAGCCACGCCGGCCGCTTATTCGCCCACGCCGTCCCACCATAGTCCACCCACGCCCTTTTGCGTCATTCTGTGGCGTCGGGCAACTGCTCTACTGGGTTAGATGCAAAAGAACAAAAACAAGAAAAAAAACAAGAAAAAAATCTCGCCCTCCATTAGTAAGATCAGCACCCACGGACTGCATAGTGCGTATCTTGATACCGCTACTCTAGCGCAGCCGGCACTAATGGCCGACAGTAAAATTAAAAACACTCACCTCTGCCCCTGGGATTTCTTTGTATCTGATTCACATGTCTTTGAGCACCCGTTCTCTCGCCTCACTGGCCTCGCTCACCCGCCTATCCTTCCGTCTTACGTCGTAATACATAGCACATGCTCCTTGATTGTGTAAACCACCACCTCGAAACCCGGACTGTTGTCTGACCCGTATCTTGGCCCAATCCGCCCTTAGCGATAATAGCTGGTCCGAGCTAATGCGAGCTGCCCGATTCTTCCCCGTATTTCATCCTGCCATTGCCTCTCTGATCACTCGCTCTGCCAGGCTTCTTTTGACATCCTCTCCGTCCTGTCTTCGAACCCTGGCATTCGGCCACATCTGCCAGCAGCAATGGAGTGCACCGTCTGAGTCTTCGTCTTCAATCTCAGCCTATTCGCTGTATATCCGACGCTTAGATCTCGTCTCCCAGCAACAGCAACACGCAACACTTCTTCCTCGTCCGACAGAATCATGGCCGACCACTGTCCTGTCCAGACCAGCGCGGTCTATGTTCTCGGCTGCAACAGCAGGGCCGCCATGCCGCCGCCATCACCACCTTCGCCGCGCATGACTGCCGACATCGCCGACGAGCTCTGCACGCCCATCCAGGAGCTCTCGCTGGACACCGTCGACAGCTCTGCGGCCGAGCCTGCTGCCGCCACCAAGACGACCGATGATGCCTCCTCGGCAACTTCCATCTCGCGGTCGTCTTCGTCCTCGTCTTCTTTGCCCCCAGACTTGCATCGCCCGTCGCTGTCGTCACCCATCACCACTGCTCCCGCCACGGCTGCCGGTTCACCGCTGATCACTGCCGCTGACCTCGACCTCGACCTCGACCTTGATATGTGCCGCTCTGACGCCCGTCTTGCTGGCGCTGTTCATGTCCTCGCCACCGAAGCCAACGCTCTCCAGTCTGTCGCCCACCTGTACGGCAGCTCGGCCAGCGCCCGCCAAGGCTTTCATCGCGCCGTCGATGCCATCGTCCACACCCAGACCGCCTATCCGGCCGGCAAGCTCATCGTCGTCGGCGTCGGCAAGTCTGGCCACATCGGCCGCAAGCTGGCTGCCACATTCAACAGCCTCGCTGTCCCGGCCTCCTTTGTTCATCCCACCGAAGCATTGCACGGCGATCTCGGCCACGTCCGCTCCAACGACTGCCTGCTGTTCATCACCTACTCCGGCAAGACCCAGGAGCTAGTTAGCCTGCTGCCTCATGTCGATCCCTCCCTGCCGTTGATCCTGCTGACCGCCCACGTCCCCACTGAGACTTGTGACCTGGTCCAACACCGCCAGGAGTTTCATCGCTCTGCCACGGCCGTCGGTCCCACCATCCTGCTGCCCGCCCCCATCCCGGTCGAGGAGGCCGTCTCGTTTGGCGTCTCCGCACCCACCACCAGCACTACCACCGCCCTGGCTGTTGGCGATGCCCTCGCTATCGTCGCCGGCAATGAGCTGCACTCGGCCGTCGGTGGTGTTGGCTCCGTCTTTAAGCGCAACCACCCCGGCGGCGCCATCGGCGAGACCACCCGGACGCAGGCCGGCCCTGCTGCGGGCAACGACCAGATTCGCCACCTGGCTCCTCCCGGGGCCTCCATCCCCGTCTTGAAGGCTGCTGAGGCTGCCGTCTGTGCCGACATCTTGCATGCTGGCTATAACAACGCAGCCGCCAAGGGCTGGGTCCGTGTCGTCGGCCAGTCGCCTGACGATGCCAGCATGAGCGTTGACGGCATTGCACCGCCCAGCCGCACCCGCGCTCTGGCCCCAATTGAGTTGGCCCGTCCGGTGGCCGGGCGTGTCCGGCCTCATCGTCGGCCAGCCTGACTTCGTCGTCATATCAGCAGACACAAAGGCTCGCAATGCAGCCGAGTGGCTGCTGAGGTCGTCCCGCAGCACTGATGGTTCCGCTGCCGGACTCGACACCCCTTCTTGCGTCGTCATTGCCGTCGTTGACCATGCGAAGGCTGGAGAACTCGTCGGCGTGCTTGAGCTAAAAGATCTGTTGGATGCATGAAGAGGCCGAAAGAGGAAAGAGCGGACGGGGATACATCACCCCTCTCCCAAGGGGGAAAGAAAGAAAAAAAAAAAGGCAAGAACCAACTCCTGGAATTGCATATGTCATTGTCATTTGTTTTTGTTTTATCATTTCTGGAAAGGAGGTGAGGTTTTTTGCGCTGCTCGGAATTTCGGCTCGAGACAGAACGAAGTTACGCACAGACAACTCGTTGGAGAGTGTGGGAGGGAGCATTGGCTTTTGTAACTGCATTGGATGCGGGCATCCTATGGCAACAGACATCCAATGGCGTTTCAATCTGCAACCTGCTTGGGGGTGGTGAGGGGACGGCTCCCAAACTGTCGCATTTCATTTTATCTTTTATCTTTGTTCTTTTTATGGGGAATGCACTCGCCCCGTTCTTGCATCTCGTCACCTTCGTGACACGATTGGTTTGCTTGCTGCATAGAGCTATCTGGAACTCCGTAAGGACCTCTTGCCGTGTTCATTCGCGCTATCTTAAGATAGCAACCTACATATTAGATACCGGACAATCATGACCCGTCCCGAATCACACCTCGCCTCAGAATATATACGATTATCGCTTTCAAGCATATCGATGCAATCCACACGCTGCGGCCTGGCAGCCGCTTTGCTGAGGCCACTATTGGTTACATTTCCCAGAAGACTTCCTTATCCGAGCTTCCCGACCAGTGTGTATGTATATCTTTCATAGACTTCCCTCACAACTTTCCATCCATTACCCCCCTGAAACCAAAGAAGAAAACGAAATAGAAGCGCTTGCGAAGATGAAGAAAAAGAGAAAATTCAAGAACGAGACCAGCGGATCAGAGCCAGAATGCCTGTGCTGGATGCCAGTCATCCGCCTGCCGAGCCACAATGCTGTCGCTTGCCTGTTCGAAGTCCCTTCAATAAAAAAAAAGCCCAGTGCTCCCCTTTGAACATTGAACCCCTTGATTCCTTAAGCCCCTCCCCTAGAATTACGTCCGTTACCCCCGTATGCCCCTTTTATGTCCAAATAAACGCCGATTGAAAATGCAGGTGTCGTGCGTCGTCTAGTATATAGTTGTGAGAGAGCACAATCTTTTGCCCTCAGCTCTTCGGCGAGGCGTCCTCTTCGCAAAGTTTCGAATGGAATCGTCTGATAGTCGAGCTCTCCAAATAGTGTTTAGCCAGTTTCACCCTCTTGACATAAGCCATCTTCAGAGGTGGAACGATGCAAGAGCTCTCTCAAGCTCCCTTTCCACTTCGTTCCTCGATAGATCGTCGTCGCCTCATGCTTCAACGTACACAGAAGAGACTTGATATTCGACACAAAGAGAACAAGCAACCGCCCATTACCCACAGAGCAGTAAAGCCATATCATCAACGGATCTGATGATGGCGCTGGATAGATGACAACAGCCTCGAACTTCCTCCTATAACATCAAAAGACAACAAATCAGCATGGCCCGAAGGGCAAACAAAAAACCAGGAAAATCAAGGCGTCATCCCTTCCAGCCAACGTTCATGATGACATGAATTATGTCGCGGGCTGTGTTGACCGTATCAATGACGCGACCAATCACCCCTCCATCTCTGCCAATGGCAGTCTCACCTTCTTCGTAAGGCATGAACATGCCAGAGGCCGTTCGTCGCATCCCAGCCGGCTCTGCAAACAGGCTGCTGGTTGATGTTGTTCGCTTCAGACCCCCACCGCTGCTGCTGGAAAAAGACGTCGATGGTCCGCTGCCAACAGCACTCAGTTTTGATGTTGATGCTGATGTTGACAAAAACCCGCTAGTTCGCTTCCGCGAGTTTGCCATAGACATACCCAGCCCTTCATCTTCGCTGTCGTCCTCGTCCTCGTCCTCGTCCTTCTGTACCTGCAGGATCTCGCTGTCGGCCTTGTTGTCGATATCGACAATCCTGTCGACGGCATCGTATTCGTCGATGGAGCCAAAAAACATCCGGCTCGACGGCTTTGACGGCCGGAGGGTCTCCTGCGAAGAAGATGGCGACATGATAGGACTGCGGTAGCTATGCTTCATTGCTGATCCTTCTAGAATATCAGGGTCGTCCTCTTGAGCCTTGAGCTTCGTAGAGGGAAGCATCGCAATAGTCTTGCTTTCCGTGTGGATTGGATGACTCTGGCGGTGACGTGGCGCCGCTCGCCGCTTCAGTGCGGTGCGCTTCATCATGATGGCACCATCATCTGAGTCGCTGCTGTCACTTTCATAGCGGGGCACAGCGGATTCGTCGTCGTCGTCGTCTCCCTTAACCTCAACGACGATGCACTGCTCTACCTGCTCATTGAAATGGATGTGCCGCCGTTCGGAAGAGGGCGACACAACGCCCGACGACGAAATCGACAGCAGCAAGCTGGACGTGCCTGGACTATGGCGACGAGACGAAAATGGAAATGTGATGTAATCGGTAGTTGCGCGTTCCAAACGCGGGCGGGTTATTCTCCTGATCGCCTTGTCTTTCTGCTGGGCTTGTACCGCCGCTGCGGCTTGCTTCACCAGAGACGACGCAGACAAAGATCGCTGAAGCATGAGCTCCGACATGCTTCGCTTCTTCAGAATAGGTTTTTTGCTGTTGACGAGAAATGAGTTGGACTTTGTCAGCTCAACGCTGTCCTCGGCCTGTTGGGACGCAATGTTTTGGTGGCCTGTCTGCAATGGACCGTAGAGCCATGTGACATCGCAATCCTTCAGCCTGTTGGATGTTAGAGAGCCGTGGACACCTGATATAGAAGCTGCGCAATTGCGACCCCGAAAAGTCTTACCAGTTCAACGTCTCGGGACTTATCGTTTTCAACTTGTTCTTGGACTTCATCCATGTTCTCCAAGATGCATTTTCCAGCCGCGCAGAGTTGCTGTAGTCTCCTCTCCGGGAGACTATGTACTTCCACGACTCCCAAATGTCCTCCTCCCTCCAATTGTGAGAGAGGTAGTCGACATGGCGCGACGGTTGTGCTCGTACAGCCGTGTCGTCCTCAGCAATATGATCAAAAAAATCAAAATCGGAAGAATTTGTTCTTGATGGCCCAGTGGAAACTGTGTTGTTGTCGTTTGGCGAAGCCGCGTAAAGGTCCTCTATTTCGTGTGCAGAGGCAAGGTCTTGAGCTGGATTAAAGTAAGACACACCGTCGTAGTGCGCGTAACCAAGAACTGCACTTTCCTCGATGCCGCTCGGCGAGGTACCGAAGCCGGACCGGTCAAGACGTTCAGGCAGGCGCAGGCTAGGTGCCAATGCGGATTTCGCGGGTGATGGCACCGTGAAGGATCCGTCCGAAACGGAAGAAACATGCGGAGACGGTGGTGCTGTGAGGTCGGGGGAGCCAGAGAACACGCGACGTACTGGCTGCTGTTGATAGGTTGATTGTTGATAAAGGTCGCTTATGCGAGAGGTGGACGATGACTGGTGAAAGCCGGACTGCTTCGAACCAAACTTCGGCTGAGAGTGTGACCGGCGCAAGCTTGGCGCAAAATGCGTTGACTCATCGGAAGCGATCACCACGGCCATTCTGGAGGTGAGTTGGAATTTGAACAGCCTCAAAAAAGCGCAGTGCTTGCTTCGTATTCCTCCTTCTGTTCAGCTCCAGCAAGTCTAAAGACTTTGGCTCTGATACCCCTTCATAGGCAATGACGTGAAGTAAACGGGTGATTAAAAATTATCCAAGCAACTAGGTGAGGTATCCTGGAGAGCAAGGGGGCTGCGACGATATTTGAGACGAGGCGCAAATATTGGGGAGTGGATGCCGGAGTACACCGAAGTTTTTCTTTTTCTTAGCCGGATTTGTGAGGTTGGTAAATTGAACTTCGCCAGATAGAGTGGAGAAGGGGGAGAAGGGGGTGTGCTATTTGTTTTCCACAGCTCTTTTTTTTTTGCCTGGAACGGTTTTGGCTTTATCGAACATACGCTTTTCGTTTCGGGGTAATGCTGACGCTTTTGAAGTGATGAAGAGTGGTGAATCGCGATAAGTCTTGTCGGCATAAGCGGGAATAGCACCTCGTGTATTAAGAGCGTATTAGGAGACGAGGCACTACGTCAGGCGGATGACAAGATGATCAAATACAAGGCTGCACGAAGCTGCGTAGCTGATTTGGCAAGAGTCAGTGATAAATCAGCAGTCGCTAATGGCCGGCGTTGAGGAGCGATTGTCAGATAAGACGGGGCGGAGAGAGGAAAGCCAGTGGATTTGACGGAGCACGATGCTGCAAGAAAGTGGATAGAGCGCGAATGGTGGGATCTCGAGTATGGCGTACTCGTACAAGAGAGACAAGTGGAGGGAACAGGGACTGTGATGCAGAGCAGAGTGACAGCCTAGTAGAGGAAAGACGAACGAGGGAGATAATAGAATTAGGAGGAGACGGAAGACACGGGGCGAGAAAACAGCGATGGTCGATTATTCAAGCTCTCGGCGGAGAGCAGAGGGAGGATGTGTTCGAGAAGAAGACGGTTGAATGTAAGATACCGGCTCATCGGACTCAGGTGTGGGAGTGGTCGTAGGGAAGAGAAAGAGTGGTGTGGGTACAGGTGGCAATGGGGGAGTCTGGAAGGACGCCACTGGAATGGGTTGAAGAGCAATGAGAATTCTGCCAGAACCCACAATTCTAGTTCCGGCCGGGGAGGTATACCCCTGTTCTCTTTCCGGCTTTTGGCCAGCGTGTGAGCAGGAGGGTGTGGCCCTGTAGAGAGAGATGACTGGGGAGGGGTGTGAATTTAGCGACCGAGGAAGGTGTGTTCCAGAGCCAGAGCTAGGGCTAAAGCACAAGGTATAAAGATGGAGGGGAAGCGGCAAAGAGACATGGATTATTATTCCATAGCAACGAAGGATAAACGGGCCGTAGCCAGACGCAGCAAGACAAAACCGGAAAATCAAATGGAAAATCGAGTCGACCGGCGACCGAACACAAAGCCAGTGACCGTTGGAGAGATGGATGTCCACCTACCAACGGAGTAATGCTCGCGACGAATGCGATGAGAAGTGGGCGTACAGGGGGAATAAAGCGTGATAGTGGAGGAGAGGTGATGGAGGTGGAGTCGAGACAGAAAAAAAGGCCAGTTGTAGGGGCAGACTGAGCAGTGAATTCGCGTAGAGGGTGCTTACAGAGGACGAGCTGCTGTGTCGAGCTGCAGGGCAGGCTGATGCTGTGAGAGGCGATTGGCTGCAGCAAAGAAAGGGTGTCGACCGGGCTGTCGGCGTGATAGACGAGGAGAGGAGGAGAAGGTGATGTGTGCTGAGTGTTGGAGAGGTGACAGGAAAGCAGAGACCGAGGCAGAGGCGAGAAAAAGACCGGAAAAAACGTCTCACTCGTACTCCGTACACATCCGCCAATTTCGAGGTGGAGGCACATGACCAGACGAGATTTCTGCTTTCTGCCGTGAACCGAAGACAAGCGTCTTGCCTGCTATAATAACAGGGAGCCAATGCCAATGCAGTAGGCGAGACGGCGCCTAATACATAGTACGGCCTCCGGCCCTAGCGGTGACACGCCCTACATACATAGTATTTTAGTACTTACGTACATATAACGCCCTGGCAGCACAAAGGCCCTGGCCGCGTGGCAGCTACTGCGTCGGCTGACCTTTCCGAGTACGGGGCAGAAGTATGGGTACGAGGGATCTTGCGGGTGCTGAGCTGTCCGCAAAAGTATGTACTCGGCATGGACTGTTCTAGCTGGTCCTAGCGGATCCGACATCTCCCGTCTGAAAAGGCGCGGCTTGATTAGTCCAGTTTTTGAATTTTTTTTTCACAGCACTTGACACGGTCTACATTTTGTTGAGCTCGCACCATGCCACTCGCTTCCGTTTCCGGGAATGCAAGAGGACCAATATGTAAAACATATGCACGTACCAAGATTAAGGCCCCAGATACCCGGGCGGCGATTGGCCGGCGCTGCGCCCGAGACATGCAGACAACAAGTGACTGATCGTGGACAGAACAGACGGACGAGTGCTCGAGTACGAGTATGTCTTCGGGCGTCAGTCTGGCGTGCCAACCCGCGAGGCTCCATCAACGAGTAAGATACCTATCAGGCAGTCTCAGGCTGGCAGGCGGCTAGCCTAGACCGGTTGTCACCGAGCAGGCCAGCAATGGCCAGGAGAGATACTGTATGCATCTGCTCCGTGTCCCAACATGTACGCAATACGAGTACATAAAATACCTTACATACCCTGTCGAGCCTGCTCCTTGTCCAGCCGCAAGCCAATGCTCATTGGCACGGCTCTGCGAGCGGAGCTGTCGCTGACTCTGCTCCCTTCGTTCCGGCGATCATGTATTGAACCAGCGAGACCTGCTGTCCGGCTTGCAGCCAAAACAACTGAGCGTCGGCTGCCACCCATTGGTGGGTGAGATAATACCAATGCGTCTGCTTTGGAGCCCCGAGGATGAGCCGCTTGGTATCTTACTATGTAATAGAGCTCATCCCCAAAGTACGAAGCCGGCGCAGATCGCCCGCTGATCAACTGCCCTTGCCCGCGTGGGAGGCAGGTAGCGAGTGCGCGGAAATATGACATATCATGTTTCGACTAGCCTATATGCAGCTGTGCCGTCCTCTCACCCATTCCATCTTCACATATTACCAACTATAAAGACCCGGACGGTTGCCAGACACCACACACACTACTTGTACACAGCACTCTTACAAACGGAACCCCCACACTTTCCCGTCTCCGCTCCTTAGGCTTTCCTCCTGTTCTCACCGTCTTTTGTTCTGGCTCTGTGAAGATGGTGGTGTACTTAGGCAGGTCTTGGTCCTGCCGGTCGCAGTCCCAAACTTCTCCCTTTTTATTCGTAGAATAGATCGGATCCTATATATCCGGGCTCTCCTATGTACATATGTATCTATTATATCTATAAATATTCCGATTTAGGGTATCTTACCTTGGATTGCCCCTCCAACCCCACCTTCCCCCCCCCTCCCCCCCTCATATCTTCTGAGCCAGTGGGGGGCATTCGTGGGGGGCTGATAGTTATTTAATTCTCTTTAATATTAGCAGTCTTCTCGCTGTGCTCGCAATTGCATCGCGTTATCGGAGATAGTGTGTTTTGATTTGTCACATGTTTGCAGTGGCCCTGAACCTGAGAGGGAAGTCAACTACATAGAAGTCCCTCAAGCATGAGATGGCTGGCCAGCCACATCGGTGGCCTCTGCACACACAAAAGTACGGCTACGACCACGTTGTCTGCACTACGACGTGATTCGTCATCAGAGTCTTGGACCGTCCAGGCCTTGCGACACAATCGCTTCTCCGATCTCGCGAATGCAACATGATACGCTCTATTACAATGTACTATGTAGGCTGTCGTAAAGGTGTGGCAGCCGTTCCGTCTGCGGCATGGCACGACACCAACCGGGTTCTTAGCTGCTATGTACGTCGTATACCTACTTTTGATCGCACCGATCGCTAGCCAACTTTGCCGGAATCGCCGTTGTTCTCTACGATGAGTCTATGGTCTTCTCTGTCTTCTTATCCGGCTCTGCGTCGTGCAGCCACACTACTCGTACGGAGTACACACATGTATACAAGGGAACGACGCAATGCTATAGATAGGGGCTGGCTGTTCTGCCACCTATCGGACATCAAACGCAGATGATAGAGTGGGGAAAGGAAACTCATTCTCCGATCAGTCGACTACTTCGATGGTCACAGGCCTTGGAGCCTCCCATGCATGCGCTCAGATAAGATTTGGCGCTACAAGGAATGCCTGGCCAATCGACGCTTCGACATCTCACAGCCGACAGCAGCTGCCTGCTCCGTGGATCCTGGTTCGAATACTTGCTTTTCAGCACCCTCGATGGTTGCATTTCAAGGCCTGGACCTCTGACCGGTGGCCTTTCCACGTCTGCTTATCCTGGCGGATTGATTACCTGTTCTGGTAAGATACCTTGCAGCCACCCACCCTTTCGTGCTCGTACTCGTACACAATGCCACGCTGTGAACTTGTGCAAAGGGAACGCCGATCTGCCGTCTCCTGTCTCTGATATTTCCGGGATTGCTGGTGCTCTTTGGATGGCGGGTGTAAGCTACTCCGTACGAGTACATACGTGAGATACGAGATAACCAAGACGAGAAATAACAGACTATAATAGATGTGTTGCACCCGTTACACTATACAGCCTTCCAGTGATAGGCAATACGGAGTATTGCTGGGAAACCAATCTTAATCCGCCGTTAAGCCCCCGACCTGTTTGGTCCTTGACCGGTGCCTGGCTCCACACTGCAGATCCAGCTTGTCAGAGACAACATCCATATGAATAATGACGGTGTACGGAGTGCTCGTACACAATGCTCCTGCAGTGCATATATTGCTTGGCCCCTCTTTTGGGCATGGCTTGAGGGAGAACTAAACCCAGACCCGACATCAAGTCGCCGCCCTACCCGGCATTCCCACGGACAGGACAGTGGATTGTCGTCGCCCACTGACTTTGTACGAGTTAGTAAGACACGAGTGTGGAACTCTGGTGGTCCTGACTTCTTCATTTTGGTGTCCACCGGTGCCGTTTTGGATGCCCAATCTATTTATACCAACGAGACGAGGACTCCGTACATGTTTCCACGAGATGAGAATGTGTTCCGAACAGTGAAGGTCTTCTTCCATACGATACGCGTATCCCTAATGGGTACCCCGTACAAGAAATCGTACCAAACTGGCTCCTCCCTTTGCCCACGGCACTTTTTATCCTTTTTCGAACTAGCATCGGTAAACAACATGATGCGGTCGGATGTGCCATTCCTGTCCTGTTGCCATACTTTTGCGCGTCACTCATCCCGTGGTGCGAATGCTACCGTGGCTGGGAGCCGGAAGCTGGCACAGAACATGGACTTCTGTGGCGCCACAGCCCGCACATTATGCACGTACACCGGGTTCTCGTCGGCTGCAGTCCGGCTTGTAGGGTTGTCTTTCTCGACATCGGCGTACTGCATCACAAGCCGCATGGGCACGCCAAGCTGCTCGGCTACGCGCTCGCACACCTCGCGCTTCGATATCCCATCGTCCTCGTCGTTCTTGGGCGCGAAGCAGTGCACGTGGATGATGGGCAGACGGGGCCAAGTGGAACTACTGTTGTCGTTGTCGCCCGCATCCACTGGCTGACGATCACCCTCCACCACGCCAAAGAGCGCCTCGCTACCAGTATACAGGCCTCGAAACTTGGGCAGGAACGTGATGGCCGACGCCGGCAGATTCATGACAAAGTGGTCGACCGTGCGCGGCACCGTTATGAATCGACGTGGAGCCCCCTTGGCTTTGGCTGCCTTTGACAACCCACCGCCGCCACCTCCATTCTTGGATGGTGGTATCACCTCAGCCGCGCCCTCGCCTGCTGTGGACGCCTCCTGAACGAGATCTGCGGCCTTCCGGATGAACACAAGCCCGTCCTCGTTGAAGGGTCGCACATAGGACGTCACCTTGTTACGCTGGATAGCGTCGACCAGCGCCGCGTAGCTGTCTGGGTTCATGTCGTTGGCCCACACAAACACTCCCCGGCGGCCGGCCGGGACGGCGAATGGGCCAATGCCTGCCATCACGTCGACCACAGCCTGGCCCGGCTGAAACAGGTACAGCAGGCGCGTGTGCTCGGGCTCGAGCTTGCTATTCCAGTAGACGCGGCTGTAGTTGAAGCGGTACGTGCAAAAGTTCTCGCGCACCTCGACTTCGAGGTCGTCTGGACCGGCAAGAACTTCATATCGGAAAGTTCGAAACGCCGAGTTGGTGCCCACCAAGTCGATCTTGTTGATGACAGTGCGCAGCTGTGGATTCTTGTCCAGCAAGACTTGTGCCACGATGTGCTTGTAGGGCTTGAACCGGTCGCGGAGGTTCAGATGTGCTGTCGAGAGATGTCAGAACACAATCGTGACTGGGGACTAAACGGGCAAGCCGAAATGGTATGCTCATACCCACATGACCCGCTGTATTGAATCCGGTCGGGATATCGTCATGGAACTCCTCCGGTAACACCGAAAAGAGAATGTCACCTTCGGATCGCCTGTCAGCCTCTTCTACTGACAATGCCATCGCTTAGGGACCAAAACATACGTGAAGTCCAATGGTCATAATTAAGCGTCAGCTTGTAAGGAATCACTCCCAACTCGTCACGCTCCACACCCTCTTTTATAAGAGTGCTCCATGTTTCCGGTGCTAGAAGCTGTCAATACCGCTCATCTACTGCAGAACTTGTCCCGACAAGAAGAAGCCAGCCAGCAGGCACTTACATGTCGGTGAGACACTGGCCTTCAGCAAGAGGCACTTTCTTCTTGCTGGCGTTTTTACCGCCGCTTTAGGAACGGCCCCAGACGCGTCCACAGGTGCCGGTTGCTCCTGTTCGGGATCATCTACTACCGAAGACAGTCGCTCAGTTCGCAGCAGCTCTCGAGTCCCGGTAAGCGCCTTCTGGTACTTGGCTATGTTTCGAGGATCATGTATCCGCGCTGCTGAGATGTCAAAGGTCTGCGTGAAAAGTGCCTTTTTTAGCATAGACGTAGCCGTGAGTGCAGCAGACCGTAGGATCGGTGGCCGGAAGACAGCCATATCGGTGGATGACGGCCTAGAAGTGGAGCCGGTGCCGGAGCCGGAGCTGTTGCCCACGTCGTCACTGCTGCTCTGCGGCCGCGGTCTTTTTTGGCCGGTTCCCATATGCTCTGAGGTATATATAGCCCCTTACATAAAATAACACTCGGAACCAGATTGGTGCTTTCACTTTCGTTGAGCACTCGTCCTTTGGGCTACGACTCAAATAAATTTCTGTGTAGAAGAAATTCTACTACTGTGGCGCAGCAGCATTTTGAGAGCTGTGGCGCACGCCCTCTAGCAGCAGAGGCCGTTTTACAGGCGATTTGCTCTCATGAGATTACGATTTTTGGTGTGTAAGCAACCAATCCGTCTACTTCAAACAAGTGCTTTGATGGCCAATCTACGGAGTACATGTTTTTATAACATCAATCTGGGGAATCTAAAGCATCTTGCTGAGTCTAACAAATGTGTACCACTCGGCCATTTGACGAGTGGTACGGACAACCACAACCTGCATTTCTAGGCCAACTAAACATATAACTTTTTCTCCGAGCGTGCAAATCAAACCGATCCTGTTCGGACAGAGAAGCCCCTCCTGGGATAGGAAGGGCAGAATGAAGAGGGACATGGACAACTCCACGGGCCTATCTGCCCACTCTCATCTCTGCCTTTGCGTAATTCTGCAGCCCCCATAGGAAGACTTGGTAGCCAACGCTGTGGTTGTCAGGAACGTGAAAGATCTCTGTCAAGCGGATCTGCCAAGGCGGGTATCCGAAAAGCTCGACATAAGGTCCGAAAAGAATAAGCAGGTCGGGATCTGTCATGATGCTCTCCGTCAGCTCGGCATCAATAAGATCGATACTGACGTCTGAGGCGGAAATTTTGGTCCGTTGGGCCATGTCTGCCAGGGTCTTGGTCAGGTCAACAAGCGAGTCGCGGCCATCTTCCTCCGAGAGCAGCAAGATTTTGATATGTCCTTCGGAGATGTCACCATATTCGCGAGCACGGGGAAAAGCCGCCGAATGGATCGCAGGGACGTGTGGTGCCTGAAGAGTCACTGCTGGATGTGCACGTCCGAAATATGAAGCAAGACGAGTCGAGACAGCACGGTGGGTCTCTGGCAGGTAGCTTTTGAGAACGCCTGTGACCGTAAGTATGTGCTGTATACATAAGAGTAACGCAATGCAAGTATACGTCGTACATACCCCTTTTCTCGTAGACCGACAGAGTGGGAATACCAGCCGAGGCACACCAAGCAGCAATGTCCGAAATCTCGTTGACGAGGCGCTCAAGCTCCGCACCCTCGCGACCGTGCTCTTCCAGACGGAGAATCACACTGAGATGTTTGGGAATGCGCGAAAGATCGCGAACATCACGGGCAATGATCTCAGGAGTGCGATGGTGGTACTTGAGCACGGAGTAGATCTGGTTACGGACTTCGTGATAGGCTTGGCGAATGCGCATATACAGGGAGAACACTGTGTGGATGATGGTGTAGAGAAGAATATGAATTTGGCCGAGAACGAAGCGTCGTGCGCCAGTCCTTGACCGTCGTCGGCCAATGAACAGGTTGTCTATGTCGCTGGCTGTCTCATCAGACTTCGATGTCTTGTTGGCACCCGACTTTGCAGCCGGGGCGCGTGTCGCGGATCGAGGAGGAGGTGCTGGGAGGAATTTCTTTTTGATAGTCAGCGCTGCGAGCTTCACCGAGCCTCTATGAAGGGGTTGGTCCGGAGAAAACATCTTCGTATAGCTTTGCACGAGAAGTCGACGTGTAGAAAGATTGGCCAGCTTAAGCCACGAGGAGAGAAGGGAAGGCCTGTAGCAATAGCAAAGTTCATCGTGGGAGAGAGAGAGAGTAGACGATGGCGTTCACTTCTCTCCTCTCGCTACCTCTGTCCAATGTTCCTTCCACGCAAGGTCTCCGTGGCAAAGGAAAGAGTGACTGACCTGGAGCATCTGGTAGCTTTCCTCCGGTGTCAGCTGCCTGTCTGCAGCCACATCCCTGATAAAATCAGTCCGTCGCCTCGGATAAGGCATTCTGGCGGAAGGAGTGTTTCTGGTGACGCAACAAAAAGGGAAGTTGATCGGAAACCGAATTGGGTTCGAGCAGAGAAAGAAGGTGCGTATCAAGTAGACCGCACAGAACGGACCAAGTCCATGACAGCGAGAATAGCAATGTCCTCTTTTAGAATTGAACAGGTGATGAAGGAATCGTACTCCGTACCAACAGGGTAATTACGCATTGCTCGTAATGTGCCGGGGTTTGCACGGGGCTGAGGGCAACTAGCTGCCTTATTGGATAGGCGTTGATCCAAGCCACAGTGGACGGCCAGCTGCTGCGCCATAGTAGCAACGCTGATCTGCGACAGCACTGTCGACAGCTAAATCGCGCCGTCAACTGCCGCCTGGACGCTCGTTGTGGATGGGACAGCATCGAACAAAGGCCATTCTCCGCTTTCCACGAAGGAAACATACCGCTTCTGCCGGACGGCACGGCATGGTGATGGTGCTGCGAACAACCTCGACCCTTGACCGACCTTTTCCAACCTCGACGTGCAGTCCTATGGGCCTACTTCTCCTCTGAGCGCAGCCACGACAAGTCGACACCATGGAGCGTGCCGGGTCAATCGCGTCGCGGAGCCTTTTCCCCAAGGGACCAAGCTTTACGCTTGATGACTTCTCCAGCAAGGATTTTACTGTGCGAGACTTTGTGGACTCCTTGGCAGAGACGGCTTTTCCTGCGAACCGCCGATCCGGCGCCGCCTTGCAGCAGGCATTTGACCCGAAGCCGTTGATCCGGACCTTTGAGAGTAAGCGGTAGATGCGGCATCGGGAGATGCTGCTTGTTTTAGTTGCTGCTGTTGCTGCTGGTGCTGACAAGGAGCTCCCTCTTCCAGATGCGCTCTCTCAGCTTGGCACGCTCTCGGAGGAGCTGCAGGAGAAGGAGTCGGAGATTCTCTCGCAGGTGCGACGAGCAGAGGTACAGCACGACCAGACCCTCGACACTCTTGGAACGAAGCTGGACCAGTCGATGGGACAGTTTGAGGCCCTCGACCTGAGCCTCTCCAACCCGAACGACTCGAACGGCATAAACGAGCGTGGCAGCCGGTCGGACACGGGCGGTGGCAGCATTGCGGTGCAGATCGGCGAGAAGCTGGAGGAGCTGGACCGGAAGCGCAGAAGAGCGTTGGACGCCACGTTTCTGGTGCAGTGCTGGACAGAGCTCAGCGAAACGGGCCAGCTGACAGCGTTGCAAGACATACAGCGACAGGGCGGGGCGGAAAACAAAGTGCGCTGCGCAGTGATCGCGCGGCAGCTGATGCGGATCAGCCAGAGGCTGGACCCTGCTTCGTGGTCCGACACGAACGGTAGCCGTGCCAGCAGCATCAATGGGGCGACAAACGGCGTCAACGGCACGAGTACCGGCGTCCCGAAGCACAACACCCGTGAGATGCTGGAGAAGTTCTCGGAGACGCTGGAGCAGGACCTCCTGACACAGTTCAACAACAGCTACCGGCGGCAGAACTTCGAGGACATGCTCGAGTGCGCAAGGGTGCTGCACGACTTCAACGGCGGCACTAGTGTCATCGCTACGTTTGTCAACCAGCACCAGTTCTTCATTGACCGGGCTCAGCTTGTGGCGGACGAGGTGACAACAGACAGAGACTTGTGGAACCAGTTAGCTGACCCCGATGCCGATCCACCGGGCGTGGAGCCGAGCCTGCAGTCGCTCATCGACGAGGTCAAGATCGTGATGCAGGAGGAGTCCTTCATCATCAAGCGTGCGGGTTTCCCTACTACGAGACGGTCCTGATTAAGTTTATCCAGCGCGTCTTCCAGCAGTCGGTGCAGGAGCGGCTAGAGATGGTGCTGGAGAAGGCCAGCACGGTGTCTACGTTGGCGTACCTGCGCTCGCTGCACGCGTCGCGCAGCTACATTGGGGCTCTCGTCGAGGACCTCAAAACTCATGGCCTGACGGAGCACCCAGAGCCCTGCTCGCAACAGATCGCCCAGACGCTCGATCAGCAGGTGGAGGAGCTCTTTGTGCCGTACCTCGTGGGCAGCTCGTACATGGAGAAGGAGAAGAAGAGCCTGGAAGAGATGAATAACTCGCTGCTGTTCAAGTTCACCATCTACCACTCGCGGCGACCAAAGACGACAACACGCGGCTTCATGACGATGATTGCACAGCAGGGAACGCAGCTACTGTCATCGGCCAAGGACGCCTACATGGAGCGGCTGGAGTCATCAGACCTGACGGCCACGCAGAAGGCCATGATGCTGCGGGTGGCCGGCGTGCAGGACACGGACAAGAAGAACGAGATCGAGGTGTCGGACGAAGACGGCATGCTCAGCACGGCCAACGCGAAGCGCATGTTGAAGTGGCTAGCGGAGAGCGTGCGGCGCACGTTGGAACTGGGCAGTGTGGTGGAGAAGCCCAAGGACGTCAACGCGCTGCTCGGGCTGCTGTTAACGACGCTGGGTCGAATGTACGTGGAGACGGCACTGGACGCGGCGCTGGACGTGGCGACAGCGCAGGAAAACGCCAAGACGGAGCCCAACATGAGTTACCTGCCATCGGTGCGACCGGCCATCACGATTACTAGCATTATGTCGCGATTCATCGAAACAGTGCTGATCCGGCTGGCCGAGTCGAATCTGACGGTGCGGCGCAACATGGAGGCACAGACGCGGCTGGGCATCGAGGCGATCGAGAAGAAGATGAACAGCACCATGAAGACGACGGTGGACGTGGTGGTGAACTGGGTGGCCAAGGCACTGTCGACGCAGAAGCGCACCGACTTCCGGCCGCGCGACAACGATCTGGAGGAGCTGGTGGACGCGCTGCAGACCCCGACATGTCTGGCCATCTGCACGTTTCTGAACAGGGCGGCAGCGCTGGCGGCGCAGTCGGTGGACGGCCAGAACCTGCAGGTGTTCAGCAGCGAGCTGGCGCTATTGCTGTTCCAGCTGCTGTTTGAGCACTTCAAGAAGTTTGCCGTCAATGCAACGGGCGGCCTGATGGTGACCAAAGACATTGCCAAATACGTGTCGACCTTCAAGGCCTGGCCGCTGAATAAAGACGCCGAGGCGACGGTGGAGATGTTGACCGAGGTGGGCTACCTATTCATCATCGGGCCGGAGGCGCTGCGTGAACGGTCGCGCAATCTGGCCACGGGAGCCGGAGCCGGCGCTGGCAGCACGAAGAAGCTGCAGAAGACCGACTTTAAGGCCTTTGTGCTGCGGCGGGAGGATGCCGGCAGCGTGGGAATTCAGGGCGTTGTGGCCGGCCTGTAGCTGTGGCTGCAGGCAGCGGCAACTCTGAGGTTTATTATGTAGGGGACGGCTAGTTTATGAGGCCAACGCGACGACTGTATCTCAACTTGCTGTTTACGTAAGATGTATGTAGAACAATGATACCAAGCGAAGGCGTCTCAGCTGGGATCTCGCTACGTGGCCTCGTGCGGAGTGGCAAATGGTCCAGCATCGGAGACGTGGCCGATCGCATGCGACGGCGAATTCGATACGACAAGTAAGATACGGAGTACTTACGATATTACGTCATCAGAACGGGATATTTCGCCCGAAGAGGAAGGCGGTCGGTGGAGCCAAGGCTATCGAACCCTGCGCCCCAAGCTAGCAGCCTCTTCGTTTTTTTTTCTGCCGCTCGTTTGAGACACTAACTCGTGATAAGCCCCCAGGAAAAATGCACCCCAAGGCAGGAGCGGCTTTCCGCCTAGATGACACGTCGCCTCCATCAGTCTTTCTGTCCGCTGCTCCCAACGCCCTAAGACCAGCCTGGCTTTGTAACTTGCTAAAGAGCACGTTCTCCGGCCACAGGACTATCTTCAGGGACATCCCCGGCCTACTTTCCCGCTCTTTTTCCATTCTGGATTTTTCCTTACCGTTCTCTCTGCTTCTGGTCCCCTCATAGCTCGGTTTCACCCCTGCTGCAGCCCCTCTTTATCTGCCCCCAAAGGTGTCCTATCAAATCGACGGCGCCGAGCCTCCCCAGCCTCTCCTTGAACCTACTTTGCACTTCTCCCTGCCAGTCTTTCATTTTGCAGGCGTCGGTTGTGCTCTGACAAGCAGTTTTCGTTTGTGCCGTCTGCCGCGAGAAGTCAGAAGCCTGGCTCATCATCTGCAACTCTTCTTCCGGCCTTTGTCCAGCAATGGATAACGCTTATGCACTGCCGGCTGGCCAGGTCCTCTCCCGTCTGGGTGTGGAAGCCAGCCTTGGCTTGACTGATACTCAAGTTGTCGAGCTGCAGCAGAAGCACGGAAAGAATGGTATGTACGCGGCACTGCCTTTGGTTCTAAATGTCCTGCCCCCCGAGTCGCTAACAGGCCTCTCCGACAGCCATTCCTGACGAGCCACCCACGCCGCTATGGGAGCTCATTTTGGAGCAGTTCAAGGATCAGCTGGTCATCATTCTCCTCGGCTCGGCCTTTGTGTCGTTTGTCCTGGCTTTGCTCGAAAAAGATGGCGGCTGGAGCGCCTTCGTTGACCCTGCTGTGGTGAGTATTTTGCTGTGTGTGTGTGTGTGTGTAGAAAGAGGCATGGTTTCGCTGACATGCTTCAGATTCTCACCATTCTGATTCTTAATGCCGTCGTCGGCGTGTCGCAAGAGAGCAGCGCCGAGAAGGCGATTGCAGCGCTGCAAGAGTATTCGGCCAACGAAGCCAACGTGATCCGCAACAATGGGCTCGTGTCCCGGGTCAAGGCTGAGGAACTCGTTCCTGGCGACATCGTCTCTGTCTCGGTTGGTAGCCGCATCCCGGCCGACTGCCGGCTAATTGCCATTGAGAGCAACAGCTTTGCAGTCGACCAGGCCATCCTGACGGGCGAGAGCGAGAGCGTGGGCAAGGACAGCGCGGCCGTCGTCGCGGACGACAAGGCTGTCAAACAGGATCAGGTCAACATGCTCTTCTCGGGCACTACCGTGGTGACCGGCCGCGCCAAGGCGGTCGTCGTCCTGACCGGCCCCAATACTGCCATTGGTGACATCCACGAGAGCATCACGGCCCAGATCTCGGAGCCGACGCCGCTGAAGCAGAAGCTCAACGACTTTGGCGACAACCTGGCCAAGGTCATCACGGTCATCTGCATCCTCGTCTGGCTCATCAACATCCCCAACTTTGCCGATCCCAGCCACGGAAACTGGACCAAGGGCGCCATCTACTACTTGAAGATTGCTGTCTCGCTCGGCGTGGCTGCCATCCCGGGGGGATTGGCGGTCGTCATCACCACCTGCCTGGCCCTGGGCACCCGCAAGATGGCTGCCAAGAACGCGGTCGTGCGCAGCCTGCCGTCGGTCGAGACGCTCGGCAGTTGCAGCGTGATCTGCTCGGACAAGACGGGCACGCTGACCACCAATCAGATGAGCGTCAGCAAGATCGTCTACATCGGCGAGAGCGGCCGGGATCTGGAGGAGCTTGACGTCGAGGGCACCACCTTTGCACCGCGCGGCAACATCAAGGCGGCGAGTGGCGAGATTGTCAGCGATCTGGCTCAGACGTCGTCGACCATCCGCCAGATGACCGAGGTAGCCGCGCTCTGCAACGACTCCCGCCTCGCTTACGACTCGCGCACGGACAGCTTCACGAACATTGGCGAGCCGACCGAGGGCGCCCTGCGCGTGATGGCCGAAAAGGTCGGCCCCCGTGCACCGGGCGACTGCCCGCCGTCGGAGCTGGTGCATTACGCCAGCTCCTGGTACGAAAAACAGTTCACCCACCTGGCCACGTATGAGTTCTCGCGGGACCGCAAGAGCATGTCGGTGCTGGTGCAGAGTGGCAGCGCAGAGAAGCTGCTCGTCAAGGGCGCGCCCGAGTCGATCATCGAGCGCTGCACGCACGCGCTGGTCGGCGTGGACGGAAAGAAGGTGGCCATGGACCGCGGACTGACGGAGCTGCTTCTGCGCGAAGTGGTGGACTACGGCAACCGTGGGATGCGCGTAATTGCGCTGGCCAGCGTGGATGATATCTCGGGCAACCAGCTGACGCGGTCGGCTAAGACGACGGATGAGTACGCGCAGCTGGAGCAGAAGCTGAAGCTGTTGGGCCTGGTCGGCATGCTGGACCCGCCGCGGCCAGAGGTGGCGGCATCGATCGGACAGTGCAAGGCAGCAGGGATCCGGGTGATTGTGATCACGGGCGACAACCGCAACACGGCCGAGAGCATCTGCCGGCAAATCGGGGTGTTTGGCGAAGACGAGGACGTGACGGGCAAGAGCTTCACGGGCCGCGAGTTCGACAACCTCAGCGCCAGCGAGCAGCTGGAAGCAGCACGGACGGCGTCGCTGTTCTCGCGGGTCGAACCGGCACACAAGTCGCGGCTGGTCGACCTGCTGCAGCAGTTGGGCGAGGTGGTGGCGATGACGGGTGACGGCGTCAACGACGCGCCGGCGCTCAAGAAGGCCGACATTGGCGTGGCCATGGGCTCGGGCACAGACGTGTCCAAGCTGGCGGCCGACATGGTGCTGACGGACGACAACTTTGCCACGATCGAATCGGCCATTGAGGAGGGCCGGTCCATCTATAACAACACGCAGCAGTTTATCCGCTATCTGATCTCGTCCAACATTGGTGAGGTGGTTTCGATCTTCCTAACGGCCGCTTTGGGCATGCCCGAGGCACTGATCCCGGTGCAGCTGCTCTGGGTCAACCTGGTGACGGACGGCCTGCCGGCGACGGCTCTTTCGTTTAACCCGCCCGACCACGACATCATGCGCCGTGCACCACGCAAGCGCGACGAGCCCCTGATCGGCGGCTGGCTCTTCTTCCGCTACCTCGTCATCGGCACATACGTCGGCCTAGCCACCGTGGCCGGTTATGCCTGGTGGTTCATGTTCAATTCCGAAGGCCCGCAGATCAGCTTCTACCAGCTGTCGCATTTCCACAAATGATCGGCCAGCTTCCCCGAGATTGGCTGCGCCATGTTTGCCGACGACCGCGCCAAGGCCGCCTCGACCGTGTCGCTGTCCATCCTGGTTGTCATCGAGATGCTCAACGCTATGAACGCGCTGTCCTCGAGCGAGTCGCTGCTGACCCTGCCGCTGTGGAAGAACATGATGCTGGTGTACGCCGTGGCCCTGTCCATGGCCCTGCACTTTGCCCTGCTGTATACGCCCTTCCTGCAGACTCTCTTCTCGATCCTGCCTCTGAACTGGACCGAGTGGGCAGCTGTGATGGCAATCAGCGCACCTGTCATGTATGTTCCCTTCTGGTTCCCTTCTGGTTCTCTTGTTATTTCTTTTTTTTTCTATCCCGCTAACCATTCAGTTTCATCGACGAGATTCTCAAGCTTGTCGAGCGCCTATACTTTGTGCAGGCACCGAGCGTCAAGCCTTCAAAGGCGAAGAAGACCAACTAAGCAATACATAGACAGAAGAACAGAAGAGGGAGGGACACCCCAAAGCAAGACGTCCCGCCGACGGTCTGGATATCTCCGCTCCATAGATCGGAGCTCAAACGCATCTTAGAGGCAGAAGGGACGCGAAAAGCAGGGCAGAAACCAGCATGTACAAACTTGGGCGGCCACATGACGTAGAGTACGATTTACAAGGAGAAAGGCATCTGTTTCAGTCATATTGCGATAGTCTTGTATGTACAACCTCGCCGTGTCAATGTTTTTATTATTCTTTCTTTCCTTTACGCCGGACATGGTTTACATCGTTGTCGTCGTCGAGAGAGACGAGTGGTATAATCTCATACACAAGCCCGATCTCTGGTCTTCCCGGTCCAGCGCCCATCCTTCGATCAGTCTTGCCGTCCCTTGAGCAGCCGCTTGGTCACCTTATCCTTCTCGATAATATAGACGTGCGCACCCCAGCCCGAGAGGGCATCGCGGTCGACGGCGTTGAGCAGGGCCTGGGAGATGGTCTCAAACAGGGCGTCGGGACCCAAGTCGGGCTCCCAAAGGCTCTCGCACATGCCGAACAGCTGCTCGGACGCAGTGCCGGACACGATGAAGTCGCGGGCAAAGTCGATGCAGCCGATGCTGTCGAAGCCGCAGATGAACGGCTGGCCTGTCTTGGGCTCCAGGCCGGCGACGACGGGACTGACAAAGAAGGGACCGAAGCGGCGTTCGTAGAGCGACGACGAGACGAGGTTGGCAAACGTGCGCGGCGCAATGTGGCGCTCCTCACGCAGGCGGTAGAGGTTGACCTTGTAGCGAAACAGGTCCGACACCGTGTTGACGTCGGTCGCGAGTCCGGTCAGGCCCAGGAACACGTTGTCGCCGTACTGGAACACCTTGGGGAAGTTGTTGGACACGGTGAGCGCCTGCATGCCGAGCCGCAGATCGCACGCAATCGCAACGCAGTCCTTGCCGACCATGGCGACACAGGCACCGCCGTCTGTCACCCGTTAGCTGTGTGCTTCTTCTTGCAGGTCCCCTCTTTCGTTCTATCGTTCTTCGTTCTGATCCTTACTTATTGAAAAGGGCGAAGACTGCTTCTCGTTAGCTTCCTATCACGACGGGCAGCCATTCACGGGGCGGCACACCATGTTGAGAGAGATGTGCCGGGGATGGCTCGGATCACGAGAGTTGGCTCCGATGCCCGTTAACAGCCGCTGGTCGAGGCCAACGTTGGGAATGGACGCAGGGAAAGCCCGTCGCAAGCTTGGTCGGCAGTCGAGGAATGATCGTTCGTCTCCGTGCTTGTGCGGGCAGAGTGGGGCGAGAGACAGAAAGACAGCAGCGCAGATGGACGACGTGATGCAGATCAAGGATTCCGATGCATTGAGGCAGAGCAAGCTTGCTTCCACTCCAAAAGGCAACACGCAGCTGGCGCGGCTGGAAAACGTGACCTGGAGCTTTCCTTGCTAACGACACGGGCGATTGGCTGGTCCGCGCGTTTTCTGCCTGCCTGCCAGGCCGCTGCCAGACGCCACAGCCACCAGCCACAGAGGAGGAGGCGCACTTGCAGCCTGGAGCTCGACGCAATCGCCCCTCACTAGAAGAGACGATGATAAACGATAGTCCCTCTTCCGTGCACTTCTGCCACCTTCCGCAGCAGCGGGAACGTCGACAAGTACGGCCAATGCTCCGGACTCTCCCATCCACCTGAACGGAGCCATTTGCGAGCTCAGCTTGCCTTCTCTTCTGAACCCCACTACTGCGTGGCTCACAGCTTCAGCAGACAGGTTGTCAGACCTCTTTCACCAACCCATACTCCTTTACGAACGGATCTCGACACAATGGCCGCCTCTTTTACGGTCATTGCGACCGACCTTCGCCGAGTTTCCGCCAAGGCTCTGAATGGCGGCTTCATGATCGACGTGCTTGAGGATGCCTGCTCCAAATTCAAGCTCGACAGCGAGAAGTACCAGCTAAAGTGAGGCTCTCGCACCAGTCAATAACGTCTGATCAGCACTGACACTGGTCCCTTATACAGGCACAACAACAAAACTATCAACCTCACCGACCCTGTGCGCGCTTCCGGCCTCTCCCAGGGCGCAAAGCTCGAGCTTGTCGTCAAATCAAAGTCTCCGTCCGCCGTCACTGTCGCTTTGCGCCTGCCCCAATCTGAGGCCCGTCTGGGCATCCCAAACAACCGCGTGGCTGCCAAAGTGCGCAATGACACTCCGGTGTGGAAGCTGCTACGCCACCTCGAGGAGGAGCCCGCTGCCAAGCAGAAGGGCCTCAACATCACCGCACGAGGCGTGCCCCGGACAAGCACGCCAAACACCGGAGGGTCTGGCCAGCTCTACTGGGAGGCCCCCGTGCTCAAGTATACCGGACGCGAGCTGGTGACGCTCGACGACTTTCGCAAAACCCTGTCGCGGACGGGTATCGATACGGGCAGTCAGTTCGTGCACCTAGAGTTTCGTACCACCGACTACACGCTGGAGGAGGCGATGGAATCCGTACATAGGCAGCTTGAGCGGGAGGATGCCGAAGCCTCGGCCGCTGCGCCGGTCAGTGCCTCGGCCCTGACTGTAGCACCGGAAGCCGAGGAACTGGCGACACCTGAGACCACGACACAGCTCGGACATCCTGAGACCCTACGGCAGCATGACCAGCCCGAGAAGCCTGAGTTGTCCGAGCTGCCTGAACAAACAGCCCCGGTCACTGAACAGCAGATTGCAGAGCCACAGCTACCAGTGGCCGAGCCAGAGCCCATGGCTGTCGACCCATCACCAAGTCTCCTCCTTCCGGTACAGGTGTGGTCGCCACCGAAGGCGGGCGCCGGAATGCCAGCAGCTGCGGGTCTGCGGTGGGCCCGAGAGAACTACTCCAGTGGCGGTGGTGGTAGCTCCAGCTCGCACGGTCTGGCACCAAGTGTCGCACAGATGAAGGCGCACCAGAGGCATCTTGAGGAAGCTGGACGCAACAAACGGCTGAAGTCGGACTCGGAGCTGGAGGAGGAGACTCGCGAGCGCGAAGCTCGGGCGTCTGCCGTCGACAAGGTGGACATACGCATCCGCTTTCCTGACGGCTACACGGCGCTTTGGTCGTTCCCAAATGGAGCTACCGGCGCCACACTGCACGCGGCAGTGCGGAGAGTGTTGACGGAGGATGTTGCGCAGGAGCCGTTCCGGCTGGCACCACCTATGTCACGCGAGGAGATCCAGGACAATGCCGGCATCAAGCACGACCTGATCCGGGGATACGGCATGCGGGGAGGCGTGGTGATCAACTTCTTGCGGGGCAGCGGCGAGCCCAATGCAACCACTCCGGCTGCAGCTAATCGTCAGGGAGTGCAGTACGTGAAGTCGGAGGTGATGGCCATGGCACAGGATATTGTTGTGCCACAGCTCGGGGAGGATGACGATGATGAGGACGAAGAGAAGACAAGACAGGCCGAAGCAACAGCGGCGGCAGCAGAAGCAGCAGCTCATCGTCGGGACAAGCAGGGCGATGCGACCAAGAAGTTCTCCAAGTTTTTGCGCCTGGCAAAGAAGTGAGCTTGCGGTCACGTTAGCGGGCAGTTGTATGATTTCCCGGAGGCATGATAGGCATATTAGTAGCAGGCGTTTTAGGCGTCTTTTGTCCTACTGGCAGGCATAAAGATCAGTTAATGTCGTCGAATTAGCACAGCAGTACGGAGTATATTCTAAACCATGCAGTTTATCCATCACGTCTTTCTGTTCTGGTTGCGTGATCGGGGTGATGGGCAGCACAGCATGTAGTCAGGCTTTTTTTTTTAATTTGTTCTTTTTTTGTAGCGTGTTTTTGGTGTGTTCTGGTCTCTCTGGTTTCTTGTGTTAAGAAACAAGTTGTAATTCGTTGCGGTTTCTTTTTTCGACGCCAACCGAAATGCCGACCCAAAAAGCAAAGAGTAAAATATAAAATAAGATAGAGCCAGATGAAGAGGTAGGAATGAGGTAGAGAGGAGGGCACGAAGAAGAGTGTTTCTTTCCTCCCTTCAGTCGGCCATCTTCCTCTCTCTTCTTCTCTCCACAAAGTCACTCCCCGTTCCTCAAGAGTACCATTGACCATGTCCCATTGATGCCAGACTCTGCTCTATCGCGCCCCATCCTTCACACCGTCCGCTTAATGTCTGCGCGACTCGGCGATCACCCGGGTAAGCTCGTCGACCTTGGCCTTGGCACGGCCGAATGTGCCGAGCTGTGAAGATTAGTCAGCCAGCGTGCTCTTGCCGCAGAAGAAAAAGAGAGGGAAGAGGGAAAAAGACATACCCGCTTCTTAGCCAGCTTGCGCGCCCGCTTGTCCTTGCTGTTCCGCAGCAGCTCAATCACGCGGCGCTCGTACGGTGCCAGACCGGCAACCTCCTTGACGATGTCACGGACGAAAGCGGTGCGCTTGCTCAGGTGGCCCTTGGTGCGGGACACACGCGGCTTGATGACGCGGGGGGTGGTTTTCTGAATAGCAGAACATTGTTAGCAGCCTTTCATTCTGTCGGCCATCGACCGTCGGCTGCTGGCCATTGGCTTGCCAGCCCCGCCGGCCAGCTCATCCTCGCTCAATCTCAAGTCTCGCCGGGTGTCAGAAAAACGTACGAAACCCTTGTTGATGCCGACGGCCAGGCCGGTCCGGGGTGCTGCCTCCTTGGCCATTTTGTGCTGTGTTAGATATCCGTCGAGAGAGAGGTCGGCGAAATGGTTTGTTGTCTCGAAAGGCGATGATTTGCCGTCGAGATGATGGGTTGTCGACTTCGGTTGGGGTTGGGAATGAAAAAAAAAAAAGATCAATTCGGAGGGGGGAATTTTGGGGGGCCACACTAAAATTTGGCAAGAGATCTTCCCACGGAATGTGCGTTTCCTGGTCACGTGGTGGTGGATTTTGCACCACAAATTGGAAGAGAAAACCCTTAACGGAAAAGGCACGTGATAGAGTCAGTGTGGCTGGTAAGAGCTGTGGCGGCGAGCGCATATGGGCTATTCCAAAACCGGTTGGCGTGTGTCCTGGGAGTACTCCGTACTCTGTACTTCCTCGTGCTCCGTATTCCTTTGTACTTATCTGCATCCTGTTGCACGGAGGGCAACATAAACGAGCGGCGATCTCATATTTGGTTCCCAGAATAGCATCGTGCATCGCTGTTGACCGTACGAGTTTGGAGTACTTCACGGACCGTACCTGGTTGTGCTGCCATCGGCAAGGCCGTGAGGTCAACATGCAGCGAATAGTTTCCAAGAAGCTGCAAGCGATCGCGTCTTGGATAACTTCGCCACTCGCGTCAGCAGCCTGCGCAGAGGACGAGTTTGCGCCGGCTTTTCGGCATGGAAACATGAAACAAGCAAGCAGTCCCAACAAAAGAGTGGGAACAGCCCCTCTTTACATCTAAGACGACGATCTTCTCGTGCCTTTCCTTTGTCTACAGGCCCTTGCCCTCTCCATTGACCGCTGCCACCGGTGACGGCCGCAATCTTAGGCCAGGGGCAGCCTGTCCGCAGATGCAAGGCACCACAGGGATTCCGTGTTCCTGGTTATACATTGCACACTGTGTTTTTCAGCTGGTGCGATGCCTGGTTCCAGTACAGTGATACAAGGCCTGATCTGCCGTCTTTAAAGGAGGGCTGAGCTCCGCATTCCAGCAAACTACCTGTCTTGACTCGTTTGTCTTTCATTCACTCCTCTCTCTCTCTCGTTCATCTCACCGGCTTGGTCTGGTTTTTGCTTCGATCTTGCATCGTTTATCACCTGGCTTCTTTTCTTCCATACGCCACCATTCGTTCTGTCAAGCAAAGCTGCCAACAGCTTTCTTTCTATTCTGCCTCATCATGCACTTCTTCGGCTCTCGTCCGCTGCTGCTGCTGCTTCTCGCAGCCTTGCGCCTGCCGGCCGGCGCTCTAGCTCTGGATCTGGCATACGACCTGCCCGACGAGCTGCTGGCCCTTTTCTCGCCCGAACACTCATCCTCTTCCTCGTCCTCTTCATCCTCGTCCTCTTCTTGCACCTACCCGGTCAATTACACTCTCACCAACTTCTGCACCTTCTCGCCGCACAACGCCACGACCAACTCCACCGTCTCATACGTCTCCTTCACCTTTACCGACGAAGGCACCCAGATCACTACTCCCTGCTCCTACAACGCCTCTTCTACGTCGCTTACCGCTGGTACCCGCTACGCCGACCGCTATGCCTGTGACAACAAGCTGGTCTCCTTCATCTGGCAGCGCGGCGAAGCAACTCTTATTGAAGTTACCTGTCCCGGCCAGACATCGACCGTATACGAGGCCTCCGGGGCTGTCGAGCCCTCCGAGCTGCAGTGCTCCGACAGCACGAACGGCACGCTCTGCACTACTGCTGCACCTCTGACCGCCGTCTTCACCAGCGACGAGCCCAGTCCCCTGCAGAGCACGACGACACGGAAGATGCGTCATGTGCGCCGCCATGCGCCTGTCGTCTAGAATGACATGTTTCTTCTCGTCCTCGTACTATATTTAGATAGCAAAATACGTAGGGAGAAAAGAAAAGCGGTGGCGGGTCGGGAAGAAGGATAGATTAGATTCTGGCTTGGTATGTCAAGCCATGCAGACTGCGTATGTACTATACGCGCTTCATTTCAACCACAGAAAATCGCTTACAATTTGCTTACGCCTTTCAGATGCAATTATGTTGTTCCTTGAAGCCATTCGAAACTCCCGACAACCAGCGCACCAAGACGTCTCATGCGCTCGAAGTGAAAAACAAACCATGCAAGAAATCATATGCTGCACAGAAATTACCCGAGAAACAACCCAAAACAATACAGAGCGTGACTAGTAATGGCTCAGGCGTCCGTGTAGTACTCTTCATAATGTTGGTGGCCTGGAGCTGGCGGCGCTTTCATCCATGCACCGTCAGCCACGCTCTCTCTCGGCCCCCAGTAGCCGGTTCGCGATCGTCGCTCTCGTTCAAACTCGGCCCATCGTTTCATCGTGATCTTGCTGCTGTCGAACTCGCCTTCATACTCGATGCCGGCCTTTTTCGTCTTTGTCTGTTCGCCCGACGTCTTGCGCGTGTCGCCCCACGAGAAGTCGTCAAATTTCCAGAAGGCGTAGGTCGGCAGCACAAAGTTCCAGATGGGCAGCGACATGAGGTAGATAAACATCCAGCCGACGTATGACCACGAGTGTGCCGTTATCACAACAAGAAGGCCAGGAAGACCCAGGATCAGGCCCAGGAGAACCAAGGGGATAATATGGGGTGGTTGGTGGACGATGGAAATAATGACTGCTCTGTTAGTCGCTGGACTGGACACAAATGTATGCACATATGCACTTTGCAACTTACCAACATAGAACGTGAACGCAATGGCTGCCGGAAGCACAAGAGTACCGATCAGCTCGACTGAGATGACGAACTGCATGCTGAAGCAGAACGTGCCGCAGAGATCACGCACCAGAGCCAGCTCCATAAGGTTGTGCACAGTCGAATTGATCCAGCGGCGACGCTGCGACAGAAGCACAGCAAACGTATCGGGCACCGTCGTCTTGCACACCGCTTGGGGAATAAATACCTGCTTTCGCTTGGGGAATGTTCGCAGCATCAGCGTCGTCAGGTAACGGGCCTCGCCCAGCAGAAGCAGGTTTTTCTTGTGCAACGTGTCCACCACATTTTCCGAGTAGTGCTCGACAACGTCAGGATTCGCCAGGATTGGAACCCAGTAGTTGTGCGCGCCTTTCGGTGCTTTGATCCGATACATGCAGAAGCAGCCGGGTAGGCACGTCACACCGCCAAACACAGACTCAAATGACTTGGACAGGTGGTGGGAGATAAAGTACTCAAACACCTGGATGGCCGTCACCCAGCTGTCTCGCTTGTTCGCAATCTTGGTCTCGCCACAGAGGCCCATGATCTCTGGATCCTTCACCATGGCTGAGACCATGTGTGTCAGGCTGTCAGGGAAGACCTTGGTGTCGGCGTCGACCATCAACACTATTTCGTAAAAATCGGGCGAGATCCCAGTGACCTTCCAGAGGCCGTTGAACATTTCAAACTCGAGTTCCGTCATCCGCTCGTCAAACATGACCTTTTGCAGAAACGACATCAGGATGATCTGGCTGTCGCGCTTTCCACGGTTGCCAGGCTTTGACTTGGTCTCCTCGTCCGGCGTCCCACACTTGACCACCACCATCATCGGAACGCGCTGTTGCTTGTCTATCGGGATGCGCGACTTGGCGCCATAGTCGTAAAACCCGGCATAGATCTTCGCCATGTTGTGGCGCTTGGCTCCGCTCGCCACAGCCACGTACGAGAAAGGCTGCACTTCTTCGCGCGGGATTGTCAAGTCCTTCATCATGCCAATCGAAATATCCGGTGTCGACATCGACTCGCCCTTGCCCTTGATCAAGCCGTCGCAGATAACGAGGATGACCTTGTGGCTGTTGGGGTAGTCCGTCATGGCGATCGAATCCAGCGTCGTTCGCAGGCCCATCTCGCCTTCGGAATATGCCGTCACCAGGCAGATGGAGTGAGCCAGAGGGAAGCCCCAAGGCATCCAGTCCGAAGGCGGTTGCGGCACAACTGCCTCGTGAATGAAGCCGGCCGGACCGTATCCCTCGGTCGGTGTGCCGTTGTTGCCGTAGGGATCAGAGCGCAGGAAGCTGCTGCGGCTGTCGTTTCCATTGCTGTATAGTGCGTCAGAGTGGCTAAGTTGGGCGCTGGCGTTCTGGCTCGCCATCGTCGTCGGTACCGTCCGCGCCCGAGGAGTGTGATCAATGGCCGAAACAGCAGTGAACCTCGAAGTCGTCGGCAGGAAGCTGGCCCGCTTGCTGTTTCGGTCTGAGCTGGCAGCGGCCACACCTCGCTGCCAATATCGCCAGGCATCCGCGGCGGCGCGCGGTAGATGTCCTCGCTCCAGTCTTCGATGTGTCGATTGCGCTTCCGCTTGTCGGACGACTGCGACGTCTTGGCTGCGCCGTACGACTTGGCGATGAACCATTGAAAGATCAACGCCAGAAAGAATCGGGCCAGGACAACGGCCAAAAATGAGGACGAGGGACATGTACAAGACCACCTTAAATGCAATGCACCCCACCGTCGTCGAAGCGACCGTGCCGACCTTGATTATGTCCTCAAAGCACTCGGCAATGTCTTTGTCACCCGATGCCTGAAGGCTGCGTGTCACATCGCGGCCGTGGATGGCCTTGTTCGCTGCAGTGGTTTTGTCGCGCAGCTCCTTGAACCGATTAGGTATGGTGACTTCATCTTCGTTGAACCAGTACAGGAGGTCGAGATCCAGCACAATGCCCGAGTACACGACGAGATTGCGAGAGCTGTTCTTCACGTCATCCCACGTGTAATATACATGGGCAGTGGGCTTGAGGTCGAGGTAGAAGTTATTGCGAGCAGCTGCAGTGGTATGGCAGCCATAGCCAAGATAGTAAGGGACTGTAGAGTTGGGCTCACTGGAGCCGTCTTGGTTGAAGGTGTTGCAAGGGAAATACCACGCCAGGTCGTTATCCGAATTCGTCGGGACGTCGGAGTTGTTTGCAAGCGTGATGATATTCTTGCAGCGGCCGTTCACGTTTTGGAACAGAAAACTGCCGTCCTGCCCTCCATGCTTCTCGGACAGGCCGTACAGCACATTGGTGCCCGCGGGAATACCGTCTGCTGCTGGGTGCTTCGACCTGGTCAGATCGTAGGCCAGACCATGGAAGATCATGTAGCCAGAATCGACGTGGTTAACCCGAAGACGGAGGGTTTTCGAACGGCAGACAACCGCCGTGAAGCCAAAGGTCTGAAAGCCAACTAGGGCCATGATCGCCATAATGATGCTGATCAGTCCCATTTTTTCCCCCCAAGCACGCTGCTGCTCCTTCTCCCGCTTGTGGAAGCAGTACCGCAGAACGAAGTCGGGACACCAAAAGGTAACGAGGTAGCAGTAGAAAAGCCACAGGCTGGGCGGGCGCGTCGGCTCAACCACACGCCTGTGACGGCTTCTCTTTCGCTTGCTGCCCTTGTGAATCTTATTCGACTTTTGCTCCCGGTCAGATCTGCGACGGCTTCTGTGTTTTTTTTCCGCCTCGTCGCTGTTTGTCCGGCTGGGCACCATGCCTGGCGCAGGAGAAACGTCAGACGCAGCATCGCCAACACGGGAGCCAGAGACGTCGGTAGCGCCCTCGAGATCTTCTACAATGGGATCGTTGCCGGTAGACGAAGGAGCCGTGTTCATGTTGGCCGCATGCTTTCGGTAGTGGTAGTTGGGGTGATCTTTCCCTATCCTGTTCCGCTCCGGCCGGACCAAGCTCCTCTTCCTCGGAATAGGTGGCCGTTCGCTAGGGGGTTCGGACATATCGCCTGTGGACGACAGTGGAAGGCTCTCCGCTGCTACATCGGGATCCCTTAACGTGTCTTCGAAGGAGGCCGAAGAGTTTGCGCGCCGACGACGGCCCTCGACTGGATGGTAGCGGCTGGTGTCGACATCGCTGGCGCGACTGCTGCGTCGTTGGGAAGATTGCCGGCGTCTGCTTCGTGAGTCATACGGCGGCTCGCCGCCAGGCCTTCTGTGTTGAGACATGGCCCTGATCGGATTAAGTCAGCGGAGAGGGACCTGCAGAATATCTGGCCTGACGAAAGCATGAAGAAGAGCGAAGCAGAGAAGTACACGGTCAAATCGTTTACCCTTGCAGAGCAGCGGCGTTGGCACTGCGGAAAGTGGGTAAGGAGACTTGCAAGAACTCCAGGATGCGGAGGCAAAGAGGCCCTCTATGAAGCGAGAGAAAATCTTCGAGTCGCAGAGGACCAGAAGAACCAAGCAAGAGTGCGAAAATGTCACCCGGAACGCGCCAAGCACTCTCAAAACGAAGGAACGCACTCAAAACGAATATCTGCAGCTGAACGCAGAGCCAGTCCAGAAAAAGCCCGCTCTGAGAGGCAGGAGAGGGAACGGGGAAGCGAAAGAGAGGAGAAAGCTGAGACGGGGTGTAGTTGGGGGCGTGTCTTACCAACAAATATAATTGGGTGGGATGCAGCCGCCACTGGCAGTAAATAATATTAGGTTGTGTCTCTTGAAGGTCACAATCCCTGCTGGAAAATGCCAGCGCCGAAGTCACCCTCAGGAGCCTTGCTTGCTGTCTTGCTTTGCCGCTGTACTTTTTTAATCGGCTCTTGCCTCGAAAGGCTTGGAAAGCGGTAATCGCTCCTTGCTTGGTCGTGTTTGTCTGCGTCGTATTCTAGTAGGTGTTCCGCTCGTATAACTTTCAGGTGAAGGAGGGCGAATGCGACCCAGACGGTGTCAATGGTCAATGGCACAGCAGCTAAGCACCCAAGAGCTGCAGGCACAAACGACGTGGCCACCAGAGCTGTTTTCTTCGAGACTCGTTGGCGTAGGAAGAAGACGTAAGCCAGTATAACAATAAAGTGGCAGGCGGCTGAAGAAAGGCTGCGTTGGCCCTCTCGCAGGTGTAAGAGAAGTGGATCGAGAGATCGACCTGCGCGCGTTCAGTTAGACATGAGGGTCGTTAAGAAAGGCCGTGAGGAGAGAAGCACTGAGGACAAGGACGATAAGAGAGAATGCCGATAGTAATTTGGAGCGTTGAAAAACGCAATATACGAGTACAGCAAAGTATGATCTAACAGCATGTAATGGATGGTCGCGGGGGGAACCAAGAGGGCGAATAGAAGACGACGGTAACCAAGAGACCCCCCGTAGAAGAACAAGGGTGGGAGGCCGATGATATCTTGGTCGGATTTTACTTATTCTCGAGCTCTTTGCTTATTTCCACCTAGGCGGCAGGCGCCGTCGTCGCCCGTAACTGCCATACGAGACAGTTGCCTCTGGCGTGGACTGGAAACAGCAGCAATTCTATGCTGTGGGGACCTCTCCGGTTTAGCGGATCGAACAGTGCATTGCCTGACGCAGGGGCACTAGCAAAAGAAGCTGTTCGTATAATTTGTTAGCACGCTTTTAGTGCGGCTGCTACTGCGCTTGCACTTCCTAAACTGGGCTGGCAACCAAGCCAATACGTTGGCCTGCCGACGATGGCTTTTGCTGAATCACGACAGTGAGGGGGCAATCCACACTGTGACCACCAGTTTACGACGTACGGAGTATGGGGTACGAGTACGAGTAATGCTAGATTGAGAGTAATCATCATACGACGTGCATAGGATAATGCGCTTCTGCTTTGTAAAAGCGCACTTGCATATGCGTATCATATAGACGGATGGCATTAAGATAGATTCTGTCATCGGGAATATAAAGTTGAAAAGGTCTCATCCGCGGGATTGTCTTTGTCAGGAATGCAGGATCTACGCGCAAGTCAACGTCAGCTATAAAAGTACGATAGACACTACCGCTTCTCAATAGACGGCACCTTTTTTTTTTGCTTATGCATTGCCATGTAAGAGGGGTCGCGTAACTTAGGACACAAGTTGTGTGCAGTATCTTACTCGTACCCGCAAGTATTCGCACATATATTCACTACATGGCTATATACAGAGTAGGAAAAGACACTGCTGCGCCTCGCTACATAATTGAAGAAGCGCTACGGAGTATACTCCGTACGAAGGTGATAACAAGCGCCCGTAGGGGGCAATACGAAACCGTCGTGACTGTGTACTCGAAATCCGGAGCAGAACACTTGGCTTACACAAGGCTGGCATACGAGACCAATTTGGAATGTTAAAAGAAGCGAACCCTTCGGTCGCCTCCCCGCCAGCCAAATTTTCGGGCTTGTTCTGTGTTTTGGTGCCCTGTGGAGTCTCATCCAGTTCCCTTTATTAGTGTACGGAGTACGACCGATTATGTTGGGTTTAAAGCGGGGACCTTTATTACCAATAAACATTTACGGTTATACTCCGTATTGCAAAATGACCGGAGAGGCCGAAAAGCATGAAGCACGGGACATGAAATCGGGTAAAGAGATCTGCATCCCCAGCCTCATGCAGCAGCTGAAGTAGGACTTCATTGTGCACCTTGATCCAAAGTACCAATACACGTCGAAATCCCCGTATTTCCGCAAGGCCAGCAGACTGCAAACAGATCAAACGGGGCACAAAACAGCAGATCGAGATGGCATCGTCGCTCTGGATTTCCGAACGCCAATCATGACAATTGTCTGACTTTGTGTCTACAAGTATTGAAAGCGGGGGCCGACCTGGCGAAAGCGGCTCGCAGAAATGGCACCACGAATTGTGTCAAGTGATCTCAAAAATCGCCTGCCGAAATACGAGCACGCATTATGAACTAAGCCGTTAGGCCTTTTCATAGTCCTACGGAGTAGTTTTCATTTGTGCCATTTCCAATTAAGGTTGAGACAGAGGGTATGTCTCCTGGAGGAAGTTGAACACTTACATGGCATTCTAATCTACAAGCATCTTTTCCGACGAAGGTGTTTTTCGCTTCTGACAATTCGCATTCCTGCAAAGAATGTGACTACTCCGTATTTGTAAAAGGCGGGGAGGGTATTGCTCCGTACTCCGTAATTGAAGCTGAAATGACTGCGGGGGAAGGCGGACAGAAAAGGGAGCCCCATGCCAATAGAACAGCACCGGTCGGTACTCCGTAGTTGCAAAGGGCGCAAGTAGCAGTTCTTGAAGAACCTCGTTGGCATGGGAGAAAAAATATCCGCACGAGTGACTGCGGCCACGCGCAACGGAATATAAAGGTTACAGTAGGGAAGGAACAGGCCATGATTAAGAGGCCTACGCGTGTACGGCTAACTATATTTGGACATGACAAGGGACGCAGACTGAGCCTCAACAAAAGTATAATACATCGTCACTTGGTGAAGCTCATGCAGACACCGTCCTCAGCCAGCTGCCGGCATTTCTCTCCAAGTCTGTGTTGATGCATGTCGGCAGAAGGCGGATCGAAGGGGTCCATGTAATCGGCACGTATACGGAGTACAAGTACTTGCTCCAGTATAGTTTAATTTTAGCTTGTCACGGTACTATGGGAGCCAGTCACGGCAGCGGAAAGCTTGCCAGATACTCCGTAATACGAGCGGCACTTCTGAAGGCCCCGGACTTGTCTCGGATGCCACTACTGCCTTTGTGTTCCAAGTGGCCGCCAGACTTCGCGGTGAACAAGGACGGTTTCATTACGCGCACATCGTACTCACTTGTACAGAGTATCTCACGGAGCACGGAGTACTTATCTAACTATGGACTTCAAGGGCTCAGATGCATTCCCAGTGGACGGCGAGGCTGGGCCGGGTTAGTACATAGTAAGGTATGAATCACGCATATCATGTGTCATGGAAACTCCTTTCGGCGGTCCGCCTGTCCCACTGAAGCGTCTGTTTAGACTGTTGGAGAGGTTTGTGACGGTAGAGCTATACTTTTCTCGTACTCGTACAAATAAGACGGCCTTGCTCGTATCGTCAATGCATTGCGTCTTCTACCTGCTCCATACAGAATGCACCGACCATATTGATTTTTCTCCGCTATTCACTGCTGGATCCAGTCGTAAAAACAAGCAAGCACACGTGTACACTCGGGCTCCGTCTGCCGGCCTGGAAATAGGAGCGCCAGGAACTATTCCTCCTGCTGCCACTGCCATCCATCCCTGCAGTCGTCCTGCCCGATCGCACTGTCTTACGATAGTGCAATCTGCCCGCCCGCTTTCCCTTCTGCATCTCTGCTAGCGCTCGAAGTTTTCGCAGGCACGGCCTTGTGTCCCAAGTGATTGAACAACTGGGTTTGGCTCACTAGCTCGACCCACTTCACTGACCACCTCCCGTTCTGGAAAGAGCCAGTTGCCTCCGACGCCTGCTCGGTGTCTTACATGGCAAGGTGCTCTTGTATGTCATACGTACCTTTTTTTGTAACAGCTGTAATAATGCTCGTATTCAGCCTGCACCACTCCATTCAGCCTTTTCAGCCTACTGTCGAAGTACTTGTACACCTCACTCAACGATTTCCATCGCAACGACAGCGCGTCTCTTCCTTGCTACAACGGCTTTAAACATCATCATTGCCTTCTCTGCCGTCAGAAATAGTACATCAACAGCCACGACCGGCAACCAGTCAGATTGTACCAGTTGCCCAAACACACGTTTCCGCATCTTCCGACACCATGCACAGCTGTTTCTGATACCAGCAACAACAGGCTCCCACGTCGGATTTAGTGTGCCTGGACGGCCCCACGGCCCCTAACCTCTTCTAAAAAACTGTCCACCAGCCGCGCCCATTTTCGAATAAAATCCAACAGGGGATCCCATCATGTTGTAAGGGGCACCATCAAAGGGGAGAAAAAACAGAGCCGATCTCGTTTCTACTGCGATTATCAACCTTTCTCTCCTCTCCACCACCCCTAACCCTTGTTCCTTTTCTTCATCGATTAGGCTCGAGGTGTCTGGTATTGCTTCTTTTACGGAGTGTTTCCTTCTTTGGTTCTTCGCTCGCTTCGCTGAGTTGTTGTCTGTGTGTATCTGCTCTGTTTGCTCCCGGCTACTGGACCGCTCCTGTCCTGCCACTCGTCGCCAGCCGTCTCCCTCAGTTAGTCTTAGTCTCTCGTTGGTCTCGAAAAGCCTCATAGCCACACGCAGCTGTCTGAACGCTTGGATCCTGACAGCCCTTCTGGATAGGACCTGCCCTTAATTCTCTCGCCCTCTCCCCCTCCCCCATCCCCCTCCCCATCCCCATCCTGGTCTGCTACCCTTGTGCGTTTGGTTGCTCGCCATGGCCGCAGTGACGGCAACAGCCCCTTCACCGGCGTCTCCACCAGCTATTCCGGCCAGGCGGAGACCGGTATCACTACAGCTGTCTGAGATTACGACCGGGGAGCCCGGGCAACTTTCTGTGAGAACACCTGCCACTGAGTCAGTGGGGATGAGGCTGTCGCCTGTGTCGCCGGTTCAGGAGTGCTTCCAACCCGAAAACTGGGCCCAGCCGTCCAGTGCGGATATCGAGAACAGCTCTGAACATGTGCTCACTCCTCCTCCTGGCGCAGGCCGAGACCTCACCAGAGCCTTCAATGTCTCAGCACTGTCTCCCCAATCACCCCAAAACTCAAGCACAAAGACGTATGGGATAGAGCGGCCTGCTCCCGTTGCCTCGGTCGCCGGTAGAAGCCGACAGATAGAGGATCGCCCACTGCCGATATTGAACGTCAGGTCGGTCCCTGAGTCAACGGAAAGGGGCAATGGACCCCTGAGACCGCTTGAAGCTGCCGTCCCGGGGACGGACGGCACCAACACGTACGGAACTGCACCCATGAGGCCATGGGGCAACGACCGCAACGACCTCAACAGAAATGTAACAGTCCGGTCAACGGCAACCACCAGCACTAGCTCGTTTTACGGTGCCAACGACGCTCCCGGCTTCGTCGATCCGTCACCCAAGAGCTCACTAGAGGATGGCGCCTTTGAAACGCAGTCAGTGCCACAGTTTCAGTACCAACATGAGGCCTTCCTGCCACAGTCCGCAGGACTGCCCGCCTCAGCGCAACAGGAGCAGCTGCTCGACGACCTGCGCTCTGCATCTACTCCGGACCTGGTCAGCCGGGCATCTCCCTCCAACCGTCACCTCACCCCGAACTCTAGCAACGTTCGGCAAAGCTTGTTGCCCCGTCCACATTCCTCGTATTCTGCGTATTCCGATAATGGCTCGCATGATCGTTCGTCTCCCGGCGTGTATGGAGGCCCACAGCACCGCGTCCCGTCATCTAACTCACGCAAGTCGCCCGACACGCGGTCGACATCGTATGCGGACATGCTGAATCTTCCCTACCCCCAACCTGCTCCGTCACCCATCAACATGAACAACGTCCAGCTCCGGAATGCTATTGGCAGCAACGCTTCGCTTCTGAGCACGCAAAAGACACTCGAAATGTACCGCCAAAATGTGAAGAAGACTAATGACATGTCTATCCAATATCCGTTTGCAGTCTTCCTTATTTCTACCGCACAGGAGCAAGGCCTTAACTTTGACGAGCCGGCAAAGCGAAAATCCAGCCCTCACTCAGCTCGCGACCAGGAGAGCCCCTCTGTGGAGAGCGATGACGTATCACCCCAAGAACTCGTCCGAGAAGCACGCAGCATTCTGCAGCGCTTGTCCAACGCCGGGTATCCCTTTGCGCAGTACTACCTGGCTGACGGCTATGCTTCGGGCTTATTCAGCAAAGGAAAAGAGGATTATAATGCAGCATTCCCCCTCTTCGTTCTGGCAGCAAAGCACGGCCACGCCGAATCTGCTTACCGGACTGCCCTATGTTACGAGTTTGGCTGGGGTTGCCGCAAAGATCCTATCAAGGCCATCCAGTACCTCCGAACCGCTGCTTCGAAACGTCATCCAGGCGCCATGACGCGGCTTGGCAGGGCCTGCCTTTCCGGCGATCTGGGCGAGAAGCGATACCGAGAGGGTGTCAAGTGGATGAAGCTGGCTACCGAGGCCTCTGACACGATCTACAACGGTGCACCCTTCCATCTAGCCTGCATGTATGAGACTGGCTATGGCGCCGACATCTTCAAGGACGAAAGCTATGCGGCCGAGCTGTTTACCCAGGCGGCCGAGCTCGGTCATCCTGATGCCAGTTTCCGCATGGGTGATGCCTATGAGCACGGCAGGCTAAATTGCCCCCGCGATCCGGCTCTGAGCGTGCACTTTTACACCGGTGCTGCCGAGCACGGCCACCCTGCAGCCATGATGGGCCTGTGTGCCTGGTACATGGTTGGTGCCGAGCCCGTGCTTGAGAGAGACGAGGAGGAAGCGTACGAGTGGGCCCGCCGCGCGGCTGATCTTGGTACGTTGCAATCACTGGAGCAGTCGAGAAGGACCTTTGTTCTGACTTATAACAGGCTACGCAAAGGCGCAGTATGCAGCTGGCTATTTCACCGAGATGGGTATCGGCTGTCGGAGAGACATACTTGAGGCTAATCTGTGGTACGTCAAAGCGGCCGAATCGGGCGAAGAACGGGCACAGCAGCGACTATCAGCCATACGTGCCGCTGCGTCTGGCGGGAACATCCCTTTGGATGTTGAGCCTACCCATAAGAGCAAGCTGAAAAAGAAAGGCTCCAAAGAGGAAAGCTGCAGCATCATGTGACGAAGTCACAAGTTGCGATGATACGACGATATGAAGCCAAGCAGCCGAAGAAGGTCATCATTCAGCGTTCTTCTCAGCGGTGTTGCCCATCATGCAACCGCTCCTCCTGTGATCAATTACTCTTGTCATTTTCGTTCCGCCAGCTTGGACATTCACGATATCAATACCCTTTGATGCCGATGACAGCATGGCGACAATCCTACCTTTTTGTATCGGTTTTCACCGCTCTGGCATTGTCACCCGACACACGGCTGACTTCCGCAAGCAGTCCTGCTGCACTAAGACATTTAGAAAGCACCAGGATAGCGGCAAATTATACACGGGGCCCGGCATTACTCCGTAAGCACGGGACGGCGGAGAACGTCTCATCGCTCGTCTGTTTCTTCATCGCTTCCAGCTCCATCTCTGGGCTTGTCCTATACTTTCTTTTTCTTCCTTTCTTTACGATATTTATCTTGTTTGCTCGCATAAGACGGACAGGTTGGAATGGCTCGAAACACGCCCATATTCATGTTCGGGAACCAATCATAAAAGGTGTAATTGTTTCCGTGGAAAACGGCGTCACTCTCGGTCATTTGTTCTCTTTGGTTCCTGTTCTGTTTCCGGGGACCGGTACTCCTTTTTCTATCGTATGGGGATTTCATATTGGGGGACTGTCACGTTGGAAGGCAAAAAGAATAGAGGGCAGCAACCTGCCGTCTGAGAATGTCTAGCTTGTTAGTGCCCATGCCAGTCTGGTTGGGATCTGACGGTGTATGCTATCGTTGATTGTCTTCGTACAGGCTTGACAATTGATTGCTATCTTCGTATGCTTGCCAGACGACGACGGCCGTAGGTGACTTAATGGTGAATAAACAAGCTATTTGGTTTCGTCTTCATTTCCTGTACTTATTACATTCAATCCAGAATAGTCACGGAATATTAAGCGAGCCAGTGTGCGGTTCTCTGTGGCATCCTATCTAATGACCACTACATTGCCTTTGCACACAAGGAAGTGATATGAGAGCACATACGAGTAGTAAGCGATCTCCGGTTTGGTTGACTAGAGCCTCTATATATTGTGCTTTTTCACAGACACATACATTCAAGGCCGGGTTTCTAACGGCGCCCCGACTTCGCACTCTTAGCCGTAATGTTGGTCGGCCTACGGATTACATCTGCCCACTTCCACCAGAAGCTGCCGCGAGCCGCCTGCCAGCCGCACCTGACCTCATTGTCATCGGTGTCACGGGGCTATCGTTCTTGGTTGGTTAACATGTTTTTTTTCTGGGTCAAATCGTGTCGAACCGACCCACCAGTCAAAGGCGTCTCGCACCTGCCGTCCTATGTATCTTATGTATCTTATGTGATACGGAATAGCTGTGATAATGCGTATTCCACCCTCTGTACTCTATACTGTTCCTCCTGCCATTCGCCAGCACACATGCAATCGCCCTTTTCTTTTTCAAGAAGCCACTCCTCATTTTTGCGGTCTGGTGCCACCCCTCACGTCGTTAATTTAATTTCCCCGCCCAACTCCACGGACCTGTCCCGCTGTGGTTCTGGGATTTCTTGTCTCAACTAACAGCAGCATACTCGTATGTTCTTCTGTTCCTTCAGCTCGATACTGCATCGCCAAAGCCGCCCTGCCTCGCGGTCGAGCTATAGGTATCTCGACTCTAGCTACCAAGTACGCGCCCCATAAGTGGCCCTGTCACATGTTCATCTTCCCATTCTCGTCCCTCCCTTGTTTGCTGTCTTCACGAACTGTACTGTGGTCTAGACTCGTACATGCAGATCAGGACCTACCTCGCCGCCTGCCTTTACCCAAGCCACAGCCTCTTCTTCACCCTTCATGTCCATCTGTTGTTGCGCGTGTGGGTAGCCCAGCCTTACCGAGACACTAACTCCAACCTCCTTTCTTCAGCACGCGGACCAGCCAATCACACATATTCTCTTTGGGCCCAAGCGAGGACCATATCGCGTCTCCAGGCCTTGGGCCGATCAGCAGGAAATCGCATCTCAGCCTCGATAACGATTGTGACATCTCGTGCAGATCTTGGCGCTTTGTCCGGCCGAAGCAGCAGCATTCGCAAGCACAACAGGCCAGCAAAAGTGTGGAAGCAATCGGGACCGTAAGTAACGTTAGTACCCTTGCTCGCGGGTAGTAGTCACAGTAGCAGTTACGCTAACGGACTAGCGAGTCTAGTCGTACTGGCCGATCTATTGTCACAGCCTAACCGACGTCTATTTCGAAGCCCCCCCTTGAGTCAACGTCCCAATCTCCTGGGTAACACACCTCTTCATCCGGCGGTATTGAAAAGTACATCGATTCTAGATATCACGTTGCGGACAACACCACGATGGCCGAAGCCGGCGGCTCTGGATCAATTCAAGTGGGGCAGAGCAGCACGCCGATAATTGTGGCGCCAGGTCCTTCCTTAGTGACGGCATCGGCCGACATAGGTTATGCAGAAGATGCACCGGCCGGCGGAGCGGTCGATGTGGACATGACCGATGCCAGCGGGGATGCTATTGTCTGCGTTCATTCCGCTGGCGCTTCTGATCCTCATGGTGATTCCTCAGCTCTTGAAACAGACGACGACCGGAATGAAGGCGGTGGAGATGGTGAAACCGGCCCTAGTACCTCTGGAATAACTGTCGACGATGTGACCGCCTGGCCTGCCGTGCACGCTCTAGCAACTATGGCACATGCGCCATCCCCAGGACTCACTGTGACTTTCGATGTAGACTCTTCCCAAGAGACAGCAAGCTTGGGGCCTAGCTCCGGTGAAGCTGCGGCAAACAGTGCGAGTGATATTTCAGGCGATCCTCCCGACACTTTCCCCGGTTCAGTCAGCGATCCCGGTGAGAATGAGGCCAGTCATGGCGGCGAGCTTCTGAATGAAGTACAGGGCCCATCATCTCAGAGTACGGTCGCCCAGTCCGTCCCTGCCAACCAGAGCCTCCCACAAGCGAGCCAGCCAGTGCATGCTCAAGTGGCACAAGATGAACCGGCACTTTCAACACAGGCGGTGCATCCAGTTCCAACCCAGGGCTCCAATAGTGGACCTTCTCCCTCCCAGCAGCAAAACATACACACTCTCGGCGCGTCCGCTCCATCTCTACAACCGGTGCAGGCACTCAGTCATGGGCAGACATCGCAGCCATTTGATAGTCAAGGCAACGATATACAAACATCACCCTACGGACATGTGCCAGACACAACCACAACAGCACAAAGCGGACTAGCCGATCAGGCGGTGTTCGATGACTTTTTTGCAGGTATAACCATGGAGATTGGCGTTACAGATGACCTTCAGATCACTGGAACAGCTAGTGTGCACTTTGTGTCGACGGCAATCGATGAACAAGTCGACGAAGAACCAAGCAGCCTCGCCACCGTCTCTACAGGCATCATCAACACTGTTGAGAGTGATGAAGTGAGCTTTGGAGAGGACTTTGAAGAGACATCATCAAAAGGAAGCTCCCCCATCAGGGCTAGAAGGAGGATTCGATGAGGATTCGGATTACGATGGGGGAGAGGTAGCACACGGCGCATTGCATGGCCACGGAGTCGCACATTTGTACGCCAACCAGCCAACACCCGCGGGAACGATACACCAGCCGTCGCCTGTTTCGAACACTACAGCTCATACGCCCCCCTTCCCCGCCTGAGCACCAATTTGTCATTCAGCAATCTATCACCGGCAAACCATAATCTCGGGCAATTCCTGACGCACTGGGCTGGGCAAACGAATCTTTCCAATCGGCCGTCTAGACGTAGCATTGATCGCCAGGTGAGCAAGCCGATCACATGCATCCGCAGCCAGGATCTGTATGGCGACCTGCACGACCTTCAGGGCATCAACTGGATTGCGATGGGGGTCACTCGCAAGCAGGCCCGCGACTTCCGGCTTCAATCTTTTCACAACTATGTGAGCTTGAAGGATTCTGACAAGGCTGCTGTAAGTGCCTTTACGGGTTCTATAATGCATGCCACTTCTGACAAACTGCAGGTTCGTCCCGATGACAAGATGCCGTGGAACTCGGAGTCGTACTTCCGATTTCGCAAGATGTACGTGAAAACGACAGTTCACCTGGCCCATTTCCAGCTGCGCAACCTATTGGCATGCACGACACGGTCGACCGCTTTCTATTCGCAATGTCGCGGCGTTGTGCGCAAGATCAACACTCTGACGGGGGCTGAGAGCGTAGCCATGCGATTCAATGAGCATTCGAACGTGCAGATCTCGACAATCGCGGCCGACCTGAACGTTCTAGTTGCCGGTGGTTTTTCTGGCGAATACTGCATCTCTGACCTCACTTCCGAGTATGTCGGAGCATATACAGGAAGCACACGCTCGGAAGGTACGGTCACCAGACACCCCAGCGGAATTTCCAATCACATCCAGGTGCACAGTTTCTACGCAACTCGTCGGGGCCGCTTGCCGGCCCTTTGCGTCCAACGACCTCAGCCTTCGGGTTCTGGATCTCAAGACGGGCAAGGTGATATCCGCGGTGCAATTTCCGTTTGCGGTGAACTGCACGGCCATCTCTCCAGACCGCCGTCTGCGTGTGGTGGTGGGCGACTCGCTCAACGCATACATCATTGCTGCGGAGCCGGAGCGCAGTTTAACGCGCCGAAACAACGCGCGACGGCCAGAAATGCTAAATGTGCTCGGGGGCCATAAGGACTATGGGTTCGCATGTGCATGGGCCCCCGATGGATACACGCTGGCAACGGGCAACCAGGACCGGACCATCAAGGTCTGGGATGCACGAAAATGGAACGACGCACAGGGCCAGTCGACACCGGTGGCCACACTCTTCACCGAGATGGCGGGTGTACGCAGCCTTCAGTTCTCGCCGGCCGGCTCTGGCAAGCGGGTGCTTGTGGCTGCGGAGGAGGCGGACTTTGTCAGCGTGATTGACGCGGAGTGTTTCCGGACAAGCCAGGGGCTGGATAGCTTTGGTGAGATCAGCGGCGTGTCTCTGACGAATACGGGACGAGATCTGCTGGTCCTCTGTTCGGACAGGACGCGTGGCGGGCTGCTGAAGTTTGAGCGGTGCGACACGGAGAACACGCTGGCCAACGGGGGCGGAGTGACTGGGCGCAACCAGGTGCTGGAGATGCGTCGGCCAGGTTGCAGCCAGCTGGACTGGCCGGGTCAACAGGATGAAGTTCCGCGGCGGGTGAAGCAGCGCACGAACCGTCTGCGTCTGCGGGCGGCTGCAGCCCTCGACATGGAGCCGTTTTAAGGGAGGGCAATCCTGTTTGTTTTCTTTTTGTTCTTGTTTTCTCTTGAACACCAATGATGACGTACGACGGATGACTGGATGGCTGCGTATATGGAGATTTGGAAATGCATGCAAGTATACCACATGCTGCTAGTTTCCGTTCCTTGGATATTTTTGATTATTATCTCTCCTTATTTCTGGACTAGGTAGCCGCCCACACATGGCTACGTGTGATGTGACGCCATGACGGGCACTGCAAGTGAACAGATGATGAATATATTGGATAGCACAATCATTAGAGACTCGAAACGGGAAGCATGACGGGAGACGCTCGCAATATGGACAAGACAGGCCACCAGAGGCAGGAGCAAGAAAAGAACAACATCAGATTAAGAGAAAGAAGCGGACAACGTCGGCCTACCGGCGGACCTCATCCAAATCGGGGCCCAGCTCGCCTGGCCGACGAGGATCGACCATGGCCGAGACGCGGACGTCGCCCAGACGGGCGCCGATGGTAACCCAGACGTGCTTGGAGGCCGGTACGGGGGTCGGGGTGACGGTGCCGGGAGCGAGCTTGGCGGTCTCGCGGGCGCCCATCCAGCGGAGACGGCCAGCGTGGCTCATATCGCTGTTGCCGAGGCCACGGCGCGACACCCACTCGCGCACAATGGAGCGGACGAACTCGACCTTGCGGCGGAAGTCGTTGGCAGCGGGGATGTTCTGCAGCTCAGGGCGGATGTTGGGCCTCCGACGCGAGGCAGCCGAGGCAGACGAAGGGACCGACGAGAAGTTGAGAAGGGTCTGCAGCGGATAAGAGAGCACGCTGCGACTGTCCAGGGCCTCCTCATCAACGAGGCCGGTGGCAGCGAGACGCTCGGCGGCGGCGGCCGGCAGGTGCCAAAAGTGGCAGCTGACGCCGGCAGCATCGAGCACCATCTTGGTGTGGTCAGGAAAGTTAAACTGCAGATGACCGTCACCAAAGACCCAGCAGCCGACATCGCCGAAGCGCTGGTAAAAGGTGACGACAGCATCGTCAGATGCCGACAACGGCTGGGATGACAAAGCCGACGAGGCCGACGAAGACGACGTCGAAGACGATGATGACGACGAGGACGATGATGGGTTCCGAGCATCGGCTGTGGCCTGGTTGCCCTCCAGCTCGCGGCCGTATGCCAGCATATAGTTGGCAAATTTCTTCCAGAGGACGATACGCTCGCGCTTGCGGTGGTCAAAGGCGTCGCGGCCAGCCGACAGCTTCCCAGCAGCTCCGGAACGCGAATCGACAGCGACACGGAAGCGCGAGGCATCGACACAGACGCGGCGCAGACCGCGCTCGCCGTTGTTCTCGTAAAAGCGGATGGCGCCTTCACCCTCGCCCTCGACGACATCGCCACTGCGGCGGCGACCCATGGGCACGATCTGCTGGCGGTCTGGATACGAGACGTCTTCGCGGCGCTGAATGTGGCGCTCGGCTCCACGGACCATCAGACACGACGGTGGCAGCTCGCTGGCTTCGCCGGGAACGTGGATGGCCCGCAAGATGCAGCCGACACTACCGTCGTTGAGGATGTAGCCGAGACCGAACTTGTTGGTGTAGTCGACCCATTTGACGACGATCTGTGGCGGCCCGGCCGTCTTGTCGCGTGCCGACACAAAGGCCATTGTGCGTGCGTTGAGTGCGCGGTCCAGTTCGGCCTGCAGCTTGTGCAGTCGAGCGAGCACCACGTCGGGCTCGCTGCCGGGCACCAGCTCTTGGCGCTCGTACGGGCTGAAGAGTGACAGTCGCGGCGGCCGCTCGATAGCCGTGACGTCATCGTCATCTGCTTCTGCTTCTGGCCGTGACTGGGTTTGCGGTTGTGATAGTGATTGTGGTTGTGGTTGTGGTTGTGGTTGCTGTTGTGGTTGTTGTGGTTTTGGTTGTTCCTGCTGTTGCTGCGTTGACCGGCTGGAAGCAGGTCGCAAAGCAGTCTTACGCTCGGGCACGGCCGAGGAAGAAGAGGAGGATGACGGGATCGACGAAGAAGACGACTTGCTGCCGGGCAGCACTGTCCGGTGCGAACGTGTTGTCAATGTGGTAGTGGTGGTGGTTGGGATTGTGGCGTTTGTGGCGTTTGTGGCGCTTGTGGCTGACGATTTCGCCGAGGCTGCAGCCTGCTCGCGGGCCTGCAATGACAACCCTTTGGCGACAGCGACGTCTCGTCGTGCAGAAACCCGGCCCTGCTGTCGCTGCTGGGCAGCAAAGCTTTGTGGTGGTGCTCGCAGGCCGGTCGAAGTGGCAGCATCATCAGCTGACGGTGCAGGTTTCCGTGACGAGGTGCCTGACAGAGACGCTGCTGGCGGGAGCCACTCGGCAACGGGCGGCTGTGCTTCGACCGGAGTGGACGCAGACGATGCTGCCGATGCAGACACAGCCAGAGACGGTCCTGCAGCAACTCGGGTGACGGAGGCTGAAGTGCTCCGGCTGCTGCCACCACTGCCGGCACGCAACAGCTGGGTCTCCTGCAACCAGGTCTCAAAGGGCCGATATACAACGTCATCAGCCAGCGGGATGGCTGGAGTCAGGCCGGCCTGTTCCTCAGCAGCCATCTCGCGCCACACCGGCTTCGACAGCAGCTTCGTCTTGGCCCACGGCCCAACGCCACACTCGACACACATGGCCTTGAGCGTATCGAGGTTCTGGGCCTGCACTCGTGGCGACGACGGGATGCGGTAGAAGCAATCACGCTCGGGCGGCAGGTCGCGCAGCCGCATTGTCATGTCCGCTGGTGTCGGCAGGTAGCCGGTCGTGAAGAACGGGTGCTCGATGATGGCGTCGGGATCCGGCCGCATGTGCGCCTCCTGCAGCATCGAGGCCACCACGTGCTTGGCGTCGCTACTGATCGGCCGCACCTCGGCGGCCGGCCACTCATAGTCGCGCTCCTTGGCTCGGCGGTAGATCTCGTCTGTCGTCGACGACTGGAAGGGCGGCTTCGACGTCAGCATCGCATACATGATGATGCCCAGGCTCCAGATGTCCACCATGTGGTCATGGCCCTGTCGGCCCTTCTCCAGGATCTCCGGCGCGATGTAGTTGGGCGTGCCACAGAGCGTCGTCCGTCGGATCGTCTGCATGTCGCGGCCCGTCACTAGCAGTGCTGCCAGCCCAAAGTCGCCGATCTTGGCGTTCATGTGCCGGTCCAGGAAGATGTTGCCCATCTTGAGATCACGGTGGATGATTCCCTTGGCGTGCATGTATTTGATCGCCCCGGCAATTTGCACTGCGTAAAATCGCACCTCCGCCTCCGTCACGCCTTTGCGTCGCTTCACCATGTCCATCAGCGAGCCGTTGGGGCATAGCTCCAGCACCAGGTACGTTGAGCTCTCAAACGAGAATGCCCGGAAGAACTGCACGATGTTGACGTGGCGCATCTTGGAGTGGATCTGCAGCTCTGTTTGGAACTGATGAATGTTAGTTCAGAGATCTCACACTTTGCTTCTCTCTCTCTCTCTCCTTCTCTCTTTCTCTCTCTCTTCTCTCTCTTCTCTCTCTTCTCTCTCTTCTCCCCTCTCTCTCTTCTCTCTCTTCTCTCTCTTCTCCCCTCTCTCCTTCACTCACTTACCTTTTTCCCCATCTTCGCCGGCATCTTGCTCTTCACAATCTTGAGCGCATACACCTTCTTCGTCCCCGCCAACACCCCCGAATAGCACACCGCAAAGCCGCCTTTGCCCAGCAGCTTGCCCACCTGATAAACCGCCCCGTCTCGCCGGTCGGCACTCGGTGGCTCCGTCACATTTGGTGGTGGCGGCGCTGGGTGCTCCTTGTCCTTGTTCGCCTTCAACTGCGCCACTGTCTTGGGCTTCAGCTCCATCGTCGTGGCACGCGGCCGTCGCGCATTGGCGTCCCTAGGCGACAGTGCCTCCACGTCGATGCCCTTCCCTGCCATCCCTTGTCTGTGCAGCCGTGTTGATGTCCACGCCGCCAAGCCTCACCATTCGCAGCTGTCGGTGGCGTCGGTGTGTCTGCTGCTCGCTGTACGGTATCTTCTCGTCGGTCAGGCTCGCCTGGCAAATACACACAAAACTGCGTGCGAAAAAGCACAGGCAAAAATTGCGGCAAATCGAACAGAAATGCCGAAAATCAGAAAGAAATGCTCACCGCTATTCGTACTTCCCGGTCCGACTACACGCGGCGGAAACAAGCAGGGCGCAAAAAGAACTGCAAAAACTGGCTATCGTGAAAGACGCTTCTGTGTGGTGCAATAATAGCGGGAAGAAAAGGAAACGAGAGCCAATGCCTGCAATGGCGCGTGCTTCGTTGTCAAACTGTGCTGTTCGTTGCTTAGCAACAGCTTCCTCCCCTATTGGGAACGCCACCAGCGGGTCAATCTGTAATATATGATTGGCTGTCCCACTCTCCCGTTTTCGTCGCTTATGTAAGCGTCCCGCGGGCACTTTGAAATCGTCAACGCCAGACGTTCATCCGAGCAGCTGTAGTTGATGCATCTCTGCGCTCCAGGTGAGATATCTTTCCGCTTCGCTCTTCGTTCTCTCTCCCAAATGGCCTGCTTTGCCGGCCTACTCTGAGCGAACCTGACAACTGTTTAGGTGACCGCCGCCCGCCAATTACTCCCACCACCGCCGCCACTGCAGAATGCCACCCGACTCCGACCTCAAATAACAGCTGTCGTCGAATTCTCCGCCCGACGCAACCTCTGACGCGATGGTGCCTCTTCCGCTCTTCAAGCTTGCCGCGCTCTTTGTGCGGCATATTTCGAAGTATGGTGCAGTGCGTACTTGCCCGACAGAGGCTGGCCTTGCTTCGCTCCTCTGTTTCCTTTTTGCAAGCTGCAAAACCCCTTCTCTGACCCTGCCCAGAACCAAATCAAGATCCAGGCCCACGAGCACCAGCGCTTTCGCCGGCAGGCTGCCCGCTATGGCCAGGCCATCCACCAGCTCAACATGCGCCTCAACGTTGCCGTGTTACGAAATTACGACGCCGAGAAGCGGGCGCGCGAAAAGGCTGAAGCTGCCGAGGCTCCGACTGTCAAGACAAAGGAACAGGCTGAGCGTGAAGAGCGCCTGAAGCAGAAGGAGGCCGCTGACCGTGCAAAGTACGGCACCACGGCCAAGGAGGCACATCCGGCAACGGTCATAATGCGCACGAGCGATGCCAGTATCCCTGCTGCTTCTGCTGCTGCTGCCACTGCCACTTCCTCCACTTCCTCCTCCGCTGACAGCACCAGGGGTCCGACCCACTTCACCAGCGTCTGGAAGCGCAAGTTCCGAGCGCTGCCCGAAGCCAAGGCCGTCGACCTGTTTGCCGACGTCGTCGGTGCTGCCTTCATCCTCGTCATCGCCAGCGCCCTGGTCCTCTACGAGTACTACCGGTCGGCGTCCAAGCCCGACGCCAATCTCGCCAACCTCGAGCGCATCAAGGACCTCAACGGCCAGCTCACTGAACTGCGCGCTGCCGAAGATGAGCACGTCCCCGCCGAAAAGCTCCACGAGAGCCGCATCCTCGCCATGGAGGCGGCCCTGCGCAGCTACCGCGACCCTAAGACCAAGCAGCCGCTGCTGGCACCGGCACCCCCGCCAGAGGAAGACAAGGCAGATCTCAAGGACACTGTCGCCGAGCAGGCGGCGCAGTCTGCTGTCGTGGCATAATTTCAAGAGGAGATCGGAGGGCACTCGTCTCTATTGTTCTAAGCGAAATAGCGGTTAATGTCATAGACAAACACTTGGCGGGCCTGCTTCCGCGGGAAGGAGCGACTGTTGACAGAATAAAAGAAAACTATTAAGGACTCTCCCATTCGGCCAAACATGCTCTTTCAAGAAAAAGAAGCATCTCATCCACAGACAGGGTAAGTGCAAGAAGCCGGCGTCCTCTCTCCATCATGAGCCAACTGGCCGCTCCGACATTGTATGCGCAGTGCCAGCAACCGTCCCCGCCGCTGGCCCCCCCCCGAATGCTCTTCTGTGTCTCTTTGCAGGACCGCCCAGCCTGGGCCCCTGTAGTTCCGGTACTGCTCACCAGCCGAACTGAGCCGAGGTGGCAGAAGGCACGCCTGGGCTCCCATGACCTGGCAGTGTGTATGCAATTTCAGAAGACGTCCTCGCAACGAGTGTCATCATCTTCATCTGCTACGGCTCCGCCTTCAGACATCTTCCGCTTCTTTCTTGTTGCACCCGAGGACGTCGGGCAACTGGGAATAACAAAGCGCCTGCAGCGGCTGTGCCAACGCAAGAGCGGATTGGGCCGGGCTGTCGTCTTCCTGCTGCAGGCTAAGAACGCCAGTGACGGTGATAGCAGCGACCGTGCCAGCATGGCCGCATACCAGCAGCTACAAATAGAGTATGTATCTATGCGTGTGAGAGACAAGGAGAAGACCGCTTACCTGATGGCACAGTCTCTTGGGGATGGGCCTACCGATCTTGCCACTGACTTCAGCAAACGCACTGCCAGCCTTGCTGGCCGCATTTTGCAGCCAGATATGCAGCGGTCAGCCGCCGGAGTCGAAGTAGTCTTGGGAGCCGATGGCGCAGAATGGCGACATCCACTCGGAAGCTACGTCAGCAGCTCTACGAGTACGACGTCTTCTCATAGTCTCTTCACCACAGGCGCTCTTCTTACCGCGAGGGATCGATTACGAAACAATTAAGTGGGAAGAGACGGCCGCATACGGAGCCTGTGGGCCTGGGCTTAGACCCTGGCTTGCCGCCTGGTGGCCCTGCTGACGGATTGCAAGCGTGCAGATGTCCTGTATTAGATGGCATGTATCTTACTTTGCAGACAGCCAGGATTGCAAGGCGCCTTAGCAGACATAGCCAATGGTGAAGTGATGAAACAAAGAGGGCAGGCTGGGGGCCTGGCTGTGCTTTACTATGTAGGGCGCTGATTTGCAGCGTGACTCGTGCATTACATCAGGGGTGGCGGTTCGCAAGCGCTGACCAGAAGAGAGAACAATAGGAATCTGTTTCTCGTTACAATATATTTCTAGAAGACGAAACCAGCAGTGAGCGGTAAACCAGGCCGACTGACTCGCTCAATGGCAAAACGTGGTGAGAAAGGGGAAATGAGGACAAATAGAGGACTGCATACTATGAACAGCCACCGTTATCTGTGACAGACGACAACATGCGCATGCAGTCATCACATATTATCTTACGCCCTCGCCGACCAGATATGAGTTGTGCTCTCCAATGGAGGAGTATTGCTATACTACGGGGTATGTACGAGTACGTCGTATCGTCGCGGACGGTGTGTTCCGGAAAGAGTTGACCTATCCCGGAGTCACCTTGCAGTCACCTCATAGACCGCTTCTCGGCACTGGTCGCGGTGAAGACCTCACACATCACGCAGGTATTGCCTGATAAGGTCAAAGATTATAGGCAAGACTCCACATTAGCGGTGATGTGATGAAGAGACCTCGACCCACGGACTGGGAATGTGATAAGATCATCCTGCTTTTTGCGCCAGACTATGGCTTTTCCAAGAAAGACGGACATTACGAGTGCCCGTATATGCGTCTTTACACGTACACATGGCAAAAGCACTGATGAACGACAGAGTGACGCTGTTGTGGGTAGCTGGGGGCCGAAAACCAACCCGGAGCAGACCGCGGGCTGGGTGGGTGACCTGTTTGAAATGAAAAGGCAACAAGGAGTCCGGGTGGTTGGAAATCCCCTATGCTGTGTTGCTATTTCTGGTGACGAGATCACGGCCACAAGCGTGGTTTTAGTGGGTCGCTTTTTGGGCCGGTCTCTCGATCAAACCAATAAGCAGCAGAGTGCAACCGCCAACACTAAAGTGTGGGGTATGAGGGAAAGAACGAGAGCGCCTACATACAGTCTTCGTAGTCGTACTACTCAAACTCGTCCGTGATGCTTGCGTAGAAGCGGCGGTGAGGCGCAAAGACAAGGATGTGGAGGAGTAAGGGAAGAGCAAAGAACGTAGAAAAAAGAAAAGCCGGGACGGTCTTGTCTCACGGCACACAATCTCACTACATAGTAGGTGCCTGAAATTGATTTTCGTGGTGGTGTGAACAACGAGGCGGGAACAGCTGGCCGGTCGAATAGTACGGCATGGAAGTCTTCAAAGGATTTTGCAAGAAGGCCCTTGCGGAGTAGGGCGGTGCGGCTCGGAGATGCAGTGAGATGCAGCACAACACCCTCACAGATGTGCACTTATCGCATTATGCGGTATAGCATGCGTCTAGACGAGCATCGTGAGTGCCACCTTACAGCTCCTGCAGCCGACGGTTCCTGTCAGGAACGGCCCTCTGATAGGCGCTCCCCTATGACCATATAGCCACGTGATGTCGATTGGATGACACTGCCTTTGTTGGAATATCAAATTACGAGCGTGATTAACAGTCTACGTCGTACGTCGTATGTATCCCCTCACCTTGATCGTCTTCGCAGTCGCCATGGGCTCGATTGAGCGCCGTTGCCCCGCTGTGACGAAAGGCCCGGCAAGCAAACTCGAGCGTCAAGCACTAGGACGGGTTTGGCCAAGAGCAGCAGCCCCCTGTCCCTTTTTCTTCCTCCCTGGTGCTCCGCTAAATACGGACCACGCTAAGAACGTGCTTCCAAACCTCGCTTGCTTCAGGGCACCTGCCCGCCGTCAGAGAAGGCCGTGGGTGTTTGAAGGGGTCGGAAGGGAAAGAAAGGCCAAAACACGAGCAGAGGAAGGAAGCAACGGCGCGAAAGTCTCGAAGCGCCAGCCGGAAGGCGCGAACAAGATCACTGTCGTTATGGCTTGCGCGCCCGCAATCAAACATCCAATCCAATCAGCATCCCAAACTATCAACAAAATATCACAGAGGGCACATTGGGAGCTCGAAACATCCCGGCTCCATAGACCGCGTGATTGAAGCATCTCCTCGAACGTTGTGCCGATGCTCGGTGCCACTGCCACGGACAATTCCCCTCTCTTTCTCCCCACTGGCAAGATTCCACGGCCGCTAAAATGGAGATACTACCTCTCGTGTGCCCAGGGTTGGTGCAGAAAGAATCTGCTTGTAAGGGTTCCGCACAGGTCGCTAATGTACGACGAGTATGTGCTACATAAAACCATCTCAGTATATGAACCCCGGTCGGTAAGCTGCCAACATATACCCTACAGCCAATCAAGACCCCCCAAACAGCAGCGCCGACTTCTAACCGCCTGCATCGCCCAGCTCACTTCGCCAATCACACCCGCAAACACTTCTCTCTAGCTTCGCCAGCTCGCCGGCATGACGAGGAGGCCCGTCATGGGACTCGCCCGCCATTCAGCCCAGCCCAGCCGCGGCCACGGCCTCGTTTCTGTAATGCGTCCTCGGCGGCGGCGGCTGTCCATCGACTAACCCTTCTGTTCCGTTGAAGCATGGCCAAAATGCTACAAAGTCTCCGTCTTCCCAAACTTACAACCCCTTCCCCCCCCTGCTCTCTCCCCTCCTCTCTCCCATCCGCCCCCATGCCGGCTGTCAAACCCGAACTGTGTTTCCAAACTCAAGGTTAAAACTCTTTAACTCTTTTCTCGCCTTCCTCCCTGTTTCCGCTACGACTCTCTGCCGTCTGATCGCCACTTTCGAACAGGCTTCTCCTTCATGCAATCGAGCCACTCTTTGCGCCATCCACAATCCGCCAAGACCGCTTCGCCCAGGCTTGCCGTCTCGCCGGTCCTCCCCTTCGCCGCCCCCTCTCCTAATTTCCTTACCGGCGGATCTCGACCCATATCTCTGAACAAAGAAGCATACCGCAGAGCTGCTGCACACCCTCTTCCGGCCCGCAATCAGAGACAGTAGCTGCCTCATGCCGCTCGGATGCCAGAGTTCGCGATAGATCAACTCTACCGCACCTGGATCGGCAACGAACAAGTGCCAAATCGAAGAAACAAGCACGCAACCAAGTCCCGTCGTGTCTGCTCTAGCAGCTGCCATCTCAAGTTCATCGAACCACCAAACACCAATCTGTCGTCCCACACAGCTGTTTGATACTCGCTTCCGGCCTTGGGTGCTGCCCTTGGGGCACGTCTACCTCCAGGCCATTTCCCAAGCATCCACTGCGTCCACCACACCCTCCACCATTACGACCACTGCTCCATTAAAGCACCCACCCGGAGCCTCAGCGACCCGCCCAGCAAAATACCCTTAATCACCTACTCCTTACTCCCGTAGTGTCCTCCGTCTCACCCCTTCCTCTTTCTCTTCTCTTCTTTCTTTTCTTCTCAGCTGCTGTGCACTCGATCTGTCGATAGCTTTCTTTCACATCGACACTGGTTGTTGTTCCTTCTTTTCGCCTTCCCTATCAGGTCTGGATACCTGACATTATTCTTTTCGACTTCGACTTCTTGACCGTTCGTTTTTGTACCGATTTTTCTTATTCTCCTCTCGTTTCAGCCGCTTGGGTTCGGTTTTGTTTCTTTGGGAAGACAGCAAACAGGGACAGTCGAAACCTGAGATCAAAATTGCCAACGAGCGGAATCTACGAAAGGAACCCAAACTTGATACCCCGGAAGACGACTCCGACACTTTTTTAAAGCAACACCACCGTCCACCCAAGTCCACAGCGCACCCGGAATCATGGGCCGTCTTATTAAGAACCACTGGGCACGGCTCATCGTCATGAGTGCAGCGGCCTGTACGTTCCTCCCAACATGTTATTTCGACTTGCATATTACCTCTTCGTACTGACTCCGTCTTAGACCAGATTGCTGCCGCAATTGAGTGCTTCTTCTGGCCAAAGATCCTCTGGGACTTTCTCACCAGAGCACTTGACCCGGCCATCAAGCCCTTTCCCACTCTGCAGATAATAAACGTGCTCATGGGCTTAGCCGTATTAGCTTGGGAGTGGCCGCTGGGCGCCATAGCTGGTAGCGTCATGCACCGCAGCATCGATTTGCGTCTGGCCTTGCTCCCATTGACAGCCCTTCTTGCTGTGCTGTTGTACCAGGGCACAAATGCGGCTCTATACTACCTCATCGGCATGGGAGTATACTTCTGGGCCTTCAGCGAAGGAGAGGTAAGCAACAACAGCCCTAGTGGTCTAGCAGTTACAAACGGCAAGTTCAAAGCTGACTTCTAATGCAGATGATCTGTGCCAAACCCTGGACATTGCCACAGCGGGGGACCTCTGGTGCGAGCCGTGTGTAAGAAGATCGACCAAATGCCGTCCATCTGCAACTACTCGTCTCTTCATCTATTCTCTTACTGTTTCGACCCGGCTGCTCGCCTGCCTTCGCCCTTCTGATGCCATTTTTCATAGCACAGACATGGGATAAGTGCTTCCGGGCGGTCTGGAAGAGGAAGATCAACACCGCCACCGCTTCAGTCTCGACTAATGTGCCGTCAAAGCCTAGTCGAGACTGCCTGCATTTTCTTATATACGTGTACTACCAACAAAAAAAACCCTCAAGCGAGCCAGCTTTTTTTCATTGAAATTATTTTATTATCTACCAGTTTTATTGATGTAAGATGGGATAGCGCCGCTGATTATTTCCATTGCCTGTTTTGTTCCTTATCATGTCCTGTCTCGTTGCAGAAGTACCAAAAAGTGCGGTCGAGCCGCGTGAGGAAAAGCAGGGCAGTTCTTAACGATTGTCGACGACCTCTGTGCAAGCAAATGCGTCTTTTTGCACATCAATAGCATATAGCATCAGCGATTTTTTACTTTAGACAATAGCCACAATCGGTCACTTTCAGCATTGGGCCAAGCCTTCTAAATGTTTAAAAGAACTATGTGACAGTAATAGTTTCGAGGACCGATTTGTTTTGTTTTAAATGATTGAGTCTTTTCTCTCTCCCATTGGAGATGCGAAACCAGTAAAGCCTGTGGGGTAAACAGAAGCTTCATATGGCATAACTATGTTGCCATGGTAATGGTTGGCCACTTTGGTTTGTCCCAGCTCATCTAAGTCCTTTTCTCGTCATGTGGTCAGCATGCTAGTGCTCTGCCTCTTTCAGTGTGCCACCCGTGCTCCCTGGGAGTCGTTCTTAAAGCCCTGCCGCTCGGGACCCTGTGCGAATGTCAAAGTGTGTTCAACCCAAAGTACTTGGTATAGAGAAAGCCAACGAATGGCCAGAGAATTCCAAGTTGCTCACCTCCACCTCTTGCAGTGTTCCCTTGGACAGAATAGATTTCAGTACGGCATCGATATCGTGGGTGCTAAACTCATTTTCCAGTGTTCCGTTCGAGGCCGTGTCTAACGTGCCCTGAACTCCCTGACTGATGAGGGGAAGTATCTGTGTCAGCATGTCGATGTCTTTGTACAAGTGCACCTGCACGAGCAGTGCTTCTCTACTCAAAATAGCTTACTTGTGTGTCACAAATACCTTGAAGCTCGACACAAAGTGTGCCAGCGGCACTGAGGAATCTTCCTTCCATTTGCGATATGTGGCGACATCATCGACGAAGACGATGTAATCCTCATCCGAGCCCCGGTAGTGGACCTTGTTCTGGGTGGCTTCACCGCGCATGTTGTGTGGTTGACGAGTGGGAGGTATAAAGTAAGCTTCGTGTAGATTTGTAGTTTATTGCGATGCAAAATTCGTGTTGGACTCCTGGACTTGTGTTGTGATATGTCTTGGGAGTGTGGATGAATGACAATGCTAAATGAAGCTGAAGTCTCTATGCTATTATCGTCGATTTGTAGGTTACTACATAGAAGAACTAGTGGGATGACCTGGTACAGTATCTTTGGCGAGTACTTGCGCTTCTTATATGTACCCGCCTTGAGATCACGTTGTTGAGCTGACTCCTGATTGATGACGCTATTTGCAGACAACGTCATAGATTTCAGCAAGACAATACGGGGTAATAACTGGGGCATCGGCCCAGAATATAGAGGGCCTGAAAGCCTGTGAGTTTATCTTGCCGTAGGGCACATCTTACACTCTATCAGGACCCGCTGTAATCTACGTCATCGGTAGCTGTCTCAACCGGCTCAAAAAAAACATCAAATACAAAACGAGCAGAACGCTGACTAATCGAGAGCGCAAAACACCTTCGGGCAAGTAATTAATTCAATTGAAGACCCAAAGACCTAAAGACCCAATAAAAAAAACAACAACCGGCAGTGGAATTGTATACAAATGCCTGATAGTGTGGTTCCTTGTTAATGGAGAAGACCGCGGAAAGATTGGCTTAGTGACGTTCGGTGGAAGACATTTGTCTTGGACCAACGTCTCAAGGATCGTATCGATGATTGCTTGGTCGGCTGGTGTTGATTTTCATGCACAGATGCGTATGTCGACAGCCTGGAGGTTGAGTTGGCATGCGAAGCCTTAAGACCTGTCGACTGCACGCTGCGGAGGGATTGTTCGCTGTATGCTGCGCGAATGATGGGAGGCATGTCACGGCTCTGGTAGCCGCCATTGCTGTTACCATCACTTATTTGTGCGCCTTGAGCTTCCTGAGGCTGGTGCTGCCAGCCATCCTCGAAAAAGCGGGACATGGTTCGTTTGATCGAGCCGGCCATAGCACTCGTCTCACTGGGCTCGCTTCGAGATATGTAGTTGGTCGGAACCGTATGCATGGGGCTTGAAGGCTCAATCTCTGGTCTTGGCCACGCGAAGTTCATCATCGAGGATGCATGTCCGACAGTAGGTGTGTCGTTGTCTGTTCTCTGTCCTTCGCCCGCTGGCTGCTCGTTTTCGTAAACCCCATCTGTATGCATTCGGTTGAGAGGCCACGATGGAACATATGTCTCGCTCGCACCCACGTCAAAACTTGCAGCTCTTTTATGTGTGTTGGCCCGGCCCATCGATCGCCGACCAAACGTGCTGGTCAGGCTGGCCACGCTCAGTTTTCTCATGGCAGACGAGGCAGAGGACAAAGCAGGACGCTCAGGCTTTGTCCGCGTCGTCGTTCCCGGAAATGAAAGCACGTCTCGCGTCCATACATCGCATATCAATGCTTCAAGCCGAGCCCGGTCTGAACGTGGAGGTGATAGTACGGGGATCCGGGCATTTGCTTGCAGAGACTGGGAGCGATTGATTGGCGCTTGCCTAGGCGGCATCGCCAGGTTGTCTTTATCGAAGCTGGTGTTCTTGACAATGACCTGGCATAAAGGGGATTTGGGCCCCACTGTTGTTGCCCGACGTATCGACAACTTCCGAGCCGCGGTGCCTTCGTTATGTCAGCCAACAGCGTGAGATTCCGGCCACCCAAAGCTGACGTCCTATTATGAACTTACCAGGCTTTCCAAACACTGTCCCAAGAGTCCTGATGTCCAACGCTAGGAAGCTGAGATCCTGTGCTTCTGGTTGAGTATGGCCATCATCTACCATGTTTCGCTCTAGCCTTCGTCTCCATTCCCACTCTTCTTTTGCGTTGGAAGCTGTCATTACAACTTCATACAACTGATAGTCGCATTCGAAGACAAGCTTCCATGAAAACGGCGCCGTATGGCATTGCAACCCTTTTCCTTTCAGCACAGGTGTTATATCAGTTAGGGGAAGGCCACGTACCTCGACCATTATCGGCTTCTTCCACATTGCAACTACACATAGGAAGACAGGCCTGAAGTGTATAGATCTGATCCGGCCTTTCGGCCACAGCAAAACAAAGCCAGTCGCGGTAGAGAAGGCACACCATGTAATTGCCTTTCACGGAGTCTTGCGTCTGCCAGCAGATGTGTAAAATTCCGCAGAGTTGTATGTGGCCAAGAGAGCGAATTCGGCTTTTCGCCAAAGCATCAAATCGCTTTCAAGCACATCATTAGTAGGTCCTCTCGAGTAACTAGATGTTGTACCGGATCACTCACCTGATTTGGGAACGCCAATCGATCCTGAAGTAGCCACGTCTTCTTAAGAGTCGCCCTGACGAGGACACTATCCGCTGCCCTGTTCATGGCCCCAGTAACCTCTCTTAACCGGGCCAAAGTGTTCTCAATCTCCATATACGAGTATGGGCAATCGCACACAGGGGTGTACCTGACCAGTTCCGAGAACAGCAGTGGGTAGCGGCAAACTCTCTGTATAGGCTGAGGTGGGATTAGCTGCTGTCTCGTTCAAAGAGAAAATACATTACACTGTCTACAAGCTGATTGTAAACTGTACCTTTGTCAAGAGATCGCTGATGGTCAACGCTCTTCTGGAGTTTTGAGACTGGTTTGTAGAGCCTATGCAAGAGCCCAATGTTTCAAGTCCCTTCTGGTATTCGTCCCATTTTGCAACAGATCGGTATGCGGCATGAAGATCTTTAAACATCAACTCGTACTGTGCCCCGTACTCCTCGTAAATGAAGAATTGGTTCATCTGCTGACTTAGCTTTTGTTGCGTTTTGGGCCGTCAAGGGCATCTTACCTTCTTGGCAAATGCTCTAGCAACTCGCGCGGCAACTTCCGGATCGGAAGCCATACCCGGAACATGCTGCAACCACGCCACGCCAGTGTTCTCTTCTGTCAAGGAATACATGCTTTGCTTTCTGTTTACGTTGGATGTTTTCGTCGGATTCTTTTTTGGTGAGCTCGATTTGTGTATGCTCCGAGCCAGGAACCACTCTGTACAACTCTTTTGGGAGACTCTCGTGAAGTTCGACGATGTCAGTCAAGTTTCGGTTTATCGAAGACCGCAGGCCTGCCTGCAGTGTCGGTAAAGATGCTAATATGGTCAAGTATGCCTACTCCCGTTAGACAATTATCGACAATCCCAGTAGCTGCTTTCTCGGTATGGTCCGGCCTAACTCACGTTCATCAGGAAACGAACATCTCCAATGTATCCCTCCTCTGTTCTGATCAGCTCCTCGATAACACGTCTACGATTCAGTGACCGCTCAATGGTGGCAAGATCGACCTGTGAATGTCTATCGTGACTGTCTTCGGACTGCCGGCCATAGGCTGATGCTCTGCTGCTCCTATCCGTGCGCGATGGTACTAGTGATGAGCGCAGTGTCTGCCTTCTCGACCGGTCCATATTGCTGGTACTAGCAAGGCTCATACTGGCTTCTCTTGCAGTTGACACAAAATAGCAAAAGAGGACACTGATGAAGAGTGGCGCAGGTAACTGGCACTTTCGTCAACTCGAGCTTCTCCCTCAGGCTGGTGAGCCATTTGTTGCCTTTTTGGCACCAATTTTGGAGCCCAATGCCGGTCAAGGCGCCTTCGGTGAAGTATCTGGACCCATTTCTTAAATGGCCTCTTTTGTTTGACTGGAGGCTGGCTCCGGTGATCTGAGGGAAGTTCCAGGATCTTGGTATGTATCGGAGGATACAGCCATCTTCTGAGTTATCTGCCCTTTGTTGAATATCGATAGATGATCCAGTTCGGCATCTTGCTCCGGCTGAAAGTTGGACGTTATTGCCATCATCTGCATTCGTTGGCTCCTCGTCCCCAAAATCACAGTCCACATCGGCGCTAGCTGCAGAGGGACATATGCTTTCTGATGTTCCGATAATGAGATCTAGAGCTGAGGGGCTAGATCTGACAGAGCTGGGGGGAGGGGGCCGATTACCGGGGGATGTCATTTGTGTGAGGAACTTGAGCCATGCTGCCGGAAGTAGGATAGGCGTCGGGCTGAGAAATAAAAGCGAGTATGGATTTTGTCTTTTTAAAGTATACCAAAAAAGGGAAAAGAAGCCTCGGACTTCTATAAACAAAGAACAGCTTTGAAGAAAGCTCAATACATAATCGACACCGTCAGTATAAGACTGAAGAATGCTTTATAATATTCCAAGGCGGGAGCAGACACCGGCATTATGGGAGAGATATAAGACAAACAACTCCTTGTATTTTCTTAGTAGTCCTGGAAATCGTGCTCTACCAGCACGGATATAACAATTGTCGTCACTTGGCATCGTCACTCGGCCGCTAAGGGAAGGCACGAAGCTCAGCAGACAAGACATGCTCATTGCGCAAAGAAGGCACGCGAGTAAGAATGAGTGGGGCGTCTTCTCAAATGGGGGATGATGGGGAAGACACTCCTATACGGAGTACTGAGATCCTGACAACCTGAATATTAGCTCGCAAACTCTAGATAATAATTCAGTTGCACTGGCAACATGGTCCGGTGCTCTCAAAATTCCAGGTGTCAGACATTGGTGAAACCATGCGTGCTTTCCGTTGCTAATGATACCCATTTTTTGGGATCGCTTCAAAGCTGTATTGACGAGCGTCTCCTTCTTCGCGGCCAATCAAGAGCATAGCTTTGTGTAAGTCAGGTATGCCACCACGCCACAGCACTCAAACGACACGTGAGTTTTGTGGCGTACAGTGGCGCACCCCACGCGCGTCATTATCCCCGCCTAAAGTTAAGACGTCCTTGAGCTGCCTTCTTGCTAGGTTTGCTCAAGTACAAGTCTTGTCAGGGATGATATGGGCTTGCCGTTGAATATGAACAATTTACATGCACCTACAGTGCCATCGGGGCCAACATCGGCTCCCGCGACGAATGGCAATAACAAACAGCTCTCCTTTGCCGAGTTACAACGAAAAAAGGATGCGATTGAAGCTGAGTTATCGGCCCTTGGCAGCGTCCTCGACTCTGTGCGCATGCATCACTGCCCCAATAGCTGAACCACCCCATCCAGTATGCTTACACTATTTTACACATTATAGCATCATGTCGATATGAACACATCCCTCCTGACACAAGACGGGTTTCCACGAGCCGATGTCGATGTTGCACAAAGTACGCGAGGACATCCCGCCAGATTTTGCAGGAGCAACGGGATACCTCCCGCTGTTATAAAGTGACATATGTACTAACAACTGTCCCGATTGAATAGTACGAACGACGAGATCGCGCGTCATATACCTAAGAAATGACTATAAAGAGCTTATGGGGACTATCGAAAAGTTCCTCCATGAGCACTTCGCCAGTTTGGATGAGACAAACGAGGATACAGCAGTATCGCGCGAACACATTGAGGGGCGGATTTTACCAGACTTTTTACCAGATGTCTTGGAACCTCCGTTTGCTAAAGTCAATACTGTTGTTGACGGAAGTCCAGCAACTTTGGCTGGGCTAAAAGCAGGTGACCAGATTCGCTCGTTTGGATATGTCAATCACACGAACCACGACAACCTGAAAAAGGTTGGCGAGTGCGTTCAGGGGAATGAAGGGGTAAGGACGCTCTTTGCGGGTGAAAACAATAAATATGACTCAACTTTCGCCCATACTAATCGTCGGACAGCAAACCATTCTCGTGAAAATTTCGAGGAGCACAGGGTCAGATCGGCTGCAGGAGCTTCGTCTTAACTTGATACCGCGTCGAAACTGGGGAGGGAGGGGGTTACTGGGTTGCCACGTATTGCCACTATAGTATTCCGGCGCTGAATCTTATCGTCTGACAGTTGGTGTGGACTGATCATGAGTGGAGAACGAAGCACTTCATCAAATATTAGGCATCGCGTCATGTATCTTGCATCGCTGCTGGGCCGGATCGAAAACTAATCGTTTGGTTGTGCTGTGCGCGCGCCTCTAGTAAGAGATTTTCGGGCCAGTTTCCTGCAAGACGAACATCACCACGAAGGTATTGGGACCTTTTGCCGATCGGGGGTATGTACAGAAGTACGAGTAAGATAATTTCTTGGAATCTATTCGGTGGCAGAGCTCCGGTAGCTTCCCAGAATCCTGTCCAGGTTGCCCCTCCATATAGTATTTCATCACGTGATGTAGATTAGCCTTCCCCGCCAGCGCCCAACCAACCCAGGCGGACTGGTGCCTGTTCAAACAACAAATAAAAAAAAACATCATTGAAAAAGATTTCTCCCACGCTTTTCTTCTCTCTCCGCCCTCATCTTTCCTATCACAACCGAGTAAAGCCGCAAAACCACCACAACCAGCGCGAAGGTAGGCAGTCCAATCTGCACAAACCCCGTCATTTCCAGCGTGTCTTTGAACTCCCTCTTAATGCGTCCATCGCGTCCATCCCCCGCCTTTTTGACCTAGCATTGTTCTATTTCATGCGACCCCTTGTTTTAATTGCCGACAGTCGACTTTTAGCACTACTGATATTGAACTCGCAGCTTTGACATATCGTCGACGTGTTCCGCAACTGCATCTCCATCACACCCACGTACATCACACTCACCCACAGCCATGGCTGAAGCTGCGCAAGGGAGCAATGTGCCCACCTTCAAGTTGGTGCTGGTCGGCGATGGCGGTACTGGCAAGGTATGAAACACATGTCTGATGCGGTTGATATCATCATAGCAATTAGGCCACATGGCTTTCAACATCTCGATCCATGCTGGGATAACTTTCTGCTGTGATGAATCTGGTCGACATGCGCTAACAAAGCCTGTTTTGCTACGTCAACATAGACCACTTTCGTCAAGCGTCATTTGACTGGTGAATTTGAGAAGAAGTACATGGCCACTCTTGGTGTCGAGGTCCACCCTCTGGCCTTTACCACAGTAAGCCAGATGCTCACTTTCGCTGATGAAACATAAAGCCAGCAGCGCATTGTTTCGAGATGAGTAATACATGCTAACAATGCTCTGCAATCAAGAACTTCGGCAACATCCAGTTTGATGTTTGGGACACGGCTGGCCAGGAGAAGTTCGGCGGTCTCCGCGATGGCTACTACATCAACGGGCAGTGCGGCATCGATCATGTTTGACGTGACGTCCCGTATCACGTACAAGAACGTGCCCAACTGGCACCGTATGTCACACTTTCATTGCTACACCTTACCGTGCGATTTACTATACCTCATTTCTTGCTTGTTTGCTTACATTCCTGTTACTTTTCTAGGTGACCTCGTCCGCGTTTGCGAAAACATTCCGATTGTTCTTTGCGGCAACAAGGTCGATGTCAAGGAGCGCAAGGTCAAGGCCAAGACCATCACATTCCACCGCAAGAAGAACCTGCAATACTACGATATATCGGCCAAGTCCAACTACAAATTTGAGAAGCCGTTCCTGTGGCTGGCCCGCAAGCTCGTCGGCAACCCATCTCTGGTATGTTTTGATCTAGCCTGGTTATTTTCCAGATGCGTAGATAAGCTGACAAAAAAAGGACTTTGTCGCTGCCCCGGCTCTTGCCCCCCCCACAGCCCAGGTTGACGAGGCGCTACTGGCTCAGTACCACCAGGAGATGGTCGATGCTGCCGGAATGCCGCTGCCGGAGGAGGACGATGATGATTTGTGAAGAGTTGAGACAATTCGTTTACTTGCTAGGCAAGGAGCTCTACAATAGGCATCCCATCGCTATCGCATATTTGGAAACACTTGAAGAAAGACCAAACGATGGGGACGCTGGACAGGACTGACTATTTCGCTTTGACGTTTGCCGTGGTGGACGATGGATAGATAGACGAAAAAAACAAAGGATACTCTAGTGGATGCAGAAAGAGGGGTGGGAAGAGAGAAGAATAGGGAAGAAACAGCACGAGGAAGAGGGCTGTTTACATAGCTCCAGCTCGGTTTTTTGCATTTTCATCGTCATAATATGAAATCCATACAGTAGTTAAAACCCACACGCCAAGAGAAAACTAAGTGAAGCATCAGTCGAGGCGTCGAGGACGAACGTCGAGGCCGTTTTTACTGTACTACTTTGACGAAGGCGGTGAAGCTTTATTACCTCACATGAGGGGGGGGCAGACTTTTCCCATGGCCGGGATTGGCAAAGGGGAAAAGGTTGCGCAATAAGCAACGGCAGACCCACCCGTAGCCGGTTAGGTCTAACATATGTCTTTGTTATTGTTTGTCTTTATCTAGAACATCAAATTTTGGGAAAAATAACGGTTCGTGCTTATGCGGTGATGACGATACTGAATTGTGATACTACGCATCAATATCCACGCATAAGGATGGCACAAATGTGTGCCCTTACTTGGTTGGCTGTTAAGCTACACTAGCACGAACTTCTTATCATAATACGGAGTACGTACCTGGTATGTATGTATCACAGGTTTATTCTGTACGAGACCCCGCTTCTAGTCATCGTAGTCAGTAAATATTCCGTATGGCAGACCCAGTGCTTTAACATACCATGTCTTCAAAGCACAAGGACACGTTGATACTGGCTACCCAGTGCATACCACGGTGTTGAACCAGCTCTCGCATTAGAGGCCTGATGGCAGAGGTCATCCGCTGTCCCAGTCAGGCCTCTTCGCATATCAGATGCTATACCATGTAGAGTCTAGCTATAGGATTGACCTACGGAGTAGGTGCAGAATACACCAGGCCGGTTAGTCTAAACAGCTGGCGTAACTGGCAGTGTACTTCGTACGTTCCAGGTCACTAATGAAGGCGAGGATCGATGATTAACCCCCCGTAACATGCCCTTTTCTACGCCTGGAAGCAATTTAGTTTGTCCGATTACCACCTATGGCCATATGCATCGTATCTTACTATATAGTAGTATCCCAAGATAATTACGCACTCCGCTCCATAGTAAGATACATGTTGTTTACCGTGTTGGAGCAATGGCATTTTATTCAGCTCTCATAAGCAGGTAAAAAACAACAAGAACCGGGGTTTGCCACGGTCTAGTTCAAAGATGCCTTAAAAAGGAATCTCAACCGAAATAGCGTTGTACTCGCAGACCATCCTCAAATTCGAATGACGATCGAGTAACGGGGTGTTGTGGACTGCAGATGAAGCCATTGCAATGTACAGGCTTGTGCGGTCCACAAACGTCCATCCCGTTCATGAAATTTCCGGAGTTGTATCTTATCTTGGGAATGCAATATGGGTGGCACAGTGATTGGTAGGATTTATACAGTCTAGAGACGGTATGTGCCGCCTCTTATTAGGACAACCCCGCTGACATCGAAATCCCTGGTCGAACATACTGCTTTTTACAAAGTACGCGCGATCTATTTTTCGTGGCCTCTAGGTATAACGGCAAGGCTGTTATTGCGGTGTCCAGCCATACGAATACCATACGGTAACACATTTAAGGGGTCACACCGTATCTTACTATAAGTCCTCCATCGCAGCCTCTTGAGGCTGTCTCAGATTAATTTTGTCAACTATAGTTACTAGCAATTATGTTTGATTTTCTAAAGCTTGATGCTGTCTAAGCGGCCCTCTTGATAGACTTCTCCTCACGACGTATGACGGCTCGGGGCGGGAAATGTCGTTTACGCGGTCCCGCTCTTCTCGGTTCGTATCCTCAAAACCCAAAACGCATTGTAAAATTCGCAATAAGATACGAGCAATGGGCCCCATATCCATTGGTTTTTGCATACCGCGCGTCTTCTGGCTTTTAAGGGGTGGATCTTCATTGTGGGCATAAAGAGAGGGTCCACGAGTCGCCGGAGTATGCATATAAAAGGATGGAGACAGAAAAGATCAAAGGGCAGAGTTAGAGTGAGAAGGGGGGCTCGTCAAAGGGATGGAGACGCGCCGTGAAAAGTACGAGCAGGCTTACATGTCTCGCTGCACGGAAATGGATACTGGCTTCATCTCACCGCCATGCTCGACAAAAGACACTCATAAACTTGCGCGCTTCCAGTAATAAATGGGACTGCAAAAGACGTATTGAGGGTAACGGGTTGAGGGGAAAAGTTGCGTCCCATTAAGACGAGACTGGGGGGTGAAATCAAACGCGCTTTTGGATTTAAAAAAAACGGCTGGGAGGGTTTTGATGCTGTGTAATACGAGTCGCCTGGTCAACCTGCATGGCAGGACTGTTTGGGTAATTGCCCGACCAGGACAGTCGAAACGTGGTGCGCGTCTTCTGATTGGTGAACGCGAATGCATGGGAAAGGCACGAGCGACAGTGGGGCGCAAGCTTCGCCACGAAGAAGGACAGGTTCTTGGTCCACTATCGTCCCACTGGCGGCAAGCACGACCTGCAGGACGTGCTGCGGAACTCCTCTTTTCTCGAAGAAAATACTGCTGGAATCTGCAGAGATAGCGGGCACAGCTCTGATAAATCCATAATCTAGCCAGGGAAGGGCCCCAGGGCTCCAGGGGATGGGGGTTTTGTAAGCATGCACCGGAAATGGAGCGCTAGCGATGCGGCGCTACACTGCACCGCTACAACACGCTTCGCGGTCTCGTGTCTCTTGTATATTGTATACGCCGTAAATGTACTGTATTTTGTGGGCTTCTTATAATTCTCGTGTCTTGTCTGGGACTTGTCTTCTTTGCTCCTTCTTTCCCGTCCTCTCCTCCCCTCCGTCTCTCCGCCGCTCAATGCTTCCGTTCACGAGCCACACGCGCTGAAGCTGCCGTTCATTTTGCTTTGCTTTACCTTTCCTTCGGCTTCCTTCTTTTGCCGGGCCTCCCCCCCCCCTCACCCCCGTTTCTTCTTTTGCCCCGGAACCCGCGTCACCCGGATCCTCTTCGCCTTCTGTGGCGCTGGGCCTGCCACAGCAGCCACGAGTTATCGCCACTGTCTCCAGCGACCCATTGATCTCGTCTCCAAACAGCGGCCACAGCAGCAGCAGCAGCAGTGGCGGCAGCAACGACAGCGGCATCAGTGGGCTGACAGACGATGCTACTGCTCCTTCCTCGGACGCGGCCGACGACAGCCTTTTGCGGCATCCGAAGGGAAAGCGGAAGAGAACTGCGTAAGTCTTCGACACGTCGACCCCTAAGCCGCGTGTTCTTGGGGGTAAACAATGCTAATTACCGCGACTTTGGCGCGTTGTAGGGCCAAGGACAAAAGCCATTCTCGAAGGTGCCTACCTTGCCAATCCCCAAGCCAGATAAGACGGCCCGTCTTGACATTGTCAGCCAAGTTTCTCTCAACGAGAAGGAGGTTCAGGTATGTCGCCAGGCGCAAAGTCTGCCAAGGCGGCTGCTGTGCTCTTGCTGACTTGGGCTTGCAGATATGGTTCCAAAATCGCAGACAAAACGATCGCCGGAAATCACGCCCCCTCTTTCCCCAGGAGATAGCCGTCTTGCGCCTAGGTGGCTTGCATGCCTTCTCGTCTGACTCCCCGCCATCGCTTATTCGCAGCTCCATATCCTACCCTAATGGTGCTCTCTCCTCATCCCCACCACACCTAGCTCGCAATGAACCCTCGACGACGCCGCTTTCCTCTCCTGAACTTGGACCGTGGGAACCAGAGGCACTGGCCCGGAAGCAGGCCGAAGAGCAGCAGCTACTGCAACGACAGGAACGCGATCATCCGTTCCAGAGCGCAAGAAACGGTGCACAGACGCCGTCTCTGTCGTTTTCAAGCTCCACAAGCTCAGTCGGATATCTGGCCAACCGTTGGAACGCACACAGTTCGTTCTCTACCCCGTCTTCTACCTTCCATGTCAACGGCTTCGGCAGTATCGGCCGTGACGGCTGCCAAGACGATTTGGTCAAGACGGATCCCTTTGCACCTCTGTCATCCGCACCTGCTGTGCTCCCACCGCCGCACCAACAGCATCAGCTGCGACGACCATCCCAACGACCGTTCCGTATCTCTCTCTCCCTTGACGGCAAGGCCGAAGTGATTGCGGGCCTGTCTCCCTCGCCACCGCGGCGACTACCGCCACCTCAGCTCACCGCTGCAATTCCTTTTGGTAGAAGGAGTGGCAGCAGGAGCAGCACTGGCAGTGACGGCCATCTACCGTCTCTTCCAGCCATTCAGCGAGCCGGGCTCAGCCGAAGCCAATCCGCTATCAGTCTGGGCAGCGGTCTCACTCTGCCTCCCATCTCCAGCCTGACCGGCTCGCTAGAGAGCGGCTCTATCCCTGCACCACCCTCGCAACCAGTGCACCCGCCTAGACTGATGCGCGGTCGTTCACGCGATGTGCACGCGTGGGTCTCGGTTTGCAATGCTGAGATCCGTATCGACGACGAGCTGAGTGCCCAGGCACAGCATGAGATCAGTGGTTCGGCTATCGCTGCCATAAGCCTGCTGCGTTCGACGTCTGCGAACGCTGGTGCGGCTTCGGTCTCATCCTCGGTGCTCCAGCCCAACTCCAGTAAGCGAAACACGACTGGACGGCCGACAGCGCCGAGACTCGGTGGCAAGCGTCCCAAACTGGTCCGATCATCCAGCAGTGTTGCCCGCTTGCAGAGCGTTCCGCCGTCGCATGGTGCGAAAGTGGGCGAGGAAAACGACGAGGTTTGGGTCGACGACGAGAAGAAGAAGAAGCTGAAGCTGTCCACACTGCTTTCCGGAAACGATTCTGACAAGGAAAACTGGAGTCCGGATGAAGATGGACGTCCTGTGTCGGTGCACTCGCAGCGGCCTAGTGGCACAGGCAACAGCGGGAGACGGCCTCTTCCATCGGCGCGGACGGCACAGCAACAGCGAGCTATCGCTGGTCGTGTGCTAAATTACTGCAACATCAACAAAAACAGAGACTTTCGGAACAGCTCGAACTTGCTCGCCAAGCGCCAAAATGGTGGCAAGTCCGGTAGCGGGCTATCCGGTGGGCTAGACATCTTTGAGGATTCGTCTTCTGAAGGTGGTGATGCCCCAACAAAACGGGCGCCCTTGTCGCGGGCAGCCACCATCCCGGGTACAGACGACGTGGAGAAATTCATGCGCAGTGGTGAGGCCAGCCCAAGCAAGAAGGGTGACCTGGACTGTGTTGCTGGCCTGCTGTCGCTGTCCCAAGGCATCTGGCGGTGAAACTACGCCAGGCAAGTTCGTTGCATAACCGACCATTCTTTACATTTGTAGTCCAGCACATTGGTACAAACACAATGAAGCCAAGTCTTCGTTTGTGGCAGGAAGCTGCCATGCAAGACACATCTGTTTCGTTTTGCAGACAGTATCCCACTCAAATTTGAGGGGATCGTCGCGGACTGGAACGGCGGGATGAGGAGCAGAGAAACGCAGCATCGCCTTACATCGGTGAAAGAAGTCAGGTGCTCCATCCTCGACCTGAGTGTCACTGCGAAGATGAAGCCCAGAGGAGAAGAGGATGCCAAAACCAGAGGTTGGGTAAAAGCCCAGAATGGGAGAACCAGGGGTCCCTGGCGGGACGTGAGACGTGGCGATGGTCTATGGTTGGTATATGAATGATACAGTTTTTGAGATTCTCGAGTACTTTCTGCTGCCTTTCGCTTCGTGTATTTGGTATGTTCCGTGTCTTGATATGAGACGCAATGGTCGAATTGGCGCTGAATCAGGCGGTCTAGTTAGATGGTCTTGGGTGGTGTTGGCTTACGTTGTGGGGTGCTCTATACTCTTGTATTACTATTAGACCTGCGTCCTTCTAGAAAATCTCAAGGAGGTACTCCGCAGTCGGTACCACAAGCGGTATGACACGTGTTATGACAGCGAGGTAAAAGCATGCGGGGAGCGCAATCCACGCGAATCAGTCTGGCCTATATTCGTAAATGACTGACATCCGCAGATGCTTCTTTCTTCTATATAAGGGAAAGCTGACAAGATACAAGATAGACAAGAGTATTGTGGATTTCCCGAGGTCACCTGACCTGACCTCGGCCGCCGAAAGCACTAGATAAGACGAAGCCCTGATCTGAGCGCACATTGCGCACAGGCTGGAGCTTCAGTCAACCACCCAACGAAATATCATCACTAGATCTTCTGAAGGCCTTAGAGCTTATTACGATACGTGCAACTGGTCCGGACGAATATCCCACAAGGATTACCGTACGGGTCTTACACTGGTATTCGTGCAGACGACTGCGCGTACAGACTAGTGGTGCACGGAGTAGAAGCCACAGTATGGCTGAAGCAGAAGGTCATGTGACATAAATTTAAAAGTGGTCATAAAGCTCGCTGAATGGGAATACGGGCAAGAAATCTATGGTAAAAAAAGGCAGGAGCCTCACATCCCCAACAGGCTCATCTGCCGCCGCAGTGGACTTGCACTTGTGCTGCCCTCTTCGCTGGCGTAGTAGCCCGAATCCGTATCGATGTCCCAATCAGGCTCTTCCTTCTCGGCTGCACCGGCTGTGGCCACAGCGTTTCCGCTCCCGGCATCAAAGCCCTTCTGGGTTGCTGCCCGGGTGTTCCAGCGCAGCGTCCGCGAGACGGAGTCAAACCACTCGGTATCGGTGCGTGTGACAGTCGGAAAGGGGTACTGCGACGCCGTGATAGTGACGCAATCACCTTGCCGCAGCTCCACGCGGCCCTTGCCGTCAAAGGCGCAATATGCCGTCGCACGGCTGTTGCGTGGAATGGACACGCGAAGCAGCATTGTGTCCGACAGAACCATGGGCCGGAACGACAGGGTGTGGGGGCAGATGGGCGTCAGTAGGATGGCCGGAATGTCGGGATGCACGAGAGAGCCACCGGCCGAGAGAGAGTATGCGGTAGAGCCTGGGAGACGTCAGCATAGGAAACCAGTTTGGGAACGAGACGGCCTGTTCTTACCGGTCGGCGTGGAGAAGATGCAGCCGTCGGCCTGGACGACGGTCAGAAGCTCGTCGTCGCCGTATAGCTCCAGGTTGGACACATAGGGCGACGGGCCGCGGTCGATGACGAGCTCGTTGAGCACCTCAAACTGCTCGCCCTCCTCGAGCAGCTGGTCAGGCGAGCTGCCGTCGCCATTTGTCTTGCCGTTCCGGTAGACGGTGCAGGTGAAGCGCATGCGCAGGTTCACGCGCATGCCCTCGCTGCCCATGATGCGGTCCAGGTGTTCGCGAAAGCGCTCGTACTCAAACGTGGTCAGGAAGCCGAGACTGCCGAGGCTGAAGGAGAGCACCGGCGGGACGATACGCTGGAAGAGCCACGAGGTGAAGAGCACGGTGCCGTCGCCGCCCAGCGTGATGACCAGGTCGAAATTCTCGGGCTGGGTCCAGCACAAGTCCGGCGTCCAGTACCGCAGCATGGTGGCGAAGCGGCCGCGCAGGTCTGCTGCCATGAGGCCGGCAGCGCCGAAGCGCTTAGAATTGCGCAGCTTGGCATCTACGTAGACATTGACGCCGACTTCAGAGCCGTAGCGCGGCGTGGCCATCAACCACTGGGCGAGCTCGCGCGTCAGCAGCACCAGCTCGTTATCGCGGGCTTTCGTGACAATCATGACATTGCGCACGGCTCGGCGAATTGGCCGGCGTTGCAGCTGCTTAGACACCTCACGGACGCCCGTGGCTGTTTGCACCAGGCGCGAGTGCGACATATATTCGTCGTTCTTGATCTCCTCGAGCACCTTGTCAATGTCGACGGCGTCGTCAAACCGCTGGTGGTAGTAGCAGGGCGACTGCAGGGCCGAGAGTGCCGCGGCTGCCGGCGTGGCCGGCGAGCCGAGCGTGTTGCTACCGTTGCGCAGTGCCAGGTCGTTGAGGGCATCGCACAGCAGCTGCGACGAAGAAGTGGCCGACTGCTGCTGCTGCTGCTGCTGCTGTGGCGGCGGCGAGAGGATATGGGATGGGGGCACGGCAGTCGGAGCGGCATCGTCACCCCATAGCGCTGCTTCTGTGTCTGTGGGGTCCGTTTTCGGAGCGTCCGGTGGGGAGGAGGACGCTTGCACGCTCGCACTGAGCACACCGCTGAGCGAGAGCGCCTCGGGCTTGTGGCTGCGAGCCACGGATGCCAGGGCTTTCATGATGGTCTGGCGGGGAATCGTGTCCAAGGTGCCGAGTTGAGCACGAGCCGATTGAGGTCTGGGAAGGGCCCGTGGCTGGCCTAGACGGTCGGCATCCCGCGGCGGGGCTGGTTTCTTTGTCTGTTCTGCTGTGGACAAATGCTCGTGACCCTGCTGTTGTCGACGCGATGCGGAAAGCGAGTCTGAGGAAGAGGATGAAGAAACCGTATTATAGGACGTCCTGGGCCGGTCTGTGAGACAATTGCTGTCCACCGGTGCGAGTAGTGGCACTGGGTCTGGGAGACACGGTAGTTCTCCAACGACCGCCAAGGCAGGGTGGACCGCTGTGGAGGGCGATGATAGTCCGGCCATCTCGCTTCCTGCTGAGTTTTTATCGATATTTCGCTGCTCTGCGTTGGGGGCGGACTTAGGTGCACTAGCGCCGAAGAGGAGCCGTAGACTCCGGTGGACACTTTGTAATCGGTTGTACGTCAGCCCCGGACACCGACTAGTGTGGCTCTGCTTAGTAAAGGGTGACTGGCGAAATCTACCGAGCGCGAGAAATGGGGCGAGGACACTGCTGCAGTACTCGGATGATGTGCAGCACTTGGGGAAACACGGCACTATTATATGCGTTGGGGCGTGTAGCTTGATGCTTATTGTCAGCAATGGTTTCTTTTTCTCGGAGTTGGCGTGACAAGAAGCCAGATCTTTGTGAACGGGCGTCGCACTCACCAGAAGTTGTGAAGTGTCCAGCACTGATTGGCGTAGATGGAGCAGAAGCGCTGGGAAAAGGTCTGGTGACTGTGATGGGCACCTGCAGGTCCTTGTGAAGGAGGGTATCAAAATCAAGAGAAAGGGCAGGAAGGCTGGTTCAAACGCAGAGATGCAAAATGCGACAAATAAGCGTGAGAAAGAGGTGTACAGAAGTGAATGGTTCAAGGTAAAACAAAAGACGCCCAAGTCGACTGCCAGAGCTCCAGAGCTCGTAGAGTGGTGGAAGAATGATATGGGCCGACTGAGTAGAAGACTGGAGAAGCAGAGTACCGAGACGAGTGTTTGGACGAGCCGCCAGCTGCTTTAATACGGCCACGAAGAGCTCCCTCCGTGTCTGTCTGCCCTTGGATCGCCATCGAAGCCGTGCTGCCGTTGCTGTGGCACAGGGGCAGGGGTGCACTGAGAATCTTACTCGCAACTGACCTCAGATGGCCGAGATGCTGCCAATGACAAGGTTGTAATCTCTCTTGCCGGCAAGGGTAAATAAAGATGGGGCTCTGCCTGCCTCACCGAAGTGGCTAGCAGCCCGATGTCTGGTCGCTTCAGGTCAAAGGGATGCGGTTACGCTCTTGCTCGTGCCGACGTATTGTCTCTTGGGGCGGATCCTGGCGAAGGGGTCGTGGCCTACAGGGATGATTCTAGATCGGGATGTGTTTTGTCTTTTTGGAAGAAAAGTACTCCGTAAGGTTGCACTTGCCGCTCGGACCGGGAATGTTGCTTCCTTCCTCCCAAGGGCTGTTTTGGAGGTGCTCCTTCCCTGCAAGCAACCCCACACGGAATAATAGCAGACATCCATTCGTAGATAGCTTCACCGCCGCCTGTCATGCAGGCTGACCAGCTTCTCCCCGAGCCGTTTGATCCGTTTGATCACACTGATCACACTGATCATACTGCACTTCCTCTAGCGTCGGTCCATCACACTGTCAGGCTCTGCCCGCGAGGAACCCGGCCGCTTTCCAAGCCCTGCGCCTAACGGTGGACGACAGTTGGCTGTGTCTGGCTGTGCTCTTGCTGTTGTCAAGACTCGTATCTGTGACAGAATGCGCATCTTGCAGACAAGGCAATCTTACTTCCTCCTATAGCTACATGTAGAACTACAGCATGCGGCCATCGGTAGCGGAGCCCTGCCGTCTCATGGCGCTGGGGCAGCCAAGATGAAACAATCTTTTTTCACTAACATCCCTCCTATCCACCAAAAATATCCCAAACGTAACCGTACCAGTAAGACCCACCGAGCGATGTTTGAGCAGGAGAAGGGGGCTCTAAGAATAAGGGGCAAAGAAACAAGACAGTTGATGGCAAAGCTCTCTAGTTCTCGTGCGAATGAGAGAAGGCTGGCTTACTGGATGGCCCCGTTGGAAGAGACTCAATGGGTTTGCGTCGGGTATCTGCAACCGCATCGACGAAAAGGCGAAGACGCGAGATAGGATGCCTTGCCTCCCCTCTTTTCTGTCTCGGCACTGTTTCCGCGGGAAGAAGGATGCAATGCGCGGCGCGACGGGCGCCAAGAGACGGGTCTATGCCCTTTTGCTGTAAGCGAGGCGGTCCAAACCGAATCGACGCGGTCCCTGTGAGAGGCAGTCGGCACCGCGGCCTCTGGATCTTGTCTTGCCCGGAGGCTACGTGTTGCTCTCGTCCTCCGCCTGATTCACTTCCGATCCAGCTTCCACTGGAGAACATCTTCGGCTCTGTGCACCACGGTCGACCGAACAAAGTCGTGCATGCTCACGGTCGCTTCTGTGCCGTGTTCCTCGTCCAGTGCCTTGTCGCTTGAACCAGATATACCGGCACGCAGTCCGCAGCAGATCTTCCCGGCAGTTGTCCGCGCGTTGTCCCACTCCTCCATGGTGAATGCGCCTTCGCTCTCGGCCAGAAGAAGCTTGTCATCCTGACCGGAAAAGGCAAACACGTGCAGAGACTGTGCCGCTGCTGCGTCCCGTGGCGACGGACTGCTGATGATTGACCCAGGCATAATGGCCACGGCAGCTGCTGTGGCTATGGTGCGCATGGGAATGCTGGCAGATAGCAGGGCCAGGACGGCTGCCTGCAGCAGAACCGGCAGAACCGGCAGGTTCAAGAAAGCACAATGAGCGAGCTGGGCGGGAGAAAGGAAGGCACATTTGGGACGGCAGCAACGTACCAGGCCGGGTTGGTTGAGCTTTGTGTTGGCATAGTCGTTTTCGGGCGCCGACTGAATCTGCAGGACAACCTGGATGGTACACCGAGGAAACTCCTGCACAAGAACAATGTCCTGCAGCGTCTTCTGCAGAATCAGTTCGTGGTTGCGCTCGCTGGGACCTATATATGTGTATAGCAACGAGAGTAAGCACGTGGGTCATTTGTAGATCGACTAGGCCCCTTCATATAAAAATCGTATGCTTGAACAGACGGTAGGGAAAGGAGAGGGGGGAGGGGGGCGAGCAGTAGAGAAATGAGAGACCACTCCGACCGGAAGAGACTCGAAACATGCTGACCTCCAACGCCAGCAGCCGGTCGTACGACCACGTCGATATTGGCAGCATCGGGATCCTCGTCTCGTCTCTGGGCCTCGATGGGACCGTTGGCCGAGGCGGTGACGGTGTATCCGCCATGGCTGTACGTGGCCGAGCCGTCTGCACGTGGTAGAGTGGCGAGGCGGGCTTGCAATTCTGGAGCGGTCATCGTGTCCTGTAGCCAATCTTTGTCGCTGCTGAAGGATGGCAAAAAGGCAGAAATTGAAGATTTTTAAGACTCTTCTATCCAAGCTTTCTAGAGGGCCCGCCTAGACACAAAACTACCCCGCACAAAGGCAGGATAGCTCGCCGCTAATGCGCTAAGATACAAACGCCACGCCATTTCTCCCATCCTCAAACACAAATCAGGCCGGCCATCGAACGACAAGCTCGACGCAGCTCGTTTCGCCCCCCAGCACCGCCGTGACGCGACGCATCTCGATTGCATCTATCCGAACCTGTCACGATGATGGCTGCCCCCAGCACCATGGTCCCGACGATTCCCTCGACAGCGATGTCGTCATCAGCTGCCACAGCCGGCATCCCGGCCAAGACTACCTCTGCTGCTGTTTCGGCACAGCCATATCCTACGCTTGCATCTCTGCGCGATCGCATCCCGAAGCTGGAGCCTCGTCGTCGCCAGCCGCCTCCAGAAAACGCCACGCCCGTTCCCCGGACGCCGCAGTTGCCGCCACCATCGTCCCTTCAGGCCGAGACGGTCGAAAAGAACGGGCAGCAACATCACCACACATTTGCCATCCCACGCCGACGCATTCTATCACGGCACGACCACGACCTTTTTCTTGCTTCGCCGTCCTTCAACCTGCTGCAGGCATGGGTCTTTGGGCTGGCAGACGCCGTCGTGGGTACCCCGGCCGGTGTCTTCGCTGAGTCGCTGGCTCCGAAGAAAGGCCCGGTCGAGGAAACAGAAGCACCCACGACGACTACCACCTCATTCGCCCCTGTATCCTCTCCCCATCCTCGTCACTCTCCACAAAAGCCGACACAGCGGCCGCTCTCGCCGGTCATCTTCGCCCTACTGTCCATCCTCGACGAGGCTGAAGATTTGCTGGAGTCCTGTCCGCCGGACGAGACGGGTGGCTCCCGCTTCGGCAACAAGCGCTTTCGCGTGTTCGTCGATCTTGTGCGGCAGCGGGCGCCGGCCTGGCATCGAGAGCGACTGGGCCTGACAGACGACGCCGCCGTGGCTGAAGCGGCCGCATATCTGGGCCAGTCGTTTGGCAACCGGGCACGCATCGATTACGGCTCGGGCCACGAGCTGCACTTCATCGTCTGGCTGCTCTGTCTCTACCAGCTCGGCGTGGTCAAGGCGCCCAACGCGCGAGACAGCCTTAACGGCAGCCAAGACGATCGTGCCGCCCTCGTGCTGGTCGTCTTTGTGCGCTACCTCGCGCTTATGCGCCGCATCCAGACCACATACTACCTCGAGCCGGCCGGCTCGCACGGCGTCTGGGGCCTCGACGACTACCAGTTTCTGCCGTTCCTCTTTGGCGCTGCACAGCTCAAGGACCACCGCTACATCACCCCGCGCGCCGTGCACCAGCCCCTGACCCTGGAGCAGTTTGGCGACGACTACCTCTACCTCGGTCAGGTGCGCTTTGTCAACAGCATCAAGGTGGCCACCGGCCGGCCCGGCGAGGACCCTGCCAGCAGCAACAGCCTCCGCTGGCACAGTCCTATGCTGGACGACATCTCCGCCACTCGTTCCTGGGCAAAGGTCGAGGCTGGCATGCGCCGCATGTTTTTAGCCGAGGTGCTGCGCAAGCTTCCTGTCATGCAACACTTCTTGTTCGGCTCGCTCGTCCCGGCTGCCGTCGGCACGACTGAGCCATCCGGAAAGCATCCGGGCGAGGAGCATGCCGAGATTGCCGCCTATGAGGACGACGAAATCGAGGACGAGGACGAGGACGTCATTGGCGAAGGCAAAGATTCCGTCGAGGTCTTTGACAAGGGCGGCGTCCGCCATATTCACAACCCCAGTGGTTGGGGCGACTGCTGCGGCATCCGCGTGCCCAGCAGCCTTGGTGCTGCTGGCGAGATGCGCAAACGTGGTGGCGACGTCCTGCGCCGCATCCCATTCGACTAGAGGGGTGACGGACTTGTACGCAGACCGAAATAGAGCCGAAAATAGCATCAAACACTTGGACACAAGAATGGGATTCTGACTAGGAGTCTGAAGGAAGAACCACGGTGTTTTGGGGGGTTAGTAGTGATTACGGAATCAGGTTTCAGACAATGCAATATATCGCTATTTCCTTGTGCCTACCCTTGCGTTGTTCGTCATCTCTGACGGAAAGACAACTTTCCAAGGCGAGCCTGCAACAGTGCTCCCCCGTGCAAGATGCAATGCTTAGTGTGGCAGCCAAGAAAAAACTCAAAATGAACGTAAAAAGAAGGCTGTTGGAGAAGACATACTACTATATGCAGAGAAGGGTATCAGAAAACTGTCCCACTGAAACGCCGAGGTTCCTTCGACCGCCACGCGGCGAAGATGAGATGCGTGATAAAGCAAAAACATCAGAACAGCCGCCAGGGGTGGTCCCTTTTCAGAAGCGATGCAGGAATGCAGGAATGCAGAAAAGCAGCAACGCAGGAACGCAAGAACGCAAGAACGCCGGAACACAAGAGGGAGTCTCGGCTGGGTTGGTCAGTCTTCCCATATGGTCTCTAAATCGAGATCACCTCGCCGCTCAGCACCACAGACACTCCACCGCTTGCGCTTGTCTCGTGATCCAAAGGCCAAAGTCCGGCCCCGGCTAGGACTGTCGAGGCTGCTCCGGCCCTTTGCATCGCCTTCAGCCGCGTCGGCAGCAGCTTTGAGCTGCGCGATTCGCTCCGCTTCGAGAGCTGCCTCCTCGGCGTCCGGTGTATCCGGAATGGTCTCGAGGCTAGAGATGCTCGGACTCCGCGACCGCGCCGATGTAGGCGTGGACGGCACAGAAGACGACGAGAATCCACCTAGGCTGCCGTAAGACGAGCCTGAGACCGGGTAGTCGTATGGCCGGTAGGACGGCGAGTATGCGGCCGGTGAAGGAGGGCCTGTGATCGCAGAGGCATTGCCGTAGGCATCGCTGCTGGCTGTAGCCGCAGCGCCCGGACTCGTGGGTGTGGCGCTCGGGTTGGAAATGCGGCGAAATGGTGAAGATGGCCGACGAGTGCGCATCAAGGGCGAGCCCGCGATAGCGAGAGGAGACGCGCTCCCCGGCGAAGTGAGGTTAGGGGAGCTGTTCCGCTCCAGTAGCCGGCGGTCGGGATCGTGGATGACAGACATGCGCGTTGGTGACGACGGAAAGACGTCTTCAATCACTGCCTTGCGAGGAGTGCGAGTGATTATAGATGTTGGCCTGTGGAGAGAAGGGCTGGACATACGCGGATCCAGGCCGTATTGGAGGTGGCCAGCCCCGTTGAAGCCCGGCATAGATTGAGTGCGGCCCATTGCTGGAGGAAAGAGGCTGCCTACGCTGGCGGCCGACCGCGAACGTATGTGTCCCGACAGTGGCGATGTCGTACGTGGCCGGTATGGCAGGCCAGGCGAAGCTGCCCAGGATGGCGAGACGGGTGACAAAGGCTCGGCTGACTGCCGTAGGGCGGACGGCTTTCGCAGATAATCTTCCGAATCGGCTGCAGAGCGTGGCGAGAGGGGGGCCGGAGAGGCCAAAGAGAATGTGGATGAGTTCTGCAGCCGCATTGACGGTAGGGGAGAAGAGCGGAACTCTTCCATTCTCTCGGTTTCTGGAACAGGTTCCATCTTGTTTAACGTGCAGTCCGTTTGAGGGAAGCTCTCAGGATTCGTGTCGCTTATCTGATGCAGGCATGGATTGAGTAAGAATAGTGAGAGCGGTCGGAGGCCGACAAGAAAACAGCAAACGCAGCAGTACAATAGTCTCGACGGAGGCTAAAGCGAGGTAAAAGCAGGAGCTGGTTGCCAGCTTGTCATTTCGGGCAGGTGACGCTGATGGAGCTGACTATGAGACGTGATGCTATGCTACCCGGGACAGGCGGGTGGGTTCTGGCCGGAACTCGGAAGCGACGTGAGCCAACGCTTGAACAAGGCAGGAATTCTCTTATGTTTTGCGGTGGAAGTCTGGCTGGCAGGCAGCAGATGTGACAACTGATTCCAGGCCTGGCAAAGAGGGCGAAGAAAGGCACCGAAAGGGATGCTTAAGACAAGTGGCGGTAGAGAGCAGAGCCATTCACTTTTACTGCTGGATCGAGCATAACATGCCCCCCTGGGCTAGGCTTTACCCGTGTGTCTTGGCGGGGATCGGTGGCGGTTGGCCGGGGTGACTCGCGTATTGCAATTAAGGTGGAAGAAGGGGGGGGGAGGCTGTTGGAAGCGGTGGGAAGAGACAAGATCGAGCGAGGATGGATTGCAGAAAAGAGGGGGAGCACGGATCGAGAGCGAGACAGAAGTAATGCAAAAGAGGGGGCCCGGGAGGGGGGCGCCTGTGCCTCTTTCCCATTCTGCCGATTGCTGAAGAAAGGGCAGGAGGGAGAGGGAGAAAGAGGAAGGCACGAGGCAGGCGGGCGACCAATTGGGTTGGACTGTTTCGGTGGGCGTGGTGGAGTCAGAGCTGGGGCGTAGGTGGCTTTGTTGGCAGTTACGACGTATGGAGGACACAGGATTTGTTTTTTTTATTCTGGGGAATCTGTCGTAGGATGGGGCCGTCATGCGATGCTGGTCGTGGGCTAACGTATCTGATTGCATTGTCGGCCCTGATTGCTGGGACGGTGGCGACTTCCCCTTTCAGACCAGGACGACACTACGTAAGATACGTCGTAGTAGCATTCCGGGTCCATCTTGAGCCCTTTGTCCATTCGAGATAGGGAGCGAAGCATCGTGTGCGCCAGAGGCGGTCAAGGGAGATAAAAGTGCGGTCCCCCTTTTCCACCTCCTCGCCGTGCGTCGTGCACGGCCGTGTCTTGGGCACTCCGTACGTCGTAAGGCGCTGGCCAACCATCTTCGCGACCCTGGTCAGATCTCTAGCTGGCGACACCGAACGTTGTCGCGCTCCCCGAAGTGCACGCTTTCAACGGCGCTGTGGCTCCGTATCTTACATAACAACAACAAGGGCCATACGACGTACGACGTGGGCTGCTCTTGTCGAAAGTGGAGACTGTCAAGGGGATTCTGCATTGCTGCAATTCAAGAAGGCTGCTCGCCGTTTAACCCTGGAGTCGACCCGCAGGTTGTTTATTTTCCACCTTGCGGCAGCCAACCGAATCATGCATATGGAATATGGAATGAAGGAAACACAAATACGAGGCAAACACGGCAGGCATGTCGTCCTGGTTCCAACCAGACAGGGCATAAACCTGGGCGGAACAGCAGAGTCCTACCGTAGACTGTCCGGATTCGTTAAATGTAGTATATGGTGGCCAGTATATGGTAGCAACAGCCTAATTGATCGCCAAGCAGCGTGACAGTCGTCTCGATACAACGTAGGATCAGTGCTATTAAGACACTGCTGCTGGGGCGAGGGCTTCTGGGCCAAACGACAAAGGCAGTAGCTTGCAAGAGGTGTTAGTCAGGATGCTTCGAATGAAGGAACTAGATCTGGACGTACCCCTTCCAGCTTGACAGCAATGTAATGTCCGTTCTTGGAGAACATAATGATGGGCATCTTTAGCTCGCAGAACTCACGGATGCTGCAGGACTGTCAGCTTGTAGACTCCTCGTCATGTCCGTCTTCGTCTCTTCTCCTTCCTTCTCCACTCACAACTGACGGCACATTCCGCATGGCGAGCACGGCGTCTCAGCGGGCGCCGTCGGAGCCAGCACAGCGATGGCTTTGAAATCGCGGTGGCCCTCGAAGACAGCACGGCCCAGAGCAACACGCTCGGCACAGGTGCCCACGGGATATGCTGCATTCTCCACGTTGGCGCCCAGGATGATGCGGCCACTGCTAGTCTGCGCGCCGGTGCCCGACGTGTCGATGCCGTAGCGCGTCAGGACGGCAGCTCCGACGGGAAAGTGGCTGTACGGGCAGTAGGCGCTCTGGGCGGCGGTGGTGCTCTGGCGCTGCAGGTCCCGGAACTCATCTATAGAGAGATCATGCTGCTCGCAGGTGGCGGCCACGTGGGTGGGATCTTGGCTGGAAAGCACGGTTAAGTGTGGTGCGGAAGTCATTGTCTGTTTTCTGGTTTCGGTTGTGTGGTCTCGAGAGCTGGGAACAAGTTGCTGCGAGGAAGGCCGTATGCGGACGAGTATGTGGGCAAGAGTCGAGAAACAGATGTTGGGAGCAAGAAGCAAGCTCTAGCTTCATGATCCGTTTTGCCACCGCCAGGCTATCTATACGTCGTAGCTTATCTATCTCCCATCCCACCTTCTGTGGCCTTGGACGCAGTTGGCTTTGTCATCGGCACAATGGTGCCACAAACGAATCCAGCAAAATCAATGAGTTTAGATATATACACGGAAAGCGACAAAATCCTCTCGAAAATGCAGGCACGGGCGGGGTGTCGGCGGTTCCCCGGAGCATACACGTGCAGCCGGCCCAGGGCGTTAGCGTCTTCAGGCTCCGACTCTTTTACAGCGCTGGCAGGCGTCCGAGGCTGCTAAGGCGGCAGTCGCAACGCTTGCAGTTGCCGTCTGTACATCTTTCACGCGAACGGTCCTTCCAAAACAGACAATGTCAACAGGACATTCAAAAGGGAAACTACAATGTAGGGCCGAGAAGCCACAGACAGCCTAGCATCACAATATCGAGAGACTCCGGATCCACGCCGTGCAGCCTTGAACCCCTATTTAGCCAGCCTAGCCTCTCATTGGCCAAACAGGGTCCGTGCACACGAACCTCGAAGCTGCTTTCCCTTCGTTACCTACTCCGTTCTCGGCAATTCAGCATATCAGGACCGTCTTCAGCCAAAGACGAGAGCCAACTAGAGGCCATTGTGCACGAGGGAGGACAGGCGACAGCATTCTTTCGCCTCGTGAGGATATTGAGCGGCTGATAGCGGCCTGGACAGCGCAACGACTATCGCGACGAGCAGCAGCAGCAGCAGCCAGAAGCGACGGCTCCCTCCAGACGAGCCATACGCAAAAAGCAGGCTTTGGGGTCTTGAGCACGGCAGCTTCCTTCGTTCGATATGGACCAGGCAGATATCCCGGCGCTGCTGTCGCGGCTGGCGAGCGACGAGGACGCGGCGCGCAAGATGGCCGTGTTCAAGCTACAGTCTTCGATCAACGACCCGGCATTTGCAGACGTTTTCATCTCGACGGGCGGCCTGATGGTGCTACGGCGGCTAATACTGACGACGGGAGGAAACACGCTGGCATACTCGCTGCAGTCGCTGAGCCGGCTGCTGGAGGTGGACATGGGCTGGGAAATCTTCGAGGGGCCGACAGCAGGCGATTTGGTGGAGCGGATCGTGGAGCTGATCGTGACAAACCCGCTGGTCAACATTCTGCGCGGGGCGATGAGCATCCTAGTAGCGCTGGTCAGCCACAGTCAGTCGTCGACGGCACGCGGTGTTGGTGTGGGCATCGGGGCCGGCTCGGCGGCGTCGGCACTGCGCACCAGCCCGGCAGGCAACTTTGGGTTCCGGGCGCTGAAGCCGGCGGTGGCGGTGTATCCGCAGTTCTTTGAGCTGGTGATACAGCAGCTGCAGTCGGCGGACCACGCGCTGTGCGCCAACGCGCTGATGCTGGTCAACGCGCTGATCCGCGACGCGGTATCAGGCGATCCGATGGCGGCAGGAGGTGACATGTCCGCAGCAGCCTCGACAACGTCAATGGCCGGGACGCTGCCATCCGGTGAGGACTGGTCGAAGATGATCAAGCGACTGCAGGACCTAGGTCTCATCAAGGCGGCCTATAACCTGATGCAGAGCTCGGCGCTGCAGGACCTGGCGCACCCACTGCTCGAGTTCCAGTCGCTGACCAAGGTGCTGCTGCGCAAGTGGCGAGAGGTGCGAGTGGACCTGGAGCGGCCGGAACACCGCCGTGCACTCAAGGGCCTGCACCTGGCCAGCGCGCCCGACCGGACGGTGCACCACAACGCCGGCAGTGGCGTCCTTTCGATCGTGAGCGGGGGTGGGGGGGATAGCGAGACATCCACAGCGGCGGCGACAGCAGCAGCGAAAAAGGGCAGCCGACGACATAACCCGGAGAAGTGGAGGCGGCTGGGGTTTGAGACCGAGAGTCCAGCAGGCGAGTTCGAGGCAGCAGGGTTCCTGGGGATGATGGACCTAACGGACTTTGTGCGCAAGAACGAGGACGGGTTCCAGAAGCTGCTGCTGGAGCAGTCGTCGCGGCCGTTGAGCCAGCGATGTCCGGTGGCGCGAGCCAGCCTGGCCGTGACGATGACGCTGTACGAGCACTTTGAAGTGGACCGGGCAGACCTGGACGACCTGAGCAAGGACCTGCAGGGACGAGACGGCGGGGGTGGTGACGGCAAGGACATGGACCGGATCTTCCGGCCGCTGGTGCTGCAGTGGTCACGGCTACACACGGCGGGGCTGCAGGCCTTCTTCCGGCTGTGGAAGGCGACAGGAGCCGGACGGGAAGACTTTGAGAAGGTGGCAGAGCTGGTGCGGATCCTGGTGGAGGAGGTGGTCGGCCAGGCCGGACGGACCAAAGATGTAGCCGAGGTGGAGGAGGAACTGCAGGAGCACGGCTGCGGGCGGTTGCGCGAGCTGCAGATGGGGCTGCTGGAGCTGTCGTTTGAGGACCAGTGGGGGACACATCTGCACCAAGTGCGCGAGGAGCTGAGGATGGAGGCGCTGCAGTTTGTCAAGGAGCAGCGGGTGCGGTGTTTGCTGCAAGGAGCTTGGTTTTCGCGGCCGCTGCCACGACGAGATCTGGAGCAGCAGCAGGAGACGACAGAGGGTCGGCGACGATTGTACGAGCCCAAGGGCTGGCGGTTTGTGCGGCTGTCACACAACCGTCGGTACCTGCACTACGCCGACTTTGCGCAGCCGACGACGGGAACGGATCCGGGGCCTGGACTGGACGTTTTGACGGAGAAGGTGGACCTCAGCACAATCAGCTCGGTGGTGTCGAACGTGTCGGCAGCGGCAACTGCTGCGACGATGACGACGACGACGGCGAGCGAGGATGGCGAAAACAACAGCAGCAGTAGCGAGGCGAGACCGCCCGGGACAGCTGGAACGTCAGGGACAGCGATGACGGCGACGACGGCGACGACGACGCGACCAGCAGCAAGACCGATGGCGACGACGACGACCAAGATCACCGTGTTTGCCTATGAGAACACCGTGACGACAGGGCGCACAGGCAGCAGCGAGGCCGAAGCAGCAGAAGCAGACACGGCCGATGGAGCAGTCAGAGAGGTGGCCATCCTGACGCTGCACCCGTTGAACCACTCAGTAGCGTCAGAGTGGCTGGACGGACTGCTGATGCTGCTGCACCAGGCGCCCATCACGGCAGAGACGAACAAGCTGGTGTCCCTGGTGGGCGACTACGGACTCAAGATCCGGCTGCTCAACGTGCGGCTGGAGGCCGTGTATGCAGGGCCGCCGCCGGGTGCCGGAGCAGTTCCGAGTCGGAAGGGCCTGGACGACGACTACTTCTACCAGATCTGAGGAGAGTGGGAAAGGCATGGAGGAAGAGTGAAAAGGGGCCGAGCAAGGGACATCCAGGGCAGGGCAAAGGGCAGCAAGGGGCGTCAAGGAATGGAAAGGGGAACGGTACGGGTCATAAGATATATGCGACGAGAAGCCTGAAGGATTTTCCAAGCAGAAAACTTGTAATGACGATTGTAAATTTACACACATACATCCTCGAAAATATATCGATTTAGGTTGGGTGTCAAAGCTAGACGTGGCCATCATTCCTCGAGTTGTACGCTGCTCGGGCATTGCTGCCCAAGTCTCTTAGGCTGGAACGTCAGTCTCATGGTCGATGTGATTTGTCTTTGATAGTGGCACAGGATAGAAGCACACGACCATGGACTACAATACCGCCCAAGTCGTGACGCTACTACGCATGGCGCTGCGCGAAAGTGGGTCGACGTTAGTGAATTGCCCCGCTAACGCCAATTCTGTAAGAGGACTAGCGCATCCAGCCACCCATTAATAAATCCATTAAAGCTTCCAGAGCAGCATTGCATACCCATTCTCCTATGCCCAAATCCCATCATCCTGCTGCTCTCCATCTGCGCCCACCATGCAGAAGACTCCTCGCCGACAGGGCCGGCCGCGCGCGGCACGGCCGCCACCCCGCACGCCTTCCCCTTCGGCAGTTGCAGGACCAACCACGCCCACATCCACATCGACCTACATGCCGGCGACGCCATCAACAGCCTCGGGTCGTCACACGGCCAGCGCAGTGGTGCCGTCGCCGGGTCGCGGCACGCATGGCCACCGCCTAGACGACGGCCGCTGGCTCTGCGACTGCACCCCGCCGCGGGACGCGGTGTTGCGCGAGACCCGCAAGCCCGGACTCAATAAAGGCCGCTGGTTCTACACGTGTGCGCAGACAGATCGCCGTCGCCAGTGCAAATTCTTTCTCTGGGAGGACTCTGCCAGAAGCAGCGGCAGCAGCAACAACAGCAGCGGTACAGCTGCTCCGGCCAGCTCGTTCCGCACGTCTGTCGGACGTCGCACAACACCCGACGCCGAGCGCAGATGGCCGCTGCCACCAACCCCAGCAACGACACCACTTGTCCGACAGCGGCGACAGCCACAGCCGCAGCGGCCGCAGCTGCTGCAAAAGCCCTCGCCCCGGACCACGTCGCGACAGCGTATCTTCGCGACGCCCACAAGCGGCAGACCGACTGCAGCTGCAACCGCACCCATTGCCGACGACGACTCCTCTGACCAGGAATCTCCGCCAACGCCAACGCCTCGGCCTCGTCGTCGCGATACGCCGCCCCGGCCAGCCAGCCGCCCTATCACACACTACTTTGGCTCTGCATCTACGGCTACGGTCTCGGGCTCAGCAACAGCTACAGACACACCACCACCACCACCACCAGCCCGCGCCCCATCCCCGCTGCAGTCGCCGTCCTACAGCGACGCCGGCTTCGACAGCGACATGGAGCGCGGCTGTGCGGCGCTGGTTGATCACATTGAACGCGAAAACTGGCGGATCGAAGAAGAAGAGGGCGACGGCGGCGTGGTAAAGCAGGAGGCGACGGAACCGAACAAGGCGAACGCTCACACGAAAAAACACCTGACGGCGGAGGCTGCCAAGATGGACGTCGACTCGGCCGCCGGCAGCATCAGCAGTAGCCGTCCCAACAGCATCGTGGTGCCCACGCCAGCTTCGCCGCTGCCGTTGACACCGGGCCGTCGCCGACGTGGTCCTGGACTGTTGGTGACACGTGACCAACGGCCGGCTTCTGCCGACACCTCCTTTGCAACGTCCTTTCCCACATCTGTCGCCACATCCTTTGCTTCGTCAGCAGCCCCAGACGCCACAGCCGCCACAGCAACCCCAGCCACCACAGCCACCACAGCCACCGTCGGCATCAAGCGCGCAGCTGCCGATGATGGTGACCAGGACGAAAAAGACTACCGCGACGACCCCTTCGTCTCGTCCAGCAAGAAGAGACGAGCCACCACCGACACCAGCCCGCGAGACTGTCCCGCCGCTGTCGCCGTCCTCAGCCTGCTGGCCGATCAACCGGTCGATGATCACGTGCGCCGCCGCCTGCGTTACATGCTCAACGGCTTCTTTGCTGCGGACAACGAGCCTCTGGACTCGGCTCAGTGAGCCTGTATGTACACGTTCTTTTGCTGCCTCTTGCTATTTGACGATACCTAGATATCACTGATGCCCTGTTACCCCAATATACAAACATTTGCTGCGCTGCATTACCCCAAACACACCGGCCCTGAAGATCGGTAGACCGTTAAACATGCTGATCGACATACTGGCTGCTGGTCCTTTGCCCTCTGTGTCCCGCTCTAGGGTATCTATGATGCTCAAATGCAGGAACCCAAAAACACACCCGCTGCCCTTTGATCTTAGTGTTTCTTGCTCGTACGAGTGTTTCGCACTCGTGCGGGAAGACACGCCGCCAGCCGATCTCGTTCTGCTCATTGTTAGCGCGTGCGTAACGCTGGGAAATTTTAGTGCTGTCGTCAACTTGCCTGCTTCCTCTTGAAACAAAATCGAGATGTCATCGTGCTCGCCCGGCAGATCTGGCATGTCCAGACACACAAAGGCCGTCTCGTCAAAGTCGCTGCCGCCCTCTTTGCTCCCGTTCGCTCCGCTGTCTCCCGTCCGCATCCGTGGCAGCGGGAACTTGGCATCGTCAATCTTCAGCCCGGCCTTGCCGCTGCGGCTAAACGCCTCGAACACGTCCGTGCCCTTGAGCACAAAGCCCATGCACTGCCCGTAGTGGAAATCCTGGAAGAAGGCCAGCAGCTGCGTCACCTTGGTGTCCGGCTGCACCACCACCTGGATCCGTGTCGTGCCCGCCTCCCACTTCTTGTGGATCGGCACCACCATCCGCCGCCGCGCTATCGCAAACGTCGCCGCCATCCCGTCAAACACCACCTCGTATCCCGTGATCGCGGCTTGCACCGCGTGCAGGTCGGCCACCGTAGGGAACCGCAACACCCGGCACGTCACCCCGGCCCCCACCGCTCCCAGACCCTCGGCCAATTCGCGGCCCCATCTCCCGCCGGCACCTGCACCTCCGACATCGACAGCGTCAGGCTTTCTGTGGCTGCCGCAGCAGTACCAGGCAGTTGCTGTCCCGCACATCCAGCCGCAGCCGAAGCTCCCCCGGGGCCCCCACATTGATCCGGTCTGTCAGCGTGCAGTCCCCAAACTCCATGATAATTCGTAGGTTCTCCGCAAGCACCGTCGCCGCGCTGGTCGTGTCCGCCTCGTCGTCGTCGTTGATTACCCGCAGCCGGCTGAAAGCCAGTTTCTTGAACACCGAGAGCGCGTTGGTCCCAAAGGCAGCAGCAGCCTTGTTCGGCGTTGCCACCGCCTGGACTTGCAGCGACGTCACTGGAACGTTAGCCACCACGCGCTCGCTGCTTTGCAAGGCTGTGTCGGCCAAGAACATGTGGAACCGCGTCCGCTCGTCCTCCCTGCCAAATGACAGCACCATGCTGCCCTTCGACCGGTTATTCTCGAATCGCAGCAGCAGCGCCGGGTCGCCGTGATCGCCGCGCAAGAAGCTGAACTGCACCGGCGCCTCTGGCAGGTACAACTGTGATGCACCGTATAGCGTACGCGTCCGCGTTCCCGACACTACGGCGAACCGGAAGCCGCGGTGGAAGTTGCGCCGTCCTGTCGCTGCGTTCTCCGACACGATCTTCTCAAACAGCGCCACATCGCAGTCCGCCACTGCTTCTTTCGGAAAGCTGCCCGACGGAGGTCCCGATTCGAAGTACTGGAATGCCTTGAGCGTTGAGCGGAACAGAATATGCTCATCCTTGCGCGGATACAGCTGGTTGTGCACCTTGGCTCCAAAGTCGTACATGCTCCACAGGAGCCCGTAGTCAGCTTTTGACAGCTGGATGATGAGCAAAAACCCACGCGGCATCTTTAACTCAAATGCAAACGTTTCAGGGCGCCATCGGACATCCTCCCACATGGGTCCTGGGTTCTTCCTGCCCTGCACTCGCAGCTGCACAGTGCCATTCTGGCTCGCAATAACCACTTCCAGCGTCGGCTGGTTCTGAGGCCTGGCGACGGTCAGAAGACAGGGGAAGTGAAGTCGTGCTTGGTGCGACGACTCCCGGCCCTGCTCGGTCAGATACACGTCGGCCCAGACGCGGCTGAAGACAAAATCCTGGCCATTGTCCGATACCGGTATGGTCTCTAGAATCGACATCGCCGAGACAGGCGAGGCCGCCGCAGCCAGACCCGAGCCCCATTTCCCCCACAGGAGGGTGGTGACATCGGAGCTGACGGGAGGGTACACGGCCCATATCGCCTTGTCGATGGTCTGCGGCAGGAGGGCGTCTTCGGGCGGCAGCAGGTCGTTCCGCTTCATTGACGTCGCTAGCTTGCGCAGATTGTTCACGAGGACTGAACGCACCTGCCCTACTTCGGTATCCATTGGACTCTGCTTCGTGGCAAGAATGTCCGGCAAGACGACCTCCAGAACCCAGTACGCCTTCGCCAAATCTGCGTACGCCTGCTGCATAGCAAATTCGCTACCGCGAGACAACGGTGCGCCGCCCGCAGCCGAGCGCTCGCGCATGACGTTCTCCCAGAGCCATGCGACCAATGACAAAACCACCACAACGCCGCGCGGGCCAGATCCTCCGAGGTGCTTGATACCAACGGCCTCACTGTTTCGGAGTGCAGGCGGAACAACTCGAACAGGTGGCGCATGCGGGTGACAAATAAGGTAAAGGCCTCGTCAGAAGCAGACTGGGCTGCATCGTACGTGTCCTGCATTGCCCTGGGGGCGTTGGCCAAGGCGTAGGCCCCACGGTCCTTGACAGACACGCTGCCAATAGCATCTCGCCGGAAAGCATTATATGGTCGTTCCACAGCCGGGGTGGGAGGCGAGTCGGATGCAGGGCTGGGGTCGCGGGCCAGCGGCCTGTGGCGCTCAGAACGCATGCGCTGAAGTGGCGACGCGGCCGAGGGCGAGGTTGGGTCGAATTCAAAGCGGTTGATAGGCCCGCGATGTTCTGGGTGTCGCGGAGGGGGGAGCAGCGGGGGTGTGCCCTTGGCCGGTGACCTCCTGCTCGGCGACGGTGGTCGCTTCTGTTCGACTTCCGGACTGGACGGCGGGCTGACACCGGCGCGAAGGGCGTTGGCTAGAGCACGGCCCTCAGCTTCGCGCATTTCCGCCTGGTGAACCTCGATAAAAGACCGACGGCTGTCGTTGCGGGTCAAGACGGGACCATCAAAAGAGCCGGGTGGGGGATTAGTGTTTGGTAGGGATCTTCGAAGACAAAGACGGATTCCGTTCCGGCGAGCTGGGAAAAGACGGCGGAGATGGCAGAGACGGCGGCTCGTCATCGTCAGGCGAGGACGGAACCGAAATTGCCGAAAAGCCAGTCTGAGTCCTCCTCAGCGGACGAGGAAGAAAGCTGTCGTCGTCGGGAGACGGCCGCAAATACGATTGCTGCGGCCTGAGCGGCGGTTGTGCCGCCGGCTGTTGTGACTCCAGCTGTGACTGTTGCAATATAGAGCGTTGTGATGTTGGAGGGCCGGGCAGCGGCGAGCGTATCGGCAACGTCGCCGGCTGTGCTTCCGTTGGGATTCCGCGGGCCAAGCTGTGCATGCCAAGCAACGGTGAGACGGCGAGCTTTGCTGCACGTGCACGTCGTCGCTTGCCAATTTCCATCGGCGGTGCCTCAGTCTCATCGCCGCCCTCGCCGATAATGTCCGGATACGAGTCTGCAAAGCGGACGACAAGCCCTTTTCTGTTTCGCTTCGCAGATTTTGACACCGAGTAGCTCGGCGGGGGGCTGCGAGATTGCTGGCTGCTCGGTAGGCTCTGCTGGGAGGAGTTCCCACGGTCGACAGGCAGGGCGTTGGGATAGCGAGAGACATATTGTGTGTCCAACTTCGCCAGCTGGGGCGGAGTGCTGTGTGTGACCTGGAAGGTGTCAAACGTCGTGCCTGTCGAGGCAGCTAAGGGCGAGGGTGAGTTCGAGGTGCCGTGCAGGAAAGCATTGAGCTCGGCGTCGTCGCCACGTAGCTCGTTGGACACTTTTCGATCGCGGCCGCCAAACAGTTTGCCCATCAGACGACCTTTCCGTGACCGGTTATCTTCCGGGCCAGGCGTGGGCGCGGTGCCATGGTCACGGTCCATGGCCAAAATTGAAGAGGCACGCGAGCCGTTGATGGGAGGAGAGGAAGACGGTATGGCGAAAGGTTGAAAGAAGGGTGGCTTGGCGGACGTGAAAACTAAGGAAAGCGTGACCGATAAGGCGAGGTGTTTCCCCAGGGGGCAACCGAAAAAAGGATCCGACAGAGCAACCGGGGATCTGTCCGGACTCGTCTTGGGCTGTGCCGCTGCAGCTCCCTTTGTCGGCGAGGTCCTGTCTGGCGAGCAGTTGGGCGCAGCAGTAGTGCGGTGTGTTTGCGGGGAACCTGCTGAGCGGCAGAGAGTGCTCGTAGGAAGACAAGAAGATGTGCCAGATAGGGGGATGCAAAGCGAAAACCCAGACGGCAAGAGCACATGGGAAGGACAGCTCGAGTCGGTGTTTAGCCAGTGTCGCCTTCCTGCTCGTCTATTTTGGTAGGAGCTCGTAATTACTTCCCGCTTCTGTCATCCCCTGCGATGTTTCAGAATAAGACGGAAACCGCAATTGTCCAAAACCGGCAGAGCCCACCTTCCTTCTCCACTCTTTATGTCGGGGCAGGAGGATATAATACGAGTCGTCCAGTCCACTGTCCAGCACAGCGCCAATCTTCCCCCGTTTTTCCTGGAACAGCGGCTGTTCGTTGCCGTTCGGGCAGCCGCCAGAGGGCCACAAAGGAGCGGACAGCTTGCACACAACGGCCGGAATGCTGCTGCAGCGGAAATAGCTGCGAGACAGGTCGGTGGACGGGGATCTGGCCAGTCAAGCTGAGGAGCCCCAGCATAATAACGCCAAGACGATCCACATCGCACCACATCGTATCCTGCAGGACGACCAGTACGAAGCCAATTTTATGATTGGGCGTGTGCCATACGATTCAAAGTAATCTCTCGATTGCGCATTCTTCCACTCTTCGTCGTGTTCTTCGCCCGGCCCAACTTGCTGGGAGGCCCTGTCGGTAGTGCTCGTTGGCGGGCTACAGCGCTTGGGTAGTGTGCGTTGCAGTGGAGCATGGCGCCTGTCTGGGGCGTTCAGGCTTTACGAGTATCGTACTCCGTACACGAATACGCGTACATGGATTGTCGCTTCTAGGCTGCGTTCCAGCCTAGTCCAACCCACTTCAAGACCTTCGTGTTCCCTGTTTCCAGCGACGTTCCCCGTATTGGTGTACACGTAAGTTATTCTAAGATAACCCATATAGGACTAACAGTCTCCCCTGTTGTTGTTTCTGTATTTAGCCGCCTCTTGCCGCCAGAATGCAAGATAGCAAAGTACTGTAAGTCGGAGTACATACTGGCGCAGCTATATCTATTAAGCTTTAGTAAGAAAGGGAATCTCCTGACATGTGATTGGGCCTCGTCCGCCGTTTAAGGTAGCGCGGCCAAGAAAAGGCTGATAACAGCCCATTGGCTGCCTCTTTGTCAGGTTCTGAGACAGTTCTGCCTACTGCGTACTCCGTATTTTACTCTGTGTTGAGATCAAAGGAATGCCATTTACGGAGTAATTATAGAAAGAATCAGACATCAAACGCTTACGTACTCTCTCAGCACTACTATGTATGCAACCGTCCCATGCCAGTCAGCATACTCTGTAGAACTACGGAGTATAACGACGCCAGTCGCTTCAGTTGCTGCCAATGTCATCCAATGTCTGCAAAGGTCATTGCTGCCCTTTCATTCGCCATAGCTGTGTAGCGCAAATTCCAGAGAAACGCAGCTGTGGCGCAGCATTTCCCCAGCCATATAGCAAGTCGGCAGTCGGATTACATACTCCGTAGTAGGCGACTCTCGGAAAGTTGCTCCGTGCGCTTTACCGCAATCAACGTCATTCCACTGCCCCGCAGCTACCTCGCGGCCCTTGCTGAACTCCGTAGGTCACATCCCACCCCCCAAATCTACCTAAGCCTGGAGAAGGTTGAAAAAAAAAGAGCGAAACAAAAAAAAAGGGATTCACAGCTGCAGTCCACAAGCAACGATCTTTCGTGGGGTCCCCTGGGATTTCTCCATCTTTTGGCCTTGTAGCTCCGCCTTTCGGAATTTCGCTTCCCTTCACTTCCTATCCATCCGGTTGCTGGCTTCGCTATTCATCCTTTTATCTTGCCGCCTAGCACTTGCTTCCTCCTCCACAGCTTACCGCTAGAATCACACGATACGACACACTGTGCCTGTTTTCTGACAAAGCTTCAGCATGTTGAACATAGTGGGCGGCACGCGGCGCCGTGCAGCTTCCAGTGCCAGTACGCCATCCTGACCCCTATTCGATAAAGTCCCTGCTGGCCAGTGCTCGTATCGCTGTGGGAGAGCACGCCTCGCCTGCTTTCGCCCCTGAAGGAGGTCACATCGCAGACGTACACTGACTAGAATTTATTCAACAGGTGCCCATCCGGTCCAGTCCAGCGAAGAGGCCCAGGAGGATGACACGCTTATCGTGGAGCCCGAGCAGGGAAACGGTACGAGCCGAGGATGTAGTGCTCTTCCATGTTTTAACCGCCCACTGACGCTCGTGCCCCAGTTCTGATGCATATCATCTCTCAGCTACGGCCCGGCGCTGATCTCAGCAGGGTTGTTCTCCCGACCTTTATCCTGGAGCCGCGCAGCATGCTAGAGAGAATTACGAACTTTATGTGCCATCCCGAAATGCTCCTCCCCATATCCGCCATTGAGGACCCTGTTGAGCGATTCGTGTCCGTTGTCAAGTTCTACCTGAGCGGTTGGCACATTCGGCCTCCGTGGGTCCTCCCCTGTCTCCTGTTGCCACATTATGTCTATACACCGGAACTGACCGTACGTCTGTCAGGGGCGTGAAAAAGCCTCTCAATCCCATCCTCGGCGAGGTCTTCACGTGCTACTGGACCTTTCCGGACAACACTCAGGGCTATTACGTCTCCGAGCAAACATCGCACCATCCGCCCAAGTCCAGCTATTTCTACATGGCCCCCGAGCATCATATTCGTGTCGATGGCACGCTTAAGCCGCGGAGTCGTTTCTTGGGCAACTCCGCCGCCAGCATCATGGAAGGGACAGCTGTCCTGAGCCTGCTAAACCGAAAAAAGAACGGCAAACCGGAACGATAGTACGCTTTTCTGAGTCCCATTTGGCCACAATGCCAGGCCGGGTCAGACAAAAAATATTTGCCGTCTGGCTGACAATTTTTACTCCTCTCGTCTAGTATCCTCACCCAGCCAAACATGTACGCACGAGGTATCCTGTTTGGCAAAATGAAATACGAGCTGGGGGACCACAGCTTCGTGCGCTGCCCTGATCTCGGTCTCGTTGCAGATATCGAGTTCAAGACCAAGGGTTGGGTGAGCGGCACGTACAACGCCATTGGCGGTACTGTTCGAAACGAGAAGACTGGAGAGGTCCTGCGCGAACTGTCCGGCCTGTGGAGTGGGGAAATGGCCATCAAGAACTTGCAGGTAGGCAAGAGAAGCGAGATCGTGTATGGGGGATGTCTTGATTACTAATACGACTCATTCTTCAGACGGGAAGAAAGGAGAAATTCTTCAATGCCCAGAAAGCGAAGCCAACTTCGCCATCGGTACGGCCAATCACTGAGCAGGGTGATCGAGAATCGCAACGGCTTTGGCAGCAAACGGCCCAAGCCGTGATGAACCGGAACCACGAGCTAGCCACGGTTGAAAAAACCAAGGTCGAAGACATGCAGCGCGAGGAGGCCGCTACACGGTCGCAAGAGGGCGTCGAGTGAAAGCCGCGCCTATTTCGACGCCCCATGGCCGGCCCCGGTGGCCTCTAAAATTGCCAACAGGACTTGGGATGGATTGTTAAAGGCCAGATGTGTGTATCTGCCAGTCGGGGGCTTCCTCTTATCGCCGTTCATCCAATGACACCCCGCTTAGTGATGGCAAAACGGCCGACGAACAAACGGCTCAGATTCTCGCCATTTACCCCATCCTGCCAGGCCAGAAGACAAAGCGAGGTAGCGTACAGGCGATCCCGCCTCGGACGCTAGATACTGCACCCAGTGGCGCCGCACATGCGCCTGTTGAGGGCAGCCTGATCGATGTCGGCTCGAGCGACAACACGCCTGCGGCAAACGAGAAAAGTGATAATAGTGCTGAGAATGCGCTGGAGGCTACAGGCCAACAACCAGCCCCATTGGGCGCCTTACTCGACTTTCAGCAAGACTTGGGCAAAGATTTACCAGATGCTCATCCGTCCGACGCAAGCAAGTGACCTAGTGCATCTCACGATGCGCAAAACTAGAAAGGCGTACTTGAAACATATGTCCCGCCAGCGCCTCGTTCGGCGAGCTTGCTCGGCAGTGGTTTTGATTTTGATTTTGCTTTTGGGTGTGTCTCATCAGGAACTTTACCACTCTTTGGCTGGCTCTGGAATCTAAGACACATGCAATCTCCCAATCTATGGCGCAGTCTGAAAGACGCGTGTGACCAAGGCCCCCCCATACTAGTTTCATTTTTGCCCTATGTACTATGTAATCTGTCCTCAAACTTTGATCGACAATACACATATGCCAATTCGTGTTTTCGGTATTGAGACAGCGCCGGCTGTTCATGGTGAAGAATTAATGAAAATGTTTGCGCCACAAATCTCTTACGTCAACGCCCTACTCCCTAACAACGGATAAAGTAGGAGAGCTTAGTCCGCTGCCAAGCATTTCGCCCTGATAAGCTGAGCCGGAAACGGATACTTCGGTAAGTGCATCAATACTGCATGCCCGAAGTCCGTTTAATGTAAACCCGGGCCTTGAATGTGTGCCTTGGGCCGTTTCTTAGCCGTTGTTTTCATCGGCATGCGTTGAGCCGTCCGAGTCGATGCATTCGTCCGTCGTAAGATACATAGTAATGGTAGACCCGCAAATGGGAGCCTTTTTTTTCACACTCTGCGACACCTATACGAGCATATGGCTCCGTCTCATACGTAAGGTATCCTACTATTAGCTGGTTGTAACATACGTAGTATGTCGGGGCCGATCTGCACCCAACACGAAGAGCAAGCCATAGCCTCGATCGAACTCTGCTCTTATTGGTTATGGGGAAGCGGGGGTACATAGTGCATAGTACTATGCAGAGCGGCTGGAATGGCGATCTACAGCCTTTTCTTGGCTGACAGTAACATGCCCACTAACAAGAGGAACGGGATTGGGCTGTGAGTAAGCTCATCTGTACAAATTACGATTCCGTTCATGACTTGTGTAGACCCGTATCCCGTAATCTATAAAGGTGTTGGTCTGCTCGTCGTATATAACAGTGCAACTAATGGTGTATTACGTGATTGGCCTTCTCTTTCTCATACTTCCCATCCCTTTTCTTTACTTTGCTTCTACTGCCATTTATCTCAGGGACCATGCTTCACGCTTAGGAATCAGAAAATAGGCATCATGGCAAGGTCGGCAGTATCGCAGGAGAGCCTGCGTTTGGCAGATTCCTCTCGGTCATCTGAGGAGGCAGGCCCTGAAGAGTTTATGGCCATTCGAACAAACGGCCCCGAAGCATCTGATGCGGGAACGTATCGCCCCCAGCGACGGGATTCGACGGCCATGATAGAAGAGAGTGATGTGCAGGAGCTGCGGATGCTTGCCACGGCCATATCGCAAAGACGTCGCCAGAGCCACGCCACCGGCTCCGAGGCTGGCAACGAGGACTTTGATGCTGCCGATTCTGCCATGGATCCCTCTAGCAAGTCATTCGATCTCGGGGTTTTCCTGCGTCGCATCATCAAAGATTTTCGCAAGGAAGGTTTCAAAGAGCGGCGTCTGGGGATTTCCTACAAAGACCTTACCGTGTCCGGCACGGGAGAGGCCTTGCAACTGCAGAGCACGGTGGGAACCGTTCTCCAAATGCCATTAAGGCTTGGCGAGTCCTTCAGTTTCGGCAAGAAGAGTCACAAGACCATTCTCCACAACTTTGACGGTCATGTCGAGAGCGGCGAGCTGTTGATTGTGCTCGGACGACCAGGATCGGGGTGTAGCACCCTGCTCAAAACCATCACCGGACAATTGCATGGGCTGAAAATCGGCGAGCAGTCGACAATTGATTACAACGGCATCCCCATGAAACACATGATCAAGGTATTCAAAGGAGAAGTATTAAAGAACCAAGAGGTACGTTCCTTCCCATTCTGTCACTTTTGGATCAAACTAACCTCTTCTTAGGTCGACAAGCATTTCCCCCACCTCACCGTCGGTCAAACGCTGGAATTTGCAGCTGCAACACGTACGCCATCGAAGCGAATCCATGCCATAACGCGCGAAGAGCACATCAAGCATGCCGCCAGGATCGTCATGGCCATCTGTGGCTTGAGCCATACGTACAACACCAAAGTGGGCAATGACTTCATCCGGGGTGTCTCTGGTGGTGAGAGAAAGCGTGTGAGCATTGCCGAAATGATGCTGGCAGGATCGCCCATTGCGGCTTGGGATAACAGGTGAGTAGTCGTACTGCCGTCGCCAAGTTGGACACTTTGATCTGACCGCTTACTTATTTCTTCCTTTACAGCACCCGCGGCCTAGATTCCGCCACTGCGCTGAAGTTTGTCCAGTCTTTGCGGCTGGCTGCCGATTTCACCCACAGTGTTCATTGCGTCGCTATTTACCAGGCCAGCCAGGCCATCTATGACCTCTTTGACAAAGCTGTCGTGCTTTATGAAGGCCGCCAGATCTACTTTGGTCCAGCACCCGCTGCCAAGGCCTACTTTGAAACCATGGGATGGTTTTGCCCTCAGCGGCAGACCACGGGTGATTTTCTTACATCTGTCACCAACCCGCAGGAAAGGGTCGCGCGTGAGGGGATGGAAAACAAGGTTCCACGGACACCAGAGGAATTCGAAGCATACTGGTACCAGTCGCCCGACTGCAAGGCTCTTCGAAATGCCATGGAGAAGCACGAGGCCATACATCCCATCGATCCTCACGGCCAGACGGCCGTAAATATGCGCGAAAACAAGCAGCAACGCCAGGCAAAGCACGTGCGGCCAAAATCGCCATATATCATCAGTGTAGCCATGCAGGTGCGCCTCACCACCAAGCGGGCATACCAACGCATCCTAAACGACATTTCGGCTACTGCGACACAAGCTGTGATGCAGGTCGTTTTGGCGCTCATCATCGGCTCCGTCTTCTACGGCACTCCCAACGCGACAGCCGGCTTTTACGCCAAAGGCTCCGTGATCTTCCAGGCCATTCTTATGAACGCCTTGACGGCAATCTCCGAAATTAACAAACTGTATGCACAACGTCCCATCGTCGAGAAACATGCCGCCTACGCCTTTTATCATCCCTATACAGAAGCGCTGGCTGGAATCATGACTGATATCCCCATCAAGTTTATCACGGGAACCATTTTCAACCTCATCGTCTACTTTATGTCGGGGCTTCGACGCGAACCGGCTCAGTTCTTCTTGTTTTTCCTCATTACGTATACCACAACGTTTGTCATGAGTGCCATCTTCCGTACCCTGGCTGCCATCACAAAAACCGTGTCTCAGGCGATGATGTTGGCCGGTGTTATGGTTCTGGCTCTTGTCATCTATACTGGATTCGTGGTTACTGTGCCCAAGATGCATCCGTGGTTTAGCTGGATCAGATGGATCAATCCTGTCTACTACGCTTTCGAAGTCCTCATTGCGAATGAGTTTCATGGCCGTTCGTTCACCTGCTCGAGTATTATCCCCGCCTACACACCCTTGGTAGGCGATTCTTGGATATGCTCGGTTGCCAGCTCGGTTGCTGGACAGCATACAGTTAGCGGAGATGCCTTTATCGGTGTTCACTACAAGTACTACTACGCGCACGCCTGGAGAAATTTCGGTATTCTACTCGCGTTTCTGTTCGCCTTCATGTTTGTTTACTTCGTCTCGACCGAACTAAACTCGCAGACCACCAGCGCAGCCGAAGTCCTGGTTTTCCAACGCGGCCATGTTCCTGCATATCTCCTAAACGGGGGCAACAAAGGTGCAATTACAGAAGACATGACGAAGGCCTCGCCGCAACAAGACGGAAACGAAAAGACCGATGCTATCGAGCCACAAACCGATGTGTTTACCTGGCGCGATGTAGTCTATGATGTTACAATCAAAGGACAGGATCGTCGGTTGCTTAATCATGTCTCTGGCTGGGTAAAGCCTGGAACTTTGACGGCACTAATGGGAGTCAGCGGTGCTGGCAAGACAACACTACTCGATGCCTTAGCCCAAAGGACCACGATGGGTGTTATTACGGGTGATATGTTTGTCAACGGAAAGCATATTGATGCTAGCTTCCAAAGGAATACCGGTTACGTTCAGCAACAAGGCAAGCTTTTTTCCAACCCTTTTATATAGCATAACAGTCGCTAACAAACGCAGATTTGCATCTATCGACAGCAACGGTTCGCGAAAGTCTCCGTTTCAGTGCTATGCTTCGTCAGCCTCAAAGCGTCAGCAAAGAAGAGAAGTTCACCTTTGTTGAGGAAGTGATCGACATGCTGGACATGCGGGACTTCGCAAATGCCGTCGTCGGCGTTCCTGGCCAAGGGCTCAATGTGGAACAACGCAAGCTACTTACTATTGGTGTCGAATTGGCCGCCAAACCAAAACTGCTACTCTTCCTCGATGAGCCTACCAGCGGTCTCGATTCCCAGAGTTCATGGGCTATCTGTGCCTTCCTCCGAAAGCTAGCTGACCACGGCCAGGCTGTGCTCTGTACCATACACCAGCCCAGTGCAGTTCTGTTCCAGCAGTTCGACCGGCTACTGTTCCTCGCTGCCGGAGGCAAGACCGTCTACTTCGGCGACATTGGGGAGAACTCGCGGACGTTGCTCGAATACTTTGAAACCCACGGCGCTGAAAAGTGCGGCGACGAGGAAAATCCAGCCGAGTACATGCTCAACATTGTCAACCGCGGCAGCAATTCACAGGGTGAGGATTGGCACGACGTCTGGAACAACAGCCGGGAACGCCAGGACGTAATGGCCGAAATCAATCGCATTCATGTGGATCGCGCTGCGCAGCCGCTTGCCACTCACGAGGATCCGCACTCTCGCGATGAATTTGCCATGCCGTTTGGCGCCCAACTAGCAAGGGTTGCAACGCGCGTGTGCCAGCAATACTGGCGCAGCCCAACCTATGTTTTCTCAAAGTTCATCCTTGGCACTGTGGCTGGCCTGTTCATTGGCTTCTCGTTTTTCGGAGCCGACGGTACGCTGGCGGGCATGCAAAATGTCATCTTTTGCCGTTGTTCATGGTGATCACAATATTTTCTACCCTGGTCCAGCAAGTAAGTCATGCCGCCACACCTCTGTCAAACTCGCACATACCGCCAGTACGTCTTGCTAATTTTTCGTCAGATCCAACCACATTTCATTACCCAGCGTGACCTGTATGAAGTGCGAGAGCGTCCCAGCAAGGCCTATTCCTGGAAGGCTTTCATGATCGCCAACGTTATCGTCGAAATACCATATCAGATCTTAACTGGAATTCTTATTTATGCCAGCTTCTATTACGCAGTCATTGGCATCCAGTCGTCTGCCCGCCAGGGTCTCATCCTTCTTTTCTGCATTCAGTTCATGCTTTATGCTAGTTCCTTCGCCCAGATGACTATCGCTTCCATGCCCGTTGCCGAAACTGCAGCCAGTATTGTCACTCTCCTGCTCTTGTTCAGCCTTACCTTCTGTGGTGTCCTCCAGACACCCTCGGCTCTTCCGGGATTCTGGATTTTCATGCACCGTGTCAGCCCATTCACTTATTGGGTCGCGGGCATTGTTTCTACGCAACTCCATGGCCGCGCTGTGGATTGCTCCAAATCTGAGACGAGCATTTTCAGTCCGCCCGCAGGAATGACATGTGGTGAATATATGGCGCCATACCTGACCCAAGCTCCTGGGAATCTGCAGAACCCAAACGACACCGAGAATTGCAGATACTGTTCGCTGAAGGTGGCAGTCCAGTATCTCGCTCAAAGCAGCATCTTCTATTCTCAGCGCTGGAGAAATTTCGGGATCATGTGGGCGTATATCGCTTTCAACATCTTTATTGCTGTAATCTCGTATTGGGCTTTCCGGGTGAAGAAATGGAATCGGGGGGGTAAGAGCGCGAAGAAGACTTCGGAAAAAAACAAGACGGAGAAAGCATAGGGGAGCAGTTGTACGCTTCTCACAATTTTCATTCTGACTGGTTGCTTGTGTATAGCCAGATTGTTTGCGAACGATTCCGCTGCAGTATTCACATTGTCATTTTAATTTACAAACTATGTAGACTTTAGAGACCGAAACCCGTTAAACATAAATAAACAGGACACGAATTTATGTCCACGAAAAAAAACCACTGTATATATACAGGAGCGGTAAAACTACAAAATCCATTCTGGGAAAAAGCGACCGTCGCCAGAACTCCGTTGATGCGTCAAATGCGAACTGTGTCTACCCAGAAACTCACATATTGTTGTTGAAAGCACATCCACTCAATTTCTTCGAAAACACGAGTATATCATCTTCCCGCCGAGACGATACGCCGGTGAGCCTTCCCGTCCCTCTTTCATTTGATGATAGGTATACATAACATCCATACATCCCATCAATATCGCCGACGGGTGGGTTCTGGAGAGGGCGACCGGCTGACGCTTCGCTCATCGCGGCCGCGCAGTTTCAGCCACTTCTTCGTGGCCAACTGCAGCTCATTGTCGAGCTCTTCGCTCGGATTTTTGCGGTGTATAAAGTTACAATATCCGCCGCGGACACAGCCCTCGCCTGAATTGAGTCGACAACAGGCTTCTCTGAAGTCGGTGACAGGAGATAGCTCGCAATATATAGGCCGAGCAGCGTACCAACGGCCATTCAAGGCGTCGCAAGCAGAAGCGGCGCTCTCCTCGTACTTGAAGCGGGCATAGACATTCCCAACGAGATGGTCGTTATTGTTGTCGCAAACGACAAGCTCCTCCAGCTCGCCGTACTTGCAAAGCTCGCACCAAATGTCCTCGTAGAAAGCATCGAAGTGGTTTTGCAGCTGAGAGGCGTTCATGCCGTTGGAAACGTTCGCAGGATTTTGGTACAAATTGGGCATGAGGATCGTCTGACTGTAGGACGGCTTGACATGCTTGCGGGAGCAGCGATCACCGTGGCGACATGCGCCAATTTTGTAGTAAAAGGAGCAATTGACCTACAGTAAGGGGGGGTTAGCACACAGCTATGATCGCGTTGCACGGTCGGTTTCTCGCGACTGCTTACCTTGTCCTGTTCCGTGCCGAAGATAGACGCGAGAAAGTTAGCCATCTTGGTGTGATCGCGCTGATTTAGATAGCGGAGCAACTTCTGTCTGCTGAGGAGATTCTTGAAGAGAGCGATTGTGAAAGTTTTTGTTTCGGTATCAAGATCTAGAGTTTGGATACAGACTACTACTCCGTACGGAGTACGATGCTAGAAAAATAACATATGCAGAGTACGCCACAGAACGCCACAGAACGCCACAGAAAGATGTGTTAGCCAGTCACATGAGGCATCATGTGATATAAACGTATCTTAACCTAGCACAAATTTCTTGCAATCATATGACCAAAACTGCCTTATTGAGCATTTAGACCTTGTTATTTACAAAGTCCCTTTACAGTCTTTGCGTCTGTATATTGGTATATGTACTAGTCTTTGTGCCAGTGTCTCCATGATGGCCCCTATATAGCACAAGGAAGTACTCCGTACGGAGTAGTCATATTCAATTCCCAGTACGGAGTAAAGCAGGAGAAAAACAGACTTACTTTTAACTATCTTAACAAACCATTGGTAGACGAAAGAGCAGTGTACATAGTATAGTGCATGAAGAAAAATAATGGGCGCGCACGCGGGGTTATGTGAAATAAACAAAATATTAGGATTAAAATCTAGTTATGTGACCGCAAACGAATTGAGCAAGACTAACGAAGGGTTATGATAGACGTACGGTAATCGAGGCATTTAGTATACATTTTGGAAGGTACTACAGAGTACTACTAGAGAGTACAACAAGCCATCGAAAATGCGAAACTTAATGCATGGCACGTTGCAGGAAGCGAGAGGTTGAACTGCCAGTGGTTACAACAGGGTTTACAAGCACGGGATACAATGCGAGCAGTGCAACTCACTCATCTACATAGTAGAGAAAATAGTCGGTAGACAACATGAAGTACTGAAAGAGTACTCCGTAGACAAGTAATCTACGACGTACGGTCTACTCTCCATAACCCTAGGAATGGGGGCATCCACAGTCCAGATGAGATATGCATCTATTAAAACCGAGATCCCTACTACTTTATCACCTTGACTACGGCTGGAAGTAAACATTGACGATATACGAAAACGGATACTACATACAAGAAAAACTTTGGGAGCATACTCACACATATTATAGTTCATCCAATTTGATAAGCTATTCTAAGAATGTCTTGTAAGAGGACTCATACTTTACTATTGCTCGGCTACGGTCGTACAAAGCACACCAGTAAGCCCCCCCCCCCCCCCAAAACAACCACGCTGGTCCACTGGGAACGTGGGATACCGAGTGTATCATCAAGAGATCGGCGGTCAATCGCACGGGTCTGCACATGCGTCGTCAGCTTTTTGCCGCTGCGGTGGGCCATGGAACACAGCTCGGTTTCTTTCCTTAGCGCCCACTTTAGCTGACTCGCACTTTTGTTTTATCTAGCAACGATTTTGGTACGACATCTCCCAGCCACTATTGGGCCCCATCGGTCAGAGGTCTCCGCTTTGCAGGGATGCGAGCACATTTTTCAGCTGGTGAGCACGTCCGATTCCACAATTTAAATTCCTTACCTTACCAGCTCACGACTTTGGCAAGCATGTTGCCTCGGAATAGCGACCGAGCTTTGCGGTTCCCAAAAGGCTAAAAATGGCTGTCTTCCTAGTATATCATTCATAGGAATCCCCTCACCGGTTCCATGTTTGTTTGTTATTGCTAAATCTCTGCGAGATTTTTCTTGGCGCAAAAAAAAAATAACCTCTGAAAGCACCGTAACATTGGCTGTAACGTGCCTGCCGTGCTTTAGCTTGCTGAGTTTTGGGACGATCAGTCGCACTACCTGGGTGAGCATCTATCCTTCCCCAGCCTCTTTCCGGTTGGTCCCCAAAACACACGACGTGGTGGCAAGCTCGCTTCCAAGTATTCGTGCGTAGTACGGAGTAGGTCCGCACAATTCAGTCTTGTGACGGAGTACCGTCGTAGGCATATATGTAGAGGATGTCCACGGCGACCGCGCGCGAGTACTCCGTACGCGGCCTCCACAGCTTTCATGCAAATGGAGACAGCGACAGCCTTCGGCCTTCCAGGCACGGACTGACTGTCAGTCGGGAAGAGGGGAAAAAGGATAGATCGGAGACTGCGATGGAGGTTGCTAAAAGACCATGCGCAGCGGCATCCAAGCGTCTGGGGAGGGGGCCTCTTCACAGACTTCTCTTCACAGCTCTATCTTCTGTACTCCGTGCCGCACACCTCTCACCCTTCCTATCTGACCGGCCTCGTTCCACACAGATTCCCTTTGTGACGGCAGTTTCTGTCAGGCTTGTTGCTACCCAACAGACAAATACCTAGGCGAATCCTTCACACAGCATGGCCAGTTTCGCAGTGGACGGAATGCTCGTCAAAAAACAAAGGCGCGCCTGCAGGGCCGGCCTCGCCACGATCCTCGCCTGCTGCCAAAGTCATCTTTTCTCCTGCCTGCAGGCAGGTCCGCACTAGGGGTGCAAGGCAAAGTCGACCAAATCCCCTGCACGGCTTGGACTATCCAGTAAAATCCCTCGTAGATTCAGCTTGTTCTGCCACGTCTTCCCGCCGCTGATCCAGCCACAGCTCGACCGGGGTTGGGTGGCTCGATCTCTGCTTCCTTGCTGTGGGATCGGCCGCGTCTGCTGGAATTTCCGGGCTGTGGGTAGCTAACGCCCCACTTGTCTCCCTCTCGTGCTGCAACGCTGCCCACACCTGTATGTATCGTATATTCAGGGCGCCAGTGTATTGCGACATCCGCGCAAAATACGTACTAGCACCTCGCAGCTGATGCCTGTCGGCTGTGCTGGGCCGCGTTGCCAGATCTGTGGGCTGGCGCTCGGGCGGAACAGCTGGGCGGCAACCCAAGCTTCGTGCAAGCCCCGTAAAAGTTATGCCAGACAGCATACGGCGTTTTTGAACCTAAAAATTTCCCTCGGTGGGGCCGTTTTCCTGGTTGTTGTACATGCATATGCTATGTATTTATATGCACCTCATATGTACTTCGTACCCTTGTGAAGTATCTTACGTGTGCTGACTTGGCGTTTACACTGACGTAGTTTGGTCCTTTGCTGCTGCTTTGTTCGTCCCCCGTACCTTCCCTTTCGAAGAGCTCGCTGTCCCAAGACGTCGTCCCCTTTTTCTTGCCTATCGTTCTTCTTTCAGGGTTTCACCTTCCGGGTTTCTTTTTGAAGGGCCTCCCTTGCGCTCAAGACCCCTTCGAGCTCCCGTGTCTTATGCTCTGACCCACACGTCACAACAATCACCACCCTCCCCATGCTTCTCCTAAGCATCCAGCACCAGCTAGGGTAGCTCAGAACTAAAACCAAATTTCAATTTCCATTTTACATTTTGTATTTTCCCGTTACCCACCCCCTCTCCCTTACTCTCATTGCCTCTTTTTTTTTCTTTTCTTCCTCTCCCTTCTCCCCTTTCCCCTCTCCTGTCTCCATCCCCCGGTGTGCCTGCACGACTCTCACCAAAGCTCCCTGCGAAGCTCGACCTGACGGGAGAGCAGCTCCTTCACAGCAGCAGACATATCCCTCATCATTTCAGAGTGATCCGTTCACGTTCCTTCGTTTGCGACTGTGGCGAATCGGAGCCTAAACCCCACTACTATTGCTACAAATTCGTTTCGTCGTCGCAACACACAAAGCCGGCCAACTTCGAAGCTTCGTCTATCCTCCTTCCTAGCAGGACGCCGCCAAACCACCGTGTTCAATCATTGGATCTCTCCGTACAGCCGCTGCTACTCCCGCAGCTTGCGGTCCGACCCGAGCAATAACTACTACCATGGCGGCGACTACCGAGAAGGCGGCGGGCGAGCTGAAGCAGCAGGGCGCCATCGAGGCTGCCCAGAGGTCTAACGGCACCGTCACCTCTACACAAGCGCAGGCCAAGATCGTGCAGGAGAGCAATAGGGCTGGTGTCATGGCTTTCAACTTCGACCCTGATGCCAGCCCCGAAGCAAAGAGGGCACAGGTGCGGGCGGTATGTGTCCATATCCCTGTTTTCTTTCCCCCTTTCCCCTGATGCCTTGCTAACTTTCGTCTAGGCTGTTCCCGAGGGCTTTCACAACCCTAAGCACATAAAAGGGCTTGCAGTAGCCACTGACATCGACGACGGCACTGCACCCGCCTACGACCTCCCTACCCCGAGCAAAGCTGGCGCCATCGACGTGTCGGCAGAAACGTCCGGACTGGGAGATGGCGAGAATGGCGTCGAGATGGGCCCTGACACGACTGGCTGGGCCCCTCGCTTCGGTTGGCCTTACGAGTCTATTGCCGATTCCCCCTCTATGTTGGAGCACTCCACCTGGCTCGAGGGCCAGATACCCGACAAGTTTTTTGGGGACTGGTATTACAACGCGGGCGTAATTGTCTTTGCCTGCTTGAGCTCCTGGTTTGTTGCCGTACTTGGCGGCGGCTTGGGCTGGGTCCTCATTATCATGGCCGGCTGCTCTACGTACTACCGCACCTCTGTACGCCGCGTTCGCCGCAACTTCCGCGATGACCTCAATCGCGAACTGTCGCTCAAGCGCCTCGAGACCGATACGGAATCTCTCGAGTGGATCAACTCGTTTCTCCTCAAGTTCTGGCCCATCTACCAGCCCGTTCTGGCACAGACGATCATCAACTCCGTCGACCAGGTTCTCAGCGGTGCCACTCCTTCCTTCCTGGACAGCCTGAAGCTCAGCTCTTTCACTCTGGGCTCGAAGCCACCCCGCATGGAACACGTAAAGACATACCCCAAGGTGGAGGATGATATTGTTGTCATGGATTGGAAATTCAGCTTCACCCCCAACGACACTGCCGACATGACTGCCCGCCAAATCCAGAACAAGATCAACCCAAAGGTTGTGCTTGAAATCCGTATCGGCAAGGCCATGATCAGCAAGGGCATGGATGTTATTGTTGAAGACTTTGCCTTTTCTGGCATCATGCGCCTCAAGATCAAGCTACAGATTGCCTTCCCTCACATCGAGAAGGTGGAGATGTGCTTTTTGGAAAAGCCCTCGATTGACTACGTCTGCAAGCCTCTCGGCGGTGAGACGTTCGGCATCGACATTAATTTCGTTCCAGGCCTGGAAAGCTTCATCCTCGAGCAGATTCACGGCAACCTAGCTCCTATGATGTATGCGCCCAATGTCTTCCCCATTGAGGTGGCTAAGATGCTGTCTGGCTCGCCCGTCGACCAGGCCATCGGAGTCTTGGCCATCACGATCCACGGTGCTCAGGGCTTGAAGAACACGGACAGCTTTGCAGGCAATGTCGACCCGTACGCTGTTATCACCTTGAACAGGCGGCAACCTCTTGCACAGACCAAGACTATTAGGGATACGAACTCGCCGCGCTGGAACGAGACACACTACATTATCATTACGTCTTTCAACGATTCTCTCGACATAATTGTGTATGATTTCAACGACTTCCGTAAGGACAAGGAATTGGGCGTGGCTTCTTTCTCTCTGGAGGATGTGGAAGAGATCAACGAATTTGAGAATGAATCCCTGGAGATCATCGCTGGTGGCAAAGCTCGGGGCAACCTCAGCTGTGATGTTCGATTTTTCCCCGTCCTAGAGGCTGAGAAGGGTCCGGACGGGAAGGTCGAGCCCCTCCCGCCATCGAACACCGGTATTTTGCGCTTCACCGTTGAACAGGCCAAGGATCTAGATGGAACAAAGAGTTTGGTTGGCCAGCTCAACCCGTATGCCAGCCTGCTGCTGAATGGCAAGGAAATTCACACTACGAAAAAGCTCAAGCGCACCAACAACCCGATCTGGGACAACGGCTCCAAGGAGATTCTCATCACCGATCGCAAGGCGGCCAAAATGGGTGTTGTTATCAAGGACGAGCGAGACCTTGCAGGCGACCAGATTATGGGTACCTACCAGATCAAGCTAGAGGACATGCTCGAGTTCATGGAAAAGGGCCAGGATTGGTACAGCCTAGCAGGTGCAAAGAGCGGCCGTGTCAAGATGCAGGCCCAATGGAGGCCAGTCACCATTACCGGAGTGTCCGGTGGAACTGGTGGCTATCAAATACCCATTGGTGTCATTCGATTGCACTTCATCAAGGGCTCCAGCCTGCGCAACTTTGAGAAGGTGGGCAAATCCGATCCCTATGTGCGTGTGCTTCTCTCCGGAATCGAGAAGGCCCGCACGGTCACGTTCAAGAACAACCTCGATCCGGAGTGGGATGAGGTGCTGTATATCCCTGTTCACAGCACGCGCGAGCGGCTACAACTGGAGGTCATGGATGCTGAGTCCATGGGCCGCGACCGCAGCCTGGGTCTGGTCGAGGTCGTTGCCGGAGACTATATCTCGGAGGAAGAGGATGGTTCTTATGCCGTCAACGACACCAAGATGCAGCGTGACGACGGACTTCGGATGCACGGCAAGGGCATGCCGAAGGGCATACTCTCCTACACGGTCTCCTTTTTCCCCTGTCTGAACGTTGCTGATCCTGAAGATGAGGAAGAGGAGAAGGAAGCTGGCGCACCCAAGGATGCCGCTGAAGGTGATGCATCCGCAACTGCTCCGGCGGCTGAGGCGGCGGACGAAAAAGCTGCTGACGCTTCTGTGGTACCGGCGAACGGTGCGGCATCTGAGGAGGCCGTTGCGAAGGTGTCTGCCGAATCTAAGGGTCTGCCGAAGATCCGGCTGACGCCCGAGGAGCTTCTCAAATATGAGTCTGGTCTCGTGATCTTCAAGCTCATGGAAGCCGAGCTGCCCAAAAGCGACACACAAATTGAGATATTCGTCGACGACATGGCCTTCCCGTCTTACATTTCGTCAAAGGCGGCGTCCCGGACTTTCACATTTGACGAGATGGGCGACTGTTTTATTCGGGAGCTTGATTTCTCGCGTCTCACGCTCAAGGTGCATGAGCGCGGAGACAAGAAGGATGATGATAAGGACCGGACGCTGGCTCGCCTGACCGGAAACACGCTGGACACGTTGAAGCAGTGCCTTGTAAGTATATCGCAGAATGTTTGCTGCCCTTTGTTGCGTGCCGTGCGCGTTGCTGACCGAGTATATAGAACAACCCGACGACTCTCATGATGAAGGGCGAGGATGGCAAGGTCAGCACCGTCAAGATCAGCCTGAAGTATATTCCTGTGCGGATGCAGCTCGACCCGAGCGAGAGCATTAACAATATGGGAAATCTGCGGGTGGACATTCTGGACGGCCGTGATCTACCGGCAGCCGACACGAACGGGAAGAGTGACCCGTACTGCAAGTTCGAGCTGAACGGCCAGGAAGTTTTCAAGAGCAAGGTGCAGAAGAAGACGCTCAACCCTGTGTGGAACGAGTTCTTCGAGGTGGTGGTGCCGTCGCGGACGGGAGCCAAGTTTGCGGCCAAGGTGTACGACTATGACTTTGCGGACAAGCCGGACTTTCTTGGTGGCGCGAATATTCGGCTCGACCAGCTTGAGCCGTTCAAAGCACAGGAGCTGACGCTGCCGCTTGACGGTAAGTCCGGCTCCATCCGAGTGCGGCTGCTGTTCCGTCCAGACTACATCACGCGTATGAAGCAGGGCACCTCGACATTCTCGGGAACGTTTGCGACCCCTGGAAAAATCGTCACGGGCGTTGCGGGCGCGCCCATCAAGGGCGGTGCTGCTGTGGTGGGTGTCGTCGGCCTTGGTGTCGGCAAGGGCGCGTCGTTCCTCCGCCGTGGATTCAAGGGCAAGAGGGACGATGATGCCAATGGCTCGGTGAGCGGCAGCTCGATCGAGCTCTCACGCGGTTCCACGGTCAACGACAGTGGGCCTGCGGTGCCCAGCGTTATGGTGCAGCGGGCGACTGGACTGTCGGACGCGGAGCCGTTGGCAGACTCGCCCCCCGGACCTGCAGTCAACAATGTGAGCGGTGCTCCCCCTCTGGGCGGCCAGTCGCATTCGCGGACGCGAAGCATGGGTGCGTCGTCGGTTCATAGCGTGTTACCCGGCAGCCCGGGAGCTGGTCAGGCCGTATTTACGATCGTGGCGGCTTCGGAATTCCCGCCATCAACGGACGTGTACGTGGTGCTCAACCAGCTGGGCTCGCGGTCCAAGGTGGTCGGCAAGACGAAGCACCACAAGGCATCGGGTGGCGCAGTCAAGTTTGACGAGACGTTCAAGTTGACATGCACACCGGACACGCAGTTCCAGATCCAGGCGCGCGAGCATCACAGCTTCGGCAGCGACGAAACGCTGGGTGAGTCGCTGTATGTGGTGGATGAGAGCGGGACGAACAGCGAAAAGGAGATCAGGGTGGGCGACGGTGTGGTGGTGATCAAGAGCAACTTCACGCCAAACGAGACTTCCCCCAGCGAGAGTCCAAAGTCAACGTTCCGGCGCAGTTTCTTGAGCAAGCGCGACGCGCGTGCGCCAAGCCGTGATGGCACGCCAACTTGAATACAAAAGGGCGGGAAAGGGAAAGTAGGAGAACGGCTGTCGTAATGCGCTTGATGCTTCTAATTCTCTTGTGGGTGAGGGCGGTTCAAAATCCTCCTCGACTCGCCGATCTCCGTTCCGATTGTCTAGGATACCAATTTGTCACAGCTTATTCCCATGTTTTAATCTTTTTTTCTATACGTTCACGCCTCGCTTAATTATTGGATTAGCTCCGTCTCTTTTGTACAGAATAATGGAAATGCTTCGTGCTTTTACCTTTGGTGCGTGAGATACGTTGTATATCTTGGTTTATTCCTAGCTGGAAGAGCAACCGCTGCGTCTGACTACAATACAAAAAAAGCAGGGATAATAGTGAATGGGTATGGGACATCAGAAACGCCTCACAGCAACGAGGGACACAGACGACCAAAAATGCAAAAAGGAAAGCCAGGGGAAAGGACAGGAAGCCGTCAAAGGCCGACGTCGCTGCAGGAAACGGAACCGCTATGTGCAAGTACGCTTGAAAGACACAAAAAGAAGAAGCCGAGAAAACGAGTGACAAAACAAGTAGACCAACTCGGACAGATTAGACAAATCAAACAAAAACAGATGGATAACAACACCGGCCAGCTAATAGTCGGAGCTGTCATGATTGTGCACCGGACACCGGCCAGGATGCTTCACAAACCAGGCCTGGATGCATTCCCGATGAAAGCGGCAGAGACATTCTAGCCGAGCCATGGGCACGCCGACCTCAAACTCCTCCAGACAGATGGTGCACTCGGCAGCATCCACACAGTCCTTCTCTGTAGCTAGGTATGGAAACATGCCTGTGCGCCACACATGTGGCTGTGGCTGCCGAAAGACACCGCCATCGCCACTGATCCCGTCGGTACTGCTGCCACCGCCACTGCTGCTGCTGCTGCTGTTGCTGCTGCCACCATTTCCACTGCTGCCGCCCCCACGGGGACTGTTGCCGTCACCGCTGGCCGTCCTCCGGCGTCCCTGATGGCTGCCGCCGTGTGCCTCCAGACAGTCCATGATGTGCTGCTCTCGCTGCTCCTCAAAGCTAGACAGCTGTCGCGATGGCAGTTCCAGGTGGCACACGGGACACTCGTCCTCCTCGGCGAGCGGCTGTGCCCGAGCTTGATACTGCGGTTGCCGTATCTGCTGTCGCGTGGTTGGGTCAGCAAGGCCAGGCCGCTGAGTTCGTCGCTGGTGCACCACAAAATGCATCTGGGGCTCAGAGCTAGTGCCCGGCGCAGATGACGGCGGCGGAAGGCTGAGGCGGTGGTGGCGCTGCGACGAAGGCGAGGCCGGCGAGACTGTCAGCAGGGAGTCCGGTCCCACAGACGATGGTTGTCTAACAGCGCCAGGCGGTAGAGGATGAAATGTCGCGAACATCGGACCACGGCTGGGACCCCAGACCGTTCGGACAGTACGATATTGGCCACGGGTCTGTGGTCCTGTCGACGGAAACAGCGATGCTAGGTCTGAGGACCACGCTGTGTGTGGAGGCGCAATGTTGGGATCCGGCACGCAGGGGTTGCAAAGACGAACACGCTCTCCACCACCGAGAGTGCTAACATCAATAGGAGAGTTGCCAAATCCCCCAACACCGCCGTCTCCAACACTTGCAGCAGCGGCTGCCTGTGTCCTGAACGAATACCAGCCGGGAGGATGGACAATGTACTGATAGGGAATAGTGATGCGATGTGGTGAGCAGCTGTTACACACAACCCTGCCGCATTTCCTAGAGGACGTCAGTGAAGGCACCCCCTAGGTGAAGAAGAAAGTCGGGCCCGTACCTGCAGTGGTGCTTCCTAACAAATATACTGAACTGCGTGCGGCAGATAGGACAGTACGTCACCTCAGCATCGGGCTGCCAACGGGGGAGGGAAACGTCTTGCAATGCGTCTCGCAGTGACGGCAGCACGACAGATGTTTGTTCCTGTCGGGTCGAAGGAACCCATTCTGAGACGGCACGTGGCCGTGGAGAAGGTGGTGGAGGAGGAAGTGGTGGCGACGGAGACTGAAGTCGGCGGCGTGTCTCCGTCAAAGTGCTGGTCGTCGGTCTTTCCGGATCACGGCGAGATGCATAGGCCGGAGGGGGGGAGGGGACTAGAGGAAGTAACAGTGACGGAAGTAGCAGTTGTGACTGTGGCTGTGGTTCTGCTGCCAGCATTGTAGGGAGAGGAGGAGGCAGAGCATCTGGGACTATCGGAGGGGCTGGAGAAGCCTGATTGGTATGAAGCTCTGTATGCGACGATAGTGCGGAGGAGGCAATAGCCGTGGGAGCCGAAGGGGTCGTGGAAGCTGCAGAATTCGGTCGAGACAAAGTAGACGATACAACTATGGCATTTTCAGAAGTCTGTCGAGAACCGCCTTCGTTTGCTGCCGACCCGTCGGTCACTAGGATGGTCAGTGATTCCTGCGAGCCAGAAGCCCTACCCTCCTCGCTCATTGGCAGCAGGATGCCCTTGCCCTTGGCCTGGCTTGTCGCATGGCCTTCGGCTGCAAGGACTTCGTCCGGCACGGCATCATCGTCCACCTCTTCGTCAAGCACGGCCGAACCGCTCTGGCCCCCATCAGTGTGATAAGAGGCCATTCCGATGCATGCGTGGAGGTCCTGCTGGTATTGGACAATGGGATGCATCTGTAGCTAGTGGTGCAAATACTCCGATTCGAGCTCTGGCTCGACGTGACAGAGTCTGGAAAGACAGGCTGGTGAAAAGGCTTGGAAATGGGTTTTTTCCTCGTCTCCTTCGGCACGTTGCTGGCGACTGGTCGTAGTTCCGTTTCGGTTAAAGGAGGCGACTCGGCTTCGTCCGGTGATGCTATTGGAGACGGGATAACAGCTGCTCGATAGGAAATGTTGGTCGTAAAAAGGCTGTGTGAAAGGGTGGACGGTATCTTACACCGCGAGAAGCACCTTCAGAAACAGCCGCCCTCGATTGCTGTCAACGCCGTCGTTGGCAAAACGGAAGGCGCAACCTGGTTTGTTGTTGTTGTTGCAGGAGGGGCGATAAGACAGACCGCTAACGGGCGCCATCGCACGAGACAACTCCTCACCCCGCCGATTACGAGTTTATGCCACAGCGCCACAGCGCCACAGCGCCACCAGCTACATGGTACTCGTACGGAGTAAGTCCGCTACCCCCCCTTCCGACCACCCCCCCCTTCCGACCAATAATCAGATTAATCTTACCTACTTTTTTACCCTGCCAACCTATCAAAAACGCACCTACCGCAACGCTAATAATAGCTTTTGAAAGCTAATTTTTTAAGCATCGTATTCGTGATGCCTCAGTACACTGAAAACGACATAAATAACGCAAAAGAAAGCGTTGATAATGGCCTCAGCGTGCGAAAAGCCGCTGCACTTCACTGCGTGCCATACACCACCCTTCGGGACCGCTTAGCAGGTGCAGCAACGCGCCAGAAGGGCGCTGAAAAGCAGCAGGTTATATCACCGCGGCTAGAAAATACCCTGGTGCACTGGATTACTGTCCAAGCACAGATAGGGCTTGCTCCCACGCATAGCCAAATGCTTGGTGTTGCGCAGCTTTTGCTAGCTACCGAAGGACGCCCTCGACGGCTTGGGAAGTCTTGGAAGGCTAGTTTTTTTTTAAGGCACCTAGAGATTAAGACCTTACGTAGGACTTTAATTGAAAATCTTCGTGCTGACGGTGCTTTAGAGTTGAATATACGTGCATTTTTTACTGCCCTTTAACACCCAACTATTCGTGACCTTCCTCCTGAATACCGGTATAATATGGATGAGACTGGGCTTGCTGAAGGCCTTGGGGCAAATGGCTTGGTTATTGGCAGGGCTGGGAAGAGGTCGGAGATCGTGAAAGCAGCAAAAAGTCGAATCTAGGTGACGATATTTGAGTGCATTTTAGCTGTCGGCAAAGCTCTTCCTCCTTGCGTTATTTTTACTGGCGGGTCGGTCTAGCAGCAGTACTTCCCTGCTTCTTTTGAAGATGAATACGACGATTGGTTCTTTACAGCAACTGACTCGGGCTGGACCAACGATAAACTTGCAGTTAACTGGCTTACATCTATCTTCCTACCTTCTACTAAGCCAGACGATATAAACCAGTGGCGGCTGCTAGTTCTTGACGGTCACGGAAGCCATGTTACCGATGATTTTATGATTAAGTGTATGGACAATAAGGCCTGGCTTATTGTACTCCCTGCTCACTCTTCTCACGTCACCCAACCTCTTGATGTAAGCTGCTTTTCGCCGCTTAAGTCACGATACCGATTTCACCTCTCCAACCTCTCTAGCCTCGACGATTCAAGCGCTACTTGCAAGCAAAACTTCGTCTACTGTTACTCGAAGGCTAGACGAGACGCCCTAACAGAGACAAACATTAAAAGCGGTTGGAAAGCTACAGGATTATGGCCAATTTCTTTACGCCAAGTGCTTTTGAATCCATTCGTTTTACCACAAGCGCCATGCACTCCAGCCACGCCAGAGGCTCCTAATACACTTTATACAACTCCTCCACGCCGTACTCGATCTGGCGATATCGTTTTTAATACGCCATCTACTGGCCGGGAGATGCTACAGCGGATTGCGTTAGTAGAGGAAGAGAGTAATTTGAATGGGTCTACGCGGCGCCTCCTTCACAAAGCCAGCCACGCAATTGATTCAAAAACAGCTACAATAGCCTTTCAGAAGCAGCGAATTGACGAGCTAGAGGCATTACAATCGGCGCAAAAGGTCAGTAAGCGCCGTGAAGTGAAGCCTGCGCCGAATGAGCGGTTTGTACAAATTCGAGAGGTTGTGGCGGTCAGAGAGCGCGTTGCAAGGGAGATTCAACCGGAAAACACGGCTAGGGAGATGCAGGCGGAGTCTATGAACAGATTCATGCACGTTTTTCATTATGTAACTGGTGAAGAAGTCCAGGAAGACTGAATAAAAGATGTGCGTGGATTGAGTGATTATTGGTCGGAAGGGGGGGGGGGGCGGAAGGGGGGGGTAGCGGACTTACTCCGTACACGTACAAGGCTTCGCACGGCTCGCACGTGATACGTCAGCACGGTTGGTTATGTAATCAAACCACCCCGGTCGGGCTGGCCCGCCATTGCAGATACTACGGAATACTCCGTATGCTTAGATCAGGGTCCCCGCAAAGCTGCAGCAGACTGGCAAACCTCTGCGCGCCAGTCACGAGTGGTGACCGGTGAGAAGCAACTGTTTGTTAGATGGCCGCATGTCTTGCTGTGTAACTGCCAACTGAAGCAAATCCAAAGTGTCCAGAACAGGATCCCGAATCCTCAGCTACACCGGTGCTCTTCTGTCCGTCCAACGCTTGATGATCACGCTGTCTCTCCCTTTTTTTTTTTTTTCCCCTTCTTTCCTGTTGTCTTGGGATGGCGTAGCCAGACGTGTTTCCGGCGTGTGGCGTGTTGTTTGGCTTCCGGTGAAGCGTCGACTACTTTTCTTTTTCCTCTCATTCTCATCTCTCCTCTCGCCACCTCCTGCCTCGATCCACTCGCGGGGAAAACGAGACACGCATTCGATAGTACGGCCCATCTAAGCATAGCCCGCCCTTGCTTAGCCTCTTTTCTACGAATGGCTGTGGCCCGGCCAGAAACTCTGGCAGAAGGATGTGCCTGAGGTGAGACGATGCTGCACATTCATTAGCACCCTGGCACGATCGGGGCCAGACGTGCCTTCATTGTGGGCTATGAAGGCTGCTCTCCAGCGATTCATATATCCGGCTAGACTCCTGGATCTCTCCTTGCTAGATCGGTTGTATCGGACTTGAGGATCGAAAAAAAACTGGAGAATTGCTAGCCCCACTCTCATTTCACTCACGGCCCAAGAGACCTTGCTCCATCTCAGTCCATTTCAATGGACCAACAGCACAATAGGCTGGCGCCATAGTTTCGTAAAGTATGAGTTATACCCCCCAGCTGGCATGCATTACTCGTAAGATACATACTCCTATAAACTGCTAAATTTCGTATCTTACGAGCAGATGTCTGGCCCGCTCTATCCCTGCTGATTGACAACAATGATCTCAATTGGTCATATGTGAGATACGTTAATACTAGCTAGAACTCGTTCGGACGCCGTTATTAGTAGTATGATTGAGTCAGCACCAATAAGCCTGGCCGAGAGCAGTTCCGATATGATTTGGCGCCATGTGGCTAGTCCGGCTGTCCAAGACGACGTGGACTGCATGTCTCAACTCTTTAGCCATAGCTTTTTGCTGCTAGCAGGCTAGATAGGCCTTGGCCGGTCACTGCCTGTTGGACTGTCTTGCCAGCTAGACACCTGCCCGCCGAGTCACCGCCCTATCATCATTCCTTGCATGTCCGCCCAGGCTGCCATGACGAGGTCTTTGCTCGCCTATCTCTCCCCTTCGCCCTTCGGGGAGAGACCCTTCGGGTGGTATCTGTTTAGTTTTTGGAACTATTTAGCAGATCGTCCCTTCTGACACCCCGTCTCATTACCTGTGGCCAGACCTCTCTGCAATGATTGCGGCGACGTCAACGAGAAGCTTCAACACATCTTGGAATATCCATCAGACCGGGCGGTATCCTAGGTCCTGCTCCTTGCGCAACCATGGTAGCCGGCCGTGTTTCCCACGCCTGCCAGGCTTGCGCAAAGGCTCGCGTCAAGTGTGAGGAGACGAAGCCTTGTTCGCGGTGTCGAACTCGTAGCCTCGTCTGCCAGCCTCCCGCACCGGTATTTTCAAGACAGCATCCGCCTCCTCATGTTTTGCCGTATTCGCCTGCGTATGCGGGACTACAACCATCGTCCATGGATGCTGGCAACATGCCGGCCATTTTCAGACGTTGCAGACCCAGGCAAGTGCATTGTAAGAAGAGTCCTCTTGCTTCCAGAGCGAGGCAAATCTTCTGGCACAGTAAGACATAAGTGGTTGCCTATCAAAGAATTTATTCGGCACAGTTTGCGATTTTTGATGCCAACTCAGCTGGCGTAGCCAGCCAGACGCTGATGGCCTTTACCTCGTCTGCTTATGATGCTCATGTGGCAGCTCTGGATCATGCCAGCATAACGTCCACCCCTACTACCGCCAACACTTCCTCTGACAACCACGGTGGCCATGGGGTGACGCCCTCAACGGGGTACTATCACGCACAGAACGCTTTGGCTACTGGCCAAGGCCATGCAACCGCACCTAGATTCAGTACTCAGCCGGATCTTACCAGCTCTCAGGGGCCAGTTGGCGTTGCTGCCGTCTGGTTCGTCTCCGGAGGGATACACGACTTGTGTGGAGGGTGTAGAACCCAGGAATCTAGACTTCAATAAGTGTTCTGGTGTTTTGCCAGGAGCTGACCACTATCCAACCCACAACGATTGGCAGACAGTTTCCCCGACAAGCCTTCATCGAGGGGGTTCCCAGGACGTTACAAGTGAAGTTTTGGGAGGTTTTTTCACAACTCCAATGGCCAAGTCAGTACCATTAAGGGCCAGCCAACAGGTTTGCCCCACCTTAATCGGCAGCAGCGAAGTGACTGTCGAAGCTAGCCATATTTTCAAGGAAAGGCTGACGCCCGCTTTGCGGGATCGCATGTTTGCTGTCATTCTGCAAACCAACCCGACGGGCTCTTCCGAGACGATGCGAGTAGCCTCTTTTTTTCCACCTGTGGACGTGCTTGGCAGCCTGATCCACGTATTTCTAGTTTCCCACACCCGCCAGGCGTATCAATGGATCGACCTGGGCGCCAACTTCAGGCTTAGCACGCAACATCCCAAAATGGCTACTCAGTGCTGCTGTTGCGGGGGCCGCGTTTGTGGCCGACAGCAGTGTGCAGCAGTTCCGGCAGGTGTATGAGGAGTCCATTCGAGTGCCTGTGTCTGCTATTTCAGCACAAGTAAGCCTGAGCTATAATAAAATGGCACGGCAATGCCAACCTTCTGCCTTGCCAGAACGAAGGCGGGCTTTAGAGCTAATGGAATGGACTAGAAATCCGTCGACTCCGACGTGGAACTCATGTTGTTGCAGGCCACGGTGCTGTTCCAAGACATTGGCCTTTGGAGTAGCGAGTATGCGGTGATGGAGATCACACGAGGGTCGTAAGTGGCGCTGGGACCGGATCATGACCGGCCCTGATTGATGCTGACTATGTTTTTATCAGACTTGAACATCCCTATCGCTGTAAGACTTGACGACTGAACAACTGGTTGGCTGCCTGACGCATGAGAAAGGCGTGCTGACACCATGCAACAGGCGATTCGGTCACGAGGCTTATTTCAGCACTCTGTGTATCCTATGATTGCAATACACTTCTCGGAGAGTGAAGTTGAGCTGGAGCGGAAGTGGATCCAGTGGGTGGAACAAGAATCGTGGAAGAGGTGGGCATTATTTTATTCTTCCAATATTCCGTATAGCACAAACTGACGCACAAGTCATCATTAGGCTTGTATTTCATTGTTACCTTAGAGATGCGCAAGTGTCCATCGCATGGCAAATCCCGCCCCAGATCTCCATTGTCGAGCTGGCTTTGCCGCTTCCGGAGTCTCGGTCTGTCTGGCAGGCTCGGCATACCCACGAATGGACAAGCAGATATATGGAAGGGACTGCTACCAGACATGGAAACTCACGGGGACAGCTTCCAAGCCTGTCTGACCTCTTCCGAGATGTCGGTCTGCTGGCGACTTTTCGGGAAATGCTGGATGTTCCGTTTGCAACTAGTATCTACCTGCACGGGTTCTGGTCCATAATTTGGCAGCTCCAACAGCTCAACGCGGTTCGCCAGCCCGGGGGCGGTCTCGGCGATCTAGACAAGACATATGGTGGCATGTACATATTTCCGACACAACCAGAGAATCGGACAAGTTACCTGCCGCCTTATATGTCGACCTCGTCGCGGGAACCGCTTTGTTGCTCCGGTCGGCCTGGCACTACTGTCATCAGTGGTAGCAGCCCTGGATCATTCCCGTCGCTTCTCAAGTCTCGACGGCAAGAGCTGGTCGAGCAGCTGCAGCAACTCCGGGTGGTATTGCATGGGTGGGACGAGATATGGGCGCAGGAGGAGCTGATGCTGAACCTGCTACAGCTCCACCTGCACATATCGTTGTATGACCTCGAGCTATTTTCTGAGAGAGAGCACAAGGCTGCTAACGGCGACGGGTGCGGTGCTGAAAGCGCGCCGGGTTATGCAGTGGTAGGCGACCCACGAGAAAGAATCCGCGTCAGCAGCCGCAGTCGATTTGCCGGCATCGATCAGAGGCTGCAGGAATGGAGCAGCGGTGTTAACGGGCGCCAAGCAGCCTGGCACGCCGGCCAGATCCTCTCGCGAGTTCGTCAGGGCATCCCGGCAGATCACGAGTGTACATTTTACGCAGTCGCATTGCAGCAGGCGGCCCTAGTGATGTGGGCATGGGGCACATCACAACAGGCTGCAGTCTCGGGCGCAAGCCGGACAGGACCCAGTTGCAACACCGACGAGCCGCATTGTATGTATGTCTTTGTTGACGGTGTTGAATTTCTTGCTTTTCAGCAATTCCTTCAGCTCGGACAGGGCGAAGCCCGTTGAATAAGGAACGCAACAGCGGGTTGTGCATCTTCTTCTGGGCTGGCGGACCGGGGCGCCCGTCAGGCTGAATGAGCCTCGGGCGTGCATGGATGTCGTCCTATCTGTGCTGCGGGCCACCTATGGGGGCCGGCCAAGAAATCGACAGGGCTGCGAACATGCCATCATTGGTGAAGACTCTGTACCGTCGCATCGAACAGCTCGGCGCAGCTGCCTCGGTTGCTGGGTTAGGCATGGTGTAAACGAAACGAAGAGCCTACATTATGATGCTATCTCTGCGATTGTATGCTGCGTCTTTATTGAATGAGATAAAACTGAAACGCTGAAAATACCGTCCTTTTAACGAGAGAAATGTGAGATGTGAATGGCACTCTGTAGGTGAGGGAAAGATGAGTGACAAAAGTACGGCAACAAGGAAGGAGCTCGGCTGCATGGGCTATGCGCAACTGCAGGAGCTGGCTTACTTGGGTGCTGGTCAGACTAGACCGTTTCCCGCCACGTTTGTCGCAGGCTGACGCCTGATAGCCGGTCCGTCTCACAAAAAATGCATCTAAAAGCGAACAAGGCAGCAACGTCCACCCCACCCTCTCAGTATCATTTCTAACTCTCTCATTCTGAAGCAATACACCATCGCGTAGAGGAACAAAGGAACCCAGGCGAAGCAAGAGCTTCATTATTGTTTGGTTTCTTGCCGTGCTATCTTTGTTCCCTTACCTCCGTATCTTACCCCTTGCTCCTTCCTTCTCTCACCTCTATCTATTATTCATCTTTCACGCTGCAACTTTCTACAAACTTCACAAGTCTTTCTTGCGTTTTTTTTTTCCTCGCCCACCATCCCCGCCCCGTCGCGAAACACACTCGACTTGCCGAGTACTTCTGTCTCCCCTCTTCTCTTATCGCGCTTTATCCCACCTGGGCTAAATGGCCCCCTCTACCGGTATCACCATCGCCGCCACGGCCGTGACTACAGCTACTCTTCTGGCCTTCCTGCGATGGGTCCTCTACCCGCATCATGAAAAGTCGATTGCCAGTCCACTGCGCAGTGTTCTGCCCAAACTAGCGTCCAATCAGGCGATCCATCTGGGACTACACGCCGGACGCCTTCCCAGGGGCTCGGGATGTCAATACACCAGTACGTTCTAGAATACCAGCCATAGGCGTTTCTTGAAAGCGATCCTTGCAAAGCCTCTTACATTTGCGTCAGTACGGATCCATACGCGTCTACGAGTTCGGCCCTAAAACCGGCCGCAAGGTTCTGCTCGTCCACGGTATTTCCACCACGTGCCAGACCCTTGGCCCCATTGCCCACGGCCTTGTAAGACATGCCGGCTGTCGCGTCTTGCTCTTCGATCTTTTTGGCCGCGGCTTCTCTGACGGCGTCGGCGACCTCCCTCACGATGCCCGCCTCTACACGACCCAGATGCTGCTCGCCCTCGCCTCCTCTCCACTGTCGTGGTCCGGCTACGGCGCCTTCGATCTGCTCGGTTACTCCATGGGGGGTGGCGTGGCCGTCCCCTTCGCTGCTGCATTTCCACATATGCTTCCCTCTACCATCCTACTTGCCCCTGCAGGACCCATCCGCCCTGAACGTTTTGGCGTTGCCGCCCGGTTTGTCTTCACCTCGGGGATCGTGCCGGAGCGTCTATTGGCCGCCATCACGCGGCGGCGTCTGCGACAGCCTATTGCGAGTGCTACCAAGGACAGGTCGAAGTCAGGCAAGGCACAACCAAAAAAGACACCACCCAAGGTTATTGGCGAGGTGGAGCTTGCCGTCGCTGCCGTTCAGGCTGTCGAGCGCGCTGTGGAGAGCGCAGTGCAGGAGGCCGTTGACCAGACCGTCGTCCCCATCGATGATGCTGTGGCAGAAGTGGCAGACGCACAAGCTGCCGAGGCAGAAGAACGGCCACCCGAGACAGGAGGCACCGTGCTCAGCACTCAAGTGATGCGCTATGTGCGTTGGATGCTGATGCATCACGACGGATTCGTACCAGCTTTCATGAGCTGCGTGCGCGATGCGCCACTGATGGGGCAGCAGGCAGCATGGCAGACGCTGGCGGCCGCTGTTCAGCAAAAAGGCGATGACAGGCTCCCGCTCTGCGTAGTGCTTGGGCACCACGACAAGGTGGTCAGCGCCCTTGACTACGAGGAAGATGTATTGCCAATGCTAGGCGGACGTAGCGCCGTGACATGGGTCATAGTACCGGGGGGGCACGAGTTCCCTATGACCTACTCCCGATCGGTGCTGCGGGCGATATACAGATTCTGGGGTGGGATGGACGAGGCCTTGGCAAAGCTGCACGAGGACGAAGAGACAGAGGTGGCGGAAACAAAGACTAAGGTTGTGTCGTCTACGTATAACGGGAAGAAATGCGGCGCAGCGATGGTTGAGGCGAGATGATTCGCCATATACGGATTACTGGTCTGTCAGCTTTCACTGTGTTCTCGCCATGTTTTTGTTTTGTTTTCATTTTTACTTATGCCCACGCGGAGCGAGTCTTTCACAATTGAGTACAAGATGGTTGTCTTTCTTTGAAGCGTTTTGCGGGTGGGCGGATGTATAGGCTTGCGTGCTTATGTGTTTAAATTTGAGAGCGAAGTTGTGTTGCTGGATCGGTCTAGAACCTACTATGTAGATATGGTAGAGTGGAGGCTGCACTGAAAGACAATGTAGAAGATGCAAGGCATATACTAAAGCATCAACAACGTAAGGACGGCAGATGCTGCATCTATGAGCTCAGCAGAGACGTGCATAAGGCTACCGTCTCAATATGGCCGATGGAGAGGGTCAACTCCTGTGCCACTGGCAGCAACAGCGGCCACCGGGCTATTCTCTGCCAAGATGTGGAACTTGTATATGCTATATGAGTTTTTGACAGCGTCTAGTTATAAGCTGCCCTGTTGCCTGACAGATATTGACAATTTACAGACAGACACATGTTCTGAAATCACTTCTCAGATCGCGAGCATCCAGGCACCAGTGCTAGTCGTTTTCACAAAACAAGCAGCCCCGGGGTACGGAGTATAAAGAGCAGAATACATCACTTGCAAGATGTAGAGCACGCACATTCAAACCATTTGCTCCGTACTCTGTACGGACACGGGCTAATACCTGACTTCGTACTCCGTACTCCGTACTATTGTGGCTTTATCCTCTTGGTAAAAGTGGGGACGGTGATATTAGATAAGGGGCGCGGTTGAGATGGCGATGAACACGAGGGCAACGGAAATTCTGAAGAGCACTCAAGCTTGTGCGAGAGCTTGAAGCAAACCCGAGTTAGAATCTTACATTGTATGTAGTGCGGAGATTGTAGCGAGGAGCAATATAATGATGTACCGAGGACTTTCTTTAGGACGTACTGCCCGTGTGTGCTTATATTGCCGAATTTTGTTGATTACACTGTGAAAAGGCGCTTGCATTATTCGGCACTTTGGCGGTATTTTACTGCACCCTATCATCACTAATCTTTGCATGTTGACGTCGTATCGTTTCTTTGTGTTCTTAGATACTTCGTACCCCGTACGGAGTAGATGATTTTCTGCCTTGTCCAAGCCACCGGTGCTTCCGCAATTTCCGTTACCATTGGCCATGGAGTCGGCAATCTTGGCAAAGCAGCCTACGGAGTACGGAGTAGGGAAATGTGTGCGACGGTATGGAGTACGGCGCGTACTCCGTACAGAAAATAGATGTTGCGTGTTTTATGGTCACGAACAGGTCTGTTCTTGCTATTGTTATCCATCCCCTTACTTACGAAGTATGTACCCCTTTTCCCATATTAGCGCCCTATCAGGCATCCCCGTATAACAAAGTTTAATTTCGGGTTTGCTTCCCCAAGCCTACTCCGTACGGGTAGGCAGCCGTATTTTGCAAGCAAGACAAATCATGGCAGATCCGGTTCCAGTTCTCTTGTCCGCCGATCTTGGGACGGAAGGGTTGCGGTTTAACCAAGATATGGATTACCGACCAGTATCTTAGAAGTAGCTTGCGTTGTATAATATATATGGGCTAGACACGGGGGTACCTGCTAATGAATTATTTCGTAAATACTTGAGATACTACTACTCCGTATGTATTCCGTACTCTGTAGCCACAAGCTTCTAACTACTGCACCAATTTTATGGCTAGACTGAACAAGTAAGCGGATGTTTCTCGTCCCAAGCAAAGACCGTGAGAGACCCCAAAAATCTACTATGTATCTTACATTGATACTCCGTACATAGGGTGGCTGATGGATGAGAAAGTACGGAATCGAAATGTTTAGTGTATGCATATTGTTGAAATCGGTTTAGTGCAATTGGGCTGCGCATTTCAATTTCCCAGTCCCAGCAAAAACTTTCAACTCTCTGAACAAGGAGCCCCAAATCTGTACTTGCTCAACGTCCACGCCGAATTCCTTGACAGACCGGTACATGATTATAAAGCGACGTGTTTTACGCGTCCGGCGCGTGAAAATTATGCATGTGTGAAAAAAACCCCAAAACTTTCGGTGGCGGCATCAGCAGGGGGGGGCATGGACCGGCCCTAGTATTAGGATACATACCTGCTTTGTAATGCTCGAGACGGACAAGCTACCATGTAGATGTGCTTAGAGGATTTAGGGTATCCGAGCGGCATGTAGCCCTTCAACAAAGCAACGTGCGCAGTCACAGCGTTTCAAAACTTGACGTGACGCTACATATGCGAAGTACTCTTGAGCTGCAGCCGAGTAGTACGGAGTACATGGTAGCCCCCTTGCAAACTTGATGCGGTATACGTTGTACGGACCACGAGGTGGCTGACAGATGCCAGGTCATTCCCCAGGGTGCTCAAACCATCGCCATATTACATCTGGGGTTGGCCTGCCTTCCTTGACAGTCTAGAACTTATCTTACCAACCGAGGCTAGCTATGAGCGGGCCATCGGCGGTCATGTTCGTTGAAACACTGAGAGGCTGCTCCGTTACTTTTATCTCTTGGGTATAGCCCTCAGACGCGACGAGCATTGGTACATAAATAGTAGCACGGAGTGTCCGACAAGCCAGAAACGACCCTCTGACAGTGAGTACGACATTGTCACGATGCAAGACACGATGTACATACGACGTAAGATAGTAAGGACAACTCATATCCCACTCACAAAATACTGACAGGCCCGTTCGTGTCCGTGCACAGGCCCCTAAAACGGCAAATGCGCAGCACACGTGCAGTGATTACGACGTAAGATAGCACAAAAAAAGAGAACGGTGGAACCGTGCGCATGACTTGCCGGGTTTGCTCCTTTCAGCAAATCGCACTCTCGCCTGTACATACTGCATAGTATACGACGTATAGTACTCCGTACCAGCCTCGCCACCGAGATTCGAGTGAGACCTGCCGTGATGCTTGCACCAGACAGCTCATCTGGCAGCTCAGAGACAAGCTGCGACAGAGACGCGGCGCAGTTGGCTATCCTAGTTCTTACCAAGGATGTTGTCAAGCCATCTGGCGGAGTACTTGAAAGATACAAGTATATGTACGGAGTGTATTTGCTCGGAGTACTCTGTGAGATACGAGCACTGGTGGCAATTCGACCCGGCTTCGTTTCCCGCTCGCCCCGGAAAACCAAGTACTTGTAATTATACTCATAACAGGCGTGCGAGCAATAGAAAATGCACAGTACGCGTACCTTACAGGCGACGGCACCGAGCGCATGCACTACACTAAGCCTAGACAGGGTCAGATCCAACGGCAGTGTGGTGCGTGTGGAGACTTTCCTGCCCCTGTCCCAAAGACATCACCCCTGCCTCATGCTTTTGTCGCCCTCTCCACAATTCCTATCGCCGCTTCCAATCGAGGTAGAACTTTTATACTCTTACTTTTCCTGCCCTTTTTAAACTGCCCTTTCCTCCTCCTTCTCCCCTTTTACGTTTCTTTTATTGTCCCCTTCCCCCCACCAGCCGCATCTTTTGGCTTCAGCTTGCTACTTGGTTTTCGAACCGTCAGGTACGCCTACCCATCACAACTGTCCTGACAGCACAACGACACGGCACGGGACGCCTCGTCTATATCCACCGTTTTTTCCGACCTGTCCGTTCATTCAGTGCATCCGAGCGAATTTCATTCTCCTCCACCGAGCACCCGGTCTACAGTCTTTAATAAACACCACTCTATTCTGTGGTGATTTGTGTATTATTCTCTGGTATAACATTTATCTCGAACCAATATTTTATTAATACTCCGTGCCAACTACAACACTGGCCACAGCCTTGCATTTCTGTACTGTCGATCACAAAACATACCGTCCTCCGGTTTGTCATATTTCGCTTTTAATAACACCGGCTCCCCAGCATTTTTTACAACTTTATCTTCGATAACGTCATTAGATAACACCAATCCCGAGTGTGTGTATTCAAAACCGACACCCGTATCAGCCAAGCGCTTCAGGCGTCCCAGTCTTCACAATGCCGGGCCTCATTCCTTTGATGTTGAATCCCGTCGCAGCAGGCAGTCGACCAAGTGTGATATTTCCACCAACAGATAAATGCCATGCTCGTGGGCAAAGTGCTAGCTATCTGCCCATGTCTGTCCGCACACCTCGGTCTCCATCATCCGTGTCGCACAACGTGTCTAGACGAGCCTCTATGCCACTACCACAGCAGACAAAACCGTCTATGCGCACGTTGTCCCCCCCACCCCCGTTTTTTCTTGATCTTCCATACACAGTGGACGATTGGAGACGCACGATTGCCGACATCAAGAGGCAACATCTGAATCGCAAATACCAGGCTTGCTTCACGCGATGTCTTGAGATCCTGAGCAACATCGACGCTACTGTAAGCCGATACGCTCTACCCCTTCTTTTTTTCAGACGCTAACAATGGTGCAGCGCGACGTTGAGCCCGCATATCTCATTTCTCTGCATTTTTATGCTGCAACGTCAATGGAGATGTGCACTCGGCTATGGCTTGGACCCAGCACACACCGTGATAGCCTTATCGAGCAGGCCCGCAATCACTACGACCAAGCGGCCAGGCTCATCTGCCATGCCGAAGAGTCGGTGCTTTCCAGAAGCAGACCAAACTCTGCTATGTCTTCGGTGTCAAGCCTGCATTCCCCGTCAGGATCGATTGGCTCTTCCCGAGCTTGGACGCCCGAGACCGCCTTTTCGTCTCCGACAGCCTCAGTCTGCTCATCGGAAGACCTGATAGCTCGATCACAGCAGTCCCTGCTTATACCTGACTCACCACCCCCACGCCCGGCGAGGAAGAAGGTCTCCTTCGAATTGCCTCAAGAAACTACTACCGCCCCAAAGGGATTTTTTGTTCGACCTGATTCGCCAACGCTTGGTTTTGATGACGAATATTTCACATCCGCCCTCGGGCGCTCGACGCTACCCGAAGTCCCCAACCGCCCACAGACCCCCGAATGCGCCCAGCCAGATTCAGATGCGGAGCTGACTCCGCGAGCACTGAAAGAACAAGCTTACATATTCGACTCAGACCGAGATCATATCCGAGACTCGTTCCTCATGCACAGCTCAGAGCACCGCTACTGCTTGCATCTGGCAGAAATTAAAAAACGCAGGTTTCCTTGCATAAAGCAAGCCTCGATGCAATCTTTGAAAGGCGCCTTTCCGAAAACGTCGAACTTCTGACCAGGGCCGCCACACCTGTCACTGACAATTTGCGCGACCTGGACAGAAAGGCTCGTATTGCGCGCTTGCGCAGGAATGGCTGGCAGCGCAAACGTTTTGATCCCAGCCGCTACGAGGCACTTCGTATGAGTGCACTCGCCGAGCTGGACTAATATCTCTTGAATACCAACACCTGCACTTTTATTCGACTGCAGATACAAGACCCCTTTGTACACCACTTCTCGTCCAGCATTCCTCAGACAGGTTCGCTCTACAATCTTGGCCGCTAAACGATGGGGCCCTTTTTTTCAATTTTCTTAGATGCTCACGAAGTTTTTACGATAAACCCATGTATTGTTATGTCACTGTATTCTCGCCTTTTTTTCCTGCTGTACTTCAATTTGCAATGTGCAGCCTACAGGCGGATCTGTATAGAGCTAGCACGGTCAAGGCATCATAAGCCATGTACGAATACAATACGCTTGATGGTTAGATAGTTTATTGGAAAAGTTTAAGTGCGCATGTATCTTGCTTCCCGAAGAATTGTGACCGTTATAAGTTCGAATTGAAATTGGAGAACCGTGTCAATCGCACGTTCCCTGCCTCTAGCGAGATGCTTCGGGGCCACAAAGGGAGCCCTGATCGAGAGCATTTATCGTGGGGTAATTGTACATTTATTAGCCTACAGAAGTAAAGTGCCAAACGTTCCGATGATAGTTGAGACGTCTTACAAATAAAGAGCGTACTGACTCGTGAATGTTATTTTGACACAGTTGCAATGCGATTACTCTCACTCGTAAGATACGAAAATAGAAGTGGCACATAAACAACGACCAAATCAGTGGTGTAAGACCCCAGCGAAGTCGGCTAGTCCACTTCCAATGACTGGGCATATCAAGCCATCTAACTACAATACGAAACTATCTACACAGAAGATGAGGCTTCCCGAGACACTATCCTTTTCAAGCAAATCCCTCTTCTTTAACTTCCTTGTCACTGGTTCTTTAGCCCGACTAGTACACGGAAATGAGAAAACCCCTTCCCAGTTGAGAGAGAACCTTTCCAAGTAGTACGATACTCGAAGCAAATGGGTCCTACTCCTTTGCTGCTGACTCTTGCTTGCCGACTTCCTTGCGCACCTCCTCTTGTTGCTTCATCTCGCGCACCTTGGCCAAGACGACCTCCCGGAATATGGCTCCTTTTACCGCATTGGTCAGTCTTTGCTTCCCCGTGATGTTACCACTGCCGCTGTCACTCGACGGCGTCCCTTCCGATTGCGCCAGTACAGGCTGAGCTATCTCCGGAGGGGCACTAGTTGGCATGTCCGAGTTTTCTGGGTCCTCCTCTTGCATTTTGAGAGCTTCTATGCGATTGGTCAACTTGACTAACTCGATACCGCGGCGCAAACGAGCCTTTGCCATGAACGCCTTGATCTCGGGCAGCAAGTTGTGGTCGGTGGCGTTCTCGCCGCTCAGCCACTTGTGCTTCATGGCTTCCTAAAAGACAGATTAGTGAAACTGAGGTCAACTACATACTAGGAGCGAATGTGGACAGGCTGCTTACTTCACTGGTCCACCGATCTTCCGGCTTCGGCTGCAGCAACCCCATGATAAAATCTTTGGCATCGTCGCTGACATCTTTCCAGTAGCGGTCATGGAATACGACACGAGCAGCCGTGCACTCCTCAATCAGATCCTGTAGGTTCTCTGAGCGAAAGGGCGAGTATCCGCACAGCAGAGTGTATGTGATAACGCCCATCGACCACATATCCACGGGTTTGCCATGTCCTTTCTTTAACATTACCTCAGGTGCCGCATAGCCAAAGGATCCAGCCATGGTGGTGAGCACCTCGTCTTTACTGTCGAGCATCTTGGCAATACCGAAGTCGGCCAGGACAAGGTCAGAGTCAGCCTCCTTCGTGAGATACAACAAGTTCTCAGGTTTTAAGTCTTAATAATGCAGGTCAGTAAGGTCTATGCTTATCCAAAGCCTGAAGTGGACCATTGTATTGCTCACCTCGGTGGACAACGTTGTTGTTGTGTAGGTAATCGACGGCGGTCAAAACCTGCTTGATGGTCTGCGAGGCATCCTTCTCGGTGAACCTTCCCTGCTCGCAAATGCGGTCGAACAACTCGCCACCTGTTGCCAGTTCCGTCACAATGTAATATTTGTCCTGTCGAGGTGAGCGCAAAGCATCAGCAAATGGAGAGGACAAAAGGAGGAGAGGTGGCTCGAGAGATGCCTACCCTTGACTCGAACCAGTCAACGAAACGGACGATGTGGTCGTGTTGGAGGGTTTGAAGCAATTCAAGTTCATCATAGACCATCTGTTCATTGCCCTTCACATTTTTTTTGAGAATGACCTTGATAGCCACCTTCCCTGTCGGACCATCTGCTTCGCGGACGATGCCATATGTACCGGCGCCGAGCATACGACCAAAATGGTACTTGGATCTGCAATTGAAGACAGGCGGTCAGTGCCGGGCGCTCGAGAAGAAACCGTTTTGTAAGGTTATAGTAGGAGTGGCTGAGCCATACTTCTTGTCGTAGCTCTCTGGCTGGCCATGCAAGCGATTGAGCATACCCGTGACTAGATGGAAAGAACTGCATCAGCGTTTGCTAGGCAAGACAAAAGCAACTGTCCTGCGCTTTGGGACGGAGGTGCAAACAGCAACATCTCTAGGTGCACCAGGCGTGCAAATGGAGGTGGATTGTTTCGAGTGAGCAGCAAGGTAGGGGAGAGTAGGCGTGCTTACGACTCATTCTTGCAGATGGAATAGGCACTGATTGAGGAGAGAGAAAAAGAAGCGCAACCGAATCTGTCTTGGGCGATGGAGAGAAATGCGCGCTAGATGCCGGGGAGCGGAGCAGATAAATGGGATGGCAGATACGCAACACGACCCGGGGTAGGATAACTGCAGTCAGAGGGGTCTTGTGAGAGAGGCCTTAATTGAGACGAAAGAGACGTCAGAAGGGCTGACGATAGCGATATTTCTCGAGTTGGGCTTTATGTGAGCGGATGGGCCAGAGATGTTGGGTATTTTCTGCCTTGGCTGTCGCGATAGGGTGGAAAGTGCCTGGCGTGTGAAATGCGAATGGTCAAAACCAAGAAGAAAGTAGGGCAGGAACAACAAGCGAAGCCCAAGAAGAAATTCAAAGACTTCGGGCTAAAGCGAGCCAAGCAAACGTCCTGCAAAGATGAGGGCTGTACTTCGCAAAGGGGAAGGAGCTTCAGCTCACCCCCTCCCTTCTCTAGGAGGAGGGGCTGCTCTTGCAAACAGTACGACGTAGGAGATGCCCCGCTTCTGCTGCCAGGCATTTTACCCCCACTCGTTACGACAGCCAACCTTGCACTGGGGCTGATCTCAGTGCACAGCCTCAACACACCGCGTAAAATGTAATAACTGAGGTGGGTGTATGAAAAAAAGGGGAGAAGGCTGTGATGTACGGAGTATTGGGAGAACTATACTTCGTACGGAGTACTCCATTAGGTGGCCAAAGGCCGGCGGCAACTTGGGCCGTCCGTGGAACCCGAAGTGTGTCAGAGGCTTCTATCTTTCCCCGTCGAGTTGGGCGACAAGGCGAAATTGGCTGCCTCTTACATACTACGACCGAATACGAGTGCCGCATCCTGAGGCTGTTGAAAAAAAAAAGCGCATGTGCCAGTAAGCTTGTGCTGCCGACCCCGACCAATGCATCCAAATCCAAACCATATCGTCATCGCTATGTACCCAGCGGTAAAACGTCGTAGATGTTCGTTGCCTTGCGAGGCGCGCTAACTACTCGTATAATACGGAGTAGTACACGCTTGCTAGTTTTGGTCGCTGTCTTATCTTACATAATACAACCTGATCGTTTCCAACGGATTGACCCCCCTCGCCGTCGTTACCCACGCTTCCGACGCGACAGAAGACATCACCTAGCAATGCTTTCCATCCCTGTCAGTCATTTGCATTGCACTCCGTATCCTACCGCATCTCGCCGCCGCCGCCGCCTACTGCCCCTCTCCTACTTTATCTCCTCGATATCCCTGCCCCTCTTCTGCTATCCAGTCCCTAAACAGCCCAGCAGTCCACAACCAGGGGATCCACCAGCTTCTTCCTTTACATCACCAAGTAGCTCTGTCAACGTGATCGGTGCTTCTCAATATCTATTCGGGATTCAACAACGACCTCTCGGCCTCTTTTTCCCATTTTTTCCCACATTGCCAGACGACACTTTATCGAGTCGCCGATTCAGTTTCCCTGCTGCCACGCACCTTGACCTGCTCTCGTCTCTGCCCCTCTGTGAAACGTCGCAGCCCAGCAGACAACGGAGGCTGAGATAATAAGCTGGTAAAGCCCATGCACATATGTGTATGCGCAAGGTAACAGACAAGCATGAGCTTTGCAGCAAAGCGGTTGCAGAAGGAGTTGGCCAAGGTGAGATCTCATGCGTCCTTTCCCACCCCACACACTGTCGACGACAATCGCCAACACAAAGTGCCTTGGCCCTCTTCCCGTCAGATTCATAGTAGTGGCCTCCCTCCTGGCATCAGCCTAGTGACTGCAGATAATCTGGAAGAATGGACCGTCGATGTTCAGGTTCTCGACCAGAATCCCCTCTACCTAGACCAAACCTATCGTCTTTTATTCAAGTTCAATAAATCTTATCCGATCGGTTAGTTTCTGTCAGATCCCCCCCCCTCCAAAATCCCCCTTTCTCTTCACCGGCTGAACTTGCAGAACCACCCGAAGTTGTATTCGTCCACTTGCCTGATCGGCCGATTCCCATCCACCCACACATCTACTCTAACGGCATCATCTGTCTGGATTTGCTCGGCTCGGCTGGCTGGAGTCCCGTTCAGAATGTTGAGAGTGTATGCATGAGCCTGCAGAGCATGTTAACCGGAAACTCCAAGAACGAGCGACCGCCCGGGGATGCTGAATTCGTCCGGACCAACCGGCTACGGCCAAAGGACATTGAATTTTACTACCACGATAACAAGGTGTAGTCAGCCCTCTCACACACAACCATACATATGTATATACACGAATGCTTCTCGCAACTGGGGGCATGGAGTGTATACGAACCTCTGAAGATATACAGCTTTGTGTTGCGTATGCATCTGAAACGGCCGTGTTCATCTAGAGTTGGGCACTAAATATATCTATGCGCAAATTGGGCTGAAGGATGGCCTAAAGTATGAGCTTGACACGCCACCTTATATGCCGTCGGGTAGTTGGATGGACGCCTTCCTGTACTGCTAGATGCTGGGCATTGTATGCATTCTGTGCGGGCCTCTATGTCCTCCAATCCTAGGAATCCCCTTTCGTTTTATAGCTCGGGCAAGCTTCGAAGGTTTTGAAGACTACGCGGATTCATACGAGAAGTTCATTGGGTTTCCTCTCCTGGAAAGAGGCCGGAAATTTTACAAGTCAAAAGAGAGTCACATATCTTAGGTGGTGTCTTCAAGTAGTAACTTGGACTAAGAGTCCTGCATGTCATGTACGAAGTACTCCGTACTCCGTACTGTAGAACAGTTAACAGTAAATATGGGTCCACTGCGCCCAAATAGGCGGGGCAGTTTTAATCGTCTGTCGTTGCTCAGAGCTCTTAGCCTAGGATTTGCGCAGAGTCCACGACATCTGAATATTTCTAGCTTTATCTCTTCCACCTACCTCACAGTCACACCGACATCCTCCCTCTCCCCCCTCCTCCCTCGACACCGGCCCCCCTTAACGGAATTATTGGCCGGTTTAAGCGCACTAGGATACCCAATGGCCCCTCCTGTTGCGTTCGACACTATCCAGGTCAAAGACAAGGCACGACGTGACTTGCTGCATCTTCTCGAGGGCGTGAGTTGGATGGCCACCTCTTGCTCTCACTCTTTCGACTTCTGACATAACCAGGTCCGCGGCAAGAAAAACCTGGTTCTTGAACAGACCCTTGCTGGACCTATCGGCACAATCGTCAAGGTCTCCACGCTGCAGGATTACGGAGTCGACAAGTTTTTCTTTCTCGAGAACGGTAATACCGATACTAGCCAGCATAATGTCGTCTTCTTGGCTCGCGGCGAATGCGGCCGTCATGCTCAGGCGATAGCAGGTGACTATCCCTCTCTTTGCGCCTACTACTCTATGCATGTTAGCGGTGAAAGTGATCAGAGGGGGCTGACGGTGTTGCTTCTAGACCAGATCCGCCGACTACAACGTGAGAGCCAGACGGGACACGACTTTCACATTATCTGGGTGCCACGTCGCACACTCATATCGGACAACATCCTGGAAGAAGCTGGAGTGCTCGGCGACGCAAACATATCCGAGCTACCTCTCTACTTTTTCCCCCTCGAACACGACGTGCTGTCTCTGGAGCTGGACGATGCATTCCAGGACCTCTATCTCCACAAAGACCCGACACCGGCATTCCTCCTAGCCAGAGCGCTTATGGGTATCCAGCAACGCCATGGTCTTTTTCCACGCATCATTGGCAAGGGCGATAATGCGAAGCGTGTCGCAGAACTCCTCGAGCGTATGCGCCAGGAGCTGCTTGCGGGCGAGGATGCGAGCGAAGCCTCCAAGCTCGGCCTCACACCTAGCTCCACATCCGAGAGCGTCATCATCATCGATCGGGAAGTCGATCTTGTAACCCCACTGCTCACCCAGCTAACCTACGAGGGGCTTATTGATGAACTGTTTGGAATCCAAAACAGTCAAACCGACGTCGATCCCACCATTGTCGGAGCCGCCGCCCCAAACACTGCCGCTTCCTCAGCTACCGGCGGTACAAGTGGGGCTACATCGTCGGCGGCTGGCCGGATACGCAAGGTTCCGCTGGATTCTTCAGACAAGCTCTGCGAGGAGCTACGGGACGCCAATTTTGCCATTGTCGGCAACCTGCTCAATAAGACTGCCCGCCGCCTGCAAAGTGATTACGAGGGTAGGCACAACACGCGGACAACGGCGGAGCTGCGCGATTTTGTTCAGAAACTACCGGGCTTTCAAGCCGAGCAGGCCAGTCTCAAAGTGCATACAGGGCTGGTTGAGGAACTCTACAAATACACACGAAGCGACGAGTTCAGCAGCTTACTCGAAGTACAACAAAACCTGGCTGCAGGTGCCGATCCCTCCGCTCAATTTGACGCCATTGAAGAGCTCATTGCCCGGGATACATCGCTGCCACATGTTCTTCGTCTCTTGTGCATATACTCAAGTATTTCTGGTGGTATAAAGCCGAAGGAGTTTGACCAATTTCGCCGGCTCATCCTCGAAGGCTACGGCTACCAACACCTTCTTACGCTGCAGAACCTGGAGCGGCTACAGATGTTCCTCCCTCGCTCATCGCCGATGGCGGGCATGATTCCGATGACCGTAGGCACAAATGTTGCTGGTACGAAGACCAATTACACTTTCGTCCGAAAGCAACTACGACTGATTGTCGACGAGGTCAACGAGCAAGATCCGAATGACATAGCATATGTTTACAGTGGCTATGCGCCCCTTTCTGTGAGATTGGTGCAGTGTCTTCTGCAGAAGCAGTACCTTTTGAACTTCACAAAGGGCAATGGATCTACGAGCGGGTCGCATGGCTGGCGGGGCTTTGATGAGGTGGTGAAGCATGTACGCGGACAGACCTTTGACGATCTTCAGAAAGGGGATGACAAGGTTTTCAAGGCAAGAGCGCTTCTGTCGGGCAGTGGAGCTAAAAAGACCGTTTTCGTTGTCTTTGTTGGTGGTATTACGTTTACAGAAATCGCAGCTTTGCGATTTATTGCGAAGCAGGAAGCCGGTACGTTCAAATATTATTCCTTCCTTCATTTGACAGACAATTGCCCTGCATTCCGGTTCCTCGTCGTTTCTATATTTATTTCCATGCATATACTGATGGGGCATTGAGCAGACCGACGAAATATTGTGATCTGTACAACCTCCATTATCAGCGGTAATAAGATGATGGCGGCGGCCACTGAGGCCGGATCGTTCGAACGACAAGCCAACCAGGCTGCAGCTGCACAATGAGACGGAGGAAATAATGAGATGACGATAATTGCAGAGTAGCAAAGCATTGAAACACCCCAGGGTGGTCTTCTTACTGGGGTACGGCGTTATATGGCAAACAGAGATTTGGCGTTTCAGGCGAAACTGGCATGTGCGGGACGTAAATTGAGACTCCATCAAGACTAGACACGATTGCGTGAGGGCGCCGAGAATCCCGCGGCCGAGCTGAGAATGACAAAAGAAAGAACAAAGCGATTGCATGTTGAGTTCTACGATGTTGAATTGAGTTGGTGCTCACGTGATACAGCTCTAGGCCCGGCGGTTAATATTGATAGATAATAATACTAAAACTGCGCTGGGAAATAAATTTTTAGAGGCGTTGGGGCAGGTGCCAGCGCCAACTCTGCGTAGGCTTAGAGAAATGGTCCGATGCGACTGCATTCTTCCGGCGCATTTTCACCTTCCGCGAGAAACAAACGTGTATAGCATCTCACTATTACAAGGACGCAACGGGAGAAAGGAACGAGAGAACGGAACATAATCTCGGTTCTGGCCGACTTGGCCGTGATATATACATATAACGGGTCAATTGCGGTTAACAGCACGGAGTTGATTGCCGGGACCGGCGATCAACGAGAGGCTTTTTGACACCGAAGAACGAAGAGACCAAGAAAGGCCGAGGCCGAGGCCGACATAACGGGCCGGACCACATCCTCGGACATTTCAGTGGCGACCATATTCGGCAACTCATCTGTATGTGTGGCATACCTCCTGCATTTGTTGCGTATGTGCTATTTACCTCCTTTTCACCGGCTCGCAATGCGCCAACTGGTGCGGGCTTTGCTTCGAGATGTTACGCCTTACATAGGGTTCACTGGCCGGCGGTCCCGGAGTAGCTGCTTTGGATATATTGCCAGCTAACCGTCATCCGTCATTTAGAGTCCGATTCTCTGTCCTGCCGGGTCTTCCTCCGGAAACCCGAGCCTACTACCACAATCTCCAAGTGACAAGAAGAAAAGCAGGAGAAGGTCGCAGAATTGAGACTGTTGGACAGCTAATTCCTGTGGCCCGACGAGGTGCTCCAATATCTGGATTCAACACAGTCGCGCACCATTTTTGCGTCTCACTCTTAGCACACCCCACTGCCTCTTCTGAGTATGGGAGCTGTCGCCTCAGCACCAGCCTTCGCCTTTCTATATGCTCTCTACGCTCCTCTCGGATGCTAGCCTAATCTTCAATAGCTCCCTTATATCATGGAAGGCTACGAGGACGACGGTCATCATGGCGGTGATGTCTCGGACGACTCAACGCTGTCCGAACTTAGCTCGCCTAGCGATATGCCAGACGACTTCAAGTATTTCGCTCTATCTCCAGAATACAACTCGATAGAAGCGGCACCTGGCGCAGTGCCAAATGCAGGATTGCAGCCAATCGGACCAATTGAGTCTCTAATTGAATCAGCAGAAACAGCAACCGGCAATTTATTCGAGACGCCAGCGTCACGCGCTTCCTCCGAAGACTCATGCCTCAGCACAGCAAACTCCATGTACAGCCTGGGGGAGGAAGAGTCGCACACTGACATGGAGGCATCGATCGAGGATTCTGTCGAGTCGTTCATCGAAGTGTATGCCGAGGAGCCACCTTCTGGTGATGACGACGAGCGTGACGAGCCCTCCGCTGAACCAGAAGAGGGGCTGCCAGATGAGGAGCTGCCAGAAGAGCACATACCAGAAGAGCAGACATTAGAAGATCATGCGGACCGACTAGCTATTGAGCCAGCGGGCACATGCCCCGACGAGGCCACGGAGCAGCCTGGTGACAAGCCTACTAAGTTGGAGCCTGAGAAGGCGAGACCACTTGGTCATGTGGTACCATCGTAAGTCTCGCCGGCCATTTACACCCGAATTCTGCTTCGTACGTCTTGTAACGCTGACCGTCCTCTTCGCAGACCGGATTCATGTCATCACACATTCCCGTCGTTACTCAGACTGCCTCCTTTGCGCGAAAGCGTACACAAGTCGCTTGCCTCGTCGGTGTCTGCCATTACCGATCGGTCGGAGCTGTATTCAATCCCGTCGCTGGCATCCAGCTCTAGTAAGGCCACAACACCAATCGACTCGGACATACCGCTCGATGTATCGAACCCGTCACCGCAGCTGTCCTCGGCACCCGCAAGTATGCAAGCTCCTTTGCCGCAATCACTAAGGAAGCTGTCTCTCTCACTTCTTCCCGACCTCCAGCCTCCCCAGTCGGCAGTGGTGCATCTGCAACATACGATTTCCTCACTGGCTTCAGTTTCTCAGCTTCCTGCTTCTCCTGTACCCACATCGCCGAAACCTTCCCTCCCAATCCGAATTGTGCACAAAGTTCGGCCCAAGTCATCCATCCCGGCAGACCTGTCCGCGCGGGAATACGCTAGACAGTGCGTGGCTGCCGCTGAATCGTCCAGACTCAATCCATATGCTTTAGACGAGGAGGAGCGGATGATACTGCGCCAGCACATCAGCCACGCACAGGTCACCACGTATCTGAACATTCGCAACGGCATCCTCCGGCTATGGGTACGGCGACCCCAGGTTGCTGTCACACGGCAGGAGGCTATAGGCTGTGCAAAGGATAATCGGTGGTTTGACGCAGCCAATGTCTGTTTCCACTGGCTTGTCCGTCGTGGCTTCATCAATTTCGGATGTGCGCAGATACGGGGAATCCAAGCCAGCGTTGCTGACAAAGTAAAAGACAACGCCGGCGGTAGCAGTAGCATGCCTTCCGGAAAGCAGCAGCGGAGAAAACGGATTATCGTAATTGGTGCCGGCTTGGCGGGTTTGGGCTGTGCACGCCAGCTGGACAGCCTCTTCAAGCAGTATACCAATAGGTTCCTCGAGCTAGGAAAGCAGCCCCCGCCGGACGTGGTTGTCCTGGAGGGACGCAGTCGAATCGGTGGCCGGGTGTACTCGCGACCATTCCAGCAGCAGCAGCAACCGCAGCAGGGCGAGGCAAAGGAGGAGGGAAACGAGTCCGGCGAGCGTCCTGTATTTCGCTGTACTGCTGAGATGGGCGGCATGATCATCACGGGGTTTGACCGTGGCAACCCACTGAACGTCCTGGTCCGGGGCCAATTGGGCCTCCCCTACCACGCACTGTGGTCAGAGACAACAATTCACGACACAGACGGCAAACCGGTCGATAGCCGGCGTGATGGATTGGCGGAAAACCTGTTCAACGAGTGTCTTGACCGTGTCAGCGAGTACAAGTTCAAGACTCCGGTTCAAGCACCGGTCGAAGGCAACCGCGATCTGATGGATGAAGGCCGCGACAGCTCCAGTTCGGCAGAGGGACACCGGATGATCGCCCAGGTGGAGGATGCACAAGCAGCAACAGCGCAGGCGGCACGGACTGTCCAAGCCGTGGCGACGACGGCAAAAATGGCGCAAGAAGCAGTGGCACTCGCAGCGACCCAGCTTGAGACTCTGGCGGCGAAACCATCGGCCCAAAAGGCGACAATCCTGCCCCAGAATGGGCTCTCTGTCCTGCCGGCTCGTGGCACGCCCGGAGTGCCAGGAGTCTTGCCGGCTGCTTACAAGGTCCAGAAGATGGGCTGGGATCTAAGGCCTGGCGTGGTTGAGTCTCGAGACCTCCATCTAGATGCAGCTGCAAAGGCACCGGGCGCCACACTGGGCTTCGTAATTGACGAGGCCATCAGACAGTATCAAGAGATGGTTGATTTTGGCGCCAAAGACTTTCGGCTGCTCAACTGGCACATTGCCAACCTGGAATACAGCACTGCTATCAATCATTCCCGTCTCAGCCTCCAGGGGTGGGACATTGATGCCGGAAATGAGTGGGAGGGAAAGCACAGCAGGGTGATTGGCGGCTACCAGAGCGTGCCCCGTGGGCTGATGCTGTGTCCCACGCCTCTGAATCTGCGTAGAAACATGATTGTCACGAAGATATCCTACAGCCTGGACACAGGCGGCAGCAATGCTACTGGCCACAATGGGTGGGAGGAGGGCAGTGCGCCCGTGATTATTGAGTGTGAAGGCGGGTACAGCTTCGAGGCGGACTATGTTGTGAACACCATTCCGCTTGGCGTTCTCAAGCACGGCAACGTGGAATTCGAGCCACCGCTGCCAGAGTGGAAGACTGACGTGATACGGCGGCTGGGCTACGGTGTGCTGAACAAGGTCATATTGACGTTCCCACGTGTTTTTTGGGACCCCAAGTACGACATATTCGGGGTGCTGCGCGAGCCGAGCAACGGGTCCAGTCTCGACCAGCAGGACTATTCGCGACGACGCGGGAGCATGTTCCAGGGGTTCAACGTGACGACGACGACGGGCCTGCCGTGCCTGCTGGCGCTGATGGCAGGCGATGCGGCCTACGACACGGAGACATCATCCAACGACGAGCTTGTGGCCGAGGCAATGGCGGTACTGCGCAGCGTGTTTGGGGCAGAGAAAGTGCCGGCTCCGGCCGAGGCGGTTGTGACGCGCTGGGCCAGCGACCCATTTGCGCGCGGGAGCTACTCGTCAGCCGGGCCTGAGATGCGCATCGACGACTACGACGTGATGGCGCGGTCGGTCGGCCGGCACCTACTTTTTGCCGGCGAGCACACAACGGGCGCGCACCCAGCGACGGTGCACGGAGCCTATCTATCGGGGCTGCGAGCGGCATCGGAGCTGATCGAGGAGCTGCTGGGACCCATCGACGTGCCAGTGCCGCTGGTGATACCGCGGGAGATGGCGGCATCGCTGAAGCGCAAGGCAGTGCGGGAAGAGGAGGAAAGTGCCGGGGGAGGGGCCACGGGCGACGAGAGCGGCAGTGGAAGCGCGGCCGGAAAGGGCGGAGCGAGTCTGGGCAGCAGCCACAGAGCGGTCAAGGCACGTCTGCGGCGGCGGATGGAGGAGCGCGAACAGCAGATGGAGAAGTATGTGCAGGCGCATATTGGTGAGCGGCCGCTGCAGCCGGCGCGCGTGGTGGACACGTCGTATCTGCTGTTCAGCAAGGCGAACTACGAGCGGGCGCGGAAGAAGTGCGAGGAGACAATGATGAGTCGGCGCAAGGGTGGCAGCGGCAACGGCAGCGGACTGTCGAGCGCGCGGGCACTTCCCAACGACGTGCGGGTGTTGACGTCTAAGATGTGGCGCAGCGCAAGCGCTGACGAGCGGCGGCCGTATGCTGAGCGAGCGTCTGCTGAGAAGCAGGCATATGTGGCAGCACTGGAACAGCACAGACAAGAGGCAGCCGAATGGGACCGACAGGCGACCGTGCTGCGGTCGACCTTTGCGGCCGAAAACTCCGATCCGACGGCCACTGTGGCTTCGGCGGTGATTGCGGCTAGCAGTAGCAACAGCAACAGCAACAGCAACAGCAGAAGTAGCAGCAGCATGGAGCAGATCGCCCGGTCACCCTCGGCGATGACGTTGGACAAACCAGAGCCTCCTGCAGTGCCGCGACGGTTGCGACGGCTGACGAGTCAAGCCATGGATGCAGACAACAGCGACGTCGACATGACGGGATGAGGGCTGTTGCATTTGGATGGAGCATCCACTCTAATTATGCGAAGTATTGCACTTAGACATAAGAAAGTTGCTTTCCTCTTTTGGACTATACACGTGACTATCCTGTCCTCCTCTGCAAGACAGGAGAAAGCAAGTTAATCATACTGAAGACAGGTGGCGGTAGTAGAGTTCCTCTAGTTTCGGTTCAACAAGAGCGGTCAGTGAGGGATAGATATCGGCGATACGGAAAGCTAAATATCCCTAGGGGCAGCTCCAATCCCTTTTCCCTAAAATTTGTTTTACATATCCTCCGAGGCCGTGGCACCCGTAATGATCTCCACCAGCTCGCCCGTGATCACGGACTGGCGCGTACGGTTGAACAGGATCTGGTACCGGCTGATCATCTCACCGGCATTCTTGGAGGCGTTCTGTGCAATAGCGGTTAGCAGTGCTAAAGCGATGACAAGCACAGTCAGTACTAGGGACACTTACGTCCATAGCGTTGCGACGGGCAGACTGCTCGCAGGCGTGGCCCTCAGCAAGAGCCCAGAAGAGCGAGTTGGCCAGGGCATACTCCTGCAGGTTGGGCAGCGTGGAGTCGTCGACCTCGAAGACGGAGAAGTTGGCTGAAGCCGTGTCAGCGCAAAGTCATCCAAGAAGAGTGAGAGCAAAGATTTACGCGAGGCTGCGACAGCCTCCTCGGAGAAAGCCTCGATGGCCGTCGGCTCGTAGCTCTGGGCATTGACAAACTTGTTGTACAGGATCTTGACGGACGCATACTCGCCCGGCAGCTGAACAATCTGGTCTGCAATGGCCTGGGCCTCGGCAAACGACGGAATATCCTTGCCGACGCCGGCAAACGACAGCACCACATCCTTGTTGTTCGTCCGCTGCAGCTGCGCCTTGGACTTTTCGCCCAGCAGCACCAGGTCGTACGACGTCTGCGGCGCCGCGCCCGCCAGCGCCGCCTCCGCGAACAGCTTGCGCACCGTGCGCGATAGACCCGAGTGGATGCCGCCACACAGGCCCTTGTCCGAGCTGCACACGATCAGCAGCGTCTTCTTCGGCGCGCCCTCGCTCGCCTCGCTGGCCTCCAGCGGCTTCGTCTCGGCCGACTCAAACACCTCGTTCGACGTCTCGCCGTACTTGCGGCTCGCTAACATGGCACGCTGTGCCCGCGTCAGCTTCGTCGATGCCACGATCTTCATCGTCTTCGTGATCTTTTCGATGTTGCGGATCGACTTGAGACGACCCTCGATCTCTCGGAGCGTCGCATACGTCGCCAACGGCGTCGCCGTAAGAGACCTGTGGGCGTCAATCGTCAGCACTGTCTCCTTCTCCGTTTCCCCATTTACCCATGTCCCCGGTTCTTCCTCTCTTCCCTCTCTCCATCCATCGACAATCGCGGACCAGACGCACTCCGCTTTTCTCATCTCTCCCCCTTATTCATTTGCCCAAGTCCTCATTGTTTGCTCCCACCCCCCCTCCCCTACCCTCATCCGGCACCTATCCCCAAATAGGCCCTCCCCTGCTGCACGTACCGGGAAGCCGAAGCTCCAGCTCTGAGAGCTGGCCGTGCCGCTCTCGACAGCATTGCGAACGAAGTGGAAAGGTGGCGGAGAAAAAAATTGACGAGTGCCTCGGCTGGCAGTTAAAATCCTGGGTCAATTAGTCGCTCGTGGATGGCGGCCAACGGGATGTGAGTGGACGGGGTAAGAGAAAAGAGATGGTTGCGTTCTTTTTTCGGTTTTCAAAATTGGCACTGCGTTTTCTGTTTCCACTTCTCGCGCTTTTCCGGGAACTCTATGCCCGCCTGTCCGTTTTCGCCGGCTCTAACTCGTACACTTGCACCGCCACAGAGCGCCACACTCACTGTGCCCCGTAGTAAAATATACGGAGTACTCGTACTCGTACTCCGTATCTTACGAGTACTGATATGCCACGTGATGACAGCCACGGCAGGCTAGGACGGGTCGTGCCCCACTGTTTTACTATGGCCTTCTTTGGCGAAACCTAATAAGACGACCCAGTTTTCGGGAGGCTGGAATCTTACACAATCGCGCACTAGGTAACCCAGAGAGAACGCGCCGTAATAATGCGAAGCCTCAGGCGACCTCGTCCTCACTAAAACGCTAACAGAAATAGCCTCAGAAATTCTTTCTAATTCTTCTCCCCTCTCTCGTTCCCTCTCTCCCCTTCTCTCGACCGCATTCCACCGCCCACACCCCTTCTCTGCCCTCTTCTTTCCAATCCTAGCCTCTCGCATTACTGGTCCAGCTTATGCCACACTTAGTTTACCTTCGTTAGTGCTCACTGCTCTCTATCGCCACACAGACTTCTCTAACTGACACCCTCGATTTTTTCGCTCCTTCAGCCTCTTCAGCCTGTTCCTCACAACTCAGCACTGTCCGCTAGCCTTTTACGCCATCACTTATCCCTCTCACAAAAGTTCTTTTTTATTGTTCTATTTTGCGTCTGTGGCTAGCTAGTTGGCTCTTTGCGTTTTCTCAGTCGACCTCCCAGTATTCTGTCCTAGTTCTTCGCGCGTCTTGCGATTGGGATCTGAAGGTGTTGCATCTCAACAGCATCCACATTAAAGGATCACCTCCGGCCATTTCAGGATGTCAGATAGCTCGGATGATGACCGGCCTCTGGCAAGATCAAATGGACACGGTTAGTTCTTTAATTCAACTGCAATCCCTCTCATAGCTTTCTCACTCTTTTCGCACCGCGCCGATGACTTATCTCTTTCGCCATTCCATTTCGTCTCCCTTTTCTCTTCACTCGCCGCTCATCTTTTATCCTTATCCTCCGTTGTGGTCTATCTATCAGCGCCGAACGTTCTGACGCTCCAAATTCTTCTCTCAGGTTCCAACTCGACCCCGAACATGGCCGTCACCAATGTGACTTCTCGGAATGGTCCTGCCAACGGAGACCATGCCAACGGTATAGCCAAGCGGAAAGCCCGTATTTCTCTTGATACGAAAATAAGCTACAAAGACGAGTCCGACAGCGATGACAACGCTCCTCTGGTCAGCTGCCCTATAGTACCGCGAATGTCGCCTACTTGGCCAAGGCCTGTAGGTTAGCTGAGACAGTTGGTCAACTAACAGTTTTCATCAACAGGCAAAACGAAAAAAACCAAATCACGTTGAACTCGACAGCGAGGACGAACCAGTTTCTTCAAAAGCAAAACGAAAGCCTCTACCGTCCACACAGGACACGCCCATGCTCGACTCGGACGACGATAAGCCTCTTAGTGCTAAAGTCGCTAAGAGGGCCAGCACCGTGGTAGCGAGACCGAAACCCAAAGCATCTGCATCCTCGAAAAAAGCAAATGGCGTGAAGCTTAAGGAAGAATCAGACTCGGACACCCCCATAGCAAAGAAGAAGATTGTCAGCTCATCCAAGCCCGCGGTCAAGCCTGCAGCCAAGTCATCACGACCGCCAGCCAAGTCAGCCCCCACACCAAAGAAGGCTGTAGGTGCCAAGGGCCTAAAAAAAGAGGAAAGTGCCGACCTCGGTGACCAGGAGGCGGAAGGACAGGACTATCGTTGGTGGGACCAGCCAAAGAAGGAGGACGATAGCATCAAGTGGACCACGCTGGAGCACAACGGTGTTGTTTTTCCGCCTCCAAACCAGTCTCTGCCGAAACATGTACGCCTCTACTATGACGGTGCACCAGTCGAGCTCCACCCCGAAGCGGAGGAGGTTGCTACGTTCTTCGGCTCTATGCTTCACTTGACTGTCAACACGGAGAACCCGACGTTTCAAAAAAACTTCTTCGCCGACTTCCAAGAAGTAGTTGAGAAGACAGGCGGTGTAAAGCGGCTGGACGGGAGCAAAGTGGCACTGCGTGACTTCACCAAACTCGACTTCAAGCCCATGTTTGAGCACTTCAAGGGCTTGACCGAGGCCAAAAAAACACGATCCAAGGAAGAGAAGAAGGTGGAGAAGGACGAGAAGGCGAAGCTAGAAGCCCCATATCTCTACTGCAAGTGGGACGGGCGGAAAGAGAAAGTGGGCAACTTCCGTGTGGAGCCTCCGGGTCTGTTTCGTGGTCGTGGTGAGCATCCGAAGACGGGCCGGGTCAAGAAGCGGGTTGCTCCTGAGCAAGTGACAATTAACATCGGCAAAGACGCTGCCGTTCCGATGCCGCCCCCTGGACACAAGTGGAAGGCAGTGCAACACGACAATAAGGCGACATGGCTGGCTATGTGGCAGGAAAACATCAACGGATGCTACAAGTACGTCATGCTTGCGGCAAACAGTGCAATCAAAGGCCAAGCCGATCACAAAAAGTTCGAGAAAGCTCGCGAGCTGAAGAAGCACATCACCCGCATCCGTGCAGACTACACCCGAGAGCTAAAGAGCGAGGTTATGGCTGACCGCCAGCGTGCCACCGCCATGTATCTCATCGACCGATTCGCCCTGAGAGCGGGCAATGAGAAGGATACGGATAATGAAGCCGACACGGTCGGTTGCTGCTCTCTCAAGTATGAACACATCACACTGAGAGAGCCGAACACAGTGATCTTCGATTTCTTGGGAAAGGACAGTATACCGTATTACGACGAGGTGACTGTGGACCGGCAGGTTTTCAAAAATCTCAAAATGTTTAAGAAGCCTCCCAAAGAGGATGGCGACGACATCTTCGACCGACTAAACACCTCACAATTAAACAAGCACTTGTCAAGCTACATGCAGGGCTTGACGGCGAAGGTGTTCCGTACCTACAACGCCTCATATACCATGTCAAAATTGCTCCAGGAGCTGCCGGTGACTAGCCTGTCGATCGCAGAGAAGGTCAAGCTATATAACGACTGCAACCGGAAGGTGGCTATTCTCTGTAATCACAAGAGGACAGTAGGCGCAAGCCATGAAGCACAGATGGAGAAGATTGGCGACCGCATAAAAGGCCTCAAGTATCAGAAGTGGCGGACGAAGATGATGATTTTAGATGTCGATTCCAAGCAGAAGAAGAAAAGGGGGGCCGAGTACTTTGAACTGGACTCAGACATCAGCGACGAATGGGTTCTCGCACACCAAGCATTTCTCGTCGAGGAGCAGCGTATTAAGATCACCAAAAAGTTCGAGAAGGACAATGAAAAGCGGGTGGCCGAGGGCGACAAACCGCTACCGGAGAAGGATCTCAAGGAGCGGTTGAAGGCTCTGGGCGAACTGGAGGCCAAGTTCAAGAAGGAGAATCGGACCAAGAAAGTTGAGGCCGAGGGAAAGTCCGCTTCTGTGGAGAAGCTGGAAGCCGCTGCTCAGAAGATTGACGAGCGTATCCACAACATGGAGTTGCAGGCCGCCGACAAAGATGGAAATAAAGAAGTTGCTCTGAGCACGTCGAAGATCGTAAGTCTATACTCTCTGAAGCTCTTGTTGGCCTGCATTACTAACACCAAGTTATACAGAATTACATTGATCCTCGTCTCACTGTCGTATTTTCCAAAAAGTTCGATGTTCCCATCGAAAAGTTCTTTTCCAAGACGCTCCGGGAAAAGTTCAACTGGGCCATTCATTCCGTTGGCGACGACTCGACCTGGGAATTCTAAAAAGGCTTCCAGACGGCAATTCCTAGGTCGCCTTGCTTAGATTTGCGTTCGATACAGAGACAAAACTCGTTTTTAGACGCGCACTTTCGAAGCTTCCCCTCATCGTCGCTTTTCAAATTGCCACTGGAAATTTACTCTGGTTTTCATTTGCATTTATCGTTAGCACTTGCTGGGCTTCAAGGTAGGCCTTTTTAAGAAAACTCCCGCCACATTCCTGTTTTAATGCGTCATTGATGTTTTGCTTTCTTGATTTTATTTCGGGCCTGTGTTGAGGGCCGCACTCTCACAACTGCAAACCAAGGCAACAGAAGGCATGCTGGGAGTCGGTGGGAATATATAGGACATCGTTGCGCTTGGCTAAATTCTAGCAAAGAGAGGCTGCACAAGCGGCGAGCGGACTGGAGTGACACCCGGACGAGCTCTGAAAGTGGGGCTTGAAGAGAGTTGGAGTTGAACATGACGAGAGACAAGAGAAAATGAGAAAATGGATATCAATCAAAGTCGTTGTACCGCTTGTGAGTTCACAGACGGAATAATATTAGTCAGCGGTTCTGCCCAACAGGCGGCCGCTATTGGTACAGACCTGTACGGAGTACTCCGTATTACACCATAGATTCCATGGTATAACGCCAAGTGTTGCATAAGCTAAAAAAAATGGCGGCAGCCGCGGCCGCGCAGGAAGCAAAGGCATCACAAGATGCAGAGGTAGCGGCCCGTATAATTGCGTATCTAGAGCCCGCCAGCTGGCAAGACAAAATTAGACAGGCTAGGGCGGGCATGCGCAGGTTGATACAACCGCATAAGGCGCTACTATAGCCGAAACCCAAGATTTAAAGGATAGGGATAGGCAGGAGAGGCGGCAGTAGATTCGTATAACTATGTAGGAGGCCAGACGGGCTACCAGAGTAGGCCACCGTGGAAAAACTACTTTTGTAAGATACTCCGTACTTCGTGAGATACAGTAACTTGCTGCAATACCTATTTTCTTCTAGTGCATTTCGCCATGAGGTTTTCTTTTACAAGACACTTTTGAAACCGTGTTATCTACAGTGTACTCCGTACAGATCCAGTTTATCTTACCTGTTTTTTGCCACCACACTGGCACAGAGACTGGCCCAGTGACTGGCCCAGTGACTGGCATAGAGACTGGCATAGAGAAGACTGGCAAAAACTGTTTGATGGAATATTCTTGCTTTAAAAAGACATTTTCGGTCATGTAATGGCAAGAAAAAAAAGGGCGAATTTAAGGGATGTTGCACTACGGAGTACATATTTCGCAATGCCTTGTTTATACTCCGTACACTCGAAACGTCCACTATCATGATATCATCGTCTATGGGTATTTATCTGGCGGGGTCGTAGCCCGTTTCTATATAATTTCGTTGGGATCCGCAAAACGCCAAAGCCATGCCAAACGAACAATTAAACGCCAACACAGTCAAAGCCAGAATGAGTCGGTCTCCTCCGAACAACCGGTTTCGTCGAGCGGAAGACCCCATCTATATGAAAACCCGCAGTTTTCAGCGCCGTGCCATGTTTCGGAAGAGGCATCGTTAGCCAAAAGATAAGATAATGGCAAATAGTTACACCTAACGCTCTCATCACCAGATGAAGGCTGCGCCGAGCAGAAGACTCGCGCAGATCTGCACGGCGAGGATTGCAAGGTGTGGTGGTCCTGCAAATAAAGTGTTAGCAAATCAGTACCAACAGAAAGGCGGGTTAAGAAAGGCAGAGTACATACGGATCAAGTTGGAAGCGGCCGGTACGATTTTGCCGCTGGGCGTCATGACCCAGCCGCTTGGAATGGTCTCAGCAGAGGCAGTAGCCGTAAAAGCACCAATACCACCAACAGGAATGGTGGGTGACAGCGTAGAGGAACCGACGGCAGCAGTAGCCGTGGCCGTGTTTGCACTGCCCGAGTTAACGCCGACCTCGCCGCCAACGGCGACGATGGACTGCCAATCGCCGCTCTGGTTGCTGTACTGGTATTCGGTGCCGGTCGAGTAGTCCGTGATGGCGATGCTCCGGACGATCATGGAGAAGGGCCCATCAGAAAAGTCGGTGGGACCGCGAGCCCAAGAGACAGTGCCCTCGGAGTTGGTCGCTGTATCGCCACCAGCCCAGGCGCCAAACTTCACCTGCATCGGGGTCTGCGGATACTGGCCCGTGTCGGCGTCGGCATGCAGCAGCGTACGCACAACTGTGCCGGAGACAGACCACTCGATGCGGTCGGCCGTCCAGTCGATGTCGTAGGTGATGAACTCGCCCTGGTTGTTGGCGGCAGCGTCAAACTGGCCGCGGTTGTAGGTGATGGTCTCGCCCTTGCCAAAGTAGTTTGTCTGCACCTCAGTCGTGTCGGTGCCAAGCCACTCCATGTCGATCTCATCGAGGTCGTCGGACTGCAGCACCAGCGAACTGACGATGCCAGCACCAGGCGCCGACTTCATGACAAATTGGACGTGGCCAAACATGATGTAGAAGACGCTGTTGAGCTGAGGGGCGTCGCCAGATTTGGTGATGGTAAAGGTCACCCCGTCGGAGCCGTAAGTCGGCGAGCCGTTGGCGGTGAAGGAGTTGACGCTGCCCTGGCTGAAGTCGACTTTAATAGACGTGCCGAGGGCCTTGTCAGCGGAGCAGCCGGCTAGGCAGAGCGGGCGTGTCAGTTCTTGTCTGCATTCCAGAGAGCTTGCGTCCTTGCTTACTGCTTTCTAAGGGGTTGCATGATGCTGCTGCGACTGTGGTTTGGAGGGCCACAAGAGCTGCCGCCAATTTGAACTGCTGGATTAAGTGCATTGTGCGTCTGGGCTTGCAGGCAGGGAGGAAGGAAAAGAATATGCAAGGCGATTTCCCAATCCCGAGATCGTGGCGCTGGGAGAGAAAAGAAGGTGGTACGACGCGCTCAAAGAATTGAGGGTCTTGGCAACGGGTAGACTTGAACAATCTGAACAATGGACGGAAAAGAGACAATGAAAGGTCAAGCAGCACTATTGTGGCTCCCCGGGAAATAAATAAAGAGCATGAACTCTGAGAGTCCTTTTTGGCCGATACGAAAAAAACGGACCCGCCAATGATAGCATACATACTCCTACTCCCAATTACTTTTCTTACGTCCTTCGCCCAATCCCGTCCTTCCAGTGCAGTTTGTAGGGGAGAAAGTCCGAGAACGTGGAGACTACAATCAGAGGAAAAAGCGCAGTTGGCAGGGGTCTGCCTTTGTCACAGCTATCGTCTTCCGACTTTTGCAGCTCACCTCTTTTTTATCGCGAGGCTGGGAGGTAGCTTGTCAGGATATTTGCAAATAGCGGGCGTTAGTGGCTCTGTTAGCTGTGAGGTCGCCCCTGACTACGGATAAGTCCGTCTCGCATTGGCTGGTTGCAAGCTCCACCATTATCCCCCACCAGGCCAGCGGTCTACGACGTACGTCGTATAGTACTCAAGTGGCTGGGATTCGAAAGCGGGGCACACGAGGTTGGGGAAAGTGCGAATGTCGACGACACGCAATGGCAACCACGCAAAGCTGAGTATGAGTACGGGTACTCCGTACTTCGTATGATCTCTTGGTTAGAGTCATCCTAGCTTTGAGCTTGGTAGCTCTTGAGCCGTGTGATTTTCAACTCTTGGCTACTTTGACAAACTAAAGAGATGCCCATATTCTGTCTGTCTACTAACATCAAACTGCCTATGCAGCCAGGTACCCCCAGGCCCAGTGAAGAACATAGCTTGACAGCATTACAGAACAGACGGCCCACGGTGTATATGTTAACAAAGTGACTGCTTTCTTTGCTCCTGTAACAAAGCCAAACAGAGCCACTACGCCGGCGGCCATGGTAGTTATCAACAACTGTATTTCATTGTTTCTCCCCCCTCTTCGTTGTATAAACGAAGAGGCAGCGCATCCAAGCAAGAGACTGAAAGTAAACGCAACATTCGGCGATGGCTGCTCGAGAAACTCAAGCGTGAGTATATGACCATTTTGAATTGTCTGCGCAGCATCACGTCCTGTCAGTCTGCGCCTACAAAGGGGTTGGCGGCGTCCAACTCGCCATGTGCTAGAGACAAGGCTGCTGCTGACCTTGCGTTCATGATGTGAGAGCACAAAGGCTGATAGTGTTGCTGCAAACAACTCTGCAAGACACAATGGGGGAGTGTGATGTCGTGTGGAGGCTGCTGCTTTATTTTGCATCGCAGTGTTTGCAATCTTTATAGGAAAGTCGCCGCATAAACCAGATCTTCAAGACTTGAGGCTGAGGGAAACCCGAGAATAGGAATTCTGGGCTTATTATGAAAAAACATACTTCATCTTGCGAAGCCCAACGTCATCCTTCTCACAAGGCGCAGGTGCGGACTTGGATGATTAAGCTAGGCAGCCTCGGACGCCTTTTCGGGCACCCATACATACACCGACGACCCGGCATCCCTCCCCTCAGTTCAATTGGTGCCGGCCTGACCGAAGTATGAGCACTCTGATTTCATATGAAGGCGGATGATGATCAACTAGTCGCTAATTCGGGCATCAATGTCACATTGTGTTTTGGGGCGTCGAAACCTCTAATAGTTCACAATCCCCCGATTCATATTCTGAGGCCTTCCAACTTTTGTTTCTCGCTTGCCATCTCCGTATTTCAACGTTGCAGTCCTGAAAAGTCATGTCTTTTGCACAAGAATATCAACGTCAAATCGAGCGGGAGCACCCTCGGCTTCTTGCTCTGGCCAAACAGCTCTCTCCCGGGCTAATGTTTGGTAGCTCCATTTTTGCTGCCTCACAGCCTGGTTTTATACCTTGTTTCGTGTAAGTGTCTTACCATAAAGCTGATGTTTTCATTTCTCGGCCAGAATGCCCATCTGTTTTTTGGATTTTTGTGTCTTTTGTTCGTGCATGCCCGATCTCCCCCTTCCCCTGGGTCCTTGTAAGCTGACCGGGTTGTCCAGGCACGTCGTATTTGCGTTGTCGTTCGCCACATATCACTTAGCTTATTTCGAGGCATTTATTTCGTGAGTCGAAGTTTCGTTGCCACTACTGTGCCTTGTGCAGTCTAGGTCTGACCAACGTCCTTAGGATGGCGACCCTGCTTCCCGCAATATACGTGATTGTTATTCTCTTCTTCACCACTGACCCACTTCGGATACTGAGTCTGGAAGGGAGATCCTTCTTGCTGGTATCTCTATCCATCCTGCCCTTCTACACCGTGATTCTATGGGAGAAAAACCGTTGTGACCGCTCCAGTGGACAGTACACCCGGACGGATGAGGAGACACGATTAGCCTTCGGCCCATCGTTCCATCGCACGGAGCATACTGCATCATCCAGACAATCGGATATCTCCCTCTCGCTGGATGGAGCGATTCCCGACCGAGGACTATGGAATGCGGAGCAATGGTGTCCCCTTTTACCCTGGAAGTTCAACAGCGTTGAAGACATTGATCACAAGTCGCATGGAAGTACAGACTACAGTTCGTGAGCTGTGTTCTATTTGTGAAGGAGAGATCCGGATATATGAAAAACACTCCGGCAGTCAGATGTGACGATATCGAATGCGAACCGCTTGTGAAGCCAGTGCGGGGAAAATATGCACGCAAATCTGCTGTTTCAAGTTTACACAGGCTTTATACCAACGGCCACGAAACAATAACTCTGAACTCCCCAGTTATGCCAGTCGGTTTTGACACCATGGGATTTTAAGGACTTAGTTTTGCTTTGGGCTTGAAACGTTGCTTTGGAGACGTTCTAAAACGTATTGCACTCCACCAGACTACATCTACCAGTGAGAAATACAGGACCCAGCCCGGATTTTAGGATGGGGAGTACAGAGTACACGACCGATCAGCAGATTGAAAGAAGACCTCTGAACCCAGCACAACACATAAAAAAGAACGGAACAGCTTTCTTACAAAAGACAGCGAGGTCGCTGCACAACGTATTATAACGGGCGCAATCAATATTAACACTTATTTTGACACGTGTATGTATCTTGATTGGGGTTATCAGCGGCTATACACGGACAATGTGGCACCCCGCAAACATCCATGCCAATACGAAGGACCGTCTCCACGATCCGGTTACGGAGTGCTGTTTCCTTTCAGTGCTCGCTCCTTCCTCTTTTAGCTGGATGCTTCTCACATAAGCACACATCTCTGTACCAACCACTAACTCTCAGCAATTTTTTTTCCGTTTTTGGCCACCAAGAAGCGTTGCCAACATCATCATGGCACAGCCTGCAGCGGCCAGGACTTTGTCCCGGACGGTTCTGCCCCGGCCTGTGGTGCCTGTCACCGCTCGTTCAATGTCCACCTTGCCAAGACTTTACCGAGCACGCACAGGATTGCGTCCGCGAGTCCCTTTATGCAACAGGTTCGAGCTCGGTCGGTGCCGTGGGTTCCACAGCAGTTTGAGCTGCCAGTCTGCAGAAGGCGAGTTGGTGACCGAGGCAGCCACAGGGGAGACTGGGACGAGCAGCAATACAGCCTCGAAGCCGCCGGCGCCACGCAGGATCACGATCGAGGACATATATGCTCGGCGGAAGCGAGACGGGCGGCTTGTGGCCGGCACGGCAGCAGCAGCCGACATCGACTCGTTCAAGACGGCGTCAGACTGGCAGCTGCTGCCCAAGGCGCGGCGGTGGGACCACCTGCTAAGCTCGGAGAGCAGGGCGCGTGGGCCATGTGTGTTGAAACAGGCGGCGCAACACCTCAAGAAGCCGGGCATGATTTCACTGGGAGGCGGTCTGCCAACGCCGGAGCACTTCCCCATCCAGTCACTAAGCCTGCGGGTGCCTACGGGACCGACTGACTTCTCCGAGACCGCGGCAGGGTCTGAAGATGGCGGGGCGACGGTGACGATGGGCAAGTACGACGCGTCGTTGCGTGCAGGCAGTGGCGGAGAACCAGCAGCAGAGTACGACCTGTCGGTCGCGCTTAACTACGGACAGGCGGCCGGATCGCCACAGATGCTGCGGGGGGTGACAGAGCACACGGAGCTCGTCTGCCGGCCACCGTACGCGGACTGGCGCACGACATTGACAGTGGGCAGCACGGGAGCACTGGAGCAGGCACTACGCATCTTTTGCGAGCGTGAGCGCGGCGACACGCTGCTGACGGAGGTGTACAGCTTCGCAACGGCGCTGGAGACGGCGTGGCCGCTGGGCATCCACGTGCAGGGCGTGGACATTGACGGCGAGGGCATGCGGCCGGACAGCCTGGACGCCCTGCTGTCCGGCTGGGACGTGCAGGCCCGAGGTGGACGGCGCAAGCCACATCTGCTGTACACGGTGCCCAGCGGGCAGAACCCGACAGGCACGACGCAGAGCCTGGAGCGACGACAGGCGCTGTACGACGTGTGCAGGCGACACGACGTGTTCATCCTCGAGGACGAGCCGTACTACTTCCTGCAGATGCCACCGTATGTGCGCAGCCGGGACGCTGCAGCGGCTCCGGGGCCGGGTGACGGGCAGACACCGCCGTCTGCCGAGGCGTTCCTGCAGTCGCTCATCCCGACCATGGTGAGCCTCGACGTCGACGGCCGGGTGATGCGCTTGGATTCGTTTTCCAAGGTGCTCGTGCCGGGCTCGCGCATGGGATGGGTCACAGCGTCGGAGCAGGTTGTCGAGCGGTATGTGCGGCACAGCGAGGTGTGCAGCCAGGGTGCAGCGGGCATCTCGCAGGCGGTTCTCTACCAGCTGCTAGAGACGACCTGGGGCCACGCCGGATATCTGAACTGGCTAGCCCACCTGCAGCGGTCGTACACACGTCGCCGCAACGTCATGCTGGACGCGTGCGAGGACTACCTGCCGACGGGCATCGTCACGTGGAAAGTGCCGGTTGCCGGCATGTTTGTGAGTTCAGAGTGTTCCCCGTTGTGTCTGACGACTTGTCTGACTTTGTCTGCACAGCACTGGCTCAAGGTCGACCACACGCAGCATCCAGACCACGGACGGCGGGACGCGCTCGAGCTGGAGGACGAGATCTTCAAGCTCTGCATCGACAAGGGTGTCCTGGTTGCTCGGGGATCGTGGTTTTCAGCCGAGCCTGACAAGCCGCAGACGGGACTGTTCTTCCGCACGACATTCGCTGCAGCCCCGCCGGATGCGATAGTAGAGGCCATCCGCCGGTTCGGCGAGGCCGTCAAGCGGAGCTTCCGGCTCTGAGGCGATAGCACAGCACATGTACAGAGGTTGATCATCAGGCCACATTTGATAACAGCATTAACGATCAGACTAATATTAAGCCGACAAAGCATAAATTCGAGACCAAATCGATGTGAGCAAATGCAGAACAAAGCACGGTATAACGCCTACCCGTGATCAAGTTTGCCACCCTCCCTCTGTTCACGCCTTTGCAGCCTCGAAAAAGGCCACGTGCACACCGTCGCCGGGCTGCAGAACAATGTCGGCCTTGAGCGTGGGATGCCCGCCGTCAATAGGACCCATGTGGCTGACGATACGCTCGAACTTTTGGAGTAAGCGGACCAGCACGTAGCCCATCTCGGTGAGGGCAAACTGCTGGCCGATGCAGATGCGCGGGCCACCGTTGAAGGGAATGTAGTGCCAGGGCTTGGGCTGCCAGTGGTCCCAGCGCTCAGGGCAGAAAGTGCCGGGGCCGCGTAAGGAGGCTTTGTGACCTTGGGTTTCCGGGTAGAGGTCGCCGCGACGTTGCATCGTCAGGGTGGAATAGCCGATTGGAGTGTCTTTGAGAATGGAAACGGGCAAAGAGCCGTCAGGCCCGCCACCACGCGGAAGGGTCGTGTCGTGCAGGGCGAGGCGGACGTTGTAGGGCACGGCCGGATACATGCGCAGGATCTCGTTGAGAACGTGCTGGAGGTAACGCATGGATTTGAGGTCGGCATAGGTCGGAAGACGGCAACTGGTGCCCTGGGCGCCCTCTACGCCAACGACTTCGGCAATTTCGGCACGCAGTCGCTGGACGCATTCCGGGTGGCGGGCCAGCTCGTAGATGCCCCAAGACAAAGTGCCGGCAGTGGTATCGCGGCCGGCCAGCAGGACTGCGATGAGCTGGTCGCGCAGGACCTTGCGGTCGCGGGTGAAGCGGGCGAGTTCGTGCAGGAAGGTGTAGCGGCCAGCGGCTCCGGTGGTGGACTTCTCGAGCTCCTCGACCGGCAGGCACAGGGCCCGCTCAATGAAGAGGTCGAGAAACTTGTCCATCACCTTGAGGCCGCGACGGTAGGCAAAGCGAGGGACGAAGATATTGGCCGGGCCAGTGCGACTGATCATGCTCTGCATGTGCTGAACCTCGTTGAAGGCCTCAGCAAACTCTTGGCGGGGGATCCTGGACGCGTTAGAGAACAGAACAGGACATAACAGGACAGAACACAAAGAGAGCATACGTCAGACTTTGAATATCTGTGCCGAGCAGAAAGTCGGTGGCCACGTCGAGGGTGAAGCGGAAGAAGAGATCGCTCATCTCGAGCACACGGCCGCTGGAAGATACCGGTCCTGAAGCAGGGCTCTGGAGGGCAGCAGCAGTCGCAGCTGCGTCGCCGCCGACGGACATGGCGATGAACAGAGTCTGCAGATGGGACTCGAAGATTTGCAAGTCAGACACGCGATCCTTGACGAACTGCGGCCGGATCAGCTGGCGGCTGGCGTGCCAGCGGGCACCGTCGGTGGTGAAGATACTGTCACCAAGAAACTCTTTCCACTCGCGGTGGAAGGGCTCGCCTTTGCCATAGTCACCAAACTGAGTGGCCAACAAGGCCTTGATGTTCTCGGGATCGTCTGTGAAGATGATGCGCCTGCCGAGTACGCGAAACTCGGCCGTGTGCAGGCCGGTGGACCGGAAGATGTTCTCCCACAGCTCGCGGTTCTGGTGGTAAACGACCGCCAGCACGGCCCTGTAGGCGAGATCGAGACCCCAGGGCCATTTCCCACGATACATTGCTGTGCGGGCACCGCCCGTACGATGCAGCCGCCGCCGTTCTATCTGGCGGCGTACGACATGGACGACGGTGTAGCCGCCAATGGCCCAAAGCAACACGGCGAACCAGGACAGCTGGCTCCAGGAGTCATCGAGCAGACCCATGATGTTGCGACGGTGCTTTAAACAGCGAAAATGGTGATAATAGATGAGGAGGTTGTGATGTTGGGGGATGTTCAGACGCTGCGGAACATCACCGCTACATCGAAGCAGAAAGATGAAGTAGATGGAAGTCGGGGAGATCCTGATCAAGGCAGGCCGGACGCAAGCCAGCTTTTAAACAAACGGCTTGTGTGTCGATCCTGCTTTGTAACGCTGTCTGAGGAAGGAGAGATCGACTAGCACACACAAGCTTTCCTGCAAAGTGAACATGCGGACAGCACCGGCTTGCTCTTGCCAAACCGCATCTGTCCCTCTAATTTGTCCGTGTACGGCATTTTCCCTTACACAGCAGCACACCTGAGTTGTACCGGGTCGGATGTTGGACAGCTTGTACCGCCAGCCAAACCCTTTGGACGAAGTGATATGTAGCGATGCAGGTATGCGATATCAGCGGCGATCTGCCAAGTCGAGCGGGGAACCGACTGGCCCGTAAACGGCCCAGAGCACTCTAAATCACCCTAAAAAGGCCGCCGAGGCATCCGCCCACTTCGGAACTTGCGGGGAAATGCGCTAAAAGAAAGAAATTCGCAGATCTGCACAGCATAAACGGACATGTGAAGCCGGGTTGGCCTATGATGCGCATACTTGACGCCTTGCGCGCATCCAACATGCCGCGGAACATATCCGATCCGGAACTGTTCCGGCCGTCACCGTCACTGTCACCGTCACCATCGTCATCAACAACATCATGGCTCATATTGGCTATATTTGCGACGTGTAACACAGCATACTTATCAGGCCCGCACAAGCACGTGACTACTCACATGTCCCCGCCTCTTCGTTTGCTCCGACCTATTAGTATCCCGGTCCTGTTGGCTGCGAGCACTCGGTCGAGTTGTTTGCCTGTGTGCACCACACCATCTGCACCGGTTCTGCCATAACGCCATGGGCTACCATGCGCTCACGCCACTCGGCCAGCCGTGGCGTCACCGTCAGCTGGCTGCGGTTCTGCCCTGTCGCCGGATCCGTGTTGCCCGACCACAGCGCCTCTGCAGCGGCGCTTCCCCGTGGCCATAGCAGCCCGTCCAGGTTCGTTCCGTCAGCCGCCTCGCTCCACACCGCCACTTCGCCGCCTGCCACCAGCGCCGCCTCCTCCGCCGTCAGCCCGGCTGACGTCACCGGGTCGTACGAGTACACCAGCCGCCAGTTTTTGTGCGGACTGCACCAGTCGCCAAATGGGTAGCCGGCCGCGTACGCCAACCCGTTGTCCCAGTTCAGCCACTGTCCACGCCCGCAGTCGAGATAATAGAAGTTGTAGTTGCTGTCCACCACCTGCAGTCCGCGGCCGGTCATTTCCTTGATCGAGCTGGCACCCAGCCACGTCTGCACCCCCGTGTCCTTACCCACCGTCACATTCCAGGTCAACGGGATCTCCTCCCACACAATCGGCACAAGGCCTTCTGCCCGTACCCGTTTGTGGTTGGCGTCGATGAAGCGCTGGAGAAGCGGCTGCAGCACCGCCTTCGAATCCGTTCCCACGCCCGGGTCGAGCCGTGAGTCGTTGGCGTTGAGCTCGTCGCCACCCGTATGGAAGTACGCCGAGTACGGCGCTACACGTGGCAGTACGTCGTCGAGAAGCTTTTCCACAAATGCATCTACCGCCGTGTCGTTGAGCTTGAACGCCCCACATGGAGGCTCTGCGCACCACCAGAAGTAGGGAAACGCGTCGTACGCCACAATCAGCTCGGGGTGTGACAATGCCAGCGAGCCGATGTGGCCCGGCATGTCGATCTCCACCACCAAGTCCACGCCACGCGCTACTGCGTACCGCTGCAGAGCTTTCAGGTCATCCGATGTGTACGTCAGGTCAGACCGGTATGCCCCCTTCGCTGCTATTTCTGGCATTGTCGGGATCTCCAGCGGCCAGGACTGCGAGTCCGTCATGTGCAGGTGCAGCCGGTTCATCTTGTTCCAGGCCACCGCGTCGATTGTCCGGTAGATGTGGGTCAGTTCGTACCAGTTGCGTGCCACGTCTAGCATCACTCCTCGGTGCTTATACTTGGGCGCATCCTTGATCACAACTGGTGCCAGCGGCGTGTACCACGCCGTGCCCGACGTGTGCGCATAAAAAAGCTGCTCAAACGTCGCCAGACCCCGCAGAACGCCAACCGATGTCGTGGCCGTCAAGCTGGCCACCCCGTCCACGCTGACTGTCAGGCCGTACGACTCATCCACCGTGCCAGCCTTGGCCTTTGTCGTGTTGGTCGTGTCCAGGGTCGTCTGCTTGATAACTAGCGAGTGTACCGACGCCAGACTGCTGCTCGTTTTCAAATCGGGCTCGAAGCTAGAGAGGCTGTTCTTGGGGTGCAGCTTCCACGGAACGAGACCGGTTTGGAAGATTGCGTCAAGCGCCCGCGAGACACCACCCTGTACTATGTTTTCGCTGTTCTGGATGTCGGATGCCTCGTATCCATGCGTGTATGTGAGCTGTTATAGTGAGAAAAAGAATTAGGATCAGCAGAATTAGAACACCAATTGTTTGAGGATTCGCCTATGTCACCGCCTGCCACTGAGCAGGACGGCGGCCACGGGGAGCCAGAGAAAAGAACCCAGCATACAGATACACCATTGTAGGTGACAGCAATGTTCTCATTGATCAAGAGCGTCGTGTCGCCCGTGCTGATGTTCTGCGGAATCGGCCACACCGCGGCAACAGGATTGGCGACTACCAACGCGAAGGATAGTACAGTCTTTGTTATTAACAGCATGGCGTATGTCTCGGATGACAGATGGTTATTATGATGTCGTGGGTAAGAAAAGAGAGCGATACAAGCTGTAGCGCTACAGTCAAGCAGAATGTGTTGCTGGAGGTGAGGTGGATGGAAAAGGCGGCGAGGAAGATATAGAAAACAAATATGGGTATCAGAGCGGGTGCAACGACTCGTGTCCTCGCTTGTCCTGAAGCAGCCCGTCACAAGAAACGAAATCGAAGAATGGAGAAGACGTGGAGCTGGGGACGTCAAGGGAGAGGCAGGATGGAGACAATGAAGCTAAACGATACGAGGCAGGAATAAGCGAGAATAAGAAAGAAAGATCCCGGTATCTAACTGAACGGATGTATGACGTTAAACCAGGGTATTTGGTGGTATCGCTGCAGGGTCCCGTCTGAAGGAGGAAGCCTCGCGTATTGCTTCTAGATGTTCGGGTTCGCACTGACACTCTCTTCGTCCCTGCGCAAAGTTACGTCAAGCTGAGGTTGGTTGTTACTGCATGTGGACGGACTTTTCGTGCAGGTATCAGACTCCGTAGATCGGGCAATGAGTACAGACCGAAATGCGAGACCAAATCCACTGCAAGGCCAGAGAGGGGGGCAAACGCGTTTTTCTATACTCCTTTCCTCGTACTCGGTACGCTACCTGCACCCGAGCTGCTCTGAAAAACGTATGTTGCGTTGGCGAGTTAGAAGACGATGTCCAAAATTGGGATCGGCTGCCCAGACGCGAGCTTCGGATCAACATAGAACGACCGGAGTAAGGGTACAATGGTTGCAAGCGAAAAATGATGCGCGCCTATTCTTTGCTTTCTTTTTGGTCGTCCATTCAAAAGCACCCCACTCCTTCCTTCTCTTCCACCTGCCTGCTTTCTGTCCTCTTTCCGTGTTGTGTTACTCTTGCCAGTACTTGGCTGGGCGTTCCCCCTTCAACCTGAAGCATCGATCGCGTCTTACAGTGAGCTTAGTCAGCCGCCACTTCAGCCTCAGGATCCGATGTACACGGCTGCCTTGAGCATAGGAAAAATTGGGCGAGAGAAGAGGAGGACTGGTCCTAGGCCATGCAGAGCAGTAGTTTCACCTGCAAGCCACTGGAAGGATCGAGAAGCAATATACAGAGTACGAAGTAATAGCATATATTATATACTGGAAAGCAGTTAGGACCAAACTGAGATGGTAATAGAGAGCGTGAACATTGAGTCGTGAGACCGGGTGAGATTCTCTTGTCTTCACCGACGAGATATAAGAAGGCATTGTCACTTCCCGGGCCAATGATTGTGCTGCGCTGGAGCCCCATTCTAAAGCTGCTTGGAAATGATAATGCTGCCTCAGGCTAGAACACCCTCGCTCACTCTAGCCACATCCCCACCAGCCACACACACGTGACCATAAATGACCAATCAAAGCGCGCCGTGCTGTCGCGCTAACTACCAGGATCGCAAATCATTGTCACTTGGGCATATTTTTGTCTTGCCGCAGGCTCTCCCACCCCATTTTCTTCAACCTCGCTCCGTCACGGATTTCCTTTTGCCCCGTCGACAACACCACTCGAATAGGCTGACTGGACGCCCCGACGACTCCGATTTCAAATTCGGCCTGTTTCTGTCCTCTCTGCTGAGAGATTGAAGGCAGAGGTCCGGCACCCGGACGTCGCGCAGTGTCGATTTTTCCCTTTTTCTTTGCCTCATCAAATAGGATACTATACATTTGCCGTTCTTCGCGAATCGAAATTCACTCTCTTGCAGCCCTTTAAGGACACACGCAGTAGCATCTTCAGGATGCCTGTCGAGGTTGCTATGAACACGCCGTTGGCAGAGGCGCTGCAACGCGAGATTCAGCCGAAGCTGGTGGAGTGCGGATGGGCGCCCAGCGATGCCAGCGATACCACCATGGCCGAGTATCTGATCTTGATGATCGTCAATGGAAAGACTGAGGACGAGATTGCTTCGGAACTATCTAGTGATCTTTTGAACCTCCCACCCGAAGATGACAGCGCAAAGCAGTTTGCACGGTGGTTGTTTGAGATAATCGAGTCAGAGAACGCTAGAATCAACGGCTCGGGCCAACAACAGCAGTTTGAACTGGCATTTTCGGGCGGAGACCAGGATATGGAAATGGACTTGTCTAGTGCTGATGCACTAGGCAGCATGATTGCGTGCGGCTCCCCTCTTTACCTCGGTCCTTTTACTGGACACCCTTTTGCTATTTACCAGTGCTGACCTGCCACAGACCATCGGGACCGAAAGCGATGCGAAATGGGCCCGGATTCCGCGGCGGGCGGGACAAGCGCATGCTTGGCCAGATCAACCGCAATTTGGACCGTTCCAATGACTCGGTTCTGCACCGTGTTCGCGGTACCGATCGCATCAGCACACATACGCGCGGGGGCGGCGCGGGACCGAGAGGGAGTGGCGGCGGGTTTGGCATGGGCCGCCAACAGCGAAACATGAACGGGAGAAATGCTTCTGGTTTCAACCAGCAAGCCATGGCTGCCGTCATGTCTGCCGGTGGCCCGCAGCCGGGCATGTCTTGGATGGGCCCACCGGGCCCGCCAGGCCAGCCGCCGATGCAGCCGGGTCCCATGGATGTATACGCCATGTTGGAGCAGCAGTCACGTATGATGCAGCAGATGCAGGAGCAAATGCAACAGCAACAGCAGCTGATGCAGCATGGCCGACGGGGCGGCTTCAATCAGCAGAGTCGTGGCCGGCCACTGGCAGACCGGATACAACACCCGAACCAAAACTACAGGAACAACATGCGGAATGGGGGTCAAAACAATCATGGCCAACAGGCTGAAAATGGAGGGGAAGCACCAAAATCGAACGGCAAGTCGCAAGAAGGCGGCGACGCTTCCGGCTCGGCCACGGGAGAGGATGTCGACATGGGCAGCGAGGCCGGCACACACCGCGAACCGTTGAACCCGACTGATACGGTGTGCAAATACAATCTCCACTGCACGAACAAGGACTGCAAGTTTGCGCATCAGTCACCGGCAGCACCCCCCGGCACCACGGTAGATGTGCTTGACGTTTGCACGTATGGTGCTGCCTGCAAGAAAAAAAAAGTGCGTGGCGCGGCACCCGTCGCCAGCCGCCCGGATGGCGCACCAGAGCGAGCAGGACTGCAAATTTTTTTCCCAACTGCGCGAACCCACACTGCCAATTTCGGCACCCGTCGATGCCGCTGTGCCGCAAACGGAGGTGACTGCGCGGTTCCGGGTTGACAAGTTTACGCACATCAAGACATTGTGCAAGTACCGTCCGTGCACCAAACCGATACTGCACATTTCAAGCACGAGGAGGGCCAGCGAGGCGTATTTCCCGACAAGGTGTGGACGGCGGATGGTGCTGGCAGGGACCAGCAGACGCACATCAGCGAGCGGAAATTCGTCGACGAGACGGCCGCAGAGGAGACCATTCTTCCAAGTGCTGACAGGGACATGACCAGCGAGGAAGCGACGATCGCCTAGGAGACGAACGGATCCTGCGGGACATCTGCCTGTGCGGATTCATACGAGGGCTATGCAGACTTGATTCTGTAACGGAAAGCAGAAGAGGCTGCTGAGGGGAGGAAGAAGAGGCTGTGTTAGCGGCCAACGACAGAGTTTTGGAACAGCACGGGGCGGGCGGCTTTTTGTGAGACCGAATACTGGGCAAGCTGAAAGGGAGAACACACAAGAGAAGGCTCTGTGTGTAGATGTACGTGTACTACTAATACGAATACGGCACTGATAGAGGTGATAGTGCATTGGAGGTGTCGTTTGGGTTCTCTTGGAGTTCCACAGGGAAAAGGACAAAATCCACGGCGTTCTTGTGTTGGCCAACAGCCTCGAGATTGATTGCCATTGCTGCGCTCGTAGCAAGCGTGAGACGGTTCTGCACAAAGTACCGAGTACTCGCAGCCGGCAGCACGAAGCGTTGCCAGCTGCTCTCAGTATTGCATGCCCCGCAGCTCATTAGCTCAGCTTACCAATTTAAAGCTTACCCAACACATCGCAATTTGGGTAATGCTGAAGTCACTGTCTGCCTATTTACTCAGCCCCCTCTCCCGAGGCGACAGGATCTCTCGTCAAAGCATTAATGATGGGTGCCAGCAGCAGATATCTGGACGCCCAAACGACCGCCGTCGCCACCGTCCCCTTCACCACTGCTTCCGCTTCCGTCGCTGCTGTTGTGACTTGCCCCTGAGGTTGACAGCAGCGCAACGCTTGGTTACGGAGAACTCGATGACCTCGCAGTCAGCATTAACTCGCTTGACGGCAGCGACGTCGACACCGCCACAGGCGCAGACACCGGCACTAGCTCCTCTGACCCTCGCACCAACTGTGGAGATAGTTCTTGTTACTGGGACGCTTCATCGATGGCACCTCTCAATGCGCAGTCAGTGGTTCGTCCGCTTCTTTGGCGAACTCGCATCTACTACTCTTCAGTGTGCTTGCAAATACTGATCTCGACGCCAGGCTGCTGTTGCCCGGCTCCGTGCTTACCGGTCCCCTGCCTTCCCCTTGTGGAACCGGCTCCCTCTCAGTCGTCGGGCCGCCGTACTCATACTGCTGTATGCAGACCGCCATGGCGACTTGCGCGTTGTCTTGACCATGCGAGCCGCCAGCCTGCGCAACTATTCGGGCCATGCGGCGTTTCCGGGTGGCAAGGCCGACACGCTGGACGAGACACCAGAGCAAATCGCGCGGCGCGAGGCGTGGGAGGAAATCGGACTGCCACTAGACGGCCGAGGGATACTTCCGCAGCAGTTCCGCATCGAGCACCTATGTAGCCTGCCCCATAACCTGGCCAAGACAGAGCTGGTAGTGCGGCCTTGTGTTGCGCTGCTGACCGCTGAGAGAGACACGGCGGAAGCTGAACGGACAGAGGATCTCCAGAGCGAGGACGCGCGAAGCATAGACGTCGAGAGGCTCATACCCCGGCTGGACGCTAAGGAAGTGGCAGCCGTGTTCAGCGCGCCGTTCCACAACTTCCTGTTGGCGACAGACGAGCTGGAGCAGCCGGAGAAGGACAAGGTCATGGCCGAAGCGAGTGGCAAGACACAACGACTACGGCCACGACTACCGTCGGGGCCCTGGTACGAGGGTGTATGGGTTGACTGGCACGAGACACCTTGGCGGATGCATTACTTCTACGTACCGGTTGTGGGCCAGCGGGTGGCAAAGCCCAAGAAGCGATTGCGAAGCAGTAGTGCCGGCAAGGCTGCGCCGGCGCAGCAGCAAGAGGCTAGCAGTGGCGACTACGACGACATCGAGGAAGCACCTGGGCGATACAAGGTATGGGGAATGACAGCGCGCATCCTTGTGGACGCGGCTCAGCTGGCATATGACGAGCGGCCTGAGTTCGAGCACAACGCCCACTTTGGTGACGAGCGCATCCTCGAAGGCCTCGAACAGATGGGGCGGCTGGGCGAGAAGCTACGGAAAGAGCTGACCAATAAGGATGCCAAGGATGCGAGCAAAATGTGAAGAGACGGTAGCCGGGGAGGGTCTTTTTTATTTTCCATTGCATAAGCCATACATAGACAAAGACACATATGCTAATGCAATCAAATATCGACGGCAAGCCAGAGAATGGACAATTGAGCGTCTCAGTGGCCACATTCCGAGTCCGCCCTTATCTCATGCAGAAATGTTATACTGCTTTGCTCGGCGGCTGCCACTCCCATCTACCCTCAGTTGTTGTCAGCCTGCTGCTCGACCCCATTTGGCTCAGCGGCGGCGCCGAGTCCTACTGTCGTCTCCAACAGAACCAACTCGACGTCTGGTTCTTTCTAATGGCATGCCGTCTCCTTGGTTACCGTCGTCGAGCCGCCGAACAGGAGGTAGCCGAGGAAGGCGCCCACGGACACCGAAATCATCACCCAGCCATTGTATGTCATGAAAATGAGCCTGTTTTGTCAGCCTTTCACCCTGTAATCACCCACCTCTGGTCCATTTCATTGTAACGAAGCACTCACATGATCATGAACGCGTAAAAATTTTGCACTCCATAGAGCATAGCTTTGATTATATGCGCTCTCTTAGCGATTGGCGATTGAGCCATTCCTGTGCGCAGGATAGGCGTAGTCTCAGTATCTTGGTCATCGCGTTCGTGATCCTCGTCTTCTCAGGCTTAGTGGTGTGTGTGGTGTATGGGGGGGCGGGTAGTAACTGGGCATGGGAAAAGAATCGCAGAGGGCGACAGTACAAAAAGGGAGCGAGATGACAGAGAATAACGTGTAAAGAAGGTAGGCACTTACGCGGTGCCGTCTCTGTCTGTCTGGCCGTCTTCGCTTCGTAGCGCCGCACGCCCTCTCGCAGGGCCTCGTAGCCGGCACTAAATGCCACGATGGCCAGAAGCGATACCAAGAGACCGAATGTCGAGCGGACATGCCACCAGCGGAAGACGACACATAGGTTGTTCGTGTTCCATGTGAAGAGCATCTGGAATCGGTCAGTCGACCTTTCAGCTTCGTACTAGAGCTAGTCTGAAGTCCAGCCACGGTGACAAGCTTACGTTCATGCTGCACCTGTCACCCATATGCATGTCCATAGCACTGGCGCCATGGTGGTGTGCGTGGTCCATCGTGTAGCTCAAAGATAGGAGTATCAAGCCCCAGAGATGCGTTCGATATGATGTCGGATTTCCGTCTGCCTTGATCGAAGAGAGAGCGACGTCGGGTTTGAATGGGAGAGCGGACAGGGAGGTGAACGTGTGAGGCAGTTTTGATTGGCTATAAAGACTGTGTGGAGTTGAATACTCCGTAGAAATTCGCGATAAGTCCACTTGCGTGGGTTTGTGCCAATGTTGAAATATGCAGTATAGAAAGTAGGGAGCAATATATTGCGTTGCCTTGCGGGTGTTTATGTTTTGGATAGAAGAGCAGCAGAGCGTATATCAAAAAGCTTGTGCCCTCAAAGGAAGCTGCGACGGACAATCAATCACGTGAGAAGTCTAAGCTGTTTCGAAAGTGCAGGGGTTTGTGGGCAGGTTGAGACATGGTATCATTACCCAGTCTGTGTCATTTTGACGAGCCATGGACACAGAAAAAGTGCCCGGTGCGTGACTGCGTCTTTCGAACTGAAGATAGACTATTACCTAGCAGCGCAAGCTATGTTGCCAACACGTATCAAAGACAACTCTGCCTTAGCCTATTACAATCCTTTGCGCGTATAGGGGGGCACTACTCCGTACTACGTAATTCCGCTGTACTTCGTACATAGTACTCTGACGATCGCTTAGCAATCCGTCTGTTAGCGAGACCGGAGTTTACGGGAGGGGAGGGGGAAAAACCGATGTCAGAAGTGGCAGGAGAGGGTGCGAGAAGATATCCTCATGAAGGACTGAATCTGCCCGCCAAAAGGAAGTCGCGGTTAGAAGTCCTCAATCATGCTCGCATCGCCAGTAAATCTGCCCAAGTGGTATGTTCTGTGGATGCAGATGAACCCCCCTGGCCAAAAGAAAACTGGCTGACAATCAGTAGGCTAGATGAGAACTCGCACTTGTTGAAACCGCCTGTCAACAACTATTGTGTCTACAACGAGGACTTCACCGTAATGGTGCGTTTACGAATCTATGAGTCCCTGACAGGTTCCTATACTGCGCTGTGTGCCGCCTATTGATTCTCGCCTGATCTGTAGATCGTCGGTGGCCCTAACGCCCGTACCGACTACCATATCAACGAGACACCCGAGTGGTTCTACCAGTACAAAGGTGCCATGGTGCTCAAGGTTGTCGACACGGACGGCAGCTTCCGCGACATTATCATCCGTGAGGGTGACATGTTCCTGCTGCCAGCAAACACCCCCCACAACCCCGTGCGCTTTGCCGATACCGTGGGCGTCGTGTTGGAGCAGCGGCGGCCTGCCGCATCCACGGATCGGATGCGTTGGTACTGCGCCCAGCCCCAGTGCCGGGCCATCGTGCACGAGGCTGCCTTCCACTGCACCGACTTGGGCACACAGATCAAGTCTGCTGTTGAGGCCTTTAGCAGCGATACAGAGGCCCGGATATGCAAGACGTGCGGCACTTTGGCCGACTGGGCCCCGCCGCTGGGCTCCATTGCAGATCCCAACAGGACATGAATGTCGATGGAGGAGGGATGGCACAGAGAGCGAGGATCCGCTTCCTATTCGTAGCTGGGAAAAGTACATGTCTCTTTCTTTGCCTTCTCATTTACGGTTTATCAGCTGGGTGGCTTGGCTCCCGGCTATGTCTGACAAGACTCGTAATCACCAGTCCCACCCACAACGGGCACCTCCAGCTTGGCTTCCTCAATTTCCTTTCCATTTACGCGAATGCCGCCGAGCATCACGTCACCGGGGACAACTCGGCCAACACCCTTTGGCGTCCCCGTTAGCACGAGGTCGCCAGGCTCCAAGGCCATGACTTTGGAGATGTCGCTGAGAAGGCGGGGGATGCGAAACAGTAGCAACTCAGTAGAATCCTGCTGGCGGATCTCGCCGTTGACTGTAAGATACAGCTCGATATTATGTGGGTCGGGAATGGCGGCCTTGGGGATAATGTGGCTCAGCGGCAAGAATGTGTCGAAGCCCTTGGCAATGTCCCAGGGCAGGCCCTTCTTCTTGGCCTCGTTCTGGACGTTACGAGCGGTCATATCAAGCGCAAGCGCATAGCCTATAAATTCGAGTGCACGGTCAGCACCGTGAACAATTCCCGAAAGCTTTCAATAGGGAAACGCAGCTGGCGTAGCTATGAGACTTACTCTCGATGGCGTCCAAGGCGCCCTGCTCATCATCTGGCTTCAGGTCACGCACGGTCTTGCCAATGATCAGAGCTAGCTCGACTTCATAGTGCAGATCGATACCCTTGGGCTGGACACAAGAACCGCCTGGCAAGACAATGGATGAGGGCGGCTTCAGAAAAAAGAAAGGCTGTTTTGGTCTCGCGTTGTTGAGCTCCGTTATATGGTCGCTAATAGGCAAACACAAAATCAGCAAGGGATCCGAACAAGACACTGTAGCTAATGCGCGGATTGGTATGACTAGTACTTACGCATAATTCCGCCCAATACAGACAATCTTATTGGACTTCTTGAGCGATGCTAGCGAGGTCGTCATGGTTGCAAAGCCGCGCCGAAAACCATTCATTTTGAAAATAGTGTCAATTTAAAGAATTGCTGGATTCTTTATACTACAGCCACAAGCCCAAGTCCTTAGTATGACCAACTGATTAAGATCCGAGTGTCACACAGCTCAAGATTCTAGGCGGCTCCTAATTATGACAGGATGTGAAGAGGAGTGGTAGACAATTGAGACATCGCGCATAGATCTAGGCCGGGATGCTTGGGAAATGAGGTAGAAACTAAGCGAGAGCGCTGATTGGCTCTTAAAAGGGGGGCTTTTCATTGCAGAACGGGAACCTGCGCTGATTCGGCAACGCGTGAGTAAAATTATGTAGTAAAAATTTTAGTGACGCCACAGGCCGTGCTAGTGGACCCCGCAATCGTGCCTCAAGATTTCTACTTGACAACTTCTCGTAAAAGATGCGAGCCCACCGCTCCATATGTATGTATGTACGGAGTACGACGTAATAGTACCGAGTATCTTATCTTGCATACGGAACACTCCGTAAAAGCTGCTTGCTCGGAGTCTCTTATTTCATCAACTTAAACGCACTCGCTCAACTATATCAAAGGCATCATCCACAGGACGCGGCCCCCGCTCAATCCTCCATTAACACTCCGACAGCACGACCGCTGTGACAGCCACACTAATTCCCGGGGGTGTTTTGAACTCGAATTTCCCCTTTTCTCAACATGGAAACGTTGCAGCTGGCGCAGATGCTAGCGGATCTAAGCAACTTGAATGCCACTGTAAGCCATACATGTCTCCCAACGTAGAGGTAGACTGGATCTGCTTACAGATCCATAGGATCCTCATACTACCGATTCTCTATTCGATTCCAACAAGACCACCGCTCAGCGTCCGTCGGATGCCATCATATCCACGTCTGTTCCGACTGCCCCTCAACCTCACAATTCTACACCGGCTCCGCAGTCTATTCAGCTCCGTGATTCGTTGACAACGGCTCCGGAACAAATTTCTGCCTCTTGGCCCTCATCACCTCCTCCTATAACCCGCACTACCGGCAATCCTACTTCCTTCGACTCTAACATTAGCCGCCACTTGCTTTCAACACCCATACCGAGCTCAAGTTCGCTCCCAGGAACTCCACATGGAGAGGTAAGAAAGTACCATCAACTTCCGATTGTCTCATGCTTACAATCAGACTGATACCGACATTGATCGCGCATCGGCGCTTCTGGCACTATACGAGCTTCGCGCCAAGCTGAAACAGTACAACGATAACAACAGTCTTCAACTGGCTCGCGAGAAGATTTTCACCTTATCTACACAGAGGCAGAAACAGCAAAATACATATCAACCTAGCAAAGGGACTGCACCATCCACTCCAGTTCTGCAACCACCTTCTCTCGGCCGACAATATACTCAGTACACACACCCACACATAAGCTCGAAGTTACCACAATCCCCACCCCACCGCTAAAAGAAAAGTCACAAACAACGCAAGGAGTAACGGTGCAATCTCATAGCATATCGGGAAACCGTAGTGCTTTTTTCAACGACCAGTGCATTGACCTTTGATGGCCGTATGCACAAGATCACGAAGTCTATGCTCGAACTATAACAAAATATCTACTCGCTCTCGCACTTTCATAGGAATCTGCTTTAGGGAAGATTTGTGAACTTGTTCCCCCCCTAGCAACCTTTGTTCTCCTCTAGCTATGTGCAGAGAATTGGCAATGTATCAAAGTGGTCAAGACCAACTTTGCAGCCGTTGCTCTCGCTATTTTCTTGTGCCCCTTAAAAAACTAAAAGGAGATGGCGTTCTTGGGGTGCTCCTGATAATAAGGTTAGTCAAGCGAGTTATAAACCCACAGTTGACATAAATGAAAGTAAATTTGCCGGTGCTTAGTGAGTTTCGAGAAGAAGAAGCGCTTTATATCACTGGCCTTTTAAAACTGGCAGTGCGCTCTGCTCCGGAAATAAGCATCGAGTGCCTTCCGCCTTGAAGTAAGCTATCTTATCTATAAACTCCCGCTTTCTAAGAGATGTGGCTTCTACTCCGTGTACCACTAGTCTGTACGCGCAGTCGTCTGCGCAAATACCAGTGTAAGACCCGTACGGTAATCCTTGTGGGATATTCGTCCGGACCAGTTGCACGTATCGTAGTAAGCTCTAAGGCCTTTCAGAAGATCTAGTGATGATATTTCGTTGGGTGGTTGACTGAAGCTTTAGACTGTGCGCAATGTGCGTCCAGTCAGGGCTTCGTCTTATCTAGTGATTTCGGCGGCCGAGGTCAGGTGACCTCGGGAAATCCACAGAGAGCTTCGTACTTGAGAGGCACGTGACCTTGCCACAGGGACCCAGTCACGCGTTGGTGTGCAGCGTATTACTCCGTATTCCGTATATTAGAATAACCTGGCTTTTGGAGATTTCGCTAAAGTGACCGGCGCCGACCTTCAAATCTTCACACTTCCTTACTCTCCTCTTTTGAGGTGTCTATACCGGAAGTCTAGACCGATCACTTTACCATATTTACCATGGCCACAGGCGTGGATGCTAAGCTCCTCAAGAGCACGAGGTTTCCACCTATTTTCAATCAGAAGGTAGACATGCAAAAAGTAAACCTTCAAGTGATGAAAAAGTACGTCTAAGCTTGCGCTTCGCTTCTCGATCCGTTAACTCACCATGCTAACGCATCTACATCACAGATGGATTGCTGGAAAGATTGCCGCTATTTTGGGCAACGACGACGATGTTGTGATCGAGCTCTGCTACAATCTGATCGAGAGTTCAAGAAACGTACGCGCCACCACCCTTAAATCCTTATATATCTGGCCCTTCTCCGAATAAAGCTCGCTAACGCGCATTTGTAACATCAGCCAGATATCAAGGCACTCCAAATTCAGCTCACTGGCTTCCTAGAGTCGGAAACGCCTACTTTCTGCAACAATTTGTGGACGTTGCTACTGAGCGCCCAATCTAGTCCGCAAGGGATCCCACGAGAACTTTTGGAAGCTAAGAAAATGGAGCTTATTCAAGAAAAGGTGACATGACCCACAGTCCGATTTGAACAGCAAAGAAAAAAAAACACCTAGCTGACAACCGGTATTACCAGATCGAAGCCGAGAAGGCCGCAGAAGAATCTCGCCGAAAACACGAGGGCGGCGGGCGTTTTGACCGCCCGCCTCGAGGCGACGACCGTGGCGATACCTGGCGGGGTGGCGCTGGTGGTGGGCGCCGTGGCACGGAAACACAAAACGGAGGAGGAGGAGGAGGCGGAGGAGGAGGTTGGGGCAGGGACCGTTCTCGTTCACCTGCCGGCCGCGGACGTGATTTTCGTGAACGGGGCAGATTTCGGGCAAGACACGATCTCTACGTTCCCAGTGATCGTCGTGGCCGCGGTGGTCGGCGAGACGATGTCCGGCAGAGGAGGTCGCCTAGTCGATCTAGCTCCCGATCGCACTCACGATATCCGCAGCGGTCTCACTCGGACAAATCGACGTCTCGTTCTCGCTCCCGTTCTCATTCCCACTCTCGCTCGCGCTCCCCGTCACGGCGCCGATTGAGTACAGATGTCAGTACTGCAGCTGCTGGAAAGCGACAAAGGTCCCCACAGCTACGTGCTGGAAGTGACCGACAACGTGGGTCCTTGAACAGCCGATCACCAGCGCAAAAACGACGTCGGCGCTCTCCGCCGCCAATGGAGCCCCACAGCCAGCGTGGTAGACGCCAGACCAGCTCGGTCTCTTTGTCTGGCTCTTCCCGACGTTCTGCCAGCTCCGACAAAAAGGATTCGTCTCGGTGGCAGAAAGGGTGCGATCGCAACCGTGGCCGTAACCGTGGCCGCAGCCGTGGCCGCAGCCGCAGCCGTAGCCGTGACCGCAATGGCAGCACCTCTCTGGAGACAGGAGGCGGTGAGAGGCTGCGGCATCGTGGAAAGGCGAATCAAAAGACCCAGCACCGCCGTGGTGGCTGGAAACGTTCGCTCAGCCGCAGCCTGTCGGGGTCATCTGGCGATGGCACTGACTACAACAGACGGCGTTCTACTCGAAACGAAAATAGTCATGACGAGAATCACGAAAGAGACGAGCGCCCTGCGCGGCAGCAATCGCCAACAGGTCGGCGAAGAAGGATCAACACTTCTTCCGTTTCTTCACGTTCAAAATCACGAGACAAGTCTGCTGATGTTCTCGACAAGGATGACATACCCGCCGCCACAACGACCGTTCAACCTGCCATTGCAGCGGCCACCACCATGTCTGCGGACCACGAACCGGCATCTTCTGCATCGGGCCAGCCACAGGTACGTCCGCTATCCTCTCAGACTGTAAGTGTTGCTTTCGTAAGCCAAACTAAAATTCCCATCTGCATAGGCCGCGCAGCGATTGGTAAACGAAAAGCGCGAAAAGGAGCTGAAGGAAAAAATCAAGCAGATGAGATCTCGATGAGTGGTCCTAGCAGTACCTGACAGCACTAACACATCAAAGCTTTGTCTTTTCCTATTTACCGCACTTTCTAATCTTTCCTGCTACAATAAGTTCTGGCTCTGCGGCTCGATACTACAACTAAAAGGGTGGATAGCGTAAACTAATAACTCAAACTATTTGCTTAAGATAAAAAGGGTTACACGTATTGTAGCTCTTTGTTGTTCGTTCTGTTCGTTTTTGTTATAAGCATCTCGTGCATGGCTATGCTTGAAGATGAAAAGGAAGGGACATATTAGCGTTAAAGTCGATAGAGTACTCTACTCCGTGCGGAGTAGAATTTTATTCGTATACGGAGAACTCGTACGAGTACGGAGTAGACTATTATTCCGTACGGAGTGCTCCGTATTACTCGTAAAACATATTAAAGGTGATAGGATATGACTAAGCAGCCCATTCTCTTATCGATAATCGCCGATATTCTAGACTAATTTCCTTTCCCGAATATGCGTCTTCTTTCACGCGACTTTCAGCATGGCAGACAAGCCACACAATACAACCGGCGTTGTGGCCGATGTACCGGGATTACCTTACTATGAAAAGTCGCGGCAGCACCTTAAAGAATTACTTCAGAGAAGGCGGCAGCTGGAGAGACAGCTTGTGAGTCTTAATCCAGACCTGTATTGGAACAAGTCTGACTAGCTGCGGCATAGCACACACGCGAGGAGTCCATCCTTCAGAAGGAGACAGATTATCTTGACAACACACCGAGCGGAAACATTATCGCAGGGTTTGATAACTATACAAAGGGTACAACGGGCACCGCTGCAGCGCGGCGCAAAACGGGGATAACCGAGTCAAATCGCGTCTTCTCACGTAGCAGCATATCCTACAACACTGCTGCTGGCAATTCCGGCTCATCATCATCGCACCCGCCCACCCCTCTGCAGACGTCGTTCAAAGATGGAGGCATCAGCAGCGGGCCTGGATCCGGGCAGGCGACGCCAACATCAGCATCGGCTGCCAAGGCGCCACATGGTATTAAGAAAAAAAAGGGACTAACTGCAACGGCAGCGGCAGCTGCGGACGACAGTGAGACGGACACACGTGAGACGACCAAAAAAGTACGGACGAGCTTCGGTGCTGTGCGGAAATAATAGAACCTGGGACGCCGAAGATACGTTAGCCGGTAGCCAAGATTTGATTGAGTATTGCAGTTAATGGGCTCGAAAAAAGAACCAGTCTTTCTGTACATGTCCGCTGTTGGGGGCCGGACATAGTACACATACCAGCGCGAGGTATTCTGCTTTTCACATGTGGCATTCTAAGAACAGAGCTACATGAGGCGTTACAGTACTAACTAGCCGGTAGGCACTAGATGTGGCTTGCTGTATTATTCATCAAAGGAAACTAAGTGAATTCGCCTCGTGTGTCATGCCACGAACAATGCTCTAAGTACTATGGTATCATATTTGCTCAGTGGACGCAGTAAATATACTCGTAGTGCGTTCGAAGATGGATATACAAACACGTGGCGACATTCGACATTTGGGGTCCTCATCAGGCTACTAAGTACGAAGTAGAAACGTGCAATCCATGAAGCTCGTTTTAGCGGCCCCTCCTCTAGTAGGCAAGTGCGGGGCTTTTCGTCGATGCAACCGTTCTTGCTTGCTCCTTCGATTTATATGAGATGATGACTTTGCTCGTAACATAACGAAGTGCTATTAAAGCAGACGTCGTACCAACAAACCTAACATTGTGACTAAGCAGCAACAGGATTTTACGCCAATTCTGAGTGTGGAGGAATCTTTTTTTTTTCAGATCATAACTTTCTACCCGTCCTACTTCAACGTCTGCAGCGATGGTTCTCAAAGCGACAAAGTTCACGCCCGAAGTGCTTCTATCGGCCCCACGCCGCTCCGCCGGTGCTCCAAATTCTACGGGGAAGAAGGTCCTTTACACGGTAGGAAACCCCCTTCTTAGTATTGGGTTAGTGCGTATCCCTAGCTGACAAACACAGGTATCGACATATTCCTTCCGGGAGCACCGCAAGGCGTCCCAGATCCGCGTGCTCGATGTTAAATCGGGCGAGTCCACCGTGCTGTATGAGGACCCCGCCTACACTGAGCCCGTGTGGATAGGATCGGACGAGTTTCTCTTCCTCAAGGCCGGCGATAAGGGGACTACCCATTTACTGTTGGGAGATGCATCTCGACCCGGTAGCCCGCCCACAGGCATTCGGACTTTTGACGGTGGCTTATCTAACCTCAAAGTGTTGCCCCTTTCCGACGGCGCCATCGCTATTGCCCTCACCGGACTGTCGGACAAAACTGGCCTGCTTTTCAACCCGGACTCTGACGCCGAAAAAGGCAAGCCCACGCACACGACTGCACGCGTGTACTCCAAGCTTTTCGTTCGTCATTGGGATGCCTACGTCACGGAGAACAGACAGACTGTTTGGTATGGCCGCCTTGAGCGAACGGGCGAAAATTCTGCGAAAACGTCAGGGCGATATAGTCTCGTGTCGAATGGTCAGGCCAACGGACTTACCAATGCTCTAGCTGGCACCAAGCTGCAGTCACCGGTGCCACCGTTTGGTGGCTCCAGTGACTTTGCTCTCGGCCCACACGGCATTGCTTTTGTGTCTCGCGACCCGGCCTACAACGAGGCTATCTACACAGTCTCTAACCTCTATTTTATCCCCATAAAAACATATGCCGAGCCAAAACCCCTTGCGCCTCCGTATGCTGTCAAAACAGGCGCTCTTGCCGGCTACAGTGCCGGTCCCGTTTTCTCGCCCAGTGGGAACAGTCTGGTATTCTCGCGTATGCGCAGTCACCAATATGAGAGCGATAAGCCTCGCCTTTTGTTGGTGCCAGAGATCGAAAAACTCGGTGCAGACATTATTGGCAAGAGCGACGAGTTTGAGTTTTACGAGACCGAAGATGGCGTTGGTGCTTGGGATGCTCGACCCGATGCCGTTGCTTGGAGCGCCGACGGCGCGGAGTTATTTGTCACGGCCGAGCACCATGGACGCAACGCGCTGTATCGCCTGCCTTCAGACCCCAGGCATACCACATCCTTTGGTGCACCTCAGCTCCTTGTTGGTGGCCACGAGGTATTCGAGGATGAGAAAATTGACGCTTCCCACGATGACAGTGGTAGTGGCGTCACTGGCGATGAGTCTGTAGGATTCAGACGCCTGGGTGGTCATGGCAGTGTTTCTGATGTGCGGCTGCTTGCTAGTGGGATTGACGGTGATACTCGACTCTTCCTAAGCTTAAACTCTCTGGTTGACAACTCCTTTTTTTGCATTCTCGACCCAGAGCCTACGGCTGTCTCAACATCAAAGTTCCCACGAACAATTTTGCAGGCCGTGTCATCGCAGTCCCGCCATGGCTCAGCTTTCGGTCTATCGCCGAAACAAGTGGGCGAGATATGGTATAAGGGTGCGGGCAACTATCAGGTTCAGGCATTGGTGGTGCGGCCGTCAGATTTTGGTGCCGAAAAGAATAAGAATCGCAAGTGGCCGCTGGCATTATTGATCCATGGTGGACCCCAGGGAGCCTGGAACAACAGCTGGAGCACGCGCTGGAATCCTGCTGTGTTTGCAGAACAAGGCTACGTCGTCGTCGCGCCTAATCCGACGGGCAGTACGGGCTACGGGATGGCGCTCCAGGATGGCATCCGTAACCAATGGGGTGGGCTGCCGTACAAAGATATTGTGCGAGCCGTAGACTACGTGGAAGCTGTCTTCCCGTACGTGGACATTTCACGAGCCGTTGCTCTCGGCGCATCATATGGTGGCTATATGATGAGTGAGTGTGATACTCCGCCCGATCTCTTGTATTGACAGTCTTCTGACTTCGACCCTTTCAGACTGGATCCAAGGTCAGCCGCTGGGCCGTCGCTTTAAGGCTCTTGTCAATCATGATGGTGTCTTCAGCACGCTCAACCAGTACTCATCAGAGGAGCTTTTTTTTCCGCTCCATGATTTTGGTGGATCACTCTGGGACAATCGTGCCGGTTATGAACGGTGGGACCCTGCCAAATTCACCGACAACTGGGCCACGCCTACGCTTGTACGATGTCTCTCCCTTCCCTGCTACTTATGCATTTATCAGAATGCTTGTTACCATTCCCAGGCTAACCAATGAGATCATTCACAACGAACTTGACTATCGCCTTCCCGTCACTGAGGGACTGGCTGCATTTAACGTACTTCAAAGTCGCAATATACCAAGCCGGTTTCTCTCATTCTCAGACGAAAACCACGTGAGCATCCAAATTCGCCAGCTTCTGAGAAGAAACACAGTAAGAAGGCTAACATTTTGTTCGTCCAAACAGTGGGTTCTAAAACCAGAGAATTCACTCGTGTGGCACAAAGAAGTGCTAACCTGGATCAACAAGTACGTCGGTGTCGGCGACGAATTTGAAAAAAAAGCGAACGCTGCCAACCTGGTTGGCAACATGGCAAATCTCGATCTCCCGCAAGTGGAGCGGGAATGACGGATCGAGCCAATGAACCCTTCTCAACTATCTTTGATGTTCTCGTTACTTCTCTCATTCAGTCATGTCAAAGTCGGTTATGTGTCTCGTGTGACACAAGGATAGCTTCTCTGTTCAACCTCTGAATCACAACAGGTTTGGGGTAGCAATGCTTGGGTCTTTTGTGCCTCTCTCACATGTTACTTTTCTTCCAGACTTCGAACCCTCGAAAGCACATGTTTCAATTATTACCTAGCCTGAACAGTGCAAATCATTCACTTCTTATCTAGATGTATAGGAACAGTCCTCTGCTGCATTGTCCGAATCAACGCCACAACATCCCGCCAAACCAGTCCCTCTCCAAAGTTTATTACGTGTTTGGCTCGTACTCCTAGACTTGGGTGTACGGACTTTGGATAAGCTTCGAGCAACTTCTGCTGCATGTATGTCGCCCACGCTGGATCTGGGATCCCGTCCAGGAAGCTCCATATAAACCGCCGCTCAGAGCGTGGTTTAGTACTGTTATATTCTTTGGCAAACTTTTTGGCGTGTGCAGCAAACGCCCTCGTGGCAGCCCGTCTTGAGTCGGAGAAAAATTGATTCCGATGGCCATTTGCAATTGGCGTAACTTGGGTTCCACCCCCATCTTGCTTCTTTGTCGAGGCTGGGATAGCCGCATTCAAACTTTTATTTGTTTTCTTTGTGACATCCTCAAATATATCGTCCGATGGCCCACTCTTGCCTTTGATATTGTGGTTTTCGTCCTGAATCTGGCTGACTCCTCGAAGTGGCTGGATTTGGGCCCCCCCTGCCAGTAGTGACGGCAGTGATTTTCGTATATCTTTACTTTCAACATCCTGCAAGTCATCGGGGGTGTTGTTGTATTGCCGGATAGAACTTGGCTCTGTAGTTGGCATGCTTCTAATGCTGTTCAGTGCCTTTCTGGGTCGTAGTACAGCATCGGACGCATATTGCGTTGTCGGTTTTCGTTCGGCACTTCGAACCTCCTGAAAGTTTGATATCAAGCAACTTCTCAGCCTTCTAGACTCTTTTGAAAGATCATTCTCCGTATATTGAGGGTGTGCTAGGTTGCTGTTCAAAGTTTGCTGTCGTTTTGAAGGTGGCTCGAAGTCCATCATGCTACTTAGCACTCGAGGTCTAACCGGCAGGCTACTCCTTGGTGGACTCTCCAGTCGTCGTTTTCTAAGCCGAACATATGCGTCTGACGTCGAGGGTTGCTGGCTGAGTGTGCTGGTTTTAATGTACGGGGGCAGTGACGCTTCCATGTCCACCGACGAAGCGGACATTTGCGCGAGATACTTTTGCGTGATACCCAGCGCTGGAGCGAGGCTTTGACTTTGTAGCACTAACCATGAACATGGCTGTTAATAATGTCCATGCCAATATTGGGAGGATACTGACAATCATCCTCACCTCGGGCATAGTCTGTGTCAGGTTGGCCACTATCTGGATTTGACATTGCTTGCCAATTATGCTTCAATTCCTCGGGCATCAAATTTTGTAGCTTGATCAATTCGACTTTGCGATCTTGTATACTTATTTTCGAACTTTCAATTTCTTCCCGCCGATCGATGTTCAACCGCACAAAGTTCCGCGCCTCCGTCTCCAAAGCCTTGATTTTCTCTTCTTGAGCTACCAAGCGAATTGATTGCCGTATAGTGGTTATCTCCAGCTTGTCAGTTTTTTCCTGAAGTTTCTTATGTGTGTCCCGAAAAGTCTCCAGAGTTTTCAGCCTCTCACTCGCTTCTTCGATTTTGGTCGATTCCAGCAGACTCATAAACTTAGAGAGCTTGGATTGACACCCGCTTTCGTATTGCAGCAGGTTATCGACAGCCATGTCATCTTTTGCTCTGATCTTTCGGTTGGCATCGTCTATCTTTGCGTTCAAGCTCGTCATGCTTACGGCGAGCCTGGCGGATACATCGGATAACTGAGCATTCAAATTATTGACTTCGTCATCTAGCTTCTGGTGGAGGCGGTCCAGTGCAACACCCATCTTATCACTGCTGCCAGCACTTGAGTTGTCCACTTTCTCGGAGAATCTTTGAAAGTTGAAAGCGGGTGCTGTATCCCAGAACGAGCGCATCTGCTCCTGAAGGGAGCCGAAGTTCTGTGCATGCTCATTGATTGTCTTTTCAATCTCCTCGAATTTGAGTTGGGCCGTGCATTGGAACGAATAGAGTTTGCTCTCGCTTTTCGTCTCTTGGAACTTTCTGAGAAAGTATGTCGCCAATCTGTCGACCGGCCCTTTACCAAGTCCAATTGCTGGTGTAACTGCCATTGCTTCTAAAGGCGATCTATCAAAGTAGGTGATCGCCGATTGGCGGGTTGCGAATATGTTCAAACGTCTTGCCAAAACGGATAGTGAAAGTGATAAAAGTAAAAATGAAAGACCACAAAGCGAATTGATTGAATTTTCTCATGCAAGGGAAGGAGCGCTAATATGATAGAGCCGTACCTGCCTCGTCTGCCAAACAGCGGCATTATGATGGGGGGAATGCTTATCATGCAACATCTTTCACCGGTACGCCTTCTTCTAAATAAAGGTTCTCTGGAACTCTGCGATTCTTGCTTGTGAAGGGGTGGAAAACATAACGACAAAGAGACAGAGTTTAGTATCAAGTTGGCACATTGACAGTGTCAAGCCTCGTTTCTTGTGCGTTTAGAAGGCTAGCAGGAGGAAACCTGCCTAATATTGTTTCTTAAGGCAACTACTCCGTACGACATCGTTTGTGTCTTAGCAAATATGAACAAGGCCTTCGTTGCATAGCGTTTTGGAGTTTTGGAAGCTTTAAGCTACTAGAGCTTGGGTCTACATTTGGTCTTTTTAAGCCGACGCTCTGGGTTCTGCATTAGGCGTTCACATTATGGCATCAAGCCTTCAAGAGTTCCGACGTTTCCGCCCTCTTTTTTCTCCCTATGTCTCTTTTGTTTTGTGTAGTTATTACATAGGGAGGTACTTGCCGCTCCTTCCCACTCCCTTCTGCTCCTAACTTGTCCCTGCAAATATATGCCACCTCTTTCCGCTATTACATTTCTCCCCATCTCGTCACCGCATAATTATCTTTTTACGGAATTGAAGGCACGTCGATGATACCTATGCGATACTTGCACGATTTAGCTGTGGCTACAGAAGAGCACGCAAGACATTAAGAACAATACTACATTCGTCGAGAAAGCTATATGGAGAAGCTACTCCGTACATATTCACTGTTGGCAATGCCTACGCACGATCAGCTAAGATGCCTTTTTAAACAAGAAGAATATGCAGGGGCTTGCAACTGATGCTCGTTGCATATGAGACAAAAAGGGCCCTGTTGAATCCAGTATCATTTAAGAAAAGGAGAATATGAAGAAGGGCATATGCTGGACAGTATAGGAGCACCAGCGCCGTGTCTTCGAGGCAAATTTGGGGGTTCTGGCGGCATGACGCGTCTTATTTCGGTAATCGGAACATACGAGTCCTGTGCTCCGTACAAAGTACGGGATATACTATTGGGTTCCATATCTACTACTCCGTACGGAGCGCTCCGTACGGAGTACGTATAGAATATATCAGTTTTAAAATGAGAGTTGCTATTTGCACCGTAAAATTTAGCTATCTGCACCGTATTCCACTGATAAGAAATATGGTACATAGGGTGGGCTTAACAAAAACTTAGTCGATTGGTTAATTTGTTCTGCGCTATACTAGAATAGGAATAGACTTTTGTTTTTGCCGTAAAAAAATTTGCTTACTATTACAGAGTACTTTTTATAATGTATCTTATAAATTATAATAATATTTACTTTAAAAGAAAGGATACTAGATACTAAAGGCAACCGCGTAAAGTTAGAATTCTTACTATATATTAACTAGCAGCTTAGACTTATAGTATAACTAGCTTTATCTAAATTTTTACTATAGGTTTTTATTTATAGTAACAATTTAAAGAAGGGCGGATATTTTTGTTTATTCTTTAGTATTTTATTTGCCTATAGAGTACAAAGTATAGAGTATAGAGTACAGAGTACAGAGTACTTAACTAGACAACGGTGCAAGAATATTATTGGCTAAAAGTAGATTCATATTATGGGTCCTTAGGGGTGAAAGCAGGGACCCACCCTATGTATCATATCTCTTATTAGTGAATTACGGTGCAGATAGCCAACTTTTTTGTGAAGGTTAAAGGAGGCTATACGTGGCGGTCATATAACGTGATGCACTGTGAGGAGCAGGAGGCTGAATAGGGTCTAGTGTGGGCGAAAGTAGTGTTGTGTACGGAGTACTAAGGAAGAAATAGATACATCGCGACCCTTCTGGGGATCCGTATTGATACTAGTGCCAGGACCCGCTTTTTGTTCCCTTCTGACCAATCACAGGCCAGTACTGTCAAGTGGGGCGGAAGGGTCACAGTGTGGCGGATTCCAATGCTTGACACTTTTACGGTGCAAATAGCAACTTCTCTTTAAAAATATCCACCTTTTTAGAAGGTTACTGGAATTTTATTATTCAAGTTTAGAAACTACGGACTCCAGGACATGGGTCAGCCTTTCTGCAGTCCACACAAGGATGCCAGACACAAAATACGTCCACGCACATATTCATACTCCGTACGGGGTACAGAACATTGATAGACAGGGAACAGTATGGACGGCAAGGCAATTATCGAGTTTGCCGCGTCCGGATCTCATCGCCGCTAGTTAAGAACATAACTTCGTTAAGAAGCGAGCAACAACAGCTGGCAAGGCCGATGGTCTGGTTGGGCAATCTGCCGGCATCAAGCTGGAAGACCCCAGTCTCGGGGTGTGCGCAATTAGTGAGGACAACCCTGCCTCACATCTCGCTTTCTTTTCTTGGCTGACAAGTGGTTTCACTCTGACGGTAGCACGCGCTGCTTTTCCCGCAATCACAACCTTTACAAACAAGTGAACTCTCCACAACCGATCCTCGTCGAAATTCTGCAGACCGAGGACAGGTCTCTCGTTGTTACCCTGGAGGCCCCCTGTACTGAGGTCTTTACCAGCTGCGGCGCCGCGCCGGATGGCAGCTTCTTGACAGCTGTCCGCACATCCCGCGACTGCGTTGATGAGCCTGCATCACCGTTGCTAAAGGCTACTACTGGCTATCACGCGGCAGTAAAAACTTTGGAAATACATAAAACGCCGGTGGGTCGGCGGTGAGTGATGATCAAATAGACAAGTCGAGGGGCAAATATGAAAGCAAAGACGAAAGAAGGACGTGAATTTGCTCTGTCTTTGTCCCTCCCTGTTTATAAACTTGGCAAGCGTCTGACCTGCAGTTACTCCGTACGGAGTACATATCGCCGACAACATTTCCCTACGACGTATCTTACTGCGCAACGGCCGCTAGGCAGCTAATCTGTACCAAGGATAGTTCCAAAAAGTGGCGAGGCACAGCCATGTGGATTATTACTGTAGACCCACTAACGGGCTTCTAATGACCGAAACCTGTGTAATTATGAACCAAGTACTCCGTACTCCGTACTCCGTACATAGTACGCGTAAATAGTACGCATCGACGTGCCGGCTGGTTGGGCTTCAGAATACGGATTTCTGCGAGTTGATGAGACGGGTCGATGACTGGCCGATCCTTGAAGACTACGGAGTGGGCCTAGCCAATATGCTTGTTCTTACTCCTACGGAGTACATAGGTAACTTACACTGTAAACAATAAGATGATAATTAGATACATACGCGGCTTTCAAGACACTTGTGCAAAGGATAATTTATAAATATACGTACCTGAATCTTACCTACTATGTATCAAGGCTACTCCGTACGCCGTAGGGGCTGCTTTACTCGTACGGAGTCTTGATTAGCACGGAGCAGGTTTCACTTCGACTAGCGACTGTCTTTTTCAGGCACCGCCACCACATTGACCCACCAAAACTAACTTTAAACTGCAGGTGGGTATATCCAACACTGGGATGGCAAAAAAAAAAAAAATACATACGGAGTAGAATATACTATGTACAAATACTCGTACTGGCTGCTCCTCTTTTCATCTCTAAAAGCGGATTTTGGCGAACCAGAAAAATAATATGGGGCAAACCAATGCCTGAATGGCAGCCCCTTGCGGATTTACCTCCTGTCTGCACCACACCGCATTACACTATGTATTTCATCGCCTGATGAAGTAGCAGCATAAAATAAGCCTCCCTCAACGCTCTCCACCGCCCTTATGCTAGCCGAGGGCGGGCCCTTGATCTTTCCGCTGGCTGCCTTGTTCTGTAGCGTCCGCGTCGTACTCCGTCGAATTTTAGCTTGAAATCTACGGAGTAGGCTGTTTGCTTTCTCGCCTGGAACCAGTGATATTAAAAAATGGTCCTGTTTCTGCCATAGTCTTAATACAGATCCCGCCCATTCCATTTTTCATCCATCACTCTCCTTTTCTTTCTTCTCCCTCAGCCATTTTTGGAACACTCTCACATTCATTTGCTTGCATATTCTCAGTCACTCCTTTGACCATACTACCAACTTGCTGTTGCTATTCTGTTTGTTTTAGACGCTGCCGTCCGTTCTGTCTTGAATTTACGACTCGTACATATACCAAGTTCAATATGATCTTCACTGCCGCCTCCATTCTCGCGCTGGCCGTCTCGGCGCTGGCCCAGACCGCAGGTTTTGACGCCATCTCGAAGCCGACCGATAATGAACAGCTGACCGCTGGCGACTCCTACGCCATTACCTGGGAGCCCAGCTCTACGTACACAGGCACTGTCTCCATTGCGCTTCTTGGTGGTGCCACTCCCCAGACTCTTCAAGTGTTGTCGACTATCTCGAGTAGGATTCTTTCTCCAGTCTATTTTTATTTGTCTTCAGGGAGTCCTGACTAATCAAACTCACAGGCGGTGTCAAGAACAGCGTTGGCTCGTACAGCTGGTCTGTCGGATCCGACCTGGGCACTCTGGAGACATACGGCATCCGTATCACCCTCGACTCGGACACGTCCGTGTTCCAATACTCGTATCCTTTCCACATCACCGCCAGCGAGGCTAAGAAGACGACAGCTACTGGCACCACATCGTCTAGCAGCACGGCTACTGTCGCCCTCTCCACCACGTCCTCCATTCTAGCACCTGTCACCACTGTTTCGACTGCTATTGAAACGAGCACTACATGCACCGCCAGCGCTTCGGTCTCTTCCGCCCCAGCGACATCTGCGCAGCTGATTGCCCATATCTACAACTCCACCGCATCGGCTCCCACAACTTTGGCCACGGCCGTGTCCTCGGCTGGCAGCCTGTACACTACCAAGTCTTCAAACTACACTAAGGTCGCCTTTACTGGCACTGCCTCTGCGAACCAGACAACCGCGACTTCCACAGTGGTCCAGGCTGGTGCTACTTCAAATGCGGCTAGCTTCTTCGCTGCCCTGGCTGGCGGCCTGGCCGTATCATTCTTCCTCATGTAATAGACACGTCGAATGAGTGGCGGTTTCGGGTCCGTTTTCTTCTCTTTCCCATCTTACTCCGCTTTCCTTCTGATTCTCACTACCATATTTAGTGTCTTGTGCATGGAGTGTTGGTGTTCTTTTTATACATTCTCAATTTCTCACCTTCTTGAGAAGGTTCTTGCCATATTCATTGTGTCTTTCGCATAATTGGCTCGTTGAGGGCTCTCGTTGGACTATGCGCAAGTGTCATGGCGGGTAGAAACAAAATCAGATTATTATTTGGAAAATGTACAGGACGCAGCCAATATGAATCGAGCATACTATAGGACAAGGCATTTAGTGCCCCTTCCGGTTGCATTATCTTCCTGGACAACTCTGCCCTAATCCATATTCACGACGTATGGCAAATATTTGGGTCGTCCTCGTAACAGTCATGTGCTAATACGACCCTGCCAAATCAAACGGGCAAGCCATATAAAGTGTCCGTAATCTACTCCTACTCTATCAAATCAGGAGACAAGCTCCCGTGTCTTTGAAGACCTTTCATATGATCAAAATCGAGGAAACATGCAGGAGACGGTGGCCTTTTCATTTTAACTGTATACAGGTGATCACTCTGCCAAAAAGAGCAAACGTGGAGGGCGTTAGCTTGTCAAAAATTATTTCGTACTGCTCAGCTGTCAGCAATCTTATATAATGAGATACTGGTTTCAGCATAACGTCGTACATAACACTGCCCATATAACCATACAGCTCTCTTCATTCTCGTAAAGTAGCCGCCAAAGGCACACTGCGAAACAGCAAAACACAGGAATTTCAACAGCAAACCAGATCGTTTAGAAACTATGAGATCTGGGGAAACAAGCTATCAGCAAGCATTAGTTCATACCCTTCCGCAGTACAGTGCCTAATTTGTGGATATATTTTCAAGTGTTTGACGTACACAGGAACTGCATATAGCTTCCGCAGTGGCCGTTTTGTTATGTCAAGACAGATCCTCGCTGTAGCTTAAAATCAAGCCGAGTTATGAAAGCAAACAGCGGCAATTGCTGCAAACAACGCCCTGCGTTTATCTGTTTCCAGGCTCACTCATTTGTCGTATTTGAGACCGAGCTAGAGAGTGGATGGAATGGCTCCCATGGAATGTCAAAGACTTCGGAAGCTCATCTGTTATCAGTGAGCTCGCTGTGGCACTGTGACTGCCTATCGGAATCGTTGGCATGGTCATGACGGGCGACGGAGTATCAACATACTCGACTCTTGTCGCAGTCTGAACCAATATGCGGCATGGCGGCTGTGGCCCCGTTAGAGAAGGTGGAGATGCGACAGAAAGCTGTTCGGTGTTGTTGTTTTGACGTTGCTCTTGTGGAGGCGATATTTGTGGAGACGTATACGCAAAACGTGGACGAAAATTTGAGCTATTACTAGCACACAGCAAAGGTGTCTGAGCTGGAATCAGTGTAGTTGCATTGCTGTCTTGATCGTCCCTAGGGTCGGCGTTGCTAATATCCGCGATTGCATATTGGTCCCTGGCTTTCCTTACTTGGCTCTGTGTCCCATCCACAACAAGCCACTCCCCCCTCTCAAGACAGTCTATCAACTCCGTGCCTTTGTGCTCGTTTATCGAGGTGGGCTTTTGATCGAATTGATCCGTGTGGTGCGAAGCACTTCCGCAAACAGAATTGTCGTTATTATTCCTAGAGCCAAGAACAGGATGGAGGCCATGTCTACTTGGACTGTGACGACCTGCTGTCATGGGAGAACGATAAGAAGACTTTGCACGTTCTGCAAAGCCACAGCGACTAAACAACGGACGATATGTAGCAATACAACCGGCGATTATGCAGATTCCCGGCTCGAGGATGGACCAGTCAGCCACGTTGCTGTTGAAAAGTTAGCACATATCTTTCTCTCTCAGTAACTAGATTCTGGAAATGACGGATATGGCATACATTGACTCGTATAGAAAATCCGTTGAGACACCAAAAGGGTGGACGTAGGTGATGCGGACAATGAGAGCAATGCCGGCACTGTATAAAGATTTATTAGCGTCTTAAATGTTGAAAAATCAGGATGGAGATGGAAAGTCTGACAAAAAGCCCATGCCCAACAACAAGGATAATGTGAACTTAGTTCCTTTGTTCAGTTGAACTTTCCATAACATAATCATCGGCATGAAACCCAATATCCAATCACAACAGGCGCTGATAGCCGAGTGAAAAACGGACACCAAGAAGATGATACGGGGATCAAGGCAGGTGCCTCGAGGTGCTGATGGAAACGGTTGCATCCAAAAGTAAGAGACGGGGTGGCATTGGAAAATCATAGTTAAGAGTAGTGGTAGTGTCACGGTCCAGAAGGCTGCGACTACCCCGATTATGATGCGTCTGTGCTTTTTTTGAACGGCAATGCGAAGCAAAAACATAGCGACCGACGTGCGACTCAACAATGTTAATGGGGCATACATTATTTCGCAAAGCCACCAGGAGCGAAGCCCAGTGGAAGCCTCTGAGGGTGACAGCCCATATTTGAGCATGCCCAAGCCTTCAACAACACCAACCAAGCCAGCTGTGGCATACCCCGTGTAGAAGAGCTATTGTAAAGTTAGGGTAAGCATCTAAGTATTAGAAGAACTAAGACGTACGATAGCACCGAGCATAAGATAGTCATCTGGTGAAACCTTTCTGATTATGAAAATTTTGACCCAGGCACGAAGGAGGCATGCAATCCATCCCATGGCCAAGAATATGATCAAAATAAGAAAAAGTGGCTCGGAACGTCCATACCCTCCAGCCATTGTCGCTAGTACTTGCTGGGTCAATACTCAAGGTAAAAATATATCTCCATAAGCTACCTGAAGTGAAAGAGAATGATTCCATATGTCGCAGATTTTAAGAAAAGAAGAAACGCAGGTTAGCAGAGAGCAGAGGAAAAGGAGTAGTTTAGTGAATGGTGCAAAACGAAAGATAACCGAGAGGTGAAAAAACGGCCGGTAGATTTTGTTGTTCTCGGGAAAGCAAATTGTATTATTATGGCCAACTCCTAGCAAAGAAGAGCAGCTGAGACAGCTATAGTTTGGCCGGCGAATCTCGGCGGCACTAGATCAATGTCGAGCTGCTCCGTCGTACCTTCCTCCTTCGGTACCGATTACATCTTGCCTGTTTTAGGTGTTGCTGGTTTAATTTCCCCAAAAAAGGCCAAAAAAAATTGGTCAGAAAATTATACAATTTCGCCTTTTATACTATCTCGCCTATTCAATTGGGGCGCACAGGACTGGATAAATCAAAAAAAAAAAAAAAAAAAAAAAGAACGGTCAGAGCTATATTTCTGCAATATGTCAAAGCACTTATCTTGATACAACCTTTCATGTGTAGGATGCGAGATCCCGACTAATCTCCAGATAGAATGCTGGCCAGTACGGAGTATGTGGCTAAAAATGCTTGGTAAACTTAACTTCGATGGTTTGTATGGCGTTTGCATCATATCGGTACCACATTTTGGTTGTGAACCAATGCTCTGCTAGCTACAGTTCTTACTACTATCAGAGTCTTAACTTATCCGCTCGGGGCTGGGCGGCCAGTATATCACTGTAAGTTACGGAGTATTTCATTATAATATATACTGAGTACGGAATACTTTATGCTAATACTCGACATTTTTCTCCTTCAGAAAAACAAACTTTTCGCCGGACATTGTCTCAACTGCCAATCCCTATACAATATTAAACTACTCCGTGCCCCAAGTGTTATAAACTTGTACTTCCGATTTCTCTGGATCGACACGTAAATATTGAAACTCCTTATTCTTAAAAACGTCAAATCCAAGATTATGATGATCTCTCCTCATCTGTCATGCTTACCCTTACCGACAGGAAGCCCCTCATCGAAAGCCAACTTATTAGTGGGTCTATTAACGGCAACCGAGGAGTGGGACAAAATCCTAAAACTATCGAGCGAGCAAGTGGTGGCCTGGTCCATCTGACACGGCTGCCCATATCATCATCCCGCTAATAATTTATTAGTGATATGGATAGTATTGGTGAGCTTCTGTTTGGCAATCGAGCCGACTCACTAGAACGAGCGGGGAATGCACTTTTGATATCATCTCGCATCAAAAGGTGGTTCGACTCATACCATATCCTCATCGTCCCTGTCAATTTTAGGCAAATGCCAATCCCAAGATGGCGGGCCGAAATCATCTCCTCAGACATATCATTTCCTCAGACATTAAAAAGGGCGAATACAAGCCTACCTCCAGCAGCAAAGACCTTGGTAAGAAAGAACTCGTTCGTCGAAACGATGAAAGCTCAGTTCATCGGTTTATGTACTTTTTTATCAAGACACTCATCCGCATCGAGGATCTTGATCGTCGTGGATGGCAAAAGTGTGGTCATTAGTACCAACAGCGATCCTTTCCTACGCCAGAACCGGATATGCGTGGAAGAATGCTACACGCCCTTGTCATCCATTGTTGTACAGCCGACATGAGCGTTGTCAATTCTTGGATCAAGGTTAATGGAATTGGTGCTTCGCTACAGCTGACAAACGAAGAGGCGACGGAGGCGGCTCGCCGAATCCACAATGCAGTAGACGCTGCCACTCTGGTCTCGGAGAGCCCGGGTGTCTACAGCGAAGATTACGGCGATGAGGAAAGCAGCGACGAAGAGAGCTCTGACGGGGACAACATTGCGGACAGCGCTGAGAACCTGTACTGATAACCCAATTTGGGCATCTACGGCTGTCCTGCCAACGGCACTGGCTGCCACTGCGGCTATGCTTTGAAGAAGTTGAACACCCTGCGTCTAGTTACCTTTATATCTCGTCTCGACGATTCAGGAAAAATAAAAAATAGAAATGTCTAAAGCTGACTTACCTTTGAAAGTCAGCAGCTGCAAGGCCCGCTACTTGATATAACCTTCCAACTTATATGCCTTCGGGCACAGACAGCCGTAAGGCCTCATCTCTTTCTTTCGGAAGAGGGAATTTAATTACCTTTTCGCATTTGGGCTTGCGAAGACTCGTTCGCCTTCGGGCTTGTGAACAACCAAACGTTGTGCAGATGTACTCTGCTTATTCACTTAAGGTGTTTCAAGTGAGCAAACTATCAGAGGGTGGGTTCGACTCCCTCGGCAATAAAACGTTAAATACATTCTATATCGCCCAGAATCTACGGACTTTGGTGGCGTTGGGAAAACTTTATAAGACGTTAACGTGGGCTTTGGTCGTATGATACAAAAAACGCTGCATGCGCTATAACGTGTGGAAGTGCGCAGGCCTCTGATCAAGGCTCACGCACATTGATTGCGTTCCTTCCATAGTCGATGGGAACGAAACAGGTGATTCATTCTTACTTAGGACAATCGTTGTATTGTTGGTGCCGTTTTACTACGACCTGGTGTAGAACTTTATTTTATAATCGTTGATATCATAATGAGATCTCATATTATAGACTCAATAAATCATTCTGCTTAGGATTGCTTATAATAGAAGAACAACAAATTTTGTATTTAGTATACTTCATCCTTTTTCTTTTCACTTTGAAACCCATCTTATGCAGCAAGATGGATGCTTACACACAATCCAGGATAGCCCCAAATGAACCTCACTCCCAGCACTACAATCTTGGCCCGTTTGTCGAACATGCCAGACACACCCACCGGCTCGTTCACCTTCGCGAGTTGAGCTTCCAAACAAAAGGCCAAATTGGGACAGACGCGAGGACTCTCCTTCCGGCCTCCGTTACGCCTACCGCAATACATTGGGCGCTTTATGATGGCACTGCAAACAGAGCACACCGGAAGTTGGTGCTTTATCGTTTTTTCTAGCAGGCTAGATTGCACGCGTGTCATTTCTGCCCGGAACAGACAGCCAATCTGTGGCCGGACAGTACGAGAAAGGCAAGCAGACCAAATTCGGATCCAGTAATAGCTGTGTCGCATCTGAAGCTAACAAATAAGAAAAGCATGCCGCTCATTCTCCTGCTATTAACTCCCCCGCTTTGCCATGATTTTATTACTAAGACAGCTCTACTTCTAGCTATAATACCGACTCTTTCAGTTTTGACAGCTCCGGCTTCCATTAAACCAACCGTCCGTTCGATTTTCGAGACAGCTCCCGCTTCTGCTACCCCGACCATTGCAGCTTTTCCAAACCTTTCCAGAATTTTCAACCTACCTCAACCACCTTCTTCGGACAGAAAACCCAACAAGCCGATAACCGCCTCCACCTTTCCTCTATAACAAGCCGCAAAGCTAATTCCACCATTCGCCTCCTGGCGCAGACAGCCACAAGGCGTCGTCGCTCGGTTTCACCTTCAAGCTGGTGAACTTTGAAGACAGTTCGGCAATATGGTCAACGTCTGGTGCCTCTGGCAGAGGGATGGGTTCAAATATTATAACAGTCGTGTACTTTAGGTCTGCCAAGCCTAGGGGTGGTTAATATGTAGATGAAATATAGAACACGATTCGTTGATCTGCACTTTTTCCGAAAAGAATTACTGCACTCATAAAGCACAGAAGAATGTTGGGAAACCACTATCCTCGATATCCTACCTACAAGATGCAGGGTCCATGATGCTGTTAGAATCTATGTCTGCCTAGGTAATTTCCATTTTTCTCATCACTTTCCAAGACGAGTCTAATGCTTATAACCGTTTAGGACAGAAGAGCTACATTTTTACAAATTGGCTAATCTAGATGTGCTCAAATTTTCTGCTTCTCTGAAATACCTTTCTACAGCCTAAGATACTTGTTGTTACCTAACAGATTACATCTTCCTTCACACCCGCTAATATTTCGGCACCACGTCTGAAGGCAAGGTTTGTTATATGCTGGCTAGATTGGCCGACTTTTACCCTACTATTTGTTAAGTTGTTGCTGCTGTTTATTCCACTATTATCTAGTTCTATATACAGAAAGTAGATAACGAAGCCATTTTCCTGACTATTTTCGGCCCGAGGTGAGCTTAGATAGAACTCTTCTGGGGAAACCCCTATCTTAACCCTTGTGAAGGGGGAGGTTGTCTACTATTTATAGAGTCATAGCGTCGTGAACTCACCTTCTTTTTTGTGCTTTTTGATTAGTTTTTTACTGTTTTTTCAACTACATGCCCCCCCATCATTGCGTAGTTCCCTTTTTTTAGGGTTGTTCTTCTATCTATGGCGACTTGTAGGCAGGCCATAATCGATACCTATTAATCATTCCTGACCACAAGTATATTCATTCGCGATAGGACGTGAACTTCAGTCTGTGTGTAGATGGTGTTTTTTTGTAGCTTTTTTGCTAGTAGCCTCTGCGTGCTACTTTCAAATAAAATATGTTACGATTTCTTTCTAGATACGTTGGATATTAAGAGGAGGTTCAAGTCTAACTTGGGATGATGGTATAATTGTGAATCTTGACAGAGGCTTTATGTACATGCCACATTTAGGAGCTAATACAATTGAACGAGAACCTGGGGCCTGAGAAGGCTAGTGCAACGGGTGAGGTGGAGAATTTGAAGAGCCTCGTAACTTGTCAACCCAATAAAGTAAGATCAGCTGAGTAATCACTTCAACATTGTCTTTCATTGAATTGAGGTAGGATGATTACGGAGACTTCAAGTACGTCGTATGCCAAGAGAATACAGTATCAGTCATTTGCTCTCCCGGTCTGAAAATACGAGGGGCATCATTGCTAAAAGCATCCCACTTAGGCCGTGTCTGGCCGCTTGTACGGAGTACTCCGTACGAGTATCCTGTCGCACTATTTTAGTGGGCCTAACGCCACTAGCAAAAGAAACCGCATTGTGTTTGATTTCATCATCCCCCATAAGTTCCAAGAAAAAATCACAAGGGTTTAGTTTTTGCTCTTTGTATCATCACTACAAGATAAATACATTTTGCAGATTGAATCTATAAAAATGGCATCGGCGGATACTAATACAGATCTGATCGGCAGCCAGTCGGTTGTCGAGCTGATCGGCCATACACCTCTCGTTCGGCTGAACAAGCTCCCACAGTCACTGGGCATCAAGGCTCATGTATATGCAAAAGTCGAGCTCTTTAATGCCGGAGGCAGCGTGAAGGACAGGATAGCACTTCGAATGATCGAGGAGGCCGAGAAGAGCGGCCGTATTAAACCGGGCGACACTTTGATCGAACCTACAAGCGGGAATACGTATGCTTCTTTTTTTGGCACTGCCGTATGTGCCTAGCTGTACTCCGTATCGTCTGCTAATATGTTATGTCTTGGGCAGCGGTATTGGCCTTGCTCTTGTCGGTGCTGTCAAAGGATACAAAACGATCATTACGTTACCAGAGAAGATGTCCGCGGAAAAGGTGTCCGTTTTGCGCGCCTTGGGTGCTACAATCATTCGGACGCCGACACAAGCTGCCTGGGATAGTCCTGAATCGCATATTGGGGTGGCACGGCGCCTGCAAAGGGAGATTCCGAATAGCCACATTCTCGACCAATACACCAATGTCGACAATCCGCGGGCGCACGAATACGGTACAGCAGAGGAAATCTGGGAGCAGACGAAAGGGCGCGTGACAGTCCTTGTAGCCGGCGCCGGTACAGGAGGCACCGTATCTGGCATCGCCAAGGGACTCAAGAAACATAACAAGGAGATCAAGGTTATTGCTGCCGATCCGTTCGGGAGTATTCTTGCTCAGCCAGAGAGCCTCAATATGGAGCAGGCAAACCTTCCCTATAAGGTTGAGGGTATAGGATACGATTTTGTTCCCGATGTGTTGGACCGCAGCCTAGTGGACAAGTGGTATAAAACAGACGATCGGGAGTCATTTCATTACGCCCGCCGCCTAATAGCCGAAGAGGGCTTGTTGGGGGGGGGCAGCTCTGGATCGGCAATTGCTGCGTTAGTGAAGGCGTCTAGCGATTTGGGCCTCACTGCCGATGACGTGGCGATTGTCGTCCTGCCTGATAGCATCCGCAGCTACCTGTCTAAGTTCGCAGACGATGACTGGCTGGCAGCAAACGACCTCCTCTCAACAGTACCAGGTGAGGCAGAAACTGCGATTGAGCAGCAGCAGCAGCAGAGACTGCAGAAGCAGAGCAAGAAACCTTCGGAGAACCCGTATGGAAGCGATACCGTGAAGGTGTTACGGCTTAAGCCCGTAACGTCGGTGCTTTCCGACAGCTCCTGCAAGGATGCAATCGAGACACTGCGCGATAAGGGTTTTGATCAGTTGCCCGTGCTATCACCCACGGGCGACAAGCTGGTCGGGCTTGTCACCTTGGGCAATTTGCTGTCGTACAGCTCACACGGTCGACTACAGCCGACCAGTCCCGTCAGCGACGCGATGTTCGACTTTGGCCGTATAAACGAGGTGGTGACCGACCCGAGAGACGTTGTGAGGTCGCCAAAAGGACGGCGGCAGAAATTCGTCGAGATTACCATGGACACGCCGCTTTCAGTGCTGAGCAAGTTCCTGGAATGGAACAGTTCGGCCGTTGTGACAGAGCGGAGCGGCGACGCAAGGGCGGCTAAGCCTGTGGCTGTGGTCACCAAGGTGGACTTGTTGACGCATGTGATGAAGAAACTCAAGACCTAGGTGTTGTGCGAGCCGTGCGGCCGCAATGCGGCCTAGACAGATTCAAGTTTCGTTATGATATTGAACATGCAACCTAGTGAACCTTGCATTAACAAGGGACAGCAATGTTATATCTAAATCTTGTGTGCAATCCAGCTCCACCATTTGTCCACCCCTGGTCCGTCCCCTACAATGTTGCCGCCCAGAACATCAACGTCGATGTCGAACGCGCGCATCTGCGAGAAAGAAAACTTGTTCGAGCCGTACTCGCCCAGCCAGTCGTCGCTCTCGGTTGCCATGTCCACCTCGTCTGCACCTACGCCACTGTCCAACAAGCTTTTCTTTTTTGTGGTGCGTATGCGGCCCAGCTCGGCCTCCAGATTGCTCTTTACGAGCGACGCTGGCAAGGCCGTGAAGAGGTCAGCCTTATTTGAAGCGATCAGTATTGGGACTGCCGGTGGGGCCCTGGACGTGCTACCCGCACTCATCCGCTTCTGCAAGGCGAGCAGGACGTCGTAGAGGTAGGTTGCAGAGGCAGCTAGACCATCTTGGTCAGCCAGGGCACCGGCATCTACCACAAAGACAACGGCCTTGATCTTTGACTTTGTGCTCGAAGGGCCGGAGAGCATGCCAAGCGTAGAAGCACGAAGTTTTCCATGGCCGGGGGTGTCGATTAGCAAGAACTTTTTCGCTGTGGAGCCGGACGCGTCGAGGTCTTGACGGAAGCTGGATACGCCGTCTTCGGAGACGGCCAGCTCGACAACAATAGGTACCTGCGAGGTGTGGGCAGATGCAGGTTTATCGCGGCGTTCAAAGAGGGTGACAAGAGTTGCCTTTCCTGCCCCTGCGGGGCCAATGAGGACCACAGACGGTAGGGTGATGTACTGGACAGATCGAGCAAGGTAGAAGTGCAGGAAGACAGGGAAGAGGATGACAATGGTGATGCCAATGATGAAGACGGGTGTTGATGGCGTCAGGATCCACTCCAGAAGGAGCAGAGCATGTTCTTTGACGTCCATGGGCGTGGTTTACCTCAAGAGTCAAGGAGGATGAGGGCTAAAAGCAAGGTGTGGGAGAGATGCCTACTATAAAAGCGGCACGTTTGTAGCATTTCTGCGATTTGGCCATACAGAGTACTACAGATTTGGCCTGTTTTACTGGCGCGTTGTGGCTGTTCAGCCTTGGGGGCTAGGGTGATGACTACACACGCGCACAGACCAAGACCTCCAAGCTTCTCGTCTGGTCCCCTTCTCCAGCGCAGTGTTTCGTGTCAGACGCCGTGCCGGCAGCTTGGAAAAAAAGCCTACTCGTAAGCAGGCAGATGCAAGGAGGTGCAGCGACTTCATGGTGCCGTTTAATTCCCTTACTTCAACTTGAGTTGGTATCAAGCAGTCGCCCTATTTCCGCTTTCCCTTCTGTCTTTCTTCGCCTGTGTCGCTTGCACCTACGGCTCTATCATTATCTTCTTCTCGTCGGCAACCTCATCCACCACAACGCCGCTGTTTGTCACCGGGCCGCACGCAACAGCACTGTTACCCCGATGCAGTCTCAGAGCAGTTCTGGCGGTACCAGTGCTGCCCCGGCACAGCCGCCATCAAAGGGCAACGCAGCCGCGCCAAAGCTCAACAATGAGCTGGAGCTCGGTGACATGCCTGGCAGCGGGCCTTCCGAGCCTGACATTATGAATCTTGCAAGGACAGGTGACATTTCCGGCATGCAGAAACTGCTCGAGGCAGGTAACCTGGACGCCCCGTACACGGACGCAGAGGGGATCACACCTTTACATGTATGTTCTTGCATTCATATCTAGCTATCTTTGTCTCTGGCCTTGCTAACTCGACCAGTGGGCTGCCATCAATAACCAGTACGCCATGTGCAAATTTCTCCTCGACAGCGGCGCGCCTATCAATAAGAAAGGCGGCGAGTCCGTCGCCACCCCTCTGCAGTGGGCCGCCCAGCGCTGTCACTATTACACCGTCCACCTCCTCCTCCAGCACGGTGCCGACCCCCTCATTACCGACTCTCAGGGTTATAATACGCTGCATATCAGCACCTTTAATGGAAACGTCCTGTTGCTTGTGCTTCTGTTGCATCAGGGCATCCCCGTCGACGTCGTTGACGGGTTCGGCCATACCGGCCTCATGTGGTCTGCATACAAGGGTTTTCCGGCATGTGTTGACCTCTTCTTACGGTGGGGTGCCAATGTTGAGGCCCAGGACGAGCAAGGTTTCACCGCGCTACACTGGGCTCTGGTCAAAGGCAGTCCCGGTTGTATCCAAAAAATTATCGAGTACGGCGCAGACCGCTTCGCCAAGACGGCCACGGGCAAGACACCAGCCATTACAGCACAGGAACTGAATACAGTTACGGCATGGCACAGGGGGCTGAAGGAGAGCGGATACGACGAGGACGGCAGCCCAGAAATACCAACATTCCCTGGGGCCATCTACTTTTCGAAAGATCGGCGGGGATTTGTCACCAAGCTCTTGTTTCTTTGGCCCTTTGTGATCATTTGGGCCGTGATTGCCTTGCTTGCTGGTTTGCCCATTTTTGCTGGTGTGCCATTATCATTCCTCACTGGTTATAGTATGCAATGGGTAGCCCAGAAGGTCGTTCATTATGCGCCCCCCGACATGCGCCAACTGCAAAAGACCCCATGGCTTTCCGGAATTTTCGCTGGATCCTTGTTTCTCGTCGGCGTGAATTGGTTGACTAATGTACTGCCGGCAACGACCTGGCAAGCCAAGACCCAGGACGATACGAACTGGGCGATAAACTTTTGTTTTGCACTCTTCTACTCCATGGTCACATATTTCTACGTTGTTTGCATGGTTTCTGATCCGGGCTTTGTTCCCAAGCTCAACGGCATTGCAGAGCAGAAGGCCGTCATCGACGAACTAATTGCGGAATGGAAGTTTGACGACTCCAACTTTTGCGTGACTTGCATGATCCGAACGCCACTGCGCAGCAAGCACTGCCGTCGCTGTCAACGTTGTGTTGCAAAGCACGATCAGTAAGTTTCGCTTGTTGTGATTAATTTGAAAAAGATGCTGAAATTTGAAGGCTGACGATCGCTTCGCAGCCACTGTCCATGGGTGTACAACTGCATTGCTGTCAATAACCACAGACAGTTTTTTCTCTATTTGATCAACCTCACCATTGCAATTGTCATACATGATTGGATTGTTTATTGCTGTAAGTGATCCTCTTGAATGCTCAAGCCTATTTGACTAGGTACCGTTTCTCTGACTCTGCCGTTCTTTTAGACCTTTCCTCTCGATCTGCAGACACGTCTGATCTGTGCAACATTCTCTCCCCCTCTCTGTGCAAGGTCGCCAACGCCGGGACATTTACTCTTCTTGCTGCCGTCTGGGCGACTTTGCAGTTGTCGTGGGTGTCTATGCTTTTGTTTGTACAGTTCATTCAGGTCTCACGCGCCATGACAACATACGAGAACATGTATGGTATCGATCGCCATGCAGCTGGCTCTCTGACTTCGGCGTTCACGTCAACAGGGGCACCGCTAAATCCCAACCACCCAGATGCCATTCCGCCTTCCGGTGCTACAGGAACACCCGACAGCAGCGGGCGCGGATCGCACGGCCATCACCATCACGGCCACGACCATGGTGGATTTCTCAAGCAATGGAGCCGAATTTTGGGTGTGGACACCTTCATCGAAACCGCGACTGGTCGTGGGGCAGCAACAGGCAAACAGAAAAAGCAGCGAAAAAACCCGTATTCGCGTGGGTGTATTACCAATTGTAAGGACTTTTGGTGTGATCCAGCTCCAATCTTTGGCCACCGGGAGACTGGTGCTGCGGTGCTAGGCGGCAAAAATATCAACTACACCGAAATGTACGAGTCCCCTACACTAATGGAACTCTCCAGGGTGCGGAAAGGTGGCGAGAGAGGTGCTTACGAGGCTGTTGCTGTAGAGGAGGTGTGAGAAGGTGCCTGACAAGGTGTCAATGGATGTTGAAGGCCTCGAATCGGTATCTATGTTGGTTTATGGGTGTGTCTCAGTTGCAATGCTTATCAGTATATTCACATCAAGTGTCACATTTTTCTGTCTTGAGACATTAGGCATGTATTACCTTTTTAGAGGGAAATTGGTTTAGAGGGAAATTGGGGGAAAACTTTGGGTGGTGAGTTCTAGCTTGTATGATACTGCGGTGATGCGGTTGCTACCATATTTGCGCACAACGTCCCTCAGGTTCGGCTCACCTAGCATCTCAGATTGCCGAAAAGTCGGCCATCGTAGAGAGGCCCGAAAACCTACCATAGGAAATCATGACTAGCTAGTGACACATCTGTTCAATGCATTCGTACTGCATTTGGCTTGATATATCACGACAGTAGTCGTGACGATCAGCGAGTCGAGATCGAAACTGCCATACTTCTATAATACAGAGAAAGCACTCGGCATAGCCGAGGAGTGACTAGTTGCCGCAGGTCTCCTTGGCTACAGCATTGCAAAGCGCCACCTTGGCGCCTGCCTCCAAAAGGACATGAATCCACAGCCGCTGGGTGTCGCTGAGACGGTCATTTATGCTTTTCACTTCTGCAAACATAACCTCCGGCTGAGGTTCCATCCTCCAGAGCAATAAGTCTGGTAGGCCACCTGCCCTCTGCCGATACTCCTCCGTAAGCACTTTGCATACCGCTGCAAGTGCGCCACCGTTAAAGCAGCGAGCTATTTCAGCAACTTCTTCCAACGGAAATTCCCAGTTCAGCCCCACAACACAAGGGCGTCTTCCGACTTGTGATATATGTATGCTTCGCACAATATCTTCCCCCCCACCATTCGCAATTTCAACGAGGCGTCGATTGATTTCAGAAGCTCGTGCCGTGTAGAATTCATCAGTTGGGAGGTCAAGAGGGGATGTTTGATATGCGGTTTGGAAAACGTCGGGAATATAGAGAAAAATGATGTCGAAAAATAAGTAGGCGTATAAAGTTCGTATGATGCCTCCTTCGGAGTGAAGGCCCTTCCATCCTTGCTTCCGGTAGTGGTTGAGGCACATGGTCTCGACAGTGCATTGGAGTCCCCCCTCTGATTCATCTATCCATACGGTTTTCCCGTTTCGATTTTTGCTGCAAGCTCCCAGCACTCCGCGTTCAGGCTTGATCTGGGTTCCTTCAAATACATGTTTAACGGGGGCGAGAAACTGTAAATGTCCGAAATCGTGCTGAAGACGTCGGGGAATCCGAAGGCGCCTTTCTAGCCTAATAAGGCGCTTTCGCAAATCATGGTGGTAGATGAGGTGACAGCTAGGATCTTCGAGGGCTTGCTCACACGTTGCTACCGCCCTTTGATACCAACTTCTCCTATTTTCATTCAGAGCACCTGTCTCCACACTGGAAAAGGCGGCACTCATATAGTGCTCCTCAAGAAGGGCTTTGCGTTGGTACCAAGAGCCGCGGCGTGCGGTATAGAACAGTTTTTGATGGAGCAACTCTGCAAGTAGGGCGTGTTCTTGGCTATAGTGGTGAAGACGGCCGAGAGCATATGCTGCTGTATGGGCTATTCGAGTGAACACATGCGCTGCGCAAAACCGATTAAGGTAGCTGCTAACTTGTGGTTGCCGAGATCCATCAAGTCCCTGTCTCCAACGGTCGGAAACTCGATTGAAACAGAGAACAGCCTTGTTAAAAGTGTCGGAAGGTAGGGGGGGTTGCTGGAAGCTATCATTTCATCGATTTCGTGTTCCAGCTGTAAGGCTGCTTCAAACTCAAGCAGCTGTTGTCGGGACTCGAAAACATTGTTTGTCCTTGAAACCACGTATTCGGCAAAGTTCCGTTTTGATATTTTAGCCAATATGATAGTAGTCAACGATCTTTCCGTCCACTCGCACGTTCTGTAGAAAACCAAATGTACACGCTCAAATAGCCGAAATGTGACAGAAGATACACGTACACACGGCCCTGTGGTTTTTTTTAGTTTTCGGAGCAGTCGTCCTTCCATGTCTGAATCGCCATTGTGTGATCTGGTCTGTCTTTTTTTGCTGTTTCTGTCGCTTCTCGGTTCCTGCAACGTATTACAGAGTTGTGAACCTGTAAATATCAAAACCATCTGTTTCGTACTCATATCAACCAGTGCTGCTAGTAGCTCAGCTTTCGTCTTGCCCCTAATCTTTGACTCTTTGGCGACCACTTTAAGTTCGTTTAGAGAAAGCAAGGACCCCGCTTCGTCAACAGTCGTTACAAGTTCTTCGGATGTCTCTAAAAATGCAAATGTGCTTTGCCCTTTCAAAGAGCAATTATCAAAGGCATGATTGGACGACGGAAGCTTTGATGTATTCGAGACTTCGCAGGCAGAGAGCCATCTCCGCTCTTCCAACGACGACATCGCCACACCTAGATTTGAAATGTTCGAATGATACCGCAGTTTTTGAACTCTGTGCCAGGTAGATTTTTTTCGCAGGAACAAACGAACGTATCTTCTGGCTTGTTAGTTTTATGTGAATGGGGTGGTAAACCATTGGACAGCACTGACAGATATTGAGCTTCATAGTCTAAACCGCGCCAAGCTGAGAAAACAGACATTTCCCCGCTTGAAAAAAGATGAGACTCATGCTCTAAGACGGTACCAAGAGCCAAATTAAAGGCGTCGACATATATCGAAGTTCGATATGTTGGTGCGAGCTCTTTGTTCTCAGAACCGAACCCAGGATTGTACTCTCCAATGGCTCCACTGGAAAGTTCTGCCGAATAGGGTGCAGGTTCGACCGAAGTTAATTCCCAAGCGAGCGTCTGTCCGACAAATCTTTCAAGTTCTCCTGCATTTCTGTCGTCCATATGTGTTTTTAGGAACAGACCACCATAGTGGCATGGGTTGTCGTCTTTGGCCACTTTAGCTTTTTCAAAGGACTCTTCTTGGATCAACTTGGTTTTCGACGGCATCGGGAGAAGAGGAGCAGGGAACGGAGAGCCTTGTGATGAACTTATCCATGACCACCGGCGACCTATGATCTTTCACTGGCATGTAATGACCAAACTGGGTTCAAATAGAGCGGGGTGACGCGTTCGCAATCAAGACAAAAACGCGCGGTCACATGACACAATTTCAGTGGGGCTTTCGGATAGAGCTTCGGTTTTTTCAATGTTACAAAGACAGCAAAAACTGGGTATGAAAGAGCAGTGTGTTTAATAGATTATGAACAGTAGGAGCCACACAAAATGTCTGGAGGCATCGAAGACTCAGTGAGGTCCCCTAAATTTATAACTGATACTGCAGGGGGAAGGGATGCGTCGATGGCAGACGGATTGACCGACCCTACGCATGTGAGCGATGCTTTTCTTTCTTGTCGACATTCTGATTCTAAACAGGTACTTCAATGGGTGGCAGTCACCGGCCTTTCAGCACGCCACTCAGAATACGGCGTCATCTCCACGTCCTACGCGTGTGGGAACTCCAGTAAGACATGCCCCCGGATCAGCAGCCAACGGCGAGCGCAATGAGACGGGCAGTCGCGCAGCATCTGGCCACCCAGAAATAGCTTTCACGATACCTAACGAAGTTCCGCCTAATGGTGCACCAGTCCGTCAATACATCAACATGAAGCTGACGGGACCTCTATTGGAGGGTATGAAGATGATTGCAAAGGAACAGTGAGTTCAGTCACAGTGCTTTGCTTGCGAATATACGACATTGGTGACGGTGACTCTTGCTTGATTTCTATCCATCGCTGATTGTCACGACACAGGCCTAGGGATCCGTTGCGCGTTCTTGGCGAATACTTGTTGCAAAGATCAAAAGAATTGGAGGGAAAAAAGTAGCATTCTGGCATTATAAAACACCATAACAGCTGGAAGTGTACGCTGGTCAAGGGTTTCATAGCTGTACAGACTCCGTACATTTCCACCGGATACAGCATATTACCTCAGGACTAAATATTTGAAACATCTGAAGGAGTTCTGGAAGCTTTTTTTTATATTCGGAACGTATGCTTGATACAAAAGGTCGTCTGAACCGAATGAGCCCTACATTCCCACAACGCCACGACAAGCCTAAACCCGTTTCGCCATCCAGTTCATCCGTTTTATGATTGCCGTTTATGCGACAATCGTGCTGGCAGTTGCGCTCTCATATCTCCAGGTAGGCGGTAGGACACCAACGGTCTTGTAGTAGCGAGCCAGACGGTGAATCCGCGACTCGATCAAAATAAGGCGGAACTTCGAGTCCTTGTCCTTGCGGTTGCGTTCGAGATGTTTGCGGACAGCGACAGCCTTCACATAGTTAGCAGCAAATTACATGCAGAGAAAAGTCAGACAGTACAAGGCCCAAGCACGTACCTTCTTGATAAGCATGTACAGATCCTCTGGAATATCGGGCGCTAGGCCTGTACCATCACTCTGTCAGTCTGTGACCAACTAGAGGCATAATATAAAGCTGAGCAGAAAAGGAGCAGTTGCGAGCAACACAGGATCCAGCTATTTTTTGAAGTAGTGCAAGCAACTGGTTGTTTCGAGCATCTCCCCCTTTTGCTGTTTGTGTTCTATGATTGCGATAATTGTTTTGGGAATAATTAATCCATACCGTTGGACTTCAGAATGCGAAGAATTCTGTTGCCTATGGACTGTTAGAAAAGGGACGAGGGCCGGCATAGTGCAGATGTGTCAATTTTTGATACATACCTGTTACGATCTTGACCTGTGCAATGCCGTGGGAGTCCCGAAGAACAACACCAATCTGGGAAGGCGTAGCACCCTTCTTCGCAAGTTTGCAGATCTGCTCAACAACCTGGTCGGGAGTCGTCTTCAACCATGACGGGGCGGTGCGAGAGTAGGGAACCGCCGAAGATGAGATACCCTTTCCGTTGCTGTGAAGGCGACCCATTTTGATATATTATAAATATCTTGACGGTTTCTAGTAATGAAATTGAGGTTGGCGATCTTCTTGAAGGAGGAAATTAGAAAAAAAAACCCACTAAGATGAGTGAGAATCAGAACACGCACAATCTGGTCCTCCGTTATTGGGGCCAGGTCGAAATTAGTGCTTGCGGAGAAAAAAAGCACACGGATCAACTAATGGTTCTTCCGAAACATTATCCGATCACTGTCAGGCAAGCTAAATTGGCAAAAAAATCGGAGTACGACGTAGCTTGATTCTAGTTTCTGTCTCTTATGTATTTCGAAAAGGTGGCTGCTATTTTACTTTGTTGCAACCACAGTTATTCGGTAAGTTTTGTCGCGTTCTCTCATTTCATTTGACTTGTTGTCTATGGATTACATGATGATCACAACCTACTTTTTTTTTCTGGTACCTCTTATGTTAGGGTTCTTCGAACTCAATGAATGAAGCGGACTTCTGACTGTCCATTTTCGTCTCAATTTCTCAACGCTTTACAAACAATCTGATTGCTAACTCGGCTATTAATTAGTAATGTGCTGTCATATCATGCAGTGTTAAATACGCAATATTGGTAGAATGCGATGATATTTAGAATTATTTAGACCCCGATACATGACTGAAGATGCCGTTGAAGAACACGAAAGCAATAATCGGGAAATTTCTTTTGGCACATATTGCCGAACCAAAATGATAATCTAAAGCTCTTTTGGCACCATGGGCCCCAAACTAATAGCATGTTGCATGGTCTATTGCTTTCAACATAGCTCACACGAGATGTGCCAGGTTTTAAAGTATACTGTTGTAGTGGATATGACCAAACCAAAGGATGACATACCAGGCAGCTGGATATTGCTGGCAACTTCAACTCACTGCTTACCATGCATCAACTTCGAAATTTTCCTGGCAAATTCATGATTAGCGTTGTTGTGTGATTGATATATGGTTCTACAGACTTACCTCAGGAAAGTATGTAGCAACAACTGTTCTGTCAGAAAACTTCCTGCCCGCCAAGGCTTTGAGTGCTTTGGTGGCCGAATCTCTGCTGTCAAACTTGACAAAAATCTTGCCAACACCAGGAGAGTGCCTGCCCCCACTAGCCGGCCGAGGAACCTTGAGGCCCATAACCGGACCAAATTTGGCGCATTCTTCTGTCACATCCTCGCAAATATCTGAATAGCGTTAGTTCGAGATCAATAATATGATTTCATTTTAGCAGCCCCCGCCATTGCCTACCCTCGTAGTCGTCGTTGTTAACCAGCTCCTCGGCTGTGACCATATTGAGGAGCTGGACGACACGACTAACATCTGACGCTTCTTGAGATATAGTGCCGGCAAGGAGGGACATGGCGTTCACACCCATTTCGACACTGGTGACTTGAGTGATGCCGATGCTTGCTTTCTGCACTCGGAGCTTTCTGTCCCCAAGGTCCATTCCATTCAAACCTTGAATGGCAACGTCCGTCGATTGCGGTTCGGTATATTCACAAAATGCAACACCCTTTCCACATGTTAGATGGCATGATACTTCTCATTCCTTCTCCCGGAAAGAAACAACTTACTCGCGATTCCTCAGTGCTTCTGTCTTTCAGCAAGACAAAAGCTCTAAGCTCGCCAAAAGAGACCAACAATTCCGTAACCTGCTCGTCAGAGAGATAAGAAGGAATGTTGGTGATTGCAATCTTGAATGGCGTGTCGATAACAACGTTCGACACTACGCCAGGGTGATAAACACTGTAGTCTACAACAGCAGGCACAATGTAATCTTTCGGTCTCTGGATAGAAAGTCCGCTTTGGCCACTCCCGCTAGCATCCTCAGCTTCCATAGATATACCATTCAGCGCTAGAGCAACAGTTGCATCGATCGGCTCTTTGAACTCCACCATAGCGAAAGAGCCGTCTGAAGAAATTTGAGATAAGATGCAAGGGTCCGAATCGTCGATAACATTGAGCCCGTTGAGCTGTAAGTTGAAAAAATATATCAAAGACTCATCGGTGACCGATGATGGAAGGTTCGAAACTACAAGGCGCTTCGATTGACGAGAATTTGATGGTTTGAGTACAGAGGTGGTAGCTTGCATTGTTGTTGGTTGAGATATAAAAGCTGCAATCTTGGTAGGGTCTGCGGTCTGCTGTCGAGGAGCGCCTGGGAGCGGGAACATTCCTGATAGCTTCGCTTGTTCAGCAGTGACATTCTCGTATCCAGGAGGTTTTAAATCCCACTGCGTGAGACGACGCTTCCTTTCGAGGACCGACGTCACATCGGTGAGATCTGGGGTAGCTCCTCTCTTCTTGGGAGGCGGAGAGGGACTCCGCCTCCGATCGCGATCTCGGTCAAAATCTCTTTCTCGTTCTCTACGGCCACCACGAGGCCGAGTGTCGTGCGCGTCGCGCTGTAATTGCCGATCCTCATCTCGTCGCACCTCTCGTCTAACACCACGGTCCCGTTCCCGTTCTCTGTCGCGATCCCACGGTTCTCGGTCACGTCTGTCTCTACCAGAGTAGCGGTCCTCTCGTTCCCGATCTCTGTGGCTGCGGGAGGACGAATAGCTGTCAGCTTCTGCATCACGACGTAAACCTCTCCCTCCCCTATAGTCTGCGGGTGAGCGTGATCGTCTTCGGCTGCGCTCGCCTCGCTCACGATCGCCACGATCGCTACGATCGTTGCGATCAGTCCTGGACAGCTGTGAAAAATTGCGTGAGTAAAGGGTCAAAGCAAAAGATTGTTTGGTTTGTCGCGTACCTGATGGTTGCGGGAACCACCTTGCCGTCCTCCCTCTGTAATGTCCGAGTTAATATCGTGCTGTTCGCAAATTTGCGCCATTTTAAAACTGACCTCTAGAATAATTGTCGCCGTCCATTTTGGCGACTGGTCGATCTATTTGCTTCGGCGTTTTTTTGTTGATGGAACAGAAACTCGCGGTACAAGTTGCACGTTGTTATGGTTTTAGCAACGCCTGGAATTTTTATTGAGTTTGTTCTGAGTTAGCTTTATTGGGACTAGCACGTGCAGCAGACCACCCCTTTACAAAAATTTAGTTATCACACGACGAGCTTGGAACTTACTTTCACAATCCTTGTACTTTGGCCATTACGATGGCCGGGATGCCAGTGCCCAAGGGGCAGAAAATACCAATCAGCCTAGAAGAGCTTTGCATTGATACTATTTTGCGCTGCGGACAGTCATTTCGCTGGAAATGGCTTGATGATGAATGGTGAGCTTCTAATTCAAGTGTTGAGAATGTCAATTAGCAGCTTACAAACCCAGGCATTGTGCTCTGCATGGTCGCATTGTTTCGTTAAAACAAGACTCCGAGAACTTATTCTTCCGGGCTACCTGGCCAGATCCAAGCTTGGCGGCCTCCGACCCACGAAGCAAAATAATCCCAGATGACACAGGCGATTTCATAAGAAACTATTTCAACCTCCAGCTCAATCTCTGCTCCCTCTATGAGAAATGGTCCCGGGATGACGTTAATTTCCGTAAAAAGGCAGAGGGATTCAATGGTGTCCGCATTCTCAATCAAGACGCTTGGGAGACTCTGGTGTGCTTTATCTGCAGCAGCAACAACAACATCTCCAGAATTTCACAGATGGCGCAAAACCTGTGTAGGTATTATGGCCGTTTCATAGGTACTGTCTCCGGAGAGAGGTTTTACGATTTTCCTAGCCCAGGAGCTCTGGCGGATCACAGCGTTGAAAGTCGCTTGCGAGAACTCGGCTTCGGCTATAGAGCGAAGTACATCGCAGCAACGGCCAGAAAAATCGCCACAGAAAAATCGCCGAGCTGGTTGAGTGGACTTCGCAATATGGACTGTCCGCAATGGCCAGACGCGCAGACAATAATCCCCCAAAAATCCACATACGAAGACGCCCATAATAGCCTATTACTTCTATCTGGAGTTGGGCCTAAGGTTGCTGACTGTGTCTGCTTGATGGGGTTGGGATGGGGTGAAGCTGTTCCCGTGGATACTCACGTGTGGCAAATCGCAGTGCGTGACTACAAGTTCAAGGTTACTAAATCTAAGACCTTATCTTTGGCTATGTACCATGATATAGGATCTTTTTTCAGGGGAATTTGGGGCAAGTATGCAGGCTGGGCGCAATCTGTTCTCTTCACTGCAAATCTGAGGGCATTTTCGGACCGACTAGAAGTATTGTCTCCAGAAGGGCACGCATCGAACTCAAAAGGCATGGGAAGCAAGAAGAGAAAGTTCGAAACGGGTCTCGGAGAACATAGAAGGAAAGGATATGTATCTGCAATTGCCAAAAGAAGAAGATCGAAAGCCGGGCAAACATAGAGATACAGCATTGTGTCAAGCATGGGAATCCGCCACACTGTACGGAGTAGACCTTCCGCTACTCTTGGCCGTACGGGTCTGTGATTGGTCATAAGTCGTAAACGTGGGCCTGACACTAGTATTAAGGACGGCTTATATCCCCCCTACGATTTGCTTAATCCCCCCCAACGCTAGCCCGAAAAGAATATGTGTACAAGAACGACAAGATAGTCTAAAAGATACTTTAAAATACAAAGAAACCCCTGCTATAAGCAGGTACTTTTCGGAAAGTGTTGTCCACCCACCCCATTTACCGACGCCTTTACCGAATAATCTATTGTGCTTAAAATTATTGTAAGATCTTAACTAACAACAAAAACATTACTAATAGTATTAAAATAACATTGTTTTATAACCTTACCTTATTTATTAGACGTTTAAAAAGGCTAATAAAGCTACTGTCAAGCATTGGAATCCGCCACACTGTGGCCCTTCCGCCCCACTTGGCCGTACGGGCCTGTAATTGGTCAGAAGGCACAAAAGCGGGCCTGACACTAGTATTAATACGGATCCCTAGAAGGGTCGCGATGTATCTATTTCTTCCTTAGTACACAACACTCTTTCGCCTACACTAGACCCTATTTAGCCTCCTGCTCCTTATAGTGCATCACATTATATGACCGCTACGTATAGCCTCTTTTAACCTTTATAGGTTATGAGCCCGGCCTAAGAGGACCGGGAGAAGCTGAACAAATTGTCACAACTTAGCTAATGACAGGGGAAGGGGAAGGCACTGTATGGGTCTGCCTGCATGAAGGTGGTGATCTGCGTGTTGTACTAGGGAAGAAAAAGCTACATTACACTGATTCTGTGGCGCAGAGATTTCACTGGGGCTATTCCCCACTTTTCTCTATTCTGGCCAATCAGAACGCGCAGGGCCAACCCTAGCCGGAAAACGCACAGTGTGCTCCATTCCCGCACTCAACACTCCCCCTGAATGGGCGCACTTGTTATAGACCGAGTATCCTCTCGGTCTGCCCAAGGCGTCACAAGGTAAAGCCAAAAGCTTCACGGGTGAAGCACGAAACAAAATAACCACGAGGCTCTGAATAGCCTCCCAAAAAGGGAGCTCTCAAGGCTCCCAGCCCATCAGGCGAGGCAACAGACGTTCAAACGTCGTCTTCGGTGTAGCCTTCGTCATGACATCGGCGATTTGATCCTCTGACGGCACGTACTTCACCGTCAGTAAACCTCCCAATGCGCACTCTCTGAAATAGTGCCATTTGACGTCGAAATGCTTGGAGCGCTCGCGAAATTCGGGCTTCTTGGTGAGGCTGATCGCGGAGCTGTTGTCAACAAACATCGTGATGTCGGCGATGAGGTCTAATTCGTCAAGGAACTGCTCGATCCACTTGGCTTGGGTCGTCGCGAAGTACGCAGCGCCGTACTCAGCTTCACAGGTGGAAGTGCTGACGGTCGGTAGCTTCTTGGCGCACCACGAAACAGGGCCGCCAGCGATTCTAAACACGAAGCCGTAGGTAGAGTGGCGATCAACGGGGTCATCTGCCCAGGAGGCATCGGCCCAGCAGTCGACGGTGACGTGCCCCTTTGGGGCTTCCTTTTGTCGCTTGAAAACAATGGTGAACTCCTCCTTCCCGCGAATGTACCGCAGCACGCGCTTGATCGACTTAGCGTGAGACTCCCGCGGTGCCTTCATGACTTTCGAGTGCTGGTGAACAGCGAAGGCAACGTCAGGTCTGGTCATCACGCAAGCGTAGATGAGCTTGCCATTGACGTGCTGGTAGTGGTGAAGGTCAGTCAGAGGCTGGTCTTCGTCGGGTCTCACCATGTCGGTAATCGGAGTTGCCACCGCATGAGCTTCACTCATGCCTTCTGATTCGAGCAAATCACTAAGGTAGGAGTTCTGGGAGAGACTGATTTGCGTGCCGTTGGTGATCGTGGTGACACCGATTTCAACTCCCAGTAGCCATTCGGGGGTGGCCGTCATCTCCATCTCTAGCAACTGCTTCATTTCAAGATTTCAATTTTGGCCCAGCGTTGGGTCTTTCTCCTGCGTACAGGGCGTCGTCAACATGGGGTAACGACGGGGACTCCCTTTGCCGCGATTAATCCGCTGGATCAGTCCAAAAGGGGCTGGCCGGCCGAATTTGGCCCATCATCTCCCGCCATTTTTTTTGGCCCCTGGGTGACCGGGCCTGGCTTTGAACCGCAAAAAAGGTCCGCTGAAACCCAAAAAAACTCTTGTGGGGGGGCCCACCCAAGGGGGGGGGGGGGAACCCCCGGGCCAAAACCTTCCAAAGTTTTCCGGAAAAAAAACCCCCCCCCCGTTCCCAGAAAAAACGTCCCCCCCTCCCCACAAAAACCGTAAAAGAGGCTCCCCGGGGCGAAAAAATTTGTCAAATAAGTTGGGGTTTATTTTTCCCCCCCCCAAAAAATGGGGGGGGTGGTGAAAAACACCCCCCTCTCCCCACCCACTGGCGCCCCCCCCACGAGA